AAATGGATCACTTTGGGTTGGGAACAATGACGTTTCAGTGGTCCACGATCCATCGCTTGCAGAAGTCACAATGACAATACCGGAATCAGTAGCAACAAATCCATCGGACTCGGTGGTGGTGAAAGTGGTAGTGTAGGAAGTGAACACGTCGCTTTGGGTTGGGAACAATGAAGTGGTCGTAGTCAAATCACCTGCTGTGTCGTAGGTAACAACAACAATACCAGAATCAGTAGCAACGAATCCATCGGACTCGGTGGTGGTGAATGTAGTTGTGTAAGATGTAAATGGATCACTTTGGGTTGGGAATAATGAAGTGGTCGTAGTCAAATCACCTGCTGTGTCGTAGGTAACAACAACAATACCAGAATCAGTAGCAACAAATCCATCGGACTCGGTGGTGGTGAATGTAGTTGTGTAAGATGTAAATGGATCACTTTGGGTTGGGAATAATGAAGTGGTCGTAGTCAAATCACCTGCTGTGTCGTAGGTAACAACAACAATACCAGAATCAGTAGCAACAAATCCATCGGACTCGGTGGTGGTGAATGTAGTTGTGTAAGATGTAAATGGATCACTTTGGGTTGGGAATAATGAAGTGGTCGTAGTCAAATCACCTGCTGTGTCGTAGGTAACAACAACAATACCAGAATCAGTAGCAACGAATCCATCAGATGCAGTGGTGATGAATGTAGTGGTGTAAGACGTAAATGGATCACTTTGTGTAGGGAATAATGAAGTGGTAGTTACGGGGTTACCATTTTCATCGGTGGTTGCAAAGACTAAACCAGAGTCAGTAGCAATGAACCCGTCAGATTCAGTGGTGGTGAATGTAGTAGTATAGGCGTTTGGGAATAAAGAAGTAGTGGTGGTGATAGTTCCATCGCTGTTAGTAACATGGACTATTCCTGAGTCAGTTTCCACTGAACCATCAGAATTGGTAGTTGTGTAAGTGGTTGTGTAATCAGGTTGGTCTTGTACAATATCATATAATTGAGGTATGATGGTTGGACATGCTAAACATTGGCTTGGTCTTGAAGTATCTGGAGGAGGAGCATTGTATACGAAACGAGCACCTGATGACCCTAGATTATTACAGGATCTACCATTACTCCAACTTATCAAAGAAGGATCGTACCCAGGGCCAATGATAAACTGAAATGTATTTGTACCCCCATTAGTAGTAATATTTAAAGTATTACCATCGTAATTCCAAGTTGGACAACATGTGTTGATAGTAATTTGATTGTTATTTCCCCAACCACTTATAATGTATGGAACTATGGGTTTTTTACCAGAGTCCTCGGCATTTCCAAAATACAACACAGAAGTATTTGTACTAAGAAAAAATGTTTGTAAGACTCCATCTATACCGAAATATTGCGGACATCTCATAGCAAATGTACTTTGATTACCAATATCAATACAACCATTTCCAGCATATGGGGAATTTTGATATACTGGGTTATTGTTGAACAAACAAAGTGAACCATTGTTGACAACAGTAGCGACGTCAGTAACACAGGAATCAGAACCCCAATATGTACTTGGAGCATCACCGGTGGTCATAAAATATTGCATATATGCAACGACACCTGTATTATGAAAAATTGAATTAGTACCGTATGGTTTAATCATATTTGTAGAACCATCACATGCTCCACCACCTGCTAAAATAAAAGTACCTTCATTAATGAAGAAATTACCATGTATGGTATAAGTAGGTGGACTACAGTTAGTAATGTTATCATTATACATAAAAAAACCAGAATTGTGGATTCCTCCTGTGCTATATCCTTCATTAAGTTTAAAACTCAGACCGGAATTATGATCTTTATCATACCACGGATAAGCACCTATATTTTGGGAGTAAAAAATACCTTTATTTATAAAGGTACTTCCACCATACAGATGAAAATTATAACTGTTAAATATAAACGTTGAATGTTCATGAACTGTCATATTAGCATAAAAATTACAATCATAATTTGACCCCATGGAAGTAATATTCAACATATAATAGCCATTAACATCAATGTTTGTATAATTGTCAGACAATACTGTCTGTAATAGGAATACAGCAAAAAATACTGCTCCTAAAATTGAAGACTTCATTTCTGATCTTTAATTCTATGAAGACTAGCATTATACAAATTTATTTGAATTTGATGATAATCTTTCTTATATATTCAAATTGTTACAGATTGTGAAAAAGTTTTTGAGTATTGAGAGTGGTGCAATAATTTCATAAAAGGCTGCTAAATTTTATTTGTTGCGGAACTAATTCGCGTATGTATGGGTGCATAAAAAATAGATCTGAAAAGTGATAAATCGGCTCGATTTTGAGGCTCGAACGAATCGGATCTTTTAGCTTTCTAAAGGAGTTTAAAGTTTATATGCCAAACATAGTCTTCACTTGAATCATAACTCATCTTATTACTGAATCAATAAACCTTTCTTCTTCGTTAATAATGTTAACACTAATAGCTTTCAAACATTTTCATTTAAAAGTGCATTTTCTTGGTATGGACCCCAAGTAATGTACGGAATTATTATTATATTCCTCTCGATTTTACTGAGTTTTATTAAAAAAATTTACTTTACGGACGATATTTAGTTATTATTCTTACAGTTGTGGTGACCAGTTAGTTAATTTTTAAGAAAAATTGATTAACAGCTTCTATCCTTCGCTAGAACTTTTTTCTGGGCTAGCAGCTAACGCGATAATGCCTTGCAGAAAATTATTCTATGATCTCATATGCATAGCATTTAGACCGATGGTTACCAGAAACTTGTGGTTCGAGTTGTAAATGTTATGCAAACGGAATTTTTAGAGGGAAAACATCATTCAATAGAGTATAGTTCACTTTGCATGGCTAAACTGAATCTACATGCTGAATAGCATAAAAAAATCAATTTTTGACTGATTCACTTTTGAACTTTAACTTAAATAAACAGTTTTGCTACTTTAAATAATTGATTTATATTATTTTTTTGAAATGGAAGAACAGTATAAAATACTCTTCCTTTAATTCAACAAAATAACCTATCATTATAATGACCAATTAAGCATTCTGGTAATATTAGCGCAGTTCCCTTAAAAATCGTTTAACAAAAAAGCATTTCTTTTTCCAGTTTTTCTCACGTCATTTATTGAGACTAATATTGCATGTTTGACTTAAATTGGTAATAACATTCATTTTTTTATTCGTACGTATTAGGCTGCCTTTTTAACTTTAACGTTTAATTCTGCATTTAATATCTTCAGTTCACACTAAAACTTATTGCCAGAAAGAAAAACTTCCGGATATAACAGCCTTGACTTTATCATAAATTAGGTATTAACTCGAACGCTTAGAAACTTCAAATTTATTGAGTTTAGTTGTACTATACTTTTAGAAAGGTTTTTGAATTTTGAAAATCAACTGATACTAGAGTAGGAACTATATACAAACTATTAAGTTATCCCTAGTTTGAAAGTTGTATTTTCACAGCTGAAACATTTAAATAGCATATCAAATACTTCCATCAATGATTCGCCATCTTGTATTGTTACAATCGTAATATATATAGAAATCAGCAATTGAATCTATAGTATAATATCAAATTTATTCTCAGAATCGCAACTCTATTGGAATTCAAATGAAGGATACGTCCCATTAATCTTCGAAAAGCCAAGAGTTCTATCGATGCGCGTTGATGTATGACCCCATTTACTTCGATTTTTTTGTGCCATTCTGAGCATGCTTATAATGTTTTAATACATTACTTCGAGAAAGGGATCTAATTGATCACAATGTTAACTTTTAATAATAGAGTCGCATGTATCTCTCAGTATCTAAGCGCTAAACATATAAGGATCTCTGCATGAAAAAGCTTAATAAATTGATGGACAACTTCCCAAGGAAGTAGTATGCAGTCATGGGCAGAGTATTGCGTGCTGCATAATATCATCGGTTTTGTAGGACTTATCTCATTCCTTTGCAGTTATAGCTATACGAATAAAAGAAATTTTATGGTTGCCATATGCGGTATATCCTGAGAAATGCAGCTATTTAGATTTATATAAAATGCCACATTCAGTAAGTGAACATAAGTAAAGATATTTGGCCGAAGTTAAAGTGCAGCATCAATAGTCGTTATTAATTATTACTCCAACGTAATATTATAATTAAGAGTTGGTTTCTCATCTAATAAAACAATGATCAGATTATGGGACACCTTTAAGAAGATTTCTTTGAAAGTAGACTTGCATAGCTTTCAAGGCTCTTGGGGAAGATTTTACAGATTTTACAGATTCTCAGACCCACATATAAGCCTCCATATTTGCCTTGGGAAACCGGTAGTATAAAAATTTTCGAGCCATTATGACTTAAACTACATTACTCAGTAAGGTTCTTCTACTACTTATGAATGAATTAATAATTTAAACAGACTGACCATCTCAGTGAACCCAAATATACATGATATGTTGCTGTCTAATATTCTGAATGTCTCTACTAAAAATCTAATAACTTTAATGTTATAATAGGTCTCATTGGATTATTTTAAACCAGATGTAACCTTTCATATCTACTTCCATCAAGATATTGTATCAAATAATAGTACTGTTGTGGTCATATATCGTTGACTGCATGATTATGTTTTGGCAATTTGCGCTTACATTTCGCAAATTCTCTACAGAAAATTGATTAAGATTTTAGCCTTATATTAATTCCTAAATAGTTATTGTCATGCATTATCAACTCCATGATATAAAATCAAAACACAGTCTAGTGACCAATATTTGGACAAAAAGAGCTGGATTACTTTAAAGCCAATCTACAAATATCGTACCCAATCCTGTTCTTAGGAATTACTATAATACTTGCAATTTTTAGCATGGAAATGGTGTTTGACCCACCATCGTTCTTTATCGCGCCAAATGGAATAGACACCAAGGTTAGGACCAAGTAAACTAAATTACATCTACAACATACATTGCATACAATATCAAATGCTCCTTACTCAGGACCATCAATAATACATTTAACACTTTTACCAGCTCTAACTAAATCATAAGCCTCGATTGCATCCTTAAATTTGAATCTATGGGTAATTAAACCTAAATAATTTATACCAGCTTTATCTTCTCCGTCTTTGTAATTGGCGTCTAATAAAGCCACTCCGGTTTTATAATCATCAAACCCATACCTAAATGATCCAAATAGTGTTAACTCCTTTGTGGCAAATTCTGTAATTGGAAAACTTGCGGGTCCTGTAGTATTCCCAACTTGAATGAATCTTCCTCCTGGTGCTAAAACATGAACTCCTGATTGAATACAAACTTCGGCACCTGAACATTCTAATACAACATTTGGTCTTTGACCTAATTCTTTTATCATTTCATCAAGTGTACCATTTTTTGAGTTAAATACATGAGTTGCCATGTTCAACCTTAATGCCATTTCAAGCTTTGATTCAACAACATCAACTACCATTACTTTTGTAGCGCCAAATTTCTTGGCTGTACTTGCGGCTAGTAATCCAACTGGTCCAGCTCCAAATACAACAACAATATCACCAAATTTAACTGATCCAATTTTACAAGCATGAACACCAACGGAAAGTGGTTCTACCAATGCACCCAATTCAAGAGATAAATGATCAGGTAATTTCACCAAAAAATCTTCAGGGCTTTTAAAATATTTACATAATGTTCCTGGAGCACTTGGACCATTAATATCTAAATTTGGAGTTGCAGCAAATACCATATGAGGACATAAATTATAATGTCCACTTTTGTAAGCATCACTAAATCTGGAAGGAACACCTGGCTCAATGGCTACTTTGTCACCTACTTTTAATGATTTAACTTCATTGCCAACCTCAACTACTACGCCGGATGATTCATGCCCCAAAACCATAGGTTTATTTAATCTAAAATATCCAAAACCTCCATGAGCATAAAAATGTATATCAGAACCACAAATACCAGTTTTTTTAACTTGAACAATTACATCATTAGGATTGGTGATTGTGGGAGTTTCAAGAAATTGAAATGATATATCATCAATTTTATTTAATACTAAAGATTCGTTCGTATTCATTTTCAATCTTTTTGATGTAAAATATGAAATATTACTTGTATGTCTTCTAATTGATGACAAGATCTACTCTATTTAAATAGCAGTTTTCAATAGACTTACATTCTGCCGGTAATTTACCGAGAATTGAATGTACAAGAAATATTTATGTGTATATTTGAGGTGGTGGAAGTATGATTAAAAAGCAAAATTCCCCCGAATTTTTCCACTTTTTCCACCGTTTATTTTTTTGGTGGAGAAAAAGCTTAATTTTTAGGTAAATTATCTGGGGCACTTTGTACATAATTTCATTCTGGGCAGAAACAAATTATACTTCTGTTAGACATTCAATCTCTAGAGCTTGTTTATTACGACTATACTAGAACTATATAGAAGTGTAACCACCGTCTACGGCAATGTCAGTGCCAGTAACATAAGAAGCAGCATCTGAAGCCAAATATAAATAGGCACCGGCAATTTCGTAGGGTAAAGCTTCTCTACCTGCTGGCACAAGAGACCACATCTTACCACGGGACTCCCTTGGTAAATGATCATTAAGACCAGTGTCACAATAACCTGGAGAAACAGAATTTGCCCTAGCGAAGCCCGCCCATTCGATTGCTAAAGATTTCGCAAGATGCTTGACAGCCGCCTTACTAACATTATAAGGAGTCAAGTTCATTGGCACATTTGCAATCGAGGCTGACATCGAAGAAGTTACGATAAAAGAACCTTTACCATTTTTCTTAAAGATTCTGCCAACAGCTTGGGCACAATAGTAAACACCGTTCAAATTGACATCCATAAGACTTTGCCAAGTCTTTCCATCCCTGTTAACTTCATCAATAATATTTCCAGTCTTCCAAACAATGCCAGCATTAGCAACAAGAATATCGATGGTGCCAAATTCCTGTTCTACATCCAGAATTGTTTGTTCGACTTCTTTCAAATTAGAAACATTGCATTGGAATGACTTAGTTGCCACATTAAGCTTAACTCCTAACATTAAAGCTTGCTTTGAACAATCAACATAATCCACAAGAATGACAGTAGCACCTGCTTCAGCGAATGTTTCAGCAATAGCAAAACCAATTCCTCTTGCAGCACCAGTAATCACTGCTACTTTACCTCTTAATGAGAGCAAATCCATTATATGTCTTTTAGGAGGTGATTCTCTTGGAAGCTCATCTGTAAATTCATTTGAGATATATGACACAACCGGAAGGTCTCCTTCTCTCTTATCAGGGAGTGTCATACTTTGGATATTTTACAACGATATCAATAATTCTAAGGATTTTTGGTTTAATAATTCACCTCTAAACGAATCCCACAATATATAACTATCTTATGTTCGAATATGATCAATCAAAGTATTAAAACTTTTAACGTAAACAATTAATGGAATGACCCATTCAGCTTGTTAGGATGGATACTGCATAAATACTAAGTTTGACACTTCAGTGGAGAAAATTCGGCATTTCAGTGGAGACATGCATTATGGTGGAGGAAATACTATTTTCCCGATAGCTTTACGTCAATATAGTATAGCTTTCAAGTGGCTTTCAAGGGTATGTAAACTAAATTTTGAGTGGTGGGGGTGGAGGTGGAGGTAGTGGAGGTGGAGAACCCTTCCTTTTTGTGTTGTATCCTTCCCCACAATTTTGAGTTCGTGCAGGACCAAGCCAAAATTGAACAATATTTTGATGCTTTTCATTATCGTCATAGTCGAGTTAAGGAAATGATTGTACGCAAAACAAAGCTTATTCATATGCCATGTAGTAGTAAACATGAAAAAGAACAGGGCTCTGACTTGTCAAATGTGGGGTATATCCCTTGAAAGATTATATAATTGAAAATATTATAATAATAACATTGCGACTACTCTATTAAGAGAATAAGATTATGCATACTTGGAGTGCAGTATTTATAATTGAGTTATATTCTTGCTTTTTTCACATTATTAATTAAAATTAGATTATCAATTTACTTTATGCTTTCTAGAAAAGATAAATAAAATAAAAACAAAAATATGTCTAGTATTTCATCTGAAAAATCACCAAAGAAGCTTCATGATTCGACCAATGTTGATGTTCACATTGAAGATCATGCTGTCGAAAATGAAGACAGCACTGTCTATACGTATTTAGGTTTTAAGGGTCAAACTTTGCATCACATGATTTCATTTCTAGCAGGGATGGGGTTTTTACTTTTTGGTTACGATCAAGGTGTCATGGGTTCATTGTTGACATTACCAGAATTTAGAAATACCTTTACTTCTATTGATACTACAAAATATCCAGATCGAGCCACTTTTCAAGGTTTTGTAATTGCTATTTATGAAATTGGTTGTTTGGCTGGTGCTCTTTCTACGATGTACTGTGGTGATAAACTTGGGAGAAGAAAAACTATCTTGATTGGATGTTGTATAATGATAATTGGTGCTGCAGTGCAATCTTCTTCTTACTCTGTTGGTCAGTTAATAGCTGGTAGAATTATTACAGGAATTGGTAATGGTATGAATACTTCTACTGTCCCAATGTGGCAGTCAGAATGTGCCAAACCAGAGAAGAGAGGTAAATTGGTAATGGTTCAAGGTGCATTAATCACCGGTGGTATATGTATTTCGTATTGGGTTGACTTTGGATTCTACTTTATTGGTACAAGTTCTGTATCGTGGAGATTTCCAATCGCATTTCAAATAATTTTCCCAGTATTCATCTTACCATTCATCATGTACTTACCAGAATCTCCTAGATGGTTATTAAAAGCAGGCGAATTCCAAGAAGCAGCCAAGGTATTCTCGGCTCTTAACGCCATCCCAGTGAATGACCCTGTAATTGTTTACGATGTTAATGAAATTGCAGAATCGTTGGAGAAAGAAAGACATGATGGTGAAGAGAAGTCTAAATTGCTACTTTTATTTGTTCAAGGTGAGACTAAGAATTTCCACAGAACTTGTTTGGCAGTTTGGTCTCAAATTATGCAACAAATCACAGGTATTAATTTAATAACATACTACGCTGGAACTATATTCGAAAATTATATTGGTTTAAGTCCTTTAAACTCGAGAATATTAGCTGCATGTAATGGAACTGAGTATTTCTTAGTTTCTTGGATCGCCTTCTATACCATTGAAAGAATTGGTAGAAGAAAATTAATGTTGTTTGGTGCTGCTGGTCAAGCTATGTCTATGGCAGTCTTGACAGGTGCTACTTGGGCTGCTAGTCCAAAGCATAATAATAGTAGTGGTGCAGCTGTTGTTGCTGCCGTATTCTTATTCGTCTTCAACACTTTCTTTGCTATTGGATGGTTAGGTATGACCTGGTTATATCCAGCTGAAATTACGCCATTGAATATTAGAGCTCCTTCTAATGGGTTGAGTACTGCAGCAAATTGGTCTTTTAATTTTATGGTCGTTATGATTACGCCTATCGCTTTCGAAAATATTGATTCTTATACCTACACTATTTTCGCGGTTATCAACCTTTTAATGGTTCCAGCTGTTTATTTCTTCTATCCAGAAACTTCTGGTAGATCATTAGAAGAGATGGATAAAATTTTTGAATTATCCAACCCTTACACTCCTTGGGATGTTGTCAAAATTGCTCGAGAGTTACCTTTCGAAAGTCAAACTAGGGATACTGATATTGAGAAAGTTAAGGTTCAACATATTGAATAAATGCTTTTATATTGTATATCGTTTGTTTTAATAATATCTTTATGATTAATAATAACTTGTTTTCATATTGTATGTTTTTATTCTGTTTACGCAGATTAGGTATTTTAACTTACCTTAATGTAAGCCATTATCTAGTTATAGGAATCCTGTAGTGCCAATAAATATTAAGATTATACTGCTTGCTAATTTTCCACATCACTTTTTAATAGAAAAGAAGTTAATATTGATGACATATATTGATAAAATGTTTACAAAGCTAATGCACTAAGAATTTCATATATACCATAAGCTCCAGGATCTGGTGGAAAAACAATCTGATCATCTAAACCACCAACATAGGTAGCACGCCCAAGTTTTGGTCTCAAATTTCTTGTCCCTTCTGCGGCATTGTATGCAACTTGAATGGCTTTGTCAATGTCTTGAGTTTCATGAAAACAATTGACAAATGGAATCAAAACATCCATGACAGTCCTGTGACCGTCTCTTGCTTTGGTATAACCATATAAGGTTTTAAGACCAAATGGCAAAGATGTAGCAAACAATTGACTGATATTTTGATTGGGATCTTCTCTTAAAAGTTCTTCAACTTTGTTAATAACAGATTTCATAAATATGAAGATAATTGCACCTAAGGTACCTCCCATATCATCTTTAATAACATTTAATACAATATGTAATACTTCTAGAATGGATCCTGAGGCTGCTATTCTATCTTCATCCAACTTTTGCAATATTAATTCAGCACCTGTCCTTAAACCATAACCACAATCACCATCTCCCATCTTAGTGTCCCAGTCAGTTAAATCTGGTTCTTTCTCAATAACTCTTTGTGCCGCAGTTCGAACAATGTTTTCTAATACTTTGGGATCAATTTTTAAATCTATAGGACCTTCTATAATAGCATTAGGAACTTCATCATCATATCCAACAAAGTCTGTGATTATTCTGTCATTTTTAATGGAATTTTTGCTTCTAAAAGCTGTGTTTGGCCAACATATCGCATTGGTGTGTTCATCCAAGAAGTCAAATATTTTATCTGTGGTAAAGGTTTTAGTAGTAGCTGTACTAGCATTAAAAAGAGTAATAGTAAATATTTGAGCATTAAATGATCCAACAAAGTTACCTGTATAAATTCTAGCCGGAACAATGTTATATTTTTCTTTTAGTGTTTCTAAAGTAGTGTACAAGATATTCTTCTCTTCAATAATTGGGACCCCACCAAGGTTATTAATTAATAATACAAGTTTATCTCCTTTAGAATATTTGAAGAAACCTCGACCTTCATCCTCTTTATTGAAAATCATATCTAATAAGGTGGAAACTAATTCTTCATTTCTAGGAATATAATCTAACTTCTGGACACCGGGCTCATTGTGAATACCTAACCCGATTTCTAATTGAGTCTTTCCTAATTTTCCAAAATCTGAATCCATACTATGACCAGAAATATGAACATGATCTAAACCAGCATTAACAGATGCAGTAGAATCATTGACTCTTTGACCAAATTCAAAAATCTCATCGATATTGTATCCACTTTGAGAAGCAGCTCCCATTAATTTTGATACAATGGCGATTCCAGCTAGAGTACGTCTGCCGACTAATGAATTTGCATCCTGTTTAACGGCTACATCATCGGTAACTCTAATAAGACGAATCTTTTCACTCCCATACCTAGCAATTAAATCTTGAGCAGCCATTCCAAAGTAAAGATTATCCCCGGTGTAATTTGTAATAATGAAGATACAACCTGCCCACTTCACTGACTCACCAAGCTCGTGGCAAACTTTTTCAGCGGCTTTGACATTCTTATAATTTGGAGAAGCAAAAATATCACCTTGAGCAACAGCTGAAAGCATTCCCGAGCCTACCAAACCATAAAATCCAGGTTCATGACCTGATCCTCCTCCACTAATTAATGCGACTTTCGAACGATCAAATTGATTATTATAAATAACTTTTTCCTTCTCTAACAATGACATAAATTCATATTCGTAAGTAATGGCTCTTAAACAGTTAGTGACGAGTTTCCCAGGATCTAATGGTAAGAAGTGCTTATTTGACATTTCTGGACCCAAATTACTGAACAAATTTTTTAATATAAAAAGTCTCAAGATAGCATTGGTAGTATAAGTATAATTGAATAATTTATTACAGTATTTATCCCCAACAAGTTTTCATCTGGGGTAAATGTATAAATCAATCCTCCACCCCAAATTTTGCAATTATTTTTTTAATAAGAATCTTTCTCCACCCTCCACCCTCCACCCATATTTTGTCTGTGCCTTTTCTTAAGTATTTTCGGTGGTGGAGAAAACATTAGTAAACAAAACTATTGGAGGAGTCGGAGGAATTATTATTGTAGTTTACTCCACATTCTGTGGTAAATTCTAGGTAGGAATTGATCTTGAATGATTTACTTTAGTGTACTTTAAGAATAGTAAATATATCAAATTATTTAAGTGTTCTAGTTCTCCATAATGACTTTTTGATGATTTTATATCGGTCATTACCCGTTTGATATATACATGAGTGTTGCAAAATTAAGAATTGTAGTGGGTTCTGACCAAGCAGGTTATGAATACAAGGAACTAATCAAAAAGGATCTTGAATCTAATTCTGATATTGAGATAGTTTTTGATGTTGGGGTTGATTCTAACGCTAATAAAACTGCTTATCCTTTAATAGGTATTAATGCTGCTGAGAAAGTAGCTAACGGTGAGGCTGATCGTGCCATTTTAATATGTGGTACTGGTTTAGGTGTTGCTATTTCTGCTAACAAAGTTAAGGGTATAAGAGCAGTTACAGCTCATGATTCATTCAGTGTTGAAAGAAGTATCCTAAGTAACAATTGTCAAGTTTTATGTATGGGGCAAAGAGTAATTGGATTGGAACTTGCTAGAAGACTAGTTAAAGAGTGGCTAACCTATGTGTTTGATCAAACTAGTGCTTCTGCTGAAAAAGTTAACGAAATTGAAAAATATGAAGGATGTGTATGATAAAGAGGTGCAATATTTAAAGATTTTATAATAATTTAAAAGTTTAAATAACGGTCTATAAATAAATATATGCATAAAGATAGAAAATAATGAAACAATTATAATTTATCGTAGGTTATGATAACATGTTCCAATTGTTGAACCAAATCTATGGAATAAACCCATTTACAATTTCTCAAGAGATGTAAAACGTAACAAACTACCCCAATTGTATTCATTTGCCGTTCTTTATATTCTTCATAAGAGTTTCCACCAATAAACTCATGATTATTTTCAGCCTCTAGGTATTCATCATTCAAATTATTTTTGATATCTAAAATTGTTGAAAAATATTCCCATGCATCACTTTTTGATAATCTGTAATTGATATTACCAAGTAAATCGAAATATTTACTTGCATCCAATTTAATTTCATCATGTTTAACTTCTACTCCTGGTCTTGCTTCATTCATTATTTCAAGGTTTGGAGGATCCCTCTTTATTTCATAACACCATATAAGTAATGCGGCAAGATATGCTGTTTGTGGTATATGTGAGAAAGTGTTAATCGTTTCTTCATTTTGGTATACTAATCTTAAAAATTTACAAGCTTCGATTAATGCTAATTCACCGTAAATTGATTTTGCCCATTGTTCAATAATTAATTTGTTTCTTTCATATTCCATTTCTTTAATTCCCTTATATTCTGTTTTAGTAACAAAATGAAAGTTTTTATATTCAGATGCAAATACTGTAACAGAAGGTATATCTGCATAAAGACAAAACAATCCTGTATAATAAAAGCTAATATTTGCCCATGAAGCATTAGTTGGCCCATAATTATTTAATGATAATATTAAATGATTATTTGAAGATCCTTTTTCATTCATTTCTTCCTTTGATTCTACTTGCTTTTCATACAATTTAACATGTAAATCGAAATAACCTTTCCAATTTAAAAATGCCTTTTCTAATTTCTTAAAAAATTCACTTAATCTCCTCTTTGATACAAACCCTAAATCTAAAAGATTTCGACCTCTCATATCCCAACAAATTCTTAAGAGTCCATGTAAAATTATATATCTTGAAAATAATGAATAACAATCCAAAGGATATTCTTTTTGATTTGCTTTATATGTAGTCATCATGGATTTTAAACACCACAAGAATGTTGGCCATTTACTTACCATATTAATTAATGGCTGGGAATTTGAAGTATTGGACCCATTAGGTAAATCGGTTGAATTTCTTGATATTGTAAAAACCGCTGATAAACCTTCAGTCTTTGAAAAAGGAGACAAATTTTCAAAATTAATATTAGTATTAGTAAAATTAGCATTATCATAACAATAGACATTTTCCTTCTTACTTTCTCCATTCATAATATCAGATTCTTCATTCTTATAGCAATAATTGCCAGAAGTATCGATTATTTGTCTAACTCCTAAACCTTTTGGTTGTTTTTGATACTCTTCAAAAAACTTAACTGGATCAGCAGAATTCCAAACCTCATCACTACATGGTAATTCAAATTTAATATCAAATGCAGATAATGATCTTATTTTACTAAATGTTACATGTTGAGTATCACAAATAAATTCAAAAAATACTGCTCTTTTACAACTCTCATAATCAATCCAGTTTTGCCATTGTTCTGTTAATTCAGCTAAACTTGCATTATTTGATGGATTATGAACAACTGGTTCGGTTAAATTATTTAAAAATCCACTAAATTTTAAATACATTATATTTGCACCATGATCAATTTGGGCAATTTTACTTAAATGAGTATCACCAAAATTCTTTGCTGAAAAATTGTGTAAAATTAATGCTTGCATTAACAGTAAAGGTAATTCGGTATTATCTTCAATTACATCATAAATGATTCTTCTAAATCTTTTATTAATTGCAATCGAAGTTTCATATTCAAGTTTATCTAAAGAATGTGCCATACCAATGACGATCATACTTATTAATAAATATATACTCATTGTATTAGGATTGAAAGTTGCTTGATGAATTATTGGGAAAGTTTGAGCAAAATTAAACCAATATAAATCTAAATATTCTTCAAATCTTTGTAATGAAACTTTTGTTAATTGGTTAACCGACGGAAAAATATCGATAATTCTTGATTTTGTTGCTTCAGTCATATTTATCTTATTATTATTAATATTTGTATTGGTACTTTCATTATATAAATTTTGGTACATAATTGACGCTATATCGACGTGATTATTATTTGGGTATATATTTGAATTTGGTGTAGTAAATGATTCCGATCTTAGTTTAGAGTTCACTAATTTATTTCCACTTCCATTATTATTATTTTCCAATGGTGTTATATCACTGAATAACCAGTATAGATTATCTCCTGGTGTGGTATCATTAAATAACCATAATAAATTGTTATCTATAGTTCCGTATGGAGCATCCATCCCACCAGGAATATCGTTTCTATGGTTAGTGCAAGAAGTGGGAGTCTGACTTGAAGCATTTTGAGAATTTAAATGATGATTACTATTTCTTTGTTGTTGTTGATTATCATAAATATTCGACTGTGCATCTTTAATATTCTCTAGTGAATGAGTCATGAACGCATTTGAAGGATTTATTGATGAATTATCATTAACAGATTTTTTTGAAATAGCTGGTAAAATGATTGAAGGTTGAGGAGGAGGAGCTGGTATTTTTTCATCATTAAAACGTCGATTTAAAAAACTTGATATTTCTAATTTTTTATATTTCTTGAGTTGACCCTCTTTATTGAATTGATTAAGTCTAGATGTTTGTAAAAGATTATTACTTATTATAGAAGAACTTGAAGAATTATTAACCATATAGTCAAAGTTTCTTTTTTCTATTCTATGAGGAGGATGCTTAGGCATAATAATATCTCTATTATTTTCAACAAGATTTCCATTAGTATTATCTTTATATCCATTATTTAAGTCATTCCTTGTCTTTTGATGAGATTTCGATCTAAAATGTTTTGTGAGTAAATCACTCCTAGTGAACGATAAATTGCACTGATCGCATTTAAATGGCTTAACTTCTGAATGATTCTTTTCATGACGATATAAATAATCCTTCCTAGTAAAGCTTTTAGAACAACTGGGGCATACAAACAATTGTTGCGTTGTAGGTGGTTTATCACTAGCAGTAATGCCTACAATCGACATGACTATTTTATTTGAAAACACCTATTAAAATATACAAGTTATCTTTAAAGTAAAATGATATTTAAAGAAATATAATTATGAGTGTATAAACTTTTTTTATATTTTTTTTGAATTGGGTTATTCGACTTCTCATTTGTATTAATTAGCGTATTTATTCCCCACATTCAGAATTAATGCGGAGTGTTTTCTATACAGGAAGTTGAATCTAACATTCATGCAAAATTTAAAACTTACAATAAACTAATACGTTTTACCAGAACTGAATTATTATTTGCTTAACTGGAGGAGTTCTTTCAAATTATCTTTCAAATTATGTTCCAAAGTAAGGCGATTAACACTTTCGCATTATCAAAATGCAAAAAATCTTTGATGTGTTAGACTAAAACAGTCAAATTGTAACTGTAGCAGAAATGAATCTACACATCCATGACGAATTCAGTTACATTCGTTGAATTTTATTTCATAAAAAGAAAAAGAATACTTAGTAACTATGAATATTGTACCGTTATTGTCTTTTCATGCCTTTGTCATGCATTTTTGTTAAAAAAAAAATAGGATCGTTGACCTTTAGATATTTATAAATATATTTATTTAATAGGATTCTTTTCCTAATTAATGATCCCTTAATTCCAATACAATATGATTCAATGATAATTCAATAATTTTTATAATTCATAAAATTAGACTTGAGAAAGAAAATTAGCTGTGCTGTTCACAACTCGATCACCGCGCATTTCTCTATAGATCGGGCATTAATGCGACGGCTGAGTTTGCAGTAATAGTCGAAACATCAAGCTTATGATTATATTAATAATGGATTGTGGAGTGTTGGCGAAAAGGCTTTTTTTTGCATTCAAGAGTTTGCGTGGAGTGATAGACCCAGGGTGATACTTTGAATATAAATTTCCCCTATCAATAGCCTTTTTCGTCGATCATTCTTTGTAAAATGAATTTGGTTATGTCGCACAGTCAATTTTGCAGCTCCCTTACTTTATCTAACTACCACCAACTTAAATAGCAAAATGAGTAACCCATTCAGAAACCCATATTCCTCAATTAAAACCTGGTGTATATTTTTTCATATGGCATGTTGCTACCAAAGTCCGTTGTGTTAATAACTTATAATATACGAATAAAGGTAGAATCACTTTAACTTCCGCTTATACCAATTATAGTTCTTCTAGCTTTCAATAGATATATACCACTAAGAGCTTATAGATTCAATTTCAGCGCAGTTGAGCTATATGTAGTTCTTCGTAGTGAAAAAAATCTTAGCTTTTCTTTTCCCCAAAATTTATATAAGCCGCAGATTTGCACATATCATAAATATTGGCGGTTAACGTCATATACTAGCTTATTACCGTTAAACATATCTTCCAACATGGATAAATACTATGATTATAGAATTCTCAATGAGTCCACTAAGTTCGTTGTCCATCGTTTGATCAATGAACCAAATTACAATTACTTTTACGACCCTGCTGAGAAGGAGTTATTTGATCAATCTTGGAAGCATTTGATAGATAACCAAAATACTGATGACTTCTTTCAACACTTGCATAATAATCGATCCAGACTAGTATTATTGGTATTCAATTATCACTTAATAACTCCCGATAATTACTATTTGAGATTTGATAAAGAATACATTTCAAGTAAACAATATAGATCTGATGTTTCTGAAGTAATTAAGGAGGGAATCACAGTGTCAGTTAATATGGCGGAGGAAATACTTAAGGGTACGGAATACATATCCCAAAAAGGTACAATAATCAGCGCTGTCCTGAATTTGTTTAGTCTTTCACTGTTATTTTCTGTGCCGATGCCAGCTTTGTCGTATATGGAGCTGCAAAATCTTGCAGAAGAAAGTCCTAATATTGGAAAACTTATTACTAATAGGTATACAGATAATTTTTTTGACACTCATTTTCAAGTAATTCCCAACCCTATTGAAGAAGTTGAAAGAGGAATAGACAACGAGTCTTTACAACAAAAGTTTATTAATTTCAGAATAGATAAAGATGCTTTACTTCAACAGAATGTTTCTTTAGATCAAAACTTCAAATTGAGGGAGAACTGGGATAGACATCAAGTTTCTAATTATAATGAATTTTATTCCTTACTTCCGGCATTTGTTTTACTGAATCTCAGTCTTATTCAAACTGGGGACCTTTCTTGGTATAACCTATCTTCTACTTTGTGTACCAATGTATTAAGCATATCCAAATCTCATCAAAAGGATATGATTTGTTTTCAAATTGAACCATGTGGAATTGCAAAAGCTTATGAAAATAAATATGATTCAAATAATTTAAAATTCCATGAATTATTCAATCGAATCTTTCATTTATTAGTAAAATGTAATAGTAGAATTGGATTTGCTTTTGATATGGAATCTATGCTAGTTATCCAAATTGACTTGAAAAATCCCAGTCCAACTAGAATCAAGAGCATTGATGGTTCCGTGAAACAATTAAATTTTCATATGAGATGCTTCAAACATTCAGATTCTAAATATAGTATTGCTTCGATCTTCATGATATTGACATCTTTCTATTTCAATAATGTTCAAAAGAAAGATCGTCATTCAATACAAAATCTACTGAATGCTTTACTATCAAATGCCGCCGATAAAGAAGAGAATGACATGTGGGTATTGGATTTCTTCAAGCAAGAAAGAGAATCCAACTTACTGAATTATATTCAAAGTAGTACAGGTAGCTATGTTCATCGAGATTACCCAATGATTATTATTCCACGAGGTACGTTTGAGGTGATAAAAGATATACGTTTTAAATTTCAAACATTGATGCCAACTTGTTTTACAATTATAGGCAACGAAAGGAAGACTGTTTTGAAAAGCGATTTTTGTATTGAGAGCACCAAACGTTCATATAAGGTTGTATATGGAGTTTCAAATGTTCCAATGGTTCTTAAAACTTATAATGTCTCATACATAACTTTGCGGGGATTACTCTCCAGGCGCCTTTTTCTAAAGAAGTATAAGTCTACATTAAATTCATTCCTATTAGAAGTATGCGCTTTCTTGAAGTTACAAGATAGACGTAAGACGGACCTAACCAATTTGTACCAATATGGTTTTATTAATGACTCAAGCCCTAACAGATTAGGATGGTTCTATTTATTGGAAAGGCATATGGAAAAGGAATCCAAGGAGCCTATTATATTGCTTGGAAGTGTCCATAAGCAAAACTTTTATGACAGAGATCTTGTATTACTGAAAGACTTGATTGGTCAATTAAATAGGACGCATTCCAAGTTTTTGACGAAAACAAGCATTAGAGGCAAGAGTTTACTAGCTATATATAGACACCTTCGAAAACCTAAATCTAGTAGATAAGGGAATATTATTAAGTACATATTAGAAAGTTTTTAAGTTATTATTTGTATAGCGATAATACAGAAATATTTTATAGTTTGAAGCTCATTGATCACTTGTTGATATTATAAGAGCTAGTTTGGATTCAAGCTCTATTTGAAACTGAACTCAAACAAGCGGAATATTTCAAAAACAACATGGCTTTTAAGCCAAATGCCCAGCAACCTAACCAGATAGTCCTTTAATTGAATAAAACAAAGAAGATATAAAATGAAATCTGTGAAAAGATTTTACAGAATTGAGTAATGGCTCCTAAAACTTTTGGTTATTAAAGATATACATAATTCTTCAAAAATATCCAAATTTCTTAAACTCGGGCGGGATGGTTCCATAAAACTGCAGGTGTAACATAAAATTTTAGATCCAATAAGAAATTAATGTTTTTTAAATCTAATATAAAATAACATGCCTTGAATGCCCCTGTATATTTTTCAATAAAATGATAAGACTTTTTTGAAGTTTTTATGAATTAATTGAGGTAACGCTTATACTTTTTAATTATTAAATTAAAATATTTAATCGGATAATGATCTCTTAAAATTATTATTTAGCTACACAATTAAATATGTGAATTTAAGCCGACCCATATGTCCGCCGCTAGGGCGTACCTACTTACTCTTTCCCTTCATAACAATAAAGGTATATTGACCTTCGGCCTTCTTGAAAAGAAAGTAGTGTCAGAAAAACGGTGTGGATCAAATAGCAATAAGAACGATATAGAGAGCTTTCAGTTCGTCCCGCTCGAATATTTTTAGCTGCAACACGCTTAGACAAGATCACGTGATGTGGCTGGAAATGGCGAAATTTGCAACTTAACAAAGACATTTGCAATCAGAAAAGTGAGGATCCTCCACAAAAGGTGAGAGCCACCACAATTTGTTAACCATTTTTATAGGTAATTGTGCTGATAAGGCCAATTTCGCAACCTTAAGCAAATGGTATAATTTTTCCTTGAAATTATCAAATCTTTGTTCAAATTTGACAATTACCACTTGTGAGCGGGCATTCTTTTTAATATCATTGGAACGGACCCAGGCGGATCTAATGTAATGAATGTGCAAGATTAGAAGAGGCTTTTTCATTCCCATTTTAAGGATGCAATAAATTTCATTCTCGTCCCACTAGAAAATGAATATATATATATATGTATATATTATATATTTACCAAGATTTCTATAGTCTAAAGTTTCTTGTTTTTAATTTTAATACATTTTAAAGCTCTAGTCTTTGAAGATTTTCTTGGCCATCATAGTTACTTGGTAATAAATATAATAATGCCCGTCACTAAAACAGGAGGTAAAGTCTTGGTCCATCAACCATTGGAAACATCCGACATAGGACTTACTGAGAAGGGTGATAATGAAATTATCACTTTAAAGTCTGTTGATTCTTCCTCCTCAGAATCTTCTTTACTTTCTAAGAATCCTTTCTTAGATCCAAAAGTTGAAGAATATTATCGTCAAGTTTATCAAGACTCTCAATACGAAAGTTATAAGGCTTTCGATCCAACTTTCACTTGGACTGAAGAAGAAGAAAAACAATTGGTTAGAAAATTAAATATTAGAGTAGCTTTGACAGCATGTCTTTTATTTGTTAGTTTACAGGTTGATAGGGGTAACTTAGCTCAAGCTGTTACCGATAATATGCTTCCTGACTTGGGTTTAAATACTAATGATTATAATACTGGGAATACTATCTTTTTGCTTTGTTTTTTATTAGCAGAAGTTCCTTCTCAATTAATATCTAAAAAGCTTGGGCCTGATATTTTTATTCCTATTCAAATTTGTCTTTGGAGTGTAATTGCTACATCCCAAGCCGCTTTACAAGGGAAGGCTTCTTTTTATGCAACAAGAGCTTTGATTGGTGTTTTAGAAGGTGGTTTTATTGCTGATTTGGTTTTATGGTTAAGTTATTTCTTCACAAGCAAAGAATTATCTACTAGATTGTCCTGGTTCTGGACAACTTTATCTCTTGTTACTATTTTTACTTCTATATTAGCATTTGGTATCTTGAGATTAGGTGGAAAGGGAGGTTTAGAAGGTTGGAGATGGTTATTCTTAATTGAGGGTCTTTTCACATTAATCATTGGAATTTTGTCTTTTTATCTAATGGTTCCTTCTGCAGTTCAAACTAAGAATAGATTACATCCTAAAGGCTGGTTCACGGAGAGAGAAGAAAAGATTGTAGTTAATCGTGTATTAAGAGATGATCCAAGTAAAGGAACTATGCATAATCGTCAAGCTTTGAGTTTCAAAATGATATTTAAGAGTTTAATGGATTATGATCTTTGGCCAGTATATGCTATTGGTATCCTTGCTTATATTGGGCAAAACACTTTCACTTCATACTTCGGGCTTTTAAATAAACAATTGGGTTTTAGTACATTTAACACAAATATTTTAACTATTCCAACCAATGTGATTCATATTATTTTCTTATTGTTTATTACATGGTTCTCAGAATTTATGAAGGAAAGATCTTTAGTATGCACTCTTGCTCCACTTTATTCTGCACCATTGATTGCAATCATTAGATGGTGGCCCGGTGCAGGTGTAAAGGTTTGGCCTTCATATGTGTTAAATACATTATTCTTGGGTCAACCTTATATTCATGCAATTTGTGTTTCTTGGGTGTCTCGTAATTCTAATTCAGTTAGAACTAGATCCATTAGTTCGGCTGTTTATAATATGTTTGTTCAAATTGGTAATATCGCTGCTAACAATATTTACAGAAAAGATGATTTACCACTTTATCATCGTGGTAATATGCAATTGTTTGCAATTACTGTGGCCTTGATTCCTGTATTATTCTTAACTAAAGCTTATTATATTTGGAGAAATAATAGTAGAGACAAGATTTGGAATGCTATGACCCCAGAAGAAAGAGAAGATTATATTTCTAATACCACTGATGAAGGTAATAAGAGATTAGATTTCAGGTTCGATCATTAGATTCTATTTTGTTGGTTTTTCAATTAGATAGTCGCATTACATTTGTTCGACTTTATATCTAGACCATATATATCATGGGCTACTTTAGTTTGTTAAATAGTTTAATTTATGTATTCATGAAGATTAAATGCAAATTTTTAAATATACTTTATTGTAATTGAATAATATCAAAATGCAGAATTGCTAGAAGAATAAAACTTTAATACCTAAGTAGGATAATCTACATACGAGACGCTTAGAAGTACGCAAAACATTTAAAAATATAAGTAGAAAATACCTTAACACGGACTATATAAAAAGAATATAAAGGATATAAAGATAATTTTAAAATCATATAGGTCACCAAGTCAATAATAACATAAAATAATACCAAACTTGTGGCTTGGTCTTGTAAGAACTGTTTGCATAATATGACATATTAGAAACAACTGAATGCAAAGGAGCTGTACTAACAACTGATGAGCTTTCTATACCAGACAGTATTAATGTTTCATATGGTGAGTTATGAGTTCCATCATATCTACTATTATCAATCCATTCAAGAGGAACCTCCGAATTATCAGTAGTAACAGTAAGCATTGTCAGAATACAATTAGAAGGCCCCCCAGTGACAAAACTATCTGCCGATACTGTTACAACTGCTTCGTCATCATCGATGGTACTCACATTAGTATTGTTTATACTAAGTGGATCATATAAGAACAATAACGAAGTAGTCGTGAAATCATCTTTTTCATTATCATTGTCATCAAAAATACCAGATCCAGTCTCTTCTAATCCACTGTCATCCGTTTCACTCACAATAACCAACGTAGTAGTGTTACTTACTTCTATTTCATAACGCGTATCAACAACTACATCCAAGTTTGATTCTATGGCTCCATCAACATCAGTCACACTACCAGTACTATGACTTTCAAATACTGGCATTGTCAACAGCAAATTAGCTGTGGTAACAAGATCTGGATTCTTGTCAATGGTGACAACAACAATTCCTGATTCAGTTTCAACAGCTCCTTCTTCGTCTGTGGTACTTACGGTGGTGGTATACGTAGTGAATGGTGGAGGTGGGAACAACGAAGTGGTGGTGCTAACTTCTCCGTTCTCATCGGTGCTGACTACAACAATTCCTGATTCAGTTTCAACAGCTCCTTCTTCGTCTGTGGTACTTACGGTGGTGGTATACGTAGTGAATGGTGGAGGTGGGAACAACGAAGTGGTGGTGCTAACTTCTCCGTCCTCCTCCGTGGTGACTACAACAATTCCTGATTCAGTTTCAACAGCTCCTTCTTCGTCTGTGGTACTTACGGTGGTGGTATACGTAGTGAATGGTGGAGGTGGGAACAACGAAGTGGTGGTGCTAACTTCTCCGTTCTCATCGGTGCTGACTACAACAATTCCTGATTCAGTTTCAACAGCTCCTTCTTCGTCTGTGGTAGTTACGGTGGTGGTATACGTAGTGAATGGTGGAGGTGGGAACAACGAAGTGGTGGTGCTAACTTCTCCGTCCTCGTCCGTGGTGACTACAACAATTCCTGATTCAGTTTCAACAGCTCCTTCTTCGTCTGTGGTACTTACGGTGGTGGTATACGTAGTGAATGGTGGAGGTGGGAACAACGAAGTGGTGGTGCTAACTTCTCCGTTCTCATCGGTGGTGACAACAACAATTCCTGATTCAGTTTCAACAGCTCCTTCTTCGTCTGTGGTACTTACGGTGGTGGTATACGTAGTGAATGGTGGAGGTGGGAACAACGAAGTGGTGGTGCTAACTTCTCCGTTCTCATCGGTGCTGACTACAACAATTCCTGATTCAGTTTCAACAGCTCCTTCTTCGTCTGTGGTACTTACGGTGGTGGTATACGTAGTGAATGGTGGAGGTGGGAACAACGAAGTGGTGGTGCTAACTTCTCCGTTCTCATCGGTGCTGACTACAACAATTCCTGATTCAGTTTCAACAGCTCCTTCTTCGTCTGTGGTACTTACGGTGGTGGTATACGTAGTGAATGGTGGAGGTGGGAACAACGAAGTGGTGGTGCTAACTTCTCCGTTCTCATCGGTGCTGACTACAACAATTCCTGATTCAGTTTCAACAGCTCCTTCTTCGTCTGTGGTACTTACGGTGGTGGTATACGTAGTGAATGGTGGAGGTGGGAACAACGAAGTGGTGGTGCTAACTTCTCCGTCCTCGTCCGTGGTGACTACAACAATTCCTGATTCAGTTTCAACAGCTCCTTCTTCGTCTGTGGTAGTTACGGTGGTGGTATACGTAGTGAATGGTGGAGGTGGGAACAACGAAGTGGTGGTGCTAACTTCTCCGTTCTCATCGGTGGTGACAACAACAATTCCTGATTCAGTTTCAACAGCTCCTTCTTCGTCTGTGGTAGTTACGGTGGTGGTATACGTAGTGAATGGTGGAGGTGGGAACAACGAAGTGGTGGTGCTAACTTCTCCGTTCTCATCGGTGGTGACAACAACAATTCCTGATTCAGTTTCAACAGCTCCTTCTTCGTCTGTGGTACTTACGGTGGTGGTATACGTAGTGAATGGTGGAGGTGGGAACAACGAAGTGGTGGTGCTAACTTCTCCGTTCTCATCGGTGCTGACTACAACAATTCCTGATTCAGTTTCAACAGCTCCTTCTTCGTCTGTGGTACTTACGGTGGTGGTATACGTAGTGAATGGTGGAGGTGGGAACAACGAAGTGGTGGTGCTAACTTCTCCGTTCTCATCGGTGCTGACTACAACAATTCCTGATTCAGTTTCAACAGCTCCTTCTTCGTCTGTGGTACTTACGGTGGTGGTATACGTAGTGAATGGTGGAGGTGGGAACAACGAAGTGGTGGTGCTAACTTCTCCGTCCTCCTCCGTGGTGACTACAACAATTCCTGATTCAGTTTCAACAGCTCCTTCTTCGTCTGTGGTACTTACGGTGGTGGTATACGTAGTGAATGGTGGAGGTGGGAACAACGAAGTGGTGGTGCTAACTTCTCCGTTCTCATCGGTGCTGACTACAACAATTCCTGATTCAGTTTCAACAGCTCCTTCTTCGTCTGTGGTACTTACGGTGGTGGTATACGTAGTGAATGGTGGAGGTGGGAACAACGAAGTGGTGGTGCTAACTTCTCCGTCCTCGTCCGTGGTGACTACAACAATTCCTGATTCAGTTTCAACAGCTCCTTCTTCGTCTGTGGTACTTACGGTGGTGGTATACGTAGTGAATGGTGGAGGTGGGAACAACGAAGTGGTGGTGCTAACTTCTCCGTTCTCATCGGTGCTGACTACAACAATTCCTGATTCAGTTTCAACAGCTCCTTCTTCGTCTGTGGTAGTTACGGTGGTGGTATACGTAGTGAATGGTGGAGGTGGGAACAACGAAGTGGTGGTGCTAACTTCTCCGTCCTCCTCCGTGGTGACTACAACAATTCCTGATTCAGTTTCAACAGCTCCTTCTTCGTCTGTGGTACTTACGGTGGTGGTATACGTAGTGAATGGTGGAGGTGGGAACAACGAAGTGGTGGTGCTAACTTCTCCGTTCTCATCGGTGCTGACTACAACAATTCCTGATTCAGTTTCAACAGCTCCTTCTTCGTCTGTGGTACTTACGGTGGTGGTATACGTAGTGAATGGTGGAGGTGGGAACAACGAAGTGGTGGTGCTAACTTCTCCGTCCTCGTCCGTGGTGACTACAACAATTCCTGATTCAGTTTCAACAGCTCCTTCTTCGTCTGTGGTACTTACGGTGGTGGTATACGTAGTGAATGGTGGAGGTGGGAACAACGAAGTGGTGGTGCTAACTTCTCCGTTCTCATCGGTGCTGACTACAACAATTCCTGATTCAGTTTCAACAGCTCCTTCTTCGTCTGTGGTAGTTACGGTGGTGGTATACGTAGTGAATGGTGGAGGTGGGAACAACGAAGTGGTGGTGCTAACTTCTCCGTCCTCGTCCGTGGTGACTACAACAATTCCTGATTCAGTTTCAACAGCTCCTTCTTCGTCTGTGGTACTTACGGTGGTGGTATACGTAGTGAATGGTGGAGGTGGGAACAACGAAGTGGTGGTGCTAACTTCTCCGTCCTCCTCCGTGGTGACTACAACAATTCCTGATTCAGTTTCAACAGCTCCTTCTTCGTCTGTGGTAGTTACGGTGGTGGTATACGTAGTGAATGGTGGAGGTGGGAACAACGAAGTGGTGGTGCTAACTTCTCCGTTCTCATCGGTGCTGACTACAACAATTCCTGATTCAGTTTCAGCAGCTCCTTCTTCGTCTGTGGTACTTACGGTGGTGGTATACGTAGTGAATGGTGGAGGTGGGAACAACGAAGTGGTGGTGCTAACTTCTCCGTCCTCGTCCGTGGTGACTACAACAATTCCTGATTCAGTTTCAACAGCTCCTTCTTCGTCTGTGGTACTTACGGTGGTGGTATACGTAGTGAATGGTGGAGGTGGGAACAACGAAGTGGTGGTGCTAACTTCTCCGTTCTCATCGGTGCTGACTACAACAATTCCTGATTCAGTTTCAACAGCTCCTTCTTCGTCTGTGGTACTTACGGTGGTGGTATACGTAGTGAATGGTGGAGGTGGGAACAACGAAGTGGTGGTGCTAACTTCTCCGTTCTCATCGGTGCTGACTACAACAATTCCTGATTCAGTTTCAACAGCTCCTTCTTCGTCTGTGGTACTTACGGTGGTGGTATACGTAGTGAATGGTGGAGGTGGGAACAACGAAGTGGTGGTGCTAACTTCTCCGTTCTCATCGGTGCTGACTACAACAATTCCTGATTCAGTTTCAACAGCTCCTTCTTCGTCTGTGGTACTTACGGTGGTGGTATACGTAGTGAATGGTGGAGGTGGGAACAACGAAGTGGTGGTGCTAACTTCTCCGTCCTCCTCCGTGGTGACTACAACAATTCCTGATTCAGTTTCAACAGCTCCTTCTTCGTCTGTGGTACTTACGGTGGTGGTATACGTAGTGAATGGTGGAGGTGGGAACAACGAAGTGGTGGTGCTAACTTCTCCGTTCTCATCGGTGCTGACTACAACAATTCCTGATTCAGTTTCAACAGCTCCTTCTTCGTCTGTGGTACTTACGGTGGTGGTATACGTAGTGAATGGTGGAGGTGGGAACAACGAAGTGGTGGTGCTAACTTCTCCGTCCTCGTCCGTGGTGACTACAACAATTCCTGATTCAGTTTCAACAGCTCCTTCTTCGTCTGTGGTACTTACGGTGGTGGTATACGTAGTGAATGGTGGAGGTGGGAACAACGAAGTGGTGGTGCTAACTTCTCCGTTCTCATCGGTGCTGACTACAACAATTCCTGATTCAGTTTCAACAGCTCCTTCTTCGTCTGTGGTACTTACGGTGGTGGTATACGTAGTGAATGGTGGAGGTGGGAACAACGAAGTGGTGGTGCTAACTTCTCCGTCCTCCTCCGTGGTGACTACAACAATTCCTGATTCAGTTTCAACAGCTCCTTCTTCGTCTGTGGTACTTACGGTGGTGGTATACGTAGTGAATGGTGGAGGTGGGAACAACGAAGTGGTGGTGCTAACTTCTCCGTTCTCATCGGTGCTGACTACAACAATTCCTGATTCAGTTTCAACAGCTCCTTCTTCGTCTGTGGTACTTACGGTGGTGGTATACGTAGTGAATGGTGGAGGTGGGAACAACGAAGTGGTGGTGCTAACTTCTCCGTCCTCGTCCGTGGTGACTACAACAATTCCTGATTCAGTTTCAACAGCTCCTTCTTCGTCTGTGGTACTTACGGTGGTGGTATACGTAGTGAATGGTGGAGGTGGGAACAACGAAGTGGTGGTGCTAACTTCTCCGTCCTCGTCCGTGGTGACTACAACAATTCCTGATTCAGTTTCAACAGCTCCTTCTTCGTCTGTGGTAGTTACGGTGGTGGTATATGTAGTGAATGGTACATTTTCTGTACCTGGTGAGTCGGGCAATGATTCGCAAGGAATGCATTCATCGGGCAAACCAGGGTTTGGTACTGGGCCTGAGTAGGATACAGCACCGAAGACAGTTGGAAAAATGCCTTGTGAATGATCTTCATCTACAGAGAAGAGCTTAGGATCATACCCAGTTCCAATGTGAAAGTACTGCGGTGTTAATCCCCCATTAAGTCTTAAGACACCGTCTTGAGCGTCATAGGAAAATGGTACCAATAAAATAGCAAGTGGAACAGTCAAGCCTATTTTATTCCCATTACCGAATCCTCTTATATTGTAGGAATGCTCGGTCGTTGCATCCACCTGAATACTTGATTTTCTATCTTCTAAATAAAATGTTTGGTCATAAATACCTAACAGAGGATTCGCAAGATATATGGCTGAATCATTGCTGGCAGTGATACATCCTGTACCTTGAATCTTGGTGGTCTGTCTATAAACTTGATTGTATAAGCAAATCTGACCATTGTTTGTAATAGAAGTGAGATCGACTCCAAGAAGTACATTACCCGAAGTTCTCTGGGTTTGATAAAATACCATTAATCCTTCATTATCAAATGATGGACACAAAATGGAGGTGGTAGCGAGCCCGATAGCACCATTACTACCCATATAGAATTTCCCATTATTTGTAAATGAAAGACCACTAATATCATATTCAGATGTCGTTAATGATTTAACTGAATTAAATGAAACTATTCCGTTATTAACAATGGATCCTAGTCCGGAAAGTAGCGTTACCTGTAATCCAATTAAGTCTGAAGTACTACTTATATAAAGGCCACTCCCAGTACCAACGAAAAGCTTTCCTGTGAATATTGAAATAGTATTGTCTATAATGGACCAGTACACACCTGGATGAATATTAATATCACCAATACTAAGATCAATCAGGCCTCTTGTAATTTTACTTTCACTTATCTCTAATGATAACACAAGAGAAATTTGAAGAATAGCAGCAACAATAAATTTTGTTAACATATTTGACTCAAAGAGTATTGCTTATCAAAAACGAATCAGCTTCACCTTCAAACGATTTTGGCTCCACTATATATATTGATTTTGGAATCTAAAATAGCATAAATTCTATGGGTCTTAATTTTGCAACCATCATCTCGTAAGTTCAAATATGTTTAATTCTTGCTTTGTTAATTGCTTCTTTTACTAATGCATCAAGCAAATGCAAAAGTAAAAATCAAACGAAGCGAGACCTAAACTTTGATCGAATAGAACTGAAGTTGTATCGGGAATTTCCCGCAATGTAATCTGAGTCTTAACTTTAAGAATGGTAGAAATATATTATCATTTTAGCACAATTAAACTCGAAATAGGCTTGTGAACGTGTAATATTGTGTTTTTATTATTTTGCCAAATATCTTGATTTCAGTCCCGTAAACCTATTTCTACAAACTTCAAAACAATTTCTAGCTTTGGTTAAAATAAACTCATCAACCGATTAACCTTATAATTATAAGGAATTTCGGGGAACTGTACGACAGAAATAAATATGTCATTATTTTTAAAATATTCCCAACGTTGTTTAATTATAATTTTGATGGTACAATGAAGCTCAATTAAGTTCCTTCGCAGAAAGAAATTAAACTTCTGAAAGTGCTTGTGAAGTGTGCCCTTTAGAAAATTTCTACTGTCCATATGTCCCACTTTCAGTATCATATAAAATCGTTATTTAGATAAAAAGGTCCCTGGATGGTCCATATCTATGGTTATTGCTGTGCATTATTTGCATCCATTTTGAGCGGCTACTGTAGACCCTTCCCATTTGTAATTGTCGTCTGAAAACAGATCAGAGAAAGAGGGTTTAATGTAACGTAGTAATTTCTTTTTATTTTAATTTCTTCTTTTCTTTCTTTTTTTTCTATTTTTACTTTTGGGAACATCGAGAAGCTACAACCTATTACATGTTTTCTGAATAAAGTACTACGACCAATAAGTATTAATTCTATTTTTATGAAACGTATAAAATCAGCAAGAATACCTCCAAAAGTTTACATACAAATTTATCCCAAACTCTAATTATTGTTTTGTCTCGTCAGCATTGTTGTTCTATTGTATTGCTCAATTATAAAATGAACTAATCAGGAAATTGAAACTAGGGTGATCCAATGCCTTATAAATCATTTATACATTGCTTTAACTGGAATAATCTAATCGCACAGATTTTAAGTTATCCCTAAACTTAGAAATCAAGGACCCGATTTTAAACTTCTAAATGATGCATAAAGCAATAAAAGTGACCACCAAATATTTCAAAAAAGAAACCAGTACATCGTTAGAATCATTTACAAATCCATGAATGCCATCACCAGAAGCTACTGAACTATTCCCAGACAGAAAACTTGATTTAAGTCTTGAACTATCTTCGTCAAACACCTCCAAAGTGTTAGCCTCCCCATTATCTGTATTATTTGATGGTACCTCTCCAATTTCCGTTTGCCCATCCATAAACTCCTCCGTAGTAGATAAATCTGTAATACAAATCGATGAGGCCATACTTTTATAACTTGACTCCGTCAGTTCGACAAGTAATGTAATAAAAATCGATTTGCCTGCCACAACCTCACCCACATTTCGAAAACTAGCGAAATCCCCACCGGCCTCTGATTCACCAATATCCGAAGAACTAATCGATACTCCATCCACAGATTCAGACAGGGTTGTCGAGCTTGTGGAATCTCCATCGGCCTCTGATTCACTACTTGCACTGATTTCTGAAGCACGAATTGATACTCCAGCAGCAGATTCAGACAGGGATGTCGAGCTTGTGGAATCTCCATTGACCTCTGATTCACTACTTGCACTGATTTCTGAAGCACGAATTGATACTCCAGCAGCAGATTCAGACAGGGTTGTCGAGCTTGTGGAATCTCCATCAACCTCTGATTCACTAATATCCGAAGAACTAATCGAAGCTCCAGCAACAGATTCAGACAGGGTTGTCGAGCTTGTGGAATCTCCATCGGCCTCTGTTTCACTACTTGCACTGATTTCTGAAGAACTAATCGAAGCTCCAGCAGCAGATTCAGACAGGGATGTCGAGCTTGTGGAATCTCCATCGGCCTCTGTTTCACTACTTGCACTGATTTCTGAAGAACTAATCGATGCTCCAGCAGCAGATTCAGACAGGGTTGTCGAGCTTGTGGAATCTCCATCAACCTCTGATTCACTAATATCCGAAGAACTAATCGATGCTCCAGCAGCAGATTCAGACAGGGATGTCGAGCTTGTGGAATCTCCATCGGCCTCTGTTTCACTACTTGCACTGATTTCTGAAGAACTAATCGAAGCTCCAGCAGCAGATTCAGACAGGGATGTCGAGCTTGTGGAATCTCCATCGGCCTCTGATTCGCTAATATCCGAAGAACTAATCGAAGCTCCAGCAACAGATTCAGACAGTGATGTCGAGCTTGTGGAATCTCCATTGACCTCTGATTCACTACTTGCACTGATTTCTGAAGCACGAATTGATACTCCAGCAGCAGATTCAGACAGGGTTGTCGAGCTTGTGGAATCTCCATCAACCTCTGATTCACTAATATCCGAAGAACTAATCGAAGCTCCAGCAACAGATTCAGACAGGGTTGTCGAGCTTGTGGAATCTCCATCGGCCTCTGTTTCACTACTTGCACTGATTTCTGAAGAACTAATCGATGCTCCAGCAGCAGATTCAGACAGGGATGTCGAGCTTGTGGAATCTCCATCGGCCTCTGTTTCACTACTTGCACTGATTTCTGAAGAACTAATCGATGCTCCAGCAGCAGATTCAGACAGGGTTGTCGAGCTTGTGGAATCTCCATCAACCTCTGATTCACTAATATCCGAAGAACTAATCGAAGCTCCAGCAACAGATTCAGACAGGGATGTCGAGCTTGTGGAATCTCCATCGGCCTCTGTTTCACTACTTGCACTGATTTCTGAAGCACGAATTGATACTCCAGCAGCAGATTCAGACAGGGTTGTCGAGCTTGTGGAATCTCCATCGGCCTCTGTTTCACTACTTGCACTGATTTCTGAAGCACGAATTGATGCTCCAGCAGCAGATTCAGACAGGGTTGTCGAACTTGTGGAATCTCCATCGGCCTCTGATTCACTACTTGCACTGATTTCTGAAGAACTAATCGAAGCTCCAGCAGCAGATTCAGACAGGGTTGTCGAGCTTGTGGAATCTCCATCAACCTCTGATTCACTAATATCCGAAGAACTAATCGAAGCTCCAGCAGCAGATTCAGACAGGGTTGTCGAACTTGTGGAATCTCCATCGGCCTCTGATTCACTACTTGCACTGATTTCTGAAGAACTAATCGAAGCTCCAGCAGCAGATTCAGACAGGGTTGTCGAGCTTGTGGAATCTCCATCAACCTCTGATTCACTAATATCCGAAGAACTAATCGAAGCTCCAGCAACAGATTCAGACAGGGTTGTCGAGCTTGTGGAATCTCCATCGGCCTCTGTTTCACTACTTGCACTGATTTCTGAAGAACTAATCGAAGCTCCAGCAGCAGATTCAGACAGGGATGTCGAGCTTGTGGAATCTCCATCGGCCTCTGATTCACTAATATCCGAAGAACTAATCGAAGCTCCAGCAACAGATTCAGACAGTGATGTCGAGCTTGTGGAATCTCCATCGGCCTCTGTTTCACTACTTGCACTGGTTTCTGAAGCACGAATTGATACTCCAGCAGCAGATTCAGACAGGGTTGTCGAGCTTGTGGAATCTCCATCAACCTCTGATTCACTAATATCCGAAGAACTAATCGAAGCTCCAGCAACAGATTCAGACAGGGTTGTCGAGCTTGTGGAATCTCCATCGGCCTCTGTTTCACTACTTGCACTGATTTCTGAAGCACGAATTGATACTCCAGCAGCAGATTCAGACAGGGTTGTCGAGCTTGTGGAATCTCCATCGGCCTCTGTTTCACTACTTGCACTGATTTCTGAAGCACGAATTGATGCTCCAGCAGCAGATTCAGACAGGGTTGTCGAACTTGTGGAATCTCCATCGGCCTCTGATTCACTACTTGCACTGATTTCTGAAGAACTAATCGAAGCTCCAGCAGCAGATTCAGACAGGGTTGTCGAGCTTGTGGAATCTCCATCAACCTCTGATTCACTAATATCCGAAGAACTAATCGAAGCTCCAGCAACAGATTCAGACAGGGTTGTCGAGCTTGTGGAATCTCCATCGGCCTCTGTTTCACTACTTGCACTGATTTCTGAAGAACTAATCGATGCTCCAGCAGCAGATTCAGACAGGGTTGTCGAGCTTGTGGAATCTCCATCAACCTCTGATTCACTAATATCCGAAGAACTAATCGATGCTCCAGCAGCAGATTCAGACAGGGATGTCGAGCTTGTGGAATCTCCATCGGCCTCTGTTTCACTACTTGCACTGATTTCTGAAGCACGAATTGATACTCCAGCAGCAGATTCAGACAGGGTTGTCGAGCTTGTGGAATCTCCATCAACCTCTGATTCACTACTTGCACTGATTTCTGAAGCACGAATTGATACTCCAGCAGCAGATTCAGACAGGGTTGTCGAGCTTGTGGAATCTCCATCGGCCTCTGATTCACTACTTGCACTGATTTCTGAAGCACGAATTGATACTCCAGCAGCAGATTCAGACAGGGTTGTCGAGCTTGTGGAATCTCCATCAACCTCTGATTCACTAATATCCGAAGAACTAATCGAAGCTCCAGCAACAGATTCAGACAGGGTTGTCGAGCTTGTGGAATCTCCATCGGCCTCTGTTTCACTACTTGCACTGATTTCTGAAGAACTAATCGAAGCTCCAGCAGCAGATTCAGACAGGGATGTCGAGCTTGTGGAATCTCCATCGGCCTCTGATTCACTAATATCCGAAGAACTAATCGAAGCTCCAGCAACAGATTCAGACAGTGATGTCGAGCTTGTGGAATCTCCATCGGCCTCTGTTTCACTACTTGCACTGATTTCTGAAGCACGAATTGATACTCCAGCAGCAGATTCAGACAGGGATGTCGAGCTTGTGGAATCTCCATCAACCTCTGATTCACTAATATCCGAAGAACTAATCGAAGCTCCAGCAACAGATTCAGACAGGGTTGTCGAGCTTGTGGAATCTCCATCGGCCTCTGTTTCACTACTTGCACTGATTTCTGAAGCACGAATTGATACTCCAGCAGCAGATTCAGACAGGGTTGTCGAGCTTGTGGAATCTCCATCGGCCTCTGTTTCACTACTTGCACTGATTTCTGAAGCACGAATCGAAGCTCCAGCAACAGATTCAGACAGTGATGTCGAGCTTGTGGAATCTCCATTGACCTCTGATTCACTACTTGCACTGATTTCTGAAGCACGAATTGATACTCCAGCAGCAGATTCAGACAGGGTTGTCGAGCTTGTGGAATCTCCATCAACCTCTGATTCACTAATATCCGAAGAACTAATCGAAGCTCCAGCAACAGATTCAGACAGGGTTGTCGAGCTTGTGGAATCTCCATCGGCCTCTGTTTCACTACTTGCACTGATTTCTGAAGAACTAATCGAAGCTCCAGCAGCAGATTCAGACAGGGATGTCGAGCTTGTGGAATCTCCATCGGCCTCTGATTCACTAATATCCGAAGAACTAATCGAAGCTCCAGCAACAGATTCAGACAGTGATGTCGAGCTTGTGGAATCTCCATTGACCTCTGATTCACTACTTGCACTGATTTCTGAAGCACGAATTGATACTCCAGCAGCAGATTCAGACAGGGTTGTCGAACTTGTGGAATCTCCATCGGCCTCTGTTTCACTACTTGCACTGATTTCTGAAGAACTAATCGAAGCTCCAGCAGCAGATTCAGACAGGGATGTCGAGCTTGTGGAATCTCCATCGGCCTCTGATTCACTACTTGCACTGATTTCTGAAGAACTAATCGAAGCTCCAGCAGCAGATTCAGACAGGGTTGTCGAGCTTGTGGAATCTCCATCGGCCTCTGTTTCACTACTTGCACTGATTTCTGAAGAACTAATCGAAGCTCCAGCAGCAGATTCAGACAGGGTTGTCGAGCTTATGGAATCTCCATCAACCTCTGATTCACTAATATCCGAAGAACTAATCGATGCTCCAGCAGCAGATTCAGACAGGGATGTCGAGCTTGTGGAATCTTCATTGACCCCTGATTCACTAACATCTGAAGAAGTAATCGATAGTACAGGTATCGATTCAGGAAGGGAAATTGAGTTAAAGGCAGTCAGTGATGAAATAATGTTAGATATTTGTGAGTTCTCTTGAATTCTCGTACTGGATACTAAATTTAGAGATGTCAGAGGGCAGTACTCGGTTAATATTGATGTAGTATTGTACCATTCGCCTTTTGAATTAGTTGTAATTAGAACATTTGCAATTGCTGAACATGTAACACTTGCAATTAATGTGGTTAAGGTGGTATTATATTCAAATGGAACAGTACCTGGAGCCTCTGGCAAATCTTCACATGGAATACATTGAGGTGGTAAACCAGGATTTGGTACAGGTCCAGAATATGAAACTGAACCATGTGTAACCGCAACTAGTCCTGATGAATTATCAGTTACCACAGAGAAAAGGTTAGGATTATACCCAGTGCCAATATTAAATCTTTGCTGCAATACTCCGCCAGCACTAAGTGTCAAAATTCCACTTTGTGCGTTGTAACTAAATGATTTTCCAATAAATGGTATTGCAATAAGTGGAAGAGACAATCCTATTTTATTTCCATTACCAAATCCTCTTACATTGTAAGTAGAAGGTAGTGCAAGTGCTTGTGCCTGTATGCTTGATCCTCTATCTTGTAGATAAAAGGTCTGGCCAGAGCTACTCAATGCTGTATTCGCAAGATATATGGCTGAATTATTGCTGGCGGTGATACATCCTGTACCTTGAATCGTGGTGGTTTGTTGGTAAACTTGATTGTATAAGCAAATCTGACCATTGTTTGTAATAGAACCGAGAGGTGCCCCAAGAAATACGTTACCTGAAGTTCTTTGTGTTTGGTAAAATACCATTAATCCTTCATTATCAAATGATGGACTCGTGATTGACATGGTAGCAGGAGTGAGTCCTATAGCACCATTGCTACCCATATAGAACTTCCCATTATTTGTAAACGAGAGGCCAATAATATTATAGTCAGATGTTGTTAATGATTTAACTGAATTAAATGAAACTATTCCGTTATTAATAACGGATCCAAGACCGGAAAGTAGCGTTACCTGCAATGCAATTAAGTTTGAAGTACTACTTATATAAAGTCCACCTCCAGTTCCAACCTTTAGATTGCCTGAAAATGCCGAAACGGCATTATCTATAATAGACCAGTACACTCCAGGGGATATGGTGATGTCCCCAATATTAAGATCTATTCCCCCCCTCGTAATTTGATCTTTAGTTATCTCTAAAGATAACCCAAAAGATAAAAAAATTAATCCTGCTAAAAGATTTCTAAAGATCATTAATCTATTTTAAACAAGATATTTGGACTCCACATGTTGAACAGTTAAATGATATCTTTAATATTTATAACTTATTTTAATTTGTTATATTGTCAGTAACTAAAAGAGTGACGGCAGTAATCATGTAGTATTTTGCAACCTTTTCTCTTTAACAATAACCATCGGCACAGTCAGAAGAACTGTATCTTTACATGAAAAGAAATTAAACATATCTGAATATATTGTGGATTTCTTGTACAAACATTCCCAAAGTTCGTTTTGTTTCAATTTACTTCAAAATTTTAGTTAAAGGTCACTTGGTTTCTTCCTAGTGAAGACAATTGAATTACTACTCGATTCGAAACTCTTATCGTATTTTATGTTGTAGTGAGGAGTTCAAGAATTTATTATTTAAGAATCACTATGCATATTTGAGAAAACCAAGTTTTTGGGGTCCCCTGTGAGGCAGAAGTTTCTGTTGCAGATAATTATAATCAAGGGTTCTTCTTTCCTCAAAGAAGCAATTTAAAATGCTTAATTCCGAACTGGGTTGCATTTTTTAAAAATATCAAAATTTTTGAGAGATACATTTCTACAGCGTTTTAAGAAACAACAAAACTCTCTCGAAAACTCGTCTACGGAATTGTTCAAAGCTATTACGAAGTCTTAGTTCAGTTGTTTCGTCATATTTGTGAAATTGCGTACTTGGTTCATACTGATAACATTGAAATATTAAGAATATTTTCTAAAATTAGCGAGACAAGATCAAATAATAAAAGGAGGAAAAAAACTATAAATAAATCAGAAAAAGAGCACATGATTGAATCCTAGTCTCCTCCTTTAACATAATCAATATTGACAGATTTAGCCTTCATGCTCAATTTTCAAAGGGATATGATTGCGTTGTAGGTCTTATTTTGATAACCTGTCTTCATATTCACTGAATTGAAAATAAATAGTGAAACCTTCTAATTACAGAAATTCACTACGTTAGAGGACATAATATCCTCATCTCTCAATTACGAATCCAATATTCATTTCTATCTAGCAAGATAGTTATTTAAAAATTAAGCTGTTTCCCTCGTATATATTAATTAAATAACATATTATCAGAGAAATTTTTTCAACTAAATTATTTTGGACTATTAATTTGCAAATTTCTGTTTAAATTAATCCAAATTGTAAAAATATTATTAAAAAGCGTATTGCAACTAGTATAACGCTTTAAAATTTAAGGGCTTGTATAATTGATATTGGCTTAACATTTAGAGATATTAAAGGCAGAAAGAATTATTATTCAAAAACTCAGCTTTAATTTCTATAAGAATAGTTTTTATCTATTAATAGAGATTGACTGTAATTCAGCCTTTTCGAAAAATTATGCAGTTGCTTCAATATGTAGGAACGTTCTCAAATAGGAATAGTTATTGATGCATTTGGAATCGATTCCATCACAAGCAGCAATATCATTTTATTGGAGGTAAACTTTATCTTCCATAATTAATTAATTAATTCTCAGACAAGCATGGAAACTAGAAAGTCATCAGGAGTCGAAATCACACTTTGCCTTAAGAAGTAACTGTTTTAAAAGTATTCATGGCAATTTTTATTTTTAACACGCTGGTCAAATTTTTAAAAATAAAATCAAAATGAGAAAAAGTTTTTCCGAACATAAAATTTTGGTGTCAAATGTAATTATTAAATAAAAGATAGAACAAAGTCAAAAAGGGGTAAATAGCCAGATCAATGAATCTAACATGAAACCGATGCATTAAGATTAACCAGCCTCATGTGGTTAATGTAGTGTTGTCTCTATTAACATACTCTTTTTGAACATATTAAAGGCAATATGTCAACTTTTTTCTCGAATTAGTTGCACTACTTTGCCGGAAATTGTATGATTACAATGAAGTCATATTTTTTTATTTTATAGTTGTTTATAGTGGAAATGCGTTTAATCCGTTTTCGTCCAAGATTGTTTTTCGATTCATAAATGAAGTCATATGCGTTACCAATATTTGGCCATCAACTAGATAATAAACACGCTGGTTCTTCAACCCAAAACTGTTTGCTATTATTGTTGTTATTATTATTATTTTAATTATTATTATTATTGTAAGAAGTTTTAGAGAGGTGCGTGGACGGAATTTTTCAGTACACGTCTCACTCTTTTAGTACCAGCATTCAACAAATGCAGTACAGAGCCAGTTTAGTGCGCCCTGAGATCAATTCGAAGTCAACAAATGTGGGTGTGTTCAGCCCAATTCAACTTAAGCATGAACTAGAAACGTTTTCCTAAATGTGGACTAATCCATGTGTTACTTTACTTATTTACGTGATTATTATTCAATCGAATAATATAACCTAGTCATACACTTCCCTTGTCTACGATTACCATGTGCTAGTATACATATATAGAGATGTTCAGTTAGAGTGACGTATACGCCATTACGAATACGTATGTATTTATTTATTTATATTATTTATTTATTTATTTATTTATTTTTTTTTACTCTTATTTTTATTTTTATTTTTGTTTTTTCTTGTATTTTTTTACATATACTTTTGGTGTCGGTCCTGTACATAACCCCTTCGTTGAAACTCTCACGTTGAACAATTGAACAAATACACAGTACGATTTTACATATAAGTTGGACAAATCCTTTAGATAAATTTTCTGTATTCGTTAAATCTTTTAACAGGTTTTTCTTTTAGGCTTTTTTTTTAGTTTTTGTTCTTTGAGATCAATTGTCTTTCCTAAGTTCAATACATTCCATTCTTTTTTAGATACCCTTAATACAATGAAAGGTTTAATTTTAGTCGGTGGTTACGGTACCCGTTTAAGACCTTTAACTTTAACTTTACCAAAGCCTTTGGTTGAATTTGGTAACAGACCAATGATTTTACATCAAATCGAAGCCTTAGCTGCTGCTGGTGTAACTGATATTGTCTTAGCTGTCAACTATAGACCAGAAGTTATGGTTTCTACTTTAAAGAAATATGAAGAAGAATATGGTGTTTCAATCACTTTTTCAGTTGAAGAAGAACCTTTGGGAACTGCTGGTCCATTAAAATTAGCTGAATCTGTTTTAAAGAAAGATAACTCTCCTTTCTTTGTCTTAAATTCTGATGTCATCTGTGATTATCCATTCCAAGAATTAGCTGATTTCCATAAAGCTCATGGTGGTGCTGGTACCATTGTTGCAACCAAGGTTGATGAACCATCTAAATATGGTGTTATTGTTCATGACAGAGACACTCCAAACTTAATTGATAGATTCGTTGAAAAGCCTGTTGAATTCGTTGGTAACAGAATCAATGCTGGTTTATATATTTTAAACCCATCTGTCATTGATTTAATTGATTTAAAACCAACTTCTATTGAAAAGGAAACTTTCCCAATTTTAGTCGAACAAAGATCTTTATACTCCTTTGATTTAGAAGGTTACTGGATGGATGTTGGACAACCAAAGGATTTCCTTTCTGGTACATGTTTGTATTTAACTTCTTTATCTAAGAAGTCCCCAGAAAAATTATCTCATGAAAAATTCGTTCATGGTGGTAATGTCTTAATTGATCCAACTGCTAAAATTCATCCATCTGCTTTAATTGGTCCAAATGTCACCATTGGTCCAAATGTTGTTGTTGGTGAAGGTGCTAGAATCCAAAGATCTGTTTTATTAGCTAACTCTGAAGTTAAGGATCACGCTTGGGTTAAATCTACCATTGTTGGATGGAACTCAAGAATTGGTAAATGGGCTAGAACTGAAGGTGTTACTGTTTTAGGTGATGACGTTGAAATTAAGAACGAAATTTACGTTAATGGTGCTAAAGTCTTACCTCACAAATCCATTTCTACTAACGTTGAAAAGGAATCAATTATTATGTAAACATATATACTTACTAACTACTATTAATTCATATTATTGGGGAGGGTTTTAAATTTATAACTATTAATGACTTCAATTTTTTTCATTTTTCATAATTCTATTCTTCTAATTAGTTGATCTATTTCATCATTGTTATTTAGTTAAATAAAATTTTCTACCAATGTATTTTATAATCACAACTTTGATGTCAATTTTTATTTTGGATATACTGTTTGACTTTACATAAATATATACAAGAAACATTCAATTATCTAAAGATTGGTGAATCCATCTACACAACTTTTTCTTAATGAATCACTTAAAGGCTTTTTTCCACTTAAGTATTGTAACATTAATGTTCTAGAAATAAGAGGCTCTTCAACCACTCCCATTTCAATAACATTATGTTTTGTGGGATCTTCATAAGAAATACTTAACCTCCCATCTTTCAATACTTCTAAGTATAATAAATGATTTTTAGGAACGGTCCCTCTTCTAGTTTGGAAAACCTGTTTCAATTGTTCTAACCCTGTACCAATTTTTTCTCTCTCTTGTTTAGCTAACGGATGAGCTAGGATCGATTTAGTAATACCATCTTTCAAATGATTGAAATCTGTATTTCTAACAGGACTTAATCTTACCAACAATTGAGCTTTGGATTGAATTACCTGATCAATGATATTAACTGAATCCTTTTCATCAAGTAATGATTTATTCAAATCATCACTTCCAAATCTTTGCAAAATATTTTTGATCTTTGCAATATCGTTTTCGGCCACATACATCCCCACTCCATATACTTTAAATCCGACGAAAGTAACTGATCTAACTCCATGACCCAATAATTTATATGAAGAATGTAAGTGAGAAGCATCGATTCCAGAAATTTTTAAAGGAAAAGGATCTATGGCTGAATCAACATCAACTGATTCTTCTGGTTTCAACACTCCTTCCTTTACTTGATCTAGTTTTATTTGGGTTGAACTGGTCATTGCAGAGCCAATAATCCCACCGGCCAACATCAAACCTACGGCCCAGGGATTCTTCAACATTAATGTTGTAATACTAGTTCTTGATGATGATGAAGCAAACGAACTCCATGATCTTCTACCAACTCTTCCAATTGCTATTCTACTATATGCTGATCTGAACATTGTGTGATGGTTCTCTTCCGGTTATTCGAGCAATATATAATATTCTGCCCAGACTATTTTTCATGATGTCCGCGAAAATAAGCTGCAACTGATCAAAATAATTTGTATGTCTTAATATGTATATTGTTGCTACGAAATCTACAGTTTAATTAATTGAATAATATCACAATATAAAACTTGTTGCATTGTATCTATAAGTTTCTAATTTCTTTACTGACCGAAGACTCACTGGTCAAAGTTAATCCACTGGATAATTGTGCCTTGTAAATAGCTTCCCATTTATCCCATTCTTGCTCAATACTAGAGATACTTGGTTTTAGCCAATTGTTTTGCTCTATAGTGGTTCCTAATTTAGCAATCAATGTACCTAATAAGGAATCACCCGCACCAGTAACATTTTTAATGTCTAAATTCTCATTTTCTTTAGGTATAGGGAAGTATTGTAGAACTGCTCCCATCCTCTTAGAATCGCTAATTTTCGTTCCTCTTGAAGTTAAAGTAAATTTCGGTTTGTATGGTGATGTTGTAGGAATAGATTTATAATCATCTATGGATTCCGAAATACTAAGGAATATTACTCCTCTATCTCCTAATTTAATCAACATATTTTGAACATATGGTAAAATTTGGAAACTTCTTTGTAATGTACCTTGTGCAATCATATCTGCTAATACAGTATATTCTTGCTTTCTAGATATCGCATTTAATTTCTCTCTGAAATCTGAATTTATTCCTAATGAATCAAGTAAGGGAAACCAATTATCAAAATCATCGAAATAATTATTATCGGCAAATGAGGCATGTATAGCCTCAATTTCGTTAGTAGTAGGAGTTATTAGATTAATGACATTATGGGGAAATACTCCGTGACTGATATGGGCAATTCTACCTGCTTTTGCGTATGATGTAGGTTCTATAATTACAGAGACATTTCTACTTTTATCTCTTCTAACCATATGTAAAACTTTGTCTATTATACTTGGTTGTAAATTTGAGTCGAAAACAATAACTTTTGGATTGAGTTTATTTAACTCCTCAATGATATGATTTGAAAAGTCTTGTTCAATAATACTCATATCAGCACAAGCAACAATTAATTCACCAGATTCATTATGAGCAGCATTGTATTGTGCAGTGGCAATGTTATTGTCTTTAATGATTTTAATACTTGACGAATTAATGCCCTTTTGTTTAAGTTCATTTAATATAGTTACACCTGGCAAATCTTGCCCTACAACTGAGATAAATCTAGATGAAATATTAGTATTTGCCGACACATATGTGCAAGCTAAATTAACATTGAATCCAACTCCACCTATTGACCCTCTTATGGATCCAATATTAGAATCTTTCATTCTAACTTGAGGGTTGAGTTTAGAGATAGTGTCGTAAGCTACTGATCCTATAACAGCCACAGCGACTCCCCCCTCTTCTTTAGAATCTACCAATATCTCTTTTGTTGATGAAGCTATAGCATGTTGTGTTACTGGGGGTTGGAATACTTCCTTGGAAGAATTAGAGATCTAATAAATGAGTTAGTAACAAGTATTCTAATGATACGGTGAAAAAAAACTAACATACCCCTCGTTCAATCGATAATAACTCTTTACCAATATTAGTTGCTATTTTAGCATTATTAAGTACGAGCTCTATATTACTTTCGACCGATTTTCCTTTGGTGGCAGTTGATATTCTTTTTAATAAGTATGGAGTCAACTCTTTGCCCAGTATTCCAACTTGATTTGCATCTTGAATTGCTTCCTGTACAAGTCCATTAATGAATGATGAAGACATGGCATATGGTTTTGGAACAGGAACACAAATAACACTTCCTGACTTTAATTGCATTATTTCATTATGATTATGTAAAGTCAATGCGATGTCTTCAAAGGAACTAAACTGATTTGGTGAAGCTACTCCCGATTCTCGAGCATAAAAGCCAGGAATTTCAACTTTACTTCTATTATCATCATTATAAGTTGATACAAATACACCTTGAGTCTCTAAATACTCTATAGTAAGACCAATATCTAATATAGATTTTGGTCCAGAACATACAACTGCTACCGGAGTTCTTCCTAATTCAGTTAAATCAGCAGAGATATCAAATGTACGTTGAGCATCATAATGTACTCCTCCTAAACCACCAGTTGCAAACACTTTGATTCCTGCCATATGAGAAAGAATCATAGTCAGAGCAATTGTAGTTCCACCATATAATTTTCTAGCCATTGTATAACCAATATCTCGACGAGAAACTTTATTTACTATACCCTTTTCTCGAGCTTTCTCAGCTAATTCTGTCAACTGATGTTTCGAAAGTCCGACATTAGGTTTGCCTTCAATAAATCCCACCGTGGCAGGAATTCCACCATTCTTTCTCACGGTTTCTTCCACTTTCAATGCCATTTCTAAGTTGGCTGGGAATGCCATCCCATGAGTAATGATAGTTGATTCCAATGATATTACAGGAGCAGATTTGGTACTCAAAGCATGCTGGATCTCTTCTGATACTACAAGTGGAGATTTACTCCTACTAAACAAAAACCTTCTAACAATTAGTTTACTCATGCTACTTAAAGTTGTTGAAAAATATGGGGTAAAACGCAAACTCCGAGATTAACTATGAAATAATTTTTCACTTGCGACTTAAAAAATCGTAGTGGACCATTCTTCTCTTGACTTGCTTATGTTATCATTTTAACAAACATTATGGATTTAACTTGGAAAGGTGCTTGTAAGAGATTGGATTCCAGTGTTAATAGACTAGATGTGGGACATAATTTCTTGAGTCAGGTACAATTAAAAGATATATATGATAATATTGTTGTTAAATATGATTTACAATTACTGTCACTTGATTGGAATAATTTATCTGAACCAGAATTCTTTATTATTGAAGCTGTCATTTTACATAAACTGTCAGACAGGTTTGAATCTGAAGAGCTAATTGAATTTTTAAAACAATACTTGAGTATCCCTGAAGAGAAGGTATGGAATTGGAATTCAAACTTTGAGAACATCTATATCGTTAAATATTATTATGGTTTACGTATAATACGAGCTTTACTCACAAAAGAGCTGCTTATTTCATCACATTTATGGGAATTATTAGAGCTAATATCATTTCATATTAATTCATACACACCTTGGTCATCAACTATCAATGGTTTGATTGCTGAATCGGCTATGAAATTATTGGTTACGCAGAATTCAAAGGCTATTCAAGCTATTCAAGACTTTATTTCAGAATTCATCAATACTAAATTTAATGACAATCTTTTAGTGATATCAACTAATAAACAACAACAATTGCATGGTGGATTAAACCCCAGATTGGGATTTGGAGGAGTGAAAAGACATTTATTTGAAGAGGATATAAGAAATGCTTGGAAATCATCTTCTAAGGTAAAAGCATTATCAATGGCTTTGTTCATAATTCAATATGCCGAAGAAATGTTATTTGATTCAAATTGGAGACTCTTGATTACATTTATTTTGAATGTATTAGATGATCTGGATGTGTTACTAAAGTATCAAGCAAGTGTAATACTCGATATATTTTTGGAACGTATGAAAGATCATAATAAATTAAATCTAATTGCTAATTCCGGGTTATTGGTGGTTATTCAAGAGGCCACTAAGAAATGCTTGAGTTATTTACCCGAATCTACGCAAGAGGATATTTCTAATAAGTTACTACGTTTATCATATAAGAATTCAAGTATTTTGATTTTATGCACACTGAATCAATCGCTCGAGTTGGTGGAGCTCATTTCAAGCCATATATTGCCATCAATTACACAACTAATGAACAATAACACAACAAAAACCCTCTTATTAGTGTTGGATGAATTGGAGAATATAATACACAATAGCCTAAAGACTGATATTTTGCTTTCACTTTCTAAAGTAGTATATCTGCTCAATAAGATTATAACCAATGGCGATTTGCTATTCTGGGATGATGGTCAAGAAGTGGCGTTGAAAGTATTGAAATGTCAGAATTCCATATTTAATCATTTTATACAACTTTCGGATATTGAAGCTTTTCAATTGGTATCTAACTATAAGTTTGATTTTATTGGAGCCTGGTCGATTCTTTTAAAGCGTTCAAGCTTTTTAGAAGAATATCACAGAGAGCCTATTAATGGGAGAGTGAGGGTAAATTTGAAACAGTTAAATCAAATCACTCAAGGAAGTAATAATCATAGTGATGTAGATAATATTGTTCAAAGTTTGAGTAGTAAAGTTCCTGAAATTGGGAATATGCTACGGATTGTAAATAATTAATGATATAGTAAGTAATTTGTAATATTATTTATGTACAGAATGATAAGGAATGATCATAATATAGAGTATGAGTATATTTAATGTTGTTGACCTTGTAAAGCCTGTACTACTTTGATGTTGGTATCTAAGAATCTATTGAGACAATTAGTAAGACAAGCTTCTTCAGAAGAATCTAAACTTCCATTTGTTATTGGTTTATTGGCATTACATTTCTTAAAACACATATCGGTGAAATTATGTATGGACATTTGAACCTTTGATTTTGATTGTTCTGCTTCAATGAATTGCATTATATCTTTTCTAGAAGATTCATCGAGGTTCTGAAGAGCTGATGCAGATATTGAAGACATCTTTGATAATGGAAAATATAATTCTAGTGGGTTATGTAAGGGAAATTGCAACTAGAGGAGTACATTTTGAATCCATCAAAATTTTTTTTTCTTGTGACCGTTGACTAGACTATTTTCGCGTTAGTTTATTATTGTTGAAATTTACCCCAGTTAACAGAAAATATTAGTATACCAAGCCGTACCATGAGTAAATACAATAGATTTAAAGAATTATATTTATCGGAAAACAATGTTATTGATAAAGATGAGATTAGTATAAATGATCAAACGTACTTGAAAAAGCTTGAGAAGGATATTAGTCTCATAAAGGGATATAAGATACAGGTAAACAATGGTGTTGAAAGTTTGAAGGGTCAAATCATTGAAGAACACAATACAAAAAAGAGAATAATTGCTTTATATCAGACTCTAGGAATCATACCGTATATGCCCGGGAAAGATGAAGTGATACCAATTGCATATACTTCGCAACATTTGAACAATAGAGTTAAGGTTATGGAAAAGGTATTAAGTGATAAGACAACATACATAAATGAAGAGCAAGTCAAAAGGCAATCATCAAATAAGGTGTTATATGAACAAATAATTGACATGATAAACAAAATAAACAATAGAGTAGAGAATAAATTTGATGTGATACAATCAAAGGTGGATGAAATTGATCGTAGTCAAGAATTCAATATAAATGAAGTCAAAGACAATGTTGAAGGAATGAAAAAAGAAGCAGATGAAATCAATAAAGCAATTAATTCTCACTTGAAGAGAATACTTACCAAACAGATTGCTTTAGCAAACATCGAAAATAATGAAACAATGGATCAATTAGAATTGAAAGAACAACTTAAAGAGTCTGTTCAGTTAATAAAGAAGTTAATATCTTCTGAACCTTCTAACTGGGTTGAAGTTAATTCTACTAGCAACATGCTGTTATTAAAAGTATTAACATTAAATAATTTATTAAGTGCAAGGAGTGATTCAACTTCAGACAGATATTTGGTTAAATTGCGAAACTTTAATGTAATTGACCCTAACTGAAATGTTGATTGAAAAGATGCAGATGTCAACATATGCCCTATATATCAAACATCCAAACATACAAAGAGTAATCATAACTCTGTTTTACGGTAAGTACAGTAATTATTTTTAATATATTGATAGAATATTAATGATTAGAGACGAATTCTATAGAATAACCTCAGTAGGTCACTAGAACAAGTAGTGTATCACCTTTATCAGGAATACCCTTGATGTGTGGGCGTTGGCCCTTTTCAAAGTTGAACAGTGAACCGGAACCGGTAAATATGCATAAGTCAAATTATATCAAACCTTATCACCCTGAAATTCCAATTTGTAATTACACTTGTTATTAGTAAAGGGAGAATGTACCAAGAAAAAAATAGCAAAATAGAAAATAGTATATTCTGCAACGATTAATAAACCCTGTATGCATTTGATTATATTACAATTGTAGATTTCGCAATTTGATCAATATTTGCAACAGCGAAAAAGTAGGGATCAACTGTGGACGCAAAAGAAAAATAACTAGTGAGTTGCGCTATCGTTATGCACGGGGTAATTTTTCAGAATCAATCATAAAGGGTTATAGGAGCCACCAATGTGAAACAAAGGTACAATGTCTGTCGCAAGAACCTCCACAGATTGTATTAAAAACTATGAAAGCATTCCTATAGAAACAGTAAGGAAAGGTAGAACAAATTATTTTTAAGTAGTTATATGATAGCAGCGCAAATCAAGCTTTTTAGTAATGATCTAAGCCTACTGTATTCGGCTCGTCAGATTTCTTGACAGCTATCTCTTTTTGACCCATATTCAATCAAGACATTGATAAATGTATAAATCAAGATTATTAGCGAATGAATAAAGGACTAGATATTAGAAATCATTATCACTAGAAAAACAATGGATAACTATTGTTTTCACAGAGAAAAAATATTCCGGCCCTAAATTCATAATTTTTGTTATCGTAGTATGGCTGCTAATGATGCAAAATCTTCAAAATTTTCGGTTTTTAAGTGTGTCAATTGCAGTTTTTCTAATACAGATACAGTTTCTTCAAAAAATCGGAAGGATCCATAATACTATTTAAACTTATGTAAATCCTATTTTTTAACCTATGTAAAAGTATCTATATTCTTATAAGTACAGTAGTCAAAGTCAAAGAAAATGTCATTAACTTGGTCAAAGGATATTAAGAATTATAATGTTTCTATAAGCAACAAAGAAGTAGATGCGGAGTCTTTAAGTTCAGATGAAACACAAGATCATATTTTTCAAGATCCAGTGATTGCTGAGTACTATAGAGAGTTATATGAAAGTACTAAATATGAATGTAGAACGCACTTTGATCCTGAATTCACTTGGACACTGAATGAAGAAAAGAAAGTCGTTAGAAAAACCGACTGGTATGTTACGATTTGGGCACTTCTTATGTTTACTGCTTTAGATTTTGATAGGAGTAATTTGGCACAAGCCTTGTCGGATAATTTCTTGGAAGATTTAAAAATAACAACCAATGATATGAATTTGGGAAGTACAATTAATTTAATTTGCTTTTTAAGTGCCGAATTGCCATCTCAATTGGTTTCCAAATGGATTGGAGCAGATGTTTGGATTCCAACTCAGATGGTTTTATGGAGTGTTGTGTCTATTTCTCAAGCAGCTATAAAGACTAGACTGGGATTTTTTGTAACTAGAGCTCTTTTAGGAGCTCTTCAAGGTGGATTTATATGTGATGTATGTTTATGGATGAGTTACTTCTATACTTCTAAAGAATTACCAAGTAGAATATCCATTTTCTATATCGCAAATCCAATGACTACAGTTTGGTCCAGTTTGTTGGCATTTGCTTTATTGAAAGTTACAACTAAAGCAATCCCCGAGGGTTGGAGATGGTTGTTTATTATAGAAGGTGCTTTCACTTTAATAGTTGGTGTATTTTCTTATTTTAAAATGCCTGCTTCTCCAGTTCAAACAAAAGCTTGGTATAGACGGAAAGGTTGGTATACTGATCGTGAAGAAAAGATTGTTGTTAACAGAGTATTGAGAGATGATCCCGAAAAGGGTTCTATGCATAATAGACAACCTGTTGGACCAAAAGAATTAGTTAAGGCTGTATTTGATGTTAATTTATTACCTATCTATATTGTTCGTATTCTTGGAGATATTGGTACTTCTCCAGTTTCAGGATATCTTCAGATTGTCTTAAGGGGAATGGGATTGAGTACTTTCAAGACTAATGCATTTACTATTCCATATAACATTATTTCAGTCTTTACATTATTACTTATTGCTTGGGTTTCTGAAAAATTAAATAGTCGAGCTTTAGTTATTGCAACCACTCCAATTTGGGCTTTAGCAGGTTTATTTCCCTTACGATTTTGGAAAAATGCTCAGAAAGATATTTATGGTACCTTTGCATTATTGACGGTATTATTAGGACATGCTCCTGTGTCAGCTCTTACTATTTCCTGGTGTTCTTCTAATTCTAATTCTGTTAGAAGTAGAGCTGTTTCTGCTGCTGTTGTTAATATCTTTTCTCAAACTGCATCTATTATAAGTTCCAATATTTATCGTATGGATGATGCTCCCTTATACCACCGTGGTAATGAAGTTCTTATTGGAATTGCGTTTGGTGCTGTGTTTGCCTGTGTATTTACAAGACAATATTATATTTGGGTCAACAAGAAGAGAGATGAAAAATGGAATGCATTTACCCAAGAAGAGAAAGAGTATTATATCAATAATACCACTGATGAAGGTAATAAGCGTTTAGATTTTAGATTCACATATTAGAGACTAAGTTATGGTTTATAAGTTTTTCATATTGTTAATGAAATGTTACTTAATTATGTTCACTCCTTTAGTAATTATAATTTGTAGATGCAAGTGAATATATTATTTAAATACCTTTAAAATAGTCTATAACCTCTTTTCCACCAAATAATTTTCCAAATGAAAATTACCAAAACCATACTTAATAACAAACTAATTCCTGTCAAAATAAAATAACTTGATAAATCACTACTTTGATCCATCTTTCTACCATAAGCTAAAGAATAACTTACTGAACCTATGGCAGGAGCAATCATGCAGGCACCCCAAGTTGAGCCCATGATATCTATCCCCCAAATAGATGCTACAATAGTTGGATATAATGTAAACATTCCACCATATGATGCTCCATTCAACATAGAAACATAATGATAAAGGTCACCATCTCCATTTAAATAGTTGTTTCCAATTTGGCCGATAGATCCCACAAGTAAAAGGATAGCTAATAACCAAACTCTATTAAGAGGATATTTTCTTGAAGGAGATGATAAATAATCGGACAAACCACCAACAAGCAATCTAGATACCGTTGAAGAAGCAGCCATAACACTTAATTGATTGGCTAAATCTGTATCGGAAGTGATGACCTTCAATATAGAGCCTAAGTTATTTTGGTAACTTTCCATAGGACCAATACTTAAAACTAAAGTAACTAAAAGTAACCAAGAAGATTTATCTTTAAGGAATAAGACAAATCTTTCATGATGATTGGGTGGCTCGATTAATGACCTTTGGGTTGATAATTCCAAAATACCTTCTTCATCAACTTCATCTTCGTCATTTTCTTCAGATCCAGCTAAGGAAGAGCAACTGGATTCTATTAATAATGCCTCCTCTTCAGGAGTAAATATAATTTCTTGTTCAACCATAACAAGCGATCCAGCTACAAAATTTAATATACCCATTAGTAAGTATAATATTCCAAAGAAATTGAATACATTATATAAATCCAAATTCTTTCCGTTAGGATCTTGTTTAAAGAAAGGTAAACGAAGTAACTGAGATCCTATCAATGAAGATAACCCGTAACAACTCACAGGGAATGATATAGCTAATCCTCGTTGATTTGGGTAAATTTTAGCACAAGTTAACAAACTCGAGAAATAAAGAGCTGAAGTTGCCAAACCAATAAAACAAAAGGTGAATGCAAAACCATAGACATGAAAATCAGTAATATCATTATATTGTAAATCTTTAACCATTATACTATTAATAAAATAACTTGGACAAAAAAACCATACAGCAATTAAAGATAATAAAGGTGGACCATAAGCATCAGCTAAATACCCTAATATTGGTAAACATAGATACATACCAATAGCTGATAATGATGCAATAAAATTTATTTGTAAATAGGATAAGCCAAGTACTTCATGTAAAGAAGTTGAAAACAAAGAGAATAGTAAAATTGAACCTGATGATAAACATGCTATTAATGCTATTAAGAATGCTAACCTCTTTAAATTCGATACTGAAAAATGATGAGAAAGGTAATGCCTTATCTTATGTGATATACGATGCAAAAAAGTCTTTTTATGCATATTTGATTCAAATTCTATGATTCTAACTTCAATAAATTACAAAGATATTGACATATATATCCTATTCATCACTCTTATATTGTGTGTAAGTCTCCGACTTTTCAGTCAACCATCGCCAAATTTCCAAAATGCGGGTGAACTAGCAGTCGTGTGAAAATCTAACCGGTACACAAATAGTATGGAGTAAAGAAATTAGCAGGAATTGAATAAAAGTATTAGTTTAAATGAGATTACTATGTATATTTTAAGTAGAGGGATAGAAAACTCTTTAAGAAAGCTCTATTTCTTAAAAGGACTCTATTAACCCCAATATCATACATATGCTAAAAGTCGTTAAATTTTGCAACAATTATACGGGGGAAAAAATGAACGCTATATGATTAGTTCTATATATTTATATGAATTACTTTTCAATATATGAGATGAATTTCTCAACCTCACCTTTGGAACCTAACCAAATACCGCTTTTATCATGAATTCCCTTTGGTAAAATATCTAAAATTCTTTCACCTTTATCATTAATAGCAGAACCACCAGCTTGTTCCATTAATAAAGCCATTGGGAAACATTCATATAAAATTCTTAATTTACCATTTTTGGATTTAGTATCAGCAGGATAAGCAAAAATTCCACCATATAATAAGGTTCTATGGATATCAGCTACCATAGATCCAACATATCTAGCACTATATGGCTTACCTTTCAAGTCATCTTGAGGAGACTTTAAATCGGTAATATACTTCTTGACATATTCTGGCCAGTAATAAGAATTACCTTCATTGACAGAATAAATAGCTCTCTTGTTTGGAATTCTTAAATTTGGTTGAGTTAAAATAAATTCACCCAATTGAGTATCTAAAGTAAAACCGTTAACACCATAACCGGTAGTCAACATCAAATGAGCAGACGCACCATACATAGTATAACCAGCAGCAACCATTTCAGTACCTTTTCTTAACACATCATTGATTGAACCTTTTGAGTCATCCTTTAATCTGTAAATACCGAAAATTGTACCGACTGAGACCCCGGCATCAATATTTGAAGAGCCATCAATCGGATCAGTACAAACAGCATAACGACCACCACCTTCAAAAATAATTAAATCTTCTTGTTCTTCACTAACCAAAACCTTGACATTATTAGAAGATTTCATAGCATTTATAAAAATTTCATCACCAATAACGTCCAATTTCTTTTGAACATCCCCCGTAGAATTAGCAGTACCAGAAATACCAATAAGATTAACTAATTCAGCTCTTCTAATATTATGGGCTATAAATTTGAATGCAAATTGTAAAGAGTTTAATAACAAGGATAATTCACCAGTAGCTCCAGGAGCATACTTTTGTTGTTCTTGTAAAATGAATCTAGTCAAAGTGATAATATCAGTTTCGATGTTCATCTGTTCAGAAACAGATGAACTATGAGGAGCAGACATGATGAATTTAGTGATTTGATTACTTGATAATTACAATATTGATAAGTAGGAAATTTAAAAAATGGAATTGACTATATATCTAAATCCAAATTCGAATACACTCGGAAAAGATCACTCCAACTCAAATTGCTTTTATTAATAGTTGACTGATAATTAGTAAAAAAGCAGACAATATAAGTTATAAGACTTAAAAAAGAAAAAGGTAAAAGAAGAAGAAATATAACAAAATTTTAAAATACTTTTATGAACAGGAAAAGTCACGAAAGTTCGGTAAAAGCAGATGCCAATTGAAGTTATTATGGATAAGTTTCATAGGTATACTTTACCATATTGTACCCCATATTTCGAGTTTAATTTTTCTGTGTTCACTCACTTTAGAAAATCCCGGAGATGACAGGAGCGGGCTTCTCCTGACCCCGCCGGTCAGTGCGGGTCCCGGATACAAGGAATCCTTGAATCATTGATTATTTGATTTGCTACTGTACTATAATGATTGCCTCGCACCCTACTGTAGCTTAAACATAATTGCGGGCTGATTGACTGCATACTGATCGGAATTGTATGTCCATACACCGTTCTAACCTTCATATTCTTTAACTGCATAAAAATCATATACTGTATAAATTCCAATCCAAATCAGTGTTGAGATTGATATATTGATCTGTTAATTTCAAATAGTATATCTAAAGTACTACCATGATTTCTAATAACATTATTACTATTATTATTGTTATTATTATTGGAAGAGGTATTAGTATGAGTAGAATTTCCTGAACCAGTAGAATTGTTAGAATTCGAAGTAGAACTATTAGTAGAAGTAGTATTAATATTTAAATTATTACTATTATTGGGTTTACTAGATGATGATTTCCATGGGCTGGATGCATCAAGTGACTTATATATTTTTATATTCTCACCAGCTTTATCCTTCTTTGCTTCTTGTATATGCAGTTCGTACGATTTACTTAAATACGTTAATATTTCATCAGCATTGAATAGATCTCCTCCAGTTTTAACTTTATTATTATTATTGTGTTTGGATACTGAAGGAGAAGAAGTACCTTGTGTCTGGGTATGTGACTGATTGTGGTTAACATTGCTTCTGGGACTTGGAGTCCTTAAATTCTTATCCAAAGCATGTGATGAACCTGCTGGACTATTTCTACCTACCGACATGATATAGTGATAAAATTATTTAGTTTTACTGATTCAATTGATAGATTTTCTTATTTAAATGAGACTCTTTAGATGGACTAAAAATAACCAGCAAAGTAATTCGCACTCAATATGTAAATTCAGGAAAACAATGGGAAGCCAACATGCAAGATTACATCTAACATGTAAAATTGAGGCCAACGATGATTTTTTCAGAGAACACGTCAACATGGAGGAGAAGGAAGATCAAATTTGGAAGAGTGGAATTTTTTCAACAATTCTAATTGATATATTCTTATTCAATTTAATTGGCATTATAAAGACTACTATTCCTTAGTATAATGAGTGGATTTCGTGTATTGGATTTAGTAGGGCCATTTGCTCCATTTGTTCCTGAAGTTATAGCTCCTGAAAGGAAGGTTTCCTTTCAACAAAGAGTTATGTGGACTGGTATAACACTTTTAATTTTCTTAGTTATGTCAGAAATTCCATTATATGGGATTGTATCCAGTGATTCAAGTGATCCATTATTTTGGTTAAGAATGATGTTAGCATCAAATCGTGGTACTTTAATGGAATTAGGTATTACCCCAGTTGTAAGTGCGGGAATGGTATTTCAATTATTAACTGGTACTAAATTAATTCATGTTGATATGACTAATAAAAATGATAGAGAACAATATCAAACTGCTCAAAAATTATTTGCTATTTTATTATCAATTGGTCAAGCTACTGTTTATGTTTTGACTGGTATGTATGGTCCTCCATCAGCTTTAGGAACTGGTGTTTGTTTATTATTAATCTTACAATTGGTTTTCGCTGGTATAATTGTAATCCTTTTAGATGAATTATTACAAAAGGGTTATGGTTTAGGTAGTGGTATTTCATTATTTACTGCCACCAATGTTTGTGAACAAGTATTTTGGAAAGCTTTTGCTCCAACAACTTCAAATTCTGGTAGAGGTACTGAATTTGATGGTGCAGTTGTTGCTTTATTCCATTTATTAGGTTCTCGTAAAGATAAGAAGAGGGCTTTATTAGAGGCTTTTTATAGAACAAATTCTCCAAACATGATTCAATTAATTGCCACTGTATTTGTATTTTTTGCTGTTGTTTATTTACAAGGCTTCAGAGTTGAATTACCCCTTAAATCAACTAGACAGAGAGGACCTCATGGTGTGTATCCAATTAGATTATTCTATACATCTAATATTCCAATTATGTTACAAAGTGCTTTATCATCCAATATTTTCATTATTTCACAAATGCTTTTTGTTAGATGGCCTAATAATGTATTAGTTAAAGTTTTAGGTAGTTGGGATACTAGACAAGGTGGATCTCAATTATTTGCTGTTGGTGGATTGGCTTATTATATTCAACCACCATTCTCATTTACTGAAGCTTTATTGGATCCAATTAAGACTGTTATCTATATTACTTTTGTTTTAGGTTCTTGTGCACTTTTCTCTACTACTTGGATCGATATTAGTGGTACTTCTCCAAGAGATATTGCTAAACAATTTAAGGAACAAGGTTTAGTCATTGCTGGATTCAGAGATACTTCTGCTTATAGAGAATTAAAGAAGATTATTCCAACTGCTGCAGCTTTTGGTGGTGCAACTATTGGTGCATTATCTGTTGTATGTGACTTAATGGGTACTTTAGGTTCAGGTACTTCTATTTTATTAGCTGTCACTACAATTTATGGTTATTATGAGTTAGCCGTAAAAGAAGGTGGATTCAATAAATCTATTGTTAGTGGATTCTCCGATGGAATTTAATCCATTTAACACCTTTTTATAATTATACTTCTTCATGTTTATATGTAATTAGTTCATTAATGCATTTATTTTACCAGTTAAGTAATAGTGTTCCAAAAGTGCGATTACCCTTTTGGGCGTGCGCAGCGAAGAGGAGAGTACAAAAAAAATTTACCAAGACAGTGATGATATATAGTGAATAAAATATAGTTTTGTATTAGTCAAGATATATAATATATAATATATACACATATACAGTTATGGAACCTAGTATAATAGAGACTTCTGAGACCGAATCATTTTCATCTGATCATAGTAAAAAGGGTAAGACTCAAGAAGAATCGGTGGATACATCACTAGACAGTCTATTTGAACAATTAAGTCAAGAGACAAATGGAATAAGAGATGATGAGACACAAGAAAATCAGCCAGAATTTAAACAAATCCAAGCATCTATAAGGAATTTACCTAAAATAAATAGTGAATTAGAAAAAAAATTAAATCAAGTGTCTAGTTCTAAAACTGATATAGTAAGAATCAATGATCCAATAATAAGTAAGAGTGCCAAAGTTGAAAGCAATGATTCTGGATCAAGATGGTTCAATATGAAACAACCAGAATTAACTCCTGAACTCAAACGAGATTTACAGATAATTAAACAAAGAAGTGCATTAGATCCAAAAAGACATTATAAGAAAGATAAATGGGAAGTTCCCAAGTATTTTCAAATGGGGACAATTATTGAAGGTAATGCTGAATTTTATTCCGCTAGATTATCTAGAAAACAACGTGGTAATACATTAGTTGAAGAAATATTGCATGATGATGATACTAAGAAATATTTTAAGAGAAAGTATTCTGAAATTCAACTGTCTAAGACAAGTGGTAAAAAGGGTCATTATAAAAAGGTTAAGGAAATGAGGAAAAAGTTTTAATATTTCTTAAAATTACAAATTCATTTATGCATTCTTATCTTCTATATTCGTTAATCAGGGGTTATATACCCGTTTTTGGTTTAAGTGTTATCATATATACAATATATAATATATAAAAATATAATACTTGATGACAATTTGGATTCATTCTTCTAAGCCAGCTCTTTTGAATACATCCAGTCTAACCAGTTCCCATAATCGTTTCTTTTCATCCTTAGACAATTTAATCTTCTTATTTTCCCCAGGTTGCTTTAATTCCTTTTTAAGCAAATCCGATTTAAGTTTATATTCGTGAGCTGTAGTAGCAGCCGCAGCTAAATTGATTAAATAATTCCGAACGGCAATCTCTTTAAATTTAAACTTTAAAAATGTTTGTTGTTGATTAATACCTTTAGAGCTATTGATTTGTAATAATCTTGATTGTTTTACTGATATTTCAGCTACCGATTTTTTAAAATTATAATCCAAATTATGCTCTTTATATAAATCCGATGAAAACAAGGTATATATCAACTCTTTATCAGTTATATGAGGTTGAATTAATACTATATGACATAATGATGCAAGATCTCCAATTAATTGTGGTAATGAATTTTGATTGTATTGAAAATCAGGGGATGAAGTTATCATAGGTAATTGAATTAATATTAATTTACATCTCGTGACATTTAAATTCCAATCAATTAAAGATTCGGTAATATTTTGATATTGTAAATCAGATCCTAATGATATTTTATATAATTCAGCATCATCTAAATCATCATAATAAGGCGGAGGAGGTTGTTGTTGCTGTTGTTGTTTCTGAATTTTTTGATCTAAGAAATAATTCTCATGCAATACTATATCATTCACTAATTGTTCAACCGTTGTAGATATAGGTTCCAGATCTTCCGGAATAGTGGCTGTAGAACTGGAATATATGGAAGGAGCAGATCTAACTGATCTTTTACCAGTTATAGCTGAAAATATTGAAGATGACAGTGATCTATACAGTGCTTGATATTTTTGATTATATTGTGAAGGTGCTGATCGTATGGAGCTTGCACTAGTAGAAACTCTTACAGAAGGTGGTAACTGTTGATAAATGGCATTTCTTGCACTATCTTTAAAGTGTGATGGTGCTGACGACGACTGACCATTGGCCCTGAATGGCGTCCCATACATGGTCTCTCAAATAATCAGTAGTAAAATCTAATCGATTGTATACAACTAATGGTGGCTCCCCCTTTTTTATCCAGTTATTCTTTTTTTAAAAATTTTCTTGTCTCCCAGCTTATGTAATCGGATCAACTGTTTTTCCAGACAGAAGGAAAAATTGGTTTCCCAAACGGGCAGGTGGTCGAGAAGCCGAAAAATGTATGGAGCGCTAGCTAAACTATGTAGCTGTAGATAGTACAAGTACAAGTACAAAAGAGGTATATACTAGTGAAATACCAGTCCAATATATAGTTAAATCTTATTGAAGAAGGGGGGGAGTTCATCATGTCGACAATTGAACTCATTACCTCGGAGGACTGGGGATTTAAGCTTGACTCTGAAGAGCAAGGCTTACAAGTATTTGAAGAACCAGTGAATATAGATGATAATGGAAATAAACATTTGAATTTATTATCTATAGCTCATTTAAAGGGGTATATAGCTATTTCTAATGGTTCAATACTTAAAATTGGTCATATATCGGATTTATCATCTCTTAAACTGTTTGGAGATGACGAGTTTCAAATAACTCAAATCTTTTTCAATTGTGATGAGTCTCGTCTTTATTTCATTAACAATGCTTCTATTCAGTATCTATTAACTCAGGAGTATTTCGAACAACAAATCACAAAAGTTTACTCATTTGGTGATGTAGATAATGTTAAATCGATATCACCATCACTTTCCGATCCAGATTCAGTATTAATTTTAACCAATTCAAATGAATTATATTTGAATGATAAGAATGGCAAATTAAGTGATAATGTTTCATCTTACACATGGTCAAAGTCAGGTTCTATGTTTTATATCACTAGTGATTCATATAATATTCATTGTAAGAATTATGAAACTGATATTATTGAGGTTAATTTAGATTTAGAAGCTTATGACGTTATAGATTTACGTTCAGTAGGTACTAACTTCTTAATAACTCTTAATTCAAAAGAAGATGAAGATACTCAAAGTTTTATTATAGATTGTAATGGAAAAGATCCTAGTTCAATTGATGTAGCTCCACCTTTTAATATGATTGAACGTGTTAATCAATATTATAGTGTACCATTAGTCAACTGGATACCTGATACAACTATTATAATAGTAACATCATCTTTAGCGATAGAGATATCTACCATAAAAATATCAGATACTACTACAGATGTTATTGAACCTGAAGAAGATTCTCTGAGAGCACAATTTCCCCTTGATGAAGAATCTGGTGATGATACATCAGCCGTAGGAATAGATATTGATTTTACAGAATTTCAAACTACAGTTAAAGAACCATGGAATGGTATACAAGAAGTCATTGGTAAATTACCTAAACTCTATACATTATTGCATACAGGTCGATTAGTATCATGGTGGATATATGACAAATCCTCAGTAACCAAGGAAGAAGTGGATTTAAAGAGATCACTCGAATATTACGAGAAAGTATCAAATCCTCAACCTAATAAACCTGTAATTTCTAATCCTTTTGGATCAACTAATGCATCATCATTCGCCTCTCCATTTGCCAAGGTCTCAAGTGATAAACCTAAGGATGATACTTTAGATGGAGCTTTCAGCAACTTAGGATTTGGCAAGAGTACTCCAAGTGAATCAAAAGTTTCTCCATTTGGTGCTTCATCTCCATTTGGGGGTTCCGCCTTTGGAAACAAAAAAGATGATAAGCCATCCTCTGCCTTTGGAAGTTCGGGCTTTGCAAATTTATCAACTAAGGCATCATCTGCATTTGGAAGTTCTGCATTTGGAAGTTCTGCTCCAGTTCCAGTTCCAGCTCCAGCTGCAGCTAGTTCCGGGTCTGCATTTGGTTCTTCTGGATTTGGATCATCGGCATTTGGTTCTTCTGGTGGGTTTGGAGCTTCTGGATTTGGAACTAAGTCTGACAATAAAGCATCTCCATTTGGCAGTTCTGGATTTGCCACATCCTCTAAAACTGAAAGCGGGCCTGCTTTCGGACTGCGTCTGAATTCATCACAACCCATTAAGCTGTTTGGCTCTTTAACTTCTCTGAAGGGAGACTCTATATTTGGTTCTGATAGTGCTAAAGAATCTCCATTTGGAAAGTTGTCTCTGTCAGATAAAAGTTCACCATTTGGGTCTTTTGGTAAATCTGATACTAAGGCAACAGAGCCTATCTCACTGCCTTTCGCCAAATTTGGAAACAAGGAGTCTTTACCATCACCATTCACAAGTTTAAAAAAGGATACATCTTTGTCTATTCCAAGCAGTTTAGGTAATACTGTAGAGTCTACTCTCCCGGAGACGTCTCAGGATGAGGAAAGCCCTATTGAAACTGAAGAGCTGGAAGATACTTATTCCGAAAGTGAAGAATTCGAAGAAGACGGTGAAGAGTATGAAGAAGTAGAAGAGGAACAACAACAACAACAACAACAACAACAACAACAACAACAACAACAACAACAACAAATCGAAGAATTGTCAAACCTGGTTGAAGATATCACTTTTGAAAAGAATATTGAGCAACATGAGAAATTTGAAAAGCCAATTACAAAGATAGATTTGTTAAAATTTGATGGTATATTGAAAAAAGGACCATACTCCGATAATTCCATCATGAATAAGATATTAGAAATATATAATGAAACTTGTGGTAATTTGAAAGTACTACAATTGAATGTTCTTGCCTTAGGGGAGATGATTGAATCTCAATCTTCTACTGAGAGTTCTCCTTCCTTGGATAACCCAGAACGTTGGACCTTAAGTTCTAGTAGTACTTTAGAAGATATAATATCAGAAGAGAGTGTCTATGCTAAAGTATTCTTGAAGAAAGTCGGTGAGCAACAGCAAAGTACTAAGTCATTACTTGATAGAGTTCAGAAGGCTCAACAATTAAGAATTCAATTTGATAAACAATTCACTCAATTGGCAGTATTTAAAAGTGATCTTAAATCATCAATATTAAAAAGACGACCTTTAAATTTACAACAAGAAGTATTACAAATCAAGTTAAGAGAAAAATTGGCTAAAATTAAAGCTTTAGAAGCTGAACTTGTATCTAAATTAATGCCATTAAAAGCTCGACTTCATTTAGATGAATCATCTCTAAAGAATTTAGAAAAAGTTATCTTTGAAATCAATAGTAGTTTAACTAGTCATCAAGATACTATAATCAATTTACTTGAGGATTTACAACAGGAACAACTAATAAAAGAACCAGAGTCAAAACCAGACTCTGAGTCTAGTAATTTTATATCTAAATGGTCATTAAGTGAATCACTTAGATCACAAGAAGTTAAAGTTAAACGTATTTATTTGTAGTTAATTATTACATAGACTAACAAAATATATTTTTTCTTTGTCCGTCGCGACCCATCATTTTTAACTTATGGTAGTCCTCATTGAAAAATGTAAACATAGGTAATAAGTAATAAGTAATAAGTATTTTCTTTAAATAGATAAGGGAAACCATGTCAGATTTCTTAGGACAACAGGTTCAAATACCTGGAACTCAAGGGGTGGGGTATTTAAGATACTTTGGACCAATTAAGGGGAAAATTGGTGAGTTTGGTGGGATAGAATTAGTTGGATCAATAGCCAAAACTCGAGGTAAGAATTCAGGATCGGTTGATAATGTTCAATATTTTTATGTTAAGGAACCTATGACTGGATTATTTTTACCTCTTGAACGTTTAATATCAGTAAATCCTCAATTATCTTCATTAAGAAGACGGTCAGATTCTTCATTATCACGAAAACTGCCTTTACAATCTTCAAATGGACAAAATCGTCATAGTCAAATTCGTGATAAACTTACAAGGGAGAATTCTCCAGATTCTATCCGAACTTCATCTCTTCAATCTCTTCAATCTCTTCAATCTCCAATTCAGAATCAGATAATAGAGAAAGAAAGGCTAGAGTCCGAGCTCCAAAATATCAAATCTATGTACACTAAAAGTCAACAAGAAATGATTGAAAAGAATGCCATCTTGAGTAAATTACAATCTATGGTTGATGAGATTGAACCTCTCTTAGAAGAATATGAAAAGGATTTACAAGAGAAGGATAGAAAACTTGCTAAACAGAAAGCTGAATTTGATAAGCAACGAGAAGAGTGGCGATCTACAATCGAATTAATGACAACATCTCAACAAGAAAGTGAGATATTCTATGAGAATAAACTTATTGAATTACAACATCAAAATGAATCTATATCGAATCTGAATAATCATAATCCAACTAATCAAGATATGGTACGAGATTTACAATATAGTTTAACAGAAAAAGAGTTGGCAAACAATCAACTAAAGAAACAAATAGAAAAATTAACAGTAGAAAATGAGCAACTTCACAGAGATGTAACCAAATTAAACAATGAGAATGTCGAACTAAATGAAAAAATATCTCAATTACAAATAACTCAATCAACAAAAAGTATCCTCACTGTTGAAGATACTTTATCGCGACAATTTGGGTCTATCAATGTAACCGATCAGAATATGGATGCGAAAGTAATTGGAAATGGAAATTTACCCCGCGCGACTTATGACACTTCAATCGCCGAGATCCCCATTTACACTCCTAATACCAAACCAGATCCATCATCAGGTCGAAGTAATTGGTGTGGATTATGTGAACGAGAGGGTCATAGCAGTATAGAATGTCCGTTCGAAAATGACAATGAGATGTTTTAGGCTTTATCATCACATGGTAAGAATTAGTTCTTACTTACACTCACATGCATGCCAACAATATGTAGAACAATAACTGTATTTATTTGTAAATATATATTTAATAAATAGGAACGATTGGAACCTATTTGGTAGAATTACTCTTACACTTCATAGCCTAAACTAGAAATATGAATTCTAATCATCGTCATGAGATTAAGCTCCATAATGGTGATAGAGAGTTCACTACCATAAGTAATTTATCAGAAGTAGATGTATTCCAAGGTGCCACCAGGAAGTGGAATAGAGTCATAATTCTTTTACATGGCTTTCCTGATGATGTCTCGTCATTTGATGATATTTGGCCCTATATCACATCAGGGTTCCCCAATGACAAGTTATTGGTGTTATCTCCATATATGAGAGGTTATGAAAAATCAAGTCAAGGTTCCTTCAATGAATATAGCTTAAATCATTTAGCTAGTGATGTGGAAGCATGGATTTTGAATATCAATGCTGGTAAAGTTCCCGTTCATTTAATTGGTCATGATTGGGGAGCATTGGTATCTTATAAAGCTGCTGAATTATATCCTGAATTAATTACTTCAATAGTCACATTGGCTATTCCTTATCTTTCTGTAATTCGGTTATGGGAATATCCCTTATACGTGCCAGTTCAAATATACAATTCTTCTTATATGTTAACTATGCAAATTCCTTATTTATATCGCAGCAGACTAGAACAAACGGGTAACAATACATATTTGGATAATCTTTGGAAATATTGGTCTCCAGGATGGAAGTTTGGACAAAATGAAATTGGACATGTCAAAGCAACCTTTGGAAAAGAAGGAGTGATCGATTCAGCAACAGCATATTATAGATGCTTGGTCAAACCTTTTAATATTCTACAAATTAAGTGGAAAGTTGATTTTCAAAAAGTGCCTACTTTAACTATCGGTGGAGAACAAGATGGGTGTATGTCCAAGGGTCTTTATGAATTAGTTAAATGGAAACTTCAAGGTACTGAAAACTTTGGTACAAAACTACTTCCCCATCTGGGACATTTCTTACAAAGAGAGCAACCTCAGCAAGTAGCTGAATTGGCTCTCTCTTGGTTTGAAAGATTCCCATAAGTAATTATTGTTCTATTTAATGCAAATGTTTTATTGATGCTATTCTATACAAATTATGTACTATCCATTAATCATCCTCCAAATCTTCTTCATCTATGTTGGCCTGACCATTCACTGTAGTATTAACTTCATCTTCTAATTCACTATCATCATTTTCACCATTAGCAAAAGTAATGCTTTCTTCACCTTGTTCATTTCCATAAAACGAATCGTCTGTAAATTTAGAGCCAGTTTCATTTCTTAATTTGGTTTGAGTTCTCAAAAGTTGTAAACGACCTTGTAAAGCAAGAAGATGAGGCATTAATTTCATTCCATTATCTAGACTTTGTTGAAGGTTCTTAACTTTAACAAACATTTCAATCAGTTTAGAGTATGCACCTCCGTAACTTAAGAGTAACCATTTCAACCAAATAGCAAGAGCATCACTTTTTGAAGGATCTGCTGATACTTCATCACTAAGAATGGAAAATAATGACTCCCCGAGAGATGTTTCGTCAGATAATGAAAATTCTTGAATGGTTTCTTTTACGCTTTCTTCATTATTATTGGTATAACATATATCAAGAACACTCTTTTGATCTACTTCCTTTGACATCAACAAATCCCTCAATCTAGAGAATAACTGATTGAAAGGTAAATTTTTCAATTCAGAGCCTGCTGGTGTTATAATATTTTGAGAAGTAGAAATATCAATGCCATTTTCAGACTCTAATTGTAAGTTGATCGGGATATTTTTTGAAGATTTGAGATCCCAATCTATTATGGTAAACTTTGGATTATTAAACTTATACCATACAACATATAATACAGAGTCTTTGATATATAACATCTTTATAGGAATAGTAGAATTAGTTAATTTGATAACAAGCAATGGTTGTTTTTGTTCAAATTCAAAAACCTCTATATTGGATTCATGGATTACAAACAAGAATTCCTTATGCAAAGAATTTCCTGGTATAACTTGAATACTTTCAATTTTTGAATTAGTTGAGATTGTAGTTAATTCTTTAGGCTTTAGTATATCCAATATATGAATATTTTCAGAATTATGATAAAGTACAGCAAATTTATTTGGACTAGTCGATGAAAACTTTACTTCCTTGATTGGGTTTTCTATGGATTCAAACTCAGTAATTACTGGAGACCTGGAATTGGATAAATTAGCCAAGTATACTTTATTCTCGGAAACTAATAAGACTTTCTTTTTATCATTTGGAATAGCAACTATGGATCTTACATCTACAGTCTTTTTAATATTAATAGATCTCAGTAATTGTAAATAGTTTAAAGAATATTCTATGACTTTATGATTTTCTGGATCAAATGCTAATAATGATTTTTCGGTATTATATGATTGTGTTATAGTAGAAATTGAGAAATTTGGTGATATCTTTCCAGTAGGTTGATTGAGATGAGGACTGAATAATAAGATTTTGGAATTATCAAGTAATACAGAAAGTATTGGAAATTCAGACGCATTATCTTTAGTGGGACTTGAATCTACACTTCTCTTCTTTCCCTTAGACTTACCAGTTGCTTCATTACTAGTTTGTTCGATCCATTGAACATCAATAATTTTCTCATCGGCATCTAATTCATATTTGGTTACATAATTATCAGCAATGATTTCTCCATTCTCGACATCCACTTTAATTATTTGAACTTCACTTCTAAGTTTATTGGAGATAATGTTGGCAAACAACTCCCCGGACTTATCAAACACACCTTGAAGTTCACTACCCATACTTAATGACTGTTACTTTACTCTTTTTGCAATTAGGTCTTCTCTACAATAAATAATTTTTGAATAATTTTTTTTTTCTCATTAGACATAATGAGCTCTGCGCACGACCCCCGCAGCTCTTCCCATATTAAAACTGTATGTTAAAACTATATGTTAAACTATATTATATATTGATTACTTAGAGTCTTGAAAGTCAATAAGTTGTTGAACTTGTAGTTTACATAATTCTTTCAAATCCTGTACATCGGCTCGGAGTTCTTCCACTTGCTCTGATTTTTCTCCTATTAATTCTAACATAGTTTGTTCCTTTTGATTTCTATAATCTATATCTTTTTCTAGAGCCTTAATCTTATCATTTAATGTATCAATTTCATCACGAAATTTAAGACTATGTAACATATCTTGTTCAGCTTTATCTTTCAGAATTACTAATGAATTATTTTCTTCTCTTAAAGTATTTAATTCAATTTCTAGACGTCTAATATTTGAACTCATCTTATTTATAAGTTGAATATTATTACCTACACTACCAGTAGGAATTGAAGCAGTTATACTTCCACTGGCTCCTCCAACTCCACCTCCTGTATGACTATTGGTTGTATTAATGGCTTGACTAGGATATCTTGAATTGGTAAAGAAATTATCTTCAGTTATATTATCAAAACTTTCATCTAATGAAGTATCTGAATTATTATGAAAATTAAACTCTTTCGGTATAGCAGGAGTTGCTGAAGATTCTCCGAGTCTAATATCTTGCCAGCTAGGATTATATGGAATATCGGATATACTATGAGAAGAAGTAGTTCGCATGGTTGGAGTTCTATTATCTAGATTAATACTCAATCCATTACCATTAAATCTCTTATTAGATAAAGAAACTTGAGGATCAGATGTAGTTAAAACTTGAACTCTTTCTAAAGATTCAGTTAATGACTTTATCTTTGCTGTTAAGTTGGCTCGATCTGTATTAAACACTTCCTTGAGCTTATCAAATTTATCTTGTAATTCAATTAATTCATTATCTTTCATTTGCATAGAGAATTTGATTTCTTCCTTTTCTTTAATTGCTGATTTGTAACTATCTGTGAATTTATTAATTTCTTCATCCTTATTGGTAATAATACGTCCCATCTTTTGTAATTCTAAAGATAATTTCTGTTTGGATCTTTGCAAGGAATCAACTGATGATGATAAATTATCGACTTTACTTAAAAGATTGGATTCAATCACTTTCCAATTTTCTTGAGAATTTAAAAATTGTTGTTGTAATTGGTGATGCGTTTGTGAGAGTGAAACAAATTCTTCATAGTCAATTGATTTGGAATGAGATTTATCTGATTCATTTAATGCTTGATTTGAGTTATTCTTGGATTTTTCAACTTGTCCATTTCGTGAACTTTCACTTTCAATACGTAACAATTCAATTTTATCTTCGAGTCTTCCTATCTCTTTCAAATTATTACTTTTAATATGGGATATTTCATTTCTGAGATCTTTTATTAAATCATCTTTTGATTCTAATTCAAGATCATGTTGTTTTTTATACATATCGAATTGAATCTTTAACTCATTAAAATCTTTGAGAGATCTTTTCTTTGCTGAGAGCTCTTCTTGATATAATGTTTGTTGTTCTTTATATTTTGATTCCCATGACATACCTAATTCCTTTTCCAAAGCATTTTGAGCTTCTTCTAAAGATTGTGTTACTTTAATATGTTCCTCCATAAGATGTAATGCTGATTTAAATTTATGAATTTTCAAAAAGTCTTCGAGTTCTCCAAGAACTAATGAAGTTTCTTCATTTTTTTCAGAATATGAGAGTAAACTTGATTCTAATTCTGAATTGGTCATCTTTAACTTTTTAATTGTATCATTTAATTTCAATTCTTTCATAGATAAAGCCTCTCCTTCTGCTAATAACTGTTTTATTGTCTCTTCTTTGGCATCAAGCTTGGCTAATAATTCTTGCTTTTCTTTTTCAAAAGTTTGATTACTTTCAGTTCTAATTAGTTTAGGCTTTGCTAGGATTCGAATTCGGGATTCTAGTTCTTCATTCTTAGCCTTAAGTTGATTGAGTTCTTCTTCAAGGCTTTGTGATGCATTGTTGTTGGTATTTTGTTTGATCTCTTCATTATTATTGGCTCTGGGACTCTTGTCTAGTACTACTTCAGGATCATTACTTGTTGATGGAGTTAAAGAAGGAGTAGATAATACAGTTAAATCTTCATGTGAAGTTACGTTTGATTTGATCTTTTTCCCCTTTCCTTTACCTTTTGCTGCTAATGCTAATCTTTCTTGTAATGTTAGACGCTTTTTTCCTGTACTTGTAGGTACTGGTGTTTCGGCTGGTGGTGTTTCAGCAACTGGTGTTTCAAGTGGATCAGGTGTGAGTTCTCGTGATTCTGTCTCAACTAAAGGTTCCTCTAACTTCTGATCAATAGATGATTCAATGGAGAGTCCTGGTTCAGATTGATTTTCATGCTGGGCATCTACTCCATCCAGTGGTTGGTCATTTTTATTAGTAGACTCTATATTGTTTTCGTTTGCTTGTGGTTCTTCGGAGTCCCTTGTAGTATCGTCCTGATCAGGCAGATCGGCCGGTACTGTGTCTGGAATTGATGAGATGGAATCTTCCAGAACAATTTCCTCTGGTATAGGGACACCTGCCGGTTTAGAATTGCCTCTATTCTTCTTCTTTGCCATACTTCCACCGTCTAAGAAATGTGATCTATTACCCTCCTATTCGTATAATATACGTAGCACCGACTCCCAAAATAAGCAAAATAATTTTTTGGTCGCATTTGATATCGGTGGGCTGTGTACAGGATCGGACTTACAACCAAAAATCGCAACCACAACCACCCATAATGGGTAATGTATATGGTGTGTTAATTGCTTTGTGGAAAGTAGTTTATAGTATAATACATACGTATAATAAATAGTAGTAATAATAAATATAGAGTGTCTTATGTGCACCATTAAAGCTTATATACATGACATATATATGTTGAACTAGTAAAAGTAATAGTAATCATTATAATACTAGTACTAGTAAACTAGGGATGAGACAGTCCTCCCATAGATTTGCCCTGACTTTGATCTGTATGCGGCTGTTGAACTTGTATTTGATCAGAAGCAGTTAAGCCTGTATACTGCGATTGTTGTGCATAAGCTGGATACCCTTGTTGCTGTTGTTGTTGTTGCTGCCAACTTATTGGTAGCCTTTGTTGTTGTACTGAAGATTGTTGGACTTGTTGTGTAGAATAGCTAGGAGCATAATACATATAGCCTGGAGGAGGTTGAGGAGGCTGTACTTGTGGTTGAGGTACTGTAGTCATTATTGAAGGATGCTCAGAAAGACCAATTGATTGGTTGGCTGAATTTCTTGCTTGAACAGGGAATCCGTACCAATAATTTCCTGATGTATACTCTGAATGAGTGGTTTGACTTTGAAGTCCATCCTGATAATGTGACTTGGATGGATCATCATGGAGAAGATGATTATGTTGAAAATCCGCTTTGGATTTTCGATGTCCATGCTTCTTTGTAACTATATGCGTATTTAAATGGTTTAATGATCCATAACTTTTCACACATCCAGGAAACGAACAACTGTATTTCCTAACAATTTGATTATACCGCCTACGGAATCTTCTACCTCTTTTATTTTCATGAAGAGGGTCTAAATCCAGAGCCAGATGAGTTTGAGCTTGTAACGCATGATATGGAATATTAATTGGAGCTCCAGTTTGTACTACTTGAGAATTTAAATTTGACGTAGGCTGACCGTATTGGTTTACTTGAGGATAACTTACTTGTAGTATATTTTGTGAATAGGTTGGTGATACTTGTGGATTGGAAGAGATCATATTAGGCATATTTGCCTTTTGATAAACACTCGAATTATAATTTGAAGGAGGATGTGATTTAGAAGTTTGAATATGCTGATCATAATATGGGCCTGATGTTGTAATCCTAGAATCAATATTTGAAATAACTCGATTATTGTAATATTGGGGGTAGGAACTTGATTGCAAATTTGCTTGTGGTGGTTTTGTGGAATTAATCGTGGAACCTATAGAAGGTAATCTAGCTCCACCTTGACCATCTGATGTAGCAGCTACAGCATTTCTACCATGAATATTTAATATCAGGTTTATAGATACATTTTTATAACTTCTTTCATCGTCCATCATCTCACTACTACTAAGATGTTTTTTAGGATCTAAGTTATCATCTATATTATTTTCTATGATATTCTCGGTCTCTTCATGTTTATGACCAGAAGATTCTGCTATATCGTCAACGGGCATTATATTTAACTAATACAAATTTCAGAATACAATAGTATATGACTTGAAAAGATATGAAATGAAAACAAAATTGGAAACCGGATTGGATAACAAATATAAAAGAAAAGAACTAATGAATATAATACAACTTTTGAAGCAAAATGCAAATGCAAACTAATAATTGATAATTGAAGATTTCGCAATATATATTGTTAGACTTTTCAATTAGATTTATGAAATTGTTCTTTGTTTATAAATAACACCAATAAAAAAATGGTTGCAACGAAATAGTACAAGACTGATTCTTTTGTGTAATTAACCAGTAGTATTTCGAATACTTTGACAAACAAGGTTGTTGGTGAATAAAAAGTTTGATGAATTGAAGGGGCAATTAATATAATTGAAATTATTTCAAATGCCGGAAGTATGGGCAAGAGGTGCTGCAAGTAATATTGTGATAACTTTCACACTGCCTTACTAAGTATTGGTTGATTACTTGTGGTGGTTGGGATAATCGGTTTTTTGAGGTTTTCAATAGCCAAACATATATTCTAGTTGTGATCTGATATTCAGTGATTGGAAAGATCAGAAATATAGTCAATTTAACGTATTAATACAAATTTAATTCGACCGTAAAGGGGGAAATTTTGTGTACCAGAGAAATATTGCAATTGATTTCCAGTATATAGGATATTGTACGTGCAATTTGTGAGAACAAAAGTTGGTGACTAGTTGATCCTAGTTGTTACTTTGGTTTTGATCTAATGTGACGAAAAGTTGAAATGGTTCTGGAAAGGATTTATTTTCTCTTTCTGCTGATTTTACGAATGACAATAATTATTTTTTATTCTTGAAAAAAATAATAGGAATGAAATTGAAACTGAAAGATTTGGAATTATTCCACAGTTAACTTGAATATACAACAAATTAAAGAAAGATTAGAATGATACAGTAAGGCAAAGTAAACAGTAGTATACAATAAAACAAAAATTGTATTTTAATTAATAAAATCTCAATTAAACAACCGTATTGGATCTATCAAAATTGATTTTGTTGATGTGAAATCAGTAAAGATTTGTTAGCACTAAATTCACAAAATGGAATCTGAAATTTTTATGACAAAAAAATATTTTGACTTGGTTCGATTGTCTCTCCAAACGAATCAAAATAATATTATTATTACCTGTAATCTAGTATCTAGTATAAATACCAATAATTTAAGATAACGGTCTCATCTACTCGAGATAAGAGGTAGGATTTTTAAGAAATCATGCGTATGTCGATACATATATATATTCATTTTATATCTTGTGAAAACTAGGGTAGAAGAAATATACAAAGAACAAATAATCAAAAAAAAAAATAAAAAAAAATAAAAGAATTTAAAAAATAAAAAGCTTAGCTTATTTAATTTTTGGGGTGCCCTTTCATGATAATTATAAATACTCATATTACTAGGGAAGAAAAAAAGAATGGAAACATAATACTATTCATGCATAAAACTTGCCAGAGAAAATAAATTATTTTGCTGTAGAGCAAAGGCAGAAAAAACTTAATAGTAAAGTGAGCATTGTTCTGCTGATTGTGTTACTAAATTATTCTGCTGACCACCTCTCTTAAACGGATCGCAAAAGTAGCTGATTTTCTTCACCCTCTTAAAATAACAAGTCTATGAAGTGGACCAATTCCCTATTCATCAGCATACCATTGAACCTAAAATATTTATTTTATGATATTAATTTTTGAGCAAAACAATGGTTCCCTTTTCGGGTATGTCCAGAATTCAAACTTCTATTGATATCAATGAAACTACATTTATTATATTCAAATCAAAGTAAGCGAAATCACAACATTAGCTCTAAAATCCAAATGAAAATTAATGATCAAATATGGTAATTGCCTTTGGATAGTATGACCAACTTTTTAAATTTTTGTTAGTTTAGATTTTGCTAGACTGTCTTTATTTGTTCTAAATAGCCTAGTTTCCATACTAAGAATATTAAATTCGTTTGGTTCTATCTTAATACTTTTTTGATTACGGTATGAAGAGGAGGATCTCTCTAAATTTACATTTGCTATATAGCTTGTACTCTTAATTGTAAAGCTTCAAATATTGCGCCCCTGGAATTTTTGTCTATTATTATATTTACCATTTACGCCTGCGTCCTTTGAATATTCAAATATTCATTGTTCCTCCTTTTAACCTTTCTATTTTTTTGTCCATTATTAAGAAAAAGAATTGCTTACCGAATCATTTTTGCATTCAATCTTTTTTTTTTTATCCATTAGCGAAAAAGTCTGGGTGAGCCATATTCAAGGGTCTTAATCTGCGAAATGGATATGGCTCAGCGATTTATCAAGCTTCGCGGTGTGTGTTAAGCAGTTTGAGCGACTTTAATCTAGACTCGTATAACTGTTTATGGTTTATTAGAATTATGGTCCTATATGGCTGAACTAGCCATAGAAGCAAGTATTGCGTTAGACGAATACTTCATTTAAGATTTAGATATACCTTTGTAATCCAACCAAATTAAGAAATGAATATAAATCAGGCTCAAAATCTTATTATTAGAATACGAGCTCTACTTTCAATTTAACGTATAAGATTAATCTTTACGAAAACTTTAGCACATTTAAAGAGATTTCGGGATTACTCTTTTTTTGCGTGGAACTACCCCCAAAAGGGAAAAATGACCGATATTATAACCTAAATTCTCAATTTAGTGCTCATTTTTCTTTAACAATATTCACCAAGGTAAACTGCTGGTAAACGATTTCCAATACTGTTAGATTTACATATTTACGTGATACATGATATTAGATCATTAAGCGTAACCTTAAAGGTAATTTCGACCTTCATATACGTCTCCAGCCCTCCGTTTAAATATTTTCACGATGGCGAGACAATGGTGTATGTACATTTCGATGGCGCTATTACTTTGTACATTTTGTTACTTTCTTTGATGTGATGATGAGTTAATGTTAATTGTGTGTGATTTAGGAATTATCATTTTGTTGTACTAGCGGGGAGATGCATTCATTTACATATCATGTGGTCTAAAAATTATAATTTTTATATAAATTTTATGATGCAAGCACGGGATGAAATTCGGGTATGCGCGTTTGGCTAAATAAGGCAACTCAACCCTCTTTAGCAAGCTATTTACGTTGTAGTACGTTGGTGAAGTCGGAAAGTTCAGACGCCATCAAATACCTAACCTACTACAAAAATATTTTTAGTCATTTCTTCAATCTATACCTTCAATAAATACGTTACTAAATCTAGAATTAAAAAAAAGGCGATGAAAAAGAAATTAAGATAAAAGTTAGACACGATTCAAGCTTTTAAGAAAAGGCCCAAATAGTGTCGCCATGTCAGTCCCTAAAGTTTAGTTTCTTGTAAACAAGACACTATATTTTATAAACATACATTGTTTACACTCTCGTGTATTATTAGCTTTACTTAAGTTCGATTTCTTCTGCTAGAACTTGACTTAGTTGGGGCCTTTCTTATTATTTCAGGTTATTTTTCAATTATTTATCTTGAAGTTCCATTTCAGCATTTTCGGGATATAAAGCGCATTTTATTAAAGCACCTATATTTGGAAAAAAGGCAGAAGGGTACCCTTGAAATTTGCACAATGTGTTTTCACGATGAAGTTTCATATTATAAGCTATATAGTTCTTGCAGGATTTGAAATCTTATCATTTCCCAAATATAATTAGTTGTGTTGTTTATGGCCCTAGTTACGGTTTTCTGTCCCCTAAAATTCTGTAGTTCGTTTATTAGAGAGATCTTAAAGCAGCATAGGATTTCTTTGATTTAAAACTGTATTTCAAATTATTTTTTCTTGTTGAATGCACTTTTGCTAATTTTGACTTTTTATTCTTTTTTTTTTTTGATTTCATTTACGTAAGTTAATTTATAAAGTTTACCGCCTCATTTCTTTCATATACATATATAGACTTCAAGGAAGATGGCTTACTTCGAGAAAACGAACCACTCTATAAAGGCAACTTAATACAATTATTCAGACTGAGGCGTAAAGTTGTACACAAAATAATTAGGCCCGCTCGATCTTTCTGTTATACAGTCATACAGTTAGCTTTAAGTATATCAAAAAATATATGTACAAGTATGAATATAGCCTCTCGCGGTCAGTACGGCTCATTCCGATCTTTTATTGTTTTGACTGTATTTAAGTTTAAATTATTCTATGTCCTTTTTTTTTTTATTGGTAGCGATCCGGTGTTCTCAAATATTTTTATAACCTCAAAGATAATACATGATAAAAATGATCGGGCGGTTGGGCCGAAAAGAATTCTGTGCGAGAGAAGCTATTATCGGGATCTGAGACAGTAAGAACATTTTATAATATTATTTTATCCCTGTATCTTTTTTATTCGAAGTAATTCACATACCCCCCAAATTAGGATTAGTGCGGAACAGATATATTTTCAAGTGTTTTCATTGATAGAATATTTTACCGAATGAAGATCTTTTCATTATTCGCAAACCTTCGCTTGCCGAAATCAACTGACCCAACAGAGAAAATTTCCAAGAGAGATAAAATCTCTCCGATTTTCAACCCTCACTAATTCTTAATACATGCATAAGTATATTTGCATCAGTTCTGTATGATGCAATGCATGTTAGCGTATATATTGACGTCCCTTAAAACTTTAATGGAAGAAGACGCCATAACAATGGTGTAGTAAATCAGTATTATGGTATATGTGAAATATACAGTGTGTACTGGATTTTGAACTGCATTGATTAATTCGCTAAAAAGTTGGGTTCTTGGGTTAACTGAATTAGTCTTAAGATCATCAATGTCGAAATCAAAATATCAGGCGGCCCTTCATACTTGTTAAATTTGTAATTCGTTTAGAGCAGTGGCTTCTTTTTAAAAAAAATATTTAATGTGGAAATAAATAAACCTAAAATAAACCCAAAATTATAGACAGGCTGTCCCTAATTGCATTCTTGTAGGCTTAAACTTACCTAAGAAAGTTTGGCCCATTCAGAGTTTGTCTCAAGAGGAAATAGGCATTACATTTAATTAACTATTTTACACTATATTTTTAATGTAGGAAACACCACCTCTATTAGTTACATTAGAGTTTTTATATTGTATCAGTTAATAGATGTTTCTCCACTTTCTTTAAAAAAATGGTATAATAATTTATTCATCATAGTACTTCTAGACAAGAACTAAAATTATGCGATTAAATCGGTTAAACTCGGACTTTTAGATATACTTTTAGTTTCAGTTAAACCAGACTCGCAATCGTGTTCATTACTAACTGACAATTACACTACGGTTATTAAATGGAAATTAGTGAAATTCACTTCCAACATTTACGGTGTTTTTGATGAGAACAAAAAGCTAACAAAGCGGATACCGGAAAATAAAGACAGCAGCTCTTTTTTTCCTATGATTTAGGAGATACTTTGAAGATAAGGTACTATCGTGCAAAAACTGAATTTGAGGTAGCTCCCTTAATATTTAAGTCCATTTTTGAAAAAAAGTTTATGCTAAAAGTAGACAAGTCGATGTAAGAGTCGTCAGCCAAGAAACCTATTCGTCTGTAAGTATATTGGAGAAAGTATATAGTTTTGTAAAATCTTTTTTAGTCTACGGAGAAAGAAAATAAAAGTGGTCCTACCTTTTAAATCCTTTTTTGTGTAAAACTGTCTATTTGTTTCTCTATTCCTTCGTACCTGTATATGTGGGCTCTTATTGATGAGCATTGAAAATTAAACTTATAAACTAGAAATAATTAAAATATTAAAAAATAATAAATATACAATTAATTTCATATCTGACACCTCTTTTTTCAGGATCGCGGAATATATACTGGATTCATATCGTTAATGCCTTGATAGAGCTTGCAGCAAACAGCTGATCCAACGTTTGGTATCAAATGATCACTGTCGGGATGTTGAGCCGAAAACTGTTAGTTAGGCCTTTTCCACCTACATGTATCAAACAAAAATAAGAATATAATTATACCTTTTTTATAGTAAATGTGTGCTTCTCCTTACCATTGTTTACTCACAATTTCACTATATTTAGTTCATTTAAAATAGCCTTGAAGAGGTTCTATTTATCTAAATAATTAATTATTTCATTTCCCTTTTACTGATAACTAGAATCTTTAATGTTATAGCAATATTTCTTATATTTCATGCTGCTAATGTATAAATAATATCGAGCCGAATACTTCTTCTCCACATAACTTAGGGGCAGAGCAGGGCTCGCAAAAAAAACCGTTAGAGCTGTGAAAAAATAGAATTAAAGTAAAAAAAGAAACCATTTAGTGGGGTTGTGTTTAGCCTGCACAGACTGCTTAAAAATGGACTTTTATCAATTTTTTTTTTGGGATCTTTCTCTCTCTCTTCAAGTTGTACCTTTAAGCAAATTTTAATAACAAAATAATTGTAAAAACATGAAATTAGAGGAGCCAAGCGTGATTGTAATTATAAATCTGGTTAAAAGTTTGTGATATATTTCGTACACATTCAAATACAGTCTTCCACATTGAAACCCTTCATGGAAGAAGGAACCTTTTGTTGGATGTGCGAATGTGAACAAAGTAATATTTCTGCACAGAGTAAAGTCAACTTAAATACATATGCAAGTAAATTAAAATTAAATGCTCAACCTTAGTCATAATTTTATTATTTTGCCAGCAAACTAGTAAGAAACTTAGTATACGAATAGTGTGCAGATTTATAATTCTCAATATTTATTTTCTATTTCAATATTTTCTTTGTATTTTTCTTTAGCTTCATATATTTTTTCGTGTCCATTGTTCCTGGATCAAGGAATTGGCACTGCACAAGGCCGGCACAGCTTTTTTTATAAATCCTACTGGTGGTACCCACGTATAGTTTTGTTTTGTACGAATAGCATAAACCTCTAAAAATGTCAGAATAAAAAATAAATGCAAAGCACATGAATCCAGCCCATTAAATCAGATCCAATCGTCCCATGATGTTTCATCAATCTATTACTTAAGCTAGTAGTAGCATTGTTTTCTGTTTTGGGAAATAGATTCCTTGTCGCTTCAAGCCAAGAATTTCTTCTACTCTGAGATATTTTTGTTACAACGCTCTACATTGCATTGTATTACATTAAAGCGTATCGTACTCTCATCGGATGATCTAACTTTATTCTTTCACTTCGGTTCGGTTCATCTTTGTGTTACAATTTTATATGCTTAAGGCGTGTTTGCCTTAATGGACTAGTATTCGTGAATAACTCCTGCGCAGCTTTAATGGACGCAAAGTGAAGTTTTAAATATTTTGTTAAACCTCCGCTATTTAAACAGGTTAATGATGAATAGTTATAGTAACCACGATTTAGATGAAATGATAATTACTATTGTTTAATGACTGAGCCGTGTTCATTAATTGTTTGTAGAGTTTATATATTACAATGTATTAAACTTTATTTATATTTTGTTTCAATAGAGATCTATATCGAGTGGACCTGCAGCCATAGTCAATCTCTGTTTTAGTTTAAACACCCAGCTTCTCAAATACAAATCCTAAATAGAATCCAACTGCCTCCTTTTCATCACCTTCAGCTCCATATTTCCCATCGGACCTTTTCATTCCTTCGATTAAATTCTTGTTCAATTTCGGAAAATATTTGGGGATCTCCTCGTTGAATATATCTATAAAGTTCTTTTTATATTTTAACTCTAATCCATAATCTTCACTTATACTTCTTAAAGTTTCAAATGGTACAACATACTCAGGAACATTGTCCACGGCATCAATTAAGTTGTAAACATATTTGTTTCCAAATGGTGGTCTGAAAACTCCATCGGCAGGGGGATCTTTCTCAAATGTTACTGAATATATAGAATTACCAAACTTTTTCTTGCCTGTTTCTTCTTTAATATACTCCTTACGTTGGATCTTTCCTCTAATAAAATCTGATGATGGAATAGTTCCAATAAATGTTCCTCCGGGTCTTAATGATTTTGATATATTCATAATTAACGTCCTAACTTTTTCTTCAGTTTCGAAGGAATAATGCAACGAGAATTGAATCGACACACAATCAACAGGGAAAGTTCTATCTATAATACCCGGGAAATTGGGTTCCAATATCTCTGGAATTGTTTGTCCGAAACAATCTCCAGTTGCAAAACATGCTTCAAAATTATATTTGGTATTGTCCTTTCTATGAGCCAGTTTGAATCTTGCTTTCTTTTGTCTATACCTAGAAAAGGCTTCCTCGACTGATCTATCAGATATATCAATTCCAATGTATTGTTCAATGCCAACAAATTCACATTTGTTCAAATCTCCACCTTTTCCACAGCACAAATCAAGTAATGTGAATAATTTCTCATTATTGTTTTCATCTCTTTTCACAAAATTCCCTAGTAACATATACTTAATAGTATTATTGAAATTACGTAATTTATAAATAGGTGACTTCGTTCTGGATCCTTGGTACTTAGAATGAACTGTTCTTTGATTATAATGACTTCTAACAATATTATTGATATCTGCTGTTTCACGGTCTCTTATATGACTTTCAAAAGTTTGATAACGGATTTCTCGATGATTGGCAGAAGGATTGGCAATTTCAATATTACTATAAGCAGTCACTTCAGGTACACTTGAACTACTACTACTACTTTGAACTCTATCTAATGACTCATCGCGATATTTGGCATATTTGGGATGAGCATCATCCCCTGATGAAGATTCCTCGTGACGTCTTTTCAATACACTATTAGAAGTTGAAATATTATATTTGGAATATCTAGAGTCACCAGCGGTATCATTAGATCTTTCCACTCTCCGTTGCCCATATTGTTCATATTTATCTTGAGGTCTTGCAACTTTCAACCATCCTGGGACTTCTTTCGCCGAGCTATACGATGAGCTCACTGCTGGCACATCTCTTTCTTCTAATCGTCTCTTTCTTCCAAGACTTTCCAATGATCCCAGTGGCTGACCACTCCCACTTGGCTCTTCTACACTACTTTCGTGTTGACTCATATCGTTAATGTCCTATGGTGGTAGTATAGGCATAGTGAATGTTCAGATTAGATTTTTTTTGCTAGTCAATCAGTGCGCCTGTCGGGGGAGGAAGTCAGGGTGTGTATTGTCTAATCTATAAAGCGTCTATAAAAACTATCTATAAACTAGATTTAGGGGCCAAAGTGTCACTAAAGATAGTGACAATTGGGTTAAGGAAGCTCTTCTTATTGGGAACATAGTGAGCTCCATCATGTTCAAAAGTGTGTACTAATTTAGAGTTGTAGATTGTTGTAAGAAATTTGGATCGTATAGGAGGAACAGTATTATCTTGTGAGCCATATACATTAATAATGGCAGTATTTAAATCTTGAGGAGGTGAAAAGTAATTCCTGTATGTTTCAGTAAGTACTACTTTATCAATATACTCGTGTAAGTCTTCCACGTTATTATTTACATTCAATCGATTCTCTGAAGTATTATTTTCCTTAAGCTCAGTAAATGCAAACCCTGATATAAAGAGTGATACTGAAAAGGGAGGATGACCAGGTACTAAAGTTTGTATGGAATTAGTAATAATAGAAGCCATAGCAGCACCTTGAGAAAATCCAATAATACCATGATAAGGTCCATTAGCTCTTATATAATCTGCTACATATTTAATTGATTCATCAAACCCCTGATAGAAGGATGGTTGAACAGGTTCCCACCAACTTCTATTATATTCATTTTCAACTATGGCATTCCACTTAGCAAGGGCCTCTTCCTCGTTATCAGAAAGATTGAATGGTAACTGACGTCTCTCCACAATATTTGGAGGACTTATATAGTCTAACTGGAATCCTAACTTCTTAGTTAAGATCTTTCTTAATCCAGATGACTTTTCAGCAAATACTTTACCACTCTGTAAAAATCCCGGAAGACACAAGATCTTCTTGACTGTTCCGGATTTGGTCATTTTACTTAATCTACAATGGCTAGTGCTTTTAACAATACTGATTAACTAACTAATTAGTAGGAGTGATATTTTGTCCTATAAAATTTCCTATTTAGGCGCTAGAGTGCACTACTGGGTCTCAATTGGGTCAGTGTCGGATTTGACATTTTCTTCTTCTTGTACAACTGGAAGATCTTCCACTGTTGGAGGATCTTCTGTCTTCTGTTTAGCAGACACTTCTGGTACTTCTGGTTCTCGTACTTCTGGTACTTCTCGTACTTCTGGTACTTCTGGTACTTCTGGTACTTCTGGTACTTCTGGTACTTCTGATACCCCCAGTTCAATAGACTTCTCATTACCTGCAGTATTCTGGGGTACTTGGGTAGTGTTTTCCTCATGTTTATTGTCGGCTTCACCATTCTCTACCTGTCCCACTTCTGTCTCCTCATCCGACGAATCTAAGATCTCATATATAGTAGATTGTGGATTATCTAATTTTTGCTTTTTCCTAGGAGTTAACTCATCCTCTATAATCGTTACATTCCTCTTCTTCTCTTGTTGAGCTTTAGCTGCACTCTCAATAAAATCATTATAAATATTTGGTTTCTCCTTAAGAATAGTTTCAATTTTTCTTCTTAAATTCTTTAATAAATCATTAGCAAATGGGAATATATCTCTTTTAGCTAATTTTTTAATTTTACCTCCTGGTGATTCATTTTCATTAGATTGTCCTAATATAAGTGATCTATCATAATGTAAATATATTCTAATAAATATCCCAACAATTGTATCATCAATAAGTGATGTTGGACCAAATCCATTATTAAATTTCTTCATATCATTTATTGCATGAAGAAAACATACATGAGGTTCTAAATTTTCAGGAAGTCCCTTAACATCAATTAATTCAAGATATGATTTAGTATTTAACATGAATGTTTGATAAGGAACTTGTAAAAAATTCTCAGTAAATACAAAACTCTCACCAATTTCTAACAGAGCTCGAATTATTCTACAAATTGATGAACATAAACTTTCCCATGCTGTATAAAGCAGTACCATAGTAGAATTTGATCTTCGAAGTTTTGGAAGCATTAAAATTAAACTAATTAAATCAGATTTATATGCCAATAATTTAATATAAAATTTTGAATACTGAAATGTATAATAAAAATGTTTCCCTGGTCTTTCTTGTTCTGGTTTCCAAATCAGTACTAAAGTCTTACTAGTAGCTTTTAAAGATATTATTGATGACATTTCTTCAACGGCTTCATCAACTTTTTGAAATTCTTCAAAAAGAATTTGAGCTATTCTATAATTTGGTTTATGATGCCAATTTTTCTTATCGTATGATTCAACTTTCCTAAGGGCATCAATAATGGCTGAATAAAATTCAATCTTTGAATCTATTTTAGTTTCAATTGACATCAGTACCACTGGATTTACTCTTAGAAATGTTAATGCTTCTTCAATTGAAATACTATCTGATTTAACATATTTATATAATAATGAACATAACATATAATGAGGTTCAATTATATGATCAGTTGAAGTATTAGATTCATCAGATAACATACAAGCATTTTGAACATTTTCTAAAACTTCAGATGCTCCTTTATTTAATTTTCGAAGAATCTTGGCAAGATAATAATAATTTGTCCAATCATTGGCTTTAGCTTTAAGAGCTAATTGAAAACATTGTTGCATGATTTTTAAACAAAGTTTCATCAGAATACTACTTTCTTTATCTACATTAACAAAGGAAGCTCCTGAACTCTTTCGAATGAATTTAGAAGTCATTTGAACTTTAAATGCATGCATTGCTAATGGTTCCATACAAGCAGAATACATTTCTTTACCAAATGATGACATTAAATTACCCAAGATTGGTTTAAGAATTTGTTTATCATCTAATTTATTACTGGCATTAATAGCCATAAGATAACAAATTAAAGATTTTCTTTGTAAATTAGCCGTACCAATCTTTCGATCAGCTACAGTTAATTTATCTGAAGTCCAAATAAGATCATCTTCAACTAAGAATCCATAAGTTTGACCTAATAAAAACCAACTACCAATTCGATTAGTTCCATGAATTAAATCATTCTTTAATAACATAATAACATTTTCTAATTCAACCACTCTACTTTGCATATTCTTCTTTCTAACTTTATAAGAACTAAAGATAAATAATCCTTCTAAATAATATAATCCATCTTCAATAATTTTAATAGATTCATCAATTAAATCATCTAAACTTAATTTAATTAATCCATAAAATGCATCTCGAACAAATCTTGGAGTAATTCTAGTTGAATCAAGAAAATTATCAAATGATGCTTCATTTCTATGAAGAATTTCTGAAGATTCAAAATCAGGATCTCCAATTACATTATAAAATTCATCAACTAATGATTTAAGTTCATGTTTTGGTACTTGAATTAATGGATTCTTTACAAAACATAAAGGTAATACAAATTTAGCTAATTCTTTGGTAGATTCTTTATCAAGATCTTCCTTTAAACTTGTTGAATGATCTTGAGGATTCATATATCCCACATTATAATGATATCTACAATAAATTAATTGAGATAATTCAGATTCACAATCATTTAATGATACAAGTAAATCTTGAGCCATTTTTAAGAATAATCCTTCTGAACTATCACATAATCCTCTCATACCAATTTGACTATGAATACTACTAATTAATCCTGCTATATCATGTAAATTATTATTATTCCATTTCTTTAAATAAAGTATTAGAATGGCAATAGATCGAACCAAAAGATCCTTTAATTTTTGAAATGATAATGCTGAACGAGATTTAACTGAAACTTTTAATGATGAGATGATCGAGGCTTCTTCATGTAAACTAAAGAGATAAATTAATTCCACCATTCTTAATAAATGTTCAATAGTTCGATTCTTCTTGTTCTTCTCTTGATTAGATAACGGTAAATTCCAATCTTGATTAGCTAAATTCTTTAATAATAATACTAAGACTTCACTATAAAATCCAAGAACTCTTACTAAAGTTGATTTTCTATCTGATTCAAGTTCAATGGTTTCATAATCTTTACTAGTAATAAGTTCGAAAATGAAATCCAAAATCCTTTCAAACCCAATTTGAAAATCTTCAACTTTCTCATTAACATTATAGTACAGAAATAAAATCTTCCAGAGACTTAATTTCATTTCTATTGGTGATTCATCAAGAAATTCTCGTATAAGGGATACTCCCATAAGTTTCTTTTCTCCCTGTTTACCCAATAAGATTTCTTCTAATACATTTATAGTATCTGAAGAATCGGATTTTTCATATAATAATTGTGAAAATGTACTTAATACCGTCACACTAGTTAATTGAGATTTAATATTATTAATATTTAATAATGGAATATTCTCATAATTAGGGAAACTAATATAAAAGTCCTTGGTAAATGTTAAGGCCATTGATTCAAGTTGACTAAGTTCCTTTAAGATATAACTACTATCATCTAATGGTGATGTTAAGGTACTTTCCTTTAGAACAAGACTCCATTTAAATCGACAATAGAGTAACTTATCATCATTATTAAATTTATCAAATTTATCAAATTGATTAAATTTATCAAATTGTCCTTGTAAATATTGTTGCCATCTCTGTAATTTATCTGATACTTTAATTAAATCCAAACTTAATGCATTAACTGTGGTTTTCACGGGTCTTTTCAAGTTCTGATTGGCTACAATCTGATTCTTTAAGGATATGAGATAATCAACAAATACTTCAAAGATACTGGTTAAGAATTTCAAATTGCAATTATTGGAATCAATAATATAAAAGTCAATTTGAAGTAACCAATCACGGATCTTTATAAATAATTGATCACCAAATTTCGTCTGAGTAGATCGTTCTAATAAATGTTGTAATAAATTAACTTTTAAATCCATATAATGATGTTTACCATTATTGAATCCTATTAAGAATGTTTTAGCATCAATTGTATCAATCAGAGGTAATTCATCTCGACTTTTCTCCATACAAAGTGCTGTAAATGAATCTAAAATCTCTAATAATTTAAGTTTATCATCATCAGCTCCCTTAGGAGAATCATCGGCCAAAAATGATGAAGTGTATGCCTTTGTCCAATCATTTATAGATGTAACAAAATCTGTTATGTATTGACATTGATCAGTTTCATTTACATACTGTTCGGTAATATCATTTAGTTGGGGAACTTTCCAATTGATAAAGTATTCATTCAAATGATCAAAAAATGTCTTGGTTTCAGCAAAATGGGCAACTTCAATCTTTACCTCGGGAACTTCTACTGTTTCTGATTTAGCGAGACGTTTAGAAGATCTTTGGATTATAGCCTGTTTGGTCGTTTCATCTGCTTCTCCTGCTCCTGCTCCTGGTCCTGCTCCTTCTTCTTCTTTAATTTCTTCACTGACCGTACCTGAAGTCGGTACTGTTTCTTCTACAGTTTGACTAGTTCCATTGCCATTACTATTACTATTACCATTACCATTACCATTGCCATTGCCATTTTGTTCAATATCCATATCTATATCCATATCAAATTCAACTCTTTCCATAGGATTAGTAGCCATAAAATATGCTTCAATACCCTTAAGCTTAGCTCGATTAATATCTTCAGTCTTAATCTCATCTTCATTCTCCTTTAATTCTCCATTAATGGTATCGATCAATGATAACCATGTTAAACCATGTTTAGATTTAATACTGAAATTAATAGTTTCTACATCTTCAGCCCTTTTGATTTGTTTCTGATAATCAGATCGTAGCAGTTCAAGATACAGATATTTTTGTTCAATCTTATCAATAATTGTATCAGATTGAATTGTATGTTTACCATAGATTAATGCATCTCTTACAGATAAATAACGATCTATCAGATTAAATCCATATAATTCTTCACTTTCATCTTTACCTCCAATATGATATTCCAATACAAATCTTGCTAATCGATAATTCTTCATATATACATAAATCTCAAATAAACATTGTATAAGTAATTCATCACCTTCTTGATAAAGTAAACTTATAGAAAAATCATCCATTAATGTATAAAACATTTCTTTAAATCTTTCTCGTCCATTCCCATTAGAATGGGTTTGTTTAGTTATACCATTAATAATTTCTTCACCTTGTTTTAACATAGTTAAATATAATAAACCTCGATTTCGAAATATTAAATATCGTAATGATTTAACATTTGGTGAAAGATATGATAAATCTCCATTGGCACTACCTCCCACTTGAATTCCTCGAATATAATCTTCTTCTTCTACATAATGATTAGAAATTACATCAATCTTAAATAAATCTTCATAACATCCATAAGCTTTGTCTAATTGATTATCTTTCTGAGATTGTAAGGCAGTTTGAAATAATTTAAACGCCTGTTCTACCTGTAACTCACGTGTATGTTCTTCTTCAAGATCCTTCTTACTTGCAGGATCCTCCGAAGCATTCACAGGACTGAATGATGACATAGCCTATGCTTTACTAGTACAATTTGGTATAGTTAGTGTTCAACTACCTTGGCTTAAGTATTGGAAAATTATACATCCATACCGCCGCGCTTTACATTACACAGTCTGCCGCACTACTCACCATACTTAAGCTAAAGTTAAGTAACTACTACAAGTAAAACTAATTTAATGGGAGTCGTTAATATTAATCTATATGATCTATACGTGATCTATGAGCATAAAAAGAAGGAAGGAATAAATAAATAAATAAATAAATAAATAAATAAATAAATAATTATTAATTAATTAATCAGTAAGAAAGTAATTCGTAACTATGATACAGGATTCAGATCTCTTCAGATCTTAATGAATGAGATATCTCCATGTCTACTGTTAACTTATCAGCACATTCTTGATCTGAAGTATCTTCCAATTCAAGCTTAGTTTCAGCTTCAAGTTCTGCTTGAGCTTTTTCTTCCTTTAAAATACGTTTACCCATTCTAAAGTACCATATAATATGACTAGTAGCAATTCCAATTTCAAGTACTAAAACAATAACATAAAGTACCATACTCATAACATCAAATGTTCCAACAATAATACTAAGCATAGATAATAATGCACCCATAGAATCCATAAATAAAAATACAAAATTAATTCCCACAACACGTCCTTGTCTTTTAGCTAATTCAAAATATGGTGGAATTAATCCAAGAGCTAATAATATTGAAGCTAAAATCCCCATAATAAGCATTGGCCAATGAGTTCCATGATTATATACTGGACGTAACCAAAGGATAAATCCTAATTCTAATCCAATGGATATTAAAACAAATGATGTTACATAAAATATCATCCTTTTCCGGGGAAGTTGATATGGTGGATAATATAATGTTTGAGCCCAACTAACTGTACAAAAGAATGTAAATAATTGAGGTTGAATTTGTAATGGAATACTTCCACTAGTTCCTACAAAATAAATTGAGAATGGAACACCACATGCTGCCCAAAGAAACATCATTAAAGGAGGCAATCCTTCACAATCTTTAACTTTATAATTTCTAATGATCTGTGGTACTAATTGGATACACCAAAAGATAGTCCCGGCAGTGCCTAGCACGTTTTCAGCTACAACACTAATCATTGTCTATCACTATAAGTTGTATATGTTTAAATGTTTATATATTTATTATAACATAAACTTCATGAGCTTTTCTTTATTCATTTAAGGGTTAAAACACATATTATATATATAACGAAGCAAATTTTTTTACTCTTCCTATAGTAGTATATACTTTCCTAAAACAGAACCTTATTCCGTTGGTCCCACACTTTTGGTAAATTTTTTACCTCACAAAACAAAAAAATCATCCCAATTGCGCAAACTTTTCATTATGGAATAGTACTCCAATTGCGCACCTTCCTTCCAGACTAATACAATACAACGTCTATTCTGGGGCTTATATTAACTGCGGAAAACTTTTTCCTAATTAATTCGGTTAATTTACTTAGTCCATGTCACATGGGCTGCAAATCTTATGAATTGCTTTTTTAAGATTTTCAATCCGACTCATAATCAAAGTCAAAATTTTCTTCATTACTTAAAGTTTTGTCATCCTGTATCGTGTTTGTGTTTGTGGTTCGATTAGGTCGATAGATTAAGTCGCCATTTTCATCTTCACTAAATAGCTCATCTTGTAGCAACTCTTGTAAATCTTCTTCATCTGTCTCCTCGACATGCCTATTTGGGTCAATGACCCCATAATCGTTGACATCTTCATTTTCATTTGCATTTACATTTGCATTTTGTACACCCTCTACTTCTGACTCAATAAAGAATCCTCCTCCTTCCTCTTCATCATCCATACTCTCGATACTCTTATCTCGTTCTGACACATTTTCAAATGGTTCGATTATGATATTAGAATCGGATCTGCGTAGGCTATTATTGCCTTCTTGGTCTACTTTATCATCCATACTAATATCGCTACTGTCATCATCATCGTACATATCCTCAAATCTATCGTCATAGATATCAATCACCCCATCTTCTTCTTCTTCACTATCATTCTCATAATCTGATTCTTCAATATCGTTATCGTCAGTTTCAATTACCTTTCCGTGACTCTTCTCTAATCTTTTAGTTATACGGAGCTTGGTCAAAAAGAATTTCCAATTGGTTAGAGCCCTTAACTTCGTTTGCTCAATTGTAAATTCTCTGGCTTCATCAAACAAACTCTCTAACACAAGCATCAAAGCCTCTTTGAATTTACTTTCAATAACTATCCCACCTTCTTTAGCCTTGGGTGCTGAATGACCCTTGCGAGTAAAATCAAAAGATACTACCGCTTTGGCATAATCAATATCAATGATTTTTGCTGCTCTTTCTAGCATAGATAGAGGATATCTTTCTTGAGTCAAAATCAAACTAGCTCCTTCAGGTAACATACTAGCCACATAAATATCTATATTTCCATAGGCGTTTCGCGGTATTCTTCCATTCTCAATCTTGGGTGGTATATACAATTGTGTTTGAAAGTCAGCATAAAGGTTAATGTCCTCGACTTCATGATCTCTGGATTTTTTACTTCTGGTTTTCAAAGGCTGCTCTCCAATTTTAAGAACCCTTCCATTCATATACCATGCTCGGGATGACTTCAACTGATGAACATTTGATCTTTTGAATACCGGTTGTATGCCTCCTTTACCACTTTTGAAAGTTCCAATTTCAGTTCTAGGATGAATGACTTCATTTTGCTTCAATTGTGATTCAAGTACATAAATAGGATGATTCTTAAAATCTGCTAAATTATTAGGCATACCTTCAACTAGATCTCGATTATAGAATTCCTTTAATTCTAATATATCTATTTTACTTAAAGACCTCCTTATGACCGAACTAGTTAATTTCAATACTCTTTCGTACCAATGCATGTCTTCGTCAGAAAATGAATATATACGCTTCTTTGATGTTCGAGCATTCAAAAATTTACAGTATCTTCTAGTAACATCTCTTACTCCCCCAAGTCTATCATAAGCTATTACATATGTCAACTGATTTCTTGTTTCCGTTAATGGTGGTTCAAACTTTGATTTGGATCTCATAGATACTACTTCAATACTTCTATTAACAATTGGATCTATACTTACCCATTTCTTGGAATATTTATTCCATACTTCTGCCCAAAATACAGGATATGGAGCATCTTTGAATATACTCTGTTCTTTCTTGCTGGTGGATTCGCCTGATCTATATTGATGTAGTATTCGGGACTTATTATTGGCAGCCGCCACTCTGGGAGTCATTGTTTTGGGACCGGAACCATTTTCTGATTCAGTAGAAATATCCTTATTATCTGTATTCAGAGTTATACTTGTAAAATCGGGTGGTTGTAATGAAAATATCAATCTGGCATTAAGTCCGATAGACCGCAACAATAAGACAAATCCCTGTGCACCTATATCACGAGAGCCTCTTGAATTAAGCACAAGTCTTTTAAATCTAGCCAAAGTAACTCTTTCTGTATTAGGTTGTCGTAGATTCAATTCATGCCAATCCTTTCTTATTATCCCTTGTGATATGACTCTGAACTTTTGCGAATAGATAAGCATCAACTTCTGGATACCATCTAGAAACCTACGAGACTTTACCATGTCGTTATCAGACGACGAATCTTGGTTAACAAGCGCTATAACCAAGGGTGGTACTGATTCTTTTATGGAATTGGTGATAGAGAAGTCATTGAGCCATGAATTACGGATGGCTCCATGAATAATCATCATCAATACATAACACTTATGCACGCGACGCCGCCTTTCCCTCTCTTCCTTCAGGACAATATTAACCTTTCTTTTAGGAGATACTACTTCATTGGTGTTCGAATCAAGAGTAAATACCAAAGTTTCATCCTCATTAATTCGATTAACTTCCTTAATCTCATTGACCTCATCAGGAGTTGACGCGTTGTAGTCATCTATATCTAAGTTAACATCTTCAAAGTCATCAGAGTCTGAATCTTCAGACCCTGTCCGGCTCACTACTTCTATAACCTTGTCTGAGTTGACTCGTCTTTTTTTCCTCCTTTCGGTAGTAGGCTCATTTCTCACAGTGGCTCGTAGAAGCTCTTTATACGGATCTGCCATGGACCCTTAATAGCAACTGGTGTAATATCTCATATCGATTTTTTCTTCACACAAATAAATTTTTTATATACATCTATGCTTATCATCAAAGGGTCAAAAGAATATGAGTAGAATATGAATAGACAATTCAGAAGGTATAATCGTTGGGGAATACTACGACGGTTTCATATGTCTTCTAGGCATAGAAATTTCCAGAGTTTACATGAGACATTTGTGGAGAAGAAATCTATGGACAAAGTGCATCGCTCATTCTATAATTCATTGATTAGTGAGAAGACATTATACTCCAAGTCCAAAATTACCATACAACCAACTATACGACATTTACTCTGTCTACTTGAGATGGAGACAAATGGTCAAACCGATCATATAACTTTAAATTCAAATATTATACCGACCAAGAAAGATCAATTACTAGAATCTATAATTTTTCACATTATACTATCTGTATATTATCATGTACATAAAGAAAGAGTCAATAGTCTATTCCGTAACCAAATATACCAGTCTCAGATAAGTCATTTGAATAACTTGGCTAAACATCTGACAAAGCAAATCGAATCCAATGAAATTAATGAAATCATAAGTTCAATTTTAGGTAATAGTACTACAGAAGATATTCCCAAGTCACTTAAAATTGCGATTCAGAAGTTCACTATAGTCTGTGAAGGCAAATATAATGGAACAGATCTTAAGAAATGGATTCTATCTCTCACTGCTGGCAATATTAGAGATAGTTGTATGCACTTAGAAGGCTTGAAATTAATTCCACCATTTGTCTTATCAGATATTCTCTTCAGAACAGCATTATCCAGAGAAGATTTTCAACTTCAACAAGATATTTGGTTACATTATATCAACATTATAGGGATTTATTATGTCGATAAAATATCTCTGTTGAAAACATGCTTTGATAATTTGGTCACAGGATGTATCTTTCATGATATTTCCTCTCTACCAAAATTAATCAATGATTCAATAATAGCCTTTCAGAACCCAAGAAAGGGTTTTGGAAATATCTTATTTATAGAGAAATATAATGAAGAATTACTTTGGCATTTGGCAATGGTTTACTTAAAATCAAGGTCTGAAAAGTCTATCGCAAGCATAGTCTCTGCTCATGAATTAGTGGTGAAACTTCTCTCCTCTCAGAAAGAAAAGTTGAATGAAACACTTGATTTGAAAGCATTTCTGGCTATCACCATGATTGTATCACTAAAATCTCAGAATATGGGTCAAAAACTTTTGGAGATAGCCGAGAAGAGATATTTGGCAGGAGAATTTAATAATTTGAATAAAACAGTTGTTGCTTATCATATATCGAAATTATTTTTGTCTGAATCTCCTGAAGAATTACTTCGAAATTTTAATTTGGCATCAGAATCATATAACAACTCAGCAAGTTTATGGTTGATATTTCTAATGAAACTAAAGGACTTTAAATTGCTTACACCGTTGAGATCTAAAAGAGTACTTACAGAAATCTTAAAGAGAAAAGATTCATTAATTCTAACAAAGGATATCTTTGCTGTTTTGATGGAACCAATCAATGAACTAAAGGACTTTAACGAAATGATCAATTTATTGGATAATCAATTGACAAGTCGGCTTCGAAGTATAATATTGCCGAAATATATAAAGATTTTATACGATAATCATAATATGGATGTTCAATTGCTAAGGTTTCCTTGGGATAAAGATAATACCGATAACTTGGGTACATTGGATTATGCTCGGCATATTTACTATGATTGTATTAAACATAAATCTGTTAATACAATCGCTACAATGTTAAAGGGAGAAGCAATGGCTGCACCCGCTGGAGTTTATGGTATCTATAAAGAACAACTTATTGATAAGGATATAAAACCAAATGAAGGATGTTTGGAAGCACTTATTTCAGCATCCAGTCAATCATCTAATGGACTCTTAATTTGGGATGATGTATACGCCCCTCAAGTAGCCATTAGCGAATTTAATAGACTAACAGGAGAGATCAATTGTTCCAATTTTATTTGGAGAACATATATACGAATGTTAGCGAAATATAGATATATTCACGAGCTAGCAGGAATTATACAACAATGGGAACAATCCCAATTTATTCCCGATCAATATTCATTATTACTTTTATTGGCATCCCTACCTATAGAACATTCGAGAAGATACATAGCTCATTTTGAAAAAGTTAGAGAAAATACTACTCTTATCGATATCAATCCCTCGGGATCAAATTCAGATTCAGATTCAGATTCATCTTCATGGCCATGGCCAACATTTGAAGAGTTGGAACTTTTCAAAGCCCGTAACTTGTCATTAGTAGCATAGTTACCCCATAGTAACATAGTTACCCCATAGAAATACCATTGTAGATATGTATACTTACCTGTATGTAATAATAAAACCACAAGTACACTACTGCTACAACCCCGGCAAATTGTTTTTTGCACCCTTTAATTCCGCTGGCCAATCATATTGCGAGCTCGCGGCCTCGGAGCCTGTAAAACAGTTCCGTTATTTTTCACTGAATCAATGAAAAAAAAAATTGACTGTACCCCAGACTGATTTGACTGTTCTGACTATTTGTCTGTTGAGTTTGTTTTGACCGTTTTGACTGTTTTGACAGATCTGACATAATAAGATACTATCCCACCATGTTACGTTTTGCTAACAAAACTTCTACCATCTCTAGAGCCAATTTGAGATCATTTGCTACTAGTTCTCAATTGTTGAAAGCTACCAGAATTGAAACTGATGCATTCGGTGAAATTGAAGTAGATGCTTCCAAATATTATGGAGCTCAAACTGCTAGATCTAAACATAATTTTAAGATTGGAGGACCTGCCGCTCGTATGCCACTTCCAGTTGTTAGATCATTTGGTATTTTAAAGAAAGCTGCTGCTATTGTTAATTCTGAAATTGGAGCTTTAGATCCAAAATTATCAGAAGCTATTCAAAAGGCAGCTACTGAAGTTTCTGAAGGTAAATTAGATGATCATTTCCCATTAGTTGTTTTCCAAACTGGTTCCGGTACTCAATCTAATATGAATGCTAATGAAGTTATTTCTAATAGAGCTATTGAACTTTTAGGTGGTGAATTAGGTTCTAAAAAACCAGTTCATCCAAATGATCATGTTAACATGTCTCAATCATCTAATGATACTTTCCCAACTGTTATGCATATTGCTGCTGTTACTGAAATCACTGGATCTTTAATTCCAGAACTTACTAAATTACGTGATTCATTACAAGCTAAATCTGATGAATTTAAAGATATTATTAAGATTGGTAGAACTCATTTACAAGATGCCACTCCTCTTACTTTAGGTCAAGAATTCTCTGGTTATGTCCAACAATTAACTAATGGTATTGAAAGAGTTGAAAAAACTTTACCAAACTTATTATACTTAGCTCAAGGTGGTACTGCCGTTGGTACTGGTTTAAATACTAGAAAGGGATTTGATGTTAAAATTGCTGATCAAGTTTCTAAATTAACTGGTTTACCATTCAAGACTGCTCCAAACAAGTTTGAAGCTTTAGCTGCTCATGATGCTATTGTTGAAGCTTCTGGTGCCTTAAATACCGTTGCAGTTTCCTTATATAAAATTGCTAATGATATTAGATACTTAGGTTCCGGTCCAAGATGTGGATATGGTGAATTATCTTTACCAGAAAATGAACCAGGTTCTTCTATTATGCCTGGTAAAGTTAATCCAACTCAAAATGAAGCTTTAACTATGGTTGCTACTCAAGTTTTCGGTAATCATTCTGCCATTACTTTTGCTGGTGCATCTGGTCAATTTGAATTAAATGTATTTAAACCAGTTTTAATCTCTAACTTATTATCATCAGTTAGATTAATTGCCGATGGTGCTGCTTCATTCAGAGAACATTGTGTTGATGGTATTGTTGCCAATGTTGATAAGATTGAAAAGACTCTTCATGAATCATTAATGTTGGTCACTGCATTAAATCCAAAGATTGGTTATGATGCTGCTTCCAAGACTGCCAAGAATGCTCACAAGAAGGGTTTAACTTTAAAGGAATCTGCTCTTGAATTAGGTGTTCTTTCTGAAGCCGAATTTGATGAATGGGTCCGTCCTGAAAAAATGATTGGTCCAAAGGATTAATTTCATTAATTGTTCATTAATTTATCATATAGACTAATTAGTTAGTAATTAAACTATTCTACTTATTTATATATATATGTATATTTATTTTGCAATCAAACTTCCAATTGCGGTTGGTGAGTCCGGCATACAGGCTCCATTTTCTCAAGACGGAAAAATATCGAACTCCATTTACAATCGATGATTATCAATAATTCATAGTGAATTAGGCACGCTAAATATATGTCATTAAACGGGATTATTAAACATGTTCAGAAGAAAGGGCAGTCTCCGAGGGTTCAGTCGCCGGGAGTAGCGAAGCCAGTACTTAAATCCGTAAAAAGTACAACCACAACAACAAGCACAAGCAGCATAACTAAGAATCCATCTCCAACCATAAGAGCACAGAGTGATCCAGGAAGTGTGAAACCAAAGAAGCTCAAATTTAATGAGTTAATGAAGAAAGCCACTAAAGTGGATCAAACAAAACTATCCATTGCCATCAAATCTAGATCAAAATCTCCAGAGGGAGCTTTGAATAAAGCAGGACCATTACGGTCGAAGGAGTCCCTGCGAACGAATTCTCCCTTACCTCCACCTAAGGTGAAAGTTCCACTAAATTCTGCAAGGAGTGTTAATCCTCAACCAAAGAAAATAGCTAGTCAAAAAGTCATGCAACCACCTAGAACCATTAAATCATCAGTAGTTAAGAAGAGTTCACCAATACCACTTCGGAAACCTTCTGAAGAACTTAAGAAGAAAGCAAATATTAAAGCTCCTTTACCACCACGAGGTCCTTCGGCAAAACTTCAAGAAGTTCTAAAGTCAAAGAATAAGCTATCAAGTACAAATAATAAGAATCCATATAAGGCATCTTCAAGGCCACAAAAAGAAGATGACTCTGATTTGGATTCCTTTATAGCATCTGATGAAGAGGAGGAAGAACCCACAAGATCAAAAGATAGAGGTTATGATCGAGAAGAAATATGGGCTATATTTAACAGAGGAAAGAAGAGATCGTATGATTATTATGACTCCGATTCAGATGATATGGAAGCTACTGGTGCTGATATTTTAGAGGAGGAATCGAGATCGAGACGGACGGCTGAACTTGAAGACAGAAGAGAATTGGAAGAAGAAAAGAGATTAGCGGCTCTTAAAAAGGCTAGAAAAATAAAGAAATAAGCAGCATCCATTTATATACATTAAATAAATGACTTTAATACATTTTTGATTAATTTAATTAACCAAAATTGCAAAAAAAGACAGACGACCTCGGTGAGGATCGAACTCACGATCTTGAGATTAACAGTCTCACGCCTTAACCAGCTTGGCCACGAAGTCATTTTTGAGTTCAGTAGGGCGGTCAATTATTTCTCGTCATGTGATTTTGTGTCACGTGATTTGAAAATGTCGTCAAAAATTTTAAAAATGACATGATTTTACACCTTCGAAGGATGTTAAATCCAATAATAGGGTTCCAAGAGCTTCTGTAGATATCTTATTACCTTCCTGAAGTCCATCTACCCCTCTGGAAAAGAATAGCAATCAGTTCAACGACACAATCTGATTACGCCACTGCAATGTTGTGAACGATGCTTATTTAGAAAAATGTAATACAATTAGCAAGATGTTGTAGCAGCAGGTGTGGGTAAGGTATTAGGTAGACAGTTAAGAACCAGAAAAGACCCAAATATGACTGCTAATCTAACTATTCAAAAGCAATGGGATGTGTATTGAAAATGTCGTTAGCCGACATAATTTCGCACTAAATTTGCAGCGAAGGCTGCAAAATCTAAATTTACTCTAATTATGTACTTCCATTAAATTATACATTTAAGCTAGGACTATAAGAGCGAGATTATGAATCATCGGTATTGATGTAATACATAGAGTATTTAGTTTGTAAATCTCCCAAGTATTTCTTCCAGTTATTTTCAGTATCAGGACCTATTTGAGTTACTATTGTTGGAATAACTTGAGCAATTCTTTTACTGAGCTTAATAATTGCTCGAATACGTTCCTGATATGTTTCAGTTTCCTGTGATGAAGCTTTATCTCCCAACTTTTTGTTTAATTGGATACTCAAATTTTTAATGATAGTATTAAAGACTTCTGCACCATCTTTTGAAAGAAGTGTAAGGAATGATGTTCCATGGTTGTTAATAAAATTAATTAAATTAGTACATGATAATACTATAACATCATTTTGAGCATCAACTAACCCCTGAGAAGCAATATTAAATCCAAGCTCATTTAAATCCACAGAATTTTCTTTTAAAACCTCATCATCTAAAGACAATACAGTATAAAAAAATTCATAGATCAATTTTCTAATCTCTAACCCTTCATCTAAAACATATTGAGATGGACCCATAGGAATGATCTTTTTGAATTTAATTTCAGGTTGTAACTGCTTGTATAATTGAGGAAGAATTTTAGTTTCTAACTGACTCATTATAATCAAAGGTTTGCTGTGTAAGGCTGTCAAAAGATTACCCACTAATAATTGACGAATATCAATACTAAGCAAGGATGTCCAAGTCATAGATATAGCAATCAATTTTTCTAATAAAGCTAAAGAATCAGGTGAATTATTTAATTTGTTTATCAATTGTTTCGAAATAACCAAAATAGTATATGCTAGCGTGAAATTATCAACTTCGGTAGTATCAGAATAATATTTGTCAACGATTGGTTCTATTAATCGTTTATCCAAAACTATAATATCACCCAATAAATCTCCTACAGCTCTCAAATCGGAACAAATAGCATGATCAAATTCAACTTTTTCCGTTGCTTCCCAAACTTTATACCAAATTGATTCCAATTGCAATTGATCACATTCAGGCAATATGATTCTAAATGAAGATATAAGATGAATAAAGTTTGATGATTTACCTAACAGAAAATGATTCAATAATGCCACTAACCCAGTAGGTATATCTCTATTGGCAATAAGACCAATGGATACAGATAATGCTTGTTTTATCGATTCATCATGAGCATCTTCAAGAATACTAAAGAGATCAGAAATACGTACTTTATTCAAAGGAACATATCTTCCAATATACCCCAAGAATCGGATATTAAAGAGAAGATTATTACTTCTAAGAAGTACCGCTTCTTGAACTTTATCTATCTCATCTATTACTTGGCTATTAACACAGGAAATGGCCAAAAGCTTTGCTGCCACTTCCAATTCCAAGTTGAGAATACCTGGAAGAGCATAATAAATGTTGTTCTTTTTAGATACAGCACCAAAGAATTCAAAAAATGAATCATTATCTATTGAGACACTGCCATTATTAACCAATTCAGTTCCAAAATTGATGATTGCTTGTAAATTATTAGACAGTATTTGATCCTTTTCGTATACTAACTTCAAAACTTTAAAGGTACGAACCACATCAAGCGTTCCTTTCCTTTTAAGAATGGCATCAACAGCTTCATTTGTTCCCAAAGTTGAACCAGGAATCACTAAAGCTAATAAATCTAAAGTTAAATGATAATTAATTTCATTATCCTTTAAAATAATACTACTCAAAAATGTTAATGAGACATTTCTTGAAAGATTAGGATCATTCGAATAAATGTTAACTAATGCTGTAAGAGAAGCATTAGTGATAGTCTCATTTTCTAAACCTTTCCATAATACATCAATAGCTTCTTGGTCTTTATCTTTAGGATTCAAAGTGGTCAAAAGAAGAGCAAGACTTTCAATACAATGTTGAATAACATCACTACTGTAACTTCTAGTATTAAGAATCTTTTGAAGTAATGCATTCTTTAACTTGTCTTGTAACTCAGAAGCAATTATTCTACTATTCTGATTTCCAAGTAATTCATTCAAAATCTTGATACTTTCATGAATGACATTAAAAGCTTTATCATCGAGTGAATCAAGTAATTCTCCAGCTATAAAGTTAACCGTATCAGTTGATAAAGTTCCAGACTCATTAAAATGTTTAAGAACATTTTCGTAAAAGGTAAAGTATTCTGGAGAACCTCTAGCCTTAACATCTAAAAGATTCAATTTATCAAATACACCATTTATCATTGAACTATCATGGAATCTATTGGTTGATTTGATTACCAGAAATACAGAAACTAATTGGTTAAGCCTACGTTCTATTAAGAAGGAGTTAAAGATTTTATTCTTAATGAATTCAAACGTTGAATTCTCACTACCTTCAAGAGTATTGATTATGGTCTCATAAGCAGATAATGCTTCATTTGATACCAATTCATTAGAATCATCAGCTGGAATAAGGATTACCAAATGTTCATAAACATCAGGTAATCCTTGAGGAAAAGTTTTGATGAATAACTTTAAAAGTTCACAAGCTTTTAATCTCAATTTCCACAGATTATCATCTTCATTGAAGTTATCATCATCATTAGCATCATCGATATCATCATCAAACTCTAACTCATCCTCATCGCCATCAATATCAATAGCATCATCATCATCATCATCATCATCCACTTTAAATGGATTAAACGTTAAGAATGATGAAATAATTTGAAAGATATCCTGTCTAAAATCATGCAATTCTTGAATCATATCACCTATTAAAGTTAATGATTGTTCTCTTAGTATATTCAACTGAACTAATTCGTCGAAATCAAAATCGTCGTCTTCGTCATCAAGTACTATATCATTTAGATTTAAGGCTTTTACAATCTGTTTAAAGATATTATGGATAGTTTCCTTGTTTACTGGAGTAACATTATGAAAGGCAATAGAATACAATTGAAATTTAACAAGTTGATTTGAGTATGCATCAAATGCATCAAGAACCTGTTCTTTAACATCTGAATGTTTAATATATTGGAAAAGATGTCCATAAGCGGTAATGGCTCGTTTACTAATTATTCCTTTCTCATTAAATATCCATTGTATAACGAATTTTAATGAATTATATACTTCAACTTCCGTTAATACATAACCTAAATTTTTAGATAAATCTACAATTATTTCAATTGCATCAACACTAGGAGATAATCCTGAAAGTTTAGGAAGAATTTCTTGAATAACTAATGTACATACAATTCTTCTTTCTATTAATGATGAAGAATTTAATATGGACTTTAAAGTCATAGTGGGGATTGACATTGTAAAACTTTTAGATCCATCAATGGCTAAATCAAACAATTGACTAATGGTCTTAACTAACACATCATTTCCTACAAATCCTATGATTGGTTCAAAGGATTTAACTGCTTGATTTTGTACAAATGAATATTCATCCTTTAATAATCTGAACAAGTCGGGGATAAAGCTTTCAATTGCCCTATTAGGAGTATGGGCAGGAAAATTCGTTAAAAACTTTCGAAAATCTTCAAGCGCCATAAACCGGAGATCCGGATCCACATCAAGTGACTTATCTTTCAAAGTTCTAATACTTTGATCCAGCATTGTTACTATAGTTATTAGTTATTAGTTTTTAGTTTTTAGTTACGAGTGTACTGCTTAGTCGGGATTTGGTTATCTGAAAAATTCAATTTTGTTCGGTGCGGAATGTGTCTGGCGACTACTGTATAATTCTGTATGAGTTTGTCTATCTACGCTATATGCCGTTTAGTCTACTTAGTGGATGTGTGTTTAGTCGACGTCTACTTCGTCTATGAGTAAGTTGTCTGAGTCTGAGTCTGAGTCGGAGTCCGAGTCGGAGTCGGAGTTGGAGTTGCGGGATTGAGCTGACTGTGACTCTGCATCTGAGTCTGAGTCTGAGCCTGTATCTGAGTCTGAGTCTGAGTTTGAATTTGAGTCTGAATCAGATCCTGTACTTGAATCTGCCGACTCTTCAGCTTCTATTTCAACTTCTTCTTTTTCCTCTTCTTCCTCCTTTTTCTCCTCGGTCACTCCTCCCTTTATCTCAATCACCTCGTCTGTCATCACCGATAGTATTCGCTTGTATCTTAACACCGTAGAAAGCTCTGGTTTATCTTTATCTTCTTCCTTTTCTTCTTTTTCTTCTTTAGCTTCTTCTTCCTGTTTCTCACCATTCAATTTCAGCTCGATTTCTCTCTCTATCTTAGCTTCTACATCTTCAGCCAATTTATTCCACTTAACAATCTCAGCTTTCATTTCATCTATTATTCGACTTCTAGATCCACCTTGTAAACCTTCTAGATAAGTAATAAGATCATCTTCATAATCAGATGGAACACTTTTTAAATTCTTTAAGATCCAGTTCTGTTTCTGTTTACTGAACTTCCAATTGTCTCGATCTTTAGCAAACTGCCTCAAATATGTTAATTGATCTTTAACTGGTGGTGGACCTCTTTCTTCCTTGGGTAATTTAACTCGTTTTGGTGGCTTCTTATTACCATCTTTCTTAGTAGTTTCTAACTGTCTCTTCTGTTTGTTTAATTTCTTAATATCATTATTAGTAAGATTAGAGTCAGATAAATGTTGACTAATAGCAAGAGGATCTTCCTCTAACTCCTTCTTAACTTTTAACCCAATACGTTTCCAAGCAGGTACCTTATCAGACATTTTTGTACTTTATGGTTAATGTCTATTAGTTGTAGCTAGCTACAGTAGACTGAAAAAAAAAAAATATCACTACATCGCATTGCGGAAAAAAAATTCTTTGGGGCCCACTTTAGCGAAGCCCATAGTTGTTTTACTTCTTCACTAATCAATACGCTAGTCACTAAAGAGACTGATTTTCTTAGTAGATTCGTTCGTCAGTGTGTTAGCTAGAGTGAGAAATTACATGGTTTGAGTCTGTTATAAATTGTCATACTTATAATGGATATAGAGATTGTAAACATTTATAAATTTATACATAACGTTTAAACATTTTATATGTGCTGTAAAGCATACTTTGTAATTTTTTGATAGTCCTTGAAGGCTTGAAGGAGATCAGAATTCTCAACAAATTCATGATCGGAATGGGCCACATGGATAGAGCCTGGTCCATAAAGATATCTCTTTTGAACTGGGACCAGTAAGTTTGGTATGTCTGTTCCATATGCCAATACAATGGTGTCAAAATCAGGAATATCATAATCAATATGTTGAGCACTACTCTTGGAACGTATGTTGTATTTCAAATTAGGCACATCTTTAATTACTTGTAAAACTTTCTCTTCTACTTCCTTTATGTCAGTAGCAATTCTAACCAGGACCAATGCTTCAGCATATCCAGGAACAACATTTGCTGCTACACCTCCTTCGAATTTCCCAACATTTAATGTGTTTGGTCCAAGTAATTCATCTACAGGGAATTTCAAATTAATTAAATCATTCAAAACTGGAATTAAGATTTCTGAAGCTGAAACTCCTAATTCAGGATATCCTGAATGTGATGCTTTACCTTCTGCTTGTAATTCAATTACCATTATACCCTTATGACCTACTCCTAATTTCAATTCAGTTGGTTCACCAAAGATTGCTACATCCCATTTAGCATTTAATTCAGTGGCTTGTTGCATTCCGACACCACTGACTTCTTCTCCTACCACAAAGAGTAAAGATACATCACCTTCTTTAACTTCACCAGAATGAATTAAAGAAAGTAATGCAAAAACTTGGGCTGCTACTGATGCCTTAGCGTCACAAGATCCTCTACCATAGATTTTGGTGCCTTCAATATTATAAGGAATATAAGGAGGGACTGTATCAATATGTGAAGTAAGTAATACTTTGGTATTTCTGGTGGAACCTAAATAAGCATAAACATTATATCTCTCATCATAGTCATCATGAATTCTTTGTAATTCAACAGTGAAACCAGCCAATTCCAAATATTTCTTTAAATACTGGGATACACCATTCTCACTATTGGAAAGAGATTCAATATCAATAAGGGACTTGTGTAAATACAAGAAGGATAAATCATTTACATAGATATCCTTCAACCCCTCGAATTGAGTTCCAACAGCAAGTACCTCTTGGTTCAATCTTGAAGCCACAACTGCCGAAACATAAATGGTTATACAATATAATATAGACTGTACTGAAGCTTTCATTATGCTATATACTCAATAGATAGATATATACTAGTTAGTTATATAATTAGAGTTGTTGAACAGTGACGAAAAAAATAGTTCAATTGTGTGGTTCCTGGTTGGATTCCTCAGGGTTTGCTTCCCTGGACTTAATCCAAGCTTCGAACTTAGTGGTTAAATCCTGAGCAATCTCTTTAGCAGTTTCTTCTCTATTTGTAGTGGTAGACATTTTAAGCATTACTTGCAGAATATACAGAAATGCTCCTGATATGAATTCGTCCATTTGAGGATTTTCCCCATGGGGATTTAAGATACGTTTGGCAATTGATTGTAATTCTTCTGCCAGAGGAATCTCAATGGATCCAACTTCTTCTTGTTTATTGTCTTCTTGTGTTTTCTCTACCATCCTTATTATCTGTAAACGTACTAGTGTCCACTATTAGCTACAATTTAAATGTATTAAACATTCACATGTTCTTATATTCGCTATTTTTCCTTGGCCTACCAACAAAATTAACTAAACTAACAAAACTACAAATCATCCTAATAAATAAGTACCCAACGTACTACCAATAATGAAGAGAATTTATTCATCCTTCTTCTCAGCACTTTCAACTTTCCCTAAAGCTCCCTTAGCAAGATCTTCCTTATCCTTATCGGAAAGCTTTTCGAATTTGGCAATATTATCGGCAGCCGCACCTTGAACTCCAGACAGAGATGAGTCTCCACCGGTGGCTTCCTTAATGACATCCCCTAATTGACCGAATTCTTTGTTATCTTGAGATTCACTCATATTTACTTTTATGTATTAGTATATGTATATATATCTGCTTCAATTACAGTTACAAGTACAATTGATCAAAAAGAAGTAAGGAGTAATAGTAATCGTTCAGCCCTGTAATCAGAAATTCATTGCTAGGGGTGGGGAGAGAATGGTCGTGCGACTGGCAATAACTTAAAAGGTATCTTGTAACCTATACCTGTACCTGGTTACCGTAACCTTATTAGGTAAGAATGCTGGGTATGGTGCGACCACTAGTTAGGTTGAGAAAAATAGGTAGTCCAGCCTGGCGGCCCGATTTGATAATTACCGATTGGGACGAAACTGTCACGAGTGAGGACACTATAAAATTAGTAGCGCAAGTGCCCTATGACAATAATGACAATCTCGAACCTAAGTTTCAATACTTTACCGATATATACTTAGCCAGTTATAAGAAGTATGTGGCTGAATTTTATCAGCAGTATGGTAATAGAGATAGCTTAGATAAAGAGATTTTATTTCAAAGGGGGATGAAGCAAGTGGAATTGAGCTCAGTTACGGCCCTTGCTAACCATAAGATATTTGCTAATTTATCAGAGAATCAATTCGCTAGACAGGCAAGTAACATCAAGTTACGACCAGGATTTGTAGATTGCTTCCGTAGTATTCAGAAGTTGAATATACCGATAGTTATATTAAGTATTAATTGGACAAGTATATTGATTAAGCAAGCTCTTAGAGATGCAGGATTAGATTGCGACTATGCCAACTTCTTGGTTAATGAATTCGAGTTTGATGATAATCACATTACTACTGGTAATTGGGTGGAAACTCCCAGTATTCGTACTGCTTTGGATAAGTTAGAGTTAACTAAACAACTTATAGCTAATTCTACTAATTCTGTCTATTTGGGAGACAGTTCTACAGACTTGTTATCATTACTTCATGTAGATACAGGTATCATTATACCAGATACTTCATTAGCGAAGTCAATACAAAACTATGCTTTTGCTAAAGATAAACTATATTTAGGAACTTGGCATGACTTACATAATTTACTTACTTCTACATAGTTATAATATACGTTGTAACATTAACGTCTCCAATTGTTTACTGGAGCAGCAAAATGTTGTTGAATTACTGCTCCTTGCATAGGCACATATTGACCATAAGCATAACCTGGAGGTGGTGGAGGTTGTGGGATTGCATAACCACCGGGTGCTCCACCTTCTTGAACCACTTGTTGATGAGTCATTGGAGAACGATGAGGAGCCTGAGATACAACCTGTGCTTGAATTGGAATTGGTCCTTGTTGATAGAAATATTGAGGTTGTTGATTAGGTGACCATACTTGCTGTACCTGAGGTGGTGGTAATTGAGGTGGAAGTTGACGAGGTGATTTGTGTTCTTGTTTAAATGATTGTGGATTTCCATAAAATGGAGTTTGTTGGCCAAAGCTTTGAGCGGGCACTTGTTGAGGAGTTTGTAATGGTTGCATTATTTGAACAGAAGGACTATGATGAGGAGGCACGGGTGTACGTTGTTGAGGAGTTGGTTGTTGTCCTTCTTGACCTGGCTGTTGCTGTTGTGTTTGCTGCAGTTGTGATTGTTGTGGGGGCTGTTGGGAACCTTGCATAAATGCAATTCTTTCTGATGGAAGGAGAGCTACAAGGTCTCTCAAGAAGAAACTTGGAACATCAGGAGGATCTCTTAATCCTGGGATAGGACCTTCTTTCTTTGAAGCTTTAGCTAAAGCTTCTGCTCTTTCTTCGAAAAAGGAGGCACTCTTTATATCTCCAATGGCTCTAAAGCAAGAAGCCGATCTACTACAAGCATCTGAAGCATCCATTAATTGATCATCACAACGTTCATATACACAACTTAATCCATCCCAAGCGGTGGCAGTACCAGGAGATCCTTCATCAATTTGTAAACGAAGAGCTTGAGAATATGCTGCTAAAGCATCGGGTAATTGTTTCAATTCCAAATATAATTTTCCAACTGCCAACCAAGTGATTGGAGAATTAGATGCTCTTCTTAATGCCACTTGGTATGAATCATATGCTAATCTTGGTTGATCTATTAATGAATATGCTTTACCTAATAAGTACCAAGGTAAAAAGTCTCCGTCATTATTTGGTTGTTCATTACCATTTTCCTTTTCCTTTTCTAAATCAATAATTTTACCTAATAATTGAATGGCAAAATCAGCATCTGATTTTCTTTGATTTAATAGTAATAGATAAGAATGTGTCATTAAAATTCTTGGAGAATCTCCAACTGCCTTTTCGGCATTTTCACAGGCTTGAATGGCTCCCGGTATATCATTAGCTCTTTCCTTTGCAGTAGATAAAGCTGACCATAAGGCTATATGTTCATCAATTCTTGATAATGGTGGTGGAGGTAATGATAAAGTGGCTGTTAATTCTGCGATTGATAATTCAATATTTCCATCAGCTGCTGCAATAGCGGCTAATTCAGCATGGGCTGCTCTGGCGGTTTCGATATCGGAGGAAGATAATTGACTTAAAGATTCCGGTAAGATTGATAAACAGTGAGTTAAAGATCCGGCAGCATGATTTCTGGCACCTGCTCTAATTAATGTTTGGGCACTTAATAACCAAAGTGAGGCATCATTTTGAGATAATTGAATGGCGGTTTGAATCGATTGATGAGCTTGATCATTGAGACCAATTAAAATATAACATTCAGCCAATTCCTTAAATATAGCCGAATCTTTCAATAAATCAGGATAAAGTTCTAATGATTTATTCAATCGTTCTATAGAATTTTGAGACCCTACAGTTTCATTTAAATTAATATCATTTAATCTTAGTGAGTAACTTAATCCACAAAGGGCTCTGGTATTGGAAGGATCATGGTTCACTGCTTTTTCAAAGGACTTTATGGCAGATACAGTAAGTCCTAAAGTATTGGCACAGTTCCCACAAGCTATCCAAGTTTCTGAAGCTGTCAATTCATAATTGTGAATGAAATCACTTTGTGAAGCAGTTCTTTGGCGTTTAATTCCAGGAGATAATTCTTGATGTCTTTTAGTCATTTTGAAATACTTTGGAGTTATTTCGGGATCAACAAGAAGAAGAAGAGAGTTAGCTTTACAAAAAAAAATTGTCATTAGAGAAAAGTGGGATCGTTACCAACCTTTTTTTGAAACAAGAGAGAGCAAAAATGTAGAGACAGAATATTTTTTACTTTGGTGAAAGAAATAATAATGAACAAATAAAACAAAACGTAAATTAAAAAATAAAATAAATGTTAATCAAAAAATAATTTTATGCAAGTTATTCTTTTGTTTAGGTAAGTTTAGCAATATCTCACCAAAATCAAACAGAAAAATGCTAAACTAAAAATATAAGAAGAATCAGTGAGAAAAAATAATATCCTAATAAAATTTACTAAACTTAAAAAATACTTTTGATTTTTAGTGGGAAGTATAGTTAAGATAAATGCCCACCACCAATTAAGCAAAGTTGAACTATAAAGGATATTCGGTATATTAAACCAAACTATAACTATATACTATAGCGTAGTAATAGTTTAGAATAGTGTGGTATGTTCTTGTAAGAGAAAACGAATAATAATCGGATTTGAATGTATATAATATTATTATTAGCATTAGAATGTATCGTGACCGACAATGCCCGGAAAGTAAATTTGGACAGGAAAGAAATTTTCAGGCAACATATGTTGGTAGGTAATGCACATTGATTGTTATGGCCCTAACGCATACCTGAACAATGCTTGGGGCTTATAAAAAATATTTCTTAAGCCATCATTGCACTAGGTTCGATTTACTGCAATCTGTTACGGTGTATGTACTAAATGTACATAAATTATTTTTTATTTTTTTAGATTCTAATGTGCACAATCATTTTCCTCATGCATCTTGTATTGCTTCCTGCAGATGTTGACTGTTGGAAATTTTCCAAGGAAGACACAGAAAGAGAAAGAATAATTTTATATCAAAAAAAACTACCGTTGCCTCCAAGCTTGCACTGGCTCTGCCACATACACATACGTCCACTTCTACCTCCTTCGTAAAAGACACACAGATTAATAGTTAACTAAAAGGGTTTTAACAGAAAGTAAACTCTCATAAGCATTGATTAAGATCGCAGTAAACCTTTTGTGTTTCATCGTTTCTGGAAGACCGCCCACCTCCGTTGGCGCAACATGAATCCTGAATGTGAACCCGCATACTTTTCCCTTTTCCATTTCAATATCTAATAGTTTAATTATTTTCTCGACTGATATCAAAACGAATACTTTTCTTTGCAAGTTAAACATTTTACATTTCATGAATTTGACCTAGACTATCATTGACTGAAAGGATTCTACAAAAGTACTCGTCTGATGAACCCTATTCAACCATCCTTATCTTAACCAGCTCACAACAGTAAAATTAGAAATTGCGTATTGTTGCTGATCAAAACCACCTGCATTGCTTACACTTCCGTTGAACAGTTTCTTTTTTATTTTTTTTTTTTATTTTTTATATTTTTTTAATTTATTTTTTTAGTTTTTAATTAATTTTCTCTAGCTTTTATTAGCTAGTTTTACCTGCGCATCAACATAGGAGAAAATCATCATCGTTTCTATGGGCCAATTTCAAGTTCATGTGGCATACAGACAGATTGTCGTGTTAAACAACAATATCAGATGCAAGTAAGATGTCCAATGAGAAACCACCTTCGTTAATTAAAAAGGATGGATACTCTTATATGTTAGAGAATCTCAATTCAAAGAAAGAAATTATAGACGTTAATGACAGCAGCACATTCCTGACAATGGAAAGAATAATAAAATAATTACGAATCCAAATGTACTTGCTCGAGTTATTTCCAGGAGGCAGACATTAGACATAGTCATGAAACAGCTTTAAAGAAAATGTTTGTTGTTTTGAACTAAATCTAGACAATCGAAACAATAGCGCTAAAGTAGAACTCATTGTAATCAGCATGTGTAAACGTTATCAGGTACAAAACAGCTTCTATCTTTCTATAAACACTTACTGCATTAAAACACTTCGTTACAATTACTACATTTGTTGTACTATCGATGTTGTTATCGTAAGCTTTTAGAATAGGCGTCCGGAAGAGGATCATCACAAATATATACGTTGTGTTGATGCGAATTTGATTTGTCAAATGAACACAGGCGATAAAATAATACTGGCAAATTCTTGTCCTTGCATAAAAAAATAAAATTAGATTATAATTTCAAATGGAAGCTTAGTCCGATGTGTGATTGTTGTTTGTTTTATTTGTTATAGTTGGTGCCTTCTGAGAGGACCCATTTACTGAAACTTATATATTCTAACAATTTAGATCTGAATTAAGAGCACTGATAAATGTAAAAATTATAATGGTACCGCACTATTGGTCATGTGTGATAAATAACATGTGGTCCATCTCATTCTCCAGAAATTAAATTTTATATTTTTTTTATATTATTTTTTACTATCTGTGACAGTTTTAAGCTTTTAGTTACGAACAAATGATTCATTGTGTCAGGTAAAAAAATAAATGCACAATGATAGAAATAGTTCTGAAAAAATATGCAAGGAGCTCAAATGGAAATTTCCTAATTCAGAAAGTCAATTTAAGAGGTCATCTCAGCCATACTAAATACTCAATTAATTTCCACGCTTAACTATAATAATCCTTAAATAGAGAAACTTAAGAACTCTATTTTTATTTTGAGTTTAGAAATGCTTAGCTGAACCATACAAAGCTTAGAACAGTCAGGCTATTGAAAAAGCTTCTAGCCAACGAGCAATTAATCCAGATGCGCGGATTTACAAAAAATGTACGTAAATGTAATGATCAAATCAATTAAGTTTTCTCTACCCTCGAGTGAGTGATGATTGCGGAGTTGTTCCTGTATGAGCAGTGGCTTCTCCGAAATAACTGCATTATTATATTTCCAAAATATCTCATATCATCCTTGTTATTGCTCATGTGTGATAGCAATTGTTGACAACATGAGATAAAACTTGTGCGCTGCTTGACAAATTGAAATTCATATAGACGAGATTGCGGTGACTGGGAAGGGGAACTGACAATACGCACAGTCTTTTAAAATAATTTATTTTTCCGCATGTACATGCATGAGATTTTATGATGCACATCTTAAAAAATATTTGATTGCCCATGCACTGGAAGCACTTAAAGTTAAAGTTTAAATCTCTTCCGTTTCTAAATTTCATTTAGCTTTTTCTCTGTATTAGGGACAGGGTGGGTATATCATCCACTATATAAATCGAGCATTTCCACCATATTTTTCTTAGCGAACTTCCGAAATCGTATTTTAATTGAACGTAGTATTTTAGTTTTACCTTCCGAAAATTAACTTTTTTTTATTAGTTAGTCTCATGGTTGGGAAATTTATCGCGAAGACGATATTACAAGAACAAGTAGTCCTCTCTTCTAGTCTTTGAGTATTCTGTAAAATGTGGACATGAAACGGAACTCCTTCGAAGTTTCCTAAAATCTTGTCACTTAGTATTCATTAAGAAAAGAAGGAAATATCTGTAAGCATATGCACGTAACTTTAGCATTATCGCATATCATTCCACTTGCTATCGTACAACACATCGATTTTAAGTTTAAGCCTTCTCGTGTAAGTACCTGCCTTTAAAATGTATACCAATCCTGGTTGAAACATTCATGTCGAAAATTATGTTAGGACGCCGCCTTACATTTATCAGCGAGGGTTCAGCTTATCTCATTATTAAATTTCAGAGGACCGTTTGGTCCTAACTCCATACACACAATTTTAAGCACTTCATAAAATAATAATAAAAATAAGAATTTTGCCGGAACAAAGTATAATTGATTCTTGGATCAATATACTTAATCAATTATACTTTGGTTATAGGAAAGTATATATACAAGCTAGTTATATCTATAGAACCAGTTATAGAAGCAATAGCAGTTGTAAAAGCAGTTTTCCGGTTCCGGCACATAGTCTCGGAAATATTTCTCACTATATAATTTTTTTCAGTCCTCATCGTTAGCCATAGCTCTAGTCACTATGAGAAGATTACGACAATGATACGATATACGGGATCCCGAATAAGTAATATTCTTGTGAACCTTGCTTTCAAGAGGTTTAACTCTACTTTTGATAGTTTAGCTTCGTCATCTCCCTTATTATCCAATTTATACCCTACATGTACAAGTTGCGGGATCAGGCTTCAAACTGTAGATAAAAGCAAGCCAGGTTATTATATACCGGTAGAAGACAGAAAATCTAAAGAAAAGGTCCTCAAAGATGTGGATTTGACTTTTCAAAGTCATATAGAGAAATTATCGCAAGAAGATCAGAATTTATTGATAAATGACACAACTTCGAAAAAGTCTAACAAAAGTTCTCTATTGTATCACTCCAAGAATATACTTTCAGATGCATTTCAAAAAGAGAAAATAGAATTAAAGAAGCGTACCAAAGATAACTCAGAGTGTGTACGATGCAGAGATGCTACTTATAGATCAAATTTTAAAGAAATTGGTCAAACAGAATTTCCTGTAAGAAAACTAGAAGATATCATGAAAGAAATTCCACCTCATGAAAAGATTATGTATATTGTAAGTGCTCAAGATTTTCCTTTATCTTTAAATCCGGCCATCTTTCAGTATCGACTTCCTAATGATATTAAATTTATTATTAATAAGAGTGATTTATTATTCAAAACTAATAACTTGAGTTTGAAATATGGAAAATCATTCTTTCAAGATTATCTTCGTCACAAGTATGGAGTACCTCCAGAAAATGTATTCATAACAAGTGCTAAGACCGATTGGAATATTAATTCATTATTGAATTTCATAGATGATACTTATTATTTGATAGGTAAAACAAATAGTGGTAAATCATCGCTCATGAAATCATTTTTATATTCATTTGAGGTTGATAGAATGAAGAACAGACTTCTTAATTCCAAGGAAAAGATCCAGCTTGAAAAGCAAGAAGATATCAAGATGAATACATCTTTACCTTTTGTCAGTAATAGTAGAGGTGATGGGAAAAGGTTTAAAGAATACTTCAACAAAATTATAGGTCCTGGTGCATCCTACGTCCCGGGTTATACAAGAGGCTTTATAAGAGTGGACTTGCCTAATAATAAGGTTATATATGATGTCCCTGGATTTATGACATCTGAAGATATCCACAGCTTCTATAGTCTTCTTGATACTCATAAGATCAAAGATTTAAGCAAGGGCGCTCTTGTCTATGAAAGGGGAATGTATAATTCTAGGTATGAAACGCTTAAAGGTGGTCAAACATTAACTGTAGGAGGTTTATTTTATTTGAACACTCCTAAAGAGTCAATATATCAAATTAGAAATTGCATTAACTCTGATTTACAGGTTTTCAGAGATTTTTCTAAGGCTATTCAAGTAAGTAAAAAATTGGATCCTAGTTTGGCTAACAAGTTTGTCATTAAGAATGATGACAAGAGTATCAGTGAATTGGAAAGCTTTATTATTCCTCCATTTTATGGAGCTATTGATCTTGTAATAAGTAACTTTGGTCATATTAGTATAATTCCGACTGGAGCCAAAAAGACTAATCAACCTTTAATCGTATACTTGCCTAAGGGGGTAGAGGCAGTTGTTAGACAACCAATTAGTCAATATATAGCTAAAACCTTGACTGGAAGAGATAAAAAGGGAAACATCTTAAGAAAAGAAAACTTAGTGTTGAAGAGCACTAAGGCAGTTAAAAGGTACAACAAAAAGAATCCATTTGCTAGTAGGTTGATACCATTTCCAACCAATGAATTAAAGCTCATATTAAACAATGAGGAGATATCGGAAAACTTTTTACAAAACCAGAAGTCTGCAACTTATGATAAAATCAATCATCTTGGTAGATTATCGGATAAAGCAGCATATGATGATCAAACTGTCCTTAATGAGGAAAATTGTTATGATTATTGGATCGAATAATTGTTTCTATACTAGCCACATTATGTGCTTAATATTTAATTTCGGCTTCCATCCTGTATATAGATATTCTCGCCGCTTTAAATATTTTTTTAATAGAAGGAACAATTAATCGTTGAGGTCTCGGTAAGTGAAAAAATAACATCAACGACGAATGAAGTTTATTTTTCTGTTTCATGGCAAAAAGAGGAAAAAATAATATTTTGTAAAAAATAAAACTAAAAGGGGAAATTCATAAAATAAATAATAAAAAAAGTGAGCGGAAAAAAGACCGCGTTAACTTAAAGCTAGTTAAGCGAGAAACTCCTAATCAAAAGGTCGGAAAAAAGCTGTAGTGTACTTTACGCGGCCGGACAAAAATGAACTCAGTTCCTGATTTTTCCTCCGGCGTACTGTGTAACTTTCCTACAGTGTGAGCTAGTTTCTTTGTTCTTATATTCTCAATTAACAATAATGACGCAGTCTGAGCTAGCTTTAACAAGGACAAACATCGATCGTCAAATATGCAACTCTGTTTTGCGAGTGGCTACTTTTATTGTTATTCTCCTCAGAGAATGATCACCCGAATTCGAGATGAGTACATACGTTTAGCAACGTCTAATAATTATAGAACTTACCCGATACCAAACTCTTTGACAAATACAGACAAATTCAATGTACGACACGTCTTTATAATACTTCGTGTATGTGAAATCCGTCCTTGTTAGCCCCTTCTACCGTTATACAGCTTCACTGACAGCACATTTGAAAAAACGCGCTACTTAAAATTTACCTCTAGAGAGCGCAAAAGTCTTACACAAAATTATCAAATCGTAAACATGACACACCTCCTTTTCTTAATAATGAAACGTCTATGTTTATGTGCAAGAGCTTCTGAATAATAGGGAAACATCATAATAAATACACAGAACAGTTGCTTGCGGTTGGTAGACTAGGCTTGTTTTGTTTTGTTTTGTTTTGATTTCTCTTCTTGTTAGTCGCAAACAGATTTTGGATATCATCTTCATTCTAATCTACTTCAAGCTTATGAAAAACAGGTGCAATTGATCATGTTGAGAAGCCAGAGCATTTCTAATTTAAACGATCAAAGGAAGTCAAAATCGACTGCTTTCTTTAGTTCTTTTAGGTCTAGAAAATTTTCTTCAAATGACTTGCATTCAATAGTCGATTCTACACCAACAACATCTACACCAGATACAAATACAACGGCTAACCAAAGGCCACTTAGTGCTAGTGTTTCTTCAATCAACTTATCCGGTGGTGGAGGTAAACTTCAACCCATAAAGCATTCATCGTCAGCCGCACAACAAAGACTCTATCATTCTTCAAAAAGTTCTATATCTACTTCTGAAGATAAAGAAAACATTGTACCGGCTAGTATAGCAAGAACTAAATCCTTGAAACTAAGATCTAGTGCTCCTAATTTGAATTTAGCTCAAGCAGCAACCACATCCGCTAATGCCATCACGGTTACCTCATCTAATAATAATAATAATGCTTCACAGCTTTATACTAGAAGATTAAGATCTTCCATGTTTCTCAATAATATCATTCTGAATGATTATGATTCATTAAAGAGTGAGTATAAAGGTCGTATTTCTCCTCCAGTATCTTTTATGAGTCCAGAGACTATTGGTACAGTTGATACTTTAGTTGACCAATCACCAATTAAGTTAACAGATTTTGAAAATACAAGTCAAGATTTTGATTCAGAAGCCACATTAAGTAGTTTCAGTAATTCTTCAACACCTACTGAAGATGAGTTCCCTGAACGAAAGAGAACTAATTCAACAAAGAGAAAGCTACACAGAACAACTAATTCATATAATATTAATGAGTTTATAAAAATACTAAAGCAAGAAGATTCTACAAAACTTCCAGTCAATAACAGAAAATCTCTTGAATTAGAGAGTTTAGAAAGAAAGAAATTAACAAGTCTTCTAAATGCGAATGAGGTACAGCCATATAAATCGACATTATCATTAATTGGAAATTCAATATTTTTAGTTATTAAAGATAATGAAATAGCAAATAATAATGAAGATAATGACGATTCCATCAAATTCTCAAACTCTCTAGAGGATATTGACTACATCGACGCATTGAGAGAAGATGGCTACGATGATATAGACGAACAATTAGTCATGGTCTTCTGATTTACGAACCACTTATAAAACACAAATGGCCCCTTTCGCAGCAAAAAAGAGACTTTTGTTGTATGAACTTTTTCAATTCTTTATGTATACTAAATATTTAAATAAACACTAATTAATTTAGCAAACATATCACAAATAAGCAATAATTCATTAAATATAAGTTAAAGAATACAATTAGCAAAAAAATATGATACAGTTATCAAAAAAGAATGCGATTTCTGTGGATCGAACACAGGACCTTCAGATCTTCAGTCTGACGCTCTCCCAACTGAGCTAAAGCCGCAAGAGAACCCACGCCGGGAGTCGAACCCGGAATCTTTTGATTAGAAGTCAAACGCGTTAACCATTACGCTACGCAGGCCTATTTGTTGACAAAAAATATGCTATGTTTGTGCGAGAGTGTTTTTATCACGTGATTATGTTCACATGAGTTTTGGTCACGTGACACTGCCCATATTTTGACCTAAATCCCAAATTCTTAATCAACTCAAGCCAATAATGCAGTAATTAATATATATGTGTACTTGTTTACCTCAGGGATTTTTAAATTTTGGAATTTAATAGACTTTTTTACGATATTAAGTGCCTAAATTTGATAACCCTTGAGTACAATTATTCCTAAACTTTATGCCAAATCTTATAAAAACTTTGGAAAAAGCATAGTACTACAATTAACAATAAATTTATCCTATACTCCAAAAAACAAAGTAAATCCCCATATTTAGGTCATTATAGGCTTGTTGAATATAAATAAGTAAATTCATTTTTGTTGCGAAATATTTGCAGGTGTCTAACTTAGAACTGAGGATAAGCATTGATAGTCGTATCACTAGAGAATTCATTTATGTTGTCAAGCTTTCTTTAGGCCCTTTTGAAATTTGCAATATTAGAAGGTTGATTTAAATACAGTAGAAACGGTTAAAGCTGATTAGCTCTTGCACTGAGTAATTGGTCAATAAGTTTATAGAGTCGCAGCAACTTAAAGTGTCAAATTGGTAGCACGCACTTTTTCTCATATACCAATTAGGAATTGCTGATAAGAGCCATAGTGAGAATAATTTTTCAAACAATTATCACGGAGTATCAACATACCATACGGCTAACCAATGTACAAGGGATCCTTACGAGGGCTTAACTACATTAGAGGTAGTAAAAGACTTTTTACTACTAATAGTGTTCCTCCTCCACCGAAAAGAGACTTTTCAACATTAATATATGGGCTTACGGCGATAACTTTAGCTTCTTATGGGGCTTACAAATTTGGTCAATATCAAATAATCAATAGTCCACCATCTAATTTGTTCCCATTGAATTCCGTGACAAAGCTTCTGGATTTAGAATCCCCAAAATATGGGACTACTGAAGAGATGCTTCAAGCAATTGAAGAAATTAGACAAAAAGTACCCAATGCAGAAGTGACTAATAAAGAAGTTGACCTTGATCATCATACAAAAAATGATTTCACTCCACATTTACCATTGGACCATGAAAAACCTCAATTCATTATCTATCCATATACTACGGAACAGGTTTCTGAGATTTTGAAGATTTTGAATAAGTATAATATTCCTATTGTTCCATTCAGTGGAGGGACATCTTTAGAAGGCCACTTCTTTTCAACCAGACAAGGTGTAATATTAGACACATCAAGAATGAAACAAATTCTTGAAGTCCATGAAGATGATTTGGATTGTGTAGTTCAAGCAGGTGTCAATTGGCAAGAATTAAATAAACATTTAGAGTCTCGTGGGCTTATGTTTGGAGCAGACTGTGGTCATGGAGGATTAATATCTGGTATGATTAATACAAATGCTTCTGGAATCAATGCTTCTAGATACGGTGCTATGAACACTAATGTTATTTCAATAACTGTTGTATTGTCTGATGGAACTATTGTCAAGACCAAACAGAGACCTAGAAAATCGAGTGCAGGATATAATTTAACTCAATTATTTATTGGTAGTGAAGGAACTTTAGGAATCGTAACAGAAGCCACTGTTAAATTACATGTGATTCCGAAATATGAGACTGTTGTGATTTGTCAATTCCCAACAATTTTAGATAGTACCAATACAGTTGCTCAAATATTCAAGCTGGGTATTCAACCAAATGCCATTGAATTTCTAGATGCTGATATGATGAGATGTTTAAAATATAGTGGATATTGTGATAATAGTTGGCAGGAAAAACCTACCATTTTTTTCAAGATTGGAGGACTTAATAAAGTAGTTGTTGATGAATATATTAAGCAATTGAAAAGTATCGCCAAAGTTAATAAGGTTGAACTATTTAAATTTGCCAAAAACAAACAAGAAGGTGAAGAATTATTTTCCGCTAGGAAAAATGCATTTTATGCTATGATTGATTATGGTAGAAATGAAATTGATGAAGATATGAGAATTTGGGTTACAGATATTGCAGTTCCATTATCAAGATTATCACCAGTATTAACAGAAATTAATCAATTAATTAAGTCGAGTGGATTTGAATCTATTATTTTAGCCCACGCAGGAGATGGGAATTTTCATGCTGATTTATACTATAAGCCAGAAGATAAGGCAAAATGTGAAGCAGTTATTAAACAAATGATTAAGATTGGATTAGATAATGAAGGTACATGTACAGGAGAACATGGAGTTGGTAATGCAAAGAGAAATTATCTTGCAATTGAATTAGGTGATGACGCTATCAGTTTAATGAGAAAATTAAAGATGGCTCTAGACCCGAAGAGAATTTTAAATCCTGATAAAATTTTCAAGATTGATCCTGAAGACGAAGGAAAATATTAGACTATATGCTAGAATATTTAGTAATAGATTTTTATAGACAGACCGAATATAAAAACATGCCTATGACGATAGCGCAAATTTAAAGTTAAATAAAGTTTAGTCGATTTAGATTTAACAATAAGATACGCAATAATTTACGATATTATTTAATTGCTTCTCTGTGAAAATTATGGTTTCCCCACAAATCAAAACTAGTCCCCTCGTCGTTTCATTACTTTTTTTGTCTTTAATTACCACGGGGTTTGACCTAGGCGGAGATGGAAAATAATAGAATATTATAAAGAAATTTAAATGTAACTAGGTTTATATATGAAACAAATGAATAAATGACTACTACCACGAGTACAATTACGATTACGATTACCATTACCATTAATTACGATGGAACAAATTTGTTTGTGGCCCGCCGCAGTGGCAAATATTTTTTTAGGTACAGATTGGGGTAACAAGGTTGTAACTTACATCATTATATAATAATAGTAGATAGAGGTAGTATTCTTTTGCCCATTGTAGATATTTATTTATTGCTGAAACGGGCAGCCGGTAGTTGTTGACTCCAAAATAGGAGTGAAAAAAGAAAATCTTCTCACCCCCTTTATTGAACTTGACCGGCATGTCATTTTTTTTCTTTCTCAACTGATAAAGAAAAATGTCTCCTGTCCGCTTTGTTATCTCAAACTGAATGTCTCTTTTTCTGACCAATTTACAGGTTATCTCTACGGATAAATTTCAATAGTCAAAAAATTTTTCAAAACTAGTCACCATCTCCACAATAACTTTCCTCCACCGTCCGAGAGCCTTTTTCATACTTTAGTTCTTATTTAGTTAAGTTTGGTTAGTTTAGTTAAGTTAAGCTAGGTTAAGTCGTGCAAGTTGTGTGAGATCACGTGTGTTCCATAACCCATTACACATCATACAATTTCTTTCCTTGTCTTGCCTTGGCAGACATAAAACAACTTAACAATCCCAAGAAGCTTGAAGTTAAGCCTTAAGAATTTATACATCTATTGTATCATTTACTAATGATGAGCTTCAATACTGAAAATATAAATCAAAAACTTCGTAATCTATCGCTACTTGAATCTACCGACCCTTTAGCATCTAGAACTTCTTCATCATCTACCAATATGGCTTACAATAATTTAACACAATCTGATGGAGATTTCGATGAGTCATATCTTAATAATAATAATAATAATATCCATGATAATCCTTCACTGATGTTAAGATCATCTACTTATCCTACTCCAACAACAACGGCTGGTGAAAATTCATCATTTTTACCCTTACTTCAAGCAAATAATTCTGAAAATAATACTTCCAGTCAAACTCCAAAGAAGTCATTATTATCATCATCATTAGCAGGAGAAAAGAGATCAAAATCAAATTTAATTAATGCGACTACTTCGATAAACTATAATACAATCGATCAACATCCTCAGTATCATCATTCAGATCCAAATTTGCATTCAACTTCAACTTCAACTCCTTCAGCTAATATAAATATACCGACAAGCCAACAAACAAATTATACTGATGAACATCCAGAACCAGAATTATTAGCTACTTCAGTAGGTAAGGAAGTAGATGGAAGATTAATCCCATCATCATCAACTATAAGTTTATTATCATTGAATTATAATCACGAACCTCAACTTCAACCTCTATCCCAAGTGCAACCACAACCACAATCTCAATCTCAAGCACAACCCCAAAAATCTCCCAGAGTTTTACAAACTTCAACTTTCCAACAACCTCAACCAACCATTGATAGAAAAAATTCATTCACAAATATAATCAGTAGAGGTTCTATAACTCATTTGAACCAGCAACGTTTACAGCCTTATCAAAGACTAACTTCTCCACCTCCTGGTTCAACAACTTCGAATTATTACCCAGAATACTTTTTATCTAATTCCACAGCTCAAAGTATCCCAATTAAGCCATCGGTTCAACATATAAGTGGTCCTGAAGGTACAGTACCAGATTCACCATATTTGGATCCAACATCTGTAAGTGGCTCGCCATCTCGATTCTGGTTATCATCTCAAACTCCTCCACGTTCATTAAGTAATGCTCACAGAAGTACCAGTCGTACGCAGTTATTCAATCAGTATCAATATCAACACCAACACCAACATCAACATCAACATCATCAACATCCACTGTATATCCCTATAACCAGTGTGAATAATTATGTTACAACAAGTGCCAGTACTACTGGAGCTACCTCAGCTTCCATTCCTATTAGCACTAATGGTAGTGATTCTCCTACTTTGGATCCAGTCCAAACTCCCTTAGAAGATCCGCCTATGACTCCCTTGTATCTTAGCAAGAATGTAAGTCCTAAATTAAGTTCAGACTCATATTTTAATGGATATTCACTGGCACAATCAGTCCATCCACCCCCATATATTGATGAGCTGGTTGAACAAGAGTTTCTTGATAATGAGGATAATTGTCAAGGAAATGGTCAAGGAGATAGTGTCGTCGATGATGACAATATTCTAGACAGTGTCATGGGAGGTCAAGAAGAGCATGGGAAGCTTAAGGTTAATGATTACGAAATGATTTGATATTTGATATACAGATTGATGGGGTTCAGGAATGCAATATAATGTAATATATATACTATATAATTTAATATTAGGCAGGAGTAAATGTATAGGTTTAGGGATAAATAGTCATAACGAACAGTAACTGGTAGGCGCAGAAACGGCTCGCTAAGAAATTAGCGGCAAAAATGAGTTTTCTCGGTAATTTCAATTAGCTAAAGTTGACAGTAATTTCCTACGTTAGATTAGATAATACTACAGTATACTTCAGTAGATTAGAGAATACCTCAGTATACTACAGTACAGTACAGTAAATTAAGTTCATTTCAGTCACACAGTCACACAGTCACACAGTCACACAGTCCAGAGTACACCATGTCTACCTACGAAGGTAAGTATCAATACATAATTCTTTTGGTGATTCACAATACTAACAACAATAAACCTTAGACGATCATAATATAGATAATCGGCCAGTCAGCAGAAACAACGACAACACTACTAGAACTCATAGACCAAGACAGCATCAGACATTATCATCAGCAATAGAATTCTTTCTCACTCAGGAAAATACTGGGGCAGTAACAGAAACTCCTACTGATGAAGTATTTGCAAATGCTTTACGATTTCTTAGTGAAGATCAACAATCGGAAGTAGTTGTAAACTTATTATCACAAATCAATGACAATGATGATATTACTACTCCATTAAAAAAACAGAAGAAAGGTGTAGAACAAGAATTCATTGATGCTCTAGAAAGAGTACCACTAAATAAGATTAAGAAAGAAGCAGATTGTCCGATCTGTACCAATAAATTTGTAGATAATGATTATCCATTAATAGTCAAACTCCCATGTTTGCATACAAAAGTAGATCATATCTTTGATTTGGAATGTATTGGACCATGGTTGAAATTTAATTCTACTTGTCCATTATGTAGATTTGATGTATTAGAAGCTGATAAATTTAGAAAGGAAAAGCTTGCAGAAGAATTAAAGAAATTACGAGAAGAAGATGAAGAAGAGGAAGATGATGACTGGGAGTTATACGGATGATTTTTAATTTTTAATTATTAATTATTTAATGATTAATTAATTATTCTTTATTTATTTATTGAACGCATATATACAAGCAGGGGTAAGCAGACTATTTACTTTCATTAAGGTATTTCTTAAATGTATCAGATTTCAATAAGTCCTTCACCTTATTGGCGATTGGATCATTCATTTCATCATAGGCTTGTGGGAATTCAATTTCCTTCAAGTTTTCCAATTGTTTACTAAATTCCAATGTTTCAGTGGTAGTAATAGAGGCAGCATATTGTACACCTTCTATTTTATATTTGTTTATGTATGATAACCATAAATCTATAACTTCAGGATCAGCATCATATGCTATTAATGATTTTTTGAATGTAGTTCTATGGAAATTTTGTTTAGTCTTTGCTTGAGCAAAGGGTGATTTAATAACAGTATACAATCTCTTTTCAGTTTTTAAAGTATTTAATGGAGATGTAGGTATACCTAAATAAAAGGCAGCTCTTAATGCAAATTCTCCTGCTCTAATTAATGAATTTTCATCATACCCTTGTAATTTAATAGTAGCAATTTCATTACCTTCAGTTGGTTCTAATCTGAGAGGTTTATACTTTAATAATTCAACATTTATTGGAATAGGTCTTCCCAGAATTGCATCTGTTTTGGTTTCACTTAAATACTTTGGATTATATTCGAATTTTTCTCCTAATAATGTTTGTCTATATTGTTGTTCTTCTATACGATTAATCTTCTGTTGTTCAATATATTCTTCAGGCGATTTGAAGTTAACATTTGTCTCAGACTTTTGGTTCCATATACTGCTGGTCATAAACGAACGCATAGACGGTCTGGCCATCTGCCTTCTAACAATCATACTGAATCCCACCATAATTATATTCACTATTACTTAGACACTCGTACGAGACAAACTCCCACTAAACTAATCAGGTGCTGTGCTCGTTATACGTTGATCAAAATTTTTCAGAATACATTTTTTCGCTAGTGTTCATTATGCAGGCCTCGATTTTTTTCATATTTGGTGATACTTTTTTACAACCAGATGAGCAGAGCGAAGCCGATTAAGGAAGCAAGCAAGATCAGTACCGTAGGTAACTAATTAGTTAGTTAGCGCCATATATAGACACAGAAGTTGAGGATGGGGAAATCCAGTAAAGACAAAAGAGATATCTATTATAGACGAGCCAAAGAACAAGGTTGGAGAGCTAGATCTGCCTTTAAATTATTGCAACTTAATGAAGAATTTCAATTATTTAAGGATATTAAACGAGTGGTGGATTTATGTGCGGCACCAGGTTCATGGTCGCAAGTTTTAAGTCGAGAATTATTTGAAAATCAAAATCATAGTGATGCTAAAATAGTCGCAGTAGATTTACAACCAATGACTCCTATAGAAGGAGTTACAACAATTCAAGCCGATATAACTCATCCTAAAACTTTACAAACTATACTTGATATATTTGGAGGTGAACCTGCAGATTTTGTTTGTAGTGATGGTGCACCAGATGTTACCGGTTTACATGATTTAGATGAATATATTCAAGCTCAATTAATATTATCAGCATTACAATTAACAACTTGTATATTAAAACCAGGTGGATCATTTGTTGCTAAAATATTTAGAGGAAGAGATATTGATTTATTATATAGTCAACTAAGTTATTTATTTGAGAGAGTTATATGTGCAAAACCAAGATCTTCAAGAGGAACTTCTTTAGAAGCTTTTATAGTATGTATGGGTTATAAACCAAGACCAGGTTGGAATCCAAAATTAGAATTAAATAAATCAACTGAAGAATTTTTTGAAGATTCAAATATAGGAAAGAGTTATAATTTAGAACATTTTGAATTACCCGATCCAGAAGAAAGAAAAATTGCAAAATTTATTGCTTGTGGAGATTTACAAGATGGAGATTCAGATGCCACTTATACTTTAGATAATGATTCTAAAATAGGAGCTTTAGATCCAGTACAAATGCCTACAGCTCCACCTTATAAAAAGGCACTTGAAATGAAGAGAAGAGGGGATTTAGTAAGACGTTAATTAATTTAATATATTTATTGGTATATACATAGATATATTTATTTAATTTAATTTAATCTAATAACAGTAAAAGGAAAAGGAAAAAGGAAAAAAGTATTTAAAAGTTTTCTTCACCCTTAACTAAAGCATCAGGCTTTAAAGTTGGGAATAATAAGACTTCTCTAATAGTGTTGGAGTCAGTTAAGAACATGGCTAATCTATCAATACCACATCCCCAACCAGCAGTAGGTGGTAAACCGTATTCTAAAGCATTACAGAAAGTTTCATCAACTAATTGAGCTTCATCATCACCTTGAGCCTTTTGTCTAGCTTGTTCTTCAAATCTTTGTCTTTGATCAAATGGATCATTCAATTCAGTATAAGCATTACAAATTTCTTTAGTAGCAACGAAAACTTCAAATCTTTCACATAAACCTGGAATATCTCTATGCTTTTTAGCTAATGGAGACATCATTTGAGGATGACCAAAGATAAATGTTGGATTAATACTTGCATCTTCTAATTCACCAACTAATTTATCTAACATTCTAGCATTAGTTAATGGAGGAGAACATTCTAATTTATTATCCTTTAAAATTTTCTTTAAGAATTCACCAGTTTCAGCAGTATGTAATTGATCACCAGCTGGGAATTTAACATTGTAAACTTTTTCTAATTCTTCAATCATATTAACTCTCTTCCATGGTCTAGTAAAATCTAAAGTTAATTCTTCACCCTTTGGACCATCTGGATGATAAGTAACCTTATAAGATCCAGTAATTTCTTTAACCATTTCAGAAAATAATAATTCAGTCATATCCATTAAATCATAAACATCAGCATAAGCTTGATAGAATTCACAAGTAGTAAATTCTGGATTATGAGTCATATCAATACCTTCATTTCTAAATTGACGACCAATTTCATAAACTCTATCTAAACCACCAACAACTAATTCTTTTAAGAATAATTCAGGAGCAATTCTAAGGAACATTTCCATATTTAAATCATTATGATGAGTAGTAAATGGTTTAGCAGTAGCACCTCCAGCAATGACATTTAAAATTGGAGTTTCAACTTCAACGAAATCTCTTGAATCTAAGAATCTACGAATAAAACTAATAATTTTAGATCTAACTTGGAATCTCTTCTTAGTAGAATCATTCATAATTAAATCTAAGTAACGCTTTCTATATCTAGCTTCTTGATCTTTAAAACCGAAATGTTCAGTTGGTAACATATGTAAACAAGGAGTTAATAAAATAACAGAAGTAGCAAAAACAGAAAGTTCACCTTCACCACCTTTCTTTGGATTAGTTCTACCAGGATAACCAGTAACACCAATAATATCACCTCTTCTTAAATGTTCATGCATAGCTTCATAAGCTTCAGGAGTTGAAACATCATCAGCTTGAGCCATAATTTGAACTTCAACACCATCACCTTTTAAAACATAAAATTTTAATTTAGAACCAGATTCTCTTTTAGCCATAATTCTACCAGAAACATTAACTTCAACATCAGTTAAAGTTTCACCTTTAGTTAAATGATTATATTTTTCAATAAATTCAGGTAATTTAATTGAAACATGAAATTTATGAGGATAAGGATTTAAACTTGTTGAATCAGAATTATTAGCTTCTCTTAATTCATTAATTTTACTAGATCTAATTTCAAAATATTGATTAGGAGTTAATTCTTGTTCTTCACCTCCAACTTTCTTACTAACTTTTGGAGCAGTTGCAGCAGCTGTAGCAGCTTTAGCAGCTTTCTTAGCTTCAATAGCTCTTAATTTTTGTCTCTTCTTTAATTCTGTCTTGGAAACTTGTTCTCCAGTAACATCATCGAGATAAGTCTTTTGGACTTGTTCAGCAACTTGATTAACTTCTTCTTCAGACATGTTTACTTTATAAAATTTTTATTAAGATCGTCCACTAAATTTCTTAATCAATCAGTATTGAAATTTATTTTTGATTAAACATAAATTTTTTTTCAACAATTACCCTACTTGGCTCTGCTCAAACGATATGAGTGAGAGTGAGTGAGTGAGTGAGAGTGAGACGATTACATAATCTTGAAAAAAAATGTATGGAAAATTTTCAGCTCAGTGTTGGAAAAATTTTGATATAGAGGAGGTAAGATCAAAGTGAAGAACTAGGTGTATCATCATAAGAATTAGACTTATATAGGCAAATATGGTCAATAAACAAGGGTATGTATAAGATGAATAGTGAATGAATGATAAATATTCCAATTTATTTGGTTTTTTTCCGATTTGTTTTCGGTTTTAAATGTATAAGGAAGTCATTACTAACTATAGTATTCTAGTAACAAGAAATATCAAGCACCAACAGCCACTTCAATTAATGTTGAATCAAGTGTGTTATTATCATTAATTAGACATACTTCTGAAAATTATCCATCACTCTTTTCTGGAACTTTATTAGGATTTGAAGATGATGAAGGTTCAATCGATATAACTCATGTATACCCATTCCCATACCCTGATCAATATGAAGGAGGATCATTTAAATCAAGAAGTGGAGCTAAATATCAAGATGAAATCTTAGAAAGTTTAAAGAAATTAGGTTATGGAGTTGAATTTCAAGGTTGGTTTCAATCTACAGTATCAGGTAACTTTGTTACAACTCAATTAATTGAAGGATTAGCTCAACAACAATTACTTAATAAAAATTCATTCATTATAATTCATAATTTATCATCTATTAATAAAGAAGTTGAATTAAAAGCTTTAAGATTATCAGAAGGTTTTATTGGAGCCTATTTAGATGGTAAATGGAAATCAAAAGATTTAGAATCAAACAAAATTTCTTATTTAAATATCTTTGATGAATTACCAATTAATATTCATAATCAAAATTTGATTAATTTATATTTATCAAATTTACAAGATTCTACCACTACTGTAGCTAATACCAATGAATTTGAAGTTGTTAATTTATCATCAAATCAAAATGTTACTGCACAATTATTAGAATCATTATATAGTCAGGTTGATTCATATAATTATGATCAAAATAATTTCAATTATTATCAAAGACAAAATCAAAAGGAAGTTAGTAAAGTTACTCAATGGAAACAACAAAGAAAATTAGAAAACTTGGAAAGAGCTAAAAGAGGTGAATCAGAATTAGATCCTGAAGAATGGAAATCTATCTTTAGATTCCCAAGTGAACCATCTAGATATAATAATATATTACATAGTCATGCTATTGATGTATTGGCCGATGATATTTTAAAGAAATGTGAAGAAGACTTAACCAAGAGTCTTGCTATTGAAAGAAAGTTAATTTCTGAAAATTAGTTTTAGTTATTCAATTCCATTTAATTTGTATATGTATTTTTAGCGGTCATTTTATGTATAATAAAATTTAGTCATTATCATCATCATTTCCATTTAAACATTTGTAGAATATTTCAAGATCAATTTTTAGAATATTATTAAATTTCGTAGATTTACAGAAAGAGGTTCTACATTGTGATTATGTAAATAATGTACATGGTAATATATTATATTGGCATCAATGGTATTACGTACCCATACATAAGTAATGAAAATTTTAAGTCGATTTCGAAAACATGAATTCTACTAATACCTAATGGCTTCATAAGTTAGAAAGTTACCTAAATAGATGATGCGTTAGATTTTACATGGCTTCAGCGTATTATACTAAGCACAGGAATACTTTACAAAAATTGTGTCAATAAAAGTAATGGTATTACGTACCATAAAAGACAATGAATAACTTTATCCAAAAAACCAAATTCCCAACTTTAGGCACTCTATGTACTATTGAAGCTATAACAATGTTAGAATGTTACCTAAATAGATCATACGTTAGTTTTTATTTTGACTCTAATGAAAGCAGTGTACACAAATGTTTATATTATAAAAGCTAAGGAAATAATACTTATAGATTCCAAAGGTGTTTGGCTGTCAATCCTTTAAATACAGTAGGCGTGCGCATTACCAAATTATGTCAGACATCATCAAAGGCTTTAATTATTACAACTTTACCACACTTTTGATAATTAATTTTGTTTTATTTAAGGTTACTTTTAAATATCACTAACAGAGATACTTATCGGAGTTATAATCTATAACTATCTATTCTGTTTGACTTTAAGTATTAATCCGAAGCATTTATATTTATTCCTAAAGATATTCCATACATTCCGCATTTATAATGGGTAGACCGAGGGTATGTTAAATTATTGTTAGAGTCAAAATTTATTGAGTTATATTATAAAATCAATATATTTATACATAAACTATAAGTCAATAATCTTATATACTAACTTATCATAATATATAGTACATTTTATTAGTAAGACATGGAGAGTCCGAAGGTAATTGTGATAAATCCGTTAATAGACATACACCTAATCATAAAGTATGCTTAACAGCGAATGGTCATTATCAAGCAACTGCCGCTGGTTCAGTACTTCGTGAATTCGTGGAGAAATTGGATATAAATGGGGAAGGTGATAATAAGAATGCTCGATCAATTATGTTTTATACATCACCATATTTAAGAGCTCGACAGACATGTAATAATATTATCGAAGGAATTAAAGATATTAAAGGTATTGAATATGATATTCGAGAAGAACCAAGAATGAGAGAACAAGATTTTGGGAACTTTCAAAGTACGGCAGAAGAAATGGAAAAAATTTGGGAAGAAAGAGCTCATTATGGGCATTTCTTTTATAGAATTCCTCATGGAGAAAGTGCGGCTGATGTATATGATAGAGTTTCAAGTTTTAATGAAACATTATTTAGACAATTTCAACAAGATAATTTTCCAAATATTTTAGTATTAGTAACTCATGGAGTTTGGGCAAGAGTATTTTTAATGAAATGGTTTAGGTGGACTTATGAAGAATTTGAATCCTTGAAAAATATTCCTCATTGTCAATATCTCATAATGAAAAGAGAAAAAGATAAGAAATTCTCGTTAAAGACAAGACTTCATACTTGGGATGATGATGATGTTGAAGATGAAGAAATTGATGAACAAGTTTCAAGAGAAGTTGAAGATGAAGTTTGTTTTAATACTAAAAATAGAGTTGCAAATCCTGAGGATTTAGATATTCAAAATATTATAAAAGCTCAACAAGATGTTATAAAATCTACTAGAGAGAAAAATAGAATGCTTAAAGAGATGTATGAAAAGATTCATAATTCTAAAAATGGGTATACTGATTATGCTGCAAAAAGAATATCTCGTTTTAAGATAGATAATCAAAGCGTAGCTAATAGTGCTGAAGATCTTGCAACTTAAATATAAATTATATGTTTATAATTAATAATATTTAGAATATAATTTATAGGGTGAATTAACATTATGATATATAATATATAATATATAATATATGAATTTATTTAATAATAATTATAAAATGTTTAATATGCATATTATTACAATTTGCAGCAAATGATCACAAAATATATGGTGCAATGATTATTAGTAAATCATATAATAAATAAGTATAATGTAAAACGCATAAGCAGAGTCTCTACTGATGTACTAAAAAATTGACATATACATAAAAATAATTTACCTATACATTAATACTACAAATAATCTATAAACCTTATAATTGTGTACTAAATTCCCGGTATACTTGTCCTCGGATGATTATGGTCCTTTCCGTCAGGTGGTGAGTGAAAGAAAATTTACTCCCGGTGGGAATCGCTGTGGTGGTGAGCATAGCGCAGAAAACAAAGAAGGAAAAAAAATAATGAACCACCGAAATTCAACCTATAAAATCAGTTCGGAATCATTTTTAAGTGGTTTGTTAAATTATTAATTTTTCACATCAATTGATATCAATTCTTACATATCAGATCAATACTAATACTACTAATAATAATATACAATGGCTCGTCAATTTTTCGTTGGAGGTAACTTCAAAATGAATGGTACCAAAGAATCCCTTACTTCAATCATTGATAATTTAAATAAGGCTGAATTACCAAGTAATGTTGAAGTTGTTATTGCTCCTCCAGCTCCTTACTTAGGTTTAGCTGTTACTGAAAATAAACAAAAGACTGTTGCTATTTCTGCTCAAAATGTCTTTAATAAAGCTTCTGGTGCTTACACTGGTGAAATTTCTCCAACTCAATTAAAGGATTTAGGTGTTCACTGGACTTTAACTGGTCACTCTGAAAGAAGAACCATTATTAAAGAATCAGATGAATTTATTGCTGAAAAGACTAAATTTGCCTTAGATAATGGTGTTTCTGTTATTTTATGTATTGGTGAAACTTTAGAAGAAAGAAAATCTGGTGTTACTTTAGAAGTTACTGCTAGACAATTAGATGCTGTTTCCAAAATTGTTTCTGATTGGACTAATATTGTTATTGCTTATGAACCAGTTTGGGCTATTGGTACTGGTTTAGCTGCTACTTCTGAAGATGCTCAAGAAACTCATAAAGGTATTAGAGATCACTTAGTTAAAACCATTGGTGCTGAACAAGCTGCTAAGGTTAGAATCTTATATGGTGGATCTGTTAACGGTAAGAATGCTCCAGATTTCAAAGATAAAGCTGATGTTGATGGTTTCTTAGTTGGTGGTGCTTCTTTAAAACCAGAATTTGTTGATATCATTAAGTCTAGATTATAAATAATTTAACTTTCTTATATATACTTATATAATTGATGTTGATATATTTTGAAAAATCGTTTGACTTTGTTCATGAAGACTATTCCATTGTCTAATATTACATATCTTTTTAAATATATCTATTAGATGTTCAAAATATTCATCTGTAGTAATTAAATTGTCTGTATCAGATCCAATTAAATATCGATCAATTGATATATCTGTCTCTATTAAAATTTGATTAGGTTGTAAAACTGAAAGTAATCCTTCTAATAATTGTCTTTTATTATCGGATCCATTTATCCAATTTGAAAATGAAAAATATAATTTTGTATTCTCTTCTCCAAGACTTTTATAATAATTAATCCATCTAATTCCTTGCTCAATTGATCCTGTAAATGAATGTAATAATACGCTTGATAGTTGAGTATATTTAGGAATAGTATCGAATAATGAACCATGAGCTTTAACACAATGAATTGAAACTTGTTTCTTGAGCTTATTAGCCAATTCCAATTGCTTTTCAAATACTATATTTTGATGAGAAATATTAACTTTATGAGGTGATAATTTATTATCACCATCATTTGGATGAAGTTGATTACCATAATAACCGTTTGTAGGGATTCTAAATAATTTATCTAGACCGATTTCTCCAATGCCGTAATTAAATTTAAGTTTATGCTTTTGAATTAAATTTTCTATTAGTTTTAGATGATTATTTAGATCAATTGGATCAGGTAGTATGTCCAATATTTCAGGTGAAGGTGAAGGCGTTAATACTGATTGGTAATGGTTTAACTTAAATTGCTTTAAATCAGTAGTTGAATCTCGATTTATAATTGAGAATAAATGACTATACCATGGATGGACCCCAAAATATGGTACAACTAAATCCTGATTCAATTGATCTAATAACTTATCTAACAATAATATATCTATATGGTTAGTACTCATAATATGGAAATAAGAGGCACGATTATTTAAAGGGAAATCTGAAGAGTTAAATAATGTAGTTAACTTATTAATATCATCTTCAGTACAACTAACATCTAAATGACAATGACTATCACCCAAAGATTTAATTAATTGATAATCAATAGAATCTGTCATTATAGATATTATTTTTGATTAGTAGTGATATCAATATCATTACTGAAGAACTATCAGATACTATAGTAATTACTCTATAAACAAAACCATTATCAATAACAATATTAAGACATTTTGTTTGCAGCTGCCACATCACATGACTTTCCGACTACTTCTATCTCCCCCCGAGCTGAAAGTTTTAGGTTTACGACTCCACCCGCAGACACAAACAAAAATAAATAGACAAAAGCGAGAAGGGCAAAAGCTGGAACATCTTAGTATTATAAGTAGAATTATACTTATTACACTAAAGAGTCTTTTGTTAATATCTGAAACAAGTCAAAAGCTCAATCCAAATCTCAACTCAACTAATCTAGACTTAACTAAACTAGGTAAGCTTGGAAAAGTTCAGTTCAGTTCAGTTCAGTTCAGTTCAGTTCAGTTCTCACTAATTTTACACCGAGCATCGAACAAACTCGACCAGCCCCATCTTTGGTAGTACGTTTGAACGAGATCTAATTCCAATTAATTAATAAATTCCTGTACAATCTAATCCATTCATATATTACGAGTTCAGTTAAATTCATTTCATTGTATAACAATTTGTATTCTATTCAATTCAATTAAATTCAATTTCAATTCAATTCTTTTCAATTCACCCTTTTGTCGTTTGTTAATAACCGTGAATGTCCATTTAAGATACCGCAACTCAACTCGTCGATTAATCGAAAAAGCTTTAATTCCTAAAACAATAATTAAAATCGTGAAAAGAAGCAATAATTAATAAATAACTGATAAATTAATACTTATACATCATACATATATATATATATTCAAATCTAATGTCAGACCTGACTTCAATAACGTTACCTCAATCAGTACCATTTCCTGTAACTGTTACATCAATCTTATGTACAGTAGGTGAAGTTGTACCTAAACATAAAACAATTCTTAAATATAAATATTGGGATTATCAAGATGATCCAAATTCTAAAGATGAAACTCCTCCTAAAATAAGAGTTGAAAGAATAGGTACATTTGAAAGTCCTATTGAAGGAGAAGTTCAAAGAATTAATATATCTGTTCAAGAAGAAATTCCTCATAGTGGGATTGAATTATGTTCAATAAAGGAGCCTTGTCTTCATACAGTTCAATATGGAGGTTTATGTGCACTTTGTGGAAAAGCAGTTGAAGATGAAAAAGATTATTCTGGTTATACTTATGAAGATAGAGCAACAATTTCAATGTCTTATGATAATACTGGATTAAAAATTAGTCTTGATGAAGCAGCTAAAATTGAACAAAATAGTACTGATAGATTAACAAAAGAAAAGAAATTAATTTTAGTAGTAGATCTTGATCAAACTGTTATTCATGCAACTGTTGATCCAACGGTTGGTGAATGGCAACAAGATCCAACTAATCCAAATTATCCTGCAGTTAAAGATGTTAAAACTTTTGTACTAGAAGAAGAGCCTTTAGTTCCACCTGGTTGGACAGGACCAAAACTTGCTCCAACAAAATGTTGGTATTATGTTAAAGTAAGACCAGGATTATCTGAATTTTTACAAGAAGTTTCAAAACTTTATGAATTACATATTTATACTATGGCAACAAGAAATTATGCATTAGCAATTGCCAATATAATTGATCCAGATGGGAAATATTTTGGTGATAGGATTCTTAGTCGAGATGAAAGTGGTTCATTAACTCATAAAAATTTAAAACGATTATTTCCAGTAGATCAATCTATGGTAGCAATTATTGATGATAGAGGTGATGTATGGCAATGGGAAAGTAATTTAATTAAAGTTGTACCGTATGATTTCTTTGTAGGTATTGGTGATATAAATTCGAGCTTTTTACCTAAAAAGAATGGTCAATTAACTGGTCCAACTAAAAAGAGAAAATCAATTGCAATATTAGAAGCTGAACAAGAAAAAATCATTTATGAAGAAATTAATAATGGAGTTTCACCTAAAGAAACTGTCAGTGGATCAACTAATAATAATGAAATTGATAATAATAATAATAATAATAATAATAAAGATATTGAAAATAATGAAGAAATTGATGCTATTAATGTTGATGATGATATACCAATCGATGAAGAAATTGAAAATCCTCTGCCAGTTGAACGTATGCTTGAATTAGGTGGTGGAGAAGGTAATACTAGTTTATTAATGGAACAATCCTTAACTCGAAGTCATTCTATTGAACAACAACAACAAGATCGTCCTTTAGCTAAGTTACAACATACTTTAGAAAAAATGCATCATCATGATCATGATATTCATTCTAGATCAAGTTCACCTGATGGATCATCTGGAGAAGAAGAAGATGAGGATGAAGAAGAAGAAGATAATTTATTATATGATGATGATAATGAATTATTATCACTTAAAAAGGTCTTGGTTAATATTCATGATGAATATTATAGATTATTTGAACAACAAAAATCAATTGAAATAGTTGATGAATCAAATAAACCAAGTTTAACAAAAATAATTCCATCAATGAAAAGTTCATGCCTTAAAGGTATTACTATATTATTTTCAGGTATAATTCCTTTGGGTATTAATATAGAATCAGCAGATATTGTTATCTGGTGTAAACAATTTGGAGTTAATGTGGTTAATGAAGTAATACCTGAAGTTACTCATGTTGTTAGTCGTGATCCTGCTACTGGTCAAGGTCCAACTTTTAAAACAAGAGTTGCCAATAAAATTTTACCGAATGTTAAAATAGTTAATCCTGATTGGTTATTTGATTGTTTAAGTTCATGGGAGAAAGTTAATGAAGATGATTATTTAATTTCAACAGCAGATGAAAAACAATGGACTGTTAAAAGTGGAGATATTGAAAAGTATCAAGCAGCTATAGCACGTCAACGTCAAAAATTATCAAATAAGGCAATAGCTGAACAAGAAAGGCCAAGGTTTGATTCTATAAGTTCTCTCGAAGATTATGATCTTGAGGATGCCAGACAAGAAGTTGAAGACTTTTTGGCTGGAATTAGTGATGATGATGATGACGATGACGAAGATGATGACGAAGATGAAGATGAAGAAGTTGGAAAAAGCACGGATATTTCCACCAATGGTACTGGTAGCAAACAAAAGAAAAAAGAAAAGGATGAAGAAGATGAGGAAGAGGAGGAAGAGGAGGTATCAAAATCAGGGGGATCAAGCTTCATTCAAGGTCTTTACAAATCCAAAAAGAGACAATTGGAAAAACCCGAAGAATTTGATGATGATGATGAAGCAGGCAATGATACGCGAGGTGGAGATTCTGATTATGATCGTACCAATGGAGATACATCATTCAAAAAACAAAAGATTGATGAAACTTTTGAAGCTGGTCATGAGTCTAAAGAGGAAGAGGAACAAGATCTTGACGAGCTTGAAAAGGAATTACTTGATGGTTTTGATGATTTAGAAGAATAAACTACTTACTATTTAACTTGTGTATAATATGTACTAATAACAATACATATTGTGTATGTATATAAAAGTAAAAGTATCATTTAATTAAGGTTAGGGACCAGCCCCGTTGGTGGTTGTGATTCTTTCCCCTGAAATCAGTGCGACCCTTGTTCTTATTTTTTTTAGCCTAGGCAACGAGGGGCAGCGACAAGCCGCTTATGCTGATGCTGCTGCGCAGACATTTACTCACTAAACCAACCAAGCAACAGAAAAAAAAACGTCACTATAAGCTGAGCCTCTCGGCCCGTCACTAACTAATATAAATTATGTAAACAAAAAAATGGCGCGCAAGACATTTTTTTTACCAGCCATTTCTTATTATAGTAACTGCCCCATAAGGCCCAATTAGGTTCCAGTAACCAGCTCCATTGAGCGATGATTGATCTATTCTGATCCCATTTTGATCCCATTCTGATTTTGTAGCACTTGTCCGGATCATAACTTGACCGAAAGGGTAATACATTAGTAAGTGTATAAATATCCAACTGATTCCCTAAGCTTTATATAGTTGTATTTTCTTAGCTTTTTTATTCTTCTTCCCCAACCGAAATATTTTAACTTTCAACACTTTAATTCACGAATTGATTGATTGATTCTTTCTTCAATTCATTAACGTATCAATTTCAAATTTCAAATATCAATTACATATAATGTTTAAAATATTCCGATTTGTTTTAATCATCTTTTCACTTGCATGTACAGTTCTTTCAATATTTGCATTGACTGGATCATATGCTAATAAATCTTATTTAACTAATACTTATTTGTTAAATTTTCATTTAACTCATGCCAATTTAAGTGCTATAATTGATACAAGTGGTATAAGTAAAAGAGATCTTTCATATTCTGCTTCTGATATTGGAAATGTCCTTCAAGATGCAACTGTAACTCCAGGACAAATTCAACAAATTCAAACTACTATTAATAATATTGTTTCAACTTTTACTTATTCTGAATTAGGTCTTGCTGATGTATATCAAATTGGTTATTGGGGTTATTGTAAAGGGTATGTTCTTAAAGAAGAAACTTACTCTGGATCTGGTGCTGTAGGAAATGTTTTAAAATCATTTGATAATTCTCAAGTTAATTATACTTGGTGTTCATCACCAACTCCTGCATTTGCTTTTGATCCTCTTGAAATCTTTAAGACAGAAATTGGTAATAAAATTAATAATACTATTCAAGGAGCTAATCCATTTGGTTTCGTAGTTCTTAATCAAGAAGCTTCAAGTTCTTTACAAGTTTTATTAGATAATATTAATTGGGATACTTTGAATTTACCAGGTGATTTAAAGAAAGATCTTTCTTTACTTCAAAATTTAACTAAGGCTTCCTTTGGTATAATTCTTGCTGTTGCTGTTTTATCATTTGTATCCGTACTTCTTCAATTTTTAGGTTGTTGTTTCTCACCTGATAACTGTTGTCTTTCATTTTTAAATTTCATTTATGAATTTATTATCTTTATTTTAGCTATTATTAGTGCTGCTTTTGCTACTGGAGTTTACTACTATGTTAGAAGAGAAGTTAATAATAATACTGTCCAATATGGTATTAAATCATTTTTATCAATTAACTTTTATGCATTCTTATGGGCCGCCGTGGTGGCTGCATTACTTGTGGTAATATTCAACCTATTAGGTCATTGTTGTGGATTATTCGGTACTGGTCGTAGAAGATACAGAGCTGTTCCACCTCCTGCTGCCTATGAACATGAATTCAAAGGTGAAATGTAAACTTCATCATATATATTCCTTTCTACTTAATCCTCATTATTTACTCTTCTCACGTGTGTTTTACTTCTACCTACTTTAGTTATTATTTATTTATTTAGGACTTAATATTCATTAGTCAATTTGTTGGTATAACTCATTTTTTGCAGCTTCTACTGTAGTAATGTATCCATTAGCTGTCGTGCGCATACGCCCAAAAAAAACCAATAGGCAAATAAATATTTCACTGCACTGAGATTAGGCCCTAATGAGCCATAATACAGAGTTAAACAAACAACCATAAATAGTTAAAAATGATATGTTCTATTTCAGGAGATGTGGCTACTGATCCCGTAGTGTCCACTAAAAGTGGAGCTATATTTGAAAGAAAACATATTATCAATTATATATCAACTAGTGGTACCGATCCTATTAATGATGAACCACTTACTGAACAAGATTTAGTATCTATAAAATCATCAGTTTCAACAATTATACCGCCTAAATTACCTACTTCAACATCTATTCCATCTATGCTTTCTAGTTTTCAAAATGAATGGGATGCAATTGCTTTGGAAGTTTTCACTCTACGTAAACAACTTTTCAAAGCTAAGCAAGAGTTAAGTGCGGCACTTTATCACCATGATGCAGCCGTTCGAGTAGCAGCTAATGCTATAAGAGAAAGGGATGAGGCTAAATTGGCTCTTCAACAACTTTCGGAATCTATAGGTAAAGGTGAAGCACTTGTTATTAATAATGGAACAAATAATGGGAATGGTAATGGTAATGGCAATGGAATTCATCATGAAGATTACGATATCCCTGTACAAGAAATAACTAATGCCCGAGATGAGCTTCTAAAATTACATAAAACTCAAAAGCCTTCATTATCAATTAAACCAGACCAACAAATATCTATTGATTTATCATCTTCTTGTACATTTCCATTTAAAAAGATATCACATATTTTCTTTAATCCAGTTTCAAAAATCATTTACTTGGGAACTAATACGGGAACAATTGCATCATATAATTTAAATGAACCAGAAAATCAACTTTCAAAATATACACCAGCAAAGACCCTGGTATCATCCATTAATCTTGTATCTTTAGACGATGATTCTACTACAAATTATCCAATTATAGCTTATAAAAATAAAATTATTGTAGATAATAATAAAGTGCAATTTAATAATAATCATGGATCTTTAATATCACATATTTTAGTTCATCCTTCATTAAAAAATTTATTTATTACTTTAAGTAATGATAATACTTGGTCAATGCATGATGTTACTAAATCTCCAGATCAATCGTTAATTTATTCATCTACTAAATTTGATAATCGTATACTTTCAGGTGATATACATATAGATGGTGCACTTCTTAGTATTGGAAATGATGAAGGTCAAGTAAAAATTATTGATTTAACTAATGGAAATCTTATAACAGAATTTGAAGTCGCATTTAAAAATGTTATCCATAATAAATTTGCTTTAAATGGATATTGGTTAATAGCTTTATCAAAGGATGATGATTCTAGTGCTATTAATATAATGGATTTGAGAAAAGCAACTATAACTCATACCATTGAAGGTGAAGGTAGAAACTTGGAAGGTTTTACAATAGATCCATCTTCATCATTATTACTCACTTACACGACAGAAAATAAGGTTCAACTTCATAGATATATAAAAAAATCAAAATCTTGGAATACTTTTATCACAGAATTTGAATTACCAAATGATAAAGGTAATATCAAACAAATCCAAATAGATACAGATATAAATGATGAAGCCTTTATTTTTAATAATGAAGTCAAATTCTTTGTAATTACTGATAAATCTTCCTTATTGAAATTTCAATTACTGTATAATTAGCATACATACATAGTTAACAATTGAGACAATTTTTTTTCCACTACCGAAATTCTCTGAACCAAACCTTTACCCCAGATGTTTTTAATGAGCAGACAAACATGTCTTCACATAACGTAGATAAAAGTAAAATAGATAGATTGGTTGAACAATGGATTGCTATTGATGTTAATCCTGAATCAATTCAAGAAATCAAACAATTACAGTCTGACCAGCAGTATGAGATACTCGATAAGAAATTATCTAATCGAATATCATTTGGAACGGCTGGATTAAGATCATCTATGGAGTCGGGGTTTGCTCATATGAATGATGTTACGGTTTTACAAGCTGCTCAAGGGTTAATTGAATATTTAATTGACCAAAATAATGATAATAATAAAGAAGTATCAATTGTTGTGGGGTATGATCATCGATTTAATTCTCAAAGATTTGCTGAACTTACTGCTAGTGTGGCAATAACTAAAGGTGTTAAAGTATATTATTTAGGTTCAATTACTAAATTATCAGAAGAATCATTGAAACTTTCAACTACAAGTTATCCCACTACTTCTGAATCGGATCATGGATATGTTCACACTCCATTGGTTCCCTTTGCAATCGATACTTTTAAAGCATCAGCTGGTGTTATGGTAACTGCATCTCATAATCCAGCTCAGGACAATGGATACAAAGTATATTTATAGTAATGGATGTCAAATCATACCTCCAATTGATCATGGAATTGCAACCAGTATTGAAAATAATCTACAACCATGGTCAAATGAAGTTTGGGATGTGACTAAGAATTTCCAAATTGGAATCAATAACCAATTGTTAAAGAGTTATAAATCTGAAATTCAACAGAAGTATGAAATAGTAGTTAAAGATTTATTAATTACTCAAGCTAATTTAAACTTTAAATTCGTATATACTCCAATGCATGGAGTGGGATTGGAAATTCTTGAAAAGACTTTAAAACATTTCAATAATCCTCAATATAAAGTAGTTGAAGAACAAGCTATACCTGATCCAACATTCCGGACAGTCAAATTCCCTAATCCAGAAGAAAAGGGAGCTTTGGATTTAGCCATAAGTACGGCCAATAATCTTGGATATTCATTAGTCATTGCTAGTGATCCCGATGCAGATCGATTCAGTGCTGCATTTAAATCTAAATCAGGGAAATGGAGACAATTAACAGGGAATGAAATAGGTTTCTTGTTTGCTTTATATTTTGTAGAAGAAATTATACCTAATAAGGCTAAATTTGACAATACATATTTATTAAATTCAACTGTTTCTTCACAAATCTTACAAGCTATGGCTGATTATCATGGATTTCATTTTCAAGATACATTAACTGGATTCAAATGGATAGGTAATAAAGCAATTGACTTAAAAAATGAAGGTTATTATGTTCCTTTTGGATATGAAGAAGCTATTGGATTTATGTTTAATGTAGTTAATGATAAAGATGGAATTTCTAGTGCCGTTATATTTTTACAGCTTTATAATGCTTGGTTTTCAAAGGGAAATAACAATATAGAAGATAAATTAGAAGAAGGTTATGCCAAATATGGATGGTTTAAAGAATGTAATGGTTACTATAAAGTTCAAGAATTATCTCAAACCAAAGAGATTTTCGAAACAATTAGATTATCATTTTCTCCTCAACGTTATCCAAAGTCAATAGGGGATTTTGAAGTAATAAGCTGGAGAGATTTAACCATTGGATATGATTCGACTACTTCAGATAATGTACCCAATTTACCAACTGATCCTACTTCACAAATGATAACGGCAGTATTAAAATTAGCAAAACAAGATAAAAATAATACTGATCAAGTTAGATTTACATGTCGTGGATCAGGAACTGAACCTAAATTAAAAGTTTATATTGAAGGTAAGTCCAATATTTCAGAAGTAGTTGCAATTGAATTGGCTCACAAGTGTTGGCAGACTTTAAGGACCACATGGTTTAAACCTGAACAAAATAATTTACAAGAGACTGTATAGATAAACAGAGTTAGAATATATATATATATATATATATAGAAAAAAAAGTATGTTTTCAATTGTCGTATATCAGTATAGTAAAAGTAGATATGGTAAAAGTAAATTGACAGCCTTTAATAATAATCCTCATGGTGCCTTTATGTTTTGCGCTTCTACCTTAATCAGACATTCCATGCCCTTAATAGGCAAGTGGAAGTGTCTGTCGTTTGTTACGAAAAAAGTAACACGAAGTTGAGAAAAAAAAATGTATGAGGATCAGAAATTGTTCAACACCAAACAAAGCGCATTACGGGATTTAAACCTCTAACGGCTACGTAGAGTGCTTATAGATATAGCTGATTAAAATGGTAATAGACAGCTACGGCAAGAAGTCCGATTTACCCATGTAAGTATTTTAATGATATTTAGTTTTTTTTTCGGTTCCACGGTGTCAAAGCTTCAATTTCAGGTACATGTACATGGCTTTGAGCCCGTGAGGCTAGGCTACGAATAACGAAAGATTAAGTAATACTAACAATTGTTTATAGACATAATAAATATAAACCTCGGAAATTCAATAGGAGGCTATGGGTTAATCGGATATTGATAGCTTCAGTATCATTTTTAGTGATATGGGTATTGTTTTTTAGGTCATCATCATCATCATCATCATCATCCCATCCTCAACCAACTCAAGTAACAAAATCTAATGAAGATGACTATGAATTATATACAGCCACAAAAGATGGAATTGTCAAACAAGATATTGGTGGTCAAGGTCAAGGGCAAGCTCCAGCTAAAGCTCAAGGTGGTGAAGGTGTTGATGTAGATGGTGAAATTCAACCTACCGTGTCTACTGAAGATGTCCTCATTGACCCAGATGTAGCTGATAAATTATATAAAGAGTCAGTTGAGTATTATGACTTGAATGATTATAGAGGGTCAGCTCTTGGCTTTGATAATGGTGATGTTGTATTATTCCTTATGCCTTTAAGAAATGCCGAGAATGTTTTACCAATGGCCTTTTATAATTTAATGAATTTAACCTATGATCATTCATTAATTGATATTGCATTTTTAGTTTCCGATTGTTCACCAGATGACAAAACTTTGGAAACTGTATTTGAATATTCTGTGGCATTACAAAATGGTACATTGGTTGATAAATTACAACAAGAAGAAGAAGAAAAAAATAGTCGTTCAGTTCAGGGTTCTAACGACTTATATCAAAATTATATGGATCAAAACTATATGGAAGGAGTTCGTAAAGCATATAAACATCCTGAAGAACATCATAAAGGCTATAGAAAACCTTTCCGTTCAGTATCAATTTATAAAAAAGATTTTGGACAAATTATTGGTCAAGGTTTTAGTGATAGACATGCCGTTAAAGTTCAAGGAATTCGTCGTAAATTAATGGGAAGGGCGAGAAATTGGTTAACATCAAATGCATTACAAGCTTATCATTCATGGGTTTATTGGAGAGATGTTGATATTGAAACTTGTCCTGGTAATGTAATTGAAGAATTAATGCAACATGATTATGATGTTATGGTACCTAATGTTTGGAGACCATTACCAACATTTTTAGGTAATGAACAACCATATGATTTAAATTCATGGATTGAATCTGAACCTGCTCTTGAATTAGCTAAAACTTTAGATGAAGATGATGTTATTGTTGAAGGTTATGCTGAATATCCAACTTGGAGAGCTCATTTAGCATATCTTAGAGATCCAAATGGAAATCCTCGAGAAGTAGTTGATCTTGATGGAGTTGGAGGTGTATCTATTTTAGCCAGAGCACAAATTTTCCGTCAAGGTGTTCATTTCCCAGCATTCACCTTTTTAAATCATGCTGAAACTGAAGCCTTTGGGAAAATGGCTAAACAAATGGGATTTAAAGTTGGAGGGTTACCTCATTATACAATTTGGCATATCTATGAACCAAGTGAAGATGATCTTAAACAAATTGCAAAATTAGAAAGAAAGAAGAGACGTCAAAAAGGTAGAAAAATTTAATACCCATAACATTCAGCTCAGCATAAACAATAGATAACCCATTCTAAAATATATCTCATTATTTATACTTTATTATCATAATGTTCTTACTTTTCAATTCTTTTCTTTTTAAGAAATACTTTGTATAATAGTTACCCATATATATATATATCTACCATATTTCTGCTAATTATATGTACAAATATAGTAACCAAAAAATAATAGTTAAAAAGTAATAATTACACTTTGACATCAAATTCAACTTATGTAAAATATAGTTAAATTTTATTTTCGTCAGTAGGAAGGCAGGTTTTGTAATCCATACTTAATCGTTTGATTAAGCTCAGAGATTGTTCACATCCATTTTATTCATCATGATAAATAAAATTATATCTTTTAGACACTGGCTCAAATCGAACCTCCGCCCACAATTTTGTTCAAATGGGATATTTTCAAACGTCCATACAAATCCGAACAAATTAAGTGCGGACGACTTGGACACAGCATACAAAGATACCAAAACCTCAGGTGGCCAACAGTTGAAGATTGGCCATAATCACGATACAAAACTCACGTTTTTCGTCGGCACGTGATCTGACTCGTGCGTGCGCATGTGAATTTCACGTGTCTTATCCCATATCAAATTCCACAACCACTTTCCTTGAATGTCACATAATCGCCTGGTAGTTAGTTTCTAGCTATTTATAAAGCAATCTTAAGGATGATTATATCTATTTCTATTAGTTTTAGTAAGAATTTCAAGTTCATTCTACTAATTTTTATAGCCTAATACAGAGTGTACTCATTTATTTCATACTTGGTAGATCCACAATTGATCCAATGCTCTAATCGGTAGAGTCAAAGAAATATAAACATAAAAATAAACATAAACATAAACATAAACATCAACAAAATCATAATTTATACAAGTAATGCAGTTCATGGGTTACACCATTACATATAGATGGCACATAGCTTAACTCAATGCATGAGGTTGTTGTGGTATGTCATATATAGAAATAGAATAGTTGTGATTAATCCAACTGATATATAACTTAAAAACTTTACTTTAAAGCATATTATCATTCTGAAAAATAGACAAGAAAATATCGTGCGTAATATACGTTGTGGAATAGCGTTGTAGAATAAAAATAGAATATGTTGCAGTTTTAACAACCAATAGCTAATTTGAGTTATTTTTTGCAATAAAGTTTATTAAAAAGTGAAATGGAGGATCTCAGGAACAATTGTTATAGATACTGTATTTCAAAAGATCTCTTATTATATAACCAGGTACATTATCTTGGCAGAGATACAAGGAGCTTATAACCATTATTTTAGATTATGGTTTCCTACATGTAAATAACGTTAATCTTGATACATATCTTCTAATAGCTGGACAGCAAACAAACCAAGATAAGATGTAAGAAAAGATAAACATTATTCGGTTAGAGTTGAAGTAGTAAGAAAATCACCCTATGAAGACATTTTAAATTATTAAGTACTATAAGCTAACTGATAGATAAACTGTGAGTAGTTACGATAGATACACTACCAATTTGATTCTATTTAAAGCCAGCAAAGCAAGCTTACAGAATAATACGATTTCACCAGTATTAGAACAATGAAATTATGCTCGCAATTGCGGCTAAATTGTATTGTTTTGTGAAAGTCGGTGCATTAAACAAAGGTGCGAAATATTTTGATTTATCTCAATGAGGGAATTCTCGTCTATCAGATAGTGTATCAGTACTTCTTAATAACAAAACATTATTGCTCACGAAGCTGAGTATACATAAGTTCCACGCACTTATATTATCTCACGAATAGTTGTCATTGTTTATCGGTATGTGTGAATCTGTCGTGTCCGTTTCTGGTATAATTATGATTATTATTAATTAGTATTATTTAATTACGATAATTATTATGAACGAATGAAATTTGTTCACTATGGATCAAATTCACAAGTGTTAGATATAAAATCAAATCAACTTGAAGTACCTTAACCCTGATGATCTATTACTCTCCCCCCCAAATGGATCCGAAGGACCCCCCAGCCGAAGCACGAAGTACACACGCGTTTATTGCAAAAATTAATATCAATAAACCATGTCGTACAAAAATAAGTTGAGTTAAAAATCAAATCAAAATAGACTCACAAAATCGCAAAAAAATGGAAAAAATGGAAAAAATGTAATTTTTCACAACACAATCGCCCAATGAGGAAATATGCTGTCGGTAGTGAAATCTTTTTATAGGACAGCTCGTAGTATAACCTTCTTACATAACCTGTATATGTACTCCAGTACTATACTGGGCTTTATTAGAATAATAATAATAAAAAAAAAATTAACTTGTATTATCTCACTCACATCTCTCTTTAACGAATTGTGTCCAAATAGAAATAGTCTAATTCAAAGTGGTACCTTATTTATGGTTTAATCTAATTTTTATTTGATCTTGGCCTATTACATTCTTGTAACCTTTTTACTTGTCTTTAAGTCATTGTGCTGTCCTTCATTCTTCTCTCGCCTCCTCATCTTGGTTTTGTACTAGTGTTCATCGTCTTTAGACTAATTTGAAAACAAGTCAAACCACGTACTTTTTCATAAAAGTCCACTGCAATCCTGTTGACTTCATCAAATATTATTACTAACTTTTCATTTTCATTTTAATAGATCTCCTCCCATATTCATTAAGAAAATTTATTCAACTATTAAGTATCCTCATTCAATTTCATTTTAGTTTCTATCTTTATATTCCATATTGCATCCATAATCTTAATAGATTATATTCATTAATATCTTTATAGCATGAAAGTAATTGGCATAATAGCTTCTGCACTTTACTATGCATCTATCACATCAGCATTATGGCCAGTTAAAGATTTCAGAGTAAATGATATTAATGAATTATCTAAATTATCTATAACTCCAAAAAAGAAAATCCTGATAGGTTATAAAGATCAAACAGTACTTTCAAATAATGATAATCAAGATAATAAAAATGCACCTATTATCGAATTAGGAAATGATGTTCAAATGCTTCTAACTGATGTTGATAATTCTATTTATTACTTACTCACCACAATAGTTGATACTTCAACTAATTATGAAGAACAATTTTCTTTATTATTAGATACTGGAAGTGCAGTATCTTGGTTATATAATCAATCATGTATTCAAAATGGTTGTAATAAACCAAATATTAATAAATTTGATGATTATTCTAAACCTTTAAAAATGGGTACTACATTTGAATTATTATATACTGGTGAAGAAGTATCTGGTAATACACTTTCATTAATTGATAATGGTCTTGATATTATCTTTGGAAATGATTTAACTTTTGGAAATATTTCTATTGGAATAACTAATGATTCTCCTGAAATGTTTGATGGTTATAATATTAGTGGATTACTATCTTCAGCTGATTCAAGAAATTTAGTTCGTCAATTTTATGTTGATCAAGTTATTGATCAACAAGTATTTTCATTATTTTTAATTTCAAACGATCAAAATTATAATATTAATACAACTACTGATAATTTACCTGATGGATTTGGTGGTTTAATTATTTTTGGTTCAAAGGCTTTAGATTTACAATCTAATTTTACAAATTCAGCTGAGATTCATTATACAAATTTATTACCAAATGATAATTCATATTGGTTAATTAATATTTCTAATATTCAAATTTCAGATTCTTATAATCAAATATCTAATTTTAATTCTTCAACTTTTTCTACCCAAAGAGAAGCTATTATAGACACTGGAACTACAGGGATGGTTTTCCCTGTTGATGATGCAAATATCATTCATCAACAATTATTTAATGGGAATTATATTACTGATAATCAAGGTAATTATGCATTCCCTTGTAATGCTTCATCATCAGCTGAAATAATCTTTACAATTGGTAATTCTCAATTAAATTTATCAGCATCAAATTTTATGGGTGAACCTTATACTACTGCATCATTAGAAGGTTATTGTGCATCTAAAATTCAAGGTATTAATGATTATCAATATTGGGTTCTTGGAGCTGCATTTCTTAATAAATTTTATACTATATTTGATTTATCAAATCAACAATTAGGGTTTGCTCAATTAAGTATTGATTCATTTAAAATTGAGAATCCTTCACCAATTCAGATTCAATCTCAATCTGAAACTCAATCTGAATCTGAAACTCAATCAGATTCTACCACATCTTCTATTCCTTCAACATTGACTACATCAAAATCTACTCATTTATCATCAACTTCAACATCTGCCTCCAATTCAAGTAATTCCTCATCTGATAGAAAAGGTAATGGAGCGTTTAAATATGAATCATTTATTCCACTCCATATGTTATTAGCTGCTCTTATTATTTGTATAATACTTTAAGGTATTCATTCATTCATTCATTCATTCTTTCTTTCTTCATTGTCATTGTTTATTATTCATTCTTCATCATTCATTACTAATATTACCCTTTCATTCTTTCATTTTCATTTTCATTTTCATTTTCATTCTTCTGCATATATAGACTTGGTTTATATCATTAGTTAAAATTTGTTTTATTTACTTCATTTCATTTTTGTATCTAAGTATTTAATATATTTAATATATTTAATTTATTTAATTTATTTAGCCTATGTAATAACTACTAACCAACTTAATACAGAGTACATTAATCCAACAGGATACATTGCTAATAATACTCTTCCTGGTAAAACTCCTGAACATTTTAAGCTCATTAATCCAGCATAAATACTCCAAATATTTAAAATTACTAATATTGCTAATCGTAATAATTTCCATTTTATAACTAAAGCACTAATTAATGCTCCTACAACAATAGGGAACATTGAATAACCTGCTGCACTTATAGCCGACATAAAGGAAATAGTTCCACCTAATAATTGAATATTTAATCCAATTACAATAAAAAATATCCAAATAAATGAAAATGATCCAGAAAATACCAGATTAGTTTGTTGATTAGGAGCAGAAACTCCTAAAGTTACTGAATAAACTAAGGAAAAGATTAATGGACCCCATAAATCCCAATCTAAATTACCTTGATTAATTAATTCACTAGATTCAATTCCAGTTCCAGTTTCTTCTTCATCAGCATCATGAGATACAGATATTCTTCTATTAGCAATTATCAGATCAGGTAATCTAATTCCATTAGTAGCAGCAAAATCTACAAGTCTCAGTTGTTGAGTTTTAGCCAATTGAGCCAATTGATAAGGCCAAACAACTATAGCTAATCTTTTACCTATTTGAAATAAATCTCTCTTTAATGTTTCTAATATAGGTTCATCTAATGTTTCACCTCCATTATATTGACGTTCACGTACTGAATTATTAGCTGGTAAATTAGCAGATGAAGTAAATGGAGCAAATGTAGAGGATAAATCAACTTTAGGAGTAAATCCAAATTGACTGAATATATTACCAGATCCTGAATTACTACTACTATTATTAGTATTAGTATTATTATTATTATTATTACTACTTGAACTTTGACTTCCATAAGTATTGGTATTACTAGCCAGTTTAGGCTTTGGAGTAGGTGTCTCTTCGAAATCTTCGTCGGGTATTATGAATTCATCTACATCGGGTGTTGTTCCCGAGGAGCTTGTATTCCATTCGTTGGCTGACATAGTTTATTTGTTAATTGATAGTGACTTGGTGTCCTAATACTTAGTACTGGGAGATTCTTTATAGTAGTTTGGATGTTTGGATGTTTTGTAGTTGTACTGTACTATATCAAAATTTAGGGCTAAGCCCATCACGTGCACGGACTTATAAATCAAAGTTTTAACTAATAAACTAATACTAATAAACTAATAATAATATATATTAATTGTAGAGACTTATCTAATGAATAATTGAAATATATATGACTTATGATTTCTATGCATTTTTAGTATATGGATCAAAAGGAGTTGATTCCCTAATGACTCGAGCTGGAACACCAGCAACCACAGTGTAAGCAGGTACATCCTTAGAGACTACAGCTCCAGCAGCTATAACTGCACCATCTCCAACAACTATTCCAGGAAGTATTATGGCATTAGATCCAATCCATACATTATTTCCAATAGTTATAGGTTTAGAATATTCAACTCCTTCATATCTTAATTGAGGATCAGTAGGATGAGTAGCAGTTGTAAATGTAACATTAGGACCTACTAAGACATTATCACCAATAGTAATTAAACAACAATCTAAAAATGTTATATTAAAATTACCATAGAATGATTTCCCAATAATAGTATTAAAACCATAATCAACATTGAATGGAGGTTCAAGATAAATATCATCATGAATCTTACCAAAGATAGTAGATAAGTAGTCAGACCGAGCTTGACGATGCCTTTTCAAATCAAATCCATAATCTTTCATTCGAACATTGGCATAATCAAGTGCTAATTCATGGGCAAGAGTTCTTCTTGTGGTCAACTCATCATCAAAACAATTATATGGAGCACTCAGAATCATCTTATCATATTCAATGGTCTTAGGGAGATTTTTCAAGTTTGATCTGACATATTTGACCAATTCCTCATTGATCCCAGTAGTCATGGTTGCTTTATAGTTATTTTATGGCTTATATAGTATATATTCTTCTTATTTAATGCTTAAATCAGTATGTTTATATAGTTTTTCAGATTTAGCTCACAATTAGTGAAATATATTTCTAGCTATCACTTCCCCATTGGGAAGTGTCCCCGCGATTCTCCACCTTTACGGGAAAATTACTTAAAAGGAATAGTCTAACATATATTCTATTAAAGAACTATTTCACTATATAGTTAAAGAAACTAATCATCAAAATTGTTCCAAGGTGGGTTAGCAAATCTCTTAGTTCCGAAAGTTTCATTAATCTTATTTAAAGCTTCAAAATCTTCAGTAGTTAAAGTAAACGTGTCTAAATTAGCAATAATTCTTGAATCAGTTACAGATTTTGGTAATACAACCGTACCTCTTTGAATAGCCCATGAAATTAATACACTTGTTGGAGTTACACCATTCTTTTCAGCAATTTTAGAAACAACTTCATTTTTAACTAATGGAGCATTAGTTGAACCTAAAGGAGAATAAGCTTCAATTAAGATACCTTTCTTTTTAAGATATTCAGTTAATTCTGGTTGAATTAAAAATGGATGAGCTTCAATTTGATTAACAGCTGGAATAACATCAACTTCTGGATCACTTAATAATTTTTCTAATTTCTTTACTGTAAAATTTGAAACTCCAATTGATTTAGCCTTACCAGATTTATAAATTTTTTGAACTTCCTTATAAGTATCAACAAAATCCCAATCATCAAAAGGTTTTTTAGAGACTGGATCGGTTGAAACAGGCCAATGAACTAAATATAAATCAACATAATCAACATCTAATTTCTTTAAAGATTCTTCAAAAGCTTGAGCCACTCTTTTATGATCTTCATTAGTTAATTTAGTTGTAATAAATACTTCATCTCTTGGTACACCTGAATCTTTTACACCTTGACCAACTTCACCTTCATTTTGATAACCAGCAGCAGTATCAATATGTCTATAACCATTTTCAATGGCAACTTTAGTAGCATTATGAGCAGCACCCTTTTCACTAGCTTGCCAAGTACCTAAACCAATGGCAGGGATTTTAACTCCATTATTTAAAGTGAATACAGTAGTGTTTTTAGTTAATTTAGTCATATTATAACTATAAATTTAATTTATTTAATTTATTTAATTTATTTAAATTTATTAAATATATACAAATACAAATCCAATTAATACTAATGGTTATCCAATTGGGAACTCACGTATTTATATTGAAAAATGTTATATACGTGTGGCTACTGCGTGGACTGTGGGGGAGTCAGACCAGTAAAGTTCAATTGACACAGTCGGAGTAAGCCACAAAATTTGCGACAGGTTTGGAGGATGACAAATTATGTTTGTAGTTTAAGTACCTTAATTGCGGAGGGCTTACCGATTAAGGGTTGAGGTTGAGCAAGAGGTTAAATTCTCGCAATATTTATCCCCACTTTAGTGTCGTACTATATTATAGTAATTATAGTAATTATAATAATATATTATTATTATGTATTATAGTTATAAAATAGTATCTAACTGTACAATAGTTACAAAACAGTATATTATTATTATACTACTGTATACTATGTTATTATACTACTGTATACTATGTTATTATACTATATTATTATACTATATTATTATATTATTATACTATACTATTATATATTATTATACTATATTATTATATTATTATACTATACTATTATATATTATACTACTATACTATTATATACTATACTAATATTTTCTATAAATACATTATTATTTTATCGCTTAAACTTAAATAATCCATGCTTCTTTTTACCATTAGTACCATCTGAATTTATACTAGCAGATGATTGTGTAGTACTTAATTTAGTTGACTCAAGTGATGAATCATCAGCATCCTTCTTTTTAGAAGATGTTAAATGAAATAATCCATGATGCTTTTTACTTGATGTAGAAGCAATTGATGGAGTTGGAGAACTATGATGATGTTCACTTAATTTAGTTGTACTACTTGAAAATAATTTACCTCTCTTTTTAGCTTCTTTATTATGTGATGGATATACTTCAGTTTTAGCTCGAACTTTATTAAATCTCTTTTCAAAATCTTTATCTGATTTTTGAGTTTTAAATGGTGTTAATCCACTAATACCTCTAAAACTTGTATTAGATTTAATCTTTTCAAGTGATGGATTATTTCTTAATGATCCAATAGTATTTAATGATGATTGAGATCCTGAAGGTTTTAAATCAATTCCAGAATGGGAAGGACTTATAGCAGTTAATGCTTCAATTAATGGACCTGAATTTCTTGATCCTGATAATGAACTAATTTGTGATAATCCATCTTCTGGAGGTATCAGAATTGATCTTTGAGATATTGGTCGAGGACTTGAAGTTGGAATAATATGACTTTGATTATTATTTTGATTCTCATACTTTTCCTTTAATTTTTCAATTCTTTCTTCAATATCAATTTTACATTCTTGTAAATTTTTATTCATTAATCGAACATTTGCGGCTCTTAACATTAATTTTAAATCAGTGACAATGGCAGCTGATTCATAAATTAAATCAATTACATAATCAGATGGAACTTCAGAATCAGGTAATACCAATTGTTCAAGAGTTAATCTTGCAGCTTTATCCTTTTCATCATCTCCATCATTAACTCCTGATCCTGATCCTGAACCTTGAGGAAATTCATTATAAATTGCATGAGATCTATCAAATACAGATTTTGATCTTGGTCCAACTCCTGAAGTGGGGATTTCCGGTGCATTAAGAAATCCTAATTCAAATTCATCTTCTTCTGAAGCAAATTTTCTATCTGAAGATTCATCAGTTGAATCTGTTTCTTCTTTACTTATAGATTCAACTATTTCTTTTGATTTTGGTGATTCTTCTACTTCTACTTCTTCTTCTCCTTCATTTTCAGTAATTACATCATTTAATGATGCTCGACGAGATATAGTAGCCACTGATTTTTTTCTTTTAGGTCCTCCTAAAGATATAACTGATGCTTTATTAATATTAGAAGTTTTCTTTAATAAAGCTATATCTAAATATCCATCATCAACTGTATCCATAAATCCTTCATATTCATCTAAGGGAAATTTAAATTCTGGATCTAATGTAGTATTTGTCATATCTAAAAGTTTAAAGAATTTTCTCTTTAATTTATTACCTTGTCTAATTATATAAGCTTCTTTTCTTCCAATAATTCCAAATAAAACTTCACTAATTAAATCATATAATAATGGAACTTTAAAGAATTTTGCAATTGCTAAATTATCTAATGCTGTTGGAGATAATAACCATTTATTCCCCACTTGTCCAGTATATAAATATTCACAAAATGCTTTAATAGTTATAGTTGAAAATGGGACATATAATTTTCGAGGAATTAATGAAGGTTCCATTTTAAATTTATCACTATCTAAATTATCAAAATTTAATAAAGCATTATCAAATATTCCACTTTGAATATTTTCATCATGTTCTGAAATATTAGATTCAGAATATTCATCTTCATAACTATCTTTACCAGAAGAAATTCCTGAAAATTGATCAGAATGGATAGTTGATATTGATGGATTTTTATGAGGTCCTTGATCTCTATCTCTATCTCGATCTCCAGAAATTATTGCTGGATCTCCTAATTTTGGTTTACTAATACTAGGTCTTAAATTTGGAATGGTTGAAGCATTTAAATCTCCTGATCCAATCATTGTTCCACTACCACCTTGAGCTGATAATGAAGCTCGAGGTGATGCATAAGGAGAATCCTTAGGAGATTTAGATAAGGGAATATTTCGAAGTGCAGTTAATGTATGAATTAATGAAGCTCGAGGTGAATTATAATCTTGAGAATTCTTTCGAGATGAAACTCTAAATGATGTATTACTTGGAATAGCCGGGATTTGATCCACTGGTAAAGGTAATTGAGGAGGGATATCTTGTAATTGAGATGCTAATAATGAATTACTTGAAGAATATGAACTAACAGAACTTTTTCTAGTACTTACCAGATGAGGATCAACGGCTGAAAAACTGGCTAAAAGAGGAGGTCTATCTGAATTATCATCTTCAAGTTCATTACCTTCATGATCATCATTTAATGGTAAAGAAGTTTCTTCAGTAGAGGGAGCCAATGGAGGTCCATTATCATCATTTTGATTTTGATTTTGAATTTGAATTTGAATTTGTTCATTCTTTTCAAGATTTATTGATGATGAAGTAGGAGAATCTTGAAAGGGGATTCTAAATTGTGGTGCATCCTTTGTAGTGGATGTTGGAGGTACTGGAATAGATAAATACAATTTATCCTTTGAACTTTCATCACGAGATGAATTCGAATCTCCTGAAGCTGAATCATTTAATGGAGAATTAGTTGATTCTGATAATTTAAGTTTTGTTGGTGAATCTCCTGTACTAGAAGATGTACTTGCACCTCCTGTACTTTTAGAAGTTCTTAATCTTCCTTTATCTTCATTAAAGATTCCTGAAGCTTGATCTGCTTCAAATTTAGCTACTGCTTGTATATAACCTCGAGCAAGTAATTTTATAAAATAACTACCCCATCTTTCCATAAGAACAATTAAAGTTACGGGGATTCTATCTCCAGTACATGATACTAATTCAAAATCTGATATTAAATCTCCATATCTATCAAAGGCATTTCTACCTAAAGTTATAGCAGCTGGAGGGAATACGGCTCTAATATTAGTAAAATTAATTTTAGGAGCAGCATAATGAACATATTCACTAAATGATATAGTAGTAGGAGATGTAGCTCCACTACTTTGAGATAAATTAGATATTCTTCTACCTTTAGATCCATTAATTCCATTATTAGAAGTTTCAATATCTGATAATTCATCATAATTATCATTATCATTATCATTATCATCATCATCTTCATCAAATTCATCTTCACTAATATCTTCAATTGATGAACTACTACTTGTACCTTCATCAGTAGGTATTTCATCACCTGTCTTACCTGAAGAAAAAGAATTTCGAGATATTCTTCGAAGAAATCTTTTACCAACTTGATGATGTTCACTGGCTAATTCTGAACTGGCAAGAATATTTGTTATTGGTAAACTTACAGTAATCATTACTGTAAAAAATCTTATACTACTAGTAGTTCTTGAAGTTAAATAATTCCCAAGTAATACAACTTTATGATGAGATTGCCAAGCAAATCCTCCCCAAAATCTATGAGATCCATAATCATGATTACAAAATACATTTAATCTTGACCATTTACCTGTTGGTTTATTATATATAAAAATTGAAATATCAAAATCTCCTGGTAAAAATCCCGTTATAACAATATTTTGTCCAAATAAACCTCCAGTAGGATATTTTAAATTAAATGGAACTGTTTGAAGTAATGGACTTCTTTCTTTAGATTTATCATGTTTTAATATTTTCTTTTTATGAACTGGTAAAGGTCTAGCCGATTTTATATGTTTACCTAATTTAAATGATAATAAAGGATTATGTAAAGAATTTTTACCTGATTGATCTTTAGATGGAGCATAAACAATAATTGATTCTTCTGGTATTGAAGTTATATTAACTTCATTTAATTTACCAGAAGGTTTTGATTCTTTACGATTTGTAATTGAATTTGAATTTGAATTGGGAGTTGGTGGAGGTTGAGCTTGAGGAGATGATGAATGATGTTCAATTTCTTCACTAAAACTTAAAATCATACCATCTAAGAAATCGACATTTAAATGATGATCAGCATTAGATATAACATAATCAAGTCCAAGATGTTCATCTTTAATTTCACTACCTGAACTTGTCTTTAAATAAATTGGTTGAGATCCAACATATTTCTTTTCTACTAAATCAAACATTAAATTATCATAAATTGATTTTGAATTAGAATCTTTACCTCCAGCAATAAATATTCCAAAATGATCTTTACGATTAACAAATGAAAGACTAGTTATTGGAGTCATTTTATGATTATATCTTGGACTAGGGATTGTTGGATCATTTTCATAACCATTACCATCATGAAGTAAAGTCCAAACTTTTGTTTCTAAATTAAATTGCCATAAATCATTTATAGGAATTAATGATTCAGAAAGATCATTACCATTAAGTATTAATCCTCCAAATAAATATAAACAATTATTTATACAACATATTTGATGCAGTAATCTTGGTTTAGGTCTTAAAATATCTTTATTATTATTAAAATCAACTCTTGTCCAAGTTCTTTCAATTAAACTAAGATAAAATAATTCTCCTGAAAGATATTTTTCAATTGTTTTATATTTAGATGTTGAAGTTGATACTTTATCATAAAAAGTATTTTGAATTTCTTCAATTGTCCAATTATAAATTTCAAGTCCAATAGTTAATCCTCCAAAGGTTAATACTAATGAATTATATAATGTAGATGCAGATCCAGTCCGAACATTTAAATTAAGTCTTTCATCCTTTTCTGTTGGTGGTAATTGTAAATTATAACAAGCACTTGATGCTGGAATTAAGGTAGTCATGATATATATATATATATTGAATTTACCACATAGGTTAGTGAAGGAGTATTACAATTGTGGTAGTATTAGTGGGTGTATGATGGGATTAGGGAATTTGTTAAATTGAGAGTAGGGAGAAATAGTGAAAAACTCAACCTACAAAATAGTGAGATATTGTAATTAAATTAGTGTTAGGGAGAAATGGCTTCGGTAGTGATTGATATTTAGCGATGATAGCGGAAGCTACAAAATTTTTGCCTAGTGCGGGTGGGGATGATACAGAAGAGTGTAGTGGGTGAGTAGCGATTGTGAATATAGTACACTACTAGTTAGAATAATAGTGTAAGATTAGTGTAGTATGTTAAGAGTGATGTGTTGTAGTAGAGTATAGTAAGAGTTTAGTAGGTATAGAGTAAGTGTAGTGTGATTGAACAATATAGTACACTAGACAATAGTGAATAATTCTATATATAGTCACTAGAAAATGCACTAAAGAATACAATGCAAGTATTATTGGTGGTCGTGTAAATTATACTAGTATAATAGTATAATAGTATAATACTCCAGTTTCTATACTATCGTATAAATTACAGTTTAATAAAGAACTTTGATTGTACAGTATCGAAGCAAAGTATAATACTCAAGTAGTGTAGTATAATAGAAGTTTTATACTATTGTGTAAAAGTGCTACGTAAGTGAAACATTACTATAGAATGGTATACTATAGTATACTATACTACAGTATAACATAAAATATTGTAGATAGTATTGCTTATACGATACTAGTATTGTATTAATTACCATACTTTAGTATACTATCATAATGCACTTATAGTACCACTTACGTTGTTTCCCCTTCCAGCCATGTTTCTCCCTATCTTGTCGCTGGGGCACTGTGCCGAATTAGGAATAGCCAAACATTACCGCGCATTCTTCAGAATCAGCCATATCCGACCCGAGACTCTTACCGGTCCTCACTGCACTACTCACCATCACACAAACACGTGCATGCCCCCTACTTATCTGACTCCACTTCCGAACCCTCATCACCCACTTCCGACTAACCCCCCTATCTGAAATTCCCACTAACTGTGGTGAGCCGTAGTGAACCCCTTTTTGGCTAATGACTTGCTGGAGTGGAATTTCATTATTGTTCAAATTATCAATTTCCTTTTACTGATTACAAGTTCAATTACTGTTAACTTTCCTTCAGTAAATCATGTCGGAAGTTGAACAAGATACTACAACTGCGCAAAGCAGATTAAAGAAATTAACTAGTGGTTCTACTTGGGTATCACCCTTTAGACAAGTTCAATCAGCTACTGCTCCTCATGGATCTAAAAAGAATCTTCGAAAGCAATTTGCCGAGTCAAATAAGGTTGAAAATCTTAAAGTACCAGGAAAGTTTACTGCTCATCCTGTGTTAGATGCTGAATCCAAGAGATTGGCTGCGGAGGAGAAGAAGAAGGCCGAACCTGAAGTGACTGAGCCAGAAGAAGCAGAAGCAGAAGAGGCTGAAGCAGAAGAACCAATTGAACCAGAAGCAGAAGCAGAAGCAGAAGAAGAAGCAGAAGAACCAGTAGGTGAAGCTGAAGCAGAAACTGAGGCTGAGCCAGAAGCAGAAGCAGAGGCAGAAGTACCAGAAGCAGAGACTGCTGAAGAACCAGAAGTCAATGGAAAAACCCTTCCTGAACAAGGTGATGACCATATCGAACAACAAGTCAAGGAAACTCCAATTGAACTCAATGTCCCAGCTGAATTCAAGTATGAGCCTGTTGAAGATCCCATCAACAAAAAAGCCGTTGAACAATTGAAGGATAAACCTATCTTGTTGAGTCGTTATGAAGAATTGAATACTGCTGCGGTAGGATCTTTAGCTAAATCATTAGATGATCCAAATAAAGTAATTAATTTAGGTTCAGGATTAAAAATGTCTCAACAACAATTACTTGATATTGCTGCCAAAAGAATTGCTCCTGTATTAGCCAATATTAATGATGAAGTTGCTAAATCTAGAAAGGAAGATGAAATTAAAAGACAACAAGAAATAAATGCTAAAGTTCAAAGTCATGAAAGAAAATTACAAGGAGATTATGAAAAGCATGTTAAGAAATTAGAAAAGCAAAAGGAAAAGTTTACTAAAGATCATGAAAATAAATCTGCAGATTTATCCAGATTACTGAAGAATGCTGAAATTGCTGCTGGTAATTTTCATAAAACAACTAAGGCAGAAATTGAAACTGCCAATACTGAATATGAAGATCGTGAAACCAAAGCTGTTGAAAAACATGGTACTGATAAAGAAACTTTAATTAAGAATCATGAAGAATTATTAGCTACTAAACAACAAGAATTAGAAGATGCTAAAACTGGTCAAGAAACTACTACTCAAGAAATTGAAGAATTACATGAAAAGAAGGCTAATTTAGATAATAAGAATTCAGAATTATCTACCCAAATTGAAGAATTAACGGCTAAATTAAATGAAGAAACGGCTAAACTTGATAATTTAAAATCTCAACATGAAGAGAAAACTTCAGGAATTGCTAAGAATTTAGCTACTAAAGAAGATTTAGATGGTCAATTATCTACTAGTAAAAAGCAATTGGAAGATAAACAAGCTATTCATGATAAACATTATGCTGAAATTGGAGTATTAGCGGGAACTTTAGCTGCTTATGGAGCTCATTTATCCACTTTACATTCTGATAAAGAATCTAGAGCTATAAGATTAAATGATGCTAAACAACATTATAGTACTTGGGAACAAGAAAAGCAAACTATTGCCAAACAAGTTGCCGAAGAACATGAACGTAAACGAGTAGAAGCCATTGAAGCTGCAGAAACTCAACGAGTTCAAGATGAACTTGAAAGACAACGATTAAAGGAAGAAAAGGAAAGACAAGAAAAGGAAGAAGCCGAAGCCAAAGCCCTTCAAGAACAAAAGGAAGCTGAAGAACGAGAATTAGAAGCTCAAAAACGTCAAGCTGAAATTGAAAGATTAGAAAAGGAACAAGCTGAATGGGAAGCTAAAGAAAAATTACTTTCCCAAAAGAATGAAAGAGAAGAAGAAGAAAAATTAAAGTCTGATCCTAATTATCCCCAAATCTTAAGAATTAGAGAACGAGAACTTGCTCAAAAACAATTATTAGAAGATCGAGAAGAAAGTGATCGACTTTATAATGTTCGTAAAGCCAAAGAATCCGAAGAAGCAGATAAATTGGCTAATGAAATTGAAGAATTAAGAAATCAAAAGAATGCCAAGGCTGAAGCTGAACGATTAGAAGCTGAACGATTAGCTCAAGCCAAGGCCGATGAAATTCAAAGATTAAAGGAAGAACATGAAGCTAGATTAAAATTATATCAATCTAGATTGGAATTTGAAGAATTACAAAAGGCTAGATTATTAGAAGAAGTGGAGAATTTAAAGAAGATTAGACAATTGAGAGAAGAAAAGGCCCGTTTAGAAAATGAAGTACAAAAGTCAAGTCAATTGGATGATATTCAAAAGTTAATTGAAGAACGTGAGATTGAAGTGGCTAAATTAACTAAACAAATTGAATATGATGATAATGAATTTCGTCCCAAAGCTTCAGAGCCTTTTTTAGAGATTAGCAATGACTTATCGAAAGATACACGAGCCATCCCTGAACCGGAAGTTGCAGTTAAAAAGGAAAGTAAACTTCCAGCCACTGCTGCTGTTATAGGAGGAGCTGCAGCTGCTACTGCAGCTGCTGTAGCATCATCTGTTCCTAAACCAAAACCAAAACCAACACCAACATCAACTCTTGGTGTTCCTAAATCGGAAACTAAGAGATCCAACAGTATTAAGAAATCACTTAAATCACTCTTTAAAAGTGATTCTCCCAAATCATCTCCCAGTAAATCTACCCCTACTGCCAAATCAGTAGCTCCAACCAAAACCACCAAAACCACCACTACATCTGCTCCAGTTGCAGTTGAATCTCTTGAACAACCGGCTGGTGTGGCCAACCCATTTGTTGCTGAAGATGATTCAGATTACGAAATCATTTCCGTCTATGAAGAAGTTGGTGATGAAGAATTTGCAGCTCATACCGGAGATCCAAACTACCTTGAAGTGTCTAGTGAAGATTTCCAAAAACATCATGGTGTTAGCTTAAAGGTCTAAGCTAGCTTGACCTCATTCGTTTAGTTTTTTATATTTCTTATTGTATTGTTTCCATTATGTTTTGCACTGTGTTTATTGTATTATTCTCCCTAAAAGATTACTATTTATATAAATATACATTGATCACTTTAACTATTTAGTTAATTAGTTAATTAACTAATCAAAGGTAATTTTCTTACCTGATGATGGAACTATTGCGGCACTGGCTCTTTGGGCAGTTGCTAATGCTACTGATGATTTTAATCTCTTATTAGAGTTATTATTATTATCGGAATAATCAGGTTTATACAGTCTCTTTGGTGGGGGAGGTCTACTATTAAACGTTTCTTGCGGTTGTCTTACTCTTTCACGAGCTCTTGATTCATATTGTGGGGTATTAGTGAAATTAGAATTAGAATTAGAATTAGAATTGGAATTAGTGAAAGTGGTGGTACTGACTTCTCCTCCTGCTTCTGCTTCTGCTTTCTTTATATGATTAGGAGTTCTCTTGGATCTATCTTCACCAAACTCTAATCTTAAAGGTCTATTAATTAATTTCTTAGCTAACTTTGATTTTAAAGCAGCCGTTGGACCTGCTTCATCTTTAAAATCAATAAATGCAAATCCTTTACATTTACCAGTATCTTCAAAAGTTGCCATTCTAATTTTTACAATATCTCCACAATGTCTAAAATGTTCTTCCAATAAATCTTGAGTTGTATCAAATGATAAATTACCGACAAATAAAATTCTTGAAGGAGGGTTTTTAGATAATGAAGCAGTTGGAGATGGAGTTGGTCTACCTTCAAAAGAATTTGCATTTTTTATTAATAATTTTCTACCATTTAATGGTAATTCACTTAATGAAATCACCGTATTAACTTGTTCAATATTAGCTAAATCAATATAAGCAAATCCTTTAATTTTATTATCCTTTTTAGGAAGATTCACTCGAGTAATATCTTCATCAGTAATCTTTATATCAAGTTGAGAAGTTTTACCAATTATAAATCTAGTTAAATCTTCTTTAGTTGTATCAAATGATAAATTACCGATCCATACAGCAAATTCAGATTTACCTGATTTTTTATCTTTCTCTTTATCTTCTTCATCCTTTTTAGCTTGTTCTTCAGGACTTAATTCTGGAGCTGGTGCTGGATGTTTCTTAGCTAATCTTTCTAAGTTTAATTTCCCTTTCTTTAAGAGACGTTGTTGTTTTTTAGATAAGGGGATTCCTGCTTGTAAATCAATAGCGATTTCTTCAAATTCATGATGTTTAGTCAGTACTTCATTTGGTTCATTTGACTCATTTGATTCATTTGACTCATTTGACTCATTTTTAACAGTGGGCTCTTCTACTAAAGGCTCAGTGACTTTCTGAGTCTTCTGTACCTTCTGAGCTTTCCTCTCTCTCTTCTCCTTCTTACTTTCCTTAGTCTTAGTATCACTCATTGTCTCGCTGGGGTCTGGATATTTCAATTAATTTACTGAGCTCATCGCAATTTTTTAGTGAGACTATTTTTATTTTGTTCTCACTAATTTGTTAGCTCTCACTAATTTGTTAGCGACCCTCACTTCTCACTAACTCTCACTCACTAACTCTCACTAACCCTCACTATTTCGTCTAGACATATATATTTAACTTTATAGAACTAATGTACATAAGGAGCCTATAGAGAGGAATAACAAATAAGCTAATAAAATTCGTATTAATATGATTATCCTAATTATCTTCCACCATTTCTAACCATAACCATTTCCTCCATAATTCACCGGCTTCAGAAATGATATTATCGATAAAATTAACTTTATGATTATTAATAGAATCATTGGAAATAATTATATTTTCATGTTTATGAGGGGTCATTAAAGGAGACATTATATCTGCCTTAGGAGATGTTGAAGTTGAAGAAACTTCTGAAGTTGAAGTAGATGTAGTCGTAGAAGTAGCTGTAGTATCAGTATAATGATGAGGTTGAGGACTAATATTATTACCATGTTGATGTGTATGATGTTTTTTATGTTTATACTTAATTGATTTGGTAGGTAATCTTGATAAAATTTGTCTAATTTCATGTTGATCTAATTCTACTAATAAATTTTCCTTTGATTTTAAAAGTGCTAAAGATACAAAGATTAATTCAACATGTGCATCTAATCTTGAAAATGGTATGGGTAATAAATTAATTGGAGTTGAAGTGGGTGAACTTATACTTGAATCTGTACTATTTGAAATATCCAGATTATTTGAATTTACTGAACATCTTGAATTAGCTGAAGATGATGATGTACGTCTTGATTGTTCAATTTCAAATTCACTAGATTTAGAATTAGAATTAGAATTTGTATTGGTATTAGAATTGGCTGGAGTTGGTACTGTCACTGGAGTTATAAATAAATCATTATTTAATTGAGATACTAAATCTTTAAGTGAATTTCTTCTACCCCCTCCTAAACCTGATAATGTAACATTTGAAGGACTCTTATCAATACTTGTTGAATCATCTTCACCACTTAATGACCAAAAGATATCAGGACCCAATTTAGTAAGAAAACTATTATCAATAATTTCTAATTTATCATAATAATATTGTAAATCTTTCTTGGGATTCTTAATTCTCCAACCTAATAATAAATCCCATATTCTACCTCTATCAAATTTAGACCATACTTTTGAACCACAAAATTTTAACCACCAAATTAACCATTCATCATCATGAGATCCAAATTTGGTAAGAATTTGTTCTTCATGAAAGAATTGTGATAATTCTGGTAATACTTTTCTTAAACTATAAATGAAAAACGACACTCGTTCTTCTATAGTTCCACCATTTATTGGTAATAATGATTTATTAACTTTATGAGTGAAATGTCTTCGAGATTTACTAGATGAGTCTGATCCAGAAGTTGAATTTGTGTGTGTATTTGTGTGTGTATTGGAATTATCATTAGCATTAGAATTAGAATGTTCTTTATCTTCGTCACTCTTTTTATTCTTACTTTGAGGTGGACAATGCAATAATACTAAAACCAATCGTTCATAGACATCATGAAATGATAAGCTCGAGATTTTCTCATCTTGAACTAATTCATTTAAATAACCTTTTAACCAAGGTAAACTATCGATATAATTTGAATAATCATCAAATAAATCAATAAATAATGAATTAGATGAAGAAGAATGATCACGACCCATTAATACTAAACTTGTTTTAGATACTGGAGGAAACCATTCAGCCAAATTAAGAGCTATCCAAGTTAAAGATGAATCATATTTAATAATTTTACCCCATTTAAGACTAAATTTTAAAATAGAATTCTCCAATACATTAAATATAGATTTTTCAGTTGATGATAAATTTATATTAGAAGAATATTTCAATCTTTGAATATATTTTCTTAAATCCTTTTTAATTTTGAATTTAATTTCTTCTTCATCATCATCAATAATTGCTTCTTCATTACTACTATTATTTGAAGAAGTAGATGTAGAAGTAGAATTATTATTAATATCATTAGTATGAGATGTACTATTAGAACTTGATCTTGAACTACTACTATGAGTTAATTCTTCATCTGGTTGAATGAATGGATTTAATACAAATGGATGATATTTTAATAAAATAGGCCATATTTTAAATCGAAGAAATGGTGGGACTCCCTTTTGTCGAGCAAGTAAGGCTAATCCATGATGATTTTTTGTATCGAGATAATGTTTAAAGATATTAAATAATTCTAAATCATAATTAAATGAAGGCTTTTCATCACGAATAGGATTTATAGTTGAAGAAGCTGATGAAGATAATTGAGGTGATGGAGGAGTTGAAGAAAGTGGAGAAGGTGATTCATGAAATATAACTTGAGGATGAGGGAACTCAGACGGAGACGGAGACGGAGCTGGAGCTGGAGCTGAAGCTGGAGCTGGAGCTGAAGCTGAAGCTGTAGTTATAAGTTCGTCACTCATAATTTAGAAAATTTTAGTTGAGTTCAGCAATGAGTTTTAATGATGAAATAGAATGAAGAATTGATAATTAATAATTTGACATAGACATGACTGTAATGATAAAATGCTAAGAAAACTTTGAAAAATTCACTTCTCAAGACAATAGATGCTTATGGAGGTGATAATAAAACTAATAATTAATATTTTACCTATAAAGGATTTAAAGATTTGGTAAGGAATTCAATTCTCGTTAGCGTAGTGTGACAAGGAGGATGAAATGAAAATGTCGGGGGAAGGAGAGATGAAACTAATGATTTAAACACACTAGGACGATAAGATTTTACTGTAAAATTATAAGGAGATAAGTGAAGCAAGATCAGCTTCCAGCAATAACAGGCACAAAGGCAAGTCAATATAAGCGGATGAAGAAGTTGATTTATTAATAAAAGCTTATGGCTCAATTTTGCTAATGGTCTTCCGAGATTAGTGAAAACTTTTGTTGGTACGGAGGAGCCACGGCAAGACATTGCGACATTTTGCCTGAATAAAATGAATAAATGTCGTGAAAAATGAGGAAATTTGTGGAAATTTTGGAAATTTTAAAAAATATTGTCAAGCTTCTCATTAGTGAAGCGTGACTTTTTTCTTGATTGAGAAAACTTATCACCGATTTGCAGGTTAGTTATCGTAAGTTCGATTACATATTGCGGTTAGGATTCTTTGCCTTCCATCTCGGTACTGTACGGTACTGTACTGTTACTGGATTTGTGCCTGTACACTGTACAGTATCGTATTAGAGTAATTGGCTTAATTAGGCTTAACTACTATGCTCTCTCATCCGAATTGACCGCAATAGTTATTATACTGTATCTCATTGCATCATGTATATTATTATTATATCGTATATAGTTAAGTAATTATAATTATATATAAATACGTAATTATCTTATAATTAAAAGTAGTACTTTTACTTTAATATATATATTTATAATGATATGAAATAAAATGAAATGATTGATCTATTTAAATCTTTAAAGAACTTAACTAATTCAACTGAATCAAGAATTAAGAATGGTAGGTAAATCTTGTCTTTTTTTGCTTTTAGTTTAATTTTTTGGTTCATTCATTGAATACTAACTTAATTTGTCTAGCAACAAGTAGTGAACCCTTAGGTCCTTATAATCATGAACTTATTGAATTAGCAAGATTATCGTTTGATCATTCTTCATTATCGACTATTGAGAATGTAATTATAAAAAGACTTTCTGTATTTAATCTTGATGCAAAATCAAATAATAATAGTCATCTTAATGGATTACATCTTCCTAATAGAAATTTCTCATTAAGACGTTCAACTAGTGAAAAGTCAACTTCTTCAGGTAGTCGTCGTAATAGTAGTGGATCTTTAAATTCAAATTCAAATTCAAATTTAAGTTCACATTCAAATTTAAGTTCAAATTCAACCTTAAATCCTCATAGTAATACCTCCGGTATAGCCGTAATTAAAAGATCAAATTCTTTACCTTCAACCAAACCATCATTAATTGACCTTCATGATTCATCTTATTTGCAACTCTTAAAAACTTTAACAGTTATACTATATTTAATACAAAATGGATCTCCTCATTTCATTAAATGGATTAAAGCGATTTATAATCAATACTTAACACCAATATTAATTAATATTCAAATTATCCCTATTCCTACGAAGTACTTGGATTCAATTAAATTTAAATTGGTTAAAATTATAAATTTATTCGAAAACGTGAATAATTTGAATCAATATAAATTAAACTTTAATAAATTAAGATATGATATGTCAATCCCAGGTGTTAAACGAAATTCAATTGATAATAGTACATTGGTAGGTAGTGATAATAATAATAATAATAATAATAATAATAAAACTTCAACTCCAATGTCTCCTCCTTCTCATTATGGTCATAAGAGATCAAATAGTATAGATTACGGTTCATACTCAATTTCTTCATCTAATAATAATACTTTAACTAATATAATAGAAGAAGATGATTATCATAATAATAATAATAATATAAACTATTCATATAATAATAATCCTTTTACAAAACATGATTATCAAGCATTATTTGAACCAATGACTCCACCTAAACAGAATGATTCAATAACAATGAATCAATTGAATTATAATTATTCACCACCTCCACCTCATAAAAGTCATCGGTCAAGTTCAAAAAGTCATCATCATAATTATGATCAAAATCATGAAGATCACCATCATCATCATCATCACGATCATAATAGTCCTTATTCTTCATTCTCGTCATAGAATTGAATCAATTGCAAAAGAACACAATTAGTCTAATTTTTCATAACATAACATAACATAACATAACAACATAAAATAAAATAAAAGAAATTATCGGATATCTAAAAGCATGAAAATAAGTTAAACTAACTGGAAAACTGTACTGTTTCATAGATAAGCAAACTGCATTTTTTTGGTTATGATTAATTATTTCGGTCACTCTTTACATACAAAACGTATCATCGTTAACACTTTATACGTTTAATTTAAACGTTAAGGTTCAACTCCTTTACCTTTATATCAGGTGTCATTTTTTAGGGTTAAATAACTATTTAATATACACGTTCTCTTTTATCGTCAATTGCTAGAATTCGCTTACATTGATCTAAGTTTAGCTTATTAATCCGATCGTTATACGTATATATGTAGTCATTTATCTATGCAATGTCTAAAGACAAACTCCTATTCGCATAGGTTATTAGAATCATACCATTTTTAACAGCCAGCTGTTTTGATTTTCCCCCACATGATAGAATTATAAAATTAGAATCTAATTAAACAGGCGATGAGTTCCTGTATGGTGACAACGAAAGGCGGTTACAGACAGGAACTGTGTCAGTGATAAGTGAAGAATGACTCAAACTCTAAATATTCGACATAAAAAAAAAGAAATTTAAAGTCGTTTTGTCAAGACGAATGAGGTATTTTTATAACAAAATATTTAGGTGTTGTACGTTTCACGTGATCTCTCCATAGTTAACAGTAACAAAATTAAAAAGAAATTCATAGAAATTTCCATTACATATACCACAAAATGATAAAATAGGGGGTGGATACCGAAAAGGGAATTTGGTTGGCGTTGGAGGCAATAAGTATGGAGGCAAGGATGTTATGCTTAAGCGGAAACCAGCAAAGTATATAAAGGGAGGAAATTGTCGCCACATTTCGAATTATCATCAAACTTCTTTCTTTTAACTCCATCAATCAATTAATAATAAATTTATAAACTTATATCACAATGCAAATTTTCGTTAAGACTTTAACTGGTAAGACCATTACCTTAGAAGTTGAATCTTCCGACACTATCGATAATGTCAAATCCAAAATTCAAGATAAAGAAGGTATTCCACCTGATCAACAAAGATTAATTTTTGCTGGTAAACAATTGGAAGACGGTAGAACTTTATCTGATTACAATATTCAAAAGGAATCCACTTTACACTTAGTCTTAAGATTAAGAGGTGGTATGCAAATTTTCGTCAAGACTTTGACTGGTAAGACCATTACCTTAGAAGTCGAATCCTCAGACACCATTGACAACGTTAAATCTAAAATTCAAGACAAAGAAGGTATTCCTCCTGATCAACAAAGATTAATTTTTGCTGGTAAACAATTGGAAGACGGTAGAACTTTATCTGACTACAATATCCAAAAGGAATCCACTTTACACTTAGTCTTAAGATTAAGAGGTGGTATGCAAATTTTCGTCAAGACTTTGACTGGTAAGACCATTACCTTAGAAGTCGAATCCTCAGACACCATTGACAACGTTAAATCCAAAATTCAAGACAAAGAAGGTATTCCACCTGATCAACAAAGATTAATTTTCGCTGGTAAGCAATTGGAAGACGGTAGAACTTTATCTGATTACAATATTCAAAAGGAATCCACTTTACACTTAGTCTTAAGATTAAGAGGTGGTATGCAAATTTTCGTCAAGACTTTAACCGGTAAGACCATTACCTTAGAAGTCGAATCCTCAGACACCATTGACAACGTTAAATCTAAAATTCAAGACAAAGAAGGTATTCCACCTGATCAACAAAGATTAATTTTCGCTGGTAAACAATTGGAAGACGGTAGAACTTTATCTGACTACAATATCCAAAAGGAATCCACTTTACACTTAGTCTTAAGATTAAGAGGTGGTCAATAAGTGTTTTAGGTGAAAGCTAATTTTTTTTAAAGGTTGGAAAAAAGTTACATGGTTGATGTTTTAAATAATATATAGTGAGCTTTTTGCTATCTAATTAATATATTTTCCTTTACACTATTATAGTGTAACCTTTAAAATTATATTTAATTCTATGTAATTATGTAAAAAATTTACTTAATTCAGTATGAATAATACTTGAAGTTTCAGTTTGTTTAAATTGATTTAATTTCTCAATAACTTGATTGAGCTTATTCAATTCATTCAAATCTTCTAAAATTGGTTGCAAATTTGAAGATAATCTAATGAATTGAATTTTAACATTTTCAATATTATCATTAGTTAAACATAATTCACTTAATTGAATCCAATTCTTAAAGATATTATCAATTTCCTTTATTGGATGAGAATCCTTTAATTGAATTAATATTTTCAGTAATGATTCCATTACTTGTAATTTTGATCTCCAAGTATTTGTAATAAGTCTTGAATGAAATATACTGTAGAATTGATTTAATATAAATTCAATTAATTCATGATTATATTGTTTATCATTAATTATATAAAAACTTTCTCCAAGATTCTTTATAAATGATAATTTAGATTCTTCAAGATCAAGATTTTCTTTAGTTGTAAGATTAAATTTTAAATCTTCATTATCACTAGTCATATCTTCATCTTCATCTTCATCTAAACTATAATTATCCAGTAATACTTGACCCATAATTGTTATATAAATTTCAATAACTTCTAAATTATCATTATTAAATTCATGAATATATTTTCCAACAAGTTTAATAACATGTTTTTGATAAGTTTTATTTCTTCTCTTTGCTTCAACAATTATAACTCGATTAATTTGATTTAATAATTCCAATTGCAATGGATTTCTTAAAAATTCTTTACAAGTAATTGAAAATGATATTAAAGAATCAAAAACTAATTCTTTACCTTCCCATGATTTACCCTTATTAGATTCTAATAAAAGTTTTAATAATTCAATAATTGTTTCTGAAGATAATTGATTTGAATTATCAATTAAATTACTTAAATTAGATATTGAAGTAGCTAAAATCTTTCTAATTTCAAATTTATTCGATTGAACATAAATTTTAAAAAATTCTAAAATTTCATTCATATATAATTTAATTGAACTATTACTACCACTAGTATTTTCAATCCATTCACGTTCAAAATTTAATTTAACTATTTTATTACTATCATACTTTCCAATAAATGATAATGGTAAAAATGCACTGGCAATTAATTCAAATTTATCATGACCACAATATTTTGAAACATTTTCACTAGCAATTGATGCAATTTCTCGACTTCTTTCATCTTCACTTTCAAAATATAATTTATTTATAAATTTTGAATAATTTATAATTGATGAAATCAGAGAAATTTTACAAAGATAACCTGCAGCAGTTGAATATGATGAAGATATAGTATCATTTTTATCTTTAATTTGTTGGATAGTAACTTTTAATAATTTATCACCAAATGGTTTAATTAAATGATAATGTTTACTAACTAATTGAACCAATACTCTTGAACCACAAACTTTTGATGGTAAACCAACTGATCGTTTAATTGCCGATTCTAATTTATTAATAAAATCTTCCATTAATGAATCATCTAATTCATCTAATAATTTTTCAATTGCATCCATCATTGGTGAATGTCCTAAACTTTGTAATCTTTTTGCATAAATATCATTAGATTTTAAATTATATTTATCAGCATTTAATACTAAATAATTAATAACTTCTGGTTCTAATGTTGACATTAAATTTATAAAATTTTCAATTAATTTAGGTACATAAATTTTAATTGATTTCCCCCCAGTTTTACAAATTTTAAGTATAGTATCTAAGGCAAAATTTCTAACATCTTCAGAATCACTTAATAAACCTTTATTACCTAATAAAAATGGAATTAAATTTTCTAAAATATCAATTGATTCATGTGGTGAATCTGATGATTTATTCTTGGGATCAATAATTCTTACTAAAATTGTCGCTAAACTTTTAGTTAATTTAATTCCTTCCTTTCTAACACTTTCTTTAATATCATCCATAACTCTAAAACTCATATTCCAAATTTCTTCTAATTTATATTCATAACTTTCAATAGAAACAATTTGTACAAGATCACTTAATCCAACTGTACTGGCTTGTCTAACTCTCCATTCTTTATTCCCCATCCCCTTCAATAATTCTGGTAAAATTATATCAAAATTTTCTTTAACAGTTTTAGAAGTATCAGAAATTAATGCATTCCAAATATCATTCATGGATTTTTGTACTGAAGTATTTGGATCATATCTATAACGAAATAATTTAGGAATTAATCGATTAGATAAATTTTTATTAGTAGATAACATCTTATCTAATTGAGCTTTAGATAATATTGAACCTAATCCAAAGGCTAACCCCTTTCTTGAAGACCACAAGGCTGAAGATTTAGCTAATGACATAAATTTATAAACTAAACTTGGATCTCCAACATCAGATGCTAAATTTAAAACATCTTTATAAGTTGATACCGATCCTTCATTAGTTTTTAATAATTCCGGTTCAAATAATTCAGTATCTTTATCAATTGATCCAGAAGTAAAATTTGTTGTTGAACTTGAATCAGTAAAAGATTTTAATAATCCTCTTACTAAAGTATCCTTTAAATCATAATCTCCCATTTCATAAACTAAACTTAAACCTCTTGAAGCAGATTCTTGAATTAATTCATCTCTATCAGCTAAAAATCTCATAAATGATATATGAATTTCCGAACTTTTTTGTTGAATTATTGATAAATGTCCACAATATTGAGTTAATGATAATAACCAAATACATCCTGCTCTTCTTAAACTTGGTTTTGTATTTGCACATGCTTGTAAGACTACTTGTAATATAATTGATAATCGAGAAATATCATTTGGAATATAAATTATATCTTCACCTTGAATATCAAGATATTTTACTAAATATGTTGATTGCCATCCACATCCCATAACCAGAAATGCTTCACCACTTGTAAAAGTATATTCAACTTGTTTAGATATATGAGTATCATAAATCATTTGTTCATATTGATTAATTTCTTCACTAGTTGAAGTTGATTTACCAAGTGCTAAAGTTAAATAAGATAATGTAATTACCGATTGTTCATCACATTTCTTAACTTTAAGTTTAATTGATTCAATAAATTGTAAAACAAATGAATTTAATTCTTGATTAACGACGGGTCCTAGAACTCCAAAAATAGCTAATTGATTAATACATTCTAATACTGTATAATATAATGATGAATCAACATTCTTTAGATGATTTAATAGAATATCACAAAATTTAATTAATTCACTAGTATCAATAATATCAATTCTTTTTCTTAAATAAAGTCTTGATATAAGATAACTAATAGTTAATAATCTATTCTTTACCATATAAGATGGGATATCATTTATAGTTAATTGATTAAATAATCGAAGTAAATAATCTCGAGAAATATATGGATGACTAGAAATAATTCCCAAGGAATTACATACTAAAGATAATGATTTATCATTTAAAACTTGTTTATTAATTAATTCAATAATTTTATCAATTAATGGAATTAATTGTTCAATTACTCTGGGAGGTGAGAATGTAATTAATTTTGTAAATATTTCCACATAAGTTATATCTAAGGATATTCTGGCTGTATCAAAATATTGTCCAATTAATGTATTAAATATTATGGATAAATATTGATTAAATATATTATTTTCTTGATTATCAGTCATATTAATATCTGATTCAGCAATATGTTTAATTTCCTCAACTAAAAGTTGTTGAACAGTCTTATCAACTTCTAAGGCTTTATCTAATCTTATTTCCCAATCTTCATCAGTAACTACTACCGTATTTGAATTTGAATTGGAATTGGAAATGGCTTGCATAACTAAGATTTGTAAACCAAATTTAATCCCCTTGGCAAGTGATTGATAAATTGTATTATTGGTACCATTTGCTTCAGTTAATTCATTTTGTAATACAGAAATAAATTGTTCAAAGGTTGGAAATACAACTTTAGAATTTTCTCCTAATAAATCTCGAGTTGATTTAAATTCTAATGTATTAGATGATTGTAAGATATTAAACCAATGAGGATGTAAACCTTTAATAGCTTCTTCAATTGTATCTGAACGATTTTCTTTGGCAGTTCCTAAGATACATAAATATCGAGCTTGAGAATCTTCAAATGGGAATGAACTATTAATATATTTAATAGCTACATAACGACAAGAATGCCAATTTTCTGAATTATCACTACTCATTTGTGATAAATATCGTTTAACAAGAATCTTAAGATTTTGTTTTGATTGACTTGATAATTGAGGTAAAAGTACAGTTAAACTAGATAATGCATCTTGTATAGTAGCTCTTAAATCAGGTAATTCACCTTCTAATGATTGGAAAAGAAATTCAATATATGATATATCATCCAAGATTAATTCGGGACTTGACCGAAGAATATTTCCAAGAGTTTCATATTGTAATTGTCTTTGAGAAATACTTGTTGAATAATTTTTAATTTGGGATGAATCTAATTGAGGCCATCCTTCAGTAATTAAATTATTTCTTAATTGACTTGCCATATTCAGATTAAATTCTCGTAAAGTTTTGGCTTGACTTTCTGAAAATTCACTATCATTACTACTAACCCATTTAATAAATTGAACTGTTGATTGCTTTAATCGAGAATATTCTGATGTTAATCCAATACTACTAATTTCAGCCACTCGTGGAATGGTGGTAACTAATTTACTCTTCAATAAATTTTGCATAATTTTCTCTTGTACGGTTGCAGAAACTGGTGGTCTAGTTTGATCACCTAAAAATAAATCAACTAGATTATTAATTAATCGTTCATCTTCATAATTTATAGTCAATTTTTTAAGTAAAACTTCTGCAGAATCATTAATTATTGATGATGAATCAACTGATGCAATTAAATATGGTATAACTAAATTTTCATCTTTAAATCCTGCCTTTAAGAATTCTAATAATCTTAATTTAATTTGAAAGATTTCATTATTGGTCTTATATTGTATTCCAGCATCTTTGTTAAAGAATTCATTATCAGAAATACTTAAACCTGGTAAAACAATTGAACCATTTGGAGTAGCTTGTAATAAAAAGAATTTACTTATAAGTTGAGATAAATAATTTTCATCATTTGGATTATCAATAAAATGTAAAAATCTAGACATATTATTATAATCTTCAGTATCTAAACTTGGAGATTTCCAATTTTCAAGTAATTTACATAATACATTAAATAATCTTGCAGAAACATTACCAGGAAATTTAGATATACCTTCAATTACAATTGGAATTAAATCTTTCTTTTCTAAATCAGATAATCTTTCAATTCCTCGTGAAACAAATATTAATGAAAATAATCTTAATGATGTAGCATCTGAACCTGGAGAAATATTAGGAGTTTTAACTTGATTTAATAAGGCTACTAAAGGTAATTTAATAGTTCTTGCTGCAGCTATTCGAGGTAAAAGTTGTTGAATAATTTTAAGAATAGAACTTCGAACTTGTCCATGAGGACTAGCTAATTTTAATAATAATGGGGCAAGATATAATTGAAGTGAACTTTCAAATTGCTTATCATTTTCGGCTAATGCTATACGTAATTCCACCTTATTGATTAGTGACAATTCATTTTCAGCCATTTTTATTCTATAAAATTAAATGTTTGTTAACCAATACTTTTAATAACTTTATTTTAGAGTGGCTGCAATCTGACTTTTATAATAATAACGCTTAATGGTGGCAAAGGCAAAGGCAAAGGCAAATTATATTCCCGTTCAATCAGATAGTGAAAAATTCGGTGTCGCACTCCGAATTGAACATAGAGACGCAACTAATCTGTCGGTGTCAAATGCCGAGGGTAGAAATAGTAAGAAGAGCAATTACTTAAAAAAAGGCAGCATTGATTTACGTTCAATTTATAAAACTACAAATTATATCAGAAACATTTTATTCATCTTCTTCATCTTTTTCTTCTACGTGTGTCTCTTCGGAGTCACTGTAATAGATAACCATGGTCAGCTTTTCAGGATCTGTGAATGAGGCATCACCGTCTAAAAGTGGATCTTGAATCCATAAACTTGAATTATTTCCAACTCTATTCATTGCATCATAGAACTCTCTTGTTAGATGATCTCTAATTTCAGATTTCATCAATGTCTTCTCTTGGAATTTCAATATTTCCTCTTCCATAGACTCTTTCCTATTGTAACAACCATTTAAGAACATAAATAATTTGCATGATGAAGAATAGACACTTGAACTATTTTCGTCAAGACTATAGATTGAACATTGGACTCCTCTCAAGTTTGTAATTTTACAATAGTTTTGATCATTAAAGTCATTGAGGTGATGGTTTCTTAAATCTATTACGAAAGTATTATAATAATTTGATAATAACACATAAGGACACTTGGTCGAGATAGCATCCCATAGTAATTGACCAAATATATTAGTAAAGCCAAATGAATTCATTGAAATCTTTTCAGGACGGCAATTATTGATATAGTCTAAAATGTTCGAATATCTCACTTTTATAGGTATTGCAAAATCTTTAAATTGAAGAACTATATCTGGTTCTACTATTTTCTCTCCTCTTTCCATTATCCTTTTAAATGAATATTCTTGAGTGGAATAAATAGTTTCATTGTAAATTGTGCTTAACAATGAGGAAGTGATCCAGCAAGTCAATTTATCAGTAATAGCATAAGCAACTGATCCTTTATGATACAATGAATTGTGATAAAAATAAGTCTTTAGTTCAATTTCTAAAATTTGTTCTTTAACAAGTTTTAGACTAGATTCATCAAATTCAAAATCCTTAATATCACCATAAATAGGATAGAAGGTACCTAAATTAAGTGGTAAAACACCCAGCCAATGCAAATTCTCGGACCTATAAGTATCTTTTTTTTGGTATCTTCTTAATATTTGATTTAAGGAATGAACTTTTTTTCGTTTTTGAATTGGTTTAGATGATTCCATCTTTGGAAGTTGAAGGCTTAACGATATAGTGAAGTTAAAATAACTTACTATGAATCTCGTCTTGTTTGGGAACCATTTCCTAAAAATTCCACTACATCTAAATGAATCTATGACTTGATTAAGAGTTTCATTAGTCTCCATTTCTATCTTGAGTAATAAGTGAAAATTCACTAAACGTAAAAGAACTTTTAATGCATAATCCCTTTCGATACGTCCATCTTCGACTAAATCAAGTAACCAAAACTCTTCCAACAATTTATCTACTTCAGTTATATCAGGAGATTTCAAATATTCCTCTAATTCATCCTTTAGCTTATAATACCGATCACTACATTCCCTGCTAATGATAAATGGCTGTATAACACCATCCATCACGGGTACCAACGCATTATAAGCGTAGTCTAATGTGATAATCTCCGTAAGCTTCATGATTTAAGTTGAAACTGGCAATACAGCCACTGAAACGATAGTTTCCTTTTTTAGCTGCAAATAACTGCGTTAGGTTGAAGGGGTCGTGTTTAAAGGATAAGTTTAAAGTAAATTTCTTCAAAATTCGCAGCATTTATTTACTTATCTAAATAAAAAAATTAATAGCAAAACTGATAAATAGTAAAGTTAATAAATAGCAAAAATAATAAATAGCAAAAGTAATAAATAGCAAGACAACCACAATTATTTATATTCTCTTCAATCTAGATTTTCTATTACTCAGGTTAGGAATCTCTGATGATGAAAAAACAGCCATTCTCCAATCAAGATGGTCCTTCATTGCTAATTTTGTGTTTTTTTCTGACCCTACCTTTAAATCATTTGGTTCTTTCATTAATTGATCTTCTTCTTCCCCTTCGTCATCCTCGTCATCATAATAATAATCATCATCATCATCATCATAATAATAATAATCATCATCATCATCATCATCATCATCATCATCATCATCTTCTTCTTCTTCTTCTTCTATATTTAAATCATTTGGTTCTTTCATTACTTGTTCTTCTTCTTCTCCTTCATCATCCTCGTCATCATCATAATAATCATAATAATCATAATAATCATCATCATAATAATCATCTTCTTTTCCTTCTTCTTCTTCTTTTATAAAAATTTCTTTAGTTTTTTCATTATTATTTCTATAAGGTATTCTCCACTTTTTGCGTCTCTCATTCAAAGCCAGGATTGAAAAATCCAAAAATGTAGGTGTTCCAGTTTCAATGATCACATTTTTCTTGGTTATATCCTTATGAAAAACTCCTAAAGTATGAAATTGGTTAATTATCTCAACACCTTTTTCATAAATTTGGAGCTTTTCACTATCACTACCTTCAAATTTGTCTAACCTTTTTCCTGATATAATATGCATAAGCATATAGAAACCGGATATAGGTAATATTTCATCCAGTTTAATAGTCAAATCTTCCACCAACTTATCAATTGAAGGATTGGTTAAAAATCCAAAACTCACCAAATAAGGAATATTTTTAACTGATTTTAGTTTCATATAAGACTGTACTTCTCGTGAAAATGCCTTAAACGAAGTCTTGATACTACCCTCTATTACAGAGTCGGCTTCTGTAAATATGGCTGACCTAACAGGGTCAACCACTTTTAGGATCATTAACTTTTCGCTTTTCTTTTCTTTTACTTTAAATATCGAGCTATTTCTCGAATTCAATCTAGCACCTGATAAAATTCTAGTAATTATAAATTGCTTTTGGAAATCTTCCATAGAATAGTTCAACCACTTTTTACTTTTAATCATTTTTTTTGATTCTTCGTAGTAAAACTTCAGAAACCTATTAGTGATATTTTCCAAATCAGGTTTGTACTTACTAATCACCATTGAAGCTACTGTGCTATTAATTGATATGTCAATGTCGTCAGAATCAATCAATGATTCATTCAATGATTCCCTTTCTTTAAAATTTTCAATTCCTGAATCATAATTAACAACCATTGACAGATTTACAGTACCTGCAAATGAAACTTCAATATCTAAAGGTGCATCTTGAATATATGATTCAACAATATCTTTCAAAACTCTATCTATAGCACCATAGAATTCTTTTGTTATGTAGTTTTTTGCGGTTTCTTTTATTATAGCCTTCTCTTGGAAATTTGACATTTCCTCTTCCATAAACTCTTTCCTATTGTAACAACCATTTAAGAACATAAATAATTTGCATGATGAAGAATAGACACTTGAACTATTTTCATCAAGACTATAAATTGAACATTTGAGGTATCTTAAAACTCTGCAGAGGTTTTGTCCAATAAAATCACCAAGTTCATGTTTTTCTAAATCTATTACTAAAGTATTTTCATAATTTGATAACAATACATAAGGACACTTCTTCATAATAGCAAACCTTATTAATTGACCAAATATTTCAATAAAAGCATATGACTTCTTTGAAATATTTCTAGATCTGCAATTATTTATATACCCTAAAATATTCGAATATTTCACTTCCATAGGAACTGAAAAATGTTTAAAATTAATCAGTAAATCAGGAGATACTTCTCTCTTTGTAGATGAAATCTGCATTCTTACAGCAAGTTCTTGTGCAACATTAATATATTCTTTGTAAATGCGGCTTAACAATTCAGTGATCCGCTTAGTCATATTAATATGAATAGCACTTGCAACTGATTTTTCATTATCAAATGAATTGAAAGAAAAAGAACCTTTTAGATCAATTCCTAGAATTTGTTCTTTAACAAGTTTTAGGCTAGATTCATCAAATTCAAAATTCTTAATATCACCGTAAATAGGATAAAAGCTGCCTAATACAGATGTCATACTATGTGGACGATTCTCATTTACTTGTTTTTGAATTGGTTTAGATGATTCAATCTTTGGAAGTTGAAGGCTTAACGATATAGTGAAGTTAAAATAACTTACTATGAATCTCGTGTCGTTTGGGAACCATTGCTGAAAAACATGAAGACTGCCACAGTTGAATGAATCTATGACTTGATTAAGAGTTTCATTAGTCTCCATTTCTATGTTGAGTGATAAGTGAAAATTCACTAAACGTAAAAGAACTTTTAATGCATAATCCCTTTCGATACGTCCATCTTCGACTAAATCAAGTAACCAAAACTCTTCCAACAATTTATCTACTTCAGTTATATCAGGAGATTTCAAATATTCCTCTAATTCATCCTTTAGCTTATAATACTGATCACTACATTCCCTGCTAATGATAAATGGCTGTATAACACCATCCATCACGGGTACCAACGCATTATAAGCATAACGGAAAGTGATAATCTCCGTAAGCTTCATGATTTAAGTTGAAACTGATATGTAATAGCCCCTGTAATGATAATCAAGGCACCAGTTTAGCTGCAAATACCCTTTGGAGTTACTGCGTATGTTTCAAGGGGTCGTGTCCAACGTACAAATAGGAAAAGCTTTCCATAAAAAGTTATTCTATAGTAATTGTTTATTTACATAAATTCATCTATAACTATTTTAAAATCTATGTATTCTTATATTCTCTTAAAATAACAGGAACTGAAGATGGTGGTAAAGAACCTAATTCAGTAATGACTTTCTTAATATATTCTGGAGGAGTTAAATCATACATGATATTTAAAATATTAAGATTTGGAATATCTCTCCAATTTTTAATGGGTGATTCATCAGTAGTAAGATCTTCATTAATTGAAATATCTCCCAGTTTCTTTTGTTGTTGTTGTTGATGCTGTTGTTGCTGTTTATTCTTTGAATTTGATTTATTTTCTGCTTTCTTTTCTTCTTCACATTGCTTAATAAATTGTTCTAATGCAAATGATTTCTTTTGTGGAGGCTTTTTAGAATTAATACTTTGAAGTAAATCATCTACATCTGCAAGTTCATTAGTTGTAACTGAATCTAATTGAACTTTATCAGAAAATTTAACTGATTCACAACATGTAAGAACAGGAATATTACGAGTATGACACATCATTGCAATTAATGCAGTTCCAACTCTTGCATAAAGTCGACCATTTGATAACATAGCATGAGCACCTAAAAATACATAATCAACATCTTCTAAAATTACAGGAGATAATGAATTTAATAATACATAATGAATTTTAAGATTCAGTTGAGTTATTGGATGTTGTTTAAAACCTTTAGTTGAAATTGATTCAAGATCAGATTCTGGCTCATCACTTTCTGGTATATTATAAGTATTGGCTAAATTAATTAATAATTTTTTACCTTCAAATAAAGGTCGAGAATCAACAATAATTAAATTAAAAGTTTTATCTTGTTCAATAGCACAATATTTAAATAATTCTTCTAAAACTTGAGAATGACCATAAGTTAAAATAGTACAATTATTAGTTATATGTTGAGAAGCAGCTTCAATTATAACTTGATCAGAAAAATCAATCTTTTCCTTTATAAAATCATCAATTTTTGATACTAAAATTTCTTTAGCTTGAATTTCAGTTGTATCAATTGAAATATGAGAAATTTCTTGTTTTAACCATCTAATTGCATTACCCATTGAAACAGATAACGGACGAGCAGTTTTCAAATATTCAATTTGAACTGATAGATGACCAGTTAAATGTCTTGTTAATGTTGTATTAATTGGAGTTTTATAATCATTAATTACAGTTTTAAAAGCTTGTAACATATTTTTTAATCGAGATGTTGAACCAACTATTTTATAAGATGAATATTTTAAAGTTAATGAAAGTATTGCAGGATGAACAATATGAGAAATTGAAGGAGATTGAGCATTTCTTTGTTCTCGAGTTTCTAAATGACTGAAAAGTGATGGAATTCGATTTTTATCTTCAACTTTTATTAATGTTTGATTTAATTGTTTCTTTAATTTGGTATTAGTAGTCACTTGCTTATTCTTTTCTATTTTTTGTTCAGCAATCTTCTTTTGATCTTCAATTGATATACCTTTAGCTTCCTTCTCTGCGGCTCTCTTAGCTGCTTTTTCTTTCTTTTTCAATTCCTTCAACTCTTTATTTGAAAGGGTTTTACCTTCCGATTCAACGCTCCCACTCGCTTCTACAGGCTTTGAATTCTCACTCATTTCTATGGTATTTAAATTAAATATAATTAATTAATTAAACTATTACCATCAGCTATATAGTCTGACTCAGAGATGTTAAAAAAAATTTATACGGTTGAAAAAAAAAACTGTATGGGTGGGTCGTGTACTTATATACAAAAGGGATACACAATACTCCTCTCTCCCCTTAATATTGTGATAATTTAATTTCTGATCCTGATCCTTCAGATAACTCACCAAAGGCACCTCTCTTTTTTGTAGTATCATAAAGTCTTACAATTTTTTCTTGATTTTTATCTTCAACTTGTGAGAAGGCAAATCCTCTTTGTTTTTTAATTCTTTGTACTTGTCTAACTTTTCTAATTGCTCTTTGAAATAATTCCATTCTTGGTCTATGATCTTGAATATTATATTTTTGAATTTCTTGAACATAATGATAACTTTCTGGTATATAACTTCTTTTATAATATTTCCATACTAAATCTCGAAGTAAACATAATACTGGTAAACCAAATACCATTGCCCAAAATGTTAAAGCAGGATATGTAGCATTTAAAACTCCCCAAAATTCTCGAGATATATGAATTCTTGGAGCAATAATTGAATAAATTGGGAAAAATCCTAACCAAAATATAAATGAACCAGGAATTGCAAATAATGTAAATTTTGTCCACATTGATACGACTAATGCGGCTTTACCTAAAGCAGTTAAAGTACAAGTTGTATAAACTGCAACTCCATAAGCCCAATGATCAGCTATAAGACCACTTGAAAGTTGATCTCCATGTTGAAATATAAAAAATGAACATAAGAAAATAAGTCCTGAATGATAAAATCCATTAACTACCCAACCCCAAAATATTGGGACATTAAAGAATTTTCTCAGTTGACCTAATTGATATAATTGTGGATAACGATCTAATAATCTTGCACTAACAAATTGATCAAATACTCCTATAACAAATGGAGGAAATACTGTAAAAAATACATTATATAAAGTCAAAGTCCATGATTCAAATAATGATTGACCAGAAAATCCATTAACAAATACATACCAAAATTGTACCATATATAATGCACAATTTTTATAAAATGAATATAAAATTGCATTTGATATACGATGATAAGACCAAGATCCATGAACAAGTAATAATTTTCTTAAATATTTAAATTGTCCAATTGAAATATCTGCACTTCTAGCTGCTTGCATACCTTCCATACCACTAATTCCAACTCCAACATGGGCAGCTTGAATCATTGATACATCATTTGCTCCATCTCCAATAGCTAATAATAATGAAGATTTTTTCTTTCTTTTAACCATTTTAACAACTAATGCCTTTTGTAATGGAGATACTCTACAACAAATAACAGCTTTACATTTACTACCCAATTGAATAAATAAATCTTCCAATTCTGGTTCTAATGCAAATGATAATGAACGTCCATCAATAATTAATGCTAAAGAAGATTCTAAAGCTCCTTCTTCTAAATCAAATTGATGTTCATTAATAGCTGTTAATTTTTCTTCTAAATTTAATCGAGTATTATTTTTAGTTTCTTCATTAACAATTAACATATTCATATCTTCACTAAGTAATTTACATGACATACCAATATTAATGGCAGTTTCTTGTCTATCACCAGTTAAAACCCAAATTTTTATTCCAGCTTGTTGTAATGTATGAATTGTTTCTGGAACTCCATCTTGTAATTTATCTTCAATTGCAGTAGCTCCTAATAAGAAAAGATTAGTTTCAATTAATTCAGCTATTGAATCTAATTTATCACTTCTATTATCTAATGAAGTTGAAGCTTCATGATATTTAATTGCCCAATCTTGATATTCTTCTTCACTAATAATTCTTGATGCAATACATAAAGTTCTTAAACCTTCAGCTGCAAAATCTTCTAAATGTCTTGTAGTTGCTTCAACAAATGGTTGAAGTTCATCCTTTGATAATCTTTCTAAAATAACTGTATCAGCTCCTTTACAAAAGAGTCGTATAATTCCATCAGGACATCTAAAAATTGCTGACATTCTCTTTCTTGTAGAATTAAATTCACAAATATTTAATAATTCATATTCTGATTTAATTTGTGCTACAGTATTTTCAATGGTAACACCTTTTGGTCTACGAATAATAAATTTATATCCCAAATCAGCAGCTCCTTGAACTAAAGCTCCTTCATCAGGTGATGCAGCTTGATATTTAATTTGACCTGTTGTATCATTAACTTCTGGTATAACTGTATGACAAGTACTTAATAAAGTTAAAAATTCATTAATTATAGCTGATTGTTCCAGTGAAGTATTTCTTAATTCTTGATACATTTCACTAAATGTATGATAACCAATTTCAATTCCATCAATATTTTGGGCTTGACCATCTTCAGGAATTTCAGCAATATAACATCTACCACCAATTGAACAACTTTTAAATTCCATAATATTTCTAGTTAATGTACCAGTTTTATCACTAAATATATAATCAATTTGACCTAATTCTTCAACTAATGATGAAGTTCTAACTCCAGTTGGAGTATCAGTTTCTTCATAATACATATCTAAATCACTACCAATCATAAATGCTTGATAATATTTAATAATTTCAACTGTAACAAATAATGAAATTGGAACTAAATTTGAAAATAAAATCCAATAAGTTAAAAGATCTTGAAAGAATAATTTTGAAGTACTTGTACCTTCTAAATTTAAATAAGTTAATGAACTTCTACTAACTGTACTTTTAATAACATTTCCAATTGATGATACAAGTGATAATACTATTAAAATACAAAATAATGCAATAATTTGTAAATTAATAATTCTTTCAACATCTGTACGTTTAATTGGAGTAGCAGTTGCATTACGCATTAATTTAGTTTCATGACCAGTAAATATTACAATTCCATGAATCCATTGAGTATTTCTTAATGTTGCTCCTCTTAAAAGTAATTGTTCGGGATTAAATGGTACATCAATATTTTCAAAATTTTTTAAAGTTCCTTCATAAGTATATAATGAACTATTTGGTTGTTCAGATAAAATTTCTGATTTTGATAATTTATTTACTAAATCATGAGGATTTAATAAATTAGCAGTTTCTTGATTAGATTGTTTAATTTTTAAATTAGTTTCTCCATCTAAATTAGCTGTTTCAATATAACATAATCCTTCTGGTTCAGATGAACTTATTAATAATAAATCTGCTGGAAATGCTTCTTCATTATTAATTTTAACTATATCTCCAACTTTAACCAGAATCCATTTTTTATGAATAAATTCTCCAGTATGAGGATCAAGAACTTGAACTCGAGTATTATTAAGTTCATTATCAGCATTTGCTCGTTTAAAATCTTCAGAAATTTCTTTTATAGCAGACACTAAAAGAACAATAATTAATGTACCAATTGTAGTATATCTATTTGTTGGTGATACATTCGGTACTTGTTGAATGGCTGAAGTAAATAAAAAGAATAAATTAGCATATTTACTAAATTGTTCAAATAAAAATTTAGGTAAAAATGTTGCAATATTATATTTAGTAGTAGAAATATGATTTCCATAATAACCAAATGATGAATTAGCTTGATGATCTAAAATATGAACATGTCTTGGACCATGATCAATTGGATTTTTGGTATTTTTATTTGATCTTGAAAATACATTTAACTTTCGAAATATCTTTCGAATATCAAAATCAGTCAGTCCACCAACATCTTGATTATTATTATTATTATTATTATTATTATTAATGTTATTGTTATTAGTCATATCTATATAATCTTGATTTCTATTGGATCCAAACAATCGGAAATTCTTAGGTTTTGACCCATTGGTAGAATTTAATAATGGAACTTCTCGAGAATTATTAGTACTATGATTATTATACGTATCATAGGTTCCGGATGTTGTATTATGATGATCATAATCATCATCTGATAAATTAAAATCGTCATCATCATCATCAAAATCATCATTTCCGAATGGATTAATATTAACATTACTATTACCATTACCATTTACTCGTTGAGGATCTGAAAATGGATTACCATTAACTCCATTACTAGTACTAGTACTAGTACTAGTATATTGCTGTTGGTGACTTAATTCTCCATACGGATTATCAGTAATACCAATACCATTAGTAGATGATGAAGGATGTCCATTATGGGGAGGATGCAAATTGGAATTAGCTTCTAAATCTAAATCTATAAGATTAGACGCATCATTAAAAGGATTAGTCCTAGACTTCGCTCCATTATAAGACGACGACATTGTATGCTAAGACCTTTCGTAATTGGTTCCTTTTTCAAATTCACTCGGAAATCAAAACTGAAACAGAAACTGAAAGGCTAAACACAAAACCGAGATTTGTACTTATATGAACAAAGCAATTGAATCTGACTACTTATAGATATAATTATCAATCTATTATAAAATATTCAAATAGTATTTCTTCAGCCTTCAGGTTTCGAGATCACTTCGCTATAGCCCGAGGGTATATGCCGGACAGTGCGAAGACCAGAAAAAAAAGAGCATTCTGTTCGAGTTGCCTGTATTCGTCTGGTTTGTCGCATCGTGATATGTAGTGTAGAATCAATAGTTAAACTAGTAGTTAATTAGTACATTGAGTATGATTGTATATATATTCGTATCTAACTGTTTATGTGCATGAGAATCAATGCTTGTCGTTTGGAAGTATTCGTTTCTTAGTTAGATAAGCAAAAGTATAAAGTAATCAACTGATCTATTAATTCGTAACAGTAGTAGAGATTAGGTTTATATAGAAAGAGAAGAAGAAGAGTATTAAATATAAATACTAATACTAATACTTAAACGGATAACCTTACTTAGTTATAAAGTAATTACATTACCAATCTTTTATTGAAATTTACTAATTTACTCTAAATCTGACACCATATTCATGTTATCTGGAATAAAATTGGTATGCGACACACGACTTGAGTCATAGCTGAAAAATTGGAGAAGTAATCATCATTAGATATTTACTTATATACTTTAAATAAGGCTTTAAACTCAGTTATACGTATAAGATGTCTTCAGCAGCAGAAACTATAGCCATAGAGGCCTCATCTGCATTTGGAATATTAAAAACTTTAAGTAATGACGAAAGATCTTTTGCCTTACAAGCCATTCATGATGGATTAAAGGCTCATAAAGATGAGATTTTAAAAGCTAATCGAGTTGATTTGGAAAATGCTATTAAGAATGAATTATCTTCATCATTAATTAAAAGATTAAATTTAGAAGATAAAGGTAAATTCGATAGTATGTTACAAGGAATATTAGATGTAGCTAATTTAGAAGATCCAGTAGGTAAAATTACTTTAGCTAGAAAATTAGATGATGGATTAAATTTATATAGAATAACTGCACCTATTGGAACATTATTAATAATATTTGAATCAAGACCAGAAGTTATTGCTAATATTACTGCTTTAGCCATTAAATCAGGTAATTCAGCTATTCTTAAAGGTGGTAAAGAATCTTATCAAACATTTAGAGCTATGAGTTCAGTAATTTCAAATATTTTAGCTGAAAAAACCAAAGTTCCTAGTCATGCTATACAATTAATTGAACTGAGAAGTGAAGTTAGTGATTTATTAAATCAAGATAAATATATTGATTTAGTAATTCCAAGAGGTTCAAATGAATTAGTTCGTAATATTAAAAATTCAACTAAAATTCCAGTTTTAGGTCATGCTGATGGAATTTGTTCTATTTATGTTGATGAAGAATTTGATTTAAATAAAGCCATTAAAATTATAATTGATTCTAAAACAAATTATCCTGCTGGTTGTAATGCTGTTGAACAAATCTTAATTAATTCAAAAGTATCTAAGAATCAAATAAATTCTATTATAAAATCATTGGTAGATGCAAAAGTAATTGTTCATGTAACAGATGAAATTAAAAATGATATCCTTGAATTTAAGGATGAAACATATATTCAATCAGTTGAAGATGATTCTTTCGATAAAGAATATTTATCGTTTGAAATTGCCGTCACTTTAATTGATAATGTAGATAAGGCAATTCAACATATAAATTATCATTCATCTAAACATACTGATTGTATAATTACTGAAAATAAAGAGACAGCCAATAAATTTTTAAAAGGTATTGATAGTGCAGGTGTATATTGGAATTGTTCTACTAGATTTGCTGATGGATTTAGATATGGATTTGGAACTGAGGTTGGAATTAGTACTAATAAAATTCATGCTAGAGGTCCTGTAGGATTAGAAGGATTAATGAGTTATCAATATCAATTAAAAGGTAATGGACATATTGTTTCTGAATATGTTGGAGCTGGAGGTTCAAAAACATTTGTTCATGAAGATTTAGAATATTAAACTTTTTAAATTGATGGAGGGAAATCAGGAAAATAGTTGACAATTGTTTCTATTTCTTGTTGTAATAATCTTTTAGAACTCCATTGTTTTATAGTGTACATATCAGTTAAAGTTTTAATCCATGACATTCTCTTTTCAATAATTGGTAAATTATCGTTTGGATCTATTTTATCAACAAGTTTTAGTTCTCGTAATTTGGCTCGTATAGCTCCTAAATTCTCTACAGCAATATTTAAATCTACCCCATTTATGAATTGTTTTTGAATTGAATCTTTAATTAATTTTGATAATCTTGGAGATTGACCATTAGTTGAAATCATAATTTGAAGATTTTTCTCATTTATCATAGATCCAAAATAAAAGTCACAGAGATGAGGTTTATCAGCAATATTACAATTGATTCCAAGATACTTACATTGATAATAGATAGCAGTTGATAATGTATAATCATCAATACAACAACATACGATTTCAAAATTTTCATTATTTATTTGTGCTTGAATTTTTGAATAGATTTCTTCATTATTAATATCTTCAAGATTCGTTATCAGTACTTGATTGGTAATTTTATACATAAGTAAATCATTAGGAATATAATTTCGAATAATATAATTTTCAAATTTACCTTGTTCATTCAATTTAATAATATCAGGATGAATATTACCATTTTGACCTGTTATAACTGTAATTTTGGCTTGAGCTATTACAAGATGATTGATTCGACTTAAGGCCACATCTCCTGCTCCAATGACTAAACAATGTTTGTCTTTGACTTGCCAGGCTAAAAGTAGAGACCCTTTTGATTGAGATTCAGACATGCTTACCTCTACAATAGATACTTTGATCTAGTTGAGATGGGTTCGATAATTTTTCAAACACCGCGAGTCTCTCCGCAAAACGCAACCAAAAAATGAAATACACTACAGAAGGGTTTAAGATATTCAATTTAATACTAGTAAATCATACGAGTATGTCATGTTATCATCATAACATGTCAGGCACAATTGTTTTCATGATGATTTCCACTACGCATACTACTCATACTATTCATACTATTGATCAGGATACACACGATTGATTTAACCAGCATTCCCTATAACCTAAACCCTTACACAATATCGGCTGGTCATATAATGACTTGTATATTCCAGAAATAACTCTCAAAAGCTTAATGCACCATATATTAGACTCTACAGCAATAATAATAAAGATGCCTGCAGAGAAAAGTTTAAGTGATAACAATTTCTTAAGTATTACTAAATATACATATGAGCCCTTAATTATTACCATACAATGTTTCAAAACCTTTACTGAGAGGGGCGCGCACGAGTCGGCTGTGGAACGGTCGGTAAAGCGAGTTCCGATTCCCAGTGTCAATGAAAATCAAAATTGAAAGATAACGTGAGATTACACATGTTTTTCACTAAAAAAAATAAAAATAAAATTAGAATTAGAAATAAAATTTAAAATTAAAATTAAATTGGACTTAAAAATCTAAATTGAATTTGGCTGAAAATGGAACACACACCTTTAGTCTGTTGCCCCTCTTATGTATGATACAGTATGATTTTATATGGATGTAGATTTTAGTCTTATCTGGATTTCTACAATCTCTTTACTGCCTCTCCCCCCTCCCATTATTGTTAATATCTCTATAGATTCACCACATTTATTTGCACTATATATCCCATAATTTTGTGTACAGATCCAACTTTGTGAGCACCGGGTCGTGGTTATCGCTCATGATTACCTTGACTCATGTACACACTATAAACTTAGACACCCAATTACATCTAAACTTGTTAACAAAGTGTTTCTATCAATATGTAGTGTAACCAGTTGCAACTGAACCATATATATATATATATATATGATATAACTCAAATGTTTTGACAGCAATCAACTCAACTAACTTAATCACTTAGTCATGCAACGAATCACTTGTACACCTCTCTAAAAAAACTCTCACTAAGGAAAAAGTTTGTTTTGGGAGTCACAAAGAAAATTTTTAAAATTTTGGAGAACAACTAATAACCAGTTAATTGTAAAACTTAATTAATTTTTATCCACTACATCCCCATAATTAGCCTTAGCGATAATCTGTCGAGGTACAATCTTCTCCTAACTTATATTAAGCCGTATACGGTAATAGTGTACTATCCATTATTTACTAATTAAGTCAAATATTTAAAACAAAAAGTAATCCAGGTTTACTCCACTGGTATAGACTTTCAACCTTTATTCCGACTCCAAGCAACGACAACTGTCTGAGCCAAGTTTGTCGGTTCTGGTGTGATTCATTCATTATAATAAATCAATTCATTCATTCTTATTATCAATATGCCACCATTTTCTCGAGTTGAAAGACGTGAGTCTATGGCAGAAAGAAGACCCTCAATGTCTTATACTCCACCTGTTATTCCTCATTTAGAAGGTTTAGAAAAACCTCAACAAAATCATATTGATCTTGATCAAGCAGATGTTCTTATTTTAGGAACTGGACTTATTGAAAGTATGTTAGCAGCTGCTTTATCATGGCAAGGAGTTCAAGTATTACATATTGATAATAAATCATATTATGGTGATGCAACTTCTACTTTAACAATTGATCAATTAAAAAAATGGTGTATTGATGTTAATCAAGGTAAATTACCAAATTTTCAAGATGCTCAAATTTATATTCCTGGAGGTAAATCAACTAATAAATTTAAGAGTAAAGATTATGGAATTGATTTAACTCCAAAAATTATGTTTTGTAAATCTGATTTATTAAGTTTATTAATAAAATCAAGAGTTTATAAATATTTGGAATTTCAAAGTCTTAGTAATTTTCATGTTTTTGAAAATGATGATTTTAATCAAAAAATTACAAATTCTACTTCAAAAGAAGATATATTTACTGATAAATCACTTAGTTTAATTACTAAAAGAAATTTAATGAAATTTTTAAAATTTATTTTAACAGATAATAAAGATTCTGATAAAAAGAGATTAATATTTGAAAATTCAAAGACTAATATTATTGATTTTCTTACTAATAATTTTAATTTAGAATCTCCTCAAATTAATGAATTAGTTTATTCAATTGGTTTATGTATAAAACCAACTACAAAGACTCCCGAAGCAGTAGCAAAAATTAAACGATTCTTAGTATCTTTTGATGTTTATGGAAATTTCCCAGTAATGGTATCAAAATATGGTGGACCAGGAGAAATTTCTCAAGGTTTTTGTAGAAGTGCAGCTGTAGCTGGTACTACATATAAATTAAATACTAATCTTATTGATTATGATCCAAATCTGAAAATTGCAAGTTTTAATGATGGTTCTAAAGTTAAAATTAATGAAAAAATCATTATTAGTCCAACTCAATTACCTAAATTTTTACAATCATCTTATAATCAATTAGTTGATAATTCACTTCCAACTTATAATATTACAAGATTAATAACTGTAGTTAGAAGAGATTGTAAAGAATGGATGTCAAATCAAGAATCTTCAGCAATTGTTGTATTTCCTCCATTATCATTACCAACTCAAAATAATCAATCAGTTCAAGTTATAATTCAAAATGGTGGAACTGGAGTTTGTCCTAATGGTCAATCAATTTGGTTTAGTCATACAAGTGAACCAGATTTAAATAGAGCTAAAGCAGATTTAGAATCAGCTTTTGAAAAAATGGAAGCTTCATTATTAAGAGAATCTTCATCAAATTTAGAAAATGGTTTAGATGAACAAGATTTTAGATTAAATCCAAATCGTCTTAGTAGCACACCAATTCTTGTTAATTCATTTAAATTAGGTGAACAATTACAAAATTTTGTCCCTAAGGAAAAATTAGAAATTGTTTGTAAAGTTGGTTATGTTCAAAAGACTTTAATTAATCCTGATTTAACTAATGTATTCCAAGCTACTGAATCAAATAATATTATTCTTAAATCAATTCCTGATTCAAATAATAATATAATCTTTACTAATATGTTAAGTTCGGAATTAAGTTATGATGGAATTATAACTGAAACCAAATTAATTTATTCAAAAATTACTGGATCTGATGAAGATTTCTTTGATGTTGATTTTGAAGATGAAGAAGAATTTGACAATAATAATGGTGATTCTAGTGCCATTGATGATTCCAGTTCAACGGGTACCAATGGTGGTGCCTCAGCAATAACACAATCTAAATCTACTACTTCAATTGGTGGAATTGTAGGAGGTGGAGTTGTTGCAGGTGATGAAAATGTCATTGAGGATTCGAGTGAAGATGATATGGCCATAGACGATGATGACGAAGATCACGATGTTAATGATAATCATGAGCCATTTGGTACTGACGTAGACAACATGGAATTATGAGACTTTTGTTTGTTTTAATTAAATTTATCTATCAGACTATTCTTTTTATCCAGTTACTATATTGTTATTCATAAAGCTATATTTATCAACTATTGTTTTTTTTACTGTTATCATTCTTCCTTATATTATTCTCAAATTTACTGTATCCATTAACTAATTTCAATTCTTGTTTGCTTGATTTTGTTTGTTCTGTGTTGTTATCAAATACTTTAAACTTCCTTATCACATTTTAAATAAATATTTACTTTTACTATTCCAATTCCAATTCCAATTCTTCTACAACCATCCTAATTATTCTAAATCATACTTTCTTAACTATTTATTAATTACGTTCATGTGCTAATAGTATCTATCAATTTCTATATTGTTATTAATAGTTATATTAAATATTTTTATATATGCCTCATCTTTCTTTAATTATTTTAGATTTAGCCCAAATTGATGATATATTTGGAAACAATATTATACTATAATTTTATTTTACTATATTATTTTATAACGAATCGTGTATGGCTGAGTCAATTATATGTTGGGAAGACTAATCTCATATAGGCTTAAACATATTACCCTCGGTGGAACCTTAATAAATATTGTAGTTACTATTATTAGAAGTAGTGAGATAACAATTCCTCGTATCTATGAAACTGGTTTCTTCAATGATTATGATGATTTCATTATATAATTGTAGTGGAGAGGCTTTCCCACTAACTTTAACTTGGATTTCTCTCATGTATCTTTGAAATATTCAGGGTCTGAATTGCAATGAAATTATTATATATCATGACATCATATTTTTTAAAAGATGCGCTTTTTTTTAAAAAATAGAATCCCCGTTACATGCGCTATCATGGTTCACAGGGGGATAAAGAAATTAGATTACGAAAAAGTTTAAGTTATTATTAGTCAAGGCTGGCCAAGAGAATCATTAATTACAGAAATTAATAAAGATAACCATTTTTCTTTTATATTACATTTATTTAGTCATTACACGCATTAAATATTAAAGAGACACATACTAGAATAGCTCGTAAAGAAGTCCCGTCATAACCAGCCTATCTAATGGAAATTCTTTGAGCTTTCTATCACTTTGAACTATTCGAAGAAGACAATTAACATACCCTTCTATAAGAAATGACATCTCGTCTGCTAAGTCAGTAATAGTAGTCCCAGGACAATCTCTCTGTCGTTCATCATAATAAGTATCTAGTTTACTCTGTAGCACTCTTTGAACTAATTTTAAAAATCGACTTTTGAAATTTAATAATTGATTATATCTCTTTACTTTAGTTGGTTGGAATTCAAAATAGAACTTTAACACATCATCCATTTGTCCACTAAATGATATCATAAATTCAAGAACTTCTTTATCTTGGGCGCCGATCATCTCTTCAAGAGTATCGATCTTCGAGTTAATATAATCGCCAAGCTCTGGGCCAAGAATAAATGTTTGATTGAACACTATTGTTTGTAGTTGCTTCAAAGTATTATATGTATATGGTTTTATTTTTGTAAACAGCCTAGAATCTAATAATGATTCAGCTATAGAAATTTTTGTTTCTTCATCTACAATTCCTTGGCATTCAACATATGCATTTAATGCTTGATACCATTGGATAAACATTTCTAATGCTAAAGTTTCAACCCCGCTCGTCTCATAAGTCTTATTTCCTGAGAAATTGCCATACATTGAATCAGGCTCCTGCCGTACAGGTGATACAAATGTATGAACTTCAACGTTTGCAAATGGTGACATGATCTCTGAGTATTATATATACTCTATGCCAAGCTCAATAACAAAAATATTACCTTGGTGGAAATTGTCTCATATATATATTAAGATGGCTTATAATATTCTTACTATTAATGTAACCTAAAACGCAAAACTTGACGAGAATTTGCAAGTCTTCAATGACGTAAGGTCGCTGGAAAATATTACAAATGCTTTGCCACATTAGGAAAATTAATGGTGCGCACGGTAGTTTTTACGAATTGACAACGAAATTTCAATTTGGTGCACTGACAGCAGTTATAGTATGTCTAGACCAACCGAATAAAAGCGGTTCAATTTGCGGAACAATGGAATGGCTTATAAGCATATGCTAGGCGAATCCTCGGATAATCGGTGTAATAGCTCCACTCTCCACTCTCCCTATAATCCTGTCATTCTCCTCCTCTTGTGAAGGAGTCATTAGTTCTGGTTAACTTACGATTTTAAAATATTATACTATATTATATATTAGATATGTAAGATAAAGACGTAATTAAACTTGAAACTCAAGTACTAGGTGTTCAATGTTTAGCAACAAAAGAAACTACTATTTATAGTGCTACTCGATCGTTATGTTTATCACGTGCGTCTACTGGTTACAAGGGTTATAACCCTAGTAGCATTACTTTTTTCTGAACCTTTCGCACGACCCAACTCTTCCACTATGGTTGTGTGCCAGAGAATGAAAAATTTATCTAAACCCTATAATCAATTTATTGATTTATATGTTTTTTGATTCTGTACTGAGCAGTTAATTTATACCTGTCGAAGAAGTCGAATAGTAATCATTATGTCTGACGTTGAACAAGAACAAATCGTTGAAGAAGTTGCCGTTGAACAAACCGAAGCTGGTTCAATCTCCATTGAAGATGCCTTAAAGGTTGTCTTAAGAACTTCTTTAGTTCACGATGGTTTAGCCAGAGGTTTAAGAGAAGCTTCTAAGGCTTTATCCAGAAGAGAAGCCCAATTATGTGTCTTATGTGACTCTGTTACTGAAGAATCTATCATTAAGTTGGTTGAAGCTTTATGTAACGAACCAGAAGAAAAGATTCCTTTAATCAAGGTCTCTGATGCCAAATTATTAGGTGAATGGGCTGGTTTATGTCAATTAGACAGAGAAGGTAACGCCAGAAAAGTTGTTGGTGCTTCTTGTGTTGTTGTCAAGAACTGGGGTGCTGATTCCGATGAAAGAAACATCTTATTAGAACACTTTTCCCAACAATAAATTATTTAGAAACAAGATATTTTATCGAGTTTATTAAATCATATTTATTGTAAATCAAAACAACATTAAAACCATCATCATGGTTTATAGCATAATTAATGAAAATATTTGTGTATACTAATTAATAAATACTATTACTGTGGTTTTAAACTTAAGTGAACTGACCTGTAGTCTATATTGTTTATATTTTATAGATTCATCTATGTTAATTAAGTCTATTCATTAACTTATTTAAAAGATAGCTCTTCCTAATGATACTTTAAGTAATTCACTTAGAATAGTTGCAATTCGTAAATTGAACCATATATAGTAATGAGGTAACAAAAAAATTACCAATGCGCGTAGACCGAAATGGATATAAATCAAAACAATCTTTAACAACTAGTTCAACCAATTAACACTACTAACCAACTCAATTAATGATATAAGAACCCCAATGTCACTTGACGGTAGACTAATACGAAAGGAGTCCCGAATAAGAGGTTCAGGGTATGTTTATTAATAACAATAAATAGTATTTATATGTAAAATAATCTTTACTAACATTTATCAATATAGAACCAGAAATGTACAAGTTAATGAATTTAATATTGCATCTAAAAGAAAGAAGAAACTTCCTAGAGGAGTGGATAATTTAAAGTCAGCATTAATTAATCCAGATAGTATTGAAAATTTGCCTAGATTAAGAACAAGATCAACTAGAACAGTAACAAATTCAAATGGTAATGAACCTATAAATGAGAGATCAAGTACAACCACCAGTAAATTAAATTTACAAGCTAGTGAAAAGCATAAAGTTCCAGTTTCAAGAATCACACTGCTTGAAGATACCAATGAGAATACAACTCCTGCTCATCAAATACAGCAATCTGTATATGATGAAATAGATCTTTTTAATAATAATAATAATAATATTTCAGAGAATGAGTATGGTGATAATTTAAATTATGATATAAATGATAGTATATATGAAGAACAATCTCAACCAGATCAAGTGAGCATTCAATCACTGACTAAGAGGCGACCTGGGAGACCGAAAAAAGTTATAAAACCTCGAGATGCTAATAAGAGACCAAAAGGTAGACCCAGAAAAGTTGTATCACCAGTCACCTTTCCAGATGAGATACCAACAAGAAAACCAATACCAAGACATAGTAAACCCACCAAATTGAATGAAATACCGAGTGATGATGATTTAGAGGCATCATTAGAGAATGATACTATAGAATATAATTCAAATTCAAACCCAACTACACTTGTTAATCGTACTTTAAAAGGAAGATCTCGTCTAAAGGATATATTAAGTGGTGGTTCTAATGTTGAACCAGCTAACATACAAGAAAAGATTGCCAAAATATCAAAGAATGTTAATGAAAGACAACGAAGTCTAGATAAATCTAAATCTCAAAGTAATAGTGGTTCAAGAAGAGTACTTCGATCAAGAGTAACTCCAATACCAACGACGCCTCAAGCAGCTCCTATACCACTTTCAAAGACTAGAATAAAAGAAAAACAAAAACCATTAACAATTGATATTGAGAGATTAAAGGATGATAATAATCGTGATAAAAGATTTAAGATCAATACATTAGATGTATTAAGTCATTTAATTAAACAATTTGAACCTCAAGAACAAAAATCAAAATTAATTAAAGAACATATCTTACAAGAAGAATTTAAGGCTCACGTTCTTTCTCAAGTACAATATTTGCAGGACATTTATTCTACTATTGGAGATCTCGGATCAAGGATTTCACAAGTTCAAAAATTAAAGAATCAGTATCGTAAGAGAATATTTGATTTACGAAATGATCATGCTAATGTTGGTAATGAATTAAATATTATAAGACAAAATTATCAACAAGATAAGAAAAAGATTGAAGATCTTGGGTTTATAAATGAACAATTACAGACTATAATACAATCAGCTCAATCAACTCAATCAGAGGAGGAGAATAATAATAGTAATAATAATAATATTGATAATTTAGTTCAAAATGAACTAGTGGATCTTAATAGAATAATTAATCCTCAAGGAGGTATATTTAACAAACTAAAAGTTATAAATGAGAAATTAACTCTTATAAATACTGCTCTTGAAGAGTAAATAGTTTATAGTATATACGAATATTTAAATATGTAATATTAATGATGACTCTTATATTAATAATGAATGATAAAATAACAACAATCAAAAAAAGGTAAAAAACTAAAACATCTTAAAATTATAAATAAAATAAAATGGAGATTTGGAAATAAATATACTACAGAAATTTCACATCCAATTACAGTATATATATGTTCCATAATGTCTTTCTTAAAAACTTTCATGAAATTTATTATCGAGACGAGACCAAGAAAGACATATAATTAATAGAAATATATAGTAATGCAAAGTGAGATTGAATAATCTTCTATGAATAACAAAGCTCTCATCAATAGGACTAACATTATAGAAGGAATTCTTTGACCAAATCAAATTAAATTTCTTCAGAAACTAAAGCCATGATCATTCTGTATAAGTAAAAGAAGAACATGAGTAAATGGAAACCTAATTTAAGGAATGATTCTTTCTTATGCTTTGATAAAGTTCTAAAGATTTCAGTAGCATCCAATAAATGATTTTTATTAATAAATTTATTAACATTATAAGCTAATAAAGGTAAATTTAATAAGAAAACAAACCAATAACCATTAAGTAAAAATAAAGCTGTAATAAAAGCATGTAAACCAGCTTCAGGAATAAACCATGGATTTAATTTATTACATAATTCAATTGGATTAATGTAATCACATTCTAAATCAGAATACATAATTGTGAAAAACACTTGAGAAAATAAATTGATAGCATTGACAACAACTGCAAGAATAAATAACCTATAAAGATAATAAATTTTGTTAGTAAAAGTATTACTGGATAATTAATAAATGATTTAATTAATTTTCATAAATCAATCATTAGTCAATCAGAATCATGTGATACATACCAACTCTCACCGTTCATTTTTAAATCTATGGTAAAGTTTAATTTGAGACTATAAGATAATACTACGTAAGCATAATAGTAGTTTCATCAACGATTTTGATAATTGATCCTTTTTTTTCCACAGACAGGCAGGCAGCGGTGCACATTTGTGTCGCAAACTTTGATTGTCATTTTGTCATTTTTTTAAAAATGTGACAAAACTTTTGTGGTAAAGTGTCGCTTGATAACACTTCCTGATTAGGCAAGATGGAGTTGAATACGATACTCATATATATATTAAATAAATTATTATTAATAATAACAACAACAATATTATTATTATTATTATTATTATTAAATATTATCTACTTCTATACATTCCCAGACAATTGCCGGATCAGAAGTTTTAATGATTTGTCCATAAGTTCCAGTAAATGTTAACGGGAATATTGATTTATCTCCGTATTCAATTTGATTATTCCATTCAGAACCATTATAGAAACTTCGAATAACATTAAAAGTATTAGTAGACAGATTAAATGTAATACCTTGAATCCAATTACCTAATCGTACTAGTTTTCCTATAATAGATTGACCTTCAATTTCTTGAATCTTTAAGGTGAATACAGGTACAAGCAAATTTACATTTTCTTGTTTAACTTCTTCACTAGGATTATTCTTAATAGGATCTAATAATCTCCAAATCTCTACATATTCTTGTAATTTTCCGGTAGTTGGATTAATCATCGATCCCACTTCTTTACTATCAGAACTACCATCAATTTCTGAAAAATCTCCAATATCAGTTCCAATAACTAATGGTGTATTAGTATTAATTGATCTAGTTACTGCTTGAGAATCAATAGAATTTTTAAAACTAACTTTCAGAGTATTAGGAATAACTTCACGATCCCCAACCAATAACCATTGAAATACTTTATCAAATGGTTCTTTGCCTTCATCTCCACTAAGATAAGGATACTTAACTTTATAAATTCGAATATCTATATAGTGTTGTTGGGGAGATGTAAAAGCCATAGTATGAGATAACTCTTGTGGATCTTCAGGAACCCATTGTAATGATACACGAGTACTTATTGACATTCTCTACTAATAATTATATTTATGTTTATGTTTAAGTTTATGTTTATGTTTTTATTTCACAGTTAGTTATTTATATACTGTACAACTCAATTGAGTTGGTGTTAGCGGATGCGCGGAAACCATTACCCAAAGGGGCAAAGGGGGAGGGGGGATTTTGCAACATTTAATTATAATACAATTATAATACAATTATAATACAATTATAATACAATTATAATACAATTATAAATACATTTATTATTCTATTCTATTTCATTGGGAGTTAATCTATTCTTAGATAATACTCGCTTAGCACTATTGATTTCTGCCCCATCTAATTTCTTTAATTTAATTAAATAATTAATTAATAAAGTTTCATAATTTAATCGATGTTTAATATTAATATCAGAAATTTCAGCTAATTCACTAACAAATTCATGATCTCTTTCAAGCCAATCATGTTGATTAGTTTTATCCCGTTTATAAAATTCTGTAAAGAATTCTAATTCTTCAACTCCTTCTAAAGCTATAGGACTTGAATTAATTGAATTATGTCTAAATGATAATTCTTCTGGCATAAATACATAAGGATAAAATCCCATTGTACATGGATTAACTCTTAAATCTAAACTAATTAAAGTTTTTCTACTACCATGTAAACCTTTTATAATTTCTTCAAATAAATTAATCTTATTACTTAATAATATAACTTTACGAAGATTTTTCATGGTAGATAATCCCATTAATTTATTAATGATATTAAAACTTAAATCTAATTCTCTTACATTTGGGAACCATTGAGAAAATCTTGTTGGAATTGAATTTAAATTAACTGCTCCTAATATTAATGTATTAACATTTAATAAAGGTTTAATATCATTTTGAGTTAAATAAGTTCCAAAATCAAATTGAACATTACCTGATAAATCAAGAATTTTAACCATATCTAATCCAATTTCAAATATATCTTTAATAACTTGAGGATTATCTTGACATTTAATTGATAATTCTTCAAGTTGACTTAATATTGAAACATTTGGTAATTTAATTAATGGATTCCCATCAATTCTTAATACTCTTAAATTAGGAAATTTATTAACTTCTAATTCTTTAAGATTATTTAAATTTATCAGAAGTTTTCGTAAATGATTATGAGTACTATTAATTTCTAATTTATTAATTAAATTCTCATCTACTCGTAAAACTCTTAATTGTGATAAATTATCTAATCGATTAATTGATTCAATTGAATTTTTACTCATATTTAAATCTTGTAAATTTGGTAAATCAAAATCTTCAAAATTAATTATACCAGTTATATTATTTTCTGATACATCTAATTTAGTTAAATTATGAAGACTATTAAGTCCTGATAATGAAGTTAATTGATTCTTTTTTGCTATAATTTGTCGTAAATGAATATTCTTATTTAAATTAGATAATGAAGTTAATTGATTAAATGATATATCAATTGATTGTAAATCATGAAATTGATAAAATGGAGTTAAATTTTGAATTTCATTATGATTTAAATCTAAATTTAATATATGCTTTGGTAATCCATCTAAAAATTTAAGAGAATTTTGTGAAAGATTAATATCTCGTAAATGAGGTAAACATTGATCTAAAGTTTTAACGGATTCTAAATTGTATCCATTTAAGGATATCTCCAAGATTTCATTCCAGGGAGTTTCTTGTAAATTTTTATCCCAAGATATTATATCGGTAAGTAATGAAACTAATTTTTGTCTGGCTTCACTAAATGTTATATCATTAATTTGAGATATTCTGGTTATATCTCCATTACTAAGATTTGTAGGAGTTGGTGTTGGAGTATTAGTATCATTATAATTATTATTATTATTATTATTATTATTATTATTATTATTATTGTGCTCATGAGATTTTATATCCTTTGGTATATGAAATGATACTTCTTTCATAATCGAATGAGAAACTCGTTGTAAATCAGAATTAGATACTAAATCTTCTATAGAATCCAAACTACCATGGGCATGAGAATCAGAATTATCATTAGATATCCATCGTTGATTTTCTGCATCAAATATCATATTTTCATAACTACCAGGTAAATTAGATGCTTGAAGGATTCTACCTTTAACTATAGGAGATTTAGTTGATGGAAGATTATCTTCAATATTTCGAACTTTTAATATATGTTTAGGAGATGCTAAATTTCTACCAAGTTTTAATTGTGATGGTCTTTTCCATACAATGAGTGGTTCTGTATCATCGATATCATTATCAGTATCAATTGGTTCATGTGATATATGTTTAATGGTCCTTTTAGGTGATTGAAGTTGTTGTTGTTGTTGTTGTTGTTGTTGTTGAATATGATTCTTAGTAATCTCATCATCAGATGGTTCATCAAATGTATATGAACTTTCATTTTCATATTCTGGAACTCTTTCAAGATTCCTTAAATTTTCCATAGCAGTATTGGGGAAATCTGTACTATCATGTAATTTAGAACTATGATCAAATGAAGTAAAATCATTATTTGATACCATTACATCTGAATTAAATTGTCGATATTCTGCTTCTGATGATTTCTCATTAAATCCACTAGTAAATGAAGAATATTCATCTTGAGAATCAATTTTTTCATCATTAATTTTATTGATTTTTGGTGTAGATGTGGCCGTTGCAGAAGTTAAATTATTAGAAGAAGCTTCTTGAATTGGAAATTGAAACCCTCGTTTCTTAATATTATTTAAAATATTATCAGCCTTTTGATAATATTTCCGTTCAGTAGAATCTACATTTACATTATTAGTATTAGAAATTTCTAATTGTTTCTTTAAATTATTATCAAATTTCGGTGGTGGTTGAGTAATACTTTTTTGAATAATCTCATGAGGTAAGGGATTAGTTTGTGATTGAATTGGAGTATTTTGTTTGGATTTATTACTAAAATTTTGGATAAGTCCTGATAATTTCCCTCTAGTATAAGTATCATAATTATCTTGATATAATTTTAAAGGAGATTCAGGAATTTCTGATATTATTGGATGATTTGGTTGAGTGACAATTCTATTATCAATTGGTTTTGGATTTGAATTACTTTGAAGATTGGATATAGTTGCCATTGGCGTTGATACAGTTGATGATGCAGTATTATTATTATTATGATTATGGTTATTACTATGGTGATTATTATGATTTCCAATTCCTGAACCTGATTTATCATGTGAATCATTTGATAAAAATATATTCTGTAATCTTGGCTCTCTTTGTTGTTGCTTTTGTTGTTCTTCCTTTTCTTGATTAAAGGCTTCTGCTACTTCTTTCCATGCTGGTTGTTCTATCAGATTTATTTTGGAATTATGTAATATAGTATTCCCAGAAGCGAATTCTAAATTCAAATCATCTAAGATTGGTCTGGAATCTTCATCTATACGTTTAGTAATTCTTACTGAAGAGTTAAAGTCAGGATTAGAATCCATAGGATTGATATTGATATTGTTGGTGGTAGTGGTAGTGTTGATATTGATATTATTATTATTATTGTTGTTGTTATTGCTATTAGGCCACTGGATATTTAATTCAGATGGCATCCAATTAGGCGTGTCATTTGGATTTACAGAATTTCCAGTTGATTCTTTAGCCAATTTAATGGTTGAAGTTTTAATTGGAGGAGTAAAATCATCTTCATATTTTTTAGATAACTCTACTGATTCTTCTTCTTTTAATTCATGAGCTAATGTAGATAATCCAAGAGATGATTTTGTCTTTGCATTTGGATGAGATTTATATTTGAAAGTATTAGGTATTGAAGTTGGAGGTGAAGAAGTAAAAGATGTTGAAGATTTATCAAATCGGAAATCTGTATTTTGTACATACGCTAATTTCTCTTTATAGGAATGAGGTTTTATGGTAGGAATGGGTTGACTATCGTTATCAATTGCATTTGCATTTGTATTTGCATTTGCATTTGCATTTGCATTTGCATTTGCATTTGTATTTGACTCTTCTTCTTGAATTGGGTTTAGTCTTGTCATTGAAGATTGTCCATAAATAGTATTCTCAATATTGTTATTATTGTTAGTAGTACTAGTACTGTTATTATTACTATTATTAGTAGTAGTATTGTTACTATTACCATTAGTAGTACTATTGTTGTTGCCACTCATTTCTTCACATTTATCATTAACTGATATTTCATCAGCAGATGTATGAGCTGTAGAATCACTACCAACACTTCTATTCATAATCTTATCGCCTAATTCCGTTTCTCTTATGAACTTATTCACATTCATAGAACTCGGTTGGGATGAACTGTCCAGAGACGTTCTACTTCCAATATCTGTAGTACTCATTCCCACTAATTGAATACTCTGATAGTTTATAGCGGTGTAGTTAACTGTTTATGTAAACATATACAGATGTTTGTTTACATTTTGAGTGGATGTTTTCACGTGACTGCGAACCGGCTGTTGATTCCGATCTAATTCGCAAAACCAGTAAAAAAATTATGGTTGATTCTTTACAGGTTGGTATGCATGTGGAAAGTGACATTTGGGTTGTGACGTAAGACTGCCCCTTACTACTGCTAACTCGTAGCAGTGGTGGTGGTCGTAGTAGTAGTAGTAGTAGTAGTAGTGGTAATGCTATTGGAAAGGGATTGAACGTATATTGAAATTACGTAATGGAAGTAGTTAACGATTACTTATGCTTACTTGAAATAACTCTATAAATAAACTACTAGCCTCTGGATCAGATGCAGGACACTGCATAATCAGGGTATACTACTATGAAGTTAAGGTCTATACATAATCTGAATATAAGCTACTATGAGTATAATATAATCTAAACTATAAGCTATAATTAACAAGCTATAATATATAAGCCATAAGCTTAATAGTTATCTTTTGTACTCTTTAGTTCTCGTATACTAATCCGTAACTACAGTGTCCGGACCACTTCGGTAATCATACTAATTCAGGAATCTTAACAGTACTCTTAACTCACTACAAGTTTATCCGTTACTCATTCAAATTTTACGAATACGCAATAAAGTACTCGGTAAATGTTTCTCATTAATCGAATTATAAGAATCATATTCATAACCCATTAATTAAGGAATAATTATAAATTATACATAATTACCCCAAAAATAGTTAGAGACCCGTTCCTGCACACACCCACACACCCAACCTACCTTAGTTAAATTCGATTGAGGAACTAGATCACTAATACTAAAACTATTACTATAAATTATTCTATTCCATTTATTACTATAAGGCATATATATATTCTCAGAACTAAAGGTTTCCACCAGTCCTGTTTCATTCATAAATTGTTCAAATCAATTGTTAAAAAAAATTGATGTTGTATATATTGTTTTTGTACTTTCTAACTTAGTTTCCCCTTTTTTACTATACTTGACTTTATTAAAGATTTTAAATTCTATAGTTCATTAGTTCTATGGTTATATTTACTTACAAGAATTAGTTGTTCCAATATTCATCCATCTATCTAGTTTAACTTGTTTTAATCAGTTTTTATTACTTGTCTTAGTGTTATCTTAGTTGTCTTGCTTGGTCTTTAGTTTGTTTCTGGTTAATTTTTCAAGTTTTCAAGTTTTCAATTTATTTCAATTTATTTCAATTTATATCAATTTCACTTTCAAATACAGTTTCACTTTCAATTACAACATTTTTACTGGATTTCATTTTTTAATTGACTAAATATGTCGTATCTTGAAACTTCTAAAGATGATTCAATTTCATATAAAACAGATGGTAACAATTCAGTGGTTTTAGAAACAGCTCCAAGTTCAGAATCTTCTCAAGATATTGATGCAATTAATTCATCGAATATTATTTCATCTCCTCCTGGTTTACAAGAATTACCCAGTTTACCAAAAACAAATATTTCAGGTCCAACTATTTTACCAATTAATGCTGATACTGCTACTTCAAATACTGTAAGTCATCAACATCATAAAGAACAAGAAATGTTATCAGGATTTGCTATACCTGCTCCTCCAATATCTACTCAACAATCAAGTGTAGCAGCAGAAAGAGAAAGAGGTGGAGGTGATACTACTTCAAGTAGTGGGATTCTGGGAGAAATTGATCATCCAAGAACTTTATGGATGGGAGATCTTGATCCTTGGTTAGATGAACAAGGAATTGTTGAATTATGGTGGAAAATTTTACAAAAAAGAGTCGATGTTAAAATTATAAAACCTAAAAGTTCTAAACCTGATACAAATTATCAAGGTTTATCTCATTCAGGTTATTGTTTTGTTGAATTTGAATCTTATGAAGATGCTCAAAAGGCTTTAGGATTAAATGGTCAATTATTACCAGATATTGCCATGCCATCTCAAAAACATTTCCCAAATAATCCAGATAATCAAAAGAAATATTTTAGACTTAATTGGGCAAGTGGAGCAACTTTAAATGCTCCAATTGTTCAAACTCCAGAATATTCATTATTTGTTGGAGATTTATCAGCTTCAACAACAGAAGCTCATTTATTAGCTTTCTTTCAAAAAAAATATCCTTCATCAATTAAAACAGTTAGAGTTATGACTGATCCAGTTTCTGGTAAATCAAGATGTTTTGGATTTGTAAGATTTACTGATGAACTGGAAAGACAACGTGCTTTAACAGAAATGAATGGTGTTTGGTTTGGTGGTCGTCCTTTAAGAGTAGCTTTAGCTACACCTCGTACAACTGGTCGTAAATTTGGTGGTGGCCCATCAGATGCTTCAATAGAAATGGGAGGTTATTATACTAATAATCCTGATCCTCAACAAAATATGATGTATTTAGGTGGTCCTGGTACTCCAAGTGGTATACCACCTCAACAATCTCAACAACAATTACAACCTCCACCTCAACAATTAGGACAATTAGGACAATTAGTTACTCCAAATCCAGGAGGTTCAGGACCAAATTATGGTCCTGGTCCAGGTGGTCCATCACCATTTGGAGCTTATTATGGAACCCCTCAATTACCTCCACCTCATGGTGTAGGTTCACCTTATGATCTTCAACAAGAAGGTAACATTAATTATGATGGACAAATTAAATCTCCTTTACCATTACCAATTCCTCCTGCTGCTGCAGCTGCTGTAGCTGCAGCTGCTATACAAAATCAATCATTCTCTGATCCTAATAATACAACTGTATTTGTAGGTGGATTATCATCTGAAGTTAATGAACCAACTCTCTTTACATTATTTAAACCATTTGGTTTAATTCAACAAGTAAAGATTCCTCCAGGAAAGAATTGTGGATTTATTAAATATTCAACTAGAGAAGAAGCTGAAGAAGCTATTGCTGCAATGCAAGGATTTATAATTAGTGGTAATCGAGTTAGATTAAGTTGGGGAAGAGTTTCTTTAAACAATAAGAAATTTCAACAACAACATCAACAAGTGGCACAAGCAGCTGCTGCTGCTTTATCAATGGGATTAGATCCTGCAAGTGCTATGGCAGCAGCTGCGGCAGCAGCAGCAGGTGGGTATGGACCTCCACCTCCTGGACCTCATCAACTTGGAGGAGTTCCTCCTCCTCATCATGGACCTCCACCTTTAGGAATTCATACAGGACCTCCACCAATGCCTCATTCAGGTTCATATGGATCTCAAGATTATGATATTAGTCATAATAGTGATAATTCAGGATCTTATGATGATTCAGGTAATTCACCTCAATATTATTTACAACTTGGAGGATCGAATTTAGGTGGAGTACCACCGCCTCATCATCTTGGTAGTCCAGGAACTCATGAAGATTTACAACGAGCCATGAGAAATCTTAATCTTGATAATTCAGGATCTAGTGGTGGAGGACCAATTGATGATAGAGGTGGAGCAAATTATATGATTCCTCCCCCTAATATGTATGGACCCTTTGGTATGCCTGATTTATCATATCAACAATTCATTCCAAGTCATATGGGTCCTGCTTATAATAATGGTAGTCCTTCACCAACAAGTACACCATATAATGCCGATTACAGCCAAAACCAGAGTCAAGGTCAAGATCCAAATGATGGACCACCTCTTAATGAAGAGGGTGATGGAAATCCAGAAGATTCCGAAACTAAAGAATAAATGTTTTTATACTCTCTTAAGGATGTTACTTGTTTGTTCCTATTATTATTATTATTATTATTATTATTATTATTATTATTATTATTATTATTATTATTATTATTATTATTATTATTATTATTATTATTATTATTATTATTATTATCATTATTATGAAATTTGTTATTGGTTACTTCATCAGTTATATTTTGGATGTTTTTCACTAAAAGTTATATCTTATTTACTTTCTTCTTTCTTTCTAACTCCAAGACTTTCAACTAGTGATTATTTGTCGGGCGTGCTGGTAACAAATCGATAACTTATCATTCTGTTTGTGTTTGCTTTTGTTTTTGCTGGTGGTCTTCAAGTCTACCCTGTTGTTGATATTATTGTTCATTCGTTGTTTATTGTCGTAGGCTATTGTATTGTTGTGTTTCTTTTTTGTTTGTTTCTTTCTTTCTTCACTTATGATTTGTTTATATATTATATTCTGCCAAAGCACGCACGTATGGTTTCCTTCCTCTTTGTGATGTGTATAGCTCTACAAATATACATTTGACTTGTGTACTTGCAGCCATTAATCTTAATTAGGTTAAATTATGTGCATGATGATTTTGTGGCTACCAAAGTATCACGAGGGAGAAAAAAAATGGCAGCATTTGATAAGGGAGCTCAGGCAACCAACGCCGAGTAGCACTTAGTAACAGCTAATAACAGTTAGTAACAGTATTACTGTACTACTGTATAGCGCTTAATCAATTATACCGATTATTTGTTTACATATATAGTTTTCTACAGGATTAATATACTATTAAGTTTCAAATATAAAACATTTATTACCTAACATAACACAATACAAAGATATACGAAACCATCGTCTATTTAACCATTTGGAAAAACAATTTAGATGGAATGTACAATAAGAAGAAGAAATAAGTAATAGTAGATAAGATACTAATAAAGTAAACTCAACAAAAATGTAAGGACATATGTAGATAAAAGAACAAAACCCAAACCAAAATAGAATCAGAATTACCTATAAATTTAATATTAAATAGGGATAATCTAATTTCTTTCACCTCTTAATCTTCTAGCTAATTGAATATCCTTCTTTTGAATAGTAACTCTCTTGGCGTGAATAGCACACAAGTTAGTATCTTCAAATAATGAAACTAAATAAGCTTCAACAGCTTCTTGTAAAGCACCAATAGCGGAAGATTGGAATCTTAAATCAGATTTAAAATCTTGAGCGATTTCTCTAACTAATCTTTGGAATGGTAACTTTCTGATTAATAATTCAGTAGATTTTTGAAATCTTCTAATTTCTCTTAAGGCAACAGTACCTGGCTTATATCTGTGAGGTTTCTTAACACCACCACTAACTGGAGCGGATTTTCTAGCAGCTTTGGAAGCTAACTGCTTTCTTGGAGCTTTACCACCAGTAGACTTTCTGGCTGTTTGTTTAGTTCTGGCCATCTTTAATGTATTTAATGATAAATATCAAAAAAAGAAGTTATAACAAAATTTTAAATTATGTGAAAAAGATACATATAAATAACTTTTTTGTAAATGATGGGAAATGCTCAACTTTTAATGATGGATAGTGCCTCCTTGCCACTTTTTTATTGCTACGGAACAAAATTCTACAAATTAGGGAGTCAGAAAAAAAAAAGAAATGGGGGCGTGATTTTGCTATAGTTAAGTTTGAGATTTTACATCTGGGCGGAATTTCCAAATTGTTGAGGGGGTTAACTTTTGCGATTGTTAACTATGGCCAAGACGACCAAATGAAATAGTGCGCATTAACTTTTTTTTGTATGACAGGAAAAGAGGCAACTAGTGCGCGACTGCCTATTTAGGTAAAGTGCGAGAGTAACGTGATCCAAGTCACGCGAATTCAATAATACACACACAGTAAGTCCATAATATAATATGACCATAAATAAAATATCAATGATATGTATTTATTATGAATAATTTAAATAATTTAAATAAAAGAAAGAAAAGAAGGAAATAGAAGGAAAATGTAATGAGATAATCGTAACCGATGGCGATAATATTATACTGTAATATACCGTAATTTAGGTACTTTATTCGATATTGTACAAATAATGAAGAGATTTACTCTCCTATTCTTTGGGTAAACGGTAGTGTTAGGATCATTCACTTTTGCTAGCAATTAGCAAATATGATTGAAATGCATATTTTTTTGAGTGGTCGTCACTTAGTCATGGGACGTATGTTCTTTTTTTTCATGTGGTCTATAAGGTTAAAGTCAAGTTCAACTTAACTTCTGTACCATAATCTGGTAATTCTAGTCTTCATCATTTTCTTTTGTAATTGGAAAACACCATACATTAATGCTTCAGCGGTTGGTGGACAACCTGGAACATAAACATCAACTGGAACAATTCTGTCACAACCTCTAACTACACTATAAGAATAATGATAGTAACCACCACCATTGGCACATGAACCCATACTAATAACCCATCTTGGATCTGGCATTTGATCATAAACTTGTCTTAAAGCTGGAGCCATCTTATTAGTAACAGTACCAGCAACAATCATAATATCTGATTGACGAGGTGAAGCTCTAAAAATAATCCCTAATCTATCTTGATCATATCTTGGAGTTGATACATGCATCATTTCTACAGCACAACATGCTAAACCAAAAGTAACTGGCCAAAAAGATGATTTTCTAGCCCAATTAGCAATGGAATCTAATGATGTTAATGCATAATCAATTGGACTTGAAGCAGTCTTTTGACTCATTAATGGGAAATCAGTTTCTAATGGTTTTGGTGTAAGATCTTTACTAGAAATATATCTTTGACTATTATATGAAATTAACCCTAATTGTTTAGAAACAATTGGTTGAAATTTCACAACTGTGTTTGTCAAACTTCTCTTTGACAATGCATACATCTTGTCTATGATTATTGTCCCTAATTTTATCTATAGAATAGTATTAAATGTATCAATATCAAAACCTTTAAATTTTTTCTTTTCTAGTATCAGCAATAATTTATGAGCGTTGATTGGATGCGACAAGGAGACATTTTTTGTTAGACCCAGTAAACGTCGCGACATTTTCTACCTTACTTTAATTAATTTTATTATACTATTACCCATAGACATTATATTAGTCTATAATTTTGTATTAATAATTATCTAGCCTATTTCGTTAACATAAATATATATATATGGTACAAGTTCTGTGCCTAATGAGCTATTAAAAGAATTATTTTGTGTTGGAATTACACATTAAAAGCGACTTCTGGTGAATTATAAAGAATTAGAATAATAATGATAATAATGATATTAATTATATAATAATCATTGTATTATCTCCTCCAAATAATCTCTAATTTTATCCATAACTTCTTCTTTAACATTCTTAGGCACTAATTCCTCTGCCGTTGGTTTAATATTAGCTACTAATTGATCAAAATTTATATTAGATCCATTACCATTTGATCCAGTAGTCTCTACAAGTCTTTGATTAGTAATTTGAGTTACCTTATCATACCATCCGGATTCATAAAGTTTTAGTTTTAATTGTTTATTTATTATATCATAATTCCCAGACGATATTAGATGGTCTTGGATCTGTGATTTTATTTGATCTAATTCCTCTTGTTGTTGTGTCATGATAATGATTATTTATTAATATTATTCTTATTGTTATCTTCAGTATATTACTTCAATATATTATAAACCCAGTCGTCTTCACTTATCTATATTCCATTAGCTAACCGGTACTTAAATATAATATGTGGATTGTCTTATATGCCTTAAGCTTAAATTTTCGGATGAGCCGAGAGTTGGATACAGGAATAGTTATAGTGAATACTATTCGTCACAGCAAGCAAAGTTTATCAAAACTTTGTAATTATTTATAACTGACAGTGTCAGAGTAGATGAGATTAGAATTGAGTCGATTAATTGTACGTTCGCCACTAAATTTTATATTAAAACCTTCTTATAATAGTCATAGTCTTATAATTATTAGATCACTTAAAATGTCTACAAAAGGTAGTCCATATGATGCAAAGATTGTTAATGTAGAAGAATCACCTAATGGGAAATGGATTCAAACTCGTAAAATAAATTATACTGATCCTAAAGGTAATAATAGGATTTGGGAAATGGCAGTTCGAACTACGAGAACTGAAACTACTAATATTGATGCAGTTTCAATTGTTTCAATTTTACATAATACTAAGAATAATTCTAAAGATATTGTAATTGTTAAACAATTTAGACCACCAACTGAACATGTAGTATTAGAATTACCCGCAGGACTTATTGATCCTAAAGAATCAATAGAATCAACGGCTGAAAGAGAATTAATTGAAGAAACTGGTTATTATGGGAAATTTTCTAAACAATCATTGGTAATGTATAGTGATCCAGGATTAACTAATGCAAATATGGTTTTAGCATATGTTGATGTTGACCTTAATGATCCAAGAAATCAAAATCCTACTCCTCAATTAGAAGATGGAGAATTCATTGAAACAATTACTTTACCATTAAATAATTTATTAGGTAGTCTACAAGATATTATGGATAAAGAAGGGTGTACTATTGATGCGAGATTATATCATTTTGCTGTTGGATTAGATTTAGCTAAGAATATTTAGTATATGTTATATATATTATATAGTACAGTATATAGTACAGTATACATATAGTGTAGTAAAGCACAGTATATATACATTACTCCACATTTGTTCTGATTACTGCGGCATGGACGTACAAATTTTCCCCAACTATTTATCCACTGATTCTTCGATCACTACTACTAACTATCCATATAACTATACTAAACTTAATGTCTGATAACGTTTGTTGCTTTTGTCTTGGTGGTGACACTGATGTGCCGCCATTTGGCAATTTAGCCGATGCAAAATCGTTTGTAAAGCCTTGTTCAACATGTTCTATAACGGCGCATAGTAAATGTCTTGTGGATTGGTTTAATTCATTACCATCGGATAAACTTCAAATTATTAATGTGGAATCTCATAAACAATTTGATGAATGGCAGAGTCGAAGATCAGGCACTGGTGATGCTTCAAATGATACTTTATATGAAAATGGTGCTCCAATTAATAATATGAATAATAATATTAATAATATGAATAATATGAATAATATGAATAATACTAATAATACTAATAGTAATACTATATATATAAATTTAAGTCCTCAAGCCATTCAACAATGGTTAGGAAATATTTCTTTAAGTTTGCGAACTGAAGAAATCGTTCCTGAGCCAATACCTAACAATAATGCTAATATAGATCAAATCCCCGGTTCATTTCCTACTGATGACATTAATGATAATGATATTGAAACTGGTGATATTCCTCAAATAAATCCATTAAATGGTAATGAATCATCATTTGTTATAAAGAGTCATTCACTTAATTTAAATGATTTAGGTTCTTATTCAGTTTTATTAATAGCTGCCTGTCCTCAATGTAAACAAGATATAATATTTATTAGAAATACTTCACAATTTCTTTCAATTACTTCATCCATAAGAAATGCTTTAGTTAAAGGTCTTAAATATGGAACAATCTTTTTAAGTTTTACTTCGGCAGTTACTGGGATTGTATCTATGGGATATATTGGTTTAACAACTTGTGGATTAAAAATGATTGATTGTATAATTCCTGGTCCATTACTTGTACAAATGTTAACTAAAAATATTAAAACTTCCAATTCAAATTCAAATTTATCAACTTTATCACAAATTTTATTAGGTAATCCTAATGGTTATGCAATTGATAATTTAGAACAAGCATTAATTAAAGGATTAATTGATCCACTTAAATTTTCTAGAATTCCTATATTACCTATAGTATTATATCGATTACGTTCTTCATCATTTATTAATTGTATATTACAATCTAAATCGAATGATTCAATTAATAATTGGTTTACAGAATTAATGATTGATGGATATATTTCTTCATTAGGTAATCATGAATTAATTCGATCAATTATTAAGAATATTAATTCAATAATTATTGAATTAATTAAGAATCCAGCTAAAACTAAATCTACGTCTACTAATTTAAATTTATTTAAGGGAATTAATTTCTTTTCAACTAATAATATGATATCTATGCTTATTCCAATTCGATGGAGTTATGATTTATTATTTAGATTTACAATTAATCGATTATTCTTTAATATAGCCATGAAAATAAGACCTCGAGATATTGCCAATAGTTTATCATCCAATGAAGTTGATAAATTAGAAATTATTAATAATCAATTAATTAGTTATAAACAACATTATCATAATTCATTAATTAATAATTATAAACAATATGATAAATATCATCCATATAAAATCCCCATTATTTCTTCAATTCATCGATATTTAACTACTAGATATAAAATTTTTAATTGGAATACTGCCATTAATTCAATTAAATGTCATTTAATTTCAAATTATTATAATACTTTAGTATGTTTTAAGAATGATTATTCTCAAACCTTATCGCAAAAATCATTTTCAATTAATTTAATAACTACACTTTTATGGCCCTATGTTAGTTCTCAAGTGGGGGTGGTTATTTATAAGTATATTCTTAATCGATTTAATTTATCTTCATTAAGTGATGAAAAGGTCTTATTATTAAGTAATCTTATTGGGATGGTTTCTGTAGTGGTGGCTAAGGATTTATATAAAGTATATGTGTGTTGGAAGAAGGCGTATCAGATATCAGGTATGTCACTCTTAACTATTCATAAGCCTAATGATAGCAATAGCAACAACAATAGCAATACCAACAATAGCAATACCAACAACAATAACAGTAATGGTAATGATAATGATAGTGATGATTTTTATTATGACTACAATTACAATTCCTATGATAATGATACAGAGGTGGAATTAGAAGATAGTGAATCATTGTATATTTAGAAAGAATAACTAATAGTAATAGTAAATAGAAAAGTGAAATAATACAACGTCAATAGTATAATAAAACAATGTACAAAGTGTTCAATGAGCTTAAGCTTCAGCTTACTCATTCGTCATCATAGTCTTCATCTTCGTCTACTTTCCTTAATGGAGGTTCGACGGGTTCAGCAGTCTTGTCTTCTTCGGCTTCTTCCTTTTCTGGTGATGCATCCTTATCGGTAACATTACTAGAGAATTGAGGGACTGATGTAGCAGTTGGTACTGCTTCAACTGGTTTAGATACTTCTGGTACTGGTGCAGCAGGTACTGGTGCAGCAGCTGGTGCTGCAACTGGTGCTGGAGTATCTACTGGAGCTGGTGCAGCCACTGAGTTAGGTGCTGCTTCAACTGCTACTACTTCAGGTACTGGAGCTGCTTCCACTGGTTTAGCTACTTCTTCAGAAGCTACTGGTTCAGCCTGTTCAACGACTGGTGCTTCAGCTGGTTTGGAGACTTCTGGTTCAACTGCTGCTTCAACTGGTGGTGCAGGAGGTGCTGGAGCCTCAACCACTGGTACAAGTTCTTCCTTCTTCTCCGTACCATTGGCTTCTGCCACAGTCACTGGCTCTTCTTCAACTGGTTTACTTACTTCTTCAGTCTTAGCAGGTACAGTTTCTGCAGCTGCTACTACGGCTACTGCTGCTTCTGCTGCAGCCTTTTCCTTCTCCTTTTGTTCATCATTGGCTACAGAAAGTGCCGCATTCATAAGTGAATTTAATGAACCATGATGGGATTCAGTAGTTGGTTTCTTAACGATTTTAGAATCTTGACCATCTTCTAATTCTCGTTTAGCAGGAGCAGTATCATTTACAATTGGTGGAGTTGGATTTTGAGCTGGTGCAACTGGTTGACTTACTATAGGTGCTACATCTGGTCTAGGAGATACAGAACTTGGAGGTTCTCCAGTAGTTTGAGGAGTTGGATCTTGAACTGGTGGAATGGTTGGAACAGGAAGAGTTACTGAAGCTTGAGATTCAGGATTAGGATTAGCAATGACTGGAGGAAGAGTTTCTGGTTGTTGTTGCTTTATAGGAGCTACGGCTACTTGAGGAATTTGAGGATGTTCTTGACTTGGAACTGATACTGGAACAGGTAATTGAGGATGAGGAGGAATTTGGTGTTGAACTGGAGGTGGTTGTTGTTGAAGGGGAGGTTGAGGAAGTTGCGAGATTGAATGAGAATGAGGTGGAAGTGGAGCTTGTTGCTGTTGCTGTTGCTGTTGTGATGGTGGTGGAGGTTGTTGATGATGGGATGGAGGGGGAGGTACTTGAGGATCTTGTTGAGTTGACTCTAATACCATACCTTGAGGTAATCTTGGTTGTTGAGATACTGGAGGTGGTTGAGGAGGATGAGTATTACCTTCTTGTTGATATTTAATTAATTGTTCTAATCTTGCTTTAATATGAGGATTACCAGGATCTAATCTTTCTGCTTGTCTATAAGCATCTAAAGCATCACTAATTTGATTATTACAAGTTTCATATAATGTACCTAAATCATACCAAACTTCACTAATATAAGGATTTAATCTTATGGCTCTAGTATAAGCATCTAAAGCATCTCTATATTGACTAATTTGATAGTATAATACTCCAATTGAACACCAAAATGTTGGATTTCTTGAATCTCGATTAACGGCTTGTTGAAATGATTCATAAGCAGCATTAAAATCTCCTCTAATCATATGAACTCTACCTAAATAATACCAAGAATGAGCATCACTTTGATCAATTTCTAATGATTGAGTTAAATATTTTAAAGCAATATTTAAATCTTGTTGAAAATGTTGAAAATTTCCATTTTGTTGTTGACCTGGTTGTTGAGCAGGAGTTGATGGAGATGATTCAGCTTGAGAATAAAGACATCCTAATTGTTGTAAGACTTTAGCATGTTGAGGATTTACTTGTAAGACTTTTTCATAAGCTTCTTTAGCTCCATACCAATCCTTTTGTTGTTCTAATACAGCACCAATTTGAAACCAAACATCTGGTTGAGTTAATGGATGAGGAGGATTATTTAAAATATATTGAAAACATTCTAAAGCCAGTTGTAATTTTCCTTGATGTTTATAAATAATTCCTAATCTAAAATAAATTTCATTAGCTTTATCAAAATTTGGATCTAATTCTAATACTCTTACAAAGGCTTCTTCGGCATATTCTAATGAACCATAACGATCATAAAGAATTCCAATTCCATGCCATAATTTAGGTACATTGGGATTTTCTAAATAATAAAGGGCTCTTTGATAAGCAATATAAGCTCTTTGTAAATCATCTAACATTAAATAACAATGACCTAATAATCCCCAAGTTTCTCCACTTTCAGGATTATAATTAAGTGCTTGTTCATATAATTCGGCTGCTTTAAAAAATACATCTTTTGATCGATAAATATTGGCTAATTTAATTAAAGCATCAGGATTATTAGGCGAATGTCTTAAAGCTGAATCATAAGAGGCAAGAGCTTTATCAACATCTCCTAAACTTTCTGCTAAGGATCCAATAGCTAACCATGTAGCTGCTGTAGTTTCACTAAGAATGTTACTAGGAGCATTGGCCACTTGTTGTTGTTGTTGCTGTTGCTGTTGTTGTTGTTGAGCAGCAGCTGCAGCAGCTGCTGCCACTAAAGCAGGTTGTTGTTGCTGTTGTTGTTGTTGTTGTTGTTGCAAGTCGATAAGGTGGTGAGCATGTAAGGAGCCATTAAGAGGCTGGGGAGGTTGCTGCTTCGAGATCGGCGCCATTTGAACAGGAATTGTGGCCATAGTTAACAGACAGGATTTACTGTAGTGCCGAAAGTGTAATTATGAGATTTACAGGTTAGTGGTATTCAAATAGTTAGTGAACTAGAAGTAATGGCAAGTTAAGTGAGTCTCGTTGAAGATTGAAAATGAAAATGGTGAGAAAAATAAAAAAATTAAATATTTAGAATTTAAAAAAAAAAGGTGAAGAAAATAGAATTAAAAAAAATAATTAATTTGTTTAAGTTTTATCTGCGTAATTGTCGTATTTTTATACTATAGCGTATTGTTACTAAAGATATATTACTACGCTAATGGGATTTAGTAAAGTAGATATAAATTACCATAGTAAACTAATTACAATAGAGTAGTAGTTAATAGTAACTTATTGTCATTATACAAAGTAATATCTTGCTTATTGTGGTATCAGTGGGGACTGTTGTTGTGCGGTGGGTGGTGACTCGCTGGCGACCTACTCAGCTTTTGTGTAATGTTCCTTAAGTAACGTCAAATGGAACGAGAAAATATTAGCCTGGACCGATCGGTTTGGATTCAAATGACCAAACTATTTAGATAGTTGGGTCGGTATATATATCTCCAACAACTATATCTCACACTACTCTACAACCGATCTGTGACTCCTGAAGTGACTCTTTGTCTGACTCTCACTCGCTCTCTCGCTCACAATTACTTTTTCTCAATGATCTGTCACTAACTGCATAGTTGGCTTAACGGGGTGTAATTCGCCAATATGGGGTGTAGATTGTCTAGTGCTTACTTTACACTAAAAAAAAATATCAAAATAAATCTTACTTTCATAATCAATATAGACAAGTACTACGTAACCAATCATCATACACAGGGTTACTATACAATTATCATATAATTTCTTTGAGTAATCAATGATAATGCTTTGCTTTAATATGCCAAGAACGAGTGTTTGCCTAATTTTGGACCGGCTGCACCCCCTATTTTTTCTTAATACGATGGGGTGTAGATGGACGGCACACAGCCCATGCAACGAGTCCCGCAAAGAAAAAAGAACAAGAAAACTGTTTAGCTCGTTTCGGTCGGTTGGTGTTTCAGCCTACATAATCTCAACTAATGAGCTTAATTAATGACATTTAAACTATGTTTTCTTATCTATATATTACGATTAAACTGCCATATATTCATTAATTAATTTATACAACATAATCTATACTGTTATGTAATAACAGCCCGAGTCTCTTTATCTCTCTCTTCTGTTATACCCCTATTCTCCTTGTGCATTGCTTTTCTGCCCCTTACTACTTCCCACTTCCCACTCTCAGTCCCTGCACTTTTGTTCTTTACGCACTCCCACAATTGCAGCAATGAGATGTTTCAGAATGTGACTATAAGTAACACTCAATTAATTTTATCACTTTAGCGTAGAAATGTCGACTAAATATTAACTATCTCTAATTATAATCTTTTCTTTATTAGTACTCTTTATTGATTGATTGATTGATTGATTACTTATAACTTTTGATTGATAATCAATTAAGTATTATTGATAACTTATCAAAAATGGCTGCCAAAAGGAGTACCTACAACAAATTCTTAAAACTATACTTTCTCAAACTTAGTCCAGATATAATCTACGAAACTATTAAAGATTTACCTGATACATATATTTGGACATTTCTTCGTTTACCACCTTGTAGTTTAAAAGATGTTTGTATTGATAAATTATCTCAAACTGATTTAACTATTAGTTTACCAAAAGATCATGGTCCTATAAATTTTGATTATAATTATGATTATGATGATTTTGATTATGATTCAGATTCTGAACCTAAAGAACCAAAGGGTGAAAATTTTCTTAGTCATCCATATTTATCAACTGAAGCTCAAGTTAAAGAATTCTTTAATATTGTACCAGAAATTAATCCTAGAATTGTCCTGTTTCAAGCGTTTGGAAAGTTTCATTTAATGTTTTTATTAGAATTTTTAGAAAAATTTAAGGAAAGAATTTCAGAAAGAATTGGATTCCTTGAACTTAGTTGTTCTTCGGAAAGTCCTCTTGGAATGGCTTTACAAACAAAAATAGTCTTATTAGCAAGAACTATACCAAATATTACAAATATTCAATACGGTTTCCGTTCTCAAGAAGTTTTTAATTTAGATAAAGTCCTTAATCAAAGTTATAATTATGAAACTACTCTTATGCATCACAGGAAAGGTGAAAATAATAAAGTGATTATTTTCCCAGAAGAAGCTGGATGTTTAATTATTGAAGATTTAACAGTTCCAAATATTCATATTGGTTTTAAACAAGTTAACATGTTAAATTTTGTAAATTGTACAGATATTACTACAACATTTTTAACTAGTAATTTTCCAGAAATTTTAGGAATTTCTAGAGGTGATCCAAAACTTCCACCTTTAGTATTATCTGAAGGAAATTTATTAGTTCCCAACTGTGTAAAAATACTTTATCTTCGTAATACAAAACTTCAATTAGTTGAAGGATATAAATGGCCATCTAGATTGGAAACATTAACTATTCATAATTGTCAAATATCTTGGGCAAAATTTATGAAAATTGAATTACCAGGTACATTAAAAGAGTTGGAATTTTTAGAAAATACTATTGATAGTGAAGTTCAACTTTTTAAAATACCAAGTGCAGTTAAAAAACTCCAATTATCTAATGAATCTACTGATATTTCAAATCCTATATTATTTAAAACATATTTAGGTAATGTAGATACTAAAGATACTTTGGATTCTATTTTGGAATTACAATTGAGTCACTTTAAATTGGATTTACAAAATAGTTTTTTTAATTTTCCAATTATTTTAGAAAAAGTTGGTTTAACTTACTGTAATATTACTTCATTAAGTGAAATTGTACCATTCTTACCTGAAACTATACAAGAATTGGATTTATCACATAATGAAATTTCTTTAATTGATGATTCATGGAAAAAATTTTTAAAAATTAAAGTTGCAAAATTTAATTATAATCAATTAACATGTGTTAGGGATTGCTATATTCCACTGAGTTTGGAAACATTTTCAGCTTCAAACAACAAAATAAAGAAAATTGGTATTAATGGTAAAGGGGGTCTCTTCAGTAAAAATTCAAAAAAATTGAACGAAATTGACTTAACCAATAATCCTATTGAAATAATTAGTTCTCATATTGAATTTCCAACTAATCTCAAAACGTTGAAATTATCACATATACTGACTAAAACTATAAATCTCTCGCAATTTGCTTCTCATGATAAATTCAAGCATTTAGAGATTACTGATTCGAAATTGAAAAGTATAAATTTTGCAATCCATCCTGTTACTCGTAAATCAGTAATTGAAGATCTTGATTTTTCTGGTAATTCAATTGAAACTATTGGTAAGCATACCAGTAAAAAAGAAATGCAAAAGATGTTGGAAGATGCTTTTCAAAGAATAATTGTAAATGCTGATAATAATGAAGAATTCCCTAATTCTATTATACGCTTTAAAGCTTTAATTTGATTATTCTTGCTTACTTATTACCTATAATTTCAATGTATCCTCTTCTATATTAGTAAATATAATTTTTAGGTGTTTTACTTTGTTAATCTTAAATTTGCTTATTCACTAGTTTGCTAATTTCTGTATTGCATTTATACTCATATATAAAAATATCTAATACATATACTATAAAGCTTTAGTAATATTCATGATTGAAAATCTATAATTATACTATACATAATACATCATTTATTATATATGATGACCTTGCTTTTGAGCTCTAAATGAAGAATTAAACCCTAATAATTCATTTATATCCTTAGTCCAATCATGTTCACTTCTAGCAAAACACCATATACCATTAGCAGAATCACCACCATTTGTTTTATCACTATTTACATGAATTTGATCACCTGGTTTCATATCAGCTTGAGAAATTCCATCAATACTTAATTTAATTGCACCATTTCGATTACTTTCATTAATTTGAATTATTATATGAGATGTTGCAGGTAAAATTAATGGACGAAATGAAAGTGATCTTGGACAAATTGGAGTTAATAAAATACAAGGTACAGAAGGATGAGTTATAGAACCTCCTGAACTTAAACTATAAGCTGTTGAACCAGTAGGAGTACTTAATACTATTCCATCACATGTTGTAGTAGTTAATAATTCACCATCAATTATAATATCTAATGCAGTAAGATTTGGTTGACTACCTCTATGTAATACAATATCATTCATTGCATGAATCATTCCTGGACTTCCTGACAGTTGTAAATTTTTATCTTTCCCAATTAAATGACATTCTAATCTAGTTCTATGAAGTGCTTGAGCTTTATTTTCATAAACTTCTTTAAAAGTTGATTCAAAAGCTTTAAAATCAAATGGTAAAAGAAATCCTAAAGTTCCTAAGGCAAAACTTAATACTGGAGGTACAATTACATTCAGAAATACACTTACTGCTCTTAAAATTGTTCCATCCCCTCCTAATGTAATAATTAAATCAGTTTTATCAACAATATCTTCAATTTCACCAGTATAAATTACTAAATCATTAATTAATTCATTTGATTTTTTAGTTCCATTACATTCTTCCCAAAGTTCATCAGCAACAGTTTTATTAACAATGATTTTAACTTGAGGATAATTCCCATGTAAATGTTCAATTACTTGAATCATAGCATCTCGAACATTATAATTCCATGGCTTTTTAACAATATATATATTTTCTAAACGACTTGGCCATTCAACTCTATGAAGTTTTGATAGTACAGAAGTTTTAACATAATTAGGTATAATTTTCTTTCCACCTTCATGCAGTTTTAAACTTGAAATTGATTCTATTCGAATTCTATTCTTAGTCATTATAGTTCGTATAGCTATTTTACTACTTGTAATATTTGGATTTGTACTCGTACTTGTTCCTTGACTTGAGAATATTAATTTTGGAAATTTTCTCCACATTTGATATATCAGCATTTATGATATATATACTTATATATATATACCTTAAATTTATTTAGTCTGGTAATAATTAATATTTAATATTTTGTGGGGGAGCCAACTGTCACGATGGTGTGATTTGAATTTATTTTGATACTTTTCTATTTTCTGTTCAGTATCCGATATTACTATTCATACTATTTATCGCGTGCAGAACGGATAATAACTGTATGTTCCGAAGGGTTATATATAATTGATTTGTTTATCAGTGAGATGATGTTTAACTGACTCCTCCACGAAAAATAGTCATTTCGCACCATATCCATCTGGTGACTCTACAGTTATATACGATAGTAAGAATACTTTTAAGAATATTTATTTAAAACAATTTTGATTAATATAGTACATAAATTTTAGCTAGGCAAGAAGTGAAGGGATAGGAGAAGAGAATTTATACTATGAATCTGTTCCATTTAGTTCATTGATTTCCTTTAATTCAGCATCGGTTAATATAGATTCTTCAAGTTTTGATTCATTCTTATCACCAGATCCAGCAGTTGAAGGAGGAGTTGAATCATCAGTTATATTTGTAACTTCAGTAGTAGCAGAAAGTGGTGCTTGCTGTATATCTATATTTTTTTCTCCATCATCTTTATCATCTTCATCATAAAATTCATTATCTGGTTGTATTTGTTCATCTCTTGCTTGTTGAGATCCTCCTTTTGTATCAATAGCTTCTTTAGTATCTTCTTCAATATCTCCTAAATCTTCTGCATCATTTGGAACATAATTCATTTGAACTGATGGTGCATGTTTAGTATTTTCTAAATTAGTTATAATTGTAGTTAAAATCTTATTTAAAAATTCTGGTGAATTTGCATTATACATGTTAGAAGGTCTAACATCTAATTTATAATCAGGACCATAATATTCATAATATTCATTATAAGGTAATTCTGTAGGTAAAAGAACATTATTAAGTAATCCTGATTCATAAGCCCAAGTTCTTGCAACATTTCTCATAGTATAACCACCACCTCCAACAACCATCATTGGAATATTAAATGATTTAACAAAGTTAATACAATTTGCATGACCTGCCATTGACAAATTGAAACAACCTAATCTATCACCACTTAAAGAATCACCACCACATTGTAAAACAATAGCTGAAGGTTGATACCATTCAACAATTTTACTTATTAAAGGTTCAAAAATAGATTTATAAGTTGAATCATCAATACCATCTCTTAATGGTACATTAACAGAATAATATTTCCCCTTTGATACACCAATATCTCTTAATTCACCAGTACCAGGGAAAAATTCACCATATTTATGGAATGAACATGTCATAACTCTATCAGTAGTATAAAATGCTTCTTCAACTCCATCACCATGATGAACATCAATATCAATATATAAAACACGAGGATGATATCTTAATAATTCAATTATACCAAGAACAATATCATTTAAATAACAAAATCCTGAAGCTTCTGATTTTTTTGCATGATGTAAACCACCAGCATAATTAATTGCAATATCACATTTACCTCTATTTAATCTTGCAGCACCTTCCATAGATCCACCACCAGAAATTCCACAATATTCAAATAATCCATCAAATACTGGACAATCATCTCCAACATTAAATTTAATTTGTTCTTTTGAAAACATATCTAAATTATCTGGAGTAACTCTACTTAAAAAATCAATATATTCATCAGTATGAAATTGACACATTTCTTGTTTAGTTGCTGGTTTAGCACGATAAATTTCCATCTTTTTATATAATCCATAATTCATAATTAATGAATGGGCCATTCTTATACGATGTGGTTTCATAGGATGTCCTGCACCATAGGCGTAATTACCTATATCTGCATCATAGAAATAAGCTATTCTCTTCTTTTGAGTGGGATCTACCTTTAATTCATCAAATGGTAATTGTGTGTACATATTGAATTTCTTATTTTTTGTTTCTTATTGGTTGAATTACGACAACTTCTAATTAATTTGGATCTAAAACAAATAATACAGACTATATAAAAACTGGGCCCTTCCACTAACAAAATCTAAACTTGATCTGGACCTGTTTGCTTATCAATCTTCAGTATTAACAAATAGGTTTTTAAAATTATCAAGAAAACTCGACTCCATGAAAAATCCTGCACATGGGCTGTCTTACCCGCCATTTATTTTTACTACTTACTATTATATCTATAAAGTAAAGTAAAGTAAGCTAAATATATAATAAATAAATAAATATATAAATAATGAATTACATATTGTTGTTATTTAGACATTGCTCGTTCTTGTCTCTCTTTCTGCTCTGATTCGATTTTTATAATCAGCTAATTGTTGATTCAATTGATCCTGTAATTGTAGATTATTGCACCATTTAGAATAGTATTCTTCGTTAATTTCAAAATTAACTCCATTATTGTATTTTTCATAAATAGAATTTGATGTACAACCAATAGGTAATAACCATTGAGCCCAAGTATTACCCATTATACTTGTCCAATTTTTTTTATACCCAATATCATATATATGACCAAGATTCTGCTTTTTCCCACGCTCATCAAATTCATATATGAAACTACTATTACCTTGTTTAGACCATCTTTTCTCTTGAAATTCAATGGTTGTAAAATTATTTAATAATAAGTATACAGAAAATAATCCAAATCCACCTAATGCTATGGAAAATGATATACTTAAAATACATAAAATGACCAAATTAATTGATAAAAACCCATCACCATATAGTTCATTTGCAAAAAACACATATAATATAGAACTTGATACTAAAAATAAATATCCACAATAAATACCACTATAAAGTAAGAATTGAATAAAGAATTTCTGATTTCTAAACCCTATACAAGTAGCAAACCAAGGACAATAATGATCCATTCTTAATATACACTTTCCACTACTTGAACAATGATGAGTTCTATCTGGCTTCCATACTTGACATTTATTACAATAGCGATATGGCTTTGATTGAGAAAATGTATGAAATATTATATGATCTGCTGGAGGTTCTGGTGGAAAACTTCTCAGTTGTTCAGGTAAATCATCTTGATCATTATTTACCGAAATTGAAGTATTCTCATATGGGTTTGAAGAAATATAATCGATTGATGGCAATTTGAGGATATTAAAATCAAGTGGTGAACCAGCACCCACCCAAATAGTTTTATAATAAGTATACACACATAAAAAGAACAATAATATTCCACCAATACTTATACATGATGCTAATACTGGTTTATCATATTGTGATGCAATATAATCTTGATCACAAATGAATATTAATACAAATATTGACCAGGTTATTACCGATGTGAAAAATGCTTTAGGAAACAATGAAGCTAATAAACAGCAAAATGTCTCACATGATACTAGCCATGATGGCCTTTGTTTCAACATTATCAATGGCTGAGATATTAGCATGAATGTGACTTAAAGAATTTATATTGAGAATATAGAATATAGTAAACATTCGAATCTATAAATTTTATACATGCCGTAGAGTTCTATGCAGGAATTTCTATCAAAAAAACTCAGTAGCTGCAATTTTTAATCTCTAATTCCTAATTTCTAATTATACAAAAGTTTCTATTAATTTAAACAAGACATGATTTTATTAGTCAACTTTTTTCTTAGTTGAAGTTAATTTCACTAAGGCTTCATAGCCAATACCTCCAAAAACTAATCCAACTCCACACCATTGTAAGCTAGTTAAATAATGTCCAAATAAAACCACACTAAGAATCATACTAATCATTTTTCTAGTAACTGTTGCAGTAACTAAGATTAAAGAATCGAATTTCTCGAGAATTATAAAGATGAAAATTTGACCAACAGCTCCAAATATAGAAAATTCCAAAATATTTACTAATACATGAGGATGTTTATGAATAAATTTAATGGTGTAATCAATTTCTGTATCATATTTCCATATGAGTGAGTATAACAAAGTCAAAATACATACTAATAAATTAAGAATACACATTAATTTTGCTCCTGTTACTTTATTAACTGCATTTTTATTTAATTTAAATATTTGATCTTGTGTTGAATTGGTTAAACCATCTAAAAGCATCGATCCCAATAATTGTGACATACCTAATATGGTTTGTCCATCATTTAAAGTATCCTTTTCCTTTTTTGATGAATGGAAAACTGTAAATAATATTACACCAAATGTTATTGAAGATGCCACAATATATTTAAATAATGGAAATTTTGTATTATAAAAAATTAAGTGAACAAGCATGACTGGAATTAATTTACAAGATTTGGCTAATAAATATGCCAAATAATCCACATGTTTTAAAGACATATAACCTAATGGAGATGATAAACTTGATGTTAAAGAAATTAATATGAATGAAGTTAATAATTTTCTACCAATACTTGATTCATTTTCTGTAAAAATAGAAAATGGGTTAGATTTAGTACTAATTAATGAATATAATAATCCAACTATAGATGCAAAAAAAGCTTGAGTAATATTAATTATTAATGGAGCTTTAAAGTATTCTCCATCATATGGTTTGGTATTGATTCTTTCTTGTAATACAGACCATGTTAAAAATGATCCATATAATCCAAGTACGCAAAATACCAACGTTAGAACACGTCCTCTTTTCGATTCTTTACTCATTTGAATCTGTCAATATGACCGTGTAATGATAGAAAGCTATTCACAAAAGGATTAATTACTGTAATGATTTTATTCGTGTCCAAAAGAAAATAGTTACGTAACGCATCATTTTTTTTTCAGCCAAAAAGCGCAATTTACAATGAAAATTTATATAGCACTTACTAGTATTTATTTAGTACTTATTAATATGTATTAATGCTAAATATGATATTACAGAGATTTAAATCTTTTAATTTGTGCTGGTTTAACCACGGCCAAAAATCCCAAAGAATCCACCACGTTTGGAAGCTTCTTGATCAGCTGCACTAGAATCAGTAGTTGCTGAAACAGCAGGTGAAGATGATGAAGCCGAACTTCCAATTGATGGATAAGAGATATAATTATATCCAACATCAAATAATACAGGTTTACTTAATACTGGAAGAATCTTGGAAGTGTTAAAGATATCTGATAATGATGATGGATATTTGTTCACATTCTCAACAACATATTGTTGTCCAGTACTGGTTTGTGAATCATGTAAAAATTGAGAAGAAATATGACTTTGTAACAATTTTTTATTTAATTCTTGCTTGAAAGTCAAAAACTCTTCATTAGAAGTAACTTTGTATGGGAATTCATTAATCTTATAAGGTTGACCTTTGGCAAAGATTTGCGATATGGTCTTATCTGAATTATCATAAATTTTTAAAGCTTCATTAAATTTATTAATTTGTTGATATGTTTCAGCTAAGATTATATGTTTTTTTCCAACAAAGAATGCTTCTAAATTTTGTAATGATTCATATAAATCATCATCATTATAAACACCAGGTAATTCTTGTAAATTTTGACATATAGTTACAATACCAGTATATAATCTATAAGTGTCTTTATTGGAATTGTTGGTCGAAGAAGTTAATTGATCTATTAAAACCAAGTCTCGCTTTAATCTAGTGAATAACAAATTATAATTTATAAATGTTAATAAGATAGCACGATCTTGTACTTTCTCTAAATCATCATCATCTTGATTTTTGGATTGGTCATTAGTATGTAAGTCTAAAACTTCATTCCAACCAGTAATTAAACTATCAAATTCATTGATATCATCGAAATTCTCCCATTGATCAGAATTATTTAATTTCATAATCTTAAAAGCAATTTCATCATTATATATAGTAGCTTCATGATCTCTCCATTGAATGGTTTTTTCCAATTCTACTGAAGATGAGATTTGAGAAACAAATGATGAATCTAAATCTTCAATTTTTCTAACAACATTAGTTAAATATGGTAAGAAATCATCATGACAGTGTATTCTTGAAATTGTTTTTAAATCAGAAGTTGGTTGAATATCATCACTTTGATTAATTGATAAATTTAAAGAAGGATCTACCAAAGATTCTATTAATTCACGAATTAATGTTTCATATTGTTCTTCATTTTCTTCTTGTTCTTCCTGTTGTTGTTTCTTACTTAAGATAAAGTCTAATGAACATTTAGCAATTGAAAAGGAATTTAAGGCTAATGGCCATTGTTTCTTAGTAAGGGATAATAATCCTTGAATTAAACTTGTATAGGTATATAATTCAATCACCTTAATATCATTATCTTCATTAGCGGTTATTTCAAGTAATTTCTTACAATGTAATAATGATTTCTTTATCTTACTTATCATAAGATTTTTATACGAGGAAACTTTTTCATTAGTGATTTCTAATTGAGTTTTAATTTCCAAAGCATATAAAATATCTCTTTCAGCAGTCAATAATAATAATAATCCATATTTATCATTATTTTGGTAATCTTGTTGAGTTATACTGGAAATCTTTTCCTTAGATTTATAATTCTTAGTATCTTTGGTAATAAGGTTCAATTCATGACGTAATTTATTTAACCTTTTATTAAGTCTCTTTCTTTGTTTACGATAATCTTCTGGACTAACAAGATACGCACTCATACGAGCACCCAAAGTGATTTCCAAAGGGTTATCCATGTTGTACCTTATAATGATTAATGATTTATCTCGTGTGAGTGATTGTTCAAACTTCTATACAAAAATTTTCGGGTGTCCAGTTTTTCTCCATCAGTCGTTGATCCCAAAACTTTTCAAGTAGGGCACGACTTTTTGAATATTACTGTTATTCTTTCTAAGAATAAAGTTACAGGTATTCTACCTATTAGTTTTAACTAAGTATTTATACTGATATTTTGGATACATATAATGATAAAGAAATAGGTACAACTTTAAAATTTTAACGAAAGTTAGCAATATTTGTTTTAATGGTAGCTGCAAAAGTTTATTCAGAAATAATGCAAATTAATATAAAAAAGCATTTAAATACGTATACATATAATATCAGAGGAGTTATTTCAATAATAATCTTATATTTATGTTTACCCAGTATTAGATCAATATGATATCAACTTATAACTTTGATTAGAAACTAAGTTGACATAGTTCACTGAACAGGATGTTTTATAGAATTTCTCATATTGTCATATTGATATTGACAAACTAATCTGGCCGTGCTATGCGATATCACATAGCATTTATCTGGTGTCAATAATGTGTTAGGGGTCTACTGATAGTATGCTACATTTCATTATAGGAAATGAAAATAATCTGGTTTATAGGTTTAAAACATTCAGAATGGGGTATAGTTTGCAGCTAAGATAAATCACGTGTAATAATATCGTGACGTGAACCACGTGACCAATTTGTTAGGAAAAATCACGTGATATTCACACATAGTCAGCAAAATACGGCGTTTCGTCGACAGAAATTTCTCCCGGTGGCCAAGCTGGCTAAGGCGCGAGACTGTAATGGGTTCTCCTCAAAGTAATCTTGAGATCGGGTGTTCGACTCACCCCCGGGAGATTTCTATTTCTTTTTTTGATAAATTTTACAAACAAATTGGTGATTCCTTAATCGAGTTAGTTTATTTGATTCTGTAAATATTTACAAAAGCCAATGTATCTAATACCTTGGTTTCTTTTTTTTTCCCTTCAAACTTGTCCTGCGTCTAGAAGAGGGGATAGAATGTTCTCGTTAGTGCAAGTGTGCGCTATCCAATAAGTGGAGGGCATCGCCTTACATTTGCCAAGATGTGGGCAATAAAGTTAAAACATAAAGTGTCATGTATTACCTAGAATTGAACTAAAGAAATGAACTAAAACTAAAGAAAAGAAAAGAAATGAGAAATGAGAAATGAGAAATGCGTAGATTAATTATTATGTAAAAATCAAAGGTTAGGAGAATGCAACATTAAAGGAATTAAGTAGTCGTAAATGAGATTATGTTCATTCTTGAAACATACATCTCTTAAAAAAATGCAAATATGGTACCGTCTATTTATGGCGTGATATGAGTATTATACTATTAGCATAGCAATACTAAACAATGAATTGTAAATTAAAATCATTAAAATCCTTGTAAAAGTAGGATAGAAGACCAAATACAACAAACACAAACAATGGAAAAGCCAATCCAGGCAATAAATGTATGATATAATGGGGCTTGATGATATCTTTGAAAAATCAAGTTAATACTTATCATACTAAACATTAATGATAATAATAATCCCAAAATTAAAATTAAAACTAACCACAAATTATTAACAAATAAAAATTGTGGTGGTGATGTACCTTGAGAAGGTTCAGTATGATTTATAATAAAAATACTATAAATAATACCTAATTCAATACCACTTAAAAAGATGGACATTAAATTTAATGAAAAGTAAATGTAGGATAATGTTTGATCGTAATCTAATTCATATTGATATTGAATATTCATGAATTTATTACGACTCAAGAATGAAGGAGGTTCTTCATTAATTGAATCATAATTATGAACTCCTCCAGAACTTGAGTAATGATGAGCATAATCAATTTCAGATGAGGATACTGGTCTAATTAAGCGTGAAGTCTCATAATTTGAATCATAATCCAGATTATAATACTTCTTCATTTGATCTCTTGGAGATTTATATTGAGGTAAAATTGAACTTGGTCTCTTATAAGGTTCCATTAACATAAATGATTTTAAATGAGAAAAGAATTTCTTCCTAAAATTTAAGAAACCAATCATAAAGGGATTAACTTCTTGTTGATCATTTTGTAATTTCAAGTATATAGAATATTCATTTTCATCTAAATTATCAATCAACTGTTCTTGGCGAACTTCTTCAGGATCATCACTATTACGTCTGAAATGAAGAATATCTTGATGACTAACATTCATATTAAGTACACCATCATCTTCTTCATCAATTTCAACATCTTCTCTCCCTTGTTTATCATCTTTATTCTTAGTAAAGATAGATTTACTTGAACTATTACTACCAAATGAATCACTTTGTTGAATCAGACCTCTAATATTTTGAGGACTAGAATTAATTTGTTGAAAGTGTGATTGATTAGCCTTCAAATAAAAATCAGGAGCATGAGGGGCAATCTTGTAAGAATCTGGATTGAATTTTGCTAATGATTTTAAAGATAATTGATGTCTCAAGATTTTATTAGATTTTGCTTTAATTAATGAATTTTCAGAATTCATCTGATTATTGAAATTTTCAATACTTTCAAAATTTTTTAATAAATTCAAATTTAATAAATAATTATAATGATTATTTATATATGGACCTTGAGGAATAACATTATTATAACATGAATTCATATATTGATAAAATTCCAAATTCTTGAAAAGATTAAGGGAATTATTATTACTGATTAAACTTTGTAACTTTGGTGGTAACTTCCTTAATAAAGGAGTAGAATAAGTATTAGTTAATAAACCATCTTTAGTATCAACCACAGAAATTAATGAATTTTCAAAATTACTCAAGTTTGAATCATTTGAGAAGAGACATAAATGATTATGAGGAAATTTATCCCAATTATTTTCAATATCAATTTCATTTAAATGTTCATCATCTAATAAATTAATTTTAGAAATATACTTTGGATTATTAGTAGTATAAATATCATTATCTAAAGTAATTAAATAATCATCTTGATATTTATGTTTAACCTTTTGTTGTTCAGGTTGAGGTTCATCAACTTGTTGTTCATCTTGTTCATCAATAATTGGTCTCTCAATATTTAATTGATTATCTTCATCAGCATCTTCCTCTTCTTCAGTTTGTTTCAAAATATATCTTCTTCTTTGTAAAATTAATCTTAAATTAGGTTTTAAATCATTAGCTAATATAGCATCAAATGTCTTTCTTGTTAAGGGACTTACTTTATTTGATTTAAAATAATCATATAATCTTAATTTAACATCTTCATTTGAACGATCATTCAAATGATCAATAAATAATTGAACAATATCATTAGGTAAAATACAATAACTATATTTTCTTAAACCTCCAACATATCCCACAATAATTGAGAAAGCTTCATCCTTTTGAGAAATAATATATGATGGTTCTTCTTCAACCGATTTAATATTATTTAAAAAGATAAAAGAAAGTTGAGATGTAGGAAGGATAGGAGAATTATTATCATAATGTTTAAAATTCAAATAAATATTTAAATTTAATAAAATTTCACTGAGAGTATTAGAATCATCAGGTAAAAGTGCATTCAATTTAAAATTCTTTTTAACACAGACTCCAAGATCAAAATTAGATTCATTTGTTGGAGGATCTTGTTGAATATGATAATGAGGATGACTTGGATGATGCGTGGCTGAACTTGATGTTGGAGGTGGAGATGTACCACCCGATGAAGACAACGTGGTAGAACCAGCGAGCGTATAAACACTATTATTTCTAGGAAGGATTGAATTTTGATATTGTGAATGTTCGGAGATGGATGTATTAGAATAAAAAGAATTCTTTCTCGGCACGTTCGATGATGTAAGAGTTGGAATTGACACATTATTAATGAGATTAAAATAACGTTTTTGTTCTAATTTAATGGATTGAATGATATTTGTTAATTTCAAAGTTAAATCACTTGAATCAAAATTAATAAAGGAATTCTTGTTTAATAAAAGATAATTCTTAAGATTTATAATAAATTTTAAAGCAGTTTGACTGGTGTTGCCTTCTTCTGAATTTTCACCATCATCTTTGTAGTACTTTAAGAATTTTTTAAAGATCTTTTTAGCAGCGATTTTTTGAATTAAGATGAATTTGGATAAATTCTTAAGGATTTGAGAAATTTCAATAATCTGATAAAATATTTCATCAATTTCAATGAGGATAGATCTTTGTTTAGATTTATCATTAATGTCTATAGCAGCATTAACTAGTTGATCAAAATAAAGTTCGAAATAGTTAAATTTTCTTGTAAGTTCACCATACTTTGTTTGAACAAATAAATTTATATAATCGAAATTTTCAATAAATGATTGTTGTAGAGGTTTTAAATCCTTCAGTTTGGATTGAGTAATTGTTCTTATTTGGTACTTCAAATCATTGTAATCGATGTTATAACATCTCCACTCAGGAATAGATAGATGTTGTAGATTGTTACCAAATTTCATGGATTACAAAGTAAATTGAAAACAGAGATCTATTTTCTTTTTGATGCTAATTCTAAATGCTAATTCAATATTTTTGAAATTAATGCGAGATGTATATTATTATAAGTTATGTTATGAAGGGATGGTCTCGACAGGGTTGAGTTGGGTGATGTACAAACTGTCAGGGGTGCAGTTAAAAAAAAAGGTCTTCAAATTATAGTAAAGTGCTATTGATTCACACTAAAATGTTAAAAATTAAACCTCGATTTTAAAGATAAGTTAAATGAATGAAGAGAGGTACGTAATATTGTAAATTCAACAACTTAACAATAATATTGAAAGTGTTGATTTAGATTATTTTGATTAAATACTTATTGATAATTGTAATTCTATACTATATAAAAAATTTTAATTGGGATTATTGATCCTTTTATTAGTTTAATATTTTATATCCTATTATTTTATAATTTGATATTTAACCATAGACATAAAATTATTTTTATCTCCTTTTTTACATTTTATGTGACAGTTACAGATTAAGCCAAAAAGAAATTAACTATCACACTCACTCTTACCTTTTTGGGACACTAGCATATATTATCTAACCCACCAATGGATCACAAAATTATATTTTCTTCGATATTTTTTTAAATCCTACCTTTTGTCTCATTTCTTTTTCATTGATTGGAAATTTTTTTTATATTACATTAGATAGACTTTGTTTGACAGACTCACCCTAACAAATAAGGGAAAATAAGTTACAAAATGATTTTGATGCTTAATGATATAGCACATAACCATTTTGTTATCTATTGTCAGGACACCACGTGTGCTCTCGTTGTCTCTCCTCTGTATTGAGTTTAGTAAATATACATAATAGACAAAATAGATCAATAAAGTAAGTTTAGTAATTTTTAATTTAAATATTAAATTTAAGTTGGTTGGTAGCTCCACTCAATTTTTCTTCTGCTGAGACAAGTCTTTGCAAATTTCAGTTTTACCGATTTTTAGGTTGTATTTTTTTTTTTTAATTATTATATTTCTAAATAGTATATAACTTTTAATCCCTTTATTTATTTATTTCTTCTTTATTATTTAACAATGCTACGGTTATTATTTTTTGAGAATTATTATTAAAAAGGAGTTGGCTTTCGTTAACATTGTTCCTTTCTATTCTTCGAGGTCTTGTTTTTGTTTTGAACTATATAATTATGGTTTTCGTGCATTTTGGATTATCGTTTAATAATGTGGTAAAATTTCATCTCTATACCGTAAATAAGTTAATTTGTTCTTGATTCTTAGACTCATTCTGTGATAAGATTACGCCAAAGTCCAACTAGCCTGGGCTTATCATTTTTATTACTAATATTAGCGGCATTCCGAACCAATTTTTCGAACTGACTTTAAAATAAGCAAGCATATGCATACATAAAAGGCAACTTGTCAGGCAAGCGAATGCACTTAGAATTGTCTGTCGGGTTAAGAAGTAGGCCAAGAATCAGGGAACTAACATACGGGAAGCTGCTCATTGAAACTACTGATCTACTTACTAATACTGCAACCTCCTACATAAGCCAAAAAATATAATGCGTAATTTGTGCAGTTCCCGAGGCAAGTCCGCCGCCAATATTAGGCTATTTTTGCTTCCTTTAGTTGGCTTTTTTTTTCAAGTTGTATTTTTGGATTAAGTAAACGATATTCTCTAATTAATAATAGACAGTCAAGGTTATGAACAAGAATATTCCTTGGCTCTTAACTGAAGGACCAATTAACTTATCTTTGACCCGGAATATTGAACGATAGTTGCAGGAGAAAAATTTCATCTTCTGACTTCTTTCCCTAATTGGAAGCATAGTATTCATGTTTGAACTCAAAATTATTGTAATCCTGCACTAATATCCTTATTGTTTAAATGCATAAAAAGTAAAGAGAAACATTATTAAATATATGTACAGTCGGACATACAGTACTTGCAATTATGCACGTTTAACTGTGGTGTTAATTGTAGGACAAAGGTTTAGGAGTTTCTGCTAGTGTTCCCCCAAAGTAGTAAAGTGTCGCGTGCAAAATCTAAAGCTTCGCAATTCTCTTTGCTTTTTTGCGCTCAATCCTAAACTTTAATTTATATTCCTTACATTTTACTTACGAGCTTATGAAACGGAGTTCGTAGCTTCTTGTGATACATGAAATACGTCACTATTACACTTCGAAATAGTAGAGAAATTGTATCGGTAGTAAAGAGCTTTCCTTCCCCTTTTTTAGTTTGCACGCTCGGTCTAGAACTTACACTAAAACTGTAAGGCAAAAAACGCAACCAAAAATTTCTTTTTTCGCTATTATGGCCCTAATCTGATGAGTTTGCCGTATGAATTTTCAACTATACATACAATTCGAATATATACGAGTTTCATGTATAACCATACTTATGCCTACTCAAAGTAGAGATGGGGAAAGTGTTGGAAAAAAAGGAGAGCAGATTCTTTTGCAGCTCATTGAGATGAAAATTTTTTCTAGACCATTTTGGTTGTGAAATCAGTCACACTCAAAACGATTTTGACAGGACCGTATTCGAATATTATTTTCCTAGTTGATTTGACAACTGTTTGTTTCTAGTATTATTCATGTTTCACCTTATGCCCCCATTTTTCATATTACAACTTTTTGCACTTCATAACTATTCGTCTATTCTCAACTCATCTCAACTTACATAAAAAATATTATGCCGTCTAATTAATTTATTAAACGATATAGTACTTTTAGTCGGAGTTTCAGCCCTTCTTTGGATAAAGGCGAGCAATATTAATAAAACCACTTTAACAACTTACTTTGTGTCAAAGTATTTTTAAGGCTCCTTGAACGTTAAATGTCTACAAATGTAAAATTTTTTCAAAATAAGGTACTATAGATCTATTCGAAGATCCTTTTATTTGACGTATTATTTCACCAACAATATGAATTATTATTTTTAACATTCCATTTACTGTAATATTAGATTCACTGTCTCTTTTGTTACTACATATATAAAATTTGAGTATCTACGCTCTATCAGTCTATTTTTTTTCTACTTTTGTTGCCTTAACAAAAACAGGAATTATTCCACCAGTTCCAACTGCAAAAGATCTATGGCCTAAAACTAAAAGTTGTGCCCTGATTGTACCACTGTGAGAAGTAATACTAATAACTTCATCGTTAGGATATCCATTAAATAAGAATTGAAATTGTTTATAAATTCTTAAACTTTGTTCTCCAACTGTTTCACGATAATCAGGTTTGAAGTACACATCTTCTTCAACAAATCCTGGTTCAATAACGAATCCTTTAGATTCATATTTTTGGGCAATTATTGTACGACTTGATCTCTTATCACATGTATGAACACCCGCAGTTTCTCTTAAATTATCTTGAATTAAAGGTTTGATAGCTTTAATATCAATAATATCACCCCATGTACCAATCAAGGTATCTATGGAACGAGATAATGGACTTACAAAAAAAGCAGTAGGTTTAATCAAATCTTGATTTTTATTTTTATTATTTCTTAGTTGTTGTTTCCAGAATTCACTGTTTTCTTTAGCTTGACTTTTACCTAAATCGGTTAATAATGGATCTGGACCCCAAACGATTTTTCCATCACCATTCAATTTAGACCAATAATCATTCCATGCGTCATTACCATATTTGGCATGAGCTAAATTATGATAACCCTGGCCATGTCTCGATAAAAATAGTAACTTATACTGAGTCTTAGTTTTATCTTCTATATTCTTATTTAAAGTATTCAACTTGGTAATAATATCATCCCAACTATGTAAAATCCCGAAATTTTCATCTAAATAATTAAATGATGTTTCATCAGTACTATTCAATGACTGTTTAAATACGTCAGGTACAACTTCAAATTCCCAATGCTCATTTAAAGTCAGATCATACTCACGTTTTCTCAATTTGTAACCTTCAGTATCTTCACTTGATAACTTGGAGTCAATGACATCCAATTTACTAGGATTAGTCGCCATATTATCTTAATATTCTATTTATCATATAACTTCACAAGTTCATAGGCAGCAAAACAAATGCCATAGGTGGCTTCCACGTTCTATGGGCAAAAGAGACATTTTTGCTTTGCACGACATACTTAAAAAGTCTCTTATAAGAACAGTTTCTATTTTACAATGTGTATATGAGAGACTTAATATAGTTCCATAATTGTATATTAATAAATTCCTTAAATCTAAGTACTTTATAACTCATTTATAAATAATATATATATAAATTTCACATATATTGTTGTATCTATCTTGACCAGCGCGCTACCACATACTATACACAAGTTAGCCTACCAATATTTGTTATTAATGCTACAATTAGTCAATATCAATATTTTCTAAACAGATACACAGACATTTGTATAATATAATATTATATAATAATTAATAATATTATATACTATACTACTATAACTCCATATTACTGTCAATTATAAATTATATTATTCTCTATATATAATTGAAATTAAGTTAAGTCCAGGTCGTGTACCCGTCCCAATCCCAAACCGAAACTCAAACCCAAACGACTTTTCACCACGGAAAATTGGGACATTTTTGAGGTTGGAAGACGAACCGACAGATCTGTAGATTTAGTATTCACTACAACTAAACCAGTAAAGAATAGTGAATTCGAATATTATTTGACTACTACTACTATATAGTGATTAGTATTATTTTACTGCAATTTATATTTGATCAATTTGTTTGTGGCCTAAGCCTTTAAATTATCATTAAGTGTATAATCTTCCCCTTATTATTCATATTCATTATAGAATACATTATATTATATTATTAATTATAAAGGTCAATTGTCAATTTTAAAATTGAATTAGTTTATTATATCATATTATATCATATCATATATTTATTTATTTAACTTATAATGGACGATTTTAACGACGAATTATTTCCATTGGCTTTATTAATGGATGAATTAAAGCATGATGATGTATCTAATAGAGTTGATGCAATGCAAAAATTAGATACAATTGCTATTGCTTTAGGACCTGAAAGAACTCTTAAAGAATTATTACCATTTTTAAAAGATGTTGCTCAAGATGATGAAGAAGAAGTATTTGCTGTATTAGCTTCTAAATTAGGAGATTTTATTCCTTTAATTGGTGGTCATCAATATTGTGAACCTTTAATTCAAATTTTAACTATATTAGCATCAATGGAAGAACCTATTGTTAGAGATAAAGCTATTGATTCATTAAATAAAATTAGTTTAGAATTAACCGTTGAAGAATTAAATAATATTTTTCTTAGTTTAATTCAAAGTTTAAGTACTGGTGATTGGTTTTCCAAAAAAATTGCTAGTTGTGGATTATATAAAGCAGTTATAATAAAGGTTAATTCATCAATTAGAAAAGAATTATTAAATTTATATTTAAAATTAGTTTGTGATGAATATCCAATGGTTAGAAGATCAGCTGCTAGTAATTTACCAACTTTAATTGATTTATTAACTGAATTTACTGAAATTAAACCAAATGATGCTAATAAAGTTAATAATGAAGATTGGGATATTATTTCTAAAATGTTTCAACATTTAATTAATGATGATCAAGATTCAGTTAAATTATTATCAATTGATGTATTAATTTCTATATTGGAATTTTTTCAAAAGATTAATGAACAATCTTTTAATTCTGAATTTTTATCATCATCTTTAAAATTAATAAAGGATGAAAGTTGGAGAGTTAGATATGCTGCAGCAGAAAGATTTACAAGTATTGCCAAAAATTTTGTTAATAATGAAAGTGATTTATTTCAATTAATTGATCCATTTATTAATTTAATGAAAGATAATGAAGGAGAAGTTAGAAAGGCAATTGCAAAACAATTACCATCATTTTCACAATTATTAACTAAATATCCTTCAACAAAAGCAACTATTTTAAATAAAATTATTCCTGTAGTTAATAATTTATCCCAAGATTCTCAAGAAAGTGTTAGAGCTTCATTAGCTTCAACAATAACTGATTTATCACCAATTTTAGAAAAACAATCAACCATTGAGAAATTATTACCAATTTTCTTAGTCATGTTAAAGGATGAATTCCCAGATGTGAGATTAAATATTATATCTAATTTATCAGTAGTTAATGAAACTATTGGTATTAATCTTTTATCAACAAATTTATTACCAGCTATAACAGAATTAGCTCAAGATCATAAATGGAGAGTAAGATTAGCTATAATTGAATATATTCCAAAATTAGCTAAACAATTAGGTGAACCATTTTTTAATGATGAATTATTATCACTTTGTATGTCATGGTTATGGGATCCAGTATTTGCTATTAGAGATGCTGCCGTTAATAATTCTAAAGAATTAACTATTATATTTGGATCTCAATGGGCAGAACATGAAATTATAAATCGATTATTAAATGAATCATCAACTAGTTCAACTAATAATAATACCACTGGAACTAAAAAAGATAATGATAATGATGATGAAGATGCTAAAATTGATGCAGATGATGATAATAATAATCTTAATAATATTGATTATTCAAATTTTATTATTAGAATTACCTGTTTATTTACCATTACCAGATTAATTCCAGTTATTGATTATTCAATAATCAGTAAGAAAGTATTACCATTCATTAATAATTTAATTGTAGATGCTGTTCCAAATATTCGATTTAATGTAGCCAAATCTTATTTTGTTGCAGCAGAAACTTTAATTAAAAACAGAAGAAAGTTTGGCATAAGTGATGAAGATTTAAATAAAGTTATTAATTTGGAAATTTTATCGAATTTAGAAAAATTACAAAATGATGAAGATGTTGATGTTAGATACTTTGCTAGTAAAAGTATTCAAGGTATTAATGAATTACTAGCTTAATGTTAATGTTAATACTTTAATCCCCTAATTTCATATCATCCTTTTCATTAATGTCTAAAACCATATCATTTTCTCATATTATATTCATACTATTCGTTCATTTCATAAGGTTAAGTATATATACCTATATACTATTCTTTCATTTTTATTTTTATACTTTGTACTTTCTTGTTTGTTTTTACTAGTTTGATTATTGAATATTAGTTTTTATATACGTATTTATAATTAATTAATGACTTATATTAAATAAGATTATGTTATATACATTTTCGTAATCATTAAGAATATTTATTATAATAATTATAATTATTGTGATTGTTTCCTCTCCTGCTTCTTCTTTTCTAACTTTTCAAAATCAAAATCAAATGATGCTCCACATCCACAAGCTGTTGAAGTATATGGAGAATCGACAATTTTAAATTGACTACCAATTAATTCTTTAACATAATCTAATTTGGAATCTTGTAAAATTTCCAAAGAACTTTCATCTAACATTATTTGAGCAATATCTCCATCTTCATCTAATCTTTTAAATATTAATATTTCATCTTCATCTATATCTTCATCTTGTTTAGCTTCTTTTAATTCTTCTTCTATATCAGTTAATTTTAAATTATACTGAAATCCATGACATCCTCCACTTTCTACACTTATTTTTAATACACTATTAGGATTAGAATCTCCTTGGGCTATTTTATTTAATTTTCTACTAGCTCGTTTAGTTATAGCAATTTCAAGATTACTATTTCCATGAATTAATTTAGTCTTTTTAAAATCATCAATATCTTCTATAGGGATTTGTATATTTGTTGTTGATATTGGCACATTCTCTTTTGGTAAGGCAAATGATGATGCTTTTAAAAATTTACTTGTATCTTTACTTGTAGTAGTAGTACTAGTATTAGTACTAGTACTAGTACTTACACTATAATTTCTATAATATATACCATACAGTATCTTTTGTATTGTATGTGCTGTTTGTTTAGTTACCCCAATTCTCGAAGCTCGTGCATTGACCAAACTAGTCTGTCTAATCATTTGTCTAAACATTGTCTATATCATATGGGTAATGAATCAGCTTACAAATAGATGATTTTTACTGGTGTAAAGTATAGGTATATTTTCGGGATCGATGTGTATTGTGGAGGCATGGATGTTTGGATTACACTATAATAATGTTATGCTTGGTGTATGGATGTAGAGATAGATATAGTGTAGTTACATTATCTATACATAATATGATAGTCATTGATTAGGATACACATGTAGTCTTTCACTGATTAGAACACATCTATATTTACAATTTACAATTTAAAATATATACTCTCCTGTATAACACCCATCAATAAGACTCTTAAGTCACTACATATAATCTTTACTTTTTATATTTGTATGTTCTTATATATATGAGAGTTAATAAATATATTATATGCGTAGAAATATATTTATATTAATATTGTAAAAATTGTCTCAATTAATTGTACTTATCATTAGAGACTCTCCAAGAAGATAAAATATCGTAATGTGACCAATTTTCCTTTGCACCTTCCATACCCCAGGAAATATATCTAAAGTACCAGAATGTATAAACTACAATAAAGTAGAAAATACCAAAAAGTACAACTCTAAAGATTTTAGCTGCTGGAGAAGAATTTGGTGATGCTAAAGGTAAAGTAAAATATTCAATTTCATAACAAAGTACAAGCATAGCAAAATAAAGTGCTGGAACATAATGATGAACATATGTAACTCTTCCCATAACTACAAATGGCATAAAATGTAAACCCCAACCAAACATTGGATAAATACCTCCCATAACAAATAAAGTTAATTTATTTGGTTCATTAGATGGGAAATCAACAATTTGTCTTTGCCATCTAATTAAATGATAAACAGTAAGGAAAGCAAATAATAAAACTCCAATAGTTGAAGTCCAAGTTGTTGCTGGTGATCCAATTAAATAATATTTAGCTTTACTAGCTGACCAAGTACACATTCTAATTCCAGTATTTAAAGTTGGCCATTGCCATGCTTTTGAAGCTAAATCATCTTGTTTATCTGGATCAGGAACTAATGCATTATTAGTTGCCATCATTGCTAAATTTAATTGAATAAAATCTCTAAAGAAATTAGTTCTTGGTAATTTAAAATCTTCTGGAGCTTCTGGTAAAACTTCATTTCTATTATTTTCAACATTCCACCAAGTTCTTTTATCCTTTCTAAATGGATTTTTATAACAAACAACTTCACCTTGTCTAAAACCCCATTGAGGTAATGAATTACCACTTACACCTAAATAACAATTCATAACTTGATTTTTTAATCTAAATGATGTAGTAATTGGGTGAAGTCTTAATTTATCTTCACTTGAATGTTGTTCCATAACTTCAACAATCCAATTATCTTTAGCATCACCAATAGTTAAATTACCATAACAAGCAACTTCATATTCAGATTTAGATACTGGAGCAGCAACTTCATGAGTATGTAAATTTCTACCAGTTGATGGATGCATAATTCTAACACTCATACCATCAATAACATATTCAATTGAAGTATTATTATTTGCACTATCATAATAAGGTAAACCTCTTGCTCTTTGGAAAATCCAATTATTATTTGAATCTTTATGAGAATAAGTTGTAACTTGTTGTTGTTTTGAACCTTCTGGGAAAGTTTGAACATGAGAATGTAAAAGTCCACCAGTTAAACCTTGAGATTTTAAAGTAACTACTGAATGAACAATTGAAACTTCACGAGGTCCACCACCAACATCAGAACCTAATAAATTAGCTTGAAATAATGTTGACATATTTGCATCACCAGTACCTGATTTATATAATAAATCAAAATGAACTTTAAAAGATAAAAGGAAAATTAAAAATGGTACAATAATTAATCCAACAATTCTTGCTAACCAATGTTGAATATAACGAGTCCAAGTAATTGTTTTATCACCAAATTTAATCCAAAGATCAGTAATAGTATAAATACCAACTAAAGTTGTAACAAAAAGTCCAACCATTTTAACTGAACAAGTACAACCAATTGCAAATCCAGTTAATAATAACCATTTCCACCATTTTCTTGTAAATTCAAGTTTTTTAGTATTAAAACTATTAAATCTTGAGAATGAAAAAACGGTTGCAACAGTAAAAAATAATAACATTGAATCTAATAAAATGAATTTACCTAAAGTAATATAAGAAAGTTCAAGAGTTACCATTAAAGTAAATAACCAAGTAGTTGCAATTGAATAACCAATTTCTTTCATAGTAAAATAAGCAAATGGAACACATAAAGCAGAAAATGTTGCATTAAATATTCTCATTTTTGTATAATCAATATAATCAGGATAAGTTTCACCAGATGGGAAATCCCAACTACCATTATAACCAGCTAAATAACCTGATAAACCAATTAACATTTTACCTAAAGGAGGATGAACATCATGATAAAATTCATGTCTTAAATAATATGAACCAAATTTACCAAAATGAGCTTCATCCCAAACAACAGCATCATTTATACCAATTCTATATAATCTTACAAAGAATGATAAAGCAGTAAATATAATTGGAGAAACAATAGATTCTAATCTTTTTAATGAATCAACAAATTCTTTAGCCTCATCATATTTAGTTCTTTTATTAATATCAGAATCATTATCTATATTATCATTATCATTATTACTTGTATTATTATTAATATTATCTTGCCCATGTCTCTGACGAAGGCTATCTTTATCAGAGGTGCTAACACCAGATGAAGACATGGCTTTTTTTTTTGATTTGTAGTTGAAACTATCAAGTCAATTGATGAAAATAAGTCAAAGTAATAAGTAATAAATACTTCAATTAATTATACTAATTAAAACAATATCAACTTACACTTTACTATTGAATAATTCTATTGAGTCGAGTTCTTTTTTTCGGTGTGTTGGAGTATACGTGTTTTTAATTTTTCACTTATGGTAGTGTACGGAGACAAAGGTGTTATGCGCGATCGCGCAGTTAATCTGCACGGGGATCAATGTATAAATGTAAAAATGTGTTATATAAATGTGTTAGTGTGTAACTATTAATAATTATCTATAGGGTATAGTGGATAGTATGTAATTACTATTGAATATCTACAGTATATAACAATAATATATATATACTATCAATTGATCAATTGACCAATTCTACAGTTATTATTATTATTATTCTACAATAAACTCAATTATATATGACATCATATATGAAAGTAAGAACTAGCTAGACGACTATATCGTAACAATAATAAATAATATCTAGAATAATCTAGATTAATCTAGATTCAATTATTGTTCTATAATTTAGTGGATAGTTAAGCTGAAACCTTGGCAACGTGTTCCAATAAGTCAACAACTCTGGTGGAGTAACCAAATTCGTTATCGTACCAAGAGATCAACTTAACAAAGGTTGGAGATAATAAGATACCAGCCTTTTGATCAAAGATGGAAGAGTAAGAAGATCCTAAGAAATCAGTAGAGACAACAGCATCTTCAGTGTAACCTAAAACACCCTTAAGAGCACCTTCAGATTCAGCCTTGATAGCTTCAGAAATTTCTTCGTAAGTAGCTGGCTTCTTTAATCTGACAGTTAAATCAACAACGGAAACATCAACAGTTGGGACTCTTAAAGACATACCGGTTAATTTACCGTTTAATTCTGGAATAACCTTACCAACGGCCTTAGCAGCACCAGTGGAAGATGGAATAATGTTACCAGAAGCAGTTCTACCACCTCTCCAGTCCTTGTGGGATGGACCATCAACAGTCTTTTGAGTAGCAGTGATGGAGTGAACAGTGGTCATTAAACCTTCTTCAATACCGAATTTATCGTTAATAACCTTAGCTAATGGAGCTAAACAGTTAGTAGTACAAGAAGCATTAGAGATAATGTTCAAGTCTGGAGTATATTTGTCAGCATTGACACCAACAACAAACATTGGAGCATCAGCAGATGGAGCAGTAATGATAACCTTCTTGGCACCACCATCAATGTGTTTTTGAGCACCTTCTAATTTGGTGAAAACACCGGTAGATTCAATAACGTAATCAACACCAGATTTACCCCATGGAATAGAGGCTGGGTCTCTTTCTTGGAAAACTTTAATGGCATGACCATCAATGACTAAAGAGTCACCTTCAGATTTAACTTCACCTTCGTATTTACCGTGAGTAGAATCATACTTGAACATATAAGAAGCATAATCTGGAGCAATGAATGGATCATTAATAGCAACGACATTAATGTCCTTTCTAGATAAGGCAACTCTTAAAACTAAACGACCAATACGACCGAAACCGTTAATACCAACGTTAATAGCCATTGTGATATACTAATATAATTAATTGATGAATAAATTGATATAATTAAAATCAATTGATATACAAAATAAAAGAATAAATAATTTATCGTCGAATTGGGAAATTGAGGGTTAATTTATATATGAATTTTAGATGGGACTGAAAAAGGAGGAATTTTCGTTGGTTGATTTTTCTTTGTAAGAGAATAGAACAATTATATGCGCGACATTTTAGGTCCTAGAGCAAATGTCTCTCACTAAAGAATTCTGTCCGGGTCATAGTTATCCATGCCGCACTTCTAGGATATGGATATCGATATAGATATGGATATGAATAAGACAAGATCATTAGCGAGGATGTGGTATCAAATGGTAAGCTCATTAATTAATTAAAATTAAGTTCATATCGGAGTAATAACACTTACCAATAATTGGTTGTAATAATTAATAAGCTGCTCAACTGATGTTGCTAAATGGTAACTACTTTAACTATGAGCGCTTTTTTTTCTAGTAAACATCTGACGGTACATGTCCTACAGGTACAGTGTGCGCCGTATGAATATAGTAGAGTACAGTTGTAGTATTTAAGAATTGAGTACGTCATTCTTAACTATCCAATACTGTAAACTATCATCATCTATAGATTATACTTTCAAACTCCGAAGAGTATGACTGCAAATTATTCACCAAAAAATAAATTAGACAATGACATATTTGATATGATTATTAATCGATATTAACTATGAAGAGTTGCAATTGCAATTCAATTGCAACCCAATTTAATAAATAATTTCAGTCGGTAAGATAATCGGTTAGCCTAATTTCCTTTATTTTGGTCACTATATTTTAAATACAGTACAACAATTAAATTAGTGGGAATTTCAATATCCGATCATTTTCAGTAAGTGGATTTGTACGTGCGACATTTTGTTTTTTGGTTAACCCATGCGGTTTGATTTTTGAAGTCACTTAATCGCATGGATGAAGTCCGAGACCGACGATCACGTGAAGTTATGTACATGAAAATTCAGTCACGAATTACAACGGACGAGAGGCTCATAAGTTTACTATATTGGTATACTATTATAGTGACTGATTGCAAAATTATATTGAAATTAATTAAAAATATCATTCAAATGTTAACAATTTACAACCAGAAATCTATCATTGTGTAATATTTAATCATATGATGTGACTTGTCTTGTCTTGCTACTTAGCCAACCTTATTCCCGTTCGCTACATACATTTTTGCATGTTCATATATATTTTTTGCACATTACCTTCATGGTTTACATGTTAATAGCTGCCTATTTACAAGTTAAATTTGGTCTTCCTCGGGGTATACAGGATTGAAAATATCATAGGAATTCTTGTATTTTCAATTCCCTTTCCTAATAATACCGGGGTTTTTCATGTGGTTTATTACCAAACTCTTTTTGTTCAAACTTTGTTCCCGTTTTAAGATCAATTTGTGGGGTTGAATTTTCAATTTACAAAACAAAATGTCGTCTCAAGTTTGGCATACGTAGCACCGATACCCCGGACTAATGTGCGTCGACACAATCTTATAGTTTCGGAGATTTAATTGATCTTTGACTAGTTTGGATTGATGAATGGAACTTTTTTGGATGAAAAAAAAAGTATTAGTCGAAAGTTGAAAAGTCAAGTAATAGAACCATATAACTTTGACAGTAGGTATGTAAGCTCTTGCTGAACTCATAAACTGATCTCATAATTTGCTCTATATCTAAAACTCCACCACTAGAATGTTTAATGTTTCCCATACTTGAGATGGCTTTCCAACATGTTATGGACTTCTTGATGAGTACTTTACCAACATTAAGTAAATAATGCATACTGCAACTACTTCTTTCTAGTAAATTATAGATGGTTTGTTACCAATGGTAGCGCATACGAAAAAAAGACTATGCTACAAAATTAGCACTAATTCTGCACTATAGCTGTCAAAGAAAAAAAGCTTCCTGCCACAATCTAATATCGAAGTGTTAGATTACAACAATCATATATTAGATTCACCTGTACTACTTAACATTAACAATTATTCTTCAACGTATCATCGAACTTATATTTGATATGCTGCGGTTATACATACTCAGTTTGAATGAATTTCTGATCTAATCTAGACAATAATTGAGGTTGCAGGAGAACTATCTAGTTGACGAAAAGTGATCAGATAAAGGTCATATAAATAATTAATTCTGTATGGATCTATGTACACATTGTTAAGATTCATTGATGTTCATTGATGGGTTGTTAGATCTAAAACTGTAAGAGTAGCAATCCCAGTTTATTAGTCGCTTTTTTGCTCCCAAAAGGGTAATGAGTGCTTATATAAGCGACCATAGCTGTCAAAAAGAGGAAAGTCTTACCCTAGCAGATCTAATATAAAGCAATCGATTTTCCTATCATGATTTATACTCTTTATTCCTTTTATTAATTACTAATTGAAATGTCTTTGAGATTGATTAAATTGAACTCAGGAAGTTTGATACCATCAATTGGTCTCGGTACGTGGGACTTGCCTCGTCATCAAACATCGGACATAGTTTATGAAGCTTGCAAGGTTGGATATCGACATTTTGATACGGCTGTTTTATATGGTAATGAACGAGAAGTGAGTCAAGGAATTGTTAGATTCCTTAGCGAGAATCCACAATATAAACGAGAGGAGTTTTTCTATACTACTAAATTATGGAATAATCAACTTGGAACAAATGAAACTCGTAGAGCAATTGAAGAAATGATTGAAAAGATTGGTGATTTGCAATACATTGATCTTCTACTCATTCATTCTCCATTGCCAGGCAAGCAGCATAGATTACAGGCCTATGAGCAGATGCAAATCGCTAAAGATAATGGCTATGTCAAAAATATTGGAGTTTCGAATTATGGAAAGCATCACATCGAAGAGTTACTAACTTGGCCTCAATTAAGATTCAAACCCGTTGTAAATCAAATAGAAATAAGTCCTTGGTGTATGCGAACAGAATTAGCTACATGGTGTCTTAGTCAAGGAATACATGTTGAAGCTTATGCTCCATTGACGCATGGTTATAAGTTAACAGAGGATCCAACTCTTGCAAAATATGCGAAGAAGTATGAGGTTAGCCCTGCACAAATTTTAATCAAATGGTCATTGCAAAAGGGATATATCCCTTTACCAAAGACCAAAACTCTAACAAGATTACCTCAGAATCTAGATGTTAATTCATTTACTTTGTCTGATGATGATATTAAAGAAATTGATCGTCCAGATGCTTATGAGCCCACTGATTGGGAATGCACTGACGCTCCTTAATGTTTTGCGATCTTGCAGAGGATCTATATATTGTTCATCTTTTCTTTTTTAACAAGGTAAGTTTACAATCACATCATATTAAATATTATTGCGCGTAATACCGAAAGAGTGAGGGCATCCGAATTCTTTTTCGGCGGAGATAAAATTCGAGGGCCAGAAATATGGGCTGTACCTAACCCTAATTACAAGTCTAATTTATATCAGACTTTATATATATAAATATATATTAAAATATGTGGGGATTTCATACAAGTAATGATGAAACTCAATAAACCTAAAAAAATGAAACTACGATTTTCCATTCGGACATATTTATTTAACGATATACAGGCACATTTCCACCTGTTTTTTATTTGCTGTTAAAATGGTGTCTAAAATCTGTAAAAGCAATGTAATGAATTTTGACAGTGATGATCTCTAAAAATTGGGGGACACCTATAGAATAAGCATATAAGCTAGCCGTACATCATTATGAACCTCCGAGCCTTATGTTCATTAGTAATGTGCATTATTAATTTTCTGTTAAATTTTTTTTGCAACGGAAAATGGTGAGTCTCTATCAAATCCATTAGTAAGATTGTTGTAAAAGGCATAATTGAAAGAAGCCCGGCGCCAAGAAAGAAAAATTTACAAGTTTGGCCTACTTACTCCACTCGCTGCAGACATCATCTGAATACATTGCAAAGCTTTGACAACTCAAAGTTAATATCATAGTGATTAAATAGACTATTACTATGAAACCAAATAATTGCAGCATTGAAACCCAATTTATTTAACTTAAAAAAGCATGTCTACCTTAATTGCGATTATCTCCATACATGTTCGGTGAAAGAATTTTAGTATTGCTAATCATTTCATATGTATTAACATATAAATTGTAACCATTAAACTTCACCGATACTTCGTTTCGGCCGATTCCAGATTATGCAGGTGGAGAAATTCACCTTGCATTTCAGGAAACCCTTTTTAAACAGAATGTTTTATTTTTTTTTTGTTTGTTTATATAACGCATATTTTGAGGAATATAATTCGATCACTAATTTTTTCTATCCGACCGAAGACTACGTAGCTTAAACAAGAGAAATTTAAATCGGTTAACTCTATTATTCTTTCAAACTATAAATCATTTGAGTGGCTGCCGTGTTGTGTTTTCAATAATTGATATTTCTACTATAAGTAGAAAAGGTAATGAATAAGCCGAACGGCTCTAGCCTATGAACCCTAAATGGTAGTGGCACAACCATCGGTTGTAAAAATACTTCAGGATTGCTGCAAGTCCCCAATACGTTCTATTGTTTTGACATAAAGAATTCACTCGCTCTCTTAAAGATGGTGAGTGATTTTATAATGATGACTCCGATGTCTAAATTTTGAATTTTTATGATCCCATGCTAAATACTATTAATGCTATTCTGGAGATTTGTTATCTTAAAACGGCTGTAGAACCATCATTATTTCTAAATAGAGACAGAATAGTGGAAATTACATTAGCTCTTCCATATTTTGTCTGCAACTTTATCATGATCCGACGTGTCTTCCTAAAATTCTATTTGAGATATGCTTCGTCTATGCTTTCCTGTCTGAGTTATTCTTAGATTCGTTGCCCCCCCCCAAATTTCAAATAATTGCACACATATCTTTCTCTGTCAATCCTTAACTTATACTTGAGAACATCTTTTGACTAGACCTTCTGTATTATCATCTTACTATGAACATTTGCCTCCACCTCCTCCACGTTTGTCCCCCAGAACTTTTGTGTTTTTTTTTTCTCTCTCCATCTTTTTGATTGCAAAAATTCAGAAATAGGAAAAAATCGCCGCACTGTAAAAAGAAATCTTGGAGCATTATTAATGTAGTAGGTGAATTCCGGGCCTAGGTAATTGGGTGATCAGGTCCTAAGTTACAGAGAATACTTAAAATCCACTTTTGATTTAGGATTTGTTCATTTGGTGCCTATTTTTTAATATTTGCCGCAAATAATGCTAACATTAAAAACAAGATTTTAAACATCTTTTATGTCAAATTTGTATTTCATATCAAATTAATAAATAAATAAATAGAGAATAAACTAGTAACTCTAAAAGCAAACTTTAAGTCAGGAAACCGAAGATAAATATATGTAAAATTACAAACGTTAAAAAGTCTTTAATAAACTTAACCATAGTAAAAAGGACTTAAATCATGATAATTATCATATAAAACCGACTTTGGCATGCATCTTAAAACAAACATATATACAGATATAAATAAGCAGCCAATGTTAATAAATAATAAATAAATAAAGAAAGAAAAAACGAAAGAAGTAAAAGTAAACCAGAAATAAATTAAAATTGAGACCCTGATGTTTCTTGCCCATTATCATTAACAATCAAATCTATAGCTTGATAAGAATTAAAAGGAAAAAAAGCTGTATCATCATAATTAACACTAACATTGCCTGTAGAAGGATGGTTAAGCATTGGAGCCGGGGCTGGTGTTAATTGTTGAAGATTTTGTTGCTGTATTTGTTGTTGATTTATAAAATCATCAAAAAATAACGAAGAAGATTGTGCATTTTGATTAGAGACACCATCTGGATTCGAATTTGAAAGTAACAAATCATCATAATTATTTGATCCTGAAATAGATAATCTATTATTATTGATATTGTTGTTGAAGTCAAATAATGAATTTGTAGTACTGCTACCATTACTTGGAACGGCATTATTGAAATTCTGTAAATGAAATTCATTACCATTATTACTAACAATATTCTTTTGACCAGTTGAAGAAATAGATCCAATAGTACTATGTTGTGGCTTGTGTACATGGCCATTATTTCTTAACTTTTGATGACTTGGAGAAAATGGACGTGTTATTGAACTTGACGATGATCTTCTATGCAACAAAGCAAATGTTGAAGGAGGAGCAGTACCACTATTGGTATTTCCCATATTATTGGTTGAACTAGAAGAATTTGAAAGTGGAGGTGGAGAGTTAGCTAATGGACTCGTATCTTCGATAGAAACCATTGAGTTGTGTTTTGTCAATAAGGGCAAAGAAGATGAAGAAGTTGCATTATTTGGATGCGAAAATAAGGAGGGTCTAGATAAGCTTTCAACGACTTGACGATTTCCTTGTTGTTGGTTGTGATGGATTTTCAGTTGGCTTTGAGATTGAAGATGTGGATTACCATATTGAGTTTTTGGTGAAGGAGAACGTTTTTTAGACTGTTTGGTCGAGTTCTTACGAGAAGAAATCAGTTCATTATCAAAATCATTATTGTCATGTTTATGTTCATTTGAAAATCCTCCAAGGGAAATATCACGAATATTTAATTGCTCAGTAACTGAAGTCTGTGAGTTTTGTGGAGAAGTCGTTAATTTTGAAGAAATATCATCAAATTCATCATCTTCATCATTTTCATCCATGAAATCATCGTCGTCATCATCGTGAAATGTGAATGTCAGACTAGAGTCTCTTTCCTCTTTAATCCTCGCAGATTGTCTTGAATAATTACTCGTTTGTGACTTTTGAGATATATCATGTTCTGGTACGACACTCGATAATTTATGTTCACCAAACAAAGCTGTAGATTTGGCCAAATTTTTAGAATTTAACTTAGCTGCAATTAAACTACCTTCTTCCCATTCCATGGGTAAATTATTTAATAAGCCTTCGTGATTAATAAGGTAAGATACAACTTTATTTATTGGAATATTTATATCATTATCAGAAAAACCTTCATTTAAAATGGCATCCTCTTCCCGTTTCATATTGACAATATCTTCTTCTTCTTCTTCATCAATAATATCCGATAATACTTTCAAATGAGGTTTCAGTATTTCAATTAATTTCTCTAAAGATTTAGTCAAGATGTCTAATCTGGTTTCCAACAATTCTACATAACCTTGAGGGTGACTCTTTTCTCTAGTTTTCTTCTTCTCTGTAAATACACAGATTTTGTTATCTAATATACATCTATTACATGGTTTCTTTCCATCACATTTTGTCTTCTTAATACGGCAAGAGTCACATGCTTTACCAACTCTCTTCTTTTTTATATGATGATGATGCTGTTGTTGATGATGCAGATGTGAATTATCTGTTTCATCCATTGGAGAACTATTAGTGCTTGAATGGTTCATGATTCAATGGGTATACTCTATAAAGGTAATTTGCAACTGGAAAAAATGGCAAATAAATAAATAAGTAGCTTTAGAATAGATTATTTTTAAATATCAGCCAATTTATAGTACGAAATGAATTAATATATATCAGTAAAGTATCCTTGATTGTAATTTCAATAATCGACCAATAACTGTACTCTAATGTAAATAGGCTTATACTATATTAGTAATTTAGTTTGACATAAAATATCTCTGCAAATATAATGGCGCAGAAAAAAAGGTGTATGTGCTGTTGCGCAAACGGTAGAAGTTTTAGTTATGTTAAATATATGTCAATGATTAATTGTATATAAACTATACTGATTTTGGATAAATTTGTAAAAAGGGTAAGACCAAAGACATGAAATTATATATGAATTGATTTGGATTGGTCCTTTAATATATTTTTAATGCAGTAGATACCACAATATGATGAAGGGACAGGTGAAAGATGATACGGATTGATGCTAGAAGGTAATGATAGCAATTGTGTATTTGAAATGCAGTTGCAATATGATGGTTATGGTTATAATTAAGTTTAAGAAATAATAACCAAACTAGTCAATGACTTCAAGGGTTTAGTTAAATAAATATAATTCAAACAGAATGATGATATAAATATATATATATACAATTTTTCAAAAACAAAAAAATAAAAAATAAAATATGAGAGAATAAGTGAAAAAGGTTCCAAGAACATAAAAGATAATACTAGCTGCATAGTTCTAGGATTTAAGCTAGAGCTATTGTAATGCCTGCTTTTACAATTAATAATTTTTGCTAGTCCAGTTATCTTAGATACTCTAAGTTAACCACAGAGTTCTTTTTTTTTGTACTATACTTGATCATTTATTTTATTTTTTATTTTTTATTTTTTATTTTTTATTTTTATTTTTATTTTCTTTTGCTTGAAGCTTTTGTAAAAGCCGATCATCCGATTTTCCGGTAATATTTTTGACTTCCTCTACTAGATTATATCCGAAACCGATAAATCTTATGAATCCTGATTAAACAGGTTCTTGGTCTGTCAAAAATAATTCTCTCATTTGGCGAGTCTAAGACTAGACCATGCTATAACTTGTATACAAGTTGAATTTATCATTTATAAAAGAGTGTCATCGAAATCTATACGAAATTCTAAATGACAATACTACGTATAACAGTTATTGGTTGTGTCACTTAAATCTGTTACTAATTAATTATAAACAGAAAAGGATCTATTATAATGAAACTTCCATTAGTAATTGTCAAATAATATACTTATGCAGAAGTTTAGTAGCTGAAGTGTAACACTTTGTATTGTAAGATAACGATAATTAATAACAAATGCTTATTATATGCTTTTAATAAGAAAAAGGTTACGATAAAGCCGCAGGAAGGCTTCTCTTTCGGCCAAGGACTAGGAATTTGTACATATACGTAGAAACTTTGATTGGCGTACTTAATTCTCAGCAATCTAAGAAATGAAAAATGTTAACTAAATTCGTGAAAAACCTAACCAAATTTGGGGCTCTTTAAACGTTAGAAAATGTAGATAATATTGAATAACATTGTTAATAGTGGCTACGGCTCGGAATTTAGCTTTCCAGTCTCCCTTTTTTCGGTTGTAGTCAGGGGATCAGGTCCAATTTACTAGTGTATCTATGTCATCTGAAGTATCTATTCGTATAATGAGATTAGCCTCGAATTATTTTCAAAAATGTACGAAAGCTTACACGCAGTTACTTCTCCTCTTCTCATATTCTACACTTAATGGGCAACTTTTAGATAATATCATCTACAATGTTGTCAAAAATTGTTGTCAGTAAGGTTTTACTAAATTTAATAATCAATTACATTTTTTTTGTCGCAGCAGATTATATAATTCAGGGCAACTTTCCCACTAACAATGGAACAATGCTCTTCTAGTAAAACTTTACTTTATGTGACTCTCTTCGAAATTTCTTTGCTTCAGCTGTGGTGTTGGGGTGTTTTCTCTATGGGGTAATCATTCGTTGCTGCATATTTCAGTCTACGGCTACCTTTGCATTACATATTCTTTTAATATTCTCCTCATCGTTAAACTTTACGACTATAGAGTTGTGTCGATATATGCATCATGACTAAATTTATCCGTGAATGGGAAATTTGTGATCTCCAGTGATAACTTAGGAGGGGAATGTAAGATAATAATAGAGAAAAGAAAAAAAGAAAAGAAGTACGGAATCTTTACGAGTTATTTCGTTAAGCCCTTTTCCATACTTGGTCCATCGGTATTTTGTTCTTTAGCTCTTCCTTTCCGTATATTTTTGCGTCAACTTAGAATCGGGCCACTTGCTTCCTGGTTGTTGCTATTGTCAAACCACTTAACACGCTACATATGTTTGTTTCGGAGCAACATAAAGCCATGCGCTGGTTGATTTGTAGAGGTGAAAGCCGATTGAGAACAAAAATGAAACTTAAAATATTTCGGTAGTACCTTCTTGAAACTTAATTATTTTTCCTACTTCCGAGTATTTTGCTATTCAATTCACCTTTGTTGATTTTCCACCTCTATTACATCGGAATATCTAATCATACTATGCCGGTATCATCAACGTCAAACACTGTTCCTTATCTTCTACGAATTTTCTCTTTTCGTTTGTGCACAATTCATCTCTTTATGAGGTCTTCTCTTTAATCTTCTTTTAATTGGATAATATCAGTATGACATGTGTTTTGACCCTTGAATATGATTTCAAGTGTAGGGCCAGCCGCATCAAAAAAAATATGTATATATATTTTCTCGCTACCCCTTAATTCACAGAAACATTCATCTGAATTTACTAATGGGAAATGCCAAATTATATATATATACATATATGTAAGCATTTTATGATTAAATTATTTATATCGTCCCCAAGTTTTCATAATTGGTGAATGAAAGTTTTACTGCATCTTCTCAAAAGATCTGAAAATAATTATAGCTAAGGTTAAAAATGATACCTTTGAGAGAAACAAGACCTAAAACTATATTAATAAAGACATATTTAAAATATCTTCAAGAAATAGTAGTGGGCTTTGAATGTTGCAGCTTTTCAGTAGGGTTATGAACGATATTAACTCTGGTTGTGAAATTTCATTCAAAAATGGTAGCACCAGATCACGTGATTTATGGGTCACATGATCACTCACGTGGATAAAATTGGCACGTGAGCTGAGGCACACTATTTTTTTCAAGGGTGATGCGGTGGCTCAATGGTAGAGCTTTCGACTCCAGATCGAAGGGTTGCAGGTTCAATTCCTGTCCGTGTCAAGTCCTTTCTTTTTTAATTTTTTTATATTTAAAATACTTGTAATTATTTATTTAATGGGTTAAGTGAAGTAAAGTGTATTTGATCGGTACATTTTTTTAAAAAAATTGGTTTGATATTTTTTTTTTGATGATAATGCGCCAAAAAGAAAAAAGGTTGTAAAATATTTCAATGCACCAAAGTAGATAATAAACGGAATTGTAATTTGAATATGCATCAAGTTTAAGATGGCTAAAAAAGGAAAACCATCAAAAACGTCCACTCCTCCTCCAACAGCAGCAACTGAAAAGAATGGGAATGGAAAATCCAAGAAAAAAGATTTAGCATCAAATAATGAAACATCAGATTCAAAAGATGATCCAAAGAAACCTCAACGAGGATTAGTTATAGGGGAAAATTTTGGATGGACAGGTAAATTACCAGCAACATTATTATATGAATTTTGTCAAAAGGCCAAATGGGCCAAACCAGAATTTGAAATGCGAAAAGCAGGATCTAGTGGATTTAAATGTGTGGTTATACTTTCATGGGAGAATCCAAAGGATAAGAAATTAATTAAATTAAAATATATTCCAACTTATGATCATTGTAAGACTACAAATGAAGCCAGACATATGGCTGCAACATATACGTTATATCGTATTAACTTTATAAAAAATATGAAAATGTTATTACCTATAATATTCAGAGATTATTGGACTCAACTTGATCAAGATAGATCAATTATGCTTAAAGAAAATAAGACTAAACATGATTTAATATATAATGTTAATCCGTTTGTTGCACATCTTGAGCAAGTGGCATTAAATGAAAAGAAAGAAAAGGAACGACTTATTAAAGAACAGAATGAATTAAAGGTTAAGAAAGCTTCTATTAATATAACAACTGTAAGTAGTATCAATAATGATAAAAAGAAATCAGATAAATCAGTAAAGAATCAATTACTTCCCAAATCAAATCCTATTATGAATCCAAGTACAATAGTTACATTTCCAAAGAAAGTATGGGATAATGCTCCATTTATTGATTTTGCATCTGATATAAGAGGTATGATTGAATCATGTATTAAAAAGCATATCAATTGGATTCTTGATACATCACCATTAATTCCTTCAAGACAAGTAGAAAAAGATACTCAAACTCTTCTTAATTTAGGATTTAGAAAGCAACATATTGAAGAATCAATTAAATATACTTCTACTTTTACAGATTCTTTAGAATGGTTATTATTTCATATTCCTGAAGATGATTTACCAGCATTTTTCAGTAAGACTGATAAAGATTCTCAAGTCCAATTAAAATTATCTAAAGATTTACAATTAGAATATAAATTAAAAAGAATATTACAATCAGGTTTTGATGAAGATGAAGTTCTTTCAACATTAGAGGTAAATGAAGGTGATGAATTGGCTACTTGTATTAAATTAACTCAAAGTATAGTTCCATCATTACCTAAACCAGATATTGTTTCTGATTTTAATACTGAAGATTCCTTATTATTATGGGAACAAGAACTCGATGGTATTACAATGGTTGAATCCAATAAAGTTGAATATTTTTCAAACCAATCCAAAGATATTGTTACTATTACATTAAATCCAATTGGATTAAAAATCTCTAAGGATAAACAAAGTCTTTTAAGTGTGAAACTTTTCAAAAGTATGTATTATCCTCATGAATTACCTGGTATACAAATAATAGTTAATGATTCATCATTTAAATTAGCAAATTATATTAAACTTTCAATTTTAAATCAATTAATTCATGATATTATTAATAAAAATTGGTTAGGTGATTGCTTAATATTCAATATAATTGAATGGTTAGAACAGAATATTTCTAGGATTATTGATAATCCTGGTCCATTGATAGATGAGTATGAATATGAATTGGCTGATAATACCAATTCTGAATCTTCAATAGCTACAGAATCATCTAATCTAAAGAAGCATAATAGAAAGGTATCTTCTAATAGAAGAGCAGTATTATCAGAAAAGGATTTGAGTGCTATTGAAGCGAATCACCTCAAAAAGCAAGATACAAACGATTTAAAGAAATCATGGGAACAAAGAAGTCAATTACCAGCTTGGAAATCAAAGGAAGAATTAATATCTATGATAAATTCTAATAAAGTTACCATAGTAACTGGAGAGACTGGGTCAGGAAAATCTACCCAAATTGTTCAATTTATATTGGATGATTTAAATTCTAAGGGGAATTTTAAAGCAAAAATACTTTGTACTCAACCCAGACGTATTTCTACTATTGGTTTAGCAGAAAGAATTTCTGATGAAAGATTAGATAAAGTTGGAAGGGAAACTGGATACATTATTAGAGGGGAGAATAAAACTGATAAACTCACTAGAATTTCATTTGTTACTACTGGGGTTTTATTAAGAATGTTACAATCTTTTTTAGGTCAAGGTTCATCTTCAAATTCTGTTTTTGATAATTTAGATTATATTTTTATTGATGAAGTTCATGAAAGATCAGTTGATAGTGATTTCTTATTAATTATATTAAAAAGAGTTATGAATAAATTTCCTAATTTAAAAATTATCTTAATGTCAGCAACAGTTAATATTGAAACTTTTAATAACTTTTTTGGTTTCAAACTAAATCATATTCATATTAAGGGTAGAACTTTCCCAATAAAGGATTATTATTTGGAAGAAATTTTAGAAGATTTAGATTTCTCAATTACTTCATATGATGGAGATATAATAAAACCTAAAGCAGATTCTCATTTCTTCAAAACAGGTAATATTAATTATAATTTAATTGCTCAATTATGTTTAAAAATTGATAAAAAGCTTATGGATGAAAAGAATGATGGATCTATTTTAATTTTCTTACCTGGTATATTAGAAATCTCTCATTGTATTCAAAATTTAAGACAAATCTTTGATGAAAATAATAGTAAGGGACGATTTTTCCCATTACATTCAGCTTTATCTTCACAAGATCAAAAGTCTGTATTTAAATTTGTTCCCAAGGGTACGAGAAAGATTGTTGTATCAACAAATGTTGCTGAAACTTCTATTACTATTCCAGATTGTGTAGTAGTTATAGATTGTGGAAGATCAAAGAGTGTATTCTTTGATGCTCAATTAAATACTACTAAATTAGTTGAAAATTGGTGTTCAAAAGCGGAAATTAATCAAAGAAGAGGTAGATCTGGTCGTATAACTAATGGTAATTGTTATCATTTATATACAAAAGAAGTTGAACAAACTTTATTAAGTCAACCAATTCCCGAAATTAAAAGAACAAGACTTGAAAATTTATATCTTATTGTTAAGGCCATGGGAATAAATAATGTTGAAGATTTCTTAAATGGAGGTATTGATGCTCCTGAACAATCATCATTAATTAAATCAAAGAAATTTTTACATGATATTGGTGCCTTAGATAATACTGATAATTTATCTAATCTTGGGAAATATCTTTCTCTCTTACCAACTGATCTTCAAAGTGGGAAATTGTTAATTTTAGGATGTATATTTGGATGTTTAGATTTTTGTTTAACATTAGCATCTTTAAGTTCTACCGGTAGTCCATTTCTTGATAATAGAGATGAAAGAGATAAAATTAAAAAGATTAGAAATAATTTCTCCAATAATAATGGTGATTTTATTGCTCAAGCTAATGCATATCATGAATTTGAAAAATTAAGAAAGTCAAGACAGAATACTCGTTCTTTTATTTCATCAAATTATTTATCTTATAATACATTAAATGATATTTCATCTACGAGAAGTCAATATATTTCATTTTTGAAAGATATGGGATTTATACCTATAGATTATGAATCTAATCAAGATTTACTGAAAAAATCATATTTAAATAGAAATCTGAATAATTTTTCTATTATAAGATCTATAATTACAGGATCTTATTATCCACAAATTGCTCGTGTTCAATTACCTGATCCAAAATTTTTTAAATCATCAGTTGGATCAGTAGCAATTGATCCAGAAGCCAAACAAACCAAATTTTGGATTCGAAATGAAGCATTCATTGAAAAGATTGATCAAAACCAATCAGTTGGAGAATTATTACCAGCTACTAGATCATTATTATTCTCTAATTCTGTTGTTTTTGATAATTATTCTCCAGATAATGAAGCTTCACAAAGATTATTACAAGAAGTAATTGATGAAGAAGGGAATATTGATTCCAATAAATATCGAGAATTAATTGATTTAACTCCTAAGGCTCCTAAATCTTCTAATCAAGTACTTAAATCTTCATTTATTGTATATGGAAGATCACAAAAGACAACTTCAATGTATATTGGAGATATTACTCCATCGGGAACTCTTTCAATATTGTTATTTGGAGGTGATATAGATTATAATTTAGGTTATCATATTGAAAAAGGTCGAACTTCACCAGGAATTGTTATGGATAATTGGTTACCAATTAGAACATGGTGTAAAAATGCCGTATTAATGAAAAGATTAAGAAAATTAATGGATGCTATTATAGAAGATAAACTTAGTAATCCTCATTATACAACTTCAGCTTATACTAATTCTAATGATGATATCTTATCCATGATTGAAACGTTAGTGAGCACGTGATATTGCAACAATTAAAAAATTTTAGCAGCATTTTGTATTTTTTGTTTTGGTTTGTCGCTTATCGCGATTATAAAAAAAAATATTATGGCTTACAAATATCTCCTCGGAGATGTACAATTTATTACCGTACATTCTATTATTTAATTTATAGATATTACTTAGCATATTTCTTAGCATTTACATATATGTATTTATAGACATTACAGCATAGTTACATAATAAAATTTTCAATCAAGAATTCTTAGTGTTACTCATACATAGACAAAACTCCGAAATCAAAGTCCGAACTGTGGCACACTACCGTTCAAGAAAAACTATACATATATACAACTAGAAGATGACGTCAGATATAGATGAAGATATTCAACCTATAAATGGACCTGAAAAGGGTCAAAATATAATCAATGAAGATACAGAGTTATTACTTCCTAAGAAAAGTAATGCTTCAACTGTTAAAACTCATGAAAGTTATGGTGCATATGAAGAAATAACATCTTCAAATGATGAACCCGATGATTTAGAACCGGATGTTTTACAATTACCAAAAGTAATTAGAGAAATTGTTCCATTACATGATGATCCCACAATACCTGTATTAACATTTCGATATTTTTTATTATCAACATTATTTATAATACCGGGAGCATTTATTGATACTATGAATTCATATCGTACAACATCAGCAGCTTATTCAATATTCTTTGTACAAATTGCAGGTCATTGGGCTGGTAAAAGACTTGCTAGAATTCTTCCACAAAAGAATATTAATATCTTAGGATTAAAATTTAATTTAAATCCTGGTCCATGGTCAATTAAAGAAGCTGCCATGGTAACTATTACAGCCAATAGTGGTGCTACAGGAAATTTAGCTACTAATGCTATTTCATTAGCTGAATTACATTTTAATGAAACTGTACCTGTTTGGGTAGCTTTAGGATTTATGTGGTCAATTGTATTTGTAGGATATTCATATGCAGCTATAGCTAAGGGTTCATTATTATATGATATAAATTTAACTTGGCCTCAAGCATTAATGCAAACAACATTACTTCAATCTCAAGAAAAATCAGATGAAGATTCTCAAGAAGGAACTAAACAAATGAGAGTATTCTTTTTAGTAATTGGTGCTATTGCTATTTGGCAATTATTTCCTGAATTCATTTTCCCATTAACATCATCTTTAGCTATATTATGTTGGATAGCTCCATATAATCCAACTATTAATTTTATTGGTTCAGGTCTTGGAGGTATGGGAGTATTAAATTTTTCTTTAGATTGGGCTAATATAACATCTTCAATAATGCTTTATCCTTATTGGATTCAAGTGATTCAATTTGTTGCATTTGTATTAGGAGCTTGGATATTAATTCCATTAGTTAAATGGGGTGATTTAGGGTCATTTAAAGGAGGATTAATGTCTAATAAACTATTTTTAAGTGATGGAACTCTTTATCCTGTTAATGAATTACTTACTCCTGAATTAACTTTAAATATTACCGCCTATGAACATTATGGTCCTGTTCATCTTGGTGCACAAAGAGCTTGGAATATGTTTTTTGATTATGCTGCCTATGTAAGTGGAATAACTTGGGTTGTTTTATTTGGATATGATAAATTTAAAACTGCTTTTAATAATTTTAGAAATAAAAGTCAAATTAATAATGGAGAATTTACTGATAGATTAAATAAATTATATCGGAATTATCCTGAAGTTCCTAACCTGTGGTATTTAATATTATTTTTAATTTCATTTATTACATTAATGACAATTTTCCTTTCTGGTAATTTATTTATGCCATGGTGGTGTGGTATAATTGGATTAATTATGGGATCTATTATTGTTACTCCATTAGCCTGGTTATATGCATTATCAAATTTTCAATTAGCTATTGGAACATTTAATGAATTAGTTTATGGATATATGATGCAAAATGTTAATCGAAAACATCCAGCTGGAGCTTTAGTATTTGGATCTATAGCAGGAAATGCTTGGTATAGAGCTCAATATCATCTTGAATCAATGAGACTTGGATTTTATAATCATTTACCTCCAAGGGCCGTATTCTTTTCTCAATTATATGGAGAATTAATTGGAGTACCAATTAATTATCTTGCCTTAAGATGGGTTTTATCTACTAAACGAGAATTTCTTAATGGTAATAAAATTGATCCATTACATCAATGGACTGGTCAAACAATTACTACTTCTCATACTAATGCTATACAATATGTTGTTTTAGGTCCAAGTCGATTATTTGAGAATTATCCTTTATTACCTTATGGATTTGGATTAGGATTAATTACTCCAATTATATTATTTAAATTACATCAAAGATATCCTCAATTTAATTTTAATTTATGGAATACTACAGTATTTTTTTCAAGTATGAGTAGATTTTATGGGAATATTTCTACTGGTTATTTATCAAGATTTGTTGGTGGTACAATTACTATGTTTTGGGCATTTAAATATAAACATTCATTATGGAAAAAGTATAATTATATATTAGCTGCAGCATTTGATACCGGTTATAATTTGGCAATTTTAATAATTTTTATTGCATTTTCAGTATTGACTAATACTACTATGCCTAATTGGTGGGGGAATAATCAACAAAGCATTGAAAGATGTTTTGCTTTATAGACTATAGACTATAGATAGAAATAAATAGAGCTTGTTGTAAGATACATATTATATAGTTAATTAATTGCACTATCTTTAAGAAATTTAACAATGATATTGGTTCTTCTAGATAATGTATTCATTTGCACAGAGAAGAGTATTACTATTGTCGTGCCCCTACACAAGATAACATACAAAAGAGATATACATGTCTACTGTGTATATGTTTTCCCTTAACTATGATAAATATTAGTGAGGGCTGATTTTCTGTTTGCTTTAAAAGTGAGAGTGACGGTGTATGCAGTCCACAACAAAAACAAATACTCGCAATAAAATTCATAGTGAATAATTCCTTACTATACAATTCCATAAAGTATTAATTCACTAAAGTATACAGATGAGTAGTGAGGCACCGAGTAATTCTAGTAGTAAAGAGGGGACTCCCATCTTAGGAGCGGGTCAAAGATCCATTGCAACCATTCAACCTCATGAAATTAAATTATTAGCTCAAAAGATGTCTAATGAATATAGTTTAGCTAAAGCAGCTGGACTTGAAAGTGAAAAGGGGAAACAACATATGCAAAAAGTTAATGCAATTAAGAATGTATTAGTAAAATATAAAGAAAGTCAAGGTAAAGATAAAGATAAACCTTCTGATTCTACCAATAGTAATACTGGATCCCCAATATCAATAAATACTCCATCAACTCCTTTAATTCCAACAGGTTCAATTGATACTCCATCAGAATTATCAAGTCGACCTCAAAGTGTTGAACCAACAAACGCAAATGCAAATGCAAATGCTCCCGCTGTATCTATTGAAACTTATAATCAAGTTAAAACTAGAATTCAAGATATGGTTAAAAGAATAAAAGTTCTTGAAGATATTAAGGGAAAAGAATCTGATAATACTAAAATTGATGAACATAATAATGAAATTAATAATCTTAAAGGTCAAATTCTAAGACATCAGAAAGCTCTAAACTATTTCAAATCACAACTTCAATTAACTGAACCAGAAGATGCTCCAACTCCTACTTCTCTGCAATCACCATTAAAAACACAACCACAAGTACAAGCACAAGCACAAGCACAAACACAAGCACAAGCACAAGCACAGGTACCACCAAAAGCACCAACACAACCCCAAACTCAAACTCAAAGTCAAACTCAATCCAATGCAAAGAATCAAGTATCCATTCCAAAGAATATCAGTACACCTTCAAACAATTCAATTAATCATGCACCAGTTCCAACTCGTCCATCAAATATAGTAGGTACAAGTTCTGAAGTAAATCTACCGGGAATGGCTACTAGACCAATTACTAGTACAACTAATCTTCATGATTTTGCTGCTAATGCTGCTAGAAATGCTGCTGCTAGAAATCCTATTTTCAATAGACCTGGCCTTGCTGGTAGTTCAAATCATGATGTAGGATTTACTAGTATGCCATCAATTAATAGATTTGATCATGGACCAGGACAATTCAATCAAAATGTAGTTATACCAGATAATGGAGGTAGAGTATTAACTAAAAGAAGATTAACTGAATTAATTAATACTATTGGAATTGAAGAAGGTGATGAAAAGACAACTATTGATAATGATGCAGAAGATATACTTTTAGATTTAGCTGATGAATTTGTATCATCAGTTACTGGATTTGCATGTAAATTAGCTAAACATAGGAAAGTTGATAAATTAGATATTCGAGATTTTCAATTACATTTAGAAAGAAATTGGGGAGTTAGAGTTCCAGGTTATGCATATGATGAAATTAAAGCTGTTAAAAGATGGTCGACCAATCCTGAATATAAAGAGAATTTAAATCAAATTGAAAAGGCCAAGAATGAAAATGGTACTAGTAAATAAATAGCTACTTTGTATTATATTAATATTACATAATTACTTAATTAATTAATTATTAATTAATTCTTTAATTTGTAAAACCCTCCCAGTAATTCTAATTTCCCTTGTTCAACTAACCAATCCAAGTACTCTTCAAAATCATTGATTATTAATGATCGAACATCATATAGTTCAATGGGAACTCGAAGCTTTAATAATGTTAATATCTTTTCTGAACTTAACATAGTAATATTTTCTAAAAGGGTTTGAATATTGGGCCAAAGTATATTTAATGGAGGAATAGTTAAAGATGATTTAGGTTCTATATCGGAGGTAACACTACCTATTTCTAATCCTTCAATAGATACTTCTGCTTCTTCATTATCTCCATAATTATTATTATTATTATTATCATCATTATCATCATTAACTATATAAAGAGATTTAGTAACTTGTAATAATACCCCTTCCTTAACCCAAAAACTTAATCCATCAGATACCATATATGGAGTCATACCTAAAGTTTCACTAATATATTCTGCTGATAATTCTTCATGTTGATCATTAAATAATGATATAATTGATGCTTTATCCGGTGATACATTAAATGATTTAATTTTATTATTATTAAATTCAAGTTGTAATTTAACTGATCCTAAACTTGGTAAAAATTTTAAACTTCTACCAGATTTATAATTTGAAAATTGTTTAGAAAATTGAGTAAATATTTCTTCAATATTATTTGGTACTTTAAATAAATCACCATCTTCTGAAATATTTTCAATAATGGTTGGCCAATATAAATGTGATAATATTGATGTATGAAAATTTTCTGAAACATTATTAATATTTGATTTAATAATTTCATTAATTAATTTACTTTCTTTTATATCTTTAATCATAATATCTAATGAAGTAAATTCATTATTACCAAATTTTAATTTTAATAAATTAAGATGTTGTTCAATATTTTTAACATCATAATTATGAATTTTAATTAATTTTTCTCCAAATAATTTTGTAAATTGACTAATAAATATTTCATTTGAATCAAATATTGATATTAATGATTCAATTATATCAGTTACTTTAGCCTTTTTAAAATCAGGTAATGCATCAATTGGATCAGGTAACCAATTTAAATCTAATCCATCATCAATATTAATTTGTTGTTGCTTTTCTAAATTATCAATTTTTCTTAATTCTTGAGATAATTCAATTAATTCACTTTTATCATCTTCTTCTAATAATCCTTCAACAATTTTAATAATTATATCTTCTCTTGTTTTTAAATAAGTTCTAATTGGTCTGGCAACTTTATCTAAAAGTACACCCTTTGGATCAATAATTAAAAATGATTTTATTGTATTAATATAAGTAATAATTACATCAATAGTATTTGCACCTGAATGTAAAATCTTTTCATGACTTAATTTAATAAAATTATCAACTAATTTAGTTCTTTGATAAGATTGAGATTTTAATGAAAAATTAACTAAATATGAAAAACTTGATAAATTTGATACATCATTAATTAAATTGGTTGATGAATTATTTGAATCTTCAAAATTAATTTGTTGATTATAATTATTATGATTAAATTTTATCAGAAAACATTGATATAATTCATATAAAGCTTGAGAACTATGAGGATAATTTAAAATTATATCATAAATTTCTTTTATTCTTAAAGAAACTAATTCATCATGAGCAATTTTTATAAGATCATAAAGATAAATATTTAAATCAATATTTCCTTCACTTGAATATTTTAATCCTATTAAAAAATTTGGATATATTTTATTTTGAATATATTGATTTATTACTTCTAATAAATATCGATTCCATACTTTTGAACAATGATTAGTTATAAACCATTTAATCTTTTGTATAGATAATTTAATCATAATATGATTGGCTTCATTAATTAAATTAATTGAACTTAATGTATGCATAATTTCATTAACTGATATAATTCGATTGGAATTGGTGGTGCTTGAATTTGAATTTGAATTTGAATTTAAATTATATAAGGAATTATCTAAATAATTCATTAATGAATTTAAAAATTGACTTTGATTATTGTTAATTAAATTCTCATAGAATAATGAATTAAGATTTCTTGTAAATATATCCTTACATAAAGGTGAAATATTAAGATATTGTAAATAGAATATATAATAACTATGAATAATTTTAATTATTTGAAAATAATCTAAGAAATTCATGGTTGAATTATTTAATTCATTAAAGAATTGATTAAATTGAATAGTAATGGAATTATTATATAATCGTATAAATTCGATTTGATTTGAATCATCTTTTAAACAACTTCGTATGGCTGCTTTAACTCTTTGAGATGGTTCAATTATATCATTATTTGGTTTAGTAATTGTACTTGTACTTGTACTTGTAACTGGAATTGTATTACTAGTTAATGATGGAGGAAAGTAAGGTTGCATCCAATTCAATAGATAACCTATATCATTATCTATATCAGAAGAGTTACTAGATAGATCTCCAAGTGTAGGACATGGAATTATCCAGTCAATTATATCCTTAGACAATGGTATAGAAGTCATCCAATTGAATACTATTAAGGTCTCACACTTTCATAGTCTCTGTCTCACTCACTAATAGTAAACAAACAAACATACTGCTAACTGCATCTGGTACTGTACTGAGCCGCATGGTTTTTCTTGCCCTAATAAATATATTTTCAGTAGCTAACAGTTTATCAGTAGTAATATATTAGTTCTCATAATATTATACATTTACATTTACATATACATATACATAGATGGTAAGTATATTAAATAACTGATAATATAAAGATATGAATACTAACTAATATCTTAGCCTCGAATTTCTAAACAGGCTCAACTTCAACAACAATTTGTTGATACTACTCAAAGTACCCTTCTAATAGCAGAAACTTATTTAAAGAAATTTCATAATAATATAGATGAAGCAGTTGAACAATATTATAAAGATTCAGAAAAGGATTCAGAATATGATATACTGAAATTTGATAAAAAATTACTTAAATTATATCAAATTTATCAAGATCCATCTGATTATGGAAAGATTAATATTGAAGGTACAATGAAATATTTACAAGATTTAGGAATTGAACCAGAAGATTTAGAAAGTTTAACATTAGCTTATTTACTTGATAGTAATAAAATTGGAATTTTTGAACAAGTTAATTTTTTAAAATTTTGGAGTCATTATAAAATTAATGATATTAAGAAAATGTATTCATTTATTAAGAAAATTCATCAACAAATTATTAATCAAGATATAACTAAAGTATGGTTAATTAAAAAAAATGAAGAAGAAGAAATAAATTTTAAAGATGTTTATGAATATACTTTTTCTGGATTATTAGAAGGAGATAATCAAAATAAACTTGATTATGAATTAAGTATTGATTATTGGAAATTATTAATTCCAGTATTAATTAATAAACATAATCAAAAATTTAATAAATCAATTAAAGATCAAATTAATATTAGATTAAATCAATGGTATGAATTCTTAGAAAATGATTATAAACAAAGTATATCTCGTGATAAATGGAATATGTTTTATCTTTTCGTTCAAGATATAATTATACCTGATCCAATAAATTTACTGGAATATGATGAAATGGCTGCTTGGCCAACTATTATGGATGAATATATTCTTTATTTACGAGATAATGAATTACTTAAATAATAATAGGTGTATATATATATATATTCATATTCATTAAATAGGTTTATATATTAATTATCATTATTAAGAATAAATCAAGATTATCTAATCTTGTTATAAAAGAATTAAACTAGTATAGTATATAATAAAGCAGTAATGATAAAAATTATTATGTCTCACAAGAATTGAAATAGTAATCCACTAAATATTCTAATTTAATAAACTGTCAATACTTGACTTTCTTAAGGCCAATAATGTCTTGGATGCATCTTGGTCACTTAATCTTTCATCAATTTCATCAATATCCTTCTCATCTTCATCTTCATCATTACCATTTCTATTTCCATTCCCATTAAAGATTACAGCATTAGGAATCTTTGATTTAAAAAATTTCTTCTTTGGTAATTCAGAAAGTTGTGAATTAGGATTTATTGCCGGATCAGGTAAACTAAATTTATTAGAATTTGAATTATTTGAATTATTTGAAAGACTACTTCTTTGAAATCTCATTGGTGGTGAAGAAGATGAAGCTTTAGTTAATGGAATTGATGAAAAACTTGATTTTAATGGATGAGAAAATGGTGAAGCATTAGCTGAATTAATTGCAAGAGTATTTGGACTACCTGGATAAGAACTTTTCCTAATATTTGAAGATCCATTATTTGAAGTTCCTGAATATTTATTTAATAAAGTAAGTATAGGTGCCATATTTGGAGTAATATCAGGTGAAGGTAATTGATCTTTACTAATTGTTGAATAATTATCTTCATCATCTTCATCTTCATTACCATTTTGATTATCATCTTCACCTTCATTTTCATCTTCTTCTTTAATTACATGAGTTCTAAAATCATAATTTCTTTTGGTAGTATTATTACTTGTAGGTGATATAGTTGTACCATTTTCATAATCAGTTAATAAATCTTTAAAACTAAAATCTTTATCAATATTTCTATATTGATTAACATTAAGAGGAATTTTAGCAAAATCAATACTAAAATTTTTATAATTTTCAAGAACACTATTATTACCATTTGTTTCAATATTTTCATTAGTAGCATTAATTAATAATTCATGTTGTTTTTGTATTATATGATGAAGATATAAAATATATTCAACTGATGATTTTAATATGGTTAATTTATACATTCCATCAATTTTATTACCATTATTATTATTATTATTATTATTATTTGAAGGTGGAGGAGTCTTTTTTGAATTAATTGCAGTTATATTAGGAGTTGAAGGATTACTTGAACTACCAGTCGAAGTTCTACAAGCCGGTATTAAATATTTTAAAGCTTCAAATTCTCGATTAATTTTTATTCTTCTTCTTTTTTCAATTATTGAATGTAATTGTTTAGTTTCATGTTTTCTTTTAGCTAATTCTTCAGAATCAATATTTGCTGATGATCTTCTTCTCTTCTTTTTATTAGGTACTGCACCAAGAGATGGAGATGTTGCAGTTGTAGATATTATATCAAGACCATTATTTGGAGATACAATATCTCCAACATCTCTTGGAGTAGTTGAATCAGATTTATTATTTGAACCATTAAGATATTCATTAGTTAAAATTTCATAATTATTATCATCTGAATCTAATTCTTTATTCAATTGAATTATAGTGGTTTTTAAAACTGGAGGATTGGGGAGAGAAACCATTATGAAATCAGAAATAAATGAATTCTATAGGGCTAGTAGTACTATCAGTATTTGACTGCAAAGATAAATTTTTGTTTTGTGAGCAAAAGGTATTATTTTTTTCTGTGATGAATAGTATATGATGGAGATAGTCTTTAACTACTTATGAAGTTTTTAAATGGTTAAATGGTAAAAGTAAATTAGATCAATTCAAGTAAACAAAAATAACTTGAGTTCACATTTAAGAATCTTGTGGTGTCTATATATTTTCAGCCCATAAAATTGGTTATTGAATATTGATTGATGGATGACAGATACTGAGACCCACGTTTAATTTTCGGTATATTTTTTTATTTTTATTTTTATTTTAATTTTTTTTTTTTTGCTTTTGCTTTTTACTTTTATAGCCCTTTTTAGTTTCCTGTTCTAAGTTCTCTGATTGATTGATTGATCGATGATTGCTTACTTGCTTGCTTGTTTACTGGCTTATAACTCGAGAGCTATTTGGTGAAGTATAAGCGTAAGTATAATTGTAATTCGGACAGTGGATCCAGTCAATTCTAGAGGTAAGTAACAAAAAAAAAAATGCATGGGGATATTGAGGGAGGGAACTGGCTAAAACATGTGGGATAAGCTTTCTATAATTACCAGTCACACGAGGTTAAATTGGGCTAAATAATAAAATTCGTTTCAAACCGGTTTCACACAAGACAATAACCCAAATAGTAACATTTTTACGCCTGGGCGTTCTCTTGTAGTCGTACTTGCATTCTATTCTAGGCACAGTTTTTTTTAACTTCTACCCCCCACGTGCTGATGGAACTGGGATCAATCTTGTGCCAACTTATTTTTCGCATTTTGCTTACCGTGGTCGTGTCCCCATCCTCATTGATTTCGTCCCCTTATCAAATGAAGACCCCGTGCATTAAGTTACTTACCGGTATGATTGACTTAAATCCTAGGCCATGTGTGATTATCACATTTACCATAATCATGGTCTTTATACAATGTGATAATCGTCAATTAAGAAATCTTTGTTATCCAATTGAATACAACTGCAATAGAATCAAATAATGCCATTAATATTACCATTACCTTCATTTTGGTAGGTATTCTTTAATAAATATAGAATTGTATGAACTATCTAACTATCTAACTATCTTACCATTAAATACCATTAACTTATCAGTAAATTATATTCACTATTTATTAAATTATGTATAATTACCATATACTTAACTAAATATCCAGGATCACACGACCCTTACCTTAGTCTATATCCGGCACATAGTCTTATTTTTCGCAGCCTTTCTCTGTGCGTGCACCCTTTAATTTTCTTCGTACCAGGAGGTTCAGCGTGTATACTTTTACTAATAACATTTTAACAACCTAATCAATCTAATATTGACCCATAACAATCTCCTCACACCCGATTGTCTACCTGAAATTAACTCCTTAACTTCTCTATTGCCGATTGATCATGCCATACAAAAAGAAATCAAATCGTAACCAATTGCAACCTCCAAAATCACCACCATCACCATCTCAAGATCAAACAATCCATCAACCTCTGTTCATTCTGGAAACAGGAGAATTAAAGATTTTGAAACCAGCTCCACCTCCTCGTGTTAATGCATGGAACTCAAATACTTTGATTTCATTAATTAATGCCCCATCCATTCCAAGTTCTTCATTACCAAATGATCAGAATATGCCTAGATCTGATAACTACAGTAGTCCAGAGAATGAATCTCAATTACCTACCCATCAAAAGCATTACAATCATCACCGCAATCAGAAGTATTCTAAATATTCTAAACCTAATTCTAGAAAAGATGAAATTATTGAAGTCATTTCATCATCTTCAAATGCTGTCACGGAATCGAAATCTAAATCAGTAATGGTTGAAGAAAAAGTAGAAGTAGAAACAACACCTATAGTTTCATTAACTTTATCCACAACTGAAGTTAAAAATGAACCTGAAAAAGAATCAATAGATAATCAACCACCACCTGTTTCTACCAAATCCATTACTAAACCTTACTCGAAAAAGTCTAAATCTGCTCAGTTATATGTTCCTGTCGGTAAGAATGTAACTATTAGAAAGCCACTGTTTCCTAAACCAAAGGTTATTGAAGATTTAAAATCTACACATTCTCATCAACCAGATACAAATAAGCCAGATCCAATTCAAAATAATAACACTAAAATATCTTCTAATAAAAAATCTCCTGTCAGCAAGAATGAAAAAATGAGTCAATTCTCTCCAATAAAGGAAAATAAACAACAAAAGAAGGTTAAAGAACCCATTTCTCCAATTATCCAATCTCTATCTCTTGCTGAACCTTCATATCCCTATAGTTCCCCTTCAACTCCTCTTGTATCATCTACAAAAGATGATCAAGATGAATCTCCATTATATTTTACTCCTAAACAAAACCCCATACAATTAGAATGTATTCCAAGTCCAGAACAACCACCTCAAACATCAATGCCACTTTCATCTCCATTTCCTCTTCCATGCCCTCCTAATCCTTCTCATATTTTAGTAAATCCTTTCATATTTCCTCAACCACCTTTTGGATCATTACCAATGCCAATGCAATTTCCACTTCAAACAATCAATCCAACTGAAGATAACTATCCTAATTTTGATCCTTCTTCCTCTCTTTCTCCAACTCTTCCATCACATTTCAATCCTTCTACACCAGTACAGTCAAGTTCACAATCTGAACTGGTAACACCAGATCTTTTATCTCCATTAAATAGTCCAATTGTATCTCCTCCACCTTTAACATTCACATTTTCTACTTTAATTTCTAAGAATAATCTTAATCAACCACAACCAATTGTTTATGCTCCACCATTCTTTACCATATACCCAATTCCATTTCCCAATAATCAAGTTGATTTTGTAACTCAAAATCCTTTAGCATTGAATTCACATCCAAATCTGGATAATTTCCAAGCGTATGAGGAATTTGAAAAGAATAAGGTTGATAAGGAAATTATTGAAAAGATTACAAAGCAACTTGCTTATTACTTTTCTACTGAAAATCTTTGTAAAGATCTCTTTCTTAGACGGTTATTTAATAACAAGAATGGAGGGGTTGAATTAAAAAGATTAATTAAATTTAATAAAATTAAGTATTTAACTAATAATGGAAAAGATATTAATTTATTAAGAAAAGTTATTAGAGAAAATTTACCTCAATTAGAATTAATTGATTCTGAATCTGCTGTTAGAATTATCGATTATGAGAAATGGTTAATTCCTCCTAAAGTCCAGTAAACAAAACTATAACTATAACTATAATTATAACTATTTAGTTGAAGAAGAATTCCCATATTTATCAATTAATGATTGCTTCTTTGCTAATAAAATTTTCTTCTCATCTTCTTTCTTTTGCTTTGCTTTAAGCATCATTAAAGTAGGACTAGCTTCAAGACTATAGTCTAAATTTGTTTCAGATACATCATCAATTTGATCATTATCTGTATTTGAATTTGAACCAGATAATTTATTAATTAATTGATTTGTTTGCTTTTCCTTTAGATCATTTTGATCAATTTCCCAAGCAAATTTTTGAAGATTGACTAAATCTTTTCCTTCTCCACTTAATTTCTTAACAAATTGATGTTTATCATTTAAGAAACCTTTTTCTAAATTTTTGCTTAATCGAGATTTAGGATCATAATCAACTCTTATTTTATTATCGGGATGAGTAGTTATATTATATATATATGATGGAATATCTTGTCTATCTCGTATCATCTTTTCTGATACATCTTGTTTGCTATTGATTTGAATATCTTTACGATCTAATCCCAATTCAAATAACTCTAATTCATAATCTGTATCATCAGATTCATCATCTTTAGTTTGAGTTTGAGTTTGATTACGTTTAGATTTTTGTTTAATTTTATCCCAATTCTCATATACTTTATCCCATTCCTTACTATTATATCCATACCATCTATCACGCTTACTATCATATATATTTTTATCATTATCATTATTATTAATTTGGGTTAAAGATGATTTATCTTTATTATTATTATTATTATTATCATCATCATATTCATCAATCTTTTTAATGTATGCATTATCCTTTACAATGAATTCATCATGAATACCATTCCCCGAAGTCGGTATACTGTAATCAACAATGACTTCTTTTCTTTTCCTTTGATGTGATAAGTAATCTTCTTTTACTTCATTGTTAGTATCATTGTTATCATCATCAGTATCATTAGCTTTCAGATGATCTTGTCCTTTTCCTTGTCCTTCCTGTTGATACCATGGTCTTTCAACTATATATTTCGGTATATAGGGATTGATCTCTCCTGGCTTTAAGTCAGACCTATGTCTTGGCTTAGGCTTTTCTGTATCTTTTGAACTCATGGTTTACACATATAAGAGTAAATATTTTAGTTTATTGTGTTAGTGAAAAATTGCGATTGATATCCCACACATTTTTTCAAGTTAATGCAATTTATTAATATACAAATATACAAGATTAAAGTTAAGGTCTATATTACTAAATTATAGTGTATTCTATATATGATGAGTTAGCTTAAAAACCCTTCCATTCATCTTCATCTTCTTCATCATCATCATTTTCTCCTCGTTTTCCTTCTTCTTCATTGTCTTCATCTTCATCTTCATCATCTTCATCTTCATCATCTTCATCTTCTACTACACCCCAAGTTATTAATCTTTCATCATCTAATACATCTTCCTTACATTTTTCTCTTAATGTCTTTAATGCAGCCTCTTTATTTAATCTTGCAAATGGTGAAATTAAATCTTTAATTGGTATATTAGAGCATATATCAATTTTAGTTTTAATTAATGCTTGATATTTTTCAAGATAATCTTTATCATCCTTATTTAATTCTTCTTCTTGTAAATCTTCAAATATAACTAATTCTAATTCTTCAATAAAAATATCACATAAATGATATGGTAATGCCATAGGAATTGATTTATCACCACTTAATATTCCTTCATTTAAAACTAAAAGCCAACCTTGTATAAGTTTATTATCCCAATTTTGAGATTTTAAATATTTAAAATTATGTCTTAAAACTCTTCTAATTAATAAATAATATTTATCAATTCTCCATTGATCAATACTTGGCCATTGTAAAATCATTATTTGAAAGAATGCTTTAACAAAAAGATTAAAATTACTATGATCATTAATATTTTCTGAATATAATTTCCCAAGACTTTCACTAAGTCTTTCTTGAGCTGGTGCTCTATCACAATACCACATAGAGAAATATAATCCTTTCCATAATTTTTCATAATCTAATAATGATATTTTATTATGTTTACTAGTAGATTTTGATGCTAAATATCTTCTTAATGATTCTAATGCTCCATCTCTGGTTTTCTTGTCGTTGGATGCTAATTTCCTCACAAAAGCAGAGGATGCTGTGGCCGATGACATAATGTTATATCTGCTTTTATATGTTATAAATGGTACCTTTTACAATTTTTAATGTTAATTAAATCCATCTACATAGTGAAAAAAAAAAATTATTGAAAAGCGAAGATCATTGAAAAATCATGTGACCACACACGTGACAAAACATTCCCGATTAGGAATTTAACCATTAATTTTCAACTACTAATAGTCCAAGTACTGCTACTACTACAACTACAATTAAAGCTAGTAGATTAAACGTTCGAATTTGTATTATTATAAATAATAGCTACAGTTAAAAAAAAGTACATGACATAAGCATAGAAATGAACCATTATTGGATGAATTAGATACACGATGTCCCTTCCTGACAACAGACAGAATGGACAAAAATTTGCTTGTATTGACCATTGAAATGGAAAAGATTTGATTTATTATATTATGTTTTATATGAAGTTACCTGAACAGAAGGATTATAATGTAATATTAAGGAAATTTTCTCAAACATGTTTAAACAATCAAGTATCTGATTGGGATATGAACTAACTTAACAGCATAACCAACAACACCCATCATAATAAAACCAACACCAACAGCTCTGATAATCTTAAAGTATTCTATAAATTAATGTTAGTATTTTATTTATTCATTATTATATCATGATATACATTTATCATTATTATCATTATCATTATCATTATCATTACTATAATTATACATACCCTTAGAATCTGGCTTTGTACATTTCTTAACAAATGCAGAACCATCTTTAAAGAATTCCACTGGAACTTCAGTGAATTTTTCTAAACCTTCAGAAGCCATCTTATATTATATTGTTATGAAATGCTTATAATTGAATCAATCAGTCTATAATCTCTTGCAAATACTGGTGTTCATTTTCGTTCACTTTTTTTTTCCATCCACGTATGTGTTAATGTACGTAAAAGGCTGATCATAAATTAGGACTGAGCACACGACCATTGAATTAGTATAAATTAAATTAAATTAAATTAAATGCTATTTTATATATGCTAGTAATATGCCTATTTATAATGCTATATATATATTACAACTATAATAAGTCTAAAAGGGATTCATCATCCTTCTCTTCTGATCTTAAACTAATCATAAATTCTTGTCTCTTCTTTTCAATCATTTTTCTGTATTGAGGTAATCTTTCCTGTTCCCAAAATTTAGTTAAATTCTCTTTCATATCTTCATCAATTGACCATTTATTGATCAAGGGTATACATTGTCCAGCGTAAGTAGATTTCCATTTATAATCTATCAAGCTTTTCATTGCTTCTTCATATAATATATAAACAAATTCATCTATTCTCTTCAGGGTTCCAAATTTTAAATAATCTCGACTATTAAATGTATTATATGATAATTCATATTGTTCATAATGCTTTAATAATATCTTTAAATATTCATAATATTGACTTTCAATCTTTTCTTTATCTTCAACCAATTCTTGCTTTAAATAATCAAGATATACTTTATAAAGTCTTTTTGAAAAGTATCCTCCACCAACTTGTTGATATAATTTCCATAATTCATTAAAAGTATTAATTCTTTCATTCTTTAAATTTGATAAAAATACTAAGAATCCTTCATAATCAAAATTCACGTCTTGTTGAACTTCAGTCAATGATTTTTCACGTTTGTTAATCTTATTCTTGTTAGATTCCTTTGATGTTTGATTTAAGAAATAAGCAAGTGATCTCTTCTCTTCAAATTCAGTCGAATAATCACACCATTTAAATGCTTGTTCCCAAAATGGTCTTGATTCAAATCCTGACAACTTAATACCATATATATCTTCAAATGCACTTACATATTTCATTCCTTTAAAGAATTCTTTATTGTATGATAATGATACCATAATTGCTTTAACAATTGATAGGTTTGGAAATTGAATATCATCTTTTTTATATATCTGAAATGATGGATCTAATTTTCCATCAGGATCTATACCATAATAAGTTACTATGAATTGAAACATTTCATCTAAATTTCCACTATAACCAATTGAATATATTAAAGTTTCGGCTAATTCATTATTCAAAATAAATTTTGTTGGAGATTGATGTGTAGCTTTAAGAAAATCACTAAAGATCTTCTTATAAGATTCTGTATGTTTTACATTAGAAAATTTTGGATCATAATGACGAGATGAAATATCAGTAGGTTTTAAAGGCCATCCACGAGGAGAACCATAAGATTGAACATAGAATTTATAAATCCACATTTTATAAGTCATTAATTCTTGATAATTCTTTGGAAATTCTGTTTCAAATCTTTCGAACCATTTATTTACTAAATCAAATTTCAAATTATGATATTCTAAAATTATTAAATTTTCATAATCTTCAACTTGTAATCGATAACCTGAAAGTGATGAAGATGCGTATAAATCTCTTCTCTTTGATTTATGATATATGGAATCTGTGGAATTCTTCGTTTTATAGATGATATTACCATAAAGGTTTCTTATTGAATCTAATAATGAAGCTGCCTCTATTTCTCTTTTCTTTTTAGTTTTTGATTGTATTCCTTTTGATTGTCGTATAGGAGCATCCGAAACATCTCTAAACAATATTTTATATTGATGAGTTATTATTTTTTTCAATATATATGAGAATTCTTTACGAGTTAAAGTTCCAAATAAGTCATCAAGAGACATTTCTGACCATTTTAATAACAAATCCATGATAGCTTTATAATTATTAATTTGTAAAAGCTTGTAGATCTCATGCTTTAATTTCTCTGATTTAGTTAAATTTTCAAAGTTTCGTAGTTCACTAGTGGCATATTGAATATTTACTTCATTTTTGAATCTTTCAGAAGGAATATCTTTTAAATAATCGTTTATATTAACTATTTTCTTAGATTTCAAAGTAGTTAATACTTTAGCTTCGATATTAGAATTACTAGCAAGTATTTCTTCATTTAGTAAAATTGATGGAGACGATAAAAATCTTCTACAGGGTTGTGAAACATTTAACTTTGACAACGACCTTATCCTCGAAGCCATCTTGTTCTTTATGAAAGGGATATAATATCCTATTTACTCTACTAGTTTAATAGGGTAGATTGAAATTTTTCACTCTTAAGACTGAAAAAAAAAAAAAAATTATTGGTGCAATTTACCCGCACTTCCCATCTATACGCTCATTGATTTTAAAATCATTTGTATATTATTATATAACAAATAAATAAAGCTACTTTGACTATATATTGATATTCTCACCAGGAGTTATTAACATCTTAAAGTTTGACCCCACCAATTGCTTCTGCAAATTTTGTATCAATATGATTTGCATTAAAAACAGCAATATCTTTTAAACCATCAGAAACACTAGTACCATCAATAATATCTTGAATATGCTTCTTAGTACCTTTAATAGCCCATTGTTGATTACCATTAATTTCTTCACCTAAACCTTTACAATATTCAATTCCTGCTTCAAAATCAGGAACAATTTTACTAATTAATCCAAGTTTTAATGCTTCATTAGCATTAAATGTTGCACCTGTTAATGCATATTGATATAATAATGATTTATTATTAACAAGTGCAGGTAATCTTTGTAATGAACCAATATCGGCAGCAATTCCAATTTTAATTTCTCTAATTGAAAGTTTTACATCTTTAGTGGCGACTCTTATAGTGACAGCACCAGCAATATCTAAAGCTAAACCATAAGCAATTCCATTTAATAAACATATAGTTGGAGTATTAATACGAGCTGGAGTACCAATAGCATGTTGAAATTCTCTAATATGAGCATGTAATTTATTATATTGTTGATCTTTTGTTAATCCCCCTGAACCAGAAAATGTTTCTAATGCAGTCTTTAAATTAAGTCCACTTGTAAATGCTCTCGCAGTTGATGATGAAATAAGAATAATATTTGTATCAGGATGTTCATCAATTTTAGTTAAAATTGCTTCATATTGTCTCCAAGTACTATCACTGAAAGCATTCAAACTTTTTGGATTATTAAATTGAACATGAATAAATCCAGTTTCAATCTCACTTACAATAAATTCATCATATTTCTTATAATCTTCAGCATTAAATGCTGGAACTTCTTCATTACTCATATTTATAATATGGGATTTCTACAGTATCTACAATAAAATTATCCTATTTATTTCATTAATCATGAAATTTGAATTTATTTATACTTCCTCTACAACACTTCTCGCCAACCGAGGTTTCAAAACTTAGCCTGTGTTTAGCGCAGTCAAAAAAATCTTTTGTGGGGAAAAATATATACCTGATGAATTTTTCCGTTACACCTTGTATTTACCAATAGGTGCCATATTTTCATCTTTAGCTGCAAGTTCTAAACCTTCAATCATTTTTGATCTTAATAATCTATTTGCTTCATGAACAGATTGTTCAGTCAAACCTTCTACCAATAAATAAAGTTTAGGTGGTGCCGAGATTTCTTTACCCTTTTTAATTGTAGGGGTTGGTATTTTTGTACCAGGAGGATAATATTGACCTTTATTAGTAATTGCAGCCGATGTAGTTTCAATAATTTTGGATAAACTATCTCTATTAAGTACTGTTAATCTAGCCTTTTGAGGTAAATCATTAATTGTAATTCGAGAATGGAAATTACCTCTATCGGGTCCAGCAGTTTCTGGTGCTCCACCTTCAATAATAGTAAAATCAGGTAATTTACTATCGTGGATTTTCGATTCTGGAGTTGGAGTTCCTTCCATGGAAAGTTCATTTTCTTTACGATTTTCTTCAGGTTCTTCAATATTAAATTCTTTCCTTTGAATAGCAAGATTACTTTCACGAATCTGTTGTAAATTATCTAATCCTCTTCCTCCAAAACCAAAATGATATTTGGCTTTACCCCTTTTAACATTGGCTAAGAATGTATCACTTATTTCAATTAATTTGGTAGGAATATCACTATCAGGTACTTTACTTAATCTCATAGCTTTAACTAAATCTGTTATACATCTCTCTTGATTAGATGATACAAATGTTAAAGCTGTACCTTTAGCACCAGCTCTACCAGTTCTACCAACTCTATGTACATAATCTTCTATATGATTTGGTGCATCATAATTTATAACAAGATTTAATCCTTTGACATCTAATCCTCGTGCTGCAATAGATGTAGCAATTAATATATTGAGTCCACTAGTTTTAGAAGAAAAATCTTTGATGGCATGCTTTCTATCTAATTGATCCTTACCTCCATGAATAGTTAAACATGGAAAATTTTCTGATAATAAACGGACCAATAAGTCATCTGCAAATGATTGTTTTTCTACAAATATTAATACTTTACCTTGAGGATCCAGGGATTGGAATTTTTTTAATTCTTCTGTTAATTTAATAAATTTATTTTCGTTAATTTCATTTTCGTCACCTTCAAATAATTCAACTAACTGTTTAACTTCCAGAGCTACAACACTAATACCACCCACAATGATTTCTATTGGATTATTTAATATTTTCTTAGCTAACAATTCCATTTTCCTTGGAAATGTAGCTGAAAATAATACTGTTTGTCTATCAGGTCGAATCTGGGTGAAAATCTTTGATACTTGAGGTTCAAACCCCATATCAAACATACGATCTGCTTCATCAAGAACCAAATAAGTTACTCTACGAAGATTAGTTACTCGTCCACCATTAGCAGCCAATAAATCAATAACTCGACCTGGAGTACCTACAATTATTTCGACACCTTTCTTTAGATCTGCTATTTGATTTTCTATTGGAGATCCACCATAACAACAACTAACTTTAAGTTCAAGCCTTTTAACAAAATTCTGTAATTCTTTATAAATTTGTAAGGCAAGTTCTCTTGTAGGAGTTAAAACTAAACCAATAGGTCCATCATCTTTGGATAATGGATCTTGATCTTGAATATGTCTTAACATTGGTAATACAAATGATAAAGTCTTACCTGAACCTGTTTTAGCAACACCTATTAAATCACGACCAGACATAATTGTTGGAAGAGCTTGAGATTGAATAGATGTTGGAGTAGTATAATGTAATTTATTAGTAATAATTTCATTATAAACTGAAGGAAGTGATAAATGAGACCATTTAGTTATTGGTTTAGGGATATTTAATCCATGGACTCTAATTCCATCCAATTCAAATCGGAGTGCTTCAACATCTTCAATACTTAATTGTTTTAATTCATATGGTTCCGTATAAAAATTCTTTCTAATAAATGAAAACTCTTGATTAGAATAATCTACTGCTTCCAATGCTTTTTCTTTATTCTGTAACTTTAATAATTTGGCCGATAATAACTTCTGTTGTAATTCATCATCATTCTCTTCATCATCTTCTTCCTCTTCCTTCTCACTTACATTATCATTCTCTTGTGTCTCACTAGTAGTTCGCACTAATTGTGTTTCATCATTCTTTTTGTCAAGCAGCTTTATAAATTGATCTAATTCATCGGGCTCATCATTATCTTTAGAATTACCATTAATATTATTATTGTAATTAATAGATTGTAGATCAATATCCAAATTTGGCTTTTTGAATTTAGGTTGAATATCTTCAATTTCATCATCATCTAATACTGATCTCTTAATATTAGAAGTTGTTATTGTCGCTACTGATTTAGGCTTAAGTTTTTTTATTCCTGAGATCTTTAAGTGAGATTGAGGACTTGACTGTTTAGCCTTAGAAGTTGCATTAAGTTTTTCATTTTCTAAAGCTTTCCTTCTCTTCCACTCCTCTAATTTAGATGATTTATTCGAATTCGAATTCGAATTGGAATTAGAATCAGTTTTCTCTTGTTCTTTCTTTTCTTTCCATTGTGCTAATTGTTCACGTCGCCTTCTTAATTTCTCTGCTTTTGTTAATTCTTCGTTACCTGTATTGTTAGTATGGTTACTTTCATTAGTTTGCCCTCTATTTCCAGGCATATTTTCTTTAATTTGACTATGATTAGTATCTTTACTATTCATAGACATTCTAAAACAGTACACACAATTAAGATGCAAAATATATAACCCTTAGTTTATTTAGGACTTTAATAAAGGGCTGGTTAAGCTGTAGTGTACTGAGTGTAAATGAATTTTTCATCAATCATCGCGAAATAAATTAAAAGTATAAAGTATGCGTAAAAATCTATGTATTAAAGGTTAAAGAAGTATAACTGTATATAAATTTATAATGCTGTAGTTACTGTAACCGTTTGAGAATTTAAAAGTAATATAGGAGGTAAATCATGAAGCCAAATTGCTAAATTATTAGTATATTGTAAAGAATCATCTTCATCTAAATGAGTTCCAATCGATGGAGCTGGTAAAGTTGAAAATATTACTTCTGTTTGATCTTTTGAAGAATGAACTTTCATTAATTCATTAAGAATTAAATGTTGACCTTTAGCAGGTAAATCATTAAAACTTAAATTCTTTAATTCTTCTTGTAATTGTTTAAGAGTAATATTAGATTCATCACTTGATTGAGTATGAGTTAATTTAGGTCTATTTTTATAAAATTCTGATCGGGAATTAGTTGGTTGATTTGGTGTTAAAGAATTTAATGCACTATCATTAATTGATGGAATTTCATCAACATCTTCATCACTTTCAGCTAAGAATTGAGGAGTTCTCATAACTTTAATAATATCATCTGTATTAGCAATAATTGAATGAGAATGTAAACTACTACTCTTCTTAGATGATGAATTATTCTTTTTCATATCTATAGAATTATAATCTTCATTGTTTTCGGATTTTTCTTCATTGCCTTCTACATTAATGTCATTCTTATCATTCTTCTTATTATTATTATCTTCATTATCAGCATCATCATCATCATCATCATCATCATCATCATCATTAACAAATTGAATGGTTGGTTCATTATCATCTCCTCCATCCTCTACATCATCCTTTACTTGAGATTGAGGAATTTTAATCGACAGAAAATTCGGTCTTAAATTAGATCTGGATGATCTAATGGATAATTGGTCAACTGATTTAACATTTGAATTCAAATAGAATTGATCTAATTGAGAATTCTTCTTCTTAATAACAGGTTTTTGTGGTGGTTGTGATTGTGATTGTGAATGGGAACTTACCGGTTCAGATAAAGGTGATGGTGTTGAAGTACTACCATAACCAGGTCCAGGAGTTGAACTATCATTTGAATCACTTTCAAAATCATCCTTATCACTATCACTACTATCACTACTATCAAATGCATCAGAATCAAGAAATTTATCACCATTATTTTGAGCTTTAACATTAAATGAAAGTGATAATCCTTGTTCATTTAAATTTGATAATGTATATCTCCTATTATTTTTAAGACTAGTAGGAATTGGTGGACTACTAGCTGATAATTTTAATGGAGCAAATTTTCTATCCGAAGAAGATAAACTTGTTCTTGAACTATTAACAGTTTTTGTTAAATGAGATTTATGCTTTCTTAAAATTCTTGCCTTTTCTAATTCTTTTAGGGTATCTCTTGCATTACATAAATTTTTCCACCATTGATCATTAGCTAAGACTCTATCAATTCTATTAAAATCATCTTTATTAGAAGCTGTCTTATTATAACCTTTAACTAAGAAATTATAAGTATTAAGAGTACCTTCATCAAGACTTACAGTTTTTAATTCAGCATCTATTCTTAAATTTGATAATAAATCTTTTAATCTTTTTTGTTCATCATCAATTTCTCCAGAAGTTTCAACAAATGCAATTACTCTTAATTTATAATGACTAAATTTCCATTCTGGAACGGTTGATAAAATCGATCCTAATTGTAAAATTAATGTATAAGTATCAAAATTAGTTGATAATACTGATCTACCATCTTCCAGTAAATTTATTGATGACATTTGAATTGGATATAAATCAATATATTTTTTACTAACATTTTCAAGTGGTTTAGGATTTGAAAAGAAGAAATGATAAGCATGATCGATTTTTGGAATATTTAAATTTGAAAAATTTGCAGCCACCGCCACGGTAGCTTGTAAAATTATTAAATCTTCAACAATTTGTACCCATTGTTTAATATCAACTTTATCTTCTTTTCTACAATCATCAGTAGGTAATTCTGAATAATTTGATTTATCTTTAAAAGATTTAATAGCAGGTAATTCAACTCCATGTTTTTCTGCTTCATAAAATCCAAGAACTGTTATATTTGGTCTCATACCTCCTAATCCTGAACCTAAATAAACATTTCTTACTCCCCATGGTAAAGTAGGACCTAAAGCAATTTGAACAAAAGCTTTAACATTAGCAATATCTCTTAATTTGACCCAAGCTTGCTTTTGTTTTTCAACTTCTTTATAAGTTTGAACATTAAATTTTTTCTTTTCATCACCTCCATTTGTTGTATCATCAGCCATTATTACTACATGACCTAAAATATATAAACCTCCTTTCTTTAAATGATTACAAAATCCAATTAAATTCCAACTAGATCGAGGATCATCACATAATAATAAAATTTGTGGTCTCCAATATTTAACATTCATTTGTAATTTTAATCTTAAAAGATATTTTCTAACTTGATGATAAATTAATAATTGAGATATATCTCCAAATTTTGAAGGTGGTGTCAGATAATGAATCATTAAAATTAAAAACATTAAACAAAATATAATTAATGTAGCTGATAATCCATCAACAATAAACATAGCTATAAAACATGCTAAAACTCCTGTAAATGCAGTTCTTGAACTAAAATATTTAAATGAAGGTCTAAAATTTGGAGCAGAACCAACTTTTAATAAGAAACATGCCATATTAGTTACAATAAATGTCATTAAAAATGCCATAGTAATAAAAGTTGCAATTTGATTAATATCAGCAAATAAAAATATTTGGGCAATAAACCAAGTAGCAATTATACTTAAAACTTTTGCAATATCTTGTTGACGAGAAGATTTCTTTAAAGTAGTAAATAAATTTAAACCAGGAATAATTTTATCATCAGCAATTGCATTTAACATTGAAGCTGCTCCAACAATTCCCATAATTACTGAAAATAATGATGTTGAAAATTCTCCAAGTAAAATAATAATTCCTGATAAATTTACAGTTTGAATGATTTTAATATCTACATATAATAAATCTCGAGGGATTGCTGCACCCATTGAAATAATGACTGAAGAATATAAAATAAAAGTTACAAATAAACCTTTTAAAGTTCCTTCAGGTATAGATTTTGAAGGACTTTTTAAATCTCCTGACATTGAAGCACCAGCAAGAATACCAGCCGTTGCAGGAAAGAAGATTCCAAATAAATTTCTAAAAGTTTCAGGAATATTTGGTGGTTGAACTGATCCAGCAGCTCCACTAGTAAAATGAGGCCATAAATTTTCAAATAAAGTTTTATAATGAAGTCCAGTATATAATAAATTATCATGAGGAAATGGTAATGGATGGAAAGGTTTAACAAATAATGTTGATATTGGAATTGATAAAGTACTTATTGTTAAAACAATAAATAATAAAAATGCAGTTTTTGAAACTAATTGAGATCCAACTAATGCAATACCTGTACATATAGCTAATAAAATTGTTGAATATAATACTTGCCAAAAATAACCAACTGGAAGTAATTTCATAATTACTCCATCAATTTCACCAAAATTTACCATTAAAGGTTCAATAAATCCTACAACATTTAATGAACTATTAAGAATTTGTCCAATAAAAAATATAATTCCAATAGCTCCACCAAATTCTGGACCTAAAGATCTTGATATCATATAATAAGCTCCACCACCTTTAACTGTACCATTTGTTGATATAGCACTAATTGACATAGTAGTTAAAATATTAATTGAATAAGATAAAATTAATAAAAAAAATGTTCCAATTATACCCATTTGACCAATAATAAATCCAAATCTTAAAAACATTAAAATTGAAAGAACATTTAAAGCAGTTGGAAGAAATACTCCTTCAAATGTATCTAATTTATTACCATTATCTATTGAATTTTGTTTCTTCTTCTTTGATATTGATTTTCTTTTATTATCATATTGAGAATTTGATCCAATTGAATAATTAAGGTTTGATGGATTAATTGACAGTTTTCTTCGATGAGGTAATAATTTTGAAGTTTCATTGGAAGATGACTCACTGATTCGTACTGAAGACGAACCTGACTTCCCTCTACTTGACATTAGTGAGTCAACCTTAGAATTATCAGATAATTAAGAAATTCTTTATCAGATCCATCTATCTAGATAAAGAAATAATTAATTAATTAATTTAATTAAAGCGAAAAATTAACGCTTACCTGCATTTAATCATAATAAAAAAAATAAAATAAGATTAGCATCCGCTTTACAGGGCAATTGATTATGGAATAATTAAAACTATAGTATAGGAGTAACTATATACGAGTTCATTAGTAACCCTATAGTTGGTGATGGTGACTAATTGCACTTAATAGAGTATATATTTCTAAATATATCTAAATTATATAATATATCAATGGACATTAAAGTCCGATCACCCAACTAGTTTTGTGTAGAGTAGCTATCGCTTATGGGAACGATATCTAGATCTAGTTTTTTTTGAATGTTATCATGCATTAGTACAGTATCATACTGTTGGGTAGATATGGTGTAATCATGCTTGAGATCAATAGATTAAACTTTAATTCAAATATAATTAGCTGATCTTCGTAAAGTATTTAAATCAACTCAACTCAACAACTCAAGAAGGCTAGATCCTTATATAAATAGGAGTCAACCAAATAGGCACCAAATGTAGACTATAGAGTCACCCCTGACTTGTGCTATAATAACTTTTATTTGTTTATATATCTCGGACCGGAATTTCTCTTACCACCGGCCATTGGTCGGAAATCTTTAAACAGATCGAAATCTGTAATTTTAGGGTGTAATGTTAAAGAACTGTTACAGTTGTATGATTGCCAATATCTGAAGCTGTCAGTTGATTTTTTTCACTTCAGTAATGCGATATGTTTAAAATTTACCCCCTTATTATACATAGTTTCTGTCTCTGACTTTAAATTTAGGAAATAGCTCCTCTTGTAACGTTATCCGTAATGTTTCTTCAATATTACTGTTACTACGACTATAAAACACACCAATGTTATGAATGCTGCAACTAATATTATAATATAAAATTTCTGTTTGTATATTGGTTTACGTTTGTTTTCATTATTTTGCACCTCTGCACTTTTAACTCTCACCTGGTCTTCGAAGTGGTTACTAGGTTCACGGGACTCCAATTCATACGCTGACATAACGAAATAATTTGAGGGTCTTTTCTACTTCTGTCTTACTATGTTGAAAGACTACTGATGAACTACAAATATACGGTCAATTTAACTTCATTTTCTATTTTTAGGCTAACTATACTCCTCTACCTCTAAGGGTTGAGGCGTGGGGTAGAAAGGGCTAAATCAAAAATGTAACATATAGTGCGTGGTCTTGGCAAAGAGGCATGCTCATAAAGCGCGCTACCAACCAGAGAGTAAGAGATTGAGACAATTGATATTATGTTATGACTGAATGAAAGGCCAGGTAATATTACATGGGCTAATTAGTATTAATTTCTCATATCTCTAATTCAGTCACTCTTCACTTCACTTCACTTCACTTCTCTTACTCGTATTCCTTGTTATGCCAAATTTTTATAAGTATGGTATTATGTAACACTCGGTCGTATAGAAGTTCTGAATACCGGTTCGTAAATCTTCTATCGGTAGATAAGAAAGAACATAGCATAGTCGGAAGTGATTCATCTGTAATGCATCATATACAATAGTAATCACGACACATTCCATCAGAAAATAAAACTATACTACCAGAATAACAAAGCCGAGGACGCTAATGACTTCCTAAGAAGGTAAGTTCCATGGCATCACGTAGTTGGCCTTATTTTTGGCATTTCGCATCAGCTCCTATTTGGGAAATGGTGCAATAATTTGCCATTAATTTTTAGTGAGACACATAACCGTATCCCTACAATTATAATCTTAAAAATATATATGTATATAATTATATATAGTAAGGATACATCTATCTATATATATATATATAGGCTACCTTATTTTCGATTCTCGATTCTCGATTCTTGACATTTCTATTTTCCTATTAACTAGGAGCTTATTGTATATCAGGTATACCTAAAGAAATCACACAAGCTCATCAAGAGGATCATTCTTTTCGCACCAAACATTCTTAACTACTAGCGGTCAGGTGATTAGAAGACCGAAAAATTTTCGAAGTAATATAAAAAGCATACTTACTTTACTAGTTGTATTTATAGTATTAGACTTTGGACAATAAAAGTACAAGTTGAATTGTGAAAATGTTCCGTTTGATATCTACAAATGCTCAGCAGGGGTTTAGGCCTGTGCTTTTACTGAAAGTCAGGGGTAATAAAGGTCCTTTATCATTAACCTCATCAACTTTAGCTAATACTTCTGGGAATAATGTTAATAGTCAACATATTGTAACTCTGACTCAATTTGCTAGATCTAATTCTAATTCTAGTAATGGGGCTATAAAAAATACAAAAATGAAGGTTGATTCATTTATTTCTAAAGCTACTGCAGATCCATTAATTAAAGAAGCAATTGAAAATCCAGAACTAACGAGAAAGTTAGAACATTTTAAGGATTTATTATATCAAACTTATGATAAAGGTTCATTTTCTAATACTCAATCAAGATCAGCTTTTAATGAAACAGTTAATAATATGTTTTCATTATTTGATAATGAAGCCTTGAGAAGTCATTTAAGTTCAAAAGATTTATTTCAATATGCAAATGCTTTACAAAGGGCTGTATATTTTAACAGAACTAATAGATTATCTGGAAACAAAAATAGAGATAAAGATCAAAGTTCAAATAATTATTCAGAAGAACTTTTATTAAAGAATGCCGTATTAAATTTAGCAGAATTAATAATTGGTAATGAATTTCAAAATAGATTATCGTCTAATGTGATTAAAATGTTATTTTATTCAATGTTACAATTTAGATTTTATAATGAAATGATTAATTTATGGGAAAATGGTATTAATGATCCCATCAATGGTAAGTTATTTTTACAACAAGAAACTTTGGCGATAGTGTTAGATGTTTGTTTTGAAAACAAAAGATTCACTTATGAAGAAATTTTACAAATTTATGAATTAAATTCTAAGGATACCCAAGAAGTTGCTGATGTTCTTTTATGTACAATCGGTAAAATTGCCATTGTTTCTGGTGATTATTCTCGAGCTTTAGATAGTTTGGAAACTTTATTAAAAATGTATGAAGGTTATGGAGCACCTAAGGCAAGAAGAGAATTGTTACACTCATTAAGTGAATTACATTTAACTTTTATTGGTGAATGTAAAGATTTTAAGATTGCCAAACATTTCTTTGATAAAGTTATTGAATTTTCTTTACCTTATAGTGTTCCTTTAAAAGCTCCAAAAGTAGTTTCATTTATTGAAAATTGTTATGAAGCCGATGAACCAATGGAAACTATAATTGATATTTGGAAATCAACTTTAACTCATTATAAAGATAGTTACACGCGTGGTGCCTCTATGAATGCTAGATATGCCATTTTAAATAATGGATTCTTTGGAGTTTTCTTTAAGAAATTTCCTACATTAAATAATGAATCATTTGATCAATTAAGAAAAATTATAAGTGAATATGCAAATATTAAACAAATTGATGAAACTTTCTTAAATACTATTATATCAAATTATATATGGCAGGATAAAGAAGTATTGGATCAATTAATTGAAAATTATTCAATTTATGATGTTCAAAGAACTCCAGTTTCTTATAGAATTGTATTAAAGAAATTAGGTGAAATTAAAGGTTATTCAAATAAAGATATTTTAGACAAATGGTATGAAAATTTAACTTGTTTAGATAATTTTGGTTATGTATATATTCCTGTTGCTGATTGGGCTGCATTAAGAGATGCTACTATATTATCAGGTTTCTCCGAAAATAGAATTCCTTTATATCTTACTGTGGTTAATACTTTTAGAAATTACATGCAAGATAGAAGATCATGTCTTAGATTCTTAGGTAATTGGGCTAAAATGCCAGAATATTATCCTTTAGTTGCTCAAATTAGTGATGCAGAAGAGGATTTTGTAGATTTTGGTTGTGATGTCGAAGTTAAAATTCCTCAGTTAGAAAATTTAACTGAGAATGTTTCTTTCAGATATATCACTCGTGAAATTACTCAAAATAGAAAAGATTCTGATTTTGATACTAGAAGTATACATTACCAAGGTCCTGTACTTTACAAACCACGTATTTAAACTTTATACATATATTTGTTCCCCTTTGTAAATAGAACTTGTTACGAACTTTATATATATTTAATTGTTAATGAGTGCGCATTTACCAAATTTATTAATTTTACTAAATTTGCCGAATAGGGTTAGGAAACATTTATCATAAACTATAATCAATTGAATTCCCCAGTAACAAGGGTTTACAATGGGATGTTTTGCATCTAAACCAGAGCAGCATAGCACCTCTGAGAAGGTGACCAATGGGAAGTCTCGAATTGTAGGATCTACTAATAGATTAGGTACTTCAGAGGTTAGTGAGATCAATTCGGCTATACCCACATCAAAGACAAATACAAAGACAAATACAAAGAACAATAATAAACCCTCAAATAATACAAGTGGATATAAGTTAGGAGATTCAACTAGTAGTGAAGAAATCCCGAAAGATGCAGTTTCATCCAAAGTGGCAGCTGCGGCTGAAGCTCGATATGCTAAACATCAAGAACAACTTAAGGAATCTAAGGATAAATTAAAAACAAAAGCCAAGTTATCGAGATCTGAGAAGGGACTCTGATCAATTAGATAGATAATTTACAATATAGACAATATTGAAATGTATGATACAATGAAGTTATATCGTATAAACTTACTCATACAGCGTAGAAGAATCTCTCATTAGAAGAATCTCTCACTAGAAGAATACTCTCACTATTTGTACCATATATTTTATTTTATTTTATTTTATTTTATTTCAATTAGGTTTACTTGACCATTTTAAAATTACTATAGACACACTTCTTTCATATGTTAGACTATCGTAGTAATTGTCTTAGTTGAATTAACAGATAACATTATTACAGTGGGGGAGACCGGACTGCATACAAGCACACTATAATCAAAAAAATTCATATCGACCATAAACTCACCTTGACTGTCATAACAATAGTAATATATATAAAGAGTTATTAAGCATTATGGAGACTGGTTCAAAAATACCTTTATCACATTCATTGTGGTCACCCCATGATACTGTGAAAGATGTTGCAGAATCATTAGGAATAGCACTTCCTGAAGAAGCGGCTAAGAATTTAGCAATGGATGTTGAATATAGAATTCATGAAATATTAGAAACAGCTATAAAATTTATGAGACATTCAAAAAGAAAACTTTTAATGACTACTGATATTAATCATGCATTAAAAGTACTTAATATTGAACCATTATATGGTTATGATAATTCGCAACCATTAGTATTTAAAGAAGCACTTGTAGGAGCTGGTGGACAAACTTTATATTATATTGATGATAATGAAATTGAATTTGAAAAATTAATAAATCAAGAATTACCAAAAGTACCACGTCAAGCAACATTTACAGCTCATTGGTTAGCAATTGAAGGTGTTCAACCAATGGTACCTCAAAATCCATTACCTTCAGAAATAAAAAGTTTACCACCAATTCTTAGAGGTGCCACATCTTCAATGCTTGGAAGTGATATTTTAGCTGATGAAAGTAAAGACTCAGAAAGTTCTAAAGAAAAGAAAGTTACAGAAAAAGAAACTGAAGTTAAACCTTTAGTAAAACATGTATTATCAAAAGAATTAAAATTATATTTTGATAAAGTTGTTGAAGTATTAATTTCAACTGAATCAGAAAAGGAAATTTTAAAGAATGCTGCATTAAATTCTTTAAAGAATGATCCAGGTTTACATCAATTAGTTCCTTATTTTATCCAATTTGTAGCTGAACAAATAACAAATCAATTAAGAAATATAGAAGTTTTATCAACTATGTTAGAAGTAATATCTGCATTAGTTGATAATAAAACTATATTTTTAGATCCTTATGTTCATGCATTAATGCCATGTATTTTAACATTATTATTAGCTAAAAGAATTGGACCAGTTTTAAAAGATTTAGATGATATTGAAAATCAAGAATTATTAAAAAATCAACTTGCAGTAAGAGAATTTGCAGCTATATTATTAGAACATATTATAAAAGTATATGGATCATCATATTCAACTTTAAGACCAAGAGTTACTCGAACTTTATTAAGAGCTTTATTAGATTCTTTAAAACCTATAGGTACTCATTATGGTGCATTATTAGGATTAAAAAATATGGGTAATGAAGTTATAAAATTAGTATTAATAGGTAATTTAAAAGTTTGGTGGAAACTGGTAGTTGAAGATGGTACTAAATCTGAATTTGAAAAGGGAATATTATTATCAACTACTATAGATATTTTAAGAAGTCTTAAAGTAACTAATGAAGATGATATATCAATTGATAGTGAAATTAATAATGAAATAAAAGATAAATTAAAGGATAGACTTGGTGATAAATTATCTAATGCAATATTAGAACAAGATGATGCTTATGAAATTATTAGAGGTTTATTCTTTGGAGAAATTGTTGTATAATATAATCTAATCTAATCTATAAATAATGATAGGTAATTTAAATTAAATGTAAAACTATTGGATATTAATCTTCTTTTGATTTAATTGTTAAAGAAGAAAATTTATCAGGATGTTTATCATCATTCATACGATATGATATAGGAGATCCATTAAATGCCAGATTATAAAATGGAGAATCTTCAATCGATGCAGGTGCTCCTGGTTTCCTTCGTTGTTTACTTGAAGTAGGAGATGAATTAATGACTTGAATTGGTGTAGTTTCAACATGCAGTGAAATAGAAATATCATTTATATTTATATTTGAATCCACAAGTTTCGTATAAATCGAATCCTTACCTCTATTATTATTATTGGGTCGTAAAAATGCTCCATCAGGTGTCTTCATAATTTCCTCTAATGGAATTGTCCTACTTGAAACTGATGGTGTAGCTATAACTTGTGAATATGATCTTGAAGGAATATTAAATGATGGTACAAGTACAGGTACCGATGGAGTTGATGATACTTGAGAAATCAGTGATGAATGTTTCTTTACTGGAGTAGCTTCGACCTGCGAAATAGCTCCTGAATTCAGAATAATTACTTGAGATTTCTTTCTTCCAAATATAGTACCTTCAGATAAACTAACCAATGATTTCTCAGATAAACTTTTCAGACGTTTTAAACTATTAGATTCATTCCCAGTCCCATCAGAGAAAGATTTTAAAGTCATAGACATATCTACTACTCTCTTTTTAAGATTCTTAGATGAAAGATTAGATGCAGATCTCTTTAAAGAAAATGCCGGCATTAAATCATCATCACTTCCAAGACTACTAGTAGTTGATCTTTTTAAAATCGGAGCTGAGTTCCTATTTAATAAAACTTTTTTAAATTTATAATTCTTAGATGTTTTATCATTCTTTTTATTACCTTCGGTTTCTTTCTTTTCATCATCTTTCTTAACTGATTTTGAAATTCTAGGGGCCTTCATAGTCAGATCTTTAGTTTTATTAATAATATATTTAATTATATTTGGAATCTTCTTATTATAATATGGTACAAGTACATAAGCCAAGAATCCTAAAGTTCCATTATTTTCAGTTTTATGACTTCTACCTAATAAAGTATCCCATAATCCAAGTCTATCTAAAACTGCATTCATAGAAAGAAATGCCATATATTCATTTACAACATCATTATCTTCAGAAATATTATTACTATTACGAAGTTGAACATTAACACCCATTCCAAGAAATGTTGGAATGATTTTACGAGTTTTACTCGACTTTCTTCGAACTAATGATGGTTTGGAATCCTTTTCTCGTTTCTTTATTTCTTTTCTTTGTTTCTTTTCATTATCAGTAATAAAGGTATCTTGACAAATATTCCAAACATGTAATAATTCACAAATAAGAATTAATTGTAATTGTGCTTCTCTTATCTTTAATTCTAATACTAAATGTTGAAGTCTTTCTTCTTTAGTAGCAACTTTCTTGCTTGAATTATTTTTATCTTTAGCAGATCCCATAGTATTATTGGATTGAATAACTTTCATTAATTCATCATTCTTTTTCATAAACTCTTCACGTATAGAATGCTCAACATTTTCAAGAATATTGTTTTTATTATTAGTATTATTCTTACTAAGGAGTCCAAATTTATCATTATGTCTTTCATCAAATTGTTCAACAGAAAGAAACACTGTACATAGTATATTTTTTATTTTCTTATCATCATTATCACATAAATTTCGAAATCTTGTCATGGCAGATTTAGGGAAATATGCTAATGGTGTATTTAATGAATACAATGTTTCAAAATATCTATGAACCAAAAATGTTTTAGGATCTTCTAAATCAATAATATTAACATTGTTTTCCTTTATGGGTGAGTCATGAACTGGAGGTAACATATCAAAAGAATCTATTATTTGGTTTATTGGTGTATCATGATCATCACCATTGATAGATATTAGTTGTAATTCTTGTGGGGTATATAAGTTTGAGTGATTTAATTCTAACTTAAAATTAACATGTCGTATATTTTGATGAGGTACGATTATAACACAATACATAAGTTCTTTAATATGAAACATTATTCCACTTTCTTGATGTCTATCACGTACATCTTTCTTTATATGAACAAAATAATAATAAGAATTTAATGTAGTTAAAAGTCGATGAACATCATCTTTCAGACGAAATAATACATTTTCCTCGGAGATAATTGATATGTTTGGTCTTATTAATACTTCAAAATCAATTGAAGTAATTTTTTGAATAACTGTAAGTACTAATGGTTCTGATCCATCTCTATTTAACAGTACTATTTCAAATGTTAAAGGTAGCTTAATCGGAGAAAATTTGGTAATTTCTTGATCTTTCAGCTCCTGTAGTATCTCTTCATCCATAACAATGTTCGTTGTGGAATTTAGATAAGGTTCTATAATACTAAATGTAATTGTTAAGCTTAACTTCTATCGGGAGATGGGTTAAGCATTCCGATATTGCTAGTGAAATATTTATTTATGGTGCGCGTCTCACAGTAGTAGTTTTTCTTTACAAAAAATAGAAGCACTATAATCCGGTTCAATTGTACTAGAGATTTGTTGAAAACAAGCAGCAACTCATTTGAGTGTTACACATTCAGGCTTAGAAGTGGTTTTGTAGTAATGATTATCAAAAAGTTGATTTAACAATACTAGATGACATTGAAAAATCGATTATTAATAGAAATATATTACTTCTACTATATACAATAATTGTACAATTTACATTGTGAATTGTAATTGTGAATTGTAAATTGTAAATTGTAATTGTGAATTGTAAATTGTAAATTGTAATTGTGAATTGTAAATTGTACAATTGCTTCTATTAATAAACTACATCTCCAGCATAAATCTGTGAAAGAAAGCATGCCCAACTTTTGCAACATATTTGACTCATCCACAGTACTGTTACGGTCACGCGCACAATTGTCTCGTGACCAATAAAAAGAAATGACATTTCCATATCGGAGCTCGATCTTATGATCATATAATATCACATCATCTCATTGGAACTCATCTTTTTTAAGTTTTTAAGTTTTCAGCCTTTCATTCATTGCATCCATTTATACCCTTTTAAGATTTTCTTTATAGAAATTCATCACCAATATTCATATTCTATAACTAAAACTCAATCACTTCATACTTACCATACTTAAGCGCAAACTGATAACGACTCATTTAATCACGCGCATCAGAAAAACCTCATTTGAATTTCTTTTTTGTGTACCCCTTCACATCCTCCTCCAAATCTATAATACATTTTATAGCTCAGTCATCATTGTGAGTTAAGTGTATTATTAACATATTTCATTTAATATTGAATCTTTAATATTGATTTGATATAGCAAACATCTTGCACATATCTCATGCCTGTAACCAAGCAACATCCCTCACCTGAGGATGATCCTAAGGTGTCATCATCTTCTTCATTACCATCTCCTCCTTCTCCTCCTCCTCCACCGGCTACTTCATCTGATTCATCTACTTCTTCATCTACAACTACAACTACAACTACAACTACAAATTCAAATTCAAATGATTTAAATAATACTAATACTACTTTCAATACTATAATTCCAGACAATTTCATTTCGAATCCTTCAAATAATATACCTACATCGAAGGATCATCTTTTTTCATCTTCGTTATCTCCCCCTCGCATCTTAGATAAATTTAATTCTAATGATTATCTTGAAGGGTCTGCATCTCCGATTTCTGATATAATTTCAATTGAAAATAATATTAATAATACTACTACTAATAATTATTCTGAATCTTTACCTTCAATCTCAGTTGCATCATCTTCATCTTCATCTTTTACTAGTTCAAAATCAAGCGCTATAACTCTTCAACCAACTTCAACTCCTTATTCTTCAAATCATAAACTTGATTATTTCACTAATTTTCAAACTAATCATCATCACTATGGAAATAATATTCATAATAATGATACCAATAAAATCCCTAGACTTTTAAATGATTATTTACGTCCAAATGCTCAATATATTGGTGAACAACAATCTGGAAAATCAAGATTTCATATAAAGGTTGAATTTAAAACAGTTGATCTTATTAATTCAATTGTTACTGGATTTCTTCAAATCTCAGGACTTACTGAAAATCATTCAGAAATTATAACTTGTTTTAAAGGTGAAATAATTAATAATCCTTTAAATAAATATAGTTGGCATAATACTAATGCTCATACTAATACTAAAAAATCAGATTCAGATCATAATAATCATAATGAACAAATTATTCGTAAATATTCATTTATAACTGAAAATAAACAATGGGGTTCATATATTAAGAATGATTTTGAACATTGGAAAAAATTATCAAATATGTCTGATTTATCTGATGAAGAATTACAACAACGACTTATACGGATTCAAAATGGTGAAGAAGATAATGAATTCATATATATGAGATGGAAAGAAGAATTTCTTTTACCTGATTCAAGAGTTAAACAAATTAGTGGTGCATCATTTGATGGATTTTATTATATTGTACTTAATATTGGTCAAACAAGTTCAATTGGTGAAAATAATCCCAATATGATTCCTGGTTCAATTAGTGGTTTATACTATCATAAATCTTCAGAAAAATTTCAATCTTTAAGTCTTAGATATGTTGATGATCGTGGTATATCAGGATCATTTGAATTTGTTTGAAAACAATTTATACCCATTATTTCAATTCTATTTATTTCATAATTTATTTCTTTTAATATTGTTTTCATACATTTTTGCATGTTAGGTTTTATATTTCTTCTTATATAGGTTTATCATTTTATATAAAATAAAATCAAAGTAATAACTTTTTTATATATGTATTAGTTAAGATTTATTTATTTTAAACACGTTTAGAAAGTAATTCCTTTTCTCTATTTGCATAAATCTTAGCTGTAAATGGTTCTTCGAATAATAAGGCAATCTTATACATAACAAATACAAAAATAGTTATAATAATTCCTGATGGTTTACCATACCATAAAGCAGTACCTAAGAAACAAAGGGTTGAACCATTATACATTGGATTATCATTAATATTGAATGGGAATCCAGTAACTCTTTCATTCATTAAAATTCCAAAATAATCTCCAAGATAAGTACCAGTAACTCCTAAAGCATACATTGAAGTTAATACTAATATATTACCAAATATAAATGAACCAATAGCAATAGATTTAATAATTAATGAATTAATTAATGGTTCAAAAGTTGGTTGAGCAATTAAAGCTTGATGATATACATGATCACGATAAATACCAAGTGAAAAAATTGTAAAGGCAAGTAAATAACATCCACGATAAGCTCCACCCGAAATTTTTGTAAGGAAATGAGTATTATATTCTAATCTTGCAACTATATTCCAAAAGATTGGATTAAATGCTATAGTAGCAACAGCAAATATAATTGAATTATTATTAATATTAATATCAATATATTGTCCAATATTTTTCACTAAATAAGTGATATCATTTGGTAATGTTTCAAATTCTTCAAGCAATGATGACATAGTTATTTTATACTATTATGAATATTTAGTAATTGAATCTTTTAGAAGAAGAAGAGAAAGAGAAAGAGAAAGAGAAAGAGAAAGAAACAATTAAGAAAATAAATAAAATTTGGAATTAGAAATAAAACAAATCCGTCAAAGTTGTCTGAAAAATTTGTTGGTATTATAGATCGGTATAGTTAATCCGAAATATCGCCTAAATTCTTTACTTTACTTAGTGGTCTCAGATCGGTCTTTTACTCCAGATTTTTGGGGCCAACTGGTGACAGGACTCAAAAGTGCATGTGATAATTTTTCTATCTTCCTTTATCAAGAGCGCTACCATGTACGTATTTCCAAATGTTATGTATTTACATATAGATAAAAACAAAAAAAAAAAGGCAATACAACAAATATTCAAATTTAAACTTTGTTTTCCACTTCAGCAATTTCTCTAAGCTCAACCTCTGGCTTCAGCTTCTCACTCAGGGGAATATCAGTTTTTTCGGAATATTCTTCAATTGGAGCTTCAATAACTTCAGAATGAATAGTTAAATCACGATGGAAATTTTCTGGTCCAATAAGAACTGCAACTACTAAAGATGCAAAAATAGCTCCAGAAAAAATACACATAACTTTACCATAATTATAAGCTCCTGGTTTACCATTATCTAATGGAAATTGTTCACCTAATTTAGCTTCAATAGTACTAGCAGCTGATGATGCAAGATTACCTAATTGATAACAAACACCACTTAAAAATGTACGATGAGTAGCATTAACTAATTCAAGTAAATGAATAGGAACTACTCCAAAGTTTCCCATAACAAAGAAATTCAAAAAGAAATAAGCTGGATAATTTTGTTTAGAATTAAAGAATGATGGATAAAGGAATGCCCCTGCTAAAATAGTACTGATTATTATAGTTAATCTTCTACCATAAAGTTCACTTAATTGTCCAATGACAATACCACCAGCTATACCACCTAAATTACATACCACAATAATAACAGTCTTGAGATTAAGATCAACACCATATTGATTTGTAAGCATAGTAACATATAAATCTTGGGATCCATGAGTAGAGAAATTAAAAACACCCATCAAAAAAACAAGGTAAGCAAATAATAACCATTCAGTTCTAATAGTAATAAGAATACTCATATCAAATTTATGTTTTTTGAATTGTTGATCATGTTTTTTAAGGAAAGCTTTACTCTTTTGTAATCTTAAGAAAGCTTCTGATTCAGGAACAAAAGCTCTCCAAATTATTAACAAAACGGCTGGACCAGCAGAAAACCAAAATAAAGATCTCCAACCTTCACCTTCTTTATAAGTATTTTGAAATGCCCTATAAAAGATCATAGCAAAGATATAACCTAAGTTATATCCTGGTAAGAATAATCCTGAAAGAACAGCTTTAGCTTCATCAGGTTGGTTTTCTAAGGATGTAACACTCGCAATAGGATACATTGCTCCCATTAGAATCCCAAAGATCGATCTAACCCCTAAGAATTGACCATATGTTTTAACAAATCCTGTACTAATTTCAATCACTACAAATAAGAAACAAATTACCATATATGGTTTTTTTCTACCATAATAATCACTAACAACACCAAAAATAGCAGCGCCAACAGATCTGAACATTAATACTAACGTAATCCCCCAAGTAATTTTAGTGACACTAACATTTAAACTTTTAGCAATATCAGGAGCACTAACTGAAACACAAAAGAAATCCATAGCATCGACACTCCATGCTAAAAATCCTAAGAAGTAAAATGTATAATCCATACTATTCATCTTTCTCAATGCTGGTAATGGGTTAATAATTTCATACCACCTTTGTTCAGATTTATTTACAGGAATATCAAGTAAAGTAGATAATCTAGTAGTGGAATATCTCCATATACCTTCTTTTGATAAATCTGGTTTCTCATTGAAAATATCATGTTTGATTCTTTCATCTTCATCTCTGTAAGATGATTCGGACACCACGTCCTGGGAATATTGTTCCTTTTTCTCAGCCATTATTTTGTTGATTTAAAGTCAGAGAAAGAGATCTGATTACATGAAATTGTAAGAATTAAATTATTATTTATATAGAACTATAATTAGATTATAGATTGGAGATGAGGGTGGGTTAATCCAAAGCATCTACACATTACGTAATTCATGGCATATAGAATAACAATACAAATGTGGGGTAGATTTTTGCAATCATTCCAGATTTCTGAGCCTCTGCGGCTAACATTCTGATTAATTTGCATTTTGCCTTATTTGAAATGTGTCACAGGCAAAGGAATTATTTATACGAATTCCCGGACTTGACTCCGCTTGATAATAAGCGATTATTTTCGTCAAAATTAGAATGCCAAGCATATAATAAGTTTGTTGAGAAAATGAGTCTAATCGTAAAACTTAACTTAAGGAGATAGATGTATATGACGAATAAACTCAAAACCTGCATTTTACTCCACCTCTGATTCTATCAACAATATATATTCCCTTAATTTTGTCTGGATATAACTTGCAGTTATCCGAGCGTAAGTTTCTACAATCCAGTCGATAAACTTAACTTCCCCACAATGATATCAAAAGGCAAAGAAAAAAAAAACTAAAGTAAGCTTTTACTATTGTTAGAAGTCACCCAAGGGCCCCCAATCTCATCACATTTATACAGACTAATCAGCAAAATGCGGAGATCTTTATTTTAAATCAACTCATTTTAGCTATAACATTCAGACTTTCAAATACTGAAACAGATCTATGAGACTCCTGAATCAAACTTAAGAATGGCAAAACTGCTGCAATTTTATATTATTGATTAAGCACGCTCAGGGCTTAGAAAATATGTCTCAGGAGCGCATTTCTATCTAGTTGTTGCGCACACTCAACGAGGAAATTTAAGCGTCGAAAATGAGTCTTTCCACCAGTACTGCGGTCCAGGTGTTTGGTTACCATTATTAGCCACTAACGTATGGCAAAATTTCCTAAATAAGGTCCGTGATAACTATGCGGTTATCAAATGATTTAATCTGAATTTTTCACTTATTTAAATCTATTAATTTTTCAAATTTAATTCATTTTCTTTTTATTAGATCATCAATTGATTATCCTTAAGTCATAATGGTTAAACAAGTTCTTTTATTAGGTTCTGGTTTTGTTGCCAAACCAACTGTAGATATTTTAGCTAAAACTCCAGATGTTAAAGTTACTGTTGCATGTAGAACATTATCTAAAGCTAAAGCTTTAGCTGGTGATGTTGCTGGTGCAATTTCTTTAGATGTTAATGATGAAGTTGCTTTAGATGCTGAAGTTGCTAAAAGTGATTTAGTTATTTCTTTAATTCCTTATACTTATCATGTATTAGTTGTTAAGGCTGCTATAAAGAATAAGAAACATGTTGTAACTACTTCTTATATTAATCCACAATTAAAGGCTTTAGAAAAGGAAATTAATGAAGCTGGTATTACTGTTATGAATGAAATTGGTTTAGATCCAGGTATTGATCATTTATATGCAGTTAAAACCATTGAAGAAGTTCATGCTGCTGGTGGTAAAATTACTTCATTCTTATCTTATTGTGGTGGTTTACCAGCTCCAGAAGATTCTGATAATCCTTTAGGTTATAAATTCTCTTGGTCTTCTAGAGGTGTTTTATTAGCTTTAAGAAATTCTGCTAGTTACTGGAAAGATGGTGAAATTGTTAATGTTAAATCTGAAGATTTAATGGCAACTGCTAAACCTTACTTTATTTATCCAGGTTTTGCTTTTGTTGCTTATCCAAATAGAGATTCTACTACTTATAAGGAATTATATAATATTCCAGAAGCTCAAACTGTTATAAGAGGTACTTTAAGATATCAAGGTTTCCCACAATTTATTAAAGTTTTAGTTGATATTGGTTTCTTAAAGGATGTTTCTACTGAAGTCTTTTCAAAACCAATTGCTTGGAAAGAAGCTACTAGTCAATTAATTGGTGCTAAATCTACTTCTGAAGAAGATATTGTTTCTAAGATTAATGAATTAACAAAATTTGAATCTGATGATGATCAAAAGAGAATTATTTCTGGTTTGAAATGGTTAGGATTATTTTCTGATACACCAACTACTCCAAGAGGTAATCCATTAGATACTTTATGTGCTACTTTAGAAGAACTTATGCAATATGAAGAAGGTGAAAGAGATTTAGTTGTTTTACAACATAAGTTTGGTATTGAATGGGCCAATGGAGAAACTGAAGTTAGAACTTCAACTTTAGTTGATTATGGAGTTCCAGGTGGTTACTCATCAATGGCTAAAACAGTTGGTGTTCCATGTGCAGTTGCTACTCAACAAATCTTAGATGGTACTTTAAGTACTAGAGGTTTATTAGCACCAATGAATTCTAAGATTAATGACCCAATTATGAAAACTTTAAAGGATGAATATAATATTTTCTTAGTTGAAAAGACTATTTCCTAAATTTAAATACTTTTTAAATACTTTTTAAATACTTTTAATTCGTTTATTCTATAGGTTTATATATTCCTTTTGTTTTTATAATACATCCCTTTTATATTAGATATCATCATCATCCAGTTCATCACTTAATTCATAATCAATAGTATATTGTTCAATTAAATAATCAATATCTTCAATTAATTCTGCTTTATCATCTAAAATTTCCATGGCATCAATTCTACTTGGATGAATATTACGAATAAGTTTTTGATATGATTTTAAATCTTGTTTAAGATTAGTATTAATATTGAATTCAGAATAGAATGTAAATTTATCTTGAGATTTTAAAATCTTTGATGGGAAGGTTTCTACTTTTAATATATCATTCATATCTCTATTCTTAAAAAGATTTTTCGGTATACCATTACCTTCATTATCATCAATTAAATGTTTTTCAATTTCTTTATGATCTTCAGGTACAATATAATTTTTAATAAAATACTTTGTAGAAGATTTGTAATTAGTAGAATTAGGAATAAATGATGGAACACTAAGTTCTAAAGATTCTGAAGAAGTTAAAGAAGCTTGTTGAGGTGATATTCCTTCATTATAATAGTTACTTATATCAACATTTGAAATTAAATTATTAATATGAGATAATCCAATTTGAGGATATTCAAGATTATTAAGTTTAATTTCATTTATAATTTTTCTATTCTCATACCCCCGTAATATCATATCTTCCATAATACTCATAGATGTCAGATTTTTTGATTGATTATTGATTCCCCATATTGAATTTATAAATAATGATGAAATTGATGCTGAATGCCAAAGACTTTCATTATCATAATTATCATTTAATAATGCGTTGGAGTTGGAAGGTATTTGATTCATATTTATAGGAAAGAAAAGTGAACAATTTTTATTTAATTCAATTAAACTTTTAATTTGTGATATAGTTGAAAGTAATTTTGATGAACCCTTAGATGTATCAATATTTCTTGATGATATTAATCCATATAACCAAATACTATTTTTATGATTACTATTAAAATATTCATCAATAATAGTTGTTAAAAATTCATTTGTATAACCACTCCAACCACTATTTAATTCACTAATTATATTAATACCCTGTAAAGAATCACATTTTTCTAAATGATATCTAAAATTATCTATTTGATTATCAACATAATCTAAATTAGTTGAGAATTCATCTGATCCAACTTTAAAATTATCAAATTTTAAATTTTCAAAATTTTTATGATATCCATATGATTGTGAATTATGTTTAAAGTTTGGAATAGTATTCAATGATTTAGGAGTATATATTAATTTATTATAATCACTCCAATATTTAGTATTAGATGTAGTTAATAAATCTTGTTCAGTAATACCTTTATCAAGATTTAATTGATATTGATTTTTAGGTATAATCAGAACATTAGTATTAGTAAATAATTGATGAGATTGACTAATATTATTAAAAGTATTCTTAGGATCATGATATTCATATTTCAGTAATGATCCAAATCCTCCTTGAAGATCATATATTATAGCTCTTGGAGAATAATTAGTATATCCATTTTGTAAAGATGTTGAAAGAAATACTCCATTAGTATAATTAACTGGAGCTTTCTTTGTATAAGGTATATGTGATTCTTGAGTATTATATAAATGTGTTATCACATGATTAGAAGGTTGAGATAGAGATATACTTAATATTTCAGACATTTTATTCTAATTTATAGTAGATTTAATTAAGCTCTACAAGTGAAATATCTTTAATTTTTTTTTTCTATAGGTGAACTCCGATTTAGTGCGCACGATCACTTAATATCATCATAGCTTATATAGCATTATGTCATTAAGATAAAGTATGGAAGTATGGAGTAGACATATATGAGCAGTTAATTCGGGAAATATTAAGGGTTTCTACCTTAATTGGTAATACGAGAACACCACACCACATCAATGAGCAGTTAGTGCCAGCCTCAAAGCTTACAAGAACTAGAAAGTATACTGAATAAATGTTAAAGACGAATTCCATCTTTTCAGAGTGAGGCGATCCTAAAGGGATATAGTAATGAAATGATTATTATGTAGATCAATGTAGAAAATTTCTTCTATTTCAATGATCCAGGAGCTTATAATTAAATTTTTAGTAGAAGGAAGTAATGACTTAACTCTATAGAAAAGATAATACAAACTATAAATACTAATACAAATACAAACTATAAATACAAGTACAAGTACAAGTACACTAAAGTCAATCTCTATATTACATTAATTAACATTCATCTTCTTTGTCAATGTAAATCACTTGCAGGAAGACTTTCCTTTCCGCCTCAACAAACCCTTAAAAGGAGAGTTTAGATCTTCACTCCGAGGATGCCAGGCAGTGTAAGTCGCACCTACCAATTGTTTTACTTTTTTAAATTTTTTTTCTGACGCGTATTAGTGACCAAAATTCATAACAACAGTGACAAAAATAAAATAATTATCATCAAAATATAGTCAAGTATAGATAATTGTTAGAAGCATTTGTTCCCTAAATAAGACAAATACATTCAGCTGCACTTTACAATTGATAGAAAAAATCGCCTTGATTTTACAACTGTTTATGTATAAGTAATTAACTAGTTCAATTTACTTTAATAATAAATATATAAGAGTTTGAATTTCATATTTGTTTGAATTTATTAGATTTAGTTGTGTTTTTAATAAGTAAATATTTATATTTATACTATGACTGAAGAACTGGTTGTTTCAACTCCAACCATTCCATCTACTGATGAGAAAAATGGTCCAACTCAAGCATCACCATCATCATCAATTTCATCTATAAATAGTGATAGTTCAACAGGTAAATTAATTAAAAAATTATCTTCAGCTAATTTAGTTGATGATGCTAATACTAAATTAAAAATTCCAAAGAATAATAATACTGATAATAAGAAAAAACCAGTTAAATTTACTGTAAGAAAAGTTTCTCATGAACCAATTGTATCACCATTAACATCTCCTATTTTACAAAATCATCCTATACCAAATATTCAAAAGAATAATAATATAAGAGTTATATCACAAACAAATGAAGATAATCAAGCTATAAAAGATGGAGAAAAAGTAAGAGTGGCTGAATATAAATATGAACAATATCAAGAAAGAATACAAAAAATTGAAAAAGAAATTGTATTTTTACTGAATTTATTACCACCTTATAATGTGGAGATAGACTATAGTACACGAACGAAAATTACTAAAGCTATTGAGAAATTAAAGATGAAACAAGATGAAATAGAAAAGAAAAAGTATACTTTGGGTATAACTATTAGTAGATTAAGAAGAGACCATGAAGAGAGTGATATTTGGATAAGGAATTTTAGTAATCAATAGTTAGTATATACTATTGTTACTTATTATATTTACTTCATTTCTGTATATTATATGAGATTTGGTGTGGATTCACCGTTATTTACCTCTTTATGACATTATTAAAATGTATTTGTTATTAAATTACTATTTATGTAGTCGTCTAATGATCTAATTGATTTTGCGATACCCTCAGCCGTACCGATATTTTGACTATTTTGACTATTTTGACGGGGGGTTTAGTTGAGTACAAAATAACTAAAATCATTATCAATAGTTCTAGAAGCTTCTTAAGCATTAATATCCCCCACATATCTAACATTAACCCCGAATCTGATTTCTCAATCTTGGATCTCACCTCCTTCTACTTACGTAGTAGAGCATTCGCTTACAGGGGTGTACAATTTTTGTACTTCTCCACTATTAACCGAAACATATTACCAAATTACAATGATAATGTCATTAATATTACTATTACTATTATAATTAGATTAAGACTAATATCAGTAGTTTATATCAATTATATACTCTATATACTGATTTCTATTAATTGTTCCTTACAAAACTTTACTACCAAATACATTTCCCAGTGGGTAGCAAAGTGAAAGTGAATTTTCTGTGCCCGGTAATTGTTCCTGTGAGGGAAAAATTAATAGTGGTTTAAAAAAGTCGCTACTCCTTCGGTGATGTTCAGGGTTACAGTCATCTCATAGTTACTAAAATAACGACCAGTAATTTGTGTGAATTAAAGATCTAATCCACTGTAAGTGAACTCTAGCTGATATTTTTGAGTTAATCAGCTCTTCAGTGTTAAGATTCCTTTTTACACCATTATATTATTTTATAAATCCTTATATTAATTAATTGATTATCATTCAATTTTATAATAATGACATCTAAAAGCTCATCTCCTTCAAAACCTCCTCCTCTGTTCTTTTTATATGATGAAGAGATGGAAGTAGATGAAGCAAATGATTCAAATAATAATAATATTAATCCATCAAATATCCTGTCATCACCTAAATCTCAAGAATCTAATAATCGACAATATCAACGTAATAATCCTATAGCGACAGTATCTATACCCAATAAACAAAGCATATTTATGAATCCTAATGTTAATCATCAATCTCAATCCCAATCTCAATCCCAATCTCAATCACAAAAATCTTCAAGGCGACCTTATTCATTATCTGTACAACCACCTGATTTATTATTAACACCTACTACTTCAAATAATTCAACTCCTTCAGCATTTAGTCCAAATCCAGTCCCTTTCCATCCTAATAAAGATTCACAATTTCGAGAAATTGAAGATATTTTAAAATTCCCTATAGAATCATCTCATGCTTATTCATATGCTCATTTATCACCAAATTCTCTTGCTTTAAGATTAAATGTATTAAAAAGATCTTTAGAAATTTTAAAGGAAAGGCCAGATTTATTTAAATCTCTTAATCCTGATACTCCAAATAATGATAATGAATTTCATTTATCAATAAATGATACAAGTCCAAGTTTAACTAAAATTCAATCAAATATAATTGATGAAAAATCAAATCAACCTTTAACTTCTGCTCCTCCTTTACATTCATTTTATCAACAATCAAATAATAGTTCGGAATTTTTTAATGATAATAATAAAAAATATAAATTTGAACCCAATAAATTTCAATCAAATGCATCTTCAGCTGCTTTAGCAGCATTCTTTAGACCTCCAATTCAACGAACAGGTAGTGCATCATCAGTTTCATATCATTCTTCTGATAATAATAATATTAATAATATTAAATTAGAATCAAAGGGAGGTTCTCAATCACATCCTGTAACAAGAAAGGGTTCATTATCTTTAATTGGTCATCATGATTCTATATTAAATGATGATGTTAAAGATATAATTGATTTATTAGAAAATGATCTTGATTCATTAATGAATAATTCAGAAATTGCATCTACATTACATGATTTATCATTATCATCTCATGAAAAGGATAATTTAATTTTTAATGATCAAAGACAAGTTAAACATGATTTTATTAAGAATAAATTACTTTATGCATTGGCCACACCATTTGTTGAAACTTCTGTAATGACATCTTCACTTTTAGCAAGTGAAGAATCATTTCCATCATCTAAAAGTATACCAATAAGACCATCAACTACAGCATTAAATATGTTAAATAATCCTCAACCGATTAATAATCCAAATAATAATAATAACAATAATAATAATAATAATAGACCATTCCATTCAATGACATCAGGGAAAAGATCAGCCCCTCAATCGGTATTTACTGTAGAAGTTGAATCTCCTTGGCAAGTTAAAGCTGCTAATGATTTAGCATGTTTAATGTTTGGAGTATCAAAGGGAATGATTAGATCACTTACATTAATGGATTTAATTGCTCCACAATTTAGAGATTTTGTTACAGAAAGATTAACTAAATATATTGCAGAAAATCTTGATTTACTGATTCGACTGAAACGTTCAAATAAAGAAGTTAATAATAATAATATTTTATTTGCTGGAGAAATTGTTGCAATTGCTAGACCAGGTGATCAAAATTTTGCTTGGACATCAATGTGGGCTAAAAGAAAGGGAAATTTAATTATTTGTATGTTTGATCAAATTCCTTGTGATGCATTTGATGTAGTTATTCTGTGTGAAAAGAATAATAATATTATATCACCTATAAAAGATGGAATTTCAATTCCAATTTATAGTGTTGATTCTGTATCAGAAATTGCTGGAAATTTAGTAAGTCAATTTGATATACCAAAAATTAAATATTTAAAAGATATTAGTGATACATTAGATCAAGAAATTTCAAATTATAATGGAGATATTGATATGTGGGATAATGAATCAGAAGATCAAGATGATATTTTAGATTATTATGCTTCAAAACATACAACTGATAGTGCATTAATTAATAGAACAAGATATTATACTTTAAAAAGTAGAGGTAATGAACGTATCCCAATTGCCGTAACTTCAACTCCATTACAAATTAATAATGAAAGACATGAAATTAAATTAAAAATTCATTCATTACCTTATATTGCTGGAATATTTGTTATAAGTGCAATTAATTATAAAATTTTATCATGTAATAATGCCATTGCCAAAAATTTATTTGGGAAATCTTCTGAATTTTTACAAGATAAATCAATTAATGAATTAATTCCAAATTTTACTGAAATTCTTAAAGTTGGATTAGATCATAATTCTGATTCATTTTTATTAACTCCTGGTTTAGTATTACCTGAACATTTTTTTAGAAAATATGATGCATTATTAATTCATCGATATGAAAATCCTGATATTAGTGAAGAACAATTATTTTTTAATTCTCAAGGTATTAAAGGTATACATAGAGATGGAAAAAATTTACATGTTGATGTTCAATTAAGAGCTTCAACAAATGATACTTTAGTTCTTTGGATTACTTATTCTCGAGCTTCAAGTAAAAGTAATATTTCTAAAGAATTAGATAAATTAAGTGCAAGTTCTTCATTATCATCACTTGGAAAATTATCTAATCCAAAAACTAGAAAGGAATCTAATTCTTCAATATCAGAAGAATCAGTTACTGATAAAATCCTTCCTAAACCAAAACATAATTCATCTATAAGATTACCATCTCAATTAAATTTATTTCCTGCTGATGATTCTGGAATTCTTGAATTTTCTCCTAATAGTAATGAAATTGCTCGACTGAATTCTGTAAGACAAGCAAAAAATGAATCCTTTGGTATACCAGTATCATATTTAAGTAGTAAAGCTTTACAAAAGGCTACTTCAAGAGATAGTTCTGAAGCTAGAAGTTCAATAAGAGAATCATCTGATTCTGTAACTGATTATACTACAACTTCAGAACCAATTGAATCAAAAGTTCAATTAGGATCAGAATTAAATAATTATGGAATTTCTTCATATCTTAAATTTTCTGAAAATGATATTTTACAATATGAAAAGGATAAACTTTCTGCTATTGCTAGTCATTCAAAAGAATGGCCAATAGAAGTTGGAGCTAAACGGAAAACTAAGAAATTTTCTGAATTTAGAGTTATAAAGGAAATGGGTGAAGGAGCTTATGGTAAAGTAGTTCTTGTTCAACATAAACAAGATCATTTATATAAAATTATAATTAAATGTATTGATAAAGAAAGAATTCTTGTTGATACATGGGTTCGTGATAGAAAATTAGGTACAATTCCATCGGAAATTCAAGTTATGTCATTTTTAAATTCTGAACCTCATCCAAATATAATGAGAATAATTGATTTCTTTGAAGATCAAAAATATTATTATTTAGAAACTCCAATATTTGGTGATCCACCAGCAATTGATTTATTTGATTTTATTGAAGTTAAAAAGGATATGACAGAAATGGAATGTCAATTTATTTTTAAACAAATTACTTCAGCAATTTATCATCTTCATACTAATGGAATTGTTCATCGAGATGTTAAAGATGAAAATATAATTGTTGATGAAAATGGTATAATTAAATTAATTGATTTTGGTAGTGCAGGTTATACAAAACAAGGACCATTTGATGTATTTGTTGGTACAATTGATTATGCATCACCTGAAGTTTTAAGAGGAGAAAAATATGAGGGTAAACCTCAAGATATTTGGGCTTTAGGAATTTTATTATATACAATGATTTATAAAGAAAATCCATTTTATAATGTTGATGAAATTATGGAAGGAGATTTAAGAGTTCCATATGTTGTTAGTGATGCATCAGTTTCATTAATTAAAAAGATTCTCGTTCGTGAAGTGGCAAAAAGACCAACCATAACAGACATTGTAGAAGATGCTTGGCTTCAATTTTAGTTTATATAGTATATTTTATTATAATCAATATAATATATAATATATAATATATAATATATAATATATAATATTTATAATATTTATAATTACCCCCAATTCCCATTTTTCTTAGCTATATTTAATTTATCTATAATTTCTATATCTCAAAGACATTTCATCAATATCAATTTGATGCTTAAGGATTTCAATAAAGATATCATCACAATCAGTTTCTTGCTTTCTTCTAAAATCTAATTTATTATTTTCTTCATCATCTGATGATGATTCTATTGGTTCTGAGATACTTGTGGTTTCCAGTTGACTAAAACTAATAAAATAAGGATCATCAGTACCGTTTTGAACTAAAACATTTTCAGGAACTATATTTTGATGAACAACTCCAAGTTCATGAAACTTATTAAGGACTTTAATACTCTTTTGATAAAGTTGTTCCTTTCTCTCACCATAAAATCCAGCTTCAGATAATGGTTGACCATCAATAAATTCAAATAATATATAAAATCCAGTAATAGGTATTAAATCATCATTCTCTGGAATAGTTAATACATCTATAAATTTATCAATTGAAGGATTTTGTAAAATACCAAAACTATAAAATTTTGGAACACCAGTTTCAAGTCCTTCAAGACGTATATAAGCTTCAATTTCTTTAGCAAATGCTTTAAAACATGTTTTATAACTTCCTTCAATTACACTTTCTCTTTCAGTAAAAATTGCTGATCTTACAGGATCAACTACTTTTAAAAGATACTTCTGTTTAGTAGCTTTTTCAGTTACAATAAATATAATACTATTTGCAGAATAAAATTCAGCTCCAGATACAATTTTATCAAATGAATACTTGAGAGAGAATTCTTCTATGGGATAATGTTTCCATTTAGGATGCCTTTTCATCATAGCTGCCTTACCAATATAGAATGGCAGAAACAGGATTTCATTTTCTTGATTCATTGATTGATTGATGATTGATTGATAAAAAGAGATGTGTTATAATTTCGAGTTTTGAAGTGGTGATAGATAACCACTTTTATAGCGGCTGCAAATAAGTGCGCAGGAGTGTTTCAGGGTTCTATAAGTGACTCTTAGTCGTGTCCCACATCCAGGGAAATTATACGGTCTTATCGTGTACGATAATTTACACATTATATAACTACTATGTGAATAATACTGTATTACAATCAGTTCAGTTTCTATATATAGAGAGAGAGAGTAATCAGTTTTGTTATAGATACTTTGTATTACATACTTTATATTACATTACATACTTTAAATTAGATAGATGCTTTATATACAGGCACAGAGACACAATCTGACTTATAATTATTCATATAAATCTTACATAATATTAAGGTTAAGATCTGATGTGGATCCTTATGTCAGACAGTCTCCTGAGCCTAAACTTTACCTACTATTACTGTATGATTCAAAAATGTAACAAGAAAAAAAATTCCTATTATAAGCTTATATAAAGTAGCTGTGGTGCCATTTTCTTCATTTTATTATTGCATTATGGATGTTGATTTTCTGTTATATCATATCACCTGATCATTTTTTTTTCGGTATGTGCCGATCTTAGTAATTCAATGCGGTGGGCCGGTTTTCGTTTGTATAGTAAATTTGCTCTATATTAACGGTACTGTGGGCTTTGGAATTTATGTATAGTAGTTAATATATATGCAGTGGAATATATGGAATATTTCTTCGTAAATTTCATATCTCATCTAATTACAAATATTTCATAACTAACTAATAATCTATTTATATTCTAGTATATCATATTATTTTATTCCGTACAGTATCTCACTTATAGACTACTCTTAATTCATTTCAGAGCCGAGAATATCCATAAATACATACATAAGAATTTTTTTTTTGACAGATTTTTCAATTATCATACATATAGTACCCACACCCTAAAATGGCACTTCTCTCAAGAGTGTTGAATCATAATTCAGATAAACTGGGGGGTAAACGGTCTAGATCATCATCTTTACAGTCATCTGGTTCTACATCTCCTTCATTAAGATCATTTACTCGATCTAGAACCAATTCAGGTTTAACTGTTAATACCGTTAATACTTCACCTTCATCACCAAATTCTATTAACCATAATTCTAATAATGCAAGTTATGATCCAGCTTATTCCCTTTCAATCCATTTAGAATCTCCTCCTATAGTTCTTTATGGAAATCCAACTGAATCAACTGGTTCAATAATTTCAGGAGTATTAAATTTACAAATCAGAAATCCAAATCCAAATCCAAATCCAAATTCAAATTCAAATCCTACCAGAACTTCTAATGAATTACGTGCTGTAACTTCTTATCCTTTAGTAGCAAATTCAACTATAAGTTCAAATTCTTCATCAACTAGTTCATCTGCTTCAACATCTTCTCATACTCCTCCATCATCTCCATCAATAATTTCAACCACTATAACATCATCACCTTTTACTTATGAATTTGATAGTGTAACCATATCTTTAATTCAAACAGTTAAAATTTCAAAACCATTTATTATACCTTCATCATCCATTCAAAATTGTCCTACTTGTACAATTAAGAAAACAACCCTTGCAAGATGGGATGTTTTAACTTCTCCATGTGCTTTCCCAGTAGGTAAACATGCATACCCATTTTCTCATCTTTTACCTGGTTCATTACCTGCTACTTCTAAATTAGGTTCAATAAATTCATCATCTTCAATTAAATATGAACTTATTGTTATTGCTAAACGTCCTAATCGTAATAATCAAATTCAAAAGGATATTACTTTAACAATTCCAATTCGTATAACAAGACTGATTCTTCGTGGTCCTGATAGAAATTCTCTTAGAGTATTCCCTCCAACTGAAATTACTGCCAGTGCAGTTCTTCCTAATGTCATATATCCTAAATCAAATCTTCCAATAGAATTACGACTTAATAATATTGTTAGTAATCATGGTGATAGAAGATGGAGAATGAGAAAATTAAGTTGGAGAATTGAAGAATTAGTTAAACTTAAAGCATCTACATGTGAAAAACATGCATCTAAATTACATCAGGCTGAAGTATCTCAACGTAAAATTGCTAATAAAGATTCCTCATCAAATCCTGGATTTCATAATAAATCCAATGTTCATTATTCAACTATTCAGACTAATTTATCTATACAAAGAGATCCTTTAATTACTTCTAATGTTTTCCAAAATCATCCATTAATACCAACAGAAACAACTATGGGAGGTCATAATGCTTCAAATGTAGATACTATATCTGAAAATGATATTGACAATGATATGTCAGGAGCCATTCAATCAGCTCCAATTAATGCTCATGATAATTTTATTGAAGATTTTGGATCTACTATTACTAGTAGTTCAACTAATAATCCATCGACTCCAATAACTCCAGTAGCATCATCAATTAATCCTCAAGGAACTAATAATGAAGATGATGAACATTTATATATTGAAGAATTAAGAACTATTAGTCATGGAGATATTAAATCAGGTTGGAAATCTGATTTTAGTGATCGAGGTAAAATTGAATTAGTAGCTGAAATTAATGCCTTTAATTTTAATACCGGATTAAATAATCATATTTCAAAAGTATCTACTGATGATGATCCTAAAATTATGAATAATGCTACAATGAATGATGATCAAATTAATGTTAGTTGTGATATTGAAGATCCAACTTTAGGTATTTATGTTAATCATACTCTTGTAATTGAAGTTATTGTGGCAGAAGAATTAGTTCATAATTTAGAAAGAAAAAGAGCTAGAAGTCAATCAACAAATAGATTGAATAATGATTCAGATGAATTAATAACTACTTCTTCAACTACATCAAATACTGGAATTGGATCTTCTACTTCATCCACGCCAAAATCTCAATCTCAACAACCTCAAGTAGGTGTTCCTACCGGGGCAGCTCGAGTTTTACGTATGCAATTTAAATTATGTCTTACTGAAAGATCAGGTTTAGGTATAGCTTGGGATGATGAAGTTCCACCTACTTATGAAGATGTAAGAGCTTTAAGTCCTCCAACTTATGATAATCCAAGACATTATGAACTTCTGTCACCTTCATCTCAATCTCAAACTCCAACTAGTATTCGATCAAATAGTTCTACTCCAAATGTATTATATGGAATTGGAGAAACTCCAATAGTTGGAAGTTTTGGTTTAAGAACTCAAGCATCATCAATGACTATTGATGGGATGATTGATTTAGATGATAGAATTCAAGAGCTTGCGTTATAATTTCTATTTATTATTCAATTCTTAATTTTATAGACGTAATTTTATATATTACACCTACCATTCCATTTATATATTACTATTACAATACAATACAGGGGTTATACAGGTTTAAAATTATTTCAGTTAACAAGTAGAAAAAATTTAACTCTCAGATTCTGTTCCATCAGGTGCTTCAGATAGTCTACTTACTTCTAATAATGTATTATATAATCCAGTTAATTCAATTAAATCACCAACAGAATCCAGTCTTAAATCATATACTAATTGTTGAAATGAATGAGATTTAATAACCGTAATAGGTAATTTATTATCCGTCAAAAATTTCATTAAATGTTTATGAAATTTCATGGATGAATAAGGTGAATTATCAAAATCATTAGATAAAAATCTCCTATTATTATTATTAAGAATATGAGAATAAGTTTCTGCATTAAATCTATTAGATGTTGGAGTATTTGTAGTTGTTGTACCACTATGATAATTTCTTCCTCTTGATCCTGTATTTGTATTAGAATTTGTTGGACCTTGAGAAGTTGTATTAATTAAAGAATTTGATGAAGAAGTTTGAACAATTGAATCATTACCAGTGGCAGCAGATACTGCAGCTGCAGCTGTTGCTTGTTGTTCATGATAATTAGGTGGATAATCAATTGGTTCTCCATGATTATTATATGTAACTCCATATCCATCTACTGGAATTGCTCGAGAATAATTAATTGTTTCTTTACTAACTTTATGAACTTTTAAATGTTCACTTAATTTCTTTGGTGAACCCTTATCAGAAGATAATCTCATAATTATTTTTCCACAATAATCACAAGCTGCAACATTTGGATCCAGATTATCTTGAACAAACCATGACCAAACCCAAGATTTCTTTTTAGCTCCGAATCTATGACCTGGTCTATTGACTCGTTGAGGTTTTGAATTTGAAATTTCATTATTACCTGAAGATGGAGATTCGGCTGATTGTGATGATCCTTCAGGACCATCAACATTTGATCTAACAACACCAACTACTTGTTGAGCCGATTGAGTAGATTGAGGACCTACATTTTGGCCTACAGATTGAGTAGTTGAAGTTTGTTGTGGAGATGTTCCTGATTGTACATGAGGTGAGGTTTTAATTCCGGGTTGTTGCGGGCTTTGTTGATGTTGTTGTTGTTGTTGTTGTTGTTGTTGCGGTGTTTGTACTTGAGATTGACCTTGTTGAACCGATTGAGATTGTTGATGTTGAGCTATTGATGCAGATAAAGAATTGGCATCAGCCCCATTTGTATTGGCATTACCTTGAATATCTCCGGATTGCAGTTGTTGCAAATGATTCAAGCCATTATTTCTCTGGGGTGTGTACGAATACAAAGGGTTCGAATTGTTAGTAAAATAACTCATTGACCTTTAAATTTGAGACGAATTAATTAATTTGATTTGTTTATATTCAAATATAGCACAAACAACAGTTATGGAATGTTACTACTATTAAAGGGCTGGTTATATGTACGATGGTTGGTAATCAATTCGGTGGTTTGTGACTAGACGAATTTGAAATTAATCACCAAAGTCGACCCGGTTTTCTGTTGACTTCCAGTCGTGGTTCTCGCGAACTTTTAGGGAAATTCGCTCAATTTGGGGGGAGAAGGAATGCTCGGTGTGCCGGAAATGTTCGGATTAGAATTTGTACTTCCGTTCTTTTACCTTCGAATTTGGGTAATTATTTAATATATTAATAATATTACATCTATATAAAGTCTAGTCGGAATCATATAATATCAATTTGTTACTTATTCAGTCAGTACAGTAATATTATGACTGTAGTAGTTTACAAGGTTAGACCGTTTCTTACATACTGACAAATCCAACCCGACCTTCGCACTGTTCCGTACCCTACTGAGTTCCTGCACAAGCGTGCCAAACTTCCGACAAGGATTGTGTCGTTAAGGTCGGTAAGCATTAGAACATTTCTCCGTAGTAAGTATGCCGCAAAACCTGATTGACGAGCTGATGATCTTATCCTTTCAGTTTCTCCATAAGTCATTTTAAACAATATCCATATGTCTATACATATTTATATATATATGGCTTCTGGCTGTCATTGTTAAATCTCTGATGTAATCTGTATCTAGTTTGCATATCGTCAATTGAATCAATAATTGATCGTCAAAGCAAACTTATTGTTAGATAGGTCATATAAACAATTTCAAACACCCGAAAACTTTGTTAAATTATTCACTTGCCTATTCACAATGGCTTCATAACCAGCTTCTAAGTTTAACTTTGTAAGTTGGCCTAATGACTGACGTAACTTACCAGCCACTTTATTCCATTGTATTTTATATGTAAATTCGCAAACTAACTATGAATTTCTCGCCCTGTACCACTTTTTTTTCCTTGCTATGTGCAACACATTTAGTGCACAGTACCGAAAATGGATTTCGCAGCCAGCAAAAATTATACCGAATTGAGTAAAATTCATTATTATTCTAGGTTAAGCGTGCTATTATTTGAATCATTCCCATATTTTTATGGGCTAACCATTATAATATTGCTAAATATTTTAATTAAGCCGGGAAACATCTTGAAAGCTTGTTCAAGGCAAAGGCCTGCATTCCCAATCTAGTAAGACTCCACTGTGTGGCACATTGCGGGATCTTGCTTGCTGACCTGGTTCAAATAATATTTTACTTAACCGAATATCATCAATTGTTCAAGAATGTATATGTTACTTTGCATGTTTCCAAGGTTTTATTTTACTATTACCAGCCCATTGATGCATGTTACTTTGATGGGTAACTGGTCAATATTTTATTTATCCTTTAAACTTGTTCATATATATATTGCTAAATATTTACAAAAGTTTATTTAAATTGTTGGTCTCCTTTCACTTCCTTCTTCTTTAATTAACATATCAAACAACTTTGAAAGGATACCTCAACATCGGTCTTAATTAAAAATCCCTAGTGTTTTCTCACTCTCTATCTCTAATCCAACTTTAGTCATTCCCTATCTATTTTAACTATAGTCACTCCTTTAATACTATAAATTCCAACTACTTTTACATTCCTTTACCAAATAACTCCATTATAATTTTATACCAAAAAATGCAATTCTCAAAATTCCTTTTATTTACTGTTGCTTCAAGTTTAGTTTCTCAAGCCATTGCTTTCCCATCCTTTGCGGCCAAGAGAGATGATGACGATGACGTTGTTATCGTCACTCTTCAAACTACTGTCAATGATGTTACTACTAATTTCCATACAGTTAATGCTCCAACTTCAACATTCACTAATTTAATAGTTAATACTGATACTACAACTGTTACCAAATACACCGCTACCGTTACATCTACAATTTTCGGAACACCTCATACTTTCGTCACTGTTGCAACCACTCCAATTCCTAACCAGAACAAAGAGGTTGTTGATACTGAAGCTGAAACCGAAGTTGAAACCCAAGTTGAAACCCAAGTTGAAACCAATACAGAAACTGAAGTTTCAGCTGAAGTTGAGACTTTTGCTGAAACAACCATAGTTGCCACTTTGCCAGAAACTACTTCAACCAGTCAAGGTAATGATGAAATAATTACTTCAGTCGAAACATTGGTCAATACTTATGTTGAAACAAGTGCTTATGCAATCACAACTGTTACTCCAAGTACTTCATCTATCGCATCAGCTTCTACCACCACACAGTTAGTTCCAATTAAAACCAGTACACCTGCAACTAGTTCATCCCAAACTGCTACAGGAACCAGTAGTACCGCAAGTTCAGCAACTACTTCAACAACCTCCAATGATCCAGCTCCAACAATTACTGGTACTGTTGTTCCAAGTTCTACTGGTGGATGGATCTTAGGGAATATAACTACAATTACTTCTAATAGTGTTTGTATTGTCAACTATGATTACTACAATGCATCAGAATCTGAAGCAGACGAAACTACCACGATAATTTCAACGATTTATACCACTGTAACTAACACATTATACTAATTGATGTGAAAATCTCTGGCCCTTAAATCCTATTGTTAACGAAGTTTATGGTTTTTTATATTTTTATTTTAGTTTATCGTTGCTTACTTTCAGTTCTGTTTCATTTATGTATAATAGTTCCTCACAAGAGAAATATAGAGTTCTTGGTAGTCTGGTATAGAATGTTGTTTTGTTTGTTATAACTACTAAACATCAACAATTCTTACTGAATCACTAGGGTATTATTTAGACAATTCCTTAATTTTAAATAATTTTTGTATACGTTTTTATAACTATTTTTGTATCAATATAATTTAATTGCTGATATATGCTCATTAGGAAATTATATGCTTGTAGTATTTTTAGTGTGATAGTGCTGGCTAAGTTTGGACGCAAAATGGTCTTAATAACTTTAACCTTTAAAAATTATGAATTAGGGCAACAGACCTACAATTTGAAAATACACGTGATGAATATTATACGTGCAGGATGGTTTTCAGTGCAACACAGTAAAATGTCGTGTAGGCAAAAATTTTTCATTAACTATGCAAGTAAGGAACAAATGTCTCATGTCGCGCGCCCTAACAAAATTAACCCTCACCAAATCTCATAGTAAGTGTGCATGTCTCATACAATTTTGTTAGCACCAGAGCGAAGAAGAAAAAATATTGATTAAAAATTTGTATTGAATTTTTTTTATTTCATTTTACCTACTTTAGCTATACAAATTAAGTCATAATGGGTATGTTTAGTATATGAGTAGAGGTAGAAAAGAGATTCATCATTGTAATATAAGTCTATGTCGTTCCAATTCAAATACGTTGAAGTTTCGTGAAGATTTAATAAAGAGATTGTCGAGTTATAGTGGAAAATTCTATATTGAAGTATATCCGTAAAGAATCATATCTAATAAAGAAATAACTTTGGATTTATCATTATGTTTAATTATTTATACCAGTTAGTGTTAAATAATATCAAGTAGATCAAGTTTGGTATGTTTAAGAGCTTGTATACCAAGACATTAAATAATCAATAAGAATTATAGTAAGAGTATGAATTCTGTGTAATCAACATATGATTCGATATGCCAACCAATAAGTTACATACTAATTTATTTATAATATTTCAACTACTAGTAATTCCCAATTCAAATAACGACTAAACTTTACAAGAAGAATGAATCTCATTTAATCTCATTTAATATATAATATTAAGAATAACTTTACTAACAATTAATTATATAGTTAACGTTCCAAAAACTAGAAAGACCTACTGTAAAGGTAAGGAATGCAGAAAGCACACCCAACACAAGGTTACCCAATATAAGGCTGGTAAGGCTTCCTTATTCGCTCAAGGTAAGAGAAGATATGACCGTAAACAAAGTGGTTTTGGTGGTCAAACCAAGCCAGTTTTCCACAAGAAAGCTAAGACTACCAAGAAGGTTGTTTTAAGATTAGAATGTGTTGTCTGTAAGACCAAGGCTCAATTATCTTTAAAGAGATGTAAGCATTTCGAATTAGGTGGTGACAAGAAACAAAAGGGTCAAGCTTTACAATTTTAAAAGTGAAATTTATACTTTATTAGTCAATATAATTATAATGAGTTTATTACTTCATAATATCTAATTTGAACCTGGTTTAGAAAGGGTATAACATACATTTACATATATATATTATCCAATAATTTTGTATTTTTCCTTTTATCATATAATATACATTAAAAACATTAATTAGAATGTAGAATAGCTAATTCCTAGTAATTAAGTAATATGAAGATTAGAAGATCAACAATTTAGTGCTACTAAAAGTAATTTTAAAGATTAACTTCTAAACTCTCTTTATTCTACTGACCGGAAGTCAACTTCCTTTAACAATTATCCTTTCATGTCGTAAGCTGCTTTCTATACTAATAGGTAATGAATAATAAAACAGCACGTGATATAACATCACATGATAAGCCACATGACATTTACGCCAAAAGTTTTTTTTTACTCGAAAAGGAGTAACGAGTGAGATCAAAACAGAGCCAACCGAAAAGGTCTCGAGAACATTGAAGCCCGAAACATTAGCTTAATATCACCACCAAAGCCTTAACGTTTACTATCTCAGTTTATAAATATCACATAGTTAAGTTTTGACGTTTGGGTTAATAGTTTGAGCAAAATTTTTGATTTGTGGATGCCATTTTTATAGACATTTCGACATCAGATCATTGTTAGTACTCGGCAATTGAAATAATCATAACAACCTCCACTTCATTGACATTCCTTTTATATTTGTTGTTAATTGTTTCATTGCCATAGTTCGTTATCGGACTCAAGACACAAATATACTGAATAATTATTTCTTTCCTTAAATTTAATACAGTACATTGAGAAACACTAACATGGATTACGATAACTTAAGTGAAGAACAGAAGCAACAGCTTTATTATCAGCATTTACAGCAGCAACAACAACAGCAACAACAGCATCAGCAATTTGCTGATATCCAACGTCAACAGCAGCAACAGCAACAGCAACAGCATGTGCAACTCCAACAAAAGACTATACCCAATCTCCAATACGATCATGATGACAGTTTCATGGATGAAGATACGACTCAAATTGAAAATCCTCCCACATCGACAATCCATGATTCAAATTCCCCTTTAAGACAGCAACAACAAGCTCTCCAACAGCAACAACGACATCTTCAACTGCAACAAAACCAATTTGTTGCTGGTTCCCCACGTTTTACAAACAATTATTATGATGATGTTCATTTAATCTATAGTGAAGATGATGAACAACATCATTCAAATAATAATGCGATAAATATTGATAATAATGGCTATAATAATGGATTATTGAATGATACAGTTGTAACTCCTAGTAGTAATAAATTCACATCGATTGATTCTTTGAATTTCAAACCTCCAACTACATTTACTCAATTGAATAATAATAGTAGTACAAATTTATCTGAAATTAGTAATTCGAATAATTCCTTAAGTAATTCATTACTTTCAAACCATAGTAGTCCAAATTTACAACAGCCTCCTACCCCATTAGCTGGAAATTATGATAGTCATAATTCAAGCTTAACAAATTTGACAGCTAATAATACTATTGCAAATGCAAATCTTGGATTCCAACAACAGCAACAACAGATACAGCAACAGCAGATACAACAGCAACAGATACAACAACATCAGCAGCTACAGGCCCAACAACAACAGGCTCAACAGGCTCAACAGCAACAACAACAGCAACAGCAGCAGCAGCAGCAACAACAACAACAGGCTCAACAACAGTTTCAACAGAGACAATCACAACAACAACAATCATATCAGTTGGCCCCAACTAGTAACCCTTCCAACTATGTGTATTTCAATAGGCAACCTAACTTATTTTCCAAATCTGCTCAAGACAAAGCTGCAGCCATTAAATTAAAATTAGAAAATTTTTATCAAATGTCTGTATCGCATGCTATTGAAAGAAATCAAAGAAGATTAGATTTAGAGCATAAATTGTTAACTGAAGAAGCAGGATCCAGTGAAGAACGTAAAAATCGTCAATTAACCAATTTAGGTAAGAAAGAATCACAATTTTTAAGATTAAGAAGAACCAAATTATCATTAGAAGATTTTACAACTGTTAAAGTAATTGGTAAAGGAGCATTTGGTGAAGTTAGGTTGGTTCAAAAGAAAGATACTGGTAAAATTTATGCTATGAAAACTTTATTAAAATCAGAAATGTATAAAAAGGATCAATTAGCTCATGTTAAAGCAGAAAGAGATGTTTTAGCAGGCAGTGATTCACCTTGGGTTGTTTCATTATATTATTCATTTCAAGATACTCAATATTTATATTTAATTATGGAATTTTTACCAGGAGGAGATTTAATGACAATGTTAATTAGATGGCAAATCTTTACTGAAGATATTACAAGATTTTATATGGCTGAATGTGTATTGGCCATTGAAGCTATTCATAAATTAGGATTTATTCATCGTGATATTAAACCAGATAATATATTAATTGATATTAGAGGTCATATTAAATTATCTGATTTTGGTTTATCTACTGGTTTTCATAAGACTCATGATTCAAATTATTATAAAAAACTTTTAGAAAAAGAACCTGCTAATCAAGCTCCATTACAACCAAATCAATTAAGTAGAAATTCTGTTATGGTTGATGCAATTCATTTAACTATGTCTAATCGTCAACAAATGCAAACATGGAGAAAATCAAGAAGGTTAATGGCTTATTCAACAGTTGGTACACCTGATTATATTGCTCCAGAAATCTTTATTCATCAAGGTTATGGACAAGAATGTGATTGGTGGTCACTTGGAGCTATTATGTTTGAATGTCTTATTGGTTGGCCACCATTTTGTAGTGATTCACCTCATGAAACTTATAGAAAGATTTTAAATTGGCAAGAAACTCTTCAAATACCTGATGATATTCATTTAAGTCCTGAATCTGAAGATTTAATAAGAAGATTACTTACTAGTAGTGAAAATAGATTAGGAAGATATGGAGGAGCGGAAGAAATTAAACAACATCCATTCTTTAGAGGAGTTGATTGGGATACAATTAGAAAAGTTGATGCACCATTTATTCCAAAATTAAGATCAATTACAGATACTAGATTCTTCCCAACTGATGAATTAGAAAATGTTCCTGAATCTCCAGCATTAAGTCAAGCCATGCAACAACGAGAAATTGATGCTAAGAATGGTAAAAAGAATGTTAAAGAAGATTTACCATTTATAGGTTATACGTATTCTAGATTTGATTATTTGACTCGTAAGAATGCCTTATAGAAAGGTCTATAGATGATATATAAAACAACAGAATTAAATAAGTTATTTAATTTATTATTTATACGAAACATTTAAGAAATCTATTTATTTATATAATAATAATACTCAGTAAATATGTAATTCAAATAAATTAATAGTTGCAAATCATAGTATATTGCAACTATGATTTGCAACTAACTATGATTTGCAACTATTACTATATATATATATATATACATATAATTTTAGTGTCCCTGCACAATAGCTCATGTTAACGTTACAATAATATCGGATTAAAAGCCATGCTAAAGCCATACGGATTCAGATCTCTTTGAGAATAGCATCCAGAAGTAAAGTGGGAAAGTTAAATGTGTAAATCATTAATTGAAAATAAGGGCTTAGCGGAAATAGAAGGAATAAAAATACCAAACCCCGGTGCAACGGAGAGGAATCGGATTTCAAACGAACATATTATCCGAAGAGGGATGAAGGTATAGATAGGATAGACAAGAATGCTGAATTCGGATGTAAGGTGCAAAAAGAAAGAAATGACGAAAAGAGGGGTTAACAAATCGTAAATAATCATCTAAAAATACAGCACCATAATAGTACAAGGGTCTGGGGTTTGAAATTAATCCAATTCTTTGAAAGAAGTAGATCTACATAGAACATATAATGAGATTGACAGTATTTGACGATAACCGTCTATTTACAAATTGAAATCGATATATTAGTAATAAACCACGGAATAAGCCCCCAAACGAGTAATGGTGCCATTAATTAAATGGTGTGGTGGGGGACGCTAGTTATGTGTCGTTTTTAATTTTGAGAGTACCTGCCCGAAGATGAGGCCCGATTAAACCTTCAGTACATTTAAGGGAATATTATCAAATTTGATCGGTTCGGGCTAAAGTTCGGCGTTAAAAATTAACTCAGCGGTCATCTCCATGTCTTACCGATGGTTCCGGTCACGTGAACTCGGTACCTTTCCTAATTAGGACAAATTCCACAAGCACCACAAATAATTATTCAAACCCTAAAAGATCAGACAACTTCTTAACAACAGGTTGTAATATGGAATTGGAACTGTTTACTAGATCTTAATACAAGGCTAAGTAGAATGATGGCGAAGTAGAATATAGCCCGAGTCGTTTCATATCTCTTGGTAAACCGCAAGCAAATGCGGACCTTAAAGAATAAAGTAACTTTTTTAGCGCAAAAAAGTAAAATTATCACGATAATTTAGGCTGAGTATAGTGTAAACGGTTTATTTGCCTGCAAAACATTATTGTCTCAAATAAATTTGTTATTAATAATCTAAAATTAGGTTCATGCAAGTTATTTAGCTTATTTCTTGTACATCAGTCAATAATATTTCTTTGCATAGCTACCGGCTTAAAATGGTATGGCATTTACATTGCTCCTATGAGTAAATTTTTATATATTGGTCAATATTCCCCCCGATTTTTTGTAGTATCTAATTACAATCTTTACCAGGTGTTGTAATACAGAGTATTTGTATTTGTTACATTAAATTATATTTTATATTATATTAAGTTATATAAAATCACATTCAAATTATACACATTGTTTTCCAATTAACAACTTAACAATATATTTAGTCATCAATTACCCCTACTTTCAGCCGAAATTACAGTAATTGAACATTTACTATACCGAATATTATCCATTCCTTTTCAAATTTCTTGATAAAAACTCTGGGCCATTACAACCTAAACTGTTACCCAGGAGCCGTATATTCCATTGTTTTATAATATTCTCCAAATTTTACTTTGTTCTTTTTAGGAGGTTTTAGCTAAACATATTCCGGAAATATTTTAGTAATTTTCACGCAGACCGAAAAAAAAAATTGTATATACAGATCCTTCTGTCATCCTTTACTATTTTCCCTTAACAGCCATTAGTAATTACTACCAATTGAGTCTATACATACATTAAAGAGTAGAAAATCATGAGGTTATCTGTTAATTCGTCTTATATACTATTTATATGTTCACTCCTAGCTCTTATAGGATCTATCCAGGCCATGGATATGGATGATATGGATATGGACAATGATATTATAGAGTCCGGTTCCGCCGCATCCTCATCCGATGATCATCAAGATATTCAAACTCCAATTGAATCTCTTGAACCAATACCTCATGTTATGAAACATCCTCATGGATTACCAATCCTTGAAACTTCCTTATTACCAGAGGAAAGATTATTTTGGGAAGCTTACAATACAACTACTTATTATAATGCTCCATCTAAGCATAGAGCGGCCCTTTACGCACATATTATTTTCGCTCTTTTAACTATGGTAGTCATTTATCCAATTAGTCTTTTATTCAATAATTTGAAATTTAATACGTGGTATTTGATATCTTTGACAGCTCATACGGGTTGTATACTTGTGTCATTATTAAATTATTCGATTTTCATAAATTCAATTGAAAGCCTTTATCCTGGAAATGCTTATAATTCAATGTCATGGATTTTATTATTTTCTACAGTTATTCAGTATGTTGCAGCTCTTATTAATTTTGGATATAAATATCTTAATAATGAATGGAATTCTGTAACTTCATCTCAAACAAGTGGTGCTTCGACTCCTGATCATTTTTTTCCCTTTGAAGATTATGATGATGATAATCATTCTGATTATTCATCTCCTGCTATAACTTTATATGATTTATCTAGACAAGGTACAACTACAAATTCTTTTGAATTGAATTCAGATGATCATTCTAATGGTCAGAATATGACATCTACCAATTCCATGTTATTACCAGATAATCATCATTTGGATCATTCACCTTCAACTATTCGTTCAAAAACTATTGTATCTAAAGTATTTACCTTATCTATCTTTCAGCATATCTCCAGTTCAATTTATAAAGTTGCTAATGTGACCTTTAATTTATTAAATTGGGGTCATTTCTTTTATTTTCTTGTCTATATTCCAACTGGTGTTGCAACCTTTGCCTTATATGGTAAAGGTCAAACAGTGTTTAACTTATTAGCACATTTCATTAAAGGTGGTGTGTTTTTCAGTTATGGTGTTTTATCATTGGCTCGTTATTCTGGAGCTTTTCAATCCAAAGGTTGGGCTTGGAATCATAAATTTATAAATGAATCTAGTGTCGTTTCATCTTACTGGAATAAAATTCAAGGTCGTGGTCTTTGTACAATGGAAATGATTGAAAGTGGATTAATTTTATTCTATGGATCAACCAATATATTCTTAGAACATTTATCTGATGCTGGTCAAGAATGGTCTCCCAAAGATTTACAACATGTTTCAATTGCATTTATTTATATCGGAGCTGGTTTATGTGGGGTTATAACTGAATTTAAATTAGCCACTTGGAGGTATGAAAAATCTATTGAAAACTTACAAAATTTCGAAAGATATACTAGCATTGATAACCAGATTCAATCAAATGTTTCAAAGCCAGGTAAAAAGTCAAAACTGATATTATCAAAAGTATCATCAAGAATTATGAAGGCTTCGCCAGGTTTCTCACCAAATCCATTCCCAGTAGTAACAATTTACTGGACTGGAATATTAATGTCATCTCATCAACAAGCTAGTTCATTATCAACTGAAATTCATGTTCAATGGGGTCAATTATTCCTCATGGGATGCATTTTTAGATTCCTTACATATATTCTTGTGTTACTTACACCCCCATCAACTAAAAGTTTAACTAAGCCTTCAAGACCTATAACTGAATTGGTTGTGAGTTTTAGTTTATTGTGTGGAGGGTTAGTATTCATGGAATCTACCGATCCAGTTGTTCTTAGTTTTGAATATTATGGATTCACTTCTATGTTCACTTTAAATCTTTCATTAGGTTTTATCATGTTATTCATGAGTTGGGAAATGAGTCTTTTTGCTTTTAAGGATTGGTTAATTGGTAAATATTTTCATCCAAGAAGACAAGCATTAACTCAAAATCATGTATAACCTCGCTGCTTTTTCATTCCTATTTTGATAAAAGTTTGAAATCTTTTCATTAAAGTAAAATAACTATTCGAAGAACATATCAATATGTTTTAATAATTAATTTTGTTATTTGTTTTCCTTTTGATTGCTATATTATTTATATTAATGAGTTTTATGTATTTATTGTTACAACTTTGACCTTAATTCATGTCAACTGTTGCTCTATCATTATCACGTTGTTGTTGCTGTTGCTGTTGTTTTTGCTGTTATTGTATTCGTTTGGTTTGACTATTTTAATTATGCTACTTTCTTCAGTCATTTCCATTCGTCATTCTATTTATTATTATTATTATCTAATTAATTATTCTCTGCTTTCTTGTTAATAGAAATGGGGAATATAATTATTTCCTTGATCATATTAATATATTATTATAATTATAACTAAATGGGGATTCGTAAAACCTAAACAATGAATAAATGTGGCGAAGTAATTAATTTGATTCTTTGATCAAATTCTACAAAATCTCGCAAATAACCACTTAAATGTCACCCAGTATATTGATATATATGTATAGATGTTCCATGTTAAGCTTTACATTAATATCAGAGACTATACAATCTACTGTTGCAGCCATAAAATGTTCACAAACCACATAATGTATTCTTCACACTATCTGTAGAGGGGGGACTAGAAGGTGAGGGAATTAGAAATAAAATTGGGGGAAATGATACGGCGTATGCAATAGAAGTTATGGTAAATAATAAATTGTAAATAATAAATATTCAGGGTTATATAATTTATGTCAGTATAAATTCATGTAATTTATTGAATTTACTTAAGTGATGTCGTTTACATTATGCATGCCCCAAAGATCAGCAGCCAAGTGAATTAGATTTTTAAGAAGACTCTAACACAATTTGTTGGATTTTTGTACCAAATTCATTAGAAAATAAGATAATAAATATTTTGTATATTATTGTCTTGAGAATTATTTAATTTTTATCATGCAATGATTAATATTAGCTCGTTGTTTATGCCCAGAATCAATTTAAGGGAGACATTAAAGAAATACCCCTGGTTTTCTTGGAGATATATTTTCGATCTGATTTAGAGGGATGAGGGAGGATCTCATCCTGATTTTGCGCGCGACATTCTGCAGTCAATTTCATTTCCCGATTTGGATGCGTGAGAGATGATGTTGATCGGCAAGTAGAGGGATTCATATTCTGTGACAGCACGGCTTATGATTAGGAGCCAGGTAAAGCCCGGGCGATATAGAAGTATCAGGTGGTGACTTAACATTTAGACAATAATGAAAGGTATTGACACACTCAAATACACACAAAAAATTTAAAATACTACTAGGTAGGTAATTAAATGTCTGCAAAGGGAAACTTCTATGCTTAAGTGTGAAATGGTAAATAAACCCTCCATTGTCCCTATTCATCAAGTCTCTACAGTACTTATTCTTTATTGTTACTTTTTATTATCTATTAATTGTAGCAACGTTGGATAAGGGATAGCTTAATTGAGCAGAGTCTGTAACTATGTATTCAATAGATTCTTGCAGTAATGAACACCATGAGAACTATGTATATATATTGACCCATTCCTCTATTTTGGTGTAATGAGTTAAATTGAATTCACATTCATGTTTAAGTTTTCAAAGACTACTGAATAAGTAGTTATATTTTGTGATCGACATCATTTACACATCACTATCCAGTTTAATCCCCACTATACTTTTTAGTGTCATTATACTATTTAGTTCCATTATAATATTTAGTCCCACTATACTATTTAGTTCCTACGTATTACTATACTGTCCATTGCCCCTCGTTGATTCATAACCAATTTGGTCATCACCCCTCCTTGTCGTCCCACTGATAGTTTGTGATTTCGTAAAATTTACGCACGCATCATTACAATAGTTACGACATTATTGTCGCACCTGGCCGTTTTTGTCGGCTTGTCTGATTTAGATTTTGGCAAAAGTTTAACTTAATTTTTTAGATTTTAATTCTTAATTTTGCAGTGATAGCTGAGCAGCTCAGAAGCTTCCCAGCTTAGCGTAGCATAATACTTTAAACACTCCGCATATTAGACCAGCATATATATTTAGCATACCAGTCATTATCATTTCTGATCATATATCAAAATCTAAAATTAACGGTAACTATTTAGTGCATCACACAAAAGGTTTATCTTAGCCACCAGAAAGCCCCCTTAAGTCGACTGCGACTTTTTGTCACACCCATAATTTCACTTCCTAATTAGTAACCCACAACCCACTTATTACAGATTACCACATACCACATAACACATATAGCAAATTTCACATAATATATTTTATATATATACTGTTGAAATGGCTAATGTTATATCTTTAGTAGATGGATATATTTCATTGTTGAAATATCGAAGTCCAACTTCTGGCCAGATCAATTTTAATTCTTCAGTCACAGTCCTATCTCCCACAGATATATCATCCTCTGTAGGATCATCTTTAACTTTATCTTCACATATCTCATCTTTAACTTCTAGCCCTAATAGCGACATTCCTACCACCACGAGCATCTCTCCCGATTTATATATTTACGCCAAGGACGGAAGTGCGACATTTCAGACATTTTTCACTAATACCCCTGCCACTTCTAATTTTAACTTGAATCCTGCCCCATCACCAACTACTACTTCTGTTTCCACCCTGTCGTCACCAACATTAACGTCTCCGACTAACAGTCTGACCTTGTCACCCTTATCGACGTTAAGTCCGAGTCCTACCTCCCTTCCAAGTTCCACCACCAGTTCCACCACTAGTTCTAGTTCGAGTCTGACTTCTACGACATTATCTTCTAGTACCAGTTCTAGTACCAGTTCCAGTTCCAGCTCTAGTTCCAGTTCTAGTTCTAGTTCAAGTTCAAGTTCCTCGTCATCTTCTACACATTCTACCACAAGTGCATCAAGTTCAAGTACTATGACTTCGCTTGTATCACCCACAAACACTCAGTTGTTTGGGGACTCAAGTGCTTCGAATTCTTCGGCCCCTACAAGTTCGTTATACTCATCATACTCTTCGTCATCTGCATCTGAGTCTAGTACAGACTCTTCTAGTTCCAGCATCCAAAACTCCAGTTCTAGTTATAGTTCTGTTTCCAGTTCTAGTTCTAGTTCAGTTTCCAGTTCTTCAGATTCTTCCAGCTCAAGTGATAGCTCTTCTGAGCTGTCCAGTAGCTCATCTTCAAGTTATAGCTCCAGTTCTATTGCTTCTTCAAGCGAAGTTGATTCATCTTCACTGGTTGTTGCAGCCACAACGTCAAGTGAATCATCTTTGATACCTTCTTCATCATCCAGTGCATCAAGTTCTATTTTTAGTTCAAGTTATATCAGTCCTAGCTCAAGTTCTGTAATTTCATCTAGCTCTTCTGACTTAACTTCGTCTAGTCACCAAGAATCTTCTAGTCATCATACATCTTCAAGTTCAAGTCCCAGTTCATCCACTGAAGAATCATCTAGTTCTGATGATTCTTCATCTTCTGGTGATGCTTTTATAACCACCACCACATCATCATCATCTTCTACTACAGCCACCACTTCACATACAACCACATTTATGACATCCTTCACGTCTACATTAAGTGTATCTCCTGATACGACTATAACTACCGTTGTTACTATCCCCACATCTGCCGTTGAAGCAGGTGCAACACCTCAAAGTACTGTCGAAAGAAATTCTAAATTAATAGGAGGATTAGTAGGTTCAGTAGGTGGTACTATAGTCATAGGAACATTAGTAGTATTATTTCTTTTCTTGAAGAGGAGAAGACAACGGTCATTTAAAAACCAATCGCCTGATTTTGATGATTCACCAGAATTACCTCCAAAGGGAGGTTTAGCCATGCTTTCCAGTGATAGTGATAGATCTGGAATGACAGATTCTAAGTTTGGATTTAAAAAGTTATTTGGATCCAAATTATTTACAGGATCTACAACTAATACTGCTTCCACTATTGGATTTGGTTCAGGTATAGGTGCCGGTACAGCAGCTGCAGGAGGATTTATGGCAAGTAATGAACCTGAAAGATTAACTAATTATGGTACAACCGGTAATACAACTACAGCTGCTGGTAATAATACTCATGGAGATTTTGAATATCGAGGAGTAGCTAATAATAATAATTTAGATGCTTTATTTAAATCATCTAATTCATCTCTGGGATCTACTACTCGTCGTGCTTCAACTAATTTCGGTAAGTCAACCCCATCATCCACTGCATCCAATACTTCTGAAGGTCGTATTACTCGATTAAATTCTTTTGGACATCCCCTAGCTGCTCCTGATCATTTTAATTTCAATGAAAGTGAAGAGTATCAAAATCATCCTGAAGTTGTAGCTGGTATACCCGCTGTAACTGTAGAAGATTCACCATTTCAAGAGCATGAAGAAGTATTTAAATCAGACAGTTATAACTATGATACCGATACAGACTCTGGTTATCATGATTCAGATTATGATTTTGAACATGATGGATTAGTTCATCCTCATGATACTCGGAATATACTTAATCCTCATCATGTATTTGATCCTAATCAGGAAATTGGCAGTAACAATTCTCGGTCATACTTCTCCGAGCAAATTGATTAACATTAAAATTGCATATTCAGTTCTATTTAGTTTGTTTAATAAGTTTTGTTTTAAGTTTAATAATTTAAAGATACCACGTAGAATAATAGCGCGCTACCATATACGCAGACAAGATAGTAACATCCCCTCATGAGCGCACAAAAATGATGCAATATTTATTGTGCCATAGTAACTAATCTATAACTAGTCAATTACAACCAGTTGTATTAAGATGATAATGTGCAGGTGGGTCAGGCACTTGACTCTCGTGACATTGGCCCTAAAAGCATATGGGAACACGAACACGGCTAATAATCCAGAGTTACAGCAGACACGAGACATAGAGGAGATAAAGTCACAGTCGATAGTGCTAGTAGTACTGAATAATGAAGACTTAGCAACATCGAGTGAGGTACATATAGAGAGAGTAATTGAAATGGAATCAGTGATAGATTCAGGTTCAGAAACAGAGATATACATAGAGACAAATCAGAGCGTAATAGAGAATGTGGCAGACAGTATGACAGAGAATGTAACAGACGGTCAGTCAGATAGCCGGGAAAACAGTCCGACAGATCAGAGGTCACACTCTCTGTCACATAGTCAGCCCCATAGTGAAGAGGATCTCCAATTGGAGGAGGCCACTGATAACATAAGTGGAGTTGACACAACTACCACAACCACAAGTACAACCACAACCACAAGTACAACCACAACCACAACAACCACAACAACCACAACAACCACAAGTACATCTACAAGTACTCCTACGAGTGAAACAGAAACTCCAATTGCAAATGAATATGCTACTTCAACAACCGCTTCAGTGGCCTCAATATCTTCACACCTCTTCAATAAGAGACTCAATTTTGATATCCACTCCAACTCGAACTCGAACTCGAACTCCAACTCCAACTCCAACTCCAACTCCAACTCCAACATCAATATCACTAATACTAATACCATCCAAAACGGTTCGGATATCATAGATGACTTGCATTTCATGTCGTTTGAAGAATGGAAGAGAAACAAAGAAGAGATCGAACCAATAATAGCAAAGAACAATAGATCGAAACAGACCAATAGCACAGGCAATCAGCACTTCCAGAACATCCAGAGCATCCAGAATAGTAATGGCAACAACAATCAGATCAATATCAATAATAATAACAGCAACCAGAAAAACAGAAATATCAACAATAATCAGATCTACAATAATAATAATAGTAATATTCTAACTAACTCCACCAGTAAAGATGCTAAACACTCGCTGACTAATATAACCCATAACGATCATGAAGGCAGAGTGTATAAGGACAGGTTCAATTATGCCTCTGTTGATTGTGCTGCCACTATAGTTAAAACTAATTCTGAAGCCAAGGGAGCTTCATCGATCTTAGTAGAAAATAAGGATTCTTATTTACTTAACCAATGCTCTGCTCCTAATAAGTTTGTCATAATCGAACTCTGTGAAGATATTCTTGTAGAGTCAGTAGTTATTGGGAATTTTGAATTCTTTAGTTCCATGTTTAAAGATATTAGAGTAGCAGTTAGTGATAGATTCCCTACTACTAATTGGAAAGTTCTTGGAGAGTTTGAAGCAGAAAATATTAGAGATATACAAAGCTTTAGAATCGCCAATCCTCAGATCTGGGCTCGTTACTTAAGGCTTGAGATATTAACTCATTATGGTTCAGAATTCTACTGTCCTATTTCATTGGTAAGAGTCCATGGGAAGACCATGATGGATGAGTTTAAAGAGGTAGAGGATGAAAAGGAACAACAACAACAACAACAACAACAAGATATAGAAGTCAATACTCAGGCAATAGCAGATATGACTAGTGATACACTTCTGGAAGAGTGTCGTGTAGTTTTACCTCATTTGGATTTACACAACTTTTTAGTGGAACTTAATTCAACAGATCAATACCCATACTGTGAAGCTCCATTAATAGAACAGACACTGTCAGCAATTCCAGAAACTACTCAAATTCAGGAATCTATTTATCGAAATATCATGAATCGATTATCATTACTTGAATCCAATGCTACATTATCATTACTCTATATTGAAGAACAGAGTAAACTATTATCCACCGCCTTTTCAAACTTAGAGAGAAGACAACTGAATAATTTTGAATCACTTATAGATTCTGTCAATACTACAGTATTTGAACAACTTCTCAATTTCAAATCGTCATACCAAAGTTTACATCGAGAGTATGCTAAACTTTTTAAACTTCAAGAATCTCATCATGATCAACTATTACAGGAATATCGAGTAAGAATGATTCTTGTGGGTAATGAATTAACATTTCAAAAACGGGTGACTATCTTTAATACAGTTATAATTGTTTGTCTCTTAGTGTATGTTATAGTTACCAGAGATGTGTACATTGATGAGGTACCAGTTAATTCTACACCAACTATCACTACACCCAAAAAGCACAAACACAAACCAAGAATCAAGCCTAAACGAAGAGCTTTTTAATGAATAATCATATTATATGAATACTTATATACATAGGGAAATAAAAATTATATACACGTGAACGTAATAATTACAAAGTTATCATTATCTTTATTGAAATCTCAGTTTAATTGCCATCACCAGAGTCTTTACCTTTGTAGCCACCTTCATAACCTCCTTCTCTGTTACCTTTGTAACCTCCTTCTCTGTTACCTCTGTAACCTCCTTCTCTGTTACCTTTGTAACCTCCTTCTCTGTTACCTCTGTAACCTCCTTCTCTGTTAACTCTGTACCTTCCTTCACTGTTACCTCTGTTACCTCCGTAACCTCCTTCTCTGTTACCTCCGTAACCTCCTTCTCTGTTACCTCTGTAACCTCCTTCTCTGTTACCTCTGTAACCTCCTTCTCTGTTACCTCTGTAACCTCCTTCTCTGTTACCTCCGTAACCTCCTTCCTTGTTACCTCTGTAACCTCCTTCTCTGTTACCTCTGTAGCCACCTTCTTTATGTCCATATCTTGAATTACTATGACCATAATCAGAATTAGATCCGGAAGAACTATAATAATCAAAATATGCATCATTCAAGTGTCTTGGAAGATTCATAAATTTTCTCATGTAATTACCTAGAGGCATTTTAGCAGTTTCAGATCCTGCTACTAAACGATAAAAGTCAACAACTTCAGTAACAATATTGTTTTTATTCAATCGGTATACACCTCCAACTTGACTACCATAAGCCAAGAATGAAGCAAATGCTTTATCTTCTATCATCTTGTCAGTTCTGGTTTTTTCAAAGACATTAGGAACCTTTTCAATATCAGATGAATCAATAATTTCAGCAAATTTAATATTTTTTTCATGTTTAAGAGCATCAATAAATTTCAGTTGACTTCGAGGAATGAATGCTACAGCCACTCCTGTTTTACCAGCACGAGCTGTTCTTCCAATCTTATGAACATAATTATTAATTTCAGAAGAAGCAGCTGTTTGAATAACATCAGAAACATCATTAAAGTCTAATCCACGAGCAGCCACATCAGTACATACTAATACTCCATGAGAAAGTTTTCTAAACTTTTTAACAACTCGAGTTCTATAAGGTTGAGTTTTCTTTCCATGTAAGATAAGAAAATCAGAACGATACTTTCCATGAACCAATGCTTCATCATAAAGTCTTTGACCACGAGCATTAAGTAACATTTCATGAAACCAATCACATGCAGCAATAGTAGGTAAGAAAAGAATGGCTTTAAAACCAGGTCTCTTTAAATTTTCTAAGATATATGAGAAAGCGCTATGATAACCATCCCTTGTATCATTACAATTAACTAAAATTTGATGAATATTTTCATGAGAATCAACATCATCTTTATCAACACAATCAATAAATTTATAATCAGGACTTATTTGTCTCTTAGCAAATTCATCAACTGTTCTATCAATAGTGGCACTGAAAAGAACAGATTTTAATGGTACACTATCATCCCTTCTAGCTTCTCTTAAATAAACATCAATTTCATCTAATTGATCTTTAAATGAAACATCTAAAAGTCTATCACCTTCATCATAAATTCTATACCGTAAATCATACATCCGATCAAGAAGATATGATCCATTTTTACGAAAAAATTCTATAAGCTTCCCTGGAGTTGCAACAACAATACTTTTTTGCGAGTAAAATCTATTTCCCATTAACATCTCAGCACCAGGACTTATTACTTGAACTCGAGTTCTATGTTGTTCATCGACTGGTAAATGTTTAGTAATTTTATTGATTTCAATTTCAATTTGAAATGCTAAATCTCTAGTAGGGACAATAACTAATGTAGTAATTTTTCCTTTATGGACGAAATCGTCGGTTGGAGTAGGTTTAGCATTAATAGCTTCTTGAAGAGCAGGAATAGTAAAGGCCAAAGTTTTACCTGTACCTGTCTTGGCTCTAACCACTAATCCATTAGGTTCTTGTAACATAGGTACCATGGCTTTTTGTTGAACAGGAGTAAATTGACGGAATTGTGCTTTATAAAGAGCTTGCAATAAGGTTTCACTAAAGTACCCAGTCTTTCTTAATTCATCAATACCATATTTTTCAACATCTGGAGTTTCAACTACTTCAGGGTCTTCGATTCGAACTTCTTCAGTTATACTAACTTCACTAGCTGGTTTGTTATTTTCTTCAGATAACATCCAATGCTTATGCATCTTGACAGATGGCATAGGTGTATTGGAAAATAACCTAACATTGAGACGTGGAACACGTCCAAACGTCCGCAATGGTATTAACGCACTGGATCTCAAGGTAAGTAACATTGGTAAGTACGATAATTAGATATAAGTAGTATATTCCTTAGCGAAAAGTTTTCAAATCTTTTTTAGCGATGGGGATTTGTGAGAGTTAGCGGGAGTGCGTAGTGCTCATGAAAATAGCGAGACAGTTTTATGAGGGGCGTGCTAAAAGTATGACAATTAGCAGGTGATTGAGGAATAATACTGAGACAGTAACTAACTAACTGAACTGAACTGACTCCATACTCAGTGTTACTGATAAATAGCTAAAGACAAAAAAAAGTTTACTGTCTAGTAATTCTAACAATACTCACTAATATACTCCAATACTCATTCATTAAATATACACCATGAGCTCACTGGGATTCTTCTCCAAATTCAAACATAACGCTACAAAGCTCTCACAGTCCTTCAATTATACAGATAAAGATGGACTTACTGAAGATGATACCTTAATCCACAATGCATTTGTCAAGTACTTTGACTCTCAGGGTCAAGTATACCCAGATTGGCTTGAAGTTAAGCATACTAAGCCTCATCTGACACATCAAACTTACCAACAACTGTTCACCACCACAGTAAGACATCAAGAGCAACTGTATCAACCTCACTACAACAATCATGAACATCTTCTGCCAGTGTCAATTTCACCCCTGGACTCTCAAAATACTCAAAATAGTGGTTATCATCGTGGTGTGAGTCGTCTTCAATCCATGCATAATGCTTCCCGTCAACAGGTTGTCGTGGGGGCCGGTTATACCTCATTAAGTTCTTCTTCATCATTTGCGTCTACTAACTCAAATCATCAACCAGTAAGAACAAATAGTTCTACATCGGGATCACGATTACGTGATAGGATCATTAACTCAACATCTATGAATCAGAATTCACGGTCCAGTAGTCACAATTAGAGAAATAGTAGTAATTATATATTAATATATAGTATATCAGTTAAGCTTATTAAAGGAATCTTCCCAAAAGTCTCGACCCCGAACGAACCAGTCCGGTAACTGGCTATCTGATGGGAGTTTGAGTTTTAATACACTGACGTTCTCAAATGTTACTGGGAACTTGTTAAGATTTTTGTAGTAATTGTAGTTATATTGGCGAGTTACAGGCTCAAAATCGGAAATCGATGAGGCCCGTGAATCTTTAGCTTCTCGGTCCTTGAATCGTTTATTGGATGGCGACGAGCTCTCAAAGACTTTACCAGGACCATAGGGAGCAGCTCTGAATTTGGAGTTACCAAGACGGACGAATTTAGAGTCAATGGACGACCGACGTCGTTCATGACCAGACCGTATTGTTAACAAGTCACTACCAAAACTGTTATGGCGACTAGTGGTGGCAGTATTGTTGTTATTATTATTATTGTGATTGATGTGGTTGTTATCGTGCTGTCTCAGTTCCACCAACTTAAGTAAGTTGGCCGGTATTTGTGGCGAAGCACTAAGCATATCATCATCCATATCATCATCATCTAATGACTCTACGTCATCATCATCCCACTGGATATCTTCATCTACAGAGTTAAACCGAGATGTTCTTCGAAGTTCCGCACTATCAAGTTCAGTATCTGATATCATTCCTCCTCCTACTGACAGACGTCGGTCTTGTCTAATATTATGCTGTTTAACATGATCAGCTTCCTGGGGAACAAGCTCTATCTGGATCAACTCTAAAAACGTCTCAGCAAAGTAATTGCTGGACGTTGAGTTGCCCGAGTAAATGCGATACTCATTAAGAATTGAATTGAAGTTCCACTTCTGGATCTTTCGAAGTATCCCCACCAAAGTCGAAGTAGAATCCACTAATAATACGCTACTTTTGGTCTTGTTAAGGAGAATTTCAAACGATTTAATGATCACACTCTTCTCTACCAACATCCACTGCTCTGATTTGTTCTGAGGATGGAGTGACACTACATCAATGGTGGACTCTCTAACATGACTTCTTCCACTACTGTCTCCTCCACCACCAACACCAGAATTATCTTCATCACCTGTATGATGACCAGAGATGGTCATACCACCGAGATTAAATAATTCGAGCTTGTTACTGGCCACAAATTTAGCTAGAGCTCGTGGTGGTTTCTCGGCATCGACCAAGATTAATGACTTCAATTTGAGGGTTTCCACAAACGGAAAGTTGTCTGAATGTAATTTGGAGCATCGATAGATACCAGGCTCGACGAGGCCAAAGTTTTCTGGCGGTACTAACATAGTCTGAAGTTAATTTTAGGGGTAGTTTGGTGATATTGGTGGTTATTTAGTGGAGGTGGTGATATTAGCAGAGCGCACTACCACAATTACCCCATTGGGACATTTTGCATCTGAGAGAGAAGTAAGCTAAGAGTTGTGAAAAAGTTATAGAGAAGACGATGAAGTTTTTTGGTTAACTATTTCGTTAGTAAAACTCGTATGTAATTGTTATAGTTATTAATTTTCTACAATTAATATGCTGTTCAAATATGATCTTAAAACTTCTACCTCCTTAATACTACAACCACTCTTAATATCTTAATTTTTGTACTTTGATCTTATTACTATTCAAAAGCTTCTAGTTAAGTGGAGGGGGCTGTGGTCTATTATTTATATAATTAATAGATTACACATGTACATGAATTTAATATATATATCAGTGTCTGAAAACTGGTGAATTGTGACTGTTGATCACGTACAATAATTACTTTAGTGTATTTAAGATAAATACCTTACAATGGTTTAATTAATTTAAATATTTAATATATATTCATTAAGTAAGACCTTAAAGTTAGTAAGATCCTAAAGCATATGACATGTTAATAATGGCGATATACTTCCGACAAATCGGGTTACTTATTAGATTATTACCAACACTCCAAGTGAGATAACAAATTAAAGCAACAAATAAAGTAGATCATCAACGGGAAAATATAATTCATCCGAACCAACAACGGGACCGAATTTCCTAGACAAAGATTAGTATCAAAATTAGGATTAGCATCAAAATTGGATTACAGAGAATTTTAATCTTCTTCCCTATTATCTATATCCTGCACATAACACACAGTTACCTTAAGAAAGCCTGATTACTCTACGGATACCTTTTCCATTTTTGAGAGCGGAATTCCTAGAGAAGAGGGATTGTGCCTATATATTAGAGGGATCTTCATAGAAGTAAAATGCAAAAAGTAAACAAGAAGAAACAATAGTAGTAAATTAGTAATAGACGAAATCTGAACAGCAGTAGATTTATATTAGATCACGTGCAAAAGTCCACGGGTTGAGCCATAACATGTAACAATTACACTATTTCACTAATTGGAGAATATACGGTAAATTCTTTGAAATGTCAATATTTAGATTTATCAGTAGATTAATAATAAATACAATGTCTACAATTTATGATAGTCATATTGTTTATATTATATTATAATAGAATAAATAGAGATCTTAACCTCGAATCACTACTTCAATAGGAATTCCTTCATATTCCCCATAACCCATACTTAAGTTAATGTTCTGTAAACATTGAGTGGCAGCACCTTTCAAAAGATTATCTATAGTAGCAACTACTACTACACGATTTTCCTTTGAATTAACTGCAAATGCTCCAATAACAATTCCATGTTTACCACTAATATCCTTAACTACAGGAGCCTCTCCACTTACAGTAATAAGTTGCTCTCCTTGATATCTATCTTGATAAATATTTCTAATTTCTCTAGAAGTTAATGATCCTTGCTTAATAGGAATTGAAATAGTATGAGATATACCTTGAAACCATTGCGCTACATGAGGCATAAATGCCACATCTAATCCTAATTGACTACTAATTTCTCGTTCATGAACATGATCAGTTAATGAATAAGGAACCAAATTATTACTTAAGAACTTAATATCATTCTTTGGTGATGGTTTGGTACCAGCACCTGAATATCCAGAAACTCCAAAAATACTTGGAGTACCTGAAATATATTCCTTTAATGGAGCTATAGCAACTTGAGCAGCAGTTGCATAACATCCAGGATTAGAAATCTTCTTAGCATTAGCAATAGTATGACGATCATTCAATTCTGGTAATCCGTAAATCCATTCACCTATAGTATCAAATCTATAATCAGCTGATAAATCGACAATCTTAGAACCAGAATTAGGAACAGATTCAATGGCATCAACAAATGGTTTACAAACACCATTAGGAAGTGCCATAACCCATACATCAACTTCACCCTTTTCTTCAATCTTCTTAATATCTTCAACTTGAAGATTAGAATAAACAATATTATCTTTATTGTATCCTTGTAATTTTTGACCATTTAATTCACGAGATGATACATGGGAGATTTCTAAATAAGGATGTTTATCAATTAAACTAATTAAATTTTGTCCAGTATAACCTCTAGCTCCAATTAAAGCTACCTTAGCTTTTTTAGTATTAGTACCTTGAGTTAAAGGAGGATTTGGATTGGAACTAAATCTCATAGTAGATGAATGGAAACCTCTCTTTTGAATTGGAGAACTAAATACTCCAGATTCACTAGATGAAGATAAAGAGGCTCCAACATTACCAGAATCAAAACTCTTAATTAAATCAGATACTTGTTCAGTCTTTAATCCATACCAAAAAATGATTTCTCCATTCTTAGCAAATGAACCATCGGATTTGGAAAAGTACCATGCCAAGTTAGAATCATTTTCATTTACGATCCAGCATAAGGATGAAAAGTCCTTCTTAAGGGCATTGAAAATATTATCAGTAACATTATTTAACCAACCAGTCTTAGATGATAAGAATTTATCTAATTTAGGAATCTTATTATCTTCTTCTAATACAATGGCTAATACTTCTAATGGTTCATCACCATAACTTTTGAATTTAATAGATTCTAAATGTTTTAAATATGAAGCTACTGAAGATTTACCAGCTTTAATTTCTGGATCTCTTAATAAAGCACTTCTTAATAAATCAGGATTACCAAATTCTTCAAGTGAATTACGATTAATTAATTTATATCCTCTTCTAATTAAAGTTCCAGCTCCAGAGTCAGTGAATAATTCCTTTTGTAAATCATCAACATCAATAATAGCTACTGAAGATGATCTAGGTAAGTGTTGTAATAAATCATGGATTTCTTTAATCTTTAATTTAGTACCATACTTAACCCAACTTTCTTTCAATAAATCTTCATATTCTTCATCTAAATTGATGACACTAACTTTTTCACCAGTACTTCCATTAATAATTCCACCCTTTTCATTCAAGTATACAATCTTTAATGGTTCAAATACACGAGCTAATTCACCAGCTGCCACATCGGCATTAACATTTAATAATTGTCCAGAAGGAGTTTCAGCTAAAGAAGTTAAAATAGGTAAATAACCTGATTCAATAGCAGCTTCTATAGGTGATTTATTAACACCATTAATTCTCCCTACTAATTGATATTTATCCTTATCTAAATATTCAGCACCAAATACTCCGGCAGTAATAGGTCTAGCATGAACTCCCATTTTTTCTAAAGCAGTAACTAAACGTAAATTTTGTTCTAAGAAACATTTTCTGACTACTTCCATAGTTTTTGGATTAGTTATTCTAATTCCATCGATATATTCTGGTTCAACACCTTCATTTTCTAATAATTCATTGATTTGAGGTCCTGTTCCATGTAACACAATTGGATAAAGTCCTACATGATATAAGAAAGCTAAACATGAAGCTAATTCCGGTAATTGTTGAGTAATAATAGCACCTCCAACTTTAATGACAGCAAACTGTTGTTGTGATACAGAAGTGAAATATTTCAAATATTGTTCAACTTCACGTTTAGAACCAATATTGTTTAATAACTGAACAACTGTAGATCTAGTAGAATATTGACGCACACTTTTATAATTAAGTTTACCATCATTAATATTTCCGCTATTTCCATTAACACTACCAGCACCAGTATAACTCACACTTAACTTGGCTGTAGCAGTAAGTCTCCTCACCACAGGTACAGAAACTCTACCAACTTGTCTCAACATTGCACAAATCTTCAACCTGTAATAATCCTAAAAGAAGAGATCTGAAAATTTTTCACAACTCCAGACTTTATAGTTTTTTCTCATTGACTCATTATCGTCCAATTAGAGTAATTTTGTCGAGACAAGTTAGTTAAGCGCGGTTTGAAATCAGTAGGGGTGTATGTGCAGGTCTCATCTCACGTGGTGAGCCGCAATTGGCATCGGAATTGGCATTGGAGTTTACACACTACTTAATTAAAACTAATCTAACTAATTATACTTAAGAAATTAATTAGTACTAATAATAATTTATCATCATTTCCTGATCAGCTGATATGGTGAGCTTAAATGAATTTATTTCGTGTCAAAATATAGATGCAAAAATTTTCAGTACACACTGCAAGTATTCTCTAGTAAAGTTTTGTAGTACACTCTGTGCACTAATTCTGACTCTGTAAAATTTTATTGATTTTTATTTATTATCTTATGTACATACTATATAATATTTTCTCATTGGGGCCTGCCCAAATCGTCATATATCCACGAGAAAATTTGTCCATAGACCTGGACAACATACTCAACTAATCTCTGTATTTTAGTTACTAACTGTAATGACTGGGTTTTTGACCATGGAAATACTGTAGAAAAATATTGCTGCAAATCTTGTCCATCTTTCTTTAATCCTTGTAATAATTTCGAATAATACACAGTCCGAAGCTGGGTAGTATTCTCCATCACAGACGACACTCGGAATGCATCAGTAGCTGAAATGCCTAATGTCTCAATAAGGAAACTACGTAAATCCCCTTTATTATCTTTATTTTCATTATTTTCATTATTTTCTTCAGTAAAGTATGCTACAACCTCAGTAAACCGATCAGAAACATTCATAGAAGTGATACCATAGGTAACATATACCAATGCATTAGATTCTATGAAATTACCAATCTCACGATTCAAGCCCTGTAAATCCTCCAAATATAACACATTAAGTTCATCAGGCAACAAGTATTGTGGTGCATACTCATGACACACTAAATCAAAATATAAATGTTTAAAGAATCCTAAGCTAGTAGGATTAACTTGAAGTCGACACCGGTACGTACTGTCTAGGATATGTAAGTAATTATTCAAATCTAATTTGTTTCTATGATCAAATGCCTTAAGAAATCTATAGAACTTAGGAAATAACATATGTGGAGAACTGACAAACATTTTGGAATTTAATGCATTATAATATGGTGAACTATAAATTAAGTGACTAGTTTCAATCTGGACTAAATTTTCAAATGAATGAACATTGTATGAGTTTAGTAACAAGCTCGATACCAAACTTTCAAACTCTCGTAAGTTATAAGTTAATTGTTTCCTAACAGTCTCATCATCTAGTGTCCCCTGTTGGAAAATGTCACTACATTTCTTAGAGTGTTCATGCATAATGTAATCATCAGGACTAACTATTGAAATCAATTCATTAATCATAAGTAAATGCTCTTGAATTAATCCGTATCCATTACTTTTGTCCTGCGATTCCTTTGTCACTTTAAATTTTAATCGAGAAGGAGAAATACTCTTCCCCAGTTTATTGTAAAACAAGCAAAGATCAAGGAATATACTATAGACCAAGTTCACTAATTCCAGAACTTGAATAGTATCAGATTTTTCCTGATTAGTTCGATTTAATCCCAAACATTTATATACATCATCTATCAGGACAAATATATTATTTTTAGTTTCAATATTCAGTTTTAATATACCTGATCGCATTAATATTTTAGAATTACTTGGTCCCTTATTTAAATAATAATTAAACCAAAATTTTCTCCATTGTGATTTCAGTAAATGCTTCATCTTCGGTAAATAGAAACTTTTAACACTGATTGTATTTCGGAAAGTTCCATCATCGAATCGTAATTCATGATCAATTGCTGATAAGAATACTTGAGTTTCTTCATCACCAAAGAATTGATCAAGAGATTCATCATATAAGCTTTCTAGTTGATTTTTCTCTTTAACAAAGTTATCTCTATGGTCAGCCAAAGATTCATCATCATCATCTTCATCACCTACTAAATCAATTTGAGTATTCACAGTATTGATAGCAGAATTAATCATTTTATGAAGATCTTGATAATCATACCCTTTAAAGATTTTAAATACAAAAGTATATGATTTCCAAGACTTTAATAATAATTCATTGGAACCAGTCTTTAATAATATTTTGAAATCAGCAATGACTTCATTGGCAAACTTGAAAAGTAAGAGCCATATGAAATTCTTGATAAAGTTGCGAGTTTCCTGATTGGGTAAGTTTGTATTGAATGATGGATGGTATCCCATCTTCTTGAAAACACATTCTTTAAATTCACATATCATAAGAAATGCATAGAAGAAAGTTCGGTAAGATCGTGATAATTGTGGGATATTGTAAAAATACAATATACTTCTGATTTCATTTCTGTAGCTTGAATCCTTACCAAATAATGTAAATACTTCCTTCAGCTTTCTCTGATCAAAGTTGTCAAGAATACCTGAGTTTAATATCTTGCTACTGACTTCTTTGATATACTTCTCATGCACATACTTATCAAACTGCTCTTCGGTAGTTCTTGTTGGAACTGTAGATGGAACTGATGATGTTGAAGGTACACTAGTCGTAGTTATTATTATATCAGTATTTATACTTGGACTTGATTTGATTTGGTCTTGAATGAGATGGAAATTCTCCATTATAGAGTTCGAATGAGAAGCTCTGCGTTTAATTCTATCCAAATATTTCTGGCGTCTATCCTTGGCCTCTGAGTAATCAGTATGCAATTTGATTAACTTATCATTTCTTATGCTAATGTTAGTTTCAGACAATTTGCGTAACTTCTCAGTGATAAGTTTCGACTTGGCTAATAATTTGTCTCTTTTGAATTCTAAAAGGCTTTGACGTCTTTTCTTTATCATATCATATCGTTCATCGGAATATCGTCTATGAGACTTACCCAAATGACCTAATGGAGTTAAATTCTTAAGTATAGAATCAGGCAATTTGAATTGGGATGGAGATGAGTTGGGGGAACTATCACTAGCACCATCCATAAGTACATCGTCGAGATTTTGGTTAGGAGTCAGGGGTCTATGTGGTGACTCTTCCTCAGTAGTTATAGTATGATCTGATTCATTTATTTCATGTTCATGTTCTTGTTCTTGTTCATGATCATGATTTGGTTCATGATCAGGTTCAGCCATCGCATGTTCGGGAGTTGACGGGGAAGCATTACTTGGAGACTGATACACTATAACATCTGGTGAGATATTTGACGGTTTTTCTTCGGTATTCGAAGAGTTGTTAGGCACTGATTTCTTAGGATTATGCATATTAGTTAATGATAGTCAATGATAGTTATCATACAAATGAATTAGCACTTGACTTATATCCGATGCGATGACTCAGTACTAGATGACTCAGTTTGGTGATTATACTCAAAAAAATTTTAATGATACAGCAACAACTAACTCTCACTAATTCTTTACTAAATCCTCCTTACTCCTTAGAGATCTAGGGACTGTAGCTAAGGCTATTATGGTAGATAAGAGACGATTATCCCTGAGCTGCGTTAAAGTGTGGAGGAATTTACACAAAGAAAAAAAGTATACGCAGATGGCTTGCTGTTGCCCAAATAGGAAAGTGGATGGAAGCGAGTGCAATAATGAATTTTAGTCGATGATAACTATGCTTAATTACATACATAAATGTGTATGTGGCTGGTAACAAAATATAATTGTCATTCCAACAATATATGTATATGTATCCATCAGATCATTATTGTAATGTACCTTACTGACTGATAAATGTACCTGACACTCTTAGTAACAATAACTTGAATGATATAAAATGTATGTAAATAGAATGTAATTACACTTCAACATTATCTCTATATTGATTTACTAGTATCTATTTCATTGTAAAATGGTCTAATTAATGTATTACCATGTTTACGATTATGGTGTTTACTATAATGGATGAATTTCACGAGAATAGGTGCTACAACAATAATGAGAGTGTATGCAATTCGTAACAGCTTATACTGTTACTCTATAATATTACACTATAAATATACACATTTCTATGTAGATGCTATTTTCAGTTCTAATTCTTCTTCTTGGACCAGAACTTGAGATTCGTGGAACCCGTAGACGTTGGATCATCTCTGTCACTAACGGTGGGTGATGCATTAAGAGACCGAAGATTGGTAGGTGTCACCGCAGTGGAATTGGTATTTGAAGCAAAATGAGTTGTTAACTTCAAGTGGCCCAATAAGTTGGATAAAGATGCTGATGACACTGCAGTGGCTGCTGGTGATAGAGCTCTCTCAGGTTGATGTTCTGCATGGATTGGGTTTAGGTGATGCTGATGATGATGCGATGATTTATGTTGCACATGACTGACTGTTTGGGAACGATGTATAGAAATGGGATTGGAATGGGAAATAACACTTCCAGTTAAATCCGTTGATGGGGTAGGTGATACAGTAAGTGGAGGAGAATTAGGTGTAGATTGAGGTTGACCACTGAATGTTGATTTGGAAAATAGTTTACTCTTCATCTTCAAGTAAGTAGTTTTATTCATATATGGAATAGATGAGCCATTTGAACTATCATTACTACTATTGGTGACATTGGTTGAAGAAGATGATGTTGATTCAACAAATGGATCCATAGTTACAGCCCGAGGTATCACTGGACATTGTTCTGGACTATTACAACATGCAAATGTTAAAGAAGATGGTGAGCTTTCTTGAGGTTTAGGTGTAGATGGATTAGATTTCTGACTCTTCGCAAATTGTAAATATGTATTCTCTTTAATAATCTGATAGACCTCGTTCTTTGCTTTCAAGAGAATTAATGGATTATGGATAGATCTAAGTCCATTATTGGATTCGTCTATAATTTGATCATGGAGCTTTTGACTGATGTTAATTTGTTGTGGAGCATCTCCTATAATGTAATTAGACATTATATAATTCCATTGGTTAGTTAGAAGAAGCCTATCTTCCTCACCAATAAATTGTTCAGGCTCGTCGGTGTCTCCTATAAGGTCATCATCATCATCCTCGTCATCGTCATCATCTTCATCGTCATCATTATCAATATTTTGTGATTTAAGATTATCCCATATATTACTATTCAATTCAGATAAGTTTGTAGCATCTAAATCATCAATAGTTGATACAAATACTGCATTTGGGTCTAAATCTTCTGATCGTATAGAACTGGTTTTAGATAAAGTATTAGACCTTATTCTTACTGGAGGTGATAAGGTATCGGACGATACCATTTGTACATGATGTTGAGGTATGAAATGTAAAGGAGATGGACTTGGAGTATTATTGAGCCTTATCTTTTCAATAGTATCATCAGTGCTAGTATTATTGGTACTGGTGGATGCATTATAATTATTGTAGCTTGGGAAGATGGATTCATAATAATATTCATATTTATAAATTTCAATGAGGAAGTTTAAATTCTCTTCACAGTGTATACTAGCAACAAACTGTTGGTATAAGTCAACTGCATTTAATTTTGATTTATCTTCAAGTTGATTTACTGATTTTAAGAAACAGTCGTTGATTAAAACATCCAAGCTAGGAACTTTACAACAAGTTTTATTCAGATTATGTTTATGATTATGAGATTTATGAGGTACTGATGGAGTTGGAGTGGTTGATGAACTGGGAGGTGAATATAAAAATTGATTATTTAATGAAGTTGACGGCTTGGTGGGAATCGGATTGTATACGTTGAATGGAGCTGTCATGGTGAATGATGTGGAAGATTATAATTATTTAACGCATCAATACAGATGAAGATGAATATATATGCAAACAATGAGGGTGGTTGAAATAAGGTTAAAATGGTGTTAATGTGAAGATTATTCCGACACTTAAACAAGCTAAGTTAATGAATTAAATTAAGCTAAGTTAATTAGTTAAATTAAGCCAAGTTTCTGAGGTGAAATATTTTGATAAGTCGGATAGATCAAAATAGTGATTAACCCAAAATCGGTGAATTTAGGTTATCTAATAATTAAAGTAATTTAAAGATTATAAACTCTATAAATATTTATGGTTATGAAAGAATTACAAATAAAAATTTTAAAATGATGATGCATAATTTGGAGTCTCTCCATATTTGGAGAAGATATTCTATTATTTCGAAATAACCGTTGGGAATCCCAGAAGGGAAAATAATAATGTGGAACAAAGGGCCTGCAGAAGAAAAAGAAATTTTTATGGATGAGATGAATTGCTTTTCCTTGTGTGCGTTTTCGCCTCTACCGAAAAGGGAATGCTTCTAGAAGGGTCAAAGTTATCTATATTGAAATGTATATGGTAGAGTAACAAATTCCAATGAATAGAAATATCTATAGTATAGAGAATACTATAGGTCATATTGAAAGAAATAGAGATATAGATGAATGACAATATGAATAAATTTGAGTTGAATGTTAAATTCCAAAATGTCAGTTGCCAAGTGGTGAAAACGAGAAACGCGGTAGGCAATGTATGTATAAATCAACCTCAAAACTTATAACAAAGGAGTAATTACAGAGTACTTCGCTGCACAGAAATCTCCTGTCTTTTGTTGTGTACCTGAGAATAGGTTGTTGAGTGTATCTACTTTAACCCGGCTATTGTTGAGAGCTAAGGCGGTCACAGCATTTGCCCCACTTGTACTACAAAATAAAATTAAAAAAGTGTAAATAAACATAAGAATGATTGACCTTGTCAGACCACACCTATTCTAAAGGAATTAAAAACTTTAATTTGATACTAAGGTATTCTTTGTTTAATATCATTCGTTAATTACTGTAATCACACCATGAGCAATAAAAAGAAAAGAAAACTGTCACTGGTCGTGCGACCTTCAAAGCAATCGAGAGAGAATAATCCTTAATAAAAATCCGACATTCTTCTTCTAAAACTGATCTTCGTCGATCGCTTCTCAAGATTTAATTTTGTACTATATGGTTCGCTGAGATAAATATACTGAACTGGAGAATCATGCCATCAAGCAGCTCATAATCTATAAATAAATTTGAAGATATCGTGTAGATCTCTGAGAAATTACCCTAAACAATATTTAATGTCGTCGTGGGACATTCTACTAATTGTTTATTTATTTTTGACAAAGAGACTTCGTTCCTAGACAAAATCACGGGGTTTGTCACTGATAGTTAAATGACGTACTTTGATGTGGTAGGCTTGCTTTATACAGGCTTTAGCCGAACTTTATGGAGATGGAGATATATGTCCAGACATCTATCTAACTATCTATCTATATCTTCATTATCGTCAGTATCTGTATTATCTCTGCTATCTAACAAAGTCACTTCTTATAATCTCTACCGATATCTTGGACAACTCTTTGTATCTTCTTCTACCGATGCGATGCTCGGTCATCGGCTACCCTCAACCCCGGCTAGCGAATCGAATCATCTAACCATGACCCACTACCCGTAACATACCTGCACACAACACCATGTGTATCCCCTAACTTCTACGCTCCCTTATCTTTTTTACGGGGTTACACGTCGTAGTGCTTTATCATTACTGAATTAACTTGTAGTAAATTATTGAATTGTGTAACTTAATTGTAATTGAATTTTGATAATTGTACGGTGTTGTTTTGCTGGGTTCATTACATTAGATTTACTCGAATTGGTTGTGTAATTGTATTGTACCGTTAACCCCGCAAAAATCGAAATCACATACAAGGCATCATGTTACAAAGATCAGTATTAAAACGTTTATTACAACGATCATGGACATTCCGAGTGGGTTCAACCACTAAGAGTGTACCACTTGCTCAATTACTTTTGGCTTATCGGGGAGGTGATGGCATTGGTACAATGAATCTGATGAGATATGCCACTATTAAAACCTTTGCCACCTCCTCTGATGTCACGGGTGAAGACCAACAAGAATATGAAATAGATTTGATATCACTTAAAAAGACACCTAAGACTCAGGGACCTAAGTCTGATACTAAAAAGATTGATAATGTTGATGCTAATGCTGAATCATCATCAGATTTCAAAATAAAATGTTTTGATGATCTCAACTCATCAGTAGTTCCAAAGGGTCCCGAATCTACTAATTATATATACGATGCAATTGATGAACTTATGGATGAACATGAAATGGATGATGATCGTAGCAGATTTGTTGAAAAGTATTATGATGGTATTCAGGTACTCCTTAAGTTTATTCAAAAGTCGTATAGTAATAAGATTAGAGATTTTGATCAATTGACTTCAGTGGAATTATCTAATTGTTTATATATCTTTAAGAATTACTATATGAATCGTAAAGTTAGTTCCATACCACCAGAAAAGTATGATTGGTATAATGATATGGTTAGTAAGTTTTTGGCAATTCTTCAAGAGGATAAAAAATTCCCCTCTGAACTCACACAAGAACTTATTCCTAATGTTGGAGAATTCCGGATCGTTAAGCCATTAATTGTGGCAGGATTTGGTAGATTTGCCGATGAATTGAAATCATTAGATAATGAACTTGATTTCAACAAGTTGAAAACATTTAAGGAATTATCAAACAAAATTGATATTACTTTAAAACAATTTCAACAATTTTCTCATGATTTTAATGATCCAGATTCCAATTATATTCGGATTTTTATACAAATTAAACGGTATAATAAATTAAAGGAACTTTTGGATAAATTTCCTAAGGGGAATGTTAAGAATTTATTAACTTTAGTTAATTCACAATTTGATTTTCTTTTTGGAGACTTGTCGTTAATAGAAGAGAATCCTTATTTTGACGAAGTGACGGGTATGCCATATGTAAATGGAGTTTGGAAGATTTTGAATCTGAGATTTAATTTTACTAAGTACAATTCATTTTTAGAAGTGGCACCTGAATTATTCGAGATTATTAAAAATAATCAACTTGATACTGGAATTAGATTACTTGCTAGAGATTATTTGGAATATTATATTAGTGCAATTGCTAATGGATATATTCGAATTGATGAAGTTGATCAATACTTTGATGAACAACCAGATATAATTGTTACTGTGAAATATAAATATTTTAAGAATTGGCTTGATAATTATGTTTTTGAAATCTTGTTACAGGATAGATTTCCTATAAGTCGGTTTAAAGAAATTGCTCATACTACTGATAGATTCGATAAACAATCACCTAATTTCTATTATCCAGAATATGAGGAAATCATTCAACGATTAGAATCTCAATTTGATTATTCCGATGTTTATAATTATGATAACTACTATGATGCAACCATTAACAAATTTCCATCGATTGATATTATTTCATTTCTTCATAAAGTGCTTGAGAATAAACCTGCTTATAATAAATTATTAGCTAATAGTATAACTCGTAAGTATGATGAAGTAATGGTTGTTCCTGATACTATTGAACTTGAAATTATTAAATTTAAATTATTTGATTTAATGAGAAGCTATTTTAAGAATGGATTTAAACAAGCTAGTGTAAAACAAATCTTGGCTACTATTGATGAATATGAAGAACAATTGGAACTGGATGATGACTATAAAGTTGTAAAGGCTGACCGTATGAGATTCTACCTTTACAGTTATCTTGTTAAGAATAAAGGAAGTGTAGAAGAATTAGATTTAGTGATACAAGACTTTATCAAAGAATGGAAAACTTTAGTGGTTGAAGCTGACCAAGAAGAAGCCAAAATATTCGGACTTAATGAACCGATTGGGTTAATGGAGTATTATAAAGATTTAACATCAATTGGAATTTATTTCGGTAAATCATCGAATGTAGAAATCCTTGATGCGGTAAGAAGTCAAATTAAACTACCAGAAGATGATAAAGAGCCAGATACAAATGCCGGATTTAAATATCCTGAAAACTCATATAGACTCAAATCACTTTATAAATTACTTGAGAAATTGTTTAGTATTAATATTAATTCTAGCAAAAAATTACAAAACTTTCTTGATTATAATGGACTGTTTTATTTATATCATGATGTCAAACAATGTCTTCGGTTCACTAGTCCATACATTCAAATTCCGGAACAATTACGTCTTCATGAGTATTATAAGGAATTGAATGCATTTAGATCACTTCTTCGAAATGAGAATTATAAAGATTCTGATCCGGAAGAGATTATGGGATTATTAGATTATAAAATTGATCAAACATTCTATGATAAAGTTCAAATCAATTCTCCCATTAATAAGGAAAATGTTTGTGATTATATTCGATTACAGAAGAAATTAGATCAATTATTTGTTATTAATAATGGGAATACTGCGGTATTAGATACTTTAATTCATAGTCAATTGGCATTTGAAGAATTGGAACATACAAAACAAAATCCTCCATCAATACCTTATAAACAAGTACCTGATGATTTCTTATTAGAAGAATATATTATTGAATTAATTCAATTAAAGGAGGAATTAAAAATTGATAATTTTAAACAAGTAAGTCCTCAAATTATTTTAAGTAAATTATTAGAATTATCCAATGGAGATGGGAGTAGTTCTAAAAAGATTGTTTGGAGTAAATTATATCGAAATTTAACAGTATTATTTCAAATTAATGGAAATCATACATTTATATTGGATAATGTACTTATTAATGGTGAAGAATTTATTAAATTTGAATCTAAAAAATCATTTGAACAATTAATTTCTAAGCATGAGAATTCTTGGATTGGAGAAAATAGTAAATTAATTAATAATTATTATGAATATATTCAAGAAATCTTATCTAAACTGGGATTAATTGATCGATATGGGATTTGGAAACTTAAACCAGAAGAATTTGAAAGTATTTTATCGGGATTTATTTCGATGTATGATAAGAAATCTTATGATTATCCGGTAATTTCAAGTTTAGTAGATTCCTTAAAAGTATTAAATTCAAAATTAGATTATTATCCAAATTTCTTACAACAATTGTATGAGATTAAATCAAATAATATTGATAAACAATTGACTGAATTGGATGTTGAAGATATTTATAAGGCATTTATTGAAAATATGGAATATGAAGAATCTCAAGAAAAGACGACGACAGGTGAAGATGAAATCGAAGAACGAGTTATTTGTACTTCAGATAAAACTAATGTTGGTATTAAAGATATTAGATCCAGACCCGATCATGAATCTTTAACTGATGAACAAGTTGAAAGCCTTCGAGCTGAATATAATGATTCTGAACAGGTTATATCTGAACTTATTAGGAATGAAGAATCAATTGATCTTGAGAATAATAAGGTATTAAATGATGAAAAGATGTTTAAAGATGCTATACCAATTGATACTAAAGAATCTTCAGAAATCCATTCAAGAGATTTGTTGAAAGGACAACCTCTTTATAAGAAATTTGATATTACTGCTCAAGTTGAATCTTTACATCCTCAAGAGAAGGTTGTAGTTGATAAATTCTCCTTGGAACACTTTTTAAAGGATGCCAAAACTTCGAGTGATTTAGCAGCAGAAAGTCAATTTAGACAAGATAATGCATTTGAATGGAGTCGTAGTATGTGTAATTCTCATCGGACTTTAGAATCCAAGAATTTCTTTGATTCATTAGCTGAAGCTGAAGCTGAAGATGAAAGATTATCATCTAGTGATGATACTGAATTTGTATTATTAACCCTTGATGGTCAAACTGTTCAATCCGATAAGAAATCTATTGGTAAGTTACCTGAAGAAGATATCTTTAAGATTTTGAATAAATTTGATAATTATGAATTGGAATTTGTTATGAGAAAACTCAAATCATTACAAAGAAGAAGGTGGAGATTAATTGGTAGTAAAGTTGAAGGTGAACAAAAGTATTTAATATTATCAAGGATTCGTCCTGTTAAAAGAAGAAGTTTCTTGACTAAAATTAAGAGTATATTTGCAACTGCTGGAGCTGTATTTTTAGCATTAGCCGGTATAAATCTTTGGTTAGATGATATTCCTAAATCGAAGGAGAATCAAGTAGATAAATTAATTAGTCAAGATGCTAGTACGGTTGAAATCCCCGTAGTACCTTGGACTCCTCAAAAGCCTGTTAAGGAAGATGTTGTACCTGTAGAAGTTAACGACGTTGAGATGGTAGATGTTCCTAATAATTCGTACTGGAAATCGATATTGTGGAGTGGCAAATAGGCAATCAGCCAACTATTATTTTTATATTTCTTATTAGTATTATGCCGAAGTTGAGTGGAATGGAAATGGAATGGAATGGAATGGAATGGAAATGGCATGAAATGGAGTGGAATGGATTATCGGTGGGAGGAAAGAGTAACTACAGGTTAGTTTACTCTCATATTATTGATTCTATTAGTTTAGTTAGTTATTGTTTAAGTTAATAAAATATTCATTATTATTATATAATTGTATTCTATATATTGTAATTCTAACTCATTTCTTCATCCTTAGTAGGTAACTGTTTTGTTTGTTTTGTAATAAGTACAAATTTCATCCCCGTAGTGGCACCAGTTGTCCCATTCCAAACTCTTAATTTTTCTACAGTATCTTTATCAGTTAAATTGGGTATTTTATATCCAGTATGATATATATGTTCTTCATGTTTAACTTTTTCTTCGAGAATTTGTTGTCTACTGGTTTGTGGTCTACCAGGTCTTCTATCTTTTCTTAATTGGGCTAATTCATCATCGAATCTTCCAATGAATAATTCAATAAATGATTGCATTTCCACAAGGGTGAATACTTCGGCAGCTTTAAATTGTTCCTTTATAAGCTTTTGTAAGAAGAATAATATAGCCAATTCATTAGTCTTTTGTTCTAAAGATTTCTGTTTCTTCTCGGTAATCTTCTTATCTCTAAGTGTAGCTCTATTCAATTGTTTAAATTTTCTTCCCTTAATATGTATTGATGCAGTAGATTTAGAAAGGTTCTTGGTGACCTTATTAAGATTGTGAGCTAATGGCATTATAGTTATTATACTTATACTTCTACTATATATATTTCTCTCCCTGAATCAGTTTATATAACCTTCACTAGACTAACTTGTTGCTGCTGCTGAGTTGCATCTCATCGTAAAAAAAAATTAATTCGCTAGTGAGATTTTGCAATCAAAACTGGGGGAGAAGACACAGTAGACTGTGGTAATGAGAGATAAGTTCCACTAAAATTGATTAAATTCCATATTAGCGTTATTACTACATATAAGCCTTTACAGTCATATAACTATTAACTTTATTCAATTAATTCTATTGAATTAACAAATGGGTATTAGTCTATTAACCCATAGTTAATTTTGGTTAAAGTCGTGTGTCGCTTAGGGACAAAATGTCGCCTAATGTCGAGTTCACGACATAAAAATTTTTTTAACTTCAAAAGTTTGACTTGTTAAATACCAATTAGTGACTTAATAACGAAGCAAATAGGAGAAAATGGTTAAATATACTGAGGAACAATTGTTGGGATTTAAAGAGGAGGCACATGTTCCCCAGCCCCAAATTTTGGAGGCATTCAACAAGACCATTGATGAAGTAAAAGAACATGCTGCTGCAGAAGCAGAAAGACATAAGGCAATTAAATGGAATAATGGTGATACATATATTGATGAAAAGGGTAATGAAAGACCATATCATCATTTAAATAGAAGAAGAGCCTCAAGAACTGGCAATAAACCTAATTTAAGAAAAAAGAGTGTTGATGTTCAAGTTGATGAAGATGGATGGGCCACATTATCAACTAAAGCAAAAAAATCTTTTGGAGCTGAAGATGGTAATGAAGAAAGAAGTAAATTTAGAGAATCTTTAAGAGATACTGCTCCTGTTAAGGCTAGACCAAACAATAAAAATTTAGGATCCAGTAAACCAGCTGATCCAAGAGAAGTTACAGATAAACATACTAATGCCTTTAATGCATTTGCTGCTTTAGGTGATGATGATGATGAAGAAGATGAAGATGAAGAAGATGCTGATGATGATGACCTTTAATTTATTTAGACAATTTCAATTTCAATTTCAATTTCAATTTTAAGTTCAATTTCATTCTTCTTTGTAATTTGCGATGATTATATCCAATCAATTTATGGTGACATGTATATACCTTCTCTCCGTATACTTTTGGTCATTACTGTATATTATATAGGGAATCTTTCCTCAATTAATGCTTATAGCTTATTATGAGATCACACTCTTTATTGACTATAAATATAAACTTTACATATCTAAAAATTTAATTAATTATTGTCCCTTTTTCTTTTTATACAACTATAGCACTATCGTCATCATCCATTAATCCATCGATAATGGTATTAACATCAGTAGTAGCTATCAGTTTAGATAATACAGAATTACTAGTAGCTCCATTAGTACTAGTAGATCCATTATCTATAAATAATGATGGTTTTCTTGTACCCTTACGATGTTGCAGCATTAAATCTTTTAATTCTGAAATACGAGGAGTATTATAATTTTTACTATCACCAGTATGAACTGAATCATTAGTAAAATCACCTCCACTAATTGATCCACTATTAATAGTTCCACCAATTGTACCATCAATTGTACCATTAAATGTTCCATTAAATGTACCATTAGTTCCATAACTATTGAAAGTTCCATTAGGATTTAATGGAGTTGGATGATATTGATTATTCTTTTGAAGATATTTCAGTAAATCAGAATAAATTGATGAAATATCACCGGCTGTACCTAAACCTTTCCCAGTAACTCCAGGATGAATTGAAGATTCTAAAGAAACAACTTCACTTTCAATTATTGAACCTCCCCCACTTGAACCAATTGATGCTAATAAATTAGTTGTAAGACCATTTATAATTGCATTAGTATTTCTATCAGCAATATGAGGATCACTAACAAAATCAATTGTAATTGGTCTTTTATGATCAATCCAAATAATTGTAAAATTATTTCCACAAGCAAATTCTTCTAAATCATCTTTTGTAAATGCATATTTAATACTATCTTGTATAATAATAATATCATTACTACTCATACTACTACTACTACTGGTTAAATCACCTTGAGGGAATTGTTTAGCAATTTCATTATCACTTGGTTCAGAATCTAATCCTTCAATCCAATACTTTTTAACTTTTCTATACCTTATATTTGATAAAAGTTTAATATAATATTTGGAATTACTTGCATAAGATTCAAGTTCTTGAGGATATATTTCATCAAGATCTTTTAAACTATAATATAATATAATATGAGCAAATGTATCTTTATATTTTTCAATTTGCAGAGGTTCATTGGAATCTTTAAATTTTAATGACCAATGATATAAAAATGGAATATAATTACTAACAAAATTAATTCCAAGAGCTCGAATCATTTCCTTTAATGTCTTTATTAATAAAAGTACAATTTCTGTATTTGGAGATTGATAACGTTCAAAAAACTTATCAATATATAATAAAAAATGGGATATAAAATTATCAGGATGAGTAATATATTGATTAACATCTGGTTGAGTAAAATCTTTTGAAACATCAGAAAAATTTTCATTAATTGAACCTGATGGTGAAGTAAAATTTCTGGGAGATGATTCAACTTTATTTGTTTCAATATTATTTGTTTCATCATCATCATCATCTTGAAGATTATCATTCAGTAATTCATTATTTAAAAAATCAGAAAAGACTTTTAAATATTTACTTTGAATATCAAACATTTGTGAAGCTGATAAAATAGTTTTCCTATCGGGTTCAATTTCTGTTTCTGGAGCTAATATTGGTAAACTAATATTCCAATGTTCTAAATTAACTCTATTACGACTAATTGAACTTGATTTTTTAATTAATATACTAAAAACAGTTGAAATATTATCCAATAAAGTAATAATAAAACTATGAATCTTTTCTGCATCAACGGTATCAGGATGAGTTTGAGTTTCATCATCAGTATATGAATATTCTAAAGCAGATTTAACTTCAAGTAAAATTTCTTGAATTGAATCAGGAATTTGATCAGCATAATAAATATGTGATGATAAATGACATACACAATTTGAATAAATAAATGATAATTTCTTTACTTGTTCTGAATCAATATAAGTTGATTGATGTAAAATTAAATTAGATTGTAAAGAAAGTACTTGTCTAATTATATCAGAAACTGATAATCCAATCATATTAACATCAGATGATACTAAACCTAAAATATTACTGGCATAATGATATTGAATAGAATAATTTGGAGTCTTGGGATTTGAATCCTTGGCAAATAAATCTAATCTTGATAATAAAGTAGCTAAAGCAACAAATCTTAATTGAACAGGTATCCAAGTTGTACACATTTCTAAAAAGGTAGAACCCCATTTAAGATCTACTTTTGAATCATAATTAAATTGAACTACTGATTTAGTAACTGCTTGAATTTGATTAGTTAATGTAGTATTAAATAATGCCTTTAAACTATTAAATGATTCTTCATTAATATCAGTGGTTGTTAATGCATCATTATCAAAATCTTCTTCAATTTGTTTACTTGAAAGTCCAGCTTTACTCAGAATTACTCGAGAAAGTCGACGATCATCAGTTTCAATATTAATATTACTTCTTAATCTTGTTAATAAATTACGTTGAGTATTAGTATTTTGAACAGTTTTAATTAAAATTGGAATTGATAATCCAATAAATTTAGTTGATATTTTAGCATTATAACCTAAACAATGACTAATATGTTTAATTGCTAAAAGTGCAATCATTTTCCATTCTAATTGATTAGGTTTCTTTTCTTCCAGATTATAAGTTGATAAATTAATTATAGCTTCAGAAAGAGTACTAAATGAATTAACAAATTCTTTATCACCAGTAAATAAACCTTCATCTAATTTATCACATAATACTGTATAAGTTTTAACAACACTTTTACAAAGAATTAAATCTTTGGTTGATAAAACTGATTGTAACATTGATGTAATAAATGATGCAAATACATTAAGATTATCAGAACATTTTTCAATTAATGCCGATAATATAGCTAAAGTAACTTGTAAATTTCCATGACGTCCATGACTAACATCATTTTCAGTCTTTTCCTTTAAAAATGTTACAACTTTTTCTAATTTAACTCTTCTAGTTGAGGCATAATATAATAAATAACTCAATTCTGATGAGTTAGGTTTCTTATCAGCTCCCTTTCCGGGAGGATAACATTGAAGAATGAGATTTTGATGTTTTGAATGAAAGATTCTCATTATAATTGTAATTGTTTATAACTTTTAATCAACTCGTGGTATACTACTAATTAACTAATTAACTAATAACTAATAGAATTATTTCACTTATTTCACTTATAGAAATACCCTAAAAGTTGTATAAATTATGGTATTATATTCCCAATACACTACCTACCAGATTTAAGTGATTTTAACGTTAATTACCAGCATTAATAGTGATAAACTTCCACTAGTAAATCATGAAAAACTCCACTACGACTTCTGTTGGAGCACTTAGTTTTTAGGCGGAGAGTGTGATTTGGTGTGGTGTGCAGGACGGTGGTAAAAAAAAAGCTCCATTGCTTAAAACAGTAATTTTCGGATCCCATCTCAAACGGGTAATTCCTGAAAAGTATAATTAAATTATTAAATATTTATTTTATTTATTTTGCTTTTATTTTATTTTATTTTTATTTTATTTATTTTTATTTATTTATTTATTTCTATACTTAGTTTATAGTTACTGAGTTAGGTACTTAATCGATACGATGGCTCCTCCAGTATATGTTAAGGGAGGGGTGTGGACTAATGTGGAAGATGAGATCTTAAAAGCCGCGGTATCAAAGTATGGACTTAATCAATGGGCTCGAGTCGCTTCATTATTAACTAAAAAGAGTGCGAGACAAGCCAAAGCCCGATGGAATGAATGGTTAAATCCGAATATTGATAAGTCTGCTTGGACTCGAGAGGATGATGAAAAGTTATTGAATTTAGCAAAACTTTTACCGAATCAATGGAGAACTATTGCACCCATAGTTGGTCGAACTGCTACTCATTGTGTAGAGAGATATCAGAAATTATTGGATGATGCAGCAAAAGTTGTTGATGATGATGATAATGATAATGATGAGTCGGAGTCTGATTTGGGATTAACTGGACCGGGAATTGAATCTTTACCAGCTTCTGGGGTTAGCGTGGGAGAATTAAACATAAATCCTGAAAGTAAGCCTGCCAAACCTGATGATGATGAACTTGAAGATGAAGAACGAGAAATGTTAACAGAAGCTAAATCGAGATTGGCTAATACTCTGGGTAAGAAAGCGAAGAGAAAGGCTAGAGAAAGAATGTTAGATGAAAGTAAACGGTTAGCTCTACTTCAGAAACGGAGAGAACTCAAGGCCGCAGGTATCAATATAAGTCTTGAATCTAAGAATAAACGAGCCAAGAAAGATTTTGATTATAATGCAGATATATTTCATGAACATGCTCCAGCTGCTGGGTTATATGATGTTTCTGAAGAAGCCAATAGAAATGAGAGTGAACGAATTAATTTCAGTCGTCAAGTGAATAAAGTAGGTTTAGATTTAGAAGAACAAGATAAGAAGAAACTTAAGGGAAAGACATCTCAATCAGATAGTAAGAAACATAAGTTGAATATTGAGGCAGCTGCAGAATTGTTAAATGAACATGAACAAATCACCTTAAAGAAACAGAAACTTGATTTGCCAGCTGCTGTACAGGTTGATAGAAAAATCAATGTTATAGAGACAGAAACTAATGAATTAGAAGGTGTATTTGTAGTTCTCCAAGATAAATCACACGTCGAACCAGAAGATGATATCGATTCTCGACTCATACAAAAGGGTAAACAATTAATAGCAAGTTCAGCTACAGGTTCGGTTCTCCTTGATGAAGAAACAAAGTTTTCTGATATGGTTCCTGCTCCTATAGTTACCAAAGCCAAATCTTCCAGTAAAGAAATAAAGAAATTCATCGTAGAACAATTCAGTAAACTTCCAGCCCCAAAACATTCTTCTGGACTAATTCTTCCTCAATTTGATGAAGAAGAAGATAAGATAGATTTGTCACAATTTAATGATGATGATGGTAATGGATCAGCACCTGTAGATCAAGGTGAACGATTAAGGCAGCTTGAAATTTTACAGCAAGTTAATAATGAGAAGGCTAAGTTAAGGAGATCACAGGTAGTTCAAAAAGGGTTAACTATACCTAATCCTAAACATTTGAAGCCAATTAGTAGTTCAAGTGATAAACATGATATTTCAGTGCTTGTAGCGGTTGAATTATCGAAATTAATTAGTTCAGACTATAGAAAGTATGTGGATCCAAGTTATCATGCTCCACTAGTAGAAGATTTGGATGAAGAAGAGTTTGATAAAGTTAACCAAGAGATTGCTCAAGAAGTTGCCAAGTTTGAATCAAAATCTGTATCTCCCACTACTGAAGATGACTCACAACTTCCTCCTATTAGTTCAATCAAGGCTAATGTAGAGAATCGTTTACGAACACTCAAATTACGATGCGAAACAATAGACAAAGAACTTGAGCAAAAGCTTGATCTCCAAACCATTCTGGCCAGTCAATTCGATACGTGGAATCAAGTACTATCCGAACACACAAAGTTAAGACAGCTTTCTAACACTTTGGCTGAAGTGATACGCTTGAGAGATGAAGAACAGACAACAATTACAGCTAGATCGTCCAAGCTTAGAACCCTGGTAGATGCTATAAATGCTATTGAATCGGCTGTACAAGAAAGACTACGTGCAATTCAGCTAGCTTGCAATATATAGAGTCTATATCTATATCTATGTCTGCATATATCTATATATCTATATATCTATATATATTAATGAATAATGACCATTAGTGAAATAACCTCCAGCCCTGCGCAACCGATGCCTCGCTAATTTTTTGATGGTCTGCGAATAACAGACAGGCCCCCACACCACCAGTAATTGAGATTGATATATAACCACTAATATGAATACAAATCTCTTGTATATACCGTTCAGGCAGTCCCGACCCATTGATTTGGGAGAAGAATTGAGACAAGTCATAAAATCAGATTACTTCCAGCCTCCACTGACATTCGAAGCTGATTTACAATTAATCACCGGACTTCGTAACAACATCACAGGTTTGAAAAATGAACAAGTATCATTAGATACTGAAGGTTTACTAAAGGACTATTATGTGTATCTCACAAGTATCAGGAAAAAATTCCCTGATGATTGTATTGAATTTGGATGGTACAGTACCCTATCATCATTTCCTACTGGACCAGCCAAATCAAGATCGTTTAAGATTGAAGAACTAAATATTGTGTACCAATTGGGTAGTGCGTATTCTCAGCTTGCATTATTGGAATCAAGACATACTGATGAAGGTTTGAAAAATGCCTGTGCGTACTTTCAATTATCTGCAGGGTGCTTTGAGTATATGTTAAGTATAATGAAGACTGAAAGTGAAGAGCAAACTAATCCCATGAGTATACCGAATGATTTACTGATAACAACGATTGAATGTTTGAAACAACTTATGTTAGCACAGGCTCAAGAAACTATTTGGCAGAAGGCTATTGGGAATCCCACATTGAAGGATTCTGTTATTGCTCGATTATCCATACAAACATCTGACTATTATTCATTAGCATTATCTAATGCTCAAGTATCTGATTTCATAAAATTAGAATGGATAAACCATATATCCATCAAGAAATATCACTTTAAATCAGCAGCTAATTATCGAATGTCACTAGTGGCTCAAGATGCTTTCCAATATGGTGAACAAGTTGCCTATTTGCGAGTGGCTGATGATACTTGTAAGGAAGCACAATCTTATAAACGGTTTGTTAATCAGTTTGTAGTTGAAGATTTCGAAGGTTTAACCAACACTGTAGCTAATTCATTAAGGGTGGCAGTGAAAGAAAATGATCTTGTTTATCTAAAGATTGTGCCTAATACTAGGGATTTGAAACCATTGGTAGGTACATCAATGATTAAAATAAATATCCCTCAAGTACTACAAGAGAATCCTCCAAAGGATAGGGCTATCTTCAAAGCATTATTGCCTCATGTAATAATACAAGTTTCTCAAGCATTCCATGAAAGAAGAGAAAATTACATTCGAGAAAGATTTCATGAACCATCACAAGCTTTAAATAATATGTTAGCCAAATTTTTAGCTGATCGTGGATTACCAGCATCTATAGATTCGATTCAACAGCCAGAGAATTTACCAAGATCCATTATACAACATTCTCAAGAAATAGTTTCATTGGGTGGAACTCAAATTATCGATCAGTCGATTCAAGAAATTGTCGATTTGGCCACAGAAAGTAGAAGATTGATTGATGAATGTTCTGGTCGTATTGAACTAGTAGAAGAGGAAGAGGAATTTTTGAAAGACAGACATTCTGGATATTCTATATCCATAACTCCAACAAAGAAGGCAGCCAATGACTTAATTGAGAAAATTAACAAGATGTCTATTTATTTGGATCAAGCTAAGTCTGGAGACAAAGTAGTTACAGCCAAGTATCAGGAATTAAAACCTTTGTTAGATATATATTGTGGTGGATATGAATCTTTAATCCGATTTGTACCAGATTCATCCTATATTGCATTAGATGGTAAGGTATCGGCTATAATCTCAGACTTAAGAAAGGCTCTTAATGAGGGGTCTAAAATAGAAGAGAACCGGAGAGAAATTATTGCAGGATTAGAAGTTAAAGTTAGGGATAATAATATTCTTCCTCTAGTTCTTGAAGAATATAAAGATAATCAGGATAAAATCTATGATGATAATGGAAATATTAAAACAAGAGCATTTGAATCGCTCTATGATAGGAATCTTCAAATCTTCCGGGAAGATTTGAAGCAATTAGAAGCTCTGAAGAATAGACAAATAGCATTTGAAAATGAAATTGATATGTTGAATAATCGGTTTGTTACTGAGTTTCGTTCTGGTAATGATCGTTCTCAAACCAAGAGAAAGGAAGTCTTACAAACATTGGAAAATGTTTACGTCAAATATTTGGATGTAATGTCCAATTTGAATGAAGGATCAAAATTCTATATTGATTTCATTACTAAAGGTAATGCAGTGTTGCAGGAATGTGATCAATTCTTGTTCCAAAGAAGGCTACAAGCTCGAGAAATCGAACAAGATATTTTTAGTAGATTACATACGAACGACATCAATCCTACAGTGCTGAGAGATAGTGATAGTCGCACCTTGGATGAAATGGAACAAGACATTGTAGATTCTTCCACACGAGTACCACTTCACGCACCAGAAGCTAAAGGAGGTTTATTGAACCCAAATCAAGGGATCAAATTTGACTGAGAAACTCAAAATTTTATTTTGAGCTATGTCTCATGTCTCGGTATATACTTTTTTTTTTCAGGACTATGTAAATATATATGGACCACTACTTGTAGTGATATATAGTGTGATATGACAATATAAAAGGTTAGTTAATGATTGGTAGGTATTTGAAATACCTCCGAAATTTTATAATGACAGAACCTAAACGAAATATCATTACTATTGTGGGGACCACTGGAGTGGGTAAATCACAGGTATGTAAAGTATGCGATGATCATCATCTTTGAGACAAATTACTCACATAGTTATAACAGTTCAGTATAGATCTTGCTCGTGCCATAAATGGAGAAATAATCAATGCAGATTCTATGCAAGTGTACAAGAGGTTGGATAATATCACAAATAAACATCCTATACAAGAGAGATATGGTGTACCTCATCATGTAATGAATCATGTAGATTGGAAAGAAGAATACTTTATCCATCGTTTTTCTGAAGAAGCAAATAAAGCCATTGAAGATATTTATGATCGAGGTAAGATTCCAATAGTTATAGGGGGTACCCATTATTATCTTCTGAGTTTAATATTTAACAATAAAACAATTGGCTCTACGAATGAGATACGTCCTAAGCAAGAATTGACTAAAGAACAAGAGGCTTTGTTAGATGGCCCAGTAGATAATATATTTGAAGAATTAAAGAAGATTGATCCCATAATAGTAGAGAAATTTCATCCTCAGGATAAACGGAAATTAAGACGAGCTTTAGAGATTTTTTACGAAACTGGTGAAAAGCCGTCCTTCATCTATCATGAACAAAAACTAGATGAATTAGAGAGTTCATCCTTAAAGTATAATACTTTACTATTCTGGGTCTATTCTGATCCAGAAGTACTAAAGGAAAGGCTTGATACCCGTGTAGATAAAATGATGGTTTCAGGAGCTACTGAAGAGATTAAGGAATTGTATGGAGTATATAAAGAGCAAAGTCCAGTTCCCGATTGCACCAGTGGCATATGGCAAGTAATTGGATTTAAGGAATTTTTGCCGTGGTTAGGTGAAACTAATGGAGACGATATCTCATCGTCGTTATACAAGGAAGGAGTTGAAAGGATGAAGATTAGGACTAGGCAGTATGCCAAGTATCAAGTAAAATGGATCAAAAAGTTGCTCTCAGTCGAACTTCAAAAAGAAGCTAGATTTAGATTCAAGTATGGAGGTAAATTGTACTTACTTGATGCTACAGATCTAAATACATGGAATGAAAATGTCGGAGCAAGAGGTGTTAGTATTGCCAAACAATTTTTAGAAAATGGACCTCGAGCAGTAACAATACCACAAGCTCCAGAAAATTTGAAAGAAATGATACCAGATGATGGATTTTTTGACAATTATAAGAGTAATAAAGTGCTTGGCTCTGAAAGTAATTGGAAACATTACTCATGTTCAATTTGTAAAGATAAGAATGGCAATGACTTAGTAGCAGTTGGAGACGAGATGTGGCAAACTCATTTAAATAGTAGGAGACATAAAAAGGCATTAGCTGCTGGTGATAAGAAGAGAAAACACATGGAATTGTTGCAACAGTATGGAGATGCTAATAGTCGTAAATCAGTAAAATTAGACTTGTAAATATTTACATAATTTCTTATTTGTATAGTTTTTTGCAATAAAATGTTCAAAATTATAAAAAAAAATTAATTCTTAAATTTACACAAATAAACCAACAAAGCTTACAAATATATAGAAGATTGTCTTTCGACTAACATATTATCTTTATATTCTATTGAGTAGCAAAAATAACCGCTAAACCATTTGGTAGAATAAAACGGTTACAATATATTGGGAGTAAAAATTCCTGCATACAGCTTCTTTTTGCAAACTAAGTTACACAAACGACGTCTATAAAGGAGATGGCTAACAGTTAAAAAAATTTTCAAATTTGTTTGATTCTTCTTTTAGTTCTTTGATACGAAAGCTTCCTATTCACTGCACCATTTCTTTGTTAATGAATGATTGGAGGGGAAAAGGAAGCGAGATAGATGATATTCGAACTACAACCTCATACTAAGCTTGCTTTTTAATTTGTAGCAAATTACTTGGATTCTGTGTATTCGATACAAACATTTTATCTATTCAATAGGTGGAGAGATAAAAATGAAAATAGTTACCAATGTAGCACGTAAGAATGTGCTTGTAGTTACTAGTAAGAATCAGAAGCCTCCTTTTAGATAAATCGTACTTTCACGCTAGTTAATGCTCTTAGAGGCATCTAGCCAGTCGACTTCTAGAAGGTATAGTGATGCAATTGCGCTTATACGTAACGGTCTTTTATTGTATTATATGTTCTGCTTCTGTATTCTGGCGTTTGAAACTTCATAATTCGGCCATTCAACTCAGATTCAATTTGCGATGTAGCCATATTTTTTAGCAATACATGTAGAAAGCACAATTGCTATGTTAATTGGATGTATTTTTTGTTTCATACAACCACTTGCATACGGATAAATCATGTCAATGAGTGGGACGATTGTTAAAGCAGAATAAGGATAAAAACAAGTACATCGGAAATGTGGAGTCTTACATCCCGTCCGAGGATATATAAAGTAGAGGTTACGATCTGCAGATGAGCCATTGTTAAATTATCTACATCTTTACAATTATTACGCATTCACCATTAGTAAATCTCAGTCTTCAGCATACCGTGCCATAATGCTTGTGACTGTAGCTGTAGCTGTAGCTAATATAATGGTACCATCAACTTTTAGCTTTCGTGGGGATATGAAATGATCGTTAAATTTCAGATGTATTATTTTCTGCCTACGATCGGTAATTGGTTACACCCGCGTTAAATGTTGAAGTATTGGTTACGAATTCCACCTACGAATTCTCCTTGAAACTGAAAATGAATTGACTACGAGGGATCATAACTCAGTAACTATCAACTCTTATGCTCTACAACACCTCCCCCCTGTTCCGTAATCTCACCATAAATCCATGGCCTGTAGGGTGGAGCAGATAATTTTTCAAGGCAGCGCCAGGAATAGTAATGCTGTAAAAAATGCACAAACTATAGTAAAACAAAGAGAAGATAGGATGCGGGCTACATATTCCACATATAGTCTCCGCCTATCATTCAACTTCATCAGCTCATATTATCTTTTAATGTGCGTCATGCTTAACCTGTTCATACAGTCGCTCAACTTTTAATCTTAGTTTAGCTTACAGTGCATCGACAATGAAACTCCTCACTTGCAATTGCAATCGAGTGATGAAAAAATAGAATAATAAATTAACTATGTAAAGCTTTGGTTCTAAAAAATATCATGAAAGAAAACAATGAAATTTGTAATGAATAATTACTAAGTCAATCATTAAGCTAAATAATATACTATTATCATGTCTAGAATGTTCCACGAGGTCCTTTTTAAGGCTCTTGTGATTAACACCCTAGAAATAATTATGAAATGAATTAGAAAAAAATGTTGGTAAATAAAAGCAAAACCCTTACCAACCCCGGATAGTAATTAAAACCCCCAATTGACATTAAAAATTTATAAAAAAATATAGCATTGAATAGAAAGGTCGTAAAGCATGGCAAAATAGCAAATGTAATTATCGCTATATGAAAAGAATTAAATGTCGGCAAATGAAAAACATCTACTTTCTAAAACTTTTAAACTTGGACTTATTGGTAAGTCATTATTATTTGGACTATGAGCACCACCAGAACCATTAAGACGGGTTCTAGAAGTTATTAATTTTTTCTTAGGAGATGTTGATGATATTGATGAATTAGAATCATTATTAGAATCATGTAATATTGAAATACTAAATTCTCGATTCAATTTCTCCTCTACTTGTAATAGTTTTGTATCTAATTGACTCATGGATGAATCTTGTTGTAATTGTAAATTATTCAAATCATGATCAGAACACCATCCACTTTCCATTAGATGTTTTCTGGTTAAATCAAAAGCATCACTCATTGATTGCTTTTGTTTATTTATGTAGTTAGCGAAATTAATCAATTCATCAGCTTGAGTTAACTCAGAAATCGAATTCACTCTACCTCTACGATCTTCACTTTCAAACGATACCTCATTATCTAATTGTTGAGCAATCTTAGCATGGTTTTCTCTTTGACTACCAGAAAATACAGTAGATGTGAACTTTGAGTTTAAAACATCAAAGTAATTCTGCTCAATATTTGATAATGTTTGCTTCGTACCGGAAAGATTCTCAGAAATTGTGATGATTGGAGAAGAAAGTGGTGGTGTCACGGGAGTCAACATTGCTGAATTAGATAAGGTTCTTGATCGTTTTCCTTTAGTTGGATTTAAGCCTGATGTGACACTTGAATTCGAGGATGAGGATGTTGAAGAATGAGAATGCTGATTACTGTGATGATTGGGAGCTAATGGAGCTGCAAATTCATCCTGTAAAGGAGTAACTAATGGTCTAATAGCAGGAGAATTTCCTTTATTAGATACTACTGATAAAACATGAGGAACGGATGGAGGTGGCAAAGAATTTGATGAATTATTATTATTACTGGATGATAAGGATAATTTTCTAATCCCATTCTTTAAACTCTTTAATCTTTTCAAAGGAGATGTATTGTTACCTGAATTTGTATTCGTGTTTGTATTTGAATTTAATATTTTACTGTTACTGTTACTGTTATTAGTCAGAATAGGGACACTACCGTTGACTGATGAACTATTTGATTGGTTTAAAGATGGGAATATTTGAAAGTTAGAAGTGTCAAGATGAAGACTTGGTGAATCTAACTCATAATTTGAAAAAGGTTGATCTCTCTGTAAAAATTCTGATAAATCTGATTGTTGTAAACTTGATGCATCACCGTTATCTTTACCTGTTGTATTATTGGAGGTTAGACATGATAATACATTATTTTCATTATCTTCACTATTACTTAATAAAGGTGCTGAAGCAGTTATTGGAGATACCAAACTATTACTGGCAGATATAGATGTTGTATCAGCATGTAATGTTGGTCTTACAAGGGTAGTACTATGAGTGATGAGATCAGATGAATCATCAGGTAAGGGTGGTAAAAGTGTTTCAGTTTCAATAGCTGATTTCTCTTGAATGGTAGTAGAACTTTCACTATGATGTTCATTTGCTAGTATGGGAGTAGTATTTAAGATATCTTCAGGTATTTGAGTTTGGTCAGGACCAATATTTGTAGCTGCAGTTCCAATTAATTTTTCAGCTACTAATAAAATTTCATTCGTATTAGTATTATTCTGACTCTGACGTCTTGATACTGGTTCAGATGCCAAAGGACTCGAGGTAGATATGGTTGTAATGGAACTTATGGAATTTTTATGTAACTGTTCTGGAATATGAGAGGTTGTCGGTTCTCTCTCTTCTAGAACTATACCTAGACCACCGTAATCGCTACTCATTTTATAAATTGTGTAGTGGGTGAATTCACTCTCAGTATTATTCTATTTGTTGTCGATTAAACTGGACTTAAAACACTCAATGAACGTTATATTATGACTAAGAGACAAGCCGAAAGGAAGAATACAAGTAATCGAATATCTATCATTAACAAATCTGAAATTTTTTTGGCCTAGGAGCCTTTTGGTTATATATAATTTTTTTAACTCTACTTTGTGATAACTTTAGTTTAGTATATTTTTTTTTCAGTTTTTTTTCACTTTTCATTATTAAATTGGATTATTCGATTTATTTTTTATTTCTCAAATTGTTTTATTTTTTAATTTTAACATTTTGCCTTTTGCGAAGAAGACCGTTAATTAAATAAAGTTCCACAAAAGGGTGCACTAGTACAATATTTTTTACACACGATGCACAAAATTGGATTTTGTGTTTGAATATTATTGCAATGTGAAAATTGTAGGTAGGTAGGGAGTGCCACTAGCAAGCGAGCGAGTTAGTGAATAAGCAGACATAGCAGGACAGGGCACCACAGATTGAATATCAGTTTATCTATTATTATTGTCATGTACTGCTCAATCCGAGTTTCATGTCTCTACGTAAATTGATCGAATAAAGACTTCTAGCATAATTTCGTCAATGTTAAATAGTTAGATTGTGCTATTTTATAATTGTGAAGTCTAGATGTCCTGTAATTATCGTGTAAGCTTAGTAGTCTACGAAACTGAATTTACCCTAACGAATCAATATAATTTTTACTTTTATGCGAAAAAATAGGGAAAAAGAAACCTACATAGGCTAGTTCTACCTTAAAACCTTAACTTTGAATTACGCTTAAACCTAAGCATATATTCACGGATAGTAAGTTTTTGAATCGAATTATACTTTCGTCCCCTAGAAGGTTATACGAAATGCTTTATCTGATGACTGACTTCAGATTATCTCATTAATCCTAGATGATGGTATGTTTTACAATCAAACCATGTGTCATTTCGATATGTCCGAATTACGAATTAAGACGAAGTTGACGATTATAGGAACCAATTAACTATTAGATATACATTATTTTTACAGAATCACCTGGTAGGATCACAAATAAAAAAGCCCAGAGTGATGTTTTAAATATAATTTACCCCTATCCCGAAATCTCTCATGGAGAATTCTCGAGACAAATACATCATTTTTACTGTTGACATTCAACTACCGACGTCAAAAGTTAGAAACTACCCTTTACTCTGATGGCTCAAATTGTTTAGGGCCGTATAACATTTGTGAGTAAAGAGCTTTACAGTTTATCATGCAATCTCTTTTTAGTGAACTTAATTGTACTGCATGCAGTTAATATAAAAGTTTTGTATTTTTTGTGCTGTTAACAACTTGCAAAACCTTATTCAATTTGACACTCCTATTTTGACAGTATATGCGCAAACGGAAACTAGCCGATATTTTTTTCTTTTTTTTTTGTGAGAAGTGATTTGTGAAAGAGGTTTTTTACACTGGGAGCACTTTTTGAGTGTATCCCCAGCAAAAATCAATTACGATACTCGCTTAAGAATGAATTCAAGAGTAGTACTATCCAACACGCAATTTGTATCACACCATCGTAATTATGATCAAAAAGTCTGATACACAACACATTAACACACAATAATCTCTTACTGAGAAAGTGTATTATCTCTCGATTATATTTGTACCTGACACGTTTCATGATCCGTGTTCTCATTGATTCAGCACTATCCAATAGTGGTTGGTTTGTTAGTAACAGCACTAAATTTATGTTGATCATCAAAGCATGACAATATACACGTATATAGGCTTTAACTAATCGTACAATTTGACTATCTGTCCAGTTTTCATTATTTAAGCTTCTCTAAACTACCTAATACGGATATTCGGCTGATCTCGGTCTATATTTTACGCAGAAACTTCTTGGAAGGTGCGTAACTTCTGTACCACTTTACAACTTTTAAAATGGCAAGATAAACTTTATTATAACTACCATTTTCATTTCAAAAACCTGACCTAATTTGTTAACTAACGGGATAAGAAGATTTGACCAACTTCTCTTGTCTGGACCTTAACTATGATTATTAAGTTCGTAGTAATAATATCATTTCTTTTTTTATTTTTCAGTGTGGCAGCTAATTTCCGCTTAAAAAATAATGTAGGCTAATAAATATTTCTTATGATAACAAGAAAAACGGTCAACTCACAAACAATTTTCATGATATAATTATTGTTATCTATTGTTGTGCTTAATTAATATATGATCTACATTGTTTAGGTTGGAATGGTTACCTTTTACGAATATTTAAGAACTAGCAAGGACCATTTAATACTTTATGACTTAATTTGCTAAATATTTATTCTTATTCCTCTAGAGTAATTTGGGCAGAATATTGCTTAGTTTGTGCTAATGTAGCCATTTGCCTTAACAAAAACTTAATTATATTTAAAGTTGTTATTGATGTAAATGTATGTGTAGGCAGCGATTAAGGGCACTTCATAAATGCGTGCAAATGCTCTTGCAGTTACAAAGTGCTTACTTTGCCACATTGAGCCCTAAAACACAAACATTCGTAGAGTAGAATAATTGTAAAGCTAGACTTTTAGTTCTAGGTGTATTTAGCTGCAATATACTAGCCCCGAATTTGGAATCTATTTGATCTGCATCTATCTAATATTCTGATGCCGTATGGGTTCTTATTGAGTACCTTCTTTCTTGTTGAATAGCCAAAAAGATGACGCTTGCAACCAGTGAAAGTCAACTGGAAAAGTTTTTTGAGCACTCGTACGACCGATTAACTGAATAGGTTAAAATTTAAGGTTTTAGTCCGCAGTACTTCATACCCCATTTGCTTTATGTTATTGTTGATTGCCGACAAGCCTTTACTCGAGATTATCATATGCTACATCTAATAATTCCTTCAGACTTTGAACTAGAAAGGAATTATAATTCGGACCAACACCAAATTAATATGACTTGGCTTGTGTGTTGCTTTTTTTACGTGTGGTAGTAATATTTATTACCAAGTTTTTCAACACATCATTAAGTTAACATTTACTGAGATTTTAGTTTACTTCTATCTGTGAGTAGACATTCACAATAATGAGAACTTGCTACATCAAATGTAGATGTATACATATAGGAGGCAGCTATTGTTTCTAAGCTTTTGGTTGCGCTCAAGTGGAAGGTAAAAAGGTAGTGCATGATCAAAAGATTTACAATGTGCTTCTCCGGTTTTGTGAAAAAAATTGAAAAGTTTTACAGGTTAAGTGTATGCACAAACAAGAATCAAGCCTTACTGACCTTGCTCATTCTAGACCGGTGAAGCTCTCCTTAATTAAGCTCCCTGCTTCAAGAAAATTTTTGATCCCTGTATCGCCTACCGTTGGCACTTGGCGCAGATACTGGAAAATATAGATTTGCCACTAGCAGTGTATAAAAATATCTGTATGTTCCCCCTATTTATTTGCCCTATTTATTTGTCAGCGATTTAGTTCACTAGTTTAGTATGAAATAATGGCTGTGCCGTTATTTGCTAGCCTAACAAGAGCCCAGAGACGATATAGTATCTCGTTAAGTAATTCTCTTTGTAAACATCAACACTGTAGTTTAAAACTTCTAGAACCTGTACTAAGAGAGTCTTGTAACAGTTTATTCAGTTAACATGCATTGCCACTGGAGTTTTTGAGCTTAGTTCACTAAAGTGACTGCCCGCAATTTTACTGCGGGAGGACAAAAAAAGGATCTTGCAGTTGGGCAAAGCTACACATGTGCTGTTAAGAGACAATGATGATTTGTACTAGAGAAATATGCTTAATGTAGTAGCAGGTTATTATGTTCATTATGTTCATTATGTTTATCATGCTTATCATGCTTATCATGTGCACCATGTGGGACTGCAAAGGTTGAACTAGAATTGTAGATATCTGTTAATATAGATACAGAAATGCGACTTTATCCTATTAGTTTGCAGCTATCATAATTTTTGATATCATAACCTTAAATGCAAGCCTTGCAATATCTGTAGAAACAAGAAAAGAATTCATTTATCAGTATTTGTTTGTCTGTTTAATTTCATATCTTCTTGTTATGAGCTCGGCATCTTGTCTAAATGAAATTCCAATATCTATTGTAACAATGCAGTCAATTTTTATGTCTATTGTTTCTCAGATTGCTTAATTTAACTAGATCCTTTTCAGGCGTCGTAATTACTAAATATTGTATAATTAACTTACGGTCTTTTATGCATTACATAAATCAATCATAAACTCATTCGATTTCAGTCCCTTACATAAAACATTAACTGAAAGAGATTTTATATACGCCTTATATGCTAGTTAATATCGTTTGTACCTTTTTCTTTTCAAAATTCCAGTAATTTACTCTTATTTTGTCATACTGCGATCCTAACAAATCGTAAATCTTAATCGAATCATTGTACTTCTTGTTCTTCAAATTTATCTTTGCTAATGTCTCTAATGCATATAAACTTTTAACCCCGTTGAACTCTTCATCTTGTAATTTCAACTCATCAAGAACAATGAATTGCAAACAAAAGCTTTCTAATTCAGCAATATTAAGTTTCTGAGATTTGTAAATCCCTAATAAATAATTCCAACTAGATGGGTTTTGAGGTGATTGCTGAATTAATGCTTTCACAAATTGAATTTCAGAATCTACTATTTCAGATGTAATTAATTCCGGATTGGAAAAATAAAGGAAATATCTATGACTCCAAGCTGAATTATTTCTTAAATCAGATAATATAATCTTTTCAACATACTCTAATTCCTTAGGATCTCTGAATAATTGAAATTTTTCAACTAACCATTTACGGTATGACCAAACGTGATGATTCTTAGGATCTGAATCTAACATAGCTTCCAAGATAGGAAATTCACGATGAGGTTCATATTTTCTACTAGTTTCAGTGGTTGTAGCTAAGATTCTCTCAATTATTAATTGTCGATAATTCCAAATTTGATAATTCTTTTCATTCTCCAACGCTACTTGTTCACACCAGTCTAACTCTTCAAATAAGTCCTTATTTAAATGGAGTAATATATCATATCTGTATATCCAGATAGTGTAATGAGATGCAAGTAACTCGATACCCTTTTGGGTGAGATATAAGGCTCTATCAGAATACTCTTCGTTCTGTAAAAGTGCTAGAAGTAATCCCATGGTAGTTTTATATTCTTCATCGTAAAGGATTTGACATAATTGGGGTTCTTCAGTATTGATCTTGACGGGTTCTACGTCATCAAATGTGTATTGTACTTCGCTCATGATAATAATTAACCAATAATGTTAGAAAGTTTACTTACTTGATACAATTGCAAATTGAACGGCTTATATGCTTCACAGTCGATGTGATGGTTTGATCACAAATTTCCCCTTTCGTCCTGTACAATGAGACAAGAAATTCGCTTAACAAACCTCATAACTATGGGGGTACTAAAAGTTCAGTCAGAATTACTTAACACTATACAAAAGACTTATTATAGTAATAATAGTAATAGTAATAAAATAGCATATCTGAAGTTTATTGTTAGTACAAGTAATATAGTACTAGTATAATAAAATTTATTGTTGTGCTGTATATCTACACACTTCAGGTAATTGCAATCGGCCGACAGTATACGGTGTAGAACCCAAATAGGGAAAAAAAGGTTTATCGACCGAAACTATAATTTTTCACGTCTTGCTAGAGGACATTAACCAGAATTAGCAAGTCAGTGGATGAGTAGCAATTCCTTGAATCTTCCGATCTCAGACCTGGAGTTACTACTATTGGCTGTTACTACCGGTTCTGTCATTTATTTGGTATTACTGTATCTCTATGGAAAATCTCAAGTACCAATCCTAGTTGCCATATTTGTTTTCAGTAATATGGTATCCCGGACTACGATATTTCAATCGTTTATACCTCGATTTTCTAAACAAGTAGATGTATTGATTGAAACATTATTTCCTTCCAGTAGTTCACTGTTGAAAAATGTTCCTACAACTCAGGGTCCAGGGTATGGGCAATTCTTAGCATTAAGTGATAATTCCAAGCTTGAACTTCTTACTGCAGTTAAATCACTCCAGGCTTATTCAGATAATGCCAAAAAGACGAATGATAGAAGAAGGAAATTATTCAAGTTAATGAGTTGGAGACAACAGAGATTATGTGAGGATGTGGGTTACTTGAACAAGTTGAAGAAGATAGATCAATCTATACAAACGAATCAAACTTTCTTGAATGCAATAGCTGACAAATCCATTGAGGATTTTGGACTCTCATACCATGATTTCGAAAAATTGAAGAATGATAGTAGTGTCAATCAAACATCTTCAAGTAATTATAGAGTCATAGAGGCAATTGGCCATTACTTACGTGATTGGAACAACAAGGGAATAGTGGAACTTAATCCCATTTTGGATTATACTAAGAAGCAATTAAATGAATTAATTCCGGTAGATCAAAGAGCCAAAACATGTATTATAGTTCCAGGTTCAGGATTAGGTAGAGTTGCTCATGAGATTGCCAATTTAGGGTCAGATAAGAATGAACCAACATTTGGAGCTGTCTATGCCGTGGAATATTCAGGATTAATGCATGCATGTAATAGATTCATATATTCTTCAACTGACAAGCCATTTGTGTTATTCCCATACGTCCATACATGTTCTAACTTATATGATACACCATCCCAATTCCGATCAGAGAAAATCATACCAGTTTTCGACAAACCCGACAATTTGCATTTGAGACATGATGATTTCCGATATTTCAAAATTGAAGATCCTGACAAGTACGAAAATATTGTCATATTGTCTGTTTTCTTTGTTGATACAGCTGAAAATCTACTTGATTATCTCGATGCAATAAACCATCTAACCACTCCAAACTCAAGAAACAATAAAATAAAGAGAGGGTTCTGGATTAATGTGGGACCTTTGAAATACGGTAGTGCAGCCCAAGTTGAATTAAATGCTGGAGAATTACAACAACTTCGACTGAAAATGGGTTGGAAAGATAAAAGCTTTATTAATAGTCTTAAACAAAAGGATATCGGAGAAAATGGTTTATCAGGCTATGTTACAGATAAGGATAGTATGTGGCAAGGGTATTACGGATTAAGTATGTGGTCCTCATCTAGAAAGGAGAATAGTACCAAGTAGAATTACTGTTTAACTTTCTTTCTTGTATATAGTAATCGGTATAGAAAATTATCTATCTATTGTATTGTACATATTTACTCTATTTATTTGGTAATATCAGAACCTTTATTGATTTGAATCTTTTTATCTTCACCACCACTTATAATACCAATATCAGAATCCCAAGAAACAGCAAATACTTTAGATTTTTCTTTAGATTCTTGTTCACCTCTAGTTATAGTATATAATGACTTTTCAGCTCTAACATCCCATACTTTGACAGTACCATCATGAGAAGCAGATGAAAATATATAATCATTAGATGGTGATGCAGTTAAACTTACTACAAAATTAGTATGACCAACTAATTTTGATGATGTTTGATCTGTAGTAGTAGAACTTATACGTGGATCATGCAAATTAATATGACGAGCAGTTGAACCCGATGCTAATAAATGAATGTTTGGTAATTGTAATACAGAAAGTAAAGAATATCTAGTATTTCTAGTATCCACACAACGAGAAGTAACTAAATCCCAAGTTTTAATAGTATGATCTTGAGATACAGAATATGCTACTGTGGAATCATTAATATCAAAAATAACATCTTCAACTGGTTGTGAATGACCTTCTAAAAGGGATAATGGAGAACGACGTCTGATAGTTGAATCTTGAACAGCCATCTTTCTTCTTTTCTTGGATGCAGTAGAAAGTACATTAGAATCATATTCTAATGGTTTTATAGATGTCATTTCTTTGTAATTTGTAGACCATACACCAACAACATTATCATACCCAGCAGATAAAATACGATTTGATTTATATTCAACTGATAATGATACTACTGGAGCTTTATGACCTTCAAGAATAGCTAAAGTTTTACCATCTTGAACTTCATCATCATCTATATCAGTTACTTCATCATTAGAAGTTTTCCATAATCTTACTTGTCTATCATTACCGGCTGATACAACACGAGTTGGTGATATCCATTGTACAGCTCTTATAGGACCTGAATGTCCAACATATTGTTTTTCAACATTACCTGACATATTATAAGTTCTTACTATACCATCATAAGAACCAGATAAAATTTTGGCTTGAGTAATGGTCATATTTGTTGATAATACTGATTTAGATTGAGGATTTATAGTATCAATAGAAGAAATCCAATCATCACTATTAAAAGATGCTAAAAATGATGGAGGTAATACGGCTCGAGTATATTCCAAACTTAAAAAGGCTTCACTAGATAACCCATTTTTAGTTAAATAATCTTGAATAGAAGTTCTTAAAAGAACTCCATCTATAAGAAAATCAAAGGGAATTGGTTTAGTTTCATCTGTTTCTCCTTCTCTACCTAATAAATGATTTACCACTTCTGATAATCCATATCTCTTTAATGATGCTGGCACATATAATGGAGCATCTGAAACATTTAATGTCTCATCTTCTTCCTTGGTGAAGAACTTGATCTTCACTTGAGACTTATCTTCACTCATTGTCTCTGTGCTGAATTATAAAATTTAATAAATTAATGCAATATTCATTAACTATGATATACGCTCTTGCATCCATCCCATATTTTTCAAATTTTTTTTCTCATCTCTGCGGCACGTGATGTCAAGATCGTGATCTAAGTTGCAACCACTTTTCACAGCCAAATATCAACTACTTGGTGGTTAGGTTAGAAGTTAAAACCTAACAGTCATATTGATCTTAGATGATTTCCTAGTCATGGCTGGGAATGATGCTCTCTTGATTAGTTTACCAAACATACTGGCGGTTTTCAAGCCGGCATTGGCGCCATCAATTAAGCCTACTCCATCAGTAAAATTAGCCTTACGTATTCGTGATGTAATTCTTGATTTCTTTATAGTGGAAATGGATGAATTTAAATTGACTTTAGAACTGGAAACAAAGGCACCTTTGTCACTAATACGTCCACGTTTGAAAAAGGATGCAATGGCCTTTCTGATTCTCTTCCATCGTCTGGACCGAGTGACTCTCGGAGGAGGTAAAGACCGCATCGGATTATTTAGTCTCTTTAGTCTTAATTAATGAATCAATCAATAGATATAAATCTATTAAGCGTTCAGCCAGCACAAAGAACCAGGTAACTGTTAATTTAGCCGCTTCAAGTGTTGCTTTGGTACACGTCCTAAAAAGACAGAGTTTCTCTCCGCGGGGACTCCGTGAGATTGACTCGGTTGAGATTACACATAATGATAGTATTTACAGAGTAATTAACACCTTAAACGTACCACATACCTTAAACACTCTACATATCCTCAAAACTTTCATCTTGCTTCCTTTGGAACATAATTTCCATTTCTTACAATTTAATAAACTTCCAATGACCTAATCTCTAACTGAGTCAAAAACCAATTTGTGCACGTGATCTACTCCATAATAATTTTTTAAAATTTCTAGGCTCCGATGAGATTCACTGAAAAAAAAAATTGACCGTGCTATAACCTGTTAACTATTGAATTGATTCTTGGGAGTCATTCTCTTCAAAGGATACAAATAAGCAGTTAAGATGTCTACCACACCAGACGTTGAAGTTCAAATCACCAAAGTGTTCGACACTATTTTAGTGTTAGATTTTGGATCACAATATTCTCATTTAATTACTCGTCGTTTAAGAGAATTCAATGTCTATGCTGAAATGTTACCATGTACTCAAAAGATTTCTGAATTGACTTGGAAACCAAAGGGTATTATTTTATCTGGAGGTCCATACTCAGTTTATGCTGAAGATGCTCCTCATGTTGATCATGATATCTTCAAATTGGATGTTCCAATTTTAGGTATTTGTTATGGTATGCAAGAATTAGCTTGGATTAATGGTAAAGGAGTTGCTAGAGGTGATAAAAGAGAATATGGTCCTGCCACTTTACAAGTTGAAGATGCTACTTGTGATTTATTTAAAGGTGTTGATCATTCTCAAGTTTGGATGTCTCATGGTGATAAATTACATGCTTTACCAACTGGTTTCAAAGTTGTTGCTACTTCTGATAATTCCCCATTCGCTGGTATTGCTCATGAATCAGATAAGATTTATGGTATTCAATTCCATCCAGAAGTTACTCATACTGCTCAAGGTAAGATTTTATTAAAGAATTTTGCCATTGATATTTGTAATGCTAAGAACAACTGGAGTATGGAAAATTTTGTTGATACTGAAATTGCTAGAATTAGAAAATTAGTTGGTCCAACTGCTGAAGTTATTGGTGCTGTTTCTGGTGGTGTTGATTCTACCGTTGGTGCTAAAATCTTAAAGGAAGCTATTGGTGATCGTTTCCATGCTATTTATGTTGACAATGGTGTTATGAGATTAAATGAAACTGAAACTGTATACAAGACATTAACTGAAGGTCTTGGTATTAATTTAACTGTTGTTGATGCTTCTGAATTATTCTTAGGAAGATTAAAGGGTGTAACTGATCCTGAAAAGAAGAGAAAGATTATTGGTAATACTTTTATTCATGTTTTTGAAGATGAAGCTGCTAAGATTAAACCAAAATCTGGTCAAGAAATTGAATATTTATTACAAGGTACTTTATACCCAGATGTTATTGAATCTATTTCATTTAAGGGACCATCTCAAACCATTAAAACTCATCATAATGTTGGTGGTTTATTAGAAGATATGAAATTAAAATTAATTGAACCATTAAGAGAATTATTCAAAGATGAAGTTCGTCATTTAGGTGAACTTTTAGGTGTACCACATGATTTAGTTTGGAGACATCCATTCCCAGGTCCAGGTTTAGCTATTAGAGTTTTAGGTGAAGTTACTAAGGAACAAGTTAAAATTGCCAGAGAAGCTGATTTCATCTTTATTGAAGAAATTAAAAAGGCCGGATTATATAAAGAAATTTCTCAAGCATTTGCTGCTTTATTACCAGTTAAATCAGTTGGTGTTATGGGTGATCAAAGAACTTATGAACAAGTTATTGCCTTAAGAGCCATTACCACTGTTGATTTTATGACTGCTGATTGGTTCGTTTTCGAAGCTGCTTTCTTGAAGAGAGTTGCTTCTAGAATTGTTAACGAAGTTGAAGGTGTTGCTCGTGTTACTTATGATATCACTTCCAAGCCTCCAGCTACTGTTGAATGGGAATAAATGTAACATACCATTATTATTAACATTAACATATATTTATATATATATATATATACATAGAAGTATCATATCTCCTTACTATAATACACTGTAATATTTAGACATCACTAATTACTAATCACTATCACCTATAGTAACATATTCTTGTCGCACAACATTGGCTACAAGTACATCCTCATCGTGTGATACTGTAAGCAAGAATTCATGATCTTCATGATATTGATCATTATGTATCAGAGGTTTCCCATTCTCATCATACTTTCTATACCAATCCTTAAACCTAAACTTTTTTTGACCCTCAATACTCAAGGATTTATATAACGCTTCCTTAGAAGCCCATGTTCCCGCGAAAAATATTAACCCTTGATTAGTATTGGTTATCTCTTGTAATTCTTCAAATTTCTTTAATTCATACTGAGGATGTAATATCCTTAAGCTTAGCCTCTTAACAAACTCATGATCCTTACTCAATAATTTTTTAAATCGGGTGATACTGGTAATGTCCACTCCAATTCCTCTGGTTATAGGAATTCTTACCATATTAATATTTATTGTATTCTGTCTATTAATGGGGGTACTCCCAGATTGATGATTATTGCTGACTACTACTTAGTATTTAGTGCTTAGTGCTTATTTTGATTTCCGCTCCGTTATCTGAAAATTGGGTGCGTACTGCGCAGTGAGTCAACTGAAAAATTTAGCGACGGCCTATGAATCATCACACTAAATACTATAGAATTATCGAAAAATGGCTTCTACTGTAGCAGGATCTGTACCTTTACCAAGTTCTCGTTATGATTTGTCGACTTACTGGGGTAGAGTTAGACACTGTGCTGAAATTTCAGATCCTACTATGTTATTGAACTCTACCAGAGATGTTGAAGATGCAAAAAGAAAGATCTGGGATTATAAGAATGGGGTATTAGGATCTATGACACCAGAACTTTGGAGAGCTAAAAGAGTTTTGGATTCGACTTTACATCCAGATACTGGGGAAACTGTATTTTTACCATTCAGAATGAGTTCATGTGTATTATCTAATTTAGTAGTTACAGCAGGTATGCTAACACCAAATTTAGGTACTGTTGGTACATTATTTTGGCAAGTTGCTAATCAATCATTAAATGTTGCTATTAATACCGCTAATGCTAATAAATCTCATCCACTAACTACTAAACAAATCGCCGTAAATTATTCTATGGCTGTTACAGCTTCATGTTCAGTAGCTTTAGGATTAAATGCAATAGTTCCAAGATTAAAATCTTTAAAACCAAATACTAGACTTATTTTAGGTAGATTAGTTCCATTTGCTGCAGTAGTATCAGCAGGTGTAGTTAATGTATTTTTAATGAGAAGTGAAGAAATTAAAAAAGGTATTACTGTTTATGATAAATCTGGTAATGAAGTTGGAACTTCTAAAACTGCTGCTGTATATGCAGTTGGTGAAACTGCTGCCAGTAGAGTTATTAATGCTACACCAATTATGGTAATTCCACCATTAATTTTAGTAAAACTTCAAAAGTCAAGATTTTTAAAGGGTAAACCAAAGAGTTTAGAAATAATAACCAATATTGGTTTAATCTTTGCAACTTCTTTAGTTGCATTACCATTTGCTCTTGCTGTTTTCCCTCAAAGAAGACACTTACCGGTGAAAAACTTAGAAGAAAAGTTCCATAATCTTAAAGATTCAAATGGAACTCCTATAGAAACTTTAGAATTCAATAGAGGTATCTAACTGTAAATAATTTATTAATACATATTATTATTATTATTATTAACTTTTGTATTATATACATTCTATTTTACTCTATTAACAGAAAATAATGCAAAACTTTTACATGAAAATGAACATTACCAGTATTTCCAATTATTAGTACCTGAAGTACCTATTTGATGCTCAATACTTATGCTATCCTTTAAGGCGGAGAATTCCTCTAAGGAGAATACGACATTTCTATTTTCTTCACTAACATCATGTTTGGTCAACATTGCTACTCCTTTTCCTCCTAAAGATGTTTCAAATGAATCAAAACCTTCTCTTCCAAATTCATTAATGGCTTTATGAATAGATTCTATTGGTGACGATTCATCAATTAAAGTTATTGCACATCCTCCACCACCAGCACCTGTCAATTTTGTTGCACCGATCTTATTAATATCAGCAATAACTTTAACTTTTTCTAAAGCAGGATGAGAAACTCCAATAGCTACTAATAATCCATGATTAATTTCTACTAATTCTCTTAAAGTTTCAAGTTCAACATGACCAAATTCAGGTGCTGTCATAATTTTATAAGCTTCAGAAGCTAAATTACCCATAGCATCTAAAATTGGAGAAGTTAATTTTGGATATTCTGAATTTCTTTTAGCAACTCCACCCACTAAATCCGCTGTACTTCTAGGAATTTTAGTATTGGTAAGGAGTAATTTCATGGAGGGGAAATTTCTCATGGTTGTACGAATAGATGGTTGAGATGGTACACTTACTCTTTGAAACATTACTGCTCCACCATAAGTTGCTACAGCATTATCAATTCCTGATGGATTACCATGAAAACATTTTTCTCCCATTAATGACCAATTATCAATAAATTCTAATTGATGAGTTTCATCTTTTGAAGATTTATCATGAATTGAAGTTGTTGGACTATTAATTTTCCCACTTAATACTGATAATGCAGCTGCTAAACATACACCAGTTGAAGCAGAAGATCCTAAACCTGCACCAATAGGTAAAGTAGATCTAATACAAAAAGTATTTCCTGGTACATCTTCAGTACATAAATGAGTATATAAATAAAGAAATGAAAGACATGTAGTAAAATGAGTTCTAGAAGGTATATCACCAAGTAAATTAGATATTTTATCGACAATTTCTGGAACTAATTCTTCAGTAGTTACTGGTTTTCCATTTTCATAAGTAATAAACTTTCTTATTTCAGTCCATGGTATATCATGTTTATTCCATGTATAACTAAGATCGATATCGGGGAATTTTAATGTAATTTCATTTTCATTATCATTCCTACTAACTTGTAAATATGCTCTTAAACTAAGAGCTGCAGCAATGGCTGGTTTCCCATATACTGCCGAATGTTCTCCGAAGATAATTATCTTTCCTGGAGCACTGACAAAGAATGTCGTTTCGGTCATTAAGCCTATAATAGGATGATATCTATTAAATTTAATGAATGGTTTTGGACATTTTTCACTTTTGTCGTATAACACAGACACTCACACAGATTGGGGTTGGTGATGTCGCGCGACAAAAGGCAGGAAGAAAAACAAAAATGTCAAAATGTCGCGGCTCTGAAGAAAAAAATCGTAGATGCCGTTGAATATTCACTACACCTTTGTTTACCAATTAGTTAAATCAGACAAAAGTCAGCCTACACACTGATTGACAACTTGGTGGATATGTCGTCACTTCAATTGAGAAGTAATCATATAGAGAGTCTCCCGTTAAAGCCGATTCAACCCACTCAATTTTGGACATTTGATAATGCACTTACATTATTACGAACTTGTCATGATCCATATATATTAGATGCATTAGATGAATTTTTACTATTACATAGTAAACTTCTATTCAATGCATTACCATTCCATAGTGTTGATAATAGTGAAAGTTTTAAAGATACCACTAAAGAAATCACTTTAAGATCTATCATATATACTGATATAACTAGTACTAATATTCATGATAGTAAAAATCTTTATAAAATATTAGACTTAAATGGGAATGAAATATTACGAGTTATAAGTCAATCTTATAAGAGAAATCCTGAATTTAAAACTTCACAATCCAATAAACTTAAGAGTAAATTACCTGATGATCGAGCTAAAAATCAAGAGAATAAACGACTTATTATATATACCAGAAGAATTCTTAAAGAAAGACGACTTATTTTAAAAATAGTTAATGAACTTTTAAATAATAAGACTAATAGTACTAAATCTCGGACTATACAAAATTTAGGTAAAGAATTATATTTATCTTCAGAATATCTTATTAAAGTTATACAAGCATTAAAAGTTACTATTGAATCAATAATTTCAAAATCTTATATAACCGGTATATCTAAACAATTAGATGATATTATTTATTGTGAAAATATCTTATTTGCTATTGAATTATGTAAAGTTACTGTTGATTTAGTATTTCAAAATCCTCGAATTGAAAATAAAGCTCGACTTGAATGGTTTAAATTAATGAATAATTATTCATTTGGTGCCATACTTGATTCATATATTGAATATAATGAATCATTAAGTATATTACAATCACTTATGAGTATAATTTCTATTCAATTTTTGGATTTAGATAATAGTTATGATACTACGACCACTAATCAAACTACTGGTACTACATTTGTAAGTGATGTTGAAGTAGTTAAACAATTACATGATTATATTTCTTCATCTATTATCATTAATCCAACAGTATTATATAGTTGGTTACTTATATTACTTCGAAAATTATATTTCATTCAAGAATTTCCCACCATAGAATCTTCTCATAAATTTATTAAATCAATTAGTATTGAAGAGTTAGATTCATATATTAATGAACTTTCTAATAAATGTGCTAAATTAGATATATTTGGTCATATTAAGGAATTATCTCAAATATTAAAATTTAATGATATTTATGCTGCTATATTATCTGGGATAATTATTTCAAGTTTACCAGTAATTACTATAAATGATAATATATCTGATTGTATTGCTAGTGTACTTAAATTAGCTCCTAATAGTATAATTACTAAATTCTTTGATAATGAATCAAGTATTAATGCTATAATCTTAGCTCGAGCTAAATTCCCCATTCAAATAACTCCTTATTTAAAATTAGCATCCATTAATGGGAATTTTGCTCTTGAAGAATTTAATGAATTAAAATCATATATTCATTTATTTAATCGAGAAGATTTTTTAAAGTCTCATGAAATTGATCAAGATAATACTGATTTAGTTAAATTATCTCAATTAATTGATGTTTATCCACCTTATGAATCCAATAAAAAGATCTCATTTATGTTTGATAAAGGTACTAAAGCTAAGATTTTACCATCCCTGAATCCAAATGAAGTATTAGTAACATTTTTATATAAATATAGTGGATGGGCATTATTAGGAAGAGTATTACAAAATACTTCTAAATTATTTGGTAATAAAGATCATGAAAAATTACAATTTATTATAAATATTTTACAATTATTAATTTCAGTTGTAAAAGATAATTCAAATGATGAAATTAAACAAGTCTTAGATTCAATGTCGGCCTATACTGAAGATTCAGATATAATTGAAGTTATATTAAGATTATTAGAACAAGGATTACATGCCAGAAATGTTGAAGTTATTACTTTAGTAATTGATTTATTAACTCAATTAATGCCAATTTATTCTTATAGAATATGGCCATGTCTTGCTAAATCTTCATTATTATCTCATGATGGTAAAGAAGGGATAATATCTACAATCTTTGGTAGTATAGAAATGAATCTGGGAGAATATAAATTAACTACTTCAATTATATATTTAACTGATACTTTAGTTGAAAATTGTTTATCATTAATTGAAGATTATCCCCTTAAATCAAAATCAATTATTCTTAGTAAATTCATTCAACATTTATTATTAGTCTTTGAAAGTTCAACTTATTGTAAATTTAAACATCCATTTGAAAATTTACAAATTGGGGTATTATCTTTAGATATATTTTCAAATATTTTAGCCGCAGTTCATTCAATTAATTCAATTAATAAAGTTACAAATGTATTTGGTGAAGCTGCTAATATAATTTTAGAATCATTTCTTGTAACTTCCGAAGAATATGCTCGATCAACTTCACCTATATTACAATTAATTAAATCATTTCCGGATATTTTAACCGTGTATGAAATTAATGATATTTCTGGATTTTGGTATGATAATTGGATTAGATGTTCATTAACATTTTCTCAATTAATTATTAGAATTAGATCTAATTTAAATTCTCCTCCTTCAGCGTTTGAAATTCATTTATTTACTTTATTACCTAATTTAGTGGCTGCTTATTCTCAATTTGATACTTATAGAAAGGAAGTATTGGATTTAATAACTTGTTTAACTAATGGGAAATGGGAAAAGGATAAACCATCATTATTATCTCATTTAGGAGAATATTATTCTCAAGTATTATTCCATTCAGTAGCAGTAGATTTAGATAATTCATTTGATGATTATAAAATTAAAGTATCATTATATGATTTCATATGTGCAGTTATGGGAGGAGATCAAGAAGGACTTTCAGTATTATTCTTAAGTGGTAGAGATGTATTTGGAGATTTTACTAATACCCCAACTACAACTACAACCAAAAAGAATATTTCTTTATTACAAATTATGAAAAAGAATGTTCGAGATATGAAATATTATCCTAATTCAGTTAGTTTACCCCTTGTAGATGCTATATCATTAACATTAAATTCTTGGACAGCCGGTCATAATACTGAAAATGATAATGAATTCATTAATGAATTAATTAATCGATTAACTCAAGATATTAATATTAATGGAGAATTAATATCTTCCGATGATTATTTATTACAATGTTATGAATTAAAATTAGCCTCGAAAATAGCAGAAGTGTTATCATTATACTTATTTACTTCTAAAAATCAACAAATTAATGATATTATATTTGAATTTATGGCTTCTGATAAATTTCTGAAATTAGCTAAGAATAAATTCATTGTTAGTGGTTATCGTCCATCACTTCAAACTAATGTTCAAACTTCATTTACATCATTATTTCCTCAATTTGAATTATATCAATTTACCAGTACTCTTAATAAAAGAAATCGATTTGGCATATCTACTTTATATAATTTACCATTAATGGATAATTTATTCCATACTCAAACAGCCTGGACTCAATTAAGAGAACAAGTTATAGCTTCAAGTATTAATTTACAATATTTAGATGCCCAAATCTCGAGTTCTAAATCGTTTGGAGCTTTAATAACTTCTTATTGTCGGAAATTTAATGGCCCATTAAGTTTGAAATTATTAGATTTTGTAATTCATTTATTAAATACAAATATTAATGAAGGACTTGCTTCAACGATATTTGAAGAAGTATATCAAGAACGAATTGAATTGGCATTCTATTTATTTTATTCACTTTATAGTAAGGGTGAATTAAAGAATAAATCAGAACAAATCTTTGAAGTTATTAAATATTCTCTTGATTTATTATCTAGTTCAAGTATGAACTTTTTACCATCATTAGCATCATCTCGAGGATATTATAGATCATTATTAAAGATAATTTATTGTGCATTAAGTTTAATTCAAGAAGATTCAGGAATTCTTATTGAATATTTAAGTATATTTCGAGATTTATTTGAATTAATCTTTACTAAGGGAACTAGAACTTTATTAATTGAATTACAAAATGAAGTCTATTTAAGTAAATCATCAGGTAAGAATCATAAATCAACTAAATTAAATGATAAAATTGATGATTTAATGATAATTCTTAGTATATTAAAAGTATTTGTTAATATGAAATCTTCTTTAGCATTACATAATGAAATGGCATTATTAGTTGAAGAAAATGAAACTATTAAAGCATTATTAAATCTTTATTCATTTTCTCATACTATAGAAGTTAATGATGAACATATTTTTGCCCAATTAAGTTTAATGTTTATTCAAGAATTAATGAGTTTTGAAATCATTGCTGAAAAATGTATAAATTCCGGATTATTTGTGGTATTAGTTGAAAGTTCAATATCAAAAATTATTAAAAATGGGAATCTTAGTGAATCAAATGGTGGTCAATATCATGCATTATGGACTAATGGAATATTACCAATAATTATAATTAGTTTATCAAAACTTGGTTCATCTATATTACCGGAAATTTGTGTGGCATTACAATTATTTAGTAAACAAATTGAATCTTGTATACAAAGTTGGCTGGAAGATTCTTCATCCATAAGAATTTCTACTTCAACTGTGGCTGAAACAAGTCAAATAATTTTAATTCTTGAATTATTAAAATCTCTTAATGTCACTGCCTATTTAAATGATGGAAATATTAATAATAATGATATTGATATTGATATTGATATTAAAGTATTACCAGGATTAGAATCTGAATCTAAGCGAGAAGAATTCATTCAATGTATTTCGAATTTATTGAAACATCCCAAATTCTTAACTTCTAGAGTTGTCCCTAGTTCATCAGAAGAAAGACGAATCATTGAAGCGGGAGGAGAAGTTCATGATAAGTTTGTTAATGATTTAATTAATGAGATCCGTAGTCTTAAGGAGTACCTTTCATAGATAGTGTATAGATAGTGTATACAACATATACATAACATATACAACATATATATAGCATACATAACATATACAACATATATATAGCATACATAACATATACAACATATACACACATTAATAATAAATAAATTCTAACTTCAATCGGTAGAGATGAAGTAATTCTTATGTACAAGTGGAGGAATTACTGCATCTGGTCTACTGGGATTATTAAGTAATGAATCATCAAATGTCCCCCTATACTGTGGAGTAGTACTTAATGTAACATTAGCTATAGTAGGAATATTCTTATTATCACTAACTTTAACTTTACCAGCAATTAACCTCTTCCAACTTTGATTACATTCTTGAATAATTTCAAGAGTTTGTTTCAGATTTTTATATTCACCATTAAATGCAAATTCATTTTGGGGTTTACCATCTGCTAACTTATAATCTCTAAACCAATGTCTTGTTGTTTCTAATAATCCTGGACATTTTGTAAATAAATGATGAATATCATAGACTTCTTTTGCTAAAGGATCTTGAGTATCTACAACAATTACTTTCCAATCTAATTCTCCATCATCAATTAATGCTAATGAACCTAAAATTTTAACTCTCTTAATTGTACCAGTAGGTAAAATCGCTGAACCAATTTCACAAACATCTAATGGATCATTATCACCGAAAAGTCCTAATTTTTCATTTTCTGTAGTAGGATCTTCCCATGTTTGTGGAAATGCTCCATAATTATGAATATATCCATGATGAGGAAATAAATTCTTAACAAATCTTACTTGTCCATTCTTAATATCTTGAACTATTGGATTACCATCTAATTTAGTACTAATTTCAAATTTTGCATTCGACCATCGAGGTACTTCTACAATCATATTAGCTTCTCTAGTTTCAATATTTAAATCTAATGGTATATCATGAAAGTATGATAATACTTTACCTGTCAGTTTATTAATAGCATAATTCTTAAAATCAGATGTATATTTAGTACCTTGATTAATATTACCTATACTATCAATTGTATTGGTGGTGGTGGTGGTGTAACTACTGGCACTTAAATGTTGGTAAGTAAGATTTAAACGAGCTGAAGCTCTAGTACAACTCATACTTAATGGTGCGCTTATAAACTTAACCAGTCTTGAAGAAAAGAACATGCTCACAAATCACGATACTCACTTATCTCACTGATAACATATAATTATACCCCAATTCAGTTGTCAGATTCGGAGTAGACTATCGAATATTCAATTTCCTGTTCCGACTAATTTTTCGGTACATTCCCCATTCCGAGGATGAAAAATCCCCACACCGGAAGTAAGGGTAAAATAGTACGGCTACAACAATGAATGAACAAGAAATGTTTATTTGGGGTAGTAACAAATAACGAGTAACGAGAAATGAGTTTAATGTATAATTAAACGTAAATAAATAAATAAATAATAATTAATTAAATAAATAATATATAAGAATTTTTAGGGTTTGTGGTGAATGTATGAGTTTAATTTGGAGCTTCACCAAGAAACTTAATGTTACCCTTTTCATCAAACCCTGAATTTTCATCGGAAATATTAACTATAGAACTAAGCTCTTCGATTTGAATTTTAGATAATCCCATTGGATCAGCAGGAATCCAAACTCCAGGACATATGGCTGAAACTACTGGCATATCATAAGCATGTTTATCATCAGTAGTATCTGGTTCAATATTATATGTAGCAGGTAATAAGCTCTTGGCATGTCTATAATTAAGGAAAACATCAGGTCTAATAAATCTTATAAGAGGATTCTTAGATTCAGTAGTTTTAAAATCTCGATCGGCCATTAATGGTATAATTGATTTTTCACTTTCATCTTCATTAAATGCTAAATCTTCATTAATTATATCTTGTTTAATTTGTTCAGATTCTCGAGCATCTTCAAGAATTTGTTTATCCATTTGAGTAGATTTCCTATTCTTTTTACGATCTAATACTTTAGATTTATATTCTGAAACTCCTTCATATGATGCAGTATTTGAAATTCCATCTAAAGCTCTCATACAATCAAATGGAACAACATTAATTAAATTATCAAATGCTTCATTAAGATGGAAATGACAAAATATTGTAAATAATAATCCAATAACTTGAAGAACAATTGGTCCCCAACCTTTACCAACAGCAAATATACCTAAAAGACAAATTTGTCCAATATAAAGTCCAGTAAATATTTGAAATAAGGCTCTTGGATAATGTAAACCTCTTGTATCTGGACTTTCAATGAATATATAAGTTAAATTATGAGAATAAGCAATAAAAATTAAGAAAAATGCCACGGTTGCAAATAATAAAATCATTGGAGAAATAATAGCATAAATTAATGTAATACATGCTAAATTTGTAAAGATTGGGAATGTTGTACCCCAAGCAACTGAACCTAAACCTGAAAATCTATTCCACTTCTTTCTAACAGTTCCATCTAAGAGATAACCTAAAATATAATATAAGAATAATCCCACTACTTGAAATAAAGCCCCTGAAGAAACTGTTAAACCTTGTAAAATAAGATAAGATATATAAAAGTTTGAAGATTTTGGTAAATTATTTGCAAGAACATCTAAAGCAGAAGTTGGCTTTTCAATAATTTGAGTTACCACTGAAGTTGCAGAAGATGCTAAAGCAGTGACTAAGAAACCATTAACCATTAAGAAAGCAAAATAAGTATTTTGAGTAAATAATTCAACTTGTTGAAGTGATGGAGCTCCAGCTACTTGAGCCATACCTCTAATAAACATTGGTAATAACATCATTAAAATTGCTAATAAAATAGTTGGTAATAATCCAGTAACTATACCTAATAAGAAATGGGGCATTCTTAAAATCCATCTTAACCAAGGTAATTTATTAGTTAAATAAGTAATATTTGAAATTACCCCAACAAATGCTACAGGAATAGCCCATAAAATAATAAGTGTAACAACAGCAGAAAATGCAATAGCTCTTCTAGTAATTCTTTCCCACCAAAAGATTCTTAAATTAGACCAATTAACTTCAGATGGTTCAATACCTGTAAAAACTGGTTTCATTCTTAAAGGATTATGATGAACCGTTGATTGATAAGCTAATTGAGCATAATATTGATTTTCAAATTCAACAAAGATTGAATTCTTTGGTTTATTAGTTCTGAATTTCTTTTGTAACTTTTTAATTTCAATATTTAATTTAGGAATTTCTTCTTGACAATATCTAATAGTATCAGTCTTTTTAGAAAAGAAACCACCAATTTTATGTCTTGGTCTTTTATTTTCAGGAACATAAGCACTAATTTCATCGACTGGTTCTAAGACTTCTTTCTTTTTATCAGCCTTTAATTTGTTTTTAACAGCAGTTTTTAATAATTTATTTTCAGCTGCTTCTAATTTATTAACTAATTGAATTCTTTTATTAACTTTACCTTCTAATTCACGTTGAGTTCTAGGAACATAAATTCTTCTAACTCCACTAAAAATTTTAAAGAATTGCTTTTCATCTAATAAAGTATCTGGGACACCTTGAAATAAAACTGTTCTTGAAGATAACTTTTTTGCATATTTTGGAGATGATAAAACGGCTGTTCTTAAAGAATTATAAAAGAATAATTCACGATAAATAACAAAGATAACTCCTCCATAAAAGATCCAACTCATAAATGCATGTGCATAATATCTATGTTTATTTTTAATATTTGAAATAGATAATTGATCTAAACCAGTTTGTCCAACACCATTTGTTGCATTTATTGGTAATAAAATTGTCCAAGTTAACATACCAAATAAGAATGTTAAACCAAAAATGAAAAGAAATCTTAAAAAGAGATAACCATCAATACCTGCTTGTTGAATAATAAATGAATGAGGTTTTGTTAAAAGTATAAAAATCCATGATACTGGATCCTTTGGTAAAGGAGTTGGTCTTTGTTCTTCAGGTACAAGTTCAAATGAAGATTTTGGAGAATAGATTCTTTTAAATTTCAATCTTAATAATAAGAAACATACTATAAATATTCCAAATAAAATTAAATTAGCCACTAATGTGGAAAGAACAGCAGATGTAGAAGTTGCTGTTGTTGTAGCCATAATGATAATTTATTAATTTTATAATTTGGGGGGTATGCAAAATGTGGTTGATGAGGTGAAAAATTATGGGTGGATGATTACGATTAAAGAACAAGGTGTACGAGACCCGTTAATATCCAACAAGAATATACAGGCTTTAGTTGAATAAACAAGTTATAATGGTACTGCGAAAGTATAAAGAAAGTAAACAGTAATAATAAGAAATTAAACTCGAAATTACAATGGAATTGAAATCGAATTCGAATTCAAGTCGAAGTGGAAGTCGAAGTCGAAGACAGAAATGGAACCCGAAATTGAAATTGCCTAAACTGAAACGCAATGAGGTGGAGACTATATTATTCACAGTGTCGGGGTTAAAATGATTTTGGTTACAACTCTACAATTACACTCAATATTTCTACATTACTATACATGTATATTTATTAGTCTACTGATTATTGGGTTTGTATTGCGTGACTCTATTGACTACGAGAGATTCGCCGTGTCGATTGCTGTATCCCATTTCAAGTCAAAACAAACATTGATCAAATTTCTTTGTCGATGAGGATGACACAAAGCAGCCATGACATTTCCGCTGAATATTGACCAGGGCTGCGATGCGACACGACATGTTTTAAGTTGTGGGCTTAATTTGTCGCGACTAGATGGTTGTTAGCCGTGCTTGTGTATATGTAGGGGGTTTGTATTTACTGGTTTTGAAGAAATATCAATAAATATCATGTGCTCCTTGTTAATTTAATTTTATATTATTAATTTATCAGCATAATTTGATTTGTCTTGATCTATTTTTGGACTAGTCCATAATTGGAAACTAAGTCCTATTGTGATCCCAATTACTTACTTAGGCAAGCGACATAATTTCATACAATGAAATTTGACCTCCTTGGATTATTAGCGAATAATTTTTGTCACGACAATTACAGAATTGTCGCATCTCGAAACGACAAATTGACCAAGGAATCTGTCACTTATCATTGGTAGAATCCAATCCTTTTGCCTTTAACTATAAATATTAAAGATCTATTACAGGATCTAAGGGGTATATATTTAGATATTCCGATGATGTTGGCATTATGCAAACATTCTATTTCAAAGCTTAAATTTTTAGCCTAGGGGCTTATATTGTTTGTCTTGCTCTAAATCACAGTCAAATGCATAATTTTTCCCCAAGACAAGAGAATGATCTGAATCGCGTGATCGACTCTCTCTCTTTTTATTCAAGACACTTCATATAATAATGAAAGTAAGACCCTTATAGTGTTAGGAAAGTAATTAAATGACTTAATCTATCTTTTGTATTGTCAAATTGATCTTGGTATGAGTAATTCTCAAGGCTAGTAACTACGATTTCTTTTTGTGACCTAAAGTATAATCAAGTTTACAATGTGTTATTCTGGGCCCATTGATGATGCATCGAGATTCTAATAGATTAAAAGATTCATGCAATTAGTACAAGATAAGATGAATTAGTTACTAAATTTAAGCATGACAATTATTGCAATTTCTCCATAACCACATGATCTGAAGCTCGTGACAGTATCACGTGGTTGGTCACGTTTTGCGCATCACGTGCATAAGAGTCGTGGCGTAGCAAAAATTTAGAAAACTTTTTGTTTCTTAGGCAGCGTGGCCGAGTGGTTAAGGCGACTGACTCGAATCTTTTGAGTTATCAGTTGGGATTTTCCCGCGCAGGTTCGAATCCTGCTGCTGTCGTTCTTTTTATATGAGGAAACTTTTGCAACTTCAATATGTTTCTATTTTTTTATGCTTGCAAATTCTTTTATTGATTTTTTATAAATACTTATAATGTTTTTCTAATTATATCTGTTTTGTTTTTTGTTATTCTATCAACCAACGAATTTATCTATCATGTCGAATTCCAACAATAGTAATAGTAATTCACAGCCTTCTTATGAAGTACCTCATTCCGAACAAGCCTGTGGTTTATTTGCCAGAAATGATTTAAAGTATATGCCTAATTTAGGCAATACTCATTTAGTCTCAAGAAAATTGCCATTCAAGTACGTTCGAGATACCAATTTTAATTCACCATCATTTGCGCAAAGGCAATTATCAAATTTTCAACAGGCTCAACCACAAATTGATGATTCAGGCATCAAAGATGATGAAGAACAGAATTATTACAAGCATAAACAAGAAATAGATATGATCATTGGTGAATTGCTTGAACTGTTGAATAAGAAGAGAATAGAAGTTTTACATGAATTGAAATATTACTCAGGTCCGATAACTTCTGATATTGAAGAATCAATTATTAAGGTTGATATGAGTCATCAATACATGATAGAACATTTGAAATATAATGAGGATTTTAATAAATCCATTATATTGTTAGATGCTAAAGCTGGAAAAGTCATAAGCGCAGTTTCAGATCATAGGAAAGAACTAATATTCTTAAGTTACTTGTTAAACCGTCCACAAACAAGACTAGAGCATGAGTTTGGTAATAATTGCAACAATCTCTCCTACATGGACCTGGGGAATGAGGTGCATTTAACTAAACGTCTGGATCACAGTGATATTGAAAAAGAACAAAAACAAGAACATTTTAATTTACAAAGAGACGTTAGGGTCAATGATTTACACTCTACTGTTTCTGATTTACTGGATGAAATAAAGTATTCAGAGCATATTGGATTTGAGGAAGAACAAAAGAATCAATCACGTATTGAAGAGGGTACAGATGTTCAAGAAGGCCAAAAGACTGATAATAAGAGTGAGGATGAATGGACTGATTGTGAGGATGAGTATGATAGTGAGCATGATAGTGAGCATGAAAGTCAGCTTGCACTTTCTGATTTATTTGATGAAAGACGGGACTTAGAGAATATTGAAGAACAAGAGTATACTGATTATCAAACATTTGATGATGATGATGACACATTTGTTGAAGAGGAAGAATGGACTGACTACGAGAGTGAATATTCAGATCATATTAGATTAGAGGAAGAACAGGATTATAGTGATGAAGGACTTCTTGATGATCAAACACTTGTTGAAGACGAATGGAGTGCCTACAATAGTGAAGATAATAGTGACTACAATAGTGAAGATCGTAGTGAATATAATAGTGACTACAATAGTGAATATAATAGTGAATATAATAGTGAATATAATAGTGAATATGATAGTGAATATGATAGTGAGTATTATAGTGAATTTGACAGTGAGTATTCTAGTGGATTTGACAATTTCTTTGGTCCTTATTTTGATAGTGAAGATAGTGAAGATAATGAAGATAGTGACTACAGAGAATCTGATTCTGATATACGAGAATCTGATAGTGAGGCTTTTCATGGTGAGGCTCCCAGTGAGGCTCCCGACGCAGACAAAGCAAAGAAATGCAAGAAAGAAAAAATATCAACTTCTTTGCTGCTTAATGATAATATTCCATATCAATACTATCAATACTTGTTGGCTATATTATTCATTCTTAGTTTCGTATACTGTATACTATTTACTCTCGAACATTACGTGTATCCATTGTTTATTAATTATATTCTTTCTCCATAAAATGTCACTCAATAAATAGTAAATAGTTTTAATTCAATAATATTATCAGACTATAATAATTATCTATAAATTATAAATTATAAATTGTAGCATAAGCATATAATCCATCATCTGTTAGCAGAGCAGCTCCTTTTTTTAACTTTATAAGTTGTTATCAATTTGCCCCATTAGGAAATGCGGACTAAATATGCATTAATAAAACACGAAAGTTTTACCTTTTCTTTAATTGTAACCTGTAAATGTCAAAAGTCGCGTCACAAATTTCAGCTAAAACGCGTTATACTAAAATTTAAAAATTAATGTCTTACATGTCTGCCCTTCTTATAGTGTATAATACTGTAAAGGAATTGATTCGGTACAGTGAGGGTTAGATCTTTCTGCTCAACTATTATTCCATCTTTTGACTTAATTCATTTTTCCATAAATCCAATTTCATTTGCTTAACTGTTCCCATTCTCATTCTCATCCCCATTCCCATTCCCATATATTATTACCGTACATTCCTGATTTCAATAATTATAATAATAATATTTGACGATTTGCTATAATCTTCTTTTGACATCTTTGGTTTTACACTACTTATCTCATCCGACTTTGAAATCATCCTTCGTTACCGTATTAAATTAATTAAGTAGTATCTTCACCTACAAGAATAGCTATTTTTATTTGACTTGTTCTACTGACTAAGTCTTGTGTAGATACTTGTCATTATCATTTCAAAAATGTCTACAACTTCAAGTAAACTTACTACTTCAACAAGGTTTCCCTTACATGAACAATCTTTAAATAATGACAATCCATCGAATAATATGAAAGTTATAGATACTCCAATAAGTCATAAATCAAATTATAAATCAAAAATGTCAACTCCTCCGGAAAGTATATTTGTTAATAGAAAAAGACCTTTAGGTATGGAAACTCCTATTAAACATATGATTCATGATCCAACTAATATTAATTTAGATCCAACCATCCTTTCTTCAAATTCAATGTCTTTACTTTTATCTCCTGCTTTTTCTTCTCCTCTGCAACATCATCAGAATAATAATATTCATTTAAATAATGATTATAATAATCATATTAATAATAATATTAATACAACTTCATTGAAACCTCCGGCTTCTTATATTAAACCTGGTAATTCATTCTTATCAACTACTAAAGAAGATCCAAATAAATCTTCAACCACTAAAAAGGTTAAAAAGGCTAAACCATCTAAGGAAACTACCTTTGATTTACAATCAGAAGATAAACCTCCATATTCATATGCGACTTTGATTGGAATTTCTATTCTTAGTCATGAAGATAAAAGATTAACTTTATCACTGATTTATCAATGGATTTCTGATACTTTTAAATATTATAAACGTGAAGATGTTGGATGGCAAAATTCAATTCGTCATAATTTATCGTTAAATAAAGCCTTTGTTAAAGGTGAAAAATCAAAAGATGGAAAGGGACACTTTTGGTTAATTAAACCAGGATGTGAAGAACAATTCTTGAAATCAAGATCTGTTAAAAAGAGTTCTTATCATGAAGTTATGGATCAAATTAAAAATGCTAATCATTATTGGAATAGAGATGATACAAAACGTTCTATGAATGCTATTCCATCTTCACCAAATATTAGTACTGATTATGAAGATCAATCTATTAAAAGAAGAAAATATTCAGAAATTGATAAATCTGCTGATTATGATGATGAAGAAGAATATAAATATGCGTATGTTGATGAAGATTCAAATAAAAGATCTCATGAAGGTAGTAATGCTGATGATGAACAAGATGATGATGATGAAGCAGATATAACTCATGTTTTGCAACCACATCATACAGCCATTGAAGAAAATCCATTTGGTAATGTTACTAAAACTCCAAAAACCAATACTCATGCTCCAACATTTGTAGTATCTGAATCTCCTGATAAACCTTTATTGGCAGGAAAGAATTTAACTTATACTTCATCATTTAGTTGTAATTCAAATTTAGAATTATCTCCAGTAAGGCCCAGTGAAACTGGACCATTATTAGAACCATTAACTCCAGCCAATGATATTTATCAAAGACAAAAGAATCAGCAACCAAATTTTATTCAAACCACTACTCACAATAATTTACAAGCTTTCTCTCAGTCATTATTACCAGTATTATATCAAAGACCATCACTCATAAATAATCATATACTGCAGATTCAACCACCAAATAATAATGCTAGTGGTACAACAAGTACTACAAGTACTACTACCAATATTTTACAAAAGACTCCTAAGGGAACTACAACTAGAACTCCTATCAGACTCTTAAGAACTCCTCAAAATAATTCAATTATGAAAAAACTTTGGAATTCACCTTCATATTTGGATGATTTCTACTATAGTCCTTTGGTACATAATCAATCAGGTAATGGAGTTCCCAACTCGACGTCTAGAACTTATCATCATAGTTTAACATCATACGATGATGATGATATGATTTTAAGAAATTATGATCATCATCATCATACTATTACTTCAGCTTCTTCACCATTAGTTAGACGTTCCAATAGTGCATCAGTAATTGATACTGGTAGGAATTTATATAATGATCTCAAACAAATGGAATCATTAAAGTCTAAACCATCAATAGATAAAAGCTCACCAACTACTGAGCCAGATGATAGTTAGGAGTTAAGACATGGAGTCTCTTTTGGTTTCTGTTGGGTATTTTTGGTTACATTCAGTTCAGGATGGATAGTTAATGCGGTTGGCACCATATCTTATATTATATTATATTATATTACTAATAATATTGTTTTTTACTTGTTTTGTTTCTCTTGTTTTGTTATACCGTTTGGTAAAGTCTTTTTTCTATGACAATGGATGTCATTCTTATTTTATATATTATTCTATATTCCCTTCTATATTGTAATTGTATTATTTAAAAGCTTATTAATCTGTACTAGCGCACCCTTTACATCCGCACGTAATACATTGTAAATTAGTGATTTTGTCTTCGTCTTCACCATTTTCTATTAACTTATCCTTTGGTACTCTACACACGCACGTACTTTTATGATTCTTATCTGATACCATAATACATTGTACACAACATAAATTTTCATAACCTTGTTTCTTCCATTTAGCGATTAAATCTGCATTTACATAATTTTGAAGTAAAAGCCAATCATAAAGATCTTTACTGATTAGTTTCCTCTTATAATACATCTCATATACATATCTTGATATTTGATGATTAATTTGATATATCTTCCATAATGATTGTTTCTTTGTAGCCGTTTTATCATCTTCAGTTTGTGCTTGCCTTAATTTAATAATTAACTTATCTAATGTAGGCTTGATTTTATTGTATCCATCCGGTGGAGCAGAATTCTTCTTAATCTTTTTAGTCGGTACTTTCGGCATAGTTATTGTGTGTTGTGTGAGATGTTTTGATTACGCTTACTAGTTGACCTCCAAAAACGAGTTGGTTAATTTTTAGCAACAGAAAAATTTCCAGCATACAAAACAAAATTGCCTTCACTGTTTAATTCATCCGCCATCAATTTTCAATATATATATATATATATATCAACGGTGCAGGATGGATGACTCTGTAAAGGACTTGATACGATTTGTAGTTAGATCGTTCTATACATTACCCTATGTATTGGTTCTTGATGCAGTATTAAAACATTCAGTATTATCAGAAGATGACTTAATTCATTTATTAAGCATAAAAAGAAAAGAATTAAGAGGACTATGTAATACATTAGTAGGTGATAGATTAATGACCAATCATATTCAAAAGGAAGAAAATGTTCAAATGAAATTTGTTACTAAGACTTATTATTTTATTCATATAACAGAAACTATTGATTCAATAAAATGGAGAATTCATTCTATTGTTAATACATTAAATGAAGAAATGACTCAATTTGGTAATCCTCAAGGTTATGTTTGTCCAAGATGTGGTAAAAAAGTTAGTCAATTAGATGCAATTTCTTTATTAAGTGAAGATAAAACAGAATTTGTTTGTGATGTATGTCAAGGAATTCTTATAGAAGATGATTCAAGTCAACAAGCAACTTTAAGACAAGAAAAATTAGAGAAATTAATGCTTCAAGTTGATCCAATAATTAAGTATTTAAAGAGAATAGATGAATCTGATATTCAAGATAATGATTTTGAATCAGCACTTATTCAATCAATTCCAGCTCAAAGTGAATCAACTGCTTCATATACTTTATCTAATCGTGTTAGTTCTAAATCAAGATCAAATATGTCACTTGAAACTCAAGCTGCAAGATCTCAAGCTACTTTACATGTTTCAATTACTGCTAATGATGAAAATTATGAAAGAGAACAAATGGAAAAGGAACAACGAAGACAAAAATTAGAACAAAATGCATTACCATCTTGGCATACAGCCAGTACTGTTGGTAAAAATCTTGGAAAATTAGAAAATGATGATAATAATGAAATATATAGTAAAGAAGGTACCCCTATTAAGAATGAAGATGGAGAATTAAATATAAAAGCTGAAGATGAAGATATGGAAATTGATGAAGGAATAGATGTCAAACCAGATAAATCTTCATTAACTAAGGTTTCAGAACCAACAAGTCATAATATTGCATCGGATAAAGATAGAGAAGCACAAGATGCTTTAGCATCCTTCTATGCTCAATTGGCTGAGAAGGAAGCACAAGAAGATGATGACGATGATGATGATGACGATGACGACGATGATGATGAGTTTGATGATTTAATCTAATCATAATGGTCGTCATCCCATTACATCATGTAAATATCATAATCATAATAATCATAATAATTAAATCAATTATAACAATAATTACAAATTTCTTAAGTATCATATTGATAACAAAATGTGAGTCAAGCATGTCGCAATCGCCGCACCGCAAGCCTTAATCGGGATGAATTTTTCAGTTAATTTTTCAACCCCAGCTGGAGAAGCCCTTAACTATTAAATTATATAATTGTGTAGTAGTAGACTATAAATTTATATAGTTTAAGTTATAATTGTAATTTCAAGTATTAACATAATGACAACTGTAAGTAAATCATTAAGTAAAGAATTTATAAGTAATTCATATACTAACGTTTTAAATTAATCCTATAGAAAAAGCAAGTAGATCCAATAAAATCATTTATAGCAGGTGGTACAGCTGGGGCTATTGAAGGAGTTGTGACATATCCATTTGAATTTGCTAAAACAAGATTACAATTAGTAGATAAATCATCTAAAGCATCGAGAAACCCTTTAGTATTAATCTTTAATACTGCTAAAAAGCAAGGTATAGGTGCATTATATGTAGGGTGTCCTGCGTTTGTTGTAGGTAATACAGTTAAAGCATCAATTAGATTTTTAGGATTTGATTCTATTAAAGCATTATTGGCTGATAAAAATGGGAAATTATCGGGTCCAAGAGGAGTTATAGCAGGACTTGGAGCAGGATTATTAGAATCCGTAATAGCTGTTACACCATTTGAAGCCATTAAAACTGGATTAATTGATGATAGACAAACTGCAAAACCAAAATATCAAAATGGTTTAATATCTGGTACAGTTAAATTATGTAGAGATATAGGATTTAAAGGAGTATATGCTGGAGTTGTTCCAGTTTCATTAAGACAAGCAGCAAATCAAGCTGTTAGATTAGGATCATATAATGCTATAAAGACAATGATTCAACAAGCTTCAGGTACTAAACCAAATGAACCATTAAGTTCATTAGCAACTTTTTCAGTAGGAGCATTTGCTGGAACTATTACTGTATATACTACCATGCCAATAGATACAGTTAAAACAAGAATGCAAGCTTTAGGAGCTGAAAAGAGATATAGTTCAACATTAAATTGTTTTGTTAAAATCTTTAGAGATGAGGGATTATTAACCTTCTGGAAAGGTGCAACTCCCAGATTGGGTAGATTATTCTTTAGTGGAGGTATAGTATTTACAATCTATGAAAAGATGTTAGTTATAATGGGTTAAATTTTATATATATATATATATATATTAATTAATTTAAATAAAATTTTCTTCATGCATGTCCAGTATCGGGTTCTTCATAAGTCTCTACATTATCAGTTGTAGTATTAACTGTTACAGGATTATTTGATGGAGGTGATAAAATTGCTCTTTCAATTTGTTTAACTTTATAATAATCCACAATAGATTTTAATATTATAAATACTCCAAAGGCAATAATTCCATACGCAAAATATGGAGTACTTGTAGGTGAAGGTATAGGTGATGATGGATCAGTAGCATGTTGTTGAAATAAATGAGAATTATAAGTATCAAGATTTTCACTAGATGTTTTCAGCATTTTATCTATATCATACAGATTAGGATCATTAGGTTCATACCGATCTGGTACTCTATCTGAATGTCCAAAATTAGATGGAATCATTTGATAACCATATAGTATAAAAGTTATTCCAAGACCAGCTCTAGAACCTTGTTTGGCAGCATGAGATGTATGTAAAAGATAACAAAGAACAAATCCCACAAATTGGAAAGCTACTGTTACAAGTCCATTCCATACAAAATTTGCCATATTTCCTACTGGTAAACCTTCAACAAATACTTCATCTTCATACATTGGAGCTATTACAGCAGATTCCCAATATTCTGGAGTTGCATCTGCTGCTGCTTCTTCATATGATGGAGGATGAATTTCTTGTTCTTGTCTAGTGGATTCTGTATCAGGTTTAGCCATTAAATTACGAAATACTCCATCTGTACCTTGACCTATAAATCTTCCTGGAGTATTAGTTTGCATTCTACCAGTTGTTAATCCATTATTTATTCTTTCATATGTTTGTTTAATAGGTACTAAATGATGAACAATATTCATAATTCGTTGTCTAGTAGTTAATTTAATTCTTGTGGTTTGTCGTTCTAAATCTTCAGTTGTATCTGTTTGATTTACGGAAGCAGAAGAACTTATAGGTTCAGATGTATCATCATCTGTTCCTCCTGTCATAATATTAGGATAAGTTGCAGAGGTTGGTTCTTGTGATGATGAACCTAGAGTAGTAGAAGATGTACTTTCTAATCTAGTATCATCTTCAATATGATCATAAAAGTTGGATTTATCAGATTTATTATGAACTTCTAAATCTTGAAGTGATGTACCTTCTTCATCGTCACTTCCAGGGGAATTAAATGAATCAAGTAATCGACGACTTTCTGGTTTAGGCAGTACTGAACTTAACTCATCCAACTCATCCAAATCCGTACTATCCATGTCCTTTGAAGAATCTCTATTATTGATCTATAAGTAAATGTGTATGTTAGTAATCCTGTAAAGAAGGAGGCAAAGCTAATACTCAGACCAGTACAACGTCCAAGACATCATTACACCTCAAATTATGATACTTAGTTATACATACTCTAATAAATCTGGACATAATAGTTATGCTTTATTGGTGCTATATATAGTAAGGTAACTTTTTTAAGTAGTACTTTCTATAATTAGTGTATCGTTTGTTACCAGCAATACTTTTCTCACTATCTCTTGTTTCGTATAATGACGCAAGAGTGAGCGAGGTGCGCGCTACCATACCCAAATAGGCAACTATTATTCTTAGATTAGATAGATTAGTGTACATACTCCTAAGTTAACTAGGTTAGAGTGTATATAATCTGTTTACATATATGTGTTAGACTGATTTTCATTAATGATTAGACTTAGTGTTACTAGAATTAACCGCATACTATACTATACTACTATACTATAGTATACCATACCATACTATACTATACTATACCATACTATGCCAACTTTCTCTTCTTCCTATCCTTGGCATCAACAGCTTTCTTCAAGTTTCTTAACACTACCAATTGCTTGAAATGACGAGCAATACCATACTCAACAAGCCATAATGGTACAAATCTAGATACCCAATGAAGGAAATATGAACGAGCACCTCGGTATATATTAAAACCAGGATCACTCTTTTTAGTAATTACTGCTACTACTTGTTTAGCATAATCTTCAGCAGAAATATTTAAATCTCTTGACATCATAGCCGATGATCTTAAACTTTCTAAAACTCCTGGTACATCATATCTTGAACCAGCCATTGAAACTTTAACATTAGAATCACAAATTGCAGTATCAACTCCTCCAGTAATTACACTATGAACTCTAACCCCAAAAGGTTTCATTTCCATTCGAAGTACCAGAGCATACAGATCAATAGCAGATTTTGTTGCACAATAAGCTCCCACCCATGATAATGGACATCTTGCACAAACTGAACTAGTATAAACTATAGTACCTTTAGCAGCAATAACAAAATCAATCATATATTTAGTCATATAAATATGACCTAAAGTATTGATTTTAAATAATCTTTCTAAATCATCATCATCAATTTCAACTGATGGACCTCCCACAGATATTCCAGCATTATTATATAAAATATCTAATCTACCACCAGTTTGTTGTTTAACAAATTCAGCCCCCTTTTTAATTTCTTCAACACTAGTGATATCACAAGCAAAAGGTATTACTCCATATTCTTCCTTTAATGGATTCATTTCCCAGAGTAACTTTTCTGGAGCACTTCCAAGAACTTTATACCCTTTCTTAGATAATACAATTGCTAACTGATATCCAATACCAGATGAAGCACCCGATATTAACGCATACTTTTGATTTGAGTCAGACATTTATCTAACTAATTTTACAATAAGTTACTTCTAGAGATATAATTACAATTTATAAAAGAACAACATATACAAAGTCAAAGTCAAACTCAATTTATACTTGTGATCCCCCGTTCGTGATATTCTACAGTATAAATCATAAATTACTTAATGCAGTAGTAAAGAAAAATGTTGGATGAGGGGACCCCCATGTGAAAGAGTCTCGTGCTCACGACAATAAAGCTTAGATTTTTTTATGTTTGTTTAAACTAAAAAGCTTTTTTACTTTGTACTTTTATTTAATTATATATACAGTACATATATAAACATTTATTTATTTATTTATTAATTACATTACATTATCTAATTTCTAATTTCGTCTAATAGTTACAAATAAAGTGCGAGCATTTATATCGTGATTATAAAATACTCTATCAGTTTCTACTACGGTTGGTGGAGGTGGAGGTATGTAATCAGGATTCTTTACTTGAGTTCTGTTAACGAATATTTCATTATATTCATAAACTTCGGGTACTCCAATATCAACTCCACCAGGTAAAATACTTGATGGAGCTGGAGTTCTAAAAGTTTTTGGTAAATCAGATAAATCTGGTAATACTGGTCCTCCTCTTGCAGCATGGGATGCAATTCTTCTTGATGTTGTACTTCTACCAGATGATTGAGGTAATTGATCTTGTTCATTAAGTAAATGTCTTCTTTTACGTCGACTATCTCTTTCAATTTCCTTTTCAAGTCTTTCAACTTCTAATTGAGTTAATTTAACTAATGATGGACTATAATCTCCAACACTAGTTGGATTTCTTAAGATTGAAAAAAAATCATCAACAACATTATAATCTTGAGATATAAGTCGAAGTGATGGAAGTATATGAGCTCGAATTTCATCTTCTTGAATTGGTCCTCCATCAAAACTATATCCAACAAGATGTAAAGCTTTATGATATAATTGAGTTTGTTCTCTTATTGTATGAGCTATAGCTGTCATAAATTCTCCTGGTAAATTTAATTCATCACACATTGTAGTAGCAAAATCTTCTGGATCACTTTCTCCATAATTTAATATATCCCATTCAAATTGATCAGTAAGTTGAGTATTATTTATAGTAATATCAACTTTTATTGGAATTCTAATTTCTCCTGAAGTCTTTTGAGGTTTCTTTTGATAATCATGAATTTGTTCTTTAATTGATGTTAATATATTATCATAAAATCCTCGAGGTATAAATTTATAATCTTCAAGAATTTGTTTAGTAAATCCTTCAACTGTCATAACTTCTTCATTTAAATCCCATAAAAATGTATCTCTTAATTTAAATCTATCTCTTTCAACATCAAAATCTAATCTTATAGGTACATAATGTTTTGGTTTATTACTATATTTTAATACTTTAGTATTAATTTGATTATCTGTTAATCCCCGTTCTGGTAATACTACTTTAGTGGATGTATTACTTATTCCATTACCATATCCTTGATAACCTTCACCCCAAATTGAATTATTATATTGACCCTTTTGAGAAAGATTAATAGCATTCATTCGAAGTTGTTTTATATGAGAATAAGCTTGAAAATCTTTACTAAGTTTTTCAATTTGGGCTTTACCTTTCTCTATTTGTCCAGGGATAGCATTCATAAAATTTGAATCTCGTTTAATTATAGATTCATATAATTTTATATCAGTACTTACATCTTTTCCTTGTTTCTTAAGTTCTTCAGACCATTGATTAATATTATTTAATGTTCTCATAGGTAATTTAGAAAGAACTTCAGGAGGAAATTGTGGTGGTAAATTAGGATCTCTTGGACCAGGAATAACTCCTCCAATTGGTACAGATTGTTTAGGTATTCTACCGGGTCCAGGAATAAGTCCTGCCACTACAGGAGAATTTTGACTACCAGGAGGTATTCCTACTGCAGTAGCTACATTAGGAGGTTGAATTATAGGATTTGGACCTTGAAATGAACCTCTTTGATTCTGTATAACTTGTTGTGGTGGACCATTTTGAGTTCCAATAAGTGGTTGAACTTGTTGGGAAGGTTGTCTAATCTGCAGTTGAGGAAGTTGTTGTTGCTGTTGCTGTTGTTGCTGTTGTTGCTGTTGCTGAATTTGTTGTTGCTGCAATGCGGCCTGCTGCATCGCTCTCTGACGTTGAAGTTGAGCTCTCATTATTTCTTGGAACTGGGGATGATTCTTGAATTGTTGTAGTTGTTGTGGTGTAAGACTAGCGAGAAATTGTGGAGTTATGGGTACTCCTCTATTCTGTTGCTGAGGTTGTTGTGCTCCACCCATGGGAGGTGACATCTGAGGGTGTCCGTCTGTTTGCCCCGGTTGGTTATAATTCATGATAATTTGATGTTTTGTATTAGTACTATGGTTATATGTTAAGTAGAGTTAACTATGAGGATTATTGAAATTCTCTGGCTCGGGATCCCGATTGGGGAACTGTGGTGTGTGCACGACCAACTGCAAAAATTTACCAAACTAATAATTTTTTTTTTAAATTTACTATTTGCAATTACATTTATTTATTTATTTATTACACAATTTATAGAAATTAACTAAGTCATAAAGTCAAAGATGGAGCCCATGTTGACATACCGTCTACCACAGTCATCCAAATATTTGTTGACTACCTGTTGACAGTAAGTAAACAATTCTCGGTTCTGTTCTGCCAATGCATCAGTTTGTCCACTCGGTAATTTAGGAGGAATATCCTTTTCATCAAAGCTATAGATGGGTCTTAATTGATTCTTTTTTGTTTTTTCTACGTCGAAAATGGCATTGAAATAAAGTAATTGATTATATAATGCCTTATCGGTATATTTAAATCTCATAATACCTTTACATCCATAAGCTTTACCTGAAATTCCAATACATCTTTTACCATAAACTGATATTTGTCTGGTAGTAATTCCACAAGCTGAATCATCACATACTAGCCATCCTGCATAATATAAGGAAATATGTTGTCTAATTTCTCTTTCTAATTGACTAGTTAATTTTAATGTAGGGAAAGTAAATTGACATGAATTACATTGAATTCCACTAAATGTAACAGTATAATCCTTTGAAGATTGAATCCCTCCAAATTTGAACTGTTTATTACATTTACATTGTAATACAAGGAAACTTGTATTTCTAAATCTTTCTGAATCAGAAACACTAGATTCTAAGGGCATAATTTCCCCAAATTGTCCCTCATTTTGTTTAACTCTTAATACATATTTCTTAGTATCGATATTTAATGATTTTGCAACTCTCATCATATCAACTCCTTCAATTCTTTCTAATAATCTTTCAACTGGGGCAAAGATTTGTTTTTCAAGATAATAATCAGTATCAGGACGAAGATTTGATCCTTTACTGAAAACTTCTTGAATTGCTCTTGCTCTTTCTGCTGGAGTAGAATTTTCTGAATCTTTTTCATTATCAGTAATAATATAAGTTATAACACTACCAGCTTTAATTACTTTACCTTCATTTCTTAATCTTAAAGCAACTTGAACTTGTGGCATTGATTTCCCATTAGGATAACTACCGGGATCCTTTGATAATCTAGTATTAATTCTAAATTTTTCAACTCCAATTTCAAAATTTTTAATTTTATTAGTCATATCTTCTAAATAATCATAAACTTCTCCAATGGCTTGTTCAGGATCTAAATCAGATAAAATTTTCATTAATACAAAAGTAGATATATCTTTTGAAAGTTGACAATATTCACGACGTCTCATATCTAATCCTTTAACTTCTAATGTTGTATTAACTTTGCCAGTTACTTTATCAAGGGTAGCATTCATAGCAGCATATTTCTTTTTTGCATGTAATAAAAGTCTTTTAAATACATTATCAATATCAATTTCTAATAATCTATAACGTTCATTAACTTTAAGTTTAAATTCTTCACCAATTTTAAGTGCTTCATTAAAATTATCAACTCCGGTATCAATCATAACTGAATCTGTATCACCATAAACTACTCTTAATCCAACAGATTCTGCTAATTGTCTTGTATCCATTAAAATTTCTCGACCTTTATTGGTAACCAACATTGCCAATGGTTTAGCATAAAATCTTGAATTAATATAACCTAAACAACCATACATTGAATTGGCCGTTAATTTTAATGCTTGTTGTTTAATATCATATTGAGCTCTTTGAAATGGAGTGTTTTTTGGATCTTTTAAAAGTTTTTTAACTTCTCTACGACGATTAACTAATGTACTTAATAATCGAGGAAGTACTCCCATTGAACCAGATTTATCAGGAAGTAAAGGCATATCTCTATCTTCATCATGAGTTAAATTAAAATTATCTCGATCTACTGTAGTAAAACAAATATTAAATTCTTGAATAATACTTGGATATAAAGAATTAAAATCCATAACCAATATAAAATTCTTATGTAACCCCTTTTCAGGTTCAAATACTAAACCACCTTGATATTTTGGTTTTTTATTGGAAGTTGCTGTTGTGGCATCTTCTTCAGTGGCTTCCATTTTAGCTTGATTAGAATTCTTATGATATTTATCTTCTTTATCAGGTATCATATAATTATTTCTTTTAAATTCATGTAATAAAATGAATTCATTTCTACCAGCTCTTGTACCACTAAGAGTATGAGACCAAGCATTTCCAGCAATATTAGTTAATTGTTTAGATAATGATAAGATTTGAATTGAAAAGGCAATTTCCGCCGTAACTTTAACATTAATATCATTTTCTCTTAATGCCATCATAAGAAATGATGCATCTTCACTATATTGAGGATTCAGAAAATTAATTTCTAAGGGATTTATTGATTTATGACATACAATATCATACATTTCTGCTAATTCCCATGATTGACATTTAGTGGTTAATGATTGACCTAATTCATTAGCAATATCACAAAGTAATCGACCTTGAAAGACTTCTCGAATTAATAAATTATTATTAAATGAACTCTTATTAAATCTATCAGGCCATGATTTCCTATTCCGACGTCCAAGTGTTGACCAAGTATAAACTTGAAGATCATGCATTCTTTGTACTAAGACATCTAAAGAAATATTTTCAAGTTTATGACCAATAAATACATCTGGATCAAGAGTCTTAATATAACCTGCTAAAAAATTTAACATTACCTTTTCATTAGGGAAAGATTTAACATTAATATTTTGCTTTTGAGCTAATTGTTGTAAACCAGGTGGAACATTTACTGAAGTTAATGGTCTAACCACCGTAAGAGTTGAATCTGGTTGTAACCCTTCAGCAATTGGAGCATCTTGAGGAACATTTTTATAAGTGGCAAGAGATACTGATACAATTTCTTGTTTATTCAGTTTAGGATTCATAGTAGTTTGAACTGAAATTGACGTAAGAGTTAAATGAGGAGGATCAGGAATTTTACCATCAATTAATGGTTTAATAAATTTAGGAGATTCAACTGCCACTTCAACTTGACAATGAGAAGAATTCTGTATGGCATTAAAATTCCCATTAGATATTTCTAACCAACATGGACCCATAATATTTTGTTGTAATACAAATGATTCAAAGATATTGGCATTAGTTCCAAATACTCTTTGAAATGTATTACCTTCTAAATGGGCAGGCATAATTAAATTCTTATTTCTCGTTGTTTTATATGGTAATAATACTTTTAAATAATCAGTTTCCTTGGGAATTCCTGCAAGTTCAAAAGCATATTTCTTAGTTTCAGGTTTAGCTTTAAGTTGATCTAATCCATACTTTTCAATTAATAATGGAGCTATTTCTTCATGAATATCTTGAGGACTAATTTCATCTTCCACATCTTCTTGTCCATCAACTAATCGATACTTCCTAGGTAAAAAATATAATTCCCGACATAAACCATTAATTTGAACTACGGCTGAAGCATATTGATTTTCATTAATTAATACTTTACCAAATAATAATAATGATCCATCAACTTCACTATAGTCTAACCAAAACATTTTAAAAGTATCTGATTCCTTTACAATCTCTTCTTTATCAAGTTTTTCAGTATAGTTTACAAAGGAAGTATCTGAATGTCTTAATGGAGAAGATGATTGAATATCTTTGGCCTTAACTGCTGAAAATGTAGCTCTATTGGCTCTACCGATAACTGCGGCTGCTCGTGGTCTTCTGGCTACTACGATATCTTCATCTGAATCATCTTCTGATACTTGTTCATCATCATTATTATCATTATTCTCTTCCCTTTTAATTGTTTCTTCAGGAACTATATTCTCCTTTTCGCTGGAATCATTCTCAACATTGCCAGTCTTAATAGGTGACGATGGTTGACTAGGTATACCATAATCTTCTTCTAAATCTTCTTCTTGTACAACCTCTTCCTTTTCCCTCTTGGTTGAGGTAGAGAAGTTGAACAAAGCTTTAGGATTCTTCCGTTTAGTTGAATTTGTATTATTAACTCCAAACACATTAAACTGATTCTTTCGTTGTTTCTTACTGATAGGTTCATCCTGGAAATCATCGAGAATATCATCAATGTTCGCATTTTTTCTTTCAGTTTGTACGGTATTGGTAGTTGGTTTAAAGAAATTACTAATTTTCGCAGTTTTAGTTACTTTAACAGGTTGGTGATGTTTATGTTTTCTCTTTTTGTTAGATACTTGATCATCATCATCATCAGAATAATAATTGGGTCTTGTAGATGCATCCCATTCATCAGCTCCAGTATCTACATATCCTTCACCATCATCATCCACTATAAAATCATCATTCATAAGTTGTTTCCGTTTATGTTCTCTATAAGTTTCTTCATCTACTTCATCATAAATTTCTCCATCTTCAATATCAGAAGTATCAAAATGACTAACTACTCCTGACTTTCGCGCCTGTCTAAGTTGTTTTAATTTTTCTCTTTTGCTGGCTCTTAACAGCATGGTCTGGTTAACTTAAATACTCGAACAATTGTTGGTAACTATACTGGAAAGTGGTTTAATATATAGTATTGTATTAGTTTAGGTCGGTTATATCGAAGTGAAATATTTTGGTATACGCGTCTGGGCTTTGTGTCACTTTTGGGCTTTGTATTTGTATTTGTGGTTATATATTTGTACCCATACGCGTAAGCCAATACTCAGTAAATAATTATAAGCAGAAGCGCTATGTAGAGTATAGTAATGAAGTTATGTATATAGTAATAATGAAGTTATGTCTATAGTAAGTAAGTAAGTAAATGATATATACGTACTGTATATATCATTTAATAGTACTGAGTATTGAGAATATGCTTATATGGAGTTACAGGAAGTATAGAGGATTCAATAAGGAAATGTATTGCACTATTGTAGACAAGATAAGTAATACTGCATAGTTTGTGTTCCGCTTGTAAAGTATTTCTCCAGATTTAGCGTGAATTTGATACAAATGTCACTTACTCTCTAAGCTGAACACTTTAGTTTATTAACTTATCATATATTAATAATGAATACTACACATATTAACAGTAACAATCTGAGACTGTATTCTGTTCACAGACTCAAACATAGAACTACAGTAGATGCATCTCAATTTTCTAATGGACCTGTTCAGCTGTAATGATCTTCTAGTTACCTTACCTTTTCTCTATTCTATACTTTTTTACAGATATGAGCAGAAACTCACATCTACTTACACCTAAATAACTAAACTCTTAATATAATATACATTTTATTACAATAACTATAACTAATTACTTCTAAATATCTCCAGTGCTTGAAATAATGGACGATTTTGAAATGGACAATTCTGAAATAGACGATTCTGAAAAGGACGATTCTGATATGGACGATTCTGAAAAGGACGATTCTGAAATGGACGATTCTGAAATGGACGATTCTGAAATGGACGATTCTGAAATGGACGATTCTGAAATGGAAGATGCTCAAATGAACGATCCTGTAATAGAGCGGCATCAGCACATTCTAGATGAGCTAATAAACTTTGAAACTGCAGTGGAAATATTAACAGAGCATTTTGAGAAAGGAGATACGGTGGATATTTTCGAAATTCATCGAGCAGGCAATTCAAGTTATGAACAACAAAAGCAAAACTTGAACGATTATCTTACACAAGCAGATGACACATATTTGGAACCATTTCTAAGAAAATATGACGTTCTGGATGGGTTGCTAAGCAAGCACACTAAAAAAGAATGTATCAAGCTTCTTTTCGAACTTCACAATTTCCACCGACTAGATTGCTTACAATTTCCTTTAAGTTCAAGAATTAGTGAACTACTAAGATCCATTAAAAGTAATATCTATACAGCCACAAGTAATTTGAAGTTCCGGAATTACTTTGAATCGTACGCAGATCTCAGTATGTTTCTTCGATTTGAACTAAATGAAGTTAATATAAAGGAATCTAAGAATATTAGGTACTACAGGATGAAATCTCTAGTAGGTAATTTTATCCCGGTGTCAACAACCTGGATCAATTATGAGGTACCCACTGACTTAACATTTAGAATAACTACTTCAAAACTTGGGTATTGTTCTATTTTGCCAGATAACTTAGAGGACGAAAATAGAATCATCCTGGAACAGTATGCAAAACTGAACTTTATTAAGAATATAATAAAACCCTTGCTTAACATCTTGAATCTAAGTTTAGAAGAGGATATTTCACTGATAACTGGTCCATATTACTCTATTAATAAAGCACGTAAACCAGATATTACTATCAGATATGATGGGCATGATAGATTACCTATCCAAGTAAAAAAGTTTTCGAACAGAGATTATTTCAATACGAAATCTGAACCTGAAGTTGGTTTGGAACCAGGAATTGAATTGATTGAGACTTTTAGCCTGGTTCTTTATCATTGTCTTTCATTGAAATCTTTCGTTGGAATATTATCAAATTGCAATGACATGATTGCCATTGATTTTAGTGATTCTATTCTACTGAATGAATTCTATAAATTGGACGACGAACCTAGGATCTTGAGGAACATTTCTTGCCGCATGTATAAACTAACTAATATACTTCAAATGCTTTTTTTCATTAAGAACTTTATCGAAAGTCCACAGCGATTAGACCAAGTCCTTGTTAAAAGCTTAAAAATAATAGGAAACAAGAAAAAAATGGTTGTTAACTCCCTTCATAGAAATTTGAACAGAAGATTCCCTCAACTACTTAATGAAACACCTCCACCTTCTCGGATGGACATCAATAACAAGCATCTAGCTCTCCAACCAAGTAATGGTCTTAATGTTTTAGCTGATGAGGCCATGTATGATTTATTTGGCTCTGCTAATTTAAACATCACAAAACTAATTCATAATATGCCACGAACACCACAGATGACTTGTTTTAACGTTCTATTGAATAATATTAAGTGGATCGAAATATTTGCCGGTGCCAAATTTGGAAGTAGCGATTCTATCGTGGTAAAAGTGCAGACTAAATCTCAAACCGAAGATATACTTAAAATATTCGATCCTATTAGATCAGAAACATTAACATATGCAAATGGTGATACAATAAGGAGTTTAGGAATTTGTTTTAATAACTTTGTTAAAGAATTACTTAGTCTTTATCAGCTCCGAGAACATGACTTTGTACCTAAAGTTTCTGAGATTGGTATTATTTATAGCAACGACAGCAAATATGAGTATCAATTAACTATCACAAATAATAATGTGACTGGCTTTTATTTCAATTACGCTTTTATTAAAGGTATACCATTTGGTGAATTAACTTATCTTCAGAGGTATTCATTTAAAAAGACCTTAAATTCAATAGTAGGTAAAATGCACGATACAGGAGTAGTGCATTTGAACTTGAACGAGAACAATATTATTGTTGAAGATTTGGCTTCCAAAAAAATTAAAATAGTAGGATTTTCGTCCCTGATGTTGCAGCGGACGGGGACAAGCTATTGGCCTTATGCGCCTTATGCTAGATATAAACGATACAATAAATGCGTGAATTTTAAGAAGTTGAAAGAAATGGACTGTGCAGATGTAAGAAAACTCCTTTCTAAAAGAGAATTTAAGCGTTCAAACAAAAAAAAGCTGAATCGGACACATCCTTTGAATACATATTGATCTTGTCTTTGACTACTTCTATTGTATATCATACACTAATAAAGAAGCCTTTAGGTGGTGATACGACATTTGTATAAATTTGTATTTTTTCTCAATCTTATCAGATGTATGCGACATAATTTTATTTTATTATATAGACGAGACAAGCTAAACACAAACTAAACTACTCTACTCTAATACCATTATTACCAGTCTAATCCCAAATGTCATTCGCTAATTTTGATTACGAAGCGCAAAAGCCTATTGGGAAGTTGGAATCTATTCCTCCTAATAATGAGTTAGATGTAATATTAACTAAGACATCAGACCAAGTCAAGTCATTTGGAAACTTAATATCACAACTAGATATTCAAAGGAGGAATATAGGAACAAGACGAGATGGACAAGAATTAAGAGATAAAACAGATGTGTTGATTGAGAATATGAGACAAAAGAATTTGGCTATAGATAATTTAATATCTGAACTTGATGAATTAATGAATCAGAATAAGAGGGTTGTACAAACTCAGCCTTTGAATGTAGCAATATCAAATAAACAGACGGTAAACAAACAAAGATTGGCTAATGAATATAACTCTTTGATTCGACAATTTGAAAAGTCAATAAACTTATACAATGTAAGAAAGAAAGATTATCCACTTGAAATTGTGGAAAGCAAATATTCAGAAACAACACCATTATTAGTAAATAATACTCAAACTCAATTACAAATACAAGAACAAGTTCCAGATATGCTAGATGAAACAGATTTACAAACTCATATATATCTCACGGAAGAAAGAAATCTTCAAATAGATCAAATTCATGATGGAGTACAAGAGATTAATGAAATATATAAGGAATTACATGGTCTAGTTCAGCAACAAGGTGAACAAATTGATTCTATTGAAGATAATATCCTTCAATTACAAGATAATTCACAACAGGCTCATAAACAATTGAAACAGGCCGATCAATTACAGAGAAAGAAAGGTAAATGGAGTTGTTTGCTCCTTACTGTGCTTACCATAGTGGTTCTAACCATAGTTTTGGCAGTATTAAGTTAAATTACAATGTAATCGTAGATGTAATAATAATAATAATAATGTATTAATGAAATTCTTAATGAATCAACAATTTACCGTAGAAATATAATATAACCCTTTGAACCTATAAACTTTACCTAATCAAGACTTTGAGTTTCGAGGTCATCCCAACTCTCATCATCAGTAGCTGAGGGTGTTGTTGCTTCATCATAATCACTTTGACTACCAGGAGTTGAAAATCCAGTTGATCTTCCTGATGAATCATTTACTTCGCCTTCTGTTTCATAATTATCAAATTCTCCATCTTCAAAGTTATAAGCATATTGGGCGGCAGCATTTGCTTGTTTGGCTTCCTCTAACTTATCTCTACAAAATTTAGCTCCTCTTTCAAATAAGTCTTCTGCTATTTGAAGAATTTCTTCCTTATGAGCCATCACAGTTATAGTTGCCCCCGCAAATGCGCCTGCTGCAAGGGCTATTTTGAATGAAAGAGGTACTGATTGTTGTCTCTGGTCAGTATTCGAAGTCTCTGGAATCATGATAAATAACAATATACATACTAAAAAAAGGCATTTGAATGTAATACTAAAAGATTTCTTATAATATCAGTAGTGTTAAAAGTGTAACCGTGCGTGTAGGTATTTCAAATGGGTTAGAAAAAACGAATGATTGCAAACCTCGGAATGGTACAAATCCGGTATAAACGCTCGGAAATGATTTTAGGTAACATGACTGCGGCACAGCCATTTTGCATCTAGGAATGAATAAAACTCATACACTTACACATACACAAACATATTACATATACTAACCAATTCCAATTTGCCACTTTTGAAATAGTTTGATTCAATTAAATTAATTAACATGAAGCATCAACACACTGGTAAATGACACTGTATCATAGCTATAGAATTTAAAGGTTCTGTTCCATTCAGTGGAGCTTTACATGAGTAGGAAAGCTCAAGTTTATCATGCTAAATATATAAAAGAATTGTACTTTACATGTCTATATTTATTTAAAAACTACTCGGATACTTTACAAAAGTAGTAACAAATAAATAAGAATATAATAATTTAAGACAAGATCCCCATGGTTTTGAGTTCAATTATGTGGCTACAATTTGTTATCTCCGAAGAATCAGCTGAAATTGAATCTATGCGCTAGATAGTATATGTATTTACATAAAAATAGTTTGCTTACAAATAATAATGTGCTTATCGTATTGAATAATACGTGTATGACTCTTAATTGTCACTGTCGGCATTTGTTTGACTCCTATTTTTTGATTCTTTTCAAATGCTTCTTCGAGCGCGCATAGGACGCATCAACGGGCTTTGAGATGCCTATAAATACGAGGATGTCCCTTTTGACCCACTAAGAATATATTATGATAGTAAAACACATGCTGAAATAGCAAATTGTGATATTATGACGAAGAAGTTGGTTCTTTCAAGGCCATTGTCTTTATCAGAACATTTTCTTCGTAGTAGAACTGCAACAAGATTTTATAACAATTTTCAAGTCACAGGAACATATAGTCAAAACATAAGCTCGCATTTGATATGGGTTTATATGGCATTGAGGAAATCATTACTTGATTATCCTATTCTCATATGCAATATTCAACGAGAAAAGGATGATTGTGTGTTTAGACCTATTAACAGTGCGAAATTAGGTGACATTGTTGAACTAAGTGATATACATGGAAATATTGAAAATGGAGCTATTAATGAAAAATTCATGAAATATTTGAATACAATATCTTTCGACCTTTATCTGGAAACGCCATTATTTAAGTTGGTTATATTAGGTGAGCATGTAAGTGCAGTTTTTGAACATACAATTACAGATGGTTTGGTTGGACCATATTTCCATGAAATATTCTTGAAGAATTTAGATTACGTATCTAACGAATCAAATTGCACCGAATATGAAATCTTATATGGAAAAATTCCAACCCAAGTTAACTTGGATTCAACTTTGTTCAACTTTGAAAAGGATCAATCCTTTTTCACTCATTCATTACCTCCTCCTAGTGATATTTTTGTTGAGGATCCTGAACTCGATTTTACCTACGGTGATCCTGATTATCATGAAAAGGCAATACCTGAAGGGTATGAAACAAAATGGCCAGGAAGGTTTGAGCCAACTCATGATCAATCAATTGGTTATAAATTAGTTCATTTTGATCCAGACGAAGCTAAACAACTTGTAGATAAATGTCGTTCTCAAGGTACAACATTAACTCCATTTATTCAGGTTGTTCATGTATTAACGATGCAACCAATCTATGGAGATAAACATTATACTTCACATAGAATGGCAATTACGTTACGAAGACATGCAAAACCTGAGAATGTGCCCGATTACTTCCAAGATGCTTATGCTGAACCTGGATATAAGTTACTTGGAGGATGGGCGCATGTAGGGCCTCGTGAAAATTATCCCCCTCTATTTGAATTTTCATGGGATAAAGTCAAAGAGATTCATAGAAATTTAGTGGCTGATACTAATAATACTAGACTCTATAATATTTATCAACCTTTTAAGAATGTCTATAGCAAGACTTCAAATAATGATGAATTTTTTCAATTGCTGATGCAAGCTAAGGCAGATGCAACCAAACTTTCTAATTTAGGATTTATTAATTTCCCAGTATATAAATCAACACCAGGCATAGATTGGACGGTTAACAATTTAGTATTTTCCCAAGATGTTTCAGCACCAACAGCTGACTTTGTTTATAATATAATTTCTACTCCATTAGGTGGATTAAATATAGTGGTAAGTTTCCAAGATCATAGGAGTGATGATTTGAGTAATGAATCTTTAGAAGGCTTAGTTGCAAAATTTAGACATAATTTGCTTTTTTATTCGGAAAAATAATTAGACCCTAAGAAAACACTGAGTGTTTTTACGACAGATCCGATAAGCGAAAAAAGGATCCCTTGCCACAAAACTTTAATTTAGATAAGTAAAACGCAAGCATATATATTTATTTAAGCATTTATAAATGTAACCATTATTAACTAATATAAATAAACTATAATGAACCCCAATGAATCCCCGATAATCAAACCACCTTGACCAACTATAAAAACCAAAAATCAAATTAAATTCAAATTAACACCTTACAAACCTATATACCTTAACTGCTCTAAAACCAGAAATAAACCGCTAAATGTCAACTGCCTAAATATTATCGTCATCCACAAAGACATAATCGTTATGATCCGACATGGATTCATTTTCAAACGGAAAACTGGGTACGTCACTGACTTCTGAATTCGAATATTGCAGATCAAGGCTTTGTTTGCCTGAAGCACTCGATCCACTATCAGAATCGACTTCTGATAAAGGAACCGACTTCTTTCCTTGACTTTGATGTAACATTAATTGCATATGTAATGTTAGCCTAGGATCATTATCTTGAACTCTTGGTCCATAATCACTATCAACTAAAAGGGTAGGGGTGAAGGTTGTATGATTATTTATATTTTCTAAACCTTGAAGTATCTCAAGCTTATTAAGTAATTGGCTTTCACTCCTATATAACCTATTAAGATCATTTTCCATGCTAATAATTTGTCCTTGTACTCTATTTAATTCTCTTTTGATCTCCTCAATTGTATTACCGTCAATTATAATAAAATCGTTAATGGAATGGGCATGATTGCTCTCTCCATCTCTCAGTGACTCATCAGAACCATCTCCTTCATTAAAAGAACCAAAAGAAGACTTCCGTTTATATCTGTAACCCATCCTTTCAGACAATTGGGTTTAGAGATAGAAAGAATAATTAAATAAGGAACACTGATTTTTGTGGGTGACTAACAGCTTTTTAGCCGTGCGTAAAAATGTCGCTCCCCTTAACGCTTGCGACTTTGCATCTGGTCTTACACTATGTGCATCAAATCAACACCAAGAGCTATTACTTTTTTTATAATGTATTGTAAGCTAACTAATATTTAAAAACTAATAATAAACTGGATTGATACCTTCATCCAAGAAAGACTCACTATAAATATATATATCTATTAAGTAATAAAATCAAAAGTAATCTTCGATGAGAATATTGATGGACTCTTCTGAAGGTACGCTACTATTCTCTCTTATTTGAGCATTCAAATCTAAATACCTGGTACGACCCCTTGTAGAAAGGGTTGGTGATGATGTTGGTGATTTACTGATAACAGAATTTGTAGAAGTGGTTAAAGGTGGTACATCATCCAATTCATCTAATAATACTCCTGAATCAATTGATGATACTTCTGATTCAATATCCGACAAGTTGTCAAAGGTAGTCTCAAAATCTTCTGGAATTGATATCAATTGTGTGACTCCTGTGAAATTTCTACTTCGGTATCTAACTGGTCCGTCAATTTCGGTTCGAGTTGGGATCGAAAAGCCTTGTCTACTGGAATTGAAGAACCTTTGAAATCTCTCGAATCTAGCATTCAAGCTGTGAAAGTTTCTTCTCATAATAATAAGAGAATCAGATATTTGAGCAAGTTCTCGTTCTAACTTTTGAATGTTGTATGAATTCGACATTTGATATTTCTGTATTGTAAAGGAAGCGGTAGAAATGAGAATTTCCAATTTGTTGAAAAAGATAATGATGGCATATTAAATATTTACAATAGTTTTAAGTGGTCATTACTTACTTAAACTAGTATTTTTTTAGTTTTACCGAAGAGACGTTACATTAGTGAGTAAGCAAGATTTTTTCCAGGTAAGTTTCGCCGTGCGCTATGGACTTTGTTTTATTATCTGCTTTCCCCAGGAAAAATTTATTGTGCATGACGCGTTAGACAAACAAACAAAAACGTTAGATCAAAATCAAAGTCAAAGAGTTATGCTTTAATTTCTAAAGAATTACATCCAATCTTTTTTTCTATTGTGATGTATAGACAAAACGTTAAACTATAAACTGAAATCCTAATATCCTAATAATTTATACCCTCATTTAAAAAAACCAAACAACCATTATAAAAACGCCAAATAAATAAAACAATAAAAAATTAATCCAATAATTGTAGCCAAAAAAAGTTCCGATAGGTTCATGATTATCAATTTGAGAATCATACACAACTACTAGATCTTGGGTATACTCAATGGAAAGTGTAGGCGAAATAATAGCAGCATTAGAATTATCTTGTTGTATATCACTCGTAGACGAATTTGCAATTGAGAATAACTCTGATTCGACTTCATTCAAAACGACAAACGAAGTCTCTTCATTTTCTTGAACTGTGATGAGCTCTCTTGCCGGATTTCTTTGCTGTCGGACTGGTCCGTCTATTTCCATAAATCGTATCCCATTATTTAATTTTGCTGTGTTTATGTTTCTTCGAACTATATTAATTTGATTATTGATTGTATTAAAATAACTTTCAACATTATTCATTAATTCAAGTAATTCATCAAGTCGTCTTTCAAGTTCTAGAATGGGATCCATGTCAATTGATAAATTGATTGATATATTGGTAAGAAAAGAACACTAGAATACAAACCGTAAATGTCTTAGTTAAGTATCTAATCATCGTTGTAATATTAGGAAAATTTTAGTACATCTCTTCTAACTAAATATATTTCTTTGTCGTTTGGTTTTTGTAATTTTTGTTTACTAAAAATATTATTAGAAAATAAAACACAGCCCTTTATCATGTCTTTTAGCGTGGCATGTGTCATGTGACTGAAGAGATAAGCATGTTGTATCTGGAGGGGAAAGGACGCCACAACCGAAAATGTGTCGTAATATGACTTAGTATTTCTATAAAATATATCACTCACAACTTGAATAACGATGGATGACAACATTGGTAGACTGTCATACTAATTGCTAAACCAAGCACTAGCAAACACAAGGACTGGAAGAACTAACACATTATGATTCTTCTTGACTTAAATTATGCTATGTCTTCATATTAAAGATATTACTAAGACAAGTTCGTTTTCTGTTGAGTTACTCAAGTGATAATTAAAATTTATTCTATGGGAAGATACACACCTATTTATACTGCAAAGGGATAAGTTAGAGTCTAAAAATGGAACGGGAAATTTACGCACAACTAAAACCAAAATAAGAAAAACTAATAACTTAAAACCTGCATATACGATGCTGTTAACTATACTTTCTGACCTTCAACACGACTATCTGTAATACTAGTGACCAGCTACAGTGTCTAGTTATACAAGTATGAATGGCCATAATGAAGATGGTAATGTAAGCATTGACTATTCAATGGCCAATTCCGATATCCAACTACGAAATAAACAAGATGGATCATGGCTTCATCAGGAAAAAGTCAGTGAAGTGAAAAGATTCGAAGACTTTCGAACTATTGATTGGGTTGAAGATGAAATGGATGAACATAGGCGACGTCTTCTTAAACTTAAGAATGTTAATAGTGTGTCTACATCATTACGAGAGCGAGTGGTTTCTTCGTGTTTGAATTGGGTTATGTTAACTCTTATGGGAGTATTTATTGGATTAATTGCTGCATCATTAAATATTATTACAGCTTGGTTAGCTAGTCTAAGAATGGGACATTGTTCAGGACATTTTTATCTTAATAAATCATTTTGTTGTTGGGGAGAAGATGAACAGTCATGTCTGAATTGGGTTCCATGGTCAAACCATTTCCCATTAAGTTATTTGGCTTATGTATTAATATCATTATTATTTTCATTTACAGCATCAATTCTTGTTAAATATTTTGCCCCTTCAGCTGCTGGATCAGGAATTTCAGAAATTAAAAGTATTGTTTCAGGATTTGCAATGGATGGATTTCTTGGTTGGTGGACATTATTTATTAAAAGTACTTGTCTTCCATTAGCAATTGCATCTGGATTAAGTGTTGGTAAAGAAGGTCCTAGTGTACATTATGCTGTATGTGTAGGTAATTCAGTTGCAAAATTAGTTAGTAGATATCGTAGAAGTGCGGCAAGAGCTCGAGAGTTTTTAACTGCTACATCTGCTGCAGGGGTTGCTGTTGCATTTGGTTCTCCTATGGGTGGTGTATTATTTTCAATTGAAGAAATATCTTCAGTATTTCAATTATCAACTATTTGGAAATCTTATTTTTGTTCTTTAGTAGCAGTTGCCACTCTTGCGGCTATAAATCCATTTCATACAGGTCAATTAGTATTATTTGAAGTATCTTATGATACAGATTGGCATTATTTTGAAATTCCATTTTATATCATACTTGGAGTATTTGGAGGAATTTATGGTATAATTGTATCTAAATTAAATATTCGAGTGGTTTCATTTCGAAAGAAATATTTAGGTAATTATGCAGTACGAGAAGTATTTATACTTGCATTATTAACAGCATGTTTTAGTTACTTTAATGAATTCTTAAGATTAGATATGACAGAATCTATGGAAATTCTCTTTCATGAATGTGATTCTAAATTTGATCATAGATTATGTGATATTGATAGTAATAAGATTCCATTAATTACTTCATTATTATTTGCAACTATTGCAAGAATGGGATTAACTATTATAACTTATGGTTGTAAAGTTCCAGCAGGAATATTTGTACCATCTATGGCAGCAGGTGCAACATTTGGTAGAGCTCTTGGATTAATTGTTGATCATTTTTATCAACTGCATAAAGATTCTAGTCTTTTTATGACATGTACTGAAGGTTCAAAATGTATTATTCCTGGAACTTATGCATTTTTAGGAGCAGCAGCAGGACTTTGTGGAATTACTGATCTTACAGTAACTGTGGTAATAATTATGTTTGAATTAACTGGTGCATTAAGATATATTGTTCCTACTATGATAGTTGTAGCAATTACAAAAAGTATTAGTGATAAATGGGGAAAGGGAGGTATAGCTGATCAAATGATTACTTTCAATGGTTTACCATTAATTGATTCAAAGGAAGAATTTTCCTTTGGAACAAATGTTGAAGCTGCTATGTGTAGTGCTACAGTATGTTTCCCAGCTGATCCTGATTCTGCTATTACTTTAAAACAATTACGTACTACATTGCGTGCATCAGATTATAAGGGATTCCCCATTATTGAATCTCCTCCATCTCCTAAAATTGTAGGATTTGTATCTCGATCAGATATTGAATATATACTTGAGAAATTTGGAAATACTCTGGAATCTACTGATGAATATGTGTGTTTATTCAGTAATGATCGAGGTGCTATACCTGAAGAAGCCATTGATTTCAGTCTGATATTGAATAAGTCACCTTTAACGGTTAATATCACTACTTCACTTGAATATATAGTCGAAGTATTTTTGAAATTAGGTCCAAGATATATCTTAGTAGAGAATGATGGATGTTTGGCCGGTATAATTACTAGAAAGGATATGATGAGATATGAACATACCATTCATACATTACACAGTACTGATACTAGTCGAATTAAAGAAGAAGAATTTAATGATAAAGTATGGAAAGTAATGAATGATGTAACTAATGATCTCAAGAGAAATATTGGACGATTACTACATAATGATGAAAATAGATATTTATAGATTATCGGTGTATATAATTAACTATATTAGTTATCCTTCCATTTACCATTCTCTATGTAATTGGCATATAATGATCGGAAGAAAGTCTTACCAGGAATATCTAATGATGAACTAACTAATCTTAATTCATCCTTAGACACAACATCAAAGGCACTATATATACCGGGCATTAAAGCATCATTGACAGCACTATCAAAGTTATACTTTAAATTAAGATAGATATAATTAATGATAAGTATAGGTAAATGTTTTCTTAAAGCTCTCTTAGTAAGTACCGATGAAGATGTCAACCCTGACTTATCCTTTGCCAGAGATGTATGGGATGGTTCACAAAGGTTTTCCAATACTCTGGCATAAGATGTAGCCGCAATAGTACTGGAACTAATAGGACTATGTCTATGTTTGTTACACAAGTACTCAAGGAATCTACAACTAGAAGATAAGATAAGATGATGACGTGATGCAAGTTTGTATCTGTGGTATAGTAAGATGTAGGAGAAGCATTGAGTAGCACAGATGTAAAGATCGACTGATTGAATGTCTATGCAAACAGTGTCAATGAATGCTATGGTGGTTTCTAAGGCATGTTGACTGAACAACCATACTTTATCTCCAATACTGTCCTTGACAATCTTAAGAAGATGTATGAGTGAACTAGTAGGAATTGTATCAATCAGCGAGATAATTGTGCTGAGTGCTTCTACGTACAACACACGACTATGCTCAAAGTCCTTATGGAAACTTCTGATGAATAAGCTTATCAAATCAACTAAGGCAGGACTGGCATGTTCTCTCAAGCTTTCCAATACATATTGAACTGTCTCGCTAAACAAGTCTGGATTATCACTAATTCTCTTGACAAAGATCTCTATTCCCTCAGTAAGGTCTATATTGTATTCGTCTACTAAGGAGATGTAGAGAGCTAACACATAGACAGTAGAACTGGTGTGTTGGTAGTCTAAGGTACTGGCCACTAAGTTGAAACATACGGTACGGATGTTATTGGCTGTAGCAGAAGTATCGGCAGAGTCTAATTTGCTATTGACTTTGATAACTAATCCAAGCACATCGATATCGACATCTACAGAGTCTGCCAAACTGAATGATTTCAAGAGCCAATTGGCCTGGGCCAAGTCAAGCACCTTCTTGTTGGTTATGGCTTCTAAGGAGTTAGTGGCTGCACTTATGAAACTAGTCTTAAGTTCAGTCAATGATTGCTCGACATCACCAGTGACTTTTCGATGTCTGTGCGATGACAAGATACAAAAGGCCACTTCATACTTAGGGATATCAAATACTTTGGATGGTTTACCATTGAAGTAAGTCTGTAAGATGTCGAGGGTTTGTGTTATGTATTGTAGACTCTCTTCATTGGCTATTTGATTGATATTGAAAGTCCAGAGTCTGGAAACTATGCTTAAGGCTATTGGTGTATAGTCCAGTCTCACACTAGACACAAGTTCAAATAAAGACTGGGGATCCTTTTCAAAGCTGGAAGGACCGGGCACAGAAGTTAAATGATCTAAAGCAGCAATGGTTTGGTGGAGGTTATGCGTACTCTTGTGAAGCAGCTTGAACACAGTGTCCACAAGTCCTGATCTACTGCGACGGTCTAAAGCCTGTACAGGAAGGATTGGAATTAATGGTAGAAGTTCTTTAGTCTTAGTCTTAGGCATATTCTCAATAAGATAGTTGGCAATGGCAGCGACTAATAGTTTCCTTTCAAACACATATTCAGCATTGGCTTGGAAGAGACTTGTTATGGTAGCGATATCTAAATTGCTAAAGATTAACTCAACAAACTTACTCAATTGGGTTGTAGTAAACCATGTTTCAAGAACGATTAGCCATCTCTCTATAGATGTTATAAGGATAGGTGAATGGGTCTTTACCAATTTCAAGTACTTGTCACCTTGAGGATTAGAACTAGAATTAGAATGAGAATCAGTTGGCTGAGGGATTCTCTCAACTTCAAGTAATCTGAATAAGGAGAAATAGTAATAAGGAGAATCTATAGCTTTGAACAGGGTTATATCTACTGTATAGTCATCAGCATATAGGCATAATAAGTAGTACCTTAATTCCCAATATCCCTTGAGATCTGTATTGATAATATCCGTATGGTCTAGGATAGTCGATTTTATATGCTCTCTTTTAGATACACTAGATGTTAAGATCCCCTTAAGGACAGCCATTAATAATGGTTGTAATGCCAGAGGATCATTAAACTTATATAAATTAACAATTAATGTCGATAATTGTTGACCAGATAGTTCGTCAATGACAGTGGCTACTTCAGCGACAAATTCCTGAGAAGTGTAATACTTATTAGACTCATTCATCACCGGCCATATGTCAACAATGAATTGATTTAATTCTCTACCTCTACCATAGGCATGAAGGATACTTTTACCTATATCATTTAAAGATATGGTGGAGGCTATACGATGAGTTTCAGTAATCACAGTGTGACAATTATCCATCGCTAACTCTATATCAAGATTGAACAATTGAACAATTAGTTTCCATTTGGAGTTACTCGTAGATCCAATGGCTTCATCATAAAGAGATTTAAGAAACTCGGGCGAAAGTGTCTTATTGACTTGACGGATAATTGCCAATAATGATTCCGCTAAATCACTATAAGTTTCTTGAGTCACTATGGCAGTAAAGAGTTCTTCACATAGCTTGAAATCCTTACTGGACATGTTATCTACGGTGAGTCTGTAAAGGGTAGTTATAGACTGTTGGTTCAAAATGTTTGACTTGGATTTAAGTAAATGACTTACCTGTTTAACCAAATCGGTTCGAAGGCTATCATTGAAGATGGCTTTCTTGATGATATCTTCGAATATGACTGTTACTGATGGGTATTCACACGTATTCACATATTGTAACACAGGTGATAAGCATTCCTGAATGAATTTGGCATACGACTTCTTGGATGGTGAGTAAGTGGCTGAAGACTTCGGTATATTGTATAAGTCTCTGATGATGTTGGTCCATTTCAATATAGAGGACTCTGGGGTTGTAGTTGTAGTTAAAGATAATAATCTATGGGAGAATGCAGTTAATAATTCGATAGCCAGATGTTCTTCGATATCTATATACACTTCCTGTCTGAGTAGTACTATAAAGTCAAGGATTTTATCCATCAATGCTTCGGTTGGGTCTTTATTTAGTATGGCAATCACTATTTGTATCACTCTTAACTTATTGAGAATTCTATTACGCATATGTCTATCATCTTCTACTAGTCCTAACCCAGTCCAGACTTGTTTCATGAGTTCCCATGACTCATCTTCATACTTCCACAGTTTGAAACCAGAGTTAAAGTCATTAAGTCTATCACATAACAACTCTAGTATGAAGGTATCTTTGTTAGGAAGATAAATATCATAGTCATTATTCAATAGTTTATGACAAGTTTGAACAATTTCAACATACAGACCATTCTTGGACCGTAAGAACTTAGTCACAGACTCGGCGGAATTGAGTCTATCCATTTGGTTGACGAGTTGTAGTGAATAATTGGTATAATTAGTGGAGTTGAGTCTATAGTACGTGAAAAAAAATTATGACTTGAGATGCGCTGATCTGAGGAAACCTCTAGAGGACAAGATGAGGTTAGATATAATAATTCATAGAGAGAGTTTGGAGCATCTTGTGAGTATCTAAGATCTACGATTTACAGATTAGTTCTACAATTAGGGGAGTAATCTATAGCAATATTGTACATTTTATGACTATCTACTATTTCCTGTAACAACCCATAATAAAATCCAAAATATATGTTGGTTTATCTAGATTAAATTAATAAGGTTTCAATCTTATCCTTGATGCTGTAGATTTGGTTCTTAATAGAAGAAGCATCATTTGAAGTAACTGAAGCAGCAATTACTGGACGTGATACACCACAAGCTCTACCTAAAGCAGCTTTTGATGGAACAAAAACATATGGAACATTTTTATCTTCACATAATAAAGGTAAATGTAATAAGATTTCAATAGGTTCAGTATCAGCAGCCATAATAATGAATTCAGAAATACCTCTATTTAAAGTTTTAGTAGCTTCATTAGCACCTTTCTTTAATTGTCTTAAATTTTGAGCTTGTTGAACAACATCTAAAATTTGTTGAGATAAGTTGGAATCAGCCAATGGAAAGGCCTTTGGGTTTGGAGCAGACATTTTATAAGTAAGTAAGTAAGTTTCGGTTCCTTGCAGTAAAGCTCACCAGTAAGTGTAGTAGTTAATAAGACACTAAAGACAAGTATGGTAAGACAGTTGTAAGTGAAATATTTTTATTTTAATTTTGCTCTTCCTCATCGGAGCTGCAGCGGCATGGGTGTTCGTTAATAAATCTTTTGTTAGTGATGACACGTACGCTGAGTGCGAAGTAAGATTGGCGGCAAGTGCACCCTTTTCATGCGTAATTTTAATCCTACTTATCATTCCTCCTGCACGCAGGGCCAGCCCGTAGACCGTCGTTCACTTTTTCGAATTGAGGGTGGTAATTTAGCGGTAACCTCCTTGGGTCCCATTAACGATCAGTTGTACCAATTCATCGCTTCAGTAATTAATATGTCCGACTTGTGGTATGTATATTGTGGTACTCAATCCATTGGTAGTAGTGGATGATTGTCATTGTCGATACTGAGTCATTATGAGTAGGAGATTGTTTCAATGAGTAATGACTATCTCGTGGGTAAGTGTCAGTCATTGACAATGACTACTATGACTACCAATTAAGTAATTGATGAATTGACTCAGTAATTGAGTAATTGATATGATGTATATGTTACTAACAATTGTTTAATTTTATAGTCCAGTATATGCTCCATTCTTTGGTTCCATTGGTTGTGCTGCAGCCATCATTTTAACTAGTTTCGGTGCCTCTTATGGTACTGCTAAATCTGGTATTGGTATTTGTGCCACTTGTGTTACTAGACCAGATTTATTAGTTAAAAGTATTGTTCCAGTCGTTATGGCTGGTATTATTGCCATTTATGGTTTAGTTGTATCTGTCTTAGTTTCTGATGGTTTAAAACAACAACAAGCATTATATACTGGTTTTATTCAATTAGGTGCCGGTTTATCTGTTGGTTTATCTGGTTTAGCTGCTGGATTTGCCATTGGTATTGTTGGTGATGCTGGGGTTAGAGGTACTGCTCAACAACCAAGATTATTCGTTGGAATGATTTTAATCTTAATTTTCGCTGAAGTTTTAGGGTTATATGGTTTAATTGTTGCTTTATTATTAAACTCTAAGGCATCTCAAGATGTTCAATGTTAAGAAATCAAATAAATTTTTGTAGAATATTATTATTATTATTATTATTATAATTATTAATTTTCTACTATATTTGATTGCATTCTTTATCTGCTCGTTAGAATATTGACTGACACTATGTTATATAAATATAAAAAAACAATTCAATAATATTATTATAACTTAATGTCTATGTTATCTTTTTATATAATTATTTAATTCATTTAGCAATTCAAAATCGAAATCCCATACAACAGGTGGACTTTTGTTGTGTGTTTTCTTTTTATAGAAATACGAGGGGTTCCTCCATTTTTATTATCATTATCATTATAATTATTATTTTGTTTACTTTCAATATATAAAGAAATAAATAAATAAATAAATAAATTACTAAAATTCTCTTTGTTCTATAGTACATTTAATATTATTTTAATTAACTTTACACGACTCTACTTAACTCAGCTATACTCTACTATACTCTAATTATCTATGTAAACCTTTCCTATCTTGGCAACTATTGCCCCTCTCAATGCTAAGAACAATTGTTTCAAATTCTGAGGAATTGCAACTCCATCATCTTTCAAAATCTTTCTCCAATCATATTCTTCTTGTACTTCTTCTTTATGTTCTATACAATAAGTATAAAGTGATAAAGCTTCTTTATTTTCTTCTTCTGTAACATTTATCTCATAAGTATCTAATAATTCAATAATAATAACTAAATCAGATAATTGTAAATCAAATGTCTTTGAATCTTTACTTAATAATGGTAAGAATTGACTTAATAATAATGGATAATATTTCTTAGGTAAATAATTAAATCGAAGAAGATGAATAAGTTTTGAATAGGTTGAAAACAGATTAGGTCCATTCCCTTTCACTTTTAACCCTTTAAAGAATTCATTTAAAACAGCATATGGTGAAAGACATTGCCTTATTACAGGATGAATTTCTAAAGTCTTTTCAACTTTATTATCAACAATATTATTAATTAAATCATCATTACATGGTCTATTATTGATTAAACTATCTTGAAATATAATATCCCATGCAATATAATGAACTTGTTTCATAGCATTATTGTCACTGGAATAATTAACAGCCGTAGGATCAAAACAATGTACAAATCTATTCAAGGCTTCAAATAAATAACCATCAGTTAATGATTTGACTCCTGATTTATAGTGTAATTGTTTAGCAGTATTTGATAAACCTAATTTGGCACAAATAGTTAAAGCCCATTCTAAATCATCATTAGTTTTAAAATTATATTTAGGAAGTACTTCTGCCACAATGTTTTTATTGGCAACTCGAGAATTTTGATAATTAATTATACCATCTTTTACTAATAATCCAACACCTACTGGTATTAAACCTTGTAAATTAAGACACTTATAGGCATGCAAGGTTAAGAAATATTCAGATATAGTTCTTCTATGAACTAAACTTTTAAGATTAGATGCTTTGGAGGTGGCAACATAATACCCATTAAAGTACAGTTTCATTTCCAATAATTTAGCCACATATGCTGCTGTTGCTGGTTCAAGAAAGTAAAGCGTTTCTAAAACTTTAAGAAAGTTTTCTTCAAGTATATTAGCAAATGTTTGCTCTTCAAATTCTGATACTTGAAGTTCAGTGGTAGTAGTACTATACACTGGAGCAGGCTTTTCAGATAAGGCAAGTTTATAAAAATCTTTAAATAATTCTTCATTATCTCTTACTTGAAATAATGCAAATGCAACATATACTTCATACCAATGATCACAATAACTGGCAATTGTTTTGGGAAGTCCAGTAATAATATTTGCTAAATCATGAATTTGTGATAATATAATCTTTTCTTTATCATCTATAATATTGGATCTTATATTAACAAAGGAATCTCTAAATTCACAAGCTTTAAGTTTCCATTCAGCAAATTGTCCCTTTAATGAAAAACTTGTATAGTTTTCTAATAACAATTTGAAATCGGATATTAAATTATACAAATCTAATGAAGTTTCTTCAAGGGATTCAAATTTAGAACGAGATATAACTTCTGCTGCTTCTGATAATCTTCCTCTAGTTATAAATTGACTAACCATTGTATTCCAGAATTGAGGATGCAAATATGGGATGGGAGTACTTGTCATTATAGTTTCAAACAATTCTTCACTTGGCTTAGAACTTATGGAATTGACCCAATTACAAAGGAATTCCGGTCTATTGGTTATTTCCAGATAAAAATAGTTACTCTGTAAACAAAGAAGGATATGTAAAGTACTGGTTAATCTACTATCTGTTTCAGGATTGGTTGATTCCAATGAGGGATCCTCTAAGAGGGTTTGTAGATGTTCGATGATATTGGTAAAGCATTCATTTATGAATTCATTTTTGGCTCTTAATCTTGCCTCTTGACTAGTTTGAGATGTAATCAAACCTACTGGTTCTTCGAAATTATCCCATTGTTCATCGGATTGTTTAGAAGTTAATGATTCAATGAGTTTAAATAATGAATTAACATAGTTGGTGTAAGCATCAGCAAAGGGATGCTGTAACAGAGCACTAGACTTGTATTCCGATACATCGAATTGGAAGTCTAATGGTTTATCGGTATTCAACCAATCATCCAATCCCAACTCATTCTTCAAAGTACTGAATATTCCTCCAATAGTATCCTTATCATCACCATTGGATGATTCATCAGTTATGGCTTCTGTCTCAGATGTCGAGTCATAGTCCGGGATCTCAAGCATCTCGATATCGTCAAACTTGATCTCGCCAAACGCCTCACTCATCTTGTTTGTCTGTCTATTTGTCTGTACTATGGACTTGTTGGTAGTGAACCTTTGTGAAAAAAAAAAATTGTAAACAGTCGCAAAAACTGTTTGGTTCTGTTTACTGGTTGCCAACTGGTTATTACTGGTTACTGGTTACTGGTTAATATTATTATTCTTACCGTCACTGGCTGGCATGTGATGTTCGCGATAGTTGATTACTGTTGGCTGTGGTTGTTAAGTGCTGTCACTATGACAGGGTCTCGACAGAGTTGTTGAACTGTAAATAGACTGTATATACTGTATCCTATAGTGTATTCTATATACTGTATACTGTATCCTATAGACACTCATAATCATATTCCCAACTGAAATCTCTGGTCATCGCCAGTAGATACAACTCTTTCAACATGTTCACATTCTTGACACACTTCGTCATTGACTTGGCTTCCTGTACTAGTTCGTTGTTCTCGTCATCACTATTTAGGTTGTGATTCTCATAGTACTTTAGAAATAGGCCCATAGCAGAACTCTCAGATATACTAGTGTGGAATATTATTTCATCCCCCTCATCTCGGGTCTGCGACGTCTTGAACCTTTTGGCCATGCCCATATAGAAACTTGACTTTCTAAGTTCCTCCCAACATTTGCTAAACACATCATAATCATATTTACTAACACTAGAAAGTACATAAATTCCACCATGTAAAGTACCAATTATAAGCTCAAATGGAAAACAATTAGATTTGTCACTGTGAAGAATTTGTCGTATGCAATTGATCTGATCTCCAATATTGAACTCTACCAAGCCTTCGGAAAAGTTACCTATCGCATCACCTAAGTATATCGATCTGGAAAATCTCCTATCTTTGGATATCTCTAAAGCTGTCAAGAATCTATGATCCAAACTTCTTCTCTGTTCTATTTTAATGTGATTTTTGCCATCGATGCTATTAAAGTGGTCAATTCGGAATTCAAATAGTCCCTGTGAAGCGTCCACAAATACTTTATCAGAATGTAGTATCCCTATCGAAGGAGTTGGGACTGGAAGTACATCTGTTTCAAAAATATTGTTTGAATAACGTAACACTATAATCATCTTTCCAATTAAATAAAACTCTTCTTCAACACTGCCTTGACTAATTGATCTAATATCAGAATTATTAATTAATTCATCGGTTAACCCAATTGGATATTTTATACTTTCAACCTCTATCTTTTGATTCACAATCTTAATCACAAATATACCACACTTCTCGGTAACTGCTAATAAATCGACTGTGTCTATATCAGCTTCTTTCTTACGAATCAAAATTATATCGCTGACATTAGCACCATTAGTTTGAGTATTGTCAAATTCAAACTTATCTAATAATTTCATGTTTGAAGTATCATATAACTCAAGAAACATCCTTGGACTTCCCTGGATAGAATCCATTTTTGTCAAAGTAAGTAACATTAACTCTTGCACTGTAAGAGCTTTTAAGAAATAGTTAGGATGCCAATGAGAAAGGGTCTTACTATCATTAATAGTATCCTCATTTTCAAGTTCTAAATGCTCTAACTGATCATACTCATGTGAAGTTAAAATGAATGTCTTGCCTCCTATCGGGTTCATGAATCCGGATTCAACTTCTGGAAAATATGTCAAAACATAATGATTTACAGTATAATTAAACAGCAATGAACAGGTTTTGCCTGAGCTCTTTAAAAATAATTCATCAGGTAATCCTTCACAAAAACTCCATTCTGGGCCTATCTTATATTTAACAATTAATTTCCGATCTCTTTTTGAATCAATTGAATACTGGATTAAGTACCCTTCATCAGTAATTACAAAACAGTAAATTGTCTTATCTTTATAGGACAAAGCTGAAGAAGTGATTCCAATATTCTTTAGACGCCATTCATCAATAATATTAAACTTCTCGTTTTTGAAGGATATTAACAGGATACTGCCATAAGACGTTGACAATAAACATATCTTCTCGTGTGATCCAATTGACATAGAAACTAAAGCATTAAGCATGCTCCGACAATCAAATTTATATGTAAATTTTCTACCAGAATGTTTACGATATACGAGTTCTCCTTTACCGGAAATAAATAAAATACCTCCATCATAAATATCTCCACTATGTATAAAGTCATCCATATCTTTCGGATCAGTATACACCAATACCTTTCCATTGTACAACCCCACGGTGGTTAAAAACAATTGCCTGTTATTGACCTCCTTGGCGGATAACAAAAATCCAGAGAAGTCAAATTTCATTATATAATTAATTCCTGCCATATATCCAAAAAGGTAGCATTCAGTATCTTCATCCACTGCAACAAATGCTTTAGAACCCACAACCGGTATACATCGAGTCATCCTTTTCCGAGTCCTACATAGAGATTGGAAATCAAAATGGTATTTGCTATCACTTATATTATTAAATATTCTTGTATGGTTTTTATTCCCCATAAGAGTGAAAAATCCTGGATCATTTAATTTCGGTATTATATCAAGTATAGGACCTTGAGGTTCTGTTGTTGCCAGTACTATATTAATAAATGGCTTATTGGAATCCACTCTAAAGATTATGTCACAGAGACATTGGGATGATTGATAAAAGTATGCACCATTTATACGATGTAATCCATTAGGATTTGGTATAGTAGTTCTACCCAACTTCATCAACCGGAATTCTTGAACTTGAACAGCTGCATGTGTCTTCTTGATATCTAAATATAAAATATATGAGATTCCTACATTTGTAGTTAGAATATATCGAGATTCATCAATGATATCATAGGCAACAAATAATCCAACATCTCCATTAACTAATCCTTCATCGGTTATATCTTTAGTTATAATTGTATCTGGTCTTGCGAATGACAGAGAAAATGATTCATCTTCCGGGAAATATGCCAATTGTACACTAGATAATACTATAACACCCCCATGAGGTGATGGTATAAGGCAAGTAGGAGGTACTTCGAATGGAGTTTCTGAGGTTAACATAGTTAACAGTTTTTCCTTTATATCAATTTTGTAAAATCTTATAGAATAACTGAAATTAAAATCTCGATATAAGACTGCTAGAATATCATTCTTTAGAATAGCCATCTTCAATACCACAATTGAACCAATGTATTTAGAAGTTATAGAAAAGAGTTCATCACCTTCAATTCTCAGTCTAGATCGTTTCCTTTGGGTATTAGCTTTATTAAAATCATATTTATCATTCAATATGAATAACAGCAATACACCTTGGAATGTATGTAAGATGAAATATTTATTAGGACTAGACATATCTGTCACTATCATAGGATTAGAATCAATAGAAAATTGTTGACCCTGAGAGCTCAACTTGATGATTTCATGAAAGAAAATGATTTCATTCTTAAAATACGCAATACTTATTGTATAGGAGTCATCTAATACCAATAAAACTTCACCTATATCCTTTAGGTAAAGTTTATTAATGGCAATAGTTGGCTTCTCTATTGGTTTTGTTAAGAATTTCGTATATTCAATCGAATCATTTCTTCTTTCATGAAACTCAAGTCTATTAATCTTTGTAAGTACTAGCACGGGATTTCTATCATTATGTAAATCAACTAGTATAGATTGTCTAGTGACATTTGGTGCCTTTAATTCAGAAAGTATATACATATTGCGCTTAAGTACACCCCATCCAGATACGGTAATTTGTTGCAACAGCTTTTCTTTTATATTTATTTAATTTGATAAAAAAAAAAATAAACGCTATTGATGTTATTTTTAACGCGACACAAAAACTGGGGGGTTACAAGAGCATATTAAGGGAATTTAGTTGAAACTTTAAGCCATTGACTAAGAATTTTTGATACAGTGGAGTAGTTGAAAGTGTTGGAAGATTTGGCTGAAGGTATGCTAGGGAATCATAGCGATACCAGTCGAGGACCCCATGGTTCAACTAAAAATAATGGGACTAAAGCTGTACCACATAATCGCAGAGGTAGTGGAGATAATGTACCTAGATCAAATCAGGGATGGAGGTTTAAGGATCTTTTAAGAATAACTTCTGGTGGATCTACACATAGTGGGAATACTACCTCTACCAGTCCTGGTGGTGGATTAAGTCCAAATACAAATGGTAGTGATAGATTCAGTAATAATGGAATTATTGATTTAGAATCAGCTGCTGGTCCAGCTTCAAATGAAGATCCTAATAGTATTTCAATTAGCGGTTGCCGCTGTTGTGGAACAGTATTAACATACCCTTATAAATCTCATAAATTCCGATGTTCAGTTTGTAATTCCACTAATGTTTTGGTTAGACCTTCAGGTCAACAAGGAGATGATAAAGATGCAGATATTCATCCTATTTCCCGATCCCATATTAGACATTTGATAGAGAAATGTCTCCGTGAAGTTCCAGGCGATGATAAAGATAAATCTCGATCACTTCATGAGGTGTTTGAGCCATTGTCTTCATATTTACAAACGGCATTTCAATCTACTACAGTAATTAATAAATCATTTAAAATTCATAAGAGTAGTAATCGGTCACATTATCATTCTTCAAATATTGATAAGGAACAAATTAAAGAATGCTTTGACATGCTTGTAAGATTACCAACTAAACGACCATTATATAATGCTCTTAATGGAGCATCCCGAGCTCTTAAGAGAATTTATGTATATAATGATGAAGATGATGCACAGAATTTAAGATGGATTTTAATACTTTTAGAAATTCCATTTTTATTTCGATGTTTATTAGATAATAAGGATGAGAATAATAAAGATAAACTGTCTAATATGGTAGAAGTTCCTGAAATAAAAGCTTTAAGTTATGATATTATAAAGAGATCCCTTGGAATATTGGCTAATTCAGAAACTCCTAAATCAACCAGTTATTTAGCAAGTTGGCTTTCTAAACTTGAACAAGAAGAGTTTATTAGAAAAATAGATTTACTAAATCTTTACATTAATTTTCATCTTAAGAAATATTTTTATATTGCCAATAATCCTCAATTAATAAGAAAGAAACCGACTGGTCGTATTTCTATAGATAGACGTCATGATCATCCAACTGATAGAGAATATCAAGAAAGTACTAATATTAAGGATGAAATAAATGAACTTAATCAAACTGAAGGTACATTCTATCCAACAGGACGTCTTGATTTACCGCAACCACAAATACCTTTAAAGCCCAATAATAATAGAGTTAATCAAGAAACAAAGATTAAAATCCATCAATATGGTCATGATTGGCATATAAAGACGGCAGGAAGGGTTATGGCTATTTTTATTAAGGCAAATAGTATAAGAAAACCAGCAGTACCTATTAGTACATTCTATAATTCATTAGTGGATTTTGTAAATATTAAATTGGATTTTGATTCTTGGCAGAGTCATAAGAAGTTTCATTCATCATCTAATACCAATGCAAATGCAAATGCAAATGCAACTTCAGAAGCGGAATTACAAAGTGTAATTGATTATATTCATGGAACGGTTAGTCTGAATATGATTAATGAAAATGCATCTTATTACTTTTGTAATTTTCCATTTTTAGTATCTTTAGGTAGTAAAATATCAGTATTGGAATATGAAGCTAGACGACAAATGGAAAGAAAAGCTGAAGAAGCATTTATAACATCTTTAGATAAGAGAATAGCTCTTGATATTTATTTTAAAGTTAAAGTTAGACGAGAATTCATAGTCCAAGATTCTTTACAATGTATTAAATATAATTCCAATAATCTAAAGAAGAGTTTAAAAGTTCAATTCATTAATGAACCGGGAGTGGATGTTGGAGGTTTAAAGAAAGAATGGTTTTTATTATTGACTAAAGAAATGTTTAATCCTCATACTAGAATGTTATATAATGTGGAAGATTCTAATTTATTGTGGTTTAATATTAAACCAATTGAGAATTTCGAGATGTACTATTTATTTGGTGCTATATTAGGTTTAGCCATATATAATTCTACAATTTTAGATCTTCAATTCCCCATTGCATTGTATAAACTTTTATTAAGAATTCCTATAGGAATAAGTGATTATCAACAATTATTCCCATCTTCATATAGAAATATGATGAAATTAAAGGAATTGAATGATGAAGCATTGGAGGAACTTGATATTACATTTGAAGTAACTTATAAAGATGTATTTGATAAATCATATACTGAAGAATTAATACCTAAAGGTAGTCAAACAAAGGTTTCTAAAGTGAATCTTGATTTGTTTATTCAGAAGTATTGTGATTTCTATATGAAAACCAGTATTTCTCGACAAATCGAATCATTGGTAGAAGGATTTTCCAGTATAGTTGGAGGTAATTGGTTATCATTAATCCTGCCAGAAGAGATTCAATTATTACTATGTGGAAGTAATGAAGGTAGTATTGATGTGGCCGTACTACAATCTGTGACTAAATATAGTGGATTCACTATAACCACAGAAGCATCAGAAACCAATTTAGTTAAATGGTTCTGGGAATTATTTAATGAAATGGATACTAAGGAAAGAAAGAGATTATTATTATTTGTGACGGGATCAGATAGAATTCCTGCCACTGGGATTCAGAATTTAAATTTTAAAATTAGTTTATTAGGCCATGGTAATGATAGTAATCGATTACCCATTGCTCATACATGTTTTAATGAATTGGCTTTATACAATTACAATACTAAATTGAAGTTACTGGATAAATTAACGACGGCCATCTATGAGAGTGCGGGGTTTGGGTTAAAGTGAGATAGTATATAGTATATAGTATATAGGAAATTACATAATCAATAAATAAATAAATATCCATTAGTTATAGTTATATAATTAGTAGTTAGTGGTTTGTAGTTTGCAGCTAACATAAGGGGAAACCTCTGGTCCGGGTAACCCGCGGCCGATTGCAGCCAATAAAATTGCAGCAAAATGTACAAATGTCATACAACCCATTAGCGCGCAGTGCTTAAGTATGGGCCTGCACACAGTCCACAACAAATCAGTACTGCTCACATTTTTTTTCACCAAGACGAATAAGAAAACACTTAGTGGGTGAACTATAACTTGTTAGCGTAAAGTGTATACCAGCCAATTAAGATGTCTTCTCTTGCTTTCAGATCATTAAGAAGTGGTTTAGGATTGAGATGTATGTATAGTTGAAGTTGTGAATTGTGTGTGTGTGGTCATTGACAGTTTTATGTGATGGAATACCATATTCCCAGTGCTATTAGTACTATGAGTTTATTGGTTGTATAAGTATATATATGTGTTTATTCAGGTCATACATACCACAATTGAGTCAACCACATTAACCAAAATCTACTTTTAACATATACTAACTTTTTATATTATAGCTTCTGTAAGATCTTTATCTACCACTACCTCAGCATTATCTAGTTACCAACATCCAGATTATTCTACTTATTTAAACAGTAAGGGTCAAGATGGGGCTAGAAATATCTCCTATTTCATGGTTGGTTCTTTAGGTTTATTATCTGCTGCTGGTGCTAAATCTACTGTAGAAGCTTTCCTTTCATCATTTGCTGCTTCTGCTGATGTCTTAGCTATGGCTAAAGTCGAAGTTAAATTGGGTGCTATCCCAGAAGGTAAAAATGTCATTATTAAATGGCAAGGTAAACCAGTTTTCATCAGACACAGAACTCCAGATGAAATTGAAGAAGCTAATCAAGTTGATATTAAATCTTTAAGAGATCCACAAAATGATGCTGATAGAGTTATAAAGCCAGAATGGTTAGTCATGTTGGGTATTTGTACTCACTTGGGTTGTGTCCCTATCGGTGAAGCTGGTGATTTCGGTGGTTGGTTCTGTCCTTGTCACGGTTCCCATTATGATATCTCTGGTAGAATTAGAAGAGGTCCAGCTCCATTAAACTTGGAAATTCCAGCTTACGATTTCACCGATGATCAAACTTTATTAGTCGGTTAATCTCATAGACTTTAAATCAAAATAGCACATTTCTAATCATATCATAAATTATTCATTAATTTCCCCTTCCTCAACCATTTCCACCATACGCATATCATGCCATGAATTAATTTCATCCAATTTCTTTTAAAAAGAATTTATTTATCTGTTTCAGTCATTGAAATATAAGTCGTTCTTCATTTTGTATATTCATTTTTTATATTAATATATATATTAGTATTTCTAGAATCCCCTTTATAAGTCTGGATTATTATCTAGTAACTCTTGTAATTCATTAGGTACTGTTTCCCATATTTGATTATAATAATTATCATTATCATTATAATTTCTAATCCTATCAAACGTTAAATCGGTTGCAAAATTTTTCAATTTGTCTTTATCATAATCTTTGAATTGTTTAAGCAGTTCCACAAATTTACTTCCCAAGTCTTGCTCGGAAATGTTATGAGGTGTATAATCTTCAATATAGTGTAATCTGAAAAAGAAGCTCCAGTGTAACTTACAGTTATTTGGGATCTTTCTGTGTCTTCCAAGATTGGGTATAATAACTTGCTTCCATTCTCCGTTTTTATCTTCGACTTTATATACCATAGGTAATAATTCAATTAACCACCAAAACCAGACAGCTATAGTACTTTCGTTTCCTCTACCATCAAATCTCTTGACAGGATGATCAGGTAATTCAAACTCGATATTATTATTGAATGTATTGGAATCTAAGAAATTGATTCCTTGGAATTTGGTATGATTTTCGGCTACTGGTTGAGTAGTTGTCCCAAATCCTATGATTCTTTTAAAGAAGTCTGCAAATGATTCTTCCTTATGACGATGAGGGTAACCTTTCTTATAAGATAACATGTCATGGTGACAAGAAAGTAACCCTTCACTTGAAGGATGTTTACTATCAAATTCATGAAGTGCACCCTTCTTAAATATGACACCATACTTCAAAGCTTCCAGAAGAATCCAACGTAATGGAACATTGGAGAGAAATTGACCGTTAGAGTCAGAGGGCCAACCTCCTCCACAATCACCATGATTTCCTGGAAAATACAACTCTATAACATCTTCAGAAACCAAGTTTTCAAGTTTGAAACTTCTGTTTCTTTTCACTTTACTTCCAAATAGGGATAATGAAGATACCGTACTGGCTAAGAGAGATGAAGTTTCTGTAGCAGACTCTTGATTTTGATCTTCCTCATCACAACTATCACAATCTAAATTGAATAAATGAGGGTAATAACTATAAGGTTCAAAAAGGACTTGTTTGAATTTAGCCCTTCTTTCATCAATACTAACTGCATGTCTTACATGTTCCACAATGGCACTTCTAATTGTATAAGGGAATAATCTATCTCTTATAATTCCTACTGAATTGATGGTATCCCATAAGCCCATAAAATGGATATCAACTTCACTTCTTGAGAATGTTCTTCTAAAGGCTTCAACTAGAGTCACTGAAGAATCAATTTGTGCTGGTTGTCCAGCATATTCCCAATTGCTGTAAAGATCCCAAGCAGTTGGGGTCATTTCTTCCAAACCTTTATTAAGAAGTCCCACTCTTTCAATCATTCCTGCCAATATTCTTGCACAGAAACTTCCTCTACTATTAATTGAGTTAGTAATGTAATACAAATATATTTTAACAGTAAATGGTATACAACCTACCTGAATCCAAACAAGTATATATGATCCCCACGTTTATAGAATCGACATAAGAAATTATAAGCAGCAATAACATGTTTATCCAATGTGAATGCCAATACTGAATCCAAAGAGTTGGTAATCTTACTAGCTTTCGAACTAACATAATTAACTTCCTGATAATTATTTGATTCTGCTTTGAAGTTAACTCCCACGCCTGGTTGGTAATAACATACTTGATTATCGTTATCCTTCTCCAACATACCAAAGATCTTTAGAACGTTCGAATATGGTTGAATTCCGAATTCGTTGTCTGTCCCATCTAAACAGAGGACTAGATTAACCGGTCCACCATCGGCTGCTAGATTTATATCGTTATTATTGAATTCAGTACTACTATAATTCACTCCTCTGAAAGAAACAATTGGTTCATTGACATAAGGATTTGTCCGTTTGGGATTAGTTAGTTTGGTTTTCTTTATGGTCATAATATACACTAGGAGTTATATTAGAATTACTGCAAAGCGGTTAATTTTAAGAGAAGTAAAATAGTTGCAAAATTTTTTTTGGCACTAAAACTTGGAGAACAGCACATTAGTTCCAGTTCAATCCAATAAGTGATTTGAAAACAGCCATTGTAAACTTAGTAAATGTATACCTACTATACATAATATAGTAATACTACTGGATTTAATATATAATCACCTGAAATCTGTAAGATACAGATCCGACTCTATATATACTGTAATCCCCATAGTTAAGACGGGACAATAATTTGATTTTTTTTAGCGATATCGCACCGAGTCCATAGTCGAGATATCCGAAATTCAATTACGGAAGGAAGTGGTCGACTAATAAGAAAGTTCTTTACAATACAGCACAGCCATGAGTGGTTCTATAGTTAGGGCTTTGAATTGGGACATTGGTTATGAACAGCAATTTCTTGCTATTAATCCAATTGGAGATGAGGTATTGTTGTACCAAACCAATCATGAAGATCCCGGTACTGAGTCTAATGACTTAATTAAAATCAATAGCAGGGCGGGGTTTGAAAACATTCAATGTTCAGCATATTCTATAATAAATAAGGGACTTACAGGAGTAGGATCTATTAGTGGGAACATATCTATCTTTGATATAAATTCCAATACTTCATCAATCTTAAAACTTAAACCAAAACAAAATCGACCATGTAATTCTATATCATTTAATCATAGTAATTTAATAGTAGGAGGATTTGATAAAGGTAGACAAGATAATTCACTTCAGATTTGGAATATCGAACATTATTCTCGAAATAGTACTAATGATCATATTAAACGTCCAGTAGCAACTTATTTACCTAATGAAGCCATACTTTCAGCCATATTTTATCCTGATCGTGAAAGTAGTATACTATGTGGTTCATATAAATTCTTAAGAGAAATTGATTTAAGACTGGATCAACCAGCATTTCAAATGGCTACTAAATGTACTTTAGGATTAACTGTAGATCATTTCCAGAATCATTTATTTCAATCATTTAGTGAGGATGGTTCATTAGCAATTTGGGATAGAAGAAAGTTAACTACATCTAATTCTTCTAAGGGTAAGGCCTCATTATCTTCAGGATATGTTATTACAGAAACTCCCGTATTACAATTTAGTAAACTTTTAAATGATATATCATCACGAAAGAATCAGAATCCTTGTGTAAGATATTCGACTATAAGAAGAGGAGAATTTTCTGCAGTATTTAATGGTGATTTAATTAGAAGGTGGCATACTGGAATTGTTCCAGATTCATCAATTGGTGGTGAAGTTGAAATTGATAATAAATCCAAAAAGGATCCCACTATAGTTCAAAGTCTTAAACAACAATCAATGCAATTATACAAAGATGGAGAAGAATCCTTATTTGTTTCTTTAGTTCTTGATGTGAAGACTGATTATGAAAGAGTCGTATCATTTGATTATTCTCCTGATATTGTTTCAAACACTTCTACTAATTTTGTATGTATGAGACAATCAGGATCGGTATTTAGAATGCCGGTTGTAGAATGTGTGGAAGCCATAGATTTTAATTCATTAAATGAATTCACAATAGCTGGGCCCGAAGGTACTATGTCTAAGTTTATACCCAATGAATCTCGTGAAGTTATCGCTGGTCGAAATCGTGCTACATCTCTGGCTACAAATAATAATGGGAATTTTACTAAAAATAATACAACTATGAATAGATTAGGTAATTTAAGTTTAACCGAAGATTTAAGAAAATATAGTGAAGGAGATTTTTCAGAAGATTTAGATTCTGCTATGGATGATGAGAGTGTGATAGCTAAATTTGGGAATGATAATAATTTCAGTCGTTTAGATAATCGTGGTAGATTTGATAATTATCTTTCAAATAATTTACTTGAATCTACTGATGTTATAAATAATGATATATGTACTACTATAAGAAGAAGAGCCATAATGGGATATGGAGTTGACTTTGATGAAAATGTTCGAGTCTTGGAAACATTGGATTCTATTGATACTCAACTCTTTTTACGTAATACTTGGAAATGGTTAAGTTTAGCTAAGAAATCTTTAGATAAAGGAACTATGATCTCAGAGGGAATAGATTTAGGATATCAAGGAGTTCTTGGGATTTGGAAAGGGGTAGAAGAATTAAGAGATCAGAATAGAAGTGCTCCTGAGGCAGGTCCTATAACTGATACTTGGTTTTCTCATGCTGTAAAATCCATTGTATCATCAAAGGGTAAAAAGACTGCAGGAATTAATATATCTAGTAGTAGTGAAAGAAAAATTCAAAGGAAGCTTTGTTTAATTGTTTCTGGATGGTATTTAGCCGATAATGAATTTGAAGAAAAGTTAGATATTCTTGTTTCATTAGGATTTTATGAAAAGGCTGCTGGATGGGCAGTTTTCCATGGTGATGTAAGTAAAGCTATTGAAATCTTAGGTAATGCTAAGAAAGAGAAATTAAGACTTATATCTACTGCCGTAGCTGGGTATTTAGCCTATAAAAATTCCAATGTTAATAGTCCTTGGAAAGATCAATGTCGTAAAATGGCTTCTGAATTAGATGATCCATATCTTCGAGCCATATTTGCATTTATAGCTGATAATGATTGGTGGGATGTATTAGATGAACATGCATTACCATTACGAGAAAGATTAGGTGTAGCGTTAAGATTCTTATCTGATAAAGATTTAAATGTTTATTTAAATAGAATTGCTGATTCGGTTGTTAGTAAAGGAGAACTTGAAGGATTAATTTTAACTGGATTAACTCCTCGAGGTATGGATTTACTTCAGAGTTATGTAAATAGAACTAGTGATGTTCAAACGGCAGCATTAATATCGGCATTTGCATGTCCTCGATACTTTTCTGATGATAGAATTAAACATTGGGTGGATTGTTATAGGAGTTTACTTAATAGTTGGGGATTATTTAAGATTCGAGCTAAATTTGATGTTTCCAGAACAAAATTATCTAAGAATTATGCTGGAAATGCTACCATAAAGGCTTCACCTAAACAAGTATATCTTCAATGTTCTCGATGTAATAAGAATATTTCTAAATCCAAATCGAATTCTATGGGACAAGGAGCTAGTACTCATGCATTATTAAAACAATTCAATAAGTTAAAGTTATCAAAGGGTAGTATTAATGCGTGTCCTCATTGTGGAGCCCCCTTACCGAGATGCTCTATATGTTTACTTAGTCTTGGAGCTCCTCTTGCCTTTGATTCATTTGATGATACGACTAAAAGTAAAATAGAAGATAAGTTTAAAGAATGGTTTAGTTTCTGTCTTAGCTGTAATCACGGATGTCACGCGCATCATGCCGAAGAATGGTTTTCCAAACATTATGTATGTCCTGTACCTGATTGTAATTGTCGATGTAATAGTAAGTAGACAATAAGTAGATATATAATAAAATATTATAGCTGCAAATAATTTGCGGTTAGAGGTTCCGCTCACGTGCGCGCAGGCACGCCGGGGAAATATTTTTAATAAATACATTTATAATAAAATACATTTTTAACTGCTTCAGGAAAAATCGTCAACAATTACGCACACAAAGCGACAAGGAGACAAATATGCGTTTTTTGGTTGATTTGATTCAGTCAGAACAAATCAGGCGAAGGTAAGTGAGACAATCCCAATCTGGAAACTAACAGAGACAGAGACAGACACACAGACACAGACACAGTCAGACAGACAATTAGTCACGACAATAACCAACCCCTACTAATAATACTTAATAGTAGTACAATAAACAGTTGGTAACAGTAGTCTGATTTGTCACTACCAACATGTCGGAACGAAACAAAGTCATTAATGATGTTCTAGCCAAGATTGATCGAGAAAAGAAAGTCATTCAAGGATTTCAGAATATTAAGAAAAACAGTGATAATGCCGAAGTGATTCAAAAGTGTAACTCCCAGATAAGGGAAACACAACAGAATATCACCTTTCTTGAACAAAGTCTTGTTAAAATCAATCTACAAGTTAATGGCAGTGAATCAGAATCACCCGAGAAAAAGTCTGAATTACCAGCAAATGACAATAAACCAATTTATTCCCGATTTGATCTAATTAAGTATGACTGTCCATCTTTAGGCCATAAGATTCAGTATATGTTACAACATTTACCATTTAAATTACAAGCCGAATATAAATATCGAGAAGCCAATGAGAAAATCCATCAGTTATACTTAAAGGACGGAGATAAGTCTTCGAGTATAGCAGCTGAAGGAGGCAAAATGGAGAATGATCAAAAGATTCTGTTATTGAAGAAAGCTTTAAGAAAGTATCAAAATATGCATATTGATCTTGAAGAGTTTACTAAGGATTTTGAAATGATGACTACTCCTAAACATGCTATAAAACCACTCACAGGCAAATTGACTGTATCGGTTACATGTATTAGAGATGTTGATCATATAGCATCACCAATGTTGGCTAAGAAACCTGAATCTATTGTAGTTATTAAAATCGATGATGTTGAAAAGGCTCGTACTAAACCTTCAAGAACTAATAAATGGAATGAAGAATTATCATTTCATGTTGAAAAGGGTAAAGAAATTGAATTGGCCGTGTTTGATAAATCAGCCAATAATTGGGTCCCCGTAGCTGTTAATTGGGCATTACTTTCAGATATTACCGAAGAAATTCGTAAGAAGAAAGTAGCCAATGAATTAGGATCTAGTGGATGGATGACTGCATCAAATTTATCTCATGTAAATACCGTTGGAGGTCCTAATCAATTCAGTAATGAATCAGATAAATCCACTGATATTTATACTAATTCATTCAATAATTTTAGTGATCTGGCAGCAACTTTAGCCACTTCGGGTTCAACCACAAGTGCAAATGCCGATGGACTGAAAATTCAAATTAATTCATGGTTAAGTTTGGAACCAGTCGGACAAATTCTTGTGACAATTAATTTTGAAAAGACTAATGTCGAAGGTAAAAAATTAATGGGAGCTATTGAACGTCATGGAGCCATTAAAAAGAAGAAGGATGAAGTCTTTGAACAACATGGACATCAATTTGTTCAAAAACAATTCTATAATGTTATGTGTTGTGCCTTATGTGGAGAATTTCTTCGATATACTGGTTATCAATGTCAAGATTGTAAATTCTTATGTCATAAGAAATGTTATCAAAAAGTGGTTACTAAATGTATTTCGAAATCTAGTACGGATGATGATGATGAAACTAAATTAAATCATCGTATTCCTCATAGATTTGTTAATACCAATAATAGTGGAACTAAATGGTGTTGTCATTGTGGTTATCTAATACCTTGGGTTCGGAAAAAGAGTGATAGTGTTCGAAAATGTAGTGAATGTCATATCATGTGTCATGCTCATTGTACTCATTTAGTTCCTGATTTATGTGGGATGTCAATGGAAACGGCTAATACGATTCTTATGACAATTAAATCTACAAAACCAAGTGCTCCTCGTACTACCACTACTACCACCACCACCCATGCTCATTCTCATTCTCCTGGTAAAGTTATTAAACCTTCAACATCTTATGGAGGTCTACCAAGTCTTCCATCCACTGCTGAATCTTACGGAAAAGTATCCGATAATTTAACTAGTTTATCGGATGATGAAGCCGATACTAAAGATATTTATGATTCAAAATTACCAACGCAAACTACAAATGCTTATCAACAACCAGTTCAACATCCTTATGCTAGTGCTCTTAATAGGCGTCCACCTCCAACATTTGGTCAACAACAAGGACAAGTTGCTCAAGAACAAATCTCTACTGTAGAAGAACCTCATATTCCAATTCAAAGAGATATACTTCCTGAACCTCAAATTCATCAACAATCAGGTGATTTTGATAATTTTGATTATAATAATCATCATACTGATCAATACATTCCTGGTGAAGTAATGGCAGCTCCTAGAATTGATGATATTCCAACCGATGATCATAAACAAATCCAACATGTTCAACCTCCTGAACATGCTAAAGTTAAAGGGAAACGTAGAAAGAGAAGAGTTGGATTAGATGATTTCCAATTCTTGGCTGTATTAGGTAAAGGTAATTTTGGTAAGGTTATGTTGGCTCAATCAAGAGATACTTATGCCTTATGTGCTATTAAAGTATTAAAGAAGGAACAAATCATTCAAGATGATGCTGCCAGTGATGTTAAATCAGAAAAGAGAGTATTCTTAACGGTTAATAAGGAAAGACATCCATTCTTATTGAATTTGCATTGTTGTTTCCAATCGGAAAATCGAATCTATTTTGTTATGGAATATATTTCCGGAGGAGATTTAATGTTTCATGTTCAAAATGGTAAATTACATCCTAAAAGAGCCAAGTTCTATGCTTGTGAAATTCTTTTAGGATTAGAATATTTCCATCAAAATGGAATTGTTTATCGAGATTTGAAATTAGAAAATATCTTATTAACTAGTCAAGGACATATTAAGATTGGAGATTATGGTTTATGTAAAGAAAATATGTGGTATGGAAATACTACAGGATCATTCTGTGGTACTCCTGAATTTATGGCACCAGAAATTGTTTCTGCTAAACCATATGATAGAAGTGTTGATTGGTGGGCATTTGGAGTTTTGTTTTTCCAAATGCTTTTACGTACTTCACCATTTAAGGGAGAAGATGAAGAAGAAATCTTTAATGCTATATTAAATGATGATGTTAAATATCCAATTTATTTACCAAGACAAACTGTATTAGTTTTACAAGGTTTATTAACTAAAGATCCTACTAAACGTCTTGGAGGTAGTGAAAGAGATGCACAAGAAATTAAAGAACATGAATATTTTAGTGATGTTAATTTTGATGATGTTTTACATATGAGAATTCCCGTGCCATTTGTTCCGGAATTAAATAGTGAACATGATTATAGTAATTTCGATAAAGAGTTTACTTCTGAAACTCCAAGATTAACCCCAGTAGATAATGTTCTTAGTGCTGAAGTTCAAGAACAATTCCGGGGCTTCTCTCATATTGCTGATAATGCAACTATATAGGTTTGGTAACATAGTTATAGTTTAGGTTTACATTATTTGTATTTAATTAAAGTTTGAAATTAATAATAATAATATAATTAAAAATTAAATTAGGTGATGCAAAGTGTATATAATTCTATAAAGTTCCCGATAGAGTGCAGTTACATAATAATGCAACAGCCCGATTTGGTTATTTGTTCAGTTTTAACTTGCGATTGGATTTTCCTTATTTCCGGAGCCGATTTAGATTTCTGGGGTTGTTCGGTAAGTGAACCTGAAGATTCGGATGTGACAATAATTATTGAATCATTTATAGTATTATTGGATATTACGGGATCCATAACAGTTATCAGTTTGGCTCTCTTTTGTTGTTGAACATCTGCTTGATGTCTAGATAAAACAATATCAGCTAATCTTTGAAAGGCTTCATCAACATTTACATTACTCTTGGCTGAACATTCAAAGAATCCTACTGAATTAATATTCTTAGAAAATTCATGACCTTCTTCCCAACTAACTTGTCTTTCATCTACTAAATCAAATTTAGTTCCAACCACTACTATTGGAGGTAAAAGTGGTCTTATAGAAAGTATTTTATCATAAATATCATGTAAATGAAGTAAAGATTCAGTATTGGTTGTAGAATATACTAATAATAAAGTAGATGCATTTATAATTTGCTTTTGTCTTGATCTAGCATACAGATCAGTTACTGATGAAGTATCTAATATAGATAATTCATAATATTCATTATTTTCACTTATAACTTTTGTATGTAAATCTTCAACTGATGCATCAATATCATTTATAAATGTATCATGTAAATAATTTAAAATAAGTGAACTCTTCCCTACTTGATGATCTCCTATTACCAATATATCAAAATTATCTTTTAATGTCTGTATACTATTCATGTTTAACTAATTAGATTTTTACTAATTACCAGTAATTTTCAACAAGATGCAAAACGTATAAACAGGTTAAAAAAATCTTAAATATACTACTAAATTACAAATGTAGAAACTGTGGTTATATATAAAGTAACTGGGTAATTATAAACAGAAAATCCTCCTCTTCTCCTCAAGTGATACAAAGTACTAAACAATAGGAAGAAGGTTAGATAAAAAGAAATGAGGCACCATGACTCGAGGCAAGCTAAGGCAAAATACAGCAAAGACGGGCTCCGGCTCCATAGTCATAAAAAATAATTGAGAAAAAAAGAAAGAAAGAAAGTTACAGATAATTAAAAAATTAAACAATAAAACCGTTGCGAACACAAAACCTCGAAAACGACGGAAAAATTTTCCTAGAGCCATAGCACGAGTACTAAAATGGATCTATACGGCGAGGTGCAACTTTAGACAGTGTATATGATGTTCGACTGTGGCGACAAGTCACATGAGAAACATACGTTCGACCATGTGAGTTGTTAAACTAATTTTAAGATTTAATTAGAGTTGCCTTGCAAATTGTAGAAGATAATTAAGTATGAGGTCTCTTACCTCCGATTTTTCTTTTTTGTTTTCTTAAAGGTTATAGTGTCGGCAAATCGCTATCGCTGTAAATACTAAACAACAACAAACAACGCTATTCTCAATCCAATCAACCTCTTATCGCCAGATTTCCCATCTCAATCTATTAATTAGCAATGCAATTATTATTATCTACATTTCTAATAATTAGTCAATTTACAATCAAAAACGCAGCTTCGGCATTTTTGCGCCGCGCAAACAATAGAGAAATGATGACTGATCACCCGTGCCGATGTCGAACTTTCAAAACTTTATCTCTTACGAAGATCCTCTTACAAATAAACTTTGACTAAATGCAGCCCCCAGGGTCCGGGACTCTTTGTTAGACCTATCCTTTGCATTCATATCAGACCATCGTTTCATTCTGACATAAATGTGTATGCTCTCCAAAACTCCTTAATTCACCGACCCGGTTGAGATCTGAGATTCATCTCTCGGCTAAGCCAGCAACAAAAAAAATAGTATCCCCCAATAAAAGAAAAATTTTCTAGGCTTACCAATTTCGTTTAAGGAAAGTAGGAACTTTTCCATATCCGGCGTGGTAACTTGATTAACCTGCCGGCTGCAGGCTATGTAAATTTCACATTTCATATCTTCACTAAAATCGAAACGAAAAGAATATGTCCGTCTATTCTTAAGTTGCATGAAGCGATGCCGTAATATATAATTTTATTTCGTTTTGAATGGAAATGAGCCATCGTTATTGCCTGTTGACAGATATTTACTATTATTATTTATTTTCTATATATATTGTAGTAGCCTATGTTACATATGTACGTGCATGTATGTGGTTCGATGTACATTTTGAATTATTTGTTTATTCTTCGTCATCGGAGTTAAGATATTGAGCATAATCATCCGCTGAGGCAAAGATTGGTAATGAACTAAGTTTAATTTTCTTTGACTTCTTTGATTTCTTATCGTCTTCGGATACTGTAGCGCGCTTTCTGGATTTCTTGCCCGATTTCTTATCGGATTCGGCTTCAGGTTCGGAGTCAGATTCTTCATCTTGATCTTCAAAATCTCCCAACATTTTGACTTCTACTTCTTCGTCTTCCAACTCGTCATCCTCATTGATACCAAAGAACTCGGAGTCTTCTTCTTCTTCTTCATCATCTTCTCCTGCCTCAACTTCTTCTTCTTCATCCTCTATGTCTTCATCAATAGACTCTTCAGCTTCAGCATCCAAGAGACCCACTTCTGCGGCAGCAGCAGCTTCATCGTCATCTTCATCGTCATTATCATCACCTTCACTCAAGTCGGAGAAATCACCTTCACTTAAGTCAGAAAATCCTTCATCGATTTCGTCATCTTCACCTTCAACTTCTGGTTTAGAATTGACTAATGCTTTCCAAATTTCATCATCACCCATTTGCTCTAATTGTTCTTCATCTAAATCTTCTGTATCTTTACCTTCTTTCTTATTTCTTAATTTATTAACCTTAGTAGTAAAATATTGATGAAAGAATTGTTCATCTGGTTTAATATCTTCAACCTTTTTGTTTAACCAGTCTTCAGTATTAGCAGGAACTTCTGAACTTAAAACATTAGTAGCTTTAACTAATAATGATCCAGTATGAACTCCTCCTAATGGTTGCATAATAGAATTACCCTTTGTTGTTGGTTTCTCTTTAGCATTTTTATATACAAAACGATCTAAGAAATGTGCTAAAGTGAATAAACCTAAATCTGGTTTAGGTTGATCCTTTCCTTCAAGTAATGATTGAGCATAGATTGATACAGTAGGATGATAATGATTTAAGAATTGAGTTAATTCCCATAATGAAGACTTATTAGCATTGGCAAACTTTGGATCACGTTTACGAGGATCATATTCTTCATCTATCTTATCATTAACTTTTTCAATTGCTTCAACTTCTACTCCTTCTTCTTCATCAGGTCTAGAGGCAAAGTCAATCATTAAATCTTCAATTTGGGGGAATGCCTTAGATAATTCCATTAATAAAAACAACATCCCAGAAATACTACCGATATTAATCCAATGACAACAAATTTGTAAGATTCTTTTAACAAAAGCCAAAACTCGAGGAACATTCTCATCATTTTTCAATGATTTAAATAATAAATTCAAGTAAATACCTTGCTTTGAAGAAGATACTAATCTAGAATCTAATAAAGATTCATATAAAGTTCTAAAATATCTATCACTATTTAACTTTTGTTGACTTATAATATGATGAACTAATTGTAATGCTTGAACTGAAGTATTAAAATTAGATGAATGAGTAATTTTAAATAAAGTATCTAAATGCTTTTCATATGCTTCAGCAGGTAAATTAGAAAATGGGAAAGCTCTATTCAATCCAGTTAATAAAGCTGAAAATAATCTAGTATTCTTTTCTTCAACAATTTCCAGTTCGGATTTATCTTCTTGTTTAACAGATTTCCCACCTTTCTTACCCTTTTTAAAATTCTTTCTATTATTCTTTCTACCCATTTCAGATTTTCCTACGGTTTTATCAGTTTTATCTTCTTTATTGAAACCATCACTTTCAACTAAAACTTTTTCAAAAAGGGAGAAATAAGTCTTAACTAATTTATTAGCTAATTCTTCTTCTCTACGAGTTAAAATGGTTTGATTTAATGTAGTAATGGCATAATACTTGGCATGATAATCACTACCAGTCTTAAAGATAACATCTATAATAGAATCAGTAACAATGGCTTTCATAGCTGGATGGGTTTGTTCCAATTGTAATAAAAGATATGAAGTTTTCGATGAAACTTTATTATCAATATCCCCTAATTTGTTAACCCCTAATTTCAATAAATTAACTTCTTGTTCTGGTTTTTTAGTTAATAAATCAAATATATGATTAACTGCATTCATTCTAACATGAAGAATTGGGTCATGACATAATACTTCCAAAATTTGAATTAATTTGAAATAATGTTTCTTTAATAAATCTTCAAAATAATATATAGCTAAAGTAGTATTTGATAAATCTTTAGCTAATGGTTGTTTGTCAAAGGCAAGTAATTTACGATCTGGTAATACTCCATTCAATAATAAATCCTTAAGAGCAGCAATCGATTGTAAAGCGGCAGTTCTTGATTTCTTCTCACAGAATCCTATTAAAGTATCAAATGCTTTAATATTATGAACTGGAGCTTCTTGAAATAATAATGTTAATGCAGAGATTTTATCATTTAATGTACCATCTGATAAGATTTGTGACAAGAACTTTCTTTGAGAGTTGTTAGAAGCAAATTCTTCAAGATAAATCTTATTTTCTGAATCAATGGTTTTCTGAGCTCTTTCTAATAATCTTTCCTTGGCGAATCTGTCCAACTTTTCTGGATTTTCAACTTTATCTATTGGTATATTGAACCAATCAGTACGATTTGGTACTTCTAATTGGGTGCTAGTGACGGTAGAAACATTTTCAACTTTGCCTGATTGTCTTTTTGGTTGTTTGAAATCTGCTTCTTTAACGATGACTTCATCTTCAGATTCTTCGGATTCTTCAGATTCGTCTTCTTCTTCTTCTTCTTCTTCTTCCTCCTCCTCTTCTTCTTCTTCTTCTTCTTCTTCCTCTTCTTCTTCTTCCTCTTCCTCTTCCTCTTCCTCTTCTTCCTCTTCTTCCTCTTCCTCTTCTTCCTCTTCTTCTTCAACTAATTCTGGAACTTCGTCAACTATCACAGCCTCTCCGTTTCCTAATCCGATTCCTTTCATGAAACTAGTTAAGTCATCTCCAAATGCTTTATCAATCTTTCCAGAATCTTCAAATTCTTGTTCACTATCTTCTTCTTCATCAAGACCATTAAGTAAAGCAAGATCTTCTTCAGTTGCTCCAAGTAACAAGGCTTCACGTCTTAAAATATCCTCTTCAGTCTCTTCCACTTCAGAATCATTATCTTTCTTAGAACTTTTATCCTTTTTGGAATTTTGCACCTTTTCTTTATTATCTTTCGTGACTTTCTTGTCTTTCTTGTCTTTCTTGTCTTTCTTGTCTTTATGCTCTACTTCCTTGGTCTCGGTCTTATTCTTCTTTCCTCCATTCTTAGACTTGCCATTCTTTGCAGTCTGACTACTGAGCTTGCCAGCAATCTTGTCCTTCAACGAACTTAAATTCAACTTAGACACATCCATTGCTGAAGTCGACCTTTAATGTTAACTATGCCAGTAGATCGATATTTCATAAATTTATTGTAATGCTCATCTCCATATTTTTGAAAAAAAAATTAAATTTCACTCACGTGAGTGGCGCTACCATACTACTACCACCACCACCACCACCCACTACCATTCGCACTAAGAAAAAAGAAGTCCTTATAAACTGCTATGTACGTATTTATTTACAGCCATTTGCAACATTTGTATTATCCCCTTCTATACTTCTTCTTATTCTTTACTCTATTGCCGATCAATTATAATGAGAATATATAATTTATTGTTGTTAATAATCTGGGCGGGTCTGAGTAAGGTTTGTAAGGCTTCAATTGCCGAATATGATCATGCACTTGGTGAACATTATTGGCCTCCGTCTGAAGTCATTTTAACCGATCATGATATAATTCAAAAGGCAATCAATCAATTGCATAGTCTTGATTCAACTAATGATTTGAATGAGTGTCTTGTTTGTAAAGCAAGATTAAGTATAGCCAAATTCTTAAGTTTAACTCGTCCTGACTTAGTACCTCAAATCTTTTCAACTTGGTGTTTAGAAGCTGGTTATGATGAAACTCAATGTCATATGAATTATGGTTATCCTTCAGTTGAATATTCTTCAGTAGGAAATGATTTTACTAAAGTAGTTCTGTTAATGGATCCTGAAGGTTATGATGGTGATTTATTCTGTTATTATCATGATGAAAAGTGTCATATTTTACCAGAATCTCCAATTATTGATTTATCAAATCTTTGGCCTCCAAAACCTAAAAATTATGATCCTCCAAAGAATAGTGGTGATTCATTTAATGTTCTACATATAAGTGATATAAATTTACAATTGAATTATGAATTATTATCAGAATCTAATTGTTCTCAAAGTGTTTGTTGTTTAAGTTCAAGTTGCAATTATGAACATCCTCCTGAACATTATGATTATTCTCCCCTCCATGATCCTTCAATCGGTTTATCCTTTTATGATAGTTCTTATAGTCGAGGTCATTTTGAAAAGGGTCAATACATTGATCATTACTCTAAAGAAGATTCTATATGGAGCCCTGCTCATAGTTTCGGTAGTTATTCTTGTGAAGTACCTATGTTATTATTAAATAATACTTTACACATAATAAGAAATCTTCATCAGAATCATTTAGAATTTGAAATGGCACTTTTCACCGGAGGTACAGTTGATCATGAAGATAGAATATTTACAGATAAAACAAGAATTTTAGAAACTCAAGAAATAGCTTATCGACTCTTAAAGAAATATTTACCATCAATTCCAATAATTAGTACTTTTGGTGTACGAGATACGTTTCCAATGCATCAATTACCTCAGAAGAAATTAAGTGAAAACTCTCAGTCTTATCAATGGGAATTTGATTTCTTAGCGGACCTATGGTTAGAATTAGAATGGATTGACCTTGATGCAAGTAAACAAATTAGGTATAATCATGTTGGTTACTCCATTATTACTTCTAGAGGTTTGAAAATTATTTCTTTAAATTCAAATGTATGGAATGATAAAAATTTATACAACTTTTGGGATGTCCTTTCAATTGACAAGTTTGGTGTTTGGAAATTCTTGATAAATGAACTTCTTGAAAGTGAACTAAATCAACAAAGGGTTTGGATAATAGCTCATTTGCCTCTCAGCAAACAATCCTTAGCCATACCTTCAAAAGTTTTCACCCTGATTGTTGAGAGATTTTCTCCAAAAGTAATTGCGGCTATCTTCTTTGGAAACTCTTTGAAAGATTCATTTAATTTAATTTATGGAGGGGACGGATGTGATTCTAAAGAATTAGAAAAAGCAATAAATTTTGCTTTAATTGGGCCCTCTATAACACCATATAATGGTGTGAATCCAGCATGGAGATATTATGCCGTTGACGAGAAGAGTTTCAATATTATAAATTCGTTTACTTATTACACCGAATTGAATGAAACTTTTATTAATGGTGGAGCTGAGCCAACTTGGAATTTTGAATATTCTGCAAGAGAGGCATACGATCCCGAATGTTTGTGGCCTTCAGATAGGTCATTAGATACAGAATGGTGGCACCACGTTTCTGAAAAAATTCGAGACATGCCAAACATTAGTGAATTATATAGTAGGTTTGGGTTTAGACACTCTCCTTTCACTCCTTTAGAAGATATCCCTAATAACGACAACTATTGTCTGGTAACCAGTTTCACTTTAGAAGCTAGAAAGCAATGTATGTTGACTGAGGATCAGGATAACTATATTGCTCCTGAAACTCCGGTCGACTTTATGGCTTATGTAAGACCATATGACCCTGTTGAATATGTTGCTTACGGAAATAAAGTAAATGACGAAGAAGAGTCTTCTATTACGACTGAAAATGGAGCTGGTAATTCCCAAGATGTGCACTCAGAAACCCTTAATGGTGATACCTTGCAGGATCAAAAAATATTAAATAAGAAGGCAAAAAAATTTCTAGTAAGCAAGGTTGAGCTTCAAAACGATGCGATTGTTGCAGAGTTGCAAAACGAGGCTCGCTAATGCTTGAGATGAATTTATTTTTCAGGAGTCAATATATTCCTAAATAGGTATGCGATCGCTATTAACGAAAATGCGTAATTTCCTCAATAGGAAATCATATTATATAACCAGCATTTCATTACTATTAATTTACATCTAAGGTACAAGTCATCTTGTAGTTTAACCATAATGGTTTAGACCCTGTAGTAGAACACTTTCCTTATTTTCTATGCATTATTTCCTTAAATTTACGAGAATTAAGTTTCATTCATAGTTTTGGTCCTCTATACGTCACGTGCAAGTGTACGCCTAATTTATGCTATGCTGAATTAGGTTATTGATGAGCTGGATTAAGTATAAGATTAACTGATTTTTGATTATTTATTATTTATTATTAGTCATTTACTGGAATAGGTTAAATTGGCTATTCTTCGGGTAAATCTCTAATCATGTCCTTTTGGTTAAGAACAATTCTGTTGCTTTCATAAAATTTACTTAAGTTTACTGCTAAATGAGTGCAAAAAACCAAATTCATGTTCCCATTTTGCACGATATGTATGATTTGAATTGGATACAACTTTAAAAACAATTTACTTATAGAATGTAGTATGGGCTGAAATAATTCTCACCAATGAACGTAAGCATCTTACACATTTATGGTAGCGCTATATGTTGATTTCCATATGTATTCACTAGTCTACATTAGACGAGTAATTGACTTGAACAATAAACACAATTATTCACAAAATACTACAACTGTAAAATTAATTTTCAATAAACAAAATTGCATTAAAAATATATAGCTCTAAATAAGTAGATATTTCAATCAAAATGTAATATTCGTAAAACTTCACCGAAATGTTAAATAGGAAACAGAAATGTAGAAGGTAAAAAGCAAGATAATTATTTATACCGAAATTAAGAATAATTGAATGAAGAAAGTGCGGAAGCAAATAATAGACCGAAATTAAGGTAATAACAGAAACGGAGAAATGGAGAAATTAAGAAATGGACGAAAGAAATTTCTTGGCAACGAAAATTGGAAAAAGCATGAAGTTGATTGAAAATTACAATGTGATTGAATATCTTGATAGGAACTAAAGGGTATCATTATAAGCTAGTGTACAACCGAAACTAATGAAATTAAAACGTGTAGAAATTAAATAAATGAAGTCCAATGGATATCGAAATAGGAATAAACTGTAAACAAATAAAACCAAAAGAACCCTAATGTACATGAGGTGAAATTCATAATCTTACATCGAGACAAAGTTAGCAAACTCAAATTCATCAGGTTTGGCGAACAAAAATTGATCAATCCCACAAGAATTTAATAAGTTTGAATCAATATCTTTTGGTTTGCTATTGTATAAGTGATCATCTTCATCAGAATAATCAGATATAGGTGTAAAAGTTTCGTAATCACCATCATTAGTAGAATCTATTGAGGAACTCTCGGAAACTTGACTTCCTAATGGAAGAGACATTTGATCATTGAGCATCAAAAAGTCTTCTAAACCAACTGGTTTAATTAAGGAATTAAGCTGTTCTTGAAGCTTTTGATTTGGTGAACTTGGTGCACTGCCTGATTTTGCAGTTCTTCTTTGTTTCTTTATACTGGAAGTGTCAGAAATAGAATGTCTATGCTTTGGACCAGTATAAGTTTTGAATTGGAATTGACCACTACTCCTCCTTTTGGTTGAAGTTTCAAAAGCAGATTTAGATCTCTTGTGTACAATTGGATGTGAGACTTCGGGTATATTGTCTGTAATCTGATGTTGTACAACTTGTTGAGCTTGTTGGGCTTTCTGAACTTGTTGAACTTGTTGTTGTTGCTTCTGTATTTCATTAGCTTGATGTTGCAACTGTTGTTGCAATAATTGAATTTGTTGGTATTGTTGTAACATGGCTTGTTGGTATCCAAAGAGTTGTTGAGTAATCATCATATTTGGAGCAGCTGGTGTAACTGATGGTTGTGGTTGAGGGTAACTATTGAAATTCTGAGTTTGGTCCCAATTTGAAATTCCAGAATTTGCAATGGCTAAACCTAAGAGTGGCTGCTCGGAATTTTGACGTTGTGGGGTAACCTGCATATAAGATCCCGATTGCGAACTAACCGAACTTAAAATCGAACTGGTATCAAAAGCACCAGAGAATATTGAAATATCGTCAGCAGCAGTAGATAATGACGAGAATGATTCATTTAATTGAGGAATTTCAAATATAGACGAATTTTGAGAAGAACAATCATCAATTGAAGATTGGGATGGAGAAGGTAATTGATTGTTACCATCAAAGATTGGTGAATGGTGTGCTTCATCTTCTGATTCATCAGTCTTAACCGGTGATAAATCAACAAATACAAAGTCCTTTGGCTTTCCTGGTTTATTCTTTGGTCTTCTCAATGGTGGTCTCTTAGTAGTGAGTCTGTTGCCAGCAGCAGATATTCTAAGAGAATTATTCAAGCATTCAACTGAGCTATCTATAGCATGTGTAGTAGCAGCATTAGATGTAGAAGTAACATCGGATGATATTAATCTCTTCACTCTCCACAACTTCTTACCATTAGCTGGTGGTAATATTTCTTGCATTGTAATATATGTTGAATGATATAGGGTATAAAAGGGTATAAGAATTAAATAAAGGGTATCTCAGTAACTATGATTGTATAGTTGTATTAACGAAAGGATTCTTGCTTGATGAATCTTAAGCAAGAATTGAATTCAACTTAACTTGGGTAAAAGAATTGATTTATTATAAATTAACAAAAGAAGTAATAAGCTGAATAGGAAAATTTCCAGAAGAAGGGTGGGAATTCGCCAAATATATATTACGAATTGAATTTGGTAATTGAATTCCTGTAAGTTGAGGAGGATTGCAAAATTTGAATCATAAGATACTTAATAGTAGAGGGGTATATCCCGAAGTTTCAAGTCTATACATATTACTGCAATATTGGTATTATTAAATTCTCTATAATAATTATTTTCTTCTGGTAATAAAGTTTATGTAGGCTCTGCCATTGATGAACGATTACTGCATTTGTTCAAATAGTTTAAAAATAATGTACTTAACCACAGACAATAGCAACAATCTTATGTACTCAATTAATCCCAAAGGGAAGTCTAATTAGTCCTCAAAATATTTTAGTTGCAAATGCTCACAAGTCTAAAATTTTATTTTTTTAAATCAACACCAAAAAAATTAAATTACGTGCGTTTGAGGCAAATTGTTACGCATAAGCAAGCTTTGAATAATTGAAGATCGTTAATTAAGTGTACTAATTGGGTAATAATTGTACAATGGAGCTGCATTATGTAGCCAAATTTCATTTACATTTTAAGCAAATTTTATAGTATTGAGTAACTCTAAATGAAGGTGGCACAAATACGACTATTGTGTCGTTAATAGAGACTTCCATATCGGCAAGTTTGCGCCTTATGCAACCAAAATGTTGGGGTAATCATCAAGCAATTCCTCCTTGGAATCCATGGACGAGGCAAGGTGATGACCTGAGCTAGTCTGTTCTACAACATTAATTTGTAAATTATTTCGTAAACCTAAACAGTTCCATCAGAGCTACTAAAACGAAAAATTACGAATATGCTTTTTTTTCTGCTTTGTCCATTTGGATCATAGGCAAAATGAAAACTTTATTTTCCAAGAAATGTAATAATATTGACAGTTTGAACTGAAAAGGTTAGTGGGAAAAATATTAAAAATTGCTATTTTTCAACAAAGAGAATATTTCAACAGAAGGGGCACACACTTGAATAGGCTTTTGTACAACCCTGGGGCAGCTCCGGTGCATATGTATGTAGGCTCCTAACACTTGCGTCACTTTTACAGTAGGTCATAAATGAATTCTCCTGATTAGGCATTATACCATGCATAAGCCCGCGACTATAAAGGAAAGCATAACTCCTCTTTTGCCTAAACAGGTAAGGTTATTGTTAGGGCATCCAGTGCCGTTTACCTATTTTGCACATGCTTTGAAAACGATCTTTGTTATGCAGGATACTGGCTTTGTGCATAAGGGCTCCTATAGAATGAGGAGAAGAGTCAGGAAAAACTACAGTAAGGTTACCTGGCTAAGGTTATCTGGCTACGGTTATCAAAAGAATCACTAGCGATTTGTGAGCCCTACCTAATTAAGCCAAAATAATCTTTCCCAACATAATTGCGCTCTTCGAAATAAAGTATTTCCCTGTATCGAATTCTGACATCTCACAAACACATCATTCGACAATAACCTACAGCTATACATACCCCTATAATCTCCACAAGACCAAATAAGAGTTATCTGAAATACCGTGGTCTTTCTTGAAACGAGTGGGACATACGGGTCATAGTGGAGTACCCTTGACGGACGTAGCGATAGTGGGACAACCCCACCATAGAATAATAAACTTTGATACCTTAGGGAGTCTATTAAAAAGGGGGTTGGTGGGGCTTCCAGCATTTTTACATTTGTAACTGAGCTACAAAAAGCTGACAAACTTTCTAGTATTATTTAGATTAAAAAAATAAAAAAAGCTTAAAAAAATAAAAAAAAATTGAAAAATTGTCAAATGACCTCATCAAGAAATTTATCTCACTAGTGGTTGGTACCCCACAACCTATAGATGAACAAAATGCAGAGAAAAATAATCGACGCAATATAGCAATAAAAAGAAATTGGACATCAAAACCGTTATAGAGATATTTTGTAATTCTGAAAATTGCTATTGGGGTAATGGCATATTTGTAAGATAAGAGCTTATAGAAATAGGAGAAATTTATGAAAGAGCGAGGTATAATTAGTTCAAGCATTCGATATAAATGAATAAATAGGAGTTACTCAAAGTTTAACAGGGAATTGAGTGTTCGAGGTTACCACTTGATAACAGAATTGGATTAACATTCTTAAATAGCTTACCCCACATTATTTCTTATGTACTCGTATCTACTGTAACTTGAAATTGTATTTTTATACTAAAAAGCTAACATGAATTGATAATCGTACGTAAACCTTCAAGAAACTTCAAGAAACTTCAAGAAATTAAGCGCAAACGAATATGAGATTGTTTACCGATACTATTATTTAGTTTCTCTACAATTGACAGCTAGTCTCTAGAACGATGTGCTTCAAATACAATTATGATTAACAAGTATCAGTGGTAGAAAATCAAATCAGAGAATGCTAATCATTTATTTGAATGTTTAAATGGAGTCACCGTTCTAAAATTATACCCCATTTAGATTAGTTGAAATCTATTTAATTATGTAAACGAAGGAAAATAAATTATTTTTCTGCAGTAGGTGCATTAAAAGCAGCACTTGGAGGAAAGGATATGCATTCAGGAACCGCAAAAAAGAGAGTTTAGAAGGAGAAAAAATGTGGGGGAACAAAAAAGTATGAAGACTCTAAAGAGAGCCGTACAGAGCAGAAAGAAGCTGATACAAAGTGTTCAAGAGTGTAAGTCACATAAAACCATGAAATGGAGATAAATGGATAGTTCACCAAATATATCCCTATTTCCCGGTGGAATCATTCATTGGTTAAATGAAGCAAATATGTAACTTATACTCCGAGACTTAGAAGTTAGTGAAGTATAACTGTTTTAAACATTTTCCACTTGCTCCACTCACATTCATTTTAGTTAAGTCCGTCTGCTTACCCCAGACTGCAATGTTGGTTTATAAAGCCTATGTTTTCCTGATTAGTCACAGGCCAATTCCTAAAAGGGCCTCTCAAAAAAAAAATATTTTCCAATTATATACAATAGGCATAATCTTAGTTTAGGTTTAAGCTTTGCGGCAAGCCAACTCGCCAACTATATAACTTTATCAAAAGGTTCAATTACTTTAATAAGCTTTGAAGAGTATTAACTATTTGCTTTAAATGATATATAGTTACGATCATCCAATTATTACCAACAGTTGACTTCGTTTGGCGGGCTTAATTTATTTTGTTGCTTGCTGAGTTATTTTTTGTCCTTTATTTTTTAGGATCCGGACAAAGCATATGAGGGGAATAATACAGGAAACTCTATTTTTTCTAGTACGGGGCTTTATAACTCACAAACCCTAAAGAACATTTGCCATAAATTATTTTGGTGATCATTGTTATGACATCAATATGGTAGCAATCTTAAATCAATAGTTTCATTGGTTATTAACTACTATCTCGTAACTAAATCTCAACAAAATAGCCAACAATATCGTAAACTTTTGTAGACGATTATGGCATATAACTTTTCGCTAAATTAATAAAACCTCAAGGCAGAATAAATTACATAGTTTAAAGCATATTGGATCCTCTTTTAAAGTATAGAAGGAAAATGCATCATGCTTGGCAGAATTATAAGCAAATAATTCAAATGGCTCACCCTGTTTTTGTAATTTTGTAATTTTGTAATCTAATTCATTTCAACACAAGTACTATTGATGCACATTGAACACTTTATTTTACTTGTTTTATGATTAACAATAATACAATATGATATTGCTAGAAATGTTAGCTGCGAATGGTGGGTCGTCCCGATCACTCATTATTTTTTCATTGATTTAAGATTTCCTACGTAATAACACAAAATATTTTGAAATTATCTATACGAAGATGCAAGTTCCAAGATCAGTTTAGTAGTTAGTTGTATTAAGTTTTGTTTATTAACTACAGCTGATTACAAAATAAAATTGATAAATGAAGCTCATATACGAAGAAGTGATGACAAGAAAACCGGGAATGTAGTCAAGGCACTCCGTTGATAAACCCTGAGCAATTTCTCAACGTTCTCTGCTCTCCTGAATCAAGGAGAAATATTTTCACAGTATTAACGTCTTTGAGAAAAAAAATTCTGTCATCCGACTCTAACGGAGGAATACCCCACACCATAGCAATCTTTTAACTAGTTAGGCCCTTGTTTCCTAACTAGGTATTATTGCATGCATTGCAGCACGCATGCAAAAGCCGAATTAGGAAGGCGGATACTAATTAGGATATTTTACCTGAGGTGCATAATATAATAAGAGTTAAGTATTAACAATAGGTAGGAAGTTGAATGGAATTTTAATTATAAAAGAAATCAGAAATTCAGTTTCGGAGTTGAAGGATAACTTTAATATGGAAATTTAGTGAGTGGTCATGTCAATTCCAATGATTGATGACAATTCCATTGATTGATGACAATTCACATTGCAACCAATCTGTATTAACACAATTTCTTCGTTTTATTGTGAACTACTTTGCTAAAGTTAAATAAACAATGACTTTAGGAATTATGCTCGGGAGGATAGAGGATAGTAGTTGCATAATAAGTTACAAAACGATGGTGCCATAACGTTACTATTCACCTCTATGTAATATATTGAGCTGTAAAGATTAACCCTTTAAAGAGTAAGGAGGGATGATGAAGTACTCAACATAGTTCAACAAATACTCATCAATACATTTCTATACAAACTATCCAACAGGAAAATAATTACGATTAAGACAAGATTTTCAGCACAGTTACAGTTACAGTCACAATTGAAATAACAAAATTAATCAGACTATTATACATTAAGGATATGATACAAGTATATACAGATGAGCTAAAGAGGGAAACTTAACTTACACGACCCAACGAATTAAAGTAGTTGTTCAATTTGTTTAATTGTTCAATTCGATTGTTCAATTCTTCAATTCTTCGAGGCGTTGCTTTCTGTCTCCTTACTTTTTTCTTCAATCAACTTACGAAGTCGTTCTTTTGCTTCGGGGGTATAATTTAAAGTAGAAGTCTCTAACACTTTCAAGGAGAGTCCGACATTTTCTCTTTTCCGTCTTTCAATCTCTTCTGGTGAATGAGGTTCAAACTTGATGAATTCAAAATCCTTTCCAGAATCCATGACCACATATGCCCCTGCCAAAAGAGCGACTGCAGCCACTATGAATCTCTGCGTGTTTGACGGAGTAGGTAGTTTCGACATACTGTATTGTATTGTATTGCCTAGTGACTCGTGACTCGTGACTCGTAACTCGTGGATTTGGTGGTGAATAGCGATGTCATTGACGGTTTTATTTTTTTTCAAAAAAGGTGGAGGTTGTGAGCACGCGACGTCGAGAACGTGACTGATGTAAAAGAAAGAAAGGGGTGAGGAAAAGAGGCCTGTGAGTGAGGAGTCATAGTTGTAAGCCAGATAGATTAAAGCTGAGAGCAAAGAGATCAGCCACTAGAAATTAGGCAGTGAGATTAAGAAACAGTAACTATGGCCACTTTACCTAAACGAATTATTAAAGAAACAGAAAGATTAGTGAGTGATCCAGTGCCCGGGATTACAGCATCACCTCTGGAAGAGAATCTTCGGTATTTTGAAGTTACTATTGATGGACCTAGTTTATCACCATATGCTAATGGGAAATTTCAATTAGAATTATATTTACCGGATGATTATCCTATGTGTGCTCCTAAGGTTCGATTCTTAACGAAGATATATCATCCTAATATTGATAAGTTGGGGAGAATATGTTTAGATGTGCTTAAGGATAATTGGTCGCCTGCATTACAAATCCGTACGATCTTATTATCTATACAAGCATTGTTAGGAGCTCCTAATCCCGATGATCCATTGGCCAATGATGTTGCTCAGGATTGGAAGCAAGATGAGCAGAAGGCTATTCAAGTTGCTAAGGAATGGACTGAGAAGTATGCAGTGCAGAAGTAGATATGTAGTAATAAATGAGAATGATAATAGTGAGAGTGAGAGTGAGAATGTAGACAGAAAATAGTATTCAGTAATGAGAGGAGAGTTGAGAAGAAATTGACGAGTAGTGAGGAATCAGTAGTGGAGAATAAGAAGAGTGAGAGTGAGAGTGAGACTCGTACACCTAAGCTTATGAGAGTAGTGACAATACCAAGAATAGTGAGAGTGACCCTTAAATAGTGATATGTGACAGCCTACTGCAGCTGTCATAATCATCACTGATGCTATCTACCCAGTGCCCCATTACACGTAGATCGGATAGTTAAGGTTTCATCGGACGCGCCAGCCGATCGGGATCGTGCCTGCCAACTCCTACGCGACAAAATCAAATCTACACGCTAAATTTGTTCTTAGCTCAGCGAAGGAGTTAGTGCGCTTGTTCAGCAGGAGTTATACCGGCCAGTCCCTGACCGTGACCAGGAAGTGGCTCCCACTAATTCCTGACATTTCCTACCATTACCTATTCATAATTATTGATCTTTACACGCTTACATCCGCTCTGATCCTCTTCCCTACCATCCTCAGAATCGCAATCTCTCACTCTCACTAAATGACCCACTGTCCCCCCACCGTAACAACTACTCCCGTAAATATTTACCGATCGCATCCGAACATTACGCAGCTCACAATTTTTAATTTTTCTATTAATTTTTCCACAAACGATCTGGCTGTCACTAACTACTAAAGTAAATCTTTCTTCATTAGCTCAAATTTATAGCCTATAAGCTTAGCTAAGTAATTATTATATTACAGCTTCTATTAGCCAAGTCATGGGTACTAGCGACTCAGATCCCAAGAGTCCATTTAATGACTCCCAACAAACATTTACGGAGTCTCCTTATTACCACGATGTCCCCTCGGCATTAGCGACTCCTACACTTAATGTAGATTCATCAAGAACTTTTACTCAACCATCACCAATGGCAAGTACTACCACTTCTCGGAAACCGTCACTAAGATTCCAATTACCCTCTAATGATAATCAGTATGAAAATGGAAATGGAAATGGAAATGGTACTAACACTAACAATAAGAATTTGTCAGCAGGCAGTTTAGTAACACCTCCCCCAACGGCGGATATGTCACCATTCTTGGATAGTTCAGCGACTATCTTAGAAGAGCCTCAAACTCCCACGAGAAATGACACCGTAATGAAGAGAAATAGATGGGGAACTACTAGAAATAAACTGGGAAGACCGAGTCGAGCCCGTACTATACGGAGAATTTTAGGGCAAGACAAGAAATCGCATAACAACAACAATAATAATAACACCAATAATAATAATGAAGATGATAATGATGATGAAAATAGTTTACATAGTGTAGATTTAACGCAGGATTCTATAGACCATAATGATGAAGAATCAAATTCATCAGAAGATCCTCGAGATCGTAAATCCGAAACCAGAATTATATCATTTAATCAATCATTACCGGAAGAATATCTTGATCCAGAAACCGGTAAACCAAATACCGATTATGCCCGAAATAAAATTAGAACTACTAAATATACTCCAATAAGTTTTATACCCAAGAATATCTCGTATCAATTTTTACATAATGTGGCTAATATTTATTTCCTTGCATTAATTATTCTTGGAGCTTTTGATATATTTGGAGTTCCATCCCCCATCTTAGCTGCTGTACCACTTATAGTGATTGTAGTTATAACTGCTATCAAAGATGCTATAGAAGATTCTCGAAGAACAGTAACTGATTTAGAAGTTAATAATCAAATTACTCATATACTTAATCAAATTAATTATGATGTTGATTATAAATATGAAAATCTTAATAATGATGATGAAAAGATTTCATTATGGAGACGATTTAAAAAGGCCAATACTCGATTATTAATAAAAGTTTGGGGATCATCTAAACAAAATTTAACTAAAAAGGGTAGATTAGAAAAGAAGAGAAAATTAGCTAATGAATCACTTGAAGATACTATGGGAGTTAATAATAGAAAGTCATTTGATAGTGATATTGTTGATTTAAGTCCTCGGAATTCAATTGAAGATTATGATCCATTTGAAGATAATACCAACACTCAAGATCAATTAAGAAAATCATTTCAACAACAAAGAAGAGAACGATTAAGTCAAGAATTTAATTTTGGACGTAAAAGTCATCAAAGTCATCGTAGTAATCATCGAGAAAAGACCCTTAAATTTGCTAAAAAGTTTTGGAAAGATGTTCGAGTTGGAGATATGTTAAGAATATATAATAATGATGAAATACCAGCTGATATTGTTATATTAGCTACTAGTGATGAAGATAATTGTTGTTATGTTGAAACTAAGAATTTAGATGGAGAAACCAATTTAAAAGTTAAACAAGCCCTTAAATATTCCTCAGTTGAACAACCAATTAAACGAGCAGATGATCTTATAAATCATCAATTCTTTGTAGAAAGTGAAGGACCTCATGCTAATTTATATTCTTATCAAGGGAATTTAAAGTATGAAGATTCTCAAGATGAAGAACAACAAGAACCAATAACTATTAATAATTTATTATTAAGAGGTTGTTCATTAAGAAATACAAAATGGGTTATTGGAATTGTGGTATTTACTGGGGATGATACTAAGATTATGTTAAATGCTGGAATAACTCCCACCAAACAATCTCGTATGTCTCGAGATTTAAATTATTATGTTATTCTTAATTTCGTTATGTTATTTGTAATTTGTTTCCTTTCCGGACTTATTAATGGTTTATGGTATAGAAAAAGTCCTACATCACGAGATTATTTTGAATTTGGAACCGTGGCTGGTACTCCAGCTAAGAATGGGATTGTATCATTCTTTGTGGCTCTTATCTTATATCAATCATTAGTACCCATTTCACTTTATATTACTATTGAAATCATTAAGACGGCTCAAGCATTTTTCATTTATTCGGATATTTCAATGTATTATGAACGATTAGATTATCCTTGTACACCTAAATCATGGTCAATTTCTGATGATTTAGGACAAATTGAATATGTATTTAGTGATAAAACAGGGACATTAACTCAAAATCTTATGGAATTTAAAAAATGTACCATTAATGGAGTTTCTTATGGTAAAGCATATACTGAAGCATTGGCTGGATTAAGAAAAAGACAAGGAATAGATGTTGATGCCGAAAGTGCCATTGAAAAGGAAAATATTGCTCGTGATAAAGTTAATATGCTTGCTCTTTTAAAGGATATATCACCAGCCACCAGTAAATATGAAGATGAATTAACATTCATTTCATCAGATTTCGTTCAGGACTTGTTGGGAACAGGAGGAGATATACAAAAGCAAAGTAATGAACATTTTATGTTGGCTTTAGCATTATGTCATTCAGTATTAACTGAGCCTGATCCCAAGAATCCTCATAAACTACTGTTAAAGGCTCAATCACCTGATGAAGCAGCTTTAGTAGGAACAGCTCGATCCGTCGGATATATCTTTAAAGGAGCCACTAAAAAGGGACTCTTGGTAGAAATCCATGGAGTCACTAAAGAATATCAAGTGTTGAATGCATTAGAATTCAATTCCACAAGAAAGAGAATGAGTGCCATTATCAAAATCCCAGGAAATACTCCTGAAGATGAACCTAAAGCCTTATTGATTTGTAAGGGTGCCGATTCAATTATTTATTCTCGATTACTGAAGACTCAGAATGATCCTCAATTATTGGCTACTACTTCAGAACATTTAGAAGCTTATGCCACCGAGGGGTTGAGAACTTTATGTATTGCCCAACGAGAATTAACCTGGAGTCAATATACAGAATGGAATAAACGTCATCAAGTGGCCGCTTCAGCTCTTGAGAATAGAGAAGCCAAGATGGAAGTAGTGGCTGATTCAATTGAACGAGAATTGATTTTATTAGGAGGAACAGCCATTGAAGATCGTTTACAAGATGGAGTACCCGATGCCATAAGTGTATTGGCCCAAGCCGGAATTAAATTATGGGTGTTGACGGGTGATAAAGTCGAGACCGCCATTAATATCGGATTCTCGTGTAATTTATTAGGTAATGATATGGAATTATTAATCTTAAAGACGAAATTAAGTCCCGAAGAAAATGAAAAGTATGGTACTAATAAAGATTTAACCGATGGAAGATTAGTGGATTACTTAATTAGTCATTATCTTCAGAGTAATTTCAATATGACTGGACTGATCGAAGAGCTTACTGAAGCCGAAGGTGATCATTCTCCACCAGATGAACGATTTGGTGTTGTCATTGATGGTGATGCACTTAAATTGGCATTAGCTGATGGAGAAACTAAACGGAAATTCTTATTATTATGTAAACAATGTAAAGCCGTATTATGTTGTCGAGTGTCGCCAGCTCAAAAGGCTGCGGTGGTTAAACTTGTTAAGGATACTTTGGATGTTATGACATTAGCCATTGGTGATGGATCGAATGATGTGGCTATGATTCAAGCTGCCGATGTAGGAGTTGGTATAGCCGGAGAAGAAGGTAGACAAGCTGTTATGTCATCAGATTATGCCATTGGACAATTCCGATTCTTAAGTCGATTATTATTAACTCATGGACGTTGGTCATATAAGAGATTTAGTGAAATGATTCCAAGTTTCTTCTTTAAGAATGTTATTTTTAATTTCGCCTTATTCTGGTATGGGATTTATAATAACTTTGATGGATCCTACTTATTTGAATTCACTTATTTAATGTTTTATAATTTGGCATTTACTTCACTTCCAGTAATCTTTTTAGGAGTCTTTGATCAAGATGTTAGTGCCAAAGTTTCATTATTAGTTCCTCAATTATATCGTACGGGGATCTTACGATCAGAATTCCGTGATAGTAAATTCTTTTGGTATATGGCCGATGCTACTTATCAATCGATTATTTCCTTCTTTTTCCCTTATTTGATATATTATCAAGCATTTCCAAATGCTAATGGATTACCATTAGATCATAGATATTGGATGGGGATTATTGTAACTTGTATTGCCTGTATTTCTTGTAATTTATACATTTTATTACATCAATATAGATGGGATTGGCTTTCTAGTTTGATTGTGGCAATCTCTATATTAATTATCTATATTTGGACAGGATTATGGACTACTACCACTTATAGTGCTGAATTTTATAAAGCTGCTCCACAAATGTTTGGTACATTATCATTTTGGGTTTGTACATTTGTTGGAGTTTTAGTATGTTTATTACCGAGATTTACTTATGATTTTATTAAGCAGCAATATTGGCCAAAGGATATTGATATTATTAGAGAATGTGTTCAAAGAGGTGATTTTGATGCTTATCCTGATAATTATGATCCAACAGATCCTAATCGTGTTAAAATTAGTAGTTATAGTACTGAAGTAATTAAGAGAATGAGTATGTCTCCTAATCCGAATATTAAACGAAAGACATCTTCACCTCCATCATTTTCTAGTCAACCTGATACTGATGCAACTATTATAGGAGGTTCTGGTTCTGGTTCTGGTAGTGGTTCTGGTAGTGGTTCTGGTAGTGGAAGTAATGGATCTCCAAAGATGAGATCTCCAACTATCCCACCTCCTCCATTACCTAGTCATATATCTAATGCTCATATCCAAAATCGGAAATCATTTATTGATATCTTTAAAAGAAAATCTCAGGGCATATCTTCTACATCATTCTATGATAAAGATGGAAGTTTAATTGATGACTATGGTAATAATAATGCCCATACCCATACCCATACCCATGTTAATGCCAGTGTGGATTCATTAGGTAATCAATCAGTAACAACCGAAGAAATTGCTATGGAAGATTTTAGTCATAATCAACGAGTAGCCTCCCAAATTTCGAGTGATATGAGAAGAATCTCTCAACAGTATTCTGTTCACTCACGGAAGTAACAAAACAAATCAAAACAAATCAAAACAAATGTATTATAGTTAAGTATGTATAGAAATTGATAAAGGTTTTCATTTTTTGCAATCAAATGATGCGACATTTTCGGCTCATGAAAGCCGTTGCATAAAAATAGTAAAAATAGAATAAATGTCTCTGCAAATTAAGATTAAGTTATGTATAATTGAAGTAACCTGAATACGGTGATCTACACTGTTAGGGTGTACTGTACTGTGGTTTACTGTACTATAGGGTCTGCTATACTGTGATATACGCTATAGTCTACACTATACTGTAATGTACGCTATAGTCTAAATTATACTCTAGTCATTTTCTACAAACTCTACTGGTTAAGTATTAGTGTATATCTCCGTTACTATAGTAATAAAAAGAAATTTTACACTAATGTCGCATTCTCCACTCAACTCCGGGTCCCTCACTATTTATCCGACTACAAATCCCCATAATCTAATTGGTCATTGACCCCGTGATTTCCTGATATCGATCATACTTAAGTATCATCAATTGTCATTATACCTAAATCATTAATTGTAAGCTGTTAAAAAGACGTTGACCGACATTTTACCCGGCCAGTCAAAGAAAAAAAGCAATTTGAGTGAATTATCAAATTTATCGCCAATGTCGGCCAATCAACGCGCGCCATTATGGAAATAAATTTTGTATCAACCGTATTAATCCGATGAATTTAGTTAAGCACAAATAAAAACAAAATGTCGTAGTTTTGTCTCAGGAGTATAACCTGCAAACAAAAGAAAATAAAAAAGAAAAAAAAAAAATTTTTAGTGGACGAAGAACCGAAATTGTTGGAAATTTTTTTTATATAACTCCTTCCTGTTCCTCCCTTTTTCTTTAATAATCTTTTCTTATTTCTTTTAATTTCTTTATCTTACTATATCTATTCAAGTATATATAATCTATAACCAAAAAAGTAAGCCAAAATGGATAACCAATTCTTAATTGATTTCTTGATGGGTGGTGTTTCCGCCGCTGTTTCCAAGACTGCTGCTGCTCCAATTGAAAGAGTTAAATTATTAATTCAAAATCAAGATGAAATGATTAAGCAAGGTCGTTTATCTAGAAAGTATGATGGTATTGGTGAATGTTTCAAGAGAACTGCTGCTGAAGAAGGTATCACTTCATTCTGGAGAGGTAACACTGCCAATGTTATCAGATATTTCCCAACTCAAGCTTTAAATTTTGCTTTCAAGGATAAATTTAAGAAGATGTTTGGTTTCAAGAAAGATGACAACTACTGGAAATGGTTTGCTGGTAACTTAGCTTCTGGTGGTTTAGCTGGTGCCACTTCATTAGCTTTTGTTTACTCTTTAGATTATGCTAGAACTAGATTAGCTAATGATGCTAAATCTGCTAACGGTGGTGACAGACAATTCAATGGTTTATTCGATGTTTACAAGAAGACTTTAGCTTCTGATGGTATTGCTGGTTTATACAGAGGTTTCGGTCCTTCCGTTGTTGGTATTGTTGTTTACAGAGGTTTATACTTCGGTTTATACGATTCTCTTAAACCTGTTGTTTTAGTTGGTCCATTAGAAGGTAACTTTTTAGCTTCTTTCTTATTAGGTTGGGCTGTTACTACTGGTGCTTCTACTGCTTCTTATCCATTAGATACCGTTAGAAGAAGAATGATGATGACTTCTGGTCAAGCTGTTAAATATAACGGTGCTTTTGACTGTTTCAGAAAGGTTGTCGCTGCTGAAGGTGTTGCTTCCTTATTCAAGGGTTGTGGTGCTAACATCTTAAGAGGTGTTGCCGGTGCCGGTGTTATCTCCATGTACGATCAATTACAAGTTATCTTATTCGGTAAGAAATTTAAATAAACTAATTAAGTTTTAAAATTCTATCAACTTACAAATTAATGGTTAATGGTTATAATAGATTGAAAAATTAAAACATAATAAACAACATTGAGTTAGATTTTTATTATTGTCTGTCTTATATATTATTCCTTTCTTGGCTTTCTTTTATTATTGCTATAACTACTACTTTGTTGTTATTATATATATTATATTTTCACTTATATAGTTTTTAATTTATTATCATAACTTGTTTTATTACTTTACTTTGGTTTGCTAATTGTAATTTATGTCTGCCATGCCATCTCATCGTCACTATCAAAATCAAAAATTTCTTTTTTGTCTCTGTATACAACCCCTTTTTGATTTTGTGTGAATTAACTTTTGCACATTAACAAACGACCTTAATTAAATAACAGCATAATTGTTTTCTTCATACTTTATGGTCACGTTAGGTAAATAAATCAATTGCAGATCCTTTAAAAAACTTAAATAAAAATTGATCTGACTTAATTGATTGGTTATCAATTGGTTGGTTTACTGATGCTTCTGCATCCTAGGGGGTTATGAGTTCCGTGTGGGGAGAATCACAAGCGAATAATTATTTAGGTTTAGACGCTTCACGTGCGGGTATGCGTGTGACGCAACCTGTAAATATAAGTGTATATGTATATACATTTACAGTTTACATTGGATGTGAAAAGTCATCATAATCATTAAACTATATAGATGAACAACTAACAATAAACAAGTAAACAGAAAGATAATTATTAGAATATATGAAGTTTACGTAAACCTGAAATCAGTATTTAGAAATCTAGTTATGACCACCCATAGAGAAAAAAAAGAATAGACATGAAGTCTTTTCTTTTAAACCAACTAATTCATAACTAAACCCCAAGTAAAGACTCTGTATACGAACACCAACTTTAACATATTAACAAAGATAAAATAAAATAAAGTAAAATAAAATAAAATGAAATATAAAAATAGTAGACTTCAGTTCTTGACTTTTTTAAAGTTCAAATACAACAACTTGTACTCGTTCTTTAAATCATATAAGACACGTTCAACTTTAACATAGTCATGTTCTTTCAAAACTTGATGACAATTCTGTAACTTATTGAATACTGCATCACAAGTACTATCATTGACATCTTCACTTATTAATGTCATTGAAAATTTCTTTGGTTCAAAGATTTTTAAAACTCTCATCATGACATCAATTACATCGACAGAATTCTTACTACCAAAAGGATAATTGGTTTCAAATGAAGCATAAGACCATCCTGATTCAGGAGTAATATGTAATGTATAATAATATCCTGCTTCATTGGATGTAATTGAATTGGATGAATAACCACATGGAGTGAATGAGAAAGCATCATGAATAAAATCAAATTTATCCCGACCTTTACCTTCATGATCATCAAAGATTTCATTCAATCCAGTTTCTTCCATGGTTTCAATTCCAACATCATGACCTAAATCATGCTCTTCAACACCACTCTTAATTAATGATGCAACACCAGGTTTTCTACTAGTAATGAACTTATGAGCACATTCAGGATCTAATTCTGTCATTAAAATCTCAAACGTTTGATCATGATAATGTTCATGATGGTGACTGCTGGGCTTTGGACCACATGATTCATTTGAATCTTCACCTCCAACATACAAATACCAATGATCATCACTATTGAAATCTCCTACAATATAACATTTACCATGAGCAAAATGTTCATTCAATAATTGAACTTCATCTTTCCAATCTCTATGAACATGGATTTGTTTATCAGGGAACATAAAAGACCTTCTGGAATAAAAAATCTTATAAATGGTTGAACTTTTCAATTTACTAAATTTACTATTAACTCTAACATGTTCATTAACAGTTTCAAATAACTTTTCAAGACATGCTAAAGTTGTAGTCGTACCACAAGTTTTCAAAATGACTTTATGAGGAAATACAAATAATGAACTTTCACTCAATAAATAAGCATCCATGAACTTTGAAGATTTCATTGATAAAATCTTACAGTTGACCAAATCTAAGATGGTTTGCCATTTTTCTAAAGGAATACATCTTAAGCCTTCTTCATTAATTCCACTTGGTAAATCCTTATCGGAGGACCAGAACCAAATTTCTAATAACTTTTCTGGACCTTCAAAGGCAAAAGTAGAATCTAAATTAGCTGATAACTCATGATCAACATATGAACTTTCATGATAAGCAGGAGCAACCATAACTTGACTTAAAGGAGTACTTATTCTTTTTTTAAATATTCTTTTCTTTTAATATTTTAAGTTAATTTAATGATAAAGTCGACTATTATCTGACTTTCTTCTAGGATACTAATAGACTAGTATCTATGATGTTTATAAAGTGTGTTTTTTTTTTAATTTTTTTTAATACTATGCTATCTATCCAACTAATTGCAAATGAATGGAATTAAATGGATTGTTTTCTTTTGGAGGTGGATTGGAACTTACTCTTATAAAAGGGTGATGGTTCTAATTAATATAACGGTGAAACGAAGAGAGAAGTAGCAAGAAACGTTTCAAATTATACTAATAGGGATGAATATACACTAATGATGGAACTAGAGTGATAAGGTAGATGATATTATAAAAATATATGAATGAATGATAAGAATGATAAATGATATTTAGCTATGTCAGCAACAGCAAAGTAAAATGACTAACGGAGTAATTTTGGAAACTGAGTTAATAATGAATTTCAATGAATATATATGAACTCGATGAATATTTAACGTTATCCAGGTTCAAGTAATTTAGTTATAAGAAATTGAGGACGTCGTGGTTCTTTCTTAGGCATAAACTATTGTGAGTTAAGACACAGGCTTATTTTGAAAAATGACGGAGTGGGGATCGCAAGACGTAGCACTACTGGGACTGGTGATACGACTGGCAAATAAAAGTTACAAGTTAACTGGACTTTCTGACTGAGTGACTGACTATACAACTGTCTGACTCTTCTGAACTTAGTGTCTGATATAAAATTCTAACACTAATAGGGTACTATCGAAGTGAAGGTTGTGATCTATGGCTAGTGAAAATTGTCAGGAAAAAAATTTAAATTTTGATGATTTAACTGTTTGTGTCTGTTCCTGCAGACAGGCTCAATTATAATTGAGTCAGAAGACATAAAGTTGCAGCCAATGAAGCGAAAGCCAAGTTACTGGATCGGGACAGATACACCACTACTACAATAATCTTACAATTACAATAATCTTCTACTATTAATCTTCTACATATATTAAAATTAAAATTATAAACATAATGCCCCTAAACACTAGAAACAATCTCACTGGCATTTCTTAACACTTCAACCATTCTCACACACTCTTTCCTCTTTTGGACAGTAACTTCATTCTCTTTAACTAAATCAGCTAATTCAGGTGAACTATATAATTTTTCCAAGAGTTCCTTTTGAATTTCATTTTTAGATCTTACAATCAATTTTAACATAATAGCTTTAGGAACTATATCTGCTACGGTTCTCTTAACAATATTAAAGTATGAAGAAATTAATAATTTAATAACTTCAGTTTCCATAGTTTCTCTTTCAGACATACTACCAGTAGCTCTTAATACTGGTGGTGGAGCTTCCATTGATTGTAATCTCTTCTTATTCTTGGATGAGAAAAATCCTCCAAAGAATCCATTAACATCCTCTTTATTTTGTTGTTGCAGTGGTGATGGAGATTGAGGATGTTGAGCTGGAGGTAATGGTTTACCAGTCTTTGGATCAACAGCAATTTGAGGCTTTGGATGGAATTTTTCTTCTACAATTGACATAGCTTGAGATCCCTTTAATAAATCAGGATGAGCAGTATTAACATAAGTTTCTTCAGAATCAATAATATCAGTTACAAATTTATTTGTAGGAATAAGAGCTTCTCTTAAGAATTGAATAAAGTGTTGTGAAACTTGCTCTTTTAAAGAAGGATAACGAGAATATTGAGGTTGAGAAAGAATTTGGGATAAAATTCTAACCAATTCATCAAAAATTAAATTAATACAACGAACAGATGGTTCTTCCATTCTATGAATTTGTTGTTTAACTAAGACTTCAAATGCTTGAGTTCCAACAAATAATGAAGGAGCTGAACCACTTGTATTATGCATAATAGTTCTAATATCAGTATCCTTAATTTGATCAAATGGGTCTAAAGCAGAAATCCCATTCTTAAAGATTTCATGGAAAACAAAAGATATACGAGCTCCACCACTTAATTCTTGAGAACTTAATTCTTTAGCTTCACCATCTAAAATTTCATTATAATCTTTACTAAAATTTGTAATCATATTTAATACAATTGATGTTGGACTTTCAGCCATTTCTGGTCCTAATAAAGCTAATTCACTTTGATATTTCTTTAATGAATGTTCAATTCTCATTTTAATATCAGGTAAAGTTCCCTTAATATGATGTAATAAAATACCATTTAATTTCTTAGCTAAATAAGGTGTACCACAATAATGAGCTTTAGCTCTATAAGATGGATGATTTTCAAAAAAGGCTCTTTCATCTTTTAAGGCATCTCTAATGGTCTTTTTAGATTCAATATCTTTTTGACCTCTATTAATAACAGGAACATAACCAAATCTTAAAGGAATAACTCTACCAGCAAGAATATCAATAACATCGGTACCTTCATCCATTAAATCAACTTTAGTTAATACACCAATGGTTCTAGCACCTTCAGGATCAACTTCTCTAGCTAATTTTAAACCATCAGAATTTGCTAAATCAGTATTAGCAGCATTAACTGATAATACAATAGCATTTGGTTTTGAAATAAATTTCATAATCATATCTCTAATTTGTCTTTCAATATCTTTTGGTTGATCACCTACTGGAACTTTAGTTAAACCTGGTAAATCAACTAATGTTAAAGTTAAAACATGAGGTGAATAAATTCTTAAATTAATTGGAACTGGAGAAATTCCTAAATTTTTACCAGTTTTTGCATCAGTTTCTCTAACAATTTCATTACGAATTTCTTCAAAATTGAAAAATTTCTTATTAGGTAAATGTAAGAATTCCCCCCATTCATCAGCATTATTTTCAGATGCTTCACCATTTTCCTTAGTAGTATTAATATTAATTAAATCATTAGCAGAAGTCTTAGGATTAGCTCTTCTATTAATTAATTGTAATACTAATGGTCTTCTAGTAACAATACCAGTACCTCTTGGTAAAAAATCTCTACCAACAATATTTTCTAATACAGAAGATTTCCCACTTGATTGAGATCCCACTACGGTGATCTGGGGCAAATCAACTGGTGAAGATGATCCACCTCCTAAAGGAGCTAATGCATCCTGAAGTTTATTGATGGTAGCAATTAATGTCTCATCCATCGTGTAATTATGATTTATCAGACAGTTTCAACAATTTATGTCGGATTCTTTAGTTTAACTTAAATGTCTTGTATCGATAGAGGGCAACAAATTAGTGGTAGTGTTGGTAGAAGGGGGCGTGTGCGGTTCAAACGGGAGACGGGAAACGAAGAGACGGGGGCACGACCAGCGACACTGGGGCGATGCTGGTATTTACAGTGACCAAGAGATTAGTTACTAACGGTTACTAAATCAAGTGCTTGTAGTGCTAGTACTTGTTCTACTGGTAGAAAGTACTGAGAGTTTTTAAGTAGTGTAGGTAGAGCTTTTATATTGGCAAAGTGTTTACAAGATCATTACTTTTATTGTGCGTTCGTAATTTATGTAGCATAACTTTAACTTAATCAATCACGTACACATTAAAGTGCACATCAGGGTACTTATTCAATACAGCTTCAGTCTGATCCCATGGAACATTGAATATACCCGAGTTGATCTTAGGCATATTGACCACAAGTTTCTCATTGTCTGTCACTTCGATATTTTTATCTTGTGATTGGAGATGTTTTAATTGCTTGACCAAGTCTTGTAATGCTAAGTCTGTATAGTGAACAATCTCGTGTGGTGGTAAGATACCTGAACCCGACATGTCACTAGTAAACAAACAGGCGATTAATGGTTCTGAATCTTTCTCTGGTAATATCAATTGAGTTGTTCCAAGCAATTTGGTGGGTTGCGATCTATACTCATCACAATAATCTTCGTAGATTCGATTAGCAATAGGATATTTACGTCTGAATACAGCTGCTATACCACCACCCCAGACTCCTCTACAATTACATGAATGACATAGGATTGATATTGCACCCTTCTTGATTGGTGTATGACTGAAGAGGTCACCGTGGATGTATTTAATCATAGTGTTGGAGGGAATAGAGTGTTGTTCAAAAGTGTGCACTTTCCATAATTAATTTCGATACATATATCATAAATTTCTATTTACAGATTTATTAACTTTCTATATATAATCCATGTCAATTGATATCCTTTCACCAGCAGAATGGTGTTTAATATTATTGAATTTAAATTCTTCTTCTGATCCTCCTCCAAATGCTCTTTCAACAATGATTTCTTGATCATCATTGTAGCTACTGTAGCCCTTTTCTTCATAAGAACATTCAATAGTAAGTTTATCTATATATTCTTGGATGGGGATAGTTTCATCGCTGAATCTATCATTTGGAGTCAACATGTAGAATTCAATACGATCACCTTTGGTTATTTTAGCTTCAGGAGATAATGCTATAATATTAGCTTTAGCTCCCCAACCTCCTCCTCCAGCTACAACTTTATACTTAAATGGTAAACTATTATTTCCCTTAAATATTTTAACATATACCTCTGTATCCTTCGATCCCAATCCCATCAATTTAGAATTGTTCTCTAAATATCCAGAAGCAGATTTATTGTTGATGGTTTTCAATAAATTACCTTTAAAGTCGGTTACCAAAAAGGGTTCCTCTGATTCGTGATCATATAATGGTGTCCATTGATCAAATTCATGAATTTTCAGAGATTCAGTTACTATTCCTTTAGGTAATTCAACTGTCAATTCCTTTAATGCCTTCCCCGAATGATCCAATTTAGAATCCAAGTAGAATAAAGTAGTACCAAAATCACTAACAAACGAAGTATTGGCAAGACTTATATCAAACGTATTAGTATCCAGGACTTTCAATCTAAAGTTAGATTCAACTTTAGACCAATTCTTATTTTGGGTGGAATTGTCATTAGAAATATCATCTATCTCAACGGAGTTCACGATATTCAAAGGTTGATCAAACCATAAAGATGAGATACCGTTTCGGTTGGAATTAGGAACAACCGAATCGGTACCCGCTACTACGAATTGTATACCATCTTCCAGTTTTTGAATAACTTGCTCTATAACTCTAGGTATATTTGATGGAGTAGATAGTATTATGCAAGATTTGGGAATGAAGCTGGGCTTGGTAAGCTCAAACCCACTAGAAGGATTAATGACTGTTCTTCCATAACTTTTTCCAAGTAACGCGATACTACTGGAGAATCGACGTCTAGTCACTATTCCAAACATCTTCCTGTGTGAGGTTTACCTGCTCTAACAATTAAGTTAGAATATCGATTATTACGATATGAAGTTTTTTTAGGCGCAAAAATATTTTATTACGTTAACTATGTACAATGTAACTACTCTACTTCGGAAATAGGTCTCTTTTTGGAAACGTCCGACCCATCAGCTTCGGTAGTCTCAACTTCTACAGAGTCTGACACCTCTTTAGCTTTGAGTTTAGCAGTTGCTTCTTCAAACGCTTTAGCGACATTTATATCACCTCCAAGTTCAAGAACTTTCTCCAACACAGGACCCCAGACTTTCTCATCTCTGGTGGTGAAATCTTCAATGGTAAAAACGTTCTTACCCAATTCCCATTCAGATTGTTTCTTTCTTATCAATTCAACCATGTATGCTGAAGATTCAAGAGCTCTACCGAAATCACTAATTAAACTTCTAATATAAGTACCTGATGATACATCAGCGATAAAGTGTACTAGGGGTAACTTTTCTGGTAAACTTTCATTTTCTTTTAATTGTCTTGGATTACCTACTTCAGTTGGTAAATTATTCTTTTGTGCTTCCTCTAAATATTGAGTAGAGAAATATAATGGAGAATCATTTAAAGTTGGATTATTTGCTAAACCGTGCTCCTTCGGTACTCCATTCTCATCGAGTTCACTTTCCAACTTTTTGAATTCATGATCAGTTCTTAAGGAATCTTCTTCGAATATTTTAAAATCCTTTACTTTCACTTCCCTTACTTTAATGGCAGTAGGCAATGGGATTCCCTCTCTTGCATATTCATACAAAGGTTTCCCATTTACTTTAAGTGATGAAAAAATTGGAGGAGTCTGTTTCAAATCACCAATGAACTTCTTTGCTGTTTCATTGATAGCTTCTTTAGTAATATGATCAATAGCATTTTGAGTAATTATTTCACCTTCTGAGTCACCTGTGGTAGTAGAAATTCCAAATAATGCCTTAGCTTCATATGTTTTCTCACATTCAAGTAAGTAGTGCAGTAATTTCTTTGTACCAGATCCAACTCCAACTACTAAAACACCACTAGCAAGAGGATCCAAAGTACCTCCATGGCCAATCTTAACTTTTAATTGGTTAGCCTTCTTCTCAATTTTTTCTTTAGACATTCTCTTATTGGTCCCTAAATTGAATCTTACAGCATTCTTAGCAGCTTCTAAGTGCGGTTCAAATACCAGTGATTTGGTGAAAACATCTTGCACATCCTGCAAAAACAGGGCAGAAGAAACTCCAGAAGGTTTATAAACTGCAAATATCCCATTCATTGTCTTAAAAGTGATATGAGTCCTAGCCCGAACAAAAACCATGTAATATCTCTCGAGTATCACTTCCTGGTATGCTCTTCTCAAGTAATGTTAATGAACCTCTTTAAAAAAAATTGGTTGCACCTGCACATAGAAGAATCTTACTCCAGAGATATGGCAGTCACTGGTTTAGGAATCTGTATGTCAAGCTAAAGGTAAACGTTAGTAGGTATTTACTGGAAAAAAAGATATTTGTGACTGAGTACTTACCGACAAGTAACCCGACAATTTAGGTGAATACACCTTTATTGTATCTCTGTCTGCAAATAGTTTTTGGTTTACTTCATGTTCAATGTAAGTATCCAATTGTAGTAGCTTACGCTTTGTATACGGGTGAATATTGGCAAAATCAAGGGCTCTGGAATACAAACCACCTGTAAAGAACTCTAATATGCCGTCAATGACATTATTGATGTTGTAGGGATTATATGCATCTAACAAATACGCATTTACAGTAGTAACGATTGTTGATAGTTCTGCCTCAGTAAGCAAGTCCGGAACTAAAGGTGTCAATGATGTTTGACTGAATACATTGTCATCATATTGCCCCTTTGGAGTATATGTAATCTGTGATCCAACACTTATAGAGGCAGGCTCCTGGCCCGGAATATAGTTGGAGAACTGTGGGACCATATCGGAGACAGCCAACGAGTCGTACGTTCTGGGGATTCTAATTAACCTGGTGGAAGCATAAGTCAGGGAATCCGTCAGTACATGAATATTAGGAAAGTGATTTACTACAATTGACTCATCCGACTCGTTAGTTGTACCTGATAATGTCCCTAAAGGTTGGAAGTTATTCACAAGATATTCGTGATAATTGAAAAACAACAATACATCTGGTTTCTCTTCAGAATCACCATCTCCAGAGCCCTGTCCCTTAGCCTTACTATCAGGACTATTGGTCATTGCTTTAATGTGTCTGGTTAACCCTCCTTAGTATTCTTCCCCATAAATTAGTTAAAATCAGATACCGCAAAATGTCGCGAGCCTTGCCAGCGTACAAAAAATTTTTCAGTGAGTCCTTAGTCGAGAGGTATAAGAACCATCAATACCGGTCAGTCCAGCATGCTTCTGTTAAGACTGACAGTTGTTAGAAACCTCTACCGAACCAATTTGGTTAGGGTGAGTAGAGTTCCAATAGTTAGTGTACGTTTTCAAAGTACTGTTCAAGAAACTGTTCAAGAATCTTCAACTATCAATACCACCACTGAGAAAGAGTCTACATCTAGGCCAAAAGCAAGACATCACCCTAAAGTATGGGACATATCCAATCAGATTACTGAGACCATCAATTCTCCTACCACGGATTTGGTGGAAAGAATTCTGATTTTGGATGAAGGGTTAAGTTATTTAAAACTGATCCAAGAGTCTGAGAGAATTACCGATAAATCATTAAATCAAAGATTCCTGTCAATAGTTTCCAAAGTACTCTCGATGGCAATAGAGAATAATAACACTCCCGAACATGACCGTGTGGAACAAGTATTAGAAATTTTGATCAGAAATGGTGTTGCTAACAGGTATCATTTTACAGCAGCAGCAGCTGATTATATGAAACATGACAATTCGGCCTATGAAAAGGTATTAAGTCTTTGGATTAGATGTCTTGAATCTGAAAAGGAAGACACCTCCAGAGTCATAAATTCCAGTATCCTTCTTCAACTCGAATATAAACCTTACTATCTCCCTAATTTGGTATACTTTTCTTATATCCAAATGTGTCAAGCTCAAAACGTGAAGATCTCTCTCCCCGATCTTCTTAAGTTGTTGCAGAGAGAAACTCTTCCTTCTCCTTTCTTAGTTAAAAATACTTTAAACGAATTGAGGTTGGAGAACTGTATAAACCAATTCGATGGATTCTATAGAGCTGTTAAAGCAGCCGAATTCCAAAACTTAGATCCAAATGGACCATTGATATACAAGACAATTACCAAAGCAGTTGAAACAAGAAATGTTTCCAAATTGAGATACATTTTCAATGAAGCCAGATCCGCAGCTGCAAAAAACAAAACGTATCTTTCTGATGTTACAATGGCTAGATTCATGGATGCATACTTTGAATTAGGACAATTCGATCAAGTATTTGAACTTTTCAATAACATGCTTGACAAAGGATTTAAACCTACTACTCGTATATGGAATGTTGTATTGAGAACTATGGGAAATCCTGACTATGTAAAGGACTCTCCCAATAAAGAAGTTTTAGTTGCAAATTTAGAGAAAGCAATCGCCTCAGCCATCACACCTGGACTGGTTAGTGCTAAGACTCTTTCTATTATAATAAGTGGATTTGCAACTCTCGATAGATTTGACTTGGTTGATTCATACTTGGATCAATATGTAACTAAGGGTCAGATACCGTTAATTGATCCAATTAAGAATAATATCTTGTTGGGATTGCTTTTCAATAAGAAAGTTCAAGAGGCCGAAAAGAAGCTCGATGAATATAGAAAAGCTGGTGATTATATTCCATCCACCAGTGTTCTTAACTCTTTCTTGTATGCTTATTCCAAGGCTGGTAATGCTAAGGCTGTCGAAGGGTTAATCAAATACATGAAGAAGGAAAATATTCCTGAAACTGTGGCTACCCATACCATCTTTATTGATTATTTCTTCAAATCGAATCAAGAAAAGGGGTTAATGGCAGATGTCGATCAGTTACTTGAAACTTTAAACAACGCAAAGAACTTTAAGTTAAATGATGCAACATATACTGCTATTATTGATGGTTTAATCCAAAATTCAAACAATATCGAAGCAGCTAGACAAATATTTGCTAAAGCTATAGCTAAATATCCAGGTAATGCTCATTTATATGTGGTCATGATGAAGGGAGAAATTGATATTGGACTGTTGAGAGCTCTTGATGATTTGTTTGAAACCTATACCACCAGTGTTAAAAATGAAATCAGAATATGGAATATGATAATTAAAATGCTTTTATATAAGAACATTGGTTTGGCCCAAAGATACTACGCTAGATTACTCGGCAGTACTACTGTCAAACCTAACTACTTCACTTTCTACTTCTTATTAAACTTCTTTTCTAGAAGAGACGATAAAGATGAAGTTCAAAAGATTCTTAACGATCTTGCATCTAATCCAATTTCTGAGCTAGGCGATCAATTACCTTCATTATTAGAAAGATTATCGTTGAGCTACAAAGTTGATCCCAAATTGTTAAGCAAATAAAATATGTACATAGTTAGCTAAACAAATCGAATAAATAATATAAATAGGATATAGTATGTTTAAGTTCATTAATCGTCAAATTCTCCCATGGCCTTTTTATATAATGGATAAGCCCAATGTGAGAATCTATCATAAGCATTTTGAGGATTATCCAATGCCGGTCTTGTATCCAATACAAATGATGGCATTCCTGTATCTTCATCATCAGGAGCACTATAATAGTCAATGACGTATCTTACAGGTTTCCAACCATCGTTTCTACCCAAAGATCTTAATACTGTCCAATCATGTCTATCAAAAGGTGGTTGAGTATTGAAAGTATTTGGAAATACTTGTCCCAACCATAAATACATACGAGCTCTTGGAGATAAGTCATGAGGTCTACCAGTAAATTTCAATAATCTTGGTTCTACTCTAGTATCTTGTGTATACTTATCTTCCCATTGTAAAATTTGTTGCCAAGCTCCTTCATTTAAAAAGTTATGAACTTCTACCATAGATGTAACAGCATCTTCAGGAATTCCATCCCCTTTACCTTTCTTTAACATAGCATTTAACATTTGTTGAGGTGATGGATACTCCCAAAGACCTTGATCATCACTTTCACCTCTAGGAATAGTAGAGATGGTTCTTTCAGTAGAAAGCTTAATCTTCTGTCCAGGTGCAAGTTCCGATGAGATTGCCATAGGCATATTATTCAAAGGATTAAGAACTTCATCACCTCCAACAACAGGACATTCACTTACTGAAGATGATTTGAATGAAGAGTGATCAATAGGACAAGCCAGAGCTTGTGGGGTAGATGTCTTTTGAAAACTTGTATGATCAACCGGACATTTTGCAGCCTCTTTCAGATCCGTACTGTCTGCCCAAAACCAACCCATTTTCCTAAATTACTACAGAATATATAATGGTTGTATTGCTGGGCTTCCATCAGATGAGCTTAATGTTACGGATTTTTTTTTTATCCCTCACCTGGTAAGATGCGCACGTGACATTGTAAATTTGTATGGGATAAGCATAAACTACAATAATACAATGTTAATAAGTGGTATGTGGTATCCCGATAAATAAGGGTGGCACATAATAAGCTAGAACAAATGGGTCACATTCCAAGATATTTTTATAGTGTGTAAAAAAATTTAGGGTATTGTTGTGTTACGAAGTGTGTTTATTCAGTTTTAGGAAATGATGCTTAACGGGGTTGGCACAATGTAATTCAGAAAAGGTAAATTTGAAAAATTAAAATAATGAGCTAAATAAATAATAATAATTATATAAGGAATCATTGTTGTCATAGACGAACTTAACCAGAAACTAGCTTATCAGAAAATTATCTCGAGGAAGAAAAATATTTAATTATAGCTCCACCACAATAAGTTTGAATTGAAAAATTAAGATTAAGAATAAAAACCATAGTATCATGATAAGGTTGCTGTACTTGACATTACGACCATGAATCGAAATCTTTGAGCCTCTACGATATTTATTTTAACGAGTCATCTACGTATATGAACTCGGAGTTGATCCCGCCTTTCAGATTTATCTTTCTCGTAAAACTGTCAATCTGTATTAATTAATTATGGAGAGGGGCTGGTGATAAAAATAATTTTAATAATAATTAATCGTGCTAATATTAACCCTATTGACTGTAGACGAGACAGAACAAGGTTTTTAGACAAGAGGTGTACAACAAAGAGAAAAGACAGAAACAGACATTATTAATTAAACTTCTTAACCCGAGACATTTGACCAACTTTCGTACCCACATTTAGATATAACATTTAACATAGACCTCCTTGAATATTTTTTTATACAATTATTTTTTTTTGACCGAGATAGAAAATATCGGATGAAGGAAAATGAGAAGAACGACATTTCTGAAGGAGTATAAACAGAAAGCCGATCACCCAAGCAAACTTATTCACTATATACCGGTAAACTCAAATTAATGGAGGAGACCATCAATTTGATCATTATTGAGTCAGTCAACGAAACGTCGACATTGATAGACTTAATAACAGATCGTTGTTTAGAAATATTTATAGTTAAAGATCTTACTATATATTTAGAGACATTATTACGAAATGAGCCAACTGATCAATTGGAAATATAAACGGATACAGACACTTTCGGTCGTGTTAATCTTACATCCGGATTAGCTGTAACGCTCCCCGTCTCCGTTCTCTGTCAATAATTTCATTGCAGGATTTTGTTCACTTGGTGAGCAAAAATCTACATTTTCTCCTATTTGGGAATCTGTACCTCACTTATCAGGATATTTCCCACTTTGAAGATTATAGTTTTATGTGCAGGAAGCTTTTTTGATAGTGAGACTTACTTAAGCGCATCTAGTCGTGCCTGTGTGAAGGAGACATAGCGCTTGACAACAAAAAGGAGTCCGCCAATGATTATGTGAAATGGTAAATTAACAAATTGGTAAGGCAACCTATGAAAAGAAAAAGAAATCTCAAGTGAGCTGTTGTCGCATCATCATGCAAAAAGTTCTTGTTCTATCGTTAAGTCAACGCTCTTCTTTGATCACTCCCAAATCATCGATCTTTTCATATGCATAGATAATGGGGATGACTTGGTTACAAGTTGGAAATTAAAAACAATCGATCAAATAATCACCGTAAACAGTTTAAATCTGTCTTGAGATCACAAATAAAAAATACAGTCAATAAAAAATAACTGCAAGAGCAGGAAAATCTTATCAGCAATGACTATGATTTACATATTTACAATAAAGAGTTGTGAGCCTAGGTATGTCTGAAATCCCATTATATTTACGGTTGGATATTAAAGGCGCTTTCTAATTATATAGAGTATTTATTTATCTAATGTCAAGACAGTGTAATTACATTGTAGAAATTCAGATTCAGGCATATAATTAAGAAAGAATTTTTTTTGAAACCTGGAAGAGCAAACATACTATCGTCAATTATTTTTTTTCTTTAAATTGTCTTAGTTACTCAATGATTGTGTTCTTAATTTGAAACACTCCCCCTTAGTACATGATTTTTGTAGAATCAGAAGGCCCGTTTCACACACTTAAACTTCAGTAAACCTCGTAATGTAAATGATATAATTAAAAGCATGACACCGGCATCTAATTAAGATTTTAATTGCTTATTCTATGCGAATCGTCGATCAGAAAAAGAAAAGAATAAAATTAAGATTTTCACTTGCTAGTTAACAATAGGATCCGTGTTGACAAAATAGTAAATGCAATAACCTTCGATCTGATTCCTTCTCTCAAAAGAGAGGCGTATTAAATTTAAGTATCAAAGTTCAAATGATCATGTATTATTTGTAGTCAAGTAGTGTCATATTGTTGAAGATTGTTAAGATTTCCTGTATTCATTTTTTACTTGTTATTGTGCTCATTTTCCAATACGCCTTAATTCAATGGTCTGATCGCAACTGAAGATTGCATGTACGCATTGTGTAACTTAACCCAATATACTTTTGTATTTCTCATTTACGTGCTCATACATTTAGTTGCCCTCTTCCGATACTAAAACATATGTCGTCATTGGTCGGAAGTATAACAATTAAGGTTATGCTTTCAAAAAAGTGCTTGCTTTACTAAAGACAAAAATATTCCAAATTTCCAATGAATTTCCTTTAAAAATGCGGAAGGCGGTTTTTTATCGAGAATGACTTTTTCATTGTTTTTGCATCGCGAAGATTGGTCATATTAAATGAAAAGGTAAACTCTGACTATCACAAATCAAATAAGTAAATTTGGCATGCTTTTAGAGTTGCCATATTTGGACCGCAGAACTTTTAGAGTAAATATTTTTTAATACTTTAACGCATCTCGTAAAAATTACTGAATTGGGAATGAATGTGCATAGCATTTCTCTATTAAGCTAAGTAACAAAAGTGAATAGTCTAAAAATTACGAGATCAAATGCGCCTCTTGCATAAATTTGACTTAACTCGGGAAAAAATTCTTTAATTGGAGCGGCTTTGTCGATCGCATTTATATAATCGGGCTTTCAATATTTAGAGAAATCCACGTGATCAATAATGTCATAAAGAAATGTCGCAATTTTAAGAATGTCATCAAGACAAAATTAGCTATATACTTAAAGTTATTCCTCCTGGCTCTCAATGCTCCTTAAGGAGTTATAATGTTCACCCAAACCATAAGTATGTTTATAATAACCTAATTTCAACCTTGGCTCTTCGCCATCCTCATTCAATGTCTGTGTCGCCGCCCCAGCAATATACACATCTATTGGACAGTTAAAATTCTTTGCTAAAGCAAGAATTTCCATGTCAGACCCCCACATAGCTGTCGTGGTTAACTCTTCAAGATACGAATCTATATCGCGTAATTCCATAGTTTTTTCATCAAATAAGAACGGTATAAAATCATCCCTGTGACGTGATATGTATTCAGCCGCAAGGTCTCTCAATTCTTGTATAGATTTATGAACGTTTTGTCGTATTTGAAGTTGATCTTGAATTGATGCAAATAGACAATGTCCATCAGGTCTGATCTCGAATAATTTAAGATTATTCAAAGCCAACAAATGGTTCATGGAATCAATCTCTATCTGTCTATAGTCAACAGTATTTGCAGCTTCTGCCCTAGCCTCTTCTTTAATTCTTTCAATTTCTGCTTTTCGTTTCTCTAATCTCTCCTTTTGGCGGTTCCTTTTCGACTTCGGTTGTCCTGACTGTATTGGCTCATTTATTTTGGTGTTAGGTTCATCCGAATTTAAGTCTATTTGAGCTAGTAAAGATTCTGGTGTAACTTCATCATCATTATTATCAGTAGTTTTGTTTTCTGATTGTTCATCCACAGCTAACGAAGAATAGCTGTTTCCGCTTTCAATCTCAGCCAATTCCTTTTGATGTTTCTTATCTAACTCATCTTGAAGTTCTTGACATCGAATATTGACATTCTTTCTTGTTTTCTTATTGGCTTGCTTCTTCAAACCTGTGATGGTAGCAATCAAATCTTTTGATTCTTTTTTATGCTTTGCAATTAATTCCTCTTTAGTCATTAAAATTTCTGGTTGAGACATTGTGGTATTAAGCAATCTTCCAATTGAAACAATCAGAAAAGCAGATTACACGAAAAGACTTTTCTTAAATGTTTTTGAGATGAGCTTGTTATGTGAGTTGGTTTCCCAGGATAATATGATCCTGTTTCAATTGCTACGTAATAATTCCTCCGCGATGAGCAACTTATTATTGTGCTTTGTAATGGGGAAGAGATGAGCAAAGGCTTGAACACCGTGGTAACTTGTACTACTTTTGAAGACTGCGCTTTGTACAACTAACAACGGCGAGCAGTTGTTGGACAACGGTTTCCTCAGTTTTGCTTGTCTACTGCGATTAGAAAATTTTTTTCGTACTTAAAATCATGTACGACATTTTAGAAGACTGACTTTTTGCTCCTATAGAAGAAGTAATCATTATAATCAAAAAGTGGATGTAGGCTATATGCTAAGCACGGTACTTTAATCTTCATATATTCTATCCATGATATAATAAAATCAGAACGTGTAGATGTATTTCATAATATTTGGGGCTAGTGTAAGAGAACTGATCACAAAATTATATAGACGCATAATGAAAAGTCGGAAACTTATGTCTACCAATTACATCCTCAAATTTAAGGCATGATTAATTGGGAGATTCGTTAATGAATGGTTTGCTGGGGAGCTACTTAGATTACCCCAAATTTCTGCTTAAAGAAGAATTTATATACCTAATAGTATCTTCTATTATGAATAAATAGGAAACATAATTATTTTAACATGATTACTACGGTAAATATAGCTTTCTCTAATACTGACAATTTAAGCTCAATTCTCTTACCTTAATCTCTAAATTACGTTAAATAATATTGATAGGAGTTATGCTTCAAAAAGTTCGGATGTCGTACTTTGCATTCTATGTTAACCTTTTACCCCTAAATGTATATTTCTTTCAGTCTAGACTTATTTTTCACGATGTTAACTTTAAGATTATCGATATGGTCCAGCCTCAATTCGATAGAATACAACATTATTACAAGGTCTTTTAAGCGTTTTAGTTCAAAAGCTGCAATGACTTAAATGATGCGACTCGCATTATTTATTTTGTTAAATATGTATAATATTAGAATAGGAGATAAAACCGCCGTTTATCGCAGGATGTGCTACTTGTGGTGAACGATGAACGTTGTCAAATGTCGAAGCAGGTTATACTTGACATGAAGGAATAGCCAGCATCCACACAACGACCACAAAAAATACCCACGATTACATAGATTGAAATGTCGCACATTAAACTATGAAAAATAGAATGCAAACTTAACATGGTATTTTATGCATAGGAAAATTTTCTGGACTCGTAATCTGCAAAACTTCTTCATTTTCTCTTTTGTCTTAAAAATATTTTATTTTGACTTTTTGTCACTGCTTAAAAAATAATTTGCTATGTTCGGTTTGAGAGGGGGGGACGACATTTATTTAGTTAATTATTTATGCTATAAAACAACTCAGTTGGCGTGTGGGTTTTCTATGGTTCAATCCTTCATATTACGGTATTATATTAAACTTTGTTTATATATCAGAATCAATTACATACAATGTTTTATAAAAGTATATATGTTAATTATAAAAGTATTAAAGACTATGAATTAAAGGCTCCGTCATCGACCAAGACAAAAGACAGCGAAAAGTCAAAAGAATCTTTCCACACGAAGAGTTAAATGTAATTACAAAACCGTATGAGAGCACTGCCTTTGTTCATAACTATTAGCGAGGCACATAGAGTTAGATATGAACTGGACACTACCAAGATTTATTTTACTTTTTTCTTAACTTACTAAAAGATTCTTTAATAAAGCTGAAGCAACGGAAATAGTAGGAGCAACCTCTCAAGGTAAGGCGATTTATTATTTCCATTTTAATTTTATTGTAACACTAAACTCAGTACTATGTACTTAAATTTACATATATCCCTCTGGCAGCAAACTGCCCGGTCAACATTGGCATATCATACTATTCCACTGAAAGTTAAACTGGCAAATAGAATGACAATGACAGTATTATTAATTTTAAATGGCTCTATACAGAAGAATCTTTCTAGACAATATTGGCTAAGACTGTAGAATTGATTCAGGTCGAGGCCAATTCTTTCCTTGGTCTATGTTTATTATCAACATATTTTTTGGTTGTAGAAATTATGTTTTCCGATAACGTAATATTCTCTGGCACCACTTCTACAACGAGACATTTCGATGATTTGGATCGAGTTTTCCAAATTTGTCCCGATTGGGCATATTAGATACATAAATATCCTGCATACATAAAGTTTTTAAAGCTTAACTCTCTCAGTATTTGCAAATGTATTCAAATAAGCAAGCAAGTATCTGCAATATTCATATGGCATCTATGTGTTCATACTTTACATTACTTAGCCGGGATAAGTTTAAATCTAGAGTTAATCTACTTATTTAACATTGCCGACTTCTACTTCAAGTAACGTCTCCACACTTCGGTATTAACGTTTATGGCCCAATGCCGTGTGGTACTGAAAAATGAAAAATTTTCGAAGATGTTGATAACTGGGAATCTACGAACTAAGCGGAACAATCAAGCGAATAAACACTTCCAAGCCTGTTTAGCTTCGAGTTTCCTTGTGCTAATTTTTCACTTCATCTCGAATTTTCACTTATTGATTGTGTTACGCCCCCCATATCTGCCATACCACCTACAATTGAGCCTTTTTATTCTTCAAGTTATTTTTAAACATTCTTTGCGTTTCCAATATTATAACTGAGAGGATATATTTTGTGTTACCAAAATTTATACAGAAATGTCACCCCCCTTTCCATCACTGTTTGATCGCACACATACTTTGTGAAAACACCGACCTAAAGCCGCAAAATTGACTTAAACTTAAGCCAAGTAAGTTAGACTAAGATTGTCTGTCTGATTAAATTAGTCTTCTCAGATGTGCAATTTTTGCATATCCGTACTCCCATTAACCAATTAATGAAAATCGGTCTAACAAATTTAACATGACAACTCTAAACTTTAATGAAGAAAGTAAAGACTTCAATGAAAAGTTACAATGAAAACTATTAGTTCACAACTTTTTATTGACAAGGCGACTATCATAGATCTATCGGATTATTACTGAACCTTTCTGGTTGCCTAGTTCAAGATCTTGTAAGTCAATCAACAAAGGTTAAATTCAAAATCAAATAATAAATACTACATAATAATACCAAAAATAAAGACAATTATAAGTTAGCAAAATAAGAAGACTATCCGAAGAGACATATTTCCTAATTAAAGAAGTGTTTCCTGGCGTAAAGCTGTAAAACCATTGTTGCAGTATCCATAATTTGGATACAGGACAGTTCGTTTATGAAAGAGTATAAATTATACAAAATTCAATTAATTGAATAGAAGGAAGAAACAATTATGCAGTCCAAAAAATATTATAGGAGACGACGACGACATTTTTTGTTGTAGTGTGCGGTTACCGACGTGAAAGAAAAAAGCAATTTTACTAGTATGAATTTTTCAATTGGACGTTTTTTGTGATATATGGCATTTATTTTCAGTCTGAGGTATGCATCATGCAAGTAATTGAGATAACAAAAAATAAAGTTATTTTTTGACCTCTTATGATTATTCCTGATTACACAGGTGAAGAGAAAAAAAAAGCTTCATAAAATTTGGAGATAATGGGAATATTAACATTGTACAGATAAAAATAGTCGATATACAACACAAAAGAGAAAAGGAGAAGGAGTATAATGTTAACACATAATATTCATTTTAATATATTTATTTTTATATACGTGAAATATGGTTGTTGTAAATCTTTGTGTAGCCTTCCTGTGCAACAAGGTGGAAAGATATAGGAGAGAGATTTTTTTTAATTGTCCATTTCATAAATTATATATATCTAACCTATTTTCTTAAAAATTCAATATTCTCATCTTATGACTTAGTAGATGTTGTGATAGACTTGTTCTAATTCAATTTTCATCTTCATATAATTCACATTTCTTTCTTCTTCTCCCTCATCTTTCACTATTATATACTAGGTATTTCAACAAATACTATATAGTGACAGTTTGTTCCTCTTTTGCATCCTTGTTTCTCTAGTCATTTACATCATTCTCTAATTCATTTCTCTTATATATATTCCTTCCATTCTCTCTAGCTAATTGATTACTTCAACATTTCAATTGCTTTATATCTTTATCTGGCTGGGTTACTTGACTGTTATATATATATATATTTATTGATCTATACATCAAACAGTTGATGAACACTCATTGATTATAGAGACATTTTTCATTCATTTGCAAATTCCATTTTATTCACTTTGGGGTTGAAATATTTTGATACTCAATTGCTGCTGTTACTAGTTAAATATTCATTCAAGCATAGTCATTAGCATTTAAACTATTCATTCTTTGAAAATATTCACAACATATACATAATAAATCATCTTTAGAATTCGTCAGAACCTTTAGATCGTAACTCCAGACATTAATAACTTATTCATTCACTTAAACGTACATAACAGCTTGTACGACATTTATTTGCTAACGGTGAGAATCTTAAAGATTTTTATACCGGTAATTTTTTTTACAGCCAACTCACATAGGGATATTCATCATTCAGAATGTTTCCAAGTTCACCAGATGCATTTCATCAATTACGTCTCCACAATGCTTCATTAAAGGCTTCTGATATTCATTTACAAACCATGGAATTTATGTCCCATTCCACCGCTGTATGTGAATATCAGATGGATATGTTACATCATTTATTAGCCACAGAAACTAAAACTTTACCCAGTTTAATATTAATTGAACAACAACCAGAAATCAAATTAGGTATGAGACCATTGTTATTGGACTTCTTAATGGAAGTTATCACCATTTTGAATTTATCAAAATCTACCTTTCCATTAACGGTTAACTTGATTGATAGATACTGTTCAACAAGAATTGTCAAAAAGCAACATTATCAATTGTTAGGATTAACCAGTCTTTGGATCAGTTGCAAAAATTTGGATTCTAAATTCAAGATTCCAACCTTGAATGATTTGAGAAAAATTTGTGTTGATAGCTACTTTAAGGATTTATTCATTGAAATGGAAAAGCATATCTTAAAATCATTGGAATGGAATGTTAACAGTCCAACATTTGATTCATTTATTGATTTATTTTTAAACATTATTGTTCACAACAATAGCAATCCTAATGTGGCATGTTTAATTAAGAAGAATCATCAAAAGGTTAAGATGTTGTCTACTTACGTAGGAGAATTATTTCAATTCTATCCAAACATTTACTTTGATTACACATCATCACAAATCGCCTTAATTTCAATCTTGGTCAGTATTTTAATGTTAAAGTTGCCTATTAATTTGATCAGCTTATTGGGTTACTACAATGATATCTTGAAATCAGAAGAATATAAGTTGAATATTACTTATGAATCCGAAGCCGAAGAATTTGATGAGATCTTATCAATTGCTTCTTTTGAGTCATTATTCTCAAAATCTTTCTTCAAGAATTTGGTTAAGATCATTGATCATCCACCAAAATCATTAGAAATCAAATATTTTAGTGAAAGTAGTAGATATCAAGGTTTGATGAAATCAATTGTTGTATGTGCCATTGATTCTTTAACTACATTGTTGGGTCCACCAATGACTCCTAAGGTAGCTATAAATGTCAATCCAATTGCTCAATCAAATGATTCTGGATCTAATGTGAGTTTCAATAATAAGAAGATCCCTCATACTTTGCCATTAACTCCAATTTCAAATAGTACTAGCCCAAAAAGATTTAATAGTGATGAAATCTTTAATGATCAGGATAAGAATTCCAATAATAAATCCAATGGAACTAATACTCCAATGAGTCCAATCAAAGGAGAGATGATGGTTACTACTACTGCACAATTTGCTAATGGTAATGGTCAATCTTCTATGAACCCTCCGTTTCTTGTACCCAAGAAGAGATCAATTGATGATATAGCCGAAAATCAAGTAGGTCAAATTCAAGGTTCACAATCTGATAGTCATCTTAAAAGAGCAAAGAGTCTTAATGCTGCTAAGCCTTTGTTTTTCATTCCATGATTTCAGACTAGTCTTGAGTGCTTACATTAATGTTGTTTACGAAAAATATTATGGATGCCCGTATATCAGTTTGATATCAAGTAACTGGTTTACTTTTTTATACGTGGAAATGTTCAACTATTAATTTTTATTTTACTTATTCTTTTATTCAAGGTGGTGATTTTATATACTTTTAACATGCTTCATAATACAAAACCTATCATTATTCCAAAAACAAATTAAATTAGAAAAACAAATCATGAAATTTTTCAATTCTTTATATTCAATTCCAATTCATTCTAGTGATTCATATTCCATCCATAATAAAACATTTTCAGCATTTTACAGCATTTGTAATGGTCATAACGAAATACGAAGAGTCTAAGTACTACATTATCTTTATAGCTTTAATTTTCAACTATTTTAAACTCATCGCTTACTATACTTTTCAATTTCTAATCATTGCTTTAATAGCAATGACATATTCCATAATGTGAAGATTGTTTTTACTATTATTTTACTTTCTAGTTGCGTGAAATTTTCTTTTTATAGCCGTCATTAATCCATTATTAAATTACATTATATTATAACTATATTACAGTAAATTTATGGGACAATAACTGAAACAGTAACCGTAGGCAAGGAATGTGATAAAGATCGTCAATCCTGTTTCACTGGTAGAAGTAGAGAGAATTTGGGGCCAGATTGATTTCCTTTGGAATCACTAAGCTAAGAAAATAGAAAGCAAATTAAAAGTAACGGAATGAGGCAAGATCTAATTTAAGGTTGCCCGTGAGCACATGAATCAAGGACTGTTTCTACAGATATGGCAAAAAGAATCGACAAAACAAGTTATTCGCCACGGATCTTGTTGTAAATAGGAGTGAGCATTGTGTTGCAAAGATAGTTTGTAAACGACAAAGAGTATAGACAAGAAATAGTTTACTAATTAGACTTTTACCCAGTTTAATTGGGGACCCATTCTCTGTTATGACAGAAATGTTATAAAACAGACTCTGAACTAGCAGGACTGGACTACTCAATTAGATCAAGTATGTAAGGACTGAATAAGCAATTTAGGGCAGTGCTTTGCTTGCCAGGAAAAAAAATAACGAGTACGCATGGAAAGGTCAATGTAGAATTTAGACAAGGGCCCTTAGCCCTTCATGACAGGGCGTTTTAGCTGGACAGTGCCACGAACGTTACCATTTATGCCTTTTATGTTAATGCCCCATATTCAATACGAAAAATGAAGAGTACGAAGTGATATTTCTGTGACACCTGTGTAAACCATGAATCAGTCGGATCTACTCGCTCTTCCTATATTGCTCGTCTCTCCTGGATTTACCTGAATGCGTAAAATGGGAAATAATTTCTAAATTCTCATGCACGGTATGCATTAAGCCCACTATAATTATAGTTGATCCAATAGTCAACAGTTTTAACTGCCGATGCCACGTCCAAACTTCATTCTACTGGTAATTTCAGGCAGTCGCCATTTGAAAGGCTACCGTTATTGTATTTATTTTTAAAGACTGTAAGATTCCTAATGTACTGAAGGATATTACTTAAAATAAAATTAAAGAATATACCCTATTGTGTTATCTATCTTTGTTGAATAACAATAGTCCTCCTCTATAGCTCCTGAAATTTTGTTAACTTAGCTAACCAAAATAAATCAGATTGTATGGCATTTAGTGACCGGTAACAAACCATAAGTGCTAAATCTATTCAATCGGGAATTCTGTGACATATCGTCATGATAACTACATTTGATTCTACAATTTTATTAAGGGGAATTGACCCCATCGGTGCATAATTCATGTACATATTGTCTGAGTATCTTTTCTTATCTATGTACCTAGTACATTAAATCAATTTTTCAAAAAGTGGTGGAACAATTTTGAATAATTACGATTTTTGTTATATAAAATTTGGTGACTGTATTAAACCGCCCTGAAATTCTTACCAAAAAATACTGAGAAGCCTTTGCTATCAGAAAACGTAACGGTTTTGATTAAGTCGCAGACAGACACTAATCGATTTTTTGTTCCCCTTAGTGAGAATATGTCTCACTACTAATGTGTGAAAAAGGAGGTAATTATTGTGGACTTTTTTCATGTACTTCGAGGACCTGTTTCATAACGCTTGCCCCTTTTCTTTAATTAGACTAACCATAGATACAAACAATATTTCGGTAGCGGTAGTAATAACTACCATTATTTAATTACTGGCTCTAGGCACTTCTTAATTGTAAGCATTGACTATATCAATTGAACTGTCACAATTAAGCATGATATTTCCAGCCTAAAGATATAATTGCCATAAAAGTTTAATTGGCTCATTTAAGAGAGTCTATAATCGCCAATCTTATAATGTAAGAACTTTCCTTACATTTACTGTCTTGCCTATGTCGTTGCTAAGAGTCTAACAGCATGTCGTCCTAATGGGAATATTTTCAAGATTCAGAAAGATTCCTGTAAACAATACCGTAAATGTAGCCTTATTGTTGGTTGCATTTTTGCGCTCAAATATTCATAAGGGAAAAGTGGTGGTTCCCCACGAGACATTTTTTCTGAAACTGGTAAGTGATTGACGACTAGCTAATTTTTACTAGGATTAATTATTCTTTTAATCTAGAGCATAGTAACAATGGAATATATGGCTGCTAATCTTAATAGATACCGAAGACTGTTACAAAGTACTACTGGATTATAATTGAAGTCAGTACTGATATAGCAATGCCTCTTCAAATGTCGCTCTATCCCCATACTTTTTTTTTGGTTTAATTTTTCATACAGGTCCAATTTCAAATAAATCGACAGATGAAGTAATTTTACCTGAAAGAGTTAAACTATTACACTTCAAGCAGAGTTGCTGTAAGTTAATTAATTATGTCTAAAGTTTTGACTGCCTGCCTTATTCTTGTACACTTTCCAGGTTGGAAAGACTTTTCAAATTAGGATTTATCAAAATAATTTTCGGTAAGCGAGAGAACTTTGCGTTCCTCTGCTGAATTTTACATGCAATAATCGGTGCATTTACCGATTTTGTTCAATAAATAAGAAATTGAAAGACCAGGCCTTGCCTATCTAATACTTCTTTTTTTTAAACCTTCTGACTTGTAGAAATTGAAAAGTGGCGAGAGATATTCCAAAGATGTACCACAAAACGCACAAGAAGTCTGGAAAAACTTCATGCAATAATGATGTTCTTTGTCATAACCAATTCAAATGATTTGACTCTGTCAAAGCCTAGCTTGGTCTGTATGAATTGCCTGTTATTGTTATTGTTATTGACACTTACATGGCCTAGAAGTTTCCGTGGAAGAATCTGTTAGTTATCTGATCTCTACATGTGCAGCATAAGATTTTTTCAAGTAGTTTTTCTCAACCAGAATTTCGCTTCGCAACGAAGGCTTACGGCCCATCGGCATTTTTTTAGTGGGTTGATTTAATTTTGATCCCGGAAGATGTTTAGGGTTATTGGGATTGATTTACCGTTATTGCTTATAAGGCAGCACCTTACTGAATCCCGAAAACAAGAGACGTCACAATTGTACATACACTCTTGAAACTAACTATTACATAGTTTTCAAGTTTACTGCATTGTATCTAGTTTTAGGTACCTTGAAATTTCACAATATATTAATTGTATGTTACATCTGGTACATTCAGTTAATTGAATCAACAGCGCAATTTTATGGTAACTCGGCTGATTTTTATTTACTACACTTAAATAACCATGTCTAGGCCGACAAAATTACAGACGACATTAAGCACACAATACAAGAATTTCAAAATTGAAAGTCAAGATGAAACTATTGATGAATTAGTATATGAAAGTAATACCGATATTAATGATTTAATTGATCCTGAAGAATTTTTTGCTCAATACATTGCTCCGCGTAAACCCGTCAAATTCGTTGATTATCCGTTGATAGGCGCTGATGGATCTAGATTTGATTTTGAAAAGTTTAATAGTGAAAATATCTTAAAGACTTTGAACTATGATGAGGATTTACAAATTGAAAAGAAGTTCCAGGAAGGGTTTGGTTCTGGGCAACCAAGAGTTAAGTTTGGGTTACTGAAGTTAATCCAATTATTTAAAGATGGTCATGACGAGTATTATCTCACGACTCAATATGATTTCGATGATCCCGATAATATAAAAGAACAAGATGGTGAAGTGAAGGAGGAAGATGATGATGAAGAAGAAGATGATGGCGATGAACAGGAAAATGATGATGAAGAGGATGTTGATGAAGATAGTGAGAAAATAAATGATGAGGAAAGTGACGATAAAAATGAAGAAACTAAAGGAGTACACATAGATGTTAAGTTTAATGCAGACGAAGAAGATTTCTCTGACACATCGTCTATTGATATGAATGATCTACATGATGACTTTGTTGATAGTGATGAAGATAGTGAAGAAGATAATGATGTAATACTCGATAAGGAACTTGGGATAACTCAAACAGAGGTAGATCAACGTATTCGTGAGTTACTTCAACCACCTTTAACAAATCTCGTTAAACATCCATCTATACTCTCAATTCGTCCCCGTATATTTTCTAAATTGATCCCGCAACAAATCAATTTATGGGTTGGTGCCTCTTCATCTAAGACTGTTTCAGCTAATGAAATTACATTGGATCTTCAAGACAGTGCCACATTAGGATTAGGAAAATCCATACCTGGTGAAAAACGAGGTACATCGTCCGGTTTACATCATGATCATGCGGATAATTTATATGTTTTGGTAAGCGGTATGAAAAGGTTTACATTATTTAGTCCAGCTGACGCTTCTAAATTGTATACTATTGGTAATATCTTCAAGGTTTTCAATAGTGGAATTATTGATTACGTAGTTAATGAATTCGCTCTGGATTGGAAACATATAAGAGACGATGGAGCTTTAGTAGAAGAGATTATTGATAGAAAGCTTGAGACATCCAAAGGTTCTGAAAAGGTTAAATTAATTACTGAATTGAAAGCTTTAATTAAAGAACGTAATAATGTCAAGAAGCCATCTGCAAGACTTGATCCCCCTAATTTTTCCAAGATTCCTCCTGCTTTATTACACATAGACGAATTTCCTAATGAAGACACTCGAGCTCAATTAATATCCTTTGCCAATGAGTACTTCCCTGGCTTTCTTTCATTAAATAAATATGAAGTTCTGTTAACTCCAGGTGATATGTTGTATTTACCAGCGGGTTGGTTTCATGAGGTTTCAAGTTTTGGTGAAAGCTCAAGCAATGACAAAAGCAATATTCACATTGCTTTGAATTATTGGTTTATGCCACCTACCACATCGAGTTTTGAACAATGTTATGAAGATGATTACTGGCCAGAGGATTGGTTCCGGACTGAAAAATGTATCCAATTGTGTAATTAGTAAAATGTATATAGCAATGAAAAGTAATAGACAATAGTTATGACGACATTTGAAGGTTAGAAGAAGGTGAAATCGAATTAAATTCGCTTACTATCTACAGGCTATTCGGTAATAAGTATGTAATTTGAATTATATTGTTTATTTTAAGTACTAATCGATGGAAGAGACATTTTAAGTAAAGACGGTTATAAATAGACAGCTAAATTAAAGTTTTAACATGCATAATGCATTATGCAGAAGTAATGGCCGGAAACAACTCTATGATCGAAAACGTCATAGAAGGAGTTATCAGGCGGAGCAGATTCTCAAATTCTCGAGTATGGATAATTTATAATTTGGTTTATGGGTGTGGGCCCATTATTATCTAAATATTGATTATAATCTCATATCTATCGCAATTTATTATTAACGCTACTCAATATGTATTTAATTCCGGAACTAAATCTAAAGTTTAAACTCTAAAAGGCTGACACATCATAACCGAAGTACTAAATCATGATGTTACAGTAGAGCACATGTTAAGTGAAATTGTAGAAAGCAATTGTCCTAACTCTGTCATTTCAGGATAGTATTGGATTAAGAACTTAATGTGGTTATCTAATAAGAGTTGCAAGTATGTTACAACGCACCTGGAATGTACCAAAATGCGCAGCACATTCGGAAAAGGCATATAATTGCCAAGACAAACGAAATTACGAGTTTTTAGACCCAAATTCCAGTTGGATAATTTGCTGTGCCAGAGACATGAATAATATGTTTCCGTTCCTGGAGGCACAGTGCGTCAGCCATGGAAACGGATGAAAAAAGGCGATATGAAATGGATGCAAAATGAGAAAGCGTGCGGATCGGTATTTGCACTACACATAGGGCAGAAACCCTAAACATTTTGAGATAGAATGGTATTGCGCGCGTGCATGCCCAATTAGGAACAAAGTAAACTTAACTTAAAGGCTGGCATATAGCGAACAATAGCTTCATTTTTTGATTGGCGGTGATAGATAAAGCTATTTTGTGAATTACGGAAAGATAGAAAAATAGAGAGATAGATAGATAGATTGATAAAGGGGCCCTATAGAAAGAAGGCTATCAATATTTGCATTAGCGAGATATGTAAATTAAGTTGTAATTTATTACTATAGAAACAAAGATAAAAATGGGATTCCGAGTCACTTGTTAATTATAATATCTAATTAGATTAATGTATTTTATTGGTCGTGTTATCTGTCAAGTGTACGGATAGAATCGAGTAGAACTCGAAAGAAATCCTTCACTTACTTAATCTAAATAACACAATAAAATTTGAAAATTAAATTACCGATGACATAATAACAAAAATTACAGTGGATTTTTTGATTAATTTATTTACACGGCACACCACGTACACAAAAAGCATACACATGGGTTCTAGTTTGGTTACTCCAGATCTTATTGTAGCGTTTAAGTGTTCATATGATATTGCGAATAATTAGGCTTGTTACCCTAACCAAATGTAATAAATTATTGTTCCACTCTTTAACTTGCTTAATATTATTTTAAGTTACTATTATTATATTGAATAAATTACGGTAGTGCGAGACCGGCACGCAAACTAAAATTGATCTTAACTTTAATTTATTCACATTCAAATTAGGGGAGGGGAGCGCGCCAAAATAAGTTGATTAATTAGAGATGAGTTGCACGAGTAGGAGTCATTGATCCCTATTAATAGATAATAAACAGAAATGTAAATGTAGAATATACCACATATTACACATATATATCACACATACGTATCACACATGGTATTCAATTGGATATACCACATTGAACAGATTGATAATTACTAAAATTTAAAGTACAAAATATCTAATTACTTTATCAGATCGGTCGTGCCCTTCTCTGTAATAAATAATAAAACTCATCTCTCGCGTCCTGCACACAGTGTCATCCCCTTTATCTAATTACTAGCAATAATTTAAAGTGCGTAGCGCACTCCTTTTTTTACAAACAACACCTTTTTTACAACCACTACTTTCTGTTATACAGATCAATCCCACCGTCGCCTATACTTCTGCTATATAGCGTTAGCAGCGTAATCCAGTAGCCTCCCGCTGATATATATTCACTTATATATCACTCGAACAACAAAGAAAAAAGAGATCCAGTTCAATCCGGCTGTGAGTTATACCACCTGATTGTGAAAAATTTTCAAATCACTATCATAGTTTATTACTTTACATTGACTAAAAGTATGTGTTATCATTATAATTCTAGCTATTCATATTAATTATGGTCGATTCTTGACCCAGCATACTTTGTATATCCCTTCAATAGTTTGATTCATCTGATTAATTACAGATAGTTTAATCACTCTATTAGATTGGTGTATATACAAAAATGCTGTAAATTTTTACCTCACTTGTGTATGTGTTCCTGTATATTAACTTGTCCCTTTCTGTTTTTAGCAATTTTTCTGTGTCTGTGTCTGTCTGTGTGTGTGTTTCGGTATCCTACACGACCCCCCATCAATATTTAGAAAACAGGGTATTGAATTTTATTTAATTTTTCAAATATCAATCATCTTTAAAGGTTGATCAGCTTTACTTTAGTTTTATATCACAGTTTAGGAATCCAACATTCCTTTATTTGCGTTTGCAAACTTTTTATTATCATTGTGAATTAAACATTTAATTATCGTTTGATTCATTAATAATATTATTATTATTATTAATATTAATATCAATATCAATACTATTATTAAATCCCTATACTATACTTTATTAAATCTTTTCCCATATCCTTATTTGTTCAGTGTTTATTTATGGACTATTAAATTATAAAAAAAAAACTAGAAAAATCAATCGGTTATAATATATTTTACTTCCATACTTGCTAGTCTCAGCTTTATTTTGAAATATTACTAAAGATCAATAACTTTTTTATCTTATCTTATATTTCCAATTTTTATATATTGCAAGAGCTATCATTTCAATTTTTTTATTTTATACCTGATTTTATTTTACTACTTTAAATTTTTATCCTAAGGTTTTTATTCATTATTGGCATAATTTTTCATCTACAAACTTTCATTACTATTTTCTAATTCTTCATTGTTTTTAGAAAATTATTCCTTAAAAAGAAAGTTAATCCCTATCCTAAATATTTTTCAACATTGATTCAAATTAATTCACTTTTTTAACTCCGGTTACCTTCACATAAGATTTATTAAAATATGGCTTTAGCTGAAAGAAGACCAACATCCCTTGGATTTTCAGTTAGTTCAACTCCTGCTTCTCCTGCTTTTACTCCAAATCCTGTTTTAACTCATTCTGGTAGTTCAACTTCAATTAATTTGGATATTGGTAATTCCCTTAATCATCACCATAATATCAATAATGACCTTGATGATGATATTAATAATAATATGATTATTCATAATAATAATCGAGATATCGATGATTTAAGTCAAGGAGATATTGATGTTGATGTAGATCTTGATGAAGAAGATGATGATGATAATGATATTCAATCTCCAATCTCAATTCTTCAACAATCTCAATCTCAATCTCAATCTCATCATCAAAATGAAAAATCTTCAAGTCCAGAAGTTATGTCTCCATCAAGTCTGAGAAGTATTTCTCCAGATTCTTTAATGCAAAGTGGTGGACATGAATTTAAGAAATTAAGTTCAAGAGGTTCAACTCCTCCAACTTCAACTTCTACACCTCCATCATCTCAATCAAGTTCAGGTAATAACTCTGTTTCTATGCCTGTTAAAAAACCAAAGAATCCTTCTCGTGCTCCAATTGCTACCGGTATTTCTACTACAATTCCTGTAACTGGTGAAAAACCAAGACCTGATCAAAAAGATGATCCTTCTTTAGAAGATGATGTCTTATATGCTATCTTTGTTATCTTATATGAAAAGGATCCTGAAGGTAGTGGTATGACTGTTAAACAAATTTGTGATATTTTAATTGAACAACATCCTGATATGGCTAATCTTTCAACTAAAACTTCTAATTTAGTTAGTGCTAAATTAAATGCTTATGTTAAAAGAGTTGAAAAAGGTGATACATCACTTAAATATGCTTTATCAAGAGATTGGGCTGATGCATCACCAAAAAGAATGGTTTATGTTTATCGTGGTATTCTTGCAGAAGATTTCCATATTCATGTTAAGAAATTAATGGAAATTCAAAAACAAGAACAAGCTCTTAAAAATGAAGAAGAAAGTATGGATGATAGTCAATCTCCAAAATCTATTAATACAACCAATTCTTCAATTAAAAAATCAAAACTTGATAAACAATTGAATCAACAATTTCCAAATCAAAAACTTCATTCAATTAATGATGAAAATCCTTTAGAAGCTGGTAAACATGCAACTTTATCAAAACCAAGAAGACAAACAATGTATGATTTAGGTATTAGTAAGAATACATTTATGGATGCAACTTCAATTGATAAATCAAGTCTTTTATTTGTACCATATAATTCTGCTCCTGTTACTGCTTCACTTACTGAATCAAGTTTATCAACTATTTCAGAAGATATTAAAGTTGGATCTCTTAGTATTCAAGGAAATCATAATGTTAATGAATCTGATTTTGATTTTGAAGATTTTGAAGTTTTCCATGATGATGATGATGAAGAAGATGAAGATGGACTTTTAACTAATAATCCTCATTTTTCTAATGATCTCTATATTGAATCATTTAAAAAGAATGGGAAACGTTCTAAATCTTTATCTTATCTTTCATTAAATAAGAAATCCAAGATTTTAACTGCTGCAGCTGCTGCTCCAAGAGCTCCAAGAACTCCAAGTTCACATTCTGCTAATGCTGCTGCCGCCGCTGCCGATTTACATGCTGCCGCATTACGTGCCATTTCGAATCCTAGTTATGATGAAAATGATGATTCAACTACGTCAACTTCATCATCTTCAACTCCTAAGGATTCTTCAGAAAGTTCCGCTGGTTCAGTTCCTTCTAATAAGAAATGGTTGGACGTTATCAGATCAGGATTCTTATCATTAGATATTGGAGCTCCTGAAGATATCAGTTTATCTGATTTAGATAAGTTCTTTAATTGAAGATTAAGATTATCCCAGAAAACAAAAATATACAAAAACTGAAAAAAAATACAAATAACAAATACAAATAACAAATAATCCTACGTTCGCTACTATATTCAAATATTCATGAATTTTATATGAGTTTCTTCTGTTATTACCAGTTTTGTCGGTGTTTTATTATCCTTTACAAATAAAAAAACAGGTGCAATTTGGCTTTTATCCCTTTTATCATTCAAACAAACAAACTTTAGATTCAATCAACTTTTGGGGTTCCTTTTCTTAATTACAAAAAAAAATATATTATACTTTTTTACTCTAGTGATGATTAATGTCATTTATGTTTTTATCATCTATTTTCTTGTGTTTCTCTTTATTCTCTTTATTCTCTTTCTTCTCTTTTTATTCTCTTATCTCTACTTCTTGAAAATGTGTTTATTATCTTATGTTTATTATTATTATTACTATCGGCAAAATCAGAAAAGAATTCATCATAGACTCATACTTTATCACGACCAAATATCCCATTTCCACATTTTTATATGACGAAGCAAATGAAAATAAAAGATTTCTCTCTATTTCTCTACTATAACTTAACTTATAACTTATACATACAATTATATTATATTATTAATATTTAAATATTTAAATATTTATTATGTCATGTAGTATTTTGGTCCATCACCTCCTTCAGGTACTGTCCAAGTAATATCTTGAGTTGGTACTTTAATATCACATGTTTTACAATGAATACAATTTTGACTATTAATTTGAAATTTAACTCCTAATTCTTCATTTTCATCAGGAATATATTCATAAACTCCAGCAGGACAAAATCTTTGTTCAATTCCTTTAAATTCAGGATAATTTCTTGCCGCATGTCTTCCTGTATCTTGAGCAGGAATTCTTAAATGACATTTTTCATCTTCATCATGATGAGTTCCTGTTCTTGATACTGAGGTTAAAATATCAAAAGTTAATTTTCCATCAGGTTTTGGATATTCAATAGGACTATAATTCTTGGCAGGTTTAGTTTTACCAGCATCAGTTAAATGATGTCCAAAAGTCCATGGTTCATGACCAAATGTAAGCATAGTAGTCATTCCTGCATGACATATACCTCCAAGGAATCCTAATTGAGTTGTAAATGATGGTCGAACATTTCTAACCGCATATAATTCTTTTGATGCCCATGATTTTTCAAATTCTGTAGCATAAGATTGTAAATCAATTGGAATATAAGATGCATCTTCAAATGTTTCTTCATCAACTGCTCCTAATTCTTTAATAGTTTCAAATATTTGTTCAGCAGCCACCATACCTGATTTCATAGCTGTATGAGTTCCTTTAATTTTAGGTACATTCATAAATCCTGCACTACATCCAACTAATATACCACCAGGGAAATGTAATTTAGGTATAGATTGATAACCTCCTTCATTTAATGCACGAGCAGCATAAGAAATACATTTACCACCTTCTAATACATTAGAATAAAATGGATGAGTCTTCATTTTTTGAAATTCTTGATATGGAGATATATATGGATTCTCATAATCTAATCCAATTACAAGTCCAACAGCTACTAATCCATCGCCAAAATGATACATAAATCCTCCTCCATATTCAGAAGTACTTAATGGGAATCCCATTGAATGAGCTACAAGACCCTTTTCAAAATTATCAGGTAAAACTTCCCATATTTCTTTAATACCTAATCCATAGGTTTGAGGGAAACTATTGGCTCTTAAATTAAATTTAGATATAGCTTGTTTTGATAATGAACCATGACATCCTTCTGCCAATACAGTTACACGAGCATGAAATTCCATTCCTCTTTCAAATGAACTTTTAGGTCTACCATCTTTACCAATACCTAAATCATTGGTAGCTACTCCTTTAATTGCATCACCAGATTCATTATAAATTAATTCACTTACAGATACTCCAGGATATAATTCAACCCCTATCTCTTCAGCTTGTTCTGATAAATATTTAACCACATTTGAAAGAGAAGCAATAAAATTTTTATTCTTATTAGTCATTTGAGGAGGTTCAGGCATTGGATAAGCACTATTTTTAGTTAAAAATCTCATACAATCTCTTGTAGCTTTAGTAACCATATCTGGTGGTAATGGTATGCCACCAGTTTGTTCAGTTAATTCACTATTAGGAAATAATTCTAAAAATGGTTTAGGTTCTAATACTGCTCCACTAACTATATGAGATCCAAAATCTCCTGCTTTTTCAAGTACTACTACTCTTAAATCTCCATTACCATGTTCATTATCTAATTGTTTTAATTTAATTGCAGTAGCAAGACCTGCAGGACCTCCACCTACAATACAAACATCAACAGAATCACTTGCTCTTTCTTCAGTAAGAATTGCTTGTTCTTCTTCTGAAAGTACTTCAAATAAAACTTCTCGATTTGATTTGGATGGACTAGATAGATGTCTAATATGTACAGAATTAAAATTATATTTATAATTATAATTTAAATATGAATTTACTAAGGAATTATTATTTCTACTAACTGTTCGAAGTAAATTACTTCTACTAATATAACGCACTGATTTAGTAGCTATTCTAGTATAATTCATGGTTATATTGACAAATTGATAAATTGACAAGTAATAACAACTAACTTATACTAATTTTTCTAACTATTAAACTCCCTAATAAAAATCCCCACAAGCCGTACCTCCTCGTTATAGATTTTTTTAAGTATAGGTAAGGGTATTGTCCCCAATTTTTCAATCTGATGATTCATCGGGGACTCTGGCTTTGTGTCACATTTGGCTTTAAATCATTGAGCGAATCACATGAGTCAAATTGCTAATGGGGATACTCGCCCCATTTGGGCTAGGCGAGAGATTATAAATTATAGAGTGTTAATAGAGTGTGTATGTTAGCTTCTAGTAGTGGGAAGTGATTATTACAGTCAATTAATTGGCGATTGTTTCAGGGGGGTTTTAGAGTGCAGGGAGTTTTATAGTTTTAGGGGAATTTTGCAATCATACTGGAGAAATTTGTCAGTTGTATAGAACAGACACTGAAAGTATGAAGTAATGAGTTGATGGGGGATAGAAGTAGAAAGTAATTAAAGAATGTATAGGAAAATAGAGTGTAATATGTAATAAATAAAGAATTTAATATAGTTAGGGATAGTTATTAGAAGTGTGGTATGACGTTAAACTAAAGTAGTTAGTGAGAAATTACGTAGTGCGAGACTCATAGTCACTACAAATTTATAGTTACAGTTAGTAGTCAGTTACTAGAGTACACAGTAAATACACAGTAGTTACACAGTATATGCACAGTATATGCACAGTAGATGCACAGTATATACACAGTAGATATACAGTAATTACAAGTAGTTATTGTACAGTACTCAGTAGTTACAAGTTACGCAGCACAGCACTAAATCTATATTACAGCTCTCATGTATTACAGTATATACTTAGTCTAGGACACCCAAATAGTCAACTCTCTTTTATCATCACTATCAATCATAAACTCATTAACCATATCAACTGCCAATATCCAATCATCATTGGAATCCATAACTACAAAATCTCCGTCTTCATCCTTATACTTCAACTTATTAACTAAAATATCATCAGAAACTAATTGACTACTAGCAACTTTACTAGATATTTTCAGATATAATTCAGTAAATTGAATATTTGATGAAACAATTATAGCATCAGGAATTTCTTTAGAATTATATATAACTTTAACAAGAATTTCATTACCAGTAAATCCTCCTTCAACTGCAGCAGTTATTGGAGTATTAGTAGTTTGACTACCAAGTTGTCCACCAGATAATCGAGATGATTCAAATCCTCCTGATCTAGCTCGTGCACTTCTCATCATACTGAATGTAGATGATGATGAATGATGACGAGTAGATCCATTTGAAGATCTTGAAGATTGAGAATCATGAACATTTGGAGGTGATCCATTACTTTGAGCATATGCAGCAGTATAATCATATATAGTAGAATCATTAGAAGCTTGAGAATCTCTTAATTTTTTATGAATATGACTATTCATTTCATTAGCCTTTAAAGTTCTTAAACAATTTTCCCATTGATTTCTAATTTCTTCTGTTCTATATCTTAATGTAAATGATCCACTTTCCTTTTTACCTGACCATGAAATAACTAATGTATATCCAAGATTTGATGGTGCAGATATATTATAAATTTCCAGTATATAAACTCTTCCCTTTAATTCTAATTGAGTTAATTTATCATTTTTGGCACTTGTAAGACTTTCTAATAAATTAGCCGTTGAAACAGATGCACTACTACTAGTCGATTTCTTTCTAGATGATAATATTTTCTTTCTAGGTACTTCAGGTAAAGGAAGTTCTACAAAGAAAAATATAATTCTTTCAAATAAATAAGCAACATATTCCTTTTCAAGTTCAGCATCTTTAACTCCAACTGTTCCATGATGTAATAATTCTCCTTGATCTTTTAAATTAAATCCTCTCCAATTACTAACTCGATCATATAATTGCAGAACATATTCTACATTTTCTGATCTTCTTTGAGCTTCATTAACTTGATTAGCTACATCTGTCATAGCACTTCTTGCCATAACTAATTCATTATAAACTGCTGATGTTGGAATATTTGAATCAATAGATTCTGGAGCATTTTTAATTAATTCTTTTAATAATAATGGATATTTACATAATCTTTGAATTGGTTTAATTACATATGATTGTAATTCAAATCCTGGATCTAATAAAGTTGAAGATTTTTTTAAATTAACTGCTTCTTTATTAATTATATCTAAAGCATTTAATTGACCAACTGTCCAAGGTTCATATACTTTAAATGGACCTTTAGAAGCATGAATAAATACAGATCCAATTCTTTGATATTTATATGGTACATTTATATTACATTCTAATCCCATAAGGAATCTTCTTTGAAAATCAATAATTTCAGTTAAATTAGGGAAAATTGAATGAATTTGTTCATTAGGTAAAATTTCTGCCTCTAATAATTCCTTTTGATATTTTGAAAGTAATTCTAAATCTTGAAGATACTTTCTTTCAGTTTCAATAAGTTCTTTAACTACTTTAGATCTATCATCAGTTATAATAACTTCTCCAATTGGAGGTTGAGGAGAATCTTTATCAATTTCAAATCTAGCTTCTTCTTTACTATCTAATACTTTATTAACAACTCGAATAATAGTTAATAAATCATTTGTACTATCCAGAAATACATTAGAAATTGTAAACATAAATTCATCATCAAATTTTAATTTACTTTTAACAGCAATTAAAAAATCATAAACTGATTTTTTACACATTCTTAAATCATCACTTTGTAATACAGGTACTTCATAACTTGGAATAACATAATTTAATATAAGACATAATGGAGCTCCTTGTTGAAATAAACTCCATAATAATGTTGCAGGATCAACACTTATATTTGCAGGTAAAATACCAGCAGTAAATGTATGAATATTATTTAATTGCAGTTTTGAAGATGTAGAATTATCAGAATTAGAAGAATCTATTGAACTTCTAAATCCATTATTATCTTGTTGAATTTGTTGAGAAAGTGCTAAAGCTTGTTGTTCAGCTAAACCTTCAGCTACATTATAAGCTTTTCTAAGGAAATAATCCATTCCTTGAATCTTACTAATTCGTTGTTTTAAAGATTCAGCTTTAAAGTATAAATGATCCTGTGGAGTTGATTGACGATTAAAATTAACATTTAATGTCTGTATAGGTCCCAGAGGAACTCTTGTAATAGATGTTGAAGAAGAATTTAAAGAAATATTAGAACTTGTAGAAAGTGACCGGAATGGAGCATTTGGTGCTTGTTGGTTACCGTCTATCATGACTTGTTTGGTGGGTGGCTGGTAACTGTAAGTGGAGAATAGTTAAAGTTACCAACGAGCCTTTAGACGAGTTGTTGATTTTTTTAGGCGATATTTTTTCGGTATGGAATTTTCGTTATGAAATTGTCCTTAGGGACTAACAATGTGGAGCAGAGGAGTGAGGGTTGTGAGGTTGGGGTGAGAGTGAGAGTGATAGTGAGAAAGGCCGCGAGTGCGGGTTAGTTTAGGGAGAAGAGCCGCAGGAGAGTGAGATGATGGGCGTAGTGAGAGTAGTAAGAGTACAGCGTGGTCAGTGATTGATTAGTTGGTTAGTGGTGTGTTAGTTAGTTAGTAATTAGTGTAGTGAACATAGTTAGTGAATAATTAGTGATTGGGTATAATTAGTGTAACGTATTTAGTGTAGCTGTGGTAAGGATTACTGTGTTAAGTACTGTTAGTGGTGAGACTTGTAACTGTGACAACTGTATCCATCTTAATTTATCCCAATCGGGCAATAGCCAGACATGAGATTAGTTGCATAAAAGGGTTCGAATAGGAAGTTCTCATTACCCAATTGGGAACACAATCGAGGTGGATCTACGCGTCTTATTATATACAACATATACAATTGTTTATGTCTATATATTAGATAACTATTACTAACTTACTATGATTTACTATTATTATTATCGTGCAGTATTTCTACGCCCATTTCTACCATTTCTATCTACTTTTTCCGGTTTTTTCATAACAGTAAGTACTGTACCTTGATCACTAGAATAAGCAAATGATGTCTTATTTGGGAACCATTCAATGGCTGAAAATGTCATTTGTCCTGATTCACTATTAGGTACTTCAAATACTCTATCTCCTGATACAGTATCATAAATTGCAATATTTTGACTTTTATCATAACTTATAGCTATATAAGTTCCATCTCTACTAGCATCTAAACATGCAATAGATTCATCAATATCACTAATAACTTTAGTATGTAACATAGTTTGAGTATCCCATATACTAACAACTCCTTCACCTGATCCAACTGCAAAATATGTACCTCTTGGATCAATAACTATCCCAGTAGCTGATGATCTATGACCAGTAAATTCTGTTTTAAATTCAACTTGAGCAGTTATTCCATCTTTTTCATTAGTAGTTAATTTATAAATTGGTATATTACCATTATGTAATGCAAGTATGAAAAATGAATGATTATAATGAAACCATTGAACATCATAAATAGGTTCAGTTATACTTGTTAATTCATAAATTTTCTTATAATTATGTTCTACTGAAAAGAATGATACTATAGACTCTCGATCAACAGTAATTAATATTAATCCATCACTAGAATATCGTACAGTCTTTAAAGATGTTGGTTCATTAGAATCTCCCTTAAATACTCGGAATTGTCTCTCTAATTGTGCTGTATGTGCATTCCATATTTTTACATATTCATCTCTACCAACTGAAGCAAATGAATGCTCAGTATTAGGTTCCCAACTTATACTTTCTACTGCCTTAGCATGGGCATCTTCTATCACAAGTGCATCATCAATCTTATCCGGATAACATCTCCATATTCTTATAGTTTTATCAGTTCTTGAAGTAACTAATTTCGTACCAGTAGCATTTATAGAGATTATAATAATCTCTGATGATGATAATGAATGTCCAGGCAAGGGAGCATCCTTAACTGATAATGGAGTAAAGTTCTTAAAGAAAGTCTTATTATTTCTAGAGTTATTACTTGCCATTATTCACTAATTGTTAACTAATTACTCAGTACTTTAATTGCTCACTAAATATAATTATTCACTAATTCTTCACTAATTCTTCACTAATTTATTTGATCTTCCCCGGCCGATATTTTGCTTGCGTAGTGAAAAATTAAATTCTCGACAAAAAAGTTTAGCCCGATATCTGGACCGAACAGGTGGCATTATATAGCAAAGTGAAGTATGTCTACGACTCAAAGGCCTAAATTGATATCTATCGATGCTTTTGCAAAGACAGTTGAAGATGCTCGAATTCGTACAACATCTGGTGGAATTATCACTTTAATATGTGTGGCTATTGTACTATTTTTAATTCGAAGTGAATATCTTGAATATACTACAATTATAACAAGACCTGAATTAGTAGTAGATAAAGATATTAATAAACAATTAGATATTCATTTGGATATATCATTCCCTAATTTACCTTGTGATATGATTTCTTTAGATTTATTAGATGAAACTGGTGATGTTCAATTAGATATTTTACAATCTGGATTTCAAAAATTTAGACTTATTCATGATTCTAATGGTCAAGTAACTAATGAAATTTTAGATACTGATTCTCAAACTTTAAATAACGATATATCCTTATATGAATTAGCTAAAGGTTTAAAAGATGGCGAACAAGGTGAATGTGGTTCATGTTATGGAGCTTTACCTCAAGATAAACATCAATTTTGTTGTAATTCTTGTGCTGCTGTCAGATTAGCTTATGCTGAAAAGAGATGGGGATTTTATGATGGTTCTAATATTGCTCAATGTGAAAGTGAAGGTTATGTTAAAAGAATTAATGCTAGAATTAGTACTGGAGAAGGTTGTAGAGTTAAAGGAACTTCTCAAATTAATAGAATATCTGGAACTTTAGATTTTGCTGCTGGTGCATCATTTACAAGTGGTGGTCAACATGTTCATGATCTTTCTTTATATGATAAACATCCTGATAAATTCAATTTCGATCATACTATTAATAATTTAGCATTTGGTTCAGTAGTTCCTGAAGTCAAATCTACTCATTCATTAGATGGACATAAAACTGAACTTGGAAAGAAGGCACATTTATTTTCATATTATTTAAAAGTCGTAGCTACTAGATATGAATATCTTTTCACTAAGAAAGCTACAATTGATACTAATCAATTCTCCGTAATAACTCATGATAGACCCTTAAAAGGAGGTAAAGATGAAGATCATGAACACACGTTCCATGCTAGAGGAGGTGTACCAGGTGTATTCTTCCATTTCGACATTTCACCATTAAAGATAATTAATAGAGAAGAATATGCAAAGACTTGGTCTGGATTTGTACTTGGAGTTATAAGTTCAATTGCAGGAGTATTAATGGTAGGAACTCTTGTAGATAGATCAGTATATGCTGCTGAAAAAGTTATTAGAACTAAAAAGGATTTATAAAATACTCCCTACATATATAAAATGTTTAATATACATAATTAATATTAACTATTTACAACGAACTATATATATTTATATATATGATGGTACATGCTGAAACTTAAATTACACGTCACTGAATAAGTGATTGATTTCGTAATAATACTTTGCATCCAACTTATCCTTTAATTCTTCTTTGGTTAACCATAAGTATTTTAATGATTCATCTTGTGGTTTGAATTCACCAGATAAGATATGAGACTTAATAATGAATTCCTTTTTATTTTCAGCTTGATTAATATGTAAATGACATGGAGTATTAGAAACATTAAAGTAATTAATTTTTTCACCTCCAAGTTGATACAAACCATCTTCGGCTAATTTATGTAATGCAGTAGGTACTTCAGATGATTGTTCAGTAAAGTTTGGAAGAATCCATTTTCCATTTTGATTTATAATTAAATATAATGTACGACTTAATTTCCTTTCTAAACTTGTAAGATCATTAACTTTATCAGCTTCAGTTATACGAGAATTTGGAATAATTTGACGAGCTAAATCATTTTTAGAGACTACAGGAAGTGTTTCACCTTCAGCAAGATCTTCTGCTAGTTTATAAGTCTTTGGAAGTTTAATCTCTTGTTTAAATCTTCTATCTCTTCTATGTCTAATTTCAGGTTTACCTCTTGGAAATTCAAGATCTGGATTATAAGCTACAGGATCTCTATTCAATTGACGATATCTTTGTTCTGCTAAAGTACCTTCTCTAAAATAAAACCATTTAGGGAATGTCCACATTAATCTTCTCCATAATTCTTGTTGATATTTATAGAATTGACTTTGAAATGGATCTAAATCTGCCGTTACAACTGGATTTCTTGACAACAATAAACTCGACGATATTATTGGACTTGACTTGGTGGCATACGCTCTAATAGCGGACCTTCTTAACCCTCCAATCATCTCACTACCTGTAGGTTCTTAATGGATACCTCTTAATATTTCATACAATTTTTCACTTATGATTCGAAATTTTTTTAGCATAATTTTTCGGGCTGGTCGTGTGCTTATGGTGAATAATTCTCGAAGGCGGGTAAATGACCCAAAAAAGTATATAAAGCTGTTCAAATTTCCCAGGGGGTAATGACTGTAAATTTTTTTAAAGGCAATAGCGTCAGCAATATCAAAAGGATTTGTTGTGAATTAAGTAAGTTTTACAGTCCATATATATATATAGATAGTATATCAAAAGTATAGAGGACGTAATCAAATACAGAGATTGATTGTAATAATAACGCAATACAAGTAACGATATAGCGACTAAATCAAGGGGGTTGTATAGAAAATTTTTAACGTAGTAAATTTATTGAATTCATCCATAAAAAACCAATTTATTAAATCCTAATAGACCGTATAAGTCTTTGTATCGTAATTTCAAACTAATCAAACAAAATAAAATAATATTGTATTTATTAGTAATTTTAAAATAATGTCGGTAGAAGAATTTGAATCCATATTAAAAGAATTAAGATTGAAAACATCTTCTAGTATTTCTGGAAGTCGTATTAGTAAATTAGTTGCATTGGCCGTACAAAATGTTGCATCTGAATCCAAATTAATTAGTATTCTTTATTCTAATTGTAAAGCAGCACCATCCCAAAATAAAATTGCTACAATGTATGTTGTTGATGCAATAATGAGAGCATATAGCGATGAAGCTAAAAAAGCAGGAGAAACTATTGATTCTCTGGCTCCAGAAGGTACTTTTGCTTCAGGTGTAGTTAAAATAACTGAATTAATTGAATCATTATTTGATGATGCAATGGAATTACAATTTGAACCTTCTATGAAGAGTAAGTTTTCTAAATTAGTGGATTTATGGAAAAAGACTCAAACTTTTAGTCCTGAACTTATCGAAAAATTAAATAAGAAGTATTTTGCTTCAACGACTCCTCCTGGTTCACCTCCAAAGGCTAATATTGAACCTGTCAAACCTAAAGCAGAAAATTCATCTGAACCTAGTAGTATTTTACTGTCTTTAGCTTCTATTGCTAAATCTTCAACTCCAACATCTGAAGTTGAGCCTCCAAAGAAAGATACCACTAGTATATTGTCTCAACTTTCTGCCCTCTCAAATGTTACTAATGGAGCTCCAACTAATCAAGCTGCCCCAGTAGGTGGCCAAGGTCCTGATATATTAAATGTACTTCAACAAATGCAACAAAATGTTTCTTATCAACAACAACAACAAGCACCTCAACAGCCACAATATCAACAACCACCACAACATCAAGATCATCATAATTATCAAAGAGAATCTCGTCAAGATTCTGGTTATACTAGAAGAAATAGATCGAGATCTCCAAATAGAGGAGGATTTATTAGATCACCTCCACAACATCAAGCTGCTGTAAATGAAAATAATCAATTCGCTCCTGGTAATTTAGGAGGTGAAATGAATGTCCCAGGATCTGAACATTATCGTCCTCGTAATGTAGGTTTTGATAGTAATGTTCCTCAAAATACTTTTAAAGTATTATCAAGAACTTTATTTATTGGAGGTGTTCCAAGAAATATGGATGAAACTAGTTTAGCAGCAGTTTTAAGACCATTTGCCGAAGTTCAATCCATTATTTTAAATAGCGAAAGAAAACATGCATTTGTAAAAGTTTATTCCAGACATGAAGCAGAACAAGTTATTACTCTGTTTAATAAAGATGGGAAATTACCATTAAGAACAAGATGGGGAGTAGGATTTGGACCAAGAGACTGTTGTAATTATCAACATGGGATTTCAATGATTCCAATGACAAGATTAACCGATGCTGATAAATCATGGGTAGTTAATGCTCAATGGGGTGGTACTGGAGGTCAACCATTACAAGCAGGTATGGTAATTGATGAACCAGATATTGAAATTGGTACTGGTATTTCATCTAAAGCTATGTCTAAGAAAATGCCAACCAATTCTGCTAGAAATGGTCCAAAATCAAATAGACCTGGTGAACCTGATGAAGATTATGTCAAGACAACTTTAATTGGACCTCCAGGTGGTCAAGCTAATCAACCACCATCACAATTTGCCCAAGGATCTAATCCATTAGCTGGATTATTTGCTAATTCAAATACTCAACCACCAGTTGTAGCAGGAGGATATCAAGGATCACCTCAAGGTGGTTATCAAGCACCAGTACCTGCTCAAGGTGGATATCAAAATTATCAAAGTCCACCTCAAAATTATCAACAACCACAATATCAAAATTTCAATAGTTTCCCACCTCAACAACAACCACCTCAAGGTCAAGGATATAACCAAGGTTATTCGAACTATTATCAAGGACAGTAAATACCTATATATAAAACTATAATAAAACTATAAATCTATATAATGAAGTTTAAGTAATTAATTCTATACAAACTTTTTGTAATTTATATCTCCATATTCTTATATACATATCTCTATAATCATATATAGCAATACTCTACTAACCCTATTAAAGTTATATCTGTACAATTACTACAGTTAGATAAAATGTCTTTCGCAACTTGACGACTTTTCTATGAGCATCTTGATGCATGCGACACTGTTTACCTTTTGTTAACTATGAATCAACACCATAATTACTACTTCCACCACGACATCTTCCAATTGACTGATCCACCATGTTTAACAAGAAAATGTCAAGCTTAAGTCCCAGTCGAGGGTCTTCACTGGCTCGAGCTATTCATGTACCTAAAAATAATATATTTCTGATCCGTGATTCAAGTTCAGAAGTTAAGCCTATCAAGAAGTATGGCCGTAATAGTAAGAAATACTTTAAGAATATGGCAAAGAATAATGTAGTAGCACGCGAAGAAGAAGGAGAAGAAGAAGAATTTGGAAGATCCAATAGTAGTAGTAGAAGAAGATATAATAATTATACCCTTGAAATTAAAGATGAAGAAATTAAAGATGAGACTACTGATGATTTTGATGATGGAATAATAAAAATCCCTGAGTTAAGTAAAGAACTAATTAAAAAAGATACTCTGATCTTACCGGGATTAAGTGATATTGAAGATGAAGATGAAATAGAAGAAATCCCTCTGTATGATGGGTTTGCTGTTAAAGTAGCCAATGGGAATATATTGCATGAATTGACTAAACAGAATCAATCAAAGATAGATGAAATTAAGAGGAATTATAAAAAGTATAAATTACCAAATACAATTGAATCTAAAAAGAAATTATATAAAAAGGCTAAAAGATATCTTGATATTATACCAAATATACTTAAAGGTAAAGAATCTACATCATATTATTATGAATTAGCTAAAAAGCAACGAGATTCTTCACCTCATGAAACTATGGCTGTGAGTGAAAAATGGGAAATTGATTGGAAGAAATATTTTGGAGGTTATTATGGATTTAAGAGACAACTGTTATTAGGAGATCTTATTAGTAATAAGTTTGATAAAGAATTACGAGCTGCAGAAAAGAGAAATAAAACTGTTTCTTATTGGACTACTAATGCATTCAGTACTTATATTTTAGCCAATGAAATTATTATTCGAATGACTATGGATGATATGAAATTAAGTTTTACTAAGGCAGAAGATATAATTAAATCAACTGTAGAATTTGGAATCATAGTAGCTGATTCTATAGAGATTGCTAATGATGTAACTCCAGAACATGTAGAAACTGCTGAATTTATGAAAGAATTCAAAAGAAATCATGAAGATGAATCACCTATTCAACCATCATCTAAACGATCACGATCTCATAAAGATGTGTTACAAGTAGTTCTTGGTAAGGAGTAATTATAAATTTGTATATAGTATATACACACTATATATACACTATCTATAGTATATATATACACTATCTATAGTATATATATACACTATCTATAGTATATATATACACTATCTATAGTATATATATACACTATATATAGTATATATATACCTATATACTATTTATATATACTGTATAGATCATTAACGTTTATATAGCTTATATACATTTGTATGTAACCCCAGTATATACGCGAGCGATAACGCTGAAAAATTTGTAGCCTGCCCATATCTCAAACCATAACTGGTAAATTATTGGTACTACGGCCAATAAGTCACAATAATCAGCCGAAGTGATACCTGTTAAGAGTTACTGGTCGGTAATAGTGCCGACATTCAAAAGAATACCAATTCGAACATTTCATAAATCTTCAATAATGTTGACTGATAAAGTGTTTGCAACAGAAATTTCAGCCACAGCTATAACTGGTAAAGATGCTTGGAATAGACCAACTCCACAACCAATTACTATATCAGTTAGTTTAGATACCAATTTTCATAAAGCCGCAATTACTGATAATTTAAAACATTCATTAAATTATGCAGTAATATCTCGTAATGTATCAGAATTCATGAGAAGTAATGAACATAAAAATTTTAAATCTTTAGGTAATATTGCTGAAGCTGTAAGTACAATTGTATTAGATGAAAGTAAAGGAGGTGGAGAAATTGCTAATATTATAGTTAAAAGTAAAAAATCAGAAATAAGAGCAGATTCAATCGATTATCTGATAAATCGTTCACGATCTGGTATACCATTAACATCATCAAAAATCCTTGATCAAATTAATGTAACTAAATTAAGATTACTTACAATTATTGGTGTATTTACATTTGAAAGATATAAGAAACAAATTGTTGAAATTGATTTATCATTTAATTTAATTAAACATGCCGATATTTCAATTCATGATATAATTGATGATGTAGTAACTTATGTAGAAACATCAAATTTTAAAACAGTTGAAGCTTTAATAACTAAAATTGGTCAATTAATATTTCAAAAACATGGGAATGGGATAAGTTATATAAATATTAAAGTTACAAAACCTAATGCTATTAGTTTTACTGAAGGAGTAGGTGTATCATCTCGTATGGATATTAATTCATTTAAAGATGTTGAACCAATTAAATTTGAAAATAATCTGGTTCCTACTCCACAACCTTCAGATATTTCATTTAATTTACCATTAGATACAGAAACAAATTCTCAAGGTTGGCATGAAGCATTTATTGCCTTTGGATCTAATGTAGGTAATCAAGTACAAAATATTACTGAAGCATTAAATTTACTTAATGAAAATGGTATTAAAGTAGTTGCAACATCTTCATTATATGTTTCTAAACCAATGTATCATATAACTCAACCGGATTTCTTAAATGGAGTAATTAAAGTTGTATTTGAAAATAAATCTCCTGATGATTTATTAAAGGTTTTAAAGAAAATTGAATATAATCATCTTAAACGAGTTAAACTTATTGAAAATGGTCCTCGATCAATTGATTTAGATATTATCTTATATGATTCTATTAGTATAAATACTCAAGATTTAGTTATTCCTCATAAATCAATGTTAGAAAGAACCTTTGTTATGCAACCTTTATGTGAATTAATTGGACCTGATTTTATTCATCCAGTTACAGCAGAACCAATTCATAATCATTTAAATCAATTACTTAAAAGTTCTCCAGAAAGTAATTTACAAGATTCTTCATTACTTTGGCAAGTGAACCCACTCGCCCATCATAATATTGAATTAAATCCTCTTAAATTTGATCCATTAACTAATAAGAATCCTACTTTAATTATGGGAATTTTAAATATTACTCCTGATTCATTTAGTGATGGAGGTAAAAATTTTAAACAATCAACCAATGAAATTATTAATACTGTTAGTAAACTTTTACAAGATGGAGCAACAATAATAGATATAGGTGGAGTATCTACAAGACCTGGTAGTACTGAACCATCAGAAGAAGAAGAATTAAATAGAGTTATTCCTATAATTAAAGCCATTAGATCTTCTACTGATGTCAAAGTATCTAAATGTTTAATTTCAATCGATACTTATCGAGCTAAAGTAGCTCAACAATCATTAGAAGCAGGAGCAGATATAATTAATGATGTATCAATGGGATTATATGAACCAGAAATATTTGATGTAGTAGCTAAATTTGGTTGTCCATATATAGTTAATCATACTCGAGGTAAACCCGATACAATGAGTCAATTAACTAATTATGAATCCAATACTAATGATGATATTACTGAATATATAATTGATCCTAATGTAGGACATTTAGAAATAAATCAAGGACCTGAAATTGAAAATTTAATTAATGGAATTTCAAGAGAATTAGCCTTACAATTACTTAAAGCATTTGATAGAGGAGTAAGAAAATGGCAAATAATTCTTGATCCAGGTATAGGATTTGCCAAAGATATTAAACAAAATTTAGTTATATTAAAAAATGCTAAATTATTTAAGAAATATGCTATAAGATATGATGCAAAGGATGAAAATATGATTATAAAACATTCATATTTAAGTTTTAATGGATTACCGATGTTGATAGGTACTTCAAGAAAGAGATTCTTAGGATCTATAACTAATCAACCTGATGCTTCTAAAAGAATCATTAGTACTTCAGCATCGATAATTGCATGTATTGAACAAAATACTGATATTGTTCGAGTACATGATGTTAAACAAATTAAAGAAGCTTGTATGATTGGTGATGCAATTTATAGAGATATTATTAACATTAATAATTAAGTAGATTTCCTAGTTAATCGTTTCTTCATTTTATTTGTAATACTTTTATTCCAAACCACTCCACTCATAATTGATCGATGAAATCCATAAACATCATGAACATCTTGTCCTAATAATAATGTTTGTCTTTCTTCATCAGTAACTGCTATTGAAGTATTCTTCTTTTTATTATTTAATTTCTCTCGTTGTTTAGATACAAATTCTCTACATGTATCTATCTCTGCTTGTGATAATGATCCATAACCATAACCACCAATTTTTTTAAAACAATTACCTAAAACTTCATTAGGATCTAAAAGACTTTTAGGATAACTTTGCATAAATTGATATAATTCTACTTGATCATTTTGACTAGAATTTGTCAGAGTTAATTCTTGAAATTCATTTGTTTCTGAACTCATTTTAAATAATGTTAATCCAATTCGAAATATAGTTTTTGATCCTTGATACCATAAAATATCCCATATTCTTAAAGTTGATTCAATTGGTAATACTCCAACAAAAAGGGACATAAACCATGGAGATGTTACTAATGCAATAGGAGGTAAATTACTAAGAATTTTATCTTCAGCAATTAATTGTCCATCAAATGATTTACCTAAAATAGGCCATAATTGATTAATATATTCCTTTATACATAACATTAAAACTCCTTGATCGGTATGAACTCCTTCTAAATTATGACTATGAACATTGGGTATAATTCTTTCAGTTAATATAACTAACATCCAAAACGATCGTTCTTCATTCATAAATAATAGTAGAAGTCCTGCTAAAAAATTTAATGATTGACAATAACCAATTTGTGGTTTATAATGAGCAAATGCTGTTAAAACTCTTCGTAAACTTTGAATCATTTTTGGTTCATTATTATCATTAGATTTAAAATATTTATTATCTGGGAATGTTCGATCAAGATCTCTTTCAATTACATCTGAATCCTTATTTTTAACTCCATTAGTGGCTATTTCCTTATATAATCCATTATGTTTACTAAGTTTTTCATATCCTCCAGCATAATAAAACCATGCATTACCTCTCCATTCAGGGGGAATTCCCTTTCGAATTAATTTTTTAACTTTAGCTGATTTTGGAGGGAATCTTGTCGGTATAGTTGAATCATTGGGAAGATTTAATCCATTAGTTCTCATTAATGATAACCATTTTTGCTTTCTTTCAAGTAAATACTGAGAATATTGTTCAAACCATTGATTATAATGTTCAGGAGTTATAGAACTAAGATTAGATTTCTTTTTAAATCCATACATGTCATATGGAGATGATAATATGGTTTTAATATTAGTAATATTATTTATGGGGGTAATATATTCAATTCTTTCTTCTATATATGAATTGGAATTTAAATTTAAATTTAAATTTAAATTTGAATTTGAATTTATTTCAGTCTCGGATCCATTGGATGCAAATAAGGTATTATCATTGGAAAGATCTTTAAATTCCAATTCATCTAATCCTCTCATAATTTCATCACCTAATTCATTATTAGTAGTTGTAGGACTTCGAGCGGATATTGGAGATTCCGTTTCATAGATATCAAGTACTGAATAACTAGTAGAATAGGAGGATTCTGTACGTTTATGACCAGACTGCTTGGGAGTACTCACTTCAAGTGTCGGATCGAGAAACTGTGACATATGGGTATAATCCTCCTTTTGGTTATTCAGTTAATTTAATCAATTGATTAATAAATAGAGCCATCTTTAACTTTAACTATGGAGATCATAGAGTTGAAAAAAAGTCGCACTAAGGTACCAACGCGACATTTTTCCCCATTAAAGGCTAAGCCCCAAGAATTAACTACGTACCTATAATTAAATGATATTTAGATATTTAGATATATGGTAATATAAGATAAGACAATATATAACATCATAATATAGGCCTATTATTAATTATCTAGCATTATGTATTGGAGAAACAGTTGGTCGGAGGGACAAATGTATCCTTCGTGTATGCATCTCACACTTGACGAAGGTATGCTTGTTTCTCACGACTTATACTCGCCTGTTCAATACATTAAACAATTTATATATCATCAAGTTTGTTATCAACATGAAATTCCTATGTTAAATACTAATACTGGATTAGTTATAGATAAATTCAGTCAACCATTACCTATAGTTAAAGAATCATGGCGAGATTTTACTAGAAATAATGCTCGAGGTTCATTTGCTTATAGTGTTGTATCAATAATTTATGCATTATCAGTTCTGGGAGTTATTACTTGGTTTTTAACAATATTTGTATTAACAAATTATACTATTAGACCATCAATAATTTTACAAGCTTCAACATTATTATCATCAGTATATATTCTTGTTGTGGTTATAAAATCCATAATAATTTTACATGATCAACAACGTGATGGTTACCTTCATGGAGCTAAATTACTTGATAATATTAATGCTAATAGTGCTGTAAATATTCTTGATCTAATAGTAGTATTATTATTACAAATTAATCAAGTTCAAGTAATTATGAGAATCTTTCTGAGACAAAGAGATAAAAGATTAACATTTTTAGTTGGATTAGTGGCATCAATAACTTCTCAAGTTATTTGGGCAGTAACTAAATTTCATACATTTCCTGATAATAATGAAGCTGGTGATATATTACCTGCATTTATTTATCTTGTTAGAATTGCTATGGGATTATGTTATGCTGCTATAATATCGGGATTTCAAATTAGTAAGATTCATTATATCATTGCTAATAAAAGTATTTGGTTAATATCATTATTAACATTTATTTTAATTTATAGCCCCGTAGCATTTTTCATTGCTGATGTTTCAAATGCCTTTGTATATGAATTATCAGAAATATTCTCAGTAGTAACTTATGTTATTTGTGTGGTAATACCTTGGGAATGGTGTAATAAATTTAATGTTATAATGAAACTAAAAGAGAAAGAAGGAGTATTAGGAAGAAGATTTTATGAAGATGAATTATATGAACTCGATAGATTCGAGTTATTTGTAGAGGAAGATACTGATATTGATGAACAAAATAGTAATGATAATGACAATGATGACAATGATAATGATAATAGTCATGATCATAATGATAATAGTAATGAAAATTCACAGGATAATAATAATGATGGTGATAGACAAATTGAAGGAGATTCTGATAATAATCAAGATACTCCATTCACAAGAGCAAAGAAGGTTCTCGAAGCATTAAATAAAACAAAAAATGCATTTATAAGTATAACCGATGGAATTATTGCAGCTGGTTTTGCAATACCTCGATCGGTAAGTATATCAACCTCTAATGAAGCAAAAAGTAGAAATAATCATATGGAAGAGATAGCAGCACAATTATCTAATTCTCGATTTATTCAACCAACTAATGAAACTACAGCTACAGCTACAGTATCTAATGTTGAAACTAATACTACTGTCCAACAAGCTCAACCATCAGGTACCCGTAATAGACGGAATGTATATGTGTATTCTAGAAAAGAGGTAGTTATAGATTTCTCTGATGAAGAATAAATAAATATATATGTTTGTATATACTACTACACTACTTCTCTCTCGTCCTTATCCTCCTCCTTCTTTTCATGACCCTTTTTAGCTATTCTTAAACATTCATCTTCATAACCAGGAATATGAATATATTCAATCTTGTTATCAGTAAATTTCTTATAACACGAATTATCCTTAACAAATATATCTGGTTCAGCTACTCCAACAAAGCAAGTCTTTATATTGGTATCTAAGATTCTATCGGCACATGGTTTATTCCCACTTAATCGAAGTGTACATGGTTCCATAGTAGTATATATCTCAGTACCTAAGGGTAATTCACGTTTACCTATTTGTTCAAAATACTTTTCTAATGCACATTGTTCAGCATGAGTATTACCAGGCAATTCTCGAGAATGTCCAGTAGCTAAAATTTCTCCTCTATTTACAAGTACAGCTCCAACATTAAATTGAGTTTGAGTTTCTCCACATTTATCTGCTAATGTAACTGCCAATTCCATAAACTTTCTATGAGGTGAAAGTGCCCATTCGGGATATTCAGTTCTATATGACCATGACTTATCAGCCGCTTCATATTTATAAGCATGAAGCCATAAGTCAAGATCATTAGGACCTGGATCAGAATATATTGGCATCCCACTAACTTCACATATTTTACCAGTTAATATTTCACCATCTTCTTGAGGATGAAACCAACTTGATGAAGATCTTTCCTTCCCTATTTTATCAAGCCTTAAGATAATTTCTTCTGTATCTCCTTCATTATTCTTTCCTAGATTCTTTCCCCATACAAATTCATTAGAATAAATAGGATCATTGGCAATAGGGTGTCCTAAATATTGAAGATGAACTCGAATCTGATGGGTTCTTCCTGTAAGGGGCTGACATTTAACTATAGATGTATTTGTTTCTGGATCATAAGATACTCTTCTAAATATAGTTTTAGCTTCTTTACCATCTTTTATATCTACTCTATTTAAACCAAGTTTATGAGCTACAGTTCTTAATGGTTGATCAACTTCAGTTTCTTCTAATGGGAATTCTCCAATGACTCGGGCTAAATATTCCTTTCTAACACTTCTTTCTCTAATTTGTTTAACAAATTCATCAGCTCCCTTAGCTGTTTTACCAAGAAACATTAATCCACTAGTAAGTCTATCAAGTCTATTACAAGGATGAACTATTTTACCAAATTCATGTTGAAATATTTTGGTTATAGTATTATATCTATATCTACCAGTTGGATGAACTGGGATTCCTGAAGGTTTATCTATAGCTATAATATTTTCATTTTCAAATACAATTTTAATCTCTCGTGAACTTACTGGAGGTTCACGACGATAAGTTCTATGACTAATTAAATCTCCATTACGTACAATAGATTCTAAATTAGCTGGTTTCTTATTTAATGTTACCAGACCTTCAGATATTGCTTTACGATAATATTCAGGTGCTCGATCTCGAAATTCATCAATAAATATATCTATCAATTTTCGATCTCTCCATCTCATTTTACAATAAGTTAAATATGTGAAATAATAAGGATGAACTCTTCTTAATCTTCCATCGATAATATAAGAGGCTCCTTCAGATTCTTCTTCTTCAATTGTCTTACCTTCTTGCATGGATTTATCAACGGCTGCTTCTCCTCCAAGTTGTTCATAGGCCGTAAGTGTTTGCTTGTCTAAGGCCTGTCTCTTCATACGAAATCCCTGAGAATCTCGCAATTGAAGACTCGGAGATGCTTCTCGTTTAGTGGCCATGTTTCTCCACGGTATATACAGACTCCAGTTACGTAAGTGTCTTGTGGTAGAGACCATTAACTGGTATAATAAAGCTCTAGTTTAATTTACCATACTTAAACTCAAGCGAAAAAATTATCTATTATGGGCACTACTAAGTATGCTCATCTAATCTATACAACTTAACTAAAGTACCTAAAGTAAACTATAGTAAACTATAGTAAACCTTGCTTCTTTAAATCTAAGTAATCCTTTTCGGACATAACATTACCTTCGGAGTCTTCTACTTCTACAGCTGTCTCTATATCTCCATCCTTTTGCTTTTTACTCTGTTTTAAGGTATTCCATAACTTTTGTGCCTCTTCAATAGATATAATGCTCTTGAAAAGACTCATATATTCATCTTCTACACCAATAAATTTAAGTCCATATTGATGTTTAGGACCTCCAAAGTGTTTAACAAACACACTTTTACCCTTATACGTAATATCTCCACAGATTTCGCAACTGTACGTTTTATGTAAACCTTGAAGTTTGTATAACCAAAATGGAATAGGTTTCCCATCAGCTCCAAGAGGAAGATTTTTATAGTACGAATCTTCGTCATCATTATCAGATTCACTGGAATCAGATGAATCAATATCTTCTTCTGATTCTTCTGTAGCTTTTAATCTTTCAAGTTCTCTTTCTCTTTGAGTCATAGTTAATCTTCGTTCTGTATTGGCTATGGTTGCATCTTTCCAAGTTTTTAATACATTAGCCATATCTTGGATTTTTGTTTCTAATAATTTAATTTCTGAATGGGAAGCTTTTGAGTTTTTAATGTGTTTCTTACCCAGAAGATGGGCATCATACACAGTAGATTTGGTGAAGAGTTTATGACAGGCTTCACAAAATAAGTCATTTGACTCGGATTTGGTGGTGGTTGATGAATTTGTAGTCAGAAGTAACTCTTCCAAATTCGAAAGTGGATGTGTTCTCACAATGAATGATTGTAAATAGTTTGATAAGTTGGTGAGATATTCTTTATATGCATTGACGTTATTGATATTGGATACTGGGAAATTGGTGAATGTGCTAAGATATTCAACATAAGAGATTTCATTATTGGATGTACACAATTGAAATTCATTATACGATGAAGTCAAATTCAAGTACTTCCCATTATCTTCTTGTTCTGTAAATAATTCTGAGAAGTTCAAATGAGAGGCTACTGAACTTAAGATATTCTTACGTTTTTCGTCTTCATTACTAGCGGAATACATTCGATATTGTTGCTTTATATTCTCTGCTTGTGTTTGTATATCATCATGATGCTTATCTTTAATAGCTGCCAAGAGCTCATCGAATCGAGTAAACTTATATTCTGGATCTGCCAAGTCACTTATTTCATCCCTAATAGACAGTATATCCAGTAGCTTATGGTTAAGAACCAATCGAGCTCCTCTTATGTACTTATCCTCAAATAGTTTAATCTCATGCTGTTGGATAAGTCTCTGTTTCTGAGACTTTTTCACTTTACTTACTTTGGCTTTAGGGTTTAACGATGGATTTCGCTTAAATCTATCACTTATTGCTTCTTCTACCACATTTAACTCCTCTAATACTGATCTTTGTACTTCTAGTAGTCTTGACATCACGTGTAGTTGAATATCAGTTCATAGTCTCTATAATCAGTAGCATCGCATACTATATTTTTCGCTGCCAAATTAGTCTAAACAAAAATGTCTCCCTGTCCCCACAGTTTAGTATCTTTAATATAATTATCATTATTATCAGTACTATGACAAATTTACCGGTATATTTATTTACATATAACTGTAATAGGCAGAAAATCAATTCGGAAATCTTTATTCCCAAATTTGAGGAATCACTTCCTGCGGAATTGGCTACATTGTATGTATTTGGTTTACAAGAGTTATGTTCTATATTAGATGGGAGTTTTCCACAAATAGCCAATCAACATTTAATTGGATATAATGAAGTATTTCTTAAAGCACTATCATCTAAATATGGTAAGAGTGATATTAAATTTCAAACCATTTCATTATATCATACCGGTTCAATTGGATTAATTTTAATTACTCCTTATCCCCTGAAATTTAAACATGTACTTTGTGCACTGAGTTCTTGTGGATATGGATATTCAAGTTTAAAAGGTGCGGTTGGTACCAGACTCACTTATGCGAATGATTGGAAACCAGGTTCAGCCACTGTAGATATTTCCGTAGCATGTGCGCATTTGTCAGCTAACGAAGGGGAAGCATATTATCAACAAAGGAATGAAGAAGTTTATGGTTTAATGAGATCATTAGATTTTGGGGATGGATATGGATTAATCAAGCCAGGATCTCATACGTTCTTTTTGGGAGATTTGAACTATCGAACTTCCAAATCGTATGTAGCTAGTTCACCTCTGGCTCAAAGATTATTATCTTCTCAAGATCAATCAATTATACTTCGTGAATCATTTACTGAATTAATTGATACGTTTGATGAATTAACTATAGCAAAACGGAATGGAGATGTATTTACGGGATTTTCAGAAGGTTCAATTGAATTCCCTCCAACTTACAAATATCATATTAATACAGCTATCTACAATTCTAAACGATCACCTTCATGGTGTGATAGAATTCTTTATCAATCTACATATCATACAAATTCAGAACTTGTACCTCGGTTAAGATCTGATGAACAATCTCCTCATATTAAACTCCCTGTAGTTAAACATTATTCCAGTATTAGTTCAATACTTTTATCAGATCATCAACCTGTATATGCATTTATAGTTGTACCTTTCCAAGCTCCTAAATCCATTATTAATTCAAGTGGATATTTGAAAGTGTTACCTAATAGTGATCAGAGATCAGATACTCATATAGTTAGTGGACCAACTCAAGTGTACATTCTCCCTACAAAATTTGATTACATTATACAGAATTATATAAGACATTTACTGGACTTTTTGGTAGGTTCAAGTTTATGGTTAAGTTTTACTAAAAATGGAAGAATATTACTTTTAGTAATAATAGGTATATTATGGTATTTGGTATACGTCTGGTAGTGCGGCCCATACAATTTTTTTTTTTACTTTCTTTCTTTCTTTAATAACTGCAAAGGTGTATTTTGAAAATATATAAATAGATCTGATACTACAAGGATTTTCATTTTTAGACTATAATCATAACGTATATACATAAGTTCCGTGCTATTAGAATTATTTAGCTTAATTAACGATTAACCCATAGATAAATATAGGAAATCAAACAATCAGTTAAAAAAAGTAACATGATCTCATTAGACAAATATTAAATAAGGTAAGAAGTCAACTTCTATTTTACAATTAGAATCAAAAAGGTTGATTAAGCGGTACAATCTCTTGAGATATGACCGGTTTTACCACAATTGTAACAAGTTTTACTTGAAGCAATATCACCACCAGCAGCAGAATTACAGTCCTTTGAGATATGACCAGTCTTTCCACATGCATAACATTTGACATTACCAGCTTGACAATCTCTAGCAAAATGATTTGGTCCACCACATTTATAACAAGTAGTACCATTTGAAGAAGATTTAGCAGGTGCAGATCTTCTTTTAGTGGTAGTAGTGGTAGTTGCAGAACCTCCATTGGCATTACAATTCTTTGAAATATGACCAAATTGTCCACAATTATAACATTTAGATCCTTGAGATAAAGTAGGACATTCAGATTGAACATGTCCTACATCACCACATGAATAACATTGTTTACCAGTTGCTTGCTTTGGATCAGGACATTCAGTAGATTCATGACCTGGTTTACGACAATTGTAACATAATCTTTCTTCTTGTTGACAATTATCAGCCAAGTGACCGACTTCTCCACATTTATAACATGTTCTTGGAAATACAGCTGCCATCTTCAAAATCCCCTATACTAACTAACTAACCTTAACCAACTAAAATACCGTATTTAGCTCTTAGTTTGTTACTGTTCATCTAATCAAACGTGCTTAAATGGGGCCGAAAATTTTTTAGGACCGCTCGCTAATGGGGGGCTTACCCGGACGCGAACAATTATTCCCATACAAATTTGTTAAGGCTAATTAATTACCGATAATTAACTAAAATTAACTAATCTATTAAAGAAGAAAGTTCATTAAATTAGTTAATTAGTTAGTAAATTAGTCAGATATACCAATGCAATATCGGTACTTAATTTCCAAAACATTTGATCCGATTTTTGGTGTGGGCATAGGCGTAGCAGCCTTTTTTGTTCATGAAAGAAGAGCCCAGAGACCTCAAGGTCATACGTTAATAGAGCTTATACGGAATAAGTATGGTTCTAAATGATGGTTAATTGGTTGTAATTGTAATTGACGGTTATATTTATGGTGCTTATGAGTTATGATATTCTAATATATATACTATTTATTTGTATTTGTTTAAACATATATATATACTTAACGTTGTAGTGCCTCTTTGAACTTGGCTAATACAGCTGAACTATGAGCTTCACCAATATCTTGATTAAGTAACTCTTGTATTTGTTTCCAAGTATTGTCTGATACTTCCCATGAGTTAGGGGCAGCATCTGTCATATCCACATCATCAATATCATGAGCTTCTGGTACTACTGGTGCTACTGCCACTGGTGGTGCTGGGGTAGGTGCTGGAGCAGATACCATACAATTAAAAGTTATCTCTTGAGCAGAATCATAGATATTCAGGATTTCGTCAGAGTCATGAACTACTTTAGACTTTTGCAATAATTTCAAATTACTAACTGTAACATGAGCATCTTTAAGTAATGGTAAAGTATCGATCAATTCAGTTTTAATTTTGAGAATAGTTGAACTGATGGGAATATCCTTTAATTCAGTATTGAATTTATATGGAGGTTTAATTGATTTTACTTTAACAGTAATCTTAATATCATTACTACCAGTAGTAGATCTAGGTAATGAAAATTTGAATTTAGGTAAACTAGGACCCAAAGATTGTAACTTATGATAATCATTAGTAGAATTGAACTTTTCTGGTACGGCCGATTCCGACAAGGAAATAAGCTTTAAGTAAGTTTGAGCAAATTGTTTATCACCAGATATCTTAACTACAGTAGTCATAGTGAACTAATTGTCAGTAATTGTTAGTCTGGTACTAATTATACAGTATATAATTGTTGGAATTATAAGCCTACCTACTACTAAATTTAGCGTAGTGCCTTTGGTTTTTTCAGCGAAAATTACTGAGACTCCTCCTACAGTACTGGGCTATACACTAGACTACTCCACCAACTCCATTAAGTATGAGTTTCTTCAAGGCCTTCCGATCCAATAAAACTAACAGTAATACCAATTACAGTCCACTAAGTCAATCCGATGGTTCTTCCTTACCACCACCAGCAACTCAACCTGCCAATTCACAGACCAATTCATCATTCTCAGCACGACTTAAAAGACTAAACCCATTTAAAACAGATTCTATTTATCTTGAAGATGATTCAAATTATGTTACGTCGGAACCAGGATATTTCGAATTATCTAAATGGGATAGAATGTTAATATTTGCTCTTACATTTGCTGGTTCAGTATGTTGTTATATGATTTGTATATTTTTATTCCCAGTACTTAGTCTTAAACCCCGAAAATTTGCTATATTATGGTCGTTAGGGTCAATATTCTTTCTTATAAGTTTTGGAGTTTTACAGGGTTTTAAAGCTTATATGGAACATTTATTTCTGTCTACTAGATTAATATTTACTGTAACATTTGTTACTAGTATTATATTAACTTTAGTTAGTAGTTTAACATTAAGGAGTACTTTATTATCGATTATATTTGCAGCTATACAATTACTTAGTGTCATTTGGTATACGGTAAGTTATTTCCCTATGGGAACTCAAACATTAAATCTTGCTGGAACAGTAGCTAGAAGTCAAGTTGAATCATGGATTAATACTTAAAGGAGAAGTAATAGTAGTAATTATGCAATTAGGATTATATACATAGAAGTTTACTTATTTACTATAGATTTGTAAGAATTCTGATTTAGATAATTGTTCAAATTCTGGGAATGCACTATTGATACCCTTTTCAACAACTTTAGCAATTGCAACATTAACATTATTATCTTTAGCTAAAGTATCCGATAATTCAATAACTCTAGTACCAATACTGGCTAATTTAATTGGTTCATTTCTACTAAGAATTCTATTCAAATTCTTAATGGCTTGTAAGGCTAATACATACTTACCTTGAATTAAATAAATCTTAAATAATACTTCCCATGTTAATCTTAAATCTTTACCTTCATCAATTAATGGTTTAATAAGAACAAATAAACTTTCAATAATATCAGAGTCAAGTAAATCACTAACAACTTTTTGTCCAAGAGGATCAGTATCATCCTTTTCAGCTTCAACTTTAGCTATTAATTCTGATCTCTTCTTATTAGCTTGAGCTTTAACTTTCTTTTGTTTCTTATTCTTTTGTTTTTTAGTAGCTGATGAATCGTCTTCTTCTTCTGCTTTGGCTAATAATTGTTCATTATATAATTCAAAATAGATATTACTTAATCCCTTTAATACTCTAATATATATAGGAGTTGTATGAATCTTATCCTCCCATTTCAAAGTTTCAATATAATCTCTTGGAGTACCTCTTCTCATACAATAAGAATGGAAATCATATTGATCATTATAATAAGTCTTAAAGATTTTAATAATCCAATTATATCTCTTTAATGCTAAACCTCGATATAACTCAATATTTTCTCCAAGTTCCTTTTCAACTTCTTCATTAGATTCTTCTGATTCCTTTAATTCACTTAATTTCAGTTGATATTCATGATATAATCTAGTATAAGCTTCTGCAGTTTCAACTAATGCCCAATTAGCTTGCATTAAATGTAAATCTTTATTTCCATTAACACTTCCATCTTCAATTTTAGTAAATAATGATATACATTCAATAGCTTCATCAACTTTATTGGCTCTAAAATAATATTTAGTAGCTTTAGTATTAATAAATCTATCTTGTAAATCTAATTCACGACCTTCATTCATGATTTCACTAGCTTTAATATATTCCTTTTGATGTTTTAATATCTTGGCTTTAATAATATAAAGTTCAACTAATGTAGGTGAATGATTTATAGCATCATCAATATGAGTACTAGCACTTTTAAGATCATTAAGATATAAATAATGTTGAGCTAAAAAGTATTTAGTCCATACAAATACTGTTGGATCTAATTGTTTAATATCATTTTCAAAGAATTCTAATACAATTGATTCAATAGCCTTTAATTTCTTATGATTCTTATATAATGGTTTAACATTAACAAATGTTGCAGGTACTCCTCTACGTAATTGTGGTAAAATATATGCTTTAGCTAAATCTTTAAATGATTCATGAGAACCAGGAACAAATGTTAAAGGTAAGAATTTAGGAGGATCTGATTTAGGATAGAATTTACTTAATCTATTATAAAGTTTAATTCTAGTATCAATTGGTTTACTAATTGATCCTAAGGAAACTTCTAAAAGATTATAATAACCAACATTATCAGGATTTCTTTGTAATAATTTACGATATTCAACTGAAGCTTCTTGGTTTTTACCTAACATTAATAAATATTTGGCCTTATACTCTAAAAATGATAATCCATCTCTAATTTCATCTTTATCAGATTCTAAAGTTTCAAGAGCTTTAGAGATATCTCCTGATTCAGCAATAATGGAATTTTTATATAATACACATTCACTTTGTTCATATCTATCTGCTTCAGTAAGATAATCCTTAATAATTCCTTCTATTTTTACTAATGTAGAAACAGCATTAGAATATTCTTTATTAAGATGAAGAGCAACTGCAACACCAGTCCAATTAGCTCTAAAACCAGGTTGATTCTCTAAATATTGTTGTCTAGAATCCTTTAAATTTTTATAATCTCTAATTTGAGTTTGCATAAATGATAAATCTCTTAATATAGGTTTATTAGGAGATCCATTATCATTAGATTGTTTTAACCATTTAGCTGCTTCTTCATAATTTTCAACTGATCTATAATAAATTCCTGCTAAATGATCAACCAAATAATTTTCGGGACTCTTCTGTACCGCTTTTAAAATATATGCCTCGGCTTCATCTTGATTCCCTGTATGATAGTAACAACATCCCTTTAAGGCTATTGATTCAGAATGACTAGAATTCTTCTTCAAATTGGCTTCAACTAATTTCAACGCTTTCTTATATTGCTTGGAATCAAACAATTTCAACGCCTCTCGGAAATTAGCGTCTTCCCTCGATGAGAAGATCGGAGTACCTTTCTTTCCTGCCATCTTCTACGACTAAGTGGTGACTTGAAGTTCTTTGGCTTATCAGTAGTCCCAAATCGTTGAAAAATTTGGCTGAAAAGTTTATGGGTTATGCAGGTCATGTGCTTTGATATCAGGTGCATGCGCACGTTATCCTAATCATGTGATGTTTTGTGTGATTCTCAAAATTCGGAACTCCAGGGCTCATCTTTGTTTGCTCCGTCTTCCGTACTGCATAAACTCCCCTATCACTATAGCCTGCCTGCCTAATTTGCATAGAGGGGCAATACTATGTAGCATGTAGCATATAAGTATTATTGTAGCTAATTAACTTTATTTAGGTATTGTTAATAAACTAGAATTATGTCTGGTAAATTATATAGTGTGGGTAGCTCTTCAGGGTCTGAAAATTCTCCCTTACATGAGAAGAATTATCATGATGATGGTCTAGATCAACAATATGATGATGATAATGAACTTGATCATGATCATGAACATGAACTCGATCATGATGAAAGTTCACCTGATGATGATAGAAAACGGTTAAGAACTAAAACTGCGTGTGATTATTGTAGAAAAAGGAAAACTAAGTGTAATGGTGAGAGTCCATGTTCTAGTTGCTTATATTATAAGAGACAATGTATATATACTTATGTACCAAAAGTACGTAAGAAACGAGTTAGTAAGTTTCTGAATAATTCATCTGGTAATCCTGCAAAAAAACATAATCCAAATTCTTTACAAGGTTTAAATAATCGGATGTCAGCATTAGAAAGTTTATTAACTAAACTTATTACTAAGATGGATGGATCTAATACATTTGCTAAAGATTTAAAGGGAATAAATAAAACTGGTGAAGAAGAAGATTCAGATACCTTATCACTTGCATCATTACCATCAAGTGATAATGAACTGTCAGATGAACATACTAAACCTCAAGATCTTGTATTAAATGAAAAGGCAATAACAAATCCTAGTAAATTAGGAGAGATGATGAAAACAGAACGAGTTCATCAACATTGTGTACTAAATATTAATCCAAGACGAAGAATTTTACAATGGGTAGGTTCGCACTCAGTATTTCATGTATTATCAGCAAAGTCAATAAGATGGTTGCGAACAAAACTTAATGATGCGAATGATGAAGAATTATTAGTGCCTATAAAGAATTTACCAGTAGCATTAAATAATGCGGTAGATACAACTTTAAAAATTTGGTATGCACCAGAAGATGATAAAATATATAATAGTAACTTATATTTTTCACGTGATGATAAGGGATTAACATTTGAATTATTAGATTATTGTTATGAATCACTTCATATAGCTCCATTTCTTTGTAATTTGAATTTAATTAGAGAATTATTTCAAGTATATCATTATGCAATTTCTCAAGGAGATTTTGATGTTATTCAAGGTTTATCATTAAGTGATTTCTTAATCATGAACGTATCATTATGTTTATGTTTAATGAATATTTCATCACCAATTGTTTCAGAAAGTTATCCAACATTAAGTAGTAAATCACTTCATGATTTAAATTTACTTAAACAAAAATTTTTTAAGTATGCTATTCATTGTTATGAAAAAGTTAATGTAGTAACTGAAGGTATAAGATCAGTTCAAGGTATTGCACTTCTTATGTTATATATTGAAGCATCTTATATAACTGATGTTCATATCAATTATATGTTAGCATGTTCTTTAATTAGAATTGCTAGGGATGTAGGAATTCAAAGAATTGATTTATATAAATATGATAAAGATGAATCATATACTCAACTTAAAAGAAGGTTATGGTGGTTTTGTGAATATATGGATAAAGAAATGTGTTATAAAAGTGGTAAATCTGAAATTATTAATCAGAATGATGCTAATGCATTAACAGAATATGATGATTACTTTGTTTCTGTACCAGTTCAACCTTTTAAGAGTAATTCTTATTTGAAAAATTCTCTTAAATTGATTACTAATTGTCAATATCATGGATATCAGTATTATTTTGTATACTATAGCCTTATGTTAAGTCGTATAAAAAGTAAAAGTTATGGTCTACTTTATGGTGCTCGAGTTGATTTTATGAGTCAGGATGATTTATTGGATAATTTACAACAAGTTAATGATGAAATGTTTAAAATGGCTAAATTAATGGAACCAGATGTAAGACCTACTTTATATTACTTAAAGAAAGATGGTGGTAGATCTGAAGCTGTTCAAGACTTATTTAAAGGTCATGAAGCTTATTATAATTACAGTAATCTTCTTCTTCAAATGTCATTCTTTTCTCATTTATTAACAATTAATCGAGTTCCATTTATGCAACCTAATTTTGTTAGTAATGAAAGAAGTATTAAGTTTGGTAATTTATCATTAGAAAGTTCTCGAACTATATTACATCTTGTTAATGATTTTGATAAGAGTCTGGTTCCTGCTTCCAAGATTTCTTATCTTAAATTTTATCCATTTATGGCCTTCTGTAGTTTATGTGGTCATATAATTGGATTTCCTAAGGAGTCAAGTGTTGAACTGGATTGTGAGTTATTAATTGAAGTATCGATGAAATTTTTCGCTCATAAAGATAATAATAGATCATTAGAAAGTTGGAATGAAAGTCGATTATATGATAGTAAAAATACTATTTTTGATTTAATTGCAAGATTATTTTTAAAGATATTAGTTAATCTCATGATTAAAGAATCCGAAATTAATTACTTAAATAAAGTAGTTGGTTTACGAGAACATTTAGAAGCCAGTGCTTTTATATATCCTGATTTATTCAAGAGATCAGATGGAGATTTACCATTAAACTTGATGTTTGATTTCTCCAAAGGTATTTCTTCTGACCTCAATAGTAAACCTGCTATGCAATCTGGTAGTGATATCGGAGGTTTAGTGAATTCATTACCATCTTATTCAGTTGATACTCCGGTATCAAGTGTTGAATCCAAACCATTCGAAACCGGTGCAGATAAGGCACCTACCGATATAGCACAGGCAATAAATTTTGAATCACTCAATGAAGAAACGTTTGGTTCATTACTTAATTCTCAAGCATTTAGTTTACCTAATTTCTTCTATGATGGTAATATAGACTCTGGAGCCTTTGTTACCAATGAAGAATATGACTTTGATTACTTTAATAATTAGCGTACTTTTACAGTGTATATAGAACGGTGTTTATTTAATAGTATATATGGTATAGTAATAGTATATATGGTATAGTAATACTATAGTGATAGTATAGTAAAAGTATATAACAATAGTAATTTGGCAATACGGCTGGAACCCTTATTGCCGAATATGGCCTTACCGAAAATTAAAGAACATGCGCTAAGAAAATTACTAAAATTGACTAATTCGGAACACATAATCTGATCTTTCCGAGTAACTTCACTAAGTTGCTATTGCAGTACTTCCTATAAACTAGTTAGTTATTCGCAGTCATTTGTTAATAGCCTATTATGAGTATTCTAAATGGTGGAAATAGTAATAACCGACCCACACTGGCCAGTATGTCTCAAAGTAATTTGAACTCGGCCGAGATGAATTTTACTCATAATGGAGGATCGGAATCAACTAATAATGAAAGTAATGATCATTCAAAGAAGAGAATAAGAGTGGCCTGTGATACATGTCGTCGGAAGAAGATTAAATGTGATGGTAAATTCCCCTGTGGGAACTGTTCTCAATCATCAAATGAAAGTAATTGTATATATAAAGAAAGACCACAGAAGAAGAAACCGCCTCCTGCTCCAAAGCGTCTGATTCAAAAAGTTAAAGGTCCTACAAAGAGAGTTTCCAATAGTAAAACCATTGAAGTATTGGATAATCGACTTTCTACTTTAGAAAGTGTCATTATCCGACTTACTGATAAGTTAGATGAAATAACTCAAACGCCTGTCTCGGTAAATTATAAGCCAGGAGATCATGGAAATAAGAGTCTGATTCATGTTAAACCTCATTCCCAGTCACAGTCACTGTCACATGATTACCTAAATAATGGAAACGGAAATGGAAATGGCAATGGAAATGAAGAAGACGGAGAAGATGATGATGATGATGATGATGAAGATGAAGATGAAGAAGATGATGATTTAACTGCTTCTGATAGTCCACAATCAGCCGAATCTTCTGATGAAGGGCTGGATGGAGGTAGTGATCCTAAGAAAAGTGAAGATCTTCATGCTAATGATCCATTAAGACCCAATAAGGGAATATTAAAAACTTTAAAATTCGAACAATTCTTTGGAACTCATTCAATAATGAGTATATTTTCTCAAAAATCATTAGATTGGATTGAAGCTCATTTAGGTACGGCCGCTCCTGATGTTATAACTCCAATAAAAAATTTACCATTAGTATTTTATAATAAATTAAAACCATTTACATTAAAATTTATTGATCCACCAATTGTTGATGCAAAAGGTCGTAAAAAATTACTTGAAAGACCATTACCTGATAAAGCCATTGTCATGGCATTATTTGATACTTATTATACTGATATTACTATGTTAAGTAATTTATGTCGAGCCCCTTATGCTCGAGAATTATTTGATGATTATTATAATAATTTTAATCAACCTGATGTATCTAAAAGACGGAAATTTAAATTATCTGAATTTCTTATTATGACAGTAGTATTATTATTATGTATATCAGCAAAAATTGATGAAGATACAATTGCTCAAGATACTCGGGCTAAAAATAAAGGTAATGAAGATGCAGCTCGATCATTAACTACAGATCAAATTTATGGATTAATTAATAATTTACTTGATAATTGTATTTATTATTATCATCGAATTTCCGTTATAAGTGAAGGATTAGAAACGGTTCAAGGATTATTATTATTAGTAATTTATATTGAAGGAAATTGGTTAACTAGTCATGCTAATTATATATTAACATCAGTAGCCGTAAGATTTGCTCAAGAAATTGGATTACATCGATGTGAAACTTATGAAGGATTAAGTTTAGAAGATCAAGAATTAAGAAGAACTATTTGGTTATATTGTCAATATTTTGATATGGAAATTTGTTTTAGAAGTGGTAAACCTCCATTAATTAATGATAAAGATGTAACTACCAATAAAGATGAAGATTTAGAAGCATTTTGTCGATTAAATATTGATAAATGTAAAGAGAATGATCTATTAAAACCTTCAATTAATCCAAATTTCCCAATAATTAGACAAATTATAAGTATACTGAAAGCCAATAATCATCCATCATTCTTTTATTTTTATTTATTAATGATAACTAAAATAAGATCAAAATCATATAATGATTTATTTTCTGCTACAGCATTATCTGAAGGTACAAGACCATTATCAAAAACTTTAGATTCTTTAAATCAAGATATGTTTGATATATCTGATATGGTTGCTGAATATGCTAAACCAATATTTTATAATGATCCTCAATTTACTACAATTCCTGATGAATTAACCCGAGCAGAAAAGGAAAGTATTCTTGGATTACAATTAACATTCTTTTTACATTTAATGCTTATGAATAGATTACCTTCAATGGTATTAACATCTACTGAAGATATTCAATCCCAAAAATTTAGAAATATCTCATTAGATTCTGCAAGAACTATTATAATTCTTGTAAGACAATTAAATAAGGGTAAATTAAGTATATCATTCTTTAGTTGGTTTTCATTCTTTCCCATTGCTGCATTTCTAACATTATCAGCAGCCATTATGAATCATCCAAGTATAACCGAAACTTTTGATGATATACAATTATTAATTGATTGTTCAATGAATTTCTTTGGTGATAGTGCAACTAGTGAACATAAGGGAGCCATCTATCATTCATTAGCTGGTAAAGAAGTCTTACTTAGTTTAATTGTTAAAGTAGTATTAAGAATGGTACTTAAATTTTATGAATCAAAGACCAATATAAATCTTGCTGATACAAATCCCATATTAAAGGATCATTTAGATAGTGTGAAGAAATCGTATCCGGAATTATTTGAAGGTAAATTAGCTCTTTCATCAAAATTAGCTTATATCTTTGGTGCTTCACCATTTTCCAATAATATTAATGATCCAGGTTCTAGTAGTAGTAGTATATCTACCACTAATTCTCATAATGATTCTACAATTAAAGCAGGTCAATCGAATCATGGTCATAGTAATCAAGTTCCATTCCGTAATAGTCCTTATGCTTTATCGCCAAGTTATAATCCGGCCTTATCAAATATTCTTCATCCTAATGATATTCCTGTAAATCAATCTCCTCAATCAGCTATTCGTCAACCATCTCATATTCCTTATAATCCAGGGGTTTCTACCACTCCTGGTGTTGGACCGAATCCATCAGTATTTGGTGGTGCAAATGCAAATGCTGGTGTTAATTCGGCTATAACTCCTAATTCAGAAGCACTCATGGATTACTTAAATGATGATAATTTATCTACAATGTTTTATTCCCAAATGAATAGTTTACCGAATTTCTTCTTTGATAATAATTCTGGTATATAATAGGTATATATATATATATTTATTTACTAATTACTAGTGACTAGTAAATGTCTGATTTGGTTATTTATCTAGTACGAATAACTCCAGCAGCAATTAACATATTAATCTTCTTACTAACTTCAGGATTTCTCATATGATCTTGTAAAGCAGCAGGATTTTCTCTAGCTTGTCCTAATATACCTTGCATAACTGGATCTTGTAAGATTTGAACAATTTCAGGATCTCTTGATACTCTTTCCATAGTTTCTTCTGGTGATTCACCTTCAATGGCTTGAAATCTTTGTGAAGCAGCTTTATTATATAATTGATCAATTTCATTAACATTTTTACCTTCACCTAATGATAAATTCTTTTCTCTAGCTTCAGTTAAAGTTTCCATAACATGAGAATATTCCTTTAATGCTAATTGAGCATTAGCCTTTCTAATATAGGCTCTAATAAAGGTTGGATCCTTTTCAATGGCTTTATTACAATCATCTACTGCATCTGGGAATGATAATAATTTAGCTAATGCAGCAGCTCTATTAGAATAACCTCTAGCATCTTCAGGTGCTCGTTTAATCATTTCAGTATATGCTTTAACGGCATTTGGCCAATCTCCTTTACTAAAATATTCTTTACCTTCTAATCTTGCTGCTTCTGCCTTTTCAGGATCAACATAAGCATTAGCTTCATTAATTTTAATTTCTCTTTGAGTTGATCTTAATTTATTTAATACATCTGGAGTTCTATGTTCAGTTAATGATTTATCAAAATTCTTAACGGCACTTTGTAAATCTCCCTTCTTTAAATAAGTATTACCTAATCTAGCAAACGATTTAGCAACAATCTTATAATCAGCTCTTAATTCTCTACCTTGATCAATGGCTTGTTCACAAGTTTTAATTGCCGCATCATAATCTCCCTTTTCAAATTCAGCAGCTGCACGATTATTTAAATAAGTTATATCCTTATGTAAATTCCAGGCTTCATCATAAGCTTTAATGGCTTCGTCGAATTTTCTTTGTTTATATAAAGTATTACCTTGAGCCTTAGCTTCATCTGCCTTAGCCTTATTGTCAACTGATTCTTCTGCTTCTGGTTCTTCCATAACAACATCTTCTGGATCAGCTTCTGGATCTACAGTTGGTTCTGGTGCTTTAGTAGTTTCTTTTGGTGTTGGTTCTGATTCTGATTTTGATTCTGGTGCTTTAGCTGTTTCTTCTGGTTTTGGAATTTTGGCTCCAGCAGGTGCTGGAATATCTGGATCAGGCATATTTAAATCAATACCCATTAATACTCCCATAATTTGCATTAATCTTGGATCAGACAAGAATTCAGTTGGATTAGCTCCTTGAGGATTAGTTTGGAAATTCACAAGTTTTTGTACTAAAGCAGGATCTTTCATAAATTCACTAGTCTTTGGATTATTTCTTAAATTAGTAATAAGATTTGGATCAGAAAACATACTACCTAAACCTAAATCTGGTTTAGCATTTCTTGATTGAATGGCATTTTCAACACTCTTAATTCCTTCCTTTGCCATAGCATTATTTGCATCTAATTCAAGGGCCTTTTCATATGCTTTCTTAGCATCTTCAAGATTACCTAATCCAAATTGAGCAGCTCCAACACGATTATAACCTTTAGCCCATGATCCATTGATTTTTACACATTCTTCAGCATCTTCTAATGCATTCTTAAAGTTCTTTAATGACGCATAAGATCCTGAACGATTGGAATATAATACATGATTTGGAACTTCTGAAGCTTCAATGGCCTTGGTGAAAAATTCAATGGCTTGAGGAAATTCTTTAGCGGAGAAATGTTTATTTCCTTGAGCTTTAAATTCGTCAGCAGTGGTAGACATGATTATAAATAGTGGTGGATTTATTTATACTGGTAATTCTTCACTAGAATATAATTATATAATTAGTTTCTGATAATTTTACCGACAAGTTACTGAGAGTTTATGGAGAATTGTTAATTCTTGTTAGTGAGCTTTTTAGGTAATGTTCGCTAATGATATAGTGAGTGGAATTTTTCAGTCGGTAAATTCTAGAATATTCGGAGAAATGTCGCACGACATCACTTCAGTAAACTAATTATATTTATACTTATAGTTATAGAATTAAATGTTTATTTACACTATAGCAGATTTAATAGTAGTAAATAAATTGAAATTGTTTGCAAATTCAAGCAAACAATTAACCCAGTAGAGATGAAAAGTTACATCAGATAAAAAGAAAGTAAAGAAACTAAGTAAGGAAGGGAAAAGAGGTATGAAAACACAATAAACGATAAAAAAAACCATTAACCGGAGTTATAATGAAGTAAATGAACATGAAAAGACTCTAAAATACACATGCTAATGAGCATAAATGGAGGAATTGAGAAAATAATTTAACCACCATAAGATTCTTCAAATACTCTTTGAACTAATTCTAAAGAGTATGCAGGTCCAAATCCATGACATTTTTCATGACCTCTTAATTTATTCATAATTGTATTAATATCAAGATTATGAAGATCAATATCTTTTTCTTCAGCTTTAATTTGTAAATAATCCCATACTGCACCAATAGCTAAAATCTTTTCACTTGATTCTTCTGGATTATTATAAACTTTATTAATACTATTAGGATAAATTTGATGTTTATCTGTTACTAAAGCTTCTATGAAATCTGATTGAGTTTGTGGGAAACTAAATTTATTTCCATTTGTTTCAGTTTTAGAATAATCAGTTGTACTACCTTTATTAGAACGTAATACTTCATTTTCAGTTTGAATCGATATATTTTGTTTTCTTATAAGATCCAACTGTTCCATTAATTGTTGACGTTCTTCTTCACTTTGTAATAATTTGGCTTCCAATTCCTTTAATTTGGTTTCTTTACGTTCTCTGAATGCTCGTTGAGCAGCTCTATTTTGAGCCTTTCTCTTTAATTGTAATTCTTCTTCAGTTAATTCTGAATCGTCTCGAGCAATAAGTATAGCATCTTGTTCATCCAATAACTGTCTTTTGGACTTCAGCTTTTTACTATTGGATACATCAATACCTCCAGTACTAGACAGAGTTTCAGGTGATGGAATTTGATTTTTTCCAAGTGGAGATGAATCATCACTGCTGTGGGGGTTCCCATCATGAGCGAGATGAGTATCAAAAACACTATTATGATTAAGCAGATCCGAGTCATACTTTAAATTATTTGATTCAGGTGAAACTGTATACTGAGTCTGAGAGTTATCAGTATCTTTGAATAAACTTCCATATTGTTGTTGTTGTTGGTGTTGTTGTGGGTGACCTGCTGATTGGTATTGCGTATTGTTAAATAACGTGACATTCTCTTGGTTTAATTCTAATCCCGGATATAAGTCATCATAATTATTACCCTGAGGTTCCCAGAAGCCGGAAACCTGTTGTTGAGTGTTGATATTATTATATGTCATAATGTTTTACCCAGTACTACTCTTATATTTAGATGTAGTTCTTTGGACTGTGGTGGATGTTCGCTCAATTCATGCTTGACAAAATTTTGGGGTTAAGTTCTTCCGCAGTTACTAAGCAAGAAAGGAAAAAGTCACGTGCGAATAGCATACAAATAATTAAGTTGATTAATGAAATTCTTAGCAACTGTAACATTTTTACAATTCTTGGTATTGGTTGCATATTAAGCTTTTCACTTTAGATAAAGGAATGAATTGGCGGGAGGGTTCTATCCTGTGAACAATGTTGATGTGGTATATTCGGTCCCTATGAATCCGAAATTAGTAAATGCGGTACTAATTAATTACTGTATTCCGTTAAATCATTCATCTACAAGAGTTTAAGATATGGGCCAATACTACAACTGTAATAATTTATTGCTATAATGTTGTAAGAAACTATTATAACTTCGATAATACTGTCATAAACTGTAACTGTAACTGTAACTGTAATTATATTTACTTCCACTAGTATTACTTCTACTGTTGCAACTTCTGTCATAACTGAAACTGTAACTCAATACTGTACTATGATACCTTAAACACCCAGTAATGGTTGCAACTGACTGCATCTTAACTGTAATTTTGTAGAACTTTAACTTATTAAACCCGTGGGGCTGATTTAGCGTTATTTACCGGGAATATGCGCTTTTAAGCGAAAGTCGCGCGCTTTCATTGGTTTAACTCTGGGGGACCAGCCGTGCCCATAACTTTAGACCCCATACAAGGCTTATCTTCGTATTTATATGTCAAACTTCAGATAATGCACCTTCATCTCCATTAAAGATTAAGTTCTTGTTCTCCACTTACTTCACGTTTCTTTTACCTTGTCAAATATTTACTTTAAAACCCATAAAATATACAGAAAACTTTTTTTATAGGCGAAATTACTTATTTGTTAACACCCGCTAATCCGTTAAATGGCTAGCCACACTACTCAAACCGAGGGTAATTTCTGATAATGATTAACTCACCTTATATTGATAATGACTATAAAGTATATATCATTATCTAGATGACTAAATGCTTATCCAACCCTCGTATTAGCCAACCATTTTAAACGGACCACACTATGAACATATTTAGTTTTTCAAAATGCCTTGCAGATTATTTGCTTTTGCCGTTTGCGAAAGCTTAAAATGCTGCGAAACCGGGACTGCAGATTTTTACACATAGTCATACCTGTTCAGGTTACATCTCAGAAACATAAATTAGTCGAATTCTCCACAAGAAATACAGTTACCGTTACTCTTTTTCTTGTAGAAATTAAGCAATTATCGAGATGCTGTCAACTCCAGATAAATCTGATTCTCGTATTCATGTTGATAATACAGAATCAACTAGCTCTTTAGCCTCTATTCAAGAAAAATCTTCAACATGGGCAAGATTCAAAGATTCGTTTAAACCCAGTGAAGTAGTAGTTAATAGTGATTCTCAAAGTAATGGGGATTTAGAAGATGCTACTGCTAAAGGTGATTTATTAAGAAAACTTAAAGGTAAACATATTCAAATGATTGCTATCGGTGGTAGTATTGGAACAGGATTATTTGTAGGATCTGGTTCTGCTCTTAGAACTGGTGGTCCAGCTGCTCTTTTAATCGGGTGGGGGTTAGTTGGTACAATGGTCTTTTGTGTTATTCATGCATTAGGTGAATTATGTGTTCAATATCCTGTTAATGGTGCCTTTTCACAATATGCCACTAGATTCGTTGACGAATCTTGGGGTTTTGCTGTAGGTTGGAATTATGCATTAATGTGGTTAGTTGTCTTTCCCTTAGAATTAGTTGCAGCATCTATGTGTGTAAAATATTATAACAATACCATTGATCCAGTTGCTTGGGTAATATTATTTTATTTATTCATTGTTGGAATTAATCTCTTTGGTGTTAAAGGATATGGAGAAACAGAATTCATTTTAAGTATCATCAAAGTTATTGCCATCATAGGATTTATTATCTTAGGTATTGTGTTAGTTTGCGGTGGAGGTCCAAACCATGAATTTATTGGTGGTAAAAACTTTCATCACCCTGGAGCCTTTTCAAATGGTTTCCAAGGTGTAGCATCTGTATTTGTAACAGCAGCATATTCATTAGCAGGTTCTGAAATGGTTGGATTGGCCAGTGCTGAAGTTAAAAATCCAAGAAAAGTTTTACCTAAAGCTATTAGACAAGTATTTTGGAGATTATTCTTATTTTATTTCTTATCCCTTATGCTTGTAGGATTAATAGTACCATATAATTCACCAGATCTTTTAGGAGCTTCAACTGATATGTCTATTTCACCATTTGTGGTTGCTATGAGATTGGGAGGTATTAAAGTTTTACCAGCTATATTCAATGCTTGTATTTTAATTTCTGTTGTTTCCGTCGGTAATTCTGCTGTTTATGGATGTTCACGTACTATTCAATCATTAGGAGCTCAAGGTTTAGGACCAAAATGGATGGCATATGTTGATAAGAAAGGTAGACCATTAGGAGGAATTGCACTTTCAGCATTATTTGGATTACTTTGTTTCCTTTCTGGTTATGAAAATGAAGGATTAGTATTTGCTTGGCTTTTAAGTGTTTGTGGATTAGCTACTATTTTTACATGGTTTAATATTTCTTTATGTCATGTTAGATATAGATTGGCACTTAAAACTCAAGGTAGATCTTTAGAAGAAGTTACTTATCAAGCATTTGGAGGAATATATGCATCTATTTATTCTATGGGCTTTTTATTTGTGGTTTTAGCATTAGTCTTTTATGTTTCATTATTCCCACCTGGAAATCATAATAAAGCAGATGTAACTAGTTTCTTTCAAAATTATTTAGCAGTTATATTCTTAATTGTTTTCTATTTAGGTCATAAAATTATTACAAGAAATTGGAAAATTTTCAAAGATTTAAAAGATGTTGATTTAGATTCTGGTAGAAGAATTGTTGATATTGATATTCTTATCCAAGAAGAAAAGGAAGAAGAGGACGCTAATAAATTAATACCTTTATATAAGAAAATCTGGAATTACTTAGTTTAAATTAGTTATTAAATGCACACTTCTTATTAAATTTTGTCCCATTTTGCGACGAAAATTTGCGAAATCTTTTATTTTACCTAAAACCATAGAAATAGTTTATTTAATAGACATGAAATCATAAATAAGTTATCTATATGTGAAGTTTGATATACAGTTTACTTAAATTAAATAATGCACAAAATTTTCTTAGTTGATCTAACTTCACTAACCACTTACAACAGCAGCAACCGGGCCAACACTCTTCGGTCTCTTTTTATTTTCATTTTTTGATTCAGATCTTTTTCTTTTTGAAGTTTTCACCGGCCTTGCTTCACCCTCTATATATACGTCATCTGGAAGGTCATGCAATTTAACATTCTTAATTTGTATCTGATGCAATTTAGAGTCAAAATCTGCCCAACTTTTGCAAATGTTGAAAAATTCTGAGCAGGGGTACTGGATATCTAACTTCCTCTCACCACTCTTCAGTAAATCCAATTTTAATCCAATAAATAATTTGGTCAAATGGACTTCGAAAGACTCGGTCTGTGCGGAGGCATCCTTGACTTTGAGTATATCTTTAGTTACTGCATCTCCTCGATGAGTTCCATAAGACTCTAATACCTCCTGCCGTTGAGCTTCGCTATCACAAAAGTATTGATCATCAAAAGCTTTTATATAAGGATGAGCCAACTCGACTCCTTCAACAACTTCCAATTTTTGCACCAATAATCTTAACTTACTCTCCACCATACCGCTATATTTCAAGTGCTCTTCACTCGAGCCGTTAGTAGCTGCAACTATACACAAATAAAATTTATATTTGTAGAAGAAGTCATGTCTTTCAAACAAATCGGACCACTTCTTCTGCCCCAAATTTATCCCATTCATTATATCTATTCCTCTTCCAAATTCTTCCAAGATAATCTTCTGGGTAGAAGCCGTAATATTGTGAGTAGCACACATTGATGGATAGGCTGGTGTAATAACAGGCATCCTATGCAGCCTATCAAGAGCATACAACCTTGGATTCCATACTCTTACTTGTAAGGGTCCATCTTCTATCTGCTTTAGTAACACCGGCTGAGGCCAACTCCATTGTGCATATATTTGGAAGAATTTCTCAACTATAACAGCACTGACAGCATTCGGATACAATTGGCATATACGGGCCACTAACATTGCCCATGCAACACCACCAGGGAAACCGTAAACGTTCGCATATATGGCTCTCTGTTGTGCCCACATTTTTATACACCTCAAGGCATGTTTGAAAACCGTGGGTTTGGGAACCAATGTCAAAATTTCATCAGTGACTCTAGTACCATTTAAAGCCCTTAAATCCTTCTCATCTATATTTCTTAATAAATTCTTGTCGTCTAATGACAAATCTTTGGGAACCTTCGTTATATCTAGCCTTGCAAATATTAAATCTATAGATATTCCATTAAACTCAATTTTAATAATAGGAACAAAGGCATCCGGAACAGGTGCCATCTCTTCTAATTCTGGTCTACCCTTTAACAACTCAACAAACACTTCGAAGAAGTCATTTCTTGTTACATGTTTTGGGACGACGACCAAGGTATCAATATCAGATCCTGGTCCGTAAACACCTAATCTATAAGAACCAAAAGTAAAAATTTTACCCCCTGAATCTCTAGCCATTCCTTCTGACATATTCTTTTTAAGAGATACTCTATAAACAAATTCTTCGGCAAGCTTTTGAAAAAGAGTTAACACTTCAACCCTCTTCCTGGTAGCTGCCTCACTCTCAAATGAGCCCTTCTGTTTCAATTCCTTAATCAAAAGGTCGTTCAATTCATTCTCCTTGGGACTTGGGTTGGCAACAGATATTGGAGGTGTCACTCCGTATACTGTGGTACTCATATGCTACTTAAAGTTGGGCTTATTTCTAATATTTAGAACAGCTCTTGTTTTAAAGAAATTTTATATAGAGCGAAGTTACCCGGATATTATTATAACATCGTGGCTGAAGGTAATAAGATAAGCAAATGTTAGCTTTAACTTGACGGTACGATCTTTGGAGTTTATGAGAGAGTGAATATCCTGTTAAAGGTATTTATTTAAATTATAGAAGTAAGGGACTTTTATTAAATAAGGCACTGTGGATATTTCACACGCACCTACTCTATGAGGAGTAATTTTGATATCCCCTAAATTGAATTTTTTCCTTTAGGAGCTCTAATAGAATCTACAGAGGTTGTTCATTAGCAATGGGATTAACTTCAAGACTTGACAAATTGAAGATAAAAGGAGGAAGTGATGTAGATGTACCTTCTGGAAATCAACATCAATTATCAGAAAATACAGATGATATTGATGAGGTTGACAATGAGGGCCAGTCAATACTAATGGGTATTATTGCTCAATTGAGACCGGGAATGGATTTGTCTAAGATCACGCTTCCAACTTTTATATTAGAGAAGAAGTCAATGTTGGAAAGAATAACAAACTTCTTTCAAATTCCTGATATTTTATTAGAAGCTAACAAAACGGAAGACGATCTTAAAAGATTTGTAACTATTTTGAAGTGGTATTTAGCAAGTTGGCACATTTCACCGAAGGCCGTAAAAAAACCTTTAAATCCTGTTTTAGGAGAGATATTTACATGTTATTGGGACAATTTGCCCTCTGGAAACACAGCATACTATCTTGCGGAGCAGACATCACACCATCCTCCGAAGTCTTCATATTTTTATTTAGTTCCCGAACTGAAGATACGAGTTGATGGAGTAGTAGTACCAAAGTCTAGATTCTTGGGAAACTCATCAGCTGCTATCATGGAAGGATGGGGCCATGTTACATTGGGAGAACATGCAGATGAGGTATATATTATGAATCAGCCAAATGTATACTGCAGAGGTATTCTTTTTGGTAAGATGAGAATGGAATTGGGTGATCACATGTATCTTAAGTGTGCAAAAACCGGCTTCGAAGCAGACATTGAATTCAAAACGAAAGGTTTTATAAGTGGAACTTACGATGCAATTGAAGGGAAAATTAAAAACTCCAAAACTCAAGAGGAATTGTTTCAAATTAGTGGCAAGTGGAACGAAGAAATGTACATCAGAGATTCAGCAACTGGTAAAAAGACAGTATTATTTGATACTGCTAAGGCAATTACAGTTAAACCCAAAGTGAGGCCAACAGCAGAGCAATTTGACTATGAGTCTCGTAAGTTATGGGGACCAACTATTAAAGCTTTAGCTAAGAGAGATCATACATTAGCTACTGAAGAGAAATTTAAAGTAGAGAATGACCAAAGAGAGAGGGCCAAAAAGAGAATTGAAGACGGTGTAGAATTCCATCCCAAATTGTTTAGAGCAATTGGAGATCATGAAAAAGATATTGCTGATCTCGAATATATTATTTACAAGAAGTTTAACTTAGACTCCAGTGCTGATGACCTCACTAATGCAGTGTTGGACACGGCCCCAATATTACCTGGCCAAGAATTTAATGACAAGTTTCATATACCAGCTTTCAAGAAAGGAGGAGAAAGCTAAGCTTCTAGATTATCTATTTATATACAGTTTTTAGTTTTTGTTCAGATACATATTTTATAAATTAATACGCTTGTTGATTTTTACATACAGGATACCAATCCTGCACATCTGCAGACATTCAGAGTAACAACGAAGTTTTCACTTTCAACAATTGCTTCTTAGCTCTTACATTAGTGTCATTAAGCATGACATCATTAAATACGGAATCTCTTGTAGAGGTGATTCATTCAAATAATTTAACTGTTTTTGAGTGCTTGGACTATTTAAGAAAACACAATGATAACATAGGAATCAACCACGCTTTGATGCGAAGGATTCGTCTATTCACATATGACGATCTAGAATTTTGCATTCCCCAATTTGTTCAACTATTAGTTGCCATTGAAACTGATTCTATGGCTCTTGAAGACTTTTTGTTGGAATATAGTGAAAAATTTCCACATTTTGGGCTCATTTGCTTTTGGTACTTACAGGCATCCATATTTGAATTGAGAAATGATCCTGAATCATATCAATTTCAAACTGTTCGAAAATTCATAAATAAATTACAGAATATTTTATTTAATGCCGATGTTCGATCGTCCAAGCCATCTGACTTCAGAGAGAATCTTATGCCTGCGTTGGTTTTATGTGCTACTGTTGGTTCTTCTGTTGGGTTTCCTCGACTCAATGAATATATCGAACCCTTGATAAGATCTCAAGGACGACAGGAAAAATCCTTTGTATTCAAGTTAGCAAATTTTCAAAAAACTCTTACAAAAAATTTGACAATGAAAAACTCAAGAGTATCCGGCGAAATTGGAGCTTTGTCAGATGAAGAAGATCGAACCATGAAAAGAAATGTATATTTGAACCATCATCGCTCGGCATCGGTACCACGGATACCTTCAAAAAGGAGTTTGAATATTCAATCAGATGATTCAGAGACATATACAACTGATGAAGAAGAAAAAATTTCTTTAGATTTGAGAAGAGACTCCACTAGTGATTCAATGAGTACATTAAAGGGTCGAACAAGCATGGAGGATATAGAAAATAAATTCAAAATCAACACTATTATCAAATCTAAAAAAAGTTTGAAAAATATGAACAACCATATGGTTAATGAAATCAGGGAACTAAGCCAAGATGATGGGTATATATTAAATACACATTCTTTACCGGATCTTTCCAAGTTGGAATCACCACCCTACATGTCATTCCTTGAATCTGAGTCTTCCTTAAGCTTTGCCAGATTATCACTAGGTGATGTACCTACTAGAAGTTTATCACAGAATTCGAAGCATAAAATTCCCTCATATCAAGAGTTATTGAGAAAGCTTCGTGTGAACTACGCGAAGAAAGAAACTGAATTTGCTTTAGCATTGCAAAATATCTCAGTAAGATTATCTCAAGTCCCTAAGGAAGCGCGCCTTTCTGCTCTTAGAGCAGAGCTCTCTATTATAAATGAAACCATTCTTCCAGCTGAAATAGACATTCCACAGTTACTTCCTATAACAAGTAACAAAAATAAGAAATATCATAAAATCTTGAGATTGAGTGTAAGCGAAGCATGTGTTCTTAACTCTGCCGAAAGGGTGCCCTTTTTACTTCTAATAGAATATCTTAGTGATGAAATGGACTTTAATCCCTTTTCAGAACACAACCAGAATATTTTAACTAACAAGTCAGATTTTCATTCCTCCAAATTGGGCACAGACTTGGTTAACACTACGACACACAGAGAAGTTGACAATGGTTCTTCATTTAACCATGCTATTGAACAGGCGGAGACCGATTTAGGGGAGTTGCCCATGCTGCATGATGCAGGATTGCCAAATAATTGGTACATGGAATCTCCTAGTAGTAGCAATGAAATCAGAGATGAAATTATTCCAATTATTAATACTTCCAGCGATTTGAACACCAAGGCTTTGGCCGATCAAATGCGTATTGCTTCGGTCATGCTACAGCAATTAGAGAATTCAGGTCAATCAAATTCTCCTGAATTTATTGCAATCAAAAATCGAATTGTACAATCAATGATTTCCTTACAAGATCAATTCGATTCTATAGACTATGCCAAGTTAAATCAATTAAAGGGAGACAATCCAGATGCTGGTGAACGTAAGTTGGAAAATGATTTTAAACTTGGCGAAGATTGGAATACGAAAAAACAACGAATAAGAAAGTCTAGTTCATTTGGCCACCACCAGAATTGGGATCTATGCTCTGTTATCGCTAAGAATGGAGATGACCTTCCACAGGAAGCTTTTGCTTGTCAGTTAATTTCAATGATTTCCAATATTTGGAAGTCGAATGATATTGGAGCCTGGACAAGAAAAATGAAGATATTGATAACTAGCGCCAACTCCGGCTTAGTCGAGACAATTACAAATGCAATTTCAATCCATTCAGTGAAAAAGTCATTGACTGAACTTTCAATTGCCAATGGTGAAAACTTGAAAGGTAGAATATTTACACTTCAGGATTATTTCAAGAAATTGTTTGGTTCATCGGATTCTCAAAGGTACAAACAAGCTCAAGATAATTTTGCAAGAAGTTTGGCAGCATATTCAATTATATGCTATATTCTTCAAATAAAAGATAGACATAATGGGAATATAATGTTGGATGATGAGGGGCACATAATTCATATTGACTTTGGTTTTCTTCTTTCAAATTCGCCAGGAAGTGTCGGATTTGAAGCTGCACCATTCAAGTTAACAACAGAATATGTCGATTTGTTAGGCGGTGCTCAGGGTGCACCTTATCAGAAGTTTGTATCTTTATGTAAGAAGTGCTTCAGTTCTTTGAGAAATGAAAGTGATCAAATTATCAGTTTAGTTGAATTGATGCAAAAAGATTCCAGTTTACCATGCTTCAAGAATGGGGAAAACACTAGTATTCTACTTAAGCAAAGGTTTCAACTTCACCTCAATGACTCTGAATCGGACGATTTTGTAGAAAACATATTAATAGGAAAAAGTTTTGGAAGTATGTACACTCGTCTTTATGATCAATTCCAAATGATAACACAAGGTATTTATAGTTAAGAAATATATAATTTAGGGCCATTGTTGAAAACGCAAGTTCAAAAAATTTCTTTCTCGTAATTATGAGTGCGTTAAAAAATATTTTTGCAATTAGTTGATATAGAATTTCAAGATGGTATGAAACAAGAATTTCGAACAAGATTTACTTTCTTCAATTTAATACAGCCATAGAGAATATAAAAATATAGGTTTGATTGACATGACTGTCGAGGGTTTATATACGTTTCAGTTTCAAAGGACCAACAGACCGAGAGTAATCGAGACAGTCAGAGATATAATGGACCAAGAATCATTCCCATTATATGAAACAAGTGGTTTCAATGAGGGTATCCCAGAAGTTTATGAGTTCAGTGAAGTTGATGAAAGCTCAAATGATGAATCCGATATTTATCGAACCAGAAACCCATTTCTTATTTTAAGAAGCATAGTCTCAGGTTTCCTTTCGTTGTCTTCTGGAGATTACAAGTTTATTTCAAAAGTGTCGTCTATTGTATGTATTAATATAAGCATTGCAAGTGATTTCAAACCCATACTAACTTTTTTCTAATAGATGTGGCAAGATGGTAACACATTATACAAAGATTACTATGAGTATATCTCAACAATTGATTCTTTCTGTTTCTCACAGAAGTTCAGAGCCGTACTACAAGAAGCACCGGTCAAGACTTTGAGTATAAAAACTGCATATCCGGGACTTTGTTCCTATAATTATTTGAAAGATCCTGAACTAGAACCCGAGACTTCTCCATCCAAAAAATTCCGAGTCAAGTATAAGCTGTTACAGCAATCAAGAACTAAGCTCAGAAATTTAAGGCGACTACTCCGTCTTAGACAGTATCCATTAAATAGAAGACCAGGAACCCTAACAGAAGATGTTTTCATATCTCAATGCATGTAGAAATTTATATAGGTAACCACGAAGATTTGCTATGTTTCAAAATAAATATTCCTCGAGGAAAATTTCCTAATCGGATTTTGACAATGCAGAAAATTATCTCGCATTGCATTCACTAAAAAGTGATCAGTAACACAAAACAGAATATTATCTTATTCCTAATTCGTAATCTAGTGGAGAAAAATATTGAGTAGCAAGGGTTCGTCAAACAGAAAGACCACATTTGGTAATTTGCCATCTATAGAATTGCCTAAATCATACAGATTGATAACATGGATTCTGAATTGGCCTCTTGTAGTCGTTTGCTTGAAGATCTTCTTCTTTTAGATCTTCTTACAAGAGATAGCTCTGAGCTGAGTGAACAAATAGGTGTAGACTCTTCTGAGCGAAGCACAAGTGGTAATGTGTTCGAAGAATCAGCTGATCGCATGATTAAAGTAAGTTCAAGTGTTTTAGATAACTCCATCAATGGAAATATTAACAATTAATTTAGTATGCAAGCCAAGTGGGAAATGGTGGAGGAGAGTATTCATTCTGTATTAGAAATTTGTATGATACTTTGAAGAAGGAGAGTCTCAAAACATCTGAAAGCATCGCCACTTTCATTGACACTGCTGACGATTTTCACCTCACCAAAGCTGTAATTACAGTTTCTAACAAAAGAAATGACAGTTTCGATGAGGAACAAATTATATCTATAAAGAATAATTTCATGAATGTTAAGAGAAGACGTTGTATCTTGAGCCGTACAACTCGAGAATTCCTCCAAAAGGCATTTGAAGCACAACCATTTCCGAATAGAAAAGATAGGGAGCTAATTGCGAAGAAATGTGGAATATCAAACTTACAAGTCAGAGTTTGGGTAAGTATATTTTGAAGTCATTAATATTATTGAAGAGAATTACTAACGTCTACATTTAGTTCACTAATAGAAGAATGAGATCCAAGAGAAGAAACTAAACCTTCTATTCATGTCTGAAAACAAATATATACAAGAAACCTTTAACAGATTAGGATATATAGTTATACTTCAATTTAACTTGTCTTAAATTACTATGTTTGTTTGAAATGTCATTAAACCATTCGATTGATTCAGGTGATAATTGATATTTTTGAAATAATTTAACCAATTCTACTCCCGTAGAATATCGAACTCGATGTCTATACCCCAACACTTCTATCGTATTGAAAAACTCTTTTAATATATATATCTTTTGATCATTATTATATTTTGTATTAGTAAGAATTCCTGAAATTATGGCGGGAATCAGATTAGAAATGATTCTCTTATTATTTTCAAATACTCGAAGTAATTTAATACATTTGAGAGGATCATCAAGGACAATAATTTTAAACATCCATTTTCTAAGAGGATCTGCCACTTCTTTCAGTATCTTAGATAATTGTCGAATCATGGGGATTATTTCTTCACATTGATTAAGTTTGGTTTTACTAAGAAATTTCATTACTTCATCAATATAATTGTCTAGTATAAATTTTTGTTGTAATGGAGTATACTTGAGGTATGTGTCATCAGTTGCAATACTATTGACAATTAATCGGATATGTGTATCAATATCATCTAGATTAGTTAATGCAATCGTTTGTCCTATAGCTCTCATAGTATTATGAAAAACTGCTAATCGTTTCCGTAATGGAGATGATAATTTATGTCCTGTACCTCTATTTGCAAGTCTTTCTTCAGGAATTGCTATGGGGAATGTTATATCGATTAATTTAGCAAAACATTTACTATTCAATTCGGTATTTATACTATTATATCGAAGAACCATTGATCGATTGATTTCCAATAGTATTTTAGATGATACGATACGTTTATTAGTAATCAATTTCTCATAGAGTTCAAGGATTTGTGTTGGATCTATGCCATATTGATGTATAACTCGAAGTAAATTACCCATACTTCTTTTTGACTGTTGTCTATTAAGTATTAAACAAAGTGTTTCTAATTCATCTGTAGAGAAATTGAGTTTGGTTAATATGAATTCTTCCATAACGGTATTATAAGTTTCTTCACTTAATTGACTTGTAAATGCTTCTATTAATGTAAAGCCTTGTTGCTTACTATATGTCATTATCATTCGTAATCCTTGCGAGATGTTGGCTATACTAAGTGAACCATTGTGTCTATATAATATATCATAAATTGCAGGTATATTCTCCAGTTCAAGTAATCCTTTAGTTATGGTATTCAATGCTTGGGGATCTAATTGTTTTGTCAGTTGTATGCAAATGTCGTACACGGTAGAGTACAATGATGAAGGAAATATCTCAAGGAGTTGAACGATATCCTTGTGATTGAATCTCCATGATTTATGAGGCGTTTGAATAAGCACCTGAAGGAGATGGTTCATTAATTGTGAATTGGTTGGTTCGGTTTCAATAAGACTACTCATAGTCCCCTGTCTACTTAGTAGTGTATTTATATGTTGATGAATAGATTGTAATATCGGACTCTCATCTATATCCTCTATAGTCTCCGATACTTGGATTAATTTACGTAATACTAATACCAAAACTATTGGGTACTGATGAGGTTGATTGGATTCCAAATATACCTGTTCCAATTGAATTTTGGTACTAACACTTTGTAGATTAGTACGTATTTCCAATACCTGTTGGATAGTCAATTTAGATATGCCAAACTTAAAGCATATCACATCGATGATATGCTTTCGAAGTGTCAGATTAATGATATCGTCTATTAATGAGAATAATAACTTATAGGGACCATAATACATATCACATTTATCTTCAAATACTCTTGAACATATATCTATAAAGTCTTCAAATTCCGTAAGAGTTGTATCAGTCTCTTGACAGATTTTCCAACAATTTGTATAGTCTTCATGGTATACTAATCTCAGTAATAATAATTCCTTAATAGTATTCGATGGTGGTGTTTCTAGTCTATTATAGAAATACATATATACTGAACTCGGTACCATTTCTGCTTTACATGATAGGATAGTAAATAATTTATTATCAATATCTAACGCAGTATTAACTCGATGAGCTATAGCAGGATTTTGTTGGAAGAACTTATTCACTGACTCATTGGCAGTATCGGACAATGAAGAATCAGGACCCACCAATACTTCTGCCTGTTCCTTAATGTAGTTGTAGAATATATTTTTAACTCTTGTCTTGATACTCGATGAGTTCTCATCAAAATATGCTTTGCTTACCCACAGACAATTATGAAACGGTTGAGTTCGTCGTAGCGTAGTGGTTCGTACTAGCGATCCATAAGGTCTTCGCCATATATGAGTCCACATACAAATTAGGGGAGTTTTGGTGGTGGTAGTAGTGGTGGTGGTTAGCGTACAGTAGCTTAGTGAATAGTTAGCGGTGAAAAATTCACAACCGCATTTTACCGCAAAGTATCACTAACTCCACTATTCACTATTCACTATTCACTATTAGCACTACCACCACCACCACCACCAAATGTCTAACGTTATATGGAACGCAGACATTGATGTATATAATGCATCGGTAATTCCTATACCGGTGGCCGAGAATATCGCTAAGTATCTACCTATACCAGATTTAGTATCATTTTCTCAAGTACTGAAGAATACTTACCGAGCCGTCAAAAATCCTAAACTATGGATATCGAAACTTAAAAGTATGGATGTTTGGGATAAAGCAAGTTCTAAAAATGAAGTCAATACTGAATTGGCTTTAAAACAATTAGAAAGTCCCTTATTATGTTTAGATAGTGTATTTAAATCCGCTAAATTAGCCAAATTACAAGTATTAAAGATTCATAATAGTATATGGCCATATTATAGTGATTTATTAAGTAATAAACCATTTGATAAACTTCAAATATTTAAGGATTTCCAAACTCCAGAGGATCAAGCTAAGATTCTTACGAATATTCTTACTTTTAATAAGATTGATTATATAGAAGCTTCAAGTCGTCTAGTAGAAGAGAAGGTCAATTCATTATTTGAAATATTTGAAAATGCTTTACTTCGAGAACTTGAAATTCATTATGATTTACAGGATTATGATAAGGCAAGAAGATTTGTATTGATTCTTATTATGCTTAAGAGTGATCAAACTTTAATTGACTTTTTCTTACAAAAGAGTATCTTTGATCGAGAGGAAAGTGATGTATTCAATCTTGAATCGTTTGATCCTAATAAATACTATAAAGATAATAAATTGGGAATAGCAGAAATCGATTCGGTGGCATTTGATCAGCTAGTGAGTGATATAGCTGAAGCTTTCAATCATCAATCAAATGTTATAGATATGATCTTTCCTCAATCAGTACCAATAATGTATAAAGTATGTGAAGAATTAATATCTAATCAAATGACAGAACTTATGCTTACATTGATTGAGAATCTGAAACTGAGAGGACTCTATATTAGTCTTATACCTGATTTGTATGAACGAATGACATCAGATATGATACCTCAATTGAGTGATTCACTTAATATTGGAGAACCATATAAGCAACTCGTTAAGGAATTACTTGATATGATGTTTGAATCAATTATTGCTGAGTATATTCGAGAAGTGATTCTGACATTCAAGACTGCTACATCCAATAAAATAACTGAATGGAAAGATTCTATATCGAAACGAGAAAAGGAGACATCTCAAAATATCTTAAAGATGGTTAAAGCCGAGACCAAGAATGATTTCTTGACTAGTTTTAAGAAGGTGTTTATCATTAGTAATCTGCTGGAAAAGTCCAAAAAGGATGATGAAGATAATTATTCAGAAATACAGGCCAAAGCCAAGATCCTTTCCGAGAATATTAAATCTCTTACTAAAAGCTTTAGTCCAGAACTTGTTCTAGAGACACTTAATGATGCTAAGACTACCCTTCATAGACTCTTGAAATTCCAATATTATTCTATAGCCTCATTAAGAAATGATATCTTTGCGGCTATGCAAGATATCTTTATAGATGTAATTGAAGATATTGGTCAGGGTCATTTACGTCCTGGGTTTGATAAGGCTCTTCAATACTTACAGACATATAATCCGAATTCTCCAACATATACAGAGTCACATAACGAAACATTTGTTGAACCATTAGTCCTATTCTGTGATATGATTACTATGGCTGATTTAATCATTCAAATGATTGATATTTTCTATAAAGAAGAAATGCTTAATCGACATATCATTAAGAATGAGAACTCGATATTGAATCCATCCCTTCAGAACAAAAAGAAATTAGAAGGGTTAGTAGATAAGTATGTTGCGGATGGACTCAATATCGGGTTAGAAGTCTTAGTGAATGAAATCGATGTAATATTTAAAACAAAATTAGTCAGTGCTGAGTATAATCCTCCACCTAATGAGGCTTCATCCTTTGGCCCGACAGACGCAGCTCAAAAGGCAATAGATGTATTGGACTATAATATGGGATTAATAGTCGATAGTGCAGACAAGTCAGTGATAGAAGTATTCCATCAAGAAATTGCCGAACGATTCTTTCAAATCATTGTTAAAACATTAAAGAAAAGTACTATCTCCGTGACGGGAGCTACTAGGTTGATTTCGGACTTAAACCTCTATTATGAATTTATAAATTCTCATATTAAAACCAATAAGAGGATGGTTTTACCATTCTATGAAGCTTTAAAGAAATTAGGCAATGTGTACTTAATCAGTGGTGATGATTCTAAAGCTATTGGGAAATTAGTTAGTGATCTTTCTAAATTTAATGGGATTTTCGGACAAGAAGAGATTTACGAATTTGTACAACGACGGGAGGATTGGCCCATAATTCGAAAACATGTAGAGAAAGTTATGTATGGTTTTGGATTAGGTGACTGTACCATTGTATAGATTAGACACATATATAGAAACTATTTCTTACTCACTTACTTATATGGCTGTGCGCGTGACCAGAAATCACGGGGCCCGATATGGCATACAAAATTTTCCTTAATTCATCTTAACTAATAGAGCTCTTAGAGTCCCCACTAAATGACCTACTAGTATAATAATATGAACCGTCAACGTTCCCGACTAGTGCGTGGACTTCGAGGACTTCGAGGATTTCGAGGACTCGGAATTAAACAAAGTCCCAGTATGAAAAATACTACTCCGAATCCATTTGCAGAGTATGAGGAATCCCAATTCAGTCAAGAAACTATCCCATTAGTCCAACGACTCCGGAAATCATATGACATATTACTTCACGAGCAAATGTTTAAGGTGGCGAGTGTTCTTTCAAAGTATTACGCTAGTCAAGAATCATTATTCATCAAAGATTTAGTGGACTTCCCATCCAACGATAAGTCATTTAAATATTTTGGAGCCATTTATCAGAAATCCCGAAGCTTTCGGGTGATTATTATGAATGATTTGATAGAACTCATACGGCGAGGTGAGTACTACCATGTGTCGCGATTTCTTCATACATTAATACGAATGCAGTTAGCCAATAGGGAATTAATTCGAGAGTTAGTAGTTAAAAAGTCTCATGAGAATATGGGGCCTGAGCAATTACTTAAACTTTTAGCTCAATGTATAATACTTCAGACTCAGAGTGTAGGGGATTATATATATGCAGCAAGAGTTGTTTTGTTATTCCAGGAAGAAATGAATCTAGGAATTTCACCATTCATTAAAGATCCCATATTACGAGGTTTAGCAACATGTACTGATCATACCAGTATTTATGCAAGTTTTGCTCTCCTTAAGATAATTCAAACTATGGATTTTCTTGATGTTCTGTCGTCCACTGTATTTCAGATCTTAGAATTCTTTGTCAACAATAAAACCATCTATTTTTCTAACAAATTCTTAGAGATGATAATAGAAAGAGGAAGTTTACAACGTTTACATTATCATAATCCTCAACAATATAGTACGGTGATGATGGAATTGATTAATCAGAACTTACATGATGGCATTTATGATGTAGCATTCAAATGGTGGATGGAGCTTACAAAAGTTATTAGTAATACTGATCATAATATAGAGACAACATATATTAAACTATTAAAATATCTGCCTAATCCTCAGACAACAAAACAATTAATTAAATCAACGGAGAATCTTAATATAAAGTCCACTGATGTTACAGATATGTTAATTGAGAAATTAGGTACGGACTCAAAGACTTTTAATGAGCCTATTTATCAAAAATTATTTCGTACTCTTACTCCTCCTATGCGGAGACTGACAATGTCACTGTTGTTGAAGACATTTTTATATCAGAACAATGAACTGGCAACCCACAAAATCCTTCAACTCATCTTTAAATCGAAGAATGGAATTGAACCTATTGATCTTAAATCATATGTTGATAGATTACTTCAAGAAGGTGAGTTAGATAAATGTATACAAATGGTTGAAGCCAGTTCAATTTCAGTATCTCGATTGGCATACGTCAGTGTCATTCGGTATATGTTTGAGAATGAGGAAGATCTTGAAATAAGACGATCATTTCTTGAAGAATATAGTAGAAGAGCTTTAAAACTTAGAAAGTCCGATGAATCATTGGCTCAACTTGGTTGTGAAATCATTCGATATTATTGTAATCGGTACAGTAATCGAGCAGCTAAAAAGTTATATACCACTATGAATGCTTATACTTCCAAACCTATTATTGATCTTAACGATCATCTATACGATAAATTAAGCTTTGCCAAATTCAAAATACCTAATCAATTTAAAGACATACTCACTATGACTCAACTGAGTCGTAGAGATTCCCTTGATATCATAGTGAGTAAGGCTATCAAAGAACAGGATGAAACTACGGTAATATGGGCTATAGATGAAATGAGATATATTGGATTGGATGTCAGAGACATTCTAAATCATTTACACAAGAGGGATAATTCAGGATATATCATGAGTATTCTCAAACCTGAGATTAGAAATCAGTTGTAACATATCATTTATTTGCATGTATATAGTAAAAAGTATGTATAATAGAAGTAGAATTTTCATATATTTATGTACAGGGTGTAGTTTACTTAGTTAGTTAGTTGTTTATTTTCTAGTCTTTAATTCCTTTTTACTAAACATTTTACCACCTTTTTGAACTTCAGTAGCATTTTCACCTAATAAGGCAAGGAAATCATCTTTCTTGGCACTTGACTGCTTAGGAGATTCATCAGTTTCGCTCGGTATGTCTGCTTTACCTTCAAATAATGAGTATCTTTCATTAAACTTTTGAATTTTACCTGCTGAATTTGGATCCACCAGAACCAAATCAGATCTATGAGGATTCCAAAGTTCACTATTTCTTTGATCGGAAATCATTCTAATTTCATCTTTAGGTGCTTGTGACCTTCTACGAACCACAGATCCGTCACTTAATTCAACTAATGTATCGAATTGATAAAAGATTGCTGGTCTAGCTTTCCCCATCTTGATTTTTCTCATGATTCTTCTATTGGAAAGGGTAACTTCCCCCAGCATAGACACATTACGAGACACATTACGAGTGAAAGTTTGCAGTATGCTATTAGTGGATCTTACTATACTTCTACTAAACATTTTTATTTATGTAGTTATAGTTATAGTTATAGTATTAGTTAACGTCTTTGACTTGACTACTAGGGCTCTCCATAGTTAACAACTGAAAAATTTTTGGTTTAGTGAGTGTCGTGCGCATCCTCAAATGTTCCAGTTCCAAATCCAATTTTTTTCACCAACGCTGACTATGGATCGAGTGGCTAGACAGACATAAATTGATTGAATTAGGATATAAATTGTTAGTAACTTATAGTTGATAATGTCGTTCTCTACCCAAACACCCACCATTGTGGTGTTGAAAGAAGGAACCGATTCTTCGCAAGGAAAGGGACAAATCTTGAGTAATATTAATGCATGTTTAGCTATACAAGATACATTAAAGCCAACTTTAGGACCATTTGGTTCTGATATTTTAATTGTATCTTCCAATGGTAAAACGACTATTTCTAATGATGGAGCTACTATTTTGAAGTTATTAGATATAGTTCATCCAGCAGCTAAAATGTTAGTGGATATTTCTCGAGCTCAAGATGCTGAAGTTGGAGATGGAACCACTTCAGTTACAATTTTGGCCGGAGAATTTTTAAAAGAAGCTAAGGCATTTATTGAAGATGGAATGTCATCTCATCTTATTATTAAAGGATTAAGAAAAGCCAACGAATTGGCTATTGCAAAGATTAAACAATTGGCTGTACAAATTACGCGTCATGATAATGAACAAGAATTTCGACAATTATTAGAGAAATGTGCAACAACTGCTATGTCATCCAAATTAATTAGTAAGAATTCGACATTTTTTACAAAAATGGTAGTAGATGCAGTATTAAGTTTAGATCAAGAAGATTTAGATGAAAAATTAATTGGAATTAAGAAAGTTCCTGGTGGAGGTATGGAAGATTCCATTTTCGTTGATGGAGTGGCATTTAAAAAGACTTTTTCATATGCTGGATTTGAACAGCAACCTAAACAATTTAAAAATCCTAAAATTATTAATTTGAATGTAGAATTAGAATTAAAAGCAGAAAAGGAAAATGCTGAAGTTAGAGTTGAAGAAGTTAAAGATTATCAAGCAATTGTTGATGCAGAATGGCAAATTATCTTTAATAAATTAGAAGCTATTTCTCAAACTGGAGTAAATATAGTATTATCTAAATTACCAATTGGAGATTTAGCTACTCAATATTTTGCTGATAGAAATATCTTTTGTGCTGGTAGAGTTTCATCAGAAGATATGGATAGAGTTATTAAAGCAGTTGGAGGTAATATTCAATCTACTTGTTCAAATATTAAATCAGAAGATATTGGAACTTGTGAAACTTTTGAAGAAGTTCAAATTGGTAGTGAAAGATATAATTTATTTAAGGGATGTCCTCAAGCTAAAACATGTACTTTAGTATTAAGAGGTGGAGCTGAACAAGTTATTGCTGAAGTTGAAAGATCTTTACATGATGCTATTATGATTGTTAAACGAGCCGTTAGTCATAGTGAAGTTGTTGCTGGAGGTGGAGCTATTGAAATGGAATTATCTAAATATTTAAGAGATTATGCCAAAACTGTAGCTGGTAAACAACAATTAATAATTAGTGCATATGCTAAAGCATTAGAAGTTATTCCAAGACAATTATGTGAAAATGCAGGATTAGATGGAATTGAATTATTAAATAAGTTAAGAAGTTGTCATGCTAAGGGAGATATTTGGTATGGAATTGATTTCCAAAAGGAGAATGTTGGTAATAATATGAAGAATTTTATTTGGGAACCATCATTAGTTAAGATTAATGCATTAGGATCTGCCACTGAGGCTGCTACGTTATTATTATCGGTTGATGAGACCATTAGAAATGATGAAGATAAAGATGGAGGTGCAGGAGGTAGAGGTAGAGGAGCGTATTAGTTATAGAGTATAGTTAATGTAGATAGTACAGAAATAGTAAAGTGTAGAAGGGGTAAGTAAGGAGTGAGTGAGTGAAGGAGAGAGAGAGCGAAGGAGAGAGAGCGAAGGCGAGAGCAACTGAAGGAGAGGCTGCCTTAGAAATAAGGTGAAATTGATAAGTATTTTTTGTGGAGACGATGTACGTAATTAGTAGTAGTTAAGCACTCAGTAATTACGGCCGAGTACTGTGTAACAGATAGAAATTATTACAGAATACTGTCTTCTGTCTAATGTCTGTCTACTGTCCACTGTCTATCTACTGTCTACTGTCTGTCTACTGTCTACTGTCTGTCTACTGTCTACTGATGATAGTACTCATTACTGTATTCCAACTAATGCGTCTACTACTCTACTGGTACGCGGTATAATACTTAGTACTCCACTGTACTTACTGTCTGTCGTCTATACTATACTATGTGTTCTAAGTGGTCTAAACCGGCTACTGTACCTTTATTCTCCTCGTAAAATTGAGCCGCAAATTATCCGATTGTACGCGTTGGCTGCGTACAAAATGGCCGCGAAATTCCGCGACTGAAGTGACACAGACACCAAATGATTGACGAAGTACAGAAGGAGCAGTGAGCAGCAGACATGTGACGAGTTTAAGTGTGACACTTAGTAGCGCCTGTAAAGTATAGTGTGTGTAGTGTTTGAGTATGTAAAAAGATCAGATTGTGTCAGAATATGATTGAAGCGTGACTGCTTATTTTGTTTGACTGTTGATCTGACTATTCTACTAACTAATGATTTGTTTACTTATTACTATGACTACTGTAACTACTGTTCCCACTATTATTGTCTGTCCCTTTATTGTATATTGTCTGCAGACCCTAATAGCTCACAGATGCATAAATAAATGAATAATAAAGAATAAAATAAAATTAATAAAAATTAAATTAAATAAAAATTAAACAATAAAAATAAAAATAAAATTACGCGTTAGAAAACAACTCCTTCTCTGCTCCATACCGAAACGGTAAGGAGAAATGTCAGAATTGGCGACTGGTTCATATATAAAATTGTCAATCTGCTGAGTTTAACTTGAAGTTAACTTGTTTCCATTACTGATAGCCATTACTTTCAGTAAACTCGGGACACTCAGGACATCAGTAACTCTCAGTACTCTCAGTACTTTTAGTAACTCTCATTATCCACTGTAATTGTCACTGTTGTCTCCATCATTATCATCACTAATTCCCACCATTACCACTAATTCCCCAATTAAATTATTTCCAATAATTCATAACTCCACCTCCATTATTTCCACATTCGCTAATAACTATGAAATACGGCCCTCCCCCTCACAGACCTCGGCCATACTCCATTATGCTCGAACTTCTCGAGTCTCATACTAATAAAACTCTTACTAATGAATATTATAATGATATAACAAAGACTTTAGCCCATCTTGAATCAATTTCTGCAGTAAATCCTGCTATGATTGAACTTCAACCAGAAATTCAATGGTTTATGAGACCTTTCTTACTTGATTTCTTAATTGAATTACATGCATCATTTAAATTACAACCTCAGACATTATTTCTTTGTCTTAATATTATTGATAGATATTGTGCTAAAAGAATTGTTTTTAAACGTCATTATCAATTAGTAGGTTGTACAGCTCTTTGGATTGCTGGTAAATACGAAGATAAAAAGCTGAGAGTTCCTACTTTAAAAGAATTAACAATTATGTGTAGAAAGGCTTATGATGAAGAAATGTTTGTACAAATGGAAATGCATATTTTATCCACTTTAGAATGGTCTTTATCTCATCCTAATTTAGAAGATTGTTTACAATTATCTATTAATTGTTGTGGTTTAACAGCTGATTCAACTCCTACAAAGTATAATAAATTTATTCCAACTAATAATAATACTTCAACTACTAATAGTGCTTCAACTCTTTCGGCTGTAACTGCTATAGGAAGATTTTTATGTGAATTATCTTTATATGATAAATATTTCTTATCTGTACCAACATCATTAGTTTCAATAACTGCTAATTTATTAGCATGTTCAATGTTACAAATCCCTCATGCATCCAATTCTTTATTAGCATTAATGAAAAAATCCATTCATAAACCATCCACTAGACGTCATATTTGCTTATATTCTAATAATAATGAAAGTAATTATAGTCATGACGCTCATACTGCATTAAACACTTGTCTTCGGAATGTTAGTTTTGCCACAGACTTTAGTGGTGATGATGATTTAAACGATACTGAAGAAGAAGAAGATAATGATGATGATGAAGATGTAGAACTTGATGATGACGATTTTATAGAAGATGATGATACTGAATATAACGAAAACAAGCAACCAGAAGTTCATGGAGCCTTTTTATCAGGACTTGATGAAAATGCTCTTCTTACTATAAAGAAAATTGCCCTTATGTTTATTATTCAACTAAGTAAAGTAACAGAAGTATTATCCAAAAAGTATGAACCATTAGGAGTAATTCAAGTAATTAATAATTTCCATAGTCGATTCACATTTATAATTCAATCGATATATGAAAATCAAGAATCCGTAATTAATTCGGGTGATCAGGAAGAAGAAATGGCAGTAGATATTAAATTATTACAATTTTCTGAAATTTTATTACAATTTCCTAGAATTGATACTAGTCCACAATATGATGGTAATGGAGATTTTAGACCTCCACAATCTCCATTAATATTTAATTCTTCATCTTTAAGTCTTAATGTTGGTTCTGATCATTTACCACCTCCTCCAGCTACTCCACCATCCGCTAGTTCTCAATATTCTGTATTTTCTAATAAGAGACATAATGGTAGTTCATCTACTTGTGTAACTCCAATTCATGGTAATACTATTCATAATCCTAATAATACCAATGTATCTATATCTTCAGCTTCAAGTTATAATTCTGGAAGTTCAAGTATAATAAGAAATGGGAAAATGAGAGTTAGTAAATCCAATAGTCATCAGTATAAAACTCATTCAAATAATACTGGTAAAGAATATTCTCCATTAAATTCGGAGAATGCGTGGTCTTCACCTATTATGAGAGTTTAGTTAGATCTTATAGTTTGCATAATGTACACCTGTACTGAGTAGAGTATTGTAGTATTAGAGTGGTACTGTAGTACTGTAGTATTAGAGTGGTACTGATAGTACTGTAGTACTAGAGTATGTATTGCTTATTGTTGGTCTTATATTTAGTACTGTTCATATATGTATTACAGAAGTACTTAATTGTATTTAAGCTGTTAATCTACTCAATCACTAAGTAGAGTACTGTAGTTAGTACCAGTGGAGTCAGTAGAGTCAGTAGTGTTAGTATTAGTAGTGTTAATAGTGTTAATACTGCTAGTGTCGCACCAGAAGTATCACTACTAGTAGTTAGTGGTAGTTAGTTCACTTAGTGACTGCGACTTCTAAACACTCCTCACTACCAACTCCAGTTGGCTTGACTACTTACTGTCGTCTACTACTCGTCTAACTATTGTCTGATTTGCTGCGAATTTGTCCCATTTGCGAATGTTTCACTGCACAATGACTACAATAGCACTTCCTCACTAACCAATGACTGACTGCCAATTAAGCCTAACTAGCCAGTAACTCACGCACACTACACACTACTGAGCTCACTAACAAATTCACCGACTCACTAACAAATTCTCTAACTCACTCACTAACTAACTCACTAACTCTCTAACTCACTAATGCACTAACTAAAAGTCTCACTACTAAAGACTGCGACTCTCCGATCGCTAAATATGCAACCACCTAATTGGGACAGTCACCCTCTCTAACTAAATCACCACTAATTTATCCTCTACCAACTTAACTTAATACTACATCCGCTACTCTCCCTCTCCCTCTCCCTCTCCACTCTCTACTCTCTACTCACTACTCACTAACTATTACTACTACCACTAACATAACTAATTATACTAGTAAATCGCTTCCTGCACACAGGCTCCTCTGTTTACATTTTAAACGTAAACATAAATCGTATACTACCAACACTTGTTCAACCTCTACTCACCATTAGTTATCCACCAATACCACCATATCCTCTAGCACATGACGTCGCCAGACAACGGCTTCGATTCCAAAAATTGGGTATGGATTCCTCACCAAACAGATCTCTTTACTAAGGGATATGTCACTGATTATTTAGGTGATGGTACTTGTAAAGTTACCATAGTTCATGCTAATGGAACTCAAGAACTGAATCAAATAGTTGCTCAAAATACTTTAGAGAATTGTAATCCAGTCAAGTTTAATAAATGTGATGATATGGCAGAATTAACTCATTTAAATGAACCATCAGTTGTATATAATTTATATCTTAGATATAATGATAATTTAATTTATACTTATTCAGGTTTATTCTTAGTTGCAATAAATCCTTATAAGGAGTTACCAATTTATGATAATGCTGCTTTACACAAGTTTCATAATCATGAATTTGAAAGATCTCCTCCTCATATCTTTGCTACAGCTGAAGGTACGTTCAGAAATTTATTATCAAATAAGAAAGATCAATCAATTTTAGTTACTGGTGAATCAGGAGCTGGTAAAACTGAAAATACTAAAAAGATTATTCAATATTTATCATCTATAACTACTGCTCCACCAACCTCACCAACTAATTCTCCAGTAAGATTAAGTAAATCTCCTTCAATTACAGGTTTAACTATTCCAAATACTATTGATATTAAAATCTTACGAGCTAATCCAATTCTTGAAAGTTTTGGTAATGCTAAAACTGTAAAGAATAATAATTCATCAAGATTTGGGAAATTCATTGAAATCTTCTTTTCATCAAAGGGAGAAATTAATGGAGCCAATATTGATTATTATTTACTTGAAAAATCTCGAGTCGTTCATCAAAATAAAGACGAAAGAAATTATCATATCTTTTATCAATTTCTTAAAGGATATGATCAATTAGCTAACTTTGGATTAAATAAAGATATATCTACTTACAAATATTTAGAAAATAGTCTTGTTACCATTGCAAAAGTTGACGATTTTAAAGATTTTAATTTATTAGTTGAAGCCTTTAAAATCGTCGGGTTTTCTAATGATGAAATTAATCATATTTTTCAATTACTTGCAATAATTCTTCATTTAGGTAATTTAGAATTTACATCTTGGAAATCTGAACAAGCCAATTTTACTCAAGAATCTCCCATAGATATTCTTGTTGAATTAATGGGAATTGATAAATCATTATTTGTTGAAAATTTATTACGACCAAAAGTTAAAGCAGGACGAGAATTAGTTCAAAAACTGAAAAGACCAGCTGAAGTTAAATTTTCAATAGATGCATTTGCAAAACATCTTTATGAAAGACTTTTCCAATATATAATTTCAAGAATTAATGATAATTTAAGAATGGATTCAAATGATAATCTTCATGAACTTAATTTTATTGGAGTTCTTGATATTGCCGGATTTGAAATCTTTGAAATTAATTCATTTGAACAACTTTGTATTAATTATACTAATGAAAAACTTCAACAATTTTTTAATCATCATTCATTTATTTTAGAACAAAGTGAATATCTTAAAGAAGCAATTCAATGGGAATTTATTGATTTTGGATTAGATTTACAACCAACAATTGATTTAATTGAAACTACTAATCCAATGGGGATTTTTAAATTATTAGATGAAGAATGTGTAATTCCTAATTCATCAGATAAATCATTTATGGAAAAATTATCTCATCATTGGGGGTCTGATCAAAGTAAAAAATTTAAAGAGAATAAATATAAATCTGGATTTATAATTAGACATTATGCTGATGAAGTTGAATATAATGTTGATGGATGGTTAGAAAAAAATACTGATCCAGTTAGTGAAAATGTATTAAGATTATTATTAAATTCAAATAATCAATTTCTTCGAGATTTAATTGAAAATGATGATCATCTTATAGATTCAAGTTCTGGTTCTGGTTCTGGTAAGAAACCAAAATTAAAATCTGCATCAGTTAAACATAAAAATCAACTAAAAGATCTTATGGATCAATTACAACGTACTGAACCTCATTTTGTTAGATGTATTTTACCAAATTTAGATAAAAAACCTAATAGATTTGATAAATCTTTAGTATTAAATCAATTAAGATGTAATGGAGTTCTTGAAGGAATTAGAATTACTCGTGCTGGATATCCTAATAGAATGACATTTCCTGAATTCTTTCAAAGATATGCTATTATTAATAGTAAAGAAGTATTTACCAAAGATGCAAAAACTAATAGTGAATTAATTTTAAAACATATAGAATTAGATCCAAAAACTTATAAAGTAGGAATTACTAAGATTTTCTTTAAGAATGGGATCTTGGGGAAACTTGAAGAAGTAAGAGATTTAACTTTAAAGGGAATCTTTAGTGATTTACAAGCCATAATTCGAGGAGGAATGGCAAGAAATGATATTCAAAAACGAATTAAAGAAGTCCATGCATCTCAATTAGTTGCTAGAACATTTAATCAACTTGAAAAGGCTAAGAAACAGAATCCTTGGCTTGAATTATTTGTAACCATTAAACCATTACTTGATGATTCAGCTCTGGTATTAGATACTCAACAACTTCATGAGAATATTCGGAAACTTACTAAGAAACTTGAAGAAACTGAACAGGTTAAAGTGTCACTTGATTCAGAAGTTAATCAATTGAAGCAACAAGTTAATCGATTAGAAGATGAAGTTATAACCACCACCAATATCGTTAAGAGTAAAGATCAAAAGCTTGAGAAGTTTAAGTCCGATGAGTCTCGAACCGTTAATACAATTAAGAAATTAGAAGCCAAACTCAAAGAGTATAAAGAAACCAATCAACAACTCGAGAAGGCCAAATCCACTAAAGAAAATGAATTCAATGAACTTTTTGAAAAACATAATAAAGTTAATGAACAGTTTCAAGAACTTAGTGAAAAGCATAAGGAAGTTACTGGACAAGTTACTCAATATACGTTAGACACTAAAACATCACAAGCTACTATTGATAAACTTACTTCTGACTTAGCTAAGAAACAAAAGGTTATAAGTAAACATGAAGCTAAAATCGCCGAACTTGTAGCTGCTAAAGAATCTATTGATACCTCTACTCAGAAGGAGTTATCAACCCTTAGAGATACTAATGCTCAATTAAAGGCAGAGGTCAATACCCATAAGTCATTACTTCCTCAGCATGAACAACTTCAGCAAGAAGTTTCAAAACTAAAAGCATTAACTGAATCTCATCAAAATACCATCAGTGACAAAGATAAAGAACTTGCGTTACTTCATGTGAATACCCAAACATTTGAATCGGAATCAGCTAAATTAACTCGGAAAGTGGCTGATACTGAACTGAAACTTAAGGATTTACAAGCACAGCTTTCTAATGCCAATAAGGATAAAAAAGAACATATGAATGCATCATCTCAGTATCGTCAAGAAGTCCTTGTACTTACAGAAAAGCTTAGTAAGAATGCTGTTAATGAGAATGAAGTTAATGAATTAAAATCTCAAATTAAGCAATTAAAGTCTCAAGTAGAATCTAATGAAGAACTTCGACAATCTATGACTAAGCTTCGATTGGATTATGAAGGAGCTAAAAGTGCTAAAGCAGAATATGCTGATAAAATCAATACCTTAAATAAGAAGATTATTCAACTTGAAAATGAATTAATTGATCGAGAAAATGAAAAGGAGAATCAACCACCAGATCCATCATTTGTTGAAGAATTTGCTAATATGAAAATTAAACTTAATGAACAAAGTGCAGCCTTAAGAAAGGAAAAATTTGAAAATAAGAAATTGAGTGAAGAACTTATGATGGTTAAGGAAAGAATTAATCTGACCCCTAATAGAAGATCAGTTGCTATGGGAGAAAGAATTAATATTAATGGAAATCTGGAAGTATTAATAGAAGAAATAAATTCATTAAAGATTCAATTACAACAAGAACAAGCCAATGCTCAACGAGCCGAATCTTATGCAATTGAACTTCAAAAGAAATATAATAAATTAGAATCTACTCGAGGTTTAAATAGTTATAATGATTATGAAAAGAAATTCAAAGAATCTCAAGAAAGAATTGGAGAATTAGAAGCTCGATTTGAAGAAGCATTTGGAGAAACAACCACTGATGGATCGCAAAGATCTATAACTAAAAGTGAAAGTTATGGTAGAATTAGTTTACTTAAAGGTTCTAATCAAGATTTTGCTCAAATTTATCAAGATATTACTAAGACATTAAAAGCTACCAGAGAGGAGCTAGCAAGCTCCAAGACGGAAATTTTAAGATTAAAATCTTTACTTCGAGAATCAGAAGAAGAATTATATCAAGTTAAGACTCAAACATTTAAAGCATCAATTACTGAATATGAAGATCAATTAGCTCAATTAAAAGTAAAACATGATACTATTTCTAGTAAGAATAATGATCTTCAAACTAATCTTGAATTATATAAAAAACGATCAGATGAGAGTTTTACTAAATTAGAATTAGCTGAATCGGCTATAAAGATTTCCAAAAGACATGAAGAAATTGCAGTTAAAGAACTTGAAGAAGCAAAGACTCAATTGAAACTTATTAAAGAAGAGTGTAGAACTTCTCAAATTATTATTAAAGATATTAGAAAACAAAATTCTCAACTCGAAGATACGATTCGTGATCGTGATCATCGTATACAACAACTTAAGATAGAAAAGACTAATCTTCATGAAAAAGTGTTATATTTCACTAATAATTACGCCAATAAGGAAGTTACTGAGAAATATAAAGATGAGATAAGAGCTTTACATAAAGAGTTAAATTTTAAAAATGAAACTGAAACAACATTAGTCAAAGAAAATAAACAAGTTCTGCTTGATCTTGAAGATATGATAAGAGATAAGAAAGCTCTTGAACAAGAATATGAAGAATTATTAAAATCCGAACAAAGTTTACAAGCTCAAAATGAAGAATTATCTAATCGAAAACTTCAATTGGAAAATAATCGAGATATTAATGAACGGAAGATTAATAATTATGAAAAACAAGTCAATTCATTAAAGGAATTGACTGATGAATTGAGTAGTCAAAAACAAGAATTATTAAATCAGAATGAAATATTGAAAGCTCAAGTAACTAAATTAACAAATAATTTAGATGATACTCAATCTCAACTTAAAAAGGCTAATTCTGATAATGAAATGTTCCGTACTCATATGAATAATCAAAGAAAAGAAGCTGAAGATATTCGAGCAGAATTTAGTCAATCTAAACTTGAAAGTACTAAAGAAATTCAAGATTATCAAAATATTCGAAAGAATCTACTTGTAGCTACAGAAGAGAATATTACTCTTAAGAAAGTTAATGAACTGTTAAGTAGTAAAGTTCATGATTTAGAAGAAAAATTATATAGTAACGAGCAAATTAAATTTTGGGAACAGAAAGTTAGTGAATTAAATCAACAATTGGATAAAACTCGTCATGTTAATTATGATTATTCTAACACTATTGCTAAATTAGAAAAAGAAGTTAAACGATTAGAGATTAATGCCGAAAATGAAGCTCAATTAACAAAGAAATACAGTTCAGAGAATTTTAATTTTCAAAATTTATTACAACAAAACAAAACGGTTATTCAAATACTTCAAAGTGAACTGGCTGCTAAGGATTTAACAATAAGTAAGATCCAAAGAGATATTGAAAGCACTCGAGAAGTGATGATGGTTATGGAGAAGGAAGTACTTGAGCTACGAGAACAACTTGGAATTAGATCGTAGAGGAAAGTTTCTTATTATAGATATAAATTAATATAATACAACATAATATAATAGAATAAAGATTTACTACTACAGATTCAAAAATAATATAATTTAATAATTTATATTTATGGATTTATAACTGTTGGATGTGGCTTAACTTCTAAGAGGAAGCTTCATGTTTAAATAAACAACTATATGCAAATTTAAGTCCTGAAAATATGATAGCAAGAATTTTTAATGGCTGTAGATCCAAAAAAATTATTAAAGATTGAAAGATGATTGAAAGGAGTTCGATCCATGTGCTGGGATCTTTAAGTTTAATTTTAAATTTATTAAACCAACTATTATTGTTATCTTCTTCTCTTTCCTCAATTTCATTTTGGCCTTTAGCAGCAGCATTGTTTTTCAGCTTCTTAAATATTGATTTAAAAAAAGACTTCTTACCTTTGTTATTTATAGCGGCATCGCCCATTTCTGGGACTTTTACTGGTTCATCCAGTTCTTCAAGTCTATTGACTTTTTCTTGATGTGCATCGCCTTCTGCATCACCTTCAACACCTTCAGGTACTTCATTTTTAGCCAAAAGTGCATCATCACCTTCTTTTCTATTATCAGAATGTAACTCATCAACGATTTCTTTATGTTCATCACCTTCTGCAATACCATCTGGTTCTTTATTTTCAGCCAAAATTTCATCATCACCTTCTTTTCTATTATCAGAATGTAACTCATCACCGAGTTCGTTCTTTGGTGAAATAGAAGGATTTGCTGCAGAAGAACTCCCTGTAGTTGTAGCAATTTGTGATCCAATTACTGGATTCTTGGGATTAGAAGCCAGCATAATAATTCCAATAAGGCGGTTAAAAAGACTTTGTGGTAAAAGAGAAAATATGCTGCAAAATTAAATTGATAAATTGTGCGACTGTAAAACTCACTAAAATTATAATGGCACTATAGGTTGCGGTGTTGATGTTAAGCATTCTAAATAACTAACTCGTAATTCAATAGACATAAATACTATATCCAAATTCAATTAAGTGGATAACTCAGTAGTTAACTGATTCACTCTTCTACCGATTTATTAAACATTAAAGTTTTATTAGATTTATAATTATTATGAAATATTATAACCTATTACCTATAACCTATAACCAAAGCTTTTATATACAAAACTAAACTTCTTTAAGATAATTTTATAGAGAATTGCATTTAGAGTATAAGTGGAGGTAACATTATATAATTATTCATTTGTGAAAGCAATTTCCTTATATGGAAAAGGAAAGGTTATATTATTGGGTTTGTGGCAAGTGCGTTACCTTACATTTGGTGAAGATTTAAAGAGTAATATGTATCCTATTTAAATGACAAAATACTGAACAGTTAACTATAGCTGAGGAGGACAGAATTTGACTTAAGAAACTGGTAATACATTGAAGAGCTTACTCGTCGCTTTGGCAAGTTATTTTTTAATACTTAGATCGGTCCATCTAATCCAGTCCTGTCTATGCTTCCGCAAATACTGATTATCGTAGAAAACAAAAGTCTTCAATTTTTGGTACTGTAAAAGATGTGAAATTAATCTGCTAATCTCTTCATCAAACTCTTTCTTAGTATAATATTGTTGATAATGGAATAGATCAACTGTTAATAAACTGACCTTCTCTTGTGGCCTTACTCGATGGATTCTGATAAGTTCAAGAGTTGAACCCCAATATTGAACCATCGTCCTAACTAGAGCGAGTTGTTCTTTGAGCTCGGACGCTGGTACAGGCGTCTCCATGTCGAGGGAAAACTTTTGTAGAGAATAATTGGGTAGATTTAATATTGCAAAGTTAACCATTGCTGGTACATGAGAGTCCGAGCTTTGTAGAACAAGGACTCTTATGTTTGGCATTGCCTTGAACAACTTAAATAACGAGTCTTCTTTTTGCAATGTACAACAGTTTTTAATTTCCACTTCTCTGATATTCTGTGAACAGAATATGGAAACAACAGGATATAAAGTAGTTTCCAGAAGATGGATAGGATCCAACGACAAAGATGTCACACCAACAAAGATACCCTTCAACTGTTCAAGAGCTTCAAGTGATGTACATATCGATGATAATTCTACTTTCTTGAATAAAGAAAAATTCTTTGAGTTCTTCTTAGCAATCTTATAACTTAGTGAGTTATCTTTTAAATTTATCTTTAGCATATGATATAATCTTTGATTTATTTGTTCATTTAAGTTCGATGGTTTCTTATAGTTCTCAATTGGTATAACGTAATCATGTTTATTTTTGTAACTATCATTTGAAAGGTTTATAATGTGTTGGAACCTTGAGTGTGGGGTTCGTAGCAAATTACACACAACTGTAAAATTTAAATAACCATCTGTGATCATCTCGGAATTAAGCATAGTTTTGTAGTCACTGTTGTTAACTATAACTCTCTTGTATAATTTGATCATACATAATGAATAAAATCTTGAGTTCACTCTACATAGGCTTAATAATTCTATTTGATTTAAAAGATCTATTATCTCTCTTAATAATATGTTGGGCAAGCACTCTAAACTAGTAGCTGACTTTGGTGGCAGTGGAGATGAACTGATACATGTTGGGTAAATATCTTTGCTGGATTTTCTATACCCAGCCAATCTACGAGTAAGACATCTCATACTATGATAATTTGTATTCTGTATTCTTTTTCTTCCACTAGACCATCATATTAAATATAGTACAGTTATATTTTTTGCAACTGTAAGTATCGCAAAAATATTTTGGGAAATAATTATCCAAAAACGGTATAAATTAGGATGAGAATGAAAGGGAATCTATAAAAGAGGGATTCCTAATATATTCATTTGAAATAAAGAAACTGTTGATTATATACTGTTATATGTTTATATCTAAGCATTTAATTATAAAAGAAAATACCGCTTAAGGGTTTTTTTTCCAATGTAAAGGGGAGATAATACTTGAATTAAGCATCATCAATTAAAAAAAGAATGTTAAATGTTGTATGGATGGAAGCTATCATTAGACTATTATATTACCTACACTAATTACAAGATTACTATTATATTACTAATTCTAATTACAAATAATGCCAAACATATATCCATTATAGCATCTAGAACCATTTACGTTTAGGATGTCCTTTACTATCTATTTCTCGTGGCTTCTCTAAGGTAGGTCCATCAAATTTCCCTAAACCATAGTGTCGAAGAATATATTCCACATCTCCGAATGCTTCTCTATCTCCCTGCATAACTACTGATGGAATTCCAGAACTTATTCCTTTAGTTATAACCTTACCTGTAAGTACTTTTTCGGCTACTTTACGTAAATCATTTACAGAAATTTGTTCAATCTTTTGAATCATGTAATCTGTAGATGTTACCTTTCCTTGACATTGAATTTGTCTTCCTAAATCTTCTAACTTAGCAAGTCTACTTTCTACATTCATAAGTAAAGCACTTATTAATTGATTTTTAGCACGTTGCACTTCTGAATCTGTAAGTCCTCCATTCTTTGGATCCTTTTCAAGTAATTTGGATAATTCAAAGCAAATTATTTGTGACATCACATGAGCCGCATTAGGTGAACATGATATAGTAATTCCAAATAATCCTGAATCGACATATGAATGGTTGAATGCCATGCAATTTTCAACAAAGGCATATTGATTTAACACTCTAGTATATAATCGAGAAAACATACCTTTACCAGGTCCACCAGCCGAGAATGATGAACCTCCTCCAAGTAATTTTTGAAGGGTTGCTAATGCATAAAGATCTTCATTTAATAATCCTGTAGTTTCAAACCCTATTTGCATATGATATAGTTCAGGCAAATTACTATATATAGGAGCTTGATATGGTAAAGAAATTTCTCCTCCTGTATACGTAACTTGTCCCAAATCTGGTTTAGTTGCTGAAGTATTTTTCCAGTCTCCGAAATGATTAGTAGCCAATGATACTGCTTGGGAATGAGGTACACCTACCATCGCCACCACGACATTCTGAGGTTGAAAGAATTTACCATGATAATTGACTAAATCTTGTTTAGAAATTAGTGGAATTCGTTCGGCAGGACAGAAGAGTGGTAACCCCAATGTGTTCTTATTGTAAGCAGCGGAATGTAAGACTTCTGGTAACAACATTTCATGCTTGTAAGCCAATTCAGAAACTTCATATTGAGCTGTCTGTAATGTTTCAGCAATCTCTTGATCGGTAAATTTTGGTGACCTGACCGTTTGAGCAATCACATCTATCATCTTAGTAACATCCTTATTGAATACAGATGCTTGATAGATCATGGACTCTCGTTGAGCTGCACACATATAGTTTCCTCCAAGTTTCGATAAATTCTCAAGCATTTCAGTTCCACTAGATTGCTCTGTTGATTTCCAAGCCATTCTGTCACAGATGTGGGATAACCCAGGTCGGTCAGGATCTTCAAATCTTGATCCAGCATCTACATAAGCTCCTAAAGCACTGAAGTGACCAGGAGTCGAATCGGTTACCACTCGAAGACCATTGGTTAAAGTGGTCATTTCGACCTGATGAGGTTTGGAGCCAATAGAACTTGAGGCATATGTCCGCAAATGGGTCCCTGTACGGGCTCTGACACTTCGGATACTGGCTAACATCCTCGTTATGGGGTTTGAGTCGTAGTTAATGGTATAGATAATGATGGTAAAGATGAATATAAAGTGAAAAATTGTTGGTGGCGACCGGAAGTCACGTGTGCTACACAGATCCGGTCAAATGTCATATACTACGAGAATATTATTATTATTCTTAATATTACTATTACTATTACTTAATCTATTCAAATGTCATAAATTAACTAAGTTAGTGTCATCACTTTTTGCAGGATTTGTTTTGGTGGGTGTAGTACTAAAAATGTCTAGAAGATCTCCATTGATATTCGACGGTTTTGGGAATGCATCATCCATAGTCATGAACCGCGAAGTTGAAGTATGGGTAATTTGAGATATAGGTGGTTCAGTATTACTGGTTATAGGTGAAGTGGATGTGAATTCAGCGAATTCCTCTTCATCATCTTCATCTTCATCTTCATGCTCCGGTGACTCACCGGCGGGGCTACTAATGGGAGTATCACTAATTGGAATGTCATTTCCATTAATTGAAAGTGAACTTATTGGAGGTGAAGTTATAGTAATTGGTGGAGCATCAGAACTTACTTTTGGAGTTGTAGATACACCAATTGGTGGTGTATTAAGGACCGAATCAATCTTGTCCTTCTTCACTCCCAACGAATCATTGCTTCGACTCTTAACACCAGGACTTCCAAATATAGAGGTCACAGGTAGGAATGAAAATCGTTTAGCAACCTTTGGAACTGTGCTCTGATTCCCAGAAGTAGCCACACTAGTTTGACTATCAGTAGATGTTCTCAGTTGAATATCAAACTCTCGTGATGATGTTGTGTTAAATCCAAACAATGATCCAAAGAATCCAAGCTTTTCCTTATTTAAAGTAGCTTCAATCTCTCTTTCATATTCAGCCTCTTTTATCTTTAACTTCCGTAAGTATAATTCATGATCCTTCTTCTTTCGTTCATGGATTTGTTGATTAATCTGTTCACTATGATGAGCTCTTATACTTTCTATTCTTGAATGTATAAATCGATTTGATTCTTTCTCGACTATTCTACTCAATTTATTAGTTATTGATACATTCAGAACAGTGATGTTGAGTTTATTTAAATCATCAGCTCTTTTTATAGCTGATTCATCATCTTTATCTGGTGATGGACTCGTATCCTTATCAGTACGAGTCATATTATTCTTAACTTTCTGATCATTCTTATTAGCTTTTAGTTGCCTTTTTCTTTCTTGAATGTAAGCATCAGATGATGACCAACTGAATAAAGTATTGGCAGTTGCCATAGATCGATTGGTGAGTACAGATTTTTGACTACGCTTTTGATCAGCTACAAGCCATGAATCAACAATTAATTTTTGAGTAGTCTCTAAAGATGAATTAGTCCATCTAACTACTGAATGACCCGATGATGGAATGAATTGATTACTATAACTCTGTAGTGATACATAATACTTATTGGCTTTATCTGTTTGTTGTAGTAGAGACTCAACATATTCTGGTGGGGTTGGTGGAGGTGGGGATGTATCGTAGTGAGTATCACCAAATACGGACTCAAGTTGGTCGGATGTAATGGTGATAGGATCAGGCGATGTGTCTGAATTCATTCCACACAATCAACTATTATTGCCTATTAATTGTCTTAAATATTATGGGTATTGTATAAATTGGTGGTGTATCAAAAGTTAGTGAGATCAAAAAAAATTGAGTGCAATTCGAAGCAGTTGGTGATACTTTATCAATAGGTATCATGGGTTACGCAGTTAAGTCATTTGCACAATTTCCTCAATTTCAGGTATTTATTGCATTGTTCGCAGATGTGCGTAGTGAAACTTTGAGTACAGTTAAGTCCGAGCTTGTAGGAGCTAACAAGCAATATGATTACTGTTTTTTAAATACTAACCATTTAGTATCAGTAGAACAGCTTTATTCCAGTATATATAGATCAATCCTGAATTTTGTTAATGAGACTATGAGAGCTAAGACTTTAAATACCGAGATTATATTCAATCTTGCTCCAATCAATAATATAATGGATGCCTTAAAAAGATTTGGTGTCGATGAGCTGTGTAATAATGTCATAGTTATTAAGGTAATCAATAGTCATGATGTGGTTGACAATACTTTTGATAATGAATTTACTAATTTATTAAGTCTCTTGGAAGTATCAGAATCCAGCAGTATTGAGTTATCTGATAATATACTATTCAGTCTTGTAAATATCCCCAAGTTGAAGAAACTCTTTAAATTGAATGATGCTAATTATTCGAATGACACTAGTCATTTACAAGCGGAACTTACTAGACTTACTATAGGTGCTGCATTATTACGGGGATGTTAATACATATGGATATAGAGTTTGTGTATAGAAAATATATATACATACATATATATTTAATTAATGCTATCTATGGAATGCAAACCGCTTCAAACTATTGGAAGTGGTGGGTTTTCTAATAGGAACACTTCCCTTGAGTGGAGGAAGTGTTTGTAGAGATATTTTAGTAGGAGGCACATGTTTCAGTAGATTGATATCTTTAGTGACTTTAGATTGTATTGGTTTGAGTTGATTGATATCTTTACTGGCTAAGGGAGTTCTTGTGAGTTCAAATCGTTTATTGGATCCACAAACAAAGCTTTCTCTTAACGAAGTCTTTATTTTAATTATTGTGGTGGTGTCTATGGGTTTGACCTTTATAGGTGATTCATCGATCTCTTCATCTGACAGTTCAAATGGGTCAACTACAGCATCCACAGAGGATGACTTATTGTTCTCCACTTCTTCTTCAATATGATCTTCATCATTATCGGTAAGTTCATCAAGAATATTATCTGTATTAGGAGCAATCTCTTCCTTATCAACTGTAGAAACAGCTGTAACTTCAGAGAATTCTGAATCTCCTGACATATCCCAATCATTAGATTGAATATTTGAATTAGAATTAAAAAACTTACTAGTATTAGATGACTGATTAGGAGTTGTAAGCTTTTGCATCTTCTTGGCAGTTGGAGAAAGCCTAGTCTCACTGGCTCTTTTCATTGGAGTTTGAGGTGGAGGTGGAGGTGGAGGTAGAACCTTTACTGGAACTTTCATAGCATTCAACATATCAACTATTGAATTCTTAGGAACTACTGGCGGTTTGAATCCAGCTGATTTACTTCGGAATGATAAGTTTGGTGGATTACTTCCAAACGATGAAGATCCATTAATTGACTTACTTTTAAGGCTAGATAAATTCTGTTCTCGAGATATTAATATTTCATGAGTGTTAGGATCAAGAAATCCTCTGCATACCTTCTGATAGTGTTCATGAGTATAAGTTTTTCCACAACATGACTCTAAAGTATCAAAGTCTATATTAAAGTCTTCTGGATAATCATTCAATTTTTCTAATGTTTGAGTTAAAGGATTGAAAACCTTTTGATACTGGAATGCCAAGTCTGCCTTAAACACTTCATCTTTAAAGTCGTCACTAACTGGTTTACCTTCAGCTCGTAAAGCTATTAGGACTTTTTCAAGATTATTGTATTTAGTAACTAATTTAAATGCAGATTTTAATCCTACACCAGCAATACCTTTAGTATAATCACAACCTGATAACATAGCTACCAATCGTAATTGTTCAGGAGTATATTTAGCAAGATGAGGTATCAGCAGAACTTTATTGAAATTATCTCGATGAATTTCTACACAATCTCCATCATCCTTTAATTTAGTAATTAATCTATTACATCCAAATACTAATAAATCTGAATCTTCAGATAATATTCCATCCACTAAACCAATCTTTTCTAAATAAACCATTTGAGGATCAGCTTCATATGGTGCTACTATATATTTTATATTATGATTATCAAATTCTACCATTAATGATTTAGCCATTTGTGATGTAACACATGCAGCCTTCATATATTCTTTCCAGGCTAATTTACTCTTATTACTTTTCTCATATTCTTCAGCTTTATGTCTAGCTTCAATTCTTCTATTACGTCTTTCTGTAGCGGTATCTGCTTTGGTAGGTAATGCAGCTCCATCAAAGACAAAATAGGGAGTAATTCCAAAATCCCTTAACATTTGTACTTTATTCATTATAGATGTTATATACTTAGTAGTTGGTTTATCTTGACATAATTCTTGAGCACAAGATATTAAGCCTCGATGTAACCAACCATATGTATCTATAGCCAAAGTCTTCCCTCTATATCGTTCAAGTTTACCATTCACTTGAATGTCCTTTAAGGCCACCAACAATCCCGTGACTCCCATACTTACAGTCTATCAAATACTTAATACTTTTTGGTATTAATTAATGTTTGTTAACTAGAGATGTTCTAAGACGCGATCTGAAAAATTTAGGTGCAAATTGTAAACAGTGCGCTAACAAACTGACTGGATACATAATGAAACGTATGAATACACATAAATAAATAAATAAATATACATATACACATATATATATATATATATAATATAAATGCTAATACTTATATTTTTAAATAATGCTAATACTTATCTAAACACAGATTTATTAGAGAGATCTATTAGAACCACCTAAGGATACAGAGAATTGAAAACCATCCTTAATTCCAATCAGTTCACTACCAGGATCTGCGCCTAATCGTTTGGCAATAAAGTAGCCAATATCTAATTTAGCCCAATGATTAAAGTACCTTAATCCAAATCCAATATTTGAAGCTCCAGTATCATCTTCAAATATATTGTCAGATATATTAGCGAAAGATGATGTTAAATAAAATCTGATTGGATTTGGATCTGACCCTCCTAAACTAGAAGAATCACTTGATTTATGTATAAATGATGGAACTTTAGAAAAGAGGGTACCTTGTAATTTATAATATTGTAAACCTCCATTAGTATTAATTCCATTCTTAATGAATCCAGGAAATGAATCAATACCTCCTAAATAGAATCTATCGGAAATATGTACTGGAGTATTATTGGCTAAGGGGAAAATACTACCCACATCAAAATTTAATTTAGTAGTGATATACTCATTAAAAAATGTCTGATAATAGTTAGAAGTATATGATGTTTTAAAAAAACTAGCAATATTATTAGGATTTTGTTGCTCTTGATTAGATGCTAATTCAATTTCAACTTTTTGTTCAGTACCATTAATAGGGAAATTTTTAGTAATTGAATTTAAGTATGATACATTATTATAATCTATCTTTTGTAAAATAGATGATTTGAAATAATCTCCAGCAAAGAATTTCAATTCATCAGCTGCTGCATCTTCAATATTATGAAGAGTTCTTCTTGATAAAGTTAAACCTGTTAAAGATTGGAATTGAGTATTTGGAGAATATTGTAAACCAATAAGTCCTCCACTGACTCCATGAGATGATTGTTGCCAAGTTTGATTATTTTCTTGACTATGCAATATACTGAGTAAAAATTTATATGATGGGTTATTTAAACTTGCTAAACCAGTAAATTTTGTAAATAAATGATCATTAGGTTTATAAGGATTATAATTAACTCCTATATTAACTAATTCGGCATTATTATTAAAATTATTATTTAAATAATCTAAATTAACATTAAGATTATCTTGAGTATTATAATTAATAAATCCTTCATTAATATTTAAATTTATAGCTTTTAAATCAATAATTAATTTAGTAGAAATTGCCATTTCCTTATTATAATTAATAATATTATCAGGTACAAGGGCACTATAATTTGAATGAAGACTAACATTTATATCTTTAAATACATTGGTCTTTAATAATTTTTGTTCTGATTCATAAATTTGTTCTACAAGTTGTCCAAGTGTATAATCACTACGATCAACTAATGGACTTAATAACTTCTTAAAGAAATTTACCAGAAATGATTCTCCTCCATTGATTTCTACAGACGATAAATAAATTGGCGCTGTTTGTGATCTTTGGACAATCGATTCAGCCAACAATGTCGTCAGTGATAAATCACTCATTATCCTTAATTATATGATGTCTTTATCAATTGCAGTAATTTGACAGTGATGAAAATTGCTGATTTAATTGGTTGGGAGGGCTGGTCGTGCGCGTACCGCATGGCCCATTACCTCATTGGGACAGACTGCAAAAATGATAACAAAACTAGTAATTAAGTAACGTAATGTGTAGTATTTACATTAGTATAAGATTTGTAGTAGATTTAGTTGGTTGTAATTATATGTAGTGTTAACTGTTAAGTTATGTTAAACTAAAATAAAGGTATGTTAAATGATCCTACAAAACTCTCATCAATGACTTCTAATTTTATTACTTTTAGTATTTATATATTACACATCAGTCTCTACAATGGCTCCTTCATGAGCTAAATCTAATAACTTCCATGAACATTCTACACCAGCTGATTTGAAAATGGCAATGACAGCATCAGCAATTTGATCAAAGTTATCAGTAGCTAAACATAAAATTGTTGGTCCTGCTCCTGATAAACAAATCCCACATAAACCGGGATGTGTATCAGGGTTGACACTGGATAATACTTTAGTTAATCCTGGAATTAATCCTGATCTATATGGTTGATGTAATTTATCCTTCATAGCTTGATAAATAAGTTTATGATTAACTTCAGATTGGGTTAAAGCAGTAGTTAAAATGGCTAATCTCTGTAAATTATATATAATATCCTTTCTGGAGTATGAATCAGGAAGTACTTGACGAGCATCATCAGTAGATACTTCGAAATTAGGGATGATAGTTACACATTTAATGTGTTTATTGAAGTCATACTTAACATACTCTCCAATATCAACTGGTGGTGGAACACTAATATACTTTTCCTTAGGGGTAGTAGCTTTAGGGAGCACATATTCTAAGGGTACATTCACATGATCTTGATCTTCTGGTGAAAGATCATTAAGATATGATCCCACAAATCCTCCTAACATGGCAGCTGCAATATTATCAGGATGTCTTTCGATCAACAAACAATAGTCCAATAATCTTTGTTTGGATAATTTAAGTTCTCCAATCTCATTACCCAAAAGAATACCTCCCACAATAGCAGATGCTGAAGATCCCAAACCTCTACCTAATGGAATAGGATTATTAACATGAATAATAGTACCTTTTGGAAAACTATTAATTCCATTAGCTCGTAAGATATATAAGGCAGTTTGAGTTACAAGATTTTTATCTGATTCTAATGGTACCTTTTCAGCTAAATTTCCATCATATATCAATTTAACATTGTGAGGATCAGTACTCGTATCTTTTGATGAGTCTACAGTAACATTCAACGTTAAGTATAATTGCAAGCCAATACCAAGCACATCAAAACCCGGCCCGATATTGGCTGATGAGGCAGGTACCTTAACGGTGAACTGTCTGACTGTCATACTAATAAAATACAAGCACTACTATATAACGTATATAATACACTATACGTATAATAAATATGTATGTAATTTATAATATATTATAATATAATTAACTATGAGCTGTTAAGTAGAGAAGTGAAAAATGAATCATCGTTGAGATTTTTCTGGGAAATTTCCCCATTGGGAATCGGTTGCACATCGTATCATTACTAGTAAATACACTATATATATGATTAGAAGTAACGGTTATAAAGAATTATGGCTTCAAACTTGCATATATCTGTATGGCCTAATGTATGTACATTCTGATGGTATTTTCAGATGAGGTCTTACGTAATTTACCCTGGATTTCTTAAATCTCGTAGACAGAGTCCTAATGAGTCACTCGCTCATTGATAAAGATTTACTATACGCACTATAATAATATGCATCATCTATGTAGATGACATTTGCAAATTAAATATGTAGATGACATTTGCAAATTAAATATGTATATGTTAAGCAAATCCTATATGTCTATGTTAAGCAAATCCTATATGTCTATGTTAAGTAAATCCTATATGTCTATGTTAAGTAAATCCTATATGTCTATCTCAAGTATATGTCATGTAAATATGACACGGAGATATATATGCATATCCATTGTGATATACACAATAAGCACAAGTTATATGTACTAGTCATCAAATAATACGTTTATATTACTATATATTTATGATACATATACGATATATACAATATTTATCCTTATACAATTTTATCAGTATGTATTAATGTATTACGATTTATATGTTTCATATAATTAAATGTATCACTAGATGCTTGCTGTAGAACGTTTAGTCCATTTGATCTTAGCTGGTTCTTCAGGTAATGTAATCATCGAAGCAAAATCAATGTTAGGAACTTTTTCGGTAGTTAAAGTCCATTTTAAATTATATACAAATGTTGTCAAAATCGTTCCTAATTGGACGTAGGCAAATTGTTCACCAATACATCTGTGTCTACCTCCACCAAATGGTAAGTATGGAGAGGAAACTCCCTTAGAAATAGCTCCGAACCCATAATCAACAGTACCAGCATCTTCAGATACTGATGATTCAGCAGAAGTCCATCTATGAGGATCGAATTCTTCAGCATTTGGGAAGAATCTTTCAGAAGTATGAGTATAACCAGGACTAACTAATACATAATGTCCGGTAGGAACAACATAATTAGTATTTGGAATTAAAATATCTCTTTTAACTTTTCTAAAGATAGAATGTAATGGCATATGCAATCTTAAAGTTTCCTTAATTACCTTATTAACTAATGGTAATTCTTGTAAATCTTCATAAGTTAAATCATTAATATCACCACCCTTTTGATTTAATACTCCGGTAATTTCTTGATATAATTCTTCTTGTAATTCAGGCTTTTCACCTAAATGTAATAAGAACCAAGCAGAAGTAGATGCAGAAGTATGTTGACCACCCATTAAAATACCAATCAATAAGTTGGCAATTTCTTGATCAGTCATTTTAACACCATCTTTATAAGTAGAATGAGTCATTAATGAATCAATTAAATCACGTTTAGGATCAACATCACCAGTTTCTCTTCTTTTATTAATTAAACCCATATAAGCTGAAGAAATCTTTTGTTGAGCAGCATCACGTTTCCAATAATGAGGTAATGGTAAATTAGGGAATACAAAATTAATTGGTGTGAAACCTCTATCTAAATCTCCATACAATTGAGCAAAAGTAGAATCAAATCTCTTTCTCATTTCTTCACCTAATAAGGATCTAGAAGCAGTAAAAATAGTGATTTCTGGTTGGGTTTTCATAACATCGGCGATACCTGAAGTACGAGTTTTTAATTCGAATTGGTCAGAATCTACAAAATATTTTAAAATTTCTTCTCTGATTTTTGGAACATAAGTCTTAAAAGATTCTTTAGTTAAAGCAAATTTGGCAAATTTCTTTTGTTCCATTAATCTAGCATTTGGACAATCATATATGACCCCTTTACCAAATACAGGAGTAGTTAAATGAGTATAAGCTTCAGCAGCACTGACATCAGCTAATTTAGAATTAAATACAAATTCATGACCTTTAGGACCCAAATATACAGTCATAGTTTTACCTAATAATACAAAGGCAAACACATCACCATACTTTAAACGACATTCTTCAAAGAAATCATATGGTTTCATACCAAAAGTTACAGCTGATCCAAACCATGGAATCCAATGGAAAACTAATGGAGCACGATCTTTTCTTAATGAATAATAGAATTGATATACCAAATTATATACAAATGGTGCCAATACGATGATGGAGATCTGTTGACCCAAAGTCAAAGTTAAAAATGACTGATAAGTCTGAAGGACTAAGTCCGCAATAGAATCCACTACACCCATACTGAATGAATTTAAATGGAATTAACGAATGACAGTTAAGGATGTGAAAAGTTAGTGAACTACACTGACTTTTATAGTTTATTATACGAAGGAACGAGATACGAACTGTCTGACTCCTGACACTTCCGACAATAATGAACTGACACTAAGACAACTATGGATTACAAGGGTAATCGGAATGGTACTCTTTACCATTTGACAACTTTTTTTTCCACTTCCGTATAGTGTCGTATACAATCGCGTTATTTACCTATACGACAGTGATGTTTTCCTGCACATAATCCCCCACTTTCCTAATTGGAACACTCTACTTTATACTTATAGGTAACTCATGCCATGACAAAAACATCCCATTTGGTGTAAGACTCATGCCACTGACAGTTTACGCGTATTGAGGGTCTAATTAGGGGCAAGCGCATTACGATCGAATATTATAATGTAGCTTAGTTCGAATGTATTTCAGGAGGCTTTGGACTTGTTATAGGCTGCAGGCTGTGTAGGTCTCAGTAGACCACTGTATATATTTATATGTGTATGATAATAATAAATAACAAGGCCTTGGGGCCATTAATAAATAGGAGCTATATAACACTAAATCAAACTGAAACAAAACGTAAACAATATAATAAATAAAAAACAATCCCACCAGGGCCATAATAATTATAATTGCTGCAAAAAAAAAGCAGACCCAAATTAGGAAGAATTAAATAAATTAGTCAAACATTTCATCTTCTCTTTTCGTCATTAATCAAATCGTTATCTAACAGGAGTCCTAACATACGGGCCTTAGTCACAAGTTGACTATTTTCCAGTCTCATCTTATCATTTTTCATCTCTAAGAATTTGATGTATTCGATAGACTTGGCCAATATGGTTCCCTTGTTTAGTTTTCTAGCTGGTTCTAAACCTTCTAAATCAATAATATCATCACCCGCCTCCTCGTAGAGTCCACCGGAATTCATATTAAAATTTTCATTATCTTCTTCACTTGAATCCATCTCTTCTTCGTTACCTCCATTATCTTGTTTTAACATTTGTCTTTGCTTTCTTCTAGCTAAGATTCTTAATGTAGGTACCAGTTCTTGTAGTGCTGTGAATTTATCATTAATTTTATTTCTATATCTTTGCTCAATTACATTATGAGCAGATTTAACTCTTGGACGACCTGGTCCTCCCCCATTTTGTAAAGTAGTAGCAGATGAAGATGGTGATGATTCATCAAATCCGCTATAAGATGACTTTTTTCTACTATTGATGTTATTACTCTTTGTTTTATTCAATATTGGTTGCATTGGAGGGGGGATCGGTTGAAATTGTCCTGGTTGGTATACTTGTGTATTACTCCAAGGAGATTGGTTACTTGACAATGGAGATAAACTGGTAGAATCTTCTTCTTGTTTTATAAACATTTGTTGTTGTTGTTGTTGCTGCTGCTGTTGCTGTTGTTGCTGCTGTTGAATTAAATGTTGTTGATATAAAGATTCATTTTTTATAAATATATCATTATTTGGGGTACTGTTTGAACTATTAGCATTAGCAGTGGTTGTAATTGTATTTACATTATTTCTGGCATTGTTAACATTTAAAGGAGATGCCAATTCGCTAGAGTTGTACGTATTTATATACGTAATAGGAAATAAGCCATCTTGTTGATGTGCTGCTGCATTTCCATTATTTGGAGGACTATATGATTTGTTGGTATGAGCTGGACTCATTTCTGGAATATATTCATTCTGAAGTTGCGAATGTTGTGAATGATGTGATTGTTGTGGTTGAGCATTATTTTGGGGAGATTGTTGGTTGATTATAGGATAATTTATAGATTTCGAACGGTTGTTATAGGCTGAATTGGGGGAAGAATCATCAGATGATAATGAAGATTGATGACTTGGCACTTGTTGTTGTTGAGGTGGTGGGATTAATCCAAATTCAAAGTCTACGGGAAATGAACCATTGGCATCTTCTAAGCCTGCAGCACTCTCACCGAATGATTGGTTCAGATGTGTAGGATTTTGTAATTGTGAGCCTGTTTGTTGGGGTGGTTGGCCGACAAATCCTCCAGGCTGGAGTCTTTGTTGTTGGTTATTGTTTTTATCAAAGAGTGAAGTTAGAAAAGCATTGTAGTCGTTAATTTTGAAGGACATTTTAATGGATTATGACTGAGTTTCTTTCTACTTATATTTGTATTTTATTGGTATTGGATATTAAGATTCTTAAATGTACCGTTAACATGTATTATATACATATAATTGAGGAACAAAATCTTTTTTTTGTGATTCCGTATGATTTGAAAAGTCTATGTAAATCTATAGAAATACACTCTAAATTATGGTATTTAAGCTGTAATCGTTGTCAAAGGTAGTCTAGTTGAGTTTAAGTCTAATGAGTATTTAACAATTTCAAATTTATTGGATTTGACTTGTTAATTATGGTGAACAGAAAAGATTTCCTAAAAACTTTTTTTCTTATAAAAATTACTTGTACATTTTGGTTAGGATATAAGTAAAACTATATACTAAATATGGGGTGATGTTAATTTTGTGGATTAGGATCTATTCGCAGTTTAAAATTTATTTTTTATTTTTTTTTATTTTTTTTTTCTTGACCTTTTATTTTTTATACATATTTTTATTTTTTTTCTTTGTTTACTAACTATTAGTATACCGAAGCATATACCGGAGTTATATTTCACTGTACTCAATTATTAAGTGCTCAAACTGTGAGATAATGAAAATAAGCATGACGGATGATCAAATGGTATTAAAATTCTGGCTTAAATTCTGGGGCTTTTGAACGGCTTATCCAACCTAGTTTTCAATCGTTCCTCGGATAGTTCTCGACTATGAAAAATTAGATATGATAGTGATGATGATGATGATGATGAATGGCCGACCATATAGATAAGCACTAACTAACTTTTAATTTAGCCGCGGCTGTACGGTGATGTGATTGCTTTAGTTAAAGCCTTAAGCCTTACGTGTTGATTCTACATTTTGGTGATGTACTTTAAGTGAATCTTATGGAACCATTAAATCCAGCGCTAATAATATTGGGATCATTTCTAAACTGTTGAAGAAACCTATAATATGACTATATTCACTAAAATATTATAAGTGACTTTCCATTCTAATACATACAGATCTCGGCTTGGTGTTCCGTCTATAGAACATACTTTCAATATTAGACTAAGTCATCATCTGGACATTTGTAGTGCCTCGTAAATGCTAAATAAAGTTATTAGTAGAGTAAGACAGCTCTTTATTCTCTGACTATTCAGTTTAACACATCAGTTTAACTTTCGCTAATTTAGTCCACTAATAATCTGGTTAATAAACTGCAGCGTTCTCCTTAGTTCAGAACTCAATTCCGTTATTTTCTTGAAATTTATTAAAAACAAGGGTATCTTGGTTTTGGCGTGATAAATTTGCAGTTACGTAAACCTGGAGCTTCTTATTGGCCTTGGCTTCGAACATCGTGTGTGTGCAAGACGTCGGTCAATCAATGTGCATTAATAATTCCGCTAACCTAGAAGTTGCCGAAACCACAATAACGATATTGGTGTTTCCATGCGTTGGGACTGAAAATATCTGTAGAAAATTTTGAACCTTAAAATTGAGAGTATATTTTTAGGGGTAAATTTAATGTGTCAAAAAAAGAAATCAAAAACATACATAAAAAAAGCGTAATTATGGAAAGTTTACGTAACAATACAAGAAAAAAGTGAAGACTGACCAATCTGTAAAATGTTATATTAACCAAAGCAATATGGTATATACACAATGATCATCGAAGCTTAACTTAATTCTAGTATAATAGAAGGAATTCACATATTATTTCAAAAAAATATTTCAGGTTAAACTTTGAAGATGACTTCTACTATGACGAAAAAGGTAAGTCATGACAAAATCATACGATGTTTTTCTTAATTTCTAATCTATTTTTATTTTTTACCATAATTATTTTTATGCGCGCAAGCTTATTTTTTCTGCATAATATCTTGTCGATCATTCAAACGGCTGAAGTATTCAAGACGTTACCTTACTGTAACAACATCTTGCCACGTAAAACTTAGAACTTCTTAAAGAAGCTACAAAACGATTCTACGTATTTAGAAGCCCTTTCCATGAACAATAAGCATTTTGATGCGCATAACTGTACAAGCATGCACAAGAACGATTGCAAGTATGTTTTCGCATATGCTGCAAGTATTGAAATTATTCTCCTAAAGATACTTCTTAATTCAGTATAGCATTCCGTGGATTATGATTCGGTTAAGCACATTCACTGGTTATGATTTGTGGTATATCAAGTGGACATTTGATTATTTTCCGTATATAAAATAGTAAGCGCTATATGCACTCGTATCTAAAATTGATCCGTGTTTATTATACTTTCTCATCCGATAGTCATTAAAAAATAGAACCCTTGTTTTGTCTCATACTATAAACCACTTTGTATGATATTTATGAATTTAGCTTTACAGTCACACTTGTATTCTTTCCTTGTTCTTACTTATACGAACTAAACTTACAATAATGTTTTAGCCATCTTCGATCAAAAATAAACATCTGTTCATAGGTCAAGATCAGGCAAAAACAAAAGAAATATTGTAATTAGGTTTTATTCACTGCATTAATTTATATTCCTCTCCTGCTTACCATATCCTGGGGTTCCATTATTTAACCATTATGTCACTATTGTTTTTTTATTATTTTACGATTATTTTATGCTTGTTTTACTTATGCTCAGGAGCTAATATTTTTAATCTTGTTTCTTGTAAAATTTTCAACCCATTTGATTCAACCTTATACTTGAAATCATGCGATGACATATATTGAATGTGATCCCAAATTTTACCATCATGAGCCATTATTATCCAGTATTCCACTCAGAAACCATGTTCGATGCATCAGAATGCCTCTTACAGACTTGCGCTCTTCTGTACATTCAAAACCATGTAGACTTGAAATTCCAATGCATTTAAATAGAATTAGAATTGCCGTATATTAAAGCGGTAACTTTAAGCTTGATTATATATTCCACTATGTGTAAGGAATCATATAATACATATTCGTTCAGAATATCGATAACTCGATTCAGTATTAATTGCAAAAAAGAAGCGCACTGAAAAATGGAGAAGCTCATCCGAAAAAAAAATTATCTACCGAAGGCTTCATTATACCACTGCTAGACAAACATATGAGCAAGCTATAGTGGAGTCCCCTTAGAAATTAGTACCTCCCGTAGTCACAGTAACTTCCGCTAATATGTCTGATTTACACGATCTTTGTAAGTTTCCCACCAGACCTATTGATGGTCTGTATGTTCAACAGCTTAGGCACTACTTGAAGAATGGTATACCAGCTACATATACAGTTGAAGAAGCCTATAAGGTGTTGAACAATATAGAGGAATCTGAATTGGAGTCTGATAATATAGAACCAGCAACCACCACTACCCCTTTACATTTAATCTGTCAGCACGTTCCAAAGGACTTGACCAATGATGAGTTAAGCATTGTACAAGAGATGATCAGCACATTGTTTGAATATGGTGCTGGATGGTGTTTTACTGATATTAATAACAATACTCCTGGTTGTATTTTAATTGAAAGAGGATTTCATGACTCTCCTCTTTATCAGTTAATTCTTGATGCTGGGGTAAGAGCCGAATTGTTATTACGAAAGGTATCTGAATATGATATGGAATTCATAGATGAAGAAGAAGTAGCTTTACAGCACGATGAAGAAGTACCTCAACCAGAATCTATTGAGGAATCAGTTAAAGATATCGTGGAAAATCCAGTTAAAGAGATAGATGATGCTCCAGATGCGCCATCTCAGAATCAACAATCATATTTAAATACTAAATTGGAGTATGTGGACAATGCACTTATAACCAAAGACCGTAAAGATGGAGTAATGATGAGTTGGGAAACCAATTTGATGCAACTAGGATGTGATTCCTTATTCAAGGGAGCCATAATCGAAGGATCTGAAACTGATTCCGAAATCAATGTCTTGAACATTGGGTTTGGAATGGGTATAATTGATACTATGATTCAACACCAATCACCTACTAAACATTATATATGTGAAGCTCATCCTGATGTACTTAAGAAATTAAAGGATGATGGTTGGTATGAAAAGCCAAATGTAGTTATCTTAGAAGGCAGATGGCAAGATCAATTGGATGCATTGATGTCACAGGGAGTATTTTTCAATGGGATATACTACGATACATTCTCAGAGCACTACAGTGATATGTTAGAATTGTTTGATTATATCGTAGGATTATTAAAACCTTATGGTGTCTTCTCATTCTTTAATGGGTTAGGAGCCGATAGACAAATCATCTATGAAGTCTATAAGAAATTGGTTGAGATTGATTTAGAGAATTACGGTTTGAAAGTCACTTACACCAACGTTCCTGTTCCTAAAGAGACTTTACAAGAGAATGATAAATCTGTATGGGATGAAGTTAAGAGATCTTACTGGTCATGTCCCGTATACTATCATCCTGAAGCCAAATTTATAGACATATAATATAGAACTTGTATATATTAGTTAATTAAAATGATAACTATGATTACATATTTATACTAAACTAAACAGCATCCACCTTTTGAGGTCGTTTCTCTTGATCTATGATACATCCTAATCCTATGAATGCTTCATCCAAAGCACGTTCGTATACAGTCGTTAATCTCCAGCCAGCTCCCAAGTATTCCTTACTCTTGGCTAATTTGTTCAAGTAAGGATCATTATAACTATCACTAATATGATGTTCTATATCCATTAATTTATCAATTTCTGTCGGTATAGGTAATAAACTATATTGCTTATGTAAATCTCTATCCCCTTGAAATGGTGTAAAAGGTACTTTACTCGCAGCCAATTGTTGTTCGAGTAACTTCTGTTGATATATAGGATTAAATTGATTCTCTAATTGGGAATTAATCTGTTGTAATTGTTCTTTACGTAAGGTAGCACGCTTAGAAGCATTAGCACGTTGTTTCTTAATAATTTCTTGAGCACTTGCAGTAGAATTCGAACTGGCTAATACATCCAATAATTCTTGTTGTTGTTGTTTTTGGTACTCTAAATCTTCTAATTCATGTTGTTTCTCAACCTTTAACTTCTCTTGTTTTAATCTTTCCATGGCTTCCTTATATTTGTGAGCATCAGCATTCTTCTGACTTTCTCGAATATTCTTTTCTAATATTTCTAATTTATGTTCTTGTTCATATTTATACAATTCTGCTTCAGTCTTTTCTCTATCTTCTCCATTATTTAATTTGAAGATAATCTCTTCAATGGTTTCCAAATATTTATTATATTCTTTTAAATCCTCAAAATCTTCTTCTGTCTTATTATAAATGGCTCCAACTTTCTTTCGTATATCGATCTCTCTTTCAATAGCCAAATCATCAAAGATTTGCTGTTTGAATTTATTCTTTCTCAAGATTTTACCACAATTTTGATATGGACATGGTGCTGGACCTAATGAAAAGATACGATCTACACATGATTCACATATCCTATGATAACATTCAGGATTTACAAGGAAATTCATATTAGGAGATAAGTACTTATCGGTCTTACAGATCGGACACATGTCCTGAGACCTATCATCTAAATGGAACATGTTAGTAAAAGTTCCACTAATTCTCTTTCATTACTATTGACTATGCTTTACATACCTTCTAGAATCACCATTATATCTGAAGATTTATCTGTATTAATGTATTTCTAAGCAAATGACTATTGAATTTATACGGTGATTGATATTCCGGCATGTAGTCACTGGAGCAGAGACAGAGACGGATGTCGTCGTCATTTTTTTTACCTTCCCAAGCAATGTCGCACGGGCCAGATGTGAGACATTATTAATGGCAATTGTAATTGTATGAACTCTATATATAACTATATACAAATAGCCACAAAGAAGTCAAGTCTAGTCTAGTCAATGACTGAAATAATATGACCAATGATCTTTGAAATACCGGGGGCGAATAACAAGTTAGTACAACTCATTGTGCCCATACTAGTGATACTAGGTTTAGGGTACTATGATTTTGTTTCATGCTATTCATTAGGGTATCAACAAATTTATAAGTATCATTCACATGGAGTAGCTATTAGTCTATGGGTATTGGTAGGATTCATAGAAGTTACATTATTTTTATATTGGATATTGATATTTATTATTGGACCTGGGAAGGCACCTAAATTAGCACCATTTGATATTTATAATGAACATTCACAAGACCTAACTACTTTACCAGATATTTTCTTATGTGATAAATTTGGATATCCATATTATAATTCTCATACAGATTCATTAACAATACCAAGATCGTTCTATCTGAAACATACAGAATATATGGTTTTAAAATATGATCATTACTGTCTTTGGATAGGATCTGTCATTGGAGAAAACAATTATTTATTCTTTATGAAATTTATGATTTGGTTCTTTTTACTTTTCTTTGTACCTTTAATATATTTGATAAGGTATGTCCCTTCTCAAATTTCTCGAGAAGGTGAAATTAATCATAATTTTATACCTATGTTTATTTTTTGTGGATTTTGGCTTATAATGATTGGTGCTTTATTTGGAGTACATTTTAAATATGTATGCATCAATATGACAACTTTTGATGAAATCACAATGACTCAAAAGAAGATATATAGACGTTGGAAATATAATAGTGAATCTTACAAGAAGAGTCATCGCAAGCCTAGAAAGGAAAATGGGAAACGATTTGTAAATATTAAAAAGGATAATTTACGATTAGTAGTTCAATTCGATATAGAAGATCATCCTTACAATATGGGATTTAAAAAAAATTGGATTAATTTAGTTTTTAATGGGAATAGAAATCATGGCCTTGATTCAGAATTTTACACTGGCAATAAATTGGCATATACATTCCTTATACTCTTGATACCATTTGTGGATATACCAATTGCATTTAAAAACCGTACGACAATTGCCTCCATTGAACAAGTAGATCCCGAATCCAGATACTCAGAATATAAACGAAATTCTAGCACAATAAATCCCGATTTCTTACAATCTTTATACAGGAAAATTGAATACAAAGATTGTTACTTGGCCCAATACTTATCCCCAGAAATTCTTGCTACTTATACAAACCACCGATCTAAAGTGGAAGTCTCTGATGACGATGATAATTATAATGAGCCTAAGGCTGCCCCTTCACTGGATAAGAATAGTCCACTGACAAAGACTACTGTACTGGACGACCCTATATAACAAACTCCTTCTTCTTCTAAATAGTCACTATAAATTTTTAGCACCCAAATTAAGTTATGGTGCTTATGTGCAGGTCACTCTATATTAATAAATTTATTTCTTTGACTATCTACACTGATTTGTAAGTCTCCAATAGACACTAATGAACTTTGTAGGGGAGATTGTAGAGCATGAATTTGAGACTCCTGTGGCACCTGTTGCTGTGGAGAGTACTGGATTCCCCAGTGTTGGAAAATTAAAGGAAAAGAGGGTGTCTCGGTGGAAGCAAAGAAAGCATCAAGAGATGGAGGCATCACAGCCATCACAGCCATCACAGCCATCACAGCCTAAGCCAGAGGAAGAGTCACTAAGTGAAGCGGAAAAGATACATCGAGAAAATGTTGATCGTATGGCGAAAATGTCAGCTGAAGAGATTCAGAGTGAACGAGAAGAATTATTCAATACTTTGGATCCCAAGTTAATAGAGAGTTTACTTAAGAGAACTCAGAAGCGAAATCAGAAACAAGAGCAAGAGCAAGAACATGAACATTCTCATGATGAGCACCATGTGCATGCAGAAGGATACAATGGCTGGATTGGTGGTATGAGGACATCTCAGGGTCTTACTGATATATCACATCTCGATAAAGAAGATGTTGATAGAGCCCTCGGAGTTAACAATCTCACTTTAGAAGATCCTAATTCTGATAAAAAGGCTGTCACATTTGGTGAAGTAACTACCATAGATTATAAAGATTTAGATGAGAATATAGAACTAGATCCTAATGGATGGGAAGATGTTACAGATATTCAAGAAATGATTCCAAATATGCCAGCTACTAATCCAGAAGATGAAATCGCACCCGAAGATTATCAATTAGTTAATGATGACGATTTAGAAGATGAAAAGATAGGAGTTCATTTTACCAAGCCAAAGGCCAAACATGATGATTTGGATTTGAACGATCCGGACTTTTATGAAAAGTTGCATGACAAATATTATCCTGATTTACCAAAAGAGACTGAGAAATTATCTTGGATGACTAAACCGTTACCTAAACAAGTTTCTACAACTTATGAATCAATATCAGACATGAGATTTGATTTTAAAGGTGACTTGATTCAGTTAGAGAATGAAGTCAATCCAGAAAAGGAAATCCCTACGTATATGGGATTACATCATCATTCTGAAAATCCTCATTTAGCAGGTTATACTTTAGGTGAATTGGCTCACTTATCTAGATCAGTAGTGCCAGGTCAAAGATGTGTAAGTATTCGTACTTTAGGTAGAATCTTGCATAAGCTAGGATTACATAAATATAGTATAGTGCCTATTGAAGAAAACAAAAACACTAACCCCGAAGATGAATTTTTTAATGAGAGCATGAAAGAATTGGTTAACAGTTTTGAAAATATGATGTGGGATTTAATAGAGGAGCTTAGAATCATTGAAACATTACAACAAGCTTCTGATGAAAAAGTTACTAGTAATCTTTCAGTAAGAAATTATGCCATTGAAGCGTTATGGTTATGGAAAAAGGGTGGAGGTAAACCAGTGGGTACGAAAAAGAGTGAAGAACAAGAACTTCTAGAACAAATAGCTTAGAGTATATAGAGAAAATGTAAATAACCCATTGATGAATTAGTAGTTAACTATAGTAGTTAACTATATTGTTACTAATTCTGGATAATAAATAAGTCATTCAGCTCAGATTATAGATAACCAATAAACAGGAACTCAATTAGTCTAAGGCATTACCAAATTCACTAGATTCAGAACGAAACTAGCAAATGTATAAGTATCACTCCAGATCAAGAGAATCCCCTGATGTTAATTGGGAGTACAGAACAAGCAAATATAAGTTATCTTTGGCATTCAAAACGAATACCCAATCCAACTTAACAGCCATATCCCAACAATTATATCCATCTGAACCTTAACGAATGACAATAAGGGTATTGATATGATTATTCTTCGCATGATGACACATTGAACCGATGGATCTGGAAATGATAAGTTGATTAAACTTGTATCGGACAACTTAAGTATATGCGTGACAGTACTTACAGCATGAAGAGGTTTCATATAGTAAACGTGTATTGATATATATAGTTGAATGGGAAGATGATGATGGGTTCTGTTTTAAAAGTTTTTCGGTTTTTTTTTTCGGACACCTTCTCGTTGCGCTTACTGCAAAACTTTCAATCGCACAAGACATTATGGAGCTGTAAGTCTTTGATCTTAGTAAGTCTTGCTTTACCATCGTAGTATCTGAATAGGTAGCTTGTAAGGTGAAGAAGAAATCTTTAACAGTAAATGCTTTTAATAGAAATCTTTTAATAGAAATCTTTTACTAGAAATCTTTTAAAAACAATAAACTAAAATACTACTCTTACATAAAACTTCAGCGCTTATTCTATATTGAACAATGGACAATGTAAAGTTAACTAATCATTTAGAGATATTTACAATTAACTACAATAAATGATTGATGTGAATAACTTTTAAAGTAAAATATTAATGTACAAATTATACAATGGTGTAGTTATTTGCTAAAATAGTAAGTAATAACCTATATTCAAATAAAGATGTTATTTTTTATAGAAACCAACGAGGAAGTCGAACCTATACAAATATTCAAAAGGAAAAGACAGACAGCATTTAATATCTTCAGTTGATTTAATTGAGAAATATAAACTTATTGGGTAGCTGTAGAGAAGTGAAACAGTCTTCAACAGCAGCATTTTTTTCCTAGGTGTTCTCAAAAGATCCACTCCAAAAATGATTAAAGCTAGGTATGAAATATCAAAAGCATATGAGAAGAACTTGAAACATATGAACTTCCACAATTCTGTAAAATAAGAGATGTATATTACTACCTTTGCCAATAAATTTGTAATATTTTCAGCTCAAGTATCCGGAGAGTGAGAAGGAGGAATAGAAGAGGTAATTAACGCAAGAAACTTTTTTACAGCCAAAATGTCACATTTGGATACGCTCAAGTTGAATTCAGCTAAATAGAATAAGTAAACGCATTTGAATGTCTTGAAACACGTATACTTTTCATTTAAAACGTTCAAGTTAATTAAAACAGAAAAGAGTAACCCTACTGAAAATCGAACTATTTCATATAAATTTAGTATATTATAAACGAATAAAAGGGAAAACAATCTTTACAAACCTATAGAGGAATGTAGATGGCGTATATATATTCATATGATTTCCTAGATAGTAAGTAATAACACATATAATCTAATAAAGATGGTAAGTAAATTAGGAGGTTTCTATTTGCTTGAATAATACATTGGAGTAACTGTTAATAAACTTTCGTTAAACAGCTATGGGAAATTAAAAAAATTGAAGTGTGAATTTCGCAAATATATATAATATTTTCAAATATTTTAAAGGGGATACCTCTTTGACACACTCAGATCACACATATTTAAATTGAATTTAGCTGTCTATAATAAGCACATTCATGTAATATTAGAATCTTTTCAAACTTATTCAAATACAAATCAAGATTATCTGGCATTTGAAATTGATTAAAGACAAGAGAACGTAAACGAGGAACAGAAATATTTGAAATAATTAAAAGTATTTTTATTCTTTCTAAACTTAAAATATCCTAGAATTGTTAATACATGTACCAAATAACAGCTTAAGCAATTGGTATAATAGTATTTCAGTTAAATCGAGAATCACATCTCTTCATTAAAATTACTTCACTAACTAAACGGAAATACTCTAAGCTAATAATATTATTCAGTGTTTCAGAATCCCTTAATGATTTATTCTTAGGAATTATAGTACAAAGTCTCTCGTATGCTATAGATCTTATACAATGGACCGCTAATGTCCTTGTAATTTAGGACTTAATATTTGAATGCTTATGTACAATAAATTATTTTAAAAATTAAAGCCAATTTTTAAGAAAATATAAAATGCGTAGTCAAAGATCTTTCTTAAAAGAGTAAACTATAGATAAATTAATATATTATCAGTTAAAGATAATAAATTAGCCTTTACTAAACTTTTCCATAGCTTACAGTAAAATTTCTACAGAATTCTTAAATTTAATTTGGTAGCGCCGGAGAGTCACGTGACAATAAACGTGATATTGTGTGTGCTGCACAAAAGTAGCATATTTAAGAATTGTACAAGAGCCTGGCTAGCTCAATCGGTAGAGCGTTTGACTCTTATGTTAGACATCAAAAGGTTGCGGGTTCGACCCCCGCGTCGGGCTTAATAAAGCTCGAACACGAATTCTGAGCCTCTTGTACATTTTTTTGTATTTTTTGTAAATGATTGACTATCTGTTTGTTTTAATTACATATATTGCAAACGTTCAATTACAATAGTACTGCTATTGTGCCAAAGAACTTTTTTTGCCAAGTTTAATTTCTGTATTGCCAACCTTTTTGGGCATCATTTTTGGAGATTTCTTTTCTTAGGCATAAGTCTTTTCCCAAATGGCTCTCTTTCTAAATAATCAGATATGTATTCTCTATAACTAGATTCTTTATTTCGATACTACTTATAGGGTACTGTTATCAAAGTGTGGTAATTGTGGTAAAATTTATTTATGACTCTGAAGGTCGCAAAATTGAGCCGCACATCAACATCATAATACTTTTTTTTTTTTTGACTCATATGAAATATTTGATATTTAAATATTCGAACTCCCTATAATCACTATTATCGTCTGGTAAAGCAGTATAAGTAGACCGAGGTAAATAATAATAATAATGCCTATGGATAGCAGTTCATCCACCAGAAAGGATGGTGAGATTATTGTTACTGAAACCGATAATAGTGAAAGATCTAAATATTTTCATCCTGTGAAAAAGTTTGGAGATAGTGATGCATCGATTGTTGAAAATAGTAATGATATAAGTATTAGTAAAGATGAATATAATAATAATACTATTTGGAGAACTATTGCTCGAGCATCAGCTAAATTAGACTCTCTTGGAGTTGAAACCAGAGGTATTGAACGTATAGAACCATATGAAAGATCAACTAATAAAATGAAACAATTAATTTCAGTTATTGGACTTTGGTTATCAGCTTGTGGTGGGTTAAGTTCCATGTCTTCATTCTTCTTAGGTCCTTTATTATTTGACTTAGGTTTAAGAAATACTTTAATATCTGGTTTAATAGGTCAAGCTGTTGGTTGTGCAATTGCTGCTTATTGTTCATTAATGGGTCCTAGATCTGGTTGTAGACAAATGGTAGGTGCTAGATTTTTATTTGGTTGGTGGTTTGTGAAGTTAGTAAGTTTAGTTAGTATTATTGGTGTTATGGGTTGGTCTGTTGTTAATAGTGTGGTTGGAGGTCAAATCTTGGCAAGTATTAGTAATGGTAAAATTCCATTAATTGTTGGTATTATTATCATTGCTGTTATTTCTTTGGCAGTGGCTATTGGAGGTATTAAACAATTATTGAAAGTTGAAACATTATTAAGTTTACCAGTAAATTTTGCTTTCTTATTATTATACATTGTTGCATCTAAGAAATTTGATTATTTAACTTTGGAAGATGCAATCACTGATGTTGCAGTAATTAGAGGTAATTGGTTGACTTATTTCTCATTATGTTATTCAATCACATCAACTTGGGGATCTATTGCTTCTGATTATTATATATTATTCCCAGAAGATTCTCCTGATTTACAAATTTTCTGTATCACTTTCTTTGGTATCTTAATTCCAACAACTTTTGTAGGAGTTGCTGGTTTATTAATTGGTAATGTTGCCTTAACTTATGAGCCTTGGGGTAATGCATATGCCGCTTATGGTATGGGAGGATTATTAAATGAAGCTTTCAAACCATGGGGTGGTGGTGGGAAGTTCTTATTAATTATGATTTTCCTTTCTTTAATTTCCAACAATATTTTAAATACTTATTCCGCAGCTTTTGGAATCCAACTTTCTGGTAGAGTAATGGCTAAAATTCCTAGATGGATTTGGGCATTTATTGTTACAGCAATTTATCTTGTTTGTGCATTAGTGGGTAGAAATAAGTTTGCAACAATTTTATCTAATTTCTTACCTATGGTAGGTTATTGGATTTCAATGTATTTTATTATATTATTGGAAGAAAATACTATTTTCAGAACTGATAAATTTAAGTACCTTTATACTAAAGAATTCCCTCATGATGAAGATGAAACTACTTCTGAAAGAGATTATATTGTCACAAGACAATCTAAAGTCAACAAGCATTATAATTTCAAGATATGGAATGATTATGACAAATTAACTCATGGATTAGCTGCTTCAGCTTCATTTGTTATTGGAGCAACTGGTGCTGCTGTAGGGATGTCTCAAACATATTGGACAGGACCTATTGCTAAAGAAGTAGGAGGAGATGTTGCTATGTGGTTATGTATGGGATTTAGTGGATTAGTGTTCCCTGTTTTAAGATACTTTGAATTAAAGAAATATGGTCGTTAGAGTTATATAGAGACTGACTTTAATTTACATTTACTATTAATTGAAAAAGAAAAAAAATAAAAAACGTATATGTATATGTATAAAAGCATTACATTGTAGAAATTCGTTACCAAAGACTAGACCAGCTATAATCTTTCTATTCAACAACTTCAACAGGAATATTAATGTAAAGGACATTATTATTATTAGTCTTGTTGATTCGATTTAACTTTATAGTCAACTTCAAAAAGTACTTTCGCACCAAATGACAACTTTCAAATGATGGTACAAGATTAAATCCACCGAAACGATTTTCTACAACTGCTCGATCAAGATTCTTAATGTACATAGATCTTAAATTCATGTTTACATCATACAGATCTTGAATTTCATTATGAATAAACGTTGTATCATCTATGGCAAGTGGAACATATTTTACAGAAATGTTTAATAACTTCCATAATATGGTACTTAAACGAGGTGAAATAGTAGAAACTTTATAATCCAATTCAGAAACCAATTTTTTAATTGGTTTGGATACAATTTCATTAAAGGCAGATGAATTTGAGAATGTTTGATAAAGCATCTCGTTGGATATTGCTATTGGGATAGTATTGTTTGATTTAATGGTTACACTAATTAATTCTGATTTCATCGCCTTTATGAACAGTGGAGGAATTGTTAGTTTAAAATTAGCCTTAATAATTTGATTGATTCGAGGATTATTGGGGATGGCAGGAGCATAATGAATTTGTATTGGTTTCAAAGGGACTTGAAGTATATATGTTTGTTTATTGATGCAGAACTTTAATGAGTTAACTGATTTCAATTCCATACTTGCAATCATATCATTAATTTTAGATTTACTAATAAAAATCAAATCCCTCTTAATAATTTCCATTAAATAATTATAAGTAAATATTTCATTGACGGTATTATTATCGATTTTATAAAAAGGAACTAAGGTAATAAGCCTAGTTGTGTGACCAATATTGATATATTCCTTTAAATTTTGACTTATAACATATGCAGAAATTCTATACCGTGTTGAACCATCAACGATACATAAATCCTTTTGCCAATTCAACGATGGAGGTAATTGCAAGTGTCGGTTAACAGAACTACAAGCCGAATCAAGAAGATAATTTGGAATTACAAAATAAAATGGCTTGTAGAAAGATTCTCCAGGTTTAAGGGTATCAGGACCAATAGTTCCCTTATTATCAATTTCATTAATAAAAGAGTTAAGATCAATTGTAGACAAAAATGGCCACTCTCTACCATCAATATCATATAACCCTTCAAACATAATATATATCATGGAGAATTTAATTGGATAAGATTTTTTATTTGTAATATTCACAGTACCCCTAATAACGTCTCCTTGTCTATATTCAAGCTTTTGATTAATTAGTTCAATATTTACATCTACTGCTCTTAAATTCGTTAATGAACTCAAATTATTAAGTATTGTAGTTGAATTATTGGAAGATTCAAGTGAATCTGTAGACAATGTTTGCTGTAATGATGAAGTAGTTAATTCATTAGGTGGTTCATATGGAGGAGGAGGGGGACGATTTAATAATTTTAAACTTTTCAATACAATGGATTTATACATGTGATATGAAGGCAAAATGGTCGAATGAGAACGTGGAATCAGTTGGAGATCATCTGAACCAATAATCGACTCATATGAGGGAAGTGGTAATTTAACATCGATGGTCGGACTATGAACAACTGGTGATTGACGAGGTTTGGTCGTATGAGAATTATTTCTCAGATGTAAGATGGATGGAATATGATGGTGCTGTAGTAACATCTTTGAATTCAAACAACCAGTACATATATATATGATGAAATATATTGAAATTAAGGATCGTGAGATCTAAATCTGAATCTTACTACGGCTTTATGACGGAGTTCCCTCAAACAAAAGTCGTTTGGATCTTGTGGAGTAAATTTAGGTCAGGGCGACATTGTCGCGCATATATGGTTATGTCTATTTGGGCCATCGGTTGTGTCAATTTTGTGGGGATCAATTTTTGACGTTAGACAATATAGCGACACCAGCCGCACCCTGTCGGGACGCACATATCGGAATAATTGAAAAATTACAGCGTACGAATATTCTTTATATTCGTCAGGTGGGACTAATTTAGCACAGCCTTGATTATCGAACACAAATACGCATAATTGACTTTCAGAAGAACATTCTCAAATGGGGGTAAACTATTTACTTTACATAAAGTGGGGACAACCTTTCTCCACTAAAGGCTCCGTATTCAGAGGCTAGAGACCGATCTAGACCATGTTTAAACTTTTACGTTATCACAGTTAAATGAGCCATGTTAACGATAACTACTCGTATTCTTTACATAGATTAGTAGTCATACATTCATAAATCAATTTGTTCTTTTTTGAAACAATGACAGCGCAACCACAGGGGTACACATTTCCCGAAGCAAAACCATTACGATTGTTTTGATGACTTTGCATATCTCAATCAGTAATACGTATTATTACTATTAATATCACTACGAATTATTAACTATATGCCCGTCTATTTTAGGTATTAGATTGGACTAGACTGGTCTATGATCTATTTCCGAACATCCCAATTTAAGCAGTTAAAGCTGCTGTGCGGCTTAATAATTTCCTTTTTCAGATGTAATACCGAACCTGCAAATAAAGTAAGTCATCTTATTCATAAACTAAACAATAGGAGGCAATTTATTATTTTGAAATTAGTGCGTGGGAAAATGTATGTGAAGTGTCTTACCTACTTTTAATTAAAAGTCTATTACAGATGCAAGATGTCACCCAAAACTAAATTGAGTGGAAGTAAATAACAACAGTAGGAACAACGTGATCTGATTGGATTATATGCAAAGGAAAATAAATATATTATGAAAATTTTTGTAAAAGGGGTAGAGTACAACAAGTATAATTCCTTTATATTTCTTTAATGTGAGTCATTCAATTTACTAACGCGCACGACTAGAAAATTATTTTTTCTTAATTTAACTATCTTGTTTTTTTTTTGCTCGTAAATGAGATCGTGCTACTACAGTTTGCAATCAATAACCTACACTTAATAAATGCTGAATCTTTACACCGTAAGTTGTGAAAATTTTTATTATTGCTGTTTCTACTAGCTTAAATGTAGTTGAACATTCTGTGTATTCTTGGTGCATGCAGTATCTTCCATTGTGACTCTTAGCAAGGTGCATTTTAGTAATATTATTATGAAATTTTAATTATGTTCCAGATCAATTACACTATCTCTTGGTCATGAACTCTATTGACTAAAACAGTAATTCGGTGATAAATTTTTAAGAATATTTTCTTAGGACTATATAGAGCGTCACATATCCCGGAATTGATATCTCAAGATCATGTAGGTGTTTTCTTCTTTCTATAATCCAATTGCAATAATGTTAAACAATCCATTAGTATCAATGGTCTCTGTGCCTGTACCTATACCGGTACCGAGACCCCAGTTAAATTCAAATTTAAATTCAGATTCCGTTCCATCCCAACCCATTGCCTGCAAAAGGAAATCTGTAAGATTCCTTCCTCCTTCATCTCCTCCTCCATATATTCTCTCTAGTTCTCCTAATGTGAATAAATTCCATATTACAAAACGAGATCGAAATAATTATCCGTGTAATAGGTCTACTACGAATATTGCAGAAGATGATGAAACTGATAATGAGAGCAGCAAAGATGAATATGGCAATGGTAGATCTGTCCAATTGAGACTTCCCAGTTATAAAAGTCATGAAACTATAATTAATCCACAAGAACCTTTTATTAATAAATTAGATAAATTGCCGGTAGTTGATGATCCTAGATTATCTTTGAAAGTTAATTTAGAATCATTGAAAGATGGTATGAATAATAAATATCGTAGTGGTGAGTATATCCGTGGTTATCTTATGTTAACTAATGAAGATAAGGAAAAGCCTATCAAGTATAAGAGTATTAGCATTTCTTTTGAAGGTAGATATATGATAACGGTAAATAGGTATAGAGCTTATGAAAAAGTTAAAGTCCCTGTGAAAATTAACAAATTTTTGGAAATGTTCGATACTGGCAATGAAGATCCTGAGGATGATAGTAATCATGATGATACCCTTCATGAATCGAGAACTCTCAATTGCCAAGATGGTGCAAGTCAAAGTTTCCAATTCAGGGTTCCTAGTCAAATCATTGATAAAAATAATTGTAACCATTATCAATTACCTCCTAGTATTGGAGAAGAAATAGATGATGAAAATGGTATTAGTTTTGACAATGACAATGGAAATGAAGATATGTTTAATGATTCATTGATCAATTATCGTATTATAATCCGTGTCGTCAGTGAAGATGGTGAAAGTATTATCAAAGAACTTGCTAGTCATGTTACTATTCTAGGATCTAAATCTTCACCTGAAGATCATTTATGTTATAGAAATTATGAAGAAATGATTGACGAGATGAAGTGTAAGATTGAGTCTGGTTGGAAAACTTTAAATAAGCCAAAGCTGTTTAATCTGATTGCTAAAATAGTATTACCTCCTGAATATGTAGGAAACGAATTTGATATTGCAAAACATTCTGTTCTTTCCAATACTGCTACTGTTAGTAATAAAGAGTTAATTGAAGTGGATTGTGCCATTAAACATACCACAATTAATCATCAAAAATTACTTGAAGATAAATTTTCATATTGCAAATTGTCATTACCTTTGACAATCATGCTTAGTGGTGACAAGATGAGACCTAATAAGATTAAAATTAAGAATTTGAAAGTTGAATTAATTGTCGCTAATATTAAAAGTGATGGCGGGCCAATACCAATTCAATTCGATTATAATATGTTAGACAATGAAACAATTAAAGATAACATTGTGAATCCATGTCAAGTTTTCAAGACTGAATTATATAATTTATTGGTTGAAATAAACTTTTTGCAACGTAAAATCATTGATGTGGAAAATCATTTACATCAGTTAAATATTAATGTTGAAGATTATAATGATTTACGTAGTTTGACCAAATTGAGGACTAAATTCAAGTCAGTTCCATTAAAAGTTATTAATCCAACTATCATTACCAATGATAATGGAGAAGAATGGTTTATGGATCTTAAAGAGAATAAAGTAAAAAAGTCATTTACATTAAGAGTAGATTTTTTGAAAGCTCTTGAACAATTTGAATTATTGCCTACTTTTCAATCATGTTATTTAGTCAGAATGTACTACTTGAAAGTCAGTATGACTATTAACGGTAAATCTAAGGTGACTAAATTACCTATCATAATTGAGTCATGAAGCTTAATGTATGTTATAGATACAAAACCGTTTATAAAAAATTCTCGGAAACGGAGTTTACAAAAGTAAGATCCAGGACCTTTTTTTTTTAATTAGTACAGTACCTCTGCAGTTATTTGTTTGATTAATAATACTATATTATTATGAAATAGTTCATACATACTTGTAAGCACATCGTGTAGAGATACAAGATTTTGTTTGATCAGTAAATGATACGTAGCTTTTTTTTTTCTTTTAAGTTAGAGAGCCAGAATATTTGTGAGTTACATTTAAAGCTTACGAGTTTTGAGCAAAAGGGTTATGTTAACTCTATTCAAAATTTTACAAGTTGCATGACAATAATAGATACAATATATATGGTCCTTAAGCCATTGGCTTGTTACGGTTTACGCAGCAAATTATTGATTAGATAAAAATGTCTCTTGTTATATTTATGGCTTTGACCGTATCCATTTAGTATATGTCCGAAAGCGAAAATAGTAAAAGAGAGAGCAAGGAAAACCGTTGCGATTGATCTCACAAAAGCCTTAAAAAAGATTTAACCATAGAAAATATGTAAAAAAAAAATAAAGAAAACCCCACTTTTTTCCCTCATACTTTACAGTTGACTCATTCTCTATAATTAATAATCAGATCCTGCACACTCCCGAATTGGGTCATAGAATGTAAAAGAATTATTAGGAATCTGCCGCCTTAAGTATGGCAAAAACCAAGACAAACCGTACACGGCCATAGATGGCTATACAATAAGGATATATCATATTAGCATTTTAGCCGTATTTACCTTAAACAGTATTGAAAATTTTCTCTATTTATTTATATTTTATAAATATTCAACCTTATCTGTATTTAAGTAATGACTCTTTAATTTATCTTTATACCATATACATAATTATAAATATTCCTATATATATTCATAAATATACTCATACAATTGGTATTATAATCTTACATATACTCATATTATATTCATAAATACACTCACATAGTTAGTGTAATATTTAAATATCCCGATCTTGGTTTGATAGTATCTATCAAGCAATTGATCGCCATTTCAATTTATAATAACTATTTGATTTAGTCATAATGTCCGATAATAGCCAACACCAGGAAGAAGATTCGAAAATAGAGTATTCTCAATGTTCATTTGACGATCCAGTATGGTCGATCTTACCTTCATATACTATGTTTACGGAAACTGTGAATAAAAACCTTCACGTTATTGATCCTCTAAACAATTCCGCAGACGGATATCGTTTCGATTTACCAAGTTATGAATTAAGCAGTACTCAAGCTAATTTAGGTTTTGCAGCTCCCAATCAACCGCGTCCTTATCAATTGAATAGACCTTCGAGTCCTTCATTATTACTGTCTCTTTCCAATGACTCTTCAACTAGTTCATCTCATGGAGATTCAATCATGTCGACACATGGCCGTGGTTCTGGTTCTGGTTCTGGTTCTAATTCAACCATTAATCAAGTCATTGTGGCTGATGAAACAACTTGTGATTGGCAGGAAACGATTTTAGATAATATTCATAAAATGAAGAATATGACATTCTCAACTAATCCAATAGCAAATAACATTGATATTAAAGTTCATTTTACTAAAGATGTAGGTGTCATTGGTAAGAAACCGGTAGAGATAGATCCTTCCCTTTATGAATATAAACAAGGAGACTATATTAATGGGTATGTATTGATTAAATCTTCTAATGATAAACCAATATTTTTCGAGATGTTCTATCTCTTGTTTGAAGGAACTTTTATTGTTCAAGATCCAAATTTAACCTTCAAACATGCAGTTAAGGTTAAAAAGTTCTTAGAAATGTTCGATTTTTCAGGTAGTTGGAATGAGGCTCATATTAATCGGTTAGTTACAGATAATCACAACATATATGATTGTCCTTTATTGGAGGATCCTGTTGATGGATCTAATCTTTCCTTCAGTCCTGATAAAATTATCAAACCTAATAATTTATATAAGCGTTTCTTCACATTCAAAATTCCTAACAATTTATTAGATACTGAATGTAATGATCATAATTTATCTGGTCATACTCAATTGCCTCCAACAATTGGCTTATCAAATTATGAAAAGAGATTATATCCTATTAATGCAACTGTTAAAATTAAGGATTTCTCAATGATAGATACTTCTATAAGTTATGGAGTATTGGCTAGATTTATTGGTAGAAGATCAATATATGATGTTAAGGATTCTCAATTTGAAGATAAGGTGGATACTAGATTAATTAATTCTACTGGTGATGAGTATGTAATCTTAAAGGAATCTTCTAGTTTCGTCAGAATTTTACAACAATCAAGAAGATACAATACAGTTAATGAAAGATCTTTAAAATTCACTGAAGATAAAATTATGTATGACAATTTCTTGTCTCGTATCAAAGATAAGATTGAACTTGGTGATCAATTAGTTGAAGCCCTTCAGAATGATCAATTAGATTCATCAATTGAAATATCGAAAAGGATAAGTGAAACTGAACTAGAGTTTGCTAAAGCTAAGCAAAAGTACGTTCAAGGATTTCATCGTGATATTAAGCAGACTTATGAATCATGCAAAAAATGTGAATCATACGAGATATTTCAACCACTATATAAAAAATCAAGTTTGATTTCATCTAAGAAAGTTATGGGTACGCTTCAGTTATCGACCCCAAAGCAGGAATTTGCCGTCACTTATATTCCTCCTCCAAAATTTAGAAAATTCTCTCCAATCACCCAAGAGGATTTGAACACATGGCACTTAGAAATTCCAATTGATTTATCAATTACATTTCCTACTGCTCCTGATTCAGTTAAGAAATTACCAGATATAAAAATGTTACAAGCCGAGTTGGTTGTGCTAACCATTAAATCTGAAAAACTGGCCATACCAATAGAATTCAATCATGATTTGATCTTTAATAAGACAGAATTGAACCCTAAAGCACCTTTTATTGATGAAGATACATTTACGAATAATGTCATTAAGCCATTACAAAAATCGTCTACTAGGTTGTATAATTTAATTATGACTTTGGGTGTTGATAATTTTAGAATTGAAAAGCAATTAATTGACGACATTAAAGCTGTTTGTCAATTGAATGAAAAATATATTAATTTAGATATTCATGACACTAAAATTATTGATAGAACTAACACCAAATCCCCAGGTAAGGACAACACTAATCCAAGTTTGATATCTTGGAAACAAGATAATGATACTTCCTTTTCAAAATCATTTACTTTAAAGCTTAATTTGGAAACTTGCAGGTTAAAAACTCCAGACTCCAAAAAGGATGTTGGAGTCAAGGCTTATGATGAGTTTCATTTGGTTCCTAATTTCCAGTATTGTTACATGGCAAGATTATATTACATTAAAGTCACGCTTGTATTGTCTAATGGTGATTATGTCAGAGTTAAGATTCCTGTTTCAATTCAAAAGTGATTTATTATTACTACTATTTTTACTATTTATTGTTTATATTTTCAATTCTTCTTTTATAGTTTAAGCCTTGCTTTGTTTTCCTAATTTTCTTTTTTGATTCTTTAATATCTAATGATTAATATGCTGATTACATTTTTATTTTATTATTTGTTCTTCCTTAATTTGCTTGATTTGGTGGGGGGAGTGTCTTTTGTGGTCGGTGTTTGTGTTTTTGTTTATGATGATGATGACGACGATGCTTTTGTTGGTAAATGTTGTGCAGTTGCTGTTGTTTTAGTCTTTAATTTATTTACGTAAGTAGTTCATATTTTGTAATCGATGACGAAAATAATAGTCTATGTCTTTTGTGTGTAAAATTTCGCAACCATTTGCCGCAAATTTCCTATTCAGGGAGCGGAGATCGGTTTCATGCATATTATATAGCAATTGCTTTATCACTTATAAGCAATAGCAATACACTATTTGTTTACGTCATAGGGGTGGCATTATCAATTAGATGCAGAAATTCAGTGGTATCAGCACCTGACTATCTGTCGTAAAAGTCATAGCTATAAATAATGCTGTGATTCTCTTTGAACACTATCTTTCTTGTGCTTTACTTTTTCTTCATATACTACAACTAATAAACAAATTAAAATGGGTATTGGAGATAAATTACACGAAACAGCTGATAGGATTCAAAACAAATTTGCCGGATCGAATGTCAATAGTGGTAAGGATAATTCTTTTGAAGAACAGAAACCTTTCACATCTAATGAAGTAGAACATGAATACTCAAAGGGTAAGAAGAAGACAGGAAAGACAGCAGAGTTTGTCGATAATGTCGATAAAAAAGTAGGACATGACGTAGGTCGTGACACCCTAAGTGGAACCGACAAAGGATTAGGATCTAAGGCTCTCCACTCAAAGCAAGATCAGCCTCCTGAACGTGATGATGTCAGAAAGGATGTTGCTTCAGATGCATTCATGAAGGGTGAAATCACTCGAGGTGAAAAATATGGTCTTAATTCAAAGGGTCAACAAACCCATCCAACTTTTAACCAAGCATCTGGTTTACAATATGTTGATCCCCAAGATGATATGGGTTGGGAACAACCTTTCACTGGGTCTGATTGGAAACTGTATTCTCGTGAGTACAACCCAGATCATTCAAAAGCTGAACATTTAAGTACTCCTCCAGATAAAGGAGGAAACCAAACTGAAAACTTTACATATACAGGTATTCCAGCCAATCTTGACGTTAATATGGATGAAACAACACCTCGTGGTCATACCAGTAAAGATTACGCCCGTACAAATATAGGAGGTTCTTCTTTGACTGATCACAGTAAAAACCCAGAACCACATTCAGGTTATGAAGATGTAAGAACTAGAACAGTGACGGGAGAAGTGCAAAAGGGAAAGGGAACTAGCACATCCATTTAGGGATTTGTTAGTTTAAACTTTTTGATTTAATGTTATTTTTATACTTGTTAAAATTACTGAATAAATAAATGCAATATATATTTGATTTACTTACTATTAACACTGTAAATATCTAACTGGAACAACTACATTGTTGCATATTATTCTCTGGACTATAATCCCCTTGAAGCTCCCATTGTTTTTCTTTTTCCTTTTCTTCATCTCCCCATTTTGACTTGTCAAACGGGTTGAAACTCATCTTTTCCAATTTCTGTAGCAAAGTCAAATTCTCAGCTTCACTTTCTTCTATACTTTTAATAACTTCATCTAAGATCCAGTTTCTAGGTAAGAAGAGAGGATTGAAATTTCGAGATGAAGTTGAACTGATATCAGTAGACTTACTCAAAAAGTCGTTGTATATCTTTAACCAACTATCTATCTCTACTTTTAATTCTGCATTTGTATATCTCGATTCAATAGTTTCAAGTTTTTCTAATAATCTATCACTCGTCAAATCTCCTTCTCTTACTTCTTGTAACACTACGAAAAACTTGTTGAAATCACACTGAACCTTATATAATAATTCAAGTAATGGTGTTATTAAACCTTCATTGATGGTATTAATATTAGAATAATCAATCAAAGTATTTGATACTCCTAAACGATTCAAGAAGCTTTCCACATATTTCTTAGTAAATGCATACTGATAAATTTCTCCTCCAATTTCAATAATTGTGGTTGCTCGTTTAATGATAGGATCTTCCCACTCTTCCTTTAATTTACCTTTCAAGAAGTCGGAATCTTTCAACAAATTTTCACCAGCACCAATCAATTCAGCTAAGTCTTCACCTAACCTAGTTAAATTCCACCAAATTGCCGTTGGTGTATTAGAGTAACTGTATCTTAATTCATGATCTTCAGAATTAGAAGTGTAATTTGGATTGTACTTATCCATGATCGAAAAGGGACCAAAGTCAAGAGATAATCCAAGAACAGATGTATTATCAGTATTTAAGACACCATTTAAGAATCCATAAGTTTGCCATAAAGCTGCAGTTTCAGCATTTCTAACTATAATTTCATAGTACATCTTGTCATAATCTGTCAATTCACCCAAGTCATCCTTACTTGCATCAAAGAAAGTTGGGTTTAACTGAATAATATTATTGAAATAAGAAAATCTATTCCCATTGACAGTGAATAATTCTTCAATAACATACTTTGATAACTGTTTGATTCCATCTCTATCTCCTCTCCATCTATGTAAATCAAATGTTCCAAGTCGAATCCATGATTCAGCAAATCTAGTATATATTGAGCACTTTTCAGCCCAGCTTCTTTGAGCATATGTCTTTGGTAAGAAAGTTAAAGATAATGCTCGAGTGGTTGGTATTCCAATTGAATTTAAATGTTCAGATATGATATATTCACGTATAGAAGATCTTGTGACAGCTTTCCCATCCGCAAATCTAGCATAAGGTGTCTTACCTGCACCTTTCAACTGTAACTCATAGAATGGACGATTCTTATTATCAGGATTAATTTTAGGAATCTCAAATAAATTCACTACTCTTCCATCCCCCAATTGACCCGCAAATTGTCCGAATTGCCAACCAGCATAAGTTTGAGCATATGGGAAAGGATAACCACGTTTTTCAAAGCTGTCTTTATTTAAGTTATAGAATTGTCCACTAACTATTTGTTGAAACTCTTCATCTTCAATTTGAGAAGGATCTAGTCCTAAATCACGTAATGCATTAGTATTGGCTGTAAGAAATCGATATTCTTTTCTTTCTTCAGGTAATGTCCATGAAAATCCTCCTTTGGATAGAATTCTTGGTTGATGAGTAATATTATTTTCATTGGCATAAGCTATTTCCTTAGTATCTATTTTAGCATCCGGACTGATCTTGTCCGTAAACGAAGAAGTCTTTGGTAAATCTGCTAATCTTGCCATAGTGGTCAACCTCCTTACTACTAAATAGTGTCGTGAGTTCATTATTGGATTGCGATCCAATGCATATTTAACGCTTCGCATACTAGTCTTTTTTCTTCAATCTAGCAATTATGAGGGGAGATCCGCTAACAATTAACATATAAAGGACTTAAGCACTATTGTCCTATTTTTGTATGTATATATAAAGCAAGACTATATATTCTATATATATTTATATTTGTATAATTAAAATACGTATGGCATCGCATATATGTTGGTAAATCTTTATGGCGACTTTTTGTGTAAAGTCATGCCAATTTAGCAGCAATTCTTTTTTTATATAGGTATTCTAGCTAATCATGAACATGTTGATAGACATATTCAATTACTTCCTTAACAGGCAACTCGTCCCAGGTATATCCGGTCCATAATACTTCCTGAGCGAGTCCCTGATATAGCATAGCTTCAATTCCGCTAATAACTTTCCAATGACCCTTTTCAAAGTCCTTATATAATCGAGTCTCGGGGTTTGGATGATAGCACATTTCTAATACTGCACCCTTTTCATTATGATCAATGAATACTTGTAAAGTTTCTCGAGCTAACTTCTCTTGTTCTGTCTGGGGTTCGAAGTCAGGAACTGTACATACAATAAGCAATGGTTTATTTGCTAATTGTTTAGCCTGAGCTGGTGTTTCAATATGACCAATTTCCCCTTTAAAGCCTCCCTTTATCATTTCTTTCTTAACAGCCTCAACTTCTTCAGAAAATCTGTTAATAATGTACACTTTTGAACAGCCTAAAAATACACTTAATGCATAAACAGCTGACCGACAAGCCCCACCACCTCCATAAACAAGACCTACCCGTTCTTGCTGTTTTGATTTTTCAACTACTTCAGAAGCATTAAATAGAAATGAATTCTTTATACCGATAGTATCAGTATTGGTACCAATAAATAATTTTTTATTAGTCACTTTATCATGACGTATATAAATTGTATTAATGGCTCCAACTGCTTTAGCTCCATCATCAACCAAATCAACATGGGGTAGCATTCGTACTTTATTAGGCATGGTAACTCCTGCTCCAGCACATTCTTCTGAATTTAAGAATTGTTTAAATAAATCTATATCTTCACTATCTAAAAGTTCATACTTCCAATCTAAACCTAATTTCTTAAATGAATAATTTTGCAATAAGGGAGATCTTGAATGTTGGATATGTTTACCGAATAGTTTAATCTTTAGGGATTTCGATCTTACGTCCCTGAATTGCTTCAAATCTATATCCTTAGTCATGGTTACCGCTGCTTATAATAGTATATAGCATATAATATATAGTATATAATCTACAATTAATCTGGATTACAGTACATATATTTATACACTTCATTCTGCCTCAATGATACTCCGCTTTATACCGTTCCCCCAAAGGGGCTAAACAATGAGGAAATAGCCTTATCCGTAAATTGATCTGCTCCTGCGTGTAACTGCAACTCGTCTAAGGAACCGCGAAAAACAATTTATTTTAGATCGTCGTGCAAGAGACAAACAAACTTTTGGCGAATTCGCCTGTGTAGTAAAGATAAGAAAGTATCAGATCATATTACTGTTTAAAGGTTTGAATTGACTTATTGTGAGTGATAGGTTAAGAATATTCCCCTAGTGGTAAATTTACAACTGAAGTCTAAGATAAAAATAGAACTTTAGAATTTTTCTTTTTTATATTAGTATTCTATTTTTAAGTTGAGATACATAAGAACATGGTTGTGTCGAAGCATCTAAGACGGAATAGGGCTAGACTATTTCTTGCTGTGGCTAGTGTACTGATCTTACTTATACTTAGTTTTACTTATCAATCAGTAGATTCAAATGAATATTCTGTCATTGATACGGACACCATTAAAGAACACCCTGTACCTCCTCCTAAGCCTCAAGTACCACTAGATTTTCCTCCAGCAGTTGAAGAAATAGCACCTCATAGTCCCAAACAACCAAAGGGTAAAACCAATAGACCTCAATCAAATAAAATTAAAAAGCCAACCCCAGATCAACTTAAAACTATACGAGATTATACTGTGTTTTTTGATAAGTTGGAAGATTTTGCAATTCATGCTGAATCCATTAAGGATAAATATACTACCGATAAGGCCAAGGAATTGTTTTCCAGTAGTGATGACTTTTTATTCTCAAAACAATATTTAGAAAATGTATTGGATATCCCTCAAGATACTTTTGATAAACTTAAGAATTCACATACTCGTTATGTTGAACAAAGGATTCCGGATTTAGTCGATAAGCTCGGATTTTCAACATTCGGTAATATTTTAGAATCTGATAAAGAATGGAATGAATATCAAGGCTCTGCAGGTTATGTACTTGTTGGTGGTGGACGTTATAGTTGGTTATCATATTTAGTCATCAGACAAATTAGGGCTTCAGGAGGTAAATTACCTATAGAATTGTTTATTCCTACTAAATCAGATTATGATGAAGAATTCTGTGAAAAAGTCTTGCCAAAACTCAATGCCAGATGTAATGTATTTGATACCAATTTAGCCAACAATTTAGCTGCACGATTTAAAATTGGAGGTTATCAATATAAAATGTTAGCCTTAATTAGTTCGAAGTTTGAAAATGTCCTTTACTTGGATTCAGATAATTTCCCTACTAAAAATGTCGAATATCTCTTTGAATCAAAACAGTATAAAGATTCTCACTTATTATTGTGGCCAGATGCTTGGGCCAGAACAACCAATCCTAAATTTTTTGAAATTGCTGGGGTTGAAGTCAAAGAAAATAAATTAAGATATTCAGCTTATGATAAAAAGCAAGCTCAACTTGCGGATAAACCCTTAGATCCACTTAGTTCATATACGTTTGAAAATTCAAACTTTCATGATTTTGAAGGTTCTTTACCTGATCCAACTTCTGAAACCGGTATGCTTGTGATCAACAAAACCACACATTTAAAGACATTACTTTTATGCTTGTATTATAATGTATTTGGTCCCGACTTCTATTACCCAATAATGACCCAAGGTTCTGCAGGAGAAGGTGATAAAGAGTCCTTTATAGCGGCAGCTCATGTTCTTGGTAATCGTTATTTCCAAACCGCCAAACAATTCAGATGGACGGGTTATGTATCTGAAGCTGACGGTAAATTCACGTCTAAAGCTTTGGGACATTTCGATCCTGCTTATGATGAACAATCTGGGAAGGAAGCAGATATAATATTTATGCATTTATCATATCCTAAATATTATCCTAATTGGTTAGTTGATAATCATGATTTGGTTTATGAAAAATCAGGTAAGCATATTAGAATGTATGCAGATATAAATGATAATGTAGGTTATGATTTTGATTTAAGAGTTCTACAATTCTTTACTCAAGGTTTATGTCCAAACTATTTTAATGAAGAGGGTTTAGCAGTAGATGGAACTGAAGGACCTAGAAAATCAAAAGATTTCATGGGTCCATTCTTACCTTATGTAGGAAGTGATGATGAAATCAATAGTAAACGATGTGAGGAAGTATTTATTCCTCATTTGAAGTGGTTAAAAGAAACCACACAATTTCCGGATAATCTGGTAATTGTATAATGTTAATAATATTAAATAATATAGTCTTTTATTAAGTATAAATATAGTAATAAGTCTAGAAATTGCAAAATTTGGTTAATGTAAAAAACTAGGCTTAGAACTGCCTAATAAGGCTAAAGTGCGCCTGCACCCGGGATGCCGATCGGATCGCATTTTGACGTTATTTCCATATTTTCTACATTTCTTATTGCGTTCACCTTTGGGGAAGTACGTTTATCATGGAATTTCTTTTTGGGTATATGGGGTCAACCAAAATTACTAACGATGAGATAAAAGCTTAGTAAGGATTATATTCATTATTATATATAAGGTCAGTCAATAAGCATTTATTATCATTTTATTTATTTAGAAAACTTGTATTATTATCATTTAATTTTATTTTATTAGAGCATCTCAATTGTATATACAGTCCTACTATATAATGTCTAATGAACAATTAGATCAAGAATCAGTAGTACCGATCCAGGATGCTATTGAACAGAATATTCCTAGATCAGTAGAAGAAGAAAATGAACTTCGTCGACAAGAAACTATTGCTTCAATTGCATCTATTCAAGCTGTACCTAATTATAGTGAAATATCATTACCTCGAGAAATATTGTTTATGTTCTTAGTATGTATGTCTCAATTACTTACTCAAGCAGCTGTATCACAAACTATGAATACTTCTCAAAAGATATCAAAAACTTTTGGAGTAGAGAATGATCCTGGAGAAATTTCTTGGTTTTCTGCATCTTTCTCATTAACTGTAGGTACATTCATTTTAATATCAGGTAGATTAGGTGACATGTATGGTTATAAGAATATGTATCTTGTGGGGTACGTTTGGTTTGCATTATTTTCATTATTAGCAGGATTTGCAGCATTTTCAAAATCAACTATTTTCTTTGATGTGATGAGAGCAATGCAAGGTATGGGTCCAGCCATTATGATGCCAAATTCTCAAGCTCTTATCGGGAGTTATTATCCTCCAAGTTTAAAGAAAAATTTATGTATGGCAGCTTTTGGAGCTGTTGCCCCAACTGGATTTACATTTGGAGCTATATTTAGTGGTATATTTGCTCAATTTGTATGGTGGCCATGGACATTTTGGGTTTGTGGAATGGTAAGTTTATTAGTAGCTGTTATTGCATTTTTTGCTATTCCTAATAAGATAGGAATAAGATCAGAGGGTTCATTTGATTATTTGGGTTCAGCATTTGGTGTTGCTGGTTTGATTTTAATAAATTTTGCTTGGAATCAAGGTCCAGTTGTAGGATGGCATGTACCTTATGTTTATATATTACTTATAGTAGGATTCTTAAGTATGGGGGTATTTGTTTATGTTGAAGGTAAAGTTGCCGATCCATTAGTACCACCTGAAGTGTTGAGTGGTGAAACGGGTTATGTCTTAGCATGTATTGCAGCTGGTTGGTCATGTTTTGGGGTATGGTTATTCTATACTTTCCGTTGGTCACTTATAGTAGATTTAGATTCTCCGTTATTATCAGGTGCAAAAAATATTCCTGGTATGTTCACAGGATATGTTGCAGCCTTTACAACAGCTATGCTTTTAAGAAAGATTCCCTCATCAGTGATATTATGGATGGCTATGATAGCCTATTTAGTAGGTATAGTCATTATGGGTACTAGACCCGTTGGTCAAATCTACTGGGCTCAGAAATTCGTAAGTGTGGTATTAACACCCTTTGGGATGGATATGTCATTTCCTGCTGGTTGTATTATTTTAAGTACTTCATTACCAAAATCACAACAGGGTATAGCTGGATCATTAGTATCTACTTTTGTTAACTATTCCATTTCAATTGGATTAGGATTTGCTGGAACTGTTGAATACTATATTACCAAAGATATGGAACCTTCTCTTGAAACAACCATTCATGGTATGAGGGTAGCGTTCTACATGGGTATGGGATTGGCAGGTTTAGGGGTTGTGGTATCATCATTCTTTGTATTACAGCAATTTCTTGTCAGAAGAAAACAACAATTAGCTGAGAAGTATTCAGAAAATCAAGTCCATATACCGGCATATTCCGAAGAAGCTAAAGAGTTTGATCAAGAAGAAGAGTGATTGTTCATAGTTATATAGTAGTTCATAGTAATTACATACTTTATGATTTATTTATTATACAATTAATTTAATAGTGATAGAATGCCGTTTAAGCTTTTCGCAATTGTCTGTTTTGGGGTGTGGCTATTACCGATTTGGGGAGGTGGAAAATTATTAGTCAGAGTGGAGATAAGGCTACTATAAATAGTGGTAGATAGAAGCAATTGTAGTTATATACATAATAAAATAACATATAGATAAGTATAGAAATAATGTCTACAGCAGTATTAAAGAGTCCCTTACAAAAATCATTAAAAATTGCCTTAATTCAATTAAAGGCAGGAGCTGATAAGGCTGCTAATTTAGCTAAAGTAACTAAATATATTGATCAAGCAGTTAAAACTTCAACTGTTGGAACTCTTGATTTGGTTATGTTACCTGAATGTTTTAATAGTCCTTATGCGGTAGATCAATTCCGTAATTATGCAGAAATAATTCCTTCTGGTGAAACCACTTCTGTATTATCTGAATTAGCTAAAAAATATGGTATATTCATAGTTGGAGGTTCAATTCCTGAATTAGATGGTGAAAAAGTATATAACACATCTTTAACATTTGATCCTTCAGGTAAGATAATAGCTAAACATCGTAAAGCTCATTTATTTGATATTGATATTCCTAATGGGATTACCTTTAAGGAATCAATTAGTTTAAGTGGTGGTGATAAAGCTACCGTATTTAAATTAGGTGATTTTGGTAATGTTGGTTTAGGTATTTGTTATGATATTCGATTCCCAGAATTAGCATTAATTGCTTCACGTCATCCTCATAATTCATTTGCTATGTTTTATCCGGGAGCTTTTAATACTACAACTGGTCCTTTACATTGGCATGTATTAGCAAGATCTAGAGCTATAGACAATGAAGTATATACAGTGTTATGTAGTCCAGCTAGAGATGTAGAAGGTGGAGGATATCAAGCATATGGACACTCTTTAGTTGTTGATCCCTTTGGAAAAATTATTGCTGAAGCTGGTGAAGGTGAAGAAATCTTATTTGCTGAATTAGATAAGGATTTATTACCAAAAGCTAGAGAATCAATTCCAGTTCATTATCAAAGAAGATTTGATATCTATGAAGACTTTGTGGGTAAAGAAAAGGCTAAAGTTAGCGATTTATAGATAATTAGAAAAGTAGTTCATCTTCTTCATCTTCCTTTCTTTCAATAAATTCAACTAAAACTTCTTTGAACTTTTCTGGATTTTCACTTATAACCCAATGACCAGCTTCCACATCTCTTATTTCAAAATCAGGAAAGTAACGTCCTACATCTGGTATTATATCATCAGGCACATATTTTGATTTGGTACCTCTTATGAATAACGCAGGTCCTCTTGACCATCTTACTAAATTTGAATCAAATGGCCAGGCAGCAATATTACCACTAGCTATACTGTTTCCAATAATATCGAGAGGGATTTTGGAAGTAATTATATCATCTTTTTTACCTCTATTAAGATTAGTCATTAAGAATTGTCTTACTACCATATTTGATTCAACTTTTGCTAATTCCTTATCAACATCTTTGATACTTGTATATTTGTATTTCTCTAAGGCCAATCTAAGTTGATTGACGTATTTTCCAAAATTTGAACCACTTGAACCAGTTAAATCAACCGGAGCATTATCAACTGATACTATCATTTTTGGAAGATCTGGTCTTCTTAATGCTACAGCCATAACAGTTTTAGCACCCATAGAATGTCCGACCAAAATAGGTTTGGCCGGAAATTGTGCTTCATCAATAAATCTTTCAACATCCGCTGCTAATGAAGGATAATCGAGTCTATTAATATGAGGAGATTCACCAAAATTACGTAAATCGAGACAATAAATGTTTCTTTGTAATTGAGAAGCTAATTGTTTGGCTACGGTTCTAGTATTAGTTTTCGAACCAAACAATCCATGAAGAATGAGTAAAGGTGATTTCTGATCAGTTTCAGAATTATGTTGAGGTGGAGAATGTCTTTCAAATTTTAATTTAACTGTTTCTATACTTCCATCAGTAGATAACGCATCCCCCAAGTATGTAGAATCATTTTGAGTAAATGGTCTTGTTTGACCATACGAGATTGAAGATGAGTAATACCGGCACGAGACAAGCGATACAGATCGTGATATCCGAGGTATTATACTGATCATTTTTATGTATGGACCAAATCAACCGGTGCTACGAGTAATTTTTCAATTTAAAGATATTGCTGAGTTTCTTTTCTTCGCTAATGCGCAATATTTTTTGTTGTGTCAATTGTGTCAATTTGCAACTTATTTTTGGAAGACAATACTGAAATGGTTATGCAATCTGACTACCACGATGGTATTTCCAGACATATATTCTTCTTTCTGAAAGTCAGAGATATGTTCTAGATTTGCCATTGAACTAGGAGTAAATGCGGGTGTTTTTGGAATTTAGTATATTTATTTCACTAAGAGTTTCAGGAGGATTGCAACAAAAATGAAGAAAGTCTACAAGTTTGAGAAAGCGATCTATGCCTTAGCATCTAACAATTTATGTGTATAGTAAATCAGATATAGTTTAAATTGTAGAAGATATATTTATATAGTGGTAGCTTCACGAGTCCATTTCTTTTGGTACTTCGAATTCGCCATAATCGTTTAGCACCACCACTTATTTTTCTCATTATGATTGTTGATGCTTTAAAGGGTTAAAGCTAAACAAAGTGTCACAGTCCGAATGTATGATTACATATATGAAATACCATAGTAATTCTCATTGTGGATTGACATCATAGTGTCTCATAAATGCACGGCCATATTAAAGCATGTACCCCCCACAGTGCGAAAGACCGGATATCCCCCAACATTATCCGTCAAACTGTGGCAATCTGGAGTATATAACTCCTATAATTTTCCAGTTGCTGGATTTATAAATTTTCATCAATTGTGTTTATAATTAACTATACTTTATACATATTAATACAATGCCTGTTGCTAAAGCGTAAGTACTAATTTTAAATCAATTGAATATAGAAAACCCTTACTAACTTTACTATATAGCTCTACTGAAGTTTTCACCTTAAATGATGGTACTAAGATCCCAGCTGTTGGATTAGGTACTTGGCAATCTACTGATAACGAAGCTTATGAAGCTGTGTTATTTGCTCTTAAAAATGGTTACAGACATATTGATACTGCTGCCGCTTATGGTAATGAAGAACAAGTTGGTAAAGCCATTAAGGACTCTGGAGTCCCAAGATCTGAAATTTATGTCACCACTAAATTATGGGGTACATTCCATCAAGATCCAGAAACTGCCATCAAGAGTTCTTTAGAAAAATTAGGTCTTGAATACATTGACTTATACTTGATCCATTGGCCAGTTGAACTTAATCCTCACGGTAATGATCCAAAATTCCCATCTTTACCAAATGGTAAGAGAGACATTATTGCTGATTCTGACTATACTAAGACTTATGCTAGAGTTCAAGAATTAGTTACTAAAGGTTATACTAAATCTGTTGGTGTTTCTAACATTTCCGTTGAAAATTTGACTAAATTATTAGCTGCTCCAACCACTAAGATTGTTCCAGCTGTTAATCAAGTTGAATTACATCCTTACTTACCTCAACATAAGTTATTAGAACTTACTAAATCTAAGGGTATTTATCTTGAAGCTTACTCTCCTTTAGGTTCAACCGAATCTCCATTATTTAAGGATGAAACTATTGTAAAGATTGCTAAGAAGAATGATGTATCTCCAGCTACTATTTTAATTTCTTGGGCTGTTCAAAGAGGTACTGTTGTTTTACCAAAATCTATTACTCCATCTAGAATTGAAGATAACTTAAAGACTATCAAATTAAGTGAAGAAGATTTTGAAGAAATCAATAACCTTCATAAGGTTGTAGGAGTTAAGAGATTCATTAATCCAGACTGGTCCCCAATCACTGTTTTCCACAGTGATGATTAAATTAGTTAGAGTAGTTTTTATAGTATTATCAATAGACATTATAAGAATTAACCTTATAGATTATTTTTAATAGGTAAATATATTCATAAAATGTGATAAAAGTACATGAAATTGAAGTATAAACTAAGAATAGAATTGTAAAAAGGAATAGTAATATAAAGAATAATTTTAGTGTTAATTATGACCACTCATAACCTATTGAGAAATATCAGGTATGACTAGTGGTATAACAGAATTTAGATATAATAAAAGATAAATCAAGAGGAAACATATAGGTACTTCAACTCAATTCAATTCAACTCAGTTTATTCAACTTAATTTATCAATTTAACATAATTTGAAGGACAAATACCGATTTGTCCATTAGATCTTCTGGCTTGCCACCATTTACCATCAATATCATCAACTTCCAAGATTTCATCTTTAACAAAGGAAATTTCATTGATATCATCTGGATTGGCATCATAACTATATAAAGCCTTAGCCTTATATCTGAATGTTAAAGCTAAATTAGATTGACTTCCTTGATCATTATAAACAGTTTGTCTCTTTTCAGTATTACCAGAACCATTATTGGTTAAATCTCGATGATGATTAACATCAGAAGATGAAAAGTTTTCTAAACCATTTAATTGAGATGAAGATACAAATTTGTTAGAATTAGTATTGGTATTTTGTAATTGAGTTGTTCTGAGTTCATGTGATTTATTAAAGGGAGAAGATCCTTGAGCATAATCATCATTTGTTTGATCTTCATCATCAATATCATCTTTAATACTATGATGACGACGACTTGAGTTTGAAATATGACCATGAGAATGACTATTTTTCAAACTGAAAGAATCAATAAATTGATTGGTTGGAGATTCAGGGTGACCACCAAAATAAACTATCCAAATTAAATTCAAGATTGATAGAAGAATGTTTCCAGCGGCACAAGCTAAATTCCCACTATTATTTGAGTTATAGATTAAACTATTGGTAGAATTAGTGGTATAGATGAAAGCGACGGAAATTAATCCGACTAAAGTGAATTTATATAATTCAATATTGTTGTTTAAATATAAAAGAAGTACCAAAAGTATAAGTATGATTTGGTATACTATACCCCACCAAGCAAAATGAGGAAAATGTTCTGGAGAAGCTCCAGCTCCAGCTATAGTGACTATCCAAGCAAGAATTCCAAAAGATATGGTTGCTATAGCGAAGGGATCGCTTGTGAAATTGGATAGAGATATTGCCATCTTGTTTTTTTATTATTTATGTGTAGATCTGAATGATTAAAGTAGATCTGAAATGATTTTTATTAGTGCAATATATTTATTGACTGGTGATATTTATTCTCTTAATGATTCAGTTATCAGAATTTGAATAAAGAACACGGTATTAATAAATATAGTTAATGATTTAGTATCGATTTGATATAGGACCCTTTGATAAAGGGTAAAGACTAGCTAACAACCACGGATTTGAAGTATGAATACAATAATTAATGGACACACAACTACCGGATATGTTCTAAGAAGATATGACAAAATATACCTCAACAGTAAACAACCTCTACTTCGTTCCACGTATGGCTAAATTCAGTTTATTTATTTATGATTTTTTTTTTACTTTGATATTTTCCTTTTTTTTATGATTTGGTATATTTCGTGGTACTAAAGTACACGACCTCCACCATTAGGCTTTAATTGTTTACGTAGACGACAATAAAATTGTGTAAATAGTGAACTATACGTATACAATAAATAGATAGCGATTTACGAGTAGAAGATGAATTAGTCGAAGTAAACTTCACAATTGAATTAGAGTTATACCGTTTGGTTATTACTTCTTAACCATCAATGATCTGACGCATCTCTAGATCAAGTTATTGTAAGAAGGTAGTATTGTAAGTGCTTAGTATTACATTGAATAACGTATAATAGTTATGAATAAATGGAATCACAGGAGAATGGAATGGTTGATAGTAGGAAAAGAATATGGCTCAATTTGAGGCTAACTCAGACTTCTAATTTGAGAATTGGGTGAGCAGACTATTGCAAATTACCATAATTGGTTATGTGATGTAATATGTACGTGTACGTGCCCAATTTGCTCGAAGGGGTCGCGGAAACGATCGCGTCTGCCAAGAGTCTAGAACTGATATATTGTCTCAAACGAAGATGTATGAAGTCACGATATCGATATCACATGATAAAATGTAAAATATTTAATTTGACAGATTTGAAGTGATCATAACCATTTTGCAAAATTGGTCATAGCTAAAGATATAATGGGAATTGTAATTGCTTTAGTTTCACGCCGCATGGAACAGACACGACTCAACGATCTCATCAGTGAAAGTTCTTTGGATTTATTTTCAAAGATGTGCGTGGGTGTACTCGGAGAGAAATTCTTCTTAACAGTATATTGATGCTATTTCTTGTTTCTTTAGTATGTACCAAGCATAGATAGGATAGAAACGGTTGAGATTAATCAACGGACATATAAAACCGTTGGAAATTATAAACTCAAAAGACATGAAATGTGTGACTACTGGCGGACGTTTGCGGATCAAAAACTCCGTAATATTTTCGACTGTAGCTGAAAGAATGCAAACCGGAAATTGCAATTTCGACCAAAATCCGGAAACCTCTTTGATCATCTACATATGTTTTCAAATTATTATATGTAGTGTTGTTGATATTAAATACCAGTTGAAGTATTCCCTATACCAATATTAGTGCCTCTAGATACGTCTTAATCCCATGACTAAAGTTAGAGCCCAATCTTCGACTTTTTTCCAACGGTCGCAAGGGTGTTAGCATGATAAATCCGACTGTTTTGATCCGCAAACCCCGTGCAGTACAGATGTGTTTCGGTCTTACTTCCGTCTCGGAATTTTAATTCCGCCGGCCATCCAGCACAAAATATGGGGTTTGAGTCTTCATGACTATGAATTAGACATAGTTTGACTAATGTTAATTTATCTATTTCGTCTATTATGGTAACTATACTTGCATAAGGAAATAATCGGAACCTAATTGCTAAGTGCTTGTAATACAATGTTATTGAACAGGGTACAGTTGCTTTAGTTCTACATTTTAATAGCTCTTAATATGCATATGCTAAAGCCACAGAGTCATGTATCTTAAATATTAATTACTCCGAATGGACTTTGACGCTTTTCCGTTTACCCATCCAACAAACAAGCTGGTAATTGTTGCAGCAATTGGTCGCAGCCGTACATTATATACAAACATTAACTTTTTCACCAGTAATAATTCATACAATTCCAATTGTCTACATGATTCCTCTACGTAGTGTATTTATTTTTTGGTATGACTATGCTCCGTGGTAATTTCATCCTTTATGCATTGTTATTTCTTATTCCTCTTGTGAGTTGCAATTTACTATAAATATATTTAGTTCTCTATGTAATACCTTTAATATTCTCTTTGAATTATTCTTCTTAAAGTATTCAACACTTATTTTTCATATTCTTGTGAATACAAAAATTAACTAAAACATACAGAGATGATCTCAACCAAAGTTTCAACTATTGCTGTTACGAGATTTCCGGTTATTGCTTATCAATCTGGTTTAAAAGCCATCCCTCGTTATTATTCTTCCGCACCAATTCCTCAAACTACTTCAGCTAAACAAAGAAGAAGAAGTATATTGGACATTTCAACACAAGTATTAGAAGATACCGATATTGAAAAGCATGATGATAAACAATTCATCACTCATCCTCTATTTCCTCATCCAAAGTTCTCTCAAGAAGATTGCTTGAAAGTTTCCTTTGAACATCGTGAACCAAAATCTTTAGGGGATAGAATTGCTCTTAGAGGAATTCAACTTGTTAGAGGTAGTTTTGATTTTGTTACTGGTTATAAAAAGCCTAGAAATGAAGCTGAAGAAGTCAATGGGTTTAAAGGAACCAGATATGAAATGACTGAAGCTAAATGGTTAACCAGATGTATTTTCCTTGAAAGTATAGCTGGTGTCCCCGGTGCAGTTGCAGGATTCATTAGACATTTGCATAGTTTACGTTTACTTAAACGTGATAAAGCTTGGATTGAAACATTATTGGATGAAGCTTATAATGAAAGAATGCATTTGTTAACATTTATTAAATTGGGTCAACCTTCGATATTTACTAGAAGTATCATTTATGTCGGTCAAGGGGTGTTTGCTAATTTATTCTTTTTGTTTTATTTGGCCAATCCAAAGTATTGTCACAGATTTGTTGGTTATTTAGAAGAAGAAGCTGTTAGTACTTATACTCATCTTGTTAAAGAATTAGATGATCCAAATAAATTAGCTAAATTCAAGCATCTTAAGATTCCAACTATTGCTGTTCAATATTGGCCTGAATTAACTGAAGAATCTTCATTCAAAGATTTGATTTTGAGAATCAGAGCTGATGAAGCCAAACATAGAGAAGTTAACCATACACTTGCTAATTTGAACCAAAATGCTGATAGAAATCCATTTGCTTTACAAATCAAAGATATTGAACAACCTCAACCAGAGAATGGTTTGAAAGTTACTCAAGGTAAAGGGTGGGATAGAGATGATTTGATTTTATAATTAATGACTGCTATTTTATGATTATGTACGACTCTGTTTTTTTTCTTTACGAATTTTATATGATAACTATTATATACATCAAATATATATATACTGTATCTGTTGTTAAATGTCTAAATATCTTAATTAGGTATTTCGTTGGTAGCGCTTTGTCGCAATTAATAACGTCATGGGTGAAAAATTAAAAAGTGACACAAAGGCCATAGAATATTCTAGCAATTTGGTACAACCTACATGGATGAACATGCTCATTTTACTATAAATTATACCCGAATATGATTGGCCAACTTGTGACTGCATATCTACACAATCCCAAATCTAATTACATACTCACTTATATAAGTGACAGATCAGCAATTTAAGCAAAACCACAAATATATAAAAATCGCAATATACAGACCTCTTTTGTGGAAGCAAGTCTTCACTGAGCAAAAAAAAAATTAGTGCAAACACAAAAATTTCAATATCTCCTATACTTAAGGTCATATAAATAAGGTCCCCCACGTTAAGGGAAGATATAAGTTAAGTATTTTCTTTTAAGTATTGACTGGTTAGTTAGTACCGAGTGTTGTGTATACTTTTATCAATAAAATGGCATCTCATAATGATGATCCTATAATTGAATTACTTAATACCGAGCAGACCCCGACATCTCACGACATTGATGATGATAATAATAATATAACTAGTAATGATAATGGTGATTTACCAACTATAGAAAGGTCTGATTTTAATCTTCATGATAATGTATCAGATACTTTAAAACATGATACTTTTGATTTACCCACTCCCCTCAATAATAATCATACGTTTGTTAATACACCGACATTACCGCAACATCAATTATATGAAGTATTCGATGATGTAATTAATCCATCCATACCTACTGGTTCTCCCAATCTTGTTAATGACTCTAATGAATTTAAATCCAATAATAACGCTACTACCACTACCACTAATAATAATAATAATAATAATAATGATAACAGTAATAATAACAATGATGAAATCATAAGTAATGGCTCCACTGGTTATGACAATAACTTACTTGGCCCCATTAATGATTTCATAAGTCATCCGAATAATCAATTGATGTTGAGTTCTGCCAATAAGGGTTATCTCACATCCTTACCACCCATGTCTCCATTATCTGAAAGTGTTATACCTAATGGTATTTCAGTTCATCCTATCACTATACCGTTAATGGATGATAATAAAAAGAGAGCATTAGTATCACAAAAGAATCAAGTATCCACCAATAATACATCTAATTCAACAACAGCTTCAGCATCAAAAAAGCGAAAGAAAGATAGTACTCATAAGTCTAGAACTTTATTTGTAAATAAATTATGGTCTATGGTTAATGATCCTCTGAATGATAATTATATACGGTGGAATGATAGTGGGAAAACATTTCAAGTATTTCATCTTGAAGAATTCGTTAAGAACGTATTACCAAAATATTTTAAACATAATAATTTTGCCTCATTTGTACGTCAATTGAATATGTATGGATGGCATAAAGTTCAAGATATAAATAGTGGAACATTATCAAGTGGATCTAATGGTTCAGATTCCAAAAGTGGTGATGATGAAATCCTTCAATTTGAAAATCCTAATTTTATTAGAGGTCGTGAAGATTTATTGGATAAAATAGTTCGAAATAAGACTAGCACTAATCAGGATGAAGAGAATATTAGCAATAATACTAATGCATCAAATCAAGTTAATTTCCAAATCATTATTAATGAACTTGATAATATTAAAATGAATCAATTAGCCATTGGAGAAGATCTTCGAAGAGTTCGAAAGGATAATAAAACTTTATGGAATGAGAATTTTATGGCAAGAGAAAGACATCTGCAACAAGCACAAACTTTAGAAAAAATTTTAAAATTCTTATCAGTAGTTTATGGAAATAACAATGGTGGTAAGATATTAGAAGTTGATGATGTTCCATTCAATAATCTTGGAAGTAATGAAGGTAATTCATTTAGTGATAATCTTTATGGTCAAAGTGGAACCACAAATGCAACTGGTCCAACATTTAATAAACCAAGATTAATGTTGACTGATCAAGCTCATAGAAAATCATCAGGCTCTGTAAATTCACCATCAACGGGTTCATCAAGACCAAGTGTAGCAGAATCATCTACAGGTTCAATTGAAGAAATTATTAGATCGTATGGAACTACTCCTAAACAATCAGCAAGGAATCCAACTACTACTAATACATCTAATGGTCCAAGTAATGAAAGTATTGATGCTGCTAACAGGATATATCAACAAATTATTAATCAAGAACCAGTTCCAGTTAATACCACCAATACTAATAAACCTAATCATATTGTATCATCACCTCGTCATTTCTTTCCAGAATTAAATACCAGTGGTAATAGTCCTAGTCCATATTTAGGAGCCAGTAGCGGTAATCCTGGTAATTTCAATCCAAACAACTATGTCAGGATTAATGAACCAGTTCCTAATTCCACAGATATAATGACAGGATTAGAACAGAATTTATACAAACAAGGACAATCAATTCAACAAGTTCAAGACTGGATCCAAAAATTAGCACAACAACAGCAACAATTGCAAGAACAACACGATCAGAAACATGACAATTTTGAAGAGGAAGAAGAAGATGGGGATCTTGAAGGAATGGATGGATTTGATGTTAATGAATTTTTAAATAGTGGAAACAGCAGTAGTAATGGTAATATTGTTGAAAATGGTTCACGTCCTGAACCGGTAGTTATAACTCCAGGGTCAGATGACCTCTCAGGTAATAGTAAAAGACTGATTGAAGAAATTTATGATGGTAAAGATGCAGAATTAGACACATCTACAACATCCCGAACGAGAAATCGTAAAGTAAGAAAGAGATAACGCAACAGAACAGCCCCCAAAAACTTTCCCCATGGTTATTTCTACACTACACATGAGATTATATCTATGATCCAACTGATTCAATTCTTCTAATTACATTTAAACATCATCTTTATGCACATATAGTATATATAGTATATATGAATAATATATTTTGCAATCTGTCGGAATGTATTCGCCAAACTTGGAATTCCCGCGCATTTTTTCTTTGACCTCAGTAGTGATTTTTTTACTCAGAGTGGATAATTCCGCAAATTAATTTTAAAGTTTTTCGTTTTTTTAATTTGCTCACACAAAGGAACGGAAACTTAATTTCGTTACTATATATCGCGCTTTGCCTAAGATGGCAGGTAACGAGAATTGTGTGTAGGAAATTGCATGGGGTTGATGAGGTGGGGAATTAGTCCATACTGGTATGTAATTTAGATTTGTGAGAGATATTGGAGTGGGGAAGCATGAATGAGACAGTCAAGAGGGCGGCATTCGTGTAAATCATCTGTAATCACTTCAATTGCCATTGTGGCTAGCGATCAAACTGATATCAGTTAATCACCGTACCAACGATACAAATTACTGAAATCGTCGATGAAGGCGCATTAATGATTTATTTTTTTTAAAAAAAAAATTGTCTCTTTCTCACTCATTTTCTGACAATGAAAAAAAAAAGAGAAAAAAATTTGCATGGAAGTAGCTGTTGAATAAAATGAAAAGGCGTTAATTGCAATTGAAAAATAGATAGTCGGTGTTTCTTTCCATATAGAACTAGCATAATCGATCATAATTACAACATGAACAATGAGATTACTTGAAATTATTATTACCGTTTCAAATGCAATGAGCCAATTGGATTACAGCGTGGGCACTGAGCACATCATTAATTCATGTTGAATGCCTTGTTTGTGTAATTGACAACTGTAGAGTTTGAAGGATTTTTGATTGGCAATAAATTTTCTGACAGATTTTCGATTGTTTTCGGGATATAGTACAAAGCAACTTTATCGTTATTTTATTTATTAATGATTTAATTTATTAACCCATAGTATAAGATAAAAGCTTACGGAGTTTTAAGTTAAGTCGGACTCTGTAGAAGCAGATGGAAGTGAGAACAAAGAAATAGAAGAAATATTTTTAATTAGCGAATATGGAGATTACATACGTAAGAAGTTATCAAATCTAATTAATTAGATTCAAATTAGATGGTGAATTTCAGGTATACAATAAGTGTGTAAAGTGAGCATGATTGATGACTACTTTGACATGTTTCTATGGAGAGGCTCAAACCAATACTATGTAATGACGAAAATCGCATTAACTCCGAATCCTCGCATAGTAGATTTTTCTCTGATTTATTACGTAAACTTATACTGTATAGTATTCTCATTAACAATTATCCTAAATACAAAACCCAGAGTTAAAACTAATTCCAACCAGCACCTAATTGAACTGAAATTTAAAATAAAAAAAAAAAAATTCTCGCTATCGGAATCTCCATCCTAAATAATTACGCATGAAAAAAGTTAAAAAAAAGTTTTCAACGACAATACGCCGAACAAATTACCCCTAAATAAAAATCATAATAGGTGAAAAATAATTATTTCGGAAAAACAATATGAGAGGGAATATATGTAGTTCTTGTGAATGCAGATTTACATCAAACGAAATAAGTCAAAGCCTTACGTCCACTCAATTCGTTGGCCTTGGGATATTTTCATTAGCATTGGCAAAACTTAAATGAAAACAAAACAAATTAAATTAACTAAATTTAAATACAAAACAAAACAGAATAATACATAACAAAACAAAACAAAACAAAACAAAGTAAGTCGAATAGACAATCTAATAGATTAGCACTTTCTTGCACGGGATTATAAACCCACTTGGTATATAGAAATGTGTAGCAAAGATAAAGTGAATCAATTGAATTCGTAATTGCTCCCCAAAATTTTAATCTCCTTATTTTTCTTCCATTATTTTATATTACAAATTAAGGTGGGTCAGTTTTGTGATTCTAACTGCTCTGTTAAAGATGCGCTACTGAATTTATATTTATGCGCTGATGATAAAGCAAAATTCGTTCGTAAATAAAACACAAAATGTCACTAATCTGTGATTTTATTTGATTTGCTTATTTAATTGGTGTAAAAAAAAAAGAGGAATAAAAAAAGACCGAGTAAAAAATAATAAAACGAAAAGAAAAAGAAATTTTTAACTAGACCCATTAACAGCGCTTAGGCACTACGTCCCGCGCAGAACCGCACAGTAACCACAAATTGGCAAAATAGCGACTGATTAAAGAATACTCTAAAGACATACGGTAACTGAATGTTCACCAGAATATAACATCTCAACAGAGTTTAGTAAATATTCAACAAATTTTAAATCTCAGTATTCATAGATACTTTTTGATTACTTTTTTTGCTAACTAAAGATCCACCCACTACAAATCTTTTTCTCCCCATAGTTGCTAGCGGAAACCCTCACCGTTAGGCCAGTTTTAGTGAGAGTTCGTAATCGTAATCGTACTTTTTCTCCGTTACCTCGCTAATATTTCACACCACCACCACCACCACTACTATTATCATCATTATCACATTACCTTTATCACTATCACTACCATCACTATACCATCTCGTCCTTTAATTCTTAGTTGCCTTCCCGTAAGTTTCCTCCATCAATCCAGTCAAAATTCTCGCTAGTTCAATCGACCCATCCGCCCCCACTATGAGTTCCGGAGTATTGGATCTCGGCCTCAGAGTCCCCAAACTGAAGAGAGTTTACAGTAAAGGTGGATGCCGAGAATGTAAGCGTAGAAAGATTAAATGTGACGAAGGGAAACCTCAGTGCTGGCAATGTGTTCGCTTACGAAAGTTCTGTACTTATCCTGTTACTGGTGAAAGAATACTAAGAATCTCTAAGAAGAAACAACAAGCCATTGGTTCTCAAACCACTTCCCCCACTACGTCTCCAGTATCCACTAATGTCAGTTCAATCAGTCTGTCGGTAAATGATTTGGATTCAAAGTCATCTTCGGCAGAGTCCCCTAACGAATCATTTGTTCCATCAACCACTAAGGAGTCCACTCCTGATGAAACTACTACAGCAACAGCCATTAGTATCGCTAATGCTGCCTCGGTAGCCAGCTCTAACTTCAGCAATAATTCCAACTTCAGTAATAACTCCAGCAACAGCAATAACAGTTCCAACAATAATAACAACAGCAAACATTTCCATCCAAACATACTCCCTCAGGCTTATCCCTTGGGAATCCCACCCCGTCCTCAGCCTGTAGCACTCCAACATTTACCTCCTCATCACCATCACCATCCACATCATGTAGTCCATGGAGCTCCACCTCCGCCACCTCCTCCTCATCATTACCAATTCCAACAGGGACAACCGCAAGCACAATTGTCACCTCCACTCCCTCCGCCTCCACCGCAATATCCACAAACTTATGGTCATCAACCACTCCCTTCCATCTCCTCCATGTCCAGATACTCCACATCGCTTCCCAGCTTATTGAACCAACCCAATTATCAACCTAACGTAGCATTTCCTCCCAATTTTGCATCCCCACCACCTCCATCTCCAGCTCCACTTCCTCCCTTACAACATAGAGCCTCTTTGGCACCCATTCAACTGCAAATAACTGTACCTACTATAGCTGAAGGAAGTAAACCCAAATCTACTGCTACAACCACAACCACAACTGCAACTACAACTGCTCCTACAACTGATACTGAGAAACCTCTACCAACTGTTGCTTCAACTCAACCAAAAGATACACCTATGGAATCTCAATCACAGAATAATTCATCACCTAGTGAGATCTTATCATACTTTGATCAGGGAGACTTGAATGTCTTGGCTACCGACTTAAACAATCTTGTATCCAATATTATGTTGGAATTCAACTTTGAAAAGAAGACTCAGACTACACAAATCAGTACCGATACAGAAATGTCTTCGTCCAATATTTCTAATTCAGCCGGTACTTCACCATTATTCACACCTAAAAGTGTCGGTAAATCTATACCGAGAAGTATTCCATTTGATTTCATTAAACTTAGAAAGTCTCATGAGAAGATCTATTTGGAAGAATTCTATAATGATTTCGCCAATATCATTCTTCCCTTTTCTTCCTTTGATACTGTTTCAAAGACATACTTCAATCCTGCCAGAGATATTATATTGAATAGTGCATCTAATGAATCATTTCTCTTGGCTGCTATTCTTGCTCAGGGGGCTAAACTTTCATTCCAAAAGAATAAACTTAGTGAAGATGAAGAAGCTTATTGTACTTACTTATCTAGATGTCTTAAGTTATTGGGTCCAGCATTAGTTATTAATGATGAAAAGAATAATGCTGAATTAACTTCCAATATTGAAGCCGTATTATTAACAGTATTATTATTAACTGCTGCTAATGCTTCTAATACTAAACAAGATTGGAGACCTCATTTAAAGGGTGCTAAAGATATATTGATGAAGACATCTACCAATAAAATCCGTAGTTCAAAGATTCTTATCTTTTGTAAATCCTGGTTTGTAACTTTAGAAATTCTCGCAGGAATTAGTTCTAAATTAGGTGGTACATTAACTTATACTGAAGAAATTGATTCATTACTTTCTTCTGGTGATGAATATGAAATCTCTGTATTAAGAGAATTAGGTATTATCTTAGATAATGGATTTAATATCTTTGGAGGTTATCATAATGATTGTATAGATCATTTCCGAGAATTAATTAAAATTAAAAATAAGATTCGTAAAGGAGAATTTAAACCTTCTGAATCTTTAGGTTATATGAAATTATTTACAGAATTTTATAATCAATCAGAAATTGAATTCTTTGATAAGAAATGTATACTTACAGAAACAGAATTTAAAGCTCATGGAATTGCAGTGGCTCCATTAGTTGATACTTTAACTATTAATGATGAAAAAGTCATTATTAGTTGGATGGATACTTGTCATCGTGCCTATGTTTATGCATCTATGATTACCATCTTAATTGAATGTTTTAAAGAGAGTTATAATTCTCCTCAAGTCCAAATCCTCACCAATAAAATCATCTCATTTGTAACATTTCTTGAGAATTCTTCGGCAGAAGTTCCTCAACAAAAGTTTAAATGTTCTATGATGATGATTCAATGGCCAATGTTAGTGGCAGGTATGAATTGTGTTAAAGAAGAATATCAATTCATCCTCATGAAATTCTTTAGAATCAGTGCTCAAATCGGTTCTGGAGGTGCTAGTTTTGCCTTGAAGAGAATTAACAATACTTGGAAACGTAGAGAAAAGGGTATATCCGAATCAGAATCTGAGGATGATAAAGCCTTGGATTTGGTATCATATTAACTACTACCATAAAAATATTTCACTCCCCCCCACTTTGTATTATTATTACTGTAAATCTGTATGTTTTATTTCATTGCTACTTGCTTATATCATCTGCTTCTTTAGCTAGTTTTTATTTGGTTACTTTTTATATACGCTATTCTTAGTCCTTACTTAATTACTTTACTTCTACTTGTAAAGATTATTGATATATCCTTCAATAATGGCGAGTAATCCTACGGCACCAGGATCAGGAATCCCTCCTTCAGTTTGGAAGGCTTCTTCATTAACATAACTGGCTCTACCGAACTTAGCCTTTAAGTTCAAAGTATTATCCCGACCCTCATGAGCTTTAGTTAATGCGGCAGAAAGATCTTTAGATTTGTATAACTCATCAATAAATGGCTGCAAAACATCGACTAATGTTCTGCCGCCTGTTCTGGCACGAGTATAGTGAAACAATCCTTCGTAGAGAGCCGTATGAGCAGCTTGAGCAAATGTAGACACAGTCAATTCCTTGACTTCTCTTAAATTCTTTAACAAAGCTGTTAAGTATATCGAGTATAATCCTCCTGAAGTTCCTCCCATATTGTCCTCGACTAATTCGGTAATGATCGACAATGCTTCGACGGGATCTTTCAAGAAGGAGTTATCTTGTTTGATTCGTCCCAATATAGCTTTGGCTCCTGCTTCCAATGTTTCTCCACAATCACCATCACCAACAATAGTATCATAATGATTGACTTTGTCTACTTGACTCAAGAGATTTTCCAATCCTCCAACAAGTGCCTTTTCAAACTGGTGAGCATCTAGTTTCAAATCTGAAGACACTTTTGTATCAGTTAAGATATCATCTGATTCAAAGTATTGAGATTCGGTTGACTGAGCCCACAACTTGGCATTATATGAGTGAGGTTTCCAACCGGGAGCATTGGTAGGAGCGTCCAAGTAACCTAAGATCTCTTCGTGATCATACTTCAAATTGGATAAGTTCAATAAAGTTATTGAGAATCCAGGAGCATTCAATGATGTAACAAAATCACTGACAAGAATTCTTTGTGGTTTCTTAGTGAATGGAAGCTTATGAACAACGTGTTCAACTATAACACTCAACTCAAACGTTGATGTACCTCCAATATTGTTGATAAGCAACACATACTCATCTGTGTCTAAATTAAAATCAACATAGTGACGTTCCTTATCTTCAGGGGATACCAATTTGTAAAACAAGTCGTCAATTAATTCGTCAATATTAGGAATGGGTTTCAATCTAGTACCTGGTTCATTATGAATCCCTAATCCTAACTCGGCTTCATCAGACTTGGTGAATTCAATTTCTTCAGTCTTACCAGGAACTGATGTTCGATCTAAAGATGCTGCGATTGTTGCTAAATTCAGGGCAACATCTCTACCTAATTCAGTAGCCAGTTTGAGATCATATTTAGAAGTATTTACTGCAGCACCTAATATCTTATGTACAATAGCAGTACCTGCTATACCTCTTCTACCTACCATTTTATTTTGTTCACGAGGAACAGCTACATCATCAGCCACAATTACCATTTCAGAATTATATCCTTCACTCTTAGCCTTTTCTGATACTAATCCAAAATTAATTATATCTCCAGTGTAATTTTTAACTACTATAATAACTCCCTTTTCTTTATCGGCTTTAACTTTTAATGCCGACATGATCTGTTTAGTAGATGGTGAAGCAAATATTTGACCACTAACTGCTGCATCTAATAAGTTATCACCAACAAATCCTCCATGTAATGGTTCATGGCCTGCACCACCACCACTAATAAGAGCTACTTTTTTACTTGTATCGGAGTGGGGATTAAAAATCACCTTTTGTGAAGCAATCAAGTTTATAGCAGGATTGGCCCTTACCAAACCTTTAAGATTGGTAAGTACTAAATCCTCGCCATCCGAATATTTCCAGTGTTTAGCTAAAGTCATATTGTGCCTACTGAAACAGTTAACTGAGTCAACTATAAAGACCTTACAATACTTAAGTTATATACTGAATGACAATTTGCGGACATTCTACGTTCGTGCACAATAACCAGAACTAAGTAAGGTCTGGTATGACGTCAGTTGCAACCAGTTGCCGCATTGAGTCAGAACGCTACTAGAGTGACAGCAAATTTGCGGGCTGTATTCGGAACGCAATTGGCTATCGGCACTGTCTACCGACGCTAACCACCGTGGCAGTCAATCACGGGACGTGGACTGTAATTCGCCTTAATAGCTCACTTTTACTACTACTACTACACAATATTTATAATCGACATACATATATCAGTCATGCGCATACCGACATTTACTATATAGGAAATATCTAACAAATATCCCACGGTCACTGTGACGGTAGTGACCTGAATCTGACACTGAATCTTCACCGTAACACTGTAACACTACTTAATTGTATTCGGCAACTCAAAACGTACCGCTAAGCGACCGATCAATAAAATATTGGTGTGAGCACGACCACACCCAGCGGAACGCTTAATAACGGCTCCGCTTTACGAAGAGATAAGCAAAGAATATCACTAATTAACCAATTGACACATTGGGTTATGATGGCATCTGATAAAATCAGAGACTCTAAGCGAGACTATAGCCGAGGAGGCTGTCGAGAGTGTAAAAGACGGAAAATTAAGTGTGACGAATCGAAACCGTTTTGTTTACAATGTAGTAGACTTCAGAAGACATGTTCGTATCCCAAAGCAGGAGAGAAAGTACTACGAGTTTCCAAGAGATATTTGGAGATTCATTCGGGTGAACCTCCCGCACCTTCGCCTCCGAAACCATTAACAATTCAAGTTTATCAGGGTCCTGATTTTCAGAAGCGGAAGGGGAAAGTACGATCCTTCAGACCATTAAAGGATATAGAAGCAGATGCTTCTGCTAATGCTAAGGTTAATAAGAGGTCTGGTGCAGGTTCGGGTGCTGCATCACCTCCTTTATCGACTGTGCCAACTTCAACTACTGTTACTTCTACTACAGTTTCAGTCCCTACACCACCAGCAACTACACCATCTGCTCATCCAGCTACGGCTATTCTGAGTATAATAAATCAAACAACTTCGATAGAGTCTTCATTAACTAATTCTAATTCTTCTTCAGATTTAATCCTGACTCCCTTCCAAGGTACTGACTCCATGGATACAGCAAATAGTCAACCTCAATCATTTATAAGTCCGACTTCTTCGTTTATAATGTATAATGATGAAGATTTAAACTTATTGGCATCCGATTTAAATGAAATTGTTAATGATATGATGTTTGCATCTAATTTTGATGATGCAAACAATAATAATTCCGTTACTACTGATTTCCAACATATCTTTAATAAAAAATCAAATGGTATTTCCTTATCTCCATTATCTACTACTGATGGAGGAATTCCTAGACATGTACCAATAGAAAGTATTAAAGTAAAGACATTAGATGAAAGAACTTATTTGGCTGGATTCTATAATGAATTTGCTCAACAAATTCTTCCATTTGGAGCTTTTGATAATGAACGAGGGATATATTCGAATCCATTACGTGATGTTATCTTAAGTTTTGCATCTAAAGAACCATATATTTTAGCAGCTGTATTAGCTCAAGGTGCTATAACTGTTTATAGAAGAACCAAACTTCAAAAAGATCAATTGGCTAATGGATCATATTTATCTACTTGTTTAAAATTCTTAGGTCCAGCTTTAAGTAGAAATAGAGATAAAATGGTTAAAGATGATTTAGTATCAAATATTGAAAGAATTTTAGTAACTGTCTTATTATTAACATCATCCAATGCTGCTACAACCAAACAAAGTTGGAGACCTCATTTAAAAGGTGCTAAAGATATAGTCTTAAAGGCTACAAATAGTAAAATTCGATCTTCTAAAACATTAATTTTATGTAAATTATGGTTTGCAGATTTTGAAATTTTAGCGGGGACAAGTTCTCATTTGGGAGGTACTTTAAAATCAGATGAAGAACTTGATTTAGTAATAAATTTTAATGATCCTTATGAATTATCCGTTCTACGAGAATTTGGAATATTTCAAGATAATGGATTTAATATAATGTTTGGGTATAGAAATGAAATCGCCTATTTATTCCGAGATTTACTTAAAATATTTAATAGAAGAAGAGTTCTTGGAACTGAATTTGTGGCTGATGATTCAATTGAATATTTAAGATTATTATCGGGATTTAGTTCCGAATATAATATTCGATTTGTTCAACTGGCCGATGAAATTATTTTAAGAAATGATGGGGTTATACCAGATTTAATTGATATAATCAATGTTAATGGGAAAGAGATCGCTATAAGTTGGATGGATATATGTCAACAAGCCTATAGTTTAGCAGGGTTAATAACAGTATTAACAACAATCCTTCATAATCCATTTGATGCGCCTCACGTTCAAGATTTAAATAATAAATTAATTGCCCTTATTGGATTTACAGAAGAATGTGAAAATGTATCTGAACAAGTATTAAAATATTCTTTACTGATGATTCAATGGCCTATATCTGTGGCCGCTATGAATTGTGTTAATAAAGATCAAAGACGTTTAGTACATAATTTCTTTACTACATCAGCGGAATTAGGTTCCGGTAGTGCAGAAGTAGCTCTAAAAAAAATTAAGCACGCTTGGAATGTGCACGATGGTGGTCAAGATTATCATGAGAGTGGGGAAGAATATGAAGATGTAGTGGCCTATTAGTTAGGATAATTGTAATTGTAATTGTAATTGTACTAGTATAGTTAATAATAATGATAATGACATTTTTAATATGGGTGGTTAAGTATATAACATGTGCGGCATTTGAAAACGGGACGCTTATGTAAGCGGTCGCTTCGCCCTACCGTCTTTGGATGACATCGTAAAAACGCAAATAGTATAATCCCGTTATAATTATAATTACGATAGAATTAGCAGTTATTGACATTAAATCACAATAAAATTGGTCATGAGCTCATTGGTCAGTCTGATGGATCCCATTCAGGAAGTTTCCGATGATAAAAATGTAAGCAGAAAGAGATCCAAGACATTTACTGGCTGTTTTACCTGTAGATCACGAAAGATTCGATGTGATTTAAAGAAACCCCATTGTATGAAATGTATAAAAGCTGGTTATATATGTTCAGGTTATGATATTAAATTAAGATGGTCATTACCATTACAATTCAAATCTCGAAATGGGAATCCAGTACATAAACCAGTAGTGTTTAAGGATAAAGATACTGAAACTGATGGAGGAGGAGGAGGAGATACAGAATTCTTTCAAAGAAGAAATGTGGAATTTGTAGTATGGGATGAAACTAAGAATTGTAAACCTTATGAAACTTATGAAGAAATGGATAAAGATTTAGGAATTCTTAATAATTCTGGTTCTGATAGTATAATTCGAGTTCAAGGTAAAACAAAGCTTTTAGGACCGTTTGGAGTATTCCGAGGGTCTGGTGGAAATGGATTAAGAGTAGTTTCTAAAGTAGATCATAATGAGAAAGTAATTAAAAAACCAAGAATAGAAAAGACTCCTGTTGATACTTCTTATGAAACTCCTACATCAACATATAGTAGTAAAAGAAGTTATGATAGTACCACTTCAAGTGCAATCCCCTTATCGGGGAATGATAATGCACCTCATGATCAATTATGGTTATCCAATGAATTAAGAGATGCAGCCCTATTGACAGCCGCAGCTTTAAATGGTGATACTCAATATCTTGACTTTATGAACTTCACTAATGATAAATCCATTGTAAATACTAATTCTTCATCACCTCAACCAAATTATCATGTAAATAATAATAATAACAACAATACTAATAATAATAATAATAATAATAATAATAATAACAATTTCAATACTAATCAAAATGATTTTCTTAATTTGGTATTTCATCGGAATCTCAGTAATTCAATATCAACTACTAATAATCATCCGAATGATAATACCAATATTAATATGACTAGTCTATTAAATGACTCAAGTGCAGCAATAGATACGGCTAATCAACATTTATATTATTCCAATTATAATAATTATTATTATAATAATCCATATCAATTAAATGAAAATTTAGAAATTCATTTACATGCATCTAAATTACCTAGTAGTAATGATGATGATACTACTACTACAGATTTAGTTGATGGTGAACAATCTAATTCTGTACAAATGCCTACATCTATTATGTCTATTGTTCAAAGTCATACTCAACCAATAGATATAGATTTATCTATACCTACAACTTCATCAACTGGTCCAAAAGCAGGTTTACCTACAACTGCACTTCAAGTTCAACCACTTACCCGATATTTATTAAATTATTATATAACTCAAGTAGCAGATTTAATGACAGTTATACCATTAACAGAAAACCCTTGGAAAACCATCTATTTCCCTCGGGCAGTCATGGCAATAGGAGAATTACTGGCTCTTGGACAAACTTCAACGGCTAAGAATGCTTTATTAAATGCTTTATTAGCAGTTTCTGCATTTAATTTACAATCTAAATTTCCCAAGAATTCTGATTCAATGAAATATTATCTTAATTTAGGAATTAGATTAAGAAATCAAGCCAGTTTATTTGTTAAACAATTACTAAATTCTAAATCAGATACTCAATCAGGAATTGAGTATTGTTTATCTAACGAAAAGTATAAGGATGTTTTATGTGCGGTAATGACAATGATTAGTGTTGATTTGGTTTGGGGGACTATGCAAGATACTAGTTTCTATATTAATTGGTGTGGGAAAGTTATAGCTACAAAAATGGTTAATAAGAAAAAGTTATCATCAAAAGCTCGTATTCTTCATCGAATATTCCTGTCTTTAAAGTTAATTCAAGATTCAACATGTCTTGATGCAGAAAGTATTAAAGAAGATTTTGAATCTACGGCTGGTAGAGGTTATGATGTTAATGGAGATATGTTTGCTAATCGAACTAAAGAGATGAAAAAGGGTCGAATTGATTTTATTGTTAATAGTACAATTAATAATAATATTAATAATAATAATAGTAATAATAATATTACAAATCCTTCTAAGAGTACATCTCCATCATTTGTTAATAAGAAATTAATTAATACTAAAAAGAATGATGAAAATTTTGCTACAGATGCATTATATGGATTACCTAATTCATTAATTTTATTATTTAGTGAAACCGTTCAATTATTAAGAAATAAAATTTATTATGAAGATGCATCTATTTCATTACCACAAAATTTTGATAAGGATGTAAGTAATTTAAATAAAAAATTATTAAATTGGAATTTAGATTGGGAGTTATATGAAGGACAACGAACGGGACAAATTACCCGAAGTTTACAAGGATTTATTGGAGAAGATGAAGATTTAGATGATGATGGATTACATAATGTTGATCTTGAAGCTGAAAGTGATGCACGAAAGAAGTTTTATTCTCCTATGCATGAAGCTACTTATCATCATATTCTCTCATTTTATCATGCTTTAATGATTTACTTCTATCGATTAATTAGAGGAGTCGCACCGTCAAAATTACAATCGAAAGTTGCAAAAACGCTTAATCATCTTAATTCAATTCAAAGATTAATCGCTAAAGATGAGGCTGCCATCATTCCATTATTTTGGCAAGGATTTATCGCAGGATGTGAAGCCATATCGTTAAACTTACAAATGGGCTTTAAAAAGTGGGGGGCGGATATAGCTCAATATCTAGGTAGTTATTGGGGAGCTCGTCAAATTATGTTAGAAGTATGGCGCCGGAAGAGAATGAATGAAGCCAGAGATGATTGGGTTAGTGTCATACAAGATTGGGAAATGAATCTTATGTTGAATTGATAGGTAAACAATCGTCACCCGTAGTTTAGTACATAGAGTAATATATTTTTATGTATGTATTTGTTTAGTTTTCGGTGTAATACAAAATACATAACAGTGCCTACTTCAGCCTCCTATATGTATAGTTATTATTAGTTGTTACTTATTACTACGATTACACGACTCATCCGCCTTACTCTACTTTTCCTTACTGTAATTGTCGTCAAAGTCCAAAGCCCACTCCAGATTTCGTTACAGTACCCATACCTTCCGTCACACTACTAACAATAAGCAATGTTATGTTATGCTTACTTTCCATCCCTTAACAATAATACAAAATCTCGGTATTGTGAACCAATTTCAGGCAGGCAGGTATTACTCCAATTTCACTTAGCTAACTTAACTTACCTTACCTAACTTAGCTCATACAATCGGCAACATATAATTGCCGAACGCGTCGCCAGAATGTGTGAACGCGTTATGTCCATTGTGTCAAAATTGATTCAAAAACGCTTTGTGTGCGAAGCGAGGAGGCATATTGTCGTCCTTTAAAGTGTAAACAAAAACATGAAAAATGTAAACAAAAACATCGTCTCTGTGCCTGATCTGAACTGAGCCGATCTTAATTTTGTGGAGGAAATTTAATATTATGGGTCCAGGCCTATAGCTAAGACGGGATTAATTAACAATTAATTATATTAATTAAATTAGACAATTAAACAAAAAAGGGAAGGGGCACATGACATGAAACCTAAACGCGTTCACGTCACTTTCAAATCGTGAATCTGAAAAATTTTAGAAAGCCTTGTTAAACCCAAGAATGACGAAGGAGTCGACATCAGTAAGTGAAGGTTTTACATAATTATGAAGTGTATAAATATACGGGACTATTCCATTAATTGGATAAGTTAATTATATAGTTCTTTCTAACTCTGATAAGTACATTCATTCGCTTTAATACCCTTACTCATTTACTTTCCTTAATAAATAATTATATATAAAATGCAATTCAAGACTTTAACTATTGCCGCTTCCTTAGCCATTGCTGCTCAATCAGCTTCTACTGAATTAGATTATGAAACTGTCACTAATTTGTCTACTACTGATGTCACTATCACTTCATGTTCTGACAATGCTTGTGTTACCACTGTTCAACCAACTTCTTTAACTGTTGTTACTGAAACTGTTAGTGGTGTTGAAACCATTTACACTACTTATTGTCCACTTACTGCTGAAGAAGCTGCTGAAAGTGCCAGTTTAGCTGCTGCTGCTGTTACTCCATCAACTACTTCAGTTGTTACTACCACTGTTAATGGTGTTGAAACTATTTACACTACTTACTGTCCAATCACTGCTGAAGAAGCTGAAGAAGCCAGCGCTAGTTTAGCTGCTGCTGCCACTACTCCTTCAACCACTTCAGTTGTTACTACCACTGTTAATGGTATTGAAACTATTTACACTACTTATTGTCCAGTTTCTGCTGAAGAAGCTTCTGAAGCTGCTGAAGCTGCTACTGCCACTACTCCAGCTACTTCTGAAGCTGCTGCTGCCACTACTCCAGTTCCAGTTCCAGCTGTTGTTGCATCATCTGAAGCTGCTCCAGTTGCTCCAGCTTCTTCATCTGAAGAAGTTACTTATGTTGATTTAACCACCACCCCAATTGTTACTGAATCTACTGGAGTTGAAGAAACTGAAACTGCTCAATTAACTCTTACTTCATATTACCACTCTCCATTAACTGCTTCTAATGCTACTGTTTCTACTTATGAAGGTGGTGCTTACTCTCCAAGAGTCGTAATCGGTGCTGCTGGTATCGCCGGTTTAGCTGCTGTTTTATTATAAGTTTAATATACTAACTTATTGTTCATAGCATCTGGGTATTCTGGGGTTCTAAATAAAATTAAAATTTTAAAAAGTTGATAGAGTGATTAATTCATAGAACTGCGGTTTCTAGACCATCTCCATATCACTTAATTGTGTCTTTTCTTTTCTCATCTCATAGTTAGGGTCATTACGTATTCTCTTATATTTTTATTTATTATATTCGTTTTCATTTTTATTATTTTCATTTGCTAATTGTAGAATAGTAGAAAACTTAATGTATAAGTACTAAGTACAGTTTACCACTAGAACATACTTGTATATTAAGATAAAACTGGCATCTGGAGAACAATAGAAGATGCAAGTATAAAAGTAGAGGAATTATGTAACTATATAGTAATTTAGGATCTAATAAGATAAAGATAAAGGAAAGATAAAGTGCCGTAGGTGATATATATCTGTTACACATCTGTTACATTTTTGCAACATATAGGCAAATAAGTCGTGCACACAACACAATTATGTTACTTTAATTACTTTAATTATTTTATTATCACTAATTAATTTATTCAGGCACTTTAAATCTTAAGGCTGTACCTTCCATATAAACATTACTTAAAGTATCTTCAAATTGTCCTTGAGCAAGTAAATCAAGATATTTTCTATATAATAATAAAGCAGTATAAGCATCTTCAATTGAATCATGATTACCAGTTTGAACTTTTTCTTTAAGTAGAATATATGCCAAAAATTTTAAACTTAATTGACGTTTATAACTACTCTTATAAAAGAATTCTGCTGTATCTCTAATTTGATTAGAAGGTACTTGAATATTAATTCCTCTAAAATCATTATATAATCCATGACCAACAAATACAATTCCCATATTTAATAATAACCATAATTTTCTATAAGTTGTTTGTAAAGTTGTTAAATTTTTTTGTGATTTAATTGGATCTAAATCTCCTGGTTCAATACCAGAAAAATTAGTTAGATAATCATGAATTTCATTGGTATGAACTATATAATCATCAATAAATGCTTTACCAAATTTTGGTCCATCTTCACCTCGAATTATTGATAATCTAGCTAATGATAATACTTTAGGTTTAATTAATTTTTTATCTCCAGTATATCTAATTTCAAATTCATCAGGTGCTAAATTAACAAATTCTGCATCAATTGCTACTATACTACCAAATTCAGGTGCTTCTTGTTCAGTTAATAATTCATACTCTTTTTTATATGATTCTCGAATAGTTCCAGCAAAATGATCTCGATATAATATAGAACTATTTAAACTTGGGATCTTGGCAAATGTTTCCAGATGGAAATATTCAAATTTATTAGAAGAAATATCCGATGAATTATAAAGTAATACCACGGGTTTTTTCCAATTTGATGATAAATTAAATACTTCTTCTTGAGGAATAGGCATTACTAAGAAATTATTAAATAAGTACCATTCTCCTCCAGTTTTTATAAATGATACTAAATTATGAAATCCCGTAGCAGAATCAGATTGATGACTTATTTCACATACAAATCCTACTAATTCATATTTTAAATAATTCTTAGGATTTTCTAATTGACTAACATTTTGTCTAAATGATAAGGGATTATTAGAACTATTATTATTATTAAATACATAGAATTCTGGTAATAACCATTGTTCAAAACTATTAATTAATTTAAATTCAGTCGATGATAAATTTACATTAATTGATAATAATGATGGTAATGATACAATTGATTTACGAATTTCTAAATTATGAGGAAATTGATGAGAATGAGATTGTTGACATGGAACTGATCTAAATTGATTAACTGAATATTCAAGATAAGTTACTATAGTAATATTTTTCTTAGTTGTATTAGGATTTATAATATTAGATTGATTATTCCATTTATTATTAATAACCACAGCATATTGATTTAATGCATTACTTGGAGGAGTAATTAAATCAAGATTAAACATTAATCCACCAGATTTTTCATTAATAAGACATGCTTTACTTGAACTTTTAATTTCAAGTTCATATGGAATACCCATAAGTGAAGATAAAGGTTTCAGTTGAGTTTGTATAAAGAAATCTTGATTTAATTGATTAATTAATACTTCATTAAACATAGTAATTAAATTTCTTAAATCTTTTGAATTAAGAGTTTGACATTCATTAACATTAATTAATCCCTTTGATTTAATTATTTCATTCATCAGTAAAATTTGGGTAAAATTAGATATATTAACATTTTTCCCCTTAGCCTTTTCCATCATATCAAATAAATATCCTAATTCATTTAATATAGATGAACCTTGAGGATTTTTATTATTAATTATAGTATTATAATCATTAGGTAACCATTCTTTTAATAAATTTCCAAGTACAAGATAATGAAATTCTGGTTGAAATCTATATAATTGTAATAAAGCATTAATATATGAATTATCAATATGATTCTCAAGTCCACAATATTCAGTTTTATTATAAAAACTAAAATCAAAATCTCGAACTCCAAATTTAGAATATTGAATTTGAAGTATTGAATAACAATTAGGTACTTTATTACCGGGTTGATTAGGTTTATATTGAAATATAGATGAATTATTATTGGTATCTTCATTATCTTTATCTTTATCTTTATCCTTATCTTTATCTTTATCTTTATCCTTTTCAATTGGATTATCAGAATCAATACTACTATTAGAAATGGTTTTCCTTAAACTCTTTGAACTATTCTTTTGTTCACTAATAAATTTAGGTAATATTTTACCATCATAAGTACTACCTCCTGATTTATTATCATTTAAAGATTGATAACGTTTATAAATATTTCGTGGTCCATATTTAACTTTATCATAAGGAATAAATCCCTTAGTCTTTTCACTTTCAATAAGTAATTCTGGATCAATTTGAGTTTGAATTCTTGCCAATTCTTTTGTAAATGATAATTCATAGGGGAATCCTGATAATAATTGATCTTTATAAAATGGCATACCTACAGTTGATAATGGAATATTTTCATCTATACTATAAGGTCCATACATGGGAGAAATTGTTGTATCTGGTTGATCTAATGGTGGAGGATATGAAACAAACGTTTTAGATGATGAAGAACTATTTAATGACCAAATATGTAAATGAGAATAACTATCCATAAATGCTAAATGTTCACCATTTGCACTAACTTCAAGATTTTGTAATGATGGAGATTTATATTGATGAGGATTTTGAATTTGATTAGAATTAGATAATAATAAATCGGCTTGATATATTGAAGTATGAGTATGATCAAATACATCAACAAATTGTAATTGACCAGTATATGATGCTATAACTATCATATTTGATAATTTAGGTAAGAATTTAACGGCTGAAGCTCCAGCAGGGAAAGGAATTGGAGCAAGAGATTTTTTAGTTCTAATATCAAATAAATTAACTAAAGGATCTAAAGTTAATTCAGGAGTATTTGAATTTTGTTGTTGTTGTTGATTATGATGATGACCATGATAATATCTTCTAGATCTTATTGAAGCTCCACAAGTAGTTATTAAATTATCATGAACATCAAAATCAAATAATACCCCATTATGAGCTTGAAATTCTTTAATTGAAACATTACCAATTGGATCAAATAATTCTACAGATCCATTACTTTTACCTAAAATTAAATATTTTGATAAATTATTTATCAGAATGATATTTCCATCATGATTAAAAGTTGATATATTTGAAGGTTTGTTAAGATCAACTTTTAATAAACTTGAATTAGTTCCAATAACAACTTCACTTGTCATACTTCCATTAAATGTAAAACATGATAAATTATTTAATAATTCATTATCAGATGAAGATATTGAAAATTTAGTTATACCTCTTCTATCATTAAAATTTATACAATTATTCAGTAATGAAAGTATTCCATCTTTATGAGATATATTACCTAATACTTTATTTTTACCTAAAGTTGTTTTAAAACTTGTATAAGGTGATAATTGAAGTGATTGAGAATATGGATTAATTGAACTTGATGGTACCGTAGTAAATGATCGAGTATATCCTTGACTAGTTCCAAACCATAATAAATTATATATACTATCAAACTTTAAACTAGTAATATTATTACTTGATGTATCATTACTCAAGGGTATTCGAACTACTTCACTCCACCCTTCCATATTATTAGTTTAAGTTCGAGTTCGAATTTATGAACAATTGTTGATTGTTTAAAGATTTAATAATTTCTCAAATACACAAGATCCATTAATACTAACAATCCGGATTCTTTTATCTATGAATTATTGTTTCTATATATGACCTAAGCTGGTAAACTGGGTTCATTATACCCTTTTGGTGTGCAGGTAAGGTTTATGTCATAACCGACATTGAACTTAAAAAAATTATGTCGTGCTTATATATATGTCGTCTATGTAAATGTCGTCTCACATCCAACAATATTGCCGTAAGTATAGTAAATTCAATCTTTACGTTTATTGGTGAAAGTGAACTAACTACAAAGTATATTGTATAGAAAGTACAAAATAGTAAAGGTCAATCGATATGTATAGGTAGTTTATAAATTAGTTATAGTCAGGCATAATTTTTCTCAAAAGTATATGCCAATTTTATTTGAATTGTTCTAAGGGCTTATGGTTGCGAATTAATATCTTTAGATAATATGCAGAGAAATATGAGTCTTCTTGGATAACCTGAGCGCATAGAAATCTTGGTGAATTTCAAATGAGTCTTCAAATACATATCAGAAAAGTCAAGAATTAATCTAATTGTTTCTACTTATTAATAGAAACTAGGATCTTCGATTACATGTATAATTAAGCAGCTTAACCATCACTGTATATGAAAGAATACACACATCGTTCTGGTCTTGCTTGTAGATTAATTTTGCAATCATAATCTTAGTACATTACATTCACCATTTCTATCATGTATCTTACAAACTTGGCCCCCCACATAACCTCCAACAATCAGATCATTAAGTAACTACTTTGATTTAAATTGTGCACTGCTACAATGCACAATATTAATGGTGGCTCCGGGTATTGGTATCATTCATTGTTCACAATTGCCGATAAAATCTATATTTAAATCATGTAATGCTCGGCCGGTCGCGAACGGGACTAACTGACCGCTAAGCTCGGTCATTCACAGCAACCAAACGAGTCACTCTTAATGCTGCTAAAGACGCGCTTAAACAGATCCTGCATGCAGTCCCCACTCACTCTCCAGATAAAGACTCGAAAACCTGATAAGGAAACTGCAACAAAGCCCCAGTCTTGCTGCATACAGGATTTGTTATGACTCTAATAGTTATCACCACATGTTAGAATTAAACCCATATAAAGATAGAGAAAGAAAACACTAAGTTCATTTCAGTTATTTGTTTATTATTTGTTATTCCTTTTGTCTTTTCTTTTCCTTTCCCTTCCTTTCCTTTTGGTTTTATTTATACCTTAAGTAACTTCAACCTAAGGGTGTTTACTTAAAATCAATTCAGATCTACTTTTACTTACCCACCTATTTACTACTCCAGATTCTCAATTTTCCTCAATTATTTATCGACTTCCGAGTACCCGATAATTGCCGCCAATGTTTAAACCAAGTTCCTATATTCCTCAATGGTTCAGAAGATCTTCTTCAACTTCCTCTTCATCTAATAACTCTATTAATGAAAAGGATTTATCCGAAGTTCCAAGAAGTTTCACCCTTCCCTCGGTTGAGAATAATAATAAATTGATTAATATCTCAATGAATGATAATAAGGAAGATGAATCATTTGTGGATATTCAATATAGACAATTAAGTTATGCTGAGGTGGCATTAATGGCAAAAGATAATTCTAATAATAATAACAAGAAGTCAATCGTTTCAGAATCTGTTACTACTCATATTAAATCTCCAAAGAAACGTACTAATGTCAATCAATTTAATGTATTACTGACTGATGATACTGATGATGTTGATGATCCTAATGATAAAACTTATGAACCTTTTAAATCCGATGTTAGTTATAAGAAAAGTAAACAATATAAGAATAAGCAACATGACTCCGTTCAAAAGAGAAAGCTTAAGAAATCTGCTCATAAATTAAGTTCTCATGCTTAAAATGATTATTGTTAATTCATAATTATAGAACTAGACTAAAAGTGAAATGCTTTACTATTTGCTTTCCGTTTGCTTTTTTTTTTTAAATATATTCCAAAACATTTTATCAATTAAATCTTAACTTTTGTATTCCTATTTTTACGATAACTACAACTTTTATGGTTATAGTGGTTACATGATTTTTTTTCTTTTTGACTTGCTTTTACAACTTTTCTATTTGCTTTTTCTTCACAGTTTAATTTTTATATTTATTATATTTAGATTTCAATTCATCTACAGTTTGCTTAAGTTATATATAAATTAATACGTTATAAATATATCGTCTAGTTCAATTACTTTTATAACACGCGCCAATATCCGTTATGCCGCGGTTGGTTTGCCGATAAGTGCGTTATCTATCACTATAGATTTTCCGAGGCATTGTATATTAAGCACAGATACAGTTGACACATTACTCCCTGGATATAGAGATATACTAATTCAAATGGATATATGATGTTGAGGTTATAATAAACTCAAAAGGTTTGTAGCGGCTGTTTGTAGAGTTTAATTAAATTGTAAATCTAGATTTTGTGATTTTTAGCTATCATGTAGTTATCTGCAATCTCATGAAAATCAATATGAAATCGATATGAAATCTTTCCTACAGTTCATTGCATAGCGGCTCCAATTTGTAACATGCATTTTATTTAAAATGTTCGAAAAACTTTACATTTTATACTTTGGGGTTATGCTACATAAAGGGGTTCTTTCTGAGAATTGTTAATTTTTCGCAGCAATCTGTCGAAATTCAAAAGTATATTGAACACTTTAATCTATACAGTATTTACAACTTACGATATATACTAAGCTAATTATCAAATAATGCTGCATATTTCTCTTGTTCATCATTCTTAATAGAAATAGGGCTTTCATATTTAAATCTAGTTGGAGCTCCAATTAATTCATCCCATAATTGGGAAGCATAAGTAACCGTAATTTTGAAAATAGTGGATGGGAAAGTTATATAACTATTCAAAATGAATTTGACAGCATCAGAAACATCGAAGATGGCGATTTTGAGTTCATCAATAAATGAACGTTTGGATGGATCCAACAACTTTTCAACTTCAACTGGAGAGAAGAAACCTAATTTCTTAGATGGAGGAGTCGACGTTACAGAAGTAGAAGATTCAGAAGCCGATGAAACTGATAAAGTTGACGATAAAGAACTAACTACTTTTTCGTCATCTTTAAATTGTGGAGCAGTTGCAAAGAATGGGAATCCTAAACCTTTAGCTTTATTACGAATAGTTTCATATTCACCAGGTTTGGCTATACCCTTTTCAACATCTTCTAAATGCTTCAAGTACATCGATTTAAAATTATTAATAGAAGCAATCGATTTAGATAATCTATCAAAGGTATTAATCAATGCCACAATTTCAATTCTTCTAAATTTTAAATTTTCAGCTGCTTCATCTTCAAATAAGATTTTTAATGCTGTTCCATAACCAATAGTTTGGATCTTACCCCACATTCTACATCTATCACAACCAACACAATCCATTATAGCACTAATATTTTTAAATCTAGCTCTAAATTCATTCTTTAATAAAGGATCCTCAGAAAATAAGGTCGAAGTATCAAATAAAGTGTTTTGAGATAAAGATGGAATAATTTCTTGTAATAATAAATCATCATAAACATCAACAGATTCTACATTACCAATTTGGTCAAAAATTTGCTTTTGAGCTGGAGATATATCATCATAACCACTTTGAATAAATTGTTTCAAGGGTAAAATTTGAGCCAATCTAACAATCGATTGGGATACAATAGCATAATTAAAATAAATATTAGATAATCTATCATTGAAAGATCCAACTCTTTCCATGAAAACTTTTAAATTTGGATAAAATTCACCAGTTTCAGCATCTAAATATTCATTTGATAAATGAACAGCAATTGATGCATGTAAACCACTAACAATTCTATAAAAGACATTTTTTTCAATACATTGTTCAGGTTCAGCATCAAGATTTTTCATTGACATTGGATTTGTATTTGGGAAACAATTCTCACTATAAATAGCTTTCCAAACATCAAAAGATTGATTACCTCCATAACCAGTAAATCTTTCAGGATTATTTAATAAATTAACATATACACATGCATGATCTTCATCAAAATGAGAATAATCTAAATCTTCACAAGTATCTATAGCTTCAGTTTCTATTGAATTATCAATAGCAGTTGAATCTGCACGATTAATTTTTCCTAATTGACTTGGTTTAAGGGAGTCATTATGAATATTTGACCAATTAAATTGATCAGGAGGTAAGATTTCAACAGCACAATTCTCAGTTGCACAGAAATGTTGAGCACTCCAAAATTTACATTGTTTATCTAAATCAACTTTAAAATATTTGAAATATGAAGTTTTAATAAGATCTGATAAAAATGGTCTTATGCTTTTATTTAATTCATCAATGTATGAAAAGGTAGTATTACATGAAGGAGTTATTATTTGAGAACAAAACTCAGGAGAATCAAAGGGATGGAATTTGAATGCTGATAAAGGTTGTTGAATTTCATTTGAAGTTACAATGTTGGCTATCAAAAGTAGAACTGTTATTATGAAATAACGCAGACTTGAAGTTGATACTTTCATGATAATATATTAAAGATTTTGGAAGTAATGACAAAATATGAAATATTAATCAAATAGTCCTAATGAAGTCGATCTAGAATTGTTTATATACAGAAAAAGGTAGTAATGAGATCAGATGATATGCTATGAAATTTTAACAACAAGATTATAAATGATATTCAGATATTCAGATATTTTACGTCTGTCTATGAAGAAATGGGAACAAACCACTTTATATATAAATATTATATTTTTATATAATATATATATAATAGTTTTTATTATGTAATTAAATGTAATTTAGGGGTGTTGCTATGGCCTTCTTCTAAAGTTGTTTCATGAATTTTTCACTTAAGCTTTGTCCCTATGGGTTTTGTGTCACCTTTTTAGTATAGAAGGTTATAGAAAACTGACGCTAGTTTGATAGGAACTGCTTTAGTTTATTATATTATCAATTACGTAGTGATTGTCAGTAACAACTCTAACTGGTTAAGTTATAAGATAGAATATTAGTAACTATGTGGTAACATATATATATATATATATAGCTGATATTAGAACAGCTCATTACAAAAATAGTTTACTGAAGTATCACCACATACAATTAATAAGCAATAACAAATCCCCGAACGACAAACGAGAGACAAATTACACTGTACATTTATTAAGGTACATTTTTATTATTGAGTTGCCATCCGGATTTAACGACCCTATCGCTCGTAAGAACTCAATGTATTTTGACCTTCTGGCGTGGTATTTTTGTAGGACCATAATGACACGTAACGACTTCCGGCATACAGACCACGGTTTGCCTAATTAGGAAGCCTCCGATATTTAGCACCCATTGTTCGGTTATTAATTAGTTATAGTAATAAAATTCAATTAATTAAACTATGAATACAAGGTAAGAAATGTAGTATATAATGTATAAAAATCAAAGTAAATACTTCTTCTATTTGCTTAGTCAAATTTAATCTTCTTAGCAGTTTTAGTCATATCGACATCTTTATAAAAGGCTCCATAGACTGAATGAGTCTTCTTTTTAGTATGTCCACCAAATTTTAATAATTCTTCAGGAACTGGTTGATTAGCTCCTCTTAAAATATTACATAAAGCACCACTTAAATGTTTTTCATGATCTGTAAATAATGTATGAGCAATACCAGTTTGTCCAGCTCTTCCAGTTCTACCAATTCTATGAACATAATCTTCAACTGTTAATGGGAATGTTAAGTTAATAACAACTTTAACATTAGGAATATCTAACCCTCTAGCAGCAACATCAGTAGCTAATAAAAGTGATGATTCACCAGTCTTAAATGCATTTAATGCTTGAGTTCTTTGTTGTTGTGATAAATCTCCATGAATAGCAGCAACTTTATAACTATTTCTGTTAAGTAAACTTTCAATTCTTCCAGCTTCTTTCTTATATAATGCAAAAATTAAGACTTTATCGTTTTTAGAAGCTCCACTTTGATATTTCTTTAATAATGATAATAATTTACGTTCTTTATCATATGGTTCTATAACTTCAACAATTTGTGTAATTCTCTTATTTGCTGATAATTCATCTCTATCTCCGATACTTACTTTTACAGGATCATTCATAAATGTATTAGCCAATTCTCTAACTTCTTTAGGCCAAGTAGCAGTAAACATCAATGTTTGTCTACCTTTAGTTTGAGTATTACCAATAATGGATTTAATATCTTCTTCAAAACCTTTTTCTAACATTCTATCGGCTTCATCCAATACTAAATAATCAACTTTTGATAAGTTGACTGCCCCATCATTAATTAAATCTAATAATCTACCTGGAGTTGCAACAACAACATTAGCAGTTCTTAATTTTTTAATTTGATCATCTTTAGAAACACCACCATAAATTGCTACACATTCAATTTTAGTCTTACTAGTTAAATCAACTAAATTATCATAAGTTTGTAATGCTAATTCACGAGTTGGTGATATACATAAAACATTTAATCCAGATTTACCTAATGTTAAGATATTATTAATGGCTGGAACACCAAATGCAAAAGTCTTTCCTGACCCAGTTTCAGCAACTCCAATGACATCTTTTCCACTTAAAAGATATGGCCAAGCAACTGATTGAATTGGAGTTGGCTTAGGAAATTTTGATACAATGGCGTGGATTTTTGAGTCTAATTCAATTTGATCAAATGATATTATAGGTCTGAGATTCAAATCATGAGGATCTTCAATGGTAACTTCATTAGTTGATAAGAATGAATCAACATCAGATTGTGATAAAGAAGTCAAGGATTCAGATTGTGTATAACCTTGAGAGGATTGAGCAGATCCAGTAATAGTAGTTGTGAAGTTTGGACCTTTGGCTTTCTTTTCTTTCTTTTCTTTCTTTTCTTTCTTGTCCTTCTTTTCTTTCTTGTCCTTCTTTTCTTTCTTGTCTTTCTTTTCCTTCTTATCCTTCTTATCCTTCTTTTCAGACTTGCTTAATCTGACTTTCTTTTCAGAATGTTCTTCAGCAGATTCTTCAGAGTGCTTTCTCTTTCTGTCTTTACTATCTTTACTCATTGTTAGTTGCTGCAAAGTGCTTTGATATACAAGAACTGAGCTTTAAACGATTGTAACGTGAATTAATTTTTTTTTTCACATCCATCATACTAGAGAAGTGAGCCGCACAATGAGCTTCGTTACCTATTTGGGAAAGATTTGATATACTACCCGATTTAATGGAGTCGATTCGGCTTGGACATGTTCCAATTTCTTATAGTCATCCAAACAGTCGAATTAATACAGCAAAGAAAGAGATAAACAAGCTTTTTTGCCGGAGAAGAATTAAGATATCCGATTCCAATAAGTTAAAGTAAGTTTTTTGGTCATAAAAACTTCTAAAACTGGGTTTCTGATCTTAAGCTAAGCATACCCAAATTGCTTACATTTAAGCTATTTAATAATCTAATAATTATACAACTATATAGCCATACAATCCTTTCATTAAATATGAATTTGAAATCATGAAAGTAATTGTACTATACTCAGACATAGACCCTTATTTTATGCTCAACAATAAAATTTAGTCCGGCTAAAAATCACTTTGAACACGTCGCAGACTTACCGCCATTTTTCAGCTGCGAAATGTCTTTCCACCAAATTTCATTTTAAACTTAAATTAGATTCGTTAATTAATATATAGTTTTAAATTGTAGTAATCCTCTTTTGAATAAAGTTATAGTAATTCAACTGATTTGTAATCAATGTCAAGTAGAAGAAGGGCTTATCCGCAGCCTCAATATGCTCTTGATGCATCAGCACCACCATCAGCGCTAACTTCCCCTTTACAAGGCAATCCATATCAATTTCAACAACAGCCACCTGTAACTGGGCTAGGAATTCCACAACAAGGAAGTTTTGATCACACAACTCAAGAATTTCAAAACATTCGTATTTCTCGTTCAAATAGTAATACTAATAGCCCTTATGTGGCATCATCTAATCAATTTGCACCATTTCAGCAACAGGATGGACCCAACAGTCCTCAAACAACACAGTTTTCATTTCAAAATCAACCATTTCAACAACAAAATACTGCTTCTAGTAATTTATATACCCAATCCAATGGTCTTTCAATACCTTTGAATCAATTATATACTACAGATTTATCTAGAGAATTACCACCTCCAATTTCTGATTTAGCTCTAACTCCACCTCCTATAGTTCTACCACCTAATATTGCCATAAATCCAAATTCAGAAAGTTCAAATGCTTCCCCAGATTACTTTAGATCAACATTAAATGTTATTCCGAACAGTTCATCTTTACTTAAAAAATCTAAATTACCTTTGGCTTTGATCCTTAAGCCATATCGGGCCTTAACCATTCAAGATGAAGATATTCCAGTCACATCGGATACATATATTAGTAGATGCCGTCGTTGTAAAGGGTATATAAACCCATTTGTAAGTTTTGTTGAAAATGGAAGAAGGTGGAGATGTAACTTTTGTAACTTGTTGAATGATATTCCTTCAAACTTTGAATATGATGAAATCAGTGGACAAGTTAAGAACAAATTTGATAGAGTTGAATTGAACCATGCTGTAGTTGAATTCCTTGCTCCTAAAGAATATATGGTAAGGACACCTCCTCCCATTGTTTATACCTTTATTATTGACGTGTCTGTTAGTGCAGTACAAAGTGGATTAACTGGAACTATTACTAGAACCATTTTAGAAAGTTTAGATAGAATCCCAAATACTAATAAAACTGCCAAAGTTGCATTTATTGGGGTTGATTCTAGTTTACATTATTTTAGATTCAATGAAGGATTAGATGGAGTTGAATCATTGATCGTTTCTGATATTGAAGAACCATTCCTACCTGCACCTGAGGGTCTTTTAATCAACTTGGATGAAAGTAGACCAGCCATTGAAAGGTTTTTGCTTGATTTTCCAACTTATTTTGAAGATACCTCAGTGCAAGGATTTGCCTTGGGTCCAGCTCTAAAGGCAGGCCACAAATTAATAAGTAATATTGGAGGTAAATTAATATGCTTTACAGCGTCATTACCATCTATCGGTGAAGGTAAATTGTCTGTCAGAGATGAAGCCAGTGTATCTGGAAAACCAAAGGAAGCCAAAATCTTGTTATCACTAGCTGAAAACTTTTACAAATCATTTGCCGTACAATGTAACTCATCTCAAGTTACTGTTGACTTATTTTTAACTTCTTCTGCCTATCAAGATGTTGCCACCTTGTCCAACTTACCTCGTTATACTGCTGGTCAAACACACTTCTATCCCGCATGGACTAGTGCTAAATATGAAGATGTTACTAAATTATCCAAAGAAGTAAGTGATCACTTATCACAAGATATTGCCATGGAAGCAGTTTTAAAAGTCAGAGGATCTATTGGATTTAGTATGAATTCATTTTATGGAAATTTCTTTAACAGATCTTCAGATTTATGTTCATTTCCTACATTTCCAAGAGATCAAAGTTATTGTATTGAAATCTCCATGGACGAAACTATTACGAAGCCGGTTGTTTTCTTTCAAGCTGCGATATTGCATTCTACATCTTTTGGTGAAAGAAGAGTTAGATTATTCAACTTGGCAATCCCTATTTCTAGTAAGTTGAACGATATTTATGCTTCAGCTGATCAATTGGCGATCACGAATTTTTACACTCATAAAGCTATTGAGAAAGCTTTAGCTTCATCCTTGCCTGATGCAAGAAACTATTTGAGCACGAAAGTTGTTGAGTTATTGAATGTATATAAAAAAGAGTTGGTAGCTGGCAATGTTTCTGGAGCTTCTCCATTACAATTGTCTACAAATTTAAGAATGTTACCATTATTATTATTCTCGTTGACTAAGCATTTGGGTTTCAGAGCTGAAAGAGTTCCATCTGACCACAGAGCCTCTGCTCTCAATGATCTTGGAACCATGCCAATTAACCAATTGGTGAAATCTATTTACCCAACTGTATATGCATTACATGATATGCCTGATCAATGTGGATTACCAGAAAGATTAATCGAATTTAATGAAGAAACTGGCGAAGAAGAAGAAGTTGTTTCTACAAATATTTTATTACCTGAACCAATTAATGCTACTAAATCTTCATGGGAAAATTATGGTTTGTATTTAGTAGACAATTCAAGCGAATTATTCTTATGGATTTCTGGTAACGTTGTTCCAGGATTAATCCAGGATTTATTTGGAACAGATAATTTATATGCTATTGCCACTGGTAAAACCGAATTACCAGAATTCACTATTGATGAATCCGAGTTCAATTATAGAGTTCGTCAAATAATAGGAAAGATCAGAGATCAAAATGACTCTATTACATGGAAGAATTTATATGTCGTTATTGGAGGATGTTCCAATGAACCAATTGAAATATCCCAACAACGTGATCTTATGGCTTTAAGAATGTGGACATTCAGTTGCTTGGTTGAAGATAAGAATGGTAATGAAGTATCATACAGAGATTTCTTAACTTCATTAAAATCCAGAGTTTCACAATAAACACAATAAGGTTGTTTTTGCTTAATTAGATTTTATATTTAACCAAATAAATACAGGGCTTCAAAGTTTTATATACGATGTACGTTGTAATTCATGTATTGATGTGTTCAACTATTTCACCGTATATAATCAATTCGTCATCAAACTTTACCTTTTTGTGGCATGTATATTCTAGAACTGCTGAAGTATATATAGACGGTATAGCACTTTTATTTTATGCTTAATTAACTACATAAGACAATATAAAGCACGTATAGACTTTTTTTCAAATTAATAATTCTTGCAGTGGTGTTAGAAGTTGGAGCGCATAAAGCTAGAAATTTTAAGCACTAAAATAAACTTTCACATTATGTTAATGTTCAATTATTGAACTTCACTATACCCAGACAATTTGTTTTTTAATTTTCTTTACAGCGTGACGATTTTTCCGTTTGATGTAAAGTTCAGGGTCTAAACAGGGGATCTTTGTGAAATTCACTTTGCCATTGTTCATATGTATATTGTCAAGTAATAATTTTGTATCGTGCATAAAATAAAATTCCAGTAAAGATGAATGATTGGTATAATCAGATAAGATGTAGAACCCTCTTGATTTCAAGTTGATCTTTCCTTCCAAAGTAGCAGAAGCATAGCCATATTGATATAGACGGGGTTTATAGTCGTGGGATGAATTCCTAGCAACAAATATATGATCTTGCAAGTACCCTTTAATCGAACGATATATCTGAATTTCTCGTAGATACATTGAAAGGATAGTATTTAGAATTTTGTAGAAGGATACTTTTCTTGGGGGTTTGAGGTGAGGTATCTCAAGGTTGTAAATTTTGAGATACATTTCTTTGTTCTTATTAGGACCATCACTTCTGTATATCACTCTTGCACTTTCCGTTAAATAAAAGTTATTTGTGAAGTTCAGGTATTCGGCCAAGAACTGGAAGCTTTCTTTCTTGAAAGGTTCTCCTTCGTACTCTATATATTTATTACCAAAGTAGCCTGCATCTATAGATATTGACAGGTCATCCGAGCTAACATAAGTTGTATTCTTTAATTTAAAGTTTCGGAATCTCGATTGAAGTAATCTTGCAACTACTGAAATTCTAAATTGCTTCTCTCTTTCCCTTTCTTGAGGAGTAAATTTTAATTGATGTAGTAAAGCCTTCAGTTGCTTAAACACAGACCTATCAACATTTTTGACGTAGTCCAACGTGAATGCAGATAGCAAAGTCATTAAGTTATATTTACTTGTCAGATGATCGAATAAGGCAACATTGAATTTTATGTTATATTCAAATCCACGAGAAAGGCATTGACTTCTTTCTGTACACATATAATTTTCTTGATCCAATTCAATGAATAGAACCGACCATTGATCTACTGCAATAGATATGCGACTGTTACAAAGAAGAGCCTGACCAACACATTCATTGATTAAGGAAATAAATTGTTGATTATTTTCAGAGTGGCGACTTCGGAAAGCTTTATGAATACCTGTCGTTTTAATATTGATTGGTATAGCAAATTTTTTCATTTCATGTTTTTCAAAAATAAATCTCATAGGAGTATTAGTAGTTTGCAAATAACTATTACTGCATTTTGAACGGAGGAATCGAGTAAGCGGTACACCACTGTCATATTCAAAAATATCCGACACTCCCTTTATGAAATCAGGGCAATGGACACATATATCTTCATATGGGGGGCAAGATGTTCCAATGTCTACAAGTAAGTTTTCTGATGTAATTGAAATTGCATTTATTTTTTTAATGATATCTTGTTCGTCTATTTCTTGAAGCAAGGGATTAATTTCAAAACGATCATTAAGAATATTTCGTCTACTGATGATATACGAGTGTGATCGTTTCGGAACTCGATGATAGTGGTGCGCAAATGAAATTACATTCCTAAAACTAAGTTCATTAGGAATAATAAAACTTGTTGGTAAGGAAAATGTGAAATTATAACGGAAAAGTTGTTTGACTTGATATTTAAAGTTCAAGTTCCTGGAGTTATCTTTAGTTAAACATGATAAATTCAGTGGTAATTTATCTGGCCATTTGGATATTAAATCATAAAGCAAGCGCTCTAGCCGATAAATATCCCCTATATACTGGTCAGAAGATACATATTCTTGATCAAGACGAAGAGGACCCCTTTCAGCCAGAATGACATGGAAATTGCTTAGAAGAAATCCAAGCTTTTTCCTATTGAAATATAGGTTTCCAGATTCAGAATAATTTGGAAATGTCTTAAGGAGATTGTTCCACTGTTGTTCCAACTTATGTTTTTCTTCTAAGTCGTTATAGTAATTGTAGTTGACATCGTACATAAGTTTTCTTGCAGCAAACTCACATGAGGCTATAACGCATTCTTGATAAACAAATTCTTCCATGATTTATTAGATAATAATTGATGAAGTATTTTAATAAACATGCAATAAACTTTCAATAAATTTATGATAAATATAGGAAGATTTACATATATTATGCCTAATCAAAAAGTGAACGTACCAGTTTCCATTTCAAGAGTATTATATAAGCCCTCTGATTTTTTCCGCATGGCTGCAAATTAACTTGTTCCTGTATTTGGTCTTTTGGAAGCGGATCTTAGTTGCCAGTATTGTACATTTTCTAGTTCAATGTGTAGTTGTTACAGTTTTGTTATGCTAAATTTGTTCTGCCAAGTTTCCGATAAGGCAGTTAAATTAACACTGTGTTGATGTTTTTCTCTGGTTTAATATTTTCTGAATTTTAAATATACTATAACAATCTCAATTTGAATATGTGAAATGATAGAGTATAAAATCGGTCTATCAGAGTTATGGAATAGTCTGTGGCGGTGTATTATGTCACTTATGCTATGTGATTCTATAAGCGAAAATGTTGATAGCATACATGGAAGATAATTTTCAATTTATGCAAATACTAGAAAACATTAAGTGGAATCCGATGAAAATGTTTTCTGTGGTTGTTTCAGTTCAAGTTCAAGAAATTTCTTAATATTTGTTTCTTTCAATGGATAGTATTTCACTTCTTCCTAAATTCTGAGTTGAATGACAAACTCTATAATGCTTTAAAAAGTAATTCTTGACCTCGGAATTAAAGTCAATGTAAGGGGTTTACTACTAAAATGCTTGGAATACAGATTCGCAGTTTATATGGTGATGTACATATATTCCTCATTTCATTTAATTATGATTATTGAATTTATATGCGCTTACAAAAATGCATGTTTATAACCGTTATTTACAAATATACAAAATTTTTCTTTACCTACCACTACTAATTATTTCTATAGCATCCAATAACAAATCCCTTTCGTATTCTGACTTGAATGTTTCCAATACTGTATTCTTAAGGCCATCATAGTAAACTTTTAAGTTCTTAGCTGTAGGCCCCCCACGAGCCATAGTAGCTACGATATTCTTTTTAAATCGAAGACACAATTTGGACCAAAATAGCTGAAATAAAGAATCTACATTAAATTCAGTTTGTAACAAATCTTCAAAGCTTCTACTATCAATACCATTAGGATTTTTAGATACTTCCCAAGCACTTAATATATGGGACAATCTTTGGAAGTATTCCTCTGAAGATTCTTTGATTTCAGAGATAATAGCAGTAAAATTTCTTGGAGATTGTAAAGATCGAGACAAATTCGTTAATGAATGTTGAACTTGTTTATTAATGACAGATCTGTCAAAGGTTTGGAAGAATGAATCTTGATCTAATAAGTAATATGCAATTAAATGATTTTCTAAATTGGTATTCTTTTCGGTAAATGTTGAATGATGATTGAATTCATTAGATATGATTTGTATAGCTTGCTCTATTAACGCATTCTTCTTCGATATTTGAATAGGATAATAATCTCTAATCAATTTAATTGCGAGAATATTAGAATCTTTAGTATTGTTGTTATTCTCAGATTCATATAATTGAGATAATTGTACATGTAATCGAGCTAATCTGGTAAGGTCCTTTATATTTTCAGAATCAAAAGATTTCTCTAACAGTTCTATTTGTTGGATTAAAAATATAAAAAAACTAGCTCCTCTAAGTAAATCCAAAGTAGTATGTATCCGTTTAAGGGCATTATTAAGTCTTAATGATTCATCATATGGTTGAATTACTTCAGCTTTTATCCTTTCAAAAGAATGATTAACTCTTGATATAGAAGGATTAATTTTATCATTTAAGATAGTTCTTGTATCTTCAATTCGAGAAAAATTGGATACTAATGCTTCATAGTTATTGCCAGCAATTGTCCGAATACGTTTATCACATTCTTCAATATCAAACTTAAGTTTTTTTATTGGCGTTTGTAAATCAAGTTCATTTGATTCATTACCATTGGTCGCCACTACTAAATCATTAGCAAATTCTAATGCTGAGAATCGAGGTTCTAAGAATGCTTCAAAGTCCTCTAATTCAACCTTTAATTCACTCGTCATGATTATGGATTATGAAATGATTGGCTATTAATAATATTAGTTATCTGTTCAATGGGTCAATTTTTCAGCCTTCGCACACCCTTTTCCAAAAATGATAAACAACCAAATACCTTTTATTACTTACAATACATACAGTTCTATACACAGGTCTATCAATAATTCATTATTCTGTTTTATACTTTGGCTTAACATTATCTGATTTCTTATTCTTCTTTCCTCCTCTCTTATGGAACATTTTTTTCTTTATTTTAGCGATTCTTTGCTTTTCAAGTTTCTTAGACTCTTTCAATCGTTCAAGTCGTCTCTCACGGCATATTATCTTATTAATTCTCTTCTTTTTACCTTCTCTTCTGGTTTTAGATAGTATTCTACGTTGTTTTTCTTGTTCAATCTTTAAATTATGTTGAGTTATATCAGTAACTTTCCACGGAGTAGGATCACTCATAGGTCCATATGAGTTAATTTGCAGATAAATATCATCATAATCCAAAGCAGTCTCTATAAATCGTTGCTTGTCCTGATCAGAATAATGGGCCAAATAATAAGATATTGGCCTTTCATTTTTTATTACTTCGACAAAATCTTCTCTTAAGCTAACTTTCATTATTTGATTTTTCGGCCTCCTTGTTTCTTCTGATACTTGTTGTTGTTCTTGGTTATCTTCCTTAATATTATTTGACTCTACTTGATTGCTTTTGGCGGTAGTAGCATCAAATGAAAATAATGGGAACTCCATTTCATCATTATCTGGTTTATCTTCATGATTAGTATCTAGATTATCACTTGATCCATGAGATTCCGTGGCATTTATACCTGTATCTAGTCCACTATTATTTTCAACTTCAATAAACTCAAATTCCATCTTGTAAGGCATCAGATACTGATTACCTTCATTTTCAGATTCTGACCCTGGCTCATCTGAATCGTATAGATTCGAACGAGATACTCTAAAAACATATTAGTTAGTTATAAACTTTTAAATAAATCCCTATACCATAAGCTCACTATTATATTACTTACATCTTTCCTTTATTCATTATACTTTTGATATTACTACCATATACGATGTATACAATATATACTATATATAAATGATATATTATATAATCTATCTTACTTCAGTAGTAGTAACAAATGTATGGTATATGTGCACTAACTAAATTTTTTTTCGGCTCAATATACAGGCCACGACGAACTGGAAAATTGAACGGAAGATGTCGAGTTCGCTGGGCTGTTATAACGAGTGTTAAGTATTGTGCTACTATTGTCAATTGAAGGATTAATATAAGCATAGCCATGTCAAGTAGAAGAAGAGCATACCCACAGCCTCAATATGCTGTTGAAGCATCGGCTCCTGCAGCGGTTCCACCTGCTGTTGGTGGAAACCAGTATCAACAACCAGGTAGTGGATTAGGTGTTCCTCCCCCAAATTCATTAGATCCAACAACTCTGCAATTTCAAAATTTAAATATTTCTGGAACTAATACTGCTGTCAATTCTCCTTATTCAAATCAAGGTGGACAATTTGGTCAATATCAACAACCTACTAGTCCACAAGCTAGTCAATTTGGTCATAGTCAATATCAACAACCTCAACAACCTCAACAAGCTCCTGGTGTTGGTGTTGGCGGTGGTAATGGTTATTATAATCAATCTAATAATTTAGGTACTTCATTACCTTTAAATCAATTATATACTACCGATTTATCTAGAGAATTACCTCCACCTATTACAGACTTATCTTTACCTCCTCCACCAATTGTTTTACCACCTAATACAACTTTAATTCCAAATTCAGAAACTTCAAATGCTTCTCCCGATTATTTTAGATCAACATTAAATGTTATTCCAAATAGTTCTTCATTATTAAAAAAATCTAAATTACCTTTAGCCTTAGTTGTGAAACCTTATAATGCTTTAACTGTTGAAGCAGAAAATGTTGCAGTTACATCTGATACTACTATTAGTAGATGTCGTCGTTGTAGAGGGTATATTAATCCATTTATAACTTTGGCAGAAAATGGTAGACGTTGGAGATGTAACTTTTGTAACTTATTAAATGATATTCCATCAGCTTTTGAATATGATGAAATTAGTGGACAAGTTAAGAATAAATTTGATAGAGTTGAATTAAATAATGCTGTAGTTGAATTCATTGCTCCAAAAGAATATATGGCTAGAACTCCTCAACCAATTGTTTATACTTTTATTATTGATGTTTCTGTTAATGCTGATCAAAGTGGTTTGATTGGAACTATTACTAGAACCATTTTAGAAAGTTTAGATAGAATCCCAAATACTAATAAAACTGCCAAAGTTGCATTTATTGGGGTTGATTCTAGTTTACATTATTTTAGATTCAATGAAGGATTTGAAGGAGTTGAATCATTGATTGTTTCTGATATTGAAGAACCATTCTTACCATCACCAGATGGATTATTGGTTAATTTAGATGAAAACAGAGTCGCTATTGAAAAGTTCTTACTTGATTTCCCAACTTATTTTGAAGGTACAGGTAACCAAGGATTTGCTTTAGGACCAGCTTTGAAAGCTGCCCATAAGTTAATCAGTAATATCGGTGGTAAATTGGTTTGTTTCTCTTCCACTTTACCAAGTGTTGGTGAAGGAAAATTAAGTATTAGAGATGAATCAGGTGTAGCTGGAAAACCAAAAGAAGCAAAAGCTTTATTATCTTCTGCTGATAGTTTCTATAAATCATTTGCCGTACAATGTAACTCATCTCAAGTTACTGTTGACTTATTTTTAACTTCTTCTGCCTATCAAGATGTTGCCACCTTGTCCAACTTACCTCGTTATACTGCTGGTCAAACACACTTCTATCCCGCATGGACCAGTGCTAAATATGAAGATGTTACTAAATTATCTAAAGAAGTAAGTGATCACTTATCACAAGATATTGCCATGGAAGCAGTTTTAAGAGTCAGAGGATCTACTGGCTTTAGAATGAGTTCATTTTATGGAAATTTCTTTAACAGATCTTCAGATTTATGTTCATTTCCTACATTTCCAAGAGATCAAAGTTATTGTATTGAAATATCTATTGAAGAAAATGTTACTAAACCAGTAGTTTATTTCCAAGCGGCAGTATTACATTCTACATCATTTGGTGAAAGAAGAATTCGAGTTTTGAATTTAGCCCTTCCAACTTCTAGTAAATTAGTTGATATTTATGCTTCAGCTGATCAATTAGCTATCACTAACTTTTATACTCATAAAGCTATTGAAAGAGCATTATCAACATCTTTACCTGAAGCTCGAGAATTCTTAACTAGTAAAGTTGTTGAAATTTTAAGTCTTTATAAAAAGGAATTAGTTGCAGGAAATGTTTCTGGTGCTTCACCATTACAATTATCAACTAATTTAAGAATGTTACCATTATTATTGTTTTCATTAACAAAACATTTGGGTTTCAGAGCTGAAAGAGTTCCATCTGATCATAGAGCAGCTGCTCTTAACAATCTTGGATCAATTCCAATTAAACAATTGGTAAAATCCATCTACCCAACTGTTTATGCTTTACACAATATGCCAGATGAATGTGGATTGCCAGAAAGATTAATTCAAGTCAATGAAGAAACTGGTGAAGAAGAGGAGGTTGTTTCTACAAATATTTTATTACCAGAACCAGTAAATGATTCTAAATCGACTTGGGAAAATTATGGTTTATATTTGATTGATGATTCTAGTGAATTATTCTTATGGGTATCTGGTAATGTTGTTCCAGGATTAGTTCAAGATTTATTTGGAACAGATAATTTATATGCCATTCCAACGGGTAAAACTGAATTACCAGAATTCAGTATTGAAGAATCTGAATTCAATTATAGAGTTCGTCAAATAATAGGAAAGATAAGAGATCAAAATGATTCTATTGTATGGAAGAATTTATATGTTGTAGTTGGAGGATCATCCAATGAACCAATTGAGGTATCGCAACAACGTGATCTTATGGCATTAAGAATGTGGGCATATAGTTGTTTGGTTGAAGATAAATCTGGAAGTGAACCATCGTACAGAGATTTCTTAACCTCATTAAAATCAAAAGTTGCGCAATAAACATTATAATTAATTAGGTATAATTCTTGTTATATTCTTTCGTACAATGTATATATGTTATTCTAATACATGTGTTTGTTATATTTACCAGAGATTAACTATGTAGCAGACACTAACTATTTAGAAATTGTAAGAGCTTATATTCTTGGTCCTTTTCTATTTCTTGAGACTTATGATGTATGCATCAAAACGTAATTTGATTAATTCAGTAATTAACTACTTCGTTATTTTAATTTCTAGTTCCTCATTATATATTTGACCATTTAATCTTCGTGTATATTCAGTCTGGAGAATTTCCAAAATCAATTAAATAATATCGATCGATTATAAATGATATTAAATACTGAAATATCCATTCAAAGGACCCATTTTACGAACGGCACTAATAGTCACCAATCCATTCTTCATAAAACCGTGACGGATCTGGGCATAGTGTTCGATATAATGTATGAGGGGGTAATAACCGCCCAGTTCTATACGTGGTTGCAAAATATGTCGTGCTCGCTGGTTAGATTTTGTGTGTCAGCGCATCTTTTTGTACAAACTAATTTGATGTTTATTTAATATATACATATATGTTATATATCATACATATTTCATGATTCATTACCAGAAGATCCCTTTGCAGTTTTGTATATTCTTTTTAATATCCTGTCGTTGCAATCTGGGAGGGATAAAGGTTTTGATATCTTCATGTAAATGATGAACTTCCGGTTGATAAATATGTTCTTTGTTCTCATTAAAGGGGGTGATCAGATCAAGAATTATGACGGTTGATCTTGTATTGAGATTCTTAAAGAGATACTCATTAGTAACTGGATAATGTTCTTGAACAAATTCAATGGCATCTTCTAACTTAATGAATGTAATTAATAAGTTTTTAAATAATTCATAGCTTGATTCTCGTTGAATACGATGATCTTTAATTGATACTGATGGATCTATTCCTATAAGTTGATAGAAAAAATTCCACAATTTACCCTTTTGAGTAATAGTACATACTGGAGTATCCTTAAATGATTGTATAATATTATTCCAAGGAGCTCCAGTAACAAGAGTTAATTGTAGTGATGTAATATAATTAATACCATCAATATTGAATATATAAAGTGGACAATATCTTTCAATATCTGTAATAGATAATTGAACATTAATTTTAGCATATCTCAATCCAATTGGGAAACTATCCAATATCAATTGTTTCTTTAATTTCAATTTCTCTTCATGTAATTCTTTAGATTTAGTTTCAGCCTCTTTAGCAAGTTTAATTCTTTCTTGTTCCTTTTGGGCTGCCAATTTAGATTCTTCTTCTATACGCTTAATTTCTTCTTCTTTTCTTCTTCTTTCCTTTTCCTTTTCTGATTTTAAGAACATATCTCGTCTAGCTCGTTTCTTAGCCTCGACTTTTTGTTGCCATATTTTAGCTTCAAGTTCATTCTTTGCTTTCAATTCTTCTTGAGCTTTTGTAAGAGGAGCAGGACTAGGTGAAGGAGAAACTGTAGTACTTCTGGCTTGTTTAACTCTGGATGGCGGTGGAGACATAGATTGATCACGTTTAATGGGTTCTGGATGAACTACAGTATCTTCGACATTTTCCTTTTTGAAAACATTACTTGGTTGATGTTTAATTTTAACTTCAGATTTAATTTTCTTTAATGGTTTCATAATCATTTCATCATTCTTTCTCTTTCTTTCATCATTAGATTTTGATTTAATTAATTTAGTTGATTCCCTATCGGATAAAGTAGGAGCATCATCTTCAGCTTCTGAAACTGCAGCTGATGGTACAACGGATGTAGCAGTTGAAACATCACCACTTCTTGATGATATACGTTTATTCATATATTCTTTAATGATATTAATTTCTTTAGGATCATAATGGACAGAAGATTCTGAAATTCCTAAAGCATTTAAATTATCTTGTTTTCTTTTCTTAAACGGATCAGCATCTTTAGATAATAAAGATTCTACTATTTCATAATGACCTCTTCCAACAGATGCTAATAATGCACTAACTCCTACATCATTTTCAGTATCGATATCATAAGGAGTTGGATTTAATCCAAGAATAATATCAACTAATTCAGCATGACCATTTCTAGCTGCTAAAATTAAAATATCTGGTTTAGAATTAAGACTATTACCAGAAACAAAATAATTAGCAGTAACTTCTTTTGAACCTTCAGCAGCATATTTAAAAATACCTTTACGTTTTATAAGATCAGCAAAATATGTATCATTAGGATCTTCAATTATAGTTCTTGGAGCTGGAGATATGGCTCTTGTAGTTTGAGTTTTATGAGATTGAGTAAATTTAGCATTAGCTTCTTCTAAAATTTTAATAATATCCAGATATCCTTCTTCACCAGCATGTTCATTATAAATTTTAGTTAAAGCAGTAAATCCATCAATATTATATATGGTTGGATCAGCTCCATTATCTAATAAAACTTTAACTGTTTCATAATGTTTATTTTCAGATGCATCAATTAATGGTGTTTCAGAATCTCCGGCAGCATCAGCTTGAGCATTGACATTAGCTCCATGTTCAATTAAAAAATTAACTATTTCAGTATGACCTTCTAAAGCTGCTTCATGTAAACATGTAAATCCACAAAAATCCTTTTCATTAGCACTAGCTCCACGAGCTATATAATCTTTAACTTCTTGTAAATTTCCTTTCTTACAAGCTCGTTGTAGAAATGATCTACCTCCAGCATCTCGTTTAATTTTATATGGTTTAGATCTCAGTTTAGAATCATTAGACAGTATATCATTGTTCGTTTGATTTTTATATTCATTATCTTCTTCATCTTCTTCATCTTCACTTTCATCAGATAAGTAAAGTGCTCTTCTTTTCATATTATGACGTTCTTCATCATACTCACTCTTTCTTACAAGTTTACGTCCCTTAATTCCCCTTTGAGGACTGTTGGCTGGGACAGTTTCTGCTTCAGATAATTCTTCTTCTTCTTCTTCTTTAACTTCAGCCAATACATTAGAAGTATTTGTACTTTCAATCTCCTTGATGGTTGCAAGATTATTGAAATTAAAATCATCCGATGAAATATCTCGAAGAGGAGATAAAGTAGAAATATCTCCTGAACTGGATGTGGCTGCAGTATTTCTATCTGGTAAAGATGATGAAGGTCCGGATTCTTCCGTTGACTCTTCCTTGTCTTCATTTGGTTCTTCATCTTTTGCATCTTGTGTTGTTATATCAGGGGCTGCAATATCTTCATGTTCTTCATCTTGGACGTCTGGTTTATTATCATTGTTAGTTTCGTCAGTGTTTTCTTTGTCATGGACCTTTTCATCATCTTGTTTCAACTCTTCCGATGGGTCGGTTGGTTTATCATCATCCTGATTTTGCTCGTGTTCGTGTTCATGTTCATGTTCATGTTCGTGTTCATGTTCATGATCCTCATGTTCATCTTCATGATCTTTCTCCTTCTGTGATTTGTAATCTGCAAACGATGTTTTGATTATGTCTGTCTTACTTTCTTGTGATTCGATACGTTCGGCTTCTCTTTCTGTTTCCTTATCATTTGGATGTGGTTTTACCTGTACTTGTTCATTGGTCTTATCTTCACTATTTCCAACTGAAATAGGTTTCGCTTCTGGTGCAGAAAGTTTACGTCTACTAGAGGAAGTATCTATTATCGATGATGGTCTTGATGATCGAGCTGAAGATGAGGTAGATGAGGATCTCAGTTTTGTGTCTCTTTCTCTATCTCTTTCTCTATGTCTATCTCTGTCACTATCTCTATCTCGATCATAACGATCATTCAATGTAGTGGTAGATATATTTGTTGTGGAAGATGATTTACGTCTATCATCTCTAAATGATGATGATATTGTTGGATTGGTTGATCGAGATCTTTCAGGATGATGGTTATGACCATAATTAGGGTGATGGATATGATTGGAATGATAATGACTAGAGTTTGATGATTTGTTTCGTTCTTTATCCTTATGAACCGAAGTTTCTGAATAAGACCGATGAAGATTATGAGCTCTATCTTCACTTGAAGATACTGAAGATGAATATAATTTACCTGAAGAATTAGATGGAGTACTATAAGAATCATATCTATCAACTCCTGGTCTTCTCTTCGGTACTCCAGGACCATAATAAGAACTTGGTCCACTTGATGAACTCTTTAATGATGAAGTATATTGTCCATTACTATTAATCCCTGTAGATACTTCATTACCATTATTATTATTATTATTACTGCCATTACTTCCCGATGATTTAGGAAGATATTTACTATACTTGCCTCCACTTTGAAGACTTCCATCATACCTATTAGTTGATGAACTAGCAGCTGTTCCGGCATAATGGTCTCTTTCTCTTTCTCGTTCTCGGTCTCTATCTCGTCTTGATGATGAGGTCGCAGTGGATTGTAAAGATCCATTGGTTTCTGATTTCACTTGTCGATTGTTACTACCACCATTATTATTATTACTATTACCACCACTATTATTACTATTACTACTTCCACTTACACTATTATTATTATTTCCGTATCGTGGACTATAGTAACTTCCCCCTCGGTTATATGACATATTGAGTAGTTTGTGTGATACACGACGTACTCTGACTCAGGGTAGTCTACTGAAGTTTGAGTTAACTATTACTGGCACTGGGTTCGGGTTCTGCCTCGGCCTATGCTCCGTATATGGTGTAGCATGTCAAATATTCAATATAAATTATTTTTATTTAATTTTTTTTTTTGCTGGTTAAGGCAGAGAAATGTCGGGGGAGTTAGCAGTGCGACATTACAACGACATACTACTAGGGAGTTTAGCGACATTACGATATTCATTAATTATACATAGTTAACATAACTACTTATTCAGATTGTTTTCTCAAGTTATCACCAAATTCCATCAATTCAAAGATTAACGACATATTGGGACATATTTTCAGACATGCTTCAATATGATTTCCTTTATCAGCAATTAAGCGATTGACCGGTTCATCGGAATTGGTTCCTGTTCTTAATAATTCATAAGCATCATTAACTCCAATCTTGAATTTAAGCATAAAGTAAGCCACAATGACTGATGCTGATCGAGATACTCCACATTGACAATGAACTAAAATCTTTAACCCTTTATTGTCAAACGTTTCCATTTTGGAAGTTATATAGTCTAATGATTGAGAAATTGATGAAGTATGGGACCATGGGAAGAAGAGATATTCTCGAGTATCGACTATTTGATCACCAAATTCTTTGGACAAATTTTCACATTCTTTAGCCACATTAATGACCAAATCATAATTATTAATATCAACACTAGGGGTTGTAATATTATCATTACTTCCATTACTAGTTTCACTATTGGTACTACTTAAACTTTCTGAATGTTGATGAGATTGAAGTTTACGATAATTTGGATCAGAATAAAGATAAATTTGACTATTAAGAACATTTCTAGGTCCATCAGGATATGCATTTAAACGATTTGATTCTTGAAGTTCTTCAGGAATTTGTATAATATTGGTTGTAGAATTGCTATCCATGGAATTAGAATTTAATTTATGAAATCCACTAGGATTAATTAATTGATATTGATTAATTGTTTCAAGTTCTTCTCCATATAAATCCTCTAATGTTACATGATTGACTTGAATATCTCCATCACTTCCATTTAAAATAAGGGGACTTTTCAATTTCAGACGATCAAAACTTTGAAATGATTGAGGAGGGGGTATTAAATTAACCTTTTCATTATCTTTTTGAAATGTTTGTGAAGTCGGTATAAATTCTGTTCTTTCACTATCTCCTTGATAACTATCTAATAAATCATTTATATTCAGATAATAATCTTTTGATGGAAATGTAAATGGCATACCTGCTACTTTATGAGAAATTTCAAGATCTTGGACAGAATGAAATTGTTGACGGGGTATAATGGGAGGAATAGAAGGAGTTTTAGTTACTGAAGGGGTAATAAGAGGTGGTTGATTAGGATTATTTGTAGAATCTATAGGTAATGAAAGTGATACTTTTCTTGATGAAGGAGATGCTTTATGAATAATATGAGGAGAACTAACATTTGAAGGAGAAGTAGAATCAAGTGAAGAAGAATTTGAATGATACCCACTTTTTAAATATTGAGATTTATTTTGAAAAGATGCAGAATGAGAATGTCCATTACCTAAATTTAATGATAAATTCTTCATATTTCTATTAAGGGATGAGGTACTTATTTTCCGAGAATGTTTAGGAGAATAATTCATTATACCTACACGAGGAGAAGATGCTAATGATGAAGAATTTGATGATATAGTTGAAGTTTCTGGATAATTAAAGAAATCATGGGTATTATGACGGTTTGGATTGGGAGGAGTTGATAATGAAGATATATTTGATGGAGGAGTTGATAATATTATTCCATTCGAGATATTATTTGAAGGCGGAGAAGATGCAGTTGAACTTGATGATGTAGATGGTTTATTATTAGTATTATTTGTATTATTTGTATTATTATTATTGTTAGAATATATGCCATGTTCCAAATGGAATTTAGGAGCCGGAGGCCTTATTAGATGTTCAAAAGACATTTCGTTAGTTCTAATAGTGTTGGGATTAATATTGGTAGTAATGACAGTAGTATTAGTATGAGACATGGAAGCTGTAGTTGATTTGGTTTTTAATTTTGGTTTTGAATTAGAATGTATATGAGATACAAATTTTAAGGAATTTTGGGAGACACTAGTTGTGGGATTTAAATTGTTATTATCACTCTGATTTATACAGGTATTATTCTTAGATGTTGAGTCCTTAGGTTCTTTATTAATTGACGCAACAAATGGATTATTATTCATAGTATTTCTAATAATTCATCCAACACAACATATAGGTGGGAGAAATATTATGAAATAAAAAGTGTTGTACTGAATAGTTCAGAGGAGTTTTTTAGGATATCAAGAAGAAATCTCGAAGATGTGGGAATCACTCTCGAGTTTCTTTATTTAAGTTAAGTCATCTAAGTTAATTAAGGTAATTTGTTAGTGTGCTTGAGGTTTGATTTATATATTTACATGGTTTAACTGGGCACCTGCATACAGCCTCACACAATTTAAATATTTTTTAAGAATTTGAATTAATATTTTTTCAAATTTTTACTTAATTAATTTTTTATTTAATATAAAAAGAAAATTAATTTGTCACAGAAAAATGTTTCATAGTTAGATGTATGAGATATCATCACATTACTTATAATCTTACCTCATAACCATATTTTTTTATGTTTTGGAATGTTTGCGGTATGATAATGCTGCTGATATTGATTGACTATGTTACCAGATCTTAACCCAAGAATTCTAATAAACTTATATTTAACTCATCTATAGTTCGCTTCAAAACCCACACGCTGAGCCGTTGAAGTTTATCTTTTACAAAATAATTAATTAAACCTTGGAAAAGGGGAGGAAAAAATATAGAACGAGAAAAAGAAAAAGAAAAAACATAGTGACCCCTTAAAGATACTTAGAAATACATTATTTTTTGTTTCAGAGTATGACACAAAATTAGAAAATTCTTTTTTTTATATTGGCTGTTATATTTCTACACCGCACCATCTTTCCCTTCAACTTATCACTGTGGGACATCTACACATGGAGATTCGTATGTGGGCGCGTGAGTGTTTCTGACATTTGTACTGTGTAATTACTTCTGTGTACTGACTTCAATGTTGTGTAGTACAGTGTACTGTGTACCATACTTAGTGTAAGTTCTGTTAGTGTAAGTTCTGTTAGTGTAAGTTCTGTTAGTGTAAGTTCTGTATTATGTGCGACTATTACTGAGTACTTCAGTATCTTCGCTATCTTACTTATCTATTATTTACCGTTATCCTGACTTGATTGCAACGGCCATCTGATGCTGTGAAATTGCTTGGGCCCAGATCGATCTAGATCAACCGTAACTATATGCTGACCAGTAAAGTAAGGTCTGTACTGCGAACGGATCTGCTTTCTCAGTAAAAATTCCGCCCAAAGTTTCCCCCTTACGCAAATCCTCAGCCTTTCTCTCGGCATCAATGTGCTACTACGGACCTTAACCTACATATTGTAAACATTAAATTCTCGTACCCGGTATAATTCGGTTACTGCTTAGTCCCCTTACATTTACCGCTAACTTGTTCTATACACTATTGCATGATTTAATAGTACCCTACCCATTAATATCCACTAGTTTCAGTTAAGTTAACATAGTTTCACTTAAATGCATGCTTGCTGTCTACCACCAAGTTACCAAATTTAGCTGCTACAGAAGTGTCGTTTTAGGGAAGAATTTTTCACTGTTGCTCGGGATGCTCGCTGCCACTTCTATTTTTCGCAACCCCATCATTCACGTAAGAAACAATAATGCTAATCACTATTTGGTACTAGCAAGCTGCAGCATTGTGGATAGCTCGGGCAAAGCATTCGAATGTATGATCATCTTGTAGTGATGATGCATAAACCTCTTACATACTTGTACCTTACAAGGTGTGTCAGCAATAGTAATAGCAACAAGAATAATAGTAATGGTAATAATAAAAGTAACAATAATAACTGTTACTGTAACTGTAACTGTAATTGTATAATAATAGTAACAATACTGAAGATCTAAAAATAAACTTCTACTATTCTAATTATTAAATAATTATGCATTTCATATACGTACATAAATAAATATATTAAGTTAATTAATTACATCAAAATTAATCGTGATACATACTGTACATTGTCCTATATACATTCACGTTTAATTATTTAATTCTTCAACTCTTTAATTTTATTCATCATCATTTGGACCAAATTCTCCTTCAAAAATTGTAGCCCCGGCTTTTCTCCGATTTTCAATCATTATACATTCTTCCATTTCAAGAATATTTGTAGCTGTAGGTCTATCAAATGGATTAGGTTTTAACATCTTATTAACTAATTTATCTAAATTCATTGAATCTCCATTTACAAGAAATTCAGGAGCTCCCTTAGGAATTAAATCATTAATATTTGGAAGATATCTTGTATTTGAATTACTTCCATTTGAACCAGGAATTGTTGTACTTGGAACTTTTAAAAATGCACTACTCTTCTTTTTATTATTACCAAATATTAAATTATTATTTGAACTACCAAGATTCATTGATTGATTAGTACTTGAAGATTTATAAGATGTTGAAGTAGTACTTGAATGATTTTGATGTTGTAAAAATATACTTAAATTATCACTCAGTAATCTACCTGCATCACTTAAATCTCCACTCCTTAATTTTCTCCAAGGGGTCCCATTATCAGGTAAAATAATATTAGCAGCAATTTCTAATATTATTAATCCCACACTAAAAATATCGGCAAATGGAGTATAAATTTTATCATTAATTAATTCTGGAGCAATATAATTCCGATCACCTTCTAAATCAAAATCTTTTTCTAAAATTGGTAATTTTGTAGCTAATCCAAAATCGCCAATCTTTAAACTACCTTCAAAAGTTATAAATATATTAGCAGGTTTTAAATCTAAATGTAAATAATTTTTCAGATGGATAAACTTTAATCCGCTAAGAATTTCAATAAGAATCTTCCAAATTCGGAATTCATCTAATTTATAAGTTTTATTCTCTTCTAAAAATTCACATAATGTACCATTATCACAATATTCTGTCATCATATACCAATAATTACTAAAATCCCACGCTTCAATAAAATATATAAGATATTCTTTACCAGCCTCTTGTTCACTAACTTCTTGTTGATCATTTTCTTTAACTGATGTAAGACATCTTAAGGCCTCTATTTCTCTCATAATCATCTTTCTTTCATGTTTACCAAGAATTGGTTTCTTAGTTCTCTTTATAGCAAATTTCTGATTTTGAAATAAACATTCAAATGCAATTGAAAATTCTCCACTACCAATATATTTAATATTCTTCATCCCGAATTTTTCAACTAAATGATCATCAGTTTTAGATGGTTTAATTAATTTACACTTCTCTTGCATAAGTACATCTTCAATTCCAATTCCTACAATATCTGAATTGGAATTATTACTACTAACAATATTATCATTACCTCCAATATGATGAAGTTGTCGACTAGTACTTAAAGCACTTTCAACTCGACTGGCACTACCGGTAAGAGTAATATCTTCTTCTTCATCCGGTAGACTTAAAGATTCGGTATGTTGATGAGGTCTTAAATCTTGATGATGAAGATGATTATGATACTTATCCTTCAAGATATTAGTTCCTCCAATTCCCTTAAAGAATAAGGGATTCGTAGGAGTACAGGGTTCTTCGAAATTCTTATGAGGAGTAAGAGAACTTATTGGATTAACAGTTAATTTAGGTAAACTATGAGTAGATTCTTTCTCTTTCTCCTTCTCTATCTCTTTCTCTTTTATAGATTCCTTTAATTGAATAGGACTGAAATTCGATGGAGTTGAATGAGATCTTTTAACAGTTTTAGTAGGAGTCTCAGGTATACCTAATTCGATATCTGAACTTAAATCCATTTCCAAATCAAGTACATTCCCTCTCAGAGGTTGAGAATGCGATGATTGAAGTTTATCCTGTAATGGTTGAGATGAAGGCTTTGGTTTACTACTTGAACCACAATTAGAAGACGGGATTCTAAAGAAACTTGCGGTAGTATCACTCATAAATGATGCATTATTTCTACCCACTTCAATGGATATTTCCAGATTATCTTCAGCTGTAGATTCATCATGAGCAGAACTAATCATATTCGAAAGACTTGATTTGGTACCATTATTAATCACATTGGTATTGGTTGTACTTGTAGTATGCATAGTATTGGTATTAATCATAGTTAAGGGATTCTTCTTCATGGGAGTCTCAGGAGGTAACTTCTTCTTAGTGATACTATTCTCTATACTATTCTTCTTTAATAATCCGGCCGATTTAAAAGCGGCTTGTAAAGGTTTGACAAACTTATACGAGGCAGAGTTCTCTTTATCATCATTCTGTTGAGATAGTATTACAGGAGGTGGTGGAGGTGGAGGTGATGATAATTGTTGTGCTGGTAATGATGGAGGAGGTGGTTGAGATGCCGCAGGCATAAAGGGTCGTCTACTTATATCATTATCTTGATAAATGAATATAGAATTGCCCGAAGAGCCGGAGAACTTTCGATTCTTCGATGGACTATCAAGATCAATGTCTAGATCTTCAACGTTATAGTATTCGAAATTCGATTTGACATTGGTGGTGGAACTGGAGATGGGAGATGAAGAAGAATTGGGTTTATGGAATGGAGAATTGAATGGCATTGAAGTCTTTCTGAATTTAGTATTACTTGTAAGAAGTTTATCAGGATTAGAATTACTGGTAGACATATTTGTTGATAGTCTATGAGGAGGAGATACTATGGGATCTTTATTGGAATTCTTTAACATCTTAAACCCCTTCAATCCTAATCTAGAAGGAGAATATAAATTGGTTTGTTGATCAGTTACTTTATTGGGAGGTAAGGAGAATTCATCATTGGTATTCTTATGCTTTAAGAAATGATCAGGAGATCGATTGAATTGATAAAGAAATGATTTGGTATTAGTATGATTAATAACTTTATTAGATGATGGAGATGGAGATTGACTAACAAGTTGATGAGGTCTTTTAAATTTATTTACTGTACTGGTATTTATGATATTAAATTCTTGTTTTATTGGAGTTCTTCTTATGATTATTGGACTTTGAATGGATTCAATTGGAGTTTGTTCTCGACTTTTCGATATGATAGATGAATCGATTTCATTTAAGTCACTTATACAATCGATATCTTCACTGAGTTTGGTCTGATGATTGGATCTTAAGGTATCATGATTAATTAATCCATTCGATATAGAATTAGTTAATGATTTCAGATTCAGATTGGATTCAATCGAGAGATTTAATGATTTCGATGAACGTTTGATTGACGATTGTTGCGATTTGGCAGAACTCACATCATCATTTTCAAAATCTTCCAGTTGTTTCTTTATTCTTTTAGGTTTTATAATACTTAGAGTGGGACTTGTGTACTGAGAGAACTCATCGTCTTCGTCGTCTTCGTCCTCTTCTTCTTTGTCACTGGACATTTCGAAATCCTCATCAAAATCATCCTGAACTGTATCGTTGAGATAGTTATCGATATGGTCATCGTAGTAGACCTGTTTGACATTAAATGGTGGTGACTTGTTAATCTTCTTTCTCGTACTACTGGTTCCAAGTATACTCGTGGTGGAGAAGTTTATACTTGAACTAGATGATGTATTGGCTTGGGTATTATTATTATTATTATTATTATTATTATTATTATTGGATGAACTCTTATCTAGATCTTGTTTGATATCATCTAGGATTAAACTATTGAAAGATCGTGAGAAATGGGTATTGGTATAATAATCCAATTGACTATTGTTTATGAATATTGAAGGAGATTGTTGTTTAGTGAGTGTGGGTTTCCGAGAATGGGATCTATGCAATTTGGGAGTCGCTATGGATGTGGAATTTGAATTGTCATTGGAATTTCGATGGCTGTGACTGTGTTCATTAAAGCTCGAGGTATGTCGATGAGTACTTTGACTATGATGACTATGACTATGAGATGAATTATGACTATGACTATGACTATGACTTTGACTATGACTGCTACTGCTACTGCCACTGTTACTTTGACTATGATTCGAACTACTCGTATCCTCCACAGTATCCTCGAGCGATGCTGCCCCAAGTGATGGGCGATGTTGGTTCATGAGGTCTGACTCAACCGGTCTCGCTTACTGTTATTATGTATTGGAATTGGAATGGAATTTAGCAGTGGATTTGTTGGAACCGCTTATGCTCGCACGGACTACTCCTCTACTGTTCAGCCTGCTTTAGGTAAGGGAAAGGTCCCGTTGGAAATTTCAGTTCCCACAGTTTGGTATCATTGTTTATAGTGGTTGGGGAGAGAGTGCATACGGGGCGGTCGAAACGTAAACATAAACAAGTCACATGGTCAGGGCCAAATTGAAATGTACGCGTTCGCGTCTTTAAGCTGTAACAATGAACTGTTACAGGTTTAATTTCAATTACATTCTAATTTTACAGGTTATATCCATTATACAGTATACATTATACATTATACATAATACATTATTACTCAAACCCTTAACCAGTATTCCGAAACTCTTTGCTCCGAAACTAAACTACTTTTTAAATCGTACAATTATCATTATCATTAATTCGAATAATATCAATGACGCCAGTGATCCCCCACTCTCTGACTAATCCCGAATATCCATGAAAAGTGTGGTAACACTATCATTAACTTATTATTCTCCCTCATTACCACTCCGAAATTAGTTAATTTTGCTCTATCGGGACGAAATAGCCGATGATCAACTGATTAATTTGATAAATTTTGATCAGCATGTCCGATCAGAATTACAAACTTTAGATCTGGTCATGTGCGTGCGACATTTCTCGCCACGATTACTAATTCTTGCACTTTTATTGGCTCCTGCTACGATGACAATCCTCCATCTGATTAAGCGCACCATGTCGTTCGTAATCCAATCCTAAAACTGATGGCAAAAACCATACTACATGCCCAGTACTTTTAACTTGAATTGCTCATAACAGTCAATTTTTTTTATAAATAGACTATCTAACTGATCTATTACCTCCATCATTCACTATTGGGAGATTAACAGTTCATTTGACCTTAGATTAAATCATTAACCTTCTGAAAGTTTTGAACCGGCTTAAATGTCGTACCGACTACGATAGCCTATAAACGAAATTGGAAAAAGAAATTTTCAGTCAGGTTCTTTATTGTGTAAGATATAACCACAATAAAGACGACCAAATATATAATAAGTATTAGTTTTACCATTTAACAATTTAACTTCACATATAAGACCAATCACAGCTAAAACTTATTTACGAAATAAATTTGAAAATTCAATTCTGTTATGGATAAAGTAAAAGTTTAACTTCAAACTTTACCGTTTTTTTTTTTATTATATATATTTAACTATTCACTGTACTGTTCTATAATATAGTTTTAGTTTGCTATACTATTTATTACAGCCTTCTACAATTATTAAGAAAATTTTCAGTATCATCATTACTACTATAGAAAAGTTTATCTGATCTCATCTGTCACTGCCACTAGTATAAGAAATTAGTCAAACGAAAAAATCAGGCTTAGACTTAGCAATATATATAACTACTAAGATATATATATTTATCATTACCTTTATTATTGTTAGTCATATCATAGTAAAACTTATTTTACTGGATTACTTAGTACAAGTGTCATATAAAATTTTAAATCTCAAAAGATTAATCGAACTGATCAAATAGATAATCTGCTCACTATTATTAACATATCATCACCAGATCTTCTTAATTTGCCTTGTAATCAATCTGTATGACATTTTCAAGGTAACATTCATCAATATAATTTCAACTGCATAATTTCAATAATGTCTACAAGTCCTCAACTATCAAATACGCATCCGAAGGTGCTAACACCTAATGATAATACTAGTGCCACTGTAAAAATCGAATCTCAAGATATAATACCACAGCCACCTTTAACTCCGACCACTTCAGGATTAAAATCCCCTAAATCTCCTGTAATATCCGCCCCTCAGAATTCATTACCTTCACCATCCCCAGTGGCTGTATCATCAACCACTTCACCTAAATCAATACCTTCTACTTCTGAAACTTCCACAATAGCTAACTCAAATGGGAATGGGAATGGGAATGACAAAATAGACGATGGCCAACAATGTTCTAATTGTGGTACTACTAAAACTCCTTTATGGAGAAGAGCTCCTGATGGAACTCTAATATGTAATGCCTGTGGTTTATATCTTCGTTCTAATAATACTCATCGACCTGTGAATTTAAAACGTCCCCCTAATACAATAGCCATTACTAAAAGTGATGAAGGATCTTGTAAAGGAGATGGAAGATGTAATGGAACTGGAGGTTCTGCAGCCTGTAAGGGATGTCCAGCTTATAATAATCGTGTTGTTGTGGCAGGTAAAAGAGAAAGAGAAAGAGCCACCGAAGAGAAGAAACAAACTGTATCACCAGTTATTGCTCCTATTAATAATCCTACAGCAGAAGATCTTGCTGTTGCATGTTTTAATTGTGGAACTACTATCACGCCTTTATGGAGAAGAGATGATTTAGGAAATACTATTTGTAATGCATGTGGTTTATACTATAAATTGCATGGATCCCATAGACCAATAAGAATGAAAAGAAATACAATTAAGAGAAGAAAAAGAAATCTACCAAATGGAATTAAAAAGGATGATGATTCTGATGATTTCAGTCCACCAGCTTCACACGCCCATTTAACTGATGGACATACTTCTGGAACTCCAACTCCATCAGTATCTTATAAGTCAGTTTCTCCTCCAATCTCAAGACTACCTCCACCTTTTCCAACATATAATCATCTGACTTCATATTTCCCTCCTTACGCTGGCGCAGGTAGAATCCCTAATGGTCCTGGTCCTGTTCCAGGTCCACCACCATCTCATATACCATTAGGATATTATGGTTCTCAACAACATCAACATCAACATCAACATCAACATTCCATTCCTCCAATCACATCACAGCCTCAACAACAGAATATAAAATTGCCTCTGTTAAGTATAAATGAATCTACACCTCCTCCTCCTCCTCCACAACAACATCATCATCAACAATTGGCTCCTATAATAAAGAAGGAATTAGGTACTCCTATACCCACTAAATTTCCATCTATAATGCCTACAAGTAAACGATCTACTTCATCAACTCCAATTGCTATTGATTTCACATCTGCTTTTAAATCAACAAGTACAGCTTCTACAATAACTACAAAGGATGAAGATGATTCAGAATCTGCTCAAAAGCCCAATAACAATGGCAATATTAATAGCAAAGAAAGCGATAACAATAATAATAATAATAATAATAATAGCAACAACACTAACAATGATGATAATGATGATAATGCTAGTAAGGATTCAAGTAATCTGCAAACTCCTAAAACCAGAACTCATGCATTATCCATTGGTGGTTTATTAAATGGTTAATGGTCAGAAAAATTGGAGACATAATGTATTCCCTTGGGGGGTCGGTATATATAATATTTATAGTTTGTATAGTCTTGTAATATGGTAATATTTATGTCTTACACGGGATTCTAAACCTCAAGTAGTTATTGTTATAGTTAACGCCTCGTGATGATGTGCACGTGATAAGGTGCAATTTAATAGTATATAACTTGCAATATTACTTTATCAGATCCAGCAATTAGTCGTATGAACCATAATACAAATTAGGTAGATAATTGAATTATTAGGCGGGTAATCATTCCGAATTGAACCACTGAGAATTTTCAAAATTAAACCTTGACTGAATCTGGATCAGTATTTATTTCATCACTAGTATCATTAACATTATATACTAACCTCCCCACACGGCATAATGAGTGATACTATTGAAATTGAAAATCACCAGAAGGCAGTTGATAATTCTTTACTCAGAAAGGCTAAAGATATAGCTGCTGGATTTATAGGAGGGGCCACACAAGTATTAATTGGTCAACCAGCAGATTTAGTTAAAATCAGATTACAAACTTCTAATGAAACATCATCAGTATCAATTATAAAGCATGTTATTAAGAATGAAGGATTATTAGCATTTTATAAGGGAACCTTACCACCATTATTTGGAGTTGGAGTATGTGTATCCTTACAATTCTATGGATTTCATGAAGCCAGGCGACAACTTTTAACCTATAACAATACTAAAGATCTTAATCTTTGGCCACAAACTTATATTGCTGGGGCAGTTGCAGGGATTGTAAATACGCCTGTGGCAGGACCAATTGAACAATTACGTATTTTAAGTCAATCAAATACATCTACTCAAAAGAATGCTTTACTTGATACAGTTAAAACTATTTATCAAAAGGAAGGAGTTAAAAATGGGATATTCCGTGGTTTTAGTATCACATTATTAAGAGAAATTCAAGCTTATGGAGTATGGTTTTTAACTTATGAGACTTTAATTCAACAAGTAATAGATTTACAACATTATAAGTCTAGAGATCAAATAAGTACACCTGAATTATTGATCAGTGGAGCCTTAGCTGGAAATGCTCTTTGGTTATCATCATATCCAATTGATGTAATTAAATCCAATATTCAAAGTGATAAATTTGGATCTGAAAGTAAATTTAATGGACAAATTCTTAAGGCAACTAAATATATATATAGAAATCATGGATGGAAAGGATTCTGGAGAGGTATTGTTCCATGTTTATTAAGAGCTGTACCATGTAGTGCTGGTACATTTGCCAGTGTTGAACTTGCGTTAAGATTAATGGGTTAGTTATAATAAAAATCATTATATTTAGACTCTCATAATTGATCTTATATATAGATATAGATATATATATATTCTTATAGACTTGAATATATCAGTACAACTAATAGATATACACAGATAAATAGTAGGAGAATTGCAAATTTTTCAAATATTTCATTATTTGCAATATATATTAGAATCCTGTATATAGCGTGTGCTTATGTAATCTAATCACCATACAAAATTAAACCAATAAACGTTGATGATTTTAATCTTATTCAGACAAACAAAAAAAATTTACCATTGACCAAAAGCAATCTGTACCAAAATCCGATCACTTTGTCGTTATAGATACCTTATAATCAACAATAGTTAAGGAAGTACGAGAATAGAAGAATTCATAGTACTGTAATTTACTACTGATATATTCATCATCAAATTTTTTGTTGTTCAATTCCTTTTCAATCTTCATTATTTTTAATTCACTACTACTTTACATTTATTTAATTTGCATATTCATTCCTAAAATTTAACTCATATAAATCATATAATAGACATAATGTTTAAATCAATCATAACAAATAATCTTGTTAAACAATCCATTATAAGTCAACAACGTATGGCATTATCATCATGTGCAAGACTTTATAAACCTGTTGCTACCCTTAATGAAGGATCTGAATATTTAACAACTGGTGGATCTAATCAATCTGCATGGCCAAAAGGATTTAGAGTTCCAAGACCAAAAACTTGGGAAGAAAGTGGTGAAAGTGCTTTAAGTAAAGCCACTAAATTTTTCTTTTTAAGTGAAATTGCTAGAGGGATGTATCTTTGTATGGAAATGTATTTTAGAGCTCCTTATACTATTTATTATCCTTTTGAAAAGGGTCCAATTTCACCAAGATTTAGAGGTGAACATGCATTAAGAAGATATCCAAGTGGTGAAGAAAGATGTATTGCATGTAAATTATGTGAAGCTATTTGTCCTGCTCAAGCCATTACAATTGAAGCTGAAGAAAGAGCTGATGGTTCAAGAAGAACTTATAAATATGATATTGATATGACCAAATGTATTTACTGTGGTTATTGTCAAGAATCATGTCCTGTGGATGCTATTGTTGAAACTCCAAATGTTGAGTATACTACTGCCACTAGAGAAGAATTATTATATAATAAAGAAAAATTATTGGAAAATGGTGATAAATGGGAACAAGAAATTCAATATTGTATTGATGCTGATGCTCCATACCGTTAATCATATCTCCTCCATCTATGCATAACTGATATGATTGTTTCAATTAGTTTGAATTCTATTGTATGTCGTTCGTATCACATAATTATATTTAACTTGGCTAAATCAACAATCATTCGTCTTAACAGCCATTTAACAGCATTCTTTTGTAAATTATTTATAATCTTTCTATAGATTATTTTCTAGTAAAATCAAGCTTTTTAAAAAATATACAATAAATATATCGAATAAAGTAAATTCTACAAATGTAAACCAATTCAGTCTTATTTGTTTATTGAAAATGGAAAGAGACTTAAAAAAGTAGAACTGATAATAGTAGAAACTAAAAGATAATAAAACTCATTATTATTATATTTACTAAATCCATTATAGCTGAGAAAGTTACAATGAAGCTAGCATTGGTAAAAAAAAATTGGTTACTAAAAATTTAAAAATCAAATTCAAGGTGTTGGATTATGCAAAAGGGAACGTTTATGTTAAAAATTTAATGGAATATTATTCTTTTAATTAAGAATAATTATTGTTAATGAATTTTTCATGAATATTTTATATAGGTAGTAGTAATCATTTCAAATAAATTGAATGGGGATTGATACCGCACTATACGGGGTTTGAATAGGGGAAAAGATTTTGCGAGTGAATTGATTCGATTGTAAAGAATGAAATAGTGATGAAGTTGATGATGAAAATGATGAAATTAGAATGTCATAACGTTGAATATATGAATGAATTGTTCCATCTATTGAATTTGGGAATAACCAGTGAAAGGGTTAGCATTCTTAGATTTAAGATATTCATCAGAGGCTTCTTGCCATTCTCTGTTAACAGTAGCTGGAGCTGGAGCAGAGATAGCTCTAATACCGGCATATATAACGATCGAAGCAAAAATACCACCAAGGACACCATAAACAACTTTAGCTTGATCACCTGGACCATATAAAGGTCTTCTTGGACCCCATTCACCAAAAGAAATATAGTATGCGGCTTTCTTTTCAGCAGGAGTCAATTCTTGCCATGGTAATTCCATTCTGGTCTTTAAACTATCAATTAAAGCAGATTGATCTTCCTTTGGTAAAGAAGTCCATCTGGTTTCTAATTTTCCAACATAAGCGTTAGATAATGGTCTTGGAGCACTCTTGGCAACAGAAGATTGATGACGAACAGCTAATCTTTGGATAGATTTACGGAACATTTTCTAGAATAATATATACGTTAGTAAATGATTTTCATAAAAATATATAACAACAGTTACTACCAGCAGAGATGAACTCTTATTATCATTTATACTTTTTTTTTCTTAGTGTGAAGCTTAAGTATTGATGTGTGGATGTTGAGCTTCTAAACATAAAAATTTGATTGGACCAAAATTTGGTATATACGGTAGTGGAACGACCTCACCTGATTTTCATCAGCCTTTACTTAAGTACTACTTCACATACTAATAATAATGATACATTTAAAAATTGAATTATTATTATTGGTATTTGAACTACTACTTGTAAATCTTCTGAATAATAATAATATGTTTTGATGGAAAAAATGTCTGTTGATTTGAGGAATAATTTGTAGTCTTAAAGGATCTTAAATGTTTAAACACACATCGCTGATTAAAGGCATATAAATTGCTCTTGTAAATTGGTGAAAATCTCTTTTGAATTTAACAATTGACTTGACTGAAATGGATTGCTTGAATATATGAAGGATTTATATCTTGTATTTCCTATAACAATTGAGCACTTTTCCTTACCCTTCTTGACTAAAAAATCCGATCAACATAAAATTAGCACTCTCCACCCCAACATAAATTTGAAAATTATAAATGATAACTGTGGCTATACTGCTGGTATGAACTACATTATATATATATATCTAGATATAGATACTTACCTTATAATACTATTATTTGATGAATTACAATATCAGAAAAGTAAAGGAATTCTAGCAAATAAATAAATTTGGTTCTATTTTTTTCAGTGTGTGTATTACTTTTGTTCTTCTCCTACTTGGCTGTTTTGTTCTATTAGTATGAGAATTATTGGTTTAGTTAATATTAGAGAGGAAAAATATGTGGGTCGTGCGAAAATTACCAAAAATATTTATATTGTTAGACAATTTTTTAGTCTAACTATCCCCTCTGATCAGGCCACTTACAATTAATGTGGTAGAGACAAGTAGAACTAATTGTTACACTCTGATTTGTTCATTATGTTTAGACGAATATACTAGTTTTTTGGTGAGAGATTTAGTAAATTATTTAACAAAATAAAATGGGAGTATTACTTTAATTAAACTATGGGTAATAACACTACTAAATGACTAGTTCTAGATCTCCTAACAATTAGATTTTTGTTATAGTAACTATTGATCTCCGCAATTGAGATTCATTTATCTCTTCAATTTTACTAGTAAATAGTTTACCTTTTATCTCATCGAAGTAACGTAAAAACTCTATAATTGAACCTCCAACTCCAAAGTATATATTCTTGGCAGCTATTAAAGCCTGACCGTTTCCTGTTGATTCAAGAATCTCAATTAAACATTCTGCAACAATAGGTAAACTATCAAGTGAATAAATAGTTTCTGAACTGATTATGTAATCCACCTTCAAATATTCAATCTTAGAATTGAATTGTTTACTCCAAGAGCCAGAAATAAATACTAATTCGATATCACGAGTTTGTAGGTCATGAGTGAACTCATTAATTAATCGATCAGTTATTAAAATTTCATCATTATTAAACGTAGGATTTTCTTCTGAAGTTGTCAATTCATACAATTTTTCTACGGGTAATGTTGATGCCCAATGTATTAACAAGTTAGGTAAACTGACCAACCTCAATACGTCATAATTAAAATCGGCTAAGATTATCTTTTTATTTGTTGATTTTTGTTGTAAAATTTGTAAAAATAAGTAACATGATGGAAGTGATGTTCCACATCCTAAATCTAAAAATGAATTGAATTTATTTAATAATGAATCATCACTATTTTCAACATTGATAGATTCAGATAACTTGTCAATGACATCATATGAACATTCCCAACTCTTGAATCCACCTTCGTATACATTTTTTTGTAAATCACTTGAATTTTCATCAATCAAGATAGTGTTAGCATCTGAATCAATCTCACTCTTATCTTCGGTCATTATTTGATGCTTAACATCAAACAATTCTCTTCTATATACAAGATTTTTACCTCTAGGGGTGTAATAATTGTCAAATGTTATTCGAACATCCTTCAAGCTGGATAATAGTTCCAGAAAACTATGGATTTGAGGAAGATGCTTATCTTCGATATATGAAGATAATTTATCTAATGCAGGAGTTTTTGAGTTATTTCTCGGTATGTTTTCAGAATTAGTGGTTTTTGGAAACTTTGAATGATCAAGCTCATCATCACTGAAGTCTTCTTCAGTGAATCCAAAGGCAAATGACATTTTCGATCAGCTATTCCTTCTATAATATAATAGAATTTACACTATGTAAAGTTTGGTTCATCGCTAATTTTTTTCAGATGAGACACACTCAGTAGAATTTTGCGACAATCAATGAATCAGTGTCGCAGATGCAACCCTTCAGCGTATTGGTAAGGATGCAAAAAGTTTGCACTTAATGAATAAGTGAGCTTCTAGGCTGATTGTTTCAGAAATCAGTTCAGCTTTCTGGGATTTTGATATTAATGGATGAAAGAAAGTCTTCGATTCAGCACTAAAGGATAGTTTTACTAAGTCTCTTGCTAAAACCATTGAAAAAACATTAAAAACACTTGATTTTATAACAACAAACGCATATAATTACTTTTATATAAATGATGTGATATGATTCTAAGGTTATCATACCGAATTCTCTAGTCCCTAATTACTACATTTAAAACATCTACAAACAAATCTTAAGCTGGTAGGAAATCCTGAACATTTAAAGATGGTTAGCCGTGTCTAATCTACTTACTCATTTTGTGCCATTTTTCCAGTGGAGGATCGGGAATGTGTGTCGAAACCAAAATGTTTAATCTTCCACCAGGTACCACTTTACTATATATAGTACAATACTAGTGACTTATAGAAATTAATATAGACACCTCAATGACCGAGATATCACCTTCTTCTACTAAGGTAGATGATTTTCTATCCAGTTTGTCACAAATTTCTCAAGAGAGACTTCGAGAAGATCAACAGAGACAGAATGTGTTGCGAAGGAATATAAACGAATTGAAACTGAATCTGGCAGTCTCATCCCCTTCAAAACCAGGGGATATACCTTCTTATTCATTTACACCAGCCACTTACAAGATTATAAACTCCTCGCCTACCAAAAAGGAACCGTTCCGTTCGAGTAGGTACACTTTTGATGAAGATGAAGTTGAAGAAGATGCACCAAAACTTCCTGCCAGACCATCAGCTGATGATGATGTTGCACCTCCATTACCAGCTAGAAGAGAACAAAATTCATTTGAAGTAAATCTTCTTCAACCAAAGGCAAGAGTGGAGCCTCCTAAAATCTCCAAACTTTCAAAACCTAATTTACCAACTAAATCATCATCTCCATTATCTAACAAAAGCGATGGATATCGATCATTTTCTCAAATTGAAGCCTCAATCAAGAATTCCCAACCCAAACCATCAATTGAACCCACATACAAAAAGACTGCACCTCTTGTTCCAACAAAATTGCCTAAAACACCTACCAAACTCAACCCAAATGGTTCTGAAACAGATTGGATGTCTTCACTTGCAAAATCCAAAGTTGTTTCACCTTCGACCATCAACAATGCTCCCAAACCAAGTTATCAAACGGCATTGTGGGCCACCCAAAATGCGAAAATAACTAACAAACTTAGTGAAGCTGCAAAACCAGAGTTGAAGAAACCTCCAACCAAACCTAGTTATCTTGAAAGTAGAAAACAAAGAGAAGCCAAGGAAGATGTCCCACCACCTAAACCCACAAGACCAACAGTGATTCCTAAATTGGCTGTTAATGAAAAAGTCATTCCAGTAAAACCTGCAAAACCTGTATCAAAGATATATGAGGAAAAGGATTCTGAATTGTTAAAATCAACTATTTCAAAATTATCTTCAACAAAAGTACCTCCATTAAAACCAAGTAAACCTTCAGTTGATCTATACACTAAACTGGAAAAGGATATATTAAGTACAGTTAAGTCCAGTTTGTCATCTAAGTCAGCTCCTTTAAAAGCAAGCAAACCCAATCTCTCGAGTTATTCAAAGCAAGACTCAGAAGAATTAAAATCTCAATTACAAAGGTTGAAACCCACCAAACCACCAATAGTATCAGCTAAACCATCTGCTACGAATGATATTATTCCGGCATTAAAACCAAGACCAGTTCCAACATATAAGTCTAAAACTGTGAACCTTCCTGTTTATGAACAAGATGAACAAAAACAAAAACTGACTTCTTCATTAACAGTTGTACCAACCAAAGAAGGTACATTTGAAGATAAGTTATCGTCTATATTAAGAGCTAGTACTTTACCAGAAACCAAAATTGGATTTGGAAGAGATCCACCAATTCGTCCTATAGGCAGATCACTGACTGAACCAACCAAACAAGAGAAAAGAGAAGACACTACTAATTCAAAGGGTATAACACATGTCAGTAAAAGTCGGGCTAAGGGACCCAAAAGAAGATTACCAAAATCAATGCAAACCAAAAACACTACAAATGAAACTAAATCAGTGTCAGTGCCAGTATCAAAGCCAGAGGCAGAGCCAGAGCCAGATTCAGAATCTGAAGTAGCTTCTCAGCTTTCCATCCCCAAAAGCTCCAAAAAAGTTCCACCACCAATTAATAAATTGGCCAAACCAAAAACAGTAGGCGAATTAAAACCCAGTAGAAACTTCAGCGGTGAAGTATTTATATAGTAATGAACTGAACTAATTCACAATGTTTTATATTAACTCTTTACACAGATATAAATCTTAATCATAATATATGTAATCGCATGGATAGTTAGCGTGTATCTCAAATAGGTATGTGCGGCTCGCCTTCTTTCCAAAAATTCCAAAGTTTCGATTTTTCGCTCGACAGCACAGAAAATCAAACTACATGTGAATGAATTGTATGTATTGATTACAAAAGATTAGGAGTTACTTACGAGAAGAAGAAGAATCTTATAAACAAGAATGGAGAAGGTCGTGTCACAGATCAATGAATGGAAATCCAGTTTACCAAGTGATTTTGAACAAATTCAAAGTTATGCCATTCATATTAAGGATTCTATACCAACATCAATTGAAGAATTACAACCAGGGATTGATTATGTAAAATCAATTACTACTGAAGATATAATTAGAGATTTTTCTGAATTTAAGATTAGTCCAATTACTGTATCATTAACAATTACTGCTTTTACAACATTAATTATATTAACTAAAGTCTTTACAGGTAATTATCCTCAAGATAAATCATCTAAAAAGGCTAATAAAAAATCTAAATCAAAGAAGAAACCAAGTAAAGCTCAAAAGGCTAATAAGAATATACAAGAAATTCTTGATTTTGTTGAATCTGAATATGTTCCTCAAATTGATGAATATTTACATAATCATAAAGATTTAACTCGTGAAGAACTTGAATTTAAATATAATTATTTTGAAGAAATGTTATTAAAAGAATTAGTTAAATTAGACAGTATTGATGTGACGGGTAATGCCATCTTGAGAGAAAATAGAAAGAAAGTTATTCAATTTATTCAAGATCATCATAATAGATTAGATAAATTTAAGAAAGAAGCTAAATTTTAGATTTCTTTATCTATTTAATTAGTGTTTATACATTCACTATAATAAACTTGTAATTGTTCTAAATAATATAATTATTAATTAATAACTGTTTTATGAGCATCGAAATCTTCTGGCTTAATTCTAAGTCCTCCTTTAACTCCAAATTCTGGTATACCACCATCACTAGGGGGGAAAACATCAGTTAATAATGTAACTTTTTCACCTAACCATAATGCTCTATTAGTATGATCTTCAAGATCATCACCAGTTTGTGGATGAATTAATACTGATAAATTTCCATGATATAATTGAAACCAACTAAGTACTTTAATAAATACTTCTGGACGTCTAACATCTGCTTCCCAGAATTGAGTTGGATGAGGCCCAATGATTTTATCAGTTGGTAATTTCTTAACGAGTATTGATCCATTAGCAGAATCTTCAGGAAAATCAGCAAGAAGTTTAGCTCTTAAAGCATCTGATTCTTCTAATGATTTCTTATTATGAGCATAATAATAAATATGAAAATCATAGTATTGAACTGGATATGTATAGCTAAGGCCATGTACCGATGTGGTGGCCACAGAAGGATCTTCTTTTTGAAGGTGAGTAACGTATTCCATTGGTTCGTATACTATTTATGGAATATCTTCTAAACAAAGTGAAATAAAAATATACTGGCCACTTGCTAACTTTTATCAGCAAACTTTGCTGGATTTATCAAAACGATCTATGGCACCAAAATCGGAGCCACAGCTCGTAAATGGTCGGCCAAAAAAAAGTTTTTGCAGTAATACTTATAGCCGGATAAATTAATATACGATAAGAAGTTATATATTATAATTTACAATTTATAGTTTATATATTATATATGCATTTATTTTATAAGTTTCAATCATACTAAACCTAAATCTTTCTTGACCATAGTTTTACAGATTGGATGGTATTTATCTTCGAATTTTTTAAAAGTTTCAATGGCAAATTCTTTACTAACTCCGGTCATTAAAAGTTTATAACCTGGTCTAACATATTTCATACGACCAACAGATCCTACCCAATTAGCAAAGAAAATAACTTGATCATCAGTACTAGTAAATTTCCCATACTTAATAAGTAATTCATTCCAACGAGCTAAGATTTCTCCATTAGCACTGGCTGCAAATTTAGGATAAATTTCAGGTAATTTTCTAATTAAATCTATTGAAACATTATAATCTTTAAATCTATCAGTTAAAGTTTCAATAAATAACATTTCTTGATTACCTTCAAAAGCTTGAACATCTGCTTCAGAAAATTCAAGTATACCATTCTCACCATCTTTAATATATTGAACCCATTTATCAACTAAAGCATATACTTGATCGGCTAAAGTAGTATCAAAATTTGGATAATCTGGTAATCCAGATTCAAATAACCATTTATCAAAATCAATTTTATCTAATAAATGAGTCTTATTTAATGGTTCATAAAATTCATATAAAGTTTCAATGAATTGTGCACTATCCAATGATGTATAACGGAATTTTTTAAAATAATATTTAATAAATGCATCAAATTCCTTTGGACCTCCTAAAGTAGTTTCAATATGGAATAAAAAGTTGAACCCCTTTTCGTAAGGAATTCTTGAGAATGCATCATCTGGATCACCATTTTCTAAATCCCAAACTAATTTAGTGAATTTAGGATCCATTTCATTGACAGTTTCAACCAATGCATTCCAACCAATAATAGCATTGAAATGTCTAACTTGTTCACCATATTCTTCTGGATTAGATTTTCCTTCTTCCTTGGCTTCTACTGCAGCAATAGCTCCAAGAATTCTTCTTTCTAAATAAACAGTCCAACCTTCATTAAGCCAAAAATGTTCCCAAGAACAATTAGTGACTAAATTACCTGACCAAGAATGAGCTAATTCATGAGCCATAACTTTAACTTGAGTTCTATCTCCGCTAATTAATGTAGGAGTAAGTTGAGTCATATTTGGAATTTCCATACCACCATATGGGAAACTTGATGGAAGAACTAAAGAATCAAATCTAAGCCATTCATAATCAAAAACCAATTTTTCAGCAATTTGAATAAAAGTTTCCATATCCTTTTCGAATTCAAATTGACAAGCCTTTAATTTTGGTAATTCACAATAAACATCTGATCTTGGACCAATTGGAGCTTTATGAAGATGACCAGAAGTAATTGATACTAAATATGAAGGAATTGGAATAGGTTGATCAAAAATATAAGTATTTTGTTCAGAACTTGGTTGAGGTCTTCCAGACATTGTACAAACTGATGGAGATGTTGCTTTAAATTTATAGGGAGATTTAACAGCTGGAGTATCAAAACATGGAAATAAACTACGAGCATGAATGGCTTGACATTGAGAGAAAATATAAGGACCAGTATCACCTTGAATAAATTGAATAGCAGTACATTTTTCAGTAGTTGTAAAATCAATTTCAACAACTAATCTACGACTTAAAGTTGTTAATGGAATATGCAAGGCTGAACCAAATGGTGCTTTACCAGATTTAAGATCAAATTGAACTTTAGAATTATTAACAATCACATTGGAAATAGTTAAAAATGAAGTATCTAATATTAAAGTCTTACTAGCTTTCAAACTTTCTAAATAATAAATAACTTTACCATTTAATGTCTTAGTTTCAAATGATACATCTAAAGATAAATCAGTTAAGACCACTTTAAAATCAGTATAATTGGAATAAGTACAGGGGTCCAAGTCATGTGACCTCTTACTAATAGCTTCGAACTTTGACATTATGTATGAGTTGGTTCTATTAAAGTTATAAGGAAGATCATCTCGTATATTGGATCCCCACGAATAAATGGCTACTGAGAATTTCTGGCCTAGAGGCTGGTCGCGAAAATTTTTTGCTGAAAAAAAAAATTTTAGTGGATCGAATTTGGGGGCAGCGAGTTAGGGCTAGGGGATATCTATAATTAAATGTTTATTAGTGCTGGATACCCAGCATTATCGTTCAATAAATAGTTTATATATAGGAGTAGAAAAGTCGAAAATAATATAATATAATAGAATAGAATAGAATAGAATATTTATGGGAGTACAAGATGAAACATCATTGTGTAGTAGACTCAGAGTCTTTACTTGGCACATCAGCTTTTGTGCTGGATTTAGACTTTCTATCTCTACTAGCTTCGGCAACTAATTCTTCAAAGATTCGTGCTTCTTCATCTTCATCTTCTGTTCTAGTTACGGCTGAGAATACATCTCCAATAATTCTTAAAGCTTTAGCTCTTGCAATACGTTTCTCTAATGGTACATCTTTATCATCAAGGATAGCATCACATACTCCTCTAACATTACCTTGAATTTCAAATTTAGATCCATACCATGCAGCTCTTAGCACTTTGCCCATTAAGTATCTCTCCATATCAGCTAATTCTTCAGCAGTATGTTTTTCAGGTTCAGGACTCTTTTTATCCTTTTTATCCTTTCCTTCTGATTTACCTTCCTTTTTTAATTCTTCTTGTTCCTTTTTAATAGCTTCAAGTTCTTCTTCTAATTTAGCTAAATCAGCATCAGCTTGTTTCTTATCAGCCTTATTAGCTTCTTCTTCTTCGGCTTTTCTTTTAACTTCTTCCTCTTCAGCTTCCTTTTTTGCATGGTATTCATTATCTTCTTGCATCTTAGCATATTCTTGCATAGTCTTTTGAGCATCTAAAGCATTGGAAACAGTTTTAAAAGTATCTCTTACAACACCACCTTTTTCTTTAACTGAAGTCCAAAATCCTCCCCATCCAAAAAATGTTTGATTTTTAAGAAAGATTTTCAGTTTAGTCTTATAAATTGATCCTAAAGTATGTAAGATTTCTAATCCAAAACTTTCCATTTTTAAAGATTCTGCTTCATATACTATTTTAGACTTAAATGCTTGTATAACATCTTCTGCCATATCCGTTTCAGCTAATAGTGATAATTTTTCTGTGAGTTTCTTAATCAATTGATTTCTAGTTTCAATCTTTTTCAATCTAAACTCTTCTTCAATTCTTTCTAATTCTTCTTTCTTTCTCTTTTCTTCTTCTTCCTTATGAGATATTTCATTGCCTTCATGTTCTTGATTGTGTAAGAATAGTTTACCACTATTTGATGAAAAATTTGGCTCTTCTGAAGAAAATACATCAGATGATTTATTGTCAGAAGTATGAGCATGAGTATTAGTATTTGTATATGAAGTTGTGTTTGTAGTTGAAGTTCCAGAAGATGCATGTTTAGTATCAGATTTAGTAGATGCAGAACTCTTATCCTTTGAAGAAGTTTCCTGAGATTTTGCTTTATCATCTTCCTCATGACTTTGTAATTCAGCAGATTTGGATAATTCCTGAAGTAATGATAATTCTCCAATCCAATCTTTAAAAGCTTCTCCTCCAAATATCATTGAGAAAAACTCTGTAGGATCTTCAAAACCTTCCTTTGGAATTGATTCTTGTTTACCATACTTATCGTATGTAGCTCGTAATTTCTCATCACTCAATACTTGATATGCTTCACCAACTTCTTGAAATCTAGCTGCTGCTTGTGGATCATTAGGATTCTTATCAGGATGTAATTTTATAGCGGCTTTCCTATATGCCTTCTTAATTTCTAACGATGTCGCATTAGTTTCGATTCCTAACAAATCGTAGTAAGTGGAATCAACAACCATATTAATCAGTTTCTGTCTTTCAATCTAATATAAAAATATAACTGTATACTTATACAAGTTTCTATTGTATTCTATGATCTATGTTTTTGAATAGATACGAATTTGAGTGTGTATTTATATTTATAATTGAAATCTTTTTATTATATAAACACACTAACAATACACAAGTTCAGTTAATTTTCTTTCAATTGCTACTATCTTTAGTAATGTATGTGTATACAGTAAATGGCGATGACTAAGGACTACAAGCAGACTATAAAAATAGAGTAGGGTTTCTTTGTGGCAACTAAGTCCCTCGCTAAACTCTTCACACGACCTATTTTTTGTTTTTCTCTGCTATGTTAATTAATGGAAAGTATATGTATACGTTAAGTTAAGTAATGACTATATGATATATGTACAAGTTATTTACTATATGATAAGATAAGATAAGATAATGATTGACTTAATGAGATCAATGAGAGTAATAGACTTTGTTTAAATCAACAATCTTTTTACCTCTACCAGCAGCCAAATCTTCAATAGATTTTTGTTTAGTTAATGCTTCAACAAATCCTTGAGCTACTAATAATGGATTTCTTGAACGATAAACTTTACCTCTTAAATCTTTAATACCAGCAGCTTGACAAATTTCAAAAATATTATGATTAACTCTAAGTCCAAACCCAGCTGGTGCAGACTTCATAAATAATTTGACAGCATGAAATTTGTATTCGAAATCTCCTAAAATAGTTCTATTTTCATATCTTGGAATTGGGGTTAAATTTTTAACAGCATTCCAATGAGCTTTTAAAGCAGCAGTACGAATACCATCTCTTGATTTACCAATACCCAATCCAATAGTACCTCTTTTATCTCCAACAACAGTTAATACAAAGAAATTTGGAATATTACCTTTGGAAGTCTTTAAAGATACTCTTTTCATGACAATTGGACGTACATATAAGTTTTTGATATATCTAGCATCCAATCCAGTTAATTTAGATAAATCTTCAGAAATTTGTCTATTAGTTCTTAAAGCAGTATTTGATTTTTTAGTGGTATCTTCATCCTTAAATCTTAATTTTAAATCTGATCTATCTGATGATCTAGTATCAGGAATTTCTGGATATGGAGCACGTCCATCAGCTTGATTAGGATATATAATAGGCTCACTCCATATTGGATCATTAGTACTATAGTCAGAGAATTCATTGGTTGGAGCAACTTTAGAATTGGCTCTAAATCCTAATTTCTTTAATTCCAATACTTGTTTAGGATCAATTACGGATTCAGCAATTTGAATACTCTGTAATAATTCTGGGGTATAGTATTTCTTTAAAAATTCTATATGCTTTGAAACTTTTATTGGAGTTTGTTTTTCACCTTTTACGGATTGAGTTTTCTCTTCTTTCTTTGTTTGTGATTGTTGTTTTTGTTGAGTTTCTGGTTCTTGATGTGATTGTGTTGATGATTGTTCATGATTGGAGGGTATAGGTTCAGAGTCCTTCTTGATTTGGTTATATATTCCTACAGACGAGGAGAACCATCTTCTTATTATATTCCCCGAGTAAACAGACGGAGCAGTAAGTGATGTTCTTATCATTATAATCTTTAAGTACTGTATGGTCTGCTGAACTATAATACTCGTTCTGTTATAGTTCAATTGGTTCTGGTTGATTTTTCAGTCAAGCAAAAAAAAATTTCAGTGGTGCGATTACCCGGACAATTTTTCTAATAGTGTGAGTATTTAATGTTTACAAGACATATACAGTAATTATATAGTAGTTTATGATATCAAAATTAGTAATATACACACCGGTACATAACTATATATAGAATAATAATAGTAGTAATAATAATAATAATATAATATAATAATAATAGTGATAATAATATAATAACATTAACAAGCTAAAGTTAGTCCAGGAGAAGTATACCAAATCAAAAAGTAAATATGTAAAGCAGAAGTGAACGAGCGTATAATGACGTTAATAGAATAGTAAGATAATAATCTCTCAGAGAGTTTTATGAACTTCTTCTGATTCTTCAATCACAGCCTCTGGTAGACTAAATGGTTTTAAATTTATATCTTCTGGGCTTGGTTGAGGTCTATTAATTGGAGAATATTGTAATTTTTCATTCTCTTGTTGTAAATTCTTAATTTCATCCTTTAACTTACTAACTTCCTTCTCAAATCTCTTTCCAAATACATCAATATAATATGTAGCACCATTATAAGATGCCCATACAAAGATGAAAGTTACAAATGCTCCACAAGCATGTTTATATCTAAACCAAATAGGACATAACATCATTGCCAATATTTGATAGAAGAATTGAATTAAAGAAAATGCAACAACTTGTGCCCAAGTATAAGGTAAAGAATTAACAAATCTTCCTAACGCAGTATTTTTATTTTTATTCTTTAAATAAGTAAAGGATGTAACTTTACCTTGAGCAATTTTATCTCTTTTTCTTATAGTAATAAAGAAATGATAAGACACTTGCCAAATAGTATAATATACTGAAGTCCAGAAAATTCCACTAAAGAAATCCCAATTATCAATGGAAGCAATGGCTGGATATCTGACTTTAATATGTTCAATTGGCATCTCATGAGTTAATACAAACATAGTAACTGGAGGCATAACATGAATAAATGATGATGTAGTTTTATCTATAGAATGTAAGACAAGTGAGTTTCTCCAAGTAATCACAGCAAAAGATAGTGTTCCTAATGATAATGAGAATACTGAGATGAATAAAGTTGGAGAATAAGGGAATAACCAAATAAACATCATTAAAAGTACATTGACATAATAACATAAATCTGCAAGATAATATTCATAAGATATTTTGAAGAATGAATAGAATCTAATTGGAATTAATATTGAAAATATAACAGTATGGAAAAGAGGGAAATAAATAGGGTATTTCCCTATTATAAAACCAGCAAATAGTATAATGAATAATGCTGCTGCATAAAAGAATTTCTCAGTGGTTGAAGATCTTAAATTCTTATGAACTCTTTGATCAAATTTAGTTAAACTGTTTTGGAAAGTTTCTTGTAATTTAATGAATTCGACTGAACGTTGATTCATACTAAATTTTTCCTTAGTTTTCTCTTTCATATTATTAAATCTTTGTCTAGTTTTATCACTCATAGAGTCTAAATTTAATCCGAAATCAAAATCATTAACAAATAATAATTTTCCGAGATCAATATAGGCTACTGAATTAGTTGAATCACTACGTTGTAATCCTATACTAGATCCATTAATAGATGAGGCAGATGATGATAAATATTCCGCATCAGTTTCCATACTATCATCTTGTCCATTAATCCTTTTATAATCTTCATCACTATGAATAGTAGCACTAGATGTAGTAGAACTAAAACTACCCTTTTTAATTTCACCATTACCTTCACTTAACAAACCCAAAGGGTCTGTAGCTTCATTAATGGTATCACTACTCATGTAATTTATAACAATATCACTACTTATAGGTATTAATCAGTTGGGAGTTGGTACTTGTACTTTAACTTGAAACGAACTCCGATGTGTCACTACCTCGTGCTTTACAAAAAAAAAAGATTTGACAGAAGCCGTACTATGTTCTCTTTTTTTCTTAGTATATACGTAAAAAGTAAGTCACGAAGGTCTATGATCTTTAAGATGTGATAGGAATACTAAATAATTGAATAATCAAATTAATTAAGAATGAATTCAAATTACTAATGAAATTCATATTGATACACGGTTATCGATTGAGTGTATGAGAGATATATTGGGGAGTAAATACGGGTGTATGGAGGCATCGCCACGTGCAAACCAGTTACATCCATGACGCAATACATAAAGGTTAATTCTTATCGAATTAATTTGCATCCCAAATAGGTTAAAAGGTACAAATGACAACTGGTTGCAATATCTACATATATTATTATCATTATTTGTATATTATTAATTTCTCTATTCTATTAAGATAATATGTTCTAGTCATAAATTGGGAAAATGAGTTAAATACTGATTGCTGGTTGTGTACTCATAGCTTCATAATTATACATCTTTTTATTATTTTTTAAATTAACTTTTGGAGGATGTTCGATACTGTATTTATATGCCTCTAATATACATTCTTTAATCTTATCAACACTTTTTTGACTTAATTGGAAATGGAAGGCAATTCTTCCTCCCATTAATTTAAGATCATATTTTGATTTAGCTAAATCAATCAAATAAACATCATCTATTCCACTACCTTTTATATCAAGGAATACAAAGTTAGTATGTACTGGTGATTCTAATTTAATTCCATTATCAATGCAGAATTTACCAACTTGTTTGGCAAATTCATGAGATTTTTTAAGACGTTGGAAATTATGCTCGATAGCATAAATAGCCATGGATGTAACTATACCGGCTTGCCTTATACCACCACCACATTGTTTCTTAAAGTGGTTAGCTTTGTCGATAAATTTAGTATCTCCAACTAAAATTGATCCCATTGGAGCTCCTAATGATTTAGAAAGACATAATGAGACACTATCAAAATGTGAACAGTATTCTTTAATAGTTATACCAGTTTCAGCAGAAGCATTCCATATTCTTGCACCATCCAAATGTAATTTAATATTATTCTCTTTACAAAATGCGGAAATTTTACGAATCTCATCAATTGGCATTATTATTCCATGTAAAGTATTTTCTAATGAAATAACTTTAGTAGGAGCAGCATGTATATCTCCATCATCTAAAGTAATATTATTAAGGACATCTTCAAAAGTCAAGTAATCTCCATTGGTTGGAATAACTGGATGAACCATAGCTTGAGACAATGTAGCTAATCCACCAGCTTCATGAAGGAAGACATGAGATCTGTGATCACATAATATACTATATGGAGGTTGATAAAGGTTTGCTCTTAATCCAATTTGGTTTGACATAGTTCCACTTACACAGAATAATGCAGCTGGTTTACCAGTCAAATCTTTCATTTTTTGTTCTAACTCAAGTGTTATTTCATCTTCTTTATAAACAGAATCACCATAAGTACTGGTTAAATATCCGTACTCGATCATATCACGAGTTGGAACTGTGAACGTATCACTTCTGAATTCGTTGTGTGTTACAAATTGTTCTTCTTCGTCAGCAGTCATATTATTAATAATCCGATGTTGGATGTGATTTGCAATCGGTAGCACTCGGATGGTGAGTATAGTTTAAACAAAGTTCTATAATGTAGTTGAACTATTGGAAATAAATTTCTTCTAACAGAGAAAGTTAAAGCTTACGATACTTTTCAAAATCACCTTTCAAAATGATATTATTTATAATTTGAAAATATTTAGGAAGCTGGTGATTTATATGCTTTAAAGCAGGAACACAAACTGTTACGGCCAAGTAATGTAAAATAGTTTAAAAAGAGAGAAGAGAAAAGAAAAGAAAACAAAATATTATTAAGATTACAGCAAACCCCTTCTTTTACCCAAAGTCTCTATATACTTTCCATATTGGTAGATATACATCTCTATGACTCTATCATCTCCTCTCCTGTGTTACTCATACCCGAAAATTTCTTTTTTTCTTTCCGTTTTCTCATCTCTTGAGCCTTTTTATTTTTTTTTCGCAGCACTGACAGATTCCGCTTGGGCTTTTTAGGCGCATTATGCCGCAAACAGTAGGGCGAGCTCTCGTTTTGCCGTTCACAGCCCTTTTTGCGCTAGTAACGGGATTATGTCAAATGTATTGTATTAGTAGTACTTACTAAATATATAAGCCTTATACAAATTTAGAGACCCGATTGAGGCATACACTACAACAGCAATATTATATATGTATAGGTTATTTTATGTACGCCTATAATTGTTGAGTGAATGACTTATCTTATTTTCTTTCAAACACCGAGTCTCTCCCCTCCCCTCTGTATATTTCCAGCCACTAAATACTAAATCAATTCAAACCCCTATAACTACCTTCTCCTGTATATATCCTCAATAATTTAATAAGAATATTGAATGATATATCCATGGCCTGTCATTTTTAAGATCGCTGGCGAAAACTAAAACTTAAACTCAATTGACTCCACTCTTCACTTGTGGTCATACGGCCGTTTCCGTACCACACAACCACAATAAGCATTAAACTATTTTGATAAAACCCCATATTCTTCAAATTTTTAACTCCGTTGACCTTTTTTGACATCTTACTTCTCTTCTGCATACTTTGCTTATCAGTCTATATACATTTACTCTTGGTATTTTTGACTCCTGTAGCCAAGTTTGGGGTTTACCCTCTATTTTTAATGTTAAATTGACCCCTGATATTCTCCCCTATTCAGTTACGCCTTAGTCTCTATATTTACTTACAGTTCAAAGTAGGAATCATTCGGGATTCTATAAATTTGTCCTTATAATTTGTCTCTCTCAAAATTTCCTTCGATAGCCGAAAGTTGCGACTCACTTTTTATAAGATCATCTAAGCTTAAAACTATGATTGGGAAGCTATGGACGAGCATTCTAAGAATTAAAGTATGGAAACTTACAAGTGGACTCCACATTTTTATAACTCTATTGTTCTACATTCATTTAAGGCTTAAATCATGTGTTAATACCATACCGTTTTGTTGTATTAGTTCTTATTTACATGCTATTCTATGCGATATATAAGAGTGACTTTAAAAGTGCAAAAGAGGCGCAATAGCACACCGAATGTACTATTACGATTATGTAGAAGAATCCTTTTCATCATTCCGAGATTGCAAAGGTTGACCAAAAGTTGTTGGAAAGCTTGTAGTTCCATTGCTTCCACTAGATATATTTGTGGATCCCGAATTCGTAGTACCGGCAACATTACCATATAACCCATTTGTACCGGAACTTTGTGGAGTTGAAAGATTAGGCGGCAAATGTAAACTTAAGTTCGAATTGCCGAAAACACCTCCTAAATTGAAGAGATGATTGGTATTACTAGCACCAGTATCGTTTCTCCAAATTTGACTATTACTGGACACAGTTCTAGTGTGATGAGATTGACTTGGTTGTAACCCTCCAGTTGTAGATGCGATAACTGTTGACGTAGAGCTCGTGAGTTCATTGGGGTCATCTGTCCAAATACTCTTTGATGATGACGATGTGGGTGTCATGAAAAATGAAGAAGCACTTGTTGCACCGGCTGAATGGGTAGAATCCCCACCTGCATTGTTAAAGACAAAGTCATTTGTTGAATTAATCGATGGTGTAGTTAACTTATCAGTAGTGGAAGAAGGATTATTACCAAACATTGATAAATTATTTGCACTCCACATATTACTATTCCCTGTACCAGTAGCAAGACTGGCAGTTGTACTAATTGGAGTTCCTGTTAAAGTAGGACGAGCCATGATTGGAGAAGTATAATTATACAAAGAACTAGTACCACCGCCAATGGCGCTTGTACTTAAGTTCTGTGAATTGTATGCTAGATTAAAAGATTGTGCATCACCATTTGGTGATTGAATTTCAGTGGTATAGATCAGGTCATCATAAGGAAATCCAAGTGATTGAGATTGTGTAAGGCCTGGCGTAATATGCGTGTTTTGCTGACCTTGAAGTAACGCATACGATGAGTTATCAAACTGATTTGCACTTGTAGCTGTTGGGCCGAAATATTGATGGGTATCCACTTGTAATGTGGGAGGAGATTGATATGCTGACGATACCGGTTCAAGAATTGGTTCAAATGCAGATCTATATTGTTCTAAATTCATTTGATCGTACAATGGTTGAGATTGAAGTACTTGAGATTGCTGCTGTTGATTAACCAACAGAGACTGTAATTGATACTGATCAATGCTTTGATATTGCTGTAATGGTTGTGGATGCTCCAAATCTGAAATTTGGTCAATGGAATTATCAATTACATCAGCTTCAGGAGTGTACACTTGACTGTAATGACTGTAAAAGTTAGTTAAATTATTAGTTGTATTGGCATTAACTGGAGTAAAATTATTATTATTATTATTGGTATTACCTCCATCAACATTAACAGTTGATTTAACATTATTAACACTGTTAACTATGTTTTTGTTAGAAAATGCTTGTGCATAATTATCCTCCAGTGAAGGAGAAAAATTTCTCTTTGAAAGAGTTCCATACTTGACCTTTGGTAATGCATTCGCAAATCCTCCAAAGTCAATTGAAGCTTGATATTCTGTTAATTTAACAGGTTGATATTGTTTATCTTTATTTTGTTTTGCAATTTGTAATGATTGATGCATAGAAACATACTTTTTAATAGCGAGTTGAAAAGATTCTTTCCAATTATTCTCCAATGTTTGACAAGTATGAATTTCTCTCATAATTTCATCTTCCCAAGATGGTACAATCTCAAATAATTTCACTAAAGTATCAAGAATAACTTTATTAATACTTCCATCTTTATTAAAGAGAGTAGCATTATTAGCCAAGGCAGCTTGGACAGGTGCTGGGGATGGAGATGATGATGAAGGATTTGATTGTGCGACCAAATTTGTCACAGAATTATTTGCTGAATGATAATTAATTGATGGAGGGTGGCCCACAGAATCTTCGTTTGGTAAAGGTGAATTAATGATATCTACAAGTGGCTTTATTTGAGAAAGTAACACAGATAATTCTTTCTTTTCAATTTGTAAAGTCTTTGAATGTTCTTCTAGTAAATCATTTTCAACCTTGACATTCTTAATGGATTCTTCAGTTTTGGAAATTTCTTGTTGAATCTTCTTAATATCATTTTTTTCATTTTTTAGATGAATAGTATTTCTTTCAGTTAACTTTTTGACTTTTACTTGATACTCATCTAATTTTTTATGTAATAATTCAATGGAAGAACTTAATGCATTCTTTTGATTAATTAATTTTGATTTTTGAAAGGTCAACTTGTCCTTTGACTTTTCTAATGATTTAACATTCAGATCTTTCTTTGCTTTATTGTCTGTTTCTTCGTCATATTCTTGTTTATGAAGTTTATATTCTATCTGGAGACTATCTAATTCTTTTGTTAAAGATGCTTGATGATTTTTATATTCCAAATTAATTTTTATTACTTCATTTTGTAGAATACGTAAATAGTCATTTAAAATATCTGGATCAGAAATGTTTTGAATCTTTTCAACTGTAAGATTCTCCACTATTTCATTAGTTGCGTGATCGAAATCTTTACTATCAGTAATATTTGATGTATCAATATTTGTGGATGCAATAATGTTTTTAGTAAATGTTTCTTCAAAGGAATCTTGATTGAGCATTTCTTCATCGTTAGCGAATGAAAATTTAGGATCTTCTTTATCAAACGTTTGGATTAATACAAGTTTAGATTGAGATTTAAAATTGGTTATACTATTAATAGCTATAACTTCTATTTGATATAATTGTTTTGGTTCCAAGCTATTCAATTTACATGATGTACTAGTAATAGTGGCAACTTCTTGACCATTTATTACAATGACATAATATAAATTCTCACCTACAATTCTATCAATATCCCAATGTAATACTACACTAGTTTCATTAATAGAATCAATGTATACATTAGGACGATGAGGTATTTCAATACTTAAATCTTGAATGATCTCTTCTACTGGAGTTCTCAAGATCTGATAACATCGATAAAGTATCCAACATAGTGAGGGTATAAAAGTTATTAGGATTTGGATCATTATTTTACGTCAAAGTATGGTCCATAAACTTCTAGTTCTCATTCACTATTTCCTTCTACTGTGGTGTTCTACTTGAACCACCTTTTCTTCACAAAGGTCAAACAGATTTTTTCAGCTCGTTGCCTGTCCTGGAACGCAATTATTTTTGACAAATAGATTTGCAGTCACGTGAGCGCACTTGCCTCAAAATAAAAAGGGGACTGCAGCTATGACGGCTTTGGCGGTATTTGAAGATTCTCGGAGTTTAAATGTAAATAATATATGTTACATTAAGGGGTAAACAATTGTTGCTACTCGTCTGAGTGAAGAAGGTTTAATATTTAATTATTATTTAATTACATATTACTTATTTTGGTAATTAAGCATAATCTATTAATTTGTATTAAGTTAAACGATTTTCTAATAAATATAAAATAAAAATATATCTAATAAATAAAATGTATTATTTGGTTAATTAGTAAATTACTACCATTAATAATGAACGGCAGAATAATCTTCTTTGCATAGTTTGGCTCTGAGACCCTTACCAAACATATAGAAGGTATAAGGAATTAATATCATGGCCAAACAAATAAAGGCTAATAACCAACTAGCCCATTGCAAACCTAATCTATGATACATTTGAGTTATAAATAATGGGAATGCAGCACCACCAGCACTTCTTAAGAACACTTTAGTAGCTAATGCAGAAGCAGCATATTTGGCATAAGTATCAATGATATAGTTATTTAATGAATAATAAATTAAAACCATACCATAACCAAAGGCAATACCTGATGAAGCTGGTCCAACCCAAATAATATGTTTATATGATGTAGCCCCTAAAATAAATAAAGCAATGCATGGGAATGGAGATCCAATCATAGCTCCAATTAATCTATCTTCAGGAACTGGAGTTCTTCTCTTAGTCATAGCCATATACCTTTTTTCAAGAATTGGAGTTGTAGTTAATGCCAAACCTGCTCCAATCAAAATAGGAATGAACATCAAACCAATCTTGTTATCTTCAAAACCATATAATTCATTGAAAATGACAGGATAAGCAAAGAAAAATGCATAAAGCATGGCATAGATAAGAGCAACAAATGCACATACTAAATCCAAAACAGGCTCTTGAACAATAAATTTCAATGGTCTAATTAAGCAATCATTTATTAATTCCATGATTGATAATGGTGTAGCTTCTTGTTCTGTCATGATTTTATCATTACCAGTTTCTTTTCTTAATTTTTGAGCCCTCCTCTTTAATATAACTGGAGCATAAGTTTCGGGAATCGAAGCAACTATAAGCCACATAACACCTGCAAAAGCCATGTTCACCCAAATAATGAGATCAAATCTATGTGTACTTACACTTACGAAACCATTAACAATACCTCCTAATACTGGACCAGAATAAGGAGCAAAAGAAAAGAAAGCAATAGCTAATGATCTAGTTTCATTATGAATATCAACTAAACTTGCACCAACATTTGTTAAGGCAGAACTAGCAAACACACCACACAAGAAACGACATACTAATAAAGTACCGATATTTTTTGCAACTGCACAAGGAACGTTGAAAAGAACGTACAAACCAAATGAAATGAAATAAACAGGTCTTCTACCTATTTGTTCTGATAATGGAGCCCAAATTAATGGTCCAATACTAAAACCTAAAACCATCAAGGATACAGTTAAAGTTGATACTTCAGTTGAAACGCCAAATTTAGCATTAACTGTAGGTAATCCGGTAGCCAAACATGATGAACCATATGCAGCTGAAATAACAAATATAGATAAAATGATAGTATAAAGCCATTTCCAAGTCATAGACCAATTATGAGGATTTGCTGGATCATTTATAAGAAAAGTAACAAATTCAATATCTGGATCAAAATTATCGAATTTAGTTGCTATTTTCTTGAGATTAGTCCCGTGAACTTTTGTTTCATCTGTCGAACTAGATTCTTCATCGTATTCGTTAAGACTTTCACCAGATGCGACCGATGATGTTCGGGGACGACTAAGCTCTTTTCTTGCAATATTTGATTTTATTCTACCTAACTCTTGTAATGTCTGTACTGGGACTAAACCTGTACTAGTTTCTAGAGTATATTCTTCTGGAAAAATTGCAGCTTCCACTGGTGGAGCATTAACATCTCCAATAGGTACATCACTCGAAATACCTAAATCTTGTAATGATTTTGTTGTTTCCGTTCTAGTAATTCTTAAATTTCTTTCAGAACCAACACCACTAAATCTCGAATTTATAGGTGATATTTCAGATTGAGCATCAGTAGCTTCAAATTGTCTAGGAATGAATTCCTCTTCATCTTGAACACTACTCGATATAGAAATTTGATCAGGTCTACTCATAGTTTAAAATATGAATATGTGTATGAAAGAAACGTAAATTTAATATTAATGTTGTTATGTCTTTTTGACAATGAGATTGAGTCAATTACATATCGAAAACTCATAAATCAATTCAATCATAGTAGCGATTATATTTGCCTTTTATATAAATGACCACTCAGTCCACATTAGTAGCCGTTCCTCATCCCATAGCAATGACGTGCCTGGTTCGTCAGCTGCGAAAAAAGAAACGCCTTAAAAAAATAATTCTTACGTTTCCGGTTTTCCAGGCCAAATGCTTAGGAATGCATTTCGTACTTACTGCATTGCATTTGTTTATACTATGAATCTGTTCCGGACACCTGGCTATTGTCAAGGCTATGTGATTATCACTAATCAGGTCAAATAATTAGTTAATTAACGCAGAATTGTTAATGTTGGATTTTTTGACTACTGATTATACGACAAGTACTGAAAAGAAAATGTATAATAGAGAGAATGTTTAAAGAATTTAATTTGTAAATGATGTTGACCTATTCAAAACAAGAAGAAGCATAATGCAAGACCATTAGTTGGTTATGAATTTAGGCTATATATAAAGCATATAGTTGAAATTGTAAAGCCCATAAAACCAATACATAACCATTTAAAGAAACACAATTAGAATTAATTCGATTTAAAATTAAATTATAATGCACTATACTTGAACTGGGAATGCTCTTAATTATGTAAATAGTTCCTAAAATAGAATATATTTAAGATCTTCTGACTTACAGATATTCTATCTTTATTGCATTCCGTGGAAAAGTCAGCCCATATTGCAGGTTAGTCACCGGAATGATCGACGGAAAATCTAACCTGTAAAATTGTTTGCGCTTAAAGTTGGGCTTAAACTTTAGGTCTCCGGAACAGAACTGAGGTTGCAAACCTATAACCAGAATTAGCCAAAGTTAACCAAACTGAAGTAAGGGTGGAATATTGACGATATTCCCGAAGTTAATATATATGATTAGTAATTTCTGATATACAAAATTTTATGGAAAAGAGGGGAAGAGCGTTAATACATTAATATAAAACAAGACGACTATGGGAGAAGTATTACCCATTATACCATAATAACAAATCAAATCCCGTAGTATTGATATATGATTCGGTGCACAAGTTCCCATGTATCCGTCTCCCTATATTTAAAGTGTAATTTGGTAAAGCAAATATGTAGAGGGATTTAACTTAAAGAATATTGTTATATTGTGAATCATATAGTAGTTCATTGCTAATTTTTTGTATAGTGCGAAATAGGTTACCGAGCTCGGATAGATCAAAAAGATAAAATGAGTATAACCTGAATCGCACTAAAATGGTTTTCATTTACGGTTTGTACCTAATTTGAATGAAGGGTCAATGCTGTTAAACAATAACAACTATTCAGCAGGCAATCTTGTAGCCTTTAATTATGCTGGATTTGCTTGTATATCAATTGTTGTATTTCTATCATCAACACAACCATTTTATTTACTGGAAGTATTAGGAATCAATATTGATGATAAAATTGGTAGTACTATCGGAACTTTAGGATTTGCCGATGAATTAACTGCCATTATTTCAGCACCATTAATTGGAACTTTAGTAGATAAGATTAATTCCAAAGGTATTAGTGGAACTAAATTGATTCAAAGTTTAAGTTTCCTTGTGATTGCTATTAGTTTAATTGGCTATGGTACATTAAGTTCAAATGTTATACCAGATTTAATATTTTTCAGATGTTTATTCGCATTAGGAGTCACCAGTTGTATGAGTTTAGTGACGGTTCTTTTAAACGAATTAAGTAATTCTGATTTCAGCTTCAGAAAATTTGTATTCTGGAAAACAGTGCCTGATCTTCAATATCAAACTGATATTACTCCTACCACCAATAGAAGAAATGGGAAATATGCGGCTCTTATTGGTATTTCAACTGGTTTAGGAGCAATATTTGCTGTATCTAACTTTCTTACTTTACCAATTAAATTAGTTAATTGGTATCCAAGTTGGACCTTAAAGGATGGACTCAAGACTTCTTATAATTTAATTGCAGGTTATGCATTTCTTTCATTCCTCTTGTTGCATATATTTTTATATGACAAGAACAAACAGATTAATCAAATATCTCATGATGAATTATTAGGGGATAATGATGATGATAATGAAGATAATAATATTAAATTAAAACCTTCATATTTCGAACTATTACAAAGGGGGATAGAATTATCTAAAGAAAATCATAAAGTTCAATTATCTTATGTTGGAGCATTTGTTGCAAGATCAACTACAGTTGCTACATCAGTATTTATTCCTTTAATAGTTTATAATTATTACTATAAGCAAAAGTTATGTGATGTTACTGAATATCCCAATAAGAAGAATTGTTATGATGGATATATATTTGCAGCTATTTTAACTGGAGTTGCTCAAACTGTTGCATTGATCTCAGCACCAGTTTGGGGTTATTTAATAGATTTGAAATCGGTTGGAAAATTCAAAACTTTTTTATTTTCAGGTGTAATAGGATTAATTGGTAATTATGGATTATGTTTAACATCTTCAGGAGAAGAATTATATGATCCTCATACTTTTGGATGTTTTATGATGGTAAGTCTTATAGGAATTTCTCAAATAGGTATAATTATTACTAGTATGAGTTTACTTAGTACATCATCTGAAGATCCTAATCATATGGGATCTTTAAGTGGATTATATAGTTTAAGTGGAGGATTAGGGATTTTAATTATTACTAAATTGGGAGGTATGTTGAGTGATTCATGGATTCTTGCACCATTCTTTATTTTAGGAACTTTTAATTTGATCCTTATAGTACTTTGTCTAATTTGGAATAGAGATGAAAACAATGACTATAGAAGACTCGATGATTAAGACTATTTATTTATAATTTATTTATTTAAATATGTATAAACTACAACGAATGCAAAAAAAACAGGTTTAACGAATGACTATAAGAGCAATCTAATCATATACACCTAAATATGGGAATGATATTCATCACCGTAAATGCCTTCTTGTTGAATTGATTCTAAGAATGCAGCATTGGGAGAATGTTTAGTATCTGATACTAATTTGGTTACAGCACTAAGATCTGATCCTGTAATAGCTTCCATAAATGAACCAATTTCAATATTTTCATGATTACCTAATAATCCACCATAAGCTGTATGATTATATAATTTATTCTTAATAGCAGGAGAATTAGTATAAGCATAAATATTAACATCTACAGCAGAATGACCACGAGTAGTCCAACCAGTTTGAGATCTAAATGAAACAATATCATTTAAAACATATAATAATTCACCAGGATTATTAATTTGTTTCTTAATTAATTCAATTTCTGATTCTTTATAATTGGTAATACCCATATCCTTTTCTAAAATTTCTTCTTTAATGAATTTATCAACTTCTTGAGTATTGGCTTTATTCTTAAATGAAGCAAGTTTATGAGCTAAGAAATCTCCTGAATGTTGACTATTAGCTAAAATTTCTGGATACCATAAATAATCAGGATAATTTGGAGTAACTTGTCTTGCTGTAACTAAACCACCAGTTTCATGATCACTGGTAGAAATGGCAACTGTTTCAGTTTCGGTTTCATCAATAAATTTAATAACTTCTCTAAAAGCAGCATCATAAGCTAAAACTTCTCTAACTTGAGCAGCAGGATCATTATGATGACCAGCATGATCAATTCTTGAACCTTCAATTAATAAAAAGAAACCTTTATCGGAATCTTCAGTAGCCTTAGATAAAGCAGTTAAAGCAACTTTAACTTGTTCAGCTAATGATGGATAAACTTTAGAATCACGATCAATATCATAAGGAATATCAGTATCAGCCAATAAACCTAATAAAGGTAAAGTAACATTTTCACCTGATTGTAAAAGATCAAATTGTTCTCTATTACCAACATAACTCCAACCTCCATTAATTTGTGCTTCATCTATTAAATTTCTATTATCAGCACGACAACCACCTGGAATACTACGAGGATAAAAATGACATCTACCACCTCCTAAAATTAAATCAACTGATCTTCCTAATGGATATTCTCCTAATTGATGTTCAGCAATTAAATCTTCTTGAGATCTATAATCAACATGAGAACTGAAAGATGCTGGAGTTGCATCAGTAATTCTTGTTGTAACTACTAATCCTGTATAATACCCTTGTAATTTAAGAGCTTCTAATATAGTTCCACAAGGTTGTTTATTAGGATTAACTCCAATAGCTCCATTATAAGATTTTAAACCACAAGCAAAAGCAGTTGCACCAGCAGCAGAATCAGTTACTAAAGAATTACTTGATCTAGTTCTTGAAGATCCCACTAAATATTTATCAATAGTTAAAATATCATTTATTGGTAATTGATCTCTATATTGACGGAAAGATCTTGCAAGTGATAAAGATGCTGGACCCATCCCATCAGTTACCATAAAGATAATATTTTTCTTCTTTTGAGGATCAACTGTTGTTTGTGGGTTAGATGCATGAGCTGGTGTTGGATTATAAAATAATAAATATCCTATAATACCAATAGCTATAACATTAATAAAGTATGATATATAAGATTTAATACCTCCACATTTCTTAACTTTAGAGTTATATACACTTGAGCTATCACCCCCTAATAAAGGTTGGGTGTCTGTGCTTTTAGACATGATGCTTGGATGTAGTCGGAGTAGAGGAGAGATAGCAATAGGTGAGATTTATTTATTTTAGTGAACATCGCTGCCCACGCGCTTCTGTTATCGCTGGAGTTACGCGGTGTACTAATGTCTCTAATGGGAAGACTAGTATTAATACTGAGACTGAAGAATATGGGGGTTTGGTTATGTAACAAGAGTGTTGACAGAGGTTGAGTAAGTTAACAATTACTCTACGGAAGGGGTTGGTTAATGTAGTAGGTTTGACCAAATAGTATAGAGCTTTAGGATAGATAGTGAATTAATAGTATAATTGAAAGCGTATATATTTGATAGAGTATAAAAACCTAACTATTTCATAAAGGAGGAGGAATCCACCTTACTTAAATAGTTAGCGGAAATCAAGGAGTAGTGTATCGATACGATACACACATAATTGATATGAGGGAATATAAATGGTATAAAGATAAGTGACAATAAAGAGTATCAGTAGTAGTAGATACGACATACCAACTCCTGCGTGTAAGGCTTAATACATACAAATCCTGGCCGACTTGCCATTGAATGTAACGTTAAGGCAATTTCATTAGTAAGAGAATAACCCTGCATTTAGGGGTTTATTCGGGTCTAAATGATACTGTATAAATATACGGTGAATCCCATGAAATGTGGATATTTAGATTTATATAGAATTATGCAATATACAGAGAACGAAATAGACTTAACGTAAAAGACAAGTACGATTACTTGGCTAAAGTCGACCTGTAGCATCATCTTGGTGTTGGACCTCAGTAGATCCTATACTGCGCCAATTGGGCTAGGCACCAAGGTTGAGCTAAACTAGCTAGTTGAGCTAAAGCTCAATTACATCTGTTAGTGACTTTACGACGAAATAGGTTGCCACACGATATCATGCAGTACTGTATATAGATATAAACTCCCCAGTACTTACTCTCTAACACATCGCATTGCAGTTAATGAAACTCGTACAACCGATTTTTGCAGCTCTGAAACATAATAAAAGCAGCATATTTTGAATTTCGAAATTAAGGGATTAAACAATTACTTAGCCAGTTAAATACAAATGTCATACTTTCAGTATCAAATAGAACGCTCAGTCGACTTCTTCTTAAAATTTATAGATGATTCAATTCTAGACTATAACATTATGCAAGATGAGACAAGATTGAAGGACATGCTAACTGAATATGAAAATTTGAGCAATGATGAAAAAAACAATATATCTGAAGCCCGTCCCAAAAGTCATCCTTATGAAGAAGAGTTTCAAAAGTTATGCTTTATGTTAGGTGATTTCACAGTGCTTAAGAATAAAAGCTTATATTTTCACATTGATGAGGATTATGCTAGCTCTAAACAATTTACTGATGATTTGGCTCACATTGCCGAAGGAGCACATTCATTAATCGTTCTGAAAATCTATAAGGATTATAGTAGTTCCCACAGTAACGACTATCAAACTAAACTTAATGCCTTATTTAACAATATTTTTACGTTGTCGCTTACTTTTAATCTCGCTTTATCTACAAAAGAAGAAATTGATCCTACAAGCTTCCCACGGAGAAGAGAGACGCCAGATCATAGAGACGAAGATTTCACAGGTGGAAGTTTGTATGAGAAATATGTTGAAGTTTACCCTCTCATAAAGAAAGTTGATTCCAATAATATTATCGAATCGTTGTTGAATAATACGTTTATCTCCATTTCTGATTTGTTAAATATGGGTATAACATATAATGGTGTCAATCGGATAAACTGTATTGCTTCATGGTTCGAATTCTTTCTTTCTGCAAATGCACTTTATTTGCACAATCTTTCTTGTTTGTTCCAATGCTATGTGAATGAACTGAATTTATTTACAATTAGAAATTTGTTTGATAGCAGTAATAACTATCAGCAATATGTTGAAGCATATTTTGAGTTTGCAACCAATACGAAGATATCTGTTATGTATACAGCTGATCCATTGGGTAGTAGTTTAGAAGATGTTGAGACGTTTGAAGAACCATATGAGTCAAATGTCCATTTCCGAAAGATGATAAATGAAACTACTTATACATGCTTATTTGGAAATGTTGACATTGCATTTATCGTTAGTATTGATTCAATGATTATTTTTGAATTGGATGTGAACGTCAAACCCAAAACTGTCAAGTATGAGGACAGAGTCATTCGATTCATTAGTTGTACAATACATCATGTGTATGCAAAAGATTATAATTTTGCTTTAATTATTGCGGCGTTTGTCCTTACTAGAATCAAAGGTTTTGCAAACGAAGATGATAGAATTTATACGTATAAGAAATCACTACTAATGACAGAGACAGAGAATAATGATATTAACAAATTTAGGTATGATCTTGTTCAGGAATTATGGAAAGATAAATTTTCAATGTTTAATAAAAAGGACAATGCTTATGTCCACAATAAATGGGACGACTTAAAGATCAGTTCGAAGAACTTTAAATTTCTAACGACTTTCAGTCAATTTGAAGATCTTGATCCCAATGATTTCGAGGACATACAAGAACTAGGAGAAGAATTTGGCGGCTTTTCGAGGATGTTCAGAGTTCGACACACGGGAGCTAATAACACAATGGTGTTGAGAGTTTACGACATCAATTATTGTAAGCGGGTTCAAGGAGATACTGCAGACATCGAATTTCGAGTTAGTCTTTCTAAGCTAATAGAATGTTTCTGCCGTGCAGTGCGGGCGTATGTGCATGTTGGCAATGGTCCTACAGGGAAGTATGCCAGATATAATTTAAGATCACACCGATTTCCTTATATTCCGATACTATATAAATGTGGGTCTATCAAATTTGACGATTTATCAAATGTTTCAGGGTTCTATTGCCTTGAAGAGGACTTCGAGAATTTTATGTTGGAATCTAGAAGAAGAAAGGGGAAGATTGTACAATTAGCAGACGAATCGTTGGATAAGTTACATGAAGTCGGTCTTGTGATAGGCTCTCTTGATAAATCCAATATTATATATGATGGAAGTAAGATTATTTTTAATGATTTAAGTTTTGCAGGTATATTGGAATCTAGTCTGAGAGATGATGATCAAGATGAGGATGAGGATATCGTGAGAAGAGGTAGTTATTCGTTATATGACGAGGCGTCTTATATTTATGAAGCTATTGAACAAATATTTCTGGAAGCATAATTTGTATAGTTTTAATTAAGAAATTATTTATTGTGTCGGACAAATTAAGATAGGGTGTGAAACTTAAGAGTAAAATTTAGAATGTTACCCTAATCTACTTAGAAACTGTCTAACTCAATCTATTATTTTGATTTAACTTATAATTATTATATGAATGTATAAGTACTATATAGTTTACAAGCAGAACATACTTGTTTATTGAGATAAAACTATATAAGAGATGCAAGTATAAAAGTAGAGGACTTGTGTAAATATATAGTAATTTAGGATCTAATAATGTTGTGGGCAACTCAGAGATAAGGATAAAGGGCGGCTGAAGTACCGTAGGTGATACGTTATTGGAACATATCTATTTGCAACATATAGGCAAATAGGTCGTGTGCATGACAATGAACCTTCTATATAGCTTAGTTAGTATACCAGTATAATAAATAATTGATAGTTACAATCTTATTCGCAATTTGTTTTTGAATCTTTTAATGGCAGCATGTCTATCCTGGAGAGATTCTAGTCTTTTCAATACAAAACTGGCTATGACTAAGGCAGATGTATAATGTGATTGATTTATATTTAATTTTGTTGTTCTGCACTTTATGGAATTGAGATCATGTTTTATTGAATTTGGATCATCCAGCAAAAAAATATCCATCAATAATAAGCTGTCACGATCAATTAAGAAACACGTCAGCGACAGCCCAAATAACAGTTGATATGTTATTTGGCTGAATATCAGAATGACGTTTTCGTGCATGTTAAACGGAGGTTCAAATGGAATGTTATTAATTCGTTCTGTAACACTGGTAATTACATTTCTTTTGAATTCTATTGTAACCTTCTCTTCTGCTAACTGAATGTAACAATCTGGTTTGACTCGACACCCCAGGTCACTGTCTTTTATTGAATTTTCGTATAATATAGGAACTTTAAAGAGTTCAAGGAGTAAACGGAGATAAAATGATTCTGAAGCTTTAACGAGGTCGTTCTCACTGACGATGTAGATTGGATTCAGAAATATTGGCGTCAAAAAGTCGACATCTGTTAACATGAAAATAGGAATTTTCAAACTATTTACAATTCTTGAAAGGTAGGAATCTTGAATTGGTGTTTTTGTAATTGGAAAAATTTTTGAATAATGATTATATAGTTTTGTAGTTGGTTTATTTATATGTCCCACTCTTTCTCCTACTCTGGAGGTTTGATTAAAATTGAAAATTATGGACAAATAAAAAATATTCTTTAATAATGTTTTAACTTGGTCAATAGAAAAATTTAAACCTTCCTGATAGGGCCTGTAGTGGTCGTTCACACTTCTTACTATGGAATCTCTTCCAATGCGAATAATATAGTTTATGTCTTTGGAAAATGCAACAGATTCTATATAATCCAGCTGTAATCTCTCTATTGAACTTTTTCCTTTCATTACTCTGAAATCAGCAATCAAGAAGCATAATAATTGATATTGACCGTCATTTTGACCATGTCTTGGGCCAATATTAAGTCTTTGATTATCGTCTAAAGCTCTGTATCTTTCATTCATTTCAGCTAAAGCACTTCGATCTTCCATAATATCAACTTGAAGGTACAGTCTCCTTCCAAGTATGTTCAAGAAATGACGAACTGAATCTTCTATCAAAGTGTCAAAAGTTATATTCATGTTTGATATTACGACTTGTAAAAGCTGCTAAACGCCATGTTGCGAAATTTTTTTTGCTACAATGTGCACAGGTCATATACTTTTGTCTTTTAACTACTAACAATGACCGTTAACGCGCATTCACAGATGAGTTTGTTTCCGATTTGTGCCAAATGTGAGAAAAGTAGTGAACAAGAAACACCATGTTGCTGAGAAATATACTATGAAAGTTGTTGAAGAAATAGTTATTGAACAACACACACATCAACAGGGTAAGGTACTATCTTCACTGTCTAATTACTTCTTCACTCCATTACTGACTCTAATCCACTAGTCTCCTACTGACTTCACTAGTGTCCCCCCCACAGTATTGCAAAAAGTGAATTTTACCTGCACCCAAATAGGTAAACAAACATTTTGTGCGCGTGAGCCAACACTAACATAGTTAACATAGTTAGCACTTCACTAACCTAGTTAACACACAGTTAACACTTCACTTACACAGTTAACGCTTCGCTTACATAGTTAACACACAGTTACGCTTCACTAAGTTGGCAAACCGGCTACAGTAAATTAAATGTACTAATAGTAAATAAGATTACACACAGTATATTAACACTACCTACATTATTTCTCTTCTCTAAAACTCATCAACAATAACAGCATCTTCACTAGTAATATCTTCAGCAATAAGTTTACCTATAGACAAGTCCATAATTGAGAGTCCCACGATCTTTTGAAGTATCACGTTACTAGGTGAAGTATACTTTGAAGCATCTTTTAACTCTAAATTATACAATTCAACAATATCTATTAATTGTGATTCAGAGATATCAGCTTGAATTAGTTCACCAGCTTCTTGTAATGTATGCTCCTTAGAGTCAACAATAATACTTGTATCTTTAAATTCACTCTTAATGAAATCTAAATCTAACTCTATCATATTTGGCTTGTAAGATCCTATCAATGATATAAATTTAGGATACCTACTATCCTTATTAATATATGAATTCTTAATTACTGCATTAGTAGATGGAGTACACCCAAATATTATAGAACTATTTTGAATATGAGGTACAAATTCTAAATCATCATCATCATTATACAGATAACTATTGAATTGTACCAGGGGAAATTCAGATTTCAAATTAGTTGCTAAGATCTCAGCATTCTTTAAAGTTCTATTCATAATATTTACTGATGTAATTGATTCCTTATATATTATTAAGGTTAATTTTAGATGCCAGTAAGCTTGAGGTCCAACCCCAAATACTGTTAATTCCGGTAAAATTTTTGACTCATTATATTTTATAACTTTACTTAATCCTAATGTACTTGCTAATGCAGTTCTAAATGCAGTAGAAGTATTTGCATTCATAATGGCTCTTGCTGATCCTGTAATCTCATCTAAAATTAACATACATCCTTGAAACCCTAATCCTTTGGAATTATTCCCAGGTCCACCACTTATAACTTTAATCCCCACTTCAGATGGTGAGATACATGGCATGAATAAATGTGTAGTATCTGAATTTGCATTATTTGATAACTGTACAACTCTTGGTGGGATAATCTTTTCAGGATTTGCAGCATAAACTGCAAGTCCAGAGAGCAAAGCAGGTTGAAACTTTTCAAGGATCGTATTACAATCCAAGTGCTTCTCTAAATACTTCTTTACGGCCTTATCTGATATGACTTTCATTGGTACTGGTTGATTTAGTTGAAACCTGGGGAAATCAGAAAGTGAAAAAAAAAATGTTATACCGACGAAGGACACTCGCTCCGATTCCGCTCGCTTGTTATAACCCTAATTGTGTAATCGTCAATAATCGTTAATTTCGTTATAATATATAATCTATGTAGAGTTTCTATAGAATTAGTCTTAGACTTTGGCTATCAGTACTTCATGACTCCAATCATCTTGTTCTTTTTGATTATGGGAGGTTAATTGTTTAACATAAGATTCTCGAAAAGTCTTGATCTTCTTTAAAATATCAATACCTTCTTTATTCTGAGGCTCTCCAATTAATTCATTTAAAACAATTTCCTCTAATTTGTTGACTACTGAATAATGCGTCAATCTTACATTTTCATCATTAGCTGCATAATTCAAATTAGAGATTTGATGTTTTATGGAAATTTTCTTTAAAGTTGATAATGTAGGAGATCTAGAATTAGTTGACAATTCTTGAGATATCTTATTTTGAAATATATCATGATTGCTAACTTCAAGAAATAATGTTTGTAGTTGATTTAATTCTGATCTGTGTGTCTCGAGAATCTTAGATAATATGCTTTTATTGTTTTCAGTAGAAGATTCCCAAATTAAGAATGAAGATTGTAAGTTACCCAATTCTTCAATATAATGAGAAGAATCGTAATCCTTACCATATTCTAGTTCAAATCTCCATACAATTCTCTCATAAAATGGTGATAATTTCTTTAATTGTATTAATGGGTAATAAGAGGAATGAAAATATTGTTTTAAATTCATTTCAATATGTGATTGTTTCTTTAAATCATGATATTTCTTTAATAATATAATATTAAACTGAACTTGATGTATTGGATTATCCCATTTCTTAACTAATTGAACAATATCTATTGGACTCTTATCTAAATGTTTGAAATTTGGATTTAATATTATATCCGTCAAACATTTAAATGATAATTTATTTTGTGAATATAAAATTTCCATCAAGTCAAACAATTTCTTTTCTTGATTAACTGATTTAATAAAATTTGATAATTCATGTAAAGTCATTTGAGATAAGTTGATATTCAATTTATTGGATATACTAGATACTTTTATCCCTAATAACAAACTACTAACATATTGACTTGTTAAATCAGTACTTGTAGTATTTACAATGCTAGGAGGAATAAAATCTTCTGGTTTAAATTGTTCAGCGGCAGAACCCTTAGTTAAATTATTGAATAATGAAGGTTTATAATTGTTAGGTGGTGGAGATCCCTTTGGTGATAATAAGTTTAAAGCATCAGCCAAAATAACATTCACATTTTCATTTTTATTATTTTTATGATTACTAGAGAGGTACCGCACAAGAGCAGTCAATGAGCTCTTCATCGGATGAATCTTTGACATTAGTATAGGGTATAACTTAATGGATAGTAGTAGTATAATCGTCAAGGCTTGATGATCATGTTAGTAAGTTTTTGCTCAGATAATCGGTAGAGCGTACACGACCCGTCGCTTAGTGTACTTTTTCCATTTCTGCGGCATGGGTTTTATTTTCCTGGCTCAATTCGGTACTAATTGGGGAGGTAGAGGAGAGAGAGAATGGGGGAGAAGATGATCTAGATTTGGATATAATTAATTACGAGGTTTAACGACGATTATTGGACGAGACAATTGAGGAGATATTAGGGGGTTAATAGCAGAGTTGTAGGGATAGTAAGATGATTAGCAATCAAAAAATTATTAGTCTTGCTACTAAGTCTAATTAACATGGTTGCTTTGTATTGTTGTAAAGCCACGACAGCAGCAATCTTTGTTGACCGTTGAGAAGAAGAAGTTGAAGGAGATGTGGAATGGACACTATCTGTATGGTACGGCACGAAATTTTGATGTAAGGTTTACTATTACAATTACTATTTCTACTTAACTACTATAGTTAAATGGTGCGATGCGGTTATATGTCCCAATTGAGTAGATATGTCTATGGAAATTTACTACGCTTCTTATCTATGGCATTGCGATGTGGAGCAAAGGAATAATGCCTGTTTTGGGCAAGAATATAAATAGAATTTTTTTTTTTCATCTCTAATGCTGCGCAGCTGCCTCAGTAATTAACTTTTTTTATTTGTGTTAGCGTTGTGGATCAGCTGGATTTGGCTGAAATTTATAGGAATTTTAGGCTTAGACTAGATATTAGCTGGATTATATAATTAGTTTAATATTCTTCTTATTAGTTCTTATTAATTTAAGAGATTATCTGCTTTGCGATTGTTCATTCAGGTGAATGAACTTGTATCTGCATCAGTAGTATCTCAATATAAAAGTTGCGCACTCAAATAAGGTAATTAAAATATGGGTTCGGAGAATGATAGCTTATTGCCGCATGGTAGAAATAATACTCCTATAAATCCTGAAGGTCTTACTAATTTAGAGACAGCTATTAATGATGTTTATGAGGCCATTATTGATGAAGATCATGAATATGATAATTCTACTAATGAAGATATAATATGGTTAAGAGAACAACGAAGTCTTAATAAGACCCTTCATTGGTTTAAAAGGCCAAGTGTAATTATGATATGTTTAATATCTTTCATAGTTAGTATGGCAACATCTAGTGCAGAATCGACTCGTCAAGTAATATCTTTAAAATTGGCTTGTAATTATTTAAGTAATGGTACAGGAACTTGTGATCCAACTAGTGCTCAATTATTACTTTCAAATCTTCAAATGAGTTATAGTGTTTGTTCAGGAATTATTACTTTAATTGCTCTGGGGAAAATAGGTCCATTATCAGATCAATATGGAAGAAGATTATTTCTTATAACTACTGTAACTATGTTTTTCATTGGAAGATTTCTGAAATTCTTATTAATGTATCACTATAATTCTTTAAAATTTATTCCTATGGTTTTACTTGAAATTTTAACAAATTCTGCTGGTGGTGTTTTAGCTTTAGTTGCTTTATCAAATTGTTATATATCAGATGTAGTAGAACCTCATGAAAGAATTTATTCATTAGGTTTAGGAATTGCAGCTTTATTTATTGGATTAAGTAGTGGTCCATTAATTGGTAATTTTTTATTATCTTTAACAACTAAAATATCTAATAATTTACTTGATGGAAATTCAACTATATCTCATGGAGAATTTTCTCCATTAAAATTTGAATTATTATTACTATTTTCAGCCGTTTTATTTGCAGTATTTATTCTTCCAGAATCTAGATCAGAAAAAGCTAGAAGAAAATCAAGAAGTTTGTCAATAAGTCTGAGTTCTTCATTAGTCTTACCACTTGTAGAAGTGGAAGAATCGAAACTTCAAAAGTTCTTACAACAAATTAATTTCTTAAAACCATTGAATTTATTATTATTACCAGATGAGATTGTTAATCGTCAAAATAAACAACGAATTAAAAGAGATCGAGCATCTGTTCTTCTACTTGTGGTTGCCGATTGTGTATTAACAGTTACAAGTATGTCACTTGGAGAAATTAATATCTTGTATGGTATTTTCCATTTCAATTGGAATCAAAGAGATATTGGACATCTTTTAGCAGTAGGATTTGCTACTAAAGCAACAGTATTAATTATATTATGTCCATTAATTAATCATAAAATTCTTCAGAAAACTTTTGGATTTAAAGTTTTGAAAAAACAATTCGATATGGTTGATTTTTCAATGGCTTATATTGGATTAGCTTGTGAAGCATCGGGATTATTATTATTAAATTTCATGCCTACTACTCATACATTCTTTGCCGGTATAATGTTATCAGCATTTGGTTCATTAGCTTCACCAGCTTTAAACTCATCGATTATTAAATTCTATCCAGAATCAAAGATTGGGGAATTGTTTGGTGCAATAGCTCTTGTTAAGAATTTATTAAGTATTCTTGGACCAGTAGCATTTATTTCTTTCTACAAATATGCTTTAGAAGTTTGGAAGAAACCAGGAATTGTCTTTGTGGTTGCTGGTACAATCATGATGACTAATTCGTGTATTGTTTGGATTGTAAAGAGAATTCTAAACTTAAATAGACATAGCGAACCTGAATTATTAACAAGAAGTAATTCAATGGTATCATTAGTTGAAGAAGGATTTCCTGAAGAAAGTACTAGTGCACCTACCACACCCAAGCAACCAAGTTTTGCTGAACTTCATAGAAAAAACAGTGCTATCTTTAAGGAAAGATCCAATCATGATTAATTAACGTATACCCTATATACCCTAAGATGTATATATACCATAAGATGTATATATACATATATAAATCCCATATGTCACTATATATATATATATAGTATTCTCTTAGTACTCTGCCTATATCTACTTATAAATTTAATATATTTGTGTCTGTCTGTCTAATTCGTATGTCCATTTTTTGCAATCTGTCGCACAGCTTCCGCTCGAAAAAAAGACATTTGGCCACAAGTGACTATCAGCCATCAAAGTACAATTCCATTAACCATCAGCCGTTCCCATACCCATTCTTCTAATAAGATAGATGAATTGAATTGAATTGAATTGTTTGTCAATGAAACATTCAATAGTTCATCCTATCTATTTTGTACTATTAAGATTTTTTGCAGTCTTATTAGCCTTAACTATTATATTTTACTTACTTAATATAATAATTTTCAACATCATATCTTCAGTATATCCATTGATAGAAGTAATACCAAAGCCTAAACAACCACCACAAAGTTCACCAAATTCTCCGAAATTTTACGGAAATAAACTAGACATTAGTGAACTTAATCCAAAGAATAATCTATTTTCTCGTGCAAGATCAAATTCACCATTTGCAGAAGATTCAGATTACGATTACGATTACGATAGTGAAACTCAAGATAATTTTAATCCATCATTTGTTGTTCCTAAAGAATTTTATAGTAATTTGAATAATAGTTCACAATATTTACGAAGAGATAGTTTTTCTCAATGACTCAAGTATATTTTCCCAATGATTTAATTAGATTATGTAATAAATCTAGTGGGGGTCTTTATATGGTAGGGTATAAGTATAATAATATATATGTGGTTGTACAATTATATTCTTATGAAATTCAATTAAAACATTTACCACAACATTTGAATGGATTACATATCATTGGAACTATAAATATACCCAATCCAAATTATGAATTACAATTATCAATAAAAGATAAGTTACCATATTTCCTTACCGAAACTAAGGATTCATTTATTATCGTCTTTGAACCTCCAAATTTCAGGAATTTGGAATATTTTTCAATCGATGCTATTCTCCTTCAATCTACTGGTAAGGAATCAGTCAATCCTAAGAAGAAGGAATTAATAGAAAAGTTGGAAATAGTAGAGCCATTAGCTGGAAAGAAATCAGATCCATCATCTAGTTTTATATCTGATGATGTGATATTGGAAAAGATTAATTTAGTACTTAAGGATAGATTAGATTTAAAAGTATGGAATAAAGAACCAGGAGATATTGTTAATGTATCGAAATACTTTAATTCTATAATGCATTCCTGTTTAGGGCCCATCATTTTCTTAGTCAAATCACTTCAAACTATAATCATATTCTTTATAAAACTAATTAATTATGAGATTTATTCATACAGTTTAGTAACGATTTCTCAAGTATTTCGACAACTTGATCTTCGATTACAACAATTAAATTATTTCCCTATTCAATTCTTATGTTATCAAAACAAGAATTTATTATATGGAGAATCAAAATTATTATATGAATTAAAATTACCAATTTTTAATGCTAATTTAAATATTAATAATTCCAATTATATTAATTTATTTAATTCACTTTGGTTAATATTTAATGATATAGTATTTGGAATAACTATGTATAAACTTATATTTGAGAATTATGATATAATACTTCGAACATTAAATGAAGATTTTATAAAGAAATATTTATTTTCAGAAGTTTTAGATATAATATCTTGGATATCAGTTAATCATCCAGCCGGATTTAAATTAAATATAGAATTAGGACAATTTATGGGAGATTTATTTGGATGGACTTTAAAATTCTGGAAATTTTTAGTTTATGATGCTATTCAAAATCTTTCCCCCAGATTTAGACATCAATTATTCTATATAATTAATTTATTACTTAAGATTCTATGTTATACAGGAGGATTATCGTTTTTATTAGGATTTTTTATGGATATGATTAATATACTTACAATTCATATTTATTGTTTTTATTATACATCTACTAAGATATATAAAAGACAATTAGATATTATAAAATCATTATTTCAATTATTTAGAGGTAAAAAGTATAATGTTTTAAGAAATAGAATTGATAATTTAAATAATTATGAAGATGATGTTTCAAGTTTTGAAATAGATCAATTCTTACTTGGAACTTTATTATTTATGATATTAATTTTATTATTACCAACAGTATTTGCATTTTATCTTATGTTTTTTACTATACAATTATGTGTATTAATCCTGAAAAATTTCCTTGAAAATGTTCAAATATTAGCTAATTTTACGCCTATGTTTGTATTATTATTAAAATTAAAGAATTCTAATCGATTACAAGGAGGTATAACTTTTAAATTTCTTGAAATTAAGAATTATACATGTTATTTAAAGTTATCAAATCTTTCATTATCTTATGGAGAAATTCTTGTTAATTTTATAAAACTATTCACAGATTCAAAAACTTTTAGAGATTCATTAATTCAATTCTTCTTACAGGGAGAATTGATCTCTATAAAGCATAATTATGTTATGAAATTTCATTATTTGATGCTTCCAGAAGTTTATGATAAGACTGTTAATATTTGGCAGTATCTATAAATATTTATCTCATATATTAATCAAACCCTAATAAAACTAAATAATAATAACAAAAATAAGATGTAAAAATCCATATAAATGATGAACTGAAATTTATGAAGAACTGGCTAATGAAAGCTCAGAATTGCTTCTGATTAAAAGTTCTTCATTAGTGTATCTATTTAACCTTAAAACTTTCTTAATTAAAAAGTATATAGCTGCATATCCAGCACTCATCCAAGCATATAAAACAAATGTAACAGTGGAGAAATCATTACGTAACCCCCATTTATATAATCCCATCATAGCAATTGGCAGGAAAACATTAAATACATTTTGAACCATAGCTATAGCTCCAAATAATTCACCAGTTTTTGAACTAGGAAAAAATTTAAGTAAAGCTGATGTAACAGCTGGAGATGTTGGAGCTGCTACCTCTAAAAGGGCAGCGGCTCCATACATTTGACTAGTAGTTTTAGCTGATGCAAGTACAATATATGAAAAGATTTCAATAATTCTTCCCCATATAATCATACAAAAATCTACCATATCAAGTTGTTTCTTAAGTACATTAAGTTTAAAATATTTCTTTAATATACTTAATATAATTGGAGATACTACCACTAACATAAAAGAAGCTGTACAACATAAAATAGTAATTAAATAACCAATTTGTACAGTATTCATATCAAATCTAAAAATTGAATATTGAACAAGAATTTGTCCTAAAGTTAAATGAGTACTAACAAAGATTGTAGTAAGTGATATCATAGTAATAACAACAAATCTATGTCTAGTAGCCACATGCTTCTGACTTTGAGGTATAAGACTATCAGGATAAGTTAATAATTTAAGTGGTTTAAAAATGTTCATGTATCTAATAACCTTTTCAAAAACAGTTGGTTGTTCAATAGCTCTAAGTTGATCAATAACATTATTTGATTTATTAGTAGTAGCTATTGAACTAGATCTTGATTTACTTCTTGCCTTTTCACCTCTAGATTCTGGAAATACAAACACTGTAAAAATACTAACAATAATTAAGACAATTACTTCAGCTCTTAATGGAATTAATTGACTAGGAGAAACTACAGTACCAACTTGAGCACTATTCTTTGGAACTATATTTACATCAATTTTATCAATTCCATTACCAAAAATATTTATTAATAAATTAGCAATAACAGGTCCAACACCTTGACCAATCATAATGGCAGCTTGAACCAATCCAATAGAAAAAATTCTTTGATGAGCTTCAACGACATCAGTAGTATAAGATTGAATTAAAGCTATAGTAGAAGATACACCTCCAAACAATGAAGAAAATATTACTGCTAAAATTAATGGAATAAAAGGAAGTTGAGTTGATCTTGTAAATAAATAATAAGTTACAATTCTTTGAATTGTATAAGCAACTACAAATAAAGCGATAAATATTTTACGACCATATTGATCCAGTAATTCACCAATTTTTGCTGATACTAAACAAGGGATTAAACTATCAAAAATTAAAGAATATTGAGTATAATTTGAAAGTAAAACTTGAGCTTCAACTGGATCACAAATTCCATCTATTGCAACACTATTACAACTTAATTGATAAAGAACTACCAGTTCAGCTCCAGCACTTAAAGTTGACAGAAGACAAAACACTCCTCCCAAAAAACAAGCATGTAAAACACTTGGTCTATAAATCCAATGTAAAGTTTTATGTTTAGCTAATTCTTCTTTAAACCAAAGGGCATCTTCATCAAGATCTTCATCTTCTTCATCATCAATGACTGCTTCATATACATCATTAACGGCAGTTTCTAAAAGAAATTCTCTTTCTTCATTGGGTGAAAGTCCACCAATATGTGTATCAGCCATTTGCCCCCCAGTCACTACTCAATAGTTACTTCAAATTTATAAAAAGGATCAAAAAAGTTGTTTAAATATAAAAATATATCTATTAATAAGCCCTGAATCTACCATTTTTCCGTACGGCACCAGCTTATATAAGCCGCGATAAGGCGCTGTTAAATCCGTTTTCGCAGCTTAAACGGCTATCGTATATTTATTCTATATTGTTTTAATAGTATTGTGTATTGTGTATTGTGTATTGTATATATTGCACGTATATCGGTATATCATGTATTTTATTTTATACTAAATCCTCATTATATAGTTATTATTTATTCTTTATTATTTATATTATTTTATATTATTAAATTGTATTATATTAAATTAATTAAATTATATAAAATTATATCACCACAAACCAAAATCACAGAGTGCTCTTATATATCTATATATGTATAAGAGCATAGAACTAAAATATGAGAGAAAGAGTTTAATCATCTCTTAAAGAACCAAAGGAAACAGAAGAACTTCTTCTAATTAAGTCTTGTTCTCTAGTTCTTGTAGTCAAGTTCATTATTCTCTTAACAAGAAGAATAACAACAATATAGATAATATTAGGTAAAGCAAAGGCTAAATAAGTATATTGTGGTGTACCAGCACCAATAAAATACTTATAGAGACTCAACATAAGGATAGGAGTTATCAAACCTAAAAGACTCAGTAATAAAGAAATTGCACCAAAGAATTCACCAGTCTTAGAAACTGGGAAAAATTTTAAAAGTGCAGCACTTGCAGCCGGACCAGCAGGTGCAGCTAATGCTAATACAGCAAATGAAGCATAAAATTGATTACTTGTTGTTACTAATGCCAATGATATATATGCTATAACATCGAATATTCTTCCTCCTACCATTAATGAAACATCAATTAAATCAATTTGATGTTTCATAACTCTAAGTTTAAACACTTTGGGTAATATAGTCTTTGAAATAATAGGGGCAATGAAAATAAGTACCATGGCAGATGAACTTGAATAAACAGTTAAAAAATATCCAATATTTGTGGAATCCCAATTGAAACGAAGGAGACCATATTGAATAGATATTTGACCCATGGCTCCGGCCGCACTATTAATCAATACAGTAGAAACTATTATAAGTAACACAACAAATCTATTTCTTTTGATATTTTGCCTTTGATGAGCCGGTACAATATCTGAAGGGTAAGTTAATAAATAAAGTGGCTTAAAGATATTGAAGTAACGATTGAATTTAGTCCAGAATGTTGGAGCTTCTAAAGTCCTAAGTTGTTGTAAAGCATTTACATCAGAAGCCATAGAATTGGCTCTAGATTTACTTCTTGCTTTTTCACCTCTTGATTCAGGAAGGAGAAACAAAACATACGTAGTCATGAGTACAATTAGAACCATTTCAATTCTTAATGGAACTAATTGTCTCTTTGGAATATCAGCAAAAGTATCTACAAGTTTGGATTGTATTGATGCAACTGGTAATCCAACATGTTTACCATCTTCAATTGGAATAAAAGATACTATTAAATTAGATACAATTGGACCTAATGCTGAACCAGTTAATATAGCAGCATTTACCAACCCAATGGAGAAAGATCTTTCATGAATATCAACAACATCAGTGACATAAGATTGAATCATAGCTATCAAGGGTGGTATACCACCAAAAGCTGAACAAAGGAAATCAACAATTAAAAGTGCTCGAAATGGCAAAGTAGTCGATTTTGTAAAAAGAATATAATTTATGACTTTATGAACGCAAACAGATGTAAAAATCATTCCAATGAAAGGTGTTCTACCATAACGATCAGATAATTCACCAAATTTACCAGATACAACAATGGGTAAAATACCACTAACTACCAATTGAAATTGATTGAAAGTTGAAAGAAGGAGTTGAGCCGCAACGGGATCACAAATTCCATCCTTTGCCACACTATTACAACTTAATTGATAAACTACAACTTGAGAAGCTGGAGATCCAATTGCAGATGCGATTGAGAAGAAGAATAAAGCTACACTAACAAGAACCACTGAAGGTCTATAAAGCCAATTCAAATTCTTATGTTTTTGAAGTTCTTCTCTAAACCAAAGAACATCTTCATCCACAATTTCATTGTCTTCTAATTCATCTTCATCTTGAATCACAGCTTCATATACATCATTAACTGCTTCTTCTAATAAATACTCCCCTTCTTCATTCTCAATGTTAGTAATTTCGTTCATATCGGATACTAAGGTGGTTCAATTACCAACTTATTATTAGTAAAAAGGCAAAAGTCCTTAGTAATATAAATTAATTTCAATGCTCATCCCTTTTGCGATATATGCAAGAGCTTATATATTATCTTTGGGGGGGTTACTGTAATCAGAACTGTGTACGGCTCCATATTTTCTAAATATTGAAAAGTTTAGATTCCGCTCCGGTCGAAGCTCCCGATCGGGAAAAGTATTTTTCCATGCGTCTTTTATATGTATATTTGCGTTCTATTAAAGTAATGTAAATATAGAACAACAATGTATTTCTCCTGTAATATTTACATTATTTTGATCTACTACTTATATATTGTTTAGGTAGTTGTAATGTTCAATATATCAAAATAAAATATAGAATTTTAATGGTTGTATTGCTATTTGTAATCGCAATCGGCAACGGAAATGTTGCTGATACGGGGTGCTGCGGATTATGTAATCGTGTGCTTACCCAATTAGGTATAGATACAGATAGACACAGATACATACAGGATCATGATAATAATCCAGGATTCTACCATAAAACAGGTCTATAATGTTTTCACAAGGAAGTTTCTTAAGTTTCATGAAGCTATTTTTATAATGACTTGCAATTTGGGATATAGTTAATTTTATTATAAGAAGTTTGTATTTATTGTGAAACAGAATAATTAACCTACATACAGCACTGAACTGCTGTTACTGTTTTATTTAGAATATTTACGTATTTTAGATTTTGTTAGACTGGACCGACATATAATAGCTATACCTGGAATAATATCCCTATTTATATAAATCGAAAGTAATGAAATGGGCATTTAGTATTAGTCAAAATGCTGTTATATCAGATAAATTTGGTCGTGTCTGTGGCGAAATACCGATTTCATTCTTTTCTTGATGTATTTTTTTTCCTGCCCCTCTAAGCTGCAGCTGCAAAAAAATAGCGAAGAAGGATCGTTACATAAGTAATTGAATTAGATAAAATAGATTTTTACCTTTTATGTTTAAGAATGAACAGAATAAGTGGTATCGTGTATATTACCATGCCTAAATCACCTAAAGTAGGTGCTAGGTTGTAATCCTTGGCTGATGGAATTTAAATTTTAATTCAAATTATAAACCACTTGAATCAATTCATTCGTCCAAAATTGAAATCTCATACACAATTAACTCTGTTTACAGTAGACAACCTAGAGAACCATAATGGTTGCTTGAAGTAATAACCAAGAGTTGTGAAAAGAAAGATTTGTTTAATTTACTTTGGGCCATAGATGTAGTACGTAGACAGAAACGAATATGAAAGTTTAATCTTTTATAATAAAACAAATTTTCAAATATAGTTATTTTATAACCTATAACTGGTTTCCATCGGAAAGGATTATATAGTCCATATATATCTTCATTTCGTTCTTTTTAGTTATAAAACAATTCCGGTCAATGAACATTTCCAGTCTGAGGAGACGGCACAAAATCTACACATAAATAGCTTAGGGTTATACACCTATTTGTTTGTATTTTCACGTGATTCGGCTAATAGTCTCATTTTCCTGTATACATGTTCACCCATAGTTAAGATAAACGATCTCTTTTCCTACGCACTCAAAACTACTAAGGAGTATTACTATAAATTCTTAACTATGGGGTTCGCACTCTAGATCCAAGCCGCAGTAATCAATCAACTCCACTAACAATTTCTCCCATAGTAACAAAAAATTTTCAGCTACAGCGCAGCAGCAGCTAGTAAAAAAAAAAGTTGGTTCATTAAAATTTCTTTCTTTATATTGTTGAATAACTAGAGAAAGGACATAGATATTAAGAATTAAGAAAGATGTCATTACCAGCTTCCTTTGACTTGACTCCTGAAGATGCTAAATTATTATTAGCTGCTAACGTTCACTTAGGTTCTAAGAACGTTCAAGTATGTTTTACTGATTGATTATGAAAGACACATTGAAAAAGAAAGAGGATTCCATGTTCACCATTTTCAGGTTGGGAATGAGTAATTCACGAAATGTAGAATCATATAAGTATTAAAGTGGGATTGAAAAAGAATCAAGAGCCGTCAGGTTCTAAACTTTTGAAAGACCCAAGTGTTCAAACCTTCAAGATCAAACCCGTGAAAATATTGAAAAATTATCTTCAACACATTAAATCAATATCAATGATAACTACTACGAATTCAAATATTGTAGATCCAATAAAGAATAATATCATACAAATACCCATAATCAAATATGTCCAATCATCTATTCACTCACTACTACAATTTGAATAGATCTGTAACAATATCCTCACTAATTACTATATTATAATCAGCATAATAGAAGATTAATTTAACTTAATATTCACTTTCTTACAATTCATGTGTCTCATAAATAAATAACCAATATATACTAACAATTATTCTAGGTTCACAACAAACCATACGTCTACAAGACCAGACCAGATGGTGTTAACATCATTAACATTGGTAAGACTTGGGAAAAAATTGTCTTAGCTGCCAGAATCATTGCTGCTATCCCAACCCCATCTGATGTTGCTGTTGTTTCTTCTAGAACCTTTGGTCAAAGAGCCGTCTTAAAATTCGCTTCTCACACTGGTGCTACCGCTATTGCTGGTAGATTCACTCCAGGTAACTTTACTAACTATATCACCCGTTCTTTCAAAGAACCAAGATTAGTTGTTGTTACTGATCCAAGAAGTGATGCTCAAGCCATCAAAGAATCATCTTATGTTAACATTCCAGTTATTGCTTTAACTGATATGGATTCTCCATCTGAATACGTTGATGTTGCTATCCCATGTAACAACAAAGGTAAACACTCTATTGGTTTAATCTGGTGGTTAATTGCTAGAGAAGTCTTAAGATTAAGAGGTATCATCCCAGACAGAACTACTGAATGGTCTGTTATGCCAGATTTATACTTCTACAGAGACCCAGAAGAAATTGAACAACATGCTTTAGAAGAATCTAAGGCTACTGAAGAAACTGAAGAAGCTGAACCTGTTGAAGCTGAAACTGAATGGACCGGTGAAACCGAAGAAGTTGACTGGGCTGATTCTGGTGCTACCCCAGCTGTTGAAGATGCTGCTGCTTCTAACTGGTAAATGTTGTAAATTTAGTACTAACCCTTTCCCCCCCTCCTTCATTCCATGTTCATTTATATAAATAAAAATAATGTTCTATTATTTCTCTTAATATAGGATCATCAAGCCATTTATAATATATATTAAAAAGATCTATAAAGTAATTATAATTATATGACATTTATTGTAGTAAGTTAATTAATATTAAATTTAGTTTAATATACCTTAGTTAAACTAACAGTTCTACACAATTTTTCAGATGTTTTGTTACCCGGAATCATACCTGAGCTCTTTGGTTAAAGAAAAGTTTTTCCATACAAAATGTATGGTAATACATTTGATTATTCCTTTTAAAAAGTATTATTTGATTACCAACGGATAGTGACTTAACAAAATCAAAACCATCCTAGCTGGTGGTATCGCTCGCTTGAAACAGTTTACTGTGAATTGTGGTTCATACCTTTTAAACACCGAATTTCGTTCTGAAGTTCATCGTTTAAATATCATGAATAGATATCATTTCAGTGCCCCCCTTTTTAAGAATGTTTCTGGCTTTGATTCGAGGGTTTTCTTTGAATCGATTTTGCCATCGATGGAAACTTTCAATTTTCTACTTTTGTTTTGAGGATATCGTTTTGTTTTTACTAATGTTGGTTCATCCCATATCAACGGACCCGGTTTATCGTGTGCTTACTTTTAAATACAATAGAACTTACACTTCATGCCCGGGTTATATTTAATTTTATTCTTATTACTATTTATCTCTATTCATTTTTATATTTATATCCAATCTTAACTATGCTAGTGTATTCTTAGTCTTTGTATGTGACTTGTCTGAAATTGAACTAACTTGAATAAGCCCCCCATCGTTGAGAAGCGTAACGCGTAAAGTTTTGAAGACGAACAAAAACGTTTAAATTCCAAAACAAAACCACTACAAGCGAATAGAAAAATTATAACAACTTAACAGTTGATAACATAACCTAGTTGGGTAAGATTGGGATCTGTTACAGACACCCTTGTACTAACAAATAAATATATAAATTAATAATATAATATTAGTATAAAATAATAATGACTCTAGGGCAAAAGTTTCAAGAATTCTTTTATTCGTTGACAACCAACGATAAATATTCCGATTATGATTCTAGTAAATCTTTTAATAGAGTTAATAAACCAGATTCTGAAAATAATCTTTTATATTCTCATCATAATCAATCAGTTCAAGCATTAATTGTAGATGATAATGATTTAGATGGTAATTTTTATAATAAATCTACATTAGAAGGAGTTCATGAAGTTAAATTAGCTTGGAGACATATAAAAAATTGGTTAGATAAAAATTCACCTGATCTTGCAAAGACTTTACAAGATAAATGTACAAATTCTGATTTAAATGATTTTCAAAAAGATTTAAAAATTAAATTACCTCAAAGTGTTATTGAATTTTTTAAATTAACTGATGGTCAATCAACTATTGGAAATAATGATAATGATATTAGTGGATTAATTTTTGGATTAAAATTAATGACTTTAGATGAAATTGTTGGTGTAACTGAAAATTGGAGAAAAGTTGCAGAAATATTACATAATGAATTAAGTCAATTAAAGCAATCTAATAAATTAAATGAATTATCAAAATTGAAATTAACTCATGCTAATGATAATCAAATATCTAAAAAATTAAGTGGTAGTGAAACTGAAACTTCATCTACAAAGACTTCAATAGATATAGTTGATTCATTATCAGCAACTTCAAGTACAACTATTACTAGTTCTGGTAATAATAAATCATCTATAGTATCTCAACAACAAAGATGTATACCGCCAGGATCAATTCATGAAACTTTTGCTCATCCAATGTGGATTCCATTAATTACTGATGAAGTTGGAAATTATATTGGAATTGATTTATCACCTCCTCCAAATGGATCAGGAAATTGGGGTCAAGTTATATTATTTGGAAGAGAATTTGATTTTAAATTTAAAATTGCTGATAATTGGGGAGATTTCTTATTAATTTTTGCTAATGATTTAGAAAGTGGGAATTGGGATTTAAAATATAATAAAAGAAATAATGATAGTGATTTATTTGTTGGTGAAGAAGGTGATTTAGTATTTATTGATAAATTTAGTAAAAGAGAAATTCCTTATTTTGATGTTTTAAAGGCAAGAACTGTTAAGAAATGGACTTGTTCATTACAAAATTCTGATGATATACCTTTATCAAAGGAAGTTTCTAATTTAATAAATGAATTGAATTTAACTAATGGATCTATTTTAAATTTATCAAGTAATTATAATTCAATTGATTCATTTATTAATGATAATTTGACTGTAATTGATGAAATTGATGAAAATTTAAATAAAAATAAGTCAACCCCTACTCCTCCTTCAAAATCTCCAATTAAATCCAATATATTAAAATCAAAAAGTATTAATTCTACTAAACCATCTAGAAGAAGTCCATTAGTTAATCAACTTGAGTTGGAAGATGATGATGAAGATGAAGATGATAATATTGAAAATGATGAAGATATCGTTGATGATGATCATTTTGTAAATGAAAATACCATTCCGACATTAGCTAACATTCAAAAGTTTGCTGATAGAGATGTGTAATTGGGTTGGAATTTATTGGGTATTATTTAGTTCTTCTGATTTAGAGTATATATGTATTTATTATTAGATTTGATTTTTACCATATTATTCTTTGAATAATTCCTGGCTCACTTGCCCAGGTGAATTCATATGTAAAGAATATATAGGCTGTTATAATATTGATAGTATTTAACCATAAGAATTCTCTAAAATGTCTTTGTCTTGAACCTGGCAGAATGAAAAGTCGAAATATTATTACTGGTAAGATATAATATCTTGGTTCAAATAATGGAGATGGAACAATTGTTAATAATATTGCTATGAAATATGATATGATAGTAATGAAGGATAATTTAATCCTTTTAGATTCTAACAATGCAGTAACTATAATAAAAGATGAGAAATGATATAATGGAATAGTAATAAATTGACTATATTTATGACTGATTAATCTCTTGAAGATATAGAATGTATAATGACGATTATCAGCCAATAAAAATGGATGTATTACTGTGAAGTTATCAATGATATATTTAATGATGTATAATGCTAAGGCATTAAAAACTATATTTAATCCATAATTGTTAATAATAAGGAACTTGATATATTTAATAATTATACGGGATGATAACCAAACAGGCCAAGTAAAGAATATCGTAAATACAAAGCAATAGAATACTTGTACTACATGGAAATTAACTTCATGATTCTCCTTATCACCAAAGGTAATACCACCATTAATTTTAATAAATATAATAAATAATACAAAATTAATTATGAATGGAATTATCTTTATCCAATCCTTAATAGTTTGGATTATGAATTTTATGATTCTCGTTATGGAATTGATATGTTCATTTCTTTTTAATAAGATACTTCTATCTATCAACACTGAAACAATAAAGGCTGACCATACTATATTTGTTTGTCTAAACCATAAACTGAAGAATACAAGTAATGCACTTAAATATACTTTTCCAATTGTATGAGGTTTATTAATTACTAAGGATAAAGATCCTAAAATAAGAATAGTTGACCAAACATCCGTATAGAATAAAAAATAATAAGTAAATAATAATGGTTGAGAAATTAAATTAATTGTCCATAATTGATTATCAAATGATTTCTTAAATGTTCTAACAATTATAGGTAATATAAATAATCCACCTACTAAATTTAATGATCTTAATATTTCATAATTATTATTCAATTGTTTAAATGATAATATTTCTATCACTTTGGAGTATATAAATCCTAATAAGTATAATCCTGGTGGAGTAGTGATCTTATCATCCCATTCATAAAATTTATAGTCTAGATACTTTTGACATTGTCGTAAATGGAAAATCTCATCAATATACGGATCTTGAACATAAATTGTTACTAAATGTCGAACATAACCAGCAAATATAACAAATAATATAATAGCTAAATATTTCAACCCCAATTGGACCATTACAGGTGCAGTATCTGCCACTATCAACGGCATAGCATTTACCTTATTAAGTAAACCCTGTTAATTACTACCTGTTAAGATTCGCGGGCCAAATATTTTTGCTCCGAAAATATGTTGCTGTGAAAAATGCTGCAAACTTTACCGACCATAGCTCATTTGTTAGAAACCAGTGATTTAAAGCATTGACTGTTGACAATATAGCGGGGATCTACTTAGTGGGTAATACGGAATTAAAGTTACTAAGCTTTATTTAAATCATTTAGAAATTCAATATTGAAAATCAGTTTTATCCTTAATTGGTAGAGTATCTTCATAAAGTTTGGTGTTAATTGATATGGAACTTGGTAATAGATTTATACCCAGCTCAAGTTCGTCACTGGCATATAGAAATAATGATGGCACAAATAATGTCAGCACACCTCCCCTTCAAAATGAAACCGCCGACCTTTCATTTAGAGATGACTCCTTCTATAGCCTAAATAATTCTGGTGATAATATCTTAAGTACACCGTCACCATCAAACAATATTCCTAAACTCAATAACTTATCTCCTACTGATTCACTACAAGAAAGTATAGCTGATGCTTTGGGATTTGATAGTAGAGGTAAAGTATTCCAATTTGATTCCCCTACTCCTAGTAACAAACGACTGAAATCTCCCTTACGAAAGCTATCGAAGAGTAATAGTTCAATAAGTATAGCTGGACCTTTACTATCTAGCGCATCCTCTCAGGATTTGATTCAGGCATTAGCTACTTCTCCAGATATCAAGAGAACAAATAAGTCTAAATCACCCAAAACTATAGTTGCAACAGATATCTTACAAGCTCCAGGACTAAGAAATGATTTTTATTCCAATTTAATAAGTTGGTCCAGTAAGACGAATAAAGTGGCCGTTGGATTAGGTACGACTACTTATTTGTGGGCTACAGATAATGAGGTAGAACAAATTCAACTAGATTCCCAATCTTTAATTACAGCGGTATCTTGTTCCAAAGATGATTTGATAGTAATAGCAAATGCAAGAGGGTACTTATATATTATTAAACAACCAGAGAATATAGTTGTCACAACTCATAATGTTCAAGGCAAGTGTATTTTCTGTATCGAATGGTTCTCTAGTGGTCTTCGATTCCTTGCAGGAAATGAATTAGGAGAAGTTCATATATTTGAAATTCAACGGCATTTCCTTGGTACAGAAATAATCGAAAGGAATTGTTTTAAATGTCATCAGCAACAAATATGTGGTAAGATATACTATATTAATATTACTTAACTTTGTTTCAGAACAAAATTTATTAACTTTTAGGTTTAGGTCTTGCTCTTAATAATGACAATTCTCAATTAGCTGTAGGAGCAAATGATAATTGTTGTTCAATATGGGATATTAATTGCAATTTATCTACACAATTAAAGTATGTACTTCCACATAATGCTGCGGTCAAAGCCATTGCTTTCTGTCCATGGACCAATTCATTATTAGCCACTGGTGGTGGAAGTAAAGATAGAAAAATTAGATTTTGGCATACTAAAAGTGGTACCAAGTTAAATGAAGTTGCAACTCATGGACAGATTACGTCATTAATATGGTCAAAATATAGAAAAGAAATTGCTGCAACTTTTGGATTTGGTAGTGATAATAAATCTTCATTATTATATATTTATTCATATCCATTAATGAAACCAATAGTTGAAGTTCCATCAATACCTAATTTAAGAATACTTAGTTCATCATGCAGTCCTGACTTCTGTAGTATATGTGTTGCAGCCAATGATTCTACAGTAAGAATTTATAAATTATGGGAAAAATCTCATGAAGTAGCAACAACTATACAATTAAAGGGTTCAGGAACGTTTGGTAGTTCCTTGATCGATTATCAAGAAGGTGTAGGTTCCTTAAATGATTTGCTAAGATAAGAAACGTGAAACGTGCTACGTGATACCAGTTTCCTAAAAAATGAGTGAAATTTTTGAATTTGATAGGGGTGTGCATAGAACAGGGTGCAATAGTATCTTACGAGGGCACTGCCACTAAAGATCATTTGAGATTGACAGCTCTTGTTCTTAGTAATATATCTATCTCTCTTTTTTTACTTTGTCTATATACGCCATGTCAGCACCATTAATTAACCGTTCTTTAACGACCATAAGAACTGAACTTGAGTTCTTAAGAGATTCGGAAGTAATCACCGAACAATTATATGACAAATTACTTTCGTCTATCCCCACTAAATATCAAAAGGATGATAAACCATGGGGAGTTGACAAATTAGGAATTAGCAATATTTCAAACAAACAAGAAACTGATAAATTGGCTGATCAGCTTTCTAAAACTGATCTTAATGGATCAATAAATCAATCTCAATCTCAAACTCAAGATCATGAACATGTTCCACCACCTTCATATCCCCCCGCACCAGCCCCAACCAAATCAGTTATTGAATTTGTTAAAGTATTATATGATTTCCCTCCTCAACAAAAGGAAGATTTAGGATTAAATAAAGATGATAAGATTGCAGTTGTAGAACATTTATCTCCTGATTGGTGGAGAGGGTACAGAAAGGGTTCAGATCCTGAGAAAGCAACTGGTGTGTTTCCTTCAAATTATGTAACTAAAATATCTAAAGAAGATTATGAATCTAATTTTGATACTCGTGTTGCACCTCCAGCACCTCAAGGAAGTTCCTTATCACCATATGGAGGTCCACCACAACAGCCACTTTCTCAGCAACCATCTTATGGTGGTTATTCTCAATATCCACCACCATCTGCCAACTATTATCCACCCCAACAACCTCAAGAATTTCAACCACAACCACAACAACAGCAGCAACCACAACAACAAGGTCACGGATCAGAAATGTTCAAGAAATTCGGTAGTAAATTGGGTAATGCAGCTATATTTGGTGCTGGTGCTACAATTGGTTCAGATCTTGTAAATTCAATCTTTTAAGAATATCGATGAGTATACATGTGTATTGTTTTTAGAATTAAAATATAAACTATTTTGAGTTTTATATACTATGTACAAATGGATTTTTCATGTGGTTTTGTAAATCACTTATTTACGTGAATCAGTCACAGTGTTTAATAATAAAGTATCATTATCTAATAAGATTCTGTTTGGAGATGAAGCTAAAATAGTGGCAATTTCTTTAGCAGTATCTAATCTCTTTAATTCAACATAATCTTTAGATTTCTTAATAGCTTCACCGATTAATTCAGCTGATTTAGCTTCACCAGATGCTTTAACAACTAATTGTTGCTTTTCTTGAATAGCTTTATCAACTACAAAAGCTGCTCTTTGAGCATCTTGTTGAGCAATTTGTTTAGCTTCAACTGCAGCACTAAATTCTGGAGAGAATGTCATAAATGTTAATGAAACATCATCTAATAAAATATTAAATTTACTAGCACGACGAATTAAATTTTCTTTAACTAATCTTGAAACCTTTTCTCTTTGAGTAATTAATTGAGATGCATTAAATTGAGCAACAACTGATTTAAGTACTTCATTAACAATTGATGGTAAAACTTTTTCATCATAATCTCTACCTAAAGTTCTATATATATTAGGTAATTGTTGAATATCTGGTTTAAATAATACTCTACAAGTAATATTAACCATTTGTAAATCTTTTGTACCAGTTAATGAAGCAACATTTCTTGGTTTAGCTCTTACATCATAAACAATAGGTCTTTGAAACCATGGTAAAACAAGATGAGTACCTTCTGGATAAATGGTTGGTTGAACACCTCCAATACGTGAATATATTATAGCTCTTTGACCACCATCAACATTAAATAATGCATTTTGAGCAAACATTGATACCCCTCCAAGAACTAAAAGTCCTCCAATTCCGGTAAAGAGTCTAAGAGGAGATCTAGGAGATCCACTTCCATTGGTTCTGGCTTGTTCGGCACGACGCTTTAACTCGTTGGAGAGATTTCTCCAATTCTGTTCACTCATCTTATTGGTACTGTATAATGATTATGACACTACTATTGCCTCCGTCTTTGGTCATTAAAGATTACTCGCAAAATTTCAATTTTGGGTCTTAGTTCGCAATGTCGTGGGCGAGAGCGACAGCCCAGTGCTCGAGTCGTAAGTCATACTTTCTACGACATTATGTCTGTCCCAAATTTATTAAACCCTATATACATCCTCCTATTTAAACTAAACTTATGAAGGTACACCTTCAAATCCATGTTTTTCATTATATTCTTGTACCACACGCTTCCAGTATCTCTTTCTATTAGTTTGAATAGGATTTACTCTAAAGATTTTCTCTATTATTATCATAAACAATACTAATACTGCAACAATAAAACTTGGAGCAATTAATCTTACCAATCTAGCTTCACTAACTGTTTTTTGATAAGGACAATCAGCATAAGGACCTCCTGAAACAAAACATCCAGCAACTGTAATATCATTAAGATCTATCCAAATTGGATATGTAGCATTTTGATCTTCAATAGCATCACTTAATGATGCCAGTTCAATACTCAGCATTGGTAACAGTAATATATATCCATTAGGACATGATTCTTTATAGGCTTGAAAATATTCTTTTCGACTATCTTTTGGTATAATCCAATCGTTTGGTGAATGTAAATTTTGACAAGCATATTGATATGATCTATAACAATTATCAACTCTCCAACCATCTTTATCAAATACTACACATTTATAAGCTAATTGAGAACCTTCAAAATCAGATGTGAGATTACCTAATTGAGAATGGGTATCATTAATATTAGAATTATATGATGATGGTTCACCTGGAGCCCAAGACCAAAAACTAATTGGTAAGAAATTATTAACAATTTCTCCTAAATAATCAGTTGCTTCTAAACTAAAATCATAATAAGTTGAATTTAATATTGGAGTATTTCCACATCTTATAAATTGTTGATAAGTTTCATTTGTAAATGGATATGCATCATTATCAATAACATATTGAAAATTAGTATTTAAGGCAAGTTCATCAAAAAATTCAATACTATCAGAACTATTAAGACCATAAGGTGCAATATTTTCACAACTCTTTATTGTATCATCATTATTATCTAAAATTGTAGTATTTACTGATATTCCCAGAAAGAAAATTACTGAAGTATCTTCAGAAGATATTTCATATTTTCTTGTTGAATTAACTAATTCATTAGATACAACATTAACTAAAATTCTTCTAAAATCTGAAAGTAAAACAGTACTTAAAGACGGTAGTATAGTAGATGTACTATTATAAAAGTTCAGATATTGATTTATTTGAAGATTTTCTTGATAATTATGAAAATCATTTGGAGTGAAAACATATGATCCCAAACTAGAAATGGTACTATTCAAAGTAGAATTACCCATTTGATTTAACATTGAATTGGAATATAGAGTAGTATTGGTTCTCTTTGATTGAATTGATTTTAAATTGATTAATATTTCAATTAAATCAACATTCATATTTGTATTAGTTGCCACAATATAATTATTAAATACTTGCATTAATTTTTCTATAGTTAAAGTAGGTTGACAAGTATATTGAAGAGTATTCCAACTTAAATCAACAGTAGCATTTACATCAGTAATATTACTGGGGAATGGAGCTGGACATAATTGCCATATACTAGTAAATTCATTCCAATATAAATCTATCATAAATGTCTTCATTCCTACTCGTAATAATGTAGCTACATCATCTAATGCATCCATAACATATCCATCTCCTTCAAATACTAAACTATTTAAAGATATTCCTGGTTTAGTTAGTTGATTAATGGGTATTGGTTTCGATACATCTCTTTGAGTTCTCATGGCTATTTGCATTACTGTAGTCATATTAGGCCAGTTCTCTAACCCATTTGTTACTGGTAATAGTAGTAGCATACATAGTAGTGGGAGTATGCATTGTAGATGTTTTACTAACATCCTTCCATAGTTAGTTTAGTGTACTATAGTGTAGTGTATTATATTTCTTACTGATTACTTAAGCCTAATTAGTTAAGTCCGATATTCTGTTTACTATTTTTTGATGAGTGCCGGTATATAAACAATACTTAAACAGTATAAGTTATAAGTGAAAAATCAATATAACTCCGGCAGTTTTGAAGGTATCATATTAAGAGATGTCGGGACTTGATCATGAGACTATAGTGAGTCGAATCCTCGAAGGACTTAATCATAACCAAAAGGAAGCAGTAATTGCACCCTATAATGGGAGGTTGCAAATCATTGCTGGACCCGGAACAGGTAAGACTAAAGTATTAACATCAAGAGTTGCCTATTTACTTTTACATGAAGGGATAAGTCCACAACATATCATTGTTACCACATTTACCAAGAAGGCAGCGGCAGAAATGATAGAAAGATTAGAGACATTATTGGAGGGACAAGCTGTAGATTTATCTAAATTATTGATTGGAACTTTTCATAGTATATGCTTTAGAATCATTAAAATGTATGGAAAGAAGATTGGAATTGCTGATTATAATATAGCCGATGAAAGAGATTCTAATCAATTATTAAAAGAAATTGTAGATACATTAAATAGAGGAGATCTTGATTTGTTAGCGTCTATGCCTGAAGAGGAGAAAGTACCGTTACAAAATCCTAAAGATCAAAAGTATGATATAAAGAAAATCAAGAGACAAATATCAAAATTGAAGTCATCTGGATTATCATATGAAAACTACCATAAGGTGGGAGACTCAAGTCGAGTCTTGGCTTTATTCTATGGTAAGTATCAAACCCGATTACAAGAACATTTACTTCTAGACTTTGATGATTGTTTGTTAAGATGTTTAGAATTAATTAGTCATTATCCAGTATTAAACTTTATTGAGCATGTCCTTGTGGATGAATTTCAGGATTCCAATGAAATCCAATTACAATTGATGTACAATTTTGCTCGAGGACATCCTACTAATCCGAAATATCAGAATAATGTTACTATTGTAGGAGATCCAGATCAAAGTATTTATGGATTCCGAGATGCCCAAGCCATTAATTTTGAAAAGATGAATGATTACTATAAATTAAAATATGGTAAATCATGTAAGGCTATTCATTTAATAGAAAACTATAGATCTACATCGGATATTCTTAGTCTTTCAGAGACAGTTATGCGTCAACAACAGAAGCGTATACAGAAGACATTGAATTCTCAATTAACTACAAGTTTCAAACCCGTATATAAGAATTTGAAATCCTCCGATGAAGAAGCTTCATGGATATCATATCATATTCAACATATATTAGCATTACCAGAATCACCGTTTAAATGTTCAGATATTGCCATATTAGTCAGAGCAGCATATCAAACAAGATCAATTGAAAATGAATTGGTTAGAAGAAGAATTCCTTATGTTATGGTTAGAGGTCGAGCATTTTGGGAGAGACCAGAAGTTGTAGCAATTATAGATTACTTGAGAATTATTGCCCATGATAATGATAGAGTTGCCTTTATTAGATCATTAAACTTTCCTAAACGAGGATTGGGAGAGAAGACTCTTGAGTCAATCCTGTCAGTAGCTGCTAGAGAAGCTGCCACTACTGGGATAAGTATTCATGATACGTTAAAGGGACTTGTATCAGGAGAAATTAAAGGGGTCAAGCTAACAACCAAGAATAAACCAACACTCACAACTTTCCTTACCTTTTTGGAAGAGTCTCGAAAGATGATGGATGAAATCGATGAATATTTGAGTATTGAAAAGGTTTCCTTAGACAAACGACAAGATATGCTCAGTAAATTTTTCAAATTTGTTGTTGCAAGATCGGGTCTTAGTAAAGAGTATGAAGAACAAGAGAATCAGACATTGAATATGATGGAAGTAGAAAAGCAATTCTGTTCCTTTATACCTCAAGAGATGGAGATGCCATTATATATTGGAGGTACAGAAGAAGATATTACTCTGGTCAATCAAAGTTATTTATCAAGATTTATTGAATCTATTGGATTATATGAAACTGAAACGGCTACTTCAGTAGAAGATAAGGCTAAGGGGAAAGTTTCAATTTCAACTATTCATGGTTCTAAAGGATTAGAATGGCCTATTGTATTTGTACCTGGATTATCTGAAGGTTTACTTCCTGCTAGTTTTGCTATATCTCTGGGAGGTGAAGAAGCTATTGATGAAGAAAGACGATGCTTTTATGTGGCCACCACAAGAGCAAGAGCATTATTGTATTTATCATCATACACTACTTCGGGAGGAGGATTCTATGGTAGATCCATAGATAAAGTTTCTCGGTTCATTGATAAATTAAACAATAATAAAATGATTAAAGATACTCAAGAAGCGTTTAATGATTGGCAATCTTTAGTGAAGTTATATGGAATTATAGGACAAACTACACCAACTGCACCAACTGCTCAAGGGTTCTGTATTAATACATTCAATCGCTTATTACATTCAAGATTTGATGCCTATTTTCAAGGTGTTAAGTTTCCTATTAAGACAGAAGAATTTGTGGATGGTAAGCATATAGAAACCCATATTGATCCAGTAATGGGATTCACTAGTGCTAGTGTCAATATGCATGTTCCTAAGCGGTCTGTTGGGTTATACAAGAGAAGTAAATTGGCCAATGGGAGTAGCAGTGGTGGTAGTAGTAGAAGTAATCAAAGTAATCAATTCAAATCTCCTCTACCATTACCAGTGGTAACTAAAAGAGCTCCAACGTATGCTCCTACAACTAATACAGAAATCACAATAAAAAAGCTGGCCAATAATAGAGCCCCTCCGTATATTCCCAATAGGAAATCGAAGTAGGCAGTACTTGCTATTAATTAATTAATTATATATAGATAGATAGATAGATACTATATAGTTGATCTGATCTACTTAGTGATGGTGAAAGACCATGGGAATGTTAAATGAACAGTTTTATCATCATCAATGATTTTTGTAATGGCTGAACATCCTCCTCTAGCCAATAATCCAGAAGGGGCTTCAACTTCAGCAAATCTTCTTTCATAATAAGGATTTTCTACAGTATTAGGAGCATAAGATCCTAAAGGTTCTTCAACCTTATCGACTCTAATTCCAGCCTTTTTAACAGAATGAAGATATTTTAATCCAGTAATAATTTCTCCTTGAATTCTAAATCTTAATACTAATTGATATACTGATTTTTCCTTAATAGTAAATTTAATTTCTTTATTAATGGTATTACCCTGTGCATCTTCCATATTAAAGAAAATAGGTTCAAGTTCTTGTTGTTCTGGGAATTCTAATCCAATTTCTACAAGTACTACTCGTCTTTGATCTCCAGCTTTAACTGGATATGGAGTGGAATTAGCAGTTAATCCTAATGAAGCTTTCCATTTAGCTAAACTTTCATCTTCGGCATCAAGTTTGGTATATTCCTCGACAGTTTTCTTTTCTCCAACCACGTACCCTTCTACGGATTCAGGAACTAAATCGTCGTCTTCGTACTTATCGGCCATGACTATGAGTATGTCAAGATTTTTTCGCTCACTAATCGTTCACTAGTGTTTGACCAATTCCAATTCCACTAGTACAATCACGACCTTGTCCGTTGACAGTGACGTAGATCAAAAGACACGTCGTAGCGACTTTTTTTTTCTGGGCTGTTTACGTATGCGCAAAATGTTCGTCTATTGTGGAGGGAATGTCGTAAACGGCTATAGACTAATGGTATATACACAGGGTAGAGAGTTGAGTAGTTACTGTTACTGATATGTCATTGACTGGTGGCCGGTTTGTTCGATAAGTTCTTGGATTTACTGGCTTCGTATCCATTACCATCGGTATTGTTGGTGGTGGTATTGGTATTGGTATCGGTGGTGGTATTAGTAGTGGTGGTATTGTTGTGAGTATTATTATTATTATTACTTATACTGACACTGTTGTTGGTGTTATTATTGTTAGCATGGTTGTTCGAGTTGTTGTTATTGTTATTGTTATGACTGTAACCGTAATTATTATTATTGTTATTATTATTGTAGAATTTGTTATGACCGTTGTGGTAATGATTGTAGCCATTTTTCCCTCCATTTTGTCGCCCCTTATACTTGGACTTATGAGTATTGTCTCCAGGAATAATAATGTATGGATTATTTAAAAGTCGTCTCTCAGTCTCTTTATCGTATGGTGGTCCTGGTTGACCCATGAATCCATAATATCCACCCCCTGGAGGAATCATAGAATTAGTAGGATTGTAAAAATTCCCAGGATACATTATGGGAACTGAATTGGTAGTGGGAGGGAAATATGCACTTCCAGGAACAAAAGCAGGAGGTGATATTCCATTACCATACATTTGCATCTGTAAATTGGGGGCCATATATGGTATGAAATTTGGTGGATTGATAGGATTGTATCTGCTATTACCATTATGGTTATAATTGTATTTATTGTCTGCGTCTAAAAACTGTTCACCATCCTCCGCTCCTTCTTCTTCTTCTTCCTCCTCCTCCTCCTCTTCTTCTTCGTGTCCTTCATCTTCTTCGTCAAAAATTTGTTCTCTAACCTTTAAGTACAAAGCTTCCTTCGAAGCTCGCTCCGATTCAATCTTGAATGAATCTGATGCTTCGGTGGGAGTGGTGATAGCTGAAGAATCGTCTGGTGTTGTACTGCCTATTTTTGAATCTAACGTGTCTTGATTTTGTGATGTATCACTATTCTCTTCAGATGATGGTTTAAATGTTTTTGGTTTCTTTATTATGAGTTTGGGTTTGATAATTGATTTGGGGGTAGTAGGGGTAGGGACTTGTGGAATATTACCATTGGTAGGTGGGGGTGGTTGATATTTATGTACCACGTCAGATAATTTTTGAAATCCATTTTCACTATTTTTATCTTTCTCTATAGTAGCTACAAATGTTTTATAATCAAAATCTTCTGTGGGAGTTACAATGATTTCATTAAGAGTATTATTCCAATGTTGTAGATTATAGTAATGACATAATTGATGACTTAATAATCGATAGTATGAATTCTTAAGGTAATGAGCTTTGATGGTATATTGAGGTTTGGGTTTATCATTGTCCTTTTCTTGTTCTTGTTCTTGATCTTGTTCTTCCTCTACTTCAATAAGTATGGAATCATTAATAAATGTTAATAGATCCTTTTCGAGGTGCAATAGATAAACACGTTCTAGAGGCTTGATTAAGGCCGATTTTATTGAATTTGGAATATCAGTCATAATGTTCAAACTTTAACCTTTAACTACTATTGCTTCTTCTCTTCCTTTTAGTATAGTATCTCAAAAATCTCTCCGTCACACGTCTCTTCACTGATCGGTTAATCCCCGAGGTTAATGGTGACTCGGTATTTGAAAAATCGGTATTATGGTGAAATCAGCTGTAAATTTAGCCCAAAAAAATCCACTAAACTTCACCAAATTATATACTTGTGATTAGGAGATTCTCTCGATACGATTCCCACTCGTTCTAGTTACTATAACTACTGTAAAATACTTAGTTATATATAAAACTTTGCAAACCTTCAACCTCTAATCTACTCAAATTTTTCCTTTTCTTCCAAAGTCAAGTAAGTGCCTGCAGGCGAGACAGACAGACAAACAGACAAACAAACAAACAAAATAAAACAACAGACAGACACAGACAGACAAACAAACAAAACAGAACAGAACGGGAAAGAACTTAAGAACGCACCGCAGTATCAGTGCGGGAGCCGCACGCCTCACGCCGCACACTGCCGGTTTGGGACCCTCACTACGACTACCCTCACGATCAGAGAAAAAGGCTAAAGATGGAGACTATGATTTGTAATGCTTAGTACTATAGTTAAGATCAATTGATAAGTCAGCCAAAATGTCTAGTGAGAATGATGTAAGTATTGTAATAGTGGTGTACCTGTATACAGATGCTCAGCGTACTAACAACTACTTATAGATAAGAGCTAAACGGTTGGCGAGATTGGCAGCCCTTGGTGGAGCCAGTAGTACTCGAAGTGCGCCTGTAGATCAAACTAAGGAAGAGGTTCAGGAGACTGAAAAGTCATTGCCACCACTGGCACAGACAGTTCAAACTCCTGCATCTACACCTGTAGTGGTTCCTGAACATATATCTACTCCAACTTCAGTTCCTACTCCTAATCCTAGTGTTGTTTCAGCTAATCCAGTTAAGACTCCTATCTTATCTGAGCAAGAACAAACTTCGGAATGGTTTAAAAGAGAGTTGGAAGTATTATTTATGGCAACAGTTGATCCTACTCATACTTCACGAGGATTATTGGTATTACCAGGAGCAATTGCTGAACTTGAAGATAATTTATTAGGAGAAGATAGTATTGAACTGATATTTATGGAAATATTATCAGAGATTGGGATTCCATCACATTATAAAACTACTATTGAATATTTATATAATGTTTATCATAATGCATTCAGATCCAAAAGAATGTTACCAGTAAAGACTCCATTATATCAAATTAAAACTGGAATTTTAAATAAAGTTATTAAATTTGCTGCTTCGTATGGATTTATATCATTTCAAGTTCCAGAAATGTTTATAAATAATGATCTTGCCCAATCTATTGATTTATTTATAAGAAGATCAGATGATTTAACTCCATTTTTAATTGATATAATTAATTCATCTATTGAACAAGAATCTTTATTAACTTTTTTAAATATTTTTGTTCCATATATTAGTGCAAAACTTCGAGGTATTAATATTACTGAAAGAGATTATGTAAATTATATTGCAATTTTTGAAACTTTAGTTAATATAAAACCAGTGGCTAGTGTATTTTCTCAAATTGAAGGATTTCAACCTCCATCAAGAAGTCAACATTTAGATTTTGAACATAAAACTTTATTAGGACCTTTATTAAGATTATCACCTTTATTAGATAAAGTTGGTATATATTATTTTACTGATAATGTTAATAATGTTCCTAAGACTCAAATTGGTAATATTTATGAATCTTTACAAAATGAATATAAAGTATTAGTTGATAGATTATTTTATATTATTGATAAATTAATAAGAGGATCACTTGAAACTCGAGAATCTTTATTAATTTGGTTATCTGAATTTATAAATTTAAGTCATTTAAGAAGAGGTAGTCATGCTGATCCAACAAAATTACCATCAGATGCAATTATGCTTAATATTTCTTTAATTTTAATAAGGTTAAGTATGCCATTCTTAGATTATCCAACATTTTCAAAAATTGATAAGATTGATGTTGATTTTTTTGCAAAAACAAAATTAATTGATATTCATGATGAATCTAGAGTAAATTCTACTATTCAAGAAGCTGATGAATATTATAAATTAAGAAGTGAAGAAAATTTATCGGCACCAAATTTTATATCAAGTTGTTTTAATTTAACTTTAGCTTATTTACATTATGGTATGGGAGGTATTTATATTCAATATGATAGATTAAAAAATCAAGTTAGACAAATGGAAGAAAGAATTCAAATGATTCAAAATAATCGTGTACCACCAGGAGTTAATCCTGCTATGGCAAGAATGTTAAGTAATCAATTACCAATGTTAACTAAAGGTCTTAATAATTTTCAAATTACTAAACATACAATTCAAGCAATTTTTAGTCATAGACCATTACAATTAGAAATATTTGATTTTATTGTTGGATCAACAACATTTATAACTAAATTAATTGATCCAAATCATAAATATCCTCAACAAAAATTAAATATACCAATTTATCATATTACTAATGTATCACAATTAGATGATCATGATTTTCTTAAAACAAAAACTCCTGAACCATGGAAATATTATCCTGAATTTATATTAGAAGGTATAATTAATTATTGTAAATTTTCAACTAATTTTAGAGGTTGTCCATTAGTACAAAATTTTGAAAAATTACAATTATTTGTAGAATTTACAACAATTTTATTAAGATGTCCTGAATTATTAGGTAATCCTCATATGAAAGCTAATTTAGTTGAAGTTTTATTTATTGGATCATTACCAATGCAAAATGGTGAAGCAGGATTTATGTCACAAATTTTTAATTCAAATAAATTAGTTATTGATAATATTTTATATTCATTATTAGATTTTTATGTTATGGTTGAGAAGACAGGAGCTTCATCCCAATTTTATGATAAATTTAATAGTAGATATTATATTTCAATTATTTTAGAAGAATTATGGAAATTTCCTGCTTATAGAAGTCAATTAACTGATTATTCTAAAAATAATGTTGATTTCTTTATTAGATTTATTGCAAGAATGTTAAATGATACAACTTATCTTTTAGATGAAACATTTAATGAATTAAATTTAATTCATGATTATCAACAAGAAATTAAGAAAAGATTAGAAGGTCAAGAAAAGAATGAAGAATTAGGTAATGATGAAGAATTACAACAAAAATTAGAATCAAGTGAAAAGAAAGCTAAATCTTATATGGGATTATCAAATAAAACTATGGAATTATTTAAATTATTTACAAAAGAAGTACCTCAAGGATTTGTTTTACCAGAAATTGTTGATAGATTAGCAGGTATGTTAAATTATAATTTATCAATAATGGTTGGACCAAAATGTACTCAATTAAAGGTTAGTAATCCTGAAAAGTATGATTTTGAACCTAAAAAGATTTTAACATATTTATGTGAAATCTATAGTAATTTAAGTAAACAAGAAAAATTTATGATTGCTGTTAGTAGAGATGGTAGATCATTTAATCTTGATTATTTTAAACGAGCAGAAAGAATTTTAACTACTAGAACTTATATTGAAAATAATATAATTAAAAATTTAATTGATTTAGCAGAAAGATCAGAAAAGCAAAGATTATTTGAAGAAAATGAAGAATTAGAATTAGGAGATATTCCTGATGAATTTTTAGATCCATTAATGTATACATTAATGGAAGATCCAGTAAAATTACCAAGTTCTAAGATAAGTATTGATAGATCTACAATTAAAGCTCATTTATTAAGTGATAGTACTGATCCATTTAATAGAATGCCATTAAAATTAGATGATGTTATAGATGATATTGAATTAAGAGAAAAGATTGAAGAATTCAAACGTCTGAAAAAGCAAGATAGATTAAAAGAAATCAGTGTTAGTGTATCACAAGATGTTGATATGGAATAAATAATAATAATAGTAATAGTAATAGTAATAGTACTAACTACTACTAGTACATAGGTTAATAGTAAATAAACGTTAAAAGATATTTTATATTAAACAAGATATGCTATATAACATACATGGATGGGATGAGAAGGATTATGAAATATGATACGAATGGGTTAGTTAATTTAAGCCTTAATAGCAAACTTTCTTTGTGGGAAAGCAATTCTTTGTTTTCTAGCCTTTTCGGTTTCTAACTTAGATTCGAATTTGGTTAATCTTCTTCTGATGGCTCTGGTTTTCTTAGCTCTTAAATCCTTTGGTTGGTATTTCTTACCAGCGTAGAAAGCTCTAACAGATTCTCTTTGGTTCAAGTTAATGATGGTTAAGACTCTAGCAATGTTCTTTCTGACGGTGTGGATTCTTGGTAAGGTTGGTTTTTGTAATTTTTGAACCTTTAAGTTGGCTAATTCTTTCTTTAAGTCAACCAATTGTTGTTCTAATTGTTCCTTAGATTTGGTTCTTAATTCATAAGATCTGAGACCGGCCTATATTTGGGTTAGTATAAAGTTTTCGAAGTAAAGGTTATATAGATGCAAGTCATCGTAGGTAAATGATGGATATTTGAGATGTTACATATTACTCTGTTGTGTTGGGATGGACTGTGTATGCTGTGCTAAGTGGTAGTAGTGGTGGTTGTTATACGATGATTGAAAGATTTTTGATTTCTCTCACAGTCCTCATGATATCCACAGAGTTATTATGATATTCACATTGATTCATTTTGATATTAACACTGAGGACTTCTTATAGGTTGTTTTCACTGATATTCTTTATTGTTCATTGTTGATTTTATCTTTCTTATTTTATTCAGTCATACTTCTACAATGAATATTGAATATTGCATATTGAATATTGAACATAATCTATCCTATCATTAAATGATTCCTATTGGTGATGGATTCTTTCTGTTATTTTACATTCAGTAACATTCTCATATTCTCTCATTCTCTACTTAATCTTCACTCTAATATTATTACGACTATCACATACCATTTTTACTGATTTGAACTATGATTATAGGTATCAAAAGAATCTCTTCTAACTCTGTATTTAAAATTTTTGTATAGTTACTTTTTTTCCTTCTTCGGTCTGAAAATTTTCAGTGTGCGGCGGTAAGGATCTTTGAGGGTTAGTATATTTGTATACAGGTGAAATTTGTTTGGCTTTGTCACGTGTATGCGATTAGGGTTTGTGCCCTCTCATTGACTTAATAACTTTTAACTAATAATAATTATTATATATGTTAAGATTAGATAGATGAATCAGTCTACTGTTAGAAACTTATTTAGCTGATTCGTTGATTGAAGTCTTGCCTTTATGATCCTGAAATGTACATAATTAGCTCAACGATTAAGATATGTTATGATTTTGCACATTCTCACTACTAGAACATTTCTTAAAACGATAATACTGACTACATACAAGATTAACTAAATATAATATTGGCTCTGACTATAAATACGATATAATGATCGCTACATATTCTGAAAATAGAAAATACTGACTATAAACCTGACCCATTATGGGCAGTTTTCATTATATATTTCTTGTAAACTTTAAATCTCTAACGTAACTGACTATCGTACTTTGTGTTGTCAGAACGATTTTGCAGTCATCCTCTGACCAATTTTACGCTTCGAATATTCATGGACTAGATAGAAATCTCTATCTTCTGATTTCAGATCCAAACCCCATCTAAGTGACAGAATTGCAGTAATTATAAGAACGTTTATGTAAATGGATTGCACGTCTTAATCGAAAACTGTAGCACTATTAAAGTAGAGCAATACTTTAACACTTCTAAACTTCTGATAGAAAGGATCAGATGTTTCAACTACTTGTAATTATTAGATGGTTTTTGCATGTATGCCTTATATTAAGAATTTTACTAGCATATTTTAACTTACTAACTTCCTGAATTAATTGTAAATTTCGCTTCAAAAGTTGCAAAAAAAGTACTATTATATGCACATAGTAATTAAGCATAGTTTCCCTATTCGATACGAGTACAAATCAATGAAGCAATTACATATGAGTTGATTATATTATAAATATAATTACGTATAGAGGTAAGAAAAATAACTAAAAATATTGTAGATATAAAAACATTATAGTTGATTGAGTAAAAAGATAAGATTATGAAAATAGTAAAATGATCTAACATAGAGATGATGAGTTAATTCATATTGATTAAACTAATTTAATTTAATTTAATTTAATTTTTAATTAATTTAATTCAATTTACTAATTTAGTGCTGAGTTTGTCTAAGAAGCATTCTTTAAGTTAGTGGATAACCATTCTAACCCTTCATATAAACCATCACCAGTAGTAGCACAAGTAGCTTGAATGTACCATGGTCTTTGTCTGATAGAATGTAAACCTAATTTTTCAGTTATTTCAGCAGCATTCATAGCATTTGGTAAATCTTGTTTATTAGCAAATACTAATAAAAGGGCATCTCTTAATTCATCTTCATTAAGCATTTGTTGTAATTCTTCTCTTGCTTCAGCAATACGATCTCTATCATTTGAATCAACAACGAAAATGATACCTTGAGTATTTTGGAAATAGTATCTCCATAATGGTCTGATTTTATCTTGTCCACCAACATCCCAAACAGTGAAACTAATGTTTTTGTATTCTACAGTTTCAACATTAAATCCAATAGTTGGAATAGTAGTAACTATTTCACCTAATTTTAATTTATATAAAATGGTGGTTTTACCAGCAGCATCTAAACCAACCATTAAAATTCTCATTTCTTTGTTACCAAAGAAGGAACTTAATAATTTTGAAATTGATAAACCCATTATTGACTATCTTTTATATGTATATGAATGAAAATTGACCAGAAATTGAAATTGAAACAAACAAAATAAGTTATTAGAATAAAAGATGAATTGAAGAATGATAAGCTAATGCAAATGAATGAATGAAAAGGATTGGTCAAACAACAGAAGAGTAGCTAACAAATCAGTTCAATCAAGTTAGGATAACTAGATAACAGATATTATGACAAATTTGATCTAATTATAAAATAAATCAAAATCAATTCAAACAGTAGTGACAAACAGAAATTGATCGACGATTATTAGCTCGTATTATTTGATTAATGATCAGTGATCTGTGGTACTGGATATTATACTTCAAGGTTAAGCATTGTCCATTAATCGTTCAGAAATTTGAAAAAAAACAACAAATCAAATTCGGGGTCGTGCGCACCGTCTACTTTCCCACTAGTTTAGTTATCACACGCCCATTAACTCGACTTTTCTAACTACACAAAATACGAAAATTACAATGAATTTATCTATATATTGTTATCAATACTATTCATCTCGACATTGTTACCGCGATGATATCCATTGAAATAATCATCTTAACTTACCCTTAGCTTAAGTACTTAGATCACTTCTATAAATAGCTTGGTAAAAGAACCTTCAATGGCAATTGCGCCTCTGGATTAAGGGTACAAAGCTGTGTATATGGCGCGTGTGTTACGTAATCACATTGGACTACATTATGTAAGTGATATAGTTTAGTAAGTTTGGTAAGGATGCAAATCTATGAACGACGATGGTGACTGACTGACTAGAGGGAATCTCTACGAATATATATCACATATTATCGTGACGTTTATTAATAAACTCTATAAATTAGGACGTATATAAATAGCATTAGTTTCATTAAGGAATAATATTAGCAATATGAGCAGCTAGATTAGCTATATCTCATTAAAGAATGGATATAATCATAATTTGAATAATTAATTATAGTAATAAGAAGCAAAATTTTAGCAAACCAGTAGTAAATTTACTTACCAACATTAACAGTACAATTCGAATACTTTTGTAAAGCTCTGATTAAAATCAGATAATTAACATCATAATTATCAGGTTCCCAATAAATTTCAGTTAATCTAATATGCCAAGGAGGGAAATCTTGCAAATCTAAATTTGGACCAAAATAGATTAACAAATCAGGTTCAGGACCAACTAATTCAATTAATTCTTCATCTACTAATTCAATAGAAATATCCCTAATTGATAATTCATTTGAAATAGCCAATTCACTCATAGTTTTAGTTAATTCAACTATAGTTGGTTTACCATCAACTCTTGAGATTAACAGAATTGTTAAATCAATTTCAGAATTAGAATTATTATTTGGACCATAAATAATAAAATTTTGATGAGGAATCTTAATAGAATAATTTGGTAATATACTTGAACCAAAATATTCAGATAAATTCTTGGAAATACTGTGATTTAATTTTGATAAGTATTGCTTATTACCAAGTAATTTTCCATTATATTCATATATTTGTAAATAAGGAATTCCAGCACTGATTGTCCAAGCTGACAATTCACTAATTTGATTAATTAATCCATCAATACCTCCCATTTCATCATCTTTATCCTTCAAATCAAGTATACAACTTAATACTTTAGGGATCTTAGACAATTTATTAACATCATCACGAATTAATTGAGGTGATTTATTATGATAATAAGTCAAAGTATAGAATTTAATAAAAAATTTTCTATAACTAGTTTGAATACTCTTATAAATAGTGATAAGAACAAATACAAATAATAAAATAAAATGATAAATATAGAATTGAATTAATTCTAAAAGTGATGAAGTTTGTTGATGAGCTTTCAATTTAGCAAAATTGAATAAATCAGTCAAAGTTAACTTTACAACATCAACTAATGAAGAATTCCTAATTGAATTAGGTGGCTTCTCTGGACCATTACTACGACTACTATCAACACTTAACAGATTTATCTCACTTGTGATATCCTTTAAGGATGTATTCACCTTTGCCTCTGATCTAACATGATCAGACAACTTTGAACTAGTCATGGCAAATCCAAACAATGCTTGAATTTAATCTGATTGATTGTTAGTGATAGATTTACTGAAACAAGAAGAGATGTAGATCTGCTTTGGTTGTAAATCGTGCTATAAATATATTGATATGGTGTTCAAAAAAAAAGTGATGCATGGATGCGGCTATATGCAGAGCCATACATTTCCTTAGCTTATACTCTATTATGTATATACAGTTGTATATTTGTAACAGACAAACGTAAGCCTGTTCCTGGGAAAGCTGACTGAATCATTGATATGAGTATTATTAAGCTGAACAAGTGTAATTGTTATATAGACAAACGTTTAGAAGAAATGCTACAGATTTTGTGAATTTTAGAGTTGAGTTAACTGAGGATACTGCGTTTAGTCCTTTTCTATCCTCAGCTTAGACTAAGATAACAACGTTGTGTATTTGAGTGTATATTGGTTTATATAGATGCCTCAGGTTATAATTAGTTTCAAATTTGAAAACAAAAAAAACCAGCGAAACACCAATTCGAAATTTGCAAAAATGGGTTTGCAAAGATCGTTTTGCAGCCAACATTCTCTCATATATAATACCTAAATTAGTTTGATATATATATATATATAATACTAATTAATAACTTTCAGGAAATTTGATTCGTAAATATTCAAACTAACCAAACAAATGCCGAAGGTAATGAAGTAATCCCATGCCATCTAATATTATACATTCACACTTACAGTCTTCTTCGGGGATGTTTTACATTCTTAGCTTTTTAATATTCTATGTTCATGGGGAACACTTTGAAATATATAATCAATTATTGATGATGTCAATAGTGTTTGGCTCCAACTACTACAGCAACCACAGCTCGATACATCTTTGGCACATCGTCATGGTGTACATGAAATCGTAGAACTCAACTTCAACTAGAAATTTATCCTCAAAATCGAGAGCATAATAAATGAATTTAAAAAGGAATTTATGAAGCAATTAAATTTAGATGAACCTAAAATTGCTAATTATAAGCAGGTTTTACAATTGCTATAAAGACTAATAACTTCACCTTTTGATTCAATTGAAGTTAATAAAAATAGTTATTAGATATCAATTTTATGGTATCAATTTTATGACTTGACTTTATAATGGGAAAATGATTGCGTATTTGAGCTTGAATAATACTATAAGTATGCATACACCTGTATTAAAACTTAAGGTCTTAAGTCATGCTCAACCTTATACTGAATTGGTAAAGCAACCAAAGTAAATCCACAAAACGGATATTTGACTACTAACCATTGAAATGTTATAACAAGAGTCATCTAGTTATCAAATTGTATATGATAAGCTTGGAATGCCAAGACTTTATTTATCCGTAAATTACACTTCTGATAACTTCAAAGACGAGTTCGGTCTTTAAACTAGTGGTTTAAGAGGGCTCTTTGATTCTAGCAGTTGTCGAAGGAAAAGACTTAAAACTTAAATTCTTGTAGTATTGAAATTTCTTTTTGTATCCATGGGAAAGAAATGATGCTGATTCAAAGATTAAAAGTGAAGAACTAAGCTTAAGTCGGTGCTTGTAAAGGATCATGTATCCCTAAGCTTCCAGGCATTTAACATAAGAAATATCATATATAAACTAAAAATTCTGTAAGTAATCCATTATTATTTATAGACTTTGGTCGGCAATAAGAACCAAATTGGCAGCCATTAAGGATGACAAATATTAAATTTTGTCAGGTACCATATGAATATAGTAGCTCACTATAAATCACTCATAGCAATTAAAAGAACAAGTTTTGCAATTCAATTAATATTCCTAATAGGGACACTCGCGACAAAAACAGGAGACAAATGTCACCTACGTTTTTTTTAGATTCTCCCCACTTTTTTGGATTTATGGGGTAATCATTTTTTTTTGTTCTGCGCTAGTTTAATTTATTAAATTTATTTAATTTAATTATTTTAAGCTATTTATGTGAATATATTTTGTCAGATTTTGAATTCAGACAATTCATTATCCAAGCCTTCCTTATCGACTGTCACCTAGCATAAACTCTCTTTTTATTACACAATTGTATTGAATTTGCTTGGGAGCTTAGCCGAAACAGATATGCTTCAAAGCCTAACTTACTTGACTTGACAGATCGCTCTTAGCTTGCTCGAATTCGGACCCTCAAACCTAAATGGCTCTCATTTGTTAATTAATGCTTTAAGGTATTCTCGCTTTGCATTACTCTGGTCTAACATGAAATATCCTTTCCTGTAATTTACAAATAAAGGCAATTAGATTAACTAACTAAAATCTTACTAAAATTAATTACTTAGAAGATCCCTCGAATCAATAGATACGGCCAACACACATTCATATTAGCTTTCGGCCATACATCACCACAGTAGACATACTCTATATGACCACATCTGACCCTCCAACTCTTTCAGATAACTGTATATCAATCCCGGTAAGATTCAGACAAAAATAAATAAATATATATGTAAAAAAAAACGACATAATTTGTGAGAAGAAAAGGAAAAAGGAAAAAAAAAATTACAAAAAAGTTCATGAGATCTCGGTGGGTTCATACTGAAATCCTTTAACCAACCAGTTCAAAGCCAACCAGTCAAAGATCCCTATATTTGTCTAGTTACTATACAAAGCCATAGCTGCGTATTTGCTATAGCTTCTTTACTCCAATACTTTTGCGGTCTTGGTCTTTGGGTTAACTTCCATTTATCCATCCGTGATTCCATTTTTGAGGTGACATTTTACCCATTTAGCCGTTAAATCACTCATCTTGACTTAACTTAAAAATAACAAGGGAAGTGTTAGTTGTAATATTAAAAACTAAGTATCAGTAAACGTCCATTATTGTACTTCTTAGTTCCAGTTCAATCCCTATCCATCCAGCCCTTTTAGGTACCACGTTATTAATTTAACTATACTTATTAAGACATTCTTACCATTATTATTATTATTAGTCTAATCATATGAATATTTACATATCCTTTAGCATCTAGCACTTAACTTGCATAATTTAATAACATCTTCACAATGTGGCATATACTAGAGGGTCTACTATATGACAATACTATAGAAGAAGAGCATTATAAGAAAATCCGACAAAAATCATCATCTAAATCAGCTGTAATCGTAGGGTTAGTAGCGGCCGTCGGTGGTTTCCTTTATGGATATGATACTGGTCTTATTAATGATCTTCTCGAAATGCAATATGTTTATCAAAATTTCCCATCAAATCATCAATCTTTCTCATCTCATGAACGTGCTCTTATAACAGCCATTTTATCATTAGGTACTTTTGTTGGTGCCCTTATAGCTCCATTAATATCAGATAATTATGGTAGAAAATTTTCTATCATTATAAGTTCAGGAATAATATTTAATGTTGGTAATATACTTCAAATAGCGTCTACTCATGTTGTACTTCTTTGTATAGGAAGAGGGGTATCAGGGGTAGCAGTAGGAGTACTATCGGCTATTGTACCATTATATCAAGCTGAAGCCTCCCCAAAATGGGTTAGAGGTTCAGTCGTTTTCACATATCAGTGGGCTATTACTTGGGGACTTTTAATCGCTTCAGCAGTTTGTCAAGGAACAAGAAAAATGTTAAATTCAGGATCTTATAGAATCCCGATTGGATTACAATTCTTATGGGCATTAATTTTATATTGTGGGATGTTATTCTTACCAGAATCTCCTCGTTATTATGTTCAAAAGAATAATTTACAAAAAGCATTAGATAGTCTAGCAAAATTAAGAAGATTACCACCTGATGATGCTGATCTTATAGAAGAATTAGTAGAAATCAAAGCAAATTATGATTATGAATTATCATTTGGTAGAACAACTTTATTAGATTGTTTTAGAAATGGTGGAGGACGTCATAAACAAGTTTTAAGAATGTGTACAGGGATGGGAGTTCAAATATTTCAACAATGTTCAGGAATTAATTTTATATTTTATTATGGAGTTAATTTCTTTTCTAGTACAGGAATTAAAAATTTCTATATTATGTCATTTATAACATATCTTGTTAATACTATTTTCACTATTCCAGGTATTATTCTTGTTGATACAATTGGTAGAAGACAATTATTACTTTGGGGTGGGATTGGTATGACAACTTGTAATTTTATTATTGCCATTACAGGAGTTAGTATATCATCTCGAGAAACTTCATCTATTTTAAGTATATGTTTTTCATGTGTATTTATTGCATTCTTTGCAAGTTCTTGGGGTGGTTGTACTTGGGCTTTATGTTCTGATATTTATGGTATAAGTATTAGACAAAAAGCTATATCTATAACTACTGCAACAAATTGGATTGTTAATTTTATTTTTGCATATATTACTCCATATTTAATTGATACTGGAAGACATACAGCTGCTATTGGTAATAAAATCTTTTTTATTTGGGGTGGTTGTAATTTTGTTGGAACATTATTTGTATATTTCACAGTTTATGAAACAAAGGGGTTGAAATTAGAAGAAATCGATTATATGTATGCTCATTGTAATAGTGCAAGAACTTCAACAAAGTTTGTTTCAACAAAAATTGATTATGCTAGAATGGATGCTGATTATAATGAAATTGAAACTTCATCTCCTAATAATTCCACCATTAATTCAACTTCGAGTTCTCCTCCAGATGAAGAATTAACCAATGAAAAGGATAGTATGCATCATCATACCAATAATATTGGGGGAGGTGACGCTGGACTTCATGAACAAACCATTTCTCATCCTCGTCCAGCCGCTGTTCCTGGAGGTAACAACAATATCAATAATCTTACAATCATTCCATATAATAATGTCATTTCTCCTTCATTATCATCTGATTCTGATGTTTCATCTTCAGAATCATTACTATCTCAAAGACAACTTCATAACAGACATGCATCTTACAATTCTAAAAAACAATCTTCGATATCATCGGCCGGGACAGTTTCTGCTTCGGGTTCCAATGATTATCAAATGTATCTCGAATCATTAAAACAACAATATCCAACCACTGTCACAGCAAACTTACCTCCTACAGTTGGTCTACAAGGTACACAAACATCTGCCACTGCAATAAGACATAATTCATTATTAACCAATACAAATACAAACACATCTGTATCCAATAGTTCCAAAATCTTCACAGAACGTGACTTAAGAAGTTTAAATGATGAATATAATATGGTCATGCGTCAATCATCTCATCCTACCCCTTCTGCAAATAGTGTCGGTGCACTTACGTCAGGTATAACGAGCTCTGCCACGAATGTAAATAGAAGCAGAAGTCTTGATGGATCCGGAGCTGAATCTACCATGATCATAGCTACACCATTTTTCAACCAGCCTCCGGATTCAGACTCCGATGAAGAAGATATTGAAGAAGATATTGAAGAAGAGGATGAAGAAAATGATGACCACGATCCAAGAATATGAACTTTACCAACACATCCAACATCACTATAAGAAGAAATCTTCAAAGCTCACAAAGATCCAGACTACTTTTTCCACTATTCAGTATAATTAAGTTATTATTTATCAAAACCTCTTGTTCAATTCTCCACACTTTGACGTCTCTCTACAGTCTTTTCATTTTTCTTCTCTTTTCCTTCCTTCCTTCTTTCTTTCTTTCTTTCTTTGTTTTGTCTTTTCTTATCTTGTCAGTCTAGGTAGGATCTTGTGACGCTTGGAGATACATGTGATGTAATCATCTTAACTACAGACAAACAGACATATCCACGTTAGATGGACTCAGTAGAATACGCAACTATATAAGTTATATGTATATGCGAATAAATAATATTTTCCTGGTGAACTACTCTAACGGTATTGTAAAGTATGGTAAAGTATGGTAAAGTATGGTAAAGTATGGAGAGATATCTCATAGAGAAATATACCGTAAGTGGTATGTCAGTGCGACAGTGATGGCGAAATAAAATTCGTGGGGAACGCTCATAAAAAAAGGTACTTCGATGATGACGTAGTGGAGATAATCGACAAGAAGCAAAGTATACTATGACGGATAATAATACAGAAGATAAATATGCACTTCACGAGGCCATTCGTCAGGGGAAGACTTTGTTGGCTAAGCATATGATCGATACGGATGCCAAACAGATTCTTATAAAGGACGATGATGATAGAAGTCCATTACATTGGGCATGTTCAATGAATAATTTAGAACTTGTAGAGTATATAATCAAGCCACGTCCAACAATAAAGAATCTTGATATTGATGAGATGGAAGATGCCGGAGGTTGGACCCCATTGCATATTGCTGCCTCAGTAGGGAATTTATCGATATTTGAATTATTAGTAACAAAATTAGATGCTGATGTTAATGAAACTACAAGTACAGGTGTTGCTCCAATACATTTAGCAATAAGTAAGAATCATTATGATATAGTAAAACGGTTAGTTGAAGATTTTAAAGCCTCATGTCGAGTTAAAGATAAGAAAGGGTTTACTCCACTTCATCGAGCTGCAGCTATTGGTTCTCAACCTATTATAAAATTATTGGTTGAAAAGGGTAAGGTCAATATTAATGCAAAAGATAACGAAGGTTGGACTGCCTTGCATCATGCATTAGCCGAGGGTCATGGTGATGCCGGTGTATTACTAGTATCATTAGGAGCAGATGCAACTATTGAAAACGTTGATGGCGATACACCGATAAAAGTTGCAGTCGATGAAAAAGTAGCTAAGTATTTCAAAGATCATATCTGATATTTGAAAAGTAAACAAAACATAACAAACGAAAATATGAAACGATGAAACGAATTAAATTTTATTACGATTCAAAAAGTACATAAAAGATTAACATAGCATAGTAATTAGGAATAAATGTAAACATCGTAAAAATTTAGAGTATTTAGCGTTTTTTTAGAGTATTAATAACACTTAAGATGAAATTACCTTTCTGGGAATTAACTAATTGGAAGGCTATTGTGGAGGTATTCCATATTAAGCCAGAAGAAATTAATTAAATTAACTGCATAAAAGAAGAAATTCAACATCGAAGGAAATGGTTACGAGATAGGCTATGATAGAAAGAAAGAAGAAAGTGTAACTGGAGCCACTCCATCCTGATAGGGTGGTGGGGATTTCTTAATCCTTCACCGAGAATGTGCGAAATTTGGAATTTATATCCGATAATTCATGTTGTTCATCTCTCTTTCACTAATTAGTATTAACCATATCAGTAATGACTTTACGTATAATCCATTGTTTTCATTACTTTGATAGTCAATTGGCATCAATTGGATGAATTAGGTAAGAACAGCAAGCCAGCAAAGCAAGGCAATGGACTCCAGGCTTTATGGCCCCACCTGCAGAAAGGATGGTAGGCACACACACGTGACTTCCCAATCGGGCTACTAGCTTCCCGAAACAGCCGAGTGGTCAACACAAAATGGAACTTGCGCACGACTGTTTCACTTGCATGTCCTGTGCCATACATCCTTACCGCAGTACACAAGTCGATGATTCGGGAATGACCATTGCCTAATTGGGAAGTAATTTAAACAACACATTTTTCATTCCTAAAAGTGACCGAAACAGCAAACGCAAAACATCATCTCGTACTGAATTGAGTGATGAATATTATTCAATTTGCAGTACTAAGGAAATGAATTTGTATTGTTTCATTTATTTTATTATGGCTGCTCATAATCTAAAAAAGTGTTAGTGATGTAACAAATATGTCTTTGCAGAAGAAAAATCGCTTGTGTTCCCTTAATGACCTTTACGTCTATTTGCTTATATTATCACCCCCCTCCTCCAACTTTCCTTAATTTTATAAACCCCTTATATATATAAAATTTTATAATTCCATATAATTTTGTAATTTATATATATTTCTTCTTTTTACTTTTAATTTAGTTTGTTTGTTCAATTGTTTAATACCAACTATCTAAACTCAATTCATTAATTAAATTAAGTATTGATATCAATTCTTAACTTTTCACTGGTTCAATTTGTAAATTACATCGAAAATTATTTATCGAAGCAATTACAATTAATCTAACTCTTGTGTATATTCATAACTCAATTCATTTATTATTATAATAACAACAATACAATTTCATAATGTTGGCCATTGGTGATACCATTTTACGTGGATTTAACTTTATATTCTTAGTCATTGCCTTAGGTTTGACTGGTTCATTGGCTGCTACCACCATTACTCAATCCAATCCTCAAATTAATTTCGGGGTCTTTGCTGCAGCTTTTGGTATTTTAACTTCATCTTTCTATGGTGTTTTAGCTTATTTCTTTGAAGTGTTTGCTTGGCCAATCATCTTATCTTTATTAGATTTCTTAAACTTTGTTTTTACTTTTGCTGCTGCTACTGCCATTGCTGCTGGTATTAGAGTTCACTCTTGTAAAAATGAAGAATACCTTAAAGACAACAATATTACTCAAGGTTCTACAGGAAGATGTAGAAAGGCTCAAGCTTCAGTTGCTTTCCTTTACTTTTCCTTCTTTGTCTTCTTAGCTTCTGGTATATTTTCCATCATCTCCGTTGCTCAAGGTGGATTATTCGGTACCTCAAGAAGATCTGCTCCAAGAGTCGGTATTCCAACCACTTCTCAAGTTTAATTGTGATGTTGCTTACTTTTTTTACTTTATACGTTCAATTCTAATTAATTGTAACCTTCTAAGTTAAGGTTCTGTTAGCATTTCCAATTGTTCATTGTTTATATAAATATAATCTATGATTTGCAATCATTTGAAATTCAAATTCTTAAAATACTTTGCTACAACATATTTAAAAGTTGAATCTATACGTCTTCCGTTATAAATTTTAATTACTCATCACATTATCTAACTTATTCGATCGTTCAAGTCATATGAATATCAATTTACCAACCAAATCGCTCATTGATACACTATTTCCTATTCAATTAAATTTTTTGTTAACAGTATTATTATACACATTCTTTCTCCCGTTACCCCCATCTTTTGTTTCTACATTTTATTTTATTTTGCCTTGATTTTTTGTTTTGTATCAATTCCAAACTTGTGTTAATAACAGTTGTGGATTTCCATCACTGTTGTTATTTTACTGGTTCTAAATGTTTTAACCCATATTTACAAATTTTTATTGCTTATGTGTCTTAGTTCCAACAACAATAGTTAACAACTAGTTAATGCTTTGATTATTATATTTACTAAATAGTTTAATTGAATGTTAATTGTTATCTATCATCAATTTTCATATATATTGCTACGCAAGTCATTCTCAATAAGTGTAAAAGTGATCATATAAGCAGCAATGCTTTGCGCCTTGCTTGCCGAACAAGCTGAGAGCAAATAAAAAATTAATAATGTACTCGCCTCCCCCTGAAAAATATCTCCATGTTAAGCTAATTATCCCTAAGTACTGTAAAGCAACTTGTGTGCAGTATATCATCTCTCCGCAAGTCAAGCTAATTTACTTCTAGAACTTTTTTCAGTTGTAATGTCAATATTACAGTTAAGATATCAGAAGATTTCGGCGGACATTAGCCGCTTACATGATCATTTTCTAACAAGTGACCTACAGGGAGCACTGACTTCCATAACCTTTAGCGGATTAAAAATGTTTCCTACATATATAATACATAGTTAATGGCATAGTTACTGCACATATTGTATCTCTAAGGAACATCGATGTAGTTTCAGCTAAATATTATCTTTGATCATCTTAGATTTATTGATGCGATTTTGGCACCGATCTATATTTAGAAGCTATATGGATTATTCAAGACTTACAGTTTATGAGATGCTTTGGTCGGCTTATGACAGATATTTCTCTAGAATAATTATGCGTAGTCTACCCTGGCTTTGGCAGCTCGAATTCTTGTTGCAAGTATGGCTTATCTTCTATGACCTTTCTAACCAGTTGTTAAATTCATTTTACTAAATCCCTATTTAAACAATCGACATTCTCCTTGAATGAGCAGATGTGTTGGTATTGTGTGAAGGAATTTACTAGTTTATGAGAATATTGATAGGACATAAAGATCTGTTGCTAAGCCTAATTGCTAATTCCTTAGTCGAGGTCTTGTAAAGTCGATTCTTTATATATTTCTTCGACTTGTAGATTTGGCTAAGTTCAATTCTGGAAAGAGAAAATTTTTGACTATATCAGAATTCTATGAATATATATTTTCAATCCTAAATCAGTGTAGAAGTCCAGTTGCGTGAAGTCTAGCTAGTATGGTAGGCATTTACACTTTATTTTGAAGTCTTCAGTTAACAGGTTGGATGGGTCACAGCACCAAATTATGCAATATGAGATTATCTTAAATGAGTCACAGAAGCACTTTCCCTCCTTGGGTTCTATAGTCGATTAGCCACCTACTTACTTGGGTATATTCATCATTCTTTTATTCGCACAATTATTACCTTTGGTTCCAATAACTGATAATTATATTTTTAGCTTCTGTAATTTGGACCCCAGCACAACTTCGGGTTCATTAGTTACTTCAACAACTATAACTGGTACTACTGGAGCAACAACTCATACTGGTGTTGCAAATACAACTCCTACTGGTGTAACAACTACAACTACTAATGCTGGAACTACTCCTATTGGTCCAACTACTACGGCTGCCACTGGTGCAACGACTGCTACAGGATCGGGAAATGGTAATGGTTCTGGTAATGGTTCTGGTTCTGGTAATGGTTCAGGCAATGGTTCAGGCAATGGTTCTGGTAATACCGGTAATGGTTCAGGCAATGGTTCAGGCAATGGTTCAGGCAATGGTTCTGGTAATACCGGTAATGCCACTGGTAATGGAGTTGGCACTGGTAATACGGGAAATGGTAGTGGTGCTGGTAGCGAAAATAGTAATGGTGCTGCAAACAGTAATGGTTCAGGTAATGGTTCAGGTAATGGTTCTGGTAATGGTTCTGGTGCAGGTGCTACAACAGGGATTGGGATTGAGCCTGCTGTTGGCACATATGTACCTACAGCTTCTTATCAATCAAATACTGGTGCATCAGAAGGATCTGGAGAAACAGGCACTTCTGCTTCTCTGAATGTATTGGGTAGTTCTGCTGAGGCAGGAACTCTTGCTCCTGGTGTTATAACAACGGGTACTTCCATTCCTATTCCTTCTATTTTACTTTCTTCTTCCACTGGTACTACTACGGGAGCTCCTCCAATTCTTAATATTCAATCTAGTGGATCTCGCTTGCTGACGAGATTTTACTCAATGATGGTAGCCCTTCTTGTAATCTGTACAGGTCTTGCTTAAATTTTCGTCTCGTTAAACATTATGTTTGATTTAATCAAATAGCTTTCGGTTAGTTAGCTTCTATTTAATATGCTTATTTTTTGTTTATTTGATTCTTTTAGCAAAATATTTGTATAATTTAAGAGTAATTTATATAATGAACTTTTTCTATAAATTTTTCAGCATCAAAGTACAGAGATGCCTTTGAAACTATGTATAAATATTCAATAATAGCATTCTATAGAGATACGTTATTTCTGGACCCTTGACATATTATTTTTTTGCACCCATCTTTTGTCGCAGATCTTTAAAACGCAAGAAATAATAATATTAAATAATATTTTTTACTGTCAAGCATATACTTCTAAAGCTACATAATTATACAATCTTCTATTTTTTAGACTTACGTAATTTCTTTTCTCTTTCATACTCATTCTTCTCAGCACCTTCTGTAGTAGCAATAGTATTAACAATATTAGCCATTTTCTTATGATATTGATCATACATTTGTTTCTTTTCTTCAATTTGTTCATTAGCAACAAATCTAGATTCTTGTCTAATATCCTTAAGAGCAGCTTTTCTTTCCTTCTTCAATTGATTCTTCATCTTAGATACTTCTTGACGTTCAACATTACTATCATAAGATTTTTTATCAGGATTAAAGTTTTCTTCAAATTTAGGTGCATAAGTAGCAATAGGGATAGCACGATGATGTTGAAGAACCAATGGTATTCTTTCATTACTTAAGTTGGTTCTAATCTTAGTCAATCTAGCAATTAAATCAACCAAAAATGGTAATTGTGTAGCATAATATTTAATAAAATGCTTTAAAATGATAATGTCGGAATTTAAAACTTCAATTAAATTGGTTTTCTCCTTCCATAAATTGACTGATTTTTCAACTAAGGAAATCAATTTAATAAGTAATTGAAACTTAAAAGCATTGTCAGCTTCTTGATTAGATTTATTAATTAAATCACCAATACTAAATTGAATATCAGTGGTTTTGAAGATTTCTTCTGGTTTAAATGATTTGGATAAGTTTAATTGAGTATCTATTATGGAATTAGTAGATAATAATAATGCAGATGGTGATATACCTGTTGGTTCAGGAGAAAGAATCAATAATGCCTTTTCTATAAAATTGACTATCTCGGGAATATATCTCTTTGAGAATCGTTGATAGTTCAATAAAATATCAGAGATGAATATACCTTGAGTGATATGAGCTAAGGATGCTTTCGGTTGATAAATTAGGGTGGTTAATGTTTCAGCCATGACGATTAAACATGGAGTAACAATCAAATGATAATGATCCGAAGTGGAAAATAAATAACCAATAATGATGAAAAATACATAATCTCTCTTGAGTATAAGTCCACTATTATCAAGAACTCTTTCTTGTATAAAATTAATTTCTTGTCTGATAGTCTCAACTAAGACTTGATTATATGATTCAGCTAATTTCTTAAGGATAGCCGATAATTTTTCAATTGTAGCAGTGTTGGAATCATCTTCCGAAAGGTAAAGGATATGCTCAAATAAGATTCCGACAAAGGTATTCATTTTATCTTTATTACCTTCAGCTAAATTTGGTCTATAAATTTCAATGATCTTGTTAACATATGCTGGATGTCTAGTAGTATCAATATCTTTGAGAGATGCTAAAAAGTCTTCGTGACTTGCAGGTATTATTATTTGTGGTTGCTTCTTGACTGAAACCCTTCCAATTGGTTTTGAATTAGGATTTTCATCGTCATTATCATCATCTTCGTCTTCTTCTTCGTCTTCTTCTTCATTTTCAGAATCTTTGATGGTGAATCCATCCTCTTCATTATCATCACTACCGGCCCAAAATTCATCATCCAAGTCATCTCCTTCCGCATTACGATCATCTTCAATTTCCATTCCACTCATTCTCTTCAATCTATCAGCCTCTAATTTTTTCATTCTATCATCATGCTCTTTCTTCAATTCTTCATCTGTCTTAGTTCTATCAGCAGGAACCGATCTTCTATCATATGTCAATTCTCTTACCTTACTATCATACTCCTTTTCTTCCTCTGTCTTTGTCAGGAACTTAGGTTTTGCTGGATTCTTGATATTAGCTATTTCTTGCATAATATCTCCAAACTCTTCATCCAAATCTTCAATATTATCTTGAGTCTTTTGGAATTCTACTTGTCTTTGATGTTTATAGAATTTAGATTTGGCAATGATTTCTTTCATGACTTCTTTCTTACTCTTCTTTCGTTGTGGTTGATCTGCTTCATCTTCCAACTGATCTTCATCAACAAACCTGGTGGCAGAACCATCTCCTATGGCATCATCTTCATCTTCCAATGATAAAACTTTCCCACCATGAGTTAAAGTGAGTCCCTCATCTTCATCATATTCATCTTCACTTTCAATAGAATATAACCCTCTCTTCTTTGATTGCGATTGCTTTTCTCGGGTGAATCTTTCCAACATCTTTTCTTCCGCACTTAAATGCTTATTGGATTCTCCAAATCGTCTATCAACAATAGCACTATTCTTTCCATGACTTCTCTTCTCTAAATCATATTGCATCTTCATATTCTTCTGTACATTAGATTTGCTTCTAGTGGCATCATTATGCTGTTTAGATCCGGCTTTCACGAACTTGCCTCCCTGAATAACACTAACATCCCGTTTAGTCCTATTCAATCTTTGATCAAACTGATTAAACTGACTTCTAATCTCATTAATCACTTGCTCTTTGTCGTTCCTTCTTGTTTCAGAGGGTGTCCTTTTCGATGTCTTACTCTTCTTCTTCACATTGGTTTGTCCCACCAATCCTTTGGCTCGAAGGGCCTCTTTGAGCTGCTTCAACTGTGATCCTGCCATCGTTTCGGTTCTGGACGGTAGAGCTGTTTAGGGTGTTATTTGCAGTAGTTAAGATGATTTTGTAGTGAAAAAAAAAATTATATTAAGAATAAAAAAAAATTATCGGATACAGCATCGTGCGGCGTGCGGCGTGCGGCGTTAACTATTACATACATACACACTACTACATATACAACAACTAACAACTACTAGTAGTATTACTTTATTTACCCTATGTATATGTATATTTAATACTTAACGATCAAAATCTTGTTTATATACCTGATTGATTATCCCTAAGAAACCTCCTCTATCATTCTTGGATTCCTTAGCATTCTCTTCTTCATCGAATTTATAATTGACATTATAAAACTCGGCTAAACTGTGATCTCCATGACCAGATAATCCTGTTTGAGTAGACATAGTCGATTGGATTAGCATTGATGGAGATGGTTCATTTATGGATTGGTTCATTATGGACCGGTTGGTTGGGTTATTGGAGTTAACATTAACATTAATGTTATTGTTATTGTTAGCTATATTATGGCTCCTATTATTAGTTGGTATAGGCTGAGCTTGTGAATGGACATTGGGGGGCATAGCACTACCATTGACTGTCTGGTTTGAACCAGATTTACCAGATGCATTGGGATTAGCTCCACCGTAACTTTCTAAAAAGTACATGTATGATTTAAACATTTTCTCATTCTGGTTATAATCAACATTCATATCATTATAATCGTCTTCATCGTCAGTTTCATCAAAAGTATCATTTTCATAGTCAGAATTTGGGCTTCCCTTAACTTTCTTTTTAGATTTAATAATATTGTTTAATTCTACTTCACCTCCAGTAGAAGTTATAGGTGATTTCTTAGTACTTGTCTTGGCAATCTTTCTTCTTCTGGCCCTGTGAACTTTCTTCTTATTATTCAAATCAACCATCATATTCTTATCCTTCTCTTCAAAATTAAACATAGCAAACGAACAAACATATCCTAATCCATCTACATGAACACTATATTCTCTAAAGAAATCTATGATAGCTCCTGAACTATTCAGTACTTTAAACCATAATAAGAATGGAGTTAAAATAACACTAAGAATTTCATTCAAGATAATGACAATCTTTAAACTGAATAAATCACAAAACTCATTCTTAACTTCAATAGTATGTAATCTTTTCCTCCAACTGGTGGGTAAATAATGAGTGAATTGTGATACGTATCTTAAACTGGCCTCTGGATCATAAACAAACGTATTTAATTCATTAGTACTATTATTATTGGATTGATTATTAGATGTCAGAGTTATAGCAAATAATGTACCAAATAAACTTATATAGAATAAAGCAGATTTACCCTCGGTGATTTCAAATGTCCAGAAACTTCGATTATCATCTTCTAATAATAATCCCATTATAACTAATACCGCTAAGATTGAACCCAGAATAAAATTAATTAAATTCAATACATTTATAATTAGAAATCCTCGAGGAAATTGATTAATATAAGTATTGGCTGGACCCATAGATAATTGTAATCTTCTATTGAAAAAGTGAGATAATTCATTAAATTCTCGTAATTTCCATTCAGCATATGGAGTATACTCTCTTAATCCAACAATAGATGAAGGATTTGATTTATACTCATTAAAGTATCGAAAGAAATATAATAATACAAAATAAATAACCATGAATGGACATAGAATGACATTAATAATAGCTGCCCGTTTAATTCTTGATGTTAATTCTTTAGCCAATTGATTTCTATTAGAATCCTTTAAAATCTTCAGATTAACTTGTCCTTCATTATTGAATATAAAATCATTAATACAAAGTTTTAAATTCCATTCTAAAGTTTTAGTAAGTACGGATTTATTAGTAATTAATTGATAACCAAACACTTTAAAATCCACTGATAAATCAAGGACATCTTTATTAATTAATGCAATCATATAATTCTCCTTTCTCATGATTCTATTGGCTATATCATGAGCATTTAATCGAACTTTGGAATTTAAATCATTAATAAAATGTTGAGATCCATTCATATTATTATTACTAGTCGATGTTAAACTATTATAATCCTTTAAAAGCATTAATCTTTCAACAATAGTTTTCCAACTAATAGTCATTAATTCATCATCATTCTTTATATTAATTAAATATTTGTAAAATGTCTGGATCCCCTTTAATTTATTCTTGTAATCGAAATATAATTGAACCAATCGGAGTATGATATAGCCAGTAAATCCTAAAAGAAAGAATTTAATTATAAATGGGACATTTGACCAAAAGAAATTCTCGATTATGAGATCTCCAAGAGTTAAATGGGGTAATCGATCATTGAAATGACTAAAGAAATAACTATACCTTATCCCCCATTTTAAAAAGACTGTGAAAAATAGTATGAATACAAGTATTGCTAAATCCACAAGCTTAGATAATACAATATTCAATAGACCTTTACCTCGATAATAATAGTACATATCATTCAAGAAATCATCCATATTGATGATATTGGCCCAAAGCCAAAGAGCTCGTTCTTTAGGAGGAATTATAAATCGAGGAGACGCCGTACTTGACCGTTGATAATTGTTAGATATTTCAGTTTGTGGTTCATTTTTAGCGGGTTTCCGGAATTGCTGTTGAGTTCTAGTTGGTGGAGGTTTGATGTTGGGAGTGTATTCATTATATAAGGGCAATTCAGCCTTATTGTTATTGAATCGAAAGAGGTTATTGGGCTTGGATATATTGAAACTGAGCTTCTTCGATACCGGTTTGACATCTCCATTTGTAGTAGGTATAGTTGGAGATTGAACTTTTCTATTGGTATAATTATCCTCAACTTCAATGTCTGGAACCTTTTGGACTGCCAAAGTTGGTTCAGGAGATGCTGACCGTGATGAATATAAGTCCAGAACTGACTCATTGTCTGAATTCAATAGACTATTCTTATGAAATGAAGATGTTAATGGATTATTCTCTATGTCGATATTGGTAATGTTATTATTGGTGCTGGTGGTAGTTTGAGGTCGTAAGAGTTCATCCTCCTCATCCTCTTCTTCTATCATCCCCATATGTTCATCATCCAGGTGTTGATCTTGATTTATCATACTCATCGCCACTTGGTTCTGTTGACTATACTCACTATCGAATTGAGGATCGTAATATTCATAATTCTCATTCAACTGATTATAGATAGAGTTCAATCCAAAGATTCTCGAGAGAAATGTCTCATTATTACTATCGGTAGTTCCTTCATTATCATACAAGTTATTATTATAGGTACTATTGCCATTGGACTTGGATGTCGATGATGTGCCAGCTCTATACTGATCAAACGGATTACGATTATTAAAACTGGACATTAGTCATTAACTATATTTTATATGCCTCTTCGAGCTGTTCTATTTGATCTTAATGCTCTGTGTATTATGTAATATCAATATCAGCGGCTCTATACCTCCAGCTTAACCTTTCTCAATCTGGTTATCTGGATTGGTGTGGCCTGCATACAGCCCGGACTGGCTTGCGAAATGCGGGCCACAAAAGGAGCGTGTTTATCAGTCGTGCAATGGTCATCTACATAGAGGAATAGTAAGAGGTGGGTTGTTAAGGTGGTTGTTAATTGAAATAATAATTAATAATTACTTAATTAAGTAACTAATTAAATTGAATGATTCAATGATTAAATAGTTCAATGATTGAAATGTATGTATATAATGTTGACAGAGCGATCTGAAGATATTATCTCTATTGTAGATTGGTTGTTGAACCAGTGTCTGTCCGGCCGTGCCTGCAGGATTGAGGTGGTTACTGGCAGTTACCTACAATTGGTTACCATTCATCGTTTCAGCCATAGTTGACTATGCAAAAGTACATGAGATAACTAATGAATAATGACCTAATTAGTTTCGGTGAAATTGTATAGATGCGCAAATACTAGATACTTGAATTGCGCTTGTGCATATACTACAAATTATGTTTTAAGCCTGTTACCAATAATTTCAACTACGGCATATAATTGTTCATTTGCATGTGGTACCTGTTGTTACTTTTTACTGGCTTGCTATCGGGCTTGTAAATAAGGGAAGTTTATCACCTGTTATAATCATACATTTTATAAAAGTAGTAGATTTATATGCTAGACCTATGGTTATAGAGCACATGACTACTCCGACACCCCCTCTTTAGGGTCTACACCCCCACTCAATGTTTGACGGTTTCTGTTTTCAAACACATCTCGCTTTGTCTGTCATTTTATGTCTGTTTCTGGGGTCACGTCCTGTATATCTCCACCCCTCCCCGGAGTTTTTTAATTATTCCAATACCGCAGTTTTCTACGGTGTTTCGTTCAATGATTGACTCCGAGTCAAGCTAGTCACTTGAATTTGTAACGATAATTTCTCGGAATGACCTTAAGTATCGAGCGAGAACAATCTCCCCACTGTAAGGGATTTAATTTCTTAGTTCAAAGACCCCCCCTCATTTATAGCAGAAAGTTCCTTTTGTCCCCCTCCTCCAGAATCCAGAACGTCTTCATTTTTATACGACTTATATCACCCATTTACTCTTCATCATCAAATCGTTCAAACTATATAATATTAATATTATATATATTATACACTTATTACTTATGGTCCATTGCTTCTCGTCGGGATGTAGTTCCGAAAAACTATCTTCAAATTTTAACTACCCCATATTTTACATAAATGTGTATCCTCATCCAAGAATTTAACGAGTAGTCTTCTAAGCTAAAAGAAGTATGACAAGAAAATTTATATGATTCAATAAGCCTATTAAGTTTAGCTTTAATGGAAGGAATTTCTCAGCCCATTAAACCTAGATAGCAAACCCCAGACCTCGTATATTCAAAATCAACTAAGATTATTAATAAACAAATAAATAAATAAATAAAATCAGCAATACTTTCAAATAATAGTGTTTTTATATTGTCAGGGCGTAACGAGATTTAGAATTCTCTTAGCATTTCTTATAATTTTATTATTTTATTCTTACTATTAATATTTTCTTTAAAATAGACTTTGCAAAAGACTAAATGATCATAACTTTTTGACTTGGATTCAATTTTTAGTTCGTATATTAACACCATGCAAAGCAATTTACTTATATAATGCACTCCATTTCAATAGGTAATGATACAGCTGTTCTCATCTAACCACTTTAGAACTCGTATTATTTATGTACACTTCTTCCTCAGCTGTTATATACATGTAGATCATCTAGTTGAAATCAACGCTCTCAGTACGATATGCAGTCTTTGTCTCCACCCCCTCCTGCTTAGCTTTATTTTTTCGAAATACACATCTTATTTCTCTACTACAGAATAAATAATGCGGGGGTGAAAGTTACACAAACCCGCCCCCACCTCCTCCCTGTGCAAGAGAACAAACATTGGATTGTCTGTCTGCCTACAAAGAAAAATGTCTGACTGTTTTGGATACCACTATATATCCAATTGGAAATACTCTGTAAATTTTTCTATACCCTACTTTTGCTTGGATTTTTAAAATCCCTTATTACTCCTTTCTTCTAACTTCATCATATATCATAATATCATATTTACCACCTGGCTTCAACCTATTCGTCCATATCGTAATAGTGCCCTGTCAAAAATATTCCTGCCATAATATCGCTTGTACCCCGGACTTTTAGTTTAAATTCGGACTCTCCAGCAACAGAATTGTCAATACCATATCCAAGTATTCCTACAGTAGAAATTATTATACCGTATCTACTACACAAGTTAGTACAAGATGAGCTCAATATCTTCTGCTTACCCTGTACCATCACCTATAACAGTATCACCACCTTCAAGCTCACGTAGCACAGGTTCAACCAATAATCAACAAGACAATAGTAACAATACCATCGATGATAATGACTCAAATTTTGAAAAGAATAACAATTATGGAAGTAAAACACCTTCCGGTAATCCAAGAATTTACAACTGTCAACAATGTAATCGAGCATTCACCAGAGAAGAACATTTAACTAGACATACATTATCAACCCATAATAAATTAAAACCCTTTACTTGTGGTATCTGTACTAGACCATTTTCAAGAAGAGATCTTTTACTAAGACATGCTAAAAATTTACATCAAGGTAGTGAATTGGCTGTTAGTAGAATCCGAAAACTGTACAAACGGAATGAAATTAATCATTATCATCCGGACAATAACGCCGAAGACGATGAAAATGAGGATGATAATGACTCATTAAGTTCTTCCAGTTCAACAAATAATAGTCCAACTTTACAAACCACAACAACAACCAATTCAAAAACAATGAGAAGAAGCATTGATAATGGAGACTTAACCTCACTTTCTGCAACCTTAATAACACCGGTTAGTTCAAGTAATAGCAACACTTCTTCCCACCTGACAAATTATAGTGCTATTTCTCCTTCGGTTTCTACTTCAAATTCTACAACAATTCCAAATGATACTTCCACCTCAAAAAAGACTAAAAGAGATTATCAAACTCCAGAAAAGAAGAGATTGAAGATTTCGGTTAATATGTTAGTTAGTTGATGAGTAACGATATTCTCCAACTTACATTAATTTTCATGATATTTATTAACATGCTTACTTATAAGTGTACTATTTATTCCATCCTTTATTTACTTATTTATTTACTTATTCCGGAACTTCTACTGATTTTATCCCTCTTTAAAACTGGATTTTGAAGAGTTATCGAGTCATTAATAATGAAAAGAATTATGATCATGATGATATTTACAAAAATTAACAATCCTTAGTAGAAGAAAAGTTTGATACTTTTTTCACTGATGTGTTCTCTTTATCTTTATAATGTTACCCCTACAAAACACTTTATTGATTTATTTTTGTAATGATTTTAAATACTTAATGACTACCAGAAAATAAAGCATAACGAATTTAATTATATGTGTTAAACTCAAGCAATAATGAGAGACAACAATTCTTGTAGTATTAGTAGATTTACTTACATCTCTCGAAACACTGTGAGACCGTAGTAGCCTAATTAAACGGCAATTGTATCCTCGGAAAGTTTATTGTTTTGAGACACTAACGTGCCAAAGATATTCGGAACTAAAGGAACTGAGATTCCTCCAATCGGTGGGTAAGTGGGATACTGAGCGTGGGTTTATGCCCCTATTCATTTATGAATTGGTGCCTCACATACCAGTTACTATTTAGAATATTATTATTAAACTATCATGTATACAAAAGTAATATGATGCTCTCAGTTGACTCTCTGGTTGACTCTTATCTCCCAGCTTTACGTTTTATGTTCGTCTTAAGTTAAGCATCTTACTATTCTTCTACCAACACAAATAACTCAATCGAAAATTTTCAAAAGAATAGCCTGTTTCTAGCTTCTCGACTTCTTCATTCTCTATATCCTGTACCCATATCCTAAATATAAATAAGTGACTAATCACTTATCATGCTTTAGGAATTTGCAAAATCGGTGGGGACATGGGTTTTCGCAATCGTTTGGCATCAATGCACGACCCAATATCAAGTACAATATTATTCACACCAACTGGGTATAGAGAAGAGGTTATTAGTAGAATAGAGGATGGACAATGTCGTCTAAGAGATTGAAACAGGAAAAGGGACTACCACAATCTCAATATAAAATCCCTTATATATCGAAGAAATCTGACGACATTAATTCTTATTGGTATGTGATACTTACAACAACTAATGTACACTTTTATTTCAATTCACAATCAAAGGAAGCATATTGGCAATTGGGAGACTTCCGTCATTTGTTTGAAGATGATGAATGGGAGACCTTCATTTCAGCCTTTGAGTTTAATGAATTGAGTTTATTGTTTGCCAGGAATATTGGATTCAACTGGATCAGAAATGAGAAAAAGATTGATGAAGATGAGGCGATACAACATGTCGAGATCAGCCAAGAGGATGAACTTGATATTAACGATATTGACGAGACTGTCGATTCTGAGCATGAACGTGAAGTCGTAGATGAAGTTGTTGTTGATGAAGATCTTGTACGAGATATATTAAGAGAAGGGGGGTATTTGAACAAAACTGGATCTGCCGGAGCTGAAGATGATCCCAATATCTCGAGTCCAGAATCACAATCTCCTAAACCTTTAGTTCAATCAGGTGGAATTGGAATTTCCTTAGGGTATTCTTCCAGTGAAGAAGATGACGAGGACGACGACGAAGAAGAGGAGAAGGAAGAGGAGGAAGAGGAGAAGGGGCCAGAACAGAATCATGAAGCCGAAGAGGACAGTAACATTAATGAAGGATTGGATTTATCAGTTGATGACCACGAAGAGAATTCGGACTTGAATGTTGGGTTGGATTTATCTATAGATGATCAGGAAGAGTTGGAACAAAATGATGACTTTATAAAGCTTCTAGATACATTTAAGTCAAGAATTTCGGTGTATGATTCTTGGGCACTCGTAGAAGAGGAATTAATCAGTGAGTTTGTAAAGTATCCGGAATATTATTCTATTGAAGACGGTAAAGCACGAGAACAAATATTTAATAACTGGATTATTGAAAGACAGAAGGAAGAAAGTGCACTAGACGTAGATGAAGATAGCGGAAATGAGGTAGATGAAGACCTGGAAGTTGATAGCGAACAAGAAATTTACTCAGAGAAGTATCCTACTCCTACTCTTGAGTATTTCAAGCTCTTACAGCAATATAAAAAAGAAATTAAATCTTTAGTATATCAACAGTTTTACAATTCACACTTTAAAGAGATCAATTCCATCGCGCTATCCCTGAAGGAGAAAGATTCTATTTATCGATCGTTCAAAACAATGTTAACTAACCAAACTCAATTTGAAAAATCGTATAAGAAAGAACATCCTGATAGTAAAATAAATTTAAAGAAATTGAAGCTAGATGAATATCTTCAAACTTGTATTGAACATTTTAAAGATCATATAGAAGAAATCAAAACTTTCCTAACTTTAAATCCGGGTTTCGCAACTAACATTACTGAAGAAGAAGCCTTTTCGACATGGATTAAACTCATAAATAATACCAATATAGGCGAACAGGTTGCTGAGAATAACATAAACTTTGTAGTAGGAGATGTTAAGCGGGTACAAAGTTATATAGAATTGTACAATAGTATTATATAGTGAAGAAATGGATGTTGAATTTTTGCATCTCACCCCGGAAAAAAAATATGTAAGCACTAAAACCGAAACCCAAATTTTTCACTTACCGGTAAGTTGAACTGTATTAGTTCAAATGTCTAGAAGAGTTGTCATTACAGGTTTAGGGTTGGTCACGCCATTGGGTGTTGGAGTACCTGTGACTTGGAGAAATTTAATTGCAGGAAAGAGTGGTATCATATCGACAACTTCTTTACCTAATTATGAAAAAGATGGTTGGGATAAGATACCTTCGAAAGTTATAGGAAAAGTGCCTCATGGCTCATTGACAGAAGGGAAATGGGATCCTGAAGATCATTTTGAAAGGGGTGAAGCACGAAGATTAGCTTTATTTGCTCAATATGGTTTAGCTGCTACTAAAGAAGCACTTGAAGATTCTAAATTAATCAATGATACTGATACTCCTAAGGATAGAATTGGAGTAGCAGTTGGAAGTGGGATAGGATCATTTCATGATTTATATGAGAATGCTATAGGATTTAATGAATCTGGATATAGGAAAGTTCAGCCATTATTTGTACCAAAGTTACTTACAAATATGGCTGCTGGTAATATATCAATTAAATATGGATTTCAAGGTCCTCTCCATTCTGTATCAACTGCTTGTGCTACAGGATTACATGCTATAGGTGATGCTTATAATTTTATTAAGAACGACTATGCCGATGTCATGATTTGTGGAGGTACGGAATCATCTATTCATCCATTGGCTTTATCTGGATTTGCTCGTGCCAGATCTGTAACTACTGAATTTAATGATACCCCTGAAAAAGCAAGTCGTCCATTCGATGCTAATAGGAATGGATTTGTTTTGGGTGAAGGTTCTGGTATAGTTGTTATAGAAAGTTTAGAGCATGCTTTAAAAAGAGGTGTGAATCCAGACAATATATATGCAGAAATTAAAGGTTATGGACTTTCAGGTGATGCACATCATATAACTGCGCCTTTAGAAAATGGAGATGGGGCATATCGGTCAATGAAGATAGCTGTTGAAAGAAGTGGAATTAATGTTAATGATATTGATTATATTAATGCACATGCTACTTCAACAGTCATTGGAGATAGGGCTGAAAACAATGCTATGGTTCGATTATTTGGTGATAACACTAACAATGTTGCTGTATCTTCTAACAAATCATCTATTGGACACTTATTAGGTGCTGCAGGAGCTGTTGAATCAATATTTACCATTAAAGCTATTAAAGATTCCATTGTACCACCTACCCTTAATCTTGATCAAATTGGTCAACATAAAGAAGACTCACAATCTTTGTTTAAATTCGATTACGTACCTAATGTCGCCAAATCCAAAGATATCAATTATGCCATTTGCAATTCATTTGGATTTGGTGGAGTCAACGCCACGGTATGTTTCAAGAAATTCTCTTGAAAATCACTAATAGTAAGCATCAACTACGTGTACTACATGTAACTACTTTGTATATGTAATCATGGCCTAACGACAATATACGACTGATTTACTGATCACATCCCAGTAGCTGCAGTAGTAGGCTCGGCATATGAATGTGTGGGCTAAACTTAGGCAACAATCAATTGCTATAGTCACTAGTAAAAAGTATGAGCCGAAGAGCAAATGAAATGATTCGCAACTGTGGTTCAAACCTAAATTGTATTTTCTCACTCGTTTGGTGATAATGCAAAATTTCTATTTTGTTGCAATATTTTTCTCTACCCTTTTTCTGAGGTGCATGTCTTGGACAGTGTGGATTTTAGTTATTAAATTTTCCCGGCTTCGGTTCGGGAATTATATGGTAGTAAATAAGAAAACTATTACAAGGTCGTATACCTATTTAGTCTTATTTTGTTATATGTAGTCCTCTTTACTTTGTACTTCTAATTTCGTAATACTTTGCATAATGATTTAGATATAAATAATTTTCAATTTCTTTAGTTATGGATATTTGATAGTTATACCATATATTGAACTATCACAAATGTCAACTATCACTACTAGAACTAGAAGTAGATTACGTAGATTGCAGAAATTACATTTAGCTGCTGCTGTTAAACAGGAAGAACTGTATATTTCAAGCTTCACAATTGAAAATGACGAATTTGTGGAGGAAGATGATATAATAAAACAGATAACATTTGATAAATGTTCACAATCAGTATTGCTGATAACCAATTTTGATGAACCATTACAAATTCAACATCAATATCCAATTCCTAAATTAGGCGAACATGATATTTTGATAGAGAACAAAGCTGTTGGTCTTAATCCTATAGATTGGAAAGGTAAGAAGTACCAATTTGGCATTTATCATTTTCCATGGATAAATGGTAGAGAAAGTAGTGGAATAGTGGTTAAGACTGGTTCTAATGTTAAATCTCATGAATTTTCTCCTGGTGATAAAGTCATAGTGAGTAGTACCAGTTATCGTGACAATCGTACAAGTACTTTCCAACAATATACAGCTATAGACTCAAGATTGGTATGGAAATTACCACCTAAGTTTTCTTTTGAAGATGGAGCAACTATTGGGGTAGGATTAGTTACAGCAGGTATCATCTTTTACAATAGTTTTCAATTTGAATTAACTGAGCATCCAGCTAAAGAATTTACTAAGAATGAGTCAATTATTATATGGGGTGGTGCAACTGTTGTTGGACTCTATGCTACACAATTGGCTAAACTTCACGGGTTGAAAGTTATCTCAATTGCAAGCTTAGATCATGAAATTTACCTTAAAGAATTGGGAGCAGATATAGTAATCAATAGACATTTATCATCACAAGAAATTAAATCCCTAGCCCTTGCATTTAGCACAAATATCAAATATGGTATTGATTGTGTTTCTAAGGATACATCAACCATAGTATTAGACATTTTATCTAATTCAACTTCAATTAAACCATTATTTTCTGGGATTGTAGGGCTTCCAAAGCAAGACATTCCTGAGTCTGTCGAAATCAGACAAGTTGTTATCAAAGAATTCCATGAAAATATTGATTACGGAAAACAATTTGTAAATATTACTACGCATTTCTTTAACAATCATCAAATCAAACCAGTCAGATATAGACATTATCAAGGTGGTTTACATATAATTCATGATGCGCTCAATGATTTAGAGGTTCTTGGTGCTAAAGGTGAAAAATATGTTGTCTCCATTTAAGTACTTCGATAATTTCTACTATTATTTATTATATTTATTATTATTATTATTATGATTACCTATATTTTGTCATAGAGCATGAATACATTCAATTATATAAAATTAGACCTTTTTTAAAAAAACCGAGCCACAGTTCCAAATTTGGCTATGATTTTTTTGCGGCCTTTATCCTGCATATATTGTGTGCCGAACCGAGCCGTTATTTTATGTACAAATACTATACATTATCTTTACATAAAAAATCTAAACACATTTACTCTTACAAATATCAGTACACTAAAATCTCACTCATCAAGTTCAAACATTCAAGTATATAATAATAAAAACAACATGCAATAAAATTTGAGCAGAGATTAATTCTATTAATTCCCACAAGTAGCATTTATGACCCTCACAGGTTGCTATGAAGTAATTCTGGCAATTGGTGCGAATAAAACTTAAAAGAGCTGCCTTTTCAAATTTAGTATGAGCCAATTACCACTGGTTATTAAGAACCCATACCATTCGATATAAACGAATTTCGGTACGCGTCTTGAATATAAAGCTAAAGTACTGTTTCATTTAGCTTTCGATTTTTGAATTTTATAAATTCTTACCTACACTGTTTTCACCTCCACTTGTACAGCTAAAATATTCACCTGATTTGCTACTGCAACCAGTGTTCTGAACTAAATACCTGTCCGTACCAAACTTAAGATAAAAGGTCCATTTTCCACCATGTGTTAATTTTAAGCACTGGAATGCACATATTTTCTTACCATTTGTCTTCCCCACATGCTCATCAAGCGAACCTTCAATTGTTGACGTGAGAGCAGTTGTATCACAAGCCCCAGTAATTTCACCAGCTTGCCAGTACACGTTAATGCCATTATAAACATGAATGGTTGCAAAGTCCGAATGGCAATTATTTTGGTTCAGTAGACTCTTGATACCATTGGCTATGTCTTTAAGTACTTGATAAGCGAAAGCACCACCCGTTAAGCATACCCCAGCATTATTAGCAGAATGGGTACAAATTCTTATATCTATGCGCTTTGCTAACATAGAATTTGTGGAGTAGGTGTCACTAATTTCAAACCCAAATTTTCCATTATCATTTTCTAAGAAAGCAAACCAATCTGGATAGACATTTTTAAGTGCGGTACTGCCATAATTTGAAGGTTTAGACGCAGTGTCATTAACCATAGTTATTAGTATCAATAGTATAATTATTTGATCTAAATGCGCATGTAAATGGCATCAAGTAGGTAAAGAAATAAGACAATATGATGATGGGTTTTAAGCTCATTGTTGGTGAGTACAATTAGGATAATTAGCAAAGGAATTATGAGTGAATAGAACCTGGTTGTCATTCGAGATACTTTGTCAAGGTGATGATACAAAGATGGTACTCTATAGGCAAGTAACATTAGATGAATGAAAAACATGGTTCTTCAGAGAATTATTTATAACATTGATTCGTCACCTCTTTCGCCAAAAGAATTCTAATTTAAGTAGGTCCCGGGGCATTCTATTTCAGGAAGTTATTAACCATGGAGAAAATTCCCATTAATCCATCTTGATTTGTAGTATTATAGGTACAAATTTTAGATTCAATTGGCTCAAAGGTGATGCCAAGAAATAGAAAGAACTGTCCAATTATGTTTTAAGACACAAGAATATAGAAGCTTGTCACTTCTTAGAAGGAGATCGATAGGAGTGGAACTATTTATAGATCCAATTGCAATGCACATTTTGCCACCTCTTGGAGCGGCTATATTGATTTAATTTTGAGTTCTGTATTAAGCATCCAGAACGCCGTGACTGTGCGAGGCTAACTGGACGAATCCCACTACCATTTATATTCTGGTTCGGTAAAAATTTCGACAGAGGCAACATGCAAATGCAACAACTCGATAAATGTTCATAATCCCGCGGCACTTAGCATAAATTGCGTTTATTTTTTTTTCTTTTTGGAGGGGTCTTTATTCCTAAAGTAGAGTGTAAAAAACCACAGGCTGATTCTTTCCTTTCTTACTCGTACTCTTAACGTTTTTACTCTACCATAGTAACTTTTGACAACTTGTCATTATTCAATTCTTCAACTATGAGTCCTTTGTCACCAGTGGACAATTTCTTTTGGTTAATACATATATTCAAAAAGAATTGCAGCCACCACCTCCTTACTACAAAATACATATAGACATTCATTATTTACACTAATTACTCTTCATCACTGTCGATCTTGAATTGTTTGTCAATATCGTCTTCGTCACTAGGTGAAGATCCCTGTGATTGTAGCAGTTCTTGTGGCTTATCGTCTTCACTGGTAATGTCATCTAATTCAAATCCATCACCATTTTCAAGATCTTGTAGATGTTGTTCACTAACAGCAATGTAGGGATTTCTATTGAATATATTTAAGAAAGGATGGAGTATTCTTGAAGCTTTAATTCTAATTTTTTCAAATATAAGCGATCTACCACTTCTACCTAACATTAACCAACCAATAAATCCAAGCAAAAACATAAAAATAATTATTCCATACCATCTATGAGGTTCAATATACCATTTCAGTTCTGCAGATTCTGCCTTATAGTTTGTTTCGTAATCATAATGATGATATTTTGCATTTGGGTCGGGTTTAACAAATCGTGGACGAGGGTATATTCCATTCTGTTCAGCTCCAAAATGATAATCACTAGGAGCAGAAGAAGAGTATAATCCGGGTCTTGTAAGTAGATCTTCTAATTCTTGATCTTCTGATATTCCTCTAGATATTAAAGTATAATTATTGAAAGCTTGAACATATTCATCATTGGCATAAAGAAGAGCACGACCCAATGTCCAAGAGAAAGCAGACCCATCTAATTCTTCAACCAATTCAAGGGATTTAAAATGGGTATTCTTTTGAGATTTTTCATCATCAATTCCAAATCGAGGAAAGCCTAATCCTAAATGTAAGAAATTTAATACCCAAGAAGACTTAAAACATAACTCAGTCAATTCATCTTCTGATAATCGATTTTCAGGTGCCTTAGCTTTGTTTAATGTGATTAGTCTACTGAATTGTTGTGAACAAAGTTTAGAAGTTTCTTGATAGATGAGCTTGTAATCATAAGTATCAGATTGATCCTCAACTTTTGATTTGCCATCTTCACCTTCTTCATCTTCACCGTCATCATCTCGAGTAGACTTATCATAAGACAATAAATTTGTAATTGCTTCCCAATATCCACTAACGCCTACAAAATGATTAACATCAAAATCGAAAGCAGGGACTAAATCATTTAAGAGACATGAACTAACTTGATCTGGACCCTCAAATTGTTTACAATCAGTTTTATCACTTTGAGTTGCGCCATAAGTACTATTCAGTATAACTGGAAAGATCATTTCAAGACATTTGGGAAAGTCACTACTACCTGTAAAATCTACATTGAATTCTCCAATTTGAGCTGTAGTTGTATAACCCTTCGGTAAACATGGATCTGTCATAGGTTTACCAATATTTCCATAATATTTATCATGATCAGTCACGTCATGATCACGTAAATAAGTACCAAGTAAAGATTCTAAGTATCTAGTATGAGCTTGATACATACCAAATCCTAAGAAGGAATCAGAATAAATATTAAATTCAAGATGTTTTGGTTCATAATATGATCCCTCAGATTTAGGCTCAGATTCGGTAATTGAATCTACCAAGTTCGATGAATTCGTTAGTACTGGTAATTGGTTCAAGTTAATACGGTATAAGCTCTTTTGGTGTTCTTCAATTTCTGTTGTATTTGGTTGAAATACCACTTGTGTTGATGCACCACCCATATCCAATAAACCATAAGTATAGTGCAGTTTACCATGATCATGCATTTCTGGATGATCAAATGATCCCTTAAGTGAGTTAATAGCTAACCAACCATAAATCCCTTCGAAATCACCATCTATAACATTGATATGAGATGCACAATCAGGGATATAAAAATCAGAATTAGAAGTAATATAACTACATATATTTCCAAGAATCTGTTGTTGTTCGGTGGGAGTTAATAATCTCATACCAGCTGTTGAATGAAGAAATATTGGAGTACGATAATGTTGAGATTTAGGCACTACCGAACTAGCAAGAGTTAATAAATATTTAATATGATGATTTCCAATCTTTTGAGGACTCATTTGAAAAGAAGATATCCCAGGTTTAATCTTTTGATGCCATTTCTTCTTGGATTTGATTTTAGGAAATTTTATTTGAGAATCGGTACTGTTGGTACTGATAGAATCTTTATTAGTTGACTGTTCTCCTTCACCTTCACTTTCATTATCTTTATCATTCTCACTATCATTATCATTTTCATGATCATTCTCATCTTCACTCTCGGAATCAGTATCATATTTTTCTAAAGCAAAATGTTTAAAAAGATTAATATCTAGCGGAGCCTTTGGTTTCGTTTTGGTTAATTCATATTCATCTTTCAAAGCATACTCTGGATTTAACCAATTATATACATAAACTCTTGAACCACTTGATCCTGCATCAATGATTACCATATAATCATAAGGTATATCATTTTTAGAATATATAGGTCCTGGTGTAATATAATTTTTATCTTTACTTTTCTTCTTCTTTCTAGGTTCCATTGAATTTATCATAGTCATGGTGTTAGTCGTTCGTTATTAGATAGATAATGGAATTGTAGTTTGATACTCCGGCCCCTATTAGTTTTTTTGTATGGTGTTACTTTTGTGCGTAGCGGACATAGCTCCGAACTAGCCAAGCCATGAGCGAAGCCATCGTGCATCTTGTGCCTAATTATCTACTATGAAAGTTAAAGATAAATATTGTATTATATGTGTTACTGGTGGGCTTATTAAGTGTATAATAAAAGACTATAGAGTTAGTTAAAAAAATAAGAATAATCATAAGTAATAATTAATAATAAATAATAGTAGTAGTAGTAGGAATAGTAATAGTAATAGAAGTATAACTTAATCAGATCACACAATTAAACAGAAATCAGTAGTTGAACATGTGTGGGAATGAAAGAAAGGCCATTAAACATGAGATTATATTAGTAGTAGAGAGCGTCATTAACTGTATTTGGTATAGATGATTCATTAAACTATAACACATTTATCTTGTTGCTTGGGAGTTGGATTATGAATGATTTCAATTTCTTCAATTAAATTCTCGAAAGCTTTATTTATATTAAGATTTTCTCTTACTGAAGTTTCCAAGAATTTACATCCAAATTTATTAGCTAATTGTTCACCTTCAGAAGTTTCAACTTGACGTTGATAAATTAAATCACATTTATTACCAATGAGTACTAATGGGATAACATCTGTTCCAATAGAATTCAATATTTTATCTCTTATTACTTCTACTAATTCAAAAGATTGTCTGGAAGTTACGGAGTATACAAGGAGATAACCATGAATACCTACTAAATGCTTTTCATTCATTATACTAAATTCATCTTGACCTGCTGTATCTAATATTTCTATAGCATAATCTTGATTTTTATAATTTATAGTCTTAGAAAACTGATTCTCTATTGTTGGATAATAACTTTCAACGAAATGGTCTTCGACAAATCTTACTGTCATTGATGATTTACCAACTGAACGAGATCCAACAACTGCTATTTTACGAGCTTTGACCATTTTGGATTGTGATGTATATGTATATAATCTATTAGTATAAAGCAAAAAAAATACTGGAATATGAGATGTTTGATAAGTACTACGAGATATCTACTATGATATATGAGATACAAGATATCAGTTTTATGAAATTATAAGGTTTGTGGTATGTAGTTTGTGGTTTATGGGAACCTAGTGAGTGGTACTGGGGATGCCGCACTATACTTACTTAAGGATGAGCCTAACTCGATAACAAGATATGGATAAGAACTATAACCGTATAGCGATAGTAATAAGCTTAGCTGAACAGTATAATCTGGTATTTGATATTTCTATCAAACCTCCAATAGTTAGCAGTATCTGATAAAGATGACTAATGAGCTCCGGTACTGCTGGTTGATAAATTAACAGTCAATAATTTCAACCGAAAAAATCAGCCAAACAAACGATGAACAGAGAGAATTTTCGCATAGTTAAGATGGTTCGCTAAAATTGATAAGAAGAACAAAGAAAATGACGTACAGATAAGAATATGGTACAGCAACTACTTGTGATATATAATGAAATTTTGAAATTCATGAGTCCCATATATACAGAAGATATTTTACATCTTCAAAATCTCACCTTATCTGATCAACTAAATACAATATTGAATTATGTAGTGAATCTTATAGTTATGTATAGAACGATTTTTGTCCTTTGCTAAGTTATGAAGATCGTCGTAGTCGTGTGAGACTGTTTAGACAGATATTTCCTTGCTTATGTAAGAATGCGACGTAACTCTTAATTTTTTGAATCATGAATATTCAATTAGGCTTATAATAATAACTATATTCATGGGAATAATATATGCATTGATGGATATCTAATATGTACAGGTATATAATATAAAAGTAGTAGAAACTCTAGTTACTATTACTTTGGTTTTTGTTAAATTTCGTTAATATTTTATTACTTGGATTCATTTTCAGCTAATAATGATCCCTTATAGATAGATCATTATTATTATTATTATTATTATCACTTATTGGCTGCTTCCTGTTTATCTCTTTCCTCCTTTTGCTTCAATAAATATTTCAACCTCTTTTCTTTCTTTTCTTCGATTAATATATCTCTCTCTATATCCAAATATTTCTGCTTTTGAAATTGGGCAACACATTCTAAGGATCGTTTATTAATATCATCACATCGTTTCATGGATTCAATAGGATTCAAAGAACTATTACTACATTCAATATATGCTTTAATCAAATGATCACATTTAGCAAATGCTTTCTTTCTCCATCTTTCAAATATAGCTTTCTCTTCTTTAGGGGTTATCACCCAAGGTGGTAAGTTTGGATTTGTGGGTAACTCGACATCATTATATGTCTTCTTTTCTTTACCGTAACTCATCCCTTATAGAGTTTCCTTTAGGATTTTTTACAATAGTCTCGACAACTCTAGCGGTTTAAGTTATCTGGTGTGATTTTCTAATGCTGAGATATTTCAATTTCTTCATTTTTTTCAGACTCTAAAAACGAGATGTACTGCGGTGCGGATGTCATGAACTAATCGTATAAAACATAAACAAACAGTTAACAGAACCTATAATTTCACTAATTAGCTATACAATTATAGAAATATGATACAAGGAACGCCTGAAGATATAATACAGCAATCAATAGACAGTATTGAGATTGAACCTGAGCTTCTAACGTTGGACAGAATAGAAGATACCATTCAATCTATAAAAGCGATCCGGGATGAAAAGATCGAAACATTAACCAATAATAATTCAAAATTAGCCAATACTATAGGTCAGTTAAATCAAGAGATTAGATTATTAACTAAGGTCAGTGACTATAACTATGAAATCATTAAGAATTTAACTACTATTCATAACTTAAGAGGGATAAACACAATTGAAGATATAAATCGAGATGATAATATATTTAAAGTATTATCCAAAAAATCAATTGAATTAGATAATGTAAAGGTTGTAATTGCAAAGAATTTGAATGATTTAGAGAGTTCAATAAATTCATTGAAGTTGAATAAAAGTAATCTCCTAAAAGAAATTGATCAATTACGAACAAAATTATCTAATATATTCAATAATGATCTTGAAAAGTCATCTAGTACATCAGGAAATAGTCAAGAACAAAGGGATGATATTCTCGAGCAAGATTCCAGCATTCTTCAGATAAATTTATTCAGAAATCTTGGAGTAAGAATTGAAACTTTTGATAATGATATTGCCGATGAATTGGTAGATAGTGATAAAAAATCACTCGACCATATAATCATTCATAATAAAGGAACAAATTTAACTAGTGTCTTGAAAGTAGAACCACAATATAGTGATTATTTCATATCCAACTATATATGGGAGAGATTAGAAGGTTATGATTGATCAAAAAGACTACATAATTCAATGATAAATATTTCTATGTTTTCTTTATGCTATGTACAATTATGGGTAGGTTTTGTAATAATAATAATATATACGAATGCTAATATACAATTTCATGAATGCAAAGGGGAAATAATGAAAGAACATTAATAATACTTTGGATTTTCTCTAAATGATCTCTTTGTCCATTTTGGCATTAAATGAACCAGCCTTCTATAATTCTTTTCATTTTTACAAAATGTAGTATATTTATCTTTAGGTGACATTTCATGTTCCTTTGGAAATACAAATTTCAAATAATCAACTTTTTTAACACCGGTCTTTTCACCATAAGTTTTACCCTTGGCTTCAATAAGTCCTTTATAAATTTCTTCAATATTAGAATCAACTTGTTTCATACGCTTTCTTAATCTATTCTTTTGAGGTGCTGATAATCTTGGGGCTTTCTTCCACAAGTAACCTCCACTCAAGGTCAAGGTGGATTTAAATGCACCAAACATATTCATCTTGTCTTTGTTTTAGATATCCTACGTTATAGACCATAGAATCAATTCATGGTAAATTTTTTTTTTCTTTTCAACATTTAATATTTGAACAATGTGCACGACCTTTTTAACCTATTAATTAGCAACCATAATGGGCTACCATCTTGACAAATTACTACAGCAGGAAGTTATCGTTGAATTCCAATCTTTGCCATGGCTCCTATATTAAACCAAGGGGCCAGGGGGAGAGTTAGATATCTTTGGTGAATCTATTTATGAGTCCAGACCAATCCAGTTTATTTTTAGTTTTGCTGTCGCTGCACAATCGCTGGTGTCTGACGTAAGATGTAAGCCTCTCCAGATCTGTTGATATGGCAGGTTTCTAGTCAAAATTTGTAGACACAAGCCATATCCGAATATAGAACAACCACAATTCAATGATTGCTAGGTGGCACATTACATCATTATTTGTTCAGTGACAAAGTTAGAAACAATAAGTATGAGCTGTTTGATTGATGGGATATATACGAGAGAGCAAACAAAGGGACATGAGCAATTTATCCTCTTATGTAAGCTCAAGCATAGTTGCCAGTTGCTCATAATGTTTTACAAGGCACAGCAACTGTCGCATATTCGTTTATGTGTCGCAAGCTGCAAAATGCGACGTCATTTCAAAGGCAAAATGAGGTCCCACACTCAACGGCCCGACGTAGTCAATAAGTTATGGACATCTGTAGAATCTAAACGAACTATAGAAATAAGGAGATTATCTTTTGGTCGTCTTGGACTCCACATTCTCTATTAACCAATCAATTGTAAAGCCCAATGAACTTTTACTTTGACAATGGCAGGATTCTATGTCTAGAATAAAGAATCAGACCACAGGCCAATCCGTCAATACTTTCTTTGTAATCGACAAATCAACGGTAATAATAAGAAAATGAATGACCATACATAAAATAATGTATAGGGGCACAGAACTAGCCACTTCAAATAAAATATAAACTATGGCATGGAAATAGGAAATAAAGAGGGGGGGCGCTAGAGGAGGGGTGGACGAGAGGGAGAGGAATATGATTCTGGCACCTATCTCTATTCATCACTATGAGAAATTTAAGTTTCCTTATGAGTAGCAACGGTGATTCGGGAGACGGGGAACCAAACAATCGAAAAAGCAATTGATTGAAGAAGCTATTATACGATATGTTATACTAATTAGGAATAGGAATAGGAGATAGACCACAAGGGTCCGTTTTCTCCTATTCACTCAAACCATACTTTAAAACTTATTTAGGGGAGGTGTCCGTTGGGGTTGACAAATGCACCTTTGTGGTAACTGCAATGATTTCTCACCCCACGATTTTCACCTTTTCTACATGGAAATAAATTTTTAAAATATTTATTTTTTCTCCTTATTAATGACAGCATTAACGCACACCAAATGGAAACCTCTGTTAACCCGAAATTCGGAGTATGAAAATTTTTCTGACTGCAAACAAGCGCCAGCAGTTGTAATTCATTGATGAAAATGATATATATTAAATTTTTAACCTATATATGCAATTATGTTTGATTCCTGATTTTTAAATAGATTATTATGGTTATTCTCTATGTATAAGATAACGGTAATTAAAAATAATAAACTATATAATATGGATTGCAAACATTTTATAATAAAAATAAACCCTATAATAAACCCGATGATATAATAATTATGTTTTTTGTATTTTCCTGTGATCAGTCTTTATGACTGTATAAATTTTAATAAATAAAATATGATCTTGACCTCCCGTAAACCTGTCGTGACATTAAATTAATGATATGAAGTAGATAATTACTTTCTACTTGCTTGTTGTGAATGCAACAGTCGAGTATTCGACTTCTTAGTTGTAGATTTAGAATTATATTCCTCATAAACACGCAGTCAACCACTTCCTATAATTATGTGAAGTGGAAGGTACAGTACTCATGATATCTGAGTTTGAGGATGATAATGTGTAATTTGTCTTTGAATTGACAGAATAATTCAAATCAAAATAATCAAGATCTTTACTTGGTTGAACTTTTGCGCTATTAGTCAATAATAAAGGTGATGAATTTATATCTAAATATGAATTACTTGAATGTTGATATAATGAAGGTGTCAATAAAGGAGACACCAAATTATCAGATGCTATAGTGGATTGGGAGATATTTCTGTGATGGTTCTTCATAGTTTGTACTTCTTGACCTTGTTGATGTTGAGATATTATATTCACAGCATTATATTCGTCAATCGATTTACATTCTTCTGAACAGTAAATCGAGTTTTGAGAACACAACTTATCACAAGTTAAACAGTAGTTATTAAAGGCTAAGTCTGACATTTTTGCAAGTCGCGGTGCTACCTTGTGACAAATCCCACGTGTAATACTACTAGTACTTCTATTTAAAAAGACCTAAGTAGCAAGATGATGAATAACTAAAGCTGAGTAGTTAAACTAAACTAGTGATAGTTATATAATGTATAAGATAGAGTTGATAACCAAAGAAGGCTAAACACTTAAATTAAAATTTTTCAAATTAGATCAAATGATGTGAGTTATATACTATTGCAACATTTCCTATACCCTAAGAAAGTGTGGGTTAAAAATTTTTCTATGAGTAACCACAACAAAAATTAAAAATAAAAATAAAAAAAAAAGCTTTAAAAGTAAACAAATTTGAAACCTCTGAAAACCAGGAAATTCCGAATCCAGTTAAGAAAACTCACAACACAACCCAAATTTTTTCAATGAATGACTTAATTTATTTTGTGGTCCTGCAAATTTTACTTAGCTTTTGTTACACGTGCACTGGCGTGGTTTTTCAGAATCTGAGACCTACACTAACCAAATAGTGGGACACCTCAGCAACACGTACCACTATTCCCGCTACCGACCCACGATTCTACCGCTCACAAAGTTAAAACCCACAATGCTGTATATTCAATTACACACTACAATTACATTACGATACAGAATAGGAGTACCCCATGACCCCCTAATCGTGGTCTACTGAAGTGTGTTACAGTATGGCTAGGCTCCATGGCAATTTCATAAATGTTGTAATTCTAGAAGTTTCCTTTATGATCGTTATGTACAGCCTCAGTTAAATCCAGAACCTAGTCTAGCCTAGCCCAGCCTACTCTACAAAAATTTTTTTCTCTACGCTTCGGTAGGATTCTTCTCCACAAGAGTCTCACAAATTTTTACCGCTATTAGTGAGAAAATATTTCGTGCGCATACAGAAAAAAGCTTTTCCGATTGTTTCTGAAACATTCTATACAGATAAATTAGTCACTGCCAAAGTGCTCACTGGTAACAACCTCTTATGGTCGTGGTAACTACAGAATTATGGCCTAGTTGTAACTTCGGTATTGGTATAGCAACTGAGAATGTGATGTTTCAAACAATTTAAAACTATCAAACTCCCTGTGTATATGTTATGATTGCTCGTTCCGGATGTATCAAATGCAATTTACAATTATGAAATAACTGTAAACATGTGGATTAGAACTTGTGGTTAGAGTGGGTCAATGCCATGTGGTGAAAGAAAATGCACTATTTACCTACCACGGTGCTTGGACCTTTTAGTGCGAAACTTTTCATCTTTGCGCGTAGTGGCGCGAATGCTACCATACGGAAATATGTTACCTCCGCCCGCAATAAAGGGAGAAAATTTTTCTTTAGCAACTAAATCAGATGGTTTTTATTTCTGTGTCAAATACTACAGTAAAAAAGTTTATAATCATCTCATCTCGTCTTGTCTCGTCTTGTCCCATATCGTCTCGTATCATGTAGTATATACATCATGGCAGTTACTGCCACAACCTTCGTCGGGTTCACGTAACACAGGTATAAAAGAATACGATAATATAACAACAGCAACAGTCGAGAATTTGTTGCTATTTACTTTTTCAGCTCTTCGCTATGCAAGTTGCACCCACGATGCGCATTTACTACAGTTAACTAATTATAGATTTGAAAATTTTTATTCCTAATTTGCTATTCTTAAGATGTTATGTAGGACTAAATTGTCATATCATCGCATACTTATTTCTACTATATTAAGCTCAGTGTGTCCTGCTTCTGGAACTCAAGTATGTCAAACTTACTTATTGGCTAATATTACATTTCTAAGTACTCATTACAATACGTCATTTTAACAAATGCGAAAATTTCATCTTAACCCGGCAATATGCTACTTTATCACTTTGGGATTTTAACTTACTCTCTGAAACTCTTATGTTAGGAATTTTAAAAAGTTATAAGGCAAAAACTTACATGTTCCATTTCAGCATGGAATAAAGGTAAAATAAAGGACAACTCTCAAAGGGATTCAAATTTGGATCCATCGGAACTTTAATCAGGTTGAAAAGAGTACAAAAGGTTAAGTATACTTATTTAACACACCTACTTGTCTTAGTTAACACATCTTATAGTATCAGTATTGTATTGGAGAAATTAAATTATCGAATCAAACTTAAATTAAGATTTTCTAAAGCTATGAAATTTTCACCTATTAGAAACTAAATAAATAGAGAGGCGGTACATCCTTACCATTCTCAGACGTTGAAGTCGTTATAGATCGATCTCATTCTCACCTCTTAACTTTGTTTAGTGACAATTTTATGATCCCTACGTATTCTCTAGCCCTAGATTTTGCAAAAAGATCATTTGCAAGGCTGGAACTTGCTCGGGGTCGTGCCCTCTGTTCAAAAATAGAACGTTTTTAATGCGTCACAAAGAGATTCTATTTTAGGTCTAAAACCTTCTTTTTTTAGTATTTTTGTTGGAAATAGACCCCTCATAGTGGGAATCAACAAAACAAAAAATATAGAGTTAGGAATTTCTTGTAATACCCAAGCTGTAAGAACGGCCTTTAATACAATGTTATTGAGAGGTAGTTTAGCAAATAATAATGAAACAAGAAGAATATTTAATACAATATTAACCCAATAATTTTCAAATTACTGTAGTCAAAAGGTTTTCCCCCTCACTATTATTGAACTTCCGTCACCAAAAAGAAACTTACATAATGTGACTACACTTTAAGCCGGCAGTAGAGGTAGAGTAATGCAATCCAAAATGAGAAGCGCAATATATTAGTGCATGAAGATTCTTGCTCAATAGACAAATTTTACAATTCCACTCGTCCATTAACCTAAAGTTGAATTAGAGTTATTAATTAATTTGTGGAGAATACTGGGCAACAATATGAAGCGGCCAGACTGTGGGTATAAATCAATTAAAAAAGAAATTTTTGGTGAGGGGTATACCACACTAAATTATAATACTCATAGTTGTTAATAAAGATCCTCTTTGAAGAATATACTTTGATCGGTCACTATAGACGAACTGTAATTAATCTGCTGGAGTACCCCATCTGAGAGACAATCAAAGTATTGTTCATCGAAGAAAATTATCACAATAATGGGGTGGATCTCCCCACACTGCGTAATTATATAAATAATATTCTCTTAAAATAATGGAGTTTAATCTTTCCGAAGTGGGTCAGTTTCGCACTTTTATATCCGCCGCGAACCTCCAATATTCAGCCATAGTTTAGAGCGGGTTTTGTTTCTGAATTAGGAGGTGTTGATTCGATAACTAATCAACCAATGAATCAGATGTTTCATTAAAGTTCATACACAGCATTTAATCTTAGGTTGCGTGAACCTTTATGGAATATAGGAATTTACATGCAGAACGTACCCTTACTACCAAAATTTGTGCGAATCCGCTCCGCTGGTGGAGATGGAAAGTGGAGAAGCAGGCGCAGGGTCATACAACCGTGCGGCCGCTATTCTAATGATAACAATATCAGTAATAGTTATTACTCAACCACCGTTTTGATAGCTTACTGTGGTTTACTGTGATTTTACTTTTTATCTCTGACCTTAATTGCTCATATCACGGGATTTTAATTATTCGTGTCATGTTCAATAGTGAAACCATATCAATCGCTATTGATGCAAAAAATGTTGTTCCTGTTGTGGTATCTACAGATAAGTTTCATAATCACTATCTTCATCTACCGCTGGTTATCACGATAATGCCAAGCCAATAACCGTGAAATAATAATGTTCGTTGTAATCTAAATTGGATATTCTATTTTCTAATAGAAGGTGGGGAATGGAAAATCGCGCTCATTCTACTTAAGGAAACTCGAACGAAAGAGAGTAAGAACTTCCAATGTAAGTAGTATACATTCTATAAGACATAACGAGATATATTCAGTGTGGATTAAGCCACAACATGTAGTATCATATCTATGTAGTATTGAAATTGATAGGACTGAAGACATTTACCAGCCACCACAATATTTAAAGTCCTATCTCGATTTAGATAACGCGAGCTCACCTTCCCAATATGGCTCGAAACCGCTTATCAAATAAAAGGAAATGTATTCAACGAAGACAACTTCTGCTAAAGATAGTTAGAAAATACAATTAGACAGTATCATGATTGGAGAAAGATTGATTATTGTTATTTATCTTTCCTATCAACGGATCACTCAATCTATCTATCCGCTGAATAGATTAACATGGAATTTTTTTCTTAATTAAGATATTAATTTATTTTTCGTCATCTCATTCTTATCGTACAAAATATTGCGAGTGTTATAGGGTATGCGATGCCGACGATTGCTTTTTACTAATAGAGCACCAATCTATCTATATCTGATCAAGGCTAATTATCTTATCAAGTTATGGTCATTTCCGTATTTGGATTTTAGCTTGCGTTAATCTATCATGTCAAATGTCAAATTATTATGTTTTCACTGATCAATCTGGGAAGATTTACCTATAAAATTTTAATCAGATTCTTCTTTCAGCTTCTATTTAGATTAATTATAATTATAAAAGAATGTACTCCACTCCTTCGGAAGAACCCTTTTCTATTCTTTATCAAAGAGATATGTTATCTTATCTCTTATCTTATACATTCTTATACTTGTATCTCAATTTTATTAAATCCTTTACATCATTATCTAATCTAATGAACCACATATTAGCGAAAACAATCATAATATAATTAATTATTGGCAAAATATAATTCAAATTCAAAGTCCATTTGAATTCGCCACCATTAATAAATAAGTAAAACACTTGTGCACATATGATACCATTAACATATTTGATCTTATCTAACCCCCATCGTATTTTAGGATCTAATGATTCCAAATACTTTATTGAACCTTGTAATGGTAAGGACGATGTGAGTACCATTGTAAGTGAGAGCACAAATGAACAAAGTATAAGCAAATTCGCTACATTCGATCTAATTGATTTTCCTTGTTGATGTCGTGCTATTGAGTGAAGAATGATGTGGATAGGTATTTCAATAAGTATCAATACAATAAGAAATTTTTGGAATTGAACAAATGACACTTGATTCAGAATTGACAAGTCTTGAATCAATTGATTTTGATCCTCAATATCCATGAGTATGGGAGAACCATCTTCTTCACCTTCATTAGACTCGACTTGTAAAATTGATTTATCTAGTCGTCTTACTCTTGAAGTCATGTAGTGTATGTTTCCTCTAATAGCCTTTTCATTTAGTTCTAAAAATGTACTCTTACTCTATATTTGTTCTTTGCTTCAAATGGGTCGTGCGCAATAGTCAAATAAATTTTCACAGCCAAATAATTTTTATTACAAAATTAAAATAAGATGAACTTTATTGAAGGTTAATGTAAGAACTTCGAAAGCACAGCCGGGTACTTGATGATTGTAAGTATGATAATAAAGAGGTAATTCAATATTTTACTCAATTGGAAAATATTGCTTAATATGAAAATTTTAGTAGAATTTTTGCGAAAAATTATCATGTATACAATATGCTACGGATGAAATAACTAATTCATTTACAAATAACTGAAATTTAATACGTAACATACCACATAACATAATTGAAGTAATATAATCCACTTATTATTCAAAATTTGGAATATATTGTTCACGTGAAGTCAGTCACGTTCGTGTTCGTGAGTAACAACTATTCCCAAATAGGTAATGCAGGCGTTTGCACATCATTTGACGGAATCTAGGTCCTTAACCGATATGGAACAGATCTGCCAGGCTGTAATTTGCAGACATCAAGCAATTCTGTCATAGGCACCACTTAAACCAATTACAAGTGGTGTTATAATGGAATGATGACAAAAGGTTAAGGCGGAAGAGGCTTCTAAGGCGGGAGAGTTCTAGATGTTTATAGCAGGGCGTAAATCAATAGAACTAAGTTTGAATATGGAAGTAAGCAAAAGTTACTTATTTGGGGGAGCTAAACTATAACTATAGTATAAATCCTAACGGAATAGTGAGCGCATACGCGAAGGCACTGCAGGGGCATTGATAGTGTAGCCAATAGAATGTAGAGAATAGTTTAGCGCTGCTGGCTAGACACGAAATATCATAAGCACAAAATTTACCCCTGCACCAATAAAATAATAATGAGTAGGTAGTGGCAAATAATGAAATAGAGTTTATTCTGACAGTTGTCGTTACGACTGTGAAAAAGGACAGGTATATATTGACGATATAATGCCTTCCTTAATAGGTGATAAGTGGAATTAAATTGAATTGAATTGAATTGAGTTGACAGACGACAAAGAAAGTCTAACAATGCCAAGTAAGGTGAATTGAGTTTCATAGACGACAATTCTTCTATTGACACGTTAAATCACATAGTAGTTTAGTAGCCGAGAGTAGCTTAAATAATACTTATAGCGAAAGACATTCTTTAATGCTACATTCCTACATACCGTGTAATATAGTCAAATATGGGACACAAAATCCTAACATCTTACTTAATTGAGATAAATCGTCAAAATCTGTAAACATAACCTGTATAGGGACCAGATAAACACAAGAGAACAATGACGCAAGTGTTGGTACAGGCACGACCCAATTTTATTATGCATGTATCGATGAGCCTTAAAGTTTATAAATGCGATTTTGAATAAGCAACGACTTGGTCATGAACAAAATGATAATGAAATTGAAATTGAAATTGGAAGTGGAATTGAATGTTCAACTTCTAACCTCAATTAATTAATTAATTAATTAACAGTACTTAGTTAATTGAATAATTATTTAATCTCTTGCTATTACCATTAACACATAAACTACGAATCAAAAATTGACAATGGACCATCTAACAATGAAAAATACAATACAATACAAAATAAAATAAAAATAAAGTAAAAGTAAAAGTAAAAATAAAAATAAAAAAAATATAACAATAAAACTTACAAAATAAAAAAAAATAATAGTCAAATTTATAATAAACAAAAGAAAAGAACAGAACAAAAAACGACTCCTTCATAAAAAATAATCCTATAATATACCTGTACGGCGTCGTGTACTACCCCCAAAAAAAAGTAACAATTTTTCCTCACAAAGTCAACCCATTTCATTTCTACAATTTCATTTATTTACAGCCAAATCACTCTTACTATTCTTCTTTTATCATCCCTTAATCATCATCCATCACAGCGCCTGTTGTAAATCATACCCAACACGGTGCAACCACTTCGAACAACCGTTAACAACACATATTAGCTTATTTGTTATTCCCGAACGGTCTGATTCACGCATATTATCCATTCGTTTACTAACCCATACTTATGAGTAAATCAAATCGTTTCTGGATTAACTGACTGCTATTCTTATCCTTCTACTAACACAGTAGAAGAACAACAACTAGAACATACAAAACAACTAAAAACTAAAAAAAAAAGCATAAACTTATCATACTACTATTCCAACTACAGTCCTTCTTTCTTTAATATCAAGTATTAGCTTATCTTGATACAATACCATCCAATCATCAATCATGAAGATTAATACATTACTTTTATTGGCAGCAGCCATAAGTTCATCTACAACTTATGCTGCTGAAACTTCAAGTTCTTACCCAAGTTATGCTAATAACTTTCAATCAAGATATAATGCTTTGATAAGTAGTTATCAACAAAATTATGCCAGTGCCTTAGCATCGGATAGTCCATCACCAACTCCATCACCATCACCATCACCATCACCATCTCAATCACCATCTCAATCACCGTCTTCATCAGCTCCAATTTCAGTAGCTCCTTCAGAAACATCAGGGTCTCCTTCACTTGTTTCTGCTTCTGCTTTTGGAGGACCTGTACCTTCTGATCCATATTACCCTTATGGCCCATCCTATGGTGAATATCCATCATATTCTTGGCCTTATTGGTCTTATCCTTATTGGACTTATAGTCCACCAACTTATACCGGACCAACATATTCACCTCCAACTTATTCAGGACCAACATATTCATCTCCAACTCATACTGAACCATCTTATACAGGTCCAACTTTTTCACCTCCAACATATACTGGCCCAACATATTCTGGTCCAACGTATAGTGGCCCAACTTATTCTGGTCCAAATTATTCTCCACCAACTTATAGTGGACCAAGTTATTCACCACCATCAGGTTCTCCACCATCTAATAGTGGACCAAGTGATTTCCCAACTCCAACTGGTACATATTCTCCAACAAATAGTGCTTCATCGGGTTCAACTTCTGTAGTACCAACTCCTCCAACCAGTGGAATTTCTCCAACAACTTCAATCCCTGGAAATTCTCCAACTACTCCAACTACAAATGGTGCTCCAAGTTCAAATACCACACCATCTACTCCAACTACTCCAACTACAAATGGACCACCAACTTCAAATACTACTCCAACTACTCCAACTACTCCAACTACAAATGGACCACCAACTTCAAATACTACTCCATCTACTCCAACTACAAATGGTGCTCCAAGTTCAAATACTACTCCATCTACTCCTAATAATTCGGTTCATATCGCACTTCCTTCAGGAGATGGTGAAACTGATACCACTGATGGAGAAACTACGGCAAATACACCAGCTGGTAGTTCAGCTCGTGTAGGTACACTTCCAAGTGATACCATTGGTACTACTAATGGAACCCCTACAGATGCTACCACTGGTACAACCACTGGTACAACCACTGGTACAACCACTGGTACAACTACCCCAACAGTTAATCCAACTACAAGTGCTACTGGTACTGGTACTGAAAATGAAACTGAAACAAATCCTACAAACTCTAGTCCAACTACTGGCTCAAATACTAGTACTAGTTCTATTTCATTAGTTAATCCAACTACAACATCTCTTGGATCTGGAACAACTACTTCAACTGGTACCACAAGTCCAAGTACAACAGCAATTGATTCAGGAACTACAGGAACTACAGATACTCCAGATGATGAAAATGAAACTACAAATGGAACAGAAAATGGTACAACCAATCCAACTGAAACTGCTCCAACTACAAGTCCAAGTCAATCATCAATTGTCCAACCAATTGGAACTATTGGTACTGAAACTGGAGGAACTCTTCCAACTTCAATTCCAACTTTAATTCCAACATTTACTCCAAATACAACTCCAACTTTAACTCCTAGTACTGGTGAATTAGATACTTCATCTCCTTCAGAGACTGTAGAAACTCAACCTGATACTAATACTAATACTGGATCTGGTACCGTTTCACTTCCTGGTACTGTTTCAGCTTCTGATACAGTCTTACCAACTGGATCTGGAACAGGAACAGTTACACCATCAGTTGGTACTGGTACTGGTTCTGGTACCGCAGTTAATTCACCAACTGGTGTTACTACTAATACTCCAAGTATTGCAACTGCTGGTACTGGTACTGGTACTGAAACTGGTACTGGTACTGGTACTGGAAGTACTAGTGATTCTGAAACTATTGGTGCTCCAGTAGGTACATCAGGTACTGGTACTGTTGGTACTGGTACTATTGGTACTGGAAGTAATTCACCTACACAAGGTACTCCAACTATTTCACCAAGTACAGGTACTGGTGTTGATTCTGAAACAGGAGTTGCCGATGATGAAGGAACTGGAACTCCAACTGGAACTGGAACTGGAACCGGAACCGGAACTGGAACTCCAACTGGAACTGGAACTGGAACTGAAAATACATCAGGAAGTGGAACTCCAACTGAAAACACAACTGGATCTGGAACTGGAACTGCACCAGCAACTGGAACTGGAACAAGTCCAAGTTTAGTTAATCCAACTACTCTGCAACTTAGTTCTGGATCAGATGAAACTTCGAGTCCTACTGATAATAATGATGATACTGATACAGGTTCAGCCACTGGTCCTTCTCCAACTGATACTACTACTCCAAGTACTACTGTTTTACCATCTGATGGTTCAAGTGGTACTGATAGTGGAAGTTCTCCAAATACTGATACTGGATCTGATACTGGATCTAATACTGGATCTAGTCCAACCACAAGTCCTGGCTCGGATACTGGATCTGGTCCAACCACCAGTCCTGGTACTGGTACTGGTTCAGGAACTGATTCTGGTGCAACCACTGCACCTGATTCAGGTAATACTCAAAGTCCAACTACCGGTACTGATAATCAAGAAACAGGACTGCCAACTGATTCTACTGGAACTGGAGGTTCTACAAGTCCTGATACACCAGCAACTGGTGGAGGTAGTAGTGGAGGAGCTTCTGGTATTCCAACTACAGGAGGTGCTTCAGATACCAATTCCTTAGCAACTCCAAGTATCAGTAGTTTAGATAGTGGATCTGCAACAGGATCACCAACTGGACCTGAAGCTTCAGGAACTGATTCAGGTAGTATTACTGGTACTGGTCCAATTGCTACTAATTCACCATCTGCTAGTAATTTAGACTCAGCTGCTGCATCTGAACCACCAACTACAGGACCAATTTCTCAAGGTACTGATACACCAACCAATGAATCAAATACTGCTACTACAGCACCTGATTCAGCTGCTACTGGTAGTAATGATAATGCTGCTACATCACCAAATACTTCGGTTATTACTTCCCAATCTTTACCATCAAATGTAACTCCATTTACTTTACAAAGTGCATCTGATGCTGAAATTTCAAATGCTAGTAATACCGCTGCTACTAATTCAGATGATGTAGCATCAGCTGCATCAGCTGCATCAGCACCTACTGGAACTGATACATCAGCTCCAGTTACCGATTCAGGTCATACTGGTACAGATGATACTCATTCAGCTGCTACTCCAGTACCTGTTTCTCCAAGTACTGCTTCATTAACTACTGGACCAAATTCTTCAGGCACTGGTGCTGGAACTGCCACTACAGCTAATGTATCTAATTGGCTTCCAACTCAATTACTTATTGAAACTGGAACTACCCAAGATGCATCATTAGAATCTGGTGCAACAACGGCAACTGCTAATCAAGCCACTTCTGGATTACCAAGAGCCATTACACCTGCAACCACAGCTAATCCTGGTAGTGATTATCAATTAGTTTATATTGGATTTAAATCGGAATTAAATTATCCATTTGTAGTTCAACATTCCGTATCTTCAGCACAAATTTTCCAATATTTACCAGGAGTTTTAACATTCCCATTTAATGATATTAATTCTTATAAAGATGTATCAGTTAAAAGATTAATTCCATTTACTGCTAGTGGAATTTCTTATACTATTACAGTTGCAGAAGTTTATTTCCCAAGTAGTTCAGTAAGTGCTTTAGCACAATTTATACAAACTCCTGGTTCATTAATCTATAGAAATCCTGATTCAACAGAACAAACATTAAGTAATTTAGTTGATAGTAGAATTCCATTAACAGGTTTAAATGTTGATATTGGAGCTTCAAGTACAGCATCTTCATCATCAAATTCTAATGCTAATTATGGATCAATTGATTCAACTGATATTACTTCATCATCAAATAAAGGTAATATTGCGGGAATTACAATTGGTGCAGCAGCAGGATGTACAATTTATCTTGGATTAATGGCTGTATTATTTAGAAGATATAAGAATGGTAAATCCGTTCAATTACCACCATCTGATAGTGAATCTAATTTAGGATTACCATCAGATGGATCTATTTTAGAAAGATCTTCAGGATTTTCTGCTATATTTAATAGAATTAATGGTAATGTTAGTAATTCACCTGGTGGATCATTAAGTGGTAGAATCTCTGATCCTGTTCAACAATCTAATTCACTAGGATGGTCACATTGATAAGTAAAATTTTATCAATATTATTTAAATTACCTTGCATTGAAACCACTTGAGAAAAGTAATATCGGACAAATAAAAATTGCTGCAAAATAATAAAGCATTGAAATTGAATTAATTGATAATTAATTATTGGTTAATTAATCTATTAATTCGTATTAATACCCCATTATATGCTTTTTACAACAATTGTGAGGTATCTCTTTCAATAGAAACTCTATACTTATACTCCTCTGTTTATTCATTTTATTCTAATTCTGTTATTAATATTTTTATCTATTTACTTAGTTTTATATTTCAATATAGCACATGTTATGTAAGATTGAGTTGTAGCTCATTTTCTATATAATTCCATAAATCATCAACAAGACTTTGAGCATCTTCTTCTAACACTTCACTAAGACTAACTATGAGTTGTTGCTTATCTTTAGTACGAGTCACGTTGTCGAGGATGGTGTCGAATAACATATCGTCTTCGACTCCCAAGTACTCTACGAGTAACTCATTAATCTTAGCTATGAGTTGGGGTGGAGGGGCAGACACGGGTAGAACTGATACTGGTATTACTGGTACTGGTACTTGTTCTACTGGTACTGGTACTGGTACCTCTTGTTGTTCTTGTTCCCTATCTGCTTCATCAGCCATCTGCTCGGCTGTTCTCTTTCTACTTCTCTCCGCAGTATATCGTTGATGGTCAGTATAGTACATGTTAACTACCGTAGTTAAGGCATTGGCAGAGGCAGTGTATGTGCCTACAGTCTCTACTACGTCCACGACTTGTTGATAGTACTTCTCCTTATTATCGATAAGATCACTCTCATACGACTTTAATCCCTCCAATTTGGTCTGTAAGTTGCGTAAACCTGATCCTGACAGCTCTGTCGCCTGGACTTGTGCTAATTTGGCAGTATATGTCTGATCTAATTGCTGTTGCTGTTGAGTACTGAGATATTCCTCATACTCCTGTTCCAGTAACTCAGGATACTCTTGTGGTGGAATTGTTACTGATGGTGTCTGTACTGGTAGTACTTGTTGTTCGGGAGTATCACCTCTTGTCTCCTTAATACCCTCGTAGAGTTTCTTAAGTCTTTCCTTAGTAGCAGCTCTTTCCACTTCAATCTCCTTCTTCCGCTTGTCTCGTTCAATGTTTAATACTTTAGATCGGAACTTAATGATATCCTTAACTATGCCTTCTTTCATGTGACTGGGTACATCGATGAGTTCATTGTTGTCTACTTTATATCGACTGTAGTAGTCCATCACCTGATCTAAATCTTCTGTACCTGTTTTTACACTGACTCTTTCGTAGTTCGTTACATTATGGAGTAATGAATCTATAGTATCCTTAATATCTTCAGGTACTTCTGTTCCTGATCCTGATCCTGATCCTGATCCTGACTCAGTATACTCCAGTACATCTTGATGCACGAGACTGATCTCATCATTAAGTAGTAGACTGCCTATCTCTCCACTATACATCTGTATAAACCATAGGGTATCTTCAACTCTACTAAATCTAATAAACAATAATCGATTATCCAAATACTCATAATTTAACATAGACCATATATAACCGCGATTACCAATTAAAGTACTTAAGATTCTTTCAATGGCTACTGGCTTAACTGGTGGGAAATATGTGATAGCCACCGTAGTCAATTGTTGTTGAAGATTCGTAGGTATTAATTCATCAATCGACTTATACCATTGAGGTTGTTCATTCTCATTGGTGGTTGTTTGTTCACTATGTGAACTGTTACTTTTATTAGTGGCTTTAGACCTCTCATTAAGCATACGAACCGTATTGCTTCTTAGTATCTCACTAACATCGGTACCTTTAAGGATAGGGATAGTCGTATGAATCATTTTGAAATGAGGTGATGGTAAGGGCTTTAGTAAAGAAAGAAGTTTCTTATGAGCATTGTCAGGAACTTCAAATGGTACCACTTCATCGACCACCGACTCATGATCATTAATCTCCGAAGAATTGTTCATAACTATGATATCACCGAAATTATGGTTAGTAATAGTTGTTGGTTATAGTAGTCATCACTAAAAATTATGCGAGTGAAAAATTTCAAACTGTGCTAGTTATACCCCACTGATAAGCAAAAAGGTGATAATGACTTCACTAATATTTAGAGCTGATATAGAGGGACTGACTGTGACTCCAGCTGTGCCGGAAGAGTTGGACAAAGTCAAACTTCTCTTGGAAGACACTCAACAGAATCCTAATGATATCCTGAAATGGGATACTCTATTCGATGCCCTTGATGAACAATTAGATACCCAACCAAAAGGAACCATTGATCAGTTGAAACTGGTCATAACCAAATCGTATCAACATCTCTTAACCCGATTCCCAAACTTATCTCAGTACTGGAAGAGATGGCTGAAGGTAGAAGGGAAACTTAAAGATGCACAAGCTAGTCTAGACTTATTAGAGACGGCACTTGATAAAGTACCACATTCAATTGAATTATGGAATACTTATTTGAATGCATTAGTACTTACTTATAAGGGAGAAGAAGAAGAAGAACAAATCCGATTCATACGATACCGATATGAAAAGGCCATTAAATTAGTAGGACTTAATTTCAATTCTCATTCAATATGGGATACTATAATTCAATTTGAAACTAAAGTAGATCCACAATCCTTAGTGTTATTAAAAGTATACTTGCGACTCATTCGATATCCATTGTATGAGTATGCTCAATACTATAAACAATTCATAGAAGTATCTAAACACTTTGAATTACAAGATATATTACCATCTCAAATATTGACTGATTATTTACACCAGTATAATCAATCGGATCCTCAAGCCTTATCAGTCATTGAAACAGAACAAATCATAGAGGATTATACAGTGAGGATCCATACTAAGACCCAAACAGAAGTTAGTAACAAATGGCAATTTGAATCAACCCTTACGATTCATGAGTTCTCCTTATTATACCTTAATGAAATTAATAATGAACGTATCCATTGGATAAAGTATCTTGATTATGAGATCAGTCAAACTGATTTTACAGTGAGAGACAGCTATGAAAAGCTTATAAGCTTATTCGAACAATGTCTTGTACCTAATTGTCTTGATGGTAAGCTTTGGCTTAAGTATATTGCTGTGTTAAATAAAACTACAATGAGTGATGAAGAGAAATTCGGAACCATTAAGGAAGTATACAATCGATCAATTAATAATTTTGTTCCCCTAGTGGAGACTCACCTTCGATCATTCTATGTGAAGTTCCTTGTAAAGTATGATAAAGTCGAACTTGCCAATGAGTATCTCTTTGATTTGGTTAAACTCTATCGAGGGTCTACTCAATCCAAATTATACTTAAAGGCTCAATATGTGCTGGTGGTTAAGGATTTACTTGACTTATACAAACAGTACTTGCCTACAAATGAGTACTATGAACTAATGGAGAAATTGGTTACTGATTACTTTCAGGAACATGAGTCTAAAGCTAAACCACAACAACAACAACAACAACAACCCAAGACAAAGACTAATGAGTCGTGTGATCCTGATCTGGCCAAAAGTAGAATCGATAGTAGTTATACTAGTCTTCTTCCTCAATTACTCAATGATGATGCTATTGCACCCCTCACGATAGTCTATCTCCAAGAGACTCTTCGTCGTAAGGATACATCGAAGATAAGAAGGTTCTTTAACAAATACTATAAACACAATGTCTATACCAGCTCTACAAGTTTCTGGACATTCTATGTAGAGTTTGAAGGATTAGTCGAGTATAATATTGGCAATTTGAATTCCTTAATGTATCACATTAAGAATTATACTCAATTACCTAAACTAGTTATTGATGCTCTTATAGATCTTCATTATGATATATTGAATGCTAATCTTGAAGATGTATATCGTACCAATAGTGCCTATGTCTTGATATCACGTGACCTTGAAATGGATTCATCAATTGCTTATAATCATAGTCTAAGAACAAGATTAGCCAATAATAATTATCTAGTGAAAGAGATTGAAGATGCTAAGATATCGAAATCAAAGAATCCTTCTATATCTACCAATATAACTAAAGAAGATGAACTTGTAAAACTGATAAAGAAGTATGTTGGACATGCAGGAATTAAGGTAGATGCTAGACCCGATATCTCCAATAAGATAATGAATAAGGGGAATTGGATATCATTGACTGAACTGGTTGATCCTCCCAGTTTCCCTCAGTTTAAGAATGTTGAAAAGGCCAACGCATCAATTAATTATCCTGTATAGTCTATATAGTCTATATATATATATAGTATGTATAGTATGTATAGTATGTATAGTATGTATAATATGTATAGTCTATATCAGATCATTTTGTCGTCCTATAACCATTAATCCTTCAGCTATTACGGCTCGACTAGTACATCGATTATTCCCATACACTTCAAGTACGGATAATTTAGGACAATTCTTTCCTATCAATTGTAATACTTCATCATCTACTGCTCGAACAAATCCACAATCCCAAGTGGTTAATAATGGTAATCGTATATGATTATAAAATACTACTTGATCATCATCTTGAGCACTTTGCTTAATGGACTTCTTATATTCACTTAAATCATTAGTAAACACTTGAATAAGAAAGTCCTTTGATATCTCATTAAGTGAATTTAAACTTAATTCTATAAGTGTATGAGATGAATGTTTAAATAATGCATATACAGATTCATCACCTAATCCAATACATTTAGTTAAATCCACACTAAGTAAACCACCATTATTTACTTGTGAGAATTCCGTAAATGCTTGAGCAAACCCCTTATCAGTTAATTGATCTAATAATTTCATAGATAAATGAGTTAAATTTGGACAGAATTTAGATATACCATCAATTAAGAAATTATCCGTAAGATTAGTACAACCATCAACATTTAATGATTGAAGTGATTCACCAGTAATAGCCAATATATTAATAAGTAAATCATCAGTTATAAGATGTTCATTATGAGGATAAGATATTTCTAAATGAGTTAAAGTTGAAGTCAGAATATAATGAGGTATTAAATCATAAACTGCCGCAGAATCTAAACCATCTAATCGAGATAATTTTAATGAAATTAATTTAGATCCAGCATTTTCAAGTAAACTAATTAATGAATCATTACTAAATCTATGAGTATTTCGAATTTCGAATTTCTGTAATCGAGATCCACTTTGTTCAAAGAATTCTTGCCAAGCAGTTTCACTAATTAAGAATGGACCATTTAAACATAATTCTTTTAAATTCTTTAAATGAGAATTATAATAACTTAAAGTATCATTATGAAGTTGTCCACACATAAATAATGTTAATGATTCAATATATGGACAATATGAAGCAATTTTCATTAAAGAATCAGAATCAACATTTGAACAATCCCAAAATTCAATAGATTTTAATGAAGGATTTAAAAATAATGATATAGTTGAATCATTAAGTGAACGATTCTTGGATAAAATTTGAGAAAGTTTATTTAAATTAACTTGTCCAATATCTCCTAATGCTTCAACATCATCAATATTAGCAGAAATCTTTTTAATACAAATATCTTGAAGTTTAGGAATTCGAACTTCTGATTTATTTAATAATGCTTGTGCAAGAGTTCTTCTCTTTTTACGAGCATTTAATTGATTCTTTCGAGCTTTCCGTTCTCGATCCTTTAATTGTTCATTACAATTTTCACATAAATATCCTTTCTTATCTCGGAGATATCGTGAATATACCGTTAAATGAAATTCTTTACCACAATCAACACATGTATCTTCTTCTCCGAATTTCTTAGTTCCATTAGTTCCTATTTCATCATCAAAATCACTGAATTCAGGATCATACTCATCTTCGTCTTCATCTGCATTATCATTATCATTTTTACCCCGTCTAGCATTACGTTTTCTTCGTGCAGCAAGCTTAATTTGTCTTATCTCTTCATCATCCTCTTCTTCTTCTTCTTGTTCGGGTATAGCCATAACTCCGCGTCTTGATCTTGACCTTCTAGTCACAACTTCGACTGCAACTACTTCTTCCTCGGCCTCTTCTATATTCACATTTACACCTTCTGGTTCAACACTAGTGTCTTCCGATACTATTTCTCCATTAGCTTCTCTTTCTCTTCTCTGACGATACGCGTCGGTAATCCCTGCGTTTCTTAAGAACTCAGTTAATGCCGAGTTGGGGCCTCTTACCCCCGAGCTTCTGGATCTCCGAGACATCTTCTACTATAACTACAAATAATACTACAACTACTTAATGACTATAATATTGATAATTGCTAAAAAGATATCATAGTGAATTATTTCACAAAGTGTGTGAGAAAACAGAAAAGAGAGGGAAGTGAGAGCGCGGGCTATCATACAGGCATACCTGCACACAGAGCCCCCAACGGAAAAAAAAGATATCGCCACTGTCAATCAGAAAATTTCCACTATGCTTAACAGTGGAGAACTACTGAGAGTAATACCAATTGCAAATCAGTTCCTACAAAGATTACTGAAGAAAGTTTAAGTTTAAGTTAAGTTTGAGGACGTGACCCAATTTACACGAGTAATATCTATAACACCAACTATGCAAATCATCCTCAAAGACTTTAAAAAGCAAAAAGTTCCCATCGAAGTTGAATTGACTGAAACAGTATTATCTGTTAAGGAGAAGTTGGCAGCCATTAAAGAATGTGAACCAGATCAATTGAAGTTTGTATATTCTGGGAAAGTCTTACAAGATGATAAGACTTTGGGATTATTTAAAATTAAAGAAGGTGATTCAATTATCTTTATGATTTCAAAACTAACAAAGAAATCAACTCCAACTCCTGTCCCTGCTCCATCGACTGAAGTTAGTACTGAACAATCATCTGCATCTACTTCTTCAAATATTGCCCCTAGTTCGACTAGTACTGATGCTTCTACATCAGTTTCAACTTCTGCTCCTACTCCTGCTACTGATGCTGCTGCTGCTACTGCTACTGATGCTCCTACTAGTAGTGATGCAGGATCAGTATTCACTCAAGGTAGTGAAAGAGAATCAACCATTGCAAATATTATGGAAATGGGTTATGACAGACCCCAAGTTGAAGCTGCTTTAAGAGCTGCTTTTAATAATCCTCATCGTGCAGTAGAATATTTATTAACAGGTATCCCAGAATCTTTACAACGTCCAGCTCCTCAAGCTGCTCCAGCCGCCACACCAGCAGTAGCTGGTGATTCAACAGTTGCTACTACTGAAGCAACTGATGCTATAAATGAAGATGATGAAGAGGAAGATCGTGGAGAAAATTTATTCGAAGCAGCAGCTGCTGCTGCTCAAGCTCAAGGTCATGGAGGTCATGAAGTTGGAGCTCCATCTCATTCTGAAGCTAGTTTAGGTGATGATGAACAATTAAATTTATTAAGAACTGCGTTACAAACCAATCCTGAATTGATCCATCCATTACTTGAACAATTGAGTCAAAGTAATCCACAAATTGCTCAATTAATACAGCAAGATCCTGAAGCATTCATTAGAACATTTTTAGGAGCTGGTGGTGATGATTTAGGTTATGAAGTTGAAGGAGATGAAGCTGGTGGAGAAGCTGGAGATCCTGAAGGAACTATTCGTATTCATTTAACAGAACAAGATCAAAATGCTATAAACAGATTATGTGAATTAGGATTTGAACGTGATCTTGTAATTCAAGTATATTTGGCCTGTGAGAAAAATGAAGAAGCAGCTGCCGATATATTATTTAGAGATATGTAATTTGAACAAATAGGATTGGTAAATCCATATAATATAATATATGTACATTAGCTAATGTTTCTATTCTATTTAATTATAATTATAATTGTAATTGATCTAATGAATCAATTACTGTATAAGATGATTTATCTTGTTCAGTAATTGGGGCATTACCTGGTCTAACTACAATATAACTTTGCATACCTGCTTTTATTGCAGCTTTAACTTCATTAACATTATCACTTAAAAATAATACAGATTTTGAATTATCTGATTTCCCAATTTCTTGTAAAATCTTATCATAGGACTCAGATTCAGTTTTATAACCAGCTGTAGTAATATCAAAATATCCTGATAAATAAGGATTTAAATCAAGAGATTTATCATTGGTGGTTGGATCTTTAACATATCCAAACAATAAGATTTGTGCTTTAATACTTCCTGAAGAATATATATAGATTTTTTGAGTTTTGGCTTTATTAGGATATTCTTTAATGAATTTAATAGAATCTTCATATACTGGAGCCTTTAAATCTCCATTCTCATAACCAGCTTTCCAGATAAATCCTTGTAATGATTTTAATATAGGATCTTTTACATCTTTTGCCACCAAATCTTTGAAATGATTAATGATATTTATTGATGACTCCTTAATATCATGAGGTAATTGATCTAAAATCTTAACTATAGGATCATCAGATTGAGGATCTAATGGGAAATCAAGTTGATCAATAAACGTGGGAAATTTTTCTACAAAGTATGGAAATAAACTATCCTTAACAAAAGTTATAGGACATACAGTTCCTTCAATATCTAAAACAAGTGTATCTATAGTCATTCCTTATAGTTTTAGTTTTAGTTTAATTATATAGTTAAGGTTGCAAGGCTGAAACAGGACTAAAACGTTAGTGATGTTGGTTGCTAACAAATATAAGTCCGCTCACAAGAAAAAAACCAAAATATCACACTAGAATTTAAACCCATAAACGGTATTATTCTAACTATAAATAGGGATTAAATCCCTTTTAAGAGGTAATATTATATATATATATATATTTAAAAAGATATTATTAAATAACATCTATCTGCTTAATAATGACGGACAAAGTGCCGTTATTTGAAGAAGATAAAACTTACATTAATGAAGATCATATACATTCATTTGCAAAAGCTTTAGTTTGGGATACTAACCATGATGATTTAATAGACACATCACCAACTACTCCCAGCACTACTCTATGGCTTAGTCCAAACACACTGAGGACTGATTTGTCTGAACTGATCCATAGAGAGGCAGAGCTGATAGCAGTTGCTGATATGGATAAAAATTCACTTTCTGTAACACCTTTAGTTAAACCAGATCTTATCACTTCAAAGAATGATTGGTTCCCATTAACTAATGTTACATCATCACCTGCATCACGTCGTCATTCAAGAACAACTCCAAGACGTAAATCAACTAATGGTAAACGTAAATCATTATCATCATCTACCCCACAAGTATCAACATTTCGAAACTTAAGAAATGAATTTCGCAGTAGTGCTAGTTACACAATATTGAGATGGCCTTTATTAACTATCTTAATAATATTTATTATAATCCTTGGAGCCATATATTTATCGATTAGATTATATGTGGCTCTACTGGAATATTATTTTACTTGGACTGGTAAACGGAAAAGGTTAAGAGATAAGTTAAGAGGTTCCACTAGTTATCAAGAATGGAAATATAATGCTTTAGAACTTGATAAATATCTTAATTTAGATAAATGGTCAGATAATCCTAAATTTTCATATTATGATTCAAAGACAATTAAATTGACAATCTTAAGATTACAAGTCTTAAGAAAAGAAAATCGCGATGAAGATTTGGTGGTGTTTTTACAAGGATGTTTAAAATCCAATTTTGCTGGGATAGAAAATAGACAATTATATTCCCATAGATATTATGGGACAAAATATCTTGTTGATGAATATTATCAAGAAGTTGTTCTTGCAATTAATCAAGTGACTGATTCTCCTAAATTATCACAATCAGTAAAGAGAAAGTTCTTTAGAATAGTTCTGAAAAATTATGGTAAAACTGCTTTATGTCTTAGTGGTGGAGCATGTTTTGCATATACTCATTTTGGAATCGTGAAGGCTCTACTTGATAATGATTTATTACCTTCAATCATATCAGGAACTTCAGGTGGTGGATTAGTAGCAGCTCTTGCCTGTACTAGAACTGATGAAGAATTGAAAAAATTACTTGTACCAGAATTAGCTAGAAAAATCACTGCATGTGAAGATCCTTGGTGGGTTTGGATTCCAAGATTTTGGAAAACTGGTGCAAGATTTGATGCTATTTCATGGGCAAGAAAGTCTTGCTTCTTTACTTATGGTTCAACTACATTCCAAGAAGCATATGAAAGGACAGGTAGAAAATTAAACATTTCGACTGTTCCTGCTGATCCTCATTCTCCAGTGATTTTATGTAATAATATAACTTCACCACATTGCATTATTTGGTCATCATTATTAGCATCATCAGCTGTTCCAGGTATTTTAAATCCAGTTGTGTTGATGATGAAGAATCCCAACAATGGAGAAGTTATACCATTTTCTTTGGGTAGTAAATGGAGAGATGGATCTTTACGTACTGATATTCCTGTCGATGCATTGAATACGTATTACAATGTTAATTTCCCCATAGTATCTCAAGTCAATCCTCACATTTCATTATTTTTCTTTGCTCCTAAGGGTACAGTTGGTAGACCAGTTGCTAGTCCAAGAAGTAGAACTAATAATGAAAAGTATGCTTACTTGAGAGGAGGATTTATTGCTGCTGCATTAGAACAACTTCTTAAATTAGAAATCACCAAATGGTTAAGATTAATTAAATCATTAGACTTATTACCACTTTTCTTAGAACAAGATTGGCTGAATATATTCTTACAAAGATTTTCTGGAGCAATAACTATTTGGCCTAGAAATAAATTAATTGATTTTTGGTATATTCTTAGTGATCCAACCGAAGAAAGGTTAGCAGAAATAATTTCCAAAGGTGAAAAATCCATGTTTCCTCGACTTTTATTTATAAGACATCGAGCTGGAATTGAAAAGGCAATTGAGAGAGGTAGAAAATTGTCGAAATTAACTACAAATATGAGAGCAGGTTCCCCATCGTCAATAGAAATTCAAAATGACTTTGAGTTTTATAAGGCGCAATATGATGATGAGGATGACCATGATGAAGATCTTGATGATGATTATGAAGGAGATGATACTGAATTGGCATTTCGAAAGTCGTTATCCGAACAAATTAGTGCTATTGGAGATATACTAGATGTGGAAGATGAAGAAAGCATTGATGATGATTTTGTTACCGAGGAATATATTGTCGAAAAAGATGATGATGATGAACAAGAAGAAGACGATAAAGGAGAAATTAAAGTAGATAAACTGGCTGGTACCAACCCAAGAAACTTTGTTACATCCTTATTTAAGACCAAACCATTTAAAAGGAGAAGGAATACGGTTTTCTAATTTGATTAACCTTATATTTCTCTATATAGATATCCCTCTATTTAATTTATATATCCCTGTAACAGTTTAATTTAATTTTATTTAATATAATGACTTTATTAAATCATACAGATGCTCGTAGTACTTTAGTTAAATGAGCATTGAATTTATTACAATCATTTATTTCACCATTTAATTCTATAATCTCTCCTAAACAAGTAGTTAAAGCATCGAATGCGGCTGACTCAAGCACTCGATGTTCTTCGGAATTAAAATCTGAAAGTACCCATGAAGCCATAGTTTGCTTGGATGCATTATTGGGCTTTGGACCTATACCTATAGCCAATTTGAATACTACTTCATTGATTCCAGGATCATTGACTGAATTTCGTATACTTTTCAATCCATTATGAGATTCTTTACTCTTTAAATTTAATAATTTGATTGTACCTAATTTACTTTCAAAATCATCATATAATATAAGAATAATACATGATGAATTCAATCTTATTCTTTCACCTTCTATAAACTTAGAAAATGCTTTACCTGAATCATTCATATAAATATTCGATTTGGCCAATATCAAGCTATTGTCAGCATTTGATGTTACAGAGTACATTGGCGATTTCTTAGTTAACTGCTTAACATCAAAATAGTCTACTAATTTCTTGAGCATATAATGGCCTGTGGAGTGTCTATTGGACGCTCCTGGATTACCCACAGAGAAGATTATTAATGTTTTATCCATAATATGCTGGAGATATTGATATTGGTAATAGTGTGTAGGTGAGTAGAAAATCGCAGCCTAGAAAAAACGTTAAGAAACTTTTGCTATATAAGCAGAACATTCGACAGTTGACTCATTGGGTATAGCAAGAAATGAGTCATGATTTGATAAATGATAACCCAGAAGTTTCAGATGCTGATGACAATGGACAAGTTTTGGCTTCGGCGAAGGTAGAAGCAGGCATTCACGAAAGCAATGATCCAGAACTAGAACAGGCTCATAATGAACACGAACATAATCAGGATCACGAAGTCGAAGAAGAGGCAGAAGAAGAAGATGATGATGATGACTTCGGATCCTTTGATGATGCATCCTTCGAAGAATCGCAGCAGGCAGAACTAGTACAGTCACCAGCAACTGAAACCGGTGATCCAGTCCAACATAAAGTTTATTTACCAGCTACATTTACTGAGGATGTGTTTGATAATGAAGTATTATTTTCAAGTAATCTTTCCAAAGTATTGGATTCAGTATTTGTGGATGATGAATCCCATATTCTAGATCAAACAGCATCTGAAAGGGGTCAATTTTTAACAGAAAGATCAGAAATCATATTTAATCAATTATCTAATATACCACATTTAAGGCCCTCCAATTGGACTAGACTGAATATCCGTCATAATCTCCTCATTCGTTTGGGTATACCGGTTAATCTTGATGAAATAAACAATCAAGAAGTATCTAATAATCAAAATCTTACTGTTCCAACCTCCAATACTACTCAACCTCAATCGCGTCGTAAATCTATATCTGCAAAAGATATTAGTTGGGATGGATATGAGATTCCTGATTTTGCTGGATTAAACATTACTAATGAAGAGAAACAAGATAGATTAAAGAAAACTAATGAAATACTATCACGAATCGAAACAGAAAATATGGATCATTCATCTCGACAGTTCTTAGAACTTCATGATGAAGATAAATTCATTCAAGTCAAACTTCAACAACTTCGTGAAAATTATGCTGAATTACAAGCATTAGCAAGTTGTTGGATTGATAATATGAATGAACTTAATGGAGATTTTGAGATATATGAGAATGTAGTTCAGAACTTAGTAGGTTATAGTCAAAGATTACGTAGAGATGAGATTTTTGATAATTTGAAAAAGGTCAAGCAGAAGAAAGGTTCTAAAAGAAAACTATGGCGATAAATTCCGTCCATTTCATATTCATATAGTACATAAAAGCAAACTATATACAAATATATATATATATATAACTTATGTTAGATCATAAACTTAATATTGCAAATTGAATAAAGAACTTAAATCATCGTTCAATGAGTTGCTCTCTATTCCTGCTTGCAAATTCATATTAAGGAATGAACTATCAATAAAGTTCGTATTAAAAGTCCCTCCTGGAGTGGTTGGAGGATATTGTTCTTCTCCAACAGTATGGGTATTCACATCATGAGCATTAGAATTACCATTACCATTACCATTACCCTTAACTGAGTTTGTGGTCAACCCACTTGAATAGACATTACTGCCTACCATTGGTTGATCATCATTATGACGTGTACGCAGTTGTTGAGATTGATTATAAGAATGGTCCAAATCTAAATGAGCACTAGGTGATTGAGCTCGAGTTGGAGGATAACTATATCTAACATCAGGAAATAATTGTGAAGGTTCAAAGTTTTCAAAAAAGTTTTGATTGGTAGGTAAATTTTCGGTGACTAAAGTTACATCTGGGAATGATTGAGTTGAAGAAGGTGAAGTATCTGAATGTTTGGCACTATTAGATTCTTTAACTTTGGTTTGTTGAACTAATTCTTCAAGATTAAGTTGCTTTTGATGAGTATTAGTTGTTTGATTAAAGTCACGAGCATAAACACCTCCACCTGGTGAAATACCTGAAGAATTAGAATTATTACCAGGAGATGCTTGATTAAATAATGGTTGAGGTTTATTACCAAAGATTTGTGCTTGTTGTTGAGCTTGAGCATTTGCTTGAGCTTGAACTTGAGCTTGAATTTGAGTTTGAGTTTGAGATTGAGCTCGTGCTCGGGCAGCCTTTTGATTAGCAGTTAATTCTTGATACTCGGCAATTCTATTACCATTTTCAATCACTCTGGCCCGTTTAATCTTATCATTAGCATATTTATCAAATAATTTCATTAATACTTTGGCAATTGGAAAGAAATTAGTTAATTCTTTCAAAACAGCTCGAGAAGTCATTAAAGAATCAGCAGCTGTTGAAGCAATAACACTATTTGAAGAATCCACATGATAAATTAACATAACCAATGCACTAAATGCAATATAAACAAACATAACTGGACAATATTTAATTTGTTTACGATCCAATAAAATCTTGGAGATTATAGAAATCATTCTGGCCGATTGGAAAGAAATCCCCCATGAAGGATATTTATAATTATTTGGATTAGCCGAAGAAGATTTAGCCATTCTAATCAAATTAGATCTATGAATAAGATATAATCGATTATAATATTGAGCATTTAATAAACATGAATAAAAATTTTGAGTTGTTGTATCAGTTAAAGAAAATACTAATTGAGGAGGTAAATTAGTAAACCAAATTCCCATTAACATATCACAATGTTGAATAATTGAAAATTTATTCTTTCTCTTTAATTGTTCTGATTTAACACTATATTGATGTTTAATTATAATTCCCGTAATTTCTGCTAATTTAACTAAATGAATAAAATATAATGCTTGAGTTTCATCTACTGGATATGGAGATACTGTATCAGTTTCTGAATCATTTTCATCGAAATCTTCCATAGTAAGCATTGGTACATCACAATCATTAAGATCAATAACTGATGGTCTACCAAAGGCAATGGCTACATTACGATCCTTTTCAAATAAACACCACCATATTCTACGCCAAATTTTCTTTTCATTATTTGTTAAAGTGGTTGATTTATTAACATCTCTTTGAAATCCAAACCCTTGAGCTAAACCAACAGCCACTCTTGTCCAATAAAATGAATTCTTAGTAACATCTTCAGGTCCTTCCCAATAAGTTCCTATAAGAATTAAAGTTTGTATAATTGATACTGGATCACTTTCGTAATTAGTTTCATATAATGCTTTAGCTCGTCTAAAGAATGTTAAAGCAGCTAAATTAGATGAACCCTTTGAATCTAATAATAATGGATTATTAGTAACTCGACATCCACTTAATAATACTGCTTGTAATACCATTAATGAAGGATTATCATTGGGATCATTAAATTTCTTCATAAATTCAGTTCGATTTATAACCGGCATTAATGGATGAACATGTTCAAAATATGAATTAATTAAATCTAAACAAAGTTCATGAGATGGTAAAAGAAATGCTCCTCTTAATTTTAAGATTTCTAATTCAACTGAATCAAGAGAAATATCACTAGTTTCAAATACATCTTCAGTTAATTGAATATGATTATCACCTTCCTTTTGTGGTACTAAACCTATTGAAGAATGACCTAAGAAAGTTAATGAAGTTTTTTGTTTTGAAGCTAAAAGATCACGTTTATGCATGGAAGGTCTATTTTTATAACTTGAACTTAAAGAAGGAGGTACTGATACTTGAGAAATATTAAGCATTGGTTCATTAATTGAAGAATTTGATCCATTACCACCACCAGATAAAGATTTTGTTATATTTACAGGTAAAGTTGATGTGGTGGTAGAAGTTATTGAAGGTGATACCATTTGAGGAGTTTTAACTGAATTAGAAGATATTGTAGCAATAACTGATCTTGAATTTGATGAAGGAATTTCATTAGAATTTGTACCAGATACTGGTTCTGTTGATTCTGATTCGACATTTTCTGATGAATCTTTGGAATTATTATTGAGATTATCATAATTAGATACTGATGAAGTTTGTTTTCGTTTACTTTTAGAATCTCCAGATGAATTACCTCTCTTTTTAGCTTCAGGAAGTACACAATCACATCCAAAAGTTATACAATTAGTACATGGGATATGAATTTCAGCATCACATCTAACTTTTCTTGAACGACATACTGTACATGCTCTACTACCACGAGGACGTTTATATTTTATAGTAAAAGCCTTTGGTTTATCAGGATTTTTAGCCGTGGATTTTTTTGTATGTGTATTTGTATTTGTACTTGAAGTTGAAGTTGATGTCGAGGCTGGTGTAGGTACTGGAGTTGTTTCATCAGTAATTGGTGAATCTTTTGAAGAACTGGCTGATAATACTTGATCTGCATCTTTAGGCGATGCAGTATCATTGGGAATGGTTTCCTCTTCGATAGAAGATTTGCTTGTGGTTTCTTTCTTTACTTTTGCCATTGTTTCGGAGTCTATTATTGCTAAGTACCGATTGATTGCGGTCTTGATATTTTCGATTGTTTACCTGGATGTGAGTAGGTTTAAAAGTAAGATATAATACAAAAAGTACTTTTAGATGGTTACCGATTGTAAACCACCAATTTAAATGATCGTAATGATTGCCAAAGTCAAATTGAGTGATTATTTGATCAACAATCTATATAATTTCGGGGAGATACGAACAAAAGGGTTATGGACTCAGGACTAAATGATTCGAAATAATTTTTAAATTGTTTAAATGGTTGATAGATACGGGATTGAAGAACTTTAAGTCCGAAGAGTTCCAATATGTTCAAAGTATAAGTCGACTGAATAGAGACTTGATTTCAATATTACCATTCATTCTGTCATTTGAATTTTTTATTTCTTTAATTTTTTTTAGAGTAACTCCTGTATATACAGCGCGGTGAATTTGGGGTACATTTTTAATTTTAAAACTCTTTTTTTTGCTACATTTTACGCAACTTACTTTAATAAAGATAGAGGTAACAGTTTAAATTATTATGAAATTTACAAAGTATAACATAAATATAATTGCAAGTTATTATTTGCTGAATATCAAGTATAGTATATACTAAAAAAGTTTGAAAAATTTTTAACATAATTAAAGTGTTTTTGGTAGTTTATTCGGCATGAACAAAGTATGCCTAACTAAGACGCCGATTACCTAATTGGGTCCAGTGAGGGGTACGAGGTCGGATTCAAATTCCGTCGGCAACCGAATGACAGATTTTTATCTGTCTAATACGAGTCATCCTCCAATACAAATAGTAAACAAACCAATTGAAAATATCAGAATGTAATTATAAACTATAAATTATTAAATTATCAAATAATTAGTTAATAGAATCAGTAAAGTAATGTGAATCATATTCATACCCCACTAAACTAAAACCAAAACTTTTCAGAAATGATTTTTAACCCGGCCAACTCTTTCCTCCTATCCTTGTTTCATACTTGCTTAAATAATACTGAGTCCCTTTAACCGATGCAGAAAAATAAACAGGATCCATGCCGCACTACTTAGGTTCCCCACCTCAGATAATCTGAAAAATCTGATGAGATTAACTATGACATAACGAAGATGATCAGATCAGATTAAATTAAATTAAATTAAATCAGAATTAAATTTATAATTATAATTATAATTATGCCAATTAATTGGAATTGGAATTGGAATTGGAAATTAGTCTTACAATCTTCTATCTCTATAGTATCAGCATTACTACTTATTCAACAACTTCATCATGAATTGATCGTTGTACCGTCTCGAAGAAATAAAAAGTCGAGTAAAGATTTAACCCTTCTATCACCTCGAACTCGAGGTATAGAATCTCAAATTGGGAATACTCCACTTATTGAAATTAAATCATTATCAAAAATTACTGGTTGTAAAATATATGCAAAATTAGAATTAGCAAATCCTGGTGGAAGTGCAAAAGATCGAGTTGCTCTTGCAATAATTCGTCATAATGAACAAATGGGTAATTTAACACCTTATCATGGTGATATAATATTTGAAGGAACTTCTGGTTCTACTGGTATTTCTTTTGCTATACTTGCTAATGCATTAGGTTATACTGCTCATATTTGTTTACCAGATGATACTTCTCCTGAAAAATTATCATTACTTCGAGCTTTAGGTGCTGAATTAGAACCAGTTAAACCTGCATCAATTGTTGATCCTAATCAATATACTAATGCGGCAAGAAAGGGTTCTGATCGTATTAATAATGATCCAGAAGATCCAAGACATGCTATATTTGCTGATCAATTTGAAAATGATTATAATTGGCGAATTCATTATGAAACTACTGGTCCAGAAATATGGCAACAAATGGATGAAAATGTAGATGTATTTATTAATGGATCTGGCACAGGAGGTACTATTGCTGGTGTAGGGAAATATTTACATGAACAAAATTCTCAAGTTAAAATAATTCTTGCTGATCCTCAAGGAAGTGGATTAGCTAATAGAGTTAATTATGGAGTTATGTATGATACTGTTGAAAAGGAAGGAACAAGAAGACGTCATCAAGTTGATACTTTGGTTGAAGGAATAGGTTTAAATAGATTAACCTGGAACTTTAAACAAGCTGAACCTTATCTTCATGAAGCTATACGAGTTAGTGATGATCAAGCATTAAAGATGGCTAAATATTTATGTATTAATGATGGATTATTTTGGGGTTCATCAGCTGCAATAAATTGTGTAGCAGCTATACAAACTGCCTTAAAATATGGACCTGGTCAAAGAATCGTGGTTGTTGCTTGTGATTCTGGCGCTAGACATTTATCTAAATTTTGGAAACAAGCTAGTGATATTCCTAATGATATTACTATTAATGATATTTTAGAAAATTAGGTATAATAATATTACATGGGAGAATATCTATATATATATATCTACTTATTTAATTCTTTTTCAATTAACTTCTTCTTAGTTTCACGATATAACTTTATAGTACTCAATACAGATGCACTAATTCCCATCCATATTTGGATTGTATCAAATGGTAATTTCATTTTGAATACAGTATATGAATTAAATATCAAATCGGATAAATTCTTATATATATCCAAATAAACATTATTTTTCTTGAATTGAATTTCATTCAAAAGTTTTAAATCATCATTATTTGATGAATTCGACATATCAAATGCCGTTTTATTATTACTATTATTATTATTATTGAGAAGTAATTGTCGGGATAAGATCTTGGCTTTATTCCGTACTTGAATCTGAATCTTGATATCCATTTCTTGTTGATTCAACTTTGATAATTTTTCAATAGCATTATACATAGCAAACCAAGTTTCAGAATACCATGCAAATGATTCATGACGAGCTACTATTGATTTAAAAGTTGGATTAGAAAAGAATTTTAATTTAAATAATAAAAGTGATTCATCATTTATACCATAATAAAGTGAAAGTAATTGACCTAAAGTTTTCCTATTAAATAAGCCTGAATAATTCACATTTAATTGATTCTCTTTATAATTAATATTTTTATTAAATTTTATGGCAAGATCATGAATTCTAAACGGAGTTTTACCAAATCTAAGGAATTGTCTATAAGTTGATAAACCATTAACCATTCCTTGAAATCTTAATTTAAAAGTTGAACTTACAAAAATTACCAATATTTTTATGAAATCAGCTGGATGTTTCAGAAAATTCTTTAGTAATTCTAGCTTTTTACTAGAATCATTATATCTAGAATTTATTATATTGATATTTATTACATCATCACTTAATTTTGTTTGTACTTGTCCCGCATAATATATTAACAATCTTAAAGTATATTGACCAATCTTAGCCATTTTATCTTTACCAACAATATCATTTAACATGGCCCAAAATATATCCCAATTAGATATTTTAATGGTTGTTGGAATATCCCTTTTAGATATCATAGATGATGATAATGATGCAGTAGTACTATTAATATCTAAACCTGAATCATTTTTAGATGGGACAATATCATAAACTTTTTCTGAAGTTGGAGTTATATATATGGCAGTAGCCTTTTTCGATAGTGGGGTTTCATATTTTGAAGTAATTATAGTTGAAGACATATTGCTATTATTATTACTTCCTGGTTTGGATGGAGAATTATCAGGAGTATCTAACCACTCTGAATTATATTGAAATTGTTGTAAACTTGAATTATTATTATTATTATTATTGGTTGAAGGTAGTTGACCAGAATATAAAAAATCTCGATTAGTGGGGTTGGGTGATGAACCGAAATGATAACTTTGGGATAATGGTTTATTACTATTGATGATATTATTATTAGGATGTTTAGGATAGGATGACAAATCTATATACTTTCCTGAGTCTATATCATTCATTATCCATTAAAACTTTAAAATTGAATTAAAAAAAAAACTGTGGTGACACAGACAGATATTTATATGTCAAAGAATTGAAATTACTATACAAACAATTATAAAAACCCTTGTGAAAAACGTTTGTGAGATTGTATGCAAACTTTTTCAAAAAGGTGATGTGATGCAATTGATGAGGTCCTGCCTAATAATACTTAATGAGCTTAATTGTGTACAGGTATTAATTTGATGATTATAGTTTGTGGCTTACTCCTATATTGTAACTAAGTAAAGTAAAAGGGTAGATCCTGCCGATGTAGTGACTCGATGAATGATACTTAATTTTGCTTATGAGGGTTGTTTATTTTTTTTTCCCTCACTTGCTTTGTCGTATTACGACTTTGTGTTAATGAAATGTCGGTAAAATGCTGGTAATGTTACGTTGCATCGATGCAATTCTACGTTACAATCGATACTTCCTTAGGTTACCTCGTTATATTATATATATTATATTATATTATATATATATTATGTATTATATTTCTGTATGTATTTATGGGTATAGTGATGAGATGAGTCGTGTAATAATTAAGTTGCGCAATCAGGCTACTCTACTTTACTTTACTCTACTCTACTCTACTGAGCTTGAGTTCTAACAGTCTCACTATTTGGACCCATCATGAAGGCTCCTACACTACCCAAGTAACCTTCATGTCTTAAAAAGTAAGATTTCATTTCACCTTTAGACCAGAAATTCACGGCATAACTAAGCGTATGAATAGTTTGCTTATGTCCTGAAATAAAGGACCCTCCAAAATATATACGTTTGAGATTAAATCGACAAGCCTGAAGATAAGCAATTTGTCCAATATTATTAGATACAGAATATAATAATGATCTTGCAATATCTTCAGGTTTAAATTGTGATAATTTTTCGGCTGGAGTTAATTGCTTATTAGTGAAACGTAATTTCTTAAATACTTTTGCAAATGATGATGCAATATGTGTAGCCTTTAAACCAATTTTATTATAATTTGATCCATAAATATCTCCCACCAATAAATCTACATTTTCATTATTTCCTCGTTCAGCCATTTCCAACATTTCATTATAATCTTTAGCATCAGTTAATAAGGATAATAAACCCCAAAGAGTTCCTCCTCCTAATGATGAACCTCCGATTCTTTCAAATTCATCGGGTCCTGGTCCTATAACTTTAATCATAGAAACACCACTACCTATATTGACTAGCAAATAGGGGAAAATGGTTTCCTTTTGTAATGAATTGGGAATAAATGTGGTATTATTTTCATCCAAGTCGTAAGTAAAGATTTCATTAGGGATTTTTGTAATTAACCAATTCAATCCTTTTATAAGACATTCCATTTCGTCTTTAGCAATGATTTTCATGGGTAATCCATATTTCTTGAATGATTTTTTCATTAATTGATAGAATTTATGAGCTCCACCACCAGTGGCCATAATATAGGTGATTGGAGGTTGAATTTGTTGTTTAGAAACTGATTTTTGAACTAATTTAATTAAAAATTTTAATACTTCATGTTTGAAATTTTCAGTTTGGAAATCTTTAAAATGTAATCTACCTCCTAAAGATGAAGAAGATTTAGTAAAATAAATTAATTTTGTAAGAGTTCCTCCAATATCTACTGATATATGAATGATTTCTGAATTATGACGAGGTAATGTAATATTTTTAGTTATATCTTTACTATCTTCCATTTCTTCATCTATTTCTTCATCAAGAATTACAGGTTCATGTATATTGGAAGTAGCATCGACAGCAATTTGACTATTGGAAACCTTACTCACAGTAGATTTATTTAAATTAGGGGGGAGACTTATTTTACTTCTGCCATTATTATCTTTATTTCGATCTTCTTCATCTGATGATGATGATAAATTTGTACTTGTTTCTGATGGTAATTCAGGGGATGGAGTTCTCGTTATAGATTCTTCTGAAGAAGTAGAACTTAACTCGCCAGGAGTTAGTTGTCCATTATTATTTGTCAGATGTGATCTATTTTGAATTATAGATTGTTTAAGGAGATGATCATTGGCAATATAAGCACCTGAACAATCAATCTTTATGGTTCCGGGGTCAGCAAATTCTAGATTAATTTCTTCTAGTGATGATATTGAATTTCTATGGTGAATGAGTCCCATTATGTATATGAATTAATGATATGATATGAAATGAATAAATGAATAAATAATTAATTAACTAAGTGATACTATCGGACGATAACAATATGTTTATGTATGAGATGAAAAATATACGACCGGATATTTCACTTTTGAGTATGGGATTAATGAATGAGTGAGTAATAAAAATATAACAACAATTGATTAATTGTATATTTTAATACTGTTGAATACCTTTCTTACAAGGTGAATTCACAGGGTTATATCCTTATCTATAAATAAGTTCTTATGCCCCCTGGTGAATAGATATCCGTTACTTTATTTGTTGGTATAATAAAATTTTTCTTTTTTTTTTTTTGGGGTGTGATTTTATGGTACACCTTTTTTTTTACTGAGAAATCTTAAATTTTTTAGTGACTCCCTCGGAGTTTTTTGCTTATTTTACTGACTATTTTCGTGTTTTTCCTATGACCCTTGCCTAAGCTTAACTTTTCAAATTTAACTAGCGGCCGTCGGACCTTAAATTTTTCAATTTAGCGTTTAACTGGGGAAATTGCTTGAAGTCAGGAGATCTTGATCCTCTTAATTTCTACAAGTAATTTTGGTCATTCTTACATCTACGGCAGTTATATAATTAAGGGTACTATAACTCTAATCGGGTTAGTATACTAACTACTTAAGACTGATAAGGCAACTTCCGTATACTCGTATCAACGGATCTTGGGAAATGAGACCGATGATTTTTGTTGGGAGAGGTTTGCTGTCGGTACACGACCTCTTCTTACTAACTTAATATACTTATCTGATTGGTAGTAATAGTTTGTTATAGACATGTAATACTCGTATATATCGGTACTGAGATGTGGTATTCTTAAACTCCGTGTGTATAATATAGATATCTTGGATGACAAATAGGGTGGCCATTAGTAATCCCTATCGTATAGCCCTATTTCCAGTATTAGCTCTCTCGCATTTTTTACATCCTCGGACTTCGGTGTTTGCGCTAAACTCTGTGCTCGTTTATATCTCGCTTTATCCTCCCCCACAATTCAGTAGCTAAACTTCCCCGGATATCGAAAGAACTGTATTTGGGTTATACCGACGAACAATAGTTTAAGGAGCTGTCAGGATATGAGATTGTGAGGAAAATATCTTTCTGTCTCGGGTGAATCATAAAATTGGAGATATACAATTAGTGTTTGCCCGTTTTAGATCACCTTCTATAGCTTAAATTAACTAAGTTGGGACATACTACATAGTTTCCATGTATATTTCTCTACTTCTAATTCAAGGTTAGACTAAGGTTATTCAGTGGTAACTCTGAAGTTCTCCACTAATGGGAATAATAGTAGTTGCTATTTCTCCTCAAGAAAGGCAATCATTATCATTTTTCTACTTAGTATATCCTTAGTATGAGTAGATCTCATAGAGCTCTTCTATAGAATCAAGAGTAAATAATCTACTTGAGCTCTTGTATGGTATTAAATTATTTCTCCTTGCTTCTATTTCGTATTCTTCCTTTCCTCTTCTACTCACTTTGGTTTGTCTCTCTTTATGTATATCTACCCATTCAGATTATATCCCGTACCTGCTTCTCTTATTACGTTTTCTTTAAATTGCCTTTTACTTATGTACACTTTGTCATTCATTGCATGTCTCTAATAATTTCATCTAATGAAAGCACAATAAATTTTGCAGTCATATCCCCAGCGCAGCCACTAAATTTTTCACCACAAAAAAATAGTGAAAAATTATCTACAGTGTACTCGACTACAGTACCCAATATAATTTATTTCACTCTAACAGTTTACTATGACCAGTACCGATAACACTGGATCTGTCACTAAGGACTTGGAGTCTTTGAAACTCCAATCTTTAACTCCGTTGGAACTTTCGAATTCTTATGTCCCTGCCAAATATTCGTTGGATCTCACCATCAATCATTTAAAACCAAATTTCAATGGTCAAGTTATTATTGATTTAATTAAGAATGACAACTTTAATGGAAACATTCCCGATCATTTCGAATTGAGTTTGAATTGTCATCGTTTGGTATTGACCAGTATTGAATTAGTTCAAGAATCAGTCGAACCAATAAAGTTATCAGCAAATTATGATAGAATTAATCATCGAGTTAAATTAACTAGTACAACCACCATAGTACCTTCAACCCTCAATAATGCTAAAGTCATTATTAAATATATGGGTCAATTAAATACTATTAAGAACTATAATGATCCTACAGTTGGAATGTTTAAGACTAATTATATGGATAATGATAATGGTCGAGCTGATAATCTTATTTTAGCAACTCACTTCCAACCATTCTATGCTCATTTGGTATTCCCATTGATAGATGAACTTAATTATAAAGTTCCTATTGAATTATCAATAACTGCCTTATCTAAATTTAAAGTTATTTCTAACGAATCATTAGTATCTTCAGAAATTATTCCAATGACTCCTAATTCAAAATTCGTATTCAAACCAACCCCACCAATTTCTCCATCAGTATTTGGATTTGTTATTGGTGACCTTGAACATCTTGAATCACTTCAAGTTGAAAATATTCCTGTGAGAATTTATACTACTATTGGAGATAGTATTCAAGCAAGTTATGCATTAAAAGTAGTTGAGAAAGTTTTACCTAAATTAGTATCCTTATTTGGTCCATTCCCATTATCAAAATTTGATCTTGTTTCCATTCCATTTCTTACAGATGGTGCTATGGAAAACTGGGGGATGGTAACTGTATTATCAAACCAGCTCCTTATAGATGAACATACAGCATCAAACTCCCAAAAGATTCAAGTTCAACAATTGATTGCGCATGAATTGATTCATCAATGGTTAGGCAATTTAGTTGGATTTGATGATTTTAAGTATCTTTGGTTAAATGAAAGTTTTGCTACATTCTTAGGGAATTACATTGTCAAAACTTTCAATTTTGGTACAAACCAGATCGACTTTGTAGAGTCTGTAATGGATAAGGATGGAAGTTCAGATGCTATGAACTCTATTCAATCATATATGGCTAGTGTAGATACAAGTATCACATCATCAACTACATCCAGTATATTTGAAACAAACTCATACGAAAAAGGAATGATCATATTAAGAATGGTTGCCAGTGTAATCAAATCTGAATATAGTGATATTGAAGATTATACCCCTTTCTTTAATGGTTTAAAATCAGCCATCGAACATTTCAAGTATAAATCTATTAAACCGTTTGATTTATGGTCTCAATTGAATAATTCTACCTCCGTAGATTTGCTTAGTTTTGTTCATTCATGGCTTCAATATGAAGGATATCCTCTTTTGAAAGTCAGTTATAAGAATGATAAATTATATATTGAACAACATAGATTTTTAGAGGATTCGACACTCGAAGAATCAAACTTAGAAGATACTCCATTTCATGTACCATTACTTATCAAAGTTCAAGATGATCATGGTGAGTATAAAACATTAAATTTGTTATTGACTGATAGATCAATTGAGTTGGATATTCCCAAGAACCAATTTGTTAATATCAATCATCTCAAAGGTGGTTATTATCGTGCAATGTATGATTTTGACCTTGATATTAAACGTATTAACAGTATTGATTTAATATCTATCTTGCATGATTATGGAAAGATAATCCTCAAAACAATTCATGGATCTACTGGTGATTTGACAAAATCACTTAATATTTTAAGTCAATTGACTAAGAAATCATGGACTGTAGATTGGAAAGTATTAAAAGTGGCCTTGGGTTATCTTGAAAGTCTTAATAATACCTTGATTAATTTCACAACTTATGAAGAGTTCAGATCAATTTGGTTGAAATCCTTCATTAATGAATTATACAATAAGATTGGTAATTGGGATTCATTATTGAATTTAAACCATAATCAACAGATACATTCATCTATTGAATTGGAAGTTAGAAATTCAGTATTGACTTTGGCTTTATCACTTGATGGAACAGACTTGAAAGTTCAGAGTCAGAAATTTGCTAGTAAATTAATGAAAAATTTCCTTAATTCCAGTAAAAGTTTCATTCCCAGCCAAATTTTATCATCCATGTTTATCGGTACAATTCAACAGAATAATATTAAGGATTATAAGAAGATTATGGAATTAGTCAAGAATTCTAATTCGTCAATATTGACCCATACTGATTTAAATAACCCCAATGAATTACAAACCATTGCAGTAAGTTCATTATCGTTTGTAACCAATGAAGAACTCATTACAAAGACTTTAAACTTTGTCATGACTAATATTGATTCAAAGATGATTGAATTGAGTTTAATTGGATTTCAATACAAATCGGATCTTGAATCTAGAATAAAGTTATTTAATTGGTATAAATTACATTATGATCAATGGATCTTAAAGTCCTTACGGAAAGGATCTGATTGGTCCAAACAATTAGGTAATACTATGATCAATTTAACTTCACTTATTATTGGTGATATCATGCAAAAGAATGATGCGCAATTGCAGCAATTGGTCCAACAATTTGTGGCTTTAAAGTCATCATCTTTACCTAATCATGGCTTACAAGAGTTAGTTGAACAAATTAACGAGAGCAATGTAGTCAAGACTTCTATTGCATCTATCTATGCAGAAGTGATTAGCAACTTCAACTTATCATAACCAATATATATTTAGATAGATACGTAAATACATAGATAGATAGATAGATAGCCATTTCCTGTATATAAAATAGATTAGAGAGTGTGTTACTTTCGCACTCTAATTAAAGTTTCAAAAATTTCTTTTTGCTCATTCTTTATTTATATTTTTATTTTTTTCGGTTATTCGTAATTATATTGCCTAATTGGGCCATCCCATAAACATATTGAATCAATCTCTAAATATAGACCACTACCAATTACTTCGTTAAACGAAAATTTTGTGAACGTAAGGGGAAGAGGTTTTTATGTAGGGTTCTAAACTTAATTAGGCATCTGGTTGGTCAAGTTTTTGAATTTACTTGATTATTAAGTTTTCTAATATTACCGGTATTCTCATCGATCGAAGGTCTTGTATTGACTTAAAAGTACTGGCTATTGTTCATAAACTTTCTAGTAATTTCTAAAGTATCAGTGAATAATAAAGTTAGAAAATACTTCAGTTCAATTACATTCACTTCAACTGACATATACCAGCATTAGCATATCTTTAGCATTTTTTATTTATTTATTTGTTTATTTACTTATTCATAGCATAGAATGGCCAATCCAAACCACCATTTAAGCTTCGTCGAAGATGATGATCCATTTGAAGGAAATGCAGACTATTATGAAGATTATCCTGAGAGTATCCAAATGGGTTCTGCTTACACATTTACTTCTAATACACCTAATCCAAATAATCATCATAATAGTATGGGCTATATCAATGGACCTTTATCAAATAATAGATATTCTCAATTTAATCCAGACATTGTTTATTCACGTCCTCACTCAAGAGCTTCGTCGGTAGGTTTCGCATCTCCTCAACATCATTTACTTGGAAGAAATATACCTTTACAACCTATTCATTATAATACCCATCCTACATTATCTAATGGTTCTAATGGTAGTGATACTGGATCTACTGTGACATTGACAACGGCCACTAATTTATCCAAAATTAAAGAATTTCCTTCAGCTTACCAAAAGCATACTACAAACAGTAGTTTTGGTGAAGGTACTATGTTTCAATCTGATTATGAAAGTGGGAACCCATTTCAAGCTCCACTTCAGGTTGGATTCTCAGGTGCAAATTATATGATAAATCCTTTGGAAGATGCTGATAATGATGATGATTTTGATCCCTTTGGTGATAATGACTCATTATACTCTGAAACAGGTGAAGAAATTATAAGAAGAGGTGCCACTATAAAAAGAAGGAATACAATGAAGAACGGTGGTGATTATCCCGATGAGGATGATGAGTATTTTGTTCCAAAATTGCATTACACTAAGACCATTAAGAAAGCTAAATTAATTAATGGGAATTATATTATTGATGCAAAAGTCCCTACTTCATTATTGGAAACTTATAATACTAATAATGAAAGTGGTAAAGAAATGTCTTTCTTGAGATATACTGGAGCTACTTGTGGTCCATCAAATTTCCAGAAATTCAAATACAATTTAAGACAAGAATTATATACACCCAAGAGAGATACAGAACTCATGGTTGTAGTTACTATGTATAATGAAGACGAATTCTTATTGGCCAGAACCTTGAAAGGTGTATTTGAAAACATTAAGAATTTAAGTGAACGTAAGAATTCATCAACGTGGGGACCAGATAGTTGGAAGAAAGTAGTTATTTGTATTGTTGCAGATGGTAGATTAGAATTAAACAAAAGATCACAATTGTTATTAACGGCTTTGGGTGTTTATCAAGATGGTTATGCTAAATCCAAAATTAATGACAAAACTGTAAAAGCTCATATATACGAATATACTTCTATGGTAGGAATTGATGAGATTAACGACAAGATTCATTTTGGATCCAATTCTAATCCTGTTCAGTTAATGTTTTGTTTGAAAGAAAAGAATTCTAAGAAGATTAACTCTCATCGTTGGTGTTTCCAAGCGTTTGCTCCAATTTTAAATCCAAAAGTTGTCATGTTGTTAGATTGTGGTACTAAACCTGAAAAGGATGCTTTCTATTATTTATGGAGATCCTTTAAAGATCCTAATGTTGGGGGTGCTTGTGGTGAGATGAGAGTTGCTTTGGGTCCTAGTCGTCAATTATTAGCCAATCCTCTAGTTGCTGCTCAACATTTTGAATATAAGATTTCAAATATATTGGATAAACCATTGGAATCAGTATTCGGATTCATTTCAGTTTTACCTGGAGCTTTCAGTGCTTATAGATATGAAGCATTATTGAATGTAAATGGAAAGGGTCCATTGGAAAAGTATTTTAAAGGGGAATTTTTGCATCAAAGTACGAATGTTGATGATGAAGAAGAGGATGACGAAAGAGACATCAAAGAAAGGAATTTCAGAGAATCTGGAATTTTCACATCCAATATGTATTTGGCAGAAGATAGAATCTTATGTTTTGAATTGGTGGCTAAAAGAAATCATAATTATATATTGAGATATGTTAATGAAGCTAAAGCTGAGACTGATGCTCCAGAAAACATTGATGAATTTGTTTTACAAAGAAGAAGATGGTTGAATGGTTCCATGTTCGCAGCTGTTTATGCAATTTTTCATTGGAGTAAGATTTGGAGATCGGAACATTCATTATTTAGGAAATTAATCTTACAAGTTGAATTCTATTATCAATTAGTAACAATCTTAGTGTCATGGTTTTCATTAGCATCATTTTTCCTTGTGTTTAGAATCTTAACAGCTAATTTAGGAGGTGATACTATGCATTTTGATGTGGGGAAATATCTTGCAGCTATATTTTTATGGTGTTATGTTGGAGCTGTTGTAACTGCATTCGTATTAGCATTTGGTAATACTCCTAGAGGGGCTAGAAAGTTTTATACTGCCATCGCTGTAATATTTGCAGTTCTAATGGCATATTTAATGTTTGCAGTAGTTTTCTTAGCTGTTCATACCGTTAAAGCCATTATAGCTGATAATAATAATCATTTCGAAGTTAGTTTATTATTCACTAATTCAAAATTTAGGGATTTAATTCTTTCTATCATTTCAACTTATGTGTTATATTTTGCTGGTGCTTTTCTTTATGGAGAACCTACTTTTATGTTTACTTCTTTTGTTCAATATGTCTTATTATCACCTTATTATGTGAATGTTTTGAACATTTATGCATTCTGTAATATTCATGATGTTTCTTGGGGGACAAAGGGGGCAGTTCAAGCCAAAGATTTGGGTTCGGCTAAGATTGTTAATAATAAGGATGAATTTGTCATGATTGTGCCTGGAGTTGAATCTGAATTAAATGAATCTTATATTAATACTATTGATGCTCTTAGAACAGAAGAACCAATAAAACCAATTAGACCCAATAAGAAATCAAAAGATGATTCTTATTATGCATTAGTTAGAACAATTACAGTTCTTATTTGGATGTTCTCTAATGCCATATTAATTGCCATAGTTTTACAAGCTGGTGGTGTCTTAACTGGACCATATAATACTAATGCAAATTCAGGAGCATTAAGTGCAAATTCTCAAGTATTCTTAAGTATTATTTTATGGATTGTTGCCGGATTAGCATTATTTAGATTTTTAGGAAGTGTGTTTTATCTTTTGTTCAAAGCTTTCAGACCATTAAAATGGAAAATTAGAGGGGATAAAGGAAATGGTTTAAAACTGCAAGTATAGATTCATATTTTATTTCGGATTTTGCAGCCAAATTAACATAAATTTATTTATTTTTTGTACTTAGAATAATTTTTAATTTTAAACATAATAGCATACATATAAGTTATCTTTTCGTAAGTTTAATCAAATTTAGTGTAAATATTATTCGTATAATAGTTTATTAAGGTTATAGTTTATATGTTGTATCACAGGGAATACATCACATGACCGTAACATGCATAAAAAATAATAAAATAATAAATAATACGGAAAAATTACCAGGGGTTACCGAAGTCTGTTTACAACTACAAATAATAGAAGCCAACTAAAGCAGATCTAAATTAATGAGCCATGCAAAAGGAGGGGATAACGAAAATTAACAATGTAAGGCTCTCACAAGATGAGATTTAGGTAGGGTGGAAATTAAAATTGAAAATTTTCTCGAAATAGAAATTCAAATTAAACATGAATAACGTAATGATAAAAAAGTGTCTGAATCTGAGAGAAATAACTCAAATAAACAAAGGTTAACCAACCAAAATTAAGATGACAGTAAGGAATAATAGAGGAGATAAACCCGGGACAAGGATAACTAAAGATTCGCACCCAATAAAATGGTGGAGGGGATAGTGAAAAATTTTTCTCGCAATTTCGTCGAGCGGTTGCAATAGTGTAAAAACTCGGTGTTATTTACAATAATGGGACGTAATGTTACTCCGGTGAGTGTGGCCCACAAAATAAAAACCGTTAGGCAAATTACAATTGCTGTGCCAGCGATCAGCCGCTAGCGGTTACCTTAAATTTTATTTCTTTTCTTTCTTTTTTCTCGTTAGTGAGTGAAAAATTTTTTGCGGTAATTTTTTTCATTGGTTCTCATTAGCTAATCATTGATTACTGAGTAACTATACAGTGGTGAGAGTGAGGACGTTAATTGTTACTTAAGGGTTTTAATATGAAACATATTTTGTGTAGGTTGATGTCGAATAAAGTAGATAGAAATGATTTATCAGACACTTTTGCGTTATAATAGTAAGAAGGTTGAACGCTGAGAGTTACCTAATTAAATGTAGTAATAATAGTAAGCATAGTAAAACATAGTAAAACATTACCATATTAAACATTACCATAGTAAAGTTTGTAGAAAAGAATGGTTCCTGCTCCCCACATCCATACCCCAAGGTGCAGGTAAGAATAATCTATGTTGACGAAAGACAAGGAATCTTGTCTATCAGACAATTTCTGAAACTACAGGTTTTATTCATTTAGCAGGTTATCTATCAAAGGTTGTAGCTGCTTGTTCCTGAAAAATAGTCGGTACTAACTTCGGAGTTATAGTTTACAGGTTTGTACTCAATTCGGTTAAACTTGATAAATATGGGTTAACGCACATATTCGGCAATACCTAATTCATGCTTTAGAAGCGAAAGCGAAATGGCTAATCGTCCGAGATATACACCCGGAAAATAGTGAATAATTAAGTATTTGAAGTTTAAAGATATTCACAGTATTGAGTCACCAGATGAAGTTTTAATGGTTATAATAATTATTGCTTACAATTAAATTATCTAGGGTACGACCTAGTACAAGCATACATATGCCAAGGTCAAAAATAGTGTAATTTAAGTTTTGAGAATTTTCGAATAGCCAATAAATTTCTTCGCAAATACTTGATTAAGATAGTAATTTTATTGTCGTGTGAATAAATGATTTTTATCATATACCTCTATAATGAAAATTATGTCTCAGTTGGTTATTAGATATAAGATAAAAGTTTATAAATTGGCCGGTCCGAGTCAATTTATTTGTTCCACTTAAAAGCGCTTATCGTCGGTATTCCTGTAAAAAAAAGCAAGAAAAGTTTGAGAATTTACAGGTTAAGCCCGAGGGACTAGAGACGGCCGGTAAAATCGGTCTAAAGCCATTATTGATTTTTGAGTTTTTGTCTGATTTTTTTAATAATTTAAGATAAGAGTGGTATTAACGTTTCTGGTAATTATTTCCAGGTAAACATAAATACGAATCGATTTCTAGGTATGTAGATGTATAGTAAGATTGTTGAGGCGCGATAAGAATGTCGTGAGACATCTGAGTAGTTATTCAATTCAATTGAATTAAGAACCAACTATTAACAAATACTACCAGACAGCCAGCCAAGAGGGGATGCGATGAGATGAGGTTAGATAGTTCATACAAAACAAGAGCGTTGGTACAGATGATGACATAAGCAGCGAACAACGAGTGAGTGAAAATGGGAATGAGCGAGTGAGTGTATAAGCGATTAACGACCAAGTGTCTGGAAGTCGTGTGTCAGAGTACAGAAAATATTAGTGATGGGATGGGATGAGATGAGCTCATGGACAAAGAGAAGAGGGTCCGAGAGGGGGAGGAGAGTAATTGATATTATTAAGTAACGATATACAGTTCATGTTATTCCATTGACATCAATCATAATGTCTGCGTTGAATTATAGTTGTAGTTGTACCAGTGATGTAGTGTTGTTTGTAGATGAGTAACATGAGATATGGTTTAGTATGGAACATTTGTTTTTGTTTATGTTTTTTTGCTCTGTTTGTTTGTTTTTGTATAGAGCCCTTCCTAATTGAGAAATGAAATTAAGCACGTTTGGCAGGCTGCATGCAGTACACTCTATTGACAGTATAGCTACAAGAGGAGGTGTAGGGGTGCGTAGACAGAGATTAAGTAGTAGAGATGGGGGAATGGTATAGATGAGATGTAGATCAATATGGAAGTGGATAAAGTGTGTAAAAGATTAGTGTGGTAATGAGAAGGATATGAACAGAGTGCAAGTAGTGAGAAGTGTGAGTGTAGATAAGAGAAGAGCATACTATAGTTCAGTACTGTTTGGTACTGTATAGTACAGTAGAGATTTACTGGCTAGTGAGCCATTAAGTAATGCGTGAGCACGGCCGTGAAGTCGGTGAATGCTGTGGTGACAGCATTACCAGTAAAAAGGTCAAACAGTAACCAGCAAAGTAAAAGAAGTAACAATAACTGTGACAAACTAAGCAGGATACCAGCATAGTAAAATGGGCACCTTAGCTTACTTAGGCAAGTCGTACAAATGGACAAATTTGGAACAATATATATGTCTTAATTTACAGGTTAGTCGCAATGTCTGCAGACACTATCTGCACACTTGTTTACCAACTCCCCAATCCGGCCCAATTTCTTTTTTTCCATGCGGGATTTTACCACTCCATCCAGACATCCGACACTTTGTCTGCCCAATTCCAACAAATTTAAATCTCGACAACTTATAAATTCATAAAGAATTCCGGAAACTTTCAATATAAACTAGTTAAAAACTTTTACTTTTCTTATTTCCTACTCCAGTTACTGTCTCGTGTCGTATCCCCTACAATGAGTGCAACTGAACCAACAAAAGAAAAGGTCGATAAAGTCGCATCTGATGATGAAGATGAAGACATTGACCAATTAATTTTGGATTTACAATCCAATGCCGCTTTAGGTGAAGAAGAAGAAGAAGAAGTTGATAACAATACTTTTAAGGCTGTTCCTGAAGAATTGTTAAAGACTGATCCTGCCACTGGTTTAACTGAAGATGAAGTTCTTAAAAGAAGAAAGAGATTTGGTTTAAATCAAATGGCTGAAGAAAAGGAAAACTTACTTTTGAAATTTATTATGTTCTTTGTTGGTCCTATTCAATTCGTTATGGAAGCTGCTGCTATTTTAGCCGCTGGTTTAGAAGATTGGGTTGATTTTGGGGTTATCTGTGCTCTTTTATTATTGAATGCTTCTGTTGGTTTTATCCAAGAATATCAAGCTGGTTCTATTGTTGATGAATTAAAGAAGACTTTAGCTAACTCTGCTAATGTTGTTAGAAGTGGTCAATTGATTGAAATCCCAGCCACTGAAATTGTTCCTGGTGATATCTTACAATTAGAAGATGGTACTGTTATCCCAACCGATGGTAGAATTGTTTCTGAAGATTGTTTATTACAAGTTGATCAATCTGCTATTACTGGTGAATCTTTAGCTGTCGACAAGAGACATGGTGACTCTACTTATTCTTCATCTACCGTTAAGACTGGTGAAGGTTTTATGATTGTTACTGCCACTGGTGATTCTACTTTTGTTGGTAGAGCTGCTTCTTTAGTTAACAAGGCTTCTGCTGGTACTGGTCATTTCACTGAAGTTTTAAATGGTATTGGTACTACTTTATTAGTCTTTGTTATTCTTACTTTATTAGTTGTTTGGGTTGCTTGTTTCTATAGAACTGTTAGAATTGTTCCAATCTTAAGATACACTTTAGCCATTACTATTATTGGTGTTCCAGTTGGTTTACCAGCTGTTGTTACCACCACTATGGCTGTTGGTGCTGCTTACTTGGCCAAGAAACAAGCCATTGTTCAAAAATTATCTGCCATTGAATCCTTAGCTGGTGTTGAAATCTTATGTTCTGATAAAACCGGTACTTTAACCAAGAACAAGTTATCCTTACACGAACCATACACTGTTGAAGGTGTTGAACCAGATGATCTTATGTTAACTGCTTGTTTAGCTGCTTCCAGAAAGAAGAAGGGTTTAGATGCTATTGATAAAGCTTTCTTAAAATCTTTGATTTCTTACCCAAGAGCCAAGGCTGCTTTAACTAAATATAAAGTTATTGAATTCCAACCTTTTGATCCTGTTTCCAAGAAAGTTACTGCTGTTGTTGAATCTCCAGAAGGTGAAAGAATTGTTTGTGTTAAAGGTGCTCCATTATTCGTCTTAAAGACTGTTGAAGATGATCACCCAATTCCAGAAGATGTCCATGAAAACTATCAAAATACCGTTGCTGAATTTGCTTCTAGAGGTTTCAGATCTTTAGGTGTTGCTAGAAAGAGAGGTGAAGGTCACTGGGAAATTTTAGGAATTATGCCATGTATGGATCCTCCAAGAGATGATACTGCTGCCACTGTCAATGAAGCTAGATCTTTAGGTTTAAGAGTTAAGATGTTAACTGGTGATGCCGTTGGTATTGCTAAGGAAACTTGTCGTCAATTAGGTTTAGGTACTAACATTTATGATGCTGATAGATTAGGTTTATCCGGTGGTGGTGACATGGCTGGTTCTGAAATTGCTGATTTTGTTGAAAATGCCGATGGTTTTGCTGAAGTCTTCCCTCAACATAAATATAATGCTGTTGAAATTTTACAATCTAGAGGTTACTTGGTTGCCATGACTGGTGATGGTGTTAACGATGCTCCATCTTTAAAGAAGGCTGATACCGGTATTGCTGTCGAAGGTGCCACTGATGCTGCCAGATCTGCTGCTGATATTGTTTTCTTAGCTCCTGGTTTATCTGCTATTATTGATGCTTTAAAGACTTCTAGACAAATTTTCCACAGAATGTACTCTTATGTTGTTTACCGTATTGCTTTATCTTTACACTTGGAATTATTCCTTGGTTTATGGATTGCTATTTTAAACAGATCCTTAAACATTGATTTAGTTGTCTTTATTGCTATTTTCGCTGATGTTGCTACTTTAGCCATTGCTTATGATAATGCTCCTTATGATCCAAAACCAGTTAAATGGAACACTCCAAGATTATGGGGTATGTCTATTGTTTTAGGTATAATTTTAGCCATTGGTACTTGGATTACTTTAACTACTATGTTCACCAAGAAGGGTGGTATTGTTCAAAACTTCGGTGGTATTGATGGTATTTTATTCTTGCAAATTTCTTTAACTGAAAACTGGTTAATTTTCGTTACTAGAGCTCAAGGTCCATTCTGGTCTTCAATTCCATCATGGCAATTGGCTGGTGCCGTTTTCATTGTTGATATCATTGCCACTTGTTTCACCTTATTTGGATGGTGGTCTCAAAACTGGACTGATATCGTCACTGTTGTTAGAACCTGGATTTTCTCTTTCGGTGTCTTCTGTGTCCTTGGTGGTGCTTACTACTTGATGTCTACTTCTGAAGCCTGGGATGACTTCTGTAACGGTAGAACCAAGAAACCATCTGCTGACAGAAGATCCTTCGAAGATTTCCTTGTTTCCATGCAAAGAGTTTCTACTCAACATGAAAAATCATCATAGATATCTTTGCCTATCCTTTCCTTCCTTTATAGAACACACTAAGTATTTCTAGTTGGCAAGTTATAATTTTGGCAAAGAGATAACGAAAGCAATCTATTGGTTTAATAATGTATTAATCATATCCATATCCTTTTTACTTTCATATTTATTATTAATATAATACGGTTTATTATTATTATGTTTTATTATGCTTTATTATTCTGATGGCTTTTTTCTTTTATCTTTGTCGATTACCGCTTCTAACTAGAGCCGTACTTTACTATCATTGACAGTCGTTATCGTTAATGGTGTATCATTTTTATTTCAGTTATTAATTTAATTTCCCTAATGTGAAAAAAGCAAAAAAAAAATCAAAGATATCAAATCCCCATTGGTATTAAACTATCTGGTTGTCCTTTACTGTTGTTGAATAATTTATTTATTTATTAATTTTTTTATCTATGGTAATGGTTGAACATAACTCCCCATTATGTTTGAACTGGTAGTGGTTTCTTTCTTGCTTTTTGACTTTTTGGATATGTTGGATGGAGGAGATGATACTTTATGATTCCCCAGTTATCTCTTCCTTTCATTGTATCGACATTTTATTCATTCATTCCCCTAGTCATTGTTTTTATATTACGTATTATAGGTTTTATTTTCTAATAGATAATAATATTTAAAAATGTTGTAGAAGTGGTGTAGTAGTAGTATAAAGTAGTATTATAGAGTAGTATAGTACTATAGTATTACAGTTACAGTTACATTATAATAGTACAGTACGGTATAGTAATTATAGGATTACAGTATAATTATAGTTCTACAGTACAGTATAGTATAACAATAATATAGTATAGTAGTGTATTACAATATTATAGTATTACAGTAGTACTATAGTATTATATAGTACAGTATAGTATTACTGTACAGTATTACAGTATTATAGTAGTACACTATTACAGTATACTATAGTATTTTAGTAGTACTATAGTATTATAACATAGTATCAATTATTACAGGTGTATTAGTTAAGTGAATAGTGTAAAATACAATAGTACAGTTACTGCAATGAATGTTACAATGTTACTACTGTGTACTATGTAACTTTATTGTACTATGTAACTTTATTGTAATATTAGACAAGAATTAATTACAGTATAGTTCAAGTAAGCATACAGTAGCATTACTGATTAGTACTTAGTATTATTAGTACTATTACTATTAGTACTATTAGTACTATTAGTACTATTTCTATACTTAGTGTTAGTGTGTTATTGTAAATGTAGTACTACTGTTATATAACAGTAGTATTGATATAGTAGAGTGACTTTAATCTGCTCATAGTACTATGACTAGTATGACTACTAGTACACTATTAATTTACTAAACTTGTATTTATTACAATGAGTAGAATTTACTACACTACACTACTACACTATTACGCTATTACACTATTACACTACTACTATATAGTACACTACAGTTGAGTATACTGTAACACTCACTAGTTTACTAATAGTACAGATACATAGTTAAGCAGTAGAGAGAGTAACACTACAGTGTACACATACTACTCACTCCCTCACTACTCTCACTACTCTCAGTATTTCTCTCACTACTCTCAGTATTTCTCTCACCACTCTCAGTTCACTCGTCTCTCACTATTTCTCTAATGTCTTCTTACAACTGCGCTACCATGCGCACGCCATCTTTGAAAATTTTTCCAGATCCACTAATCTCCACCTCCCCATCATCATTCTCCCTATTCATTACCATAGTCAAACGGCCTTCTTGTACATTAGTTCTCCTTAGCATTCGTCATTCCCACCATTCACTCATTGCATACTTTTTATATTCTGTACATTAGCATCTCTGTATATTACGACTACCCACTAACACTGACACTACGGCTCACTGACACTGCTCACTGACACTACTCACTAATACTCACTAACATACTGCACTACACTACACACTACTACGCTACACACTACTACACTACTCACTACACCACACTACACTATGACTGCTTACCCCACCCGATCCGCATCCATCTCCACGCCAGAAGACCCGCTGGCTCCTCAACCATTAGCCAAATTCTCTAAGCCCGGCTTGAGATCAGCATCGTTTGGTTCAAATTTCTTCACTAAGGAAACTCCGTCTTTCTTACCAGAAGAGTCAGCCAACGATTCACGTGATGAGTCCAATACTTCACTCATCATTCTTCCACCACCGGAAGAAGATGAGAGTATCGTAAAATCAGCTGATTTAGACATTGTGGGTGCCTTAGGTAATCTCGATTTAGACGAAGATTTTGATCCCCAAGCTGAAAAGGCTCAGTCCAGATCAAAATCTTCCACTCCATTCAGTCAGCCTTTATATGGCAATGGGAATGGGAATGGTAATGGTTCAGACAATTATCCATTGTATCAACCTTATCATCCCCACCCCCATCAGGGTTCTTTAACTCCTAATCCATCTTTGTTAGCCAGTGGTTCTGGTTCTGGTACTGGTTCTGGTACTGGTTCTGGTGCAGCCACTGGACCCTTTGGTTCAAATACTCCTTCGTCAACGTGGAATAATACTTTTATTCCATCGTCTGCTCCACCGTTTAGTTATACTAAAAATGCTGAATCAAATGAATTGCCAATCTTTGTCAAACCATTTGAATTACCATCAGAAGAGTCAACTGCCAAACCTGATGAACTGCAACAATTCTCCAACTTATTTGGAGGCATCTTAGACTCTAAGCAACCGTTTATACCTGGTGATGAGTCTACTAGTAAGAGTGCTACTGCCACTCCTGAAGCTGATTCAGTCAATATCAATAATACTAATACTACTACTACTTCTACTAATATTAATCCTGTTGATACTGAAAAGAGACCTATCCCATTCCATAATCCTCTTGCTCCTCAACAATTCCATTTACCGGATAATTTATCTATTCCTCCACCTCCTATGGCAGGATTTCCTCATCCTCATCCTCATCCTCATCAACTTCCTCATCAACTTGCTCATCAACTTGCTCCTGCCGGGATGTGGAATCACCAACCTCCTCTTATGCATCCTAGTATGGGGAATATGTTTGATGGTAGAATGATGCCTCCATCTCCATCTCCTGCTCCATCTCATGGTCATCCACTTGCTCATGGACCTCCTCCTCCTCATCCTTCAATGATGCCTCCACCATCCATGCCATACATGAATCAGTTCAATGGTAACATGAGAAACAACGGAGGTCATCATCATCACCATAATGGTAACTCCAACAATAACACTAACAACAATAACACTAACAATAACTCTAACAATACCAACAACAATCGTCATAATCGTGGCAATTATGGATACATGAATGAATCGAACATTCATCGTAAAGTCCACAACAACAATAACAATAACAATAACAATAGAAGAAAAGGTGAAGATGCTTCTAAATATGCCAATGCCAAATTAGAAGACTTTGTGGGCCAGATCTTCAACTTATGTAAAGATCAACATGGATGTAGATTCTTACAACGTCAATTAGATCTTGGAAAGGAGTTAGTTGAAGGTAAGTTAGTTGAAGATAGTTCTAATGATAAGGATACCACCACCAATATATTACCAAATGATATTGCAGCTACTATGATCTTTAATGAAATCTATTTAAAGATTGTGGAATTAATGACAGACCCATTTGGCAATTACTTAGTGCAAAAGTTATTTGAAAATGTATCAGTTGATCAAAGAATTATCTTAGTAAAGAATTCTTCAACTGACTTTATTAGAATTGCTTTAGATCCTCATGGAACAAGAGCATTACAAAAATTAGTTGATTGTATTTCTACTGAAGAAGAAAGTCAAATCATTATTGAAAGTTTAAGTAATCATATTGTTTCATTATCTAGAGATTTAAATGGTAATCATGTTGTACAAAAATGTTTACAGAAATTAAAACCAGCAGATAATCAATTTATATTTAATGCTGCTTGTTATAATTGTAATGAAATTGCCACTCATAGACATGGATGTTGTGTATTACAAAGATGTTTAGATAATGGTGATGTATCACAACGTAAACAATTATCATTAAAAGTTGCAGAAAATGCAACCAATTTATCTTTAGATCCATTTGGAAATTATGTGGTTCAATATGTATTATCAAGAGGGGATGAAGAATCAATTCAAATCATTATGAATCATATTAAATCCAATATAATTTCATTATCTTTACATAAATTTGGTTCTAATGTTATTGAAAAATCGTTAAGAATTAATAAATTAACTCATAATATTATTGATGAATTATTAAATCAACAAGCACATTTTAGTGAATTGTTAAATGATGCATTTGGTAATTATGTCTTACAAACTAGTTTAGATGTGGCTACTCAACAGCAATTAGTTAATTTATCTAAAGTATTGCAGCCATTGTTGGTGTCGATTAAGAACACTCCTCATGGTAGAAGGATCATGTCCAAGATCCAGCCGGTGGCTTAGGGTACTTCTGCTAGTAGTAGTAGTACTACTACACCCACTGCCACTACCACACTCTTACACTCTCTCACTCTCTTGTATATTCAAATGTATATTACTCGTATATTGCGTGCCCTTCCCAATGGGGTAATACTTTGCGGGAACAAAAGCGCAAAAATTTATCCGAGCTACTTAACCCTAATTTATATTCTTTGACTAACTAAATCTAAACTATAGTCATGAGTTCACCCTATAAATCTAAGCCTAGGTTGAAAAAGAGAACTTACAGCCGAGGAGGATGTGTAGAGTGCAAGAGAAGGCGAATGAAGTGTGATGAAGGTAAACCCTTTTGTCATCAATGTACTAGATTAAGTAAACAATGTGTATACCCCCCTAAACAGCCTATAAGATTTGCGGTGAATTCAGCTGGTCCAACGGTACCGAATTCCTTACCGGATTTAGTATTTAAACCTATAGAGACCTCTAAGGATATGATTACTGTAATACCTCATCCACCACCTCATCTACCAGTACCTCATCCACCGCCTCAATTACAACCTCCACATCCTCAACCACCACAACCAATACCTCCCCAATCTCAACCAATACCCATCCCCGTTAAGAAATTCAAGAATTCTATTTCAGATATCCTTACTAATGAATCACTAAGTACTCCTATAATATCTCAATTCGAAGATAAAGATATAAAATACTTATTTGAAGAAGCTAGTCTCCTAGTTAATGATCTTAATGGTTTAGTTCCTATTGATTTTCTTGATATTGGTCCAGCTACAAATACTCCAAATAGTATATCTATTAATAATACAGATCCAGAAGTTCAATTGACAGCTTTAGGTAATGGAAGTAGTAGTGATACAAGTACTCGATCAGAAAAGCATGAACGATTAAATTTTCAAATTGATGAATTCTCTAATAAGATAAAACTTAATTTATCACCTGATGATGCGGATAGTCCATTATATTTTCAAGAATTTATTAAAAGTGATCAAGATTTATCGATATCCAATAGTGAATTAATTTCAAGAACTTTAAGACATTATCATCTTGATGGACCTCATGAAACTTATCTTAATTCATTAACTCAAACAGATATTTGTTTACATTTATATCCCTTTGCATCTTCAATTGAATCAAATGAAGTCATTAAAATTCTTTTAAAATATCTGAATAATTGTCCTTATCTTTTAACTTCTTTACTAGCTATTTCTGCAACTTTCCAATATAATAAATCTTATAAAAAGATTCATGAACTGAGCTTTCAAAAATATCTTACGGTATGTTTACAAACTTTAGGTGATGCATTTACTGATAAAAATCCTCATAAGAATGAAGCAAATGATATTGAAAAATTATTATTAACTGTACTTGTTTTAGCATCTAATTTTGCAGCTACAACTTCAATTAGAAATTTTAAACATAATTGGAAAACTCATTTACGAGGAGCCAAAGATTTACTTATGAATTATTTAACTTTAACAACCAGAAATAATTCTTATATGACTGGAGGTTTAGCATTAGCTAAATGTTGGTTTTATACCATAGAAACTATTGCTGGATTAATATCTCCATTAGGTGGAACCATTAATAGTGTTATAAGAAGTGGTACAGGTGATCAAGAACGAGTATTTTCAAATGAAAATGATAATATACTTTATAGTGATGTTGCATACTTTGATAAAGAAATAAATCCGGGATATCATGATGCATTAATTAGAATAGGTTTATTAATAAAACCTCAAAAGGGTTCAAATCTGAGTGAATTTAATTTATTTCTTGGATTTACACTTAAATTAGTTTATTCAGTAACTGAAATGATTAGGGCCTTGGATTTATTACGAGCTAATCCATCTATACAAATAAATTCTTCAACTATTTCTAAAATCTTTTCATTAGTTGATCAAGCTAGAAATGAAAGAATAGTTACGGGAGTTAATGAGAATAATTTCTCAATTCCAGAAAATAGTCCTGGTCATCCAGCATATCCATTAAATGCTCCTGATAAAATTACTTTACCTCAATCATGTTATTGTAGATATGTAACATTTACTAATCAAGTTATATATTATTCATGGTTTGATTTATCTCATCAATTACATTGTTTAATCATTTATTTAATGTTATTAACCACAAAGGGATTACTTGGTCTACCTCGTGAACATGCGTTGGTAGAAGAATTAGTTGAATTCATGTTAAATTCATCATTTTTTATAAGATCTAAACAAGAATTCAGTCAAGATTATAATAAAGAACAATCTAATATAGTTGAAGAAACAGAAAATTATTATTTATCTCAACAAATCTTTGACTTACGAGCCACTATGGTGGTTGTACCATTATCATTTTGTTGTAGATATGCTCGATCACCTCAACAATTTGAAAAATTAGAGTTATACTTTTTAGGAATTCGGAAATTGGGTCATGGCAGTGCCCAGGGAGCATTGGATTTCTTATATAAACATAGAGATAATAATGTCCTGGTAGATCAACTTCATGATGATTTAGATATTCTACCATTTGCATAATAAAATAAATGTATAGAATATATAGACTATGTAGGCTATGTAGGATCGGAAATTCGGCAAGTTTTACCGAACTCCAATTGATGCAAAATAAACGACAGGAACGAGGACGTGCGTATGCCCACATAGTTTTTTTTTCAGTTAACCCATAACAAGAAATCTTTACCAGTAAAACTTAAGAATTAGCACATTTAGTGTAGATTAGCAATGTTGGAGGAAGGTAGTAGTACTAGTCCATTACTCGAGTCGCGTGTGGAAGAATCTGAACCAGTTAAGGAAGTTTCAGTTGAATCAGTTGGAGGCGTTGAATCATCTGAATCAGTTTCAACTGGTGGAGATCAATCACAGCCACCTCGAGGTTACTTACGTAAAGATGAGATTGAATGGGAATTTGGTGGACCAATTGGAGCCATTGGAATGATGGTAGGATTCCCATTACTTATGTGGTATATGTGGATTAGTGCCGAATTCAATTCTGGATATCCTGCTTGGCCTGAATCAGATCAATCATGGAGTAATTTTATAGAACAATTATGGAATTATTTTACCATGTATGGTTTACCAAATTTTGGAGTATGGTTCTTCTTTACTTCATTTATATTAGTTCAAGCATTTTTCTATTTATCATTACCAGGTGTTTGGACTAAAGGTCAACCATTAACTCATTTAGATAATAAACAATTACCTTATTATTGTAATGCAGTTTGGTCATTTTATACATCTATTTTATTATCTTTAATATTACATTTTACTGGTATATTAAAAGTTTATTATATGTTGGATAATTTTGGACCTATTATGACAACAGCTATAATTTATGGTATTTCATTATCAATTATATTATATTTAATATGTATTTATATTACTGGTGATTATCATAGAATGTCAGGTAATCCAATTTATGATATATTTATGGGAGCTCCATTAAATCCAAGAATTGGTAAATATTTAGATCTTAAAATGTTCTTTGAAGTTAGAATTCCTTGGTTTATTTTATTCTTTTTATCTTTTGGTTTATGTTTTAAACAATATGATACTTATGGTTATGTTTCTCCTCAAGCTTTATTTGTTTTATATGCTCATTGGTTATATGCTAATGCTTGTGCTAAAGGTGAAGAATTAATTGTTCCAACTTGGGATATGGCTTATGAAAAGTTTGGATTTATGTTATTATTCTGGAATATTGCTGGTGTACCATTTACTTATTGTCATTGTACGTTATTCTTAGCATATCATGAACCCACAGAATATCAATGGTCACCTTATTATAATCTTGCATTATTTATAGTTTTAACTATTGCTTATTACTTCTTTGATACTGGTAATCGTCAAAAGAATAGTTTTAGAAGACAAATGGCTGGTAATTCTAATTTAAGAAAAACTTTCCCATATTTACCATATTCAGATTTAGTTGATCCAAAATATATTAAATGTGAAAATGGATCACTTTTATTAACTGATGGTTGGTATGTTTATGCTAGAAAAATGCATTATACTGCTGATTGGTCTCAATCATTAACTTGGGGATTAATTTGTGGATTTGCTTCTCCATTCCCTTGGTTCTTTCCAACCTTTTTCTTAATCGTTTTAGTTCATAGAGCTTATAGAGATCAAAGAAAATGTGCTAGAAAGTATGGAAAGGATTGGGATAGATATTTAGAAGCTTGTCCATATATGTTTATTCCATATGTTTGGTAATTGAAATTGTTAAAAAGTACTAAAATTTCAAAAATTTTAAAAGTTAGTTCAATATTTATATGTTCATATATTATTAAAATACACATAGACTACTTAGTCCTGTTCAGCAATTGCTACTAATCTTTCATCAATTTCTTCAGGAGATAAGATTCGGAATCCTTCTTCAGTAGCTACCCCTATTTCTATATCATTTTTTCTAAATTCTGTACCTACAACAGAACTTAAAGCTGTAATAGCAAATTCAACAGTATCTTTCCAATCTCCCTTAACATGATCAGTCTTTTTAAATTTCTTTTCTAAATATGTAATAGCTTCTTGTTGTTTAGGTCCTGTAGCAACTGCTTTAAATCCAGTATAATAACCAGCAGGATCACATTTAAAAATTTGTGGACCTCTATTTTCATCTTCAAAATCAACTTGACAAAATGTTAATGCAACTCCTAATGGTCTCATATAAGCTCTTTGGGTATATATTTGAGATAAATTAGCCATTCTTTTAGCTAAACTTTCAACTGGCATTTCATAACCATATTTATAACGAAATTCAGTAGCTTCAGCTCTTGCTCTTAAAGCTTGAGATCTTGCATCAGCAATTGAACCAGTAGCTACTAAACCAATTGATGGAGTTATTTTAAATAAATATGATACAGTTTTTGGATCTAATAATTTATCTGGGATTTTCTTTTGAGAAATTAATACTGCTGAATCCTTTCCACTAACTCCTAATGATGTAATATTTGCTGAATTAATTGCTTTAAATGCATATTCAACTTGAAATAATCTACCTTCGGGTGAAAAGATAGTAATATGTCTATCAAATCCTGCTGATCCTGACATTTTTTATTTAAGTGACTGATTTTCTAATCTCAATTAGTTAATATTAATCAACTACTTAAACAATCAATTGGTATATATATACTGTAAATATGGGTATTACAATTAGTAGTATTTCTTTAATATTGAAAGTGGCGAACAAATTCGGTATGAGTTATTGGAGATGTCGCGACTTATTTTGAGGGTGCGACATGAATCTTGAAAAATGTCGCGGGTGGCCCTATAAGGCTGCTGGTTATATGAAAATTTGTAAAATTATATATGGAATAATTATAATATAATTATTAATAGATAATAAAAAGTATTTAATAAATAGAGAGATATGTCTATACCGACTAGTGAATCGGAGACATTTACGGTGGATAAGAAGACAGAAGAAAACACTCCAGTTTATTATGATAAGAGTAGTAATGGAAAATCTCGAACTAATGTATCATATCATTATAATCCTGAAGCAAGTCGATATCATTATGGAACATTACATCCTATGAAACCATTTCGACTTATGTTAACAGATCATCTTGTGATATCTTATAAATTATATGAAAAGATGGATTTATATACTCCACGACGAGCTACTAAAGAAGAATTATTAGAATTTCATGCTGAAGATTATGTAAATTTTCTTCAAACTGCTAGTCCTCATACAAAATTAAGTGATCAAGTACTAGCGCAATTTAATATAGGTGATGATTGTCCAATATTTGATGGAATGTATGATTATTCAACTATATATGCTGGAGCTTCATTAGATGCAACAAGAAAATTAATAAGTGGTATGTCTGATATAGCAATAAATTGGTCTGGAGGTCTTCATCATGCAAAGAAATATGAACCAAGTGGATTTTGTTATGTTAATGATATTGTTTTAAGTATAATAAATTTATTAAGAGTTCATCCAAGAGTAATGTATATTGATATAGATTTACATCATGGAGATGGAGTTCAAGAAGCATTTTATACAACTGATAGAGTAATGACAGTATCATTTCATAAATATAATGGAGAATTTTTTCCAGGAACTGGTTCAGTAGATGAAGTTGGATTAGGTAAAGGAAAAAATTATGCTATAAATGTACCATTAAGAGATGGAATAGATGATGAATCTTATACAAGATTATTTAAACTGATTATGGAACCTTTAATAACAAAATTTCAACCAACTTGTATAGTACAACAATGTGGAGCAGATTCTTTAGGTTATGATCGATTAGGTTGCTTTAATTTAAATATTAGAGCTCATGGTGATTGTGTAAATTTTATAAAATCCTTTGGAATTCCTATGTTAGTAGTTGGTGGAGGAGGTTATACTCCAAGAAATGTTTCAAGATTATGGTGTTATGAAACTTCAGTACTTAATGATGTAAATCTTGATCCAAAAATCCCAAATTATCTTGCCACTTATGATTGGTTTGGACCTGATTATTCTTTACATCCTCAATTAGATGGAAGAATAGATAATAAAAATTCTAAAAAATATCTTGAAAGTGTTAAACAAGAAATTTTAGAACAAATTAGATATTTAAATCATGCTCCATCTGTACAAATGCAAGAAATTCCTCCTGATATAACGGGATTAACTGAAGATGAAGAACAATTAATTAAAGAATTAAATGAAGAATCTGATTTCCAACGGGCTACACAAAAGGTAAAAGATGAAGCCAGAGACACAGAAATTATGGCTTAGTAAACATATAAAGCCATACTTAATTAACTATACAATCTATACGACTATAACTACCTGTAACAATATATAATTATACTTATACTTATAATACATAATGACATTAACTATACAATGAGACGCGATACAAAATCAAGGAATCTCAGATTTTAATTCTAAACATCATTACCGCCATAGAAAAACCAAACTATACTACCCAGCAATTGTACAGTAAAGAAACTACGAAAGTACATAGAACATCTTGTAATTCAATAGTATTAGATTATAATTAATGTTAATTCGCCATTCATTTATAAAGGAAGGATCGAATAATTAATAAGGGTATAGTAAAGTATAGTATAGTAAAGTATAGTAAGTAAAGTAAATCTATTACCCAATGGATCTCACTACTTTATCTATACGACTAGACCCTGATACTAATCGGAAAGTTATTAATGAAGAATTTCGAATAATTAAGAAGATTGGTCAGGGACAATTTGGGAAAGTTCTTCAAGGAGAAGTTATTAAACATAATAATTGTGATGAGAAATATGTCGCCATTAAAACTATTAATAGAATTGATAAAACCAGATTATTTACTAAAGCATATTTAAGTCAAACAACTAAAATAAAGAGAGAAATTCAAATAATGAAAGAATGTAATCATCCAAATGTTGTAAAATTATATCAAGTAATAGATGATTTAAAATTTGATAAAATCTTATTAATATTAGAATATTGTAAATTTGGAGAAATTGATTGGAAACGATATAATCATTATTATGAAAAATATCAAAGTCATCTGAATAATAGGAAACCTTTAACTATTAATAAAATTCTACGAGATGTAGTTAATGGATTAGAATATTTACATAATTATAAAAAAATTATTCATCGAGATTTAAAGCCATCTAATTTATTAATTAATAATGATAATACTATTAAAATATCTGATTTTGGTGTTAGTTTAATCTTAGAAAATAATGCTAATGATGAAAAGGAATTAGGTAAAACTATGGGGACTCCAGCATTTTTTGCACCTGAATTATGTCAATTTGTTAGTAATCGTTATTCAATGATTACAAATGTTAATCATAGTGCTAATAAGATTAAAATTGATTCAAGAATTGATATATGGTCATTAGGTATAACATTATATTGTTTAATGTTTAATGATTTACCATTTTCTGGTTGTAATGAATATGAATTATTTCAAAATATTGTAAAAGAAGAATTAAAATTCCCCAGAATTATTAAGAATTCAAAGACAACTCCTCAAGATATTGAAGAATTAAAATATTTAAAGAATTTAATTAAAAAATTATTAATTAAAGATCCAAATCAAAGAATTAATATAAATGATATAAAACATCACCCTTTTACAACTTTTGATTTAAGTGATCTTGAAAAGAGAAAGTTTTTTAATTTTAATGAAGCTATCTTTAAAGATGCAACTAAAAAGAAACAACTTGCATATAATAATAATAATAATAATAATGAAAATCATGAATCTATACTTTCAACAAAGATAAAACAATTCTTTGGAACTAAAAAACCTGAAACTATATCAACAATTGCTCCTATATCTCCAATAGTTGAAAATGTTCCAATTGAACTGTTCAAAAATTTAGAACCAGTAGATGATCTATTAGATTCTTATTTAGATGATTCAACAGCTTCATATGGAAGTGATGTAGAAAATGTTGATCAAGATATTGATACTTCCAACATTTTGAAATCTTTGAATGATAGTGAAAGTTTCATAAAACGACTCGATAATCTAGAACTACTGAAAACATCATCAAGTAGTAAACAAAAAGTTAAAGTTATTCCATTGGATCTTAAGAAGTCCTCCCATATCAATAAAACTCCAGAGAATAGCGTGTCAAATATAGGTAAATGGTCATTCTCAAATAGTGCTCAATCGCCAAAAAGATCTAATCATCCACCTGAACCTCTGCCAGTTACACCCACAAATAATAGTTTTATGACAATTGGAGCAAGTTCTCCATCTTCAATTAAATCTATATTTAGTCCTTCTAGAAGATTCTTTTCTAGAAATAAAAAGGATAAGGAAGAATCTAAAGAATGTAAACCAACCATTAATTCATTATCATCACCAGCTGAAAAGAGAAATAGTGATCTGAGTAATAAACTGAAATATACTGATTTAATGGAACCACCACCAATATTTGGTCTCAATTCATCATCAACTACCAGTAGAAATAGTACTTCAAGTACTGGATCAAGATCAAGCAATCACAATAATGATCATATCTTATCGCCTAGTGCTCAATTTACATCTACATTTGATTCTAATAAGGGCGGAGATACTTCCCGAAAGAATTCTATTAGCTCATCTCAATTTGGGTATAAACTTACTCGAATAACTAGTTCTTCGTCATCATTAAATTTGAATGCTTATTTAACTGATGATTCATATACGGAAGTATCATTTAAAAACCACAATAGTATCAATTCACAAAAGAAGAAACTAATTAATACAAAGCTTTCGCATTCTTCGGATGTTTCATCAGACGGTGAAGATACAAATAATGACACATTTATATTAGAAAATCCAAATGCTCAAGTTACGACACATGATAAGTATGAGGGATTAAATGATTATTTAGATCGACTTCAATAATTGTATGCATGTAAATTAATTAATAATAGTATAATGAAAAATATTTACATTACAAATGATTATATGTTTAAAAGGTAAGTTAATTAGTAAGACAAGGAACGAAAAGGATACAAAATAAAAGTTTTTGGAGCATATAGCATTAGACGATAAGTCATATAAGGATATACATAAATATAGTAAATTTTATAGATACACGAATAGATAGTTAATTAAACAATGAATAAATTGCAGAAACGAGAATGGAGGCGACATAAAACTGCAAAGAGATAAGTACATGTTTATTAAGAGAGGGTTTAAGTTGATTTCTAACCACGATCCATACATCCAAACAATAGTAATTAATTAAAGTTTTTCATAAATCCAGTATCTATGGATATGAGTTGCATAAATTAAACAATGAACCTTATAAGGAATATATCCGCAGGATGCTTAAGCGATAAAATGAAACCCAATGGCAAAAGTTTGAATTGTAATCTTATTCGTTTAATTTGAGTTGAGAGTTAAGACCAACCACAAAACACTCTGACGAATACACGATAGAATACAAAATGAGTTTTATTGATGAGATTATAGAAGTGGAGAAAAATGCACAGCAAACAGGCGAAAATCATAATAAATTATGTCTGCGAAACAATGTAGTTAGTAATTTGTTACTAGAGGAGCAAGGTCGTTGCTAGGCTAAGCTACATAAAGATGGGGTACTAATATCAAGAAAGAGAATGAAAATGTTTAACGAGGCAACCATTTGAATAATTCAACGGTTTAAATAACGGCAAATATTGGAACACTATTTTTGCACCTCCATATTCTACCCATGGAAAAGTGGTAAGATTAAGGAATTATGTATGTATGTATGTCAGGAAATATGGATCCACAAATATATATATATATATATATATAGTTATGTGTATTTAGGTAGAAATGGTGTGGATCAGTCACGGTAGGTTTATAAACGCAGCCATTGCCCAATTGGGACAGTTTGCAAACAAGACTCGTCTGCGAAAATCATCACAAAAAATTATGTTGTGAAATAAGAGCACAAAGTGACTCCAAATATAAACAAACCATATATTAGTAAATAAACAAATAAGTAAATAAAATCCATCTTGCGTGTGTTTTGATCCGAGATGAGCACAAACACAATGTCAAATGCCTTTGGAATATACGTAATTAGATGCATTTGTGTACCGTAGACCAGAAAATACTTACAAATCAATGAAGCAATAGATTAGAACCTTAACCATAAACATTCAGTTGCATTTAGTATTGTTTATAAGACCTTCCTTAGATGATCTGATTCATATATGGAGATTAGACTTTTTAAAAAGAATAAATTTATTAACTTGTTAGAAATGTGGATGTACCCACATTTGATTCTTAAACCAAAAACCTTGTGTTAATGATGGTTCGACAAGACAACTGTTGGAGTCGTTGTCTTATCAGAACATATCAAAATTTAACTTCACATATATGCATGAAGTGCAACATAATAGAACATAATTTCTTGTTATTATTATTATTAATGGAATTCTGCGTCCTGTAAACTTTCATACTTAGTTTTGGCACACTTAGCAAATATTTACCTTTTTGACAACTTAACAATGGTCTTTGCTTTACTTAATTAATTAATTAATTAATAATGATTGATTATTATATTATATTATATTATATTATTATTATATTATTTATATTATTAAGTTTCCAAAGCGGAGGTGGAAATATAATCAATGTGACCCCCAAAAGCAGGAACTCACTCATGGTAAACTCCTAGTAATTCCGGAGAAATAGATATCCACATTGATGGAATAATCTACGTAGTGTCATTGTGATGCAATTTTTCACAGGAAACAATACCCAGTTACCCACCTCTTTAACGTGAAATTACTTAGTGTAGACTATACATTCTCTCTCCTCTATTTAGAATTCCATTCATTTTACATTGATTTACTCTAAATTATACATACATACTTAACTACCTTGTACAGGTCTATGCTTGCCCATTTCATTGTAGATGAAATATACTGAAACTTATAAACACAACCGTATTAATATACATTATACATTAATAAGATCTGGAAATATCATATTTGTATTTATACTTTGTAATCCGCCAGATTTGACCATATTTTACTTATAACCTAAAACCACCCTTCCGACCTTATTCATTCTTTTAACATCCGGCATACTTGAGTAGTTTCCCATTTCTGACACACTATTCTACACAGTACAAAATTAATCTGCCTTTATATTATTCTCCAGGTTACATTTCCATTTCCATTTCTATAAAACACGATTGCCTGATCCAATACACAAAAATTTATACTACTCCTAACCAAGGAAAAACTCAAACCTATAACTAGTTAGCACCAAATTTGGAATAGTTATAAACATCTTTGTTAGATACTTTGATATTTTACGAGTTTTTCACTTCATTACGTTGCCCACTTTAATTGTTAGTAACCGTTAATATCAAATTCATTACAGTTGCAGTACAATACCGCCTTGTCTAGTCAACTATAACTAAATTGTGTTGCAACGCTGGATCTTTCTCATCACTGATTCTAACAAATTAGTTACATTCCAACCTTCCACAACTACTCCATTAATTCTTTATTACAACTCGTTCCTTTTTTTATGACTTCATTCTCCAACATTATTTAACAATCTGGACTTCCTTCCTTCCCTGTACATCTCATAGTAAGTCCAAGGCTTTTATGAATTTCATTTAAGTTGTACATTACCTCTAATATCTCTAACATTAAGAACCAACGTTCTTCATTGACTCATTCATTCACTCATTCACATTCAGTCATTCCCACATTCGTTTAATTTTTCATATTCATATTCAGTTTCACATTCATATTCATTTTCACATTCAAATTCATATTCATTTTATTTCATATACCGTTAATTTAATAATACCATCCACGTTTAATGACAAAAGATGAAAAATAACCATAATAATAATATTCCATATACTCAAGACGAAAACAGTCAAGGTCGATCTAAACGAGAAAGACCCCCAAGTTCTTACTTTGAGGCGCCACCAATACTTGTGGAATCTCCAACTTCAAATGATTTAAATATTAAATCTAAAGATTTTGCATCTCCATTATTTAAAAGACAACCTTTTAAAAATCTTTCAAATATAGTAATACCTAATGTTAGGAGGAAATTATCATCTTCAACTAAATCATTTACTCAATCTATGTCAAATGTAAGTAAAACTTCTCATCTGTTTTTCCATTCTAATGTAGAAACTTCTACTCCAACAAAGGGATTAGGAATTGGAATTGGAATTGGTTTACAATTAACTGATGAAGATGAAGTAGATGATGGAGAAGAAACTACAGAAGAAGATATAATTATCCCAAATTCACCAATTCAAGCTTCAAGAAATACTCGTTCAATAAGAAGAATTCATTCACTTTGTCAAACTACTAAAGAAATTGAAAGTTTTGTACCAATGGATGATAATTCTCATTTAAAGAATACTACTATTCATACATTTTCAGTTGAAAATGATTTATTACCAAGAATTGATGAGACTGAATTATATAAAATTTTAAAAGGTGAACATAAAAATGCCTTTGATAAATGTGTTATAGTTGATTGTCGATTTGATTATGAATTTGAAGGTGGACATATCGATGGAGCTCTTAATATTTCTACTAAAGAAGAAATTGAAAAGGCATTCATTAATAATATTAAATCAACTAATGATAATTTAAAAACTCTTTATGTATTTCATTGTGAATTTAGTATATTTAGAGGTCCAACAATTGCTAGTCATTTAAGAAAATGTGATCGACGCTTTAATCGTGATGTTTATCCTTATCTTTCATATCCTGATATTGTTATATTAGAAGGAGGTTATAAAAAATTTTATAATACTTATCGAGATTTATGTTTCCCTCAAGGTTATATTGAAATGAGAGATGTAAATCATGAAAAACATTGTGAGAATAGAATGGAACAAGTTCGATTAGATAGTAAATTAACTAGAGCTAAATCTTTCAATCAATATGATAATTTCTTTGAAAGTCCTGATAATTATTCATCAACTCCTAATTTACCTTTACCATTTACTCATCATAGATCTCAATCTTATACAACTATTACTAGTGAAAAGATTTTAAAGAGGCAAAGATCAAATTCCAAAGTTAAAACATTATCTAGTTCATCTATTAGATTAAGTAGAGCTTCAACATTTTCTTATGATCAAACTATCTTTAATTCAAATCCTTCATCATCTCCACTTCCATTTCATCTTAATAATGGATCATCAGGATCAGGATCAGGATCTTCAAATAATATTCAAGATGGAGAATCATTATTTTTACCACCATCAACATCATTTAGTAAATCATCGAATAGTAGTTCTCATAGAAAATCATATTCATCATGTGCATCATTAAATTCATCATCTTCATCAGTTAATTTTTCAGATAGTAATAATGGATTATTTTCATCAACTGAATCATTAAGTGATTCATCTCCAATGTTAGAATTCCCCGAATATTTTGATTCAAAAGGTACACTTATTAGACATAATAGTCTAAATATTTGTAAACCATTAAATAAGAAACCTTCAGGTCCAGTACCTGCTTTACCAAATAGAGTAATGTCAAATTCTATGACTATTGCTAATAATAATCATCCAAATTCTAATTTTAAATTTCCTAATACAATAAAATCTAAACCAAGTAGATTAAGTCTTAATAATAGACATCAAGGAAATAGTACTCCTGTAGGGATTTCTTCAAATATTGGTACACCAGCCAATGTATCTAATAAATTTACTAATAATCCATTTTTAGTTGCATCACCATTAATTAGTTCACCATTATCTAATACAACTCCATTATCAACACTTGGTTCAACTCTTTCAACTCATGGACAATCATCATCAATTATTGATCCAATTAATGATACGCCAGTTGATTTTTCTGTACCAATTCCTAGTAAAATCAATTCAATAACTTCAAGGTATATTAATCATTCAAGAAGAACTTCAGGTTCTTTACTTTCATCTGCAGGCGGAGGATTGTATAATTTTATTGATATTGATGAAGCTGAAGAAGAGGATGATGAAGAAGATGATGAAGAAGAAGAAGATGAAGAAGAAGATGATGATGTAACATACTATGATTCTACAAATAATACTAAAGTTACAACTCCAGGCAATACTATCAATATAGAAAAAGTTGAACCAACCATATTTGGAGTTAAGAGTCCCTTTGATAGTTAATACATTCTTTATAATCGTTTATAATTTTAGCATAGTCATTACAAATACAAATAAAAATAATATATAATATAATGGATTTATTTTACCGATATAAGAGATTTAAAAATCATAATAAGCTAATAAATAAATAAAGAAACTAATAGAAAAATAGTGATAACTAAACCTAAATCTTTGCATTAACTGAGATTAATTTAATGGCAGCATTATTAATAGCAATTGTACCTCTTTCAATAACATGAGTTTGGAAAATAACAGTTTCACCTTCTTTCCAAGCTAAAACTCTTAAAGTTTCACCTGGGAAAACAATACCAGTAAATCTTGCTTTAATTTCATCAAAGGCACCAAATTTATCTAATAAAACTTTAGCAGATAATCCATAAGTACACATACCATGTAAAATTGGTTTATCAAATTTAGCCCCTTGAGCAAATACTGGATCAACATGTAAAGGATTTCTATCACCATTTAATCTATATAAAGCAGCCTTAGATTCAGGAATTGGAATTTCAGTAATAAAATCAGGTATTCTATTTGGTGCATTAAATGGTAAAGTAGCAAATTTTCTTCTTTCTCCATAAGTTTTAGTATCACCTTCACACTTTCTAATAAAAAAGGTACCTTCATTTGAAAATACTGGTTCACCAGTTTCAGCATCAACTGATTTAGATCCATGAACAACAATAGTATTAGTACCCTTTTGAGTAATAGCAAGTGGATTAAAAGTAGTCTTTAATTTACCAGAAAGAGGAACTGGCCATTTTTCAATCTTAATATAGTGTTCTCCATGTAATAAAAACATTGGATTGAAATTTCTCAAATATTTAGCAAATGAAAGTTGAGATTTAATCGAATTAAAAGTAACCAAATGTCCAAAAGTTGGAATAACTTGGAAGTCTTCATTATTTTCATAAACATATTTCAATTCCTTTTCAGTAGCACCAAGAGAAATGTTATAAAGAATAACTTCTCTATCACCATAAACAAAGAGTGGATCTTCTTCATCATCTTCTTCGTCTTCTTCTTCTTCTTCTTCTTCTGGTTCAACAGCTTCCAAGATAGCCATAGAAGATTCAGTGGCAGATTTAGGATTAGCAGTTCCACTAGAGAAATCAGTAATAGCAGCCAAATTGTCACGAACAAATTCAGGCTTAACAAGATCATCTTTAGAAACTGCACCCTTAGCTCTTTGCCATCTGGTATTACCAATCCAACCACCACCGGCTTCAAAAGTTTCTCCAGTAACTGGTACATCATCAGATCCCAAGTATACTAATAATGGAGCAACTTGATCTGGGTGATACAAGTTTTTATCAGTTTCATTAAAAATAGTTAAAGTCATAGCAGTTTCTGCATGAGGAGCAACAACATTAACTTTAATATTACTTCTAGCACCTTCAATAGCCAAAGTCTTAGTTAAACCTAAAATAGCACATTTAGCAGAAGCATAATTGGCTTGACCAAAGTTACCATAAATACCTGAAGTAGAAGTAATATTAACAACTCTACCTCTACCTTGTTTAAGGAAATGTGGCCAAGCAGCCTTAGTTAAAGTATAAGTACCAAGTAAATGAACAGCTAATACCAGATTCCATTCTTGATCAGAAAGTTTAGCAAATGATCTATCTCTAAGAATACCAGCATTATTAACTAAAATATCAATGGTACCATATTTGGCAACGGCATTTTCAATAATAGCTGCACCATCTTTAGCAACATCATGATGATCAACATGAGCTTCACCACCAGCAGCCTTAATTTCAGCCACGGTTTGAGAAGCATCTTTAAAATCATTAACAACAACTTTAGCTCCATACTTGGCAAACCATTTAGCATATTCTTTACCTAAACCAGCACCGGCACCAGTAATTACAACAACACGATCCTTTAATGAAACAGATGGAGCACCAGATAAATCATTCTTTGGTAATTGCTTAGCAGCACTAATCAATTCACCATAAGAATTCAACATAAATGGATGTTGATTCTTTAATAATTCTGGTTTAGCAGAATCATCAAAATTCAAAATTTCATCAAATCTTTTAGCAACAGCTTCTGCAGTAAATGTTTCATCTGGTCTAAATAAAACACCACCAGATCTTTCCCATCTAATTTGAGCATAGAAACCAGCAGCAACTTCAAAAATTTGTCCAGAAACTTCATTAGAATCATGAGTCAAATATAAAACAAGAGGTGCAACCTTTTGTGGACTCAACTTTTCTAAAACTGGTGGAGGTAAAATAGTTTCAGTCATTCTTGATTTTGCTAATGGAGCAATAACATTAGCTTTAATATTATATTTTTCACCTTCTTTAGCTAAAGTTTCAGCAAATCCAATTAAAGCAGATTTAGCCGAAGAATAATTAGATTGACCAAAGTTACCATATAAACCAGCAGGAGATGAAGTATTTATAATTCTACCATATTCTTGCTTTCTGAAATAAGGCCAAGCAGCTTTAGTAACTTGGAATGCACCATTAAGATGAACATCAAGAACTAATTGAAATTCCTTATCAGTAATCTTTTTAAATGAAGCATCTCTAAGAATACCAGCATTATTAATAACAATATGAACAGTTCCAAAATTTTTAACGGCAGTTTCAATAATTTTAGCTCCATCAAGGACATTATTATAATCAGCTACAGCAATACCTCCAGCAGCTCTAATTTCATTAACAACAATATCAGCAGCTTTAGCATCACCACCTTGACCACCTAAACTACCACCTAAATCATTAACAACAACTTTGGCACCTCTTTTGGCATATTCAAGAGAATAATGTTTACCTAAACCACCACCGGCACCGGTAATGACAACAACTTTATCTTTAAATGATAATTCCGACATCTAGTCTTCTTTTTTCTCTCTTCGCTATAGATAAAATATCAAATACAATACAATCCTCAATTAATTAAATTCAAGAAATTGAGAGACACTGAAAATGAAAATGATAGTGATAATTAAAATTTAAAAATTTAAAATTTGACACTGATAAAATTTCAAATCAATTATGAATTATGAATAATGAATAATGAATAAATTAATTGATCAACAAGTAATTTATACACCAACAATAAATAAATAAACTAAAAGAATTGATCTTAGTAAATGGAGAGATGATAACTAAAGTAAAATTATTTGAAATTTAAACAAAATACTGGATAATTGGTTAGTATAAATATATATATAGTTATTGCGGGGAGAATTTAAATGTCCATGGAGACCCCATTGGTACAGTAAAATTTCCCTTCGAACTTTTCCGCTGCTGACTAGGCACACTTTGAATGTGAATTTCCCCGGATTTTTCAGAGGTGTTAACCGAGGAGGAAATATTCACACGCAAAATTCTTATATATGTTTTGCGGTGGGAAGGATTTTATATTGTAAATTAAGTTAAGTTTGCTATTTAACTATAGAACGGTTAGTTAATTAGCGGGATTACTGTAATTGTGTAATTGTGGTTTTTTGGGTTTATGTTGTTTTACTATTCAATTTTTAATTACAAACCATTATCAAAGTCCGATATATACTCTTTTTAAACTACGGAAATGGATATTCTTACAATATATTATCCGTAGGTTCCAAGTTTTTTTTTTTTACGTTATATATTGTGTAAGTGGAGCTAATTACATATATGTTATTCAGGTTAAATATATTAATTTATTGATCATTGAATTATACTTCATATATTGATCAAGTGACTGAGGCTTGATAGGGGAGTATGCTCCGCGTGCATCTGCACACATGACCGATCTATATCCATTAGTGCCCGAGGTAGGAAACACATGTCCGAGACCGAGGATAGTTTTAAGTCTTTGTCTTCTCGTGCACTTGGGCACGTGAGCTCGTTATCTATTTGATATATTTATTAAAATATTAAATAATATATTTATCACATGACACTTTTAACTTATTAACTAGTTTAAGCTAAGCTTTCTATAATGAAATGTTGCAATATCAGGTACACATACACATTAAATAATATATGGCAAGCGGTTGCTAAAACAAGTTGCTAATTTTCAATTTTCAATTTTCAATATTTTATTGTTTGTGTAATAGCCGTATGCTCAAATCCATTTTATACTTAACTTAACTAGTATACAACATACACTCATAGTTAACACATCGTCTTTACCCCAATTGACTTATTTCAGTCTTTACTTACTTAAACCATATGATTTCTCTAAAGTAATATGTCTCAGACTATTTAATAACTTCATGAACTTGCCCTTACATTTTCAATTTATTCTGCTACCAATCACTAGGTCATCCTGCACACAACATATCCAAATCAAGTAATTTAAAAAAAATTGGTATACAAATTGTGTGCGTGGTGGTATATACAGTAAATGATTGGAATATACGAATAAGTTCTAGAGATAGTATTTTCTTAAGTAGAATACGGAATTGAGGGTAAAAACTATAATGCCATCTGAATCAAGTGGTGAACCATTTGTTAAAGATAGTGAGTCTTCAACTACAGAGAAGTCATCTCCCACTCTTAAGTATAAAAATGATAATCCTGCCTTGAAAGCTAGTGATGGATATGATTTTGAATTTAAACCATATAAATGGTATAGATATATATTCTATGATCTTTTATTATGGGTATTTTCAATTATTTTTGATATATTCTTTAGAGAAATCAGATCAAGAGGGGCATTTAGATTACCTAGATCTGGTCCAGTAATCTTTGTAGCAGCTCCTCATCATAATCAATTCGTTGATGGTGTTCTTTTAATGGATCAAGTTAAAAGAGAGTCTAATAGAAGAATATCCTTTTTAATTGCTGCTGCTTCTTATAAACAAAAAATTGTGGGTACTATGTCAAAATGTCAATTATCAATTCCTGTAGTTAGAGCTATGGATATGATGGTTAAAGCTACAGGAAAATTATATTGTGATTTTGAAAAGGATCCTTTAACAATAACTGGTAAAGGTACAAAATTTTTAAGTGAATGTACAATTAAAGGTACAATTGCTTTACCTCAAGGTTTAGGAGCCAGTGAAATATTGGAAGTTGTATCTGATACTGAATTAAAAATTAGAAAGGAATTCAAGAAAACTGATAAGATTGTTGCTTTATTAAAAAATGGTACATCCTTTAAAAAAGCAGATAAAATTGATCAAAAGAGAGTTTATAAGACTGTTTTTCAACATTTATCTCATGGTCACTGTATCGGTATTTTCCCAGAAGGTGGATCTCATGATAGAACCAATTTATTACCATTAAAAGCTGGGGTTGCTATTATGGCTTTAGGTGCTATGGATTATGATCCTGATTGTAATGTGAAGATTGTACCTTGTGGAATGAATTATTTCAATGCTCATAGATTTAGATCCAGAGCTGTTATTGAATATGGTCATCCAATTGAAATTCCAAAGGAATTGGTAAAAAAATATGCAAATCCTGAAACTAATAGAGAAGCAGTTAAAGAATTATTGGATACTATTACTACAGGTTTAAAGGCTGTGACTGTATTATGTGAAGATTATGAAACTCTTATGGTTATTCAAGCAGCTAGAAGATTATATGCTCAAAATTTGGCTCAATATTTACCATTACCTTTAGTAGTTGAAATGAATAGAAGATTGGTTATGGGTTATGAACATTTTAAGGATGAACCTAAGGTTCAACTTGTAAAATCTAAGATTTTGAAATATAATGAAATGTTAAAGCAATTATATTTACCTGATCATCATGTTGAAGATTTAGATGAATCTAATAAATTAAGAGTCTTACCAGTTTTAATTTATAGAGTTCTCAAGTTAACATTCCTTTTTATCTTAGCATTACCAGGAGGAGTTTTATTTTCTCCTGTTTTCGTATTATCGAAGCTTATTTCTCAAAAGAAAGCTAAATCTGCTTTACTTCATTCAACCGTTAAAATCAAAGCTCATGATGTCATTGCAACATGGAAGATTTTAATTAGTATGTGTTTTGCTCCTCTCTTATACAGTTTCTATGCTTCTGTGGGGACTTACTATGCATACACTCGAGATATTGTTCATGGCCGATTATTCTTTATTTGGGGTAGTCTTTATTTGTTAGGTGTATTGGTAACTTATTCAGCTTTAGTAACAGGTGAACAAGGTTTAGATATATTAAAATCAATTTGGCCATTGTATCTTTCTATTACCAATGGATCATCTTTAAAGGAATTAAAGAAATTCAGGAATGAAATTAGTGAAGAAATTACTGAATTAGTGAATACTTTTGGTCCAGAATTATTCCCTAAGGATTTCAACTTATTGGAGATGAAAGATCAATTGAATATCACTGGTGAAGTCAATTATGTTGATAGTGACGAAGAAGAGGATAGAAAGACTGAAGAATTAAGAAGAAGAAGAATTCAAAAACGTAAAGAAGCCAAGAAACAAGCCAAGAAAGCTTCAGAATCTTCGGAAACAGATTTATCATTACAGAAAGATGATAAACATTCTTCATCAATGTCGGATGGTATTTCTTTAATGAATTCGGATAATTCCTTAACTAACATCCCTATGTTTTCTGATTATAAATTACATGAAAATATTAAAAATCCTCATCTTGTATTAGAACAACAGTCAACTTTTCCATCAACAACTTCGATGTATGATGATTACAGGCATGGAACTAGTGATTTACATCGTCATCCACATTTACCAGTTGAAACTTCACGGACTCCCTCCAGCGAAAATGTAATTGAATTCAACTTTAACACGAAGCTTGATCATAAGACATTGAGCAACAAGATTAAATCGAAAATGAGAGAATCGAGAAATAAAGATGATTAGTAATACATAATACATAACATAATACATAACATAATACATAACATAATACATAACATAATACATAATATAATACATAATATAATACATAATACATATAACACATATATATAGTTTTCATTTTTGCAGATAGCTTCTTGATAGAATAGTGCGTCTTTGCTGTTCTCAATAATGAGATAGATAACTCATATTTATATGTTTAATTGTCTTTGTTTACCAGATGTAGTCATTACTGTCACATTTAATCCTTGACATTGTTGTCTCTCTTAGCCAAAGGAGAGGTTATATCTTTGATTTATTAAATTCAGGCATTTTATATCATTTTCATTGTACTTTTGCCACCTCTTCAATAGGAATTTATCGAATACAGCGCAACTACTAAACCCAATTCTAAGCCTTACTTATGATCAATGAAAATTTTCTCTTATAATAGTTAGATATATAATTATATAGTACAAACAGCTAATACAAAAGAATGGAACAATAGAAATAAGAATAAGAGTAATAGGTTGTGTCGGAAGTTTGGCAATAAAAAATAACATAGAAAAATCAGCTTATAGCGATAAGGCTGTAAGCCATATAAATTGGTACAATGATAAAATGGTAAACAGAGATCAAAAGAGAATTGAAAGGTGAGTTTTTTTTGAGCGTAGTACTTTTTGACTAAAAGCATTTCATGTGTCTTTGTTATTTTAAGAAATGTAGTATAACAATGCTAGTGACGCTGAGAACGAGTGTGGAGGATTAATTCTGTTTAATCTTCTTCTTCCTTAAACACACTACCCTTTTGCTTTGGTTTACCAATATCATTTAAGGATGAATCGTCTACGCCATCAAAGTCGGCTTCAGAAGTACCGTTCCCACTACCAATAATATCAGCAGCACTTGACTTGGTTTCTTCGACTCCAGCAGAAGTAGCAGAAACTGGCTCTTCTTTTTTAGCTATGGGGGCAGATATATTCTTCGAAGGTGGCTTGGAACTGGACTTAATAGGACTTCTGAAGATACTACTCAATCTCTTGAATCCACTAGGCTTCTTGGTGGTACTTGCCTTAGAAGCAGCCACAGCTACTGGTTGCACAACTGCAGTCTTAAGACCAGATGTAGCAGCTACAGCAGGGGCAGCAGAAGGAGTCTCTTCTTCAACCTTGGGCTCGGAAACTAATGGAACTTCCTTTGGCTCATCAAAAGAAAACAATGATCCAGTATCTCTCAACTTGGATTCATCAACATCTTTTCTTAAATGTTCAGGTAACTCCAGATTAATATTATGTTCATCCTTGACTTTTTGATCGATTTCAGATAAAATTTCTTCTCTCTTTGCTTGTTTTTCAGCTAAATGATCAGCTTTTGTCTTTTCTAATTCAGCAATTTTTTCATCTAAATCTTTATTAGCAATTTCTGCCTTATTCAATTCATCAATTGTATATTGATTCAATTCATCCACTTCTTTTGAAGTTTCTTCATGCTTTTTAGTGGCTCCTTCTAAATCAACAGTATATTTTTCAATATCAGCTTGTGTAGTAGCTAATTGTTCATTAAGTTCGGCCAATTTGGCTTCATATTCTTCATTGGTAGTTTCTGAAGCCTTAACTTCATTCAACAACTCTTCCTTGGCATCAGTTAATTCTTTCAACTTAGAAGTTTCAGTAGATAATTCATCCAAGACTGGTTTTACAATCTCATCCTTTTCAGCTTGTAAATCGTCCAATTCTTGTTTTCTATCAGCGATCAATTTGGCTTCTTCTTCATCAATTCTATCCTGATTTTCTTGCTTTTCAGCTAAGAGAGCTTCCTTTTCTTCAGCATATTTTTGTTCCAAAGCTTTCAACTCAGTAACTTGAACTTGTATGGCATCATTCTTTTCCTTTTGATATTCTTCATATTTATCATTTTCAACCTTCTTTTTATCTTCATTTTCAGATACACGTTGCTGTTTGGCTTGTTCAATTTCTGCCTTTTCTTGTAATTTAGCAGCGTACTCTTCCTTTTTAGCTTCTTGATGACTTTGTTGTAATTCACGTTGTTTCTTTAATTTATCAGCATCAATTTTACGTTGAGCTAAAGCCTTTTCACTAATATCATTCAATACTGGTTGGACAACAGATGAAGCCATTTTGTTTAATTCAGCTTGAGTAATAGTTAATCCACCACCTAAATCAATTAAACCAGCTTTATTCTGTGCCAATCTTGCTTCACTATTCTTCTGTGCAATGGCTAAAGCACCAGCATATAATTGTGCTTGAGCTTTAAAGTCTTTTGGTTCAACACTTGAAAGAGATTGTAATCTTGAATTGGCATTATGATTAGCAGCAGCCAATAAAGTACTATTAACAACATCGACAGCCTTAAATGATTGAGATCTTGGTTGGGATGATAACCTATCTGATAAACCAGAACCATGCTTCAAGGAAGCAGCTGCACCATTAGCAGCTAAGATTTCTTCTTCTTGGTTTAAATATTCTGCTGGAGCAATGGCATTAGCCTTTAAACCTGATCTATAATCTAAGTCTGGATTAAATCTTGAATTTAAAGATTTAGTCGAGTTTTTATTAGCTACTTGATTGATTTTATGTAAATCTAAAGTTCCTGAACTTGTCTTTTTAGAAACTAACCCAATTCTTTTAACATCTTTTTCAGGATTAATTCTTGAAGTCATAGTGGAAGTTGAATTTTCATTGGCAACACGATAAATTGAATCTCCCTTTAATGATGGAATACCAGTACCAACATAAGAAGAAACCGAAGAGGTAGTATATTGACTTGTTAAAGTTGAACTTCTAGCATTTCCAGCAGCAGATTCAGCTAATGGGTCTGTTGAATCTCTTGACCAAGCAGAAATATTTTCCTTTTTAGCTGCTAATGCTGCAGTATGAGCTTCAGGAGCAATAGTACGTTCATAACTTGGTCTAACAGTTAAATCAGTAGAAGCAGCCAAAAGGGCGGCAGTATCTGAAGCATTAGTGTTAACACCAATTGAAGCTCCATTAGGACTGTTATAAATTCCTTGTCTTAATTTTTGTTGATAAAGAGCTTGTTGAGATAATGGTTTACCATTACTTTGATAAACTGAGTGAGACATTGAAAGTATGCTAATTATGACGTATTGAATATAATTGAATATATTATATTGATAAAACCAAAACTAAGATTTCTAATTTTAATTTTGAATTCAAAGCAATTGATGATAGTACAAAGTGTAATAGGTGTGAAAGGGGTGTACACTAATAGATAAGTAGATGGTAAAAAGATTGAGGAATTAGCAAAAGTAAACCGTTGGAACTGGATAGATTGACAGTAGAAACTTCCTCTCAGTTAATATCTAGACAATAAATAAAGCAATTGATAAAAATTTAAGGGTAATTCAATTTAAATTCAGGTAAATTCCACAATTCGTATGGCTAAAATTCAGGTGGTGGGAGGTGGTGGTTAATCATCTGGAGGATGGCTCAGGAGTCCTGTATACAGAAGGAGGGTTCAGCCAGTTGTGCATAATTTGGATGAGAGTTTCCATTTTTTCAGTGAGGGCCATTTACTCCTTTTTTTCGGGATTGTGGAAGCATCCAAGATGCAATAATGAATTATTGTTACATCCGTGCCTCGCAATTTCATATTCCTAAATAGGTTATGCACCTGTGTATAGACTATCTTTACTTAATGCTGGCTATAGTACAGTATTGCCAAATTAACTAAGCGAAACCATTTCCTAATATTGTACTACGTCATTATTATCGTCTTCTTCATATCTTGATCAGAAAGTTATATAAAAATAAAAGTTAATCGTTTGCTCGTTACATCTCTCCTCGATGATGAGTGTTGTCTGTTTTTGTGCTTACTTTTTTTATAATTAAGGTTTTAGTGAGCAAACTTGACTTGCTCTCTTTGTTTCAATCTTATCTCTACAATCTAAGAAATCTTCGAATTGAACCTTCTTCTACTTTAAACGAGAACTGAGAATCTATGTTAGCTGAGCTTAATCCTTTGGTGTTCGCGCTAATATGGAAATTAATTCCTGTTTGAGTGCTTAATTGCGAAAAATATAACTTGATATTCTATAAAAGCTACTGACAATAAGGTCAATAATCACCCAGATATTCCCACTATATAGAGAAATACTCTAGGTTATAGACTATTAAAATGTTGAATCTATCTAATCCAGCTACAATCGAAACATACTCATGTAATTTCCATACTGATAATACTCCCAATTCGAAATATCCAGTTTTAGTTTATAGAAATGTGTTGAATAAAGAATTCTTAAATGCAGCAACAACTGAAGAAGATAAGGTTATTCAATTGAATGAATCACTATTACCTAATGGTTGGAGTGCGGAAGTAAGTAAAGCTCTATTTATGGTATTTTACTTTAACAAAAGATTACGCATACTAACAAATACATCAAGCAAACATGGGGGACTTCCCTTAATACACACTATCATTATAATGTTCATGAGGCTTATTTTGTGATTCAAGGATCTTCAACTCTAATACTTGGCCTTGATGTAACTATCATTCCTTCAAATAATGAAGATAATTTCCAAAATCTTTCGAATAAATCTTATCTAGAAATCACCCTTAATACCGGAGATTTGATCATCTTACCGGCAGGTGTCTCGCATTGTTCGTCAAAATATAATGAGAAATATAGGTATATTGGGGCTTATCCTACGAATGGTGAACATTGGAAATCTATAGCCAAGGTTCATATCGAAAGAGCGAAACCATTACAATATGATAATTCTTTTGACATAGATATTTCCAAAAATGTAAAATTGCCAGATAGTGATCCCATCTACGGAAACCTCCCTCATACTTTACTAGATATTTGGCGATCTTATTAATTTATATATTTTTCTTTCGCAATACAATTTGTATTCCTGCATGTAGTCGAAGGCTGGCTTTCGTACGTAAATAAAAAATAGATATAAGCGGAATTAAAAAGGAATTGATCTAAGGTATTTCGAAGAGATCATCGTTGGAATTGAGTAGACAGATAACTTCTAGAATTGAAATAGTAGTAATATTATGGCTAGAATATCTACAGGGTCTTCATCCTCGAATCGACCACCAATACAATCTTCATCTGCTCTAAGACGACAACGAGAGCGTGAAGAACTTGCTAGAAGACAGGGAAGAGGAAGTAGTATAGGACCCATTGTCGGATCATCACGAAGCCAAATAGGATCCACATCTTCTAGTCGACAACGAGAAACTGGCCTTTATCGAAATCAGCCAGGAGACCCAACTACTACAACTACGACCATTACCAAAAGGAGATACAGACCAGGAACTAAAGCTTTAAGAGAAATTAGACAATATCAAAAATCAACTGACTTGTTAATTAGGAAGTTACCATTTGCAAGACTAGTCAAAGAAGTGGCTGAAAACTATATAGGAGCTGATTATGGGATTAGATGGCAATCAAATGCCGTTTTAGCTTTACAAGAAGCATGTGAAGCATTCCTTATTCATTTGTTAGAAGATACAAACCTTTGTGCCATTCATGCTAAAAGGGTAACTATAATGCAAAAGGATATACAATTGGCCAGAAGAATACGTGGTGGTCAGATATGATATATAAATCAACAAAAAAGAATCAATTCAACTGTATACTATCAACTGTCAATAGTTTTCACTTTTTATTCTATAGACAACTCTGTACAACTAAATGTAATATAGTGCAAATATAATGTAAATCTAAAAATATCGAGGTGCCGTTTAGTTCCTATATCGTAGCAATTGCAAAAATGGATTAAAAACTTCAAGAAATATAATAGTTAGTATGTTAGTAAATTCGTCCTATAGACATTGCGTATCGGTTATCAACTATGTAAGTAAGTCCCACAGTTAAAATCTACCCCTTTATTGTGGTGCGAACTGAATTTTAAAAATGTTTTAATTTATCCCAATTAGGAAATGTAATTGCATACAGGACACGACCCCTTTATTCTCCCAATGAAGTAAAGCATCAATAACCCTATGAAGGAAAGCCCCCACAACCAACAATATGATTTTTCACAAGGTTACTTGGTTAGTTGTACGATCTATAACGTGTATGGTTAGTGATACCAATTAATTGTACGATTCTAACGTCAAACAAGATTAAAGAAATACCCGAATAGGTTGTGTCCACGATCGAATGTTGGCTGAAAGACAATGGTTGGTTGTGAGTGTAACATTGATAGTTTAAGTAGCGCATGACTATCACCATAACAACCATTCCATTGGATCTTTTTTGTCGAATGATTGAGTGACTTTGTGTATATTCTTATTATTTTGCACCTTAACTATAAACTTGTTTACAAAATTTCTCGTTAGAGGTAACCCCAAATAAGAGAGAAATTATTATTTTCCAAGGCTCAGTTAAGTAACTAATAGTAATAGTAAAAGTAAAAGTAAAAGTACTACATGTATATCCAGAGATCCGAGCATGATTTGCCATCTCAGGTATGGCTGTCTGTTCCACTGACCGGGAATGTTAACAATATAATCAGTACATAACAAAAAAGTACATAATATAATTAATAATGAGGCAGTATTTTACTTCATTATTCAAATTGTTATCGATGTTGGGTGTCACTTATATACTTTTATCTCATTGTCATGAGTGGGGCAACCATACTCGAGATTATTTTGGGCTCTAAGCATTTATAAATGTAGGTGTAGATTTATATTATGATTGATACACTATCTGGGGGTAACTTGGGAGACGAAATATCTGGCTCGTATTGTTTTTTTCTTTAATTACTTATCGTCGGTTTGTTATTCTGTGATAATTTATTTAATTACTAAAATTTAAAAATATAATTCGAGGCAATCAATTATATATATACATATTATCACTCTTTTACCAATTTCTTTTATAAACCTATTCATTCTAGACTATAACAAGTTTTCCGTTCATTTTGCAATAGTTCATGCTTTAATAAATTTTAATTTTTTTCACCTATGGCTACAAGTACTACGACTACGAAAAAGAAGAAATTAGTATATAAGCAGGACTCTGATGGAGTTTTTAGATTGAAGAAAGTGGATAAGGATAAGGATAATGCATCGATCACATCATCAGAGTATTCTCTGGAGAAGAAGAAAGTAGATGACTACATTAACGAACTTGTAGATTGTTCATATAGAGTGGTCGAGGAACCCAGTCTCACGACTTCCCAAATAGGCAATGTCAATAATAATAACAGTAAAACTTCTTCTAAGTCACGAAAACAATCTACAGCATCATCAGAGACATCAACAAAATCAGTTTCATCTTCGGTATCAACTTCACTGTCAACACCACCAACAAGTCCAGCAACTGTAACATCTCCAACCGTTGAAGCTACGACAGGCTTACTGTATTTCACGAATAAATTTACACATATAATGCAACAAGCAAGAGATTCGACCAGTACCGAAATCATAAAATTTCATCCCCAAAGCTTTGTTTTAGGAAGTATATTTGCCATATTAGTCTACAGATGTCAATCTACACTATTAGAATATGCATTAGTTCTTGGTAATTTATTAAAATTAGGATTGATATGTGCTATAGTGTTAGGTGGTTTAAGCTTTTATCTTGGATTATTTAAATCGGCCGATTTCAGTGAACTATTTCAACAATTAAAACTGAAAGCATTGGGTAATCCAACTCTGGTACCGACACCACAATCTCAAACTGAAGAAGAGGACAGTAATGAAAATGAAGATGACTCTGAGATGAACAGTATTAATCCACAACCTAGTCAACCACCTAGTCCACCTCCAGAAAGAAAGAATAGAAGATTATCATCTATCAGAGTGCAACCATTCAGACCCACACCTCGTCTCAGTCTTGCCGATAATAGACAACATAGTTCTCCAGACTTAAGTAAACAACCTTCACGCCCCAAACTCTATCAAGTTCATACCATGGATCCAAAATTAGCAGGAGGCAATTCTAAACGAAATGGATCTCCTACCAGAATTGATAGAAGAAGTCGACATGGCTCATTAGATTCAATATCTAAAAAATTACCCATTGTTCCTCATGATGCACAATTTCATGGTCATCAAGATTCATTAGATTTACCTTTTATAAATGAAGTAGTATTATTAGACTCATTAGATGATGATGTATCTCCCACCAATTCATCTGCCATGCATAAAATTCCTTCACCAATTCTTACTGATCAAGATTATAGTAACATAAAGAGACTGATGACCACAAAAAGTAACCAATCAATTTTAAAGACCACCGCAAATTATCATAAATTTGTAGATAATGCCAATTAATAACGAATCTAGCATCCTTACATACTTTTATATATCACTTATATATAGTTTATTATTATAATTATATTTATTTTTATTTATTTTTATTATTATTATTATTATATCATTTGTATTTTGCAACTATTAAAGAGTCGTGCATTTAGACCGGAAATTTGGACGGTGAAAAAAATGAGACTGGTCAAAATAAACAACGACAATATTTCCTACGATACGGTATAATCTCCATTACAAACATCAACTTTCCTTAACTATGCCATTATATAAAGAAGAGAACTTTCTTGTGGTTCATCCTGGATCCAAACATACATTGTTTTCTTTTGGATTACAAGATTCATTATCTCCACCACAATATAAGATTCCATCAGTCGTTTATCAAGATGCTATAACTAAAGAATATAAATCGAAGAAAACTGAAGAAGATAATCAATTGATTGAAATTCATCCGATTAAAGCAGCCAAAATTGTAGATGTTAATGCATTCAATTATTTATTAAAGATTATATTACAAAGTGTTATTACTAATAATCCAATTATAACTATAAATCAAATTCCATTATTATTAATTATTCCATCATTAACTTGGTCAAGAGCAAATATTGAATATGTTACTAAATATGTAATAGAATCATTAGAATTTACTGCCTTTAATATTTTGGATATTTCATTAGCTTCAACTTTTGGAGTTGGTTCATCCACTAGTGCTGTAGTAGTTAATGTTGGATATGAGTCAATTCAAATTGTACCTGTTGTAGGTTATCAAATCATTAAATTTGCTAGTAAATATATATCAGGACCAGGTAGTAAACTTATAAATGAAGAACTTTCAAAAATTTTACCTAATTTATCTGAAAGTCAAATTGAAGATTTAAAGACTTCAGGAATTTATGAAGTATTAAATGATCATGAGGATACATTTTATTCATTTGATGATCTCCAAAAATCAGTAGATGATAATGATGATGATTTTGATATAGCTAAAAAAATCACCGAAGATACAGCAGAACCTATGGCCATTGAAACTGCTACTAATGGGACTAAACAAGAAGTTTCTAATAATAATAATGATGATGAACAAAAACCAAATAGAGAATTGGAAACCAACACTTTTATAGATTCTAAAACTGGTTCTAAAATAGCTGTTGGAAAGGAAAGATTCCAAGGTTCCGGAAAATTAATTAGTTTTATTGTAGAAACTATTTATGAATCACTTAAATTAATCCCTGATATTGAAAAGAGACAAGAATGTTATTCAAATGTTATAATCATAGGATCAACTGGTAAAATTCCCGGGTTTAAAGAAGGTATTTTATATAAATTATTCCAAGATTATTTAATCCGTGAACCTCATGGTACTGCTAATGGAAAATCTAATGATGATAGTAATGGAATTAATATAACACTTGCAAAATATCAACAAGCTGATGATGCTATAGATGGTGAAAGTACTTCTGATTTATATCAAGTACCCAATGCCATTAAATTAGCCAAATATCCAGATTATTTCCCCGAATGGAAGAAACCAAAGGAAAAGGGAGGATCTTGGGATGACGTTTACTTTTTAGGAGGTGAAATTTATGGAAAACAAATCTTCTCCAACAATTCAAATCATGGTAGAGAATTATTTATTGATAGTGAAGTTTATGAAGAAAGAGGTCCACAAAGTATATGGGATGTTAGTATCTAATAATTAGACTAGTAGAGTATATGTAACAGTAAACAATAATATAAAGCACTAATTAAATTCGAATTCGCACCTAAAAAAAGAAGTGCTATCACCAAAATGATGTACGCGTTTCCTCGAAGACTAGCTTGATGATATTGTGATCTATATTATTTTAATTTATTAAGTATAGCTAAAACTTAAGTGAATGTTACGTAAACTGATTACTAACAGATTAGCTAACCCTATTTTAAATTCATTTACAGTTTGTTCAACGAGAATTTTTCCTACAATGGCTCCTCAGCAACAAAGTATAGCTAGATTCTTTGGTGGTGGAGCATCAAAGAGTAAACCACAAGTTGAAATTTCCAAATCAGGTAAACATCCACTTTCACCTTCAGATAAATCCAATTCTTCAACTCTGTCTCCAGTATCTAAGAAACAAAAGTTAGAATCATCAACAGAAACTTCATCTATTGACTTAAAAGTTGATACTGATCCAAGTGAAAGTGAAGATACTATAGATAAAGATATAAAATCACCTATTCAACAAGCTAATGAGTTAATTAAATTAACTAAGAAAGAACACGAAAAGCATAAGGGAGAAGTTCTCGGAGCGAATATTCCATATGCCAGATTAACAGAAGTTTTTGATAAAATAGAAAATGAATCTTCCAGATTAAAAATTATAAGTATCGTGTCTGAATTTTTCTTAGAGATTTTACAGCAATCATCAGTCGATAAATTGGTTAAAATAGTATATTTATTTATTAATCGATTGGGTCCAGATTATGAACCTGATTTAGAATTGGGATTAGGAGAAAGTCTTTTGATTAGAGCTATTAGTGAATGTTCTGGTCGAGCCTCAAGCAAAGTTAAGAAAGATTATCAAGAAGTTGGAGATTTAGGTAAAGTGGCTCAAAAATCCAAATCAGCTCAACCAACTATGTTTAAACCAAAATCATTAGATATAGATATGGTTTTTACTAATTTAACTCAAATTGCTAAATCAACTGGTAAAGATTCTGTATCTAAAAAAGTTGGTATTATCAACAAAATGTTAACTGCTTGTGATGCAAAGACTTCAGAAGCAAAATTTTTAATTCGTTCTTTAGAAGGTAAATTACGAATAGGACTTGCTGAAAAAACCGTCTTAATCGGTTTAGCCCAAGCATTCTTACTCTTTGAATCTAATTCAAATAGAAAAATTAATCCTGAAAAGTTAAATGAAGTAGAAGACATTATAAGAGAAGCATTTTCAAGGATTCCTAATTATGAGATCATAATTCAAGCTGCTTATGATCATGGAATTGAAAATATTTTGGAATACTGTCAGTTAACTCCTGGTATTCCATTAAAACCTATGTTAGCTAAACCAACAAAATCTATTACTGAAGTTTTAGATCGATTTCAAGGTGAAGAATTTACTTGTGAATATAAATATGATGGTGAAAGAGCACAAGTACACTTATTATCTGATGGAACAATTAAGATCTATTCTCGTAATTCGGAAGATATGTCTCAAAGATATCCGGATTTAATACCTATTTTAAGAGAAGTTATGCATTCTAAGAGTACAACATCAGCGGTTTCTATGGTCTTGGATTGTGAAGCTGTTGCTTGGGATAGAATAAATAACAAAATATTACCATTCCAAGTTTTATCGACTCGAAAAAGAAAGGATGTCGATGAAAAAGATATTAAAGTTCATATATGTTTATTTGCATTTGACTTATTATATTACAACAATGAGGCTCTTATTACTCATTCATTAACTGATAGAAGAAGTATCATGCATGAAAACTTAACTACAATTGAAGGTAAATTTCAGTTTGCCACTGCCAAAAATTCATCGAATTTAGATGAATTACAAGTATTTTTGGATCAGTCTGTTAAAGATGCCTGTGAAGGGTTGATGGTTAAGATGTTAAACGGTAAAGATTCTTTTTATGAGCCATCTAAAAGATCCAGAAACTGGTTGAAATTGAAGAAAGATTATCTTGAAGGCGTTGGAGATTCCCTTGATCTAGTTGTCATTGGTGGATATATAGGTCGAGGTAAGCGTACTGGAAGCTATGGTGGATTTTTATTAGCATCTTATAACGAAGATACTGGGGAATATGAAACAACTTGTAAGATTGGAACTGGATTCAGTGATGAAGATCTAAGCTCAATCCATGCTAAGTTAAAGCCGACAGAAATAAAGATGCCAAAACCATTCTATGTTTATGATACAACTAATTCGAATGCTATTCCTGATGTTTGGTTTGAACCTACTACTGTATTTGAAGTATTGGCAGCTGACTTTTCATTAAGTCCAATTTATAAAGCAGCTCATCAGGAATATGGAAAGGGGATCTCATTAAGGTTTCCTCGATTCTTAAGAATTAGAGATGATAAGGGGATAGAAGATGCTACTAGCTCTACTCAAGTATCTGAATTCTATCGTAGCCAGGCCAATATTAATATATGAAATTTGTTAGGATTTACTTAGATACCTATCATTTATATCACTATCCAATTACATGTTTTACTTTTACACTCATTCTAATGCCTGACTTGAAGTATAACATTATAAACAGGTAATATATTAAATAATTTAAATATAAATTACATGATTTACAGATAAATATTCATGGCATGAAACCAATATATTTGAAAGTACTGTAGCACAATCTGGTACCAGCTTAATTTCCTTGTTTTGTATTGTGAGGTATCTTATGAAAGTTTAGATTTCTCAAATATCTAAATATGTCATCCAATCTATCATCTATAAGCCTTCTCACACAATCATGAAGATCAAAGTTTGTAAATTTTATCAGCGTCGTTGTCTTTAGATAAATAACCATTTCCTCAAAAAAATTAGTTACTAACTGGAAAATTAAAGTAAACCAAAATGAATTGTAAATGACTATTCCAATTATTACAATTATCGGTAAAGCTGTTTCTACCTCAACGCCATAGTCTTTTAAAATAAGGTAGGAAATTGTTCCAACAAATATTGTAACAACATGAGTAATTGCTGTGATAAAAACCATTCTCCAAAGATACGATTTAACCAAATCAGCAAGCATTTTTCTATCCAAATCTAATTCAATTAAAACACTATCTAATTGAAGCTGTGGTTTATATAACTTTTCTAATAAAACAGAATAATATGTATCAAATTGAGTTTTCTTGGAATTGAAATAATTCAGTATTGTAGTAGTAATATTGGTAATGAATTGCCACATCTTAATGAAGATACGATCGATTTGCATAAGAAGATAATAAGCGCTCAAAAATTTTAAAACTACCGCTGCTGCAAAAATTTATAGTTTGATGAAGCACTTAACATGCATGAAGTAGATACCTGCAAAAGTATAATAAATATGACAAATATATTCTTAATCAAGTAATAGCTTAACAAGTTAGGTTTACTGATTACATATAACATTTATGTAACAAAAAGATTATTGGAGCTTCATAAATGATTTCTTCTTTTTTGGGATTCTAATCCAAATATTTGAAATCACTACACAGATCATATATATAGAATGACATAAGATATGCCTTTGGTTTATAGTCATTTGGTATTCCTGAACTGTAAAAATATGCTGCAAAAAACAAAATACTTAATCAAGATTTTGTGCCTGCACAGGAATTGATACACTACAAGATTTTTCTCTTCTCAGTATAAGAGAGCACCGACTACTAAAGCATCAGTATTTCATCAAGACAAGAATAAAATAAGAGCCAAATATGTCAACAACAGAGCTTCAACCACAGAATAATTCTGGATTACGGTCTATTTTATCCAAATATAATTTTAAACTTTCTCTGGCATCAGATGACTACTTAGAAAGAAGAAAACGTCAAATGGTATTGTTCTTGACATCATCGGCCATAACGATCTTTGCCTCCAGATTTGCTTATAAAGCAACAATAACAAGACAGTTTGTTCCAACTTTATTCCAAGGAAACCATCATCCACCAACAAGCTATAACTTCACTACGGATGCTGCCGTTGCTGTAGGGACAGGAACTTTGCTTTGTGGATCAGTCAGTTCAATGATTATATTTGGTACAGCTTGGATAATGGATGTATCGAGTTTTAAAGAATTTGGTTGGAGGATGAAACTAGTAATGGGTGGTCATGATAACGAAGTCAAATTGAGTCAAATCCCTTTGGATGAAGAAAGTGCATATATCCAAGACGGGTTAAACGATCTTTTGGAAGGTAAATATGACGACTTGCCAAATGATGAACAGCAAACAAAATCAGAATAAAAGAAGCTGAGTCTTCTACCTTGTATATAGTTCAATTTTTATATATTCATGTCATGATGTAAATAATAAAAGTATACTATAAATAGACAGAATAAAGAGATTTTGGAAAATGTTTTTTAAATGACTGCTGTGTATGAATCTCAACAAATGATTCACAACTGTTAACTTGTTGCAATGATGGCTTGAAAGATACATTGTCATTGTGAATCACCTGCAGTTTAAAATTACTGGCCATACATTATGCTTAGTAACTTAATGCGAAATCTGTTGTATAGTAGTATTTTGTACATGCTATAGAACTTATTTTCTCTCTTTAGAAACATGAAGTTTAGAGATATTCATAGCCACCGTGTATCTTACAAGATCCATAATCTTGTATCTAACAAAGGCTATAATTTTCCTTAGATATATGTCCTAAATAATCACTGATTTTGCAATGAGTTAACTAGTAATCTGAGCCACATAAACTGTAAATTTTATGGTGTGCGCCTACCGAAACATATGAGGATATGGATATATACATTGCCAAAACTCGATATCACCATCTTAAGATACAGTAGTAGAAACATATTAAAGGATGCCTAAATTGGAAGAGTGGGAAATCAAGAAATATTGGGAAATTTTCCAAGGTTTGAAACCATCGGGAAATAAATTGACCGGTGAACAGGTATCACCAGTTTTAAAGAATAGTCGATTATCAAATGAACAATTATCAAAAGTTTGGGAATTGAGTGATATAGATAGTGATGGTAAATTAGATTTCGAAGAATTTTGTATTACTATGAGAATCATTTTTGATTTCATAAATGGAAATATTACTTCTATACCTTCTGAATTACCTGATTGGTTAATACCTTCAAGTAAATCTCATTTGATTGCGGCTAATAAGGCTATTAATTCTAATAAGAATTTAGGAATTGATTATGACGATGATGATGATGATGATAAATTGAGTGATGATTTTGATTGGTATATTAGTCCTACGGATAAATCAACTTATGAAACAATATATAATTCTAATAGTGATTCATATGGACGAGTTAAATTTGATTCATTAAATTCATTATATGCTAGTTTAAGTAAAGTTCCTCGAGCTGATATATCTAGTGCTTGGAACCTTGTTAATCCTAAATCATTTAAAACTATTGATAAAGATCAAGTATTAGTATTTCTTCATATTTTGAATCAACGAGAAAATGGTAAAAGAATTCCAAGAGGTGTTCCTGCTACTTTAAGAGCTACATTTTCAAAGGAAGTACCAAACTATGATATTCAATCTAAGCCACCTCAAGTTGTAAGTAATGGAACTTATGATCAAAGCAGAGCATCCAAGAAATCATTTGCTAGTGATTACTTAACTAAAATAACCGGTAGTAGTTCAAATAATATTACAGGAACTGATTTCTCATCAACTGAAGGAACAGATTGGGAAGAGGTTAGATTAAGAAGAGAGTTAACTGATTTAGAGAACTTATTGAATAAAGTATCTGATAATTCCAAAACTGAGTCAAGCAATAATGAATTAAGTATTGTGAAACATGAATATGAACAATTATTGAAGTATAAACAAGCAAAGTTGACTTCATCAGGATCGTCTAGTTCAACCACTGCCACGGGAAAGAATTTGAGTGATATTAAGAGTGATATAGATTTAATTGAGTCCCATGTGTCTACTTTAGAAGAATATCTTTCTGGAAAACAGGCTGAATTAGCCAAATTACAAGAACAAATCAAGGAGTTAAAATGAAATTATTATATAAATATATAATTGTATGATATATAAAAGTATAATGTAGATTATAACTGATATAAATATTAATGTAGTTTTTTTTTTATTTTTTACTATTATGTCGCTTAACAAAGAGTGGTGAATATGGTTGCCAATCTATAATTATTTCTTTTCAGCATCTTCCTTTGGAGGTTCTGGTTCAGGAGTAGGCAATTTGAAGTTTTCAGGGGTAAAATCTTTACCTTCACCGACTTGTTCCCAAACAGAAGAACCAACAGTGAAATTTCTCCAAGCTTGGGTTAATTCTAAAGGTTCATAAACGACTCTCTTTTTTTCTTCATCATATCTGACTTCGGTATAACCTGTGGTTGGGAAATCTTTTCTTAATGGATGTCCTTCGAATCCGTAATCGGTCATAATTCTTCTTAAATCTGGGTGGCCTTCAAAGAAAACACCAAATAAATCGTAGGTTTCTCTTTCAAACCAATTGGCTCCTTGGAAAATTGGGACAATTGATGGAACAGCAGATGTTTCAGATGCATAAGTTTTTACTCTAATTCTTGAGTTATGTCTAACACTTAACAAATTATAGACAACATCAAATCTATTAGTTCTAGAAGGATAATCGGCAGCAGTAACATCCATACAAGATTTGAATTGAGAAGAAGTGTGATTCTTTAAGAAAACCATAGTTGGTCTTAAAGCAGATGGAGCAACATAAATGGTTAATTCATCCTTCCAGACTGAGAATTGTTGAATATATTTAGGTAAACATGCCATTATATAAGTACCAAATTTATGTAATTCTTCAATTTGAACTTTATATTTTTCTGCTGGATTAATTAATGGTACGTATGGAATTTCTGGCTTCTTTCTAGGTAATTCATTCAAGTTTGGTAATTCTGAACTATGACCATTATCAATGGAACGGATGGCAGTTGAAGTCAACCTTCTTATGGATGGTGTTATTTGATTTGGTTTAACTACTCTTAATGATTTTGAAAGCATAATGAAGAACTATAAATCGAATGAAATGCAATGAAAAGATGAAATGAAAACTTTATGACTATAGAATAAGCTAGATTCGCTTATTGATTTAATTATGATACAATGAAATGAATAATGAATGGATGTGTATATCGGTGATTATGATTATTGACTCCGTCCAGTTATACAAAAGGTCCAATTATGCAGTCTAATATTCAACTGTTGTTCCTCTTGCTTGGATCTGATACTGGAGATTTTTTTCTGGCTTCCTTTACATAATTTGGTTAAGTTAATTTTTTATTGGTTCAATCAAAATGGTCGTGCGAAACTGGAAAAACGATGCATGGATGTTATTTGTTATTCTTGCGGTATGGATGTGACGACCCCTACAATGAAGCGATTTGCAATTATAAAGCCGATGAAATCGTTTATATTGCTCTATGGGACTAATATAGCTGGTACAAGTGTTTGAAAGATTCAACATTGAATTGCTAGTTAAATATGTGTTGTATGGCTGATAATTACGTATTTGATCTCCTCTTTAGCTTATCATTGTAATGTGTGCACATATTTCAAATCAGATACTGTACGGCTAGCATTTACGATTAATGCGGAAATGCGTGGTTCACAAATTTCGTTCATAAACATAATTCCGCACTATTGGCCTTCAGTTATTATTCAACAATCTTTGTGGCTTGTTATCACGGATGTTATTTCAGATTGCTACAAACAATGCACAGGAGCATTAATTCATAAAATAGTAATTTTTTGCTGAGCTCTTAGAAATAGAAATGTTATATATTGAATAAGAATGAAATTAGAACCCTTTCGCTTATATCTAACTACACATTAGAGTAAAATCCCGATTCCGGAATGAAATCCAATCATTTTACAAGTGGTGAGAATGATAAAAAGCTTCATTCCATACATCTTCCAAGCAATAGCAAATTATCATAGCCTTAAATCTTCTTTTGTTGTAGAAATTATAACCCCATTTAGTTTAAGTTTTAGTTAATTAATAATTACAATAAATATTTTTTCCGATTTAAAAATCGCAAATTCGAATTTAGTGTCAAGTCATATGCTCCTCAATGAAGTAATACATAAGCAGATATAATATTGAAAGAAAGTTATAAATAGAGAGAAAGTTAAACTAGTTGTAGCTCAGAATTTAATTGAATAAATAGATAGGATTTTACAAAATTAATTAGATATTGATATTTAAAAGGATAAAGTGGAAAATAAAGCCGGTGACGGATTTATCAATGCACACAGGAATGTGCCCACAAAACTTTTAGCGTTTTTTAAGAAGACAAGAATTAAAAATAAATCATAAATGCGGCAAAGCCCACTAAAAATATAAGAATGGAAATATCATTAGGAAAAATCATAATCATCCTATAGATTTAAGAGTGTTAGCTGCTCATCTTTTATATCTAAGCTTGTATAAGTCTAGATATTTTAATTAATTAATTAATTATTTATTTATTTATTTATTAATTTATCAACAAGTTAATTTCCTTCCAATATATATATATTAGTCTTCATTGTGGAATTATATGATTCCATATTCACAATTTCATCTTATTACTTATTGATAATTGATTATTTTACCAGTACTACTAATAATTGTCAATATAAATCCTCAATAGTCACATAATACATATGTCTTCGGATACTGCATTATCTTCTCCCAAACCAAATGATGGTTTAGGTAGTGGTTCTGGGGATGATATTGACTCCAAACCTAAGAGACAAAGAAGAAGTTATAGTTGTGGTCCCTGTAAACTATTAAAGATTAAATGTGATTTAACGATACCTTGCACTTCTTGTCAAAGGTTCAAAAGAACTGATAAATGCCTACTTCATCCTCCACAACCTCCAAGTCAAGAAGAGTTATATAAAATTAAAGAAAGAAGAAAACGAACAAATATCAAAAAATTAAGACTAACAAATAATTTGGTGCAGACCTTCAATACCAATGGTGAGTCTTTACCATCTTTAGCAACCTCCATAACAAATGTGTCTAGGCAAATTACTGCTAATATTGATAGTCCGATGAAATATAGTACTGTTGACTTGAATCGTTATGCATCAATACCCTATCCTGCTATACATCAACAAACTTCACCTCCAAATGGATTATCTTCGATTCCTCCTCCTAATTTACCACCACGGTATTTTCCTAACTATCCTGCAACCCAACAACCGTATTCTCAATTCTCTCATCAGTATCTTGTTCCTTTACCACCAATCCAGAACCAACTGTTTTATCCACAATCACCGCTTGTTCATCATCACATAGATCAAACTGTCTCATCCCTGCAGCCTGTTCCCCAACAGGAAAATAGACAAGTTACACAGAAACTGCAAGTACAGAGTTCATTCCAACAGTCATATCATCCTATAAATCAGCAAGACTCACATCCGCTATCGACTACCCTTATTGATCAACAATTGGCTCAAGATAAGACTACTTTAGTAGCTCTTCTGATGGTAGATGTTAAACGTATTAAAAGATTACTACCGCATCATTTCAATATATTTGAAACATTAATCCAATTATATCTTAAATCCATGAATGATCAAATCATGGACATTATGAATTACGAAGCCTTACAAGAACAAATTAAAACGATTTATGCTAAATTTTTATCGATCAATGATGAAGATTCTACAAAATTAACATCAACCATTGAGTTTAATGTTATTGAATTGAGAGCTTTAAGTCTTGGGTTTATCTTACTTGCCAATGGTTATTTATTTGATACTTCAAATTTGAATCACTTTTTACTAGAGCGGTCAATTTTTAAATCTAAACAAGATATAATGAAAGATTGGGTAAATATATCTAAATTTATTAAGCAGAAAATCATATCCTATAATAAAATTACCGATATATTATATCTTTTAGATTGGTATTTTGTTATTAAGAATTATTATACTTATTCAGGTCAAATTGTGGAGAATTATCTTGAATTTAATAATTTACTTAATTATGCTGTGTTAAATAATCAATTCATGGAATTTATAGAAGATCCAGACAAAGAACAAATTACATCATCATCATCCGAACAAAACAGTAATATAATGGGTAATGACTCTAATCAAACCAGCTCATATCATCACCATCAGCAAAATTCTTCGACTGCTCGTATAAGCAATGCTTCCGAAAAACCTTACCCTCAATCTTTCGAATTCAAATTATTAGCAAGATATTGGATGCAATTAAGATTAGTTGAAATTGAATTCACCTTTTTTCAATACAAAGGTTCATTATTATCATCCAATCAATTAAAAACCACTATTGTACCTCATAAGCAACTCCTTCAATCTTTGTATGGTGATAATTTATCATCTATTACCAATCCATTAGTTAAATTTGCCATACAAGTGTGGGGATTATATTATAAAAGATCAAGATACTCAACTTCAATCAAGGATATCATAAAGAGCTATTTGGAATTATATGGTGATATACTCTCTTTATATCTTTCAGAAATAAAAGAACAAGAGTCACTTCTATTTTCTGATGATGGTTGTGCTGATCTCAATGCTGTTATTGGACCTCAAGAATTGGATATATTTCTCAAAAATCAAATTGCTTTGACTGTATTCATTAGATGGTTAAGTTTTATTCGTATTGAAACCAACTATTTCCCTTCCTTAAGATACACTTCTTATCTTACAAGTATGATGAATTTATTTAATCACTTTAATATGATTGATGAAATCATCCGCCACCAACTGCCAAATCAAGATCTTGTAACTATACTAATTCATCAATACCCATATCATTACATTAGAAACTTTTATCAATGTTTAATATATCAAGCTATCTTTCTTATTATCCTTCAAGATTTTATTTTAGTTAATGATCAGAAATTCAAAATGGATTTAAAAATCATTTATGAAACGATATTATCTCGCTTTGAAAGTACTTATTCCAAATTTGCTAACAATAAAACTGCATCAAATCACTTACATCAAGTAAAGTTTTTCAAAACTTCTTTCAATTTAGTAAGTGAATTCAACAAATTCCTTCATGACAATAAAGCTTCATCTTTGGGAGATTTGACAGAATTAATTTATCAAATTAAGATGAACTACATATCTTATGAAAACTGGGAAATTTTGATTAATTTTTATTTTGGTTCTAGAGAGAACTTCATGAGATACATCGAAAAAATTTGGGATTTATTTGAATTTTTGAAAGTTGATGCTCATGAAGATGTCGCAGTTAAAACTGAGAGTGATTCACATTTTGAGGGAGATGATTCGAAAGATATCGTTAATGGAAAATCTAATAAATTAAGGCTGCAAAATTCAATACCAATAACTTCATCTATATTTCTCAATGATCAATTGATCCTTGATAATTGTAATAAACTTACAGGTTTTGAGTTTGATTCTGCCATAGTATTGGACTATATACGAACTGTTGTTGAACCAAATATTCAAGAGTAAATAGCAATAGCAATAGAAATATCAATATCTAGTTGTATTATATAATTAATGTATGATTTATATTACCATGATTCTGCACGTGATATTTTTCAGCCCCCCTAGTTCGGATGTAGCACTTTTCAAGCCACAATTAGTTATTGGGCAATCTGTCAAAAGATTAAAAAATCATTTCCATTAGTCAATTTAATTTCACTCATTCTTGGGTATAGTGTATAATAATGGCCGAAGTTAAACAAGGGGATCAATTCCCAAAGGATGTTGAACTTTCTTACATTCCAATTGACATTTCTAATCTTGAATTGCTCGATCCATTAGCATGTCAAAGGCCAATTAATCTTAAATTAGATTCCTTATTTGGGGTCGAAGGTAAGATAGTCATTGTTGCTGTTCCTGGTGCATTTACTCCTACTTGTACTGAAAATCATATCCCTCCTTTTATTACTCATTTGGCCCAATTGAAAGAGAAACTTGATGTAAATCACATTTTAATCATTAGCACTAATGATGCTTTTGTTAATAATGCTTGGGGTAAATTATTATTAAAGCAAGGTTTAAGAGGTGTTAAGATTGATGGTGAAGTCCCAAAGGTCTATTTTGCTAGTGATACTAAAGGTTCTTTCAGTCAACCTCTTGGTTTATTCAATGCTGAGGCTGACAGAACTAAAAGATACGCCCTTATTGTTGATCAAAAGACCGCTAAGTTTGACTATGTGGGTGTTGAAGTTGAACGAGGTGTTAAATTCAGTGGAATTGATGCTGTTTTATCAGCTAGGTTATAAAATTAGACTATAAAGTATTTTCATTACATAATGTTTTAGTTTTCTTTTTTGTGCAGATTGACAAATGGCGAAGACTTTAGTAATTTATATAATTCAACATGACAATATATCAATTACTTTGACAAAATATTTTAGAAATTGTAAATACTGTAATATTCACAGGATTTATTTAAATTTTCAACGTTATTTTCTGTCTCTCTCAGTAGCAGCTGCAAAAAAAAGGCAACAATAGAACTGTCTTTATCAATTCTATAAATTGATTAAACAAAGAAAGCAAGAAATTAAGAGATTAATATCCTGGATAAAAGATAATATTACTAAATTTTCAAATCTGACTATCAGTTTATAATAGACAGGAACGTAGGACCGTATCAGTGCATTGCAATGAATAACAAAGAGTTTTGAGACAAAGTCTTCTATTAAATATATCTACACAGCCGTATTTCATTTATATCTTTTTTTGACCAACAGACTCAATTATTCATCATTAAAGATAACTAACTAATCTGTGTTGTTTAAGATGAATGACTGTAGTTGTTTTTTTTATCAAAAATAACTATAATTTAATTAACACCAATCATTATCTATATTGTCAATTCTATGAATAAGTAGTCCTCGTTTTGACATGCTGACTAAGTATCAGTGTTGACTACGAACCACCAATTGTTGCCTGAACAAATATGATACAGTTGTATGTTAGATACTAATGACATACAAGAATCTGTAATTTCAATCGCAATACTAGCAAATGAACTCATTTGAGGAATCTTAAAAATTAGATTCCTCCATTTCCTACACTTTCTAGAGTTTTATCATTATAATATGCAATGATGAATGCCTTCCATAATTATGGGATCTAGACTATCAGATAGAGTCTCCGCTCGAACTTCAAAATAAAGAACATTCTAGGCGAAATTATTTGTATCATACACGACTCTTGGGCAAGATTTTTTTCAACGAAATGTGGGTGGGATGGGCACAGCGAGGGCGAATTTAAATTCAACTAATCTTTCTTTTAGCAATTTAGTTCTTGCCAATTGGAATTGTTTAACTAATCACTCAATTACATTATATTAAATATGTCTAAAGTTTACTTTGATATTGCTGCCAACGGTCAAAAGATCGGTAGAATTACCTTTAAATTATACAATGATATTGTACCAAAGACTTCTGAAAATTTCAGAGCTTTAGCTACTGGTGAAAAGGGATTTGGTTATGCTGGATCTCCATTCCACAGAGTTATTCCTCAATTCATGTTACAAGGTGGTGACTTCACCAGAGGTAATGGTACTGGTGGTAAATCTATCTATGGTGAAAAATTTGCTGATGAAAACTTCTCCAAGAGACACGATAAACCAGGTTTATTATCCATGGCCAATGCTGGTCCAAACACCAACGGATCTCAATTCTTTATTACCACTGTCCCATGCCCATGGTTAGACGGTAAGCACGTTGTCTTCGGTGAAGTTGTTGACGGTTTTGATGTTGTCAAGAAGGTTGAATCTTACGGTTCCAACTCTGGTGCTACTTCCGCCAAGATTGTTGTTGAATCTTCTGGTGAATTATAAATTACTTGAGTTTTAACAATCTTGTATCTTCATTATCTACAACGAAGTTACTTTGCTTATTAGTTTGATTTAAGATAATTAAAAATATATATTTCTACAAGTTCAATATACTATATTCAATCTCTTGATGGATCAATTGAGTCAATTGCCTGTAGCTTAAGCATCTAAATAAAATCGAATGTCAGCAGATGGTTATTCGAACTAGATTTGTAAAACGTTCTTGAATTGGAGCTTTTTACTCAATTAGTCAATCTTCAAGTAATTGACCAAAAAAGAAACGTTTACTACACATTTGGATGAAAAACATTCAACAAAGGGATTATGTCATACTATGCAAGTAGGCAACCCTATTCTTTGTATGCTCTTAGAGCGGTTTTTTTTTTCATCTCCTCCACTTCTCTTTCAGAGAATTGTTTCTGAGCATGTGACTGAAGGGGCCCAAAAATTAAAAAGGGCGCAATTACACACTTAAAGAACGCAAAAAAAGCTTTCAACACGATTACTTTGATGATTACTCTGGTATTGGCGATTGACAAGATACGTTAAATTAAAATTGATAAACATTTAATAAATTTTCGAAGCTGAATTTAAATATTGGATTTATAGTATGGCAATGTCAGATTCATTGGGTAAATATCTATTGCTTACTATATATTGTTGAAAAATTATTCGCACTCTTTTAACATCGACAACTACGATAAATTAGATTCTGTCACATTTGCTTCAAGTTTAGCGTAAACCTCTACAAAATTTCACATTGGCAGCTTAGTAGAAGCATAATTACAATTATAACGTTATTGACATATATTGTATTGTTCTGTGCAATTTAGCACGTTGCGGCCCAAGAAAAAATATTTTTCTTTAAATTATTGCATCAAAACGTGTGTAGTAATGTATCCTATCAACGTTATAAGTATATGAGTTTAAAGGAACACTTTAAAAATGTACTGTAATCAAGAATCAGGCACACGCTCTGTAAAGAGGTTATTACCCCGATGTGATCATCAAATAAGACCAAATCAAATCAAATCATGTTACGAAAAAACTGTATTAAAATAATAAAAACAAACAATATGATGGCAGTAAATAAATAAGCGACTTTTAATACTAAAACGTGAAAAATATATTGTAGTATGTAATTTGTAAATCTGCTGTGTTACGTCTAATATGTTACATTTTGACTTTATATATATATATGGGGGTTATGATACATGTAATTTTAAATATGATTAATATAATTTAAAGATCATATAAGTGCAACGAATCTTATCATTTGAATATTAAATCGCCACAAGGTTATATTCTTACAATTCGAAAACTGGTCCCTGATACCTTTATATTTTTACAACAAGTTTAAAAAATAAAGGGTTCAATATAATAACTAAAAATTTAAAAATTTAAGACATTCCTTATATATTTCCAATCAAGCATTTAAGGCTGGCAATTCGTGAGTTATTTGTTTATTGTTCCAACCCTCCAATTATATAATTCTGGAGTTAGAGTAGCTGATATCGTATCGTTATATTTGCCTCATTATTTCATTTTCGTCATCTCATAACCTAAATTTAATTTTGGCTTAATTATTTTTTAGTTTATCTTCGAAACTATAAATACTGTCTAGTTCCAAAATTTTCAACGTCGGGATCTGTAATTGTATTTTACAATATTTCCTCATTATATAGAATAACGTTGTATACTATGAAACAGAGAGAGATAATAGATGTAAAATCTTCATTATGCACTGTGCCATACAACAAATACATCAAACTAATAGATAAATACCTTTGTAAAGGTATTCATGATCCATTCATACCATCACTTGTCATAATATATTCGATCTTGTTTCTACAAAGTTTACAATTATATGCTCTATTTGCTTATCCAATAATACCATCGGCTAGTTCATCAACAAATACCACTAGTCTCATATTTATAGATGAATATTTCCTAGACATAGCTTCGAACGTTTTAAATCTATTATTTATTGTCAGGTTTCAATTTTATTGGCGGTTTCCATTATTTATTGAAATCATTCTATTCATTTTTCAAAATGTCGGATGTTATAATCTCCTATTCAATAAGCTGTTAAGCTTCCTCATAGATTCTTCAACTATAAGCGTATCAAATGTAACGCCATTAACAATATTTCTTATTATACAAATTGTTTTCCCTTACATCATCCTCATAATAAACTTAATCGACTACAAGAATTTTAGTTCATTTCACCATTTTTTCCTGGATTGTAATAATAACTACTTGCCTATTTTCATAAGTCATTCATTTCTTTTCATTAACACACTGTTTCCACTACTTAATATTTTTGTACCTACATCGCGACTTTCAATTTATTTGCTCAAGTATTTTGCATCTGCTTTGATTTTTGCATACAAGATTTCATCATTTAGTTTAAAATTTTACGCAATCTACAAATTTATTCTTTATGAAATTGTGGCTATATTGTATAATACTACCAATATCGAAGATTATTCAATTTTTTACAAGATATCAATATTTAATACTAACAGTGGTAATAGTAACAACCTTAAAGAACTCCATCACAGAACTATTAATTACACAATGGTAACATCCTGTACTTTAGTCATTTTTATAGATGTAATCATAGTCCTAGCATATTTGTATTACTCCTTAATTCTTGCATAAATTCAATGGCATTTTTCACACCTTGCCCTATTTATAAAAATTTAAATATAGAAAGATTTATTGCGATGCATTTTAAAGGATTAGCAGTAAAAGTTTATTTCGGTCCGGCTATGTAGGATATCCTAATCTTCTTGTTTTAAGCCTCGCAGCTCTTCAAACTATTTGAATGTTCTTCTGTGCTTTAGGGCCATACCACTGTCAGGCTTGCCCATGACTTTGATCTATTAATAGCCAAATCGTCAATCCCATCCCAGCCCAGCCCAGCCCATTCAGGCGACCTAGTTCCTTTTTGTGGCACATCTTTCGCAATCTTCTGAAGGTGCTCTTAAGACATCTTGCCTATTTGGGATGATTGCCGTTCCAATTTTATTGAACCTGTATCTAAAAATAGACAAATGAACCGAGAGACTCCAAGTGGACTAGATGTGATTAATAGTTCAATGCTTGAAGATGCATTGTGTTGCTGCATCTTTCACAGGCGCAATAATACAATTAAAAATAACGCAAATCCTATGAATATATTAGCAATGGCGTTGGCAATGGCTACATAATTTTTTTTCGGTAATCCGAATTTAAAATTTTATACTTTCGTACCACTTTATTCTTAGTTCTATATCTAAGCAAATCTATTACAATGTTATTATGAAGAAAAATGCTATGTGTCTTGTGATTCATAACTGGCAAACTCATATTTATATGACTCAAGCAATTGCTGAGGTATGTCAAAATATCCTACTTGTAGTTGGGGGTTTACTTCTTCCGCAAGTATTACTGAATGATCTTCGTTTGGTTCCTTTGTAGTCGTAAGTTTTTTAGGACACAATGAATCCAAATAATCTTGAGCTTGGATATCTTCTAAATCTTGGTGTCTCCAACCAAGTATTATATTGCTAGTTTCATCATCCTCATTGTTAAATTCTGCATCTTCTTCGTTACTATATTCCCCCATCAAATAACTAACTAACCCTCGTTCATGCATCCTACTTTCATAGAAATCACTTCTATCTATAGCATTATCATATTCAGAATTTAATTGATCAAAGATTTTATCGGGAGCTAATATTCGTAATTTGTCCTTTTTCTTGCGGAGCTTGGAAATATGCAGAATTTCATTGTTGGGATTTATATTCCCTTTACCTTCATCTACCAGTATTGGAATTGAAAGTTCAGGAACAGTTGGGAATATACTACCATTTTCGCTTAAGTATTGATGGAATGAAGTGTGTTCTGTTCTTTCTTTTATTTTGGATAAATAAGTTTCTTTATCATTCCAAATTAAGTCCAGATGCTTGAGTTTTGAGTCTTTATCTTTAACGATAACTGGTAATAATCTATCATGAAGCCTTTTCCAATAATTAAACTTATTAAACATCTCATCTGTATTGTGATACCCTAATGTTGAAATCGCATTGAAAACATTTTGTACATTTATTTCAATCCTATTATCATTAATAGTATCACTGAATATTTTAGTCATAATTTTTGTCACGAGAAGGGTAATAACTCTTTCCAAAAGCATGATCGATGTCCACCCTACTCTCAACTGCGGGTGTCTACCGTTGTACTGATTAGGAACTGATATGTAATTTGTTTGGGTATGAACATTAGTAGAAATTAATTCAAGATTCTCAATATTAAGTAATGATGATTCGGAATTTGCGTATGCCATAATATGTTCTTTAAATCGTTTCGTTTCATCGTTAATCATTTTCTTCTCTTTTACGGTGATTAAATCACTTTGATTTTCTTCGAACTTAATGAACTCTTCGCTAATCTCATAAGCCTGGGGGATATCCTCATATTTGATCAATCTCTTTGAACCCTTTTTAAATTCAACAGTGTATTTCTGAACACCACTGTAACGATGACTATTTGGATCTTTCTTAGCAATCTTGTACTTCATGATCTTTCCACGATTCTTCAACTCTGCTAAAGAAGATTTTAAAAGGCCATAATATGCTAATATTTCAATTTTACTCTTGCTTCTTATACCTTCAGCTATCATATCAATATTATGAATGGAATATCTCGATAAGTTCCTGAAAAATAGTTCTTTCTCATTTCTACTCCAATATGTCCCAGGCAAACTGTCATCTCCTGCATCCTCCTCTTGATGTTCACCTTCATCTTCATCTTCATCTTCATCTTCATCTTCATCTTCATCTTCATCTTCATCTTCATCTTCATCTTCATCTTCATCTTCATCTTCATCTTCATCTTCATCTTCATCTTCATCTTCATCTTCATCTTCATCTTCATCTTCATCTTCATCTTCATCTTCATCTTCATCTTCACCTTCGTCTTCAATTTCACCATCCTCTCTTTGTTTCAGATCGTTTTTCTGTTCATTTATATTATTATCCCTATAACCATTATATCTATAATAAACCTTATCGACTGTGTTGTATGATGCTCTCAAATGTGAACTCTCAGTTATATATGGTACATTTGCGAATGTAGTCTCAACAAACCGATTGTAGAAATCAATGTATCGAGCATTACCTTGGAATGTTCTCACTGAAATCTTTGGTTTGTCTACTTTATTTGTCATATCACTTCTTCTGGTGTGCTTATTGATGTTACTTCCATTTGATCCATCTTTCATTGAAGTTGTCAGATCAGACTTTGCTATTCAAATGGTGTTGATGCAAAAATTACATACATTTGTACATACATTTTTTTATCCGATGCGCGACTGTGATAATCGTTATTAAATATTACATTATTACATATACACTATTATCCGATATGTAGATTATTTACCTTTGATGTTAACTCTTCATCTTCCGTTCTACGACCAACATCATCATCTTCGTCTTCATCCTCAGTATCTACCCATTCGCCTTCAGCTCCTTCTTCATCTTCTTCTTGTAAATTGTTTAATAATTCGGGCAAAAACCTTTTAGGTTCATCTAATTCTTCTGTATTTGATGATATCATCAATTGAACGTATTCCTCTGGTACTAACCCATTTTCGCCAGTGGATGGATCTTCTGCCACTAGCCATCCATGACCATGACGATAACTTATCCAAATTATTTGACCTTCTACTAATCCAATCTCATTATCATTCTCGGGTTCAAAATTGAACAATGCTCTTGCTTGGCAATTTATCTCATCTGGATTACGTTCGTCTTCATTTTCTTCTACACCTTGAAGAGTTTCTTCTTTTGGCTCTCCACTTTGAATCCGTCGGTTTGATGCTAATATAAGATCTGAATCATCATCATATCCATACTCATTATTATCATAATCGTATACCTCTTCATTGTCATCATTTACATTGTAATAATCATATTCGTAGTCATGACCTTCAGGTAGATACTTAGGTGTATATGCTGCAAAATCACCCGCATGTAATGGATGTTGTATGTCGTATCCATAATCTTTGATTTTGGTATTCGCAAGATATTTCGATTCTATCATAACTGTCTTTATTATAATTTATTAATGTATTATTCTTGGTATTAGTTATTAATCATTAATTATATCTTATGGGCTACTATGTGGGTACATTAATTATATGAACTACAAGCACAAGATTCGTTTATCTATCACTATTCAATTAATATGCGTTGATCTTCTCAAAGTAATACTTATATTCTTGTTCCTTATTCGACACTGCTAGATACAGAACCAACTTTATCTTGAGCCCGTAAAAATTCCGAAATCGTTTTCTTAACGCAAAGGACCTGATCTAATCGGAAACGTCCTAGCTCATATTTGATCATTTTAAAAATAGACGTTTCCCACTCATTTTGGTCTGGTTCGTAATGTCGCGTGCCTGGTTATTTACGCGAAATTATGCGACATGCGACATCCAAAGTAGTAAAAATTTATTCAATTGATCTCAGCATCAAGAGGTTAGTATAGTGCTATGACCAAATCAACAAGAATAAAAAAAGATGGATCCAATAGAAGAGCAAACTCAAGAATTAGAGGTCTTAGAATCAATATATCCCGATGAAATCATCACCCATAATAATGACCCAGTCACAAAATTTTCAATACTCGTTAAATTAGATACTAGCAGCACATCTCGAACTCATCATTTAGTATTAAATGTAGAATATCCTCCTTTATATCCGGAAGAATTACCTATACTTGAAGTTGAAATACCGAGTGGAAATGAATTAGCTGCTTTTCATCAAGGGAATGAGGATGAAGATGACTACGATGATGAAGATTATGGATATGAAAATAGTGCTGATGAAGACGGTGAAGACAAAGTCATTGACTTTGCTGAATCTATTGAATTGACAAAAGATGACTTAAATATATTGAAAGGAAAATTAATTGAGTTTGCTGAAGAACAAATAGGCATCCCTATGATATTTGCCCTAGTAACACAACTTAAGGAAGACGCTGAAGGTAAGTGGGCTCAAAAATTGGAACTTAAAATTCGTGAACATGACAAGAAACAACAAGAATTGGAAGAAATTGAACAACGAAAATTCCAAGGAACAAAGTTAACTAAGGAAAATTTTGCTAGTTGGAGAGAGTCATTCCGTAAAGAAATGAAGATTGATGAAAGACTTCAAGACAGATTCACGAAGATGCATAATGGTAAATTAAGTGGTAAACAAATTTTTGAAAGTGGTTTAGCTAAAGAGGGTGATGAAGATGACATTGAAGGGGTTACTGAGGGTGTGTCACAATTGCAATCATGATAAACAAGTGATTCATTTGCACTATCATAAGAAGGTTATACAATACTTGATGAAGGTCGTGACAGTAGATAAATGTGGGGGATTGTGTATTCTCCGGGGTCAATATATATTTATTATATACACACAACTCAATGATGACTGAATTGAATTTATATATCCCTGAATAATTATTAATGTATATGTAAATCTCGGCGGTTTAAAATTGGTAATAAATCTGGGGTAGTCAACACATGAATAAAAATTAAATAATTCAAAAAATAATATCATTCTCGGATATAAACTATATACAGTTGAAATTTAAATTTAAATTCTACAAAGTTACATGACCGATCAAGTATTTTTCTGATATGGTGTAAAATCTAGGCTATTGCCTCAGTGCAACGGAAGGTGGTTCACCTCAGTAAAAGGGGGACATCATACCTGTCCTACACTAATTGACTTCACCCGAAGGTCATTAGCCGATATTGTACTGCAAAATTTCCTAAGTAACATATGTGTCGCTTACTGAATAGGGGATAAGAACTTTCGGACTCGAAAGTAATTCAAAAGCTTGGAACAAAAGAAGAAAATCCAGGCTCGATTCATGGGAAAGCCGGCTTTTTTATTCTTCTGAATTTACCGAGCCGGTATTTTTGCAGCTCTCATACAAAAAAAAGTGAGCATAATTTGAAAAAATAGCCGGATCTAAATCTTACCGCTCCTACAAAATTTTGAGCCGAACGTTACAGAAACAATCAATACAAATTTCAATAGTCCAGAATTTACAAATGATAATTTAGTGTATAGTTATATTGTCTAAATAAATAAATAAAGAAAGAAAATGATTTAAAGTATATACAGCCGAAGTGAAAATCCCGTATCATGAATCTCTAATAAATAGTTCCAATCAATCATAAGTCATAAACGTCGTTAAGAAGCAAGAAATAACAAAGCACGAAATGGCATTTAGAAGACACTCTCTATACTATAGATTGCACTATTTCTTTGATGACTGGTTGGATGGTTTATAGTGAAGATTTCATGATGCTTTTGTTGGAATTGTTTTGAATCTAACGAATGTAAATTCAAGTTCAAATTGGATGGTTCCAAAACTGTAGTTCTTAAATGATGCTCATCATCCTCGCTATCTTCACTTTCACTATCACTAAGGCTTCTAGAATGGGATAATTCTGGTACTTGTGAAGTTTCTTCGTCTTCCTCTGGAATATTTGAGAGTGATAAGTCAATGAATGGTAATTGTTTGTAAGAAGGAGTTGGAATTTTAGAAATTAGTTCTTCAGATTCAGGTTCTTCTTCATCTGAATAATAGTAGTAATCATCATCATCAGAAGATGACTCCTCTTCATCGACTTCTTGTTCATCTAAAACAGCATAATCTTCATCGTATTCATCTTCAGAATCATCTTCAGATTCATCCTCATCGAGTTCAATTTCTTTGACTAAAGTCGAAGTATGAGTAGTAGTAGTTCTAGAATTTCTGGCAGTAATATCAAATTTAACAGTAGATGTCTTTGATCTTTTTTCGGTCTCTTCAGTTATATAATCCATAAGATTATCTAACATATTTGCTTGTGTAACCAAATTTCTTAATGAAGATTTTGGATTTGCAGCTTCTTTAGTTAACTTTGATCTTACCTTAGAAGCAAGTATATAAGTTTGAGCAAAGGATAAGTTCGACATTATCTATGTATATGTAAGTGAGATTGTTATTTCTTGATAATAAATAAACTTTTGAATGTAAGTACAGAAATTGCAAATGGATTTGAGGTTATATTTATATTTTGCATGCACCAGAACTAAAATTGGGTTAGTCATATTTTTTAAATGGCTATAACCGTTAAAGCAAGTTCGCCCGCGCGTCTTACAAAGCAACAAAAAGAAAAAAAAAAACTTAAAAAAATGATTTTCTACCGGCCGAGAGATTTTGAAAAGTCCGATTTTTTGTCCTCAACTTTTTATTTTTTATTTCTCGGATGTTTCTCATTCATTTTTTTATTCTGCGCATCGGGACCATTGAATTCCCGTCTGATGTTTTTGGTTAGGGGCTAGGAAAACATCTGATTGTATTTAGAATCAACATGATAGTACTTCATGTATATTAAATTGTGAATAGGGATGAGAATCAAGGGGTTACAATAGAGAAGGCAACCTCACTGTTAAATCTACGCAATACAGATTATGACAAATTCATTGTGATTCATAAACTGGTTTGTCATACATTCTACTTAGTAATTGAAAATTAATTACTCATCACTCATTTTTCTTTTTTTAATGAAACATCCACACTGCAATATGTTGAACCCGGCCCAACTTAATAAGCTCTTATTAAAAAATATACCCCAGATTCTGTATAATTGTCTACAACTTTTGTCATGAATTACATTTAGTTCGGTGGATACCTTTACTTCAGAGCCACTCTATAACTTTAATGACAACGCCATATCTCTCATATACGGTAACCCCACACTCGATATATGACATCTTATGTTTCATTTACTCAGTAGAGTTGATAACTATTCTATAATAGATTGTCATCATATGTTTCTGTAAAGTATTTTTTAGTAAATTTAACTAGTTACCTATTTGGGTATTATGAGCGGCCGATGTTTATCTTTTTCTAGAGGCATATTTTACTACCGTTTCTTAGCATTGTTAAATAACGACAGTAAAGCGTCCCATATATTTCAATATAAAGCATAATCTGTGTTACCATATAGAGAGTTGTGAAATTCGGCTATCTTTCACCTATAGCAATACATCAATCCGGTAGTCGCTAATAAATCACATAAATCTGGACTTAATAGAAGATACGGAAACTGAGCGTCCTGTTACGATACTATAGCCTCACTCTTTTCAAACAACTACCGCATGCGTACTTCTTACGAAGCCACTTATTTTCAATTCTTTTGCTCGTAGATGTTTACGGCTGGAGGCGCATAGAATCTACTTTGTAAACCGGATCCTGTACATAGAATATTCCTCCGCTCGTGCATTTTGCGGCCGTGTATTCTCCATTGGGGTTAACTCCATCCCAAACGCCGCATTGCATTTTATTCTCGATCCGATTAGTTATACATTCAACTTGCTGTTCTCTTTGGTTCCTTCAGCCGTCCGATATACGTGATTTCTTTTTATGATATTCAAGTATATTAAGTAATAAGTAAAGAAATATTAAAAATGATAGGAATTCATTATTCCATCTTTGCCCCTATCATTCCCCTATCATTTCTCTATTATCATTCCCTATCATTTTTCTATTATCATTTGCCTATCTTTGCGCCAACACTTTATTGTAGCCAGATAGTTACCTGGAATAATCGTTCTTATAACTTTGTACCTTAATGGTGCATTATAGTGAATTTCTTCCTTTGAACAAGTTCGTACATATTCAACATTCATAGATCGGGATTTGAAGTTATTGCGATTATATAATCGCAAAAGATTAAAACATCGCGGCTATGTATCCCTGTATAGAAGTATCAAAAAAGAAATACTCAACGGTTTTTTTTTAAAATTGTATCCGGAATAATATCGAAATTATCTCAAAATGTATTCTTTCAACTATTTACGACCATCACACGAGTCTTTTTTATTATATTTATTCCCAAGGCCATGTCACACCACCCACTTCGGTGGTATTTTATAAACAAGTATAATAATTATTTATCAGTTAAATAGCTAAACACTACCTTTTCTTTATTCAAGTGAGCGTTTTTTCGGCAGAATTATGTGAAGCAAACTTTGATATTTGCTTGCTTTATGGCAGATGTAGTAAAACTTCTGATAATTTTTATTGCTTGCTAATCGGTCAGAAATGTAGCAAGAAGTAACTCATACCGGCTCGCACAACTTACCTCCAATTAAATCAATATTTGGTTTATCTTACAACACTTTGAGAGATATAAACTCAGAGGATTCCCCAATGTATTCAGTGGGTAACTTCTTTATCTTAGCAAAGTATTATTTATCGACACCCTATGGAAATGAATGAATTTCGGGTGGTAATATCGGAGGAGGTTTGGTCTAATTATATTTATCAACCATTTCCAGACCTTTAGAACACAATTTTCTGTTTAATGAAGAAGTCCGTATAACCACCGCTCCAAGAAATTAAAAGCGACTTTTGCATTTGCAGTTGAGGAAGGAGGTGTTTGTAAAGCGTATGTATCATTTGATTATATTGTTCATTTAAGTGTCTTAAACTTCGAGCTAAGAAGTCAATGACATCGACTTCTCTGTTTTGATGGTCTAGATCGCAGTTCAAAGTATACTTCCATTCTTTTCATGGATTAATTGCATTATTCTTGATGGTGAATAATGGAGTCTGTTGGACACAATATGTATGAAACACTCATTAAGTACTACTTAAACTAAATTTATGGATTGTTTCTATCTACGTACATTATATTTAATAATAAATAGAAGCCCTTGTCTCACAACTCTTTGTTATTTATTTCAAACCACTGATATGGTTCTACTTTCCTATCAATTACAAACTGATAGTCGTAAAAGAAGAAATACTTAAGATTTGGATAATGAGTAATATTACATTTTATCCAGGATATTAATCTCTTAATTTCTTGCTTAATCTCTTTTCTTGGATCTTTCAGATTAAGGTGCAATAAGTCAATTTCCAATAATCTTGTCTTAAAATGCAAATTACATAAGCTGACCTTAACAAGTTCAAGATAAGAACCACAATATTTAAACAAACTCTTGACTGTTTCACAACTTTGACGAATATTTTCCATTTCTCTCAAGTCATCAACTTCTAGGCAAAACTTCTGAAGTCTATAGTCAGATAATAGGGGTATAAATTTATTTATATCTGAATCCACTCGTATAATAAGTACCCTTATGTTTGGCATAGATTTTACAGTACTCTTCAAGAATTTATTTACGTCGTTACTAGTATGGGGGTATACTTTGAAAATACAGACGGATAATTCTAGTTCTCTGACATTTTCACATTGGAATAGAGAGAAAGCTAATCTCTGGCAAACAAAGATATGACCGTATGCTACACTCCAAGACACACATTTTACCCCAACAAAGAGTCCTTTCAATTGTTCTATCCAATTGTCCGGTCTAGATCCTATGGACAAGTTTATTCTTTTGACCAAATGAGCCGTGCTTGTAAATTGGTTTACTAAGTTCTGTTTAGGATCTTCCCATTGCAGTACGTCTAACATTCTAACAGATGTTTGATGTAATATTTTGCTTAGAAATGACGGACTTTTTAGTCTTTCTAATTTAACCTGAGAAGCATAACATGTAAACACCCAGTATTGGCTATGGAGGCTATAGATAACATATCCAAATTTCTTTAATATGGGATGCTTTTTTAGATTTTCAATTGGAATAATACCAAATTTCTTCATTTTAGGTAGGTTTTTGGGATTGACAATTGTGAATGGTGTGCTTTCCATTTTCCGATGAATCATGCAAGTTGTATCCAGTGATATAAGTAAAGCTGTCCTAAATAATTTTTTCATACATAACTTGTAAATCCTTGAGTTGACAAGGCATAAATCTAATAAATCAAGTTGATTCAAATGAGCTATTATTTGAACTAATATTCCATCAGGTAAGGATTCTAAACTAGTAGCTATTTGAGGTGGTTGTAGCGACGACTCAATACAGGATACGGTTTCCTTTGTCCATGCTTGATATATCAAGCTACCAAACTCATTCATCACTGAACGTACCATTATCTTATGTCTTGTTGCTGGTTGTTAATCTATTTAGCTTTCTTGATAGATGCGCCATCGCTTTTTTTTTGCAGCTACTGAAAGGAAAGAATAAGGATATGGCAACGCGCACGACCTAAATAAATTTTGACTTCTTTCAGTACTTTCAATTGATAAAACTTGATGAATCCGGGAATTGCTTATCAAATATCTATTGAAGAAATTGAGAGTATCATTTATGGAAGAGCAATATTGCAGACTTAGATTCCTTGTAATTCTGGCAGAAAAATCTTCCTGGTTTGCCAATGTAATACATTTTCCAAAGTAGCTGTAACCTTGGAGCTTGGAATAAGAAGCTTTCAGAGTGAGCTATCGATCAATATGCAACTTGGTGAAAATATATATTACAATTGCTTATTTTCTTCTTTTATTTATAGGAAGTTAGTTTTATTTCATAGTTGACTAAAATTATGTAATGGGTGGAAAATTGATTAATAATTTGTTTTTTCTAATTTTACGATTTTGGCCAGAAATTTGTTCAAATATTAAGTCATACATTTTTGAATTTGAAGTCAGATCCAATAGTTGGTTAAGTATTCTATAACTTTTAATTTTCCAGTAAAGGAGTTAATTTGTATAACGCTACCAAAGTGGAGAAGTAAATGAATTAACACTAAATTTCTAATTCCGAGAATTAGCAACCAAAACATCAATTGATGCACAATCGAACTCACCCAACACATTTACAACTCTTCATATGAGAACTGAATTGACCTTCCTTCATGAGATATGGATACTTTTCAGCTTGATGCACATATCAAGAAAGTGTAAACATTCTGTATCTCTTGCGTATTCAAATATTCTATGAACTATTGTTCCTTGAGAACTTTGTGGTTTAAGTATGCGCATACCCCCTCATTTTTTTCAAATGGTGGGGTGGAAACTGCCAGGAACAATCAATCAACAGAGACTGCAGGAGAATCTGTCACAACTATATTAAATTCAATTTCGGTAGCAATTATCAAACAGTCACTCGGTTTTCAATTATTTAATCTATCCCTAAGTTTATGGTTTAATATGGATTATTAATTATCAATTAGTCGTCAATATTCATAATTAATAGCCCCCACGCATCACCCCTGAACTTGATTTCTTTATATTTATTTGACTTAACTACGAAGTTGCTGTTGTGAGGTAAAACCAAAGGATCTTAACTAATATTTGATTTTACCGCACGTCAGATGTATGGACAGACGGGAACGCCTTGTATATTCCTGTGTAACCACAAACGAACGAGATCTATTATGTTCTTTCGAGCCAATAAGCTTAAACATCATTAGAATATGTTCATTGTTTAGTCATTGTTTTTGTTTAATCGGGTTTTGGGATTACAATTGCGCGGAAGCTCGAGGCTAACTCTTTAAAAGCACACCTCAATTTTATTTTTCACAACCAAACAATAGCTGACTTTTGACAAAGCACTCAATATTATACTATTACCTATTATCTTATTAGGACCAATTAGGTTGATATTCCTTTATTTGAGTGCAAAGTAGAGATCCAGACACAATCGTAGAAATGAATCTAAAATGAGAATCTGATACTAAGTGGAAATGTCATTTCCCTTATGCCATCGTAATGGCTATTTTTTACCCCAACTTTTAAAGAATTGGAATGTATTGCGCTTATTGTTGACACAATTGCCTGAAAAAATATTATTTTCTTTCAGATTTTAGGTCTCGCTTTTATTGACGTATTCACTACCATGCTTAAAACTCTAAACCCACTTTGCTTTTGACACGCAATGACAGTAAAGCTAGCCCTCCAGAAGTGAGTACTGTGTCTCATCAAGTAACAATGAAGAATTATGTGGGGATCTTAACTAAACTAATCAAAAACGGATTCAATATTCAGCTATGGAGATACATGTGCCAAAAAGATTATGCATTTAGTGTCTTCATTTAATTATTGGCTTAATTCATGTAGCAGGTTAGAAAAAGATACAAGAGTCTAGTAACTAATTGTATAAGGCAGCATAAATTCCTGGTCCATTAGTGAATCTATTAGAAATAGTAGTAAGTTCAAATTTCTTTAGAATAATTACAAAGAAAGTTAAAGAACCATTGTTCTCAAAATATTATCCCCGAAGATTCAATTTCATACTCCACCCTTCCTATTTAAATTAATTCATTGGAGTCTCCAAAACGGGATTAACCTTGCATATACTTGCCCCTTTTTGACATATTCATAATCATGATAATAATGATAAACTCGATCCCGTAAATTTTGAAATCGAAAACCCAATATCGGATATGTCGTAGGTCCGGTTTCTATGTGAATTATAAAAAAGTCATCATAATTTTACAAAGACAATACATCTTCAACCTCATCTAATTGTTATCCAGTAGAAGTATATAAACTAACCCATTTATCCTGTAGATTCAGGTTTTAAGTGAACATAAAACATTAATTGCAAAATAATAACAACAGAAAAAATGTTTTGCTTTAACATTTTGGCTGCAATATCAATCTTATCAGTTTTGATTAATGGTGAAGCTGTCCCATTTCCATCTGGTTCACCAGATTATAACACGGAAGCAAATCCTCAGTTACCGCCAGTAACTTTCCAAAATGTTAACTATACTTTCCCAGATTGTCAGAATGGTCCATTAAAACATAACTTAGTTTGCAACCCTGCTGCCAATTATTTAGATCGTGCAAAAGCCCTTGTTAGTTTATTCACTTTGGAAGAGTTGTACAATAATACAGGAAATACATCTCCAGGAGTCCCAAGATTAGGTGTTCCAGCCTACCAATGGTGGAGTGAAGGTCTTCATGGTATTGCTTCTTCTCCAGGTGTCCAGTATGCCCAAGAGGGTCAATTTACTCATTCGACTTCATTCCCTCAACCAATTTTAATCTCTGCAGCTTTTGATGATCCTTTAGTTCAACAGATAGGTACTACTATATCAACAGAAGGTAGGGCTTTCAACAACAATGGTAGAGCTGGGTTAGATTATTGGACTCCAAATATCAACCCTTTCAGAGACCAAAGATGGGGCAGAGGTCAAGAAACTCCAGGGGAAGATCCTTATCGTGTTTCTCAATATGTTTATAATCTTATTGATGGTTTACAAGGTGGAATTGGTCCACAAGACTTGAAGATTGCAGCAACGTGTAAACATTTCTTTGGGTATGATATTGAAAGTTGGGAAGGTCATTCCAGATTAGGTTATAATGCTATTATTAATGACCAAGATTTAGCTGATTACTTCCTCCCTCCTTTCCAAAGTTGTGTTAGAGATGCTAAAGTTGCCAGTACTATGTGCTCGTACAATGCCGTCAATGGCGTTCCTTCTTGTGCAAACCAGCCATACTTGCAAAATGTTTTAAGAGATTACTATGGTTTAGGTGAAGGTGTAATTGTATCTGACTGTGATGCCATCTTCAATATTTGGGATCCTCATTTATATGCTGATTCTCCTGCTGGTGCTGCAGCAGCCGCCTTAAAAGCTGGTGTTGATGTTAACTGTGGTAATACTTATCAATTATACTTGGGTGAAGCTTATTCTAATGGAACTATAACTGAGCAAGACCTACAAACTGCTTTAATTCACCAATACGGTGCTTTAATCAGATTAGGTTACTTTGACCCAGCTCAACATCAACCATACAGATTCTTGGGTTGGAATGATGTTAGTACTCCATATGCTGAATCTTTAGCTTATCAAGCAGCAGCTGAAGGTATCACCCTCTTAAAGAATGATGGTACTTTACCTTTCTCTAATGGAATTAAGAAGCTAGCTTTAATTGGGCCATGGGCTAATGCAACTACTCAAATGCAAGGTAATTATGCTGGTGTTGCTCCATATTTGATCTCCCCTCTTGAAGGTGCCCAACAAGCAGGCTATCAAGTAACTTATACAGAAGGTACTTTAATTAATACCACTTCCACAAATGGTTTTGCAGCTGCATTGGCAAATGCAAAGGAAGCAGATGCTATTGTTTATCTTGGTGGTATTGACGGAACAATTGAAGCAGAAGCTCAAGATAGAGACTCGCTTACTTGGCCAGGAAATCAATTAGATTTGATCGGACAATTGTCTGCTCTTAACAAACCATTGGTTGTGTTACAATTTGGAGGTGGCCAGGTTGATGACTCTTCTTTGAAAAACAATTCTGATGTTAATGCTATTGTGTGGGGTGGTTATCCTGGTCAAAGTGGTGGAAAGGCAGTTTTCGATATTCTTAAGGGTACTGTATCTCCCGCCGGCAGATTACCAACAACGCAATATCCAGCTGCTTATGCTTCTGAAGTTGCAATGACTGAAATGAGTGTTAGACCAAGTTCTAATAATCCAGGAAGAACTTATCAATGGTATACGGGAACTCCAGTATATGAATTCGGTTATGGTTTGCATTACACTAATTTCACTGCTCAATTACTTAGTCCAAAGAATCAAGTTTTCAACATCGCTACTTTGATTCAAGCTGGAAAATTCCAGAGTCAATATGCTGATAAAGCTACAGTTACAGTTTTCAGTATTGAAGTTGAAAATGTTGGTAAGGTTACATCAGATTACTCTACTTTATTATTTTCCAATAATAATAACGGTCCTGGTCCTTACAAGAACAAAGAATTAGTTTCGTACCAAAGATTACATAGTATATTCCCTGGAGCTAAACAAGTTGCACAATTACCCGTTACTTTAGGTTCTTTAAGTTCAGTTGATTCAAATGGGAACAGATATATTTATCCTGGTACTTACAATTTTACTGTCGACACCGACAGTAAGACCACTTTCCAAATCACTCTTAATGGTTCTCCAACCTTAATTGAAGAATTTCCTGTGAATGCCAATTAGGCTGAGTTAAAATTAATCTCAATTCTTGAGTTGACATGATTATGTTTGATTTCTTTTATAAGTTCAAAAGTTCGACGCATCATCATTTATTCTTTACGTTACTTTTTCAGTTGTTTTCAATCTTCAAAATTTCTAATTCTTTCGATACGTTCGACCATTATTTTTTCGTTACATTTTCATTGAATCTCAGCTTCTATCTGTAGAATCGTTCTGACTAATACAGTGAACCTTCAGAAATATAAAATGTCTTTTTTAATTTAATATGTATTCTTTGATCGCAAAGACACATTTTAAATCTCGGTCCGACTATTTTTTTGGAATCGGGTTTAGACCAAGCATCTAAATCCGAGTTAAGGAGATTTTAAGATCCGTTTCGCGCATTATGATACAGTATATATTTTATTCTAACATATATGAGAGTGTAGATAAAAATACTGATATTAACAAAGAAGCTAAATTATCCACTGCGAAATGCAGACAATAATGTATCATAATGACATCACAGCAAAGCCATGTAGTAATCAAAAATAACTCTTTACTTTGGGAATAAATGTATTTCTTCTCCTAAAGGCATCCTCCTCTATGTAATTAAGTACGTAATGCGGCTTGATTTATCAACAACTTAGAATACAACAACGAAATATCAGTCATAGACCACATCCGATTCGGAGTCAGAGTCGGAATCGGAGTCGGAACCATTAACTTCGGTATCATAATAATCATACTCTTCGTCCGATTCTGAATCAGATTGTAATTCTGAGTCGGGTCGTGAATTGCATCTAGTTAAATGATTCCGACAATTAAAGTAATGTCTGTATTCTTCATCTTCTTCTTCGTCTTCGTCATCTTCATTTACATTTACATTTTTCATGTCTTTAGATAAATAATCATCAACTTTGATAGCACCTTTAGTATGTTCAATTGTAATAGACGTAGTAGTTGTAAATTTTATCGCTGAATTAATGGATGGGGTTCTTGTAGTTAATTTGTTTTGTAAATGATCAATTATTTTATCTAGCATGTTAGATTGAAGAATTATAATTCTAAGATTCGAATCTGACTTATGAACATCTCTCTGCAACTTTTCTTTAACTTTAGCAGCAAGAGTATAAGTCTGTGCAAAGTTTAAACTTTCGATAGTTGCAATTGAAGTCATGACCACACATTATAAGTTTCGTAGCCAAGTGTGGAAAAGAATAATATAAATAATATTAGAGATATCTTTGTAGGCATGTGAAGATTTAACACTTGATATACTTGGAAGTATTGCTCAAGTTAAATAAAATTTTAAATACAACCAATATGATGAACTTAAATAGAAAATAGTAATTGACAATAATAAAACTAGAATTTCAGAAATCTGATTAATCTACTGGCTGCAATCCAAGTCAATTCTTTAAAAAGGCCTCAAACTTTTCCTTAGAATACATAGATGACAGCTTGACGCATATAGAAATCGTAAGTATCTACTAACTAATAAAAGGAATGATTAAATATGTGCAAACTGCAATGTCTAAAAAATAAAAAAAGAACCGTTTGATTGAAAATCAACGTCTTAGCTGACTGTTTGTTGTTAATACATGTCTCCTAATTCTACCGAATTTAAATTTCTAATCTACTTTACATAAAATATAGGTATGTTCATTAGTCTATGGAGATATGCTGCTGACGGATATAATATAAGAATTCGCTCAAAGTCCAAAAAAAATAAGTCACTCAAAGGTAAAATTACCGGGACTGATTTTTTCTATGCACAGTTATTTCTTGCTCATATGATCATTATCCTCTCCAAGTTGTGATATTAACCAATTGGTATACTGGTATAATGTTTTGTTTCATTTATACCTAATACAGTCTAAAGCCACTTGAGAAGCATATTTATTAGCTTTTATTGTAAATATGCATCAAATCAAATATCGGCTCGAGCAAAAAAATTGAATGATTGAATGCATTGCTTTCAAGCCATGACATGATTGACAAAAATATTTTATGAGTATTCTTTTTATAACTTTTAGCGCGTAGGCACAAGAAGACTAGTCTTTTCTTTTTTCTAATAGTACCAGGAACAAGCTAGGGGAACCTCGCAGAAGGTATTTTGTAGAAAGTATTTTGTAAAATTATTATTTTTTTGTTTTCTAGGAGTTAAAAAAACAATAATATTAGGACCGGTACTTCAGCTGATTGAGATTGAACATGGTACCATTTTATGTATCTAATCAGTATATTCGCAATAGATGCCATTCCAATTTGGCCTAAGTCTTCCGCGCGATTACTCGCAGAAATATAACTCTACTCATGAAACAGAAATGGACCGTGAAGACTAATCGTATAACAAACTGTGTTGTGCAGTAATTGAGAAAATAATAAAAATAAAAAATTAGAGTGACTTATTTTGTAAGTAGAGTTTTAAGTATAAAACGGTTCTTCTAAATTTAAGAAATGGTAATAATAACAATCACAGATAAACTAGTCATTTAATAAGTCATACGGATAATACCGTTAGGTTTTACCTCTTAGTTCCCCTCTTCCCCCTACTAAAGAAACAAAAGCTAAGTAGGTGCAGGATATCTTAATTTAATATGAATAAAATGAAAGCAAGCAACAGTAAAGTAGCGAATACAACTGACCAGCTCCGACTCTAAAACAAATGTTTTTCTTTTTCTATTTTCTCTTGTTTATTACTTACATGATTGTATTTCATTTCTTGTAATCTTCTAATTTTAATTGCATATAATACAGGCTCATTGATTCTGTGTTGTGTTGAATTCTTTTGTCATGCAGTTTTCCTCAGTAAACAAGTTTTGCAACTCGATCCGTTTCCCCACATAAACCACTCGGAATATTCATCCACCTTTGAGAGGTTTTTTTTTTCTCATTTGTGTGTCATTTGCGTTTTCATACTTTTTTTTTGATTGGATTAAAATCCTGAAATATTGTTATTTTTTCTAAGGCCCTATGCTTGCTGAGGGCTTTAAATACCCTAATGTAATTTTGCAAAAGTAGCCGTGTATATTCTGACTTCCCCATTATGCATATTCAGAACTTCAACTAATTTATTATATTTATCTTGAAAGTGAGTAAATTTTGTGATCATAAGTTTTTTTTTTTTTGATTTCTTATTTAGATTATTTATTGGCTTTTATATTTAAGTAAGTCAAAACGACTCCTAAATTATTATCTATTTTAATTAAATGTGTTAATACTTCCTTTCTTTACAATTAAATCAAAATATACAATACACATATCAAATTACTAGCCTGTTTGTAATTTTAGTTGGTTAATCCATTAAAATTCACTATATTCAGTTATTAGAGATCATATAATTTTGCAATTGAATTCTCTACCCCCTACTGCCATTTGTACTTCTTTACTTTCAATTACATTTTTCAAATTAATTCCCAAAGTAATTCAGGCAACCATTTCATGATCGATTGTTATCAACGGCAAATTTATCATTGAAATGCTATTCATGTCTGATTATTCCACAGTAACAACAATAGCTTCAGGTGTCGAGTCCGAGTCAACTACAAGTTCCAACTCAGATACTGAAACTTCTTTATCTGCCCAAAAGCAAATAGAAGGTTACAGCCATAGTAATTTGGTAAGTAAAATCGATAGTAATATTACCATGAATCGTCAATCTGGTTCTATGATTAGTTATCAAGGTGAAATTAGAAGTCTTTATGATGCTTTACTTCTAATTGAAGCAGCTAGAATCTCCAAGATACCTACTATAAAACGAAGGTTGACTGCGTTTGAACGTCAAAGGTATATTAAACCTAATAGTATTTTTATTTGGAATGAATCGACCAGTAACATTCGAAGATGGACAGATGGAAAATTTTGGAGTGATTCAAAGCTTTTCAACAACCATTTCCTAATTTATCATGAAAAGAGTTCTGATGCTAAAAATGGATCCGACGATGATCATCTGAGCGAAGAAATTGTCGAAGATAGTTTAATCAAACAGAGTCTATCTTTAACTACCAGACAAAATGAAAAATTCCATTTAATTTACTATTTCAAAAAAAATCAATTGGAAAGTTTGAAGAATGATAGGAGGAGAAGAAAGAGAAGAAGATGGGAATCAAAAAGCCATCATTCAAATTCGAGTTCTCATATCAACAGATATCACGATTACAATCAAATTAAACGCGAAGATGTTGCTAGTCAAAGTAATGAAGAGGACAGTGAAGAGGAATTCTACGATTTTGGTCACGAAATCAATCATGCAAGGATTCCATCCAGAGATTCCTTATTCAAAGGTTTGTCTATAGGTCATGATGTTTATCCAATTAATTTCTTGAAAGATATTTCCTTGTATTCAATGAAACCAATTGTGGTTTCTGGTGATCTTGATATCGAGAATGTACTTCATGATGGTGAAAATGATCATTCTACATCATCTTCCCCAATGACTTCAGCTTTTGCTAGTTCAATAGCTACCGCAACAACCACAAGCACTTCGATGGTTTCGAATGTTCCATCGCCTGTGTCTATTGTCTCACCTCCATCTTTTGGGAATTCGGTTATGACTTCTGGTTTTACAACCAGTTATTCGACGAGCCCCGTTCTAATCTCCGTGGAAACGAAAGGACTTAAGGAAGGTTCATTTCCAATTCCAATGATTAATATTCCCACGACTAGTCTTTCTGAAGGAAATCGGGTTTTACCACCTCCAGTGACTACGTTTAGATCAAAATATTTTGATGAACGCATCAACCTCAATGATGCTGAAACTTTACATCTTTTAGATAGATGTTTTGTTTAATAGGTTGCTTAAACATTTACTAGTCGTATATTGGCTAAAGGTTATTTTTTCACCTTTACATTAAAATTGAGTTTTTTCCTTTATTTTGGTTCCGTCCTGACAGTAAAGGTCCGTTTAGCACTATTCACCTTTAGCTTGACAATACAGTCAAGCTATTTTTATTATGGTGGCTTACTATTTCTTTCCGTGTGGACTGATATCACCCTAGTTACAGCTAATTTGGGTTGAAAATTAAATATGCTTATGTGTTATCCGTGCAAATAAACGCGGAATAAATTGCCGCGACAAATTAATCCGGATATTTAATTTTGCAACAATTATTTTGTAACCTGCGATGTCAACTATGTCGTACGAGAAATATTAAAAGTCAACCTTCAATGTACCTGGTTTCGAATTTCGAACTGGTTTCATTGTGTTAAGGGGCGGGGAAATAGGGTATGTCTATTTGATTTTTTTTTTTTTGCTGCTTATCAAAGATTACCCATTTTTTTTTATATAAATACGAATTGGTATTAACTACCATCTTTTAAGAATAGGTAATGGGATTCAGAAGTATGCTCAATTTTCAAGTGTTGCTACTACTTTTGTCTACTATTACTTTTTTGTTTAATTCTCTTGCTTAATATTTCCCTGTTTTCCCCACGAAAGGGTAGTCCTTTCATGCCACACAAATCCAAAGTTTCTTTTCGATATCATGATATTTATTATATGACTTTTTTAATGCATTATATTGTTGACCTTGAGTCACTTTATTGTTTTAATCATGATAAACTTTAGTGTGCGTGTTTCTAGGGTCCTTTTTTATTTAGTTTAGTTTACTTTACTTTAGCTTAGTTTAATATTGTTTAATTAAATTAGGTCTTATTTTGTTACTCGATCAATAATTAAACATTGTTTTGACCTGTGTATTGTTCATCTAATTAGAGTTTGATAAACCAAAATAGCCCTACTAATCTTCGATAGATTGAAATTCAATGTAATAAATTTATATATTTAATGAAAAATTATGAAAATATTTAAAGAAACATAATTTATCGTTGTTTGGTTTGTATGATATGATACATGACAGTTTTCATTGTTAATTTGTCAGGATTTTTATTTAAAATTCATGAAATTTTAATCATTAGAACTTGGGATGATGAGAAGTGAGATATGAAATTAATATTATGAATATAATGATGAGTAAATGACTGTATACGACTTAATAAGATTGAATCGTTTAATCGAATAAACCAAAACCCATGTCATCATCAGATTCTTCCTTTTCTTCTTCAGCTTCTTCTTCGGCAGCAGCTTCGGAAGCAGAACCAGTGGCAGCACCAGAAGCGGCAGCACCAGAAGCAGCAGCTGGAGCAGAGGCAGCGAAGGAGAATAATAATTCCTTTAAGTTCTTACCTTCTAAAGCCTTGGCGTAGATGGAAGCCCAAACGTCTTCAACGTTGGCACCAGCAGCCTTAGCGATGGCAGTTAACTTTTCAGAAGTGATTTCTTGTTCAGCGTCAGCTAAGATTAAGGCAGCGTAGGAAACAGCGGCTTCGGCAGACATAGTTACTATTGATTTATAATGATATATAAGGTATATGTCAGTTATTACGCTGTATTTCAATTGACTTTTCATTTTTTTTTTCCTCGAATTTGGTGTTGGTGATACTGCGAATTTGCTACAGCTCCTTTACATGCAGGGAGTAGGTCTGAAGCCCTAGTCATACGTGAATGCACGTGACCCCATAAATGCTAATATAATCAGAATCTGGGGAAAGATAAGCTAATATGTACAGAATAATATATTTGTGTTTTTCATTTACTACTAGGAGCTTTGATGCTAACTATATATAGCATCTTGCAATTAATTATATACAAGAAGAATTACTAGATTTATTTGAAGAATGAAACTAAACCACTTAACCAAGATCTATATTCATTTTCTTCCTTAACTTCACTGTAAACAACGATGAATTCAGCTAATTCATCATCAATACCATTTGTAGATAAGTAGGCTTCGAATTGAGTTTGAATAGATTCGTCCAATTGAGAAAATCTTGGTCCTTGATAGCTTAATTGATCAGAGAACTCACCAGTAGATTCAATTTCATGTTTTAACTCGGCAATATTGGAATGGTTTGAAACATAGTCAATAATGAAAGAGTTTTCAAGGCTATGTAAAATCAAATTGATGAAGATACCAGCTTCAGAACCTGGATTTTCAAGAACGATTCTTACATTACACATTAATTTATCAAATTCATCAATCTCATTTCTAACTTGCTCGTTTTCATCAAATTCATCTTCTTCAGAGGCAGCTTCTTCAGAATCAAAATTTTCTTGTTCTGCTTCATCTGAAATTGGAGTATCAGCAACTTGTTCGATATCGAAATAAACACTAATAATCTTACCATCATCTAATTTTTTGGTCAATGCAACAACAGATTGGCCTGCGTTGTCAACTATTTCCCATTTATTGTCTTTGAGATAAGCATCATAAATATCATCTAACTTATTTGGAACAGTTTTAGTAACTTTCAATTCTGATTGCAATACACTAGATAAATCAGCATGGGCATTGTATTTGGTAATTGTGGATTGAAAACCTCTAGCAACAATCATGTTGCTGCACTTCAACATAGTTGGAGTAATGTTCTTGGAGACATTGACCCTTTTAACTAAATTTTTAGTTTGAGCTCTTATAGCTGATGATAAGACTTTGGATGATAACATTTTTCTTGTAGATAAAGGTCCAATTACGTTAATTGTATATCTATTAAAGAAACCTTTAGTAGAACTATGATGGGGATGACCTGTTTATTGGGAGAAAATCTTCACTCAACGATGCATGTGTGCGGCGCTAAGTGCAGGAGCTACTCATACAAATTTTGAGGGGGTTAAATTAAGGGGCGTTCATTATACAAGTGTTATTTAACGAATAAAATTCATGAGTACATTCATTACTTAATATGAATTCATTGTAGAAGTATATAAGTAATGTGAAATATTACGAAATAAAAATATGATATGGACCATATGACCCAAAAGAACTAATTAATTAATTAATATATGACTAAATGCAAACAGGTCCTATAAAGAAATGCGTATTTTAACTTGAAGAAGGATGGTGTAATAGAACGGCAAACCACAGATATCTACAAACATGAGATATTGTTGTGAAAAATAATTCTATAGCTTAAAAACCGTTTCGATGTTGTTATTAGTTCTCATCCTCTCTTCCTAAAGAATATTGTACAATGAATGGTATGAATGTTGTGGGATAGTAATGATAAATGTAGAAGATTATTGTATGTAATGAATAAATGTAAAAGCATTAAATTAAATTAATGATGCGAGCGATGCTGCTGCTGTTGTTGTTGTTGTTGTTGCTGTATAGATGCAAAATATTCTTGAACAAAAGTTGAGCTTCTTCTATACCGTCTTTCTTGATATTTTTCAAATATTGCTTTGTGATGAGATTCCGGATCTTTACAGCTATTCAATATCAATTCTGCTAATGGCTTCAATTGAGCTTCAGTGTATCCACTATAGAATACATGACCCTCAGTCCAATCACCACGATTTAACAAATTTCTGGACAAATAATGAGCTCCAGCAGCTAACCAACTTGGAGGTGAGGCAACAAATCTTGAATCCATTATTGTAATTTCTAGAAAGTATTTTGCTAAAGTTCTAGTTTCATAATCATAATCATCTGCCTTTGAAGTTCTTCTTAAAAATGACATTGGTCCGGGCCATCCCATATCAAACTCTAAAACATCAATCATAAATCTCTCTGCCTTTAAGAAATCTTCAATCGAATATGCATTATCAGCCATATAGGCAACTTCTTGAACAGTAGGACAATTTATTTCTTCATACTTTGCAGCAATAAATAAAGCTACTGCACCAACCAATTGAAATCTTGATAAAGATACTTTCCTTTTGGATAAGAATCTATCAATATAATTAACCGTTAAATACAAAGTTTCTGGCAATAAATTAAATCTATTATGAACTTGAACTACCCAATCAATCAAAACACTTCTCATTTCCCATTTCAATTCATCCTGATTATCCATATACATAGGATCTGGTGATAATCTATTCTCCAACTCTCTTAAATAGTTAAAAATCTCCGGTGAGTATTCTGCAACCATTGTTACATCAAATGTATCTTCATCATTTTCATCCAATAATGTATGAGAAAACTTTCTCATAACTAAATGCAACTCTTGAGATATTTGTGCATTCCATGTTGGCTCCATTGGTATATGTGCATTATCAATTGGTTCAAGATCTTCTTCGACATCTTCCTCTACAATTTCATCTTGAGTTTCATTATGATACTGATGATTTTCTATACTATCATCATCATCTAACTTTTCAAAATGGTGTGGAAGATCATCCGAATGTTCAACAAGAGAAGAGGGATGATCTATTTGAAGGGGTATGTCATATTTGTGATGGATATTGTGAGTTGATGTATTTACAGTTTCATGATTATTAATCAAAAGCATGTCATTTCTTTCTTCATCTTCATCATCTTCCTCGATAAAATATCTGTTTTCCTTATCTTCAGATTGGTCATCAACTTGTTCGACATTATCTTCATCATAATCTGTAATGTCTTCATCTTCATTATTGTTTGTGGATGTACTTGTTTTTATATGCTTCTGGGAATGTTTATCTAATCTGGGTTTTTTGAATTGTTTATGATATTGCTTATATATTTGGATTTTTGAAGCTGAAGATGAACTAGACCCTACATGAGGAGTCAATTGCTTAACCTTACTGCTATTTGCAACAGGAACATTATGATTTAATTCTCCTAATACTTCTCGATTTTTGTCTTGATGAAGCTTGGAAATTGGAGCGCCTCCAGTTGAGCTTAAATTGGACGCCATGACCGATGAACTGTGACCACTTACTGTTGTAGACTTGACCCTTGTAGTTGTATTCTTTGTCACGTTCTCATCATTGATGGATTTAGTCTTGAACGATCTCATAATTAGCTGGGTTAATATGCAAACACAAATGGAAACAGGCTACTCAACACGTTAATAAACAAATAAAATAAAGTACCAACTGTTCAATTGATCGGTTCAGAAAGCAACCTATCTCAATAATGATCCGACTAGAAGTGTTAACCAGTTATAGAATGGAAAAATTCGTGGGTGTGTAATATATGGGTATTATTGTTTTTGTTTGTGGTTAATTTTTTTTTTCTGTCGTTGCTTAGGCTTTTCGTGAGTGGATTGGAGACAACAATTATTATAAATTGTAAAATCAATGCCGCTACTGTTAAGTAAATAAGCAAGAGTCTATGAAATGAAATCGACTCGGTAGTTGATAAAGAATATGTATAAATGTAGAAACGAATGTATAAAGTTAGTTTGAAAAGTCGCCTTGGAGTACGAGAAAATGCCGGTTTTACTCGGTTCTTGTTAGGCACTGGAGTTGTAGATAGTAAATGCTTCAAAGCAAGCGATTATGCCTGAACGAGATGTTGAGAGTTGACAATGCTGGTAAGATTGAAGTGATAAAGAAAGAAAGAAAGAGAGAAGAAAAAGGTATAATTTAATACGAATTACAAGTTGTTACACATTCAAGTTTTAAAACATAATATCACTACAACACTAAGTAAAGATGAAATACTCTTAACTAGTAAAAATAAACATAACACAGCAAATATAAACAATAAAACTTCTCCTCCTGTCTAAAGCCTTCTGCAGTCACTTTCTGGTGTCTTGTTGATTTTGTGGATTGGTTAACAAACAATAAAGAGAAGAAATTTAGCGTGTCAGGTGAAATGAAATTTTCTCAGTAAAGAATCCAACCACTTTCTAGTAAATCAGTAGCAATTACTGACTAGGGCGAAGGAGAGTATTCCATTTAAAGACTATGCTATATCGTCTAAGTTAAAGAAGTAAATTGGATAATAAGCTTTTTTAAATTATTAGTATTCCGACTTCATCTCATGTACTTGATACTTAATGTTTATCATGTACTCTTTCTTTAGTATAACTCTTTAATTGTCTATTTCTTAAACTGAAATTATTCACCTACTGCAAAATATATCCACGCGTATTGCAGCAAATTTGAAATATAAATACAAACAAACAAAACCTTTTGTAAACAAACCAAGGGTAACTTGTAAACTTTAATATAACATGTAAATTTTTCAATTTAGAACATTTACAGTTTAGTTATCGTATTTTACGTTTTACATGAAAAATTACTGGTCCCATCTTATTTTTGTACGAGTTCGAAGAACACGAAATAGAAATATGACAAAGAAAACATCTATATTTATAGCATATTGTTTGATTAGTATCTTTCGAATATTTGGTCTTCTAGAGTATAGAACAGTCTGTTACTTGGTATCTTGATAGAGTGTTAAAGGAGTCAGCAATAACAATATTATTTGATCTTTCAGTGGTAGTAAACTCAACCTAGCTTTGTACCACTTTTGGCAATCAGAAAATATGCTTTATCTAAACCGAACCTTTCGCCTCGAATTCTGATTTATATGTCTAAGACGACCAAACATGCATTGATGTACATGCTAAAGCATTGATGAGATTGACAACCGGTAACAGATTTACAATTGGGTCCTAAAATTGTAAATTTAAAGATTTACTTTAAATTCAACCAATGATTAGGTATTAACCGGGACATTCAATTCAAAGAATGATGTCTCATTTATTTTCTTCCTCTTTGCTTGATACCAACTCGTTTGATATGGTCTCGTTTGTTATTGGATATAACTATGCGAAATAACGGTAACCGTTGAAGGATTCGTTGACACTAAAACTGCTTAGTTTACTTGACAACGCCTCTCCTTAAACTTCTTTATTATTGCATGAAAATTAAGGTAGGTTTCGCCTATAATTTTATGCAACTAATATATCGCTGTGTCCTTCCTCATTTCTCAGCTTTTTGTTTTGACATGAAAAATAAAAGCCCTCACTTATCTATAAGCTCCCTAATCTAATTCGTACATGATATCATGCATTTCTCTTATTCTTTACATTTTTAGAATATTTACTTCTATTCTTTAGGTACTTGGTTCCTTAATCTTTACTTAGAACCCCTACTACAGGGTTAACAGTAAGGAGTCACTACTGTACTTTTTTTCTCTTATCCCTTTATTTCTATGACCGTAAAAGAGAAAAAGCAATTGAAGAAAAACCATATAAAAGAAAGTAAGAAATATTATGGCTAAGAGAAGCAACTCGCATAACAAGTTGGTATGTAAAATGCAGTAACGACAATTTTATATCCTGCTTATCTAAACAGCATGCAGCTAATATTGTTAAATTAAATACAATAGAATATAAGACGAATAAAGTATTCCGAGTTTGAATTAAAACATATAAGCAATAGATAAAATAAAAAACGAAGCTATGTATGTATTATTTAAAGGAGTATCTCGACTCATCGCCACAAGATTACGCTGCAACTCTCCCCGAAACAGCACAACAATAGATGTATAATACACAAAAAAATAGATCAAGAAATAAAACAATGAGACCTGTTTTAATATTTTAAACAGACTCACAGAATAAACAAAACTAAGCAGTATAATACCCAAAATTAATCTCAGCCGTGATATAATATTCAGCTAAAATATACTATTGAAGAACTGAACAACAATTAAACCCTAAACAATGAACAAAATAAAATAAAATAAAATAGAATATCAAAACAAAATCATATACGAAACAACACAGATATCAAATATCAATCATTAGTAATATTAAATAGAAATGTCTCAATTCAATTCAAAATTGATCTCAAATTCATGTTCCAAATTAGAACTGCCCGTAACATAACTATTATTAATAACTTTATTATTACTTATGTATTGAAAATGATTGAGATCACTATGCCAGTCTATCAAGTCGTCCTCTTCGCTATAAAGCTGCCTTTTAAATAGGTTTTCATTATTGATTATCTTATTAATAGGTGTTTGAAACATTATGTCATCATTCGTAGAGCTAGGAGGCGGCGTATAATAATTGGAACCTGCATCACTATTGTTCTGCCTTCTGTAACTATTAGTTGGGGTGGCTATAATATTGTCATTACCATTGTCATCATTAATATGAGACAAAGTATCACTATTAGCAATTAACTGATAGGACTCTTCAATGAGTTGTTTTAGTTCACCAACTATAGTATTAGAATCTAATTTATTCAATTTAGACTTCATTATATTCAATTTGTCTATTAACTTGTCGTAGGAATCATTACTAATGGGTAATTGGGAATTAGGAGGTATTTCTTCAGTACTGCTGATATTATTCCGTGCTCGGGATGAATTTGGAGTAGGTAAATAACCTTCATTAGACATTGAACTAGTCGGTTTAAAGCTGTTGTTACTACTAGTAGTAGAGCTATTTGTACGGTTATTGTTGTATGTATTGGGGAAGCTGAAGGAAAATGGTGATTGCAAAGTAGCCATTTTCAGTAATCGATAGGGTTTCCTTTGAATGGTTTAATCAATAATTGAGAATCTTTTTCTTTATATTAGTGGGGTATAAGTTATGCACAAGTCATTACTTAACTCCAACAGAATGCCAAAAATCAAATTCGTAATCTCTAGTTTATACAAGATACAAGGAGATTAAATGGAAGCAGAAAACAGAAGGTATCAGCAACTCTAGTAGGGGGAATTTAGCGTGCGATAAGGAGCTAGTCTAAGGAAGGAATGAATAAATGAAGGAAAGAAGGGAGATATAAATGATAGTATCTAGGTATCTAAAGTAAATTAAAGTAAAGTCAAGTAAGGTAAAGGTGGAATAGCGCACTAAATGCATATCAAATGTCTTTAAATTTTAGGTAATTTCCTCCAAATATATATTTTCCTAGGCATGTATCCATCTACAAAATGGCTCGTCTGGGAAAAGAGATGCTTGATAAAATACTCTGGTATCACAGTGGCCTACTTAGCTAAAAAATATTGCAATGCATAGTCAAAGTTTAAAATTCAATGAGAAAAAATATAGTGAACAAAATAAAGGAAGTAAAAGAAAAGAAAAGGGTATGTGTTAATGCTTTGTGTCTGGATTTGCGCATGTGTTGTTTCTTTCTGGTACAATGAATTTGGAATTAGATGAGATTCAAATTTAACTATTAACATGATGTGAGTTCTGCATATAATTATTCGTTTGCATAAATAAAATATTTTGTATATGTAGGTAATTACGCAGAGTTATGGACTTATTTTTTTGAAATACAATGAAATCGTAGGGTGTGTGTACCGATTGGGAAATGTAATTATTAAAAATAATTGTGAGCCTGGAAAAGAAATGGAAGAAAGGCAAAAAAGAGGGCAGGTGGGACAATCTAGAATTAGAAACTGCTCTAAAGGGGTACATCAAAGAATTAATACCTGTCAATAAATTTCTGTTATTAATAAAAGTATGGGGATCCCTATAGTGTTGTGTGAATCCCTACTTATGGAATCCATCAAGAAAGTTCAAGCGTTATGTTATTAAGTGAGTGAAATGAAATGAAATAGATAATGTACTGAAATTGAATACACACTCGTAGCTTTCTTAATACTTACGAATGCAGGTTTATTTGACATTATTACTAGAGATAATTTCTTGCAGTTAGTGAGGGCCAGATGGTTTTTGTGAATTAAATGTGTAAATGGGGGTGCACTCAGACATGTTTAATGAAATAGACCCACATTATACGCATTGATGATTTCAGATTTATTTTGTCTACTTTTTTTTTGTGCTAGAAACCTTTCCCATGGTCTTTAATTTCTAGCAGAAACTCTTGATTATGTTTAAGGATGTACAAGAATTCGGCTTGAATGTTTCAGTTCCTAATTTTCTTTAGATTCTTCTGCACGCCTCCTCCACCTTTGGAATAAAGACGACATAATTTGTCAAGTTTTCAGTCATATATAACGAGAATTTATTGATAAACGAATTTAAATTCTAGCCTCCTTTTAAAAGTAGTTCAATAAAAGCAGCTCCTATTTTACTCACGCGAAACTTCGTAATTAAAGAGTGTCATCTACAAGATATACCTAGTAGTTCATTTGAATTTAAGATTATCCTTCGAGTGATACTAGTGTATTCTATTTATAACTAACCAATATGTTTAGCTACATAATTATAGCTAATACTTCAGTCGCTGAACTATCTATCTTCTTAATCTCTTGGTAAACCGTACTTATCTGACTATTTCATGATGCTGATGTGTAATTATGAAGAAGTTTCTGGAATACTATGTGTATTATTTTCTAGAGACGAGTTCTTACAAGCAAACAGAGACATTGACAATGACAAAATTACTCAATGGGGAACAATGGTGAGAGAAGTAGTTGAACCAATTGCCTTAATAATAATGTGTTTATTATTTATTGTTTGTAACTATATATTCGTATCTTTATTTGAGAGATTCCTAATTCTGTAAAATTTAAGTTGGGATAATTATGATTTAGTCTTCCTGTCGTAGTCAAGATTTATTATTTAAGAAATTTTAAAAAGTTTTGCGGGGGGTGGTATCATCGAATCGTATCGTATTGTCTATTATTTATAAACATATAAACAATGCTCTTTATTTTTTGATATTAGAGAAATGTACCAACGCTTCACAGATTTCGTCTTCAATGAGGAGATATAATGTTGTAGTTTGTGATTGATTGCAAAAAAATGACTTCGGAAAAACAATACATCAAGTACAACACATAAATTTTTTAATTCTTTTAACAGAACACGGTAGTTACTTGGCGAGGTCGTAAAATAATGTTGTATTGGTTAATTAGCAATAGTAATAGATTACTTTCCTCGTCTTACTGTAATTAAGCTCTATCTAAGGCACAGTTTGGATACTACTTTTTTCACATTTTAGAGATTGTTAAGATATGATACAAATTTATAAAACTTAAAATCCTAGACAAATAATTGTTTGGACTTCTCATCAAAATTAAACTGCAAATTCCTGTTAAAACTATATAAGGGATAATGATAGTATTTCTCCACATTGTTATAAAAAATGTTGGAACACACGGCACACGACTCCTTCTGTCAAATTTTGTGTTGAATTTGTTAGCACGGGAAGTTTATACCAATTAGTTCAAACAAGTTTGGGATGTGTCAAAATTTTCGACTTTAGTAGGTATTACCGCAACTGTATATAGTAAACGACGGATATTACTAAAATGGTAGAAGTGATAGCACAATTTCAGAACATTACCACAAACATCAGTAATTTAACAAATAATAATCAAGTTGTCCTCCGAGGTCAATTAGTAGATAAACATACACGATGTCAGCATTATCATTCCAAATTAGACATTATTGCTATAAAGTATAAATGTTGTCGAGAATACTATCCATGTTTTAAATGTCACCAGGAGCTAGCTGAACATAAGTCAGAAATATTTAATAAATTTGAACTATATTCTAGTTCCCCAGAGAAAGTTATACTATGTGGTAATTGTTATTCTGAATTAACATTTAAGGAGTATTCGGGAACAAAAACTGTTGAATCTGACAGTTGTGAAATACAGCATTGTATTCAATGCAAAAGTTTGTTTAATCCCAAGTGCTCTTTACACTATGATATTTACTTTGATTTGTAATGGAGAATTCTGGACAAGGATCGTTAATTATATATATATACAATCAAGTTATATTAACAAATTATAGCCCACTTGTAGCGTTATGATAAATAAAGAAGGCTGCTATTTCTTATTTTTACATTGTTACAACTCTAATTGAAATTTTATTCTTGGAAGTCTTTGAGTATAATAATCGTTACGAATTATTGGAGATGACCACAAATATTCCAGTTAGAGATGAGGGCGGATGAGATGGTATTTTATTAGAATAGATAACTCTAGTAGCTAGGAGATCAATTCAATTGTTTCATCAATAGCGCATTATCGATCCAGCGAATGTAGGTGAGCTGATTTCTTTGTGTATTGTGAAATCTTCAAGTCTGAATTTAAAACTTCACCAACAATTTATATAAACAAGAGTAAGTACATATCTTTAGAGGGTGTTACTATACCGATTGATTGTATAAAATACAGACATTGTTTATTGTTAAAGCATAGTACCTTGCATTTCAATTACTTCGCATCGCTAATCTCTCTTAGCAACTACAATCTTTTGCGCTGCGCGATAGAAAAAGGGGGGCCAGCATACATAAAAATATTTGTAAAGAAACAATTAAAGATTGAACTTGTTTTGTTTCATTCAATTATTTATCAGTATATTATGTCTGAGCCTTTGAAATCCTCAATTGAAGGGGAGAGAGCTAAAGAAGGAGTAGGTTTAGGAGCTACAACTATAACACAGGCTTCTAGTGTTTCGTCTGTCTCTTCAGTTTCTACGCTACGCAATTTACCTAAAACAACAGTGATAATCAATAATTTACATAAGAATGATTTTATAATAGATGAATCGTCTAATAATTTCTATGTTAAAAGTAATAAGTCCTTATCACTAGTTGATCAGATAAAACTATCAATTTTAAACTTAGGGGATGAAGATGGAGAATCTAACGATGCAAATGATTATTTCATAAATCATATTGAACATTGGTCAAGTATGCCATTCTTAAGTAGAATAATAATTATCTTGAAGGATGAAATTTCTGCTTTAAAGATCTATAATTATCTTCACAAGAATTTATCAAAGGAGTATCCCTATATAAAGGTATCATTGCAGGAGAATCTTTTATCAAGATCCAAGTCTTCTGATTCATTAACTCATGGGAATAAGGAAAGTATGAATCTTTCAGAAGATCTTCTGAAATTCAGATCATTTCATAACTCTCCTAATGATTCATTGAATAATTATGAAGAACCGAAACCGTATCAATTTCATGTCGTACAAGACTTATCGAAGTTGGGTATAGATGTTAGTCAATATAATAATGAAGAGCAATTGAAAGAATTGAGTGATTCTGAAACTCATGTCAATTTTCGTCCTCAACTCACAAGAAGTCCATCATCTACCAAAACTTTATTCAAACCAACTCCTATTCAGACGACAAATTTGGATTATACAGAAGATGATGATGATAATCACGATTCTCTAGCTCCCAAGGGAAAGAGAAAAAGTACTCTAAGTCCCACAATTACCTTAGATGAACCATCGTAAATAATTTATTTATTTATTTATGTATTTATTTATTCTTATTCAAGTACATTTAAATTCTTAGCTATAACTATATACTTGATCAATTCTTATAATTATGATTATGATGATAACTTGTCAATATTAAATCTCTGAATTGCAGCCGAATTTGGTGGACGGCCTGCATACAAAAACGGTACTGTGTAATGCACGACTCACCTTCAATTTTTGTCCACCATCATCCTGAATTAGATTAGCATGCCGTAACCAGATTAGGTGTAGAAGTTAACAATTTCTATTTAGATCAATTCTGTTTATTAAAGAAAGAGTTGTGTAGGAAGTAAGAAGCATGAGGTTCTTTTCTTCTTTACTGGTGTCTTTGTTGGCAGTTTTATCTGTTAGTTCAGCATTGACTTCTGACCATCACAAGGAGAGTTTAACAGTATATGAATTGAACTCTCAATCACATTCATCATCTGAAGCTCCAGTACTTAATCAAAAGGATTCATTGTTATACTTGGCTGATAAATTTGATGTAAGTGACCATTTCAAATTGGGAAATTCTCAAGATAAGGAAGAATTAATTAAATTCATTGATTCTCAACATCAAGGATTGGAAACTAATTTAAAGCCAAATTTATTTATATTGATTAGAGGAATTAAGAATGATTTATTCTCAGATGATTTAACTCCAACCTATCAAATCAGTGGCTCAATTAAAGATTCGTATCATTTACTATTTAAGAAATTTCCAAAGATTCTTAAGAAATTTCATCATAAGAATGACTTAATTGAATTAACTAATGAAATCAAATTAATTAGTCCTAAGAGTGATTCCAATAGATCATTAGTAAATCATTTTAAATATTTCAATGATCAATTAGTACAAATCTGGCAATCATTTACTAGAGGTTCTGGTTCTGATAATGAAATTTTAATCTCTAAGAGAAATAGTCAATTGAAATTAATAAATGATAAAATGTTCATTAATGAATTATCTCAATTAATTCATTTGAATGAAGCAGATGTTAATTCTCAAGATATTTTATTTATTGAATTGAATTCTTTAATATCAATTGCTAAAAAAATTGGTAGTGAATCTTCAACTTTCAAATTTAGTGGGAAAATCTTGAAAGATTATTTACAAATATTATCTAAGAAATTTAATATTTCAATACTTGTTCCTTCAATTTCTAATGAAGATTCATCAGCATTATCTAAAAAATTGAATAAAAGAAGTAATGAATTAAATAAATTATTTCAAACTCATAAAAAGAGACAAACTTCTGATCAAGTTTATTTTGCTTCAGAAGAATCATGTCAAACTAGTACCAATAGTTGTGAAGGTCATGGTGAATGTATTCAAGTTGGAGATGATAACTCTAAATGGTTATGTTCATGTTCTTCAACCTTTAATAAATCAACTCAAAAGACTACAGTTTGGACCGGTTATAACTGTGGAAAGAAAGATATTAGTGCTCAAGCTAATCTTTTACTTTGGTCAAGTTTGGCATTACTCTTAATATTAGTCGGAGGTGTTCAATTATTGATTAGTATGGGAAATGAACCATTACCTGGAGTTTTAGAAGCTGCTACAATTCCAAAGAAAAATCTCTAGACTATATTAATTATTTACTATAATTTACTTCTTGTTTAACTCTTTACTGTTTTTTATTGAATAGATTGGCTTTATGCCTAATATCATCACAATTATCATTATCATAATTATATACAAGTCTATTTAAATATATCCTTAAAATATAAATTTGTTAAGGCCCAAAGCCATTGCCCGATTAGGAAATCGCATTACGTCTTTAAAAAAGTCAACTGGTGTTACGCTAAATTTTATGAAATGTGATCAGACAACTGTACAGAATCTTGTTTAAATATATAGATACTCATTATTAGTGTTATACTATACATAGTCTGGTTTAGTTAGTTAGTAGAACAATCGAAATGATGATTAAAATAATTCGTAAACCATTAATTACTACCATTGCATTATTATCTATAATGGGAGCAATATATTTTATGACTTCAAGTCATTCAAATATAGAAGTAAGTTTAGGACCCAATACTCCTATGAGTTTAATAAAAAGTGGAATTAATAAATTTAATAATTTTGGTGAATCTCCAACTCCTCCACCTAAGGAAGCACTTCTTAATAAACAAGAAATAATTGATGATGTTGAATCAACAGTTGCTGATAAAGATAAATCTATCTCAGATTTGAATAAAGATTATGGGAGTGATAGTGTAGATGATGATCCTAAGGATGTATATGCTGACGAAGATGCTAATACAGAAGAAAGTACCAAAAGTAAAGGATCAAAAGCTGCAAAGAAGGTCAAATCTAAAGAAATCAATGAAAAGATTTTAGATAGTGGTGATGAAATCGGTGGTGATCTTATAAGTGAAAATTTAGGAATCACTGAAACTCCATTTATGCCTCAAATGAATAATGCAACATTAAAAGCTCAATTAGGTAATGCAGCATGGAAATTATTTCATACTATATTAGCAAGATATCCTGATAAACCATCAGTTCAGGAAAGAAATACATTGAGTCAATACATTCAATTATTTGGTCAAATTTATCCATGTGGAGATTGTGCACGTCATTTCCAAAAATTATTAAAGAAATACCCTCCCCAAACTTCATCAAGAAAAACAGCAGCATTATGGGGATGTGATATTCATAATAAAGTTAATGAAAGGTTGAGTAAACCAGAATATGATTGTACGACTATTTTAGAAGATTATGATTGTGGTTGTGGAGAAGATGAGAAAGAGGCGGATCGTACTTTGGGAGGAGAAACCATGGATCATTTGAGAAAGATTAAAGTTGAAGAGATTGAAGAAGATGGACAATTGGGAGGTTAGATATTATATATTTAATTACAAGTCAATTACTACTGTGAACGATTAATTAATACGCATTAAAACCTACTTATTGGTATTTTATTATTATTATTATTATTACTATTATTATATATTATGATTATGATTATAATCTTGTTATTTTATTATTGGCATTCGTATATTCTCGTTAAATATTTCTATATGTATACTTTTGAAATGGTAATGTATACTTTTGAAATGGTAATGTATACTTTTGAAATGGTAACATTTACTTCCAATCTTGTAGATCTATTTCATTAACTTTATTACATTATAATACAACAACCAGCTCCACCTCCATTACTTGTATTCTTACTATTAGCTTTTAAATTCTTTAATGTTTGATAACGGGCATACTTATTCTGTTCTAGTGGTAACTTGAAAATATAAGGAATTAAATAGTCTGGAGTTTCTTGAATATAATTTATTAACAACAAACATGCATTTGAAGCAGGTATTCTTTCTCTTCTTAAAGTATCTTTCAATCGATTATTTAATTCTTGAATTCTCTTAAGTTTAATAACAGCTATTCTATCCGATATTACCCCACCATTAACCCCATTTATTTTATTATTAGTATTATCAGTCATAATTATTGTTTAATTTTAATTCTATTCTTCACTCAACCTTCAATATATCAAATACTCAAATAAAAAAGTAATAACATTAACATTATAATATTATCTTCGGGTATAAAACTATGGATTTATGATTGGGGATATCTGGGAGATGGTTTTCCTGCATATAGTCCAATCTGATACAAAATAATAATTATTATGTTATACATGTTACATGTCCCGATTAGGATAACTATTAGTGCCTGGTGCTATGTAAAGTAGGCGGTGTTGTACTGAAAATTTGTATAAGCAACACTCAAGGATAATTATTAAGTATATAGATATTAGATATTGTAATGTAATGTAATGTATTGGATTAGAATAGAATAGAATAGATTGTATTAGATTGGATTGGGTTGGATTTGAGGGACTCATGACAACGATTCTTTTGAGTAGTAGATTGATTAGACTAACAATTCTGTTAGACAAAGAATAATAACACTATGCAAATAGAAATAACACCAGCCAATATAAGTGTATCTCTTTTTCTTCTTGTATTTATCTTTGAAATAAGGGCATTTATTCCAGGAATATTTTGAATTATACTTAACATTCTCAGTTGAGCATTGTCAAGATATTGACGTTGTTGCATCAATTCATCTCTAGTTTGAAATGCTTGTTGTAATAATCTATCAGCAAAAGAATTAGCATTATCAACTCGTGATCTCTCATCGAGGATGTAATCATTAGCATTAATTTCATTAGTTTGATCACCTTCATTTGCATCACGACGATGATGAGCATCAATATCAGATCGAATAGAGAATAGAAGATTATTTCTATTACGTTCATCATTGATATTAGATTGAATCTTAAGGAAAGATGATCGATGATCACTAAGAATTTCTTTATGACGAGTTAATTGTTGAAGTTTGGAAGTCAGTAAATTATCCATTGATTCAGAAATTCGATTCAATTTCAGTAATAAAGATTCTCTCTTGGTTAGTATGGCAGAGATTTGAGATTCAAGACTAGATTCATCATTCGTTTTATCTATAATGTTCGATTGTTGAGTTTGAAATTCAGAATATTTAGATAGAAGAGTTTCTGTTTGTTTCTCTAAATTCAACGCCTGAGATCTTGTCTGTGTAAAAGTTGAAGATGACATGACTGATATATAATTATCTGATTTATGAATATTGTAAGGTAAGTACAATCCTATAATTATTGCCTTTGTAAACGTACACGAATTGATTTTTTAGGCAATGTTTTTCTTTGCGATTCGTACTGTATGAAATCACCCATCATTTTTACAACCAATTGAATCATCTCTAACCAATATTATTAATCATCTAATATATCGGATACAATGAAAGAAGATATATCTCAATTAGAACAGATTGTTCCTATTCCAATTGAAGAGGATCCATCGGATGAATATTCCGACTCTACTTTTAATTTAAAAATCATCAATACAACTTCTCATTCCACTAACTCTATTACCAAATCCCATGATATACCATCCTCATCATTTCCAAATCATAACTTACGTAAACAATTACTTTCAATTTTATATCGTACTCAAAAATATAGTGCATATACATTAGTTGGATTTTTAGGAATTCATCTAACTTCAGTTGTTATTGTACCTATTATCCCAATTGATAAAGATATTAAACACGAAATTTTTGAAATGGCAAGGAATGTTTATCATGGGATACCATTTTATGAAGAATTATTCATACTTGCTGCAGCTGTAATACATGTAGTTAGTGGAATTTCTAGTCGAATTGTGCGACGCCTGTTATATAATAAAACGCACGTTACTAAGAAGAATTCACAACACAATCATCATCACCATGATGATGTATTGAAAATAGTTGATGACACAAGAGATGATATTGGTTTAGGTGGTCTTACTAATTTCCTTGGTTTGGGATATAAGAAGTCATGGGTATCTAAAACATTAGGAATTGCTCCATTAAATTTCACAGGATATCTATTAATTCCAAGTTTATTATATCACGTTTACAAATTTAGATGGGTGCCATTGGTTGTAGATGGTGATTCAAATCTTATCAATTTAGAGTATATATCATATTATTTGAATATGGATAAATTAATTCCCTATTTGAATGGGGTCATGTTAGGATTTGTATTATATGTTGGTAGTTATCATTTTGTCAATGGGTTATTTAAATATTTCAGAAAATTTAGTCCGAATTGGAAAAGGATTGGATTTGCAATCGTTAATGGATTTAGTATAATTGGTTTTACTGTAATCATAAAATTTAGGGGAGGATTCAGTTTAAGTAATGATTTTATTGGCAAGAGTTTTGTAAAATATTTATCGTGGGGTTACATTTAATTAATTAAATAATAATAAATAGATAGTATATTTATAAGGACTATAGTTAACCCTTTACAAGGTAGCCAACAGTAAAAGATTGAACGGGGTTTTGATACTACTAAAAATGTGTAGAAATACTATATAAATAAAACACAAGACCCAAAGCAAGATACTAAAAAGGAAATCCTATTAGTAACAATAAGAAATAAAATGTGATTCAGCAATAAATAAATTAATTGGCAATAGCAGCTTCCTCAACAACTACTTGAGCACCTAAGGTTGGTTGCTTAACAAGTCTCTTTGATTTATAGTCTTTAACAGCTGATTTAATAGCATCTTCTGCTAACATTGAACAATGCAATTTAACAGGAGGTAAACTTAATTCTTTAGCAATGACAGTATTTTTAATTTTCAAAGCTTCATCTAAAGTTTTTCCTTTAACTAATTCAGTAACATAAGAAGAAGAAGCAATAGCAGAACCACAACCAAAAGTTTTGAACTTAACATCTTCTATTATACCAGAGTCTGGATTTACTTTAATTTGTAATCTCATTACATCACCACAAGCAGGGGCACCAACTAAACCAGTACCAACATCAGCATCATTTTTATTTAATGTACCGACATTTCTTGGATTTTCATAATGGTCTATAACTTTTTCATGATATGATCTTTTAGAAATGGTATTAAAATTGGTATTAATTGGATGAATTAACATTCTTGCCGAAGGGATGGCAATGGCAGAAGCTGTAATTGGTAATCTTGTAGAGATTGTTCTTAAGATTGATCTTGATAACATAGTTTATTAATATGATATGATAAATATAATTATAAATTAATTGCTTGGTTTGAAGGCAATAGCAAAATTTGAGGCAAATGAATAATTGGTTAAATTTAAAGTATAGATGGATTCGATAAAAATACTCAAACGAATTAATATAATTTGATTTGATTTGATATGATATGAATGATTAAAGTATAATATATAATGGTCTAACTGATATATAAGTGTAGATAGTTCCCTATATTAGTAATTGGATATAATACAAATTAATAGTTTAGATTATAGCAATAATAAACAGTTCGGTAATGTTAGTTCTTTTATATAGAAAATAAAAATTGATGAGAGAGTTCGTTAGAGAGAAAAAAAAGGTCGTGCCCATCCCTCGGATTAGGATAAGTTACACTAAATTAATTTAAAATGTATGGATGACACATAAGTAATATGAAATGAGGAGAATATTTGTGGTGACGACACTACTCTTGTTTGTAATTGGCTGAAGTCTTCTAGATTTAATTTTTTTTATCAGATTGCGATACCCATGTGCAGTCTCGGCCGTACATATCGGAACCGGCTAACGGACTTTCCTTTGTCCAAAATAGAAAAAAGGATTAGGGGTGAGTCGTGTCCCTCCCTCCCCTCCTTACGTATATGTACCCTGATCGGGTTGGAGTGAAAGGACGTGCACACACCAACAGTTACATGTTCGGTTCTCTTCTCAAGCTGCAAAAATACATAAATATAGTAAAGAAAACAGTACTTTGGTGTCATTTATTAATCGTGTTATGAACCTCAAACCAGAAAATAACAAAATGTGCAGATGGACTATGGGGTAGTTTTAGGACTAGAACATGTCCATAGAATACGAAATATATCCTGTATAAGTACTATAAGTATAGTTTACAAGCAGAACATACTTGTATATTGAGATAAAACCAGCATCTGGAGAATAATAAGAGATGCAGGTATAAAAGTAGAGGAATTGTGTAAATATATAGTAATTTAGGATCTAATAATGTTGAAGGCAACTCAGAGATAAGCTTAGTAATGCCCTAACACATTTTGTAATATAGAATAAAGGATAAGAGATAAGGATAAAGGGGGGCTAAAGTGCCGTAGGTGATACGTTATTGGAACATATCTGTTACGACATATAGGCAAATAGGTAGTGTGCATGACATATTTATATCAATTGTATTCAAAGAATAGAGGATTCAGTTGAAGAAGAAATAATGGCTAAACTATAATCATTACTAAAGAATTTAGTAATTTAAGAAGGCGGTGATTCTAAATCGGTCAATTAAAATGTCCTTGTAAGAGTTTTTAAATACGAGTGGATATATCATAAGCTTCTTTGTTTGAGAGTTTAACGTATACTTCCATTCTTTTCATGAATTAATTGCATTATTCTTGATGGTGAATAATGGAGTCTGTTGGACACAATATGTATGAAACACTCATTAACTACTACTTAAACTAAATTTATTGATTGTTTCTATCTAATTATATTTAATAATAAATAGAAGCCCTTGTCTCACAACTCTTTGTTATTTATTTCAAACCACTGATATGGTTCTACTTTCCTATCAATTACAAACTGATAGTCGTAAAAGAAGAAATACTTAAGATTTGGGTAATGAGTAATATTACATTTTATCCAGGATATTAATCTCTTAATTTCTTGCTTAATCTCTTTTCTTGGATCTTTCAGATTAAGGTGCAATAAGTCAATTTCCAATAATCTTGTCTTAAAATGCAAATTACATAAGCTGACCTTAACAAGTTCAAGATAAGAACCACAATATTTAAACAAACTCTTGACTGTTTCACAACTTTGACTAATATTTTCCATTTCTCTCAAGTCATCAACTTCTAGGCAAAACTTCTGAAGTCTATAGTCAGATAATAGGGGTATAAATTCATTTATATCTGAATCCACTCGTATAATAAGTACCCTTATGTTTGGCATAGATTTTACAGTACTCTTCAAGAATTTATTTATGTCGTTACTAGTATGGGGGTATACTTTGAAAATACAGACGGATAATTCAAGTTCCCTGACATTTTCACATTGGAATAGAGAGAAAGCTAATCTCTGGTAAACAAAGATGTGACCGTATGCTACACTCCAAGACACACATTTTACCCCAACAAAGAGTCCTTTCAATTGTTCTATCCAAGTGTCCAGTCTAGATCCTACGGCCAAGTTTATTCTTTTGACCAAATGAGCCGTGCTTTTAAATTGGTTTACTAAGTTCTGTTTAGGATTGTTCCATTCCAGTACGTCTAACATTCTAACAGATGTTTCATGTAATATTTTGCTTACAAATGACGGACTTTTTAGTCTTTCTAATTTAACCTGAGAAGCATAAGATGAAAACACCCAGTATTGGCTATGGAGGCTATAGATAACATATCCAAATTTCTTTAATATGGGATGCTTTTTTAGATTTTCAATTGGTATAATACCAAATTTCTTCATTTTAGGTAGGTTTTTGGAATTGACAATTGTGAATGGTGTGCTTTCCATTTTCCGATGAATCATGCAAGTAGTATCCAGTGATATAAGTAAAGCTGTCCTAAATAATTTTTTCATACATAACTTGTAAATCCTTGAGTTGACAAGGCATAAATCTAATAAATCAAGTTGATTCAAATGAGCTATTATTTGAACTAATATTCCATCAGGTAAGGATTCTAAACTAGTAGCTATTTGAGGTGGTTGTAGCGACGACTCAATACAGGATACGGTTTCCTTTGTCCATGCTTGAGATATCAAGCTACCAAACTCATTCACCACTGAGCGTACCATTATCTTATGTCTTGTTGCTGGTTGTTTAATATTTATGGCTGTTTGAATTAATATAGATAGTTGAGCTTTCCCTGCTTCTCTTTTTTGCAGCTACCGAAATAAGAGTACTGCATCAAGGAAAGAATAAAGGAAATTATTCAGGTATCATACAATTTAATTCAACTTATATAAATAGGAATACAGCCTTACATAACTAATTTTGTAAATTAAATAAAGAATAATGCTTAAACCATCTTATTAAAAAGCTGTTATACTTGGCTAGTTTATAGGTATTGTACTACTTTAGAGATTACTTGTTTATTCAATAACTAATAATTATAGAAGGGGGGGATTATCTAATATATATAGAAACAAGATGATTAGAACAATGATGACTCCTTAGAAGGTATAGCAACCTCCTATGACCTGTGTAGGATGTTATAGCCTACATAGGCTATTGTAGTATATGTTAGTGTTAGTGCTTAGCTAGGACTCAGTTCCATAGGCTAAACTTTGTTCTGCCCAGCTGGGAATTTCGGGGATGCGTGGATGCTTGGACACATACTAATTTGAAGGATGCTAGGATGTTTTCTTCAAAAATGCCAATTCAGTTCCATTTCTTGGCACATGACCGCGTACGCGTGACAAAAGCAAAATAAAATATTCCTCTTAGTTAACCTATAATTCCGCTTCCAACATTTCTCAGAAGTTCTACACAGTATTTAAGATAGCGGTCAATATTCTATAAGCTGACAAAAGGTACCTCGTATTGTTTTCTTATTTATATGTTTTACAACTTTGGTATGCAAATTTAGCATACGAAACTTAAAAACGTCCATGCCTGTTTTGGTGCTCCCACTTCCTTCCTAATTTAGACGTTTCGTATGCTCGAATTTGTCAATTTTTTGCAGCATGCCAAATTTGCAAATTTACAGACATAAACTATACACATATCTTATCTTATTTCCTGTATTAGTTATGTAGTGATTTAGGACACTTTCATTAGGTCCTCACATTTGAAATCAATTGTGAAGCTATTAACTGATCTTGTAATTTTGTAGCGTAAAGTTATAAATAACCGTTTAAGTAATCAGTAAACCCGCAGCTTGTTCAGTTATTGCTTGACCAATATTGATATTTTAATGATACACTTGTCATGTTTACTGCAATCTTACAGATCTTTGGATTCTCGAAGTCACGGGGTGGTGCTGCATTCTGGAAAATGATAATCTCTTGCGAAACTATAATTTTTTGCAGCAGCGGTTAATTTAATCTATAGTACTTATCATTAACTACATATCTAATTAATAATGGGCTCAGGCATCAGCTCAGAAGAGGTAAGTAGGGTTCCAGTCGGAACTCTTAAAACAAAGCCAAATCGTTTAAAGAATATGTTTTCCAGTAAATGCTTGACATGGGTATTAGCACTTACTGCAAGTACTTGTATAATCCTGATCATTTATAGCGGTTTCACCATTGCCAGTATGGAAAACACAGTACCACCACCTCCTTTCAAATCAGCTTTGAAAATAATTCTAATCATAAGCATTGTCTTATTTGCAATTACTATAATTGCTTTACTATTTCAATTCGTCATTATAAGAACTACAGAAAGTACAAATAGTACAAATTTGGAAATAATTCAACACACTATAGAATATATATATAATGAAAGCGAATTCGGTCCTTATGTAAAGAGATTAGTTGACGAAATTAATGCCAGAGAAAATGGTCAAGCTAATAATGGTCAAGCTAATAATGGTCAAGCTAATAATGTTCAAGTTGCTAATAATGGTCAACCTAATAATGGTCAACCTAATAATGGTCAACCTAATAATGGTCAAGTTGCTAATAATGGTCAACCTAATAATGGTCAACCTAATAATGGTCAAGCTAATAATGTTCAAGTAGCTAATAATGTTCAAGTAGCTAATAATGTTCAAGTTGCTAATAATGGTCAACCTAATAATGGTCAACCTAATAATGGTCAACCTAATAATGGTCAACCTAATAATGGTCAACAACCAAATGAAGATGCTGCTCCAGATGGAAGAGCTCCCGAATCTTAGCATTCAGTTATTTTATGAATTATTTGAAATGGTTATTAATCATATATTTTTGTATTCTTATATAGTTCATTGAATTAGTAGTATTATTATTTATTATTTATTATTTATTATTTATTATTATAATTGTTATTTGGATTGTTAAGTGACTTTAAAGGAACTTACAAAAGTAGTTGAAGTATTTACTTGCTCTTCACCCATTAAAGAATGAACAGTTGTATTGATAATTAATCCTCTCTTGGTGATTCAGGCATCAATAATGGATGTTGGATGACAATATATAAATATTTAAACAGCATAATGACCATCGCCTTCAAAAATAATTAAATCTTCTTGTTCTTCATTAACCAAGACTTTAACAATATTAGAAGATATCTTAGGATTATAAAACTTTCATCACTAATAACGTTAAATTTCCTTGTAACACCAATAAGATTAACTAATTTATCTCTTCTAATATTATGGGCTATAAATTTGAAATCAAATTATAATAAAATTAATAGCAAGGATAATTCACAATTAGCTTCATGAGTCTACTTTTATTGTTATTGTAATATGAATGTAGTCAAAGTGATAATATCAGTTTCCATGTCCAGCTATTAGGAATATAGTTTAGGCTCTTCAGTACTAGGAGTATTTATATTAAATTTGCATCCATACCTTCAACTGCTTTTTACTACAGTAATATTTCAATGAGAGACATCAATATATCAAATCTTATAGTTTCTGCTGTAAACTACTTCATTATCTTTACCAAGTATTCTTAAAGATTTGATGATTATCATTCAATATCTGCAATTAAAGATTTGATTAACCCATATTGATACTATTGTGGGTTCAAACCAATGGAGCCTTCTTCAACAGAAAATGGATCAGTAAATGGATTAGTAAATGATGAGATTTAGCTGATAGTTAATCATGTTATGAAACCCTATTAATCTGCTATATTCTAGACTTTACTAGGGATAGACTACTAGCGACATTAGCATTTGCTTCTTCTCAGATTATGAATATCACTTAACTGATGATCCAATAGAAACAGGTGAATGACTTATGGGTAAGGAAGTTTCTTATCTCTCACTCTCTCCGTGCCCTCTTTTTTTCAAAGCTTATATATCGGAGACGCCAGGATTCGAAGCGAGAGTACTAAACAGCATCACATTCAATGCTCCTGCACTCCACCTTAAAAGATCCCTGCATTCTCCATACAATTCAACAATTGCCACTATTATTACGGTGATTCACTTAGTTACCGAGTTTTACAATCACTTACACATCTTGTCTATTTTAGTCTCATTTATTTTTTAAGCTTATGTATTGACATTGATCCATTAATTGTCGATAACGTTATCATTTAATTGGTCAATTTCATATTTCATATCGACACATAGTTTATTCATTATGGTATCTCCCACTACTTCACTATCTACTAGTAAACCTACTCCTATTCCTAATTCAAATAAATCCAATTCTTATCCTAATGGAGAATCTCAACCAGAATTAAGTTTAAGTTCAAGTCTAGATTATGATACTGGAGTATCTAATGGGGATGTTGATTGGTTATTTCGAGGTAAATCCAAGAAATTAACTAAGAAGATGAATACTACTACACAACCTACTGATTCTACTAATACTAATACTAATACTAAAGATCATGACACTTCAGCTCCTGCGTCTCCTAAACAATCGAGAACATTGAGTACGACTACTTCCAATTTGGATACTACATCTACATCTACATCTACCCCCACTACCCCTACTACCAGTAATACTACCACCACTGCTACCAATACCACTTCAACTCCTACTACTACTACTACTGCTGCCTCAACATTATCGAAATTCAAATTCGGTAGATCAAGATCAAGCTCTGCTTCGGTGGCACAACCACAAGTTCAACATATCCAGAATTTAGACGATTCCTCCAAAAGAAGAGGTAGTCTTAATATTCTTACATCTGCTGCTACTGATTTAGCTGTTAATAATTCAAATGATTTATCATCATTGCCATCATCTTCTACTCCTTCCACCGTAACTAAAGTAGAATCTTCCAGTCCTAATGTATCAAGAAGTAATTCAGGTAAGTCAAGATCACTTTTCAGTTCACTTTCATCTAAATTTAAATCTTCAACTTCAACTTCTTCAAATACTACTTCTCCTAATATATCAGCTACTTCAACTGCTTCAAATTTATCTCCTTCATTACCTGATAGTGGGAATTCTAGTGCTGCAAGTAGTGCTAATATTTCTCCTGTGGTATCTCAACAACCAGGTCCTTCTAAATTATCATTAAATACTCCAAGTGTTAATATTCCATTAAATCCTAATCAAGAAACCCTAGTTAATAAACCTCCTGCTGGGGGAGGTATAGTGACAATTCCTAAACGTAGAACATCTTCATTAAGTTCAATGTTATCATCTTCACCTAGTGATATTTCCAATAGTTTAATAGGACTTTCAAGTTCCAATACTACTTCTCAATCACCCATTGAATCAGGAAAATTCTTTGGAAGAAGAAGATCTTCAGCAGCTCAAACTGTAGTGGATAAAAAGACCATTGCATCTACAACTACTCCAGCAAGAATTGTTCTTAATAAAAATCCTAATCGAGAACAAGTCCCACTTAAAGAATTATCTGGAGTTAAGTTACGTCGAGTTACATTTGCTCTTGATAAGTTGGTATATGATCCTCAACAACAAATTCCTTCTAGACGTCCAAAAAAGGGGAATGTATTAATTCCTCAAGATATTACTGCTCCACCTCCAAGATTATCTCAAGGTATATCATTAAATGATGGTACTTCGACTTCAGTTCCAGTCAATACTAATCCTCAATATTCAGAAAAGGAGATTGCCCTTGCGTTAGAAGCTCAACGTCGAGCCTTAGTAGAAGCTGAGAAACATGCACAAGAAGCTCATCTAACAGCTAAACGTTTAGCAACTGAAGTAGGGAGTTATAAACCACTTAAGATTACTATTTCTGGTGGTAAACGATTCACTCCTAATCTTATTCGTGAAGCAGATGAATATGAGAATGCCATTGAAGATGATGATAATGACAATGACAATGAAAATGACAATGACAATGATAATGACAATGATAATGATGAAGAAGTAGTGGATACACATTTCCAAAAATTCGAAATTGATATGCCCTTACATGTTCATGAGAATCATTTTGAAGATGAAGAACAACCCATAAGTCTAGATGATATATCACTTGAAACTATATACACCAGATGTTGTCATTTACGAGAGATCTTACCAATTCCAGCTACTCTTAAACAACTTAAGGGGAAATCCAAACCATTACAAGTATTAAAATTATTAAATCCTAAACCTACATTAATTGATGTATTATCATTTAGTGATTTTATTGCTATAACTCCTATAAATACCGTGATTTTTGATAATGTAACTATGACAACAGAGATGTTAAAACATTTTTTATCATCACTAGTTCATAATAAATCACTTGAAAAATTATCCTTAAGGAATGTAGCCATTGATGAACTTGGTTGGAAATATTTATGTAAATTTTTATCGAGAAATTCTACTATTAAGAAGTTAGATATTTCTCAACAACGGATTAAAAGTGATACTAAATCTAATTTAATTCGGGCTAATATGAATTGGGGATTATTTATTCAATCTCTTATACTTCGAAAGGGAATTGAAGAATTAGTTATTAATGGGTGCAAATTATCTGATGAAATCTTTAAAGAATTAATTGAAAATGCAGTAAAGATATCTACTTATAGATTAGGAGTAGCATCAATGGAATTAAATATCTTTAAATCCCAAATTGTGGCGAATTGGATTAGTGAACCTGATTCAAAATGTGTTGGAGTTGATGTTGCATTTAATGATTTAAGTCAAGGACAATTAAAACCATTAATTAATGCATTAAATAAATTAGCCACCACAAATCATTCTAAATTATTATTCTTTTCTTTACATTCAACTCATTTAACTAATATAGATGAAACAGCAGAACTTTTAAAGGCTTTAGTTAATGTTAAAACTTTAAGATTCTTAGATTTAAGTTCTTTACCAGATTTATTTCCAGGAATAATTTCAAAATTAAATAAGATTTTACCTCAATTTGAAAATCTTAGACGAATTCATTTTGATTTAAATGATTTAACTCCTCGAGCTATTGGAGCTATTTCTGAAATTATTCCAAAAATGAAATCTTTAGTCCATCTTTCATTACTTGGAAATCGTTCATTAAATCATTCATCTGCGGCTACTTTATATGCAGCTGTTAAGGCATCAACCACTATATTTACATTAGATTTAGATTATGATTTAGTTGATGATGATTTATCTCAACGTATAGCTTTTTATCTTATGAGAAATATGGATAGAACTTTAAAACCAGAACTTGGAAAGGATAATAAACCTCAAGATGAAAAGGAAGAAGATTTAATATTTGATGGAACTTTATTAATGCAAACAGCTGAAAAATTATTAAGAGAAAGTGATAATGGGAATGGAGAAGGAGAACCTGATAAAGAAGATCCAAAAATTCAAAGAATTGTAACTAATGCCTTGATTGAAAGAACTCGAGCAGTTAGAAAGGATATTCATAAAGTTATAGATACATTATTTGAAAAGAGAAATCAAGGTACAATATCTTTTGAAGGTAAAGAAAATTTATTAAGATTTTGTTTATTAGATTCAGCATTAGAAAAATTAGTTAATATGTTTGAAGAAAGATCTAAATGTAATAATACATTTCAAGATGTATTAACTCCTTCACCATCGGTTGATGAAAGGAGTGGATTTGATTTAAAAGATCAATCATCAATTAAACCAGATGCTTCAGGTACTCCATTGACTCTGATATCTTTAGATATTACTAATTCTGGTAGTAGTAATACTAATAATACTAATACTAACACTAATAATAGTAATAGTAATAGTATTAATACTACTAATACTAATAATGATAGTATAGGTAATAAAGTATTATTATCATCATCAGGAAATAAATTCTTTCCTCATGATACATTACATGAAAGTTCAACTGAAATGATTACTGCCGGTCCTATATTAAGTCCAAGAAATGCCGAAACTTTGGATCCATTTTTAGGTATAGATCAAACATTTCAACCTCATCAAGTTGTTATTGAATCTTCATCAGATGGTAAAGATGTTCCAATTGATAATTTTACTGGAAGACCAATTCTTATGAGATCAATTAGTCAAACATCTACTCATGCTAAAGAACAAGAACAAGAAGAAGGTGAATTACATCGATTTGGATTCTTTATGCAACAACATGATGATGATGATGAACAAGTCAATGGAGAGAATAAACAACCATTAACAGAAATACCCACCTTAAATGTCTTACCATCAGGTCCTGAATTAAGAGATGCTATTATGGAAGCTAAAGGAATTGAAAGTGTTACCGAATTAATTAATAAAATTAATAATAATTGTGTTAGCATTGATAATATTTATAAATTACCTACTAAGAAATCATCAATTGGATCAAATACCACTACTCCAGTAATTACTACTTCTTCATCTAATGATGATAAGAAAAAAGATGGAGGAGTTGGAACTTCATTAGATGATGGGAAACCAATTAAGAAATCTTCAATTACATCGGCTGATAATAATGATACTGATTCAATCGATTCATTTGATGATGAAAATGCCAATAATGATAATGAAAATAATCCGGCTCAACAAGTGAATGCCGTGGTAGATGAAGTTTATGATAAATTATTAAACGATGCACAAAGAGTTAGGCTGAATAAACAAGAATAAGCTTGCATTTGTATATTATATAGTATGTACATTATCTTTACATTATATATATTATATTTACATTATATTTGTTATACTTACTATGTATGTATGTATTACTATATGTATGATATATATTATATGTGCATTGTGCATTATATTCACTATATTTACATCGTGTAGTTAGTTAAGTAAATTTGCAGCTTATTTGTCTGCGAAAACTCGCTCCTCATTTAGCCGCCATTCATTAACAACCACTACTTAACCACCAATAGTCAATCCATGTCACAAGTAACTACCATCCTCCTGGATTCTCGGAGACTGCCCTCTCTCCTTCAACAGTTACATGAGAAGAATCTTCGAACTAGAGGAAACCAGAGTGTACTCAATGAACATGAACAAGAACAAGAACAACACCAGGAAGAAGAACAAGAATTAGTGTGCAGTAATTTAACTAAATATTGTCAGTATGCCAAGCTGTTTGGCAGAACCTTACTTGTGCGGTTTAAGAATGTCGGTTATCACTTGAATAAGCAGATGAAATCGTGTCACAGTATCTCTCATAGTATGACATATAATGATGAAGATTCATCTATGATTGGGAGTACAACAACTACAACTACAACTAGATCAATATCATGTCCAGTCTTACAATTACAACCCAGTATCATAAATTCTAATACAGAAGCCATTAGAGTGGTTACCAAAAAGAGATCAATAACTCTAGATCCTGAGACCATACTTCACAATAGGAAATTAAGAAGACAAAGAGTATTAGAGGCAGTCCATGATAAAAAGCATATTGAATATAACAATAGAAAACAACAGAATAAATCTTCATCTGTATCATCATTCTTATTATCAAAGATATGGTGTCTAGACAGACATCCTTCTGTACCTTTATTTGAAACATATCATCTTAAGCCATATAAAAAGCCCTAGTTGGATTTAGACTACAATTAATTAATTAATAAATAAATTTATATATATATATCCAAAAAGATTTTATAAGATTAAATTAATTACCCTATATAACAAAAAGAGATATATAAATATTACAACTAATAACTAAAATATATTAACAATTAAAAGGTAATTAAACAATTTAGTTAGCAGCTTGGAATTCAGCAATCTTCTTGGCAATCTTAGCTTGTCTTTCTTCTCTGGTTAATTTAACTTGTCTGTATTTCTTAGATTCAGCAGCGTATTGTTCCTTGGTGAATTTCTTTTCAGTTGGCTTGAAGGTTGGGTCTTCTCTAATCTTAGCGTGAGCTTCAGTGTAAAGTTCTTCAATGTCTTCAGCTTCAATTTCATCAGCAATATAAGATTTGAATAAAGTTCTGTATTTTTCTTCATCATCATCCATTAATTCTTCAATGTATTCAGCAACGTGACCACCGAAGATGTACTTTCTTAATAATTCAGCATCTAATTCTTCGGATTCGATATCCCAACCTGGGAATCTGTTTGGAGAGTGAGGAACGTATAAACCACCGTCAGAAGCACCCTTTAAGACACCAAAGATTCTAGCACCAGTGGTGGTTCTTTGTAAACCAACATCTAAGAAAACCTTGAAAGGTCTTGGGCCATCTTCAACAGCTTCGGTTAATTCGAATTCACCTTCAACTTCTTCAACACCTTGGTAAGTTTCATCTAAACCTAATTTTTGTAAGGCTCTTCTAGCAACTAATAAACCAACGGCGTAAGCAGCAGACCAGTTAGTTAAACCATGTTCAATACCATATTGAGGTAATTCATGAGCATAAGCAGCAGTTAAAACAACATCACCAGTAATTTGAGAAGAAATAATTTGAGCAATAATATCTTTGTTGGTGAATCTAACAACTAATCTATACTTTGGAGAGTTGTACTTAGCCTTGTGTTGAGTAACTAATCTCTTTCTTTGGTAGTAGTCGGTTTTACCTTCTTGTCTTCTACGGAAAGGAGTTTGGAAACGGGAGTGGTAAGAGGAGGTCTTTAAAGCTTTTTGGAAAGGCATTTTGTCTTAGAACTTGTTGGTTATGAAAAGCAGTAAAAGTGTATTAAGAGTGCTTTGAAAAATTTTTTCTTATACTCATTAAAAAAAATTTTAGAAAATTTTTGGAATTTTTCAGTCTGCGCACGACTCTGACATGTAAAAGTGGTTTTCGACTTTTTCGTATTTCGTCTCCTGTGTATACTCATATTTACTGAGCTTTGCTAGTTAATGTGTACTCACGATTACGCAGATATAGATACCATATGATTCATAACTATTAGTCACTAATACCAAGTAATTTATATACTATATATCTATATATATATACTAAATTGATATAGAAATCGTATAATTGACTTAGTAATTCAATTGCATAGTTAGTACCACAATTGCTTCACCCATTGAAGAATTTTATAGTGAAATACATTAGGTTAAGTACTATCAGGAGATAAGACCGACCCTTTTAAAGACTAAACACTAAAGTATAAAATTTATAACAAAACAAAAACAATGACAGAACTGGATCAAGTAATTACTTCCTTATTGGATACTGATCTTTATAAGTTATTTATGCATGCTGCAGTTCATCAACATTTCCCTAATGTTAATGTGGTATATAAATATACTAATCGTACTCCATCAATGATACTTAATCAAGAAGCCATTAGTTGGTTAAAATATCAAATTAATTTATTAGGTAATTTAACCTTTAGTAATGAAGAAATTGAATATATTAAACAATCATTACCTCAAATGCCTTTAGCTTATACTGAATATTTAAAGACTTTTAAATTAGATCCTCAAAATCAAATCAAATATTCAAATGATTATGATAATCTTGAACAATTTCAATTAGAAGTTGAAGGTAATTGGGATCAAACTATCTTATATGAAATTCCTATATTAGCATTAGTATCAGAAGCTTATTTTAAATTTGTTGATACAGATTGGAATTATGATGGACAAGTTGAATTAGCACAAATTAAATGTAAAGAATTATTTAATAATGAATGTAATTTTAGTGAATTTGGTACTAGAAGAAGAAGATCCTTTAAAGTTCAAGATTTAGTAGTTAAATCATTAAAAGAGTATGCAGAATTAAATCCATCTCAATCTAAATATTTAGCCGGTACATCAAATGTACTTTTAGCCAAGAAATATAATTTATCAGCAATTGGAACTGTAGCTCATGAATGGTTTATGGGAGTTGCATCAATTAGTCAAGATTATATTAATGCGAATAAATTATCAATGGATTATTGGATTCAAACATTTGGTACTCATTATGCAGGTTTGGCATTAACTGATACTTTTGGTACAGATTCATATTTAAAAGCTTTTATTAAACCATATACTGATTATTATACAGGGGTAAGACAAGATAGTGGAGATCCTGAATTATATGCAGAAAAGATTGCCAATCATTATAATAAATTAGGGTATGCACCATTTTCAAAAGTTATATGTTTTAGTGATTCATTAAATATTGAGAAATGTATAAACTATAAACATAAAGCTGATCAATTAGGATTAAAGGCGACATTTGGGATAGGAACATTCTTTACTAATGATTTTAAATCTAGTAAAAATCCATCAATTAAATCTCAACCCCTTAATATAGTTATAAAATTAAGAAAAGCCGGAGGTTATGATAGTATTAAGATTAGTGATAATTTAGGTAAAAATATGGGGAATCCTGAAATTGTCTCGAATGTTAAGAGAATACTTGGTTATGAAGAAAGACAATGGGAAGAGGGTGATGAGACTAAGAGATGGAAGTAGTGTATGTATAGTTTATAGTGTATGTATAGTTTATAGTTTATGAGTTACTTTTATTGATATAGTTAGCATAAGCGCTACCACAGGTCGTGTAAGTAACCTCAAATTGCAAAGGTCATTGCAGAAAATCTCACACTATACAAAGTTAGTTACACCCTAATAAGCTTCAATAGGAATTAAATCCCTAACTTTTTATAGCATGGAGTTAACGTTTGATAACCTATTGGGAGTACTAACTATTTCCAGTGGATCAGAAAGAAATGTCGACCAGAATCGAGCCGAGGATCAATTAAAAAAATGGGAAATTATACCTGGTTATCATTATTTACTTCAAGAAATATATTTAAAGGTTGAAATCCCCTTACAAGTTAGATGGTTATCTATAATTTGTTTTAAAAATGGAATTGATAAATATTGGAGATCTTCTCGTCAATATGCTATTTCTAAACAAGAAAAGGATCAAATTAGGAGTAGAGTATTCTTATTATTAAATGAACAAAATAATCAATTAACTATACAAAATGCTCATTCAATTGCAAGAATTTCAAGATTTGATTTCCCCAGTGAATGGCCAAGTTTATTTGATGATGTGGCAAAGAATTTAGAAGAATTTGTATTTAAAACAAATGATATTATATCAACTAATAATTTATTAATTATATTAAATAGAATTATTAAAACAATTTCAGTGGTAAGAATTGGTAGATCAAGACATGCAATGCAAGCTAAAGCTCCATTAGTAGTTAATATATTAATTAAATTATATCAAAAATTCTTTCAATTATGGACAAGAAATATGGATTTATCATTAATGGAAGTTTGTTATCTTTGTTTAAAAAATTTAAGAAGAATTATTCCTGAAGGTTATGAACAACCTCATAAAAATCAAGATGTTGTAGAATTTTTAAATACAACAGTTGATCATCTTCAATTATTAATTGATAATCATGATAAATATTCATCTGATTTATTAGAACGTTATGTTAAATGTTATTGTAAATTATATGTAACATTAATTACAACAAATCCAACAAGTTTTATTTTATTACCAAGTTGTCAAAAAATTTTAAATACATTTATTTCATTATTATATCAAAAGGCAGAATATATTTATAATAGTTCAGAAGAGAATGATTTTTGGGAAATTTTAGCTTTAAAAGCTTTTAATATTTATAAACATTTAGTGAATTATATTTATAGAAAGGGGGCTATAACTTTAAAACAAAAGAATGATAAAATTGAAGTAACTAATAGTTTAAATAAATTAACTAATGAATTCTTTACTCCTGATTTTATTAAACAATTTTGTGATTTAATAATTACTTGGTATCTTCGATTAAAACCTTCTGATTTAGAAAGTTGGACTCTTGAACCTGAAGAATGGTGTAATGAAGAATTTTCTAAACAATGGGAATATCAAATAAGACCATGTGCCGAGAATTTCTTTCAAGATTTAATGCAATATTTTAAAGATGATTTAACTGATTTTGTTATAAATAAAATTTCTAATGGTTTATTAGAAAGTGGATCAGTTGATAAAATATTAATTAGAGATTCTATTTTAAGTACTTTTCAACTTTCAGCTTATTCAATAGCTGATAATGTTAATTTTGATAAATTATTAATTGAAGTATTTATACCAGAAGGTATGAAAAATGATTTAATTGAAAATAAAATAATTAAGAGAAGAGTTTGTTTAATTATTAATGATTGGGTAGGTATTCAATGTAATCGAGAAAGTAGAGTTGAAATTTATAAATTATTACTTAATTTTTTACAAATTAGTAATGATAAAGTAGTTAAATTTTCGGCTATTCAATCTTTAAGAACAGTTATTGATGATTGGGATTTTAATAAACATGATTTTCAACCTTTCTTAAATTTATTTGTGGAATTATTATTAAATTTACTTGATGAATTAAAATTAACTGAATCTAAATTATATATATTTGATACATTAGCCGTATTAATTCAAAGATGTAATCCATTAGTTGATCATCAAACATTAATTAATATTTTAATAATTATTCCAAAATATTGGGAATTTAGTACCGTTAATAATGAACATATTTTAAAGAATTCATTACTTCGAGTATTAAAAAGTTTAACAATTTCATTAAATGAAAATTCAATTGAAACTCATTCAATTTCAATTCCATTAATTAGAAATTGTTGTGGATCAGATTTAAATGATTTATATGCTATATGTTCAGAAGATGGTTATGAATTATGGTTATCATTATTACAATATTGTCCTCAATCTCAATTAAATAATTCTGAAATTTTAAATTTATTTGATTTAATTTCAATTGGATTATTAAATTCAACAGAAATTTTACCAATTATATTATCAATTTTAAGAAGTTATTCATTATATTCTCCAAATTTATTTAATTCAGAAATTGGATTAGAATTATTAAAAATTTTAAGTGGATATTTATCTACTATGAGAGATGATTCATTTCAAATATTTATATCATTAATGGATATTTTAATTCTTGAAAATTATCAATCTCAAGAATTTATAACTAATTTAGTTAATAGTAATATGTTTTTAAATATGGTTGCTTATGTAATTGATGAAAATCAATCAATTATATCTGCTTCTAAATTATTAATTATATTATCAAGATTAGGTAAATCATCACCTGAAGTATTATTTAAATTATTTGAATATCATTCAAATATTGATATAGATCAATTATTTAAAATATGGTTACAATATTTTAAATCAATTGGTAATCCTCGAAATAAAAAAATTAATTTATTAGCATTAATTTCCATAGTTATATATGGAATTCCTAAAAATATTCCTATTTCATTACAGATTTATTCAGAAGTTATTAGAAAATCATTTTTATTTCTTGAAGAAGTTAATGAATCAACTACTGGGGTTTGTGATGCATATAAACAAGATTTTACTTATGAAGATCTTGATGATTATGCCTATTTAGATCCAGATATTAAACCTCATGGTGAAAAGATTAGGTATGAAATTTTACTTGAAAAACTGGATCCAGTATATACAGTAAATTTACAATCATACCTTAAAGATGCCATTATTCTGTTAAAATCTCAACTTCAACCGGCAGATTTCAATCAGGTGATGAATCTTAATGATGAATATAGTTTAGAAAAGCTTAAGTCTTTAGTATAGGTATCTATATATGGATATGTATAGATAAATCATTAGTGTAAATAGGAATAAGATAGACTGATTGCAAAAAAAAATGTGTGTGTGTGTGTGCGAATACTCTATTTCGTGTGCTGCGGCATGGATGTTTTTCTTTTGTGCGGCCAGTAGGTTGGAAAATCAAAAAGTACTCATGAACCTTTTTGGTGGCAATCACTGAATATTAAACCTCTACTAAAGTACCCAATTCTGAGTAGTCAATTACTGTATAGATCTGTATAGATAATTAGTTAATTGCTTAATTCCGTCAAAATGTTCAGAAACAATTACGATAACGATTCCGTAACATATTCTCCAACCGGTAGATTATTTCAAGTGGAGTATGCTTTAGAAGCCATTAAGCAAGGTAGTGCAGCCGTAGGATTAGTATCTAAAAGTCATGTTGTATTAGCGGCATTAAAACGTAATGCAGAAGAATTAGGTTCATATCAAAAGAAAATTATAAAAATTGATGATCATATGGGAATTGCCTTGGCAGGTTTAGCACCAGATGCAAGAGTATTAAGTAATTTCCTTAGAAAGCAAGCTATGAGTTCTAAAATGATTTTTAATAGACCATTACTGACTTCAAAAGCAGTATTATCAATTGCTGATAAAGCTCAAGAAAATACTCAATCTTATGGTTCAAGACCTTATGGAGTAGGATTATTAATTGCTGGTTATGATGAGACTGGAGCTCACTTGTATGAATTTCAACCTTCAGGTTCAGTATTAGAATATTATGGTGCAGCAATTGGGGCAAGATCTCAAGCTGCAAGAACTTATTTAGAAAGAAATTTAGATACAATTCTTGAAACTGATTCAGTTGAAGATTTAATTGTTCATGGATTAAATGCTTTAAGAGATACTTTATCTCAAGATGTTGAATTAACTTTTAAAAATACAAGTGTAAGTGTGGTTGGTAAAGAATCAGGTTTCACTATATATGATGATGAAGAAGTACAACAATGGTTGGATAAATTGGATTCTGTATCAAATGCTAGAAATAGAGATGATGATGACAATGATAATAATGAAGATTCCAATACTAATACTAATGAGGAAACCACCACGACTACCACTACCAATACCAATGATAATGAGAATCCTGCATCTGAAGAAACTACTACAGCTACTGAAACTGCACCTGAAGATGACACTAATACCACTACCGATCCTTCTGGTGATAGAATGGAAACTGATGATTAGTTATTAGTTATTAGTTACTAGTTACTAGATATACGTCATAGAAAAATATCTCTCTGTACATTAATACATATATTACCTATTTACATACAAGAAAGGAACATATTACTTTTGCTTTAGCTTTAATTGTTCCTGTTCTTGTTGTTGCTTAAGAGCAACTTGTCTGATTGCCTCCAAACATTTTTCTTGCATAGCAGTTACTTCTTGATTAAGTACTGTAGGATCATGTAATGTCTTATTATTTCTAATGTCATTGATCTTAGATCGAATTGAATCAATATCCAAATTAATTGAATTCTTAACTTCTTCTTCCATAAAATCTCCAAATTGAATTAAAGCATTTTCCGTATCAGTACATATAATATCTGCTCTTGAAGCATGTTCAAAATATTTACGTAATTCTTCATCTCTGGCTTTATTCTTAATACTTTCTTCAAGTATACTTTTAACTTCTTCTTCCAGTAATCCTGTTTCTCCAGAAACTTGAATTGATACAGTATTTGGTTTACCATAATGTTCCAGATCTTTACCATATTTAGTTTTATCAGTAGCTGATACATTTATAATTCCATCAGCATCAATTTCAAAGGTTACTCCAATTTGGGGTGTACCCTTTGGACCTCGAGGAATATTGGCTAATTGAAAATCTCCTATAAGTTTATTATCTTTAACTAATGATCTTTCACCTTGATATACTCTTATTTCAACTCCAGTTTGATTATCAACTGCCGTTGAAAATATTTGTTCCTTTTTAATGGGTACTGCTGAATTTCTAGGGATTAAGGGACTAAAGATTCCTCCATAAGTTTCAATACCTAATGAAAGAGGAGTTACATCAAGTAATACAACATCCTTTATTTGACCTGATAATACTGCACCTTGAATAGCAGCTCCTAATGCTACAGCTTCATCAGGATTAACTTCAGTATTAGGAACTTTATTAAATATACTTTCAACAATTTTTCTAATTTTCGGCATTCTAGTCATACCTCCTACAAGTATAACTTCATCTATATCTTCTATTTTTAATTCTGCATCTCTTATACATCTTTTAACTGGATCTATAGTTTTATTAATTAAATGTAATGACATTTCATCTAATTGATCTTCAGTTAATTTAATATTTATATGTTTATCTTTAGTAATAAATGGAATATTAATTTCTGTTTCTTTAATATGAGATAATTCAATCTTACACTTTTCAGCAGCTTCACGAATTCTTTGAACTGCTAATCTATCTTGCAGTAAATCTATTCCACTGTCTTGTTTGAAAGTATTCAATATATAATTTAATAATAAGATATCAAAATCTTCACCTCCCAAATGAGTATTACCATTAGTTGCTCTAACTTCAAATACTCCTTCATCAATATCTAAAATTGATATATCAAATGTTCCTCCTCCTAAATCAAATACAGCTACAATTCCATCCTTTTGTTTATTATTAATTCCATAGGCAAGTGCAGCAGCTGTTGGTTCATTAACCACTCTTAAGACTTCAAGTCCTACCAATTTACCGGAATTCTTAGTAGCCTGTCTTTGAGAATCATTAAAATATGCTGGAACAGTTACAACTGCATGTTTAATAGGTAATTGATGTTTTGGTAAATTACTTTCAGCAATATTTTTCATTTTTTGAAGAATTAATGAACTAATTTCTGAAGGAGATATTTGTTTACCACCTGATGTTTCAAGACAAGCATCTCCATTATTATGGGGTACTATTTTATATGGTACATGATCAAGATCTCGCTGAACTTCTTCATCATTAAATTTTCTACCAATTAATCTTTTAGTAGCAAAGAAAGTATTTTCAGGATTAATAACAGCTTGTCTTTTAGCTGCAAGTCCTACTAAAGTTTTACTATCATTATTTGAAAATGCCACTATTGAAGGTGTAGTTCTACCTCCTTCTTCATTTTCAAGTATAATTGCTTCTTTACCCTGTACTACAGCAACAGCTGAATTAGTAGTTCCAAGATCTATACCAATTACTGTATGTTGAAATCTTCTTACTAACCGATTGGGCTGATAAACTGATCTTCTCAATGTACTTCTTAACATTTCCAATGGTTCTTATATACTAAGTAGTGTTTTTGCCATTACATTTCCATAAGTCAAATCTATATAATGGGCTTCTAGTGACATTTTTCTTCGCCGTTATGTCGCAAAAAGTGGTTGAGAAAATTTGACATATGCCCTACATATATAAGCTAAATTAGAAGTAATAGAATTAATAGAATTAATAGAATTAATAGAATTAAACGTACGTATGCCTACGTATAGTATATGACTATATAAATAAGTAATAAAAAGCAATCCTGAAACTAACCCATGCTTACCCCAACATCCTCAATAAAAAATGGAGTACCATCCATATATCTTAACTTTGTAAAATACAAAAGCCCAATTATTTCAATCCCACCTTTCTCAACAAAGTTTGCTACTAATTCTCTATCTCTTACCGGATCATAAATCCAAACACATGAATTGGAATCATATACTTCAACTGATCTGGCCCGAGTATATACATAATAGTAGGTATTACTTGGCTCTTGAGAATTAGTATTATCTGTACACCCTAAAATAACACCAGTAGTACTAAATCTAGAATGTTTAATTAGATGACCTCGAAAACTTATTCTAGACATTCCTGCCTTCGATGATGATACCCTACTTTGAACAACTTTATAAAATGATATAGCCGAATTAATATCAAGTAAATCAACATTACGAATAAAGAATTGTCCTGGCTCAATATCACTTTTAAGTCTAAAATAATTTGATAACATAATAATTGCTCCATTTCTTTTCTGTTTTATTAATTGATAAATAGTACCAAAATGAATAAAATTATTTAAATTCATTAGATGTTTTTCAAACAGTGAACAAAATAAGAAATCTGAATATCCTCCAATACTCTCATAAAGCATAAATTTACACATGAATTCTTTGAATTTAATCTCATTGGAGTTTAAAAACAATGTAGTTCTTCTTTCAAAGAATACACAAGTATTTAATGAAAGCAATGAACCTAAAGCTCCAATATTGATAACAACATCATTATATCTCGACTTTTCAATAGGCAGCAAATATTCTCGCATATTATTAGGACGTAAGTTTAAATTTCTAATATAAGTAGCAATTTCATTATTTGTAAATGCTTGTAAAGTGAATGGTCTAGTAGATCCTCTATTTATACTTGCAAACACATAAGTATTGAAATTAATCTTTAGAAATAATTTGGTGATTTCAGCTTTGAAAATTATCGGTTGATTATCAACCATGATACTATCAAATTGAGCAAAGAATTCTAAAAGAATCTTTTGAAGAATTGATAATATTACCAATGGATGACCCTTTGCTAAATCACTGTATACTCTTAAAATATCAAAATCTTCTATATAATATTCATCATAGTATGATTCATCCATTACTGCTACATCCACAAGCAGATTAATTGAAAAACATGAATATGCAGTTGATATAACTTTTATGACAAATTTTATATAAGTTAATTCATCATTAAATTTTAAAATATTGTTGACCAATAGTATTTTATCTGAATTTTGTAATTGTAATTCTTTGTTATAAATATTAGTATATAATCTTCTTCTAACCATATCCAATTTTGTTCTACGATTATGAATAAGATCTTGAGATCCATTATTCATTATACTACTTCTAAACCATGAACCTTCCAATAACAGATCATGATTATTACTTAAATTTGATAATCCAATTCTAAAATTATGACAATTAACAAGATTTGCCAATAAAGATACTTGAGTTAAATCAACATCTTGAAACCTTCGAAGATCACTTAATAATAATTTATACTTTTGTCTATATATGCGAAGTATTATACCAATAAAATGATCATCATAACTATATTCATTAAGATAATAACCAATATTTCTAGCACCTCTAACTTCATATAATGATAAATCATGATGTAAAGCTTGCGATGCTCTATGCAAACCGAGTGATAATTCATAATATTGTTTCGCACTAGGTATTCCCGTATTAGTATCTATTTCATAATCTTGATATATATCCCCCCAATTATCAAAATATATCTTTTTCCATAATCGATCATCCCCTAATATTATATGACGAAGACATTTATTAGTAGATGATAAATTAAGGATTGATTCGATATTTATACATTCTTGTATAAGAATTTGATGTACAATGTCGGCTGGTAATTCGTACAAATGCATCCTTGACACTTCTGTACCATTCCACCTCAATATCACAATATATACTTAGTCTTGTAGTACTATTTGCCTTTGCCTTTGCCTGTTATCTCCAGGAAATCAGTTTTGTTTATGTTTTGGCTCGCACACATTTCTTTAATTCTCACTCTTTTTGTTAGGCCAGTACTTTTTTTTTTAACCGGAGGCCCTTAAAGCTTATTAGCGATGGCGATGAGTTCACCTAAAGAACACTAAATAAATAATGGGTAAAAGAAAAGGAAATGGAGGAAATGATGGAGGTAAAAAGAAAAAGTTTAAGGCATCGGGATTTGTAGATCCAAACACCAGTGGGATTTATGCTACTTGTAATCGTGGTAGAGAACAACAATGTCGTAAAGAGTTGATGAATTTATTCTCGGAGAAGATTGAAGAATACTTTGATTTAGATAAGGAAGTGAGTGATGATGAAGAAGAAGAAAATGACGAGATAGAAAAGAAAGAATTATCTATTGAGGATCAAATTAAACAAGAACTTAATGATATGAAGGAAGAGAAAAAATCTAAGAAGGCATTATTGCAGCCTATTGAATTAGGTTGTGAATGTCTTATATTTATTAAAACTAGGAGGCCTATTGATCCTGAAGAATTAGTTACTAGAATATGTCAAGAAGGATATGAATCAAATATAAAGACAACTAGATATACTCAAAAATTATCTCCAGTAACTTATTCTGTAAGTCCTACTATTGAAGAGATTAAAAAATTGGCTTTAAGAGTATTAGCCAAACATTTTCATCAACCAAAGGATATTCAAAAGCCTCTTAAATTTGCTATTCAAATAAATAAAAGAAATTTCAATGCTATACCGAAAGACAATATTATTAAAGCTGTGGCAGAATGTGTTGGTAGAGAACATGGTCATCAAGTTGATTTAAAGAATTATGATAAACTTATCATGGTGGAATGTTATAAAACGAACGTAGGAATGAGTGTAGTCGATAATTATTTGAAATATGAAAAGTTTAACTTACAACAAATATTCGAAAAGAACTTACCAGATGATAGTTCAGATAGTACTAGTAGAGTTAAGAAAAGTTCAGAGCAAAAGACTGAATCTGACAATGAAAAGGAACATTAATCAAAACGTAAACTGTAAATAATATGTGTATTAATATTAATAATAAGATTAAGATTAAGACGATAATCTTTCCTTTATATCCTTTATTTCTTTCCAAGCTATCCAATCAGCTTCAGTATGAGGTATAAGACCCATCTTATATAATTTATAAATACCAATGGACATATTCAATATTTGAAATAATATAAATACTGCCTTGGCAAGTAATATTGTTGTACCATTCTTTTTTGTAGTTAAATTTATAAAATTAGGGTTAGTTTCATTAAATATAGCCTTTAATGGATTCCATAATAACATTAATGTCATAGTTACAGGAATGATCTGTAAAGAATTCCCTGTCATATAACTCATTATAGCATTCATAGGTATTGATTTGGCTGGTCCTATAGCAACTTCCCAAGCCTTCTTTTCTTTCAATTCTTCAAGTCTTTCTTCTTCATTAACAGTAGAACTCACAGTTGACTTCTTACTCTTGGAGTTGTTCGTGCCTTTAGCCTCATATGCAAAGCCTGGAGGGTTTGGTAAGTCTTTCTTGGTGGACTTAGGAGCTCCAGGTACCTTTGGATTTATTAATTCATCGAATTGACTCATACCTGTCCCCTTTATAGCTTATAATTATGTTTCCTACTAACTGAACAGTACTGGATCTGATAGTGGGCTTTAAAGTAATTTTGCTGAGAGTGAGGGCCCCTGCGAAACTCAATACCGCAATATTAATTGTCTGCGGTTTGCGACTTTTTCGGAACCAGCAGTTTTGACAGGGGAAGAAAGATGTATCTGTACCAGTAGCGATAGTTACAGGGGGTTCAAATTAGTGAATCTCAGTAATAATTGCTTATAATAGAGTCCAATTGAATAGGAATAGATTGAGGATATATAGCAATTATGAATTCAACAACATCATTCAAATCCAATCCATTAAATAAGATTATAGGACTTTCTATAATCTTATCAATGGGATTCTTATTAGTTATCTTAGCAGGAATATATGGGAATTGGTTCCCAATTATAATTGGAATAATATTTGCAATTGCTCATTTACCTGTTGTAATTACTCAAGCCGTATATAATTCTTCTGATTATGATTTTAGTTTTGATCCTGCAACTTCATCATCTACTAATGTAGTTAAAGAATTTGGACAATTTCTTTCTGCTTTCTTATTAGTATCAGGATTTTATTTACCAGTAATATTACATCATTCATTAATTTTAACTAGAACAGCTATGGTCTTGACGATCATTGGTGGTACATTAATTTATGGTACAGTTTATACATTTAGTCTGTTCTTTGATGAAAGAGAAGATGAAGATGAAGTTCCTGATCTTGGAGGAGGAGTCATTTAGTCATAAAAAGTCTTACATTTACGTATTATATCTAGATGGTATAAAAATTACAACAATTGATTAGTAAATATGGTTAATATACAATTGCTATTGTAACTATTATAGTAACTATAACTATAATTGTAGTAACTGTAAATATAAGTAATCACTTATGTGTGTTAATTATACTGTAATTTACCCGGCCCACTACGTAAATTTGCGCACTAGCAAAAAGTGCGAACCGAGATTGGAACACCGACCTAGACATGGAAATTGAATATCTCTTTTATCATTCAATCACTAATAACAATAAGGCTAACCACTATACCGTAATGAGTTATACCAATAATGAATTGGCAAAGGCCGAATTAGAAATCTTGGAAGATCATAGACTTCATGAAAAATTGGTTAATGAAGAATTTAAAATATGGAAGAAGACTGTACCTTTATTGTATGATACAATTCATACATTTGCATTGGATAGTCCATCTTTAGTATTTCAATGGTTACCAAAATTTAGTTATTCTAATGAAAATCAAATAATTACTGCCAAATTTTTAATTGGAACTAATTCTATTGAAAATTCAAATGCTACAAATGGTGGACTGAATTATTTAAAAATTGGTTCAGTAGAATTACCTGGTAGTTTAGCTCCTGATTTTACTAAACCAATTTCAAAACCTACTAGTCTTAATGCTGATTTCTCAACTTCTAATTTTGTATTTAATTTAGGTTGGAAACAAACTTCTGAAGTTAATAAATTAAGTTTAAGTCCTGATTCTTCAATAGTATTAAGTTTTAATGGTGATGGGGTTGTTCATTCTTATAATTTAGAAAATAATGATGTTATTGATTATAAATATCATAAACAAGAAGGTTATGCATTAGAATGGATTTCTAATGAAGTCTTTTTATCAGGTTCTAATGATTCACAAATTGCTTTATGGAATATAAATAAACCTTCAACTCCAATTCAATTATTTAAAAGTCATTTTGGGGCAGTAAATGATATTTCAACAAATTCAGTAGTTCATGAAATATTTGCATCTGTTTCTGATGATTATACTACTCAAATTCATGATTCAAGAGTTTCAGCTGATGATTCAATAGTTTTGAAAATTAAAAATAAATATATTCAAAATGCCATTAAATTCAATCCAAATGTACAAACATTTTATGCTACTGCTGGTAAAGATAATGTGGTTAATTTATATGATTTAAGAAGTCCAGATCAACCATTCAGGCAATTAGTTGGTCATAATGATAATGTTATTGGATTACAATGGAATAATCATGATGCTACATCTTTAACATCTTGGGGTTCTGATAAAAGAGTAATAACTTGGGACTTGGAAAATTTGGATGAAGATTTTGTTTATTCACCTGATTCATCTAATGAATCATCAAGGAAGAGATCTTCTAACAATAATAATAATAATAAAGTTGATCCATGTTTGAAATTCATTCATGCAGGTCACACAAATCGTATAAATGATGTTGCTTTACATCCTGTTATAAAGAATTTATATGGATCTGTTGGTGATGATAATTTATTGGAAATATGGCAACCAAAGACATTACCAGTTGAAGAAGAAGAAGAAGAAGAAGAGCCAGAAGAAGAAGCACCAGAAGAACAAGAAGAACCAGAACTGCAAAAATCATCTACTAAGGATGATACTGAGGCTTCTGCCCCTACATCCACAATCACTACCAAAAACGATGAGCCAACAGCAGAAGAAGTCGCACCAACAAAAGCTTCAAATGATGAAGATAAGAAGGTGGCGGTTGACGAAAAGAAACTGGAAGATTCTACTACCGATACTACAAAGGATGTTGAAATGACAGAATAATTGTAATTGTCAATACACACTACTTCTCTAAATTGTTATGTATTATTAGCTTGTATATCTATAAATTCTATAAATTATAGTAATTCCAAAAGTCTTTGTTCTTATATCTATATGTTTACCGCTTTAGGAATATTAATTATGTGCATTTTGGCAGACGCGTAGAAATTTTTCAAAATCTCAAAAATATCTCAACCATATAACCTTAACTAAGGAACCACTAAGACTATAATATCGTGAAATAGAGTTATGACTGTTGATATCCTTTGGAGGAGTATTCCTATTAATGAAGTCGAGTTGAGTTTGGCCAAAGTTTTACGATGTGGACAGACCTTCCGATGGAAAAATATCAATAATATATGGTCATTTGCCTTACAAGATCGGATAGTTTTACTTAAACAACAAGAACAAAGTATAGAATATTCACATATAATGCAAGAAGATTTGGAAGGGAAGAAACCTAGTCATGTATTGGAAAAGGAAACTTATACTTTTATTCATGATTATTTTAATTTAAATACTAATCTTGATAATTTATACAAGAGCTGGATCAAATTTCATCAACCATTCAACAAGAAGAATTCCAAGATAAGTCCATTTACTGAATTCCAGGGAATTAGAATTATTAGACAAGATCCTTGGGAATGTCTTATTAGTTTTATCTGTTCATCAAACAATAATGTTAAGAGAATATCTAAGATGTGTGATAATCTCTGTACTCACTTTGGAGACTATATCAATGAATATAATGGAATAAAGTACTATTCATTTCCTACAGCTGAAAAGCTTGCATCATTGCCTAATGTGGAACAACTGCTTCGAACTTTAGGATTTGGTTATCGAGCCAAATATATCTATGATACAGCTAAGAAGTTAACCGATAATGATAAGTTTCCAGGTATTACTATTGAGAAATTGAATGATTTACGTAATCAAGACTATGAGACGAGTCATAATTTCTTATTACAATTGACCGGAGTTGGTCCTAAGGTAGCAGATTGTATCTGTTTGATGGCATTAGATAAGCATGATGTTGTTCCAGTAGATACTCATGTATATCAGATAGCCGTTAGAGATTATAAATTTAAAGGTAAGAAAGATATGAAAACCATGAATAAGGCAACCTATGTTGCCATAGGAGAGTTTTTCAAGGAATTGTATGGGCCCTATGCTGGTTGGGCTCAGTCGGTGTTATTTGCATCTGATCTCACTGACTTAAAAAATGGAACCAATATATTAGATCAAGAGTTATCTTCCACAATAGTTAAAGAAGAAAGTCCAAAAAAGAGGGTTAAACTAGAGGCGTAGATCGTATACTAGTTATTAATTTTTATATAGTCAATATAGATCATTAACTAAAGTGGTCCCAATGTCTTATTATGCATGCCTTATTTGTATTGCAGCTGTTCTTGATTTCTGCCGTGTAGCTTTTTTGCCGGTGCATCTTTTTTTTTTTTGAGCCTACTTTTTGCATCCTTACTTAATTATAGTTAATTAAGATACGATTCTGTTACAATAGATTCTAAACATTTGATTGCTTAAAAAGTTTTTTTAATTAGGTACATACTCTAAACACAAGTATATAATTGCTTTAAGATCTTTAAGTTTTCAAGGGTATATCTGTGATGAAAGTGTTGTCGTTAAACCAAGACAATAATAACTGATAATGTGGCAAGAATGAAATAGGAAGATATAAATCTGACTTCACCTGCAGCATTAATCATCAGGTTGTTGGAAGCAGAGCTAGAAGCAGAGCTCGAAGCAGGGCCAGAAGTATAGCTAGTAGACACAGTACTTGAGGGGCATGAATCAATCGAGCATGACGACATAAGCGATTGAACGTTTTCATTTGGGCCATTGTTGGGGGCTATAAGCAAAGGATGATTAGTTTCGGGATCATGGTTGCCCATCTGCCTCTTCTCATTATCTGAACCATCTTGAAGTATAAGCTGGACTGGATGGCCATGTGCGTGAATTAAATTCAAAAATAACAAAGCAAAAATAATGTTGAACTTCATAATGGGCTAGCTGGATTAATTGGTCTTTAGGGATGTTCTGATGTCTGAGTAAAAGAATTTTGCCATTTCTTAATCCAAAAGTGCCCTATTTATAGTTTTTAACTCTCAAGTACGGTGGAGCTTTAGCACCAATCAGAAACGAATATTCAAGTATGTGTAGTACATTATTCTTACTTCTCATACTCTACTTACCTTAAAATCTTTCATATCAGGAATCACTAACTGCTTCCACCACAAATTAACTCAAATTCAGAGTAGTTACGCAATGTATTTATCTACTTAGCAACATGTTATGTAAATATTAAACTAGACGAACCAATCAGAATGCGTTCTGTGAATAGGAGATCGGCTAAGAATAACTATTATTAGATACGTAATAGATCATGACTACTTACAAGGACTAGTTGGAAACAAAATGATGCCGCATGAACATATGGCACAGATCTACAATGGTTTTTGTCCAATAGGAATTGATAAACCTTCAAATAAATCTAAGCTGCAAAATACCTAAAGCTTTGTTCTGAATGTGTCTCCTTCCTAATTGGGAATTTTAATAAATCCTCGTTTCCTATTGGATGAAATTTTGGCTGTAGCGCGTTTTGAAAAACCTGTAAAATCCTGTTAGGACAGATTTAGAATCAGGCTCACTAAACAACATGAAATTCTCATATCTTATTGGTCAAAATAGCTTGTCCTTGAAGCTTCAATTAAAACGCGCACATCGATTGACAGAGTTCTTAACTCCTTTTAGCAAAGATTCTTGAATGAAAAAAATATGTTGGGTTTGATTTAAGGGATATGAACAACAATTTTCTAACAGCCAAACTACCGTGGCTGTGGTTATTCCTACCTTCAAATTTAAAATATTAATTTGAAAATTTAATAATTCAAGAAAGTTATCACTTGATTTTATGTTGTAGTGAAGGTATGCAGATTAATAATTAGCATGAAATGATCAAAAACCTTCGACACATATAAAATCAATGTAATAGTTAATGAGTAAATTTTACGAAAGAGGTTAAACTGCAGGCATAGATAGAACTTATACTGGTTATAAAATTAGGAATCTTATGCAATGTAACAGGTAAGCAATACCGCATACTTTTCTTAGAAAAGAAATTTGCACTGATTCCCAAATGTGGGGAACTATTTCAAGTGTACCTTTTAAACAATATAATAAAAAATATCTATATAAGTGTATATCACAAATGTATTACAACAAATAAGGAAGTTCATCTCGGAACATATAATAATCCTCAACTATGATGTGGTTCATATCCCACGCTTGTAAAATTTTGCAGCTATCAAAATCATAGTCAAAAGGTTCCATTTGGTTCTATGGCGCAAAAAAAGAAATTATCGAAAAAAAAGGTCGTGCAACGGGGCACAGTTCTGGACCTTTTTTTTTATTAGCATTTTATCTAGTCTGTGAAAATTTGGGCCGAGCAAAATTGTAAAGGGTAACAGTAAAGGAGTAACTGTTAAGATCATATTCTTGAAGAATACGGTCTAAGTCGTCATACCAAACCTTGTACATAGTTTTAAGGTTGTCCCAACTTGAAATCAAATAATCCACTTTGTGTTGGAGTCAATAGATCATTTAGATAATCTTATCGGATAGACGTCGTATAGCTTATTAGCATATCGTATAATTTAAAATCATGCCTGAACCATCATATACAAAAGAACAAGAGACAATCGTCTTAAAGATTCTATCATATAAGCCTCATCAGTTTTATGAAATTTTACAAGTTACTAAAACTTCAAATGAAGGAGAAATTAAGAAATCATATAGAAAATTAGCTATCAAATTACACCCTGATAAAAATTCCCATCCTAGAGCTGCTGAAGCCTTCAAATTTTTAAATAAAGCTTGGGGTGTTTTAAGTGATCCATCAAAGAAAAAACTTTATGATCAGACAGGATCTGATCCAGATTCAAGATTCGCAGGTTATAATAGTTCTGCATCTAGTTCAGGTGCTTCTAGGGGTGGCGCTAGCCCGTTCGGAGGTTTCCAAGGTGGTGCAAGTCCTTTTGATGATGATATATTTAATATGTTCTTTGGAGGTGGTGGAGCTCAGGGTCCAACTTTCACTTTTGGAGGTAACGGATTCACTTTTCAATCTTTTGGTGGTGGACAACCATACGTAAGACAAAGATATCAACCAAGACGTCAACAGCGTCAACAGCAACAAGGTAGTCAACAATCACAAGAGGAACCATCCTTTATGGAAAGTTTAAGACAATTATTACCAATATTATTGATCATATTAGTTCCACTCCTTTCTGCATTATTCTCTGATTCATCGTCATCAGTACCTGACTATTCATTCGTTAAAGATAATCAATACAATTTACAAAGAGTAACACCTAGATATAAAATTCCATTTTATGTCACTCAAAACTTTGATACTAATAAGAAATTGCTGGATAAACAAATAAGGAATTTCGATTCAAAAGTAGAAAGTGTTTATATACAACATAAAAGAACGAATTGTGCAAGAGAGCAGACAATTAAAAATGAAATGATTGAAGATGCTCAGGGTTGGTTTTCTACTGATTATGAAAAGCTAAAGGAAGCTGAAGATTTACCAATGCCAAATTGTAAAGCATTAAGAGATTTACATTTAATTTAAAATAAGTATTCATTTAATTCTATCAGGAGCATATTTAATAAACACTTTGCTAATATTAATTGGCTACAAATTTATAAAGTAAGAATAGAAAATATTTTGAACTACGTAGAATTATCGATATGAAATATTTCAAGACTAATCTTGATGATATGTTTCAGGTGGGCCTAAGAAGGATTCAACAACGCCTCCGAAGTCAACAACAACCTTTTGGAAAACAACTGCTGGTTCTAAGGCCCATAACTTTAAAACATGCTCTCCACCATCAAGGATGTGGGTAGTATTATGAATCCAAACTCCATCATCTGCTGCAGTCTCCCATCCTGCTGGCATAGCAGTTGGATCGGTCGGATCAACCACAATTTGAACTATTTGAGGTTCCTCATTGTCAACTGCAATGGCATACTTCAATGGACGGTATGGATTAACATTCAATGATGGTGAAGTGTATACTGTGACATTTGCACCGTATTGGGGAGCAGTGAAACTGTAAAAGTTATATTCTAAATGCGAAGAATCATCACTAGCTTGTTGTGAATCAGCATTGACAGGGAACAATGTTACACCTGATAAGGTTCTACCATATCTGTCAATTTCAACATAGTATGTATCATTAGTTGAAATATTATTAGTAAAATGACCAGCTTCAATTGAAATTAATTGAGCAGATTCAATAAAACCACTGAAATTGGAAGGTGCACTTGTTTTATTTATTGGTAAATGAACCGAAGGTTCACCAAAGAATCCATAGCTTGAATTGGAAGATATATCAATAAAATCAATATTGTATCCATCTGGGGCTTTGTCCCAGTCAACGGTCACTTCAAGGAAGACTGAGTTCCAAATGCTATTATTAGTAGCAGAAATAGCTCCTGTTGATGGAGTGATTGTGACATAATCATTTTCGGCTGTTGCATTAAAGCTGATATCATAAATCCCTCTGTTGAATATTTCAATATACCTGCTTGGGGTATATGGATCCAATACAGGTAGAACCAATGTGTTATTACTATAGGCAACAGCATTATATTGATCATCACCAGGCACAGCACCTCTTGATTGTTCAACTGTCAACCCCAATGATCCAGCTAATGCATCTTCTGCTGATTGAACAAAAGCAACAGGCGGCATGGTATTCCTCATAGGTTGTTGCCAATAATCATAACCTAAATGGGTCTGATCCATCATATGAATCCATTTGCCGTCGAGTAAGGCATCATATTCCTTTTTCCAGTTGAAATCGTCTTGAAATCTTTGTTGAACATACTGTGCTAAAGAATTTGCTTGATTCCTTCTTTGTTCAGCATATAGGTGGTTTTTACCTGCTGAGATTTGGATATCATAGACGGTGTAACCAGCAACAACAGGATGAAGAATATATTCAAAGAAAGATGGTTGAACTTTCTGGGGTAATTTGTTGTATACGGCCCAAGCCCTGTCTGTTAAATTAGACCATTGTTCAAGAATAGTAACAGCTTCATTATAATTATATAAGTGATAGGTAGTTGTGTTTAATGATTCGTACTTCTTTCTTGATGCATAAAATCCATAGAGATCTAATATATCTGCAATTTCTTCAACATCGTTATAGTAAGCTCCGAATTCTCTTTCTGCCCAAGCAACGGTCCAATTCATGACAGTATTTATTTGTCCCCAAGTATCCATATCATAAGCCAATGAAAAGAAATATTCGATGGGTACTTCTAAAGGCTTCAAATCACCTACATTAACAACCCAAATTCTGTCAGCTTCTCTTTCGTAAGTCAAATGCATTTGTTCCCAAGTCTTCTCTAATGAAATGGTATTGATCCATTTGAAATCTCTTGGATCACCCACATAATCAAAGTGATAATACATACCAGCACCTCCTGCTCTTGATGTTTCATTAGAAACTGGAAGTCTTCTTACATTACCCCAATTATCATCAACCCATAATAAAGTAATGTCATCTGGAACTGACATTCCTTCTTGATAATAAGCTTGGACTTCTTTGTATAAACACCAAACCTGTGGAATATTAGTAACATTAGTTTCATTGAAGTATTCACCCAAAAGTTCTCTTTGAGTTTTAATGACATCCTCTAACAACGAAACTTCAACCCCTCCTGTAATTGGGGTATCACCAAATCCTCTCATACCAGTTGTCCACATATTATCGTATGGTTTACTTCTAATAATTCCTTCTCTCCAAAATTCAATAATGTTATCTTTATTAGTACTATAATCCCAAGAACCATTTCCAAAAGTAGTCCATTCATTAGTCGCTCTCATCAATGGTTCTGTATGAGAAGTTGACATTACAATACCGTAATAATCAGCCCAATATTGATTTTTAGGATCATCAACTCCAAACATGCTAGCCCACATTGCTGGCCATAAAAAATTGGCTCTCATCCTAAGCAATAATTCGAAAAGGTTAACGTAGAACTCATGAACAAAATAGGAGTTGTACAAACCCTCTGGATACTTTGCTTGTACCCAACCAGCTAAACTTGGTTGTTCATCATTAAGAAAAAGACCTCTATATTTCACACTTGGTTCACCCTGAGTTTTGACAATAGATTTAGAAACATATATTTGATTACGTTCTGGGGGTACTACATCGGCGAACCAATACCAAGGAGATACTCCAATTTGTTCCGAAACATCATAAATACCGAATATGGAACCTCTCTTATCACTACCTGCAATAACCAAAGCACTTTGAATACAAGGTGCTGGATTTTGAATAACCTTGGAAATATAAGATTCCCATTTACCTTCGATTTCACTTACATTAAGTTGTTTGCTTGAAATTAATCCATCAATAATAGATGAATTCCCAATAGTACCAACAATTATAGCCGTATCAATTTGCCCATGAACAGAAGAGCAAATGTTACTTGTAAAATTAACGACAGGTAAAGAATATCCTGTTACTTTCTTAAAATCATCACTGAGATCTAAACCAGCTCGAATAACACCTGGCCAGTCTTGTTGGTCTAAGAATAATGTTGCAACTTGATGGTTTGCATATAATGGTAATAAATCTTGCCCCTTACTTTCTTCAAAAAAGATGTTTTGCAACCCACCCAATGCGGAAACAGTAGACGCCGCAGCAATCAATGTGACAACATATTGTACCAAAGAACCCATTGTTTATTGTTAGGATTATTTAGTTGTTTATCTTGTTTTGTTGATGCGATCAAAACAACCAATAAATAACTGGGAAACCAAATCAGTATTTATAGTCGCTTTTAACTACTTATCATTCTTTACCTCAGTGTAAGCGCAAAATCTTTCGGATACCCTATTAAGCGTTTGGGTATGTATCATCTTCTGTATTTTTGTTTTGATTCCCGAAAGGGTTGTTAACTGCAAACACCGTACTACATTGTTCTCTTTGTTCGAATATGGGGTAGTGCAGCATTTTCGCAAAATTGAACAATACCACATGCAACTTGCCAGATTATTGACCTCTTCTACCTTCTAGCTACCGAAAAAAAGCGGTCACAGATTTGTAAAATCCCTTAATTGATAACCACATATCAAGCATTCTTCGACCTTCTTTAGAAATTCAATAGCTCTGTCTCCAATCAAATGTTAAGGGTATACCTTATACATTTCCGTGCGCAATTTTTAAGGTACATTGTTGCCTTATAAAAATGCGGGGGGCTTGTATGGCTTTTAGTTGCGAAATTAGATTTTTGAATTGGTGATATTAATTGAACCAATCAATTTAATGGTTCTAGCTTATGCATAATCCATTGAATGAATATATTTTATTTTGTACGTCTGGGGAGGCTTGATAAATTATGGCACTCAGTTCTGAATTTAAAGAGCATGACCCGGATTTACTAAAGTTACCTGGTAAAGTTACCTGGTAAAGTTACCTGGTAAGTTACCTGGTATTTAAGAAGATAACTTTTCTATTCGGATTAAGTTGTTACTTCGAATATAAGTCATACATGTATAAGACTTACATGTAATATAGAATTAAAAAATTAAAAAAGAAAGCCCGACGCGGGGGTCGAACCCGCAACCTTTTGATACCTTAAGTATGGTTGAACCAATTTTCTTAAAAGTCAAACGCTCTAGCCATTGAGCTAGCCAGGCAATTTTTGAAAAAAATTAGGGCTAGAATTCTCATGTTTGCATAATTGCACGTGAATTTTATCACGTGCCACTTTTGAAATTTCCAAAATTGGTCTTTTGCAAGTATTTTTGTCAATTCTGAGAGCAGGTTTGAGTTTATAACATCTGGATTCATCGACTTCATCTTTTCTGGGGTATTTTTCCTAGTAATATTCTTTATTTTATCAGCTGTTTAATCTGTTTTTAAAGAAATGTTATTATTGTGACCTGCATGTAATAATGCGCTACCAATATGAATTAGCTAACATTAAACAAACATTTCAACATAAACAACTCTTGCCTCAAGAAATTCCTAGTTATGCCTATAATAATGAATCAAAGAGGATTGTAATAATATGTGGTGGTAGATTTTCTTGGTAATCTTATCTTGCTCTTGGACCCGTTGAAGAAGAATGTGTTATCACTATCATTCAACTCTCTTACATGTTAGCTTTTACAAAATATTTCTCCAAAAAAGTGAGAAAACTAAGATTGGTAATACACTCGTACCTTTCATGTAACATAACCCAACAACAGCTGCAAAACCCTTCAATTCCATTCAATTAGTTAAAATAAGTTAGATCTCCTTTGAGTAGTTGCGAAACTTACATTGTCAAGCTTGACAGTTGATTTGGAATTGCCGCACGGCGAACTTTCAACTTTGTTTTAGAAGAGGCATCATGACGTCATAGCCAGGAGATTAGCAATTTTTGGTGAAGCAATGTGGAATGAGGCAGGCATAAGCAGGGAGAAGCAAGCAGAGGTATCTATAAATATCTTAGGGAGGTGAAACTGAATGGTGGCATTACGAAGTTATATGCGTATAAATGAAGCAGCGATATCGATATCAAAAACAGGGAGTGTGTAAGAGAGAGGAGTGCAGAGTGAGAGAGCGAGCAGAGACATGTTCTTATAATCAGGGGCACTGTAATCCACAAACAATTCTTATAATGATACTATGTAATACAATAATACAGTAATTACTCATATTAATCAGTATATAGTATAAGTAACTTAACTCTATTGTAAATTCCCTTTTAGTTAACCATTTACAAATTAACAAATTAACAAATTAACTGGCGGTGACGTCACGTGGAAGAATGCCCGAAATAGGAAGAGGAGTGCAGGTAGTAAATCACTAACTCTTTTATACAATGGTAGTAATTTAGATTGTTTCGAGTTTGTGGAATACTATATTGTTTCGTAATAGTGAAGTTGCTCAGTAAAAGCATAACCGATTGTGAGATCCTAATTCCGTTAAGTGTTAAGAGTTTTTAAGTATCAAATTACCCTTAACTATTAACTTAACAGTATCAGGACTTTTACAGTTGCGCATTACTACTATAGTAGAATACTAATAGTTATAATTACAACTTTGAATTATCTTCAAGTCCTACACTATACCTCCTATAGACTTTAAGTTGGAGGGTGTTATACATTGCCAAGCCAGAACATTCACGCAGGCACACAAGTTTCAAGTTTCAGTTCATTCATCACATAAGTACATTAGATAAGACTAGTACTCATCTATCTCATCTATCTCATCACCTACTTATCATAAGGACTTAATTTGACTCTACAACATTCATATTGGTGCCAAATATTTAGTTTATCTTTGTGTGATAGAAAACAAAGGTCCGGCTTTCCATACTTGTCATTGTTTGTTAATTAACTCCTTTTTAAATCCTTGTTGTGTATCGTCTTTTTGTTTTACTCATTTTAATTCAAGACATCAACTATTGTCGATCAACAAAATTCTTACAAAGGATAAACTTATTATAATTGATCTTATTTATCATATTACTTATCAGAGTTAGTTAATTCATCATTTCCAAGATTCCTCCGTTAATTAAAAAACCTAAAATCTCTTCCCTTACTAGTGAAGGTGAATCTACTGATACTGATCTTGATATCGATCTTAAACCAAGTGTGAGTGGGAAAGTTATGGATTCTTCTACAATTTTAAAGATTTTGGAAGATCCAGAATTATTTAAACAAAGACATGAAGAAATCCGATTAGAATTACTTGAACATGTTAAATCTCAAGATAATTTAATTGAAAATGTTACAGAAGAATTAGATAAATCAAAAGATGCCAATAAAGCTTTTAAACAAGCTTTAAGTGAAATTGGTACTGTTGTTATATCTGTTGCTATGGGGGATTTATCAAAAAAAGTTGAAATCCATACTGTTGAATCTGATCCAGAAATTTTAAAAGTTAAAATTACTATTAATACTATGATGGATCAATTACAAACTTTTGCTAGTGAAGTTACTAAAGTTGCAACTGAAGTTGCTAATGGTGAATTAGGTGGTCAAGCTAAAAATGAAGGATCAGTTGGAATTTGGAGATCTCTTACTGATAATGTTAATATTATGGCACTTAATTTAACTAATCAAGTTAGAGAAATTGCTGATGTTACTCGAGCTGTTGCAAGTGGTGATTTATCTAGAAAAATTAATGTTCATGCTCAAGGAGAAATTTTACAATTACAAATGACTATCAATACAATGGTGGATCAATTAAGAACTTTTGCATTTGAAGTTTCTAAAGTAGCTAGAGATGTTGGAGTTTTAGGTATATTAGGTGGTCAAGCTTTAATTGAAGGAGTTGAAGGTATTTGGAAAGAATTAACTGATAATGTAAATGCTATGGCACTTAATTTAACAACTCAAGTTAGAAATATTGCTAATGTTACAACTGCGGTTGCCAAGGGAGATTTATCTAAAAAGGTTACTGCTGATTGTAAAGGAGAAATTTTAAATTTGAAATTAACTATTAATCAAATGGTGGATCGTTTACAAACTTTTGCAGTTGAAGTTACAACTTTATCAAGAGAAGTTGGTACTTTAGGTATTCTAGGAGGTCAAGCTAATGTTCAAGATGTTGAAGGGGCTTGGAAAGCAGTTACAGAAAATGTTAATCTAATGGCAACAAATTTAACAAATCAAGTTAGATCTATTGCTACAGTTACTACAGCGGTAGCTCATGGAGATTTATCACAAAAGATTGATGTTCATGCTCAAGGAGAAATTTTACAATTGAAAAATACCATCAATAAGATGGTGGATTCGTTACAATTATTTGCTTCAGAAGTATCTAAAGTTGCCCGAGATGTGGGTATTAATGGTAAATTAGGTATTCAAGCTCAAGTTTCTGATGTTGATGGATTATGGAAAGAAATTACTTCTAATGTTAATACTATGGCATCAAATTTGACATCACAAGTTAGAGCTTTTGCTCAAATTACTGCCGCAGCAACCGATGGAGATTTTACAAGATTTATTACGGTTGAAGCATCTGGAGAAATGGATGCTTTAAAGACCAAGATTAATCAAATGGTGTTAAATTTAAGAGAATCAATTCAAAGAAATACTGCGGCAAGAGAAGCAGCAGAATTAGCTAATAGTGCTAAATCAGAATTCTTAGCTAATATGTCTCATGAAATTAGAACTCCATTAAATGGTATTATTGGAATGACTCAATTATCATTAGATACAGAATTAACTCAATATCAACGAGAAATGTTATCGATTGTTCATAATTTAGCTAATTCTTTATTAACTATTATTGATGATATATTAGATATTTCCAAGATTGAAGCCAATAGAATGACCGTTGAACAAATTGATTTTTCTTTAAGAGGTACAGTATTTGGAGCTTTAAAGACTTTAGCAGTTAAAGCTATTGAAAAGAATTTAGATTTAACTTATCAATGTGATTCATCATTCCCCGATAATTTAATTGGTGATTCATTTAGATTAAGACAAGTTATATTAAATTTAGCAGGTAATGCCATTAAATTTACTAAAAAGGGTAAAGTATCAGTTAGTGTTAAAAAATCAACTAAACAAGTTGAAGATTCAGAAAAATTATTATTAGAAGTTTGTGTTAGTGATACAGGAATTGGAATTGAAAAGGATAAATTAGGATTAATTTTTGATACATTTTGTCAAGCTGATGGTTCAACAACAAGAAAATTTGGTGGTACTGGATTAGGATTATCAATTTCTAAACAATTAATTCATTTAATGGGAGGAGAAATTTGGGTTACATCAGAATATGGATTAGGATCTAATTTTTATTTTACAATTAGTGTATCACCTTCAAAAATTAGATATACTCGACAAACTGAACAATTATTACCATTTAGTGGTCATCATGTTTTATTTGTTTCAACAGCTCATACTGATGAAGAACTTGAAGAAATTAGAGTGGCTATTGTAGAATTAGGATTAAATCCTGTTATTGTTCGAGATTCAAATGAAGCTACATTAACTGAACCAGTTAAATATGATATTATTATGATTGATTCTATTCAAACAGCTAAAATCCTTCGATTATTGAGTGAAGTCAAATATATTCCTCTTGTATTATTACATCATTCAATTCCAGAATTAAATATGAGAGTTTGTATTGATTTAGGTATTTCATCTTATGGAAATACTCCTTGTTCAATAACTGATCTTGCAAGTGCAATAATTCCTGCATTAGAATCAAGATCTATTTCTCAAAATTCAGATGAATCTGTAAGTTATAATGTATTATTAGCTGAAGATAATTTAGTTAATCAAAAACTTGCAGTAAGAATTTTAGAAAAGCAAGGTCATCAAGTTGAAGTAGTTGAAAATGGTTTAGAAGCATTTGAAGCAGTTCAAAAGAAGAGATATGATGTTGTATTAATGGATGTTCAAATGCCAGTTATGGGAGGATTTGAAGCTACTGAAAAGATTAGACAATGGGAAAAGAAATCTAATCCAATTGATTCTCTTACATTTAGAACTCCAATTATTGCTTTAACTGCTCATGCTATGTTGGGAGATCGAGAGAAATCTTTGGCTAAAGGAATGGATGATTATGTATCTAAACCATTAAAGCCAAAATTATTAATGCAAACCATTAATAAATGTATTCATAATATTAATCAATTAAAAGAACTTTCTAAGCAGAATAATAATAATAGAACATCTGATTTTGCTAAGAATTTGAAAAAGGGTTCTATTAAAAATGGTGAGAGATCAGCTACTAATTTACTAAATATTGGATCGAGTAATTCGAGTTCAAGTTTACTTAATGGTAGTTCAAGTTCTTCTCATAAGAATAATGGTAATGGTAATGGTAATGGTAATAGTAATAGTAGTAATGGTTCAATATCATTATCTCGTTCATCTACTCCTTCATCTGATTACCCTAACAGTCCAAAGATCAATAAAACAAGATCCAATGACTTTATTGCCACCACACGACCCATCCAGTTATCGATAAATAATCGATCTATTACTGAAAGTGTATTATCGTATCCTAAGCTCAGTGAAGTCGATAATATGGAAGTGGATGAAGATCACCATGATTAAGTGATTTCTTATCCGCTACCAATGCCAATGCCAATGCCAATGCGAATTCCAATTCCAATTATGTCCTCTAATGCTACAATGTCTTTGTTATTCACTTCTTCCTCTTGCTGTTATATATTGTTAATTGTTAATTGTGTGTATTTAAATTAAAGTATAATTCCGATATGTCTAACCTGTAACTTGTAACTTTTTTTCCAGCGAACCAAAGCCCGTGCGTATACTCCGAAACAGGTAACTGTACTACAAAGTACCTACTCAGTATAAACCCGATAGTAAATCTCCATACATTATAATTAAGTATGTTATACTATACCTCTAAATATTTAACCTATCCTGATAAGTCATCCTTATTGGAAGATTTTAAGGGGAAAAAGATTGAAGAATTACCTACTCCATCATTAGTAATTAATAGAGATAAATTTCAACATAATAGTAATAGTATGTTGAAAAATGCCTCTAAATTAAATGCTAGTTTTAGAGCTCATGTTAAGACTCATAAAACTTTAGAAGGAACATTACTTCAATTAGGTGAAGGGAATTTAAAGACTAGTAAATTAATTGTTTCAACATTAGCTGAAGCATGGAATTTATTACCGTTAGTGGAACGCGGGGAAGTCGACGATATAGTATTCAGTTTACCAGTGGTTAAATCAAGAATTGAAGAATTAGCAGATTTAGCATCTAAAATTCCTAATTTACGAGTATTTGTTGATCATGATGATCAAATCTTTAATTTAATTAAATATCGTCAAGAAAATCCTCATATTAAACCATGGTCAGTATTTGTTAAAATTGATATGGGTACTCATCGAGCAGGTTTAATTAATGAAAGTATTAGTTTAGATAAGATTCTTATTGATTTATTACGTTATGATGATAATAAGCAACATATTCAACTTCATGGATTCTATTGTCATGCGGGTCATTCTTATTCAGCTGATTCTTTAGGTGATGCAAAGAAAGTATTAATTGATGAAATTGATGCGGCTAATAAAGCAGCTCAATCAGCATTAGCATTTGATCCTGATTTAAAGCTTGTACTTTCAGTAGGGGCAACTCCTACTGCTCATGCTTCTCATGAATTAACTCTTGAAGAATTAAATGATCATTTTAAACCCGCATTATTGGGATCTTTAGAATTACATGCGGGTAATTATCCATGTTGTGATTTACAACAATTAGCTACTCATTGTGTTAATGAAGAAGATATATCTATATCAGTAATTGCCGAGATTGTATCAAAATATCCTAATCGAGGTGAAACAGCTCCTGGAGAACAATTAATTAATGCAGGAGTTATTGCTATGTCAAGAGAATCTGGTCCTATTCCAGGTTATGGTAAGATTATTGAACCTAAGGGTCATGGAGATTGGTATATTGGGAAACTTAGTCAAGAACATGGAATATTAGTACCTGGTTCAAATAATTGTACGTTTATACCTATTGGAACTCAAGTACGTATAATTCCTCAACATGCTTGTATTACTGCCGCCAGTCATCCTTGGTATTATGTTGTTGATGATCTGGGAGTGGTAGTAGATATATGGGTACCATTCAGAGGGTGGTAATGATACCAGGGTAACTATAGGATAACTATAACTAAAACTATAACTGTAACTATAGTATAATACTATAACTATAGTATATAACTATAACTATAGTATATAACTATAAACATATAACTATAGTATATAACTATAAACATATAACTATAGTATATAACTAGAGAATATAACTAACAAGTAGAGTATATAACTAACACTATAAGTATCTATATTTATTTGCAGCAATTGTGCCTTATGTACTGCGGCATGGTGGCCATCTGCAACCTACGCGAAGTATACGCGTCCAACATGATTTCAAATCCATTAACTACTACTGGTAGCAATAAAGAAGTAATATACAACCACAGTACAAGTGATGTCACAAATTAAACGTCATAATGACACACAGGCACATTCGTTGCCTGCTGCTTCACAAACAATTTCATCGCAAATTGAACTAACTCCATCACAAGAACAATTATTAAAAAAAGTTAAAAGACCTAATGGAGGAGAAGAACCATCAGAATTTGAAAGAGAACTTTTAAATATGACTCTGACAGCAAAGGAAGTAGGCCTGGAAGAAGATCAAGAATGGTCCCGTCCTAAATTATCACCTGATTTCAATTCACAAACTTTTGATATTAGTTTCCAACAATTAGATGCTGAAGAATATTATAGTGGAGATAATACTTATGCAAGATTTTTTGGAGTAACTGATCAAGGTCATTCAGTACTTTGTAATGTAACAGGATTTATTCATTATTTTTATGTACCTGTTCCTAAAGGATTTATTCAAAATCAACATTTAATTCGATTTATAAATTATTTAAAATCAACTTATGATGGAGTTAATGATGTAGAAATTCTGTTAAAGGAATCAATTTGGGGATTTAATAATAATATTAAAACTCAATTTCTTCGAATTTATGTTAATAATAGTAAAAATATTACTAAAGTAAGATCAGCATTTGAAAGAGGTGATATTCATTTTGAAAATTTATTCCCTCCTCAAAATGTATCATTTGATAATATTAATTATGTATTAAGATTAATGATAGATTGTAAAATTACTGGAATGTCTTGGATTACTTTACCAAAGGGGAAATATTCATTAATTGAAGAAGATTCTCGAATTTCAACTTGTCAAATTGAATGTTGTATAAATTATAAAGATTTAATTTCTCATGCTTCAGAAGGTGAATGGTTAAAAATGGCTCCACTTCGAATTCTTTCATTTGATATTGAATGTGCTGGTAGAAAGGGGATTTTCCCAGAACCAGAACATGATTCAGTTATTCAAATTGCTAATGTTGTACTGAAATATGGAGATTCAAGACCTTTTATTAGAAATGTATTTACAGTAAATACATGTTCTTCAATTATTGGATCTCAAATTTTTGAACATGAAAAGGAAGCAGAAATGCTTATGCATTGGCGTGATTTTGTAGTTCAAGTAGATGCTGATGTAATCATTGGTTATAATACTGCTAATTTTGATATACCTTATCTTCTTGATAGAGCAAAAGCTTTAGGAGTTAATAAATTTCCTTATTTTGGTAGATTAAAAACTATTAAACAAGAAGTTAAAGATTCAACATTTAGTTCCAGAGCTTATGGTACAAGAGAAAATAAAGTAGTTAATATAGATGGAAGAATGCAATTAGATTTATTACAATTTGTTCAAAGAGAATATAAACTTAGATCTTATACATTGAATTCTGTATCAGCTCATTTCTTAGGTGAACAAAAGGAAGATGTTCAACATTCAATTATTACTGATTTACAAAATGGTACTAAAGAAACTAGAAGAAGATTGGCAGTCTATTGTTTAAAAGATGCTTATTTACCATTAAGATTATTAGATAAATTAATGTGTTTAGTTAATTATACTGAAATGGCCAGAGTTACAGGAGTTCCATTTTCTTATTTACTTTCAAGAGGTCAACAAATTAAAGTTATTTCTCAATTATTTAGAAAATGCTTACAAGAAGATATTGTAATTCCTAATATGAGAAGTGAAGGTACAAATGAAGAATATGAAGGTGCAACAGTTATTGAACCAAGTAGAGGTTATTATGATGTACCTATTGCAACTTTGGATTTTAGTTCTTTATATCCTTCTATTATGATGGCTCATAATTTATGTTATACAACTTTACTTAATAAGCAATCAATAACTGCATTTAATTTAACTGAAGATGATTATACTAAGACTCCAAATGGTGATTATTTTGTAAAAGATACTAAAAGACAAGGGATTTTACCAACAATTTTAAATGAATTACTTACTGCCAGAAAGAAAGCTAAAGCAGATTTGAAAAAGGAAACTGATCCATTTAAAAGAGATGTTCTTAATGGTAGACAATTAGCTTTAAAGATTTCTGCTAATTCAGTTTATGGATTTACTGGAGCAACCATTGGGAAATTACCTTGCTTACAAATTTCTTCATCAGTTACTGCCTTTGGTAGAGAAATGATTGAAAAAACTAAAAATGAAGTTCAAGAATTTTATTCAAAAAAGAATGGTCACCCATATGATGCTCAAGTTATTTATGGTGATACTGATTCAGTTATGGTAAAATTTGGTTATCAAGATCTTGAAACTTGTATGAAATTAGGTGAAGAAGCTGCTAATTATGTCTCGACTAAATTTAAAAAACCCATTAAATTAGAATTCGAGAAGGTTTATTTCCCATATTTGTTAATCAATAAAAAGAGATATGCCGGTTTATATTGGACTAGAACTGATAAATTTGATAAGATGGATACTAAAGGTATTGAAACTGTTAGAAGAGATAATTGTAGATTGGTTCAAAATGTTATTACTAAAGTATTGGAATTTATTTTAGAAGAAAGAGATGTGGATAAAGCATGTCGATTTGTTAAACAAACAATTGCTGATTTATTACAAAATAGAGTTGATTTATCACAATTAGTCATTACCAAAGCTTATTCTAAACATGATTATGCTGGTAAACAAGCCCATGTGGAATTAGCAGAAAGAATGAAAAAGAGAGATGCTGGATCTGCTCCAGCTCTTGGAGATCGTGTAGCATATGTTATTATTAATTCAGGAAGTGATAAAGCTTATGAAAAATCAGAAGATCCTTTATATGTATTAGAGAATTCTTTACCAATTGATGTTAAATATTATCTTGAAAATCAATTAACTAAACCATTGGAAAGAATTTTCGTACCAATTTTAGGAGAAAGTAAAACTAAAGAATTATTGGCAGGAGCTCATACAAGAACTATCAAACTTTCAGCACCAAAGACTGGAGGTCTTATGAGATTTGCTAAGAAAACAGAAGTATGTGTATATTGTAAAACTCCATTAAAAGATGATAATCATGGAGCTTTATGTCCAAATTGTATACGAGAAGGTAGAGGTCCTGAATTATATGGTAATGCATTATCTCAAATGAATTATTTAGAAAATAAATTTTCAAGATTATGGACTGAATGTCAAAGATGTCAAGGTTCATTACATCAAGAAGTTCTTTGTTCAAATAAAGATTGTCCAATATTTTATATGAGAAAGAAATCTCAAAAGGATGTCTATCAACAATCTTTAGAGTTAGTAAGATGGGATAAAACAACATGGTAATTTCATATATATTAAATGTACATTATTTTTCTATTATTATTTGTATATTATAATTTATATTATAGTAGTTATACCCCCCACTTTTTTTTTGCTGCAAAAAAAAAACACTGTAATGGTTAAATTGTCCAATGAAAGAATTGTTAAAAATAAGCCATTAACTAAATCCTACAAGAACATATAACGAAAGCTAATAACTTCAAAGGTAGTTTCTAATGAGTATAAATATGTCATTTATTTTCTTTGTAGACTGAATATGAGCTGGTTACCATAATCAGAATAATTGCAACAATGATCTTACGAAGACTTGGACCAATCCCAATTACTTTACTTTCTGGATTCTTAGGAGCAGGTAAAACCACCCTTCTAGAACATATACTTACTGCTAGTCATGGATTGAAAATTGCAGTAATTATTAATGATGTTTCCAAGTTGAACATTGATGCTGCATTACTTCAAAACCATAAAGTAACTAACAAAGAAGAAAAATTAATTCAATTACAAAATGGTTGTATATGTTGTACATTAAGAGGTGATTTACTTGAAGAATTGGTATCCTTGGCTAAATCTAAGGCTTTCCAGTATATTGTAATTGAATCAACTGGTATATCTGAACCTATGCAAGTTGCTGAGACTTTTACTACTGAATTCAGTGAAATGCTTTTAAATTCACAAGAGGAAATGGATGAGAACGAATCTAAAATATTAAAAGAAATTATTAGCAAAGGTGGATTACACAAGCTAACTAAATTAGATACTTGTGTAACTATGATAGACGCTTTAAACTTTTTCAATAATCTTGAAACAATTGATTTCTTAATTGATAGGTATGGAGATCATGGATCTGGAGAACAAGAAAGAACAATAACAGATTTACTTATTGATCAAATTGAATTTGCCGATGTGATTATTATTAACAAAGTCTCAACTGTTTCCAAGGCTAAGTTAAAGAGAATTGAAAAAATGATTCATACATTAAATCCAGTAGCCAAAATCATTAAAACGGATTATGCTAAAGTAGATATTAAACAAGTTGTGAATACCAAGTTGTTTAATTTCGATAAAGCTCAGACTTCTGCTGGTTGGTTACAAAGTCTTAATGAAATGACAGTTAGACAAGGATTTGGAACTAAAAATAAAAGCACAGTGACTCCTAAACCAGAAACTGAAGAATACGGCATTAATAACTTTATTTATAGAGCGAAAAGACCATTTCATCCAGAAAGATTATTTGATGTTATAAAGGATAAGTTTGTTATCATCGAAAGATCACTGCCAAATGAGCTGAATGAGGACCAAAATGACTTAGAAGGTGCAACAGAACAAGAAGAAAACGATGAAGAAGCAGAGAGTGACGAAGAAGAAGAAAGTGTAGACGAAGAAGAAGATGAAGATGAAGATATTGCTACTGCCGAAAAGGAGTATATTCATAATAAGAAGAAATCGGCTTTTGGTCCTGTGTTAAGATCTAAAGGTTTTATTTGGTTAGCTTCTAGATACATCAGTAGAGGCGAATGGTCTTCAGCAGGTTCAATGTTGACCATTAATGGAGGTATTCCATGGTTTGATGTAATAGGAATTCCACCTACCACCAAAGAAGCAGCTAAACTAATTAAAGAAGAATTGAAACAAAAATACGGTGATAGACGGAATGAAATTGTATTCATTGGTTTAAACCTTAATCCTACTAAAATCACCAAACTTATGGATTCTTGTTTAGTGACCGACGAAGAACTTGAGCAAATGGATAAAGTATTGAAATCAGAGAAGAAATTAATCAATATTGAGAGGAAATTGCAAAAGGTCTTTGCTGATGGATTTGAAGATTGGATCGTTTTGGATGATGAACCTGAAGCTCAGGAGGAGAAGTCAATTGATAATCACAAACACAATCATAAACATCGTAAATAGTCGTAAATCTGTATAAAGCTTAATTATAATTAGATCTAAAAGTGGAAATCATTCCGCAGCCAAATTTGACATAATAATTTTCTGCTCCACTGGAATTAATCTCGCTATTACTTTTCGGCGTGGGGGTCCCTCCACCCCTCCTAAATAACGTTGTTTAGTGTTCCCACTGCGAACTCGCCCCCCACCGTGGAGATTGAGTATAAAATATCTAGGATAGACTTCAAAGTGAAAAATCTGACTAAACACGGTGTGAAATAAAGCAACGTGATATAAACACAAGTACAGACACAATGGCCAAAGAATTATACACATATAGTTTAGATCAATTGGATGAATTAGAAGGTTCTTCAATTGCCTTAAGCAAATTTGATGCCGATGTTGCATGGGAAATTGGTACTTATGCTAGAAATGTTGGTCTTAAAAAATATCCTGGTAAAGCTATTTTAATAGACATTAGATTAACTTCTGGTCAAGTTTTATTCCACAGTGCTACAGCTCCTGGTGCCACCGTTGATAATGAAAAATGGGTTGATAGAAAAATTAACGTAGTTAATAGATGGGGTAAATCTAGTTTTTGGATAGGTCAAAAATTAAGAATCAAAGATCAACCTATTGAAGAAGCTCTCTTCGTTTCTGTATTTGATTATGCTACCCATGGTGGTAGTGTTCCAATTAGGCTCAAGAATTTGGATAGTGCTATTGGTACCTTAACCATAAGTGGATTGGCACAAGAAGAAGATCATTTGTTAGCCATAGAAACTTTAAAAGAATTTTCCAGTAAGTAGAATATGTCACATAACTATAAAATAGGACTTTTAGTAACATGCTACATGAATTTATGGTAGTATTTAAGGTTTATACTATAAATAACACAAGTTTGCTTAAATAAGGCGCGCGAAACGGCGTTTGGCTTTGGCTCTTTGTTAAGCGCAAAATTCTTCTTTCATCCACAGTTTTTCCATTAGAAAACGCATTAAACGTAACAATAAGATTTGCATCTAGTTGCTATTACTTATAATTAAACATTATCCGTACGGAATATTTCAGCATTAATTATCCACAGTTACTGAAATACATCGGCACCAAATTTTTAATTATATTTTTTTTCAATGTATGATCTACTGACATACATACGCTAACTCAAGATTACATTAATTACAGCAATAGTTTACACGTGAAATGACAAATGAAGTATACATTTTATATCTTTGACCCTTTATCTGAATGGCTCTTTTAATGAAATCTAATGCTTGCTGTCATTAATCTCTTTCCAAACTATTTAAGCCGACAAGATGGCTGAAGAAATAATAGGATCTAAATTTTTGCAGCAAGATCTAAGTTCATAAAACATGGTTAAACAAGTTTCTGAAATCGAGATAATTTCTAACACTACATCTCATGAGAAGCAATATTCCTTTGGTGAATTTATTAAAGAGAAGCAAGAAGACATAGAAAGCTCTAATGTATCCGAAGAAGAACTTGATCCTGACGTGGAAGAGCTTCCTCTTATTGTCAGAGAAATAGTTCCTCTTGAAGATGACCCTTCCATTCCAGTATTCACATTCCGTTATTTTATCTTGGCTATCATCTTTATCATACCTGGTGCATTCATTGACACAATGAATTCTTATCGTACAACTTCTGCTGCATATTCTATTTTCTTTGTCCAAATTGCATCTCATTGGGCTGGTAAATGGTTAGCTAAAGTTTTACCTAATAAAGAAGTTCGAATTTTTGGAAGATTTAAATTTAACCTTAATCCTGGACCATGGTCAATTAAAGAAACTGCATTAATCACCATAACGGCCAATAGTGGTGCAACTGGAAATCAAGGTACTACTCCTCTTTCTTTAAGTGAAGTATATTATGGAACAAAGGTAAATGGTGCTCTTGCAATTTTCTATATGTGGGCTATTGTATTCATTGGTTATTCTTATTCAGCTATCGCTAGAAACTTTTTGATATATGATCCTCAATTTATATGGCCCCTGGCTTTAATGCAAACAACGTTATTCCAGACTCAGAAGAAATCAGATGGTGATTCTAAACTTGGTTCCAAACAAATGAAAGTTTTCTTTATTGCTTTGATAGGTATGTCAGTTTGGGAATTCTTTCCTGAATTTATTTTCCCAATGTTATCTTCATTAGCTTTCTTATGTTGGGTTGCTCCAAGAAATAAAACTGCTAATTTTATAGGATCTGGATTGAATGGTATGGGCTTCTTGAACTTAACTTTGGATTGGTCTAATATTACATCATCGATAATGCTTTCACCATATTGGATTCAGGTAATTCAATTTATAGCATTTGTATTTGGTGCATGGATTCTTCTTCCTGCTGCTAAATGGGGTAATCTCACTGATTTCAAATATGGATTAATGTCTAATGGTTTGTTCTTATCAAATGGAACTGCTTATCCAACAAATAAGTTGTTAACAAATGATCTTCGGTTGAATCAGACTGCACTTGCCGAATTAGGTCCAGTCCATATGGGAGCTCAAACTGCATGGAATATGTTCTTTGCTTATGCCAGTTATATTAGTGGTGTAGTTTGGGTTTGCTTATTTGGTTACGAAAGTATGGGAAATTCGATCAAGAAGCTATATGCTTCCTTCAGGGCAAGGAAAACCAGCGATAAAACGCTAGCTTTATCCATCAATGAACAATATACAGATAGACTTAACAAGTTACAATCAAAATATAATGAAGTTCCTCAATTATGGTTCCTTATACTTTTTGCAGCTTCATTTATTACTTTGTTGGTAATTTTTGCAACCGGTAGATTATTCATGCCTTGGTGGTGTATGATTGTTGGTATAGCTTTTGGAGCATTAATTGTCACACCCTTATCATGGTTATATGCACTTTCAAACTTTCAATTAGCTATTGGTTCATTTGATGAATTATTATATGGCTATATGGTGCAAAATAGGACTGATAAACATCCAGTTGGAGCAACAATTTATGGAGCTATTGCTGGTGATGCTTGGTATAGAGCACAGTATATACTTCAGGATCAGAAAATTGGTCATTATATGCATTTACCCCCTAAAGCGGTTTTCTTTTCCCAAATTTTTGGTGCATTAGTTGGTATTCCAATTAATTATGCCGCTATGAGGTGGGTGTTAAACACCAAGATGGACTTCTTGAATGGTACTAAGATAGATCCATTACATCAATGGACTGGTCAATCACTTAAATCATACAACACGAAAGCCGTTCAATATGTTATCCTTGGCCCTAAGATTCTATTTGAGAATTATTCAATTTTGCCTTATGGTTTTGTATTAGGAGTTGGAGCTCCAATAGTATTTTACATATTGCATAGACTCTTCCCTAATTCTAGATTAAAGTTCAGATTATGGAATACAACAGTGTTCTTTTCAACTATGGAGAATTTTTACGGGAACTTATCTACCGGATATTTTTCACAATTTATTGGTGGTACAGTAGCTATGTTTTGGGCTTATCGTTACAAACATGAGCTTTGGAAGAGATACAATTACCTTTTAGCTGCTGCTTTTGATACTGGATATAATCTCACAGTATTATTGATTTTCATTATATTTTCTTCTGGTAGAGTTATAAATATGCCAAACTGGTGGGGGAATAATGAAGAAAGTGTAGAGAGATGCTTTGCCTTAGTCGACTAAATAGAAAATTCGCAGCTATTTGGATTTATTATCATAGACTGTAACTTTATATAGAATAAAATACCAAAAGATTTAATATATTAATTTTATATAAGTCCATTTCACACTATGTATACACTTCACGACTTTTTCCCAACCCTTCATACTAATGAAGGGTACTGGAACTGGTTCTTATATAATCTACAGGTAGAGATTATTGATGATAATATATGAATTTTGGAGTTCGCACGACACTGAAAAATCCAGGGAAATTTTTCAAATTTTTTTGTTGAAGAAGGAAGAGAGAGAGTTGAACCACCCCATAAATATTGAAGTTAGGATCCAAAAATGTTAAGAAGTATTAGTGGGATTAAGGCTGGCCGTGGTTCTGTACCAAGTGGGTTGTCTTTGGTTTCTTTAGCCAACAGTTTAACCCAAATCCGTACTGCCACCAAGAAAGTTTCTGGTTCTAAGACCAATAAGAATGATTCAGCTGGTAGAAGATTAGGTCCAAAAGCATATGAAGGGAATTTTGTTAAACCAGGACAAATTATAATGAGACAAAGAGGTACTAAGATCCATCCTGGAGAAAATGTTAAGATTGGTATTGATCATACTATTTATGCATCTGAACCAGGATATGTTCGTTTTTATTTAGATCCTTTCCATCCATTAAGAAAATATGTTGGAGTAGCATTAAAGAGTGGAGTTAAATTACCAACTCCACATTTTGCTCCAAGACGTAGAAGATTTGGTTATGAATTAATCGAAGATCCTGTCAAGGCTCAACAAGAAGAAGACCATATGTCAAGAAAAGAATATCTTTATCAACCAGAATTAAAGGAATTAACTATTGCCAAAGAAAATTATAAGCAAGAAACCATCTCAAATATTAAACAAAGCTTACAGAATGATTTCCAATTACAAGATATTGATTATGATGTGGCAGCTAGCAGATTATTTAATGTATTACAATTAGCTAAAGCAGGTCAAAGTATTGAATCTGCTAAGAAACAAGATATATTTGATTTTTCATATAATTTACAATTAGCAGTTCAAAGAGGAGAAATATCAAAGGAAGATGCAACTGCCAAAACTTCTGAATATATTAGTTTAACTCAACAATTGGAAAAAGATGTCAATATCGATATTGATGGATCTGTCTATAAATACTTAACTAAAGAACAAGTGGCCAGTAAACAAGAAGAAATAATACAAAAACTTGAAACTGAATTCTATAAATTACTTTCTAAAGATGAAAAGGATCAAGTTTCAAAATTAATCAATACTCCAGGAGTATTTTCAACTGAACAACGCTCAACATTAACTCATAAATTCTTGCCAGATTTTATTCCATATGATGTTCCAGGATCTGTCATAGAAAACATTAATCCAGAAACTGTATCCAAAGATATTGTAGTACAAAGAGTATTTGATGAAACCACTAGATCCACTAGAATTATTGGTAGACCTCAAGCAGTATTCCAATAAATTCATAGCCTGTAAATATAAATACACGACCCCGTACATAGTAAAAAATAAAAAAAGATTTAAGATCTTTAATGTAAAACGCGCGAAAAACAGTGAAAAATTGGGCATGTACACGCCGTTCACCTGTCCTAGTCAACGAACTAACAAAAGCTCTTTACCTCCTCTTCCTACCACATAAGAGTTATACTGACACGTCATTATCAATTCCTTTAATAATACTTAGTAGATAATCAAAAGTACAGACGTAACATTATGGGGTTTGACTTTTCATCACCTGCGGTTCAAAGTAACCCAATTTATCAGCAATTTGTCAAAGTTGAAGTGACATATCAAAAATTCTTAGATCAATCAGTTCCTCATACTTTACAGAGATGGAGTGTATTTGGAGTTTTACTTGCATTATTTTTACTTCGAATTATTTTCACTCAAGGTTGGTATATAATATGTTATGGACTTGGGATTTATTTATTAAATTTGTTTTTAGCATTTTTAACACCAAAATTTGATCCATCATTAGAACAAGAATTAAAGAATGAATCAATTGAAGAAGGTATTCAAGATGATATTCCTAATGAAGAAGATGATGAATTTCGTCCATTTATTAGAAGATTACCAGAATTTAAATTCTGGTATAATGCTACTCGTGCTACATTAATATCAATCTTTTTATCATTATGGACTATATTTGATATTCCTGTATTTTGGCCTATACTCTTAATGTATTTTGTAGTTTTATTCACTTTAACTATGAGAAAGCAGATTCAACATATGATAAAGTATAAGTATTTACCCTTTGATTTTGGTAAGACCAGATACAGAAGAGCTGTATAATGAGGAGTACTATTTATATACTATATTATATACTATATACTACCTATATTATATACTATATAGTATTTACTCTAACTAATTATAATGTATATTTACTAGTCAATTAATGAGAGAGAGAGAGAGAGAGAGGGAGGCTATGAGTCTGAGTTTAATAAGTAGAGTGCGCACGTGACTCAGCCAATGGCTCGAGATTTCCCTGCTGCGACCTCTCGAGTCCCCGAGTTTATTTTCCACTTTCCTCCACCCCTATTGAAGCACCGGAAGTCAGGAACTGTAACAATTGATAGTTAATAAGTGAATTGAAGACATTATGAGTCGTGCGGAAGTGGACTTACAAATCAGTGTGAAAAAGGCTTGTAATACCGATGAAGTTCCACCCAAAAGAAAGCATGTTAGAGCTTGTATAGTTTATACATGGGACCATAAGAATTCACGAGCCTTTTGGAATGCAGTTAAAATTCAACCATTACAAAGTAGTGAAATTCAATTATTTAAAGCATTAATTATGATTCATAAAGTTTTACAAGAAGGTCATCCAAATACTTTAAAAGATGCTTATCGTAATCGAGACTTTTTATCATCATTATCAAATGTATTCCCTAGTCATGGTTCAGGATCTTATGGTAGATTAATTAATCAATATGATAGATTTATTCTTCAAAAATTAGATTTTCATAGAAATAATCCTGGATTTAATGGAATGTTTGAATATGAAGAATATATTTCACTTCGAGCTGTTAATGATCCTAATGAAGGTTATGAATCAATTTTACAATTAATGGATTTACAAGATGTTATTAATGATTTTCAAAAATTAATATTTGCAACCATTAATCAAACTCCAAATAATTTATGTAAAGTTAGTGCATTAGTTCCATTAATTACTGAATCTTATGGAATTTATAAATTTTGTACTTCAATGTTAAGAGCAATGTATCAACAATTAGGTGAAGATGAAGCATTACAAGGATTATTTGAAAGATTTGATAGTCAACATTATATGCTTCGTGATTTTTATACTGATTGTCATGCTATTAAATTTTTAACTAGTTTAATTACAATTCCAAGATTAGGTAATTCTCCACCAAATTTACAAGTAACTGATGAAGGTACTCCAATTTCAAGACCAAGATCAGTTAGTTCAACACCTCAAGTATCTAGTCAACCAACATCTAATTTTGAACCACCATCTGCTCCTCCACCAGATGTTGATCAATTAAAATCTCAACAAACTGGATTTTTATTTCAACAACAACAAGAACAACAATTAATTCAACAACAATTGGAATTACAAAGACAACAACAATTAGAACAACAACAATTACAACAAAGACTTTTTGAAGAACAACAAAGGAATCAAGAACGAATCTTTTTACAAGAACAACAACAATTACAAGCTCAACAAACTGCTCAACATCAAGGTAGAGTATCTGAATTAGAACATGATTTACTTATGTTTAAAAATCAATATGATAATGATCAAAATTTATTACAACAATATGATGCTCGAGTTAAAAGTTTAGAAACTGAAATGCAAACTTTTAATGCTACAGCTACTCAACAAGTTGCAAGTAAAGATGAACAAATTCGTAATTTAGAAGAACAAATATCTAATTGGACTAAAAAATATGAATCATTAGCTAAATTATATTCTCAATTAAGACAAGAACATTTAAATTTATTAACTAAATTTAAAAAGATTCAACAAAAGATTACTAGTGCTCAAGAATCAATTTTAAAGAAGGAAAAATTTGAAAAGGATTTAAAGGCAAAGAATGTTGAATTAGCTGATTTAATTCGTGAACGTGATAGAGCTAGATTGGATTTAGATAGATTAAAAGCCAGTAAAGATCAAGAAATTGAAAGATTACAAGCTGAAGTTCGAGAATTAAATAATCAAGCCAATGAAGCAGGTAAACAATCATTAAATTTATCTTCATTACTTGCTCGTCATGAAACTGAAAAGGAAGAATTAAAAAGACAATTAGCTAATGGATCAAATAATGAATCATTAGAAAATAAATTACGAGAAAAGGAAGTTGAATTAGAAATTGCTCAAGAATCTTTAGAAAGTGCTATGAAAGCATTAGAATTAACTAATAAAGATAATGAAGAAATTGTTAATTCACAAATTGATCAAATCTTATTAAAAAATATTGATAAATTAAAGAATTTAATTGATTTATTCCTTGAAAATAATATTATTAGAGTTCAAGATTCAAGACATGAATTAGCTTCAACTATGCAAGCAGGAAATTTAAATGCAACTCCAGAATATGTTTTATCAATTATTGAATTAACTTCAGATACTGGAACTGATTTTGCCACTATATTTAATAGTTATATTGCTTCAGGTATTCAATCTTATGATGATTCTGATAATACTTATTCGGATATAATTTTAAAGAGTAGTGATTTAGCAACCAATGCCATTGATTTAATGTTAAATACTAAGGGAATTACAAGAATAGTTCCAAAACAAAATGAAGAAGAATTATTATCATTAGTTGAAGATGTATTGGCTAAAACTGTAGGATATTTTGCAAGTTTAAAATCAGAAAGTTTAAATTTATTTGATGATGAAGATGATAAAATTGATACAGTAATTGATAGTAATTTATATCTTCAAAATGCTTTACAAGAATTAGGTAAATTTATTGATGGATTAAGAAGTAAAAGTGGTATTAATTTCTCTCTGGGTAATTTAGAAGAAATTGTTGATCATGAAATGCAACAAACTGAACAAACTATTGCTTCTGCTTCGAAATTTTTGGATGAATTATTAAAGAATCCAGTAATTTCTGGTGGTGATATTGAAGTTCATGAAGCTATATTAGCAGCTGCTAAATTAATTATTGATTCAGTAGCTAATTTAATTGTAGCTGCTACAGATTCTCAACGAGAAATTGTTAATAAAGGTAAAGGAAGTCAATCACGTACTGAATTTTATAAAAAGAATAATCGTTGGACTGAAGGATTAATTAGTGCTTCTAAAGCTGTAGCAGGTGCTACTAATGTATTAATTCAAACTGCTGATGGGGTATTACGTCAAACCAATTCTCATGAACAATTAATTGTTGCCTCTAATGAAGTAGCTGCTTCTACTGCTCAATTAGTATCTGCTTCAAGAGTTAAAGCTAATTTTGTTTCGAAGACTCAAGATCATCTTGAATCTGCTTCAACTAAAGTATCATCGGCTTGTAAATCCTTAGTATCTAAAGTACAAAGTTTATTAGCTAAGGATGAATCAGCTAATCAAAATGATGTAGATTTAAGTAAATTAACTCCTTATGAAGGTAAGACCATTGAAATGGAACAACAAGTAGAAATCTTGAAATTGGAGAATAAACTTGCAGCTGCTAGAAAGAGATTAGGAGAAATTAGAAAACATGGTTATAGAGATGATGATAGCGATGAAGAGTAGTAATTTATATTAGTTATATTAATTAATTGTTTATATATATATATATGTTTAATGTATGTTCAGAAGATATCTAAGTAGTGTAGTAGTGTAATCTCTATGCTCTACACCCAAGCATCAAACATCCAAACATCCAACATCAGAAGATATCTCCAGTACCCTCTAACTTATGATCTTTACGTAACTTCCAGTACTCTCCCTTAAATTCCCAGAATCCATCACCAGTAATAGGGTGAGTCTTCTTAACAAACCAATTAGGAATATAAGCTAAATTATGATCTTCACGATATTTCCGAGCTTGACGTTGTTTAACTTCTACTCGATGTTTTTCATCGGCTGCTTGATCATATCTTCCATCTTCCATATCTCTTTGATCGGGTCTTAATCTTGTATCAGTAGGCGCTAACCATGGTTTTAAATTCTCATCTACTCCATTAAGAGTTGTAGCAAATGCTGTTAAATTAAATGGAACTTTTGGACGAGGAGCAGCTTGCCATACTAAGAATTTATTACCACTAAATGGATCATTACTATTACCATTAATTGTATTAGTACTACTAGAAATTTTAGATATTGACGATTCATGATCAACTAATGAATCTCGTCTATCACCACTAGATTCTAATATCTTCTTAGCAAAGATCTTAGAATTCCAATGACCCCCCATTGCCCATTGAGGGATTCCATTTCTATCAAGTGCTTGTCCTGATAATTGATAAGCAGAAGAGGCTCTCCAACCTCGTTGTTTTAAATCAACAATTATAACATCTCCAGTAGTATGATTTCGAACTTCCATTTGTCCAAAATTATCTACAGTAGGATTCCCAATAATAATCCCCACTACTGAAGTATTAACTTTCTTCCAACTATATAATTCACTAGTAACTCGATTGCCCAGACTATCAATTACTCCATTATCGGGTCTAATTACACAAAACATCTTTCCTAAATGTTTAAAATCAAATGATCTTCCTCTAAATTTAGAATCTACTGCATTCTCTCCATAATAATCCCATTTAGGTGATTCTGCACTACAAGCACTAATTGGAGGATGATGACTAACTTGTTCTACAATTAATCGATAATTTTGATCAGGTCGACAATATTCAAAAGTTTCTCCTAATAAAGGATTAAAAGGTTTGGCAATTCTATCAATTGTTGAAGCATATTCTGAAGCTGCAAAAGTTGCGACATAGATTAATCTTAAGGTGGAATCATCATAAGTAGCAGCAATATCAAGTAAATTACAATATTCAATATCTTCTGCTAATCTTTGTAATAATGATGTAGGTTCATTAAATGATACTGGTAATGTCATTCTTGTCATATCTTTACCAATCATGGATTTTAAGATCCCCCAAAGTCCAACTTTAGGTCGATTATCTTCATCCATTGATAATTTATTTCGAGGAGGATTTTCATATCCCAAAAAGGATCCTTCAGCTTGAAGCTTTTCATTAACTGAATGTTGAACACTATTGAATTTAGTAATAGTCTTTTCTTCAGATTTTTCAAGCCCTTCTACCTTTCCCTCTTTATTACCAATGTACTCAGAAGGTACTTCTTCTTCTTCTTCTTCTTCTTCTCCGACTTCTTTAGATACATCTGTTGACACTTCTTCAGAAACTTCTTCAGTCTTTTCTCCAACCTCTTCAGTCTCTTTTGACTTTGGTTCTTCTACTTCTGGCTCTTCTTCTTCCTCTTCAAATTCATCGGCATCAAAGAATTCATCTTCAGAATCATCATGAAGTATATCTTCAATGATCTTATCTGGTCCTGGACTTACTAAACCAGATTCAATCTTTTGGAATTGATCTTGATCAGATATCTTAGTTATTCCTAATCCCAGTTCATCAACTGGTCCACTAGTCAGTTCAACTCCTAATACAGTAGTAGCAGAAGATTCAACTAAAGGATTTGATGAAGGTCCACTAATTGAAAGATACTTTTTAAGTTGTTTCTTTTGACCTTCGAATTGTGCCAATTTAATTTCTCGTTGATGAATCTCATTTTCAAGTTGTTTTATGGATGATTCCCATAATTTATTTACTTCTAATTGTCTTTCTAATTTAGATAATAACTTTTCATCACGAGATTGAATTATAATATTTAATCTTTCTACTTGATCACGAATTGATTCAAGAGTAGTTAAACCTAATGAACAAGCTTCAAATTCTTTTGCATCTTTAGATATAGAATCCAGGGCAACAATATGACGAAATAAATCAATTAATGAAGTAATTTCTACATCAACTGAACGTTTAATGGTGGAGATTTGATCAGTTAATGGACCAATGATTTGATCAGAAGTTTTAGAATCAATTTCACTATCATAACCTTCATCATCATCCATATCATAATCGAAATTTTCTACATCTACTGAATCTTGAACACTACCTTGATCATTATCATTACTTAATCTTGATTGTAATTGTAAATGTTCAATAGCAGGATTTAATCCACTCAAGATTCGATTAGATGTTGGAGAATTTGGACTAATTAATTCATCTCCTCCTCCTCCTCCTCCTCCATTAGGATTTGGAGATTTAATAATCATACTAACTGATCTACTAGGAGGTTGAGATCCTAAAGCTTCTTCATCTATAAATGAACTAGCAGTAGAATTTAATGACATTTGACTAGATGAACGTTTATGTTTCGATTTCCGACCAGGAATTCGAATTCGAGAAAGTGATCGTCTACTTTCTGGTTCTTCATAAACTTTACTTTCTTCTTCAATAGTTTCATTATTATTATTATTACCAGATGAATTCTTTTTCTTCATATTATCTTTAGCAATAGTAATGGCATTTTGTAAAGTCCATACCCATCGATTTGTTTCAATAGGATGATTAGCTTTTAAATGCCATCTAATACCATTTTTACCAATAATTTCAAATTTCAATTTCTCGGAAGAATCTAAATGTAATACAGCATAACCTAAATTTAATGAACCTCTACAAGAATTATTTGTATCATCTTGATTTGAATAATATGATAAAATTCCAAATTGATCAAGAATAAAATATCTTAATTTATATCCACTTGCAAAATTAGTCCATTTTCTTAAATATCCCTTTTGAGTAGGTGCAGAACCTTGTTTAATAGCATTACTTGTACTAACTACTGGATCCATAATTGTTTGATCTTTTGAAGCCACTTTTAATAATTTTCTTAAAGGATCATTCTTATTATGAATTAAATCAATGGGTAATTTACCTCGTTTATCTCGTTTAAATGGATCACCTCCATGTTTTAAAATCCAATCACACATTGGTAAATCATCCTTTCTAATAAATTCATGTAATACAGTATTACCAGTAGTTGGATCTGAACCATTAATATCTAATAATTCAGCAGCTCGAGGATTTAATACTAATAATTTCTCTAAATTATCAAAATCTCGATTACTAAAATATTGACGTAATAATCCTGCCAGCTTTTCAACAAATTTAGCTCGTTCAAATTGCATTACTTGAGCAATATTTAAATCTCGACATACTTCTACTGGTTGTTTCTTTTTTAAATTAACTATAGTATCATTAATATCTGGTAATGTTAATAAATATTTAACTACTTCAATTCGAGATGATAAAGCTGCTAAATGTAAAGGAGTATTCCCATCTGAATCTTGAGAATTAATATCAATATGATATTTCTCAGAATTACTAACAAGATATTGAATCATTGAAAGTGACGATACTTGAACTCCATAATGCATTATAGTTTCTTTTAATTGAATTATATCAGGATTATTGACGGTAGATTCGGTATTTAATAATTCCGAAATGACTCCATCGACTTTATTAGTATCTCCACTTCTAAGTGCATCCAAGAGTTTTAATCTTAATAATGATGCGTTCAATTGAGATGTTGACATTGTTAGTAGTTGTTAATTATTAGTTATCTATTGGTGGATTATGGGTTATTGGTTATTGCCGAGGCAGGGTTCAGTGATGTCGTGGGTTCGGTTAAGGGCCACACACAGTTAATTGATAAGCTTTTCGAGACAAGAACAGTCTTAGCAACCACAGATGGGGAGGAATGTCGTGGTTGATCTATAGGAATGTTCCTAATGATGTAATCAATGTAAGTGGGGTTGATCAAGTGGGTTTATATATTGGTGGGAGACAGAGAGAGAGAGAAAGGGAGACATTTTTTTACATAGCCGAGACATGGGAAGCGGGAGCTCATGGTGCGGCGTGCCATCTATAATTAGTGAGTGAGTGACTTCCGACCAACTACATTGCTGCTTCATGTGCTCAAGTTGCAACCGGAGAACAATGGATGGAGTTGTTTACGTCATGTCAACGGTAATGTATCTGCACATGCACAGTATCAAATGTTTAATTTTTATTCACTCCTTTGACACATCTAGTGAACCATTAATAAATTAACTTTCTAACCATGCGATTTAACTATGTTGTAAATAATAGATTCACTAATAAGTCATCAAAGGAAAGTACAACCTTTCACTTATTATTCTATATTCCTTATCCCCTATTGTATGTATTTCTTATCACTTATCATATATATAATATATCATTGACATACTTTACTAATGCGAGAAGTTAGTGAATTTACAAAAACCTGTCTTCTTCTTCAGATATTAATAGCAACAATAATATATTATTAAAAAGTGGCTTTCTATTTTGTTGTTTTTATGCTCAATTCAATAATCATTTATTTGTAATGCATACCACTTAAATGTATTAATTTGAGTATGGATAAATATCTAACTAACACATATAGTGTTGATAATATGAGGATCTACTACTATACTTTAATTTCAGTGTTGACTGATTAGGATATGTCATTAGAGGTGGATGAATCAGCGAATGATATAAATTAGAGCTAGCTTTTGCGTGTCTAATTCCCTTTCGAAATACACAAGCAAGGTCTGTTGTTTCTATGTAACATTTCTGTACAAAGTAATACGAATAAAAATTAAGTACAACCTTATAGTTTTTAAGAGAACAAAATATCTCTACCATATGCACCGTTATTGGTTAGTAATTAGAGAGAATACTCAGTTTCTGTGACTAACGAATATTCTTCATCTCTTACATTTCTTCTAAAGGATGCATATTTGAAGGTAAGAACTCCTCCAAGATTTGCAGCCAACAAACAAATCTCAAAGTACTTCTAGAGGTACAACAGCAAAACATTTAAATTCATTTATCAAATCTGTGATTAAACAAATAGATACAATTTATGGACTTTATAGTGCTTCATGCTTGACAATGCTGTAATACATAAACCCCTTGAAACTCAAAATTAGCTGCTTTAAGTGCTTTGGAGCTTAACTGGCCCCTATTGAATTTTGACAGTACTGCATATAATCCAGAACACTAACAATTTTCAAATTGATATGATACAACTATAACCAAACCAAACCAAACCAAACCAAACCAAACACTACTAGCACATATAGACAGGAGTGATAATGAGCGAAGTTAAGAAACGAGAGCATGAAGACGATAATTCTGACAATGACTCACATTCAAATAATGGGACATCCAAATTAATAAAACTCGATGCATCCCAACTCAAACCATCACAAACGTTATACATTAAGAATTTAAATGACAAAATAAATCCACGAATTGTTAAACACAACTTATATTTACTATTTTCCACTTTTGGTGATGTGATACAGATAAATAATAGGAAACGAGGTCAGGCATACATTGTATTTGGAGATGTAGATAGTGCTACTTTAGCCTTAAGAAGCTTACAAGCTGAACCATTCTTTAATAAACCATTGGCCATTAATTATTCTATAAATGAATCGAAAATCATAACTACACTCAAGAGACAACAAGAGGCCATAGAAAGCTCAGATACTTAGTTAAGTTATATGACTGAGATTAAGAAATACCCTTTTATATAGGGAGTTTATGACTGCACGACTAATAGAAATGTAACATGTAAAAATTCGTCTAATATACAACTCTATAGACTCACTTTAATATTTTAATATATATCATGATACTAACAAAATAGGTGCGTACTGAACTATCACCAAACCTACTTGCAACCGGCCAGTGAAAAACTCATCGCTCCATGTAAAAAAAAATATATTTGCACCTATTAGTGAATTAACCAGAGTATTCAACCATGAAGAAGAGTAGAAAGGGTGCGACTCGAGCTGCAGCTCAGCTCTTAGAATCATCGGTATCGCCTATTTTGGACTTGACGTATGAAGATCCCTTGTTCACATTTGCTTTACATCCTTCAAAGCCAATAATAGTTTCTGGATTGGCTACAGGGCATGTGTTCTGTGATACATATAATGCTGAAGAATTAGAAAGACTTCAGAAACTGAAACGAGATGAGATTGAGAGTCGAGGTAGTGTGACTTTCAAAGATAACAAGATATATAAGACTACTAAATCTATTTCTCAACTGAAGAATAAATGGTGGGTAGTTAAAGGCAATAATGAAGAAGATACAACTGGTAATGTTGTGAGGAATTGGTCAACCAAAAGACATAAAGGATCATGTAGACATATTATCTTTGAACCAATTCAATTAGCTGATTCAACAGGTGAATATATTTATTCAATAGGAACGGATAATATAATTAAGAAAGCTCAAGTATCAAATGGGAAAGTTATTGCTAAGATTGATGTAACTAAGGACTTTAATACACCTGATGATCATATTAATAAACTTTGTCATTCTACTACTCATCCTTTCTTAATAGCAGGAACTGAATCGGGACATATCTTAGTATATGATACTAAGTCTAATGGATTACGTAGATCTGAGCATAAGATCTTTAAGGCTAATGATGATCAAATTAATCAAATCTTACCCATGCCTGAAGTATCCGCCTATCACTATCTTACTGTAGGATCTACTACTTTAAGTCATATAGATATTAGAAAGGGAATTGTAACTCAATCAGAAAATCAAGAAGATGAATTATTATCTATGTGTTATCCTTCTAATGATACAAAGAATGATGAAGTATTAGTCGGTCATGGAGAAGGTATAGTTACTATATGGAAAAAGTCAAAGAATAATTTTACTGATCAGTTAACAAGAATTAAGATTAATAAAGAAACTTCAATTGAATCTATGGTTCCTACCTATAACCAAGATGATGATGATCTTGCCAACTCTGTATGGTGTGGAGACGCAGAAGGTATGTTACATCGTATTAACTATAAAAAGGGGAAAATATCCGAAGTGAGAGTTCACTCCAGTGGATTTGGTTTAGGAGACGAGGTTGAAGGTTTGGATATAGACTTTGAATATCGATTGGTAAGTGCCAGTATGGGGAACTTGAGAATATGGTCAACTGAAGATATTGAGGAAGGAGATGCAGAGGATGAGAGTGAGGAAGATGACGAGGATAACGAAGACGAAGAGAACGATGAAGAAGGTGAAGGTGAAGGTGAAGGTGACAGTGATGATTCTAGTGCCAGTGAACTGGATTTAGATTTAAGTGACATGAGTGATTTGAGTGAATCTGGTTCAAGTGTAGAGGAGGAAGAAGATGATGAAGATAAAGAAGATAATGATGAAGATAAGGAAGTTGGTGCCGATAAAGACGATGAAGAAGAAGAAGAAGAAGAAGAAGAAGAAGAAGAAGAAGAAGAGACCCAACAATCACAGCCTGTCATAGTCAGAAAGAAAAGAAGAGATATCGGTCAAATCTTAAACCCAAGTAAGAAGAAGAAGCTCGTCGATTTGAATAAAGCTGCGAAACCCGACCACCACAATGATAACGAAAACGATACCGATTCCGACTCTGAACCTCAACCTCCTCCCACCAAAAAGTCGAAACTCGACAAGATTTCCGCCAAGCAGTTAAAGAACATGCAAAAGCATGAACACGGAATTAGACGTTTCGAAGGTTTGTAAAATATTAATAAAATACTACTTAGATATATATAGATAGGCATCGCCAAATCCGGGACGACATTTTTTCGTTATCGCATATGTAAATTTTCAATATGGAGACATCCACCTATACAACCCCATAGTAATCCCAGTAATTAAGCAGTCGATATGGATACCCTCAACGTGTCGACTGTTAAGAACGTAATCTTAAACAGAAGAGGGTATAGCATTACTGGTACACTCATATTATCACCGTATCATCTTGTGTTCAGCTTTTTACCTCCACAGTCTTCCACCTCCACTTCCAGTTCCAGTTCCAACTCGAGCTCTACTTCAACTCTTATTCAACCTAAAGAAATATGGATATGTTATCCAGTTATAGAGAGATTGTCCAAATCACGAGGCTCCTCCTGGATCAGTAATGCTTCAATTACTAATAATTTATCCAATAATGGGTCGGGTGATAGTGAAGATATTGAAAAGTCCGAATCGGTTCTACCGAAATTAAATATACCAGATTTCGATCATTATACTGCTTCACATATACGATTACAATGTAAAGATTTTACATTTTATTCATTTGATTTTCTTAATGATTTAGTATGTACTGAAGTATTTTCTAAATTGAGTTTCCTTATTACAGTTCCTAAGATTGAAAATGATATTCAAACATTATATGCATATGATTATCAACCCAATACTTTAGAGAAGAAATTATTAATAAATGGGTGGAATATATATGATCCTATACAAGAATATAAACGATTAGGATTATTACTGGATGATGATAAATATTGGCGAGCATCTAAGATTAATCATGAATATAAATTTTGTCCATCATATCCTAATATACTTATTGTTCCAAGTACTATATCTGATAATGTATTAAAACATACAGCTAAATTTAGATCTAAACAAAGAATTCCTGCTGTGGTATATAAACATAGAAATGGTATTAATGGTAATGGAAATGTTATAGCTAGATGTTCTCAACCTTTAGTAGGATTAAATTTACAAAATCGATCAATTCAAGATGAAAAACTTATAGCAGAAATATTTAATAGTCAAGAAAAGGAAAGGAAAAATGTAATTTCTGAAGATAGAGAATTACAAAGTCAACCTCAAAAGAATTTATTAGTAGATTTACGACCTTTAACAAATGCTATGGCTCAACATGCTCTTGGAGCTGGGACTGAAAATATTGAAAATTATCGTGGTAAAAGTCCAAATTCTGATAATAATGGAGGAGATTCTTCTACTAATGGATCAATTGATGGTGAACAAAGACAAGTCAATAAAATATTTTGTAATATTGATAATATTCATGTTATGAGAGATTCTTTAAATAAATTAACATCTATATTAAATGATTTAGACAAATTCCCTGTATCCAATAGTGCTAATAAGACTCAAAGTTCATATCCATTATTACAACAATCATTAACGAAAACTATGTGGTTACATCGTATATCAATTATTTTACAATCGGTGGATAGAATTACTAAATCTATTCATTTTAATAATACTAATGTCATTATCCATTGTTCTGATGGATGGGATCGAACATCTCAAGTATCAGCATTACTGCAACTTTGTTTAGACCCTTATTATAGAACCATAAAGGGATTTATGGTATTGATTGAAAAAGAATGGGTTAGTTTTGGATTCAAATTTTCAACTAGAGGTGATCATGGTGGTTGTATAGGTGCTATACTTAAAAAGGAACCTAAACAATCAAGAATTGATCCTAATGAAACTAGTAGTGAACCAGTTCCAGCAACTTCATCAACAACATCTTCATCAGAGCCAAATTTAAACTTAAATTCTGGTGGAGGGTATGGAAGTACAGTAGCATCATTTCTTCAAAGAGCAGCAACTCATATTAAGAATACAGCAGCTAATTCTCCTTTGCTTTCTGATAGTGATCTCCTGGATAGTAGTAAATATCCAGGAAGTTCTATTTATACTGGAAGTAATGAGAAATCACCAGTTTTCCATCAATTTCTTGATTGTGTATATCAAATTTATAGGCAACATCCTTCCAAATTCGAATTTAATAGTCGATTTTTAAAGAGACTATTCTATCATTATTATTCATGCCAATATGGATCATTCTTATGTGATTCAGAAAGAGAATTAAGACATATTCGTAAAGTTCAAGACAAAACGGTATCGGTATGGGATTATTTCAATTCTCGGCCTAAAGAATTCAGTAATTCTCAGTATTTGATACAAACTGAAACTGAAGGAGATGGAGAAATCTTCTTTAACTTTGCCGATGTTAAATGGTGGTACGAATTATATGGCCGATCAGATGAAGAGATGAATGGATTATCTAATTCACTTGATCGTAAATTTGCCCAAATGAAGCTTAACCGTGCAGCATCTCCTGCCAATAGCACTACCAATGGAACTACTATTAATGGTAGTTAGTTACTGTACTGTACTGTATACTATATATGCTCTATGTCTATTAATGAACAAAAGCGATTGTCGCAAAATGCTCAACGCCTATTTTTTTCCCCTAATATCTGCAGCCGTTATCTAATCCATCTCTTTCTGGCTTTAACCATAATGAGCCGTAGTATTATAGTGAAGAGATGGCACCGATTGTTTCTGATAACTACCAGAACTACCAGTAGCTTTGGTACTGCTATTAGTAGTTTTGATACTGATGCTGGTACAGGTACAGGTACTAATAGTTCTGGTAGTGGTAGTGGTTCTGGTCCTTTGGGTGTAGAAGGTAGACTCCCCGGAGGATCAAATGAGTATCATGCCGAAGCAGTTACTATAACTGACCCATTCCTTTTATATCAGAATTACGTCCATCTGGGAGTATTACAGAAGGATGAGTTCCAACTTCGAGTCATGAAAGAGTTTCAGAAATTATACCATAGAGTATTGGACTATACACCTCCTGAAGAACTTCAGATTAAAATTAGTTTAATATTAAAGCAGATTGAATTAAAACACTTAGAGGCTCGAGCTCGTGAAGAAGGGGTTAGTTTCTTACCTCGAAGACTATCCAATTTATCCAAAGTATTCCAAAAGGATCCTACTCATGAAAAGAATCAACTAGTAAAATATATAACTGATGAAGAAGAGTTATATAACTTTGCATCTCCTCGTGGATTATTGGTTAATGGAGAAGTTGGATGTGGTAAATCTATGTTAATGGATATATTTGCTGCTTCCTTACCTCATAAATCTAAGATGAGATGGCACTATAATAATTTTATATTATGGGTATTTACAGAAATGCATAAAATTCAACAAGAAAGGTTATTTATGTATAGTGTTCAAGGTGAAAATCAGAAGATTACTATGGAGAATGAATTTGTTTTATTTGAAATCGCTCAGAAAATGATTAAAAAGAATACTATATTGATGCTTGATGAATTCATGCTTCCAGATATTGCATCTGCCAATATTATTAAAATCCTCTTCACTTACTATTTTAAGCTTGGTGGTGTTTTAGTGGCCACATCTAACAAATTGCCTGAAGAGTTATATTCCAACGAATTTCAGAAATCTAAATTCGATACATTTGTAAGGATTCTCAATACTAGATGTGATTCAGTAGATGTGAAATCTGTAAAAGATTATCGATCTGAGTTTGCATCTGTAGCAGGACAAGATCCTCATTTAGTTGATAAACTGAAGAATGAGTCACATGAACAAGAATGGATCAAACTTATAAAGACCCATGTACTCAAATTAGATCCTTCCAATCAAGTTCCATTACATCAACTTGGAAGTCCTTCATCTTTCTCAGTATATGGTAGAACTACACATATACCATTAACATTCAATAATGATACAGTATGCTATTTGGATTATTCATACATATGTCAAGGGTTATTCTCATCTTCTGATTATATAACTCTTGCTTCTCGGTATAAAACAGTCATATTGGACAATGTACCTATCATGACTACTAAGATGAAAAATGAAGCTCGTCGATTTATAACTTTACTTGATGCTATTTATGAAGCCAAATGTCAATTCTTTTTAAGAAGTGAAGTTGATATCGATTATATATTCTTTCCGGATGCTTCAGATGTTAAAGATCCTATAATTTTAGAAAAACTTAAGAATTTGGAAATAAATGATAATTCCCTTGATGTTCAAAATGAAGAGATGTATGCCAAGACTAAAATAGCGATGGAGAGTCCTTATAGACCTAATATTGCTTCTTATGATGAACAAAAGATGTCACATTATAATGAGTCAGCGACTAAGAAATCATCACAATCTGATACTTTTAAAGATATGAGAGCATTTACAGGAGATGATGAGAAGTTTGCCTATAAAAGAGCCGTTCTGAGAATTAAAGAGATGTTATTTTCCGAAACTTGGAGATCTACTGATAGATGGGTCCCCATACATCCCAGTATGAGACCATGGGAAAAGTCTAATGAGAGTTCTGAACTATTTCCTACATCCCAACCGGAATTGCGCCCCACAGAAACTCAACAAGTTCCCACTATATCCAAGGAAAAGCTTAAAAACTCCTTACCCCGAGATTTGGCTATAGCTTATAATATACCATTCCGTATATTTAATTCACTTGTAGCTCCCAAATTTGATTGGAACCATTTTTGGGCGATGGGTCAATGGAATAGTCAAAATAAACGACTCAAAGATAATATCTCTAAAGTATGGATACGTACTAGTATATTTAGTAAAAGACAATAGACAATAGTAATTTAGTGAGGGTAAATAGTTAACGATAACCGAGGTGGGTGCGGATAAAAAAAAATTGAGTATATAACCCCAGATTTATCTCATAGTAATTAAAGCATCGCTCAAGGTATACCCCTCTTATAAACAAATCAAGTTGGATAGTGTAGCACATAATGTTAACTCCGGAGAGGTTAGTAAAGTTGGCATACCATTATCCCAAGCTTCATAACACTTGGTATTTGGTGGCATGTGCATGTTTAACTGTGATCAATCAACCTCAAGAAATCCCTAAAGTATTTCATTTTGCCTTAAGACAACAATTATTGGAATATTCTGGTGATGAAGGACTTTTAACAGATCAATTTCTCATTAAACTTGCTCAAGATTCTATATCTTCACTGGATAAATTTCAAGATTTTTCAGCCGTTGGTGTTCATTTACCTGATGTTTTAATTCCTTATACTTACTATAATAAACTTCCATTAAGGTATAAATTTTCAAAGACTGAAGATATTCATGCTACACAATCGGCTATAGCTGCTAAATTTAGAGAAGTAATTTTGAAAACTGCAGCTTTATCAGGTTTACCTAAATCTATTAATGCCCTTATGTTATTAAAGAGTGTAACTCCAACAAGTATTCGTGCAAGTGATTTACCAGAACGGAAACCAATAGTTCATCCTGGTAGAATATTATCATCACTGATTGTTGGAGAAGATGCTGAAGGAACACACTTTGATGAAAAATCAAATGGTAAGAAAACTACTGATACTATTGATGGACCAATATCTTCAAGTTCAATTGATGTTAAAGAATTTACGAATAATTTAGCTAGAGGTTCTGATTTTTGGAATAGTATTTATACCAATAAAATTAATACTAGAATCAGAAGACAAATGATGAATGCTTATCCTGATTTATGGTATTATGCTTATCAGAATGTTTATACTCCTCTCTTAAGTTTTACAGATATTCTTTCTTCTCGTGAAACTTCCATGTGTACAGTAGCCAGTTTGATTCCTCAAGATGTTAATCCTCAATTAAAGGGACATTTAAAAGGTGCTCATAATTTAGGTGTTAGTAAAGATGAATTATCAGAATTAAGATCGTTAGTATTTGACATTTGTGATTGGAGTGGTAATGTTCATTGGAAAGACGGTAAAGATAGTGTAGCTAAACTATGATTAAATACTCTACAATGTCTCTACTCAAAGGTTAGGTTACTATTTTAGATATATATATTCTGTAAAGATATTATGATTTTTTTCTATAAACTTAATTGAAAAGAACATAAGGCAACAACCCTAATATAATTAATTATAGCTGTTACGTAGAACTGAAAATATGAATTAGTCAATTGTCTTGTGGTAATTGTTGATTGTTATGGGAATAGTCATCAGGAGTCTAACTCAATTGGATTCTATCCTGTCTTCTAATTAAAAATACTTGTAATCCACAGAACACAAAGAACGCCAAATAAACAAATACTGCTCCAAATACAGTTTCAGCTACTGCTTTACCATCTTCAGGGTCATTAATTGACCCCATCATAGATTCATGTCCAATTCGGAATAAATACCCAATAAATGACAATATGACTATAGCAAACGCAGATAATATCGTACAACAGTACGCATTACCGGTAGAAACAACTGGTTTCATGATTCCTGCACTCGTGTACTGACAGTTTCTGTTGATAAAGCTCGTGATAGTGTCTCATTGACCATTTTCATTTACCAAGGGCTTTTTATCAATTTTGGGTGGGTGCGGAATTTGTGTGCAGTCCGGTTTTGAATGGATGTTTTAATATGGGTGGATTATATATATTGTCACTATACTAAAAAAGTTACTAAATAAGATTCATTAAAAAACGTTAAAATTACACTCTGAATTGGACCCTCTTCTTGGGGACTCGTTTTCCAAGTGGTGCGGGCGATTCAGTATTACTATTACTACTACTTTCATCTTCTTCTTGTTGCAGCAGATTCCCAATAATATTACTTACATCTTCATCATCCAGACCATAAGGTGTTGCAGCCATAGGAGAATTATTAGTAGTTGGATTATTTGATGAGATTTCACTAGCTAAAGCACCTGTAATATCGAATTTCCCCGCTATTTTCCTTTTTTTAATTAATTGTACTGCCTTATACATTTCCTTTAGAAGATGTAATCTATCCGATACAATTTGAACGTCTTCATACCATTCTTGCTCTATTTCATGCTGAAAGGAATCACTGGCTTGTTTATTTAAAAGTTTGCTCTGAGTAGTTGTACTCTTATCCAGATATTGTGCTAAAGAACTTAATGCTTGTTTATATGATTTCTTGGGTATATAGAATGAATCCTTACGAGGAGTTGTTTCAGATTGTGAGGAATTTTGGTGAAGTAATGATTGCGACAGTGTTTGAGTGTCTGATTGAACAGGAGATGAGGACGATCTCTCTATCGAATTCGTGGTAGTGTCTATATCTGGAGATGATGTTACACTTGTAGAACTATTATTTCTATTATCAAAAGAAGAAGTTGCAACATCTGTAGGAGTTGGAGTTCGATTTCTTGCTCGACGATTAGAACTTCTGTTGGGTATTGGCAGGGATGCAGGAGTTTCTATTCCATTGGGATTATTCAAAAATCCTTTGTTTTGTTTATAATGTAATTTAACTATTTTGGAAGGTGAAAATGCCAGTTCATCTTCACTCGCAGGGAGTAATGGTTCCAAACTATTTGTTCGGTCTTCCCTCAGGGTACGCAGTAGAAATTTGTCCTTATTATACTTTAATGTTATTAAATACTGCAGCATTGTTTTCTTTCTAACAACTGTCTAATTTGTATTACTTAAACTATTACTTAAATTATTATACCTAGCAACCACTGTTTTAAATTAGGAACCATAAATTCAGATTACTGCTAAAAAAAATGTATTCGTCAACGGGGTCGTGTGGAACTCGAGATTTGTGCGGAAGATGAATTTTGTCCTTCCTTCTCCTACCGGTCGCTTTCAGGTTAAGCGTAGTATAGTAACGTTGATGCTAACGTTTTAGCTATTAGAGAGTTAGATTTGATTATTATGACAACTGCAAATCTAGAACCTATACAGGAGAATGATCCATTGATAGCCACAGCTGATCAAGTTCTGGCTTTGATAGAATCGTTCATAGAGCTTGGAGTATTGGTTCATGATAATCAAGGTACCCAACAATCTCATTCAGCATTAACCCGTAAAACTAATCAAGTTATAAGTCAATTATCTGGTTTGACATCTAGTCCATATACTCAACAATATCCAATACCAATCGACGTCTTTTCATATATAGAAGATGGAAGAAATCCAGATATCTATACTAGAGAATTCATTGAAGTTACTGCGAAAAGTAATGCTAGATTAAAGGGGAAGATGAAGGGTTTTTCAAAGCTTAGAGATATTTTGGGTGATAAATTGGTCAATGAATTACCTCGATTAGCTGAAAGTATAGAAGATATTAAAAGAAGAACGAGTGGTGAGACAAGTTGAATTGATTGAAAGTGAAGAAATAGTGTTGGACTTCTTGTTAGAAGTTGTCCAGTTCATTATACATCATATGATGTACGCCCAGAGATGCTGGATATTATTCATTGATGGCTTTGGTACTATTGCCAGCTGATATCTTGCGATACTGGCTCTAAATCGTTGAGTACACATCAGAGAAACCAGCAATATATATGGCATCTACGCAATAGAAACTGCATCGAAACCCACAAAGGTATTGTCAGTATGTAAGAATGCTTGTTCTATAAGCATTTACCACTTTTTCAACACAACTATTGCTTTGAGAAAATTACTTATGCACAAACAAGAAAGTAATAGACGTGTTGCAGTACATATTTTTCCCAAATAGTATAACGGTTCTTTCAACTAGGATAATGAGCCCCCTAATTAAATTTGTGACATCAAATAGTTTAGTTAGTAGTTGCCCGCCCAAGATTTTCTATAAAATAAAAGTTCTTACAGGATTGCTATACTACATGTAGTGCCCACATTAAATAGTTATGAAAATAGCAAAATTCATTAATGTTACGAAAATATATCACCTGGGACATATTTTTTCGTGCTAAATGAGGCGTGTAATTACATTTCTTGATTTGGACGCTGCGGCATGGAGCTTTTATGCAGCAAGAAGGCTGGTTACTGCAAAATTTAAAATAATAAATGTGGAATTGAGCGCGACTATTTGCAATGCTTAGTGCACAGGCAAGGAGAAGACCAGCATTTAGAATCTAATTATTTTACTAATGGGGAAGGATAGACAGAATTTTAATTATTGTTTAGATCAAGCATGAATAACTTACTACAATGTAACGTACGTACAAAACAATTAATTGAATAACGTGGACGTGAATTAAGAATGGACGTCACTTAATGCATCTATTTGCGAGATGTAGAATAATACCTTTTCTTGTCATCGCAGGCTGGTTAATAATGCAACTTTTAAATATTCAGCATTCCCTTGATTGTCATTAATTAGAATTATATAATAAGTGCTTGATCTTGTCTTTGTTATTTCATTCTTTATTAAAACAAAAGAGTTCATTAATTTTTTTAACAAAGAGGACTTTGTATCTTTTGTATCTTTTGTATCTTTCTTTTATTCTTTAGGTAGTTAACAATAATATCTACAATGCAAAAGAAGTTTAACATATTACTCCTCGTACTTTCTTTGATTGGGGCTACCAGAGCTGCTGATGAAGATACAACCAGTTACGACGGAACCACTACCGTTACCACTACTCCAGTAGTAACCCTCACAACAACCGTGGGATTAATTGAAGAAGTCCAAGAAACTGTGTATATCTTTACTGATACTGATGGACAATTAACAACTTATACAACTGTTGGAACAACTTTAGTTCCAGACACGGCTGCTGCAACGACCACACCCGAAACTACATCAACAACTACTCCAGAATCCACAACTGCTGAATCTGAACCAGCTACTACAACTGAAACAACTGCTAATACCGAATCAACCACCACTGATGCTGTTACCACTTCATCAGAACCAACCACAACTTCCACCGATCCTACCACTTCATCCACCGGCTCGAGCTCTTCATCTACAGATTCAACTACAACTTCTACTACAGTTTCTCCGGATGATACTACGTCTGCTTCTGCTTCATCTTCTATTCCAGATCCTGTTTCAGACACCGACCTTCCAGTTTCTGCTACCACTTCTACCATCCCAATCAACCTCCCCCCTGGCCGTTATACCACCTCTACAATTGCTACCACCACTGTTTTAGAAGATGGTTCTACTGCTGCCCTTAATCTTGTTGTTTTATACACTTCTGAGTGTCCTTGCGATTAATTGGCCAATTTTAAAAAGCAAGGAAATTAATAATTACATTCGTTTTGGTTCACTTCTTACTGTTACTGCAATAGAAATCTCTTTTTATTTAATTCATATAGTCTCACTTTATTATAAACAACATAAAATCTATATATATATACCCATCTGATACAAAATAAAACTGATCAAAATATAAAGAAAGTAAAAGAATTACTAGTAATATTCTAGTTGGTTTGGAAATTTTTCTAAAGGAGTTGTTGGATCATCATTCATTTGATTAACATATTCACCTCTACCGCATCTTAACAATTTAGGATCATCAACACATGAATAACTAGGTGGATTTTCTAAATCGAATAAAATAGCTCCAAAATTGGCAAGTGTTGGTTTAGTATCTTTAATTTTCTTCCAAGTTCCATCTTTTAAGTTAAGTGATTTGTGAGCGTATCTTACTTCTTTTTGAACAATATTTGGGAAAGTCACATATCCAATTGAACCAAATACTTGAACTGTCTTTCCAGGTCCAGCCGTACAGGTTATACTTCCAGTACTAGATAAAGAAATTGCTCCCCGAATACCAGCTGATAAGTTAAAAACAAAAAGATAATCACTCTTGGCTTGACCTGAGATTCCAAAACTAAGACTGAGTGATTTGGACCAATTATGAGATTGGGTAAATGAAGCTCCAGAACTAGATTGTTTCGAAGAAACACATGGACTAATAGGAATTCTCTTGGCTTTAAGTTTGTGGGGGGCACCGGTGTTAATAGCAACTAAGTCAACTTTTCTTTCTTTATTTCCTCTACTTGGAAATCTCTTTTCTTTATCTGGTAAACGTTCAGAATCTGCAAATGCAAGGATAACTTGTTCCTTTTTCAAGTAAATGTAATATTTATTTGCAATATCTGGATCCTTTTTCTTTACAACCTCTTTCCAAAAGGGTGAGCTTAGAAGAGCTTTCTCATTGTTATAATCTAATGTAATTATTTCACGGCCCGCAAAAGAATAAACAATGGTGTCATTATCATAGGAAGTTATATCAATTGTACTATATGTCATTCCTTCAAATTCATAGGATTGTGTATCCTCTTCAAGTATCCCATAGGTAGTACTATTGATGAATGCTGTAGCACAACATGACAATAAAGCTGAGAAAACAATCGGTTTGGTAAACTTCATATTTGCTTATGAAACGATAGTGAAGTAAAAATGTAGAGACATTGTTCCTGGAACTAAGAGATGTTGGCCACTTCTAAATAGTATTTGTATATAGACTACTACGCTAATTCAAGCATATAATATTTCACATAAACATAACATATAAATGTATTTCGCGGCAATTAACTATTTACTAAATACGAACAAACTTAAGCAGAACAAACAAGTCAATTTGACGTTCAAATTCGAACTCAAAATCTGGAAGTACAAGTGGTCCACAAGCTCCTGTACCTACTCCATGTTGCTTATAGTCAATTCTGACTGTCCTAAGTTTAGACTTTTTGATCTCATTTGGATGTAAAGCTTCTTGAACTCCATATTCGTTTGAGAATTTAAATCCAAACTTCCTATCTGAATTGACCAAGAGTCCTAAATCTCCTGTATTCTCCTTTAATAATAACCACTCTGTATCTTCATGGTTTCCATTTTCTTGGGGATAATCATAACTGTAGTTAAGATTTTCAAATACTTCCTTGTGTAGACCCCATTTCTGTGATTCCTTTTTATCACTATAACTCTCTCCTGGGCCCCTACCAAACCAAGCTACATTATCACCAAGTTCCTCGTTCACGGTGAACTCATATCCAAATCTTGGAAGTGTTTTTGGAAAATGATCAGGATTTCCATAAGCAGTCAAACTCAAGGATTTTTCGATAGCATCACTGTAAACTACGTACTTCTCTGTTGCTTTAAAGCCCCAAGCAAGAATGGGTGGTGCAACTAAAGATTCTACAACAAACTCAGCCAATACACCGTCTTCCAGATTCTTAACTTCATTTACTGATACATTCACAATCGACTTTTTCATCTGATCCAAGCCATATTTTTTCCAGTAAGGTTCATCGACGGGTGTATCATTATTTATACTTGGTCTCCAAAAGTTTAAGTTAGAAAGTGCCTCTATACCAATTTCACTAATTTTGGCTTTGCTTTCTTTAAGTGTCCAGCTGATTACTTTTCCTTCAATCTTATCAAAAACCAAATTCTGATTATTTGTAATGACTCTGGTTGTATTTCTGGAGTCTTCAAAGATGACACTTGGTTCAGAGATCTGATTTCTTGCAAGAAGTGCTACATCTTTTTCATTCTTGATGAAGTATTGGGACCATGCAACTAAATGTCCACATGGTAAACTCTTTGTTGCATTCTTTACTTTAAATTCAACTTCAAAAAGGATTTTTGAAAAGTCATCGATGCTTCCAATATCCAACTTTGGTAAGCTAAGCTCGGAGGTAGCTTTAGAAAGAATCTCTGGAAGTTCTAACTCTCCTTCTTGTATAATCGTCTCTTTTAAATCATTATAACCATAGTAGATATAACTTGCTGAAAAGTTTTCAAGGCCTAAATAATCGAAGGTATTAGTGATCTGCATTTTTCCATCATTAAATGTACAAATAATGGGTTCAATCACCTTTTTATATTCGGTGAGACCAGGAGTTGGATTATGTCTAGAGTCAACAAGCCCATCCATAATAAAAACACCGTCATTTGGTTGATCACCAAAATCTCCACCGTAATAATATGTAGAATTACCATTCTCATCTTTAACCTCGATACCATGATTTGCCCATTCCCATATAAAACCTCCTTGTAGATTTTCATGTTTATAGAATAATTCTTGGTATTGTCTGAGTAATCCTGGACCATTTCCCATAGCATGAGCATATTCACAAAGAATCATTGGTTTCTTATTTTGTTTGGAATAGTCTTCCGTAGTTTCAATACTGGTATACATTCTACTGTACATATCTGCTAATTCAGCATTGAGGTCACCTTCATAGTGAACCGGTCTTTTTTGAATATCGATCCTTCTGATAGTCTCTGCCATCTTAAAATGATTTCTACCGAAGAAGGACTCATTTCCTAAAGACCAAATAATGACCGAAGGTTGGTTCAAGTCTCGATTTACTAATGAGTTTGCTCTGTCAACATAAGCTGTTTCCCATTCCTTGTTATCAGACGTGTATTTTGCAGCATCCTTAAATAAATCACGTTTTTCAGGATCATACTCAACTTTATCAGATGCATCTAATGGTCTCCTGACTGCTTCATAAAAGCCGTGGCATTCAAGATCTGCTTCATCCAAGACCCAAAACCCAAGCTTGTTAGTGAGTTCATAAAACTTAGGATGATTAGGGTAATGAGAAGTTCTAATAGCATTGATGTTGTGTTGCTTCATCAATTTAAGATCTCTCTCAACAAAATCAAGGGGGACAGCTCTACCATATTTAGGATGATGATCATGTCTGTTAACACCTCTAAGTAAAATAGGTCTTCCATTAACTTTAATGAGTCCGTCTTTCATTTCAACTGTTCTAAACCCAACATCTTGAGATAATGAACTAATAATGTCATTCGAATCATTCATTACATTGATTACTAACTTGTAAAGGTCTGGGGTCTCTGCTGTCCACTTTTTAGGTTTTTCAACATCAACTGTAATAGATTCAGAAGCATCTTTGTCATACTTATTTTGAATTAATAATGAGCCTGATGGTTCAAATAATTCAATTTGAACATTCGATGGAATATTGTAACTAATCTGTAAATGGAGCTTAGAATCTAAATATTGTTCATCAAAATCAGTATTAATCTGAAAGTTCTTAACATATCCCTTCTTGTTAAATCCTAAAAAGTAAACATCTCTGAAGATACCACTTAACCACCATTGGTCTTGGTCTTCAATATAACTTGAAGAGGACCATTGATAAACTCTAACTACCAATTCATTTAATTCGTTTTCTAAAACCAAGTGAGATACATCGAACTCAGAAGCATTCCTACTACCTTCACTATAACCAATCAATTTTCCATTTAAGAAGACATGAAATGAGTTATCAACCCCCTCAAACCTAAGTCGATATTCAAAAGAAGTAGAGTCCCAAGCTTTAGGTACAGAAAAGAATTTTCGATATGTTCCTACGGGGTTAAGAGAAGGAACATTTGGTGGGTCGGCGGGGAATGGATAACAAACATTTGTATAATGGGGTTTCCCAAAGCCTGAAAGTTGCCAATGACCAGGAACTGATATCGTTGATGTATAAAAATTCCCATCTTCAGCAACTAACCTAGGGTTCTCATCATACCTAAAGTCCCAGACACCATTAAGTGAGAGAGTTGATTCCTCTGGTAAATAATAAGACCTTTGTTCCAATCTATTCAATTGTACAATATTAGGATCTGAGATGGCATCCAAAATTTTTGGTTCATTAAACAACATGTTTGCGCTGATTAATTATTGATTTTCTAATGAAATACCTTAACCCCAATAAGGTGATTTACGAGTCTTTTGTATTATTTAGGAGAAACCTTCGGCTAAGAATTCTGCAAATTCAGTAGCCCCACTTTATGTTTAATCACTTTAAATTCTCGTTTAAGTATATCAACTTCTTGGCCGACAGGAAACTTTCAATGTAACGTTACCTTTTTATGTATATATTCTCTGGTTATGATGCGGCTACCCCATAATTTTAGTTTAACAAGAAAATTTAGCTTTAAATTAGTGTTGCATTTTTCTTATTTTCAGCCATTCCAAGTCAGCGAGTCCTACATTTTCTACAAATTCGTCAAAGGGTAATTATAATTAATGATCAGACGATATTATGACAAGAACCTTAATTAAAACCATGCATATATGGGGAAAGTATGGGGTTTAACTTTCTCGAACGGGTGCATTCTTTAAAAGTATATATAGCTGAATGAAAATGCCTTATTATGCTTAAAATCGGCAACTAAAAATATTATCTAGTTTCATCACCAAAATGCTGAAAAAGAATTCTATTGTCGAGCTCGAAGTAGCCAATGTAGACGAAAACAAAACTGAATCTTCTCCTGAAGTTGTCACTACCTTGGAAGATATTGAATGTTTCCCTGTCTTTAGTCGTCCTTTGATCCCATTACTTGGATCTTGTTTCTTGGTTTATTTTGTTTCAACTACTACTGGTTTTGATGGTTCACTTATGTCAAGTATTTACACACAAGATGATTATCTTGCCAGATTTAATTTGGATATTGATTCTTCTACTGGTACTGGTTTAGTTTTTTCCATTTATAATATTGCACAAGTAGTTGCAGCTTTCTTCTGTCCCTTGATTGATTACTTAGGTAGAAAGAAACTCATTATGGTTGGATGTTTAGGTATTGTAGTAGGAGGTGTCATTACTGCTGTTGCTCAAAGTGTTGGTACATTAATTGCTGGTAGATTCTTCTTATCATTCTTCACTACATTAGCAAACTCTGCTTCTTCCTTGTACGTTACAGAAATAGCTCCACCTAATGCTAGAGCTAGAGTTGCTGGTTGTTACAACACTTTATGGTACTGTGGTTCCATTCTTGCTGCTTTCACTGCTTTTGGTGCTAACAGATATCATGCTGGTAGTGAATTAAGTTTCAGATTACCTCTTGGTATGCAATGTGTGTTCCCTGGTATAGTTGTTATTTTTGGTTGGTTAATTCCTGAAAGTCCAAGATGGTTAGTTGGTGTTGGAAAAGTCGAAGAAGCAAAGAGAGTTATCACCAAATACCACTGTAATGGAGATGAAACTCACCCACTTTTAAATTTTGAAATTGCCGAAATCCAAGCATCATTCGAGATGGGTAACTTGGAAGATCCTAAGAAGTTGTTGGATTTGAGACCTATTTTCAAAAATAACAATGCTTATAGATCTCTTTTAGTTATTGGTATGGCTTGGTTTGGTCAATTTTCAGGAAACAATTGTAATTCTTATTACCTTCCAACAATGTTAAGAAAAGTAGGAATTAAGTCTATCTCAAAAGTTGTTTTAATGAATGCCGCTTATTCGATTATGTCATGGGTGGCATCCATTGCTGGTGCTTTAACTCATGAAATGGCTGGAAGAAGAAAAATGTTCATGTTTTCAACTTTAGCTTCTGCTACTGCTTTGGCTGGTTTAGCTGTATCTACCGCTAGATATATGGCTACCGAAGCTAATGCAGCATCACAAAGTGCACTTGCTTTCGTATTCTTATTTGGTATATTATTTTCATTTGGGTTCACTCCAATGCAAGTCGTTTATCCAGCTGAAGTTTCCTCAAATGCTTTGAGATCCAGATCCTTCGTTGTCTTGAACATTGTTTCCGGAGCAGCTCAATTTATTAATCAATTTGTTACACCAACTGCTATGAAAAATATTTCCTACTGGTTCTACGTATTCTATGTTTTCTTTGATATTTTTGAATTTTTGGTTGTTTACTTCTTCTTTGTTGAAACTAAAGGAAAGACCTTGGAAGAAATGGATGAAATCTTTGCCGCTAAAAATCCAAGAAAAGCTTCCGTGGGTAATTACGAAGATGAAAATGAAAAATCTAAACAAGCTATTCAAGCTGTTGCTCAAAGATTTGCTCAAAATAAGGCCGAACAAAATGTTTAATGTTGTTCTCATACATTTTTCGGTTGTGATATTCAAAATTAATGACTAATTAGACTTTATAAATAAAATATATCTCTTAATATTGTTGTTGCAAAATACATATGGTAGCCCCCTTTTGTTATGCATACCTCACTTATATAGCCCCTTAATAATTCTATAATTCTAAATAATTTTTTCGTTATTACACTATAAGATTTGACTAAAGAGATAATAAAATGTTATCAACAGTAATTTATAGACTAGTAATAACTTCCATGGATGTATCAAATAATAAATATATGAAAATCAATAATATTCTGTAAAAATTGCGCAAATTTCGCAATAAATTGCAGCTAAAAGATTAGTACTCATCTCCAGACTCTAACATGAACTCTTTACCTTATCAATATAGGTACTTCTTCATACAAAAAAATAATATATTTAGTCCATTCAATAACTACTTGAAATGTCTGTAGTCTTAACAGTTATGCAATGAGTTGTATAATAAATCTAGCATGGTAAATTACCTGTCAATTAACTTACTTAATTAGATATCTTTAGGATTCACTACGAGATTATGTAAGCCCTGAAAAGTAATTTTCCCCACATTTCATGTGAATCTGAACTATTCAAAGGTTAATTAGTTCATATTTTCCAACGATACTGATACTGATAGAAAAGCGATGGTTGAAATAAATGTTAACGGGAAGGTAGCCCTCATCACTGGTGGAAGTAGAGGGTTAGGTTATGCAATTGCAGAATCATTTGTTTTGAATGGAGCTAGTAAGATCATTATCACATCAAGAAAGCAAACTGCTTGCGATCAAGCTAAAGAGACATTAGAGAAGCTTGGTAAAGATAATGGCAAAAATGTTGAAGTTATTCCTATTGCATGTAATATTGCTGATGAAGCCAATGTAGAAGCTTTCTTTAAGGAAGTTACATCAAGAATATCTAAGCTTGATATTTTGATTGCTAATGCTGGTGCAGCATACGGAGAAACATTCTTCAAACATCCCATTTCAGCGGTGAAGAAAGTATTAGATTTAAATGTGGTTGGAGTTTTCCATTGCGTAAAGTTATTTGCTCCTATATTGGAACAATCTGGAAATAAAGATGATCCATCAAGAATTATTATTGTTTCTTCAGTTGCTGCATCGGTTGCAACTGATTTTGGAGGAACTTATGGATATTTGGCTTCTAAAGCTGGTGTTAGTCATTTAGGTAAGAATCTTGCTGTTCAATTGGGTCCAAGAAATGTTAATGTAAATATTATTGCTCCAGGTATATTTCCTACCAAAATGTCAAAATCATTGGTTACTAATAAGAAAACAGAATTAGTTGATGGTAATCCATTAGGACGATTTGGTCAACTTTCAGATATTCAGAATAGTGTACTTTTCCTCTGTTGTAAACAATCAAACTACATAAATGGTATTAGTTTACCAATCGATGGTGGGTTATATTTGGTTGGTACTAAGAACTTATCAAAATTTTAGTATTAACAGTTCTAGATACATTGATTTATTTAAGCATGTGATTAATTAAGTTAAATTAAATAAAATTAAGTTAAATAAAATAAAATTAAATTCGTATAGATTTATTTATTTATTAAGATATAATTAGATATTTAAACCTCCTCTTACAGGTTTAATAATATGCAAATTAAGTCCAGATTTAGGTGAATCTATTGATTGAGATGATCTCTCTGATCTATTTGGTGATTGTGTTGATATAATACTTAAACGTTTCGGGGTTATAATAGTTGAACCAATTTCACTTAAAATATCATTTTTCAATTTAAAATCGGAGAAGTTATTAGTTTCAGTATTTAATTTAATAGTATCTTCTGAAGTTTGTAATGAATTTTCTTTATTCTCTATAATTTCATTCATATGATGTTTATCTATTACACTTCTTAATTCTTGTAACTTATTTTTAAACCCTGAAGCTTCATTGATTATCATTCTTTGTTGTTCATCAAGAGTCAGCTTTAATTGGTTAATTTTTGAATCTCTTGATTCTATAATTTTTTCACTTATTAATAGATGTTTCTTTAAATTTATATTGACTAACTCAACATCATTTAATTTTTCACTAATTTTATGTAAAGAATTTTGTAATGAAAATAATTTTGATTCTCCATTATGAGAAGCTCGTAAATTATCCATTTTCATATTTAAAATTTCATTTTCAAGTTCATTTATTTTTTTATCCTTTCTTGATAATTCTTCATGTAAATGTTTATTTCCATTGGGAGACGTTGTAAGTTGAGGTAAACGAGATTTGAATTCCTTTGATGGTGTAGTATGTGTACTATTAGTATTGTTAGGTATATAAACTGTTGTAGTTGAACCTTCTCTCCAGGAGTTTAATTCAGCTTCTAGTTCTTTAATATATGATTGGTTTTGTTGATTGATTTGTTCCAATTGATTTATTTTAAGTCTTAGAGAACTTGGACTTAGTTCAGTATTAATATGAGCAGAATTCTTTATAGTTTTAGCTCTAGCTCCAAATCTTAAGGAATTAAGAGTTTCTTGTTCATTTAATATTGAAGGAGAACAATTAATTATTAATGAGGTTCTTGAATTACCTCCAATAGCTTCTTGAAGAATACGAGTTAATTTGGAATCTCTATATGGTACATGAGTAGATTTAGGATCAGTTAATGCATTAATAACATTTCCAAGAGCTGAAAGAGAACTATTAATCTTCTTGGCTTCTTCTAAGGTTTGCCCCACAGCATTTGATTTTATAACTTTTTCAGACCCTGCTAAATCTACAAGGAATAATTGAGAACTCTTTGTTACACCAGTATTTAAATGTTTTTGATTTAATCTTATTTGGAATATAGCGTGTGATCTTGATGATTCAGAATTCATACTTGTAGCAATAGTTGATCTAGATTGAAGACCACTAATTAATATTTGATATAATTCTTCATGAGTTGAAATAAATGCATTGGCTAAATCTTTAATATGTATACCTCTTACTTTATCTTCATGAATTGAAAATTTCTGAGTTGATGATTCTCCATTATTAACATTTATGAGATCTTTAATTTGTTCTTTATGAATTTCTAAAAAGGATACACTCACAGTATATTCCATATTTGAAGATGAATGATTAAGTCTATCAAATATATCTTGAGATATACGAGGTATTAATCCCATTTCTATATCATTTTGTCTACCTAACATAGTATAAGATTTCCCACTACCTGTTTGACCATAAGCAAGTAAACAACCATTAAATCCACTAATAAAATCATCAACTATTTCTGCCGCCACATAATTATATACATCTAATTGAGAAGAATTTTGATCAAATACTTTATCTAATGTGAATTGATTGGCGCAATCTTTTATATTAAGCGTTACTGTTTGTGAAGTTGGAGTAATAAAGGGAATTCCTGTAGATCTGTCGTGATGATATTCAAACTCATTTTCCGGCCGAATACGGCACACAACTTTAATATGATTATTAACATTATTATTGGTATTATCGTCTAGATTCAGATATTTGATTGATCCAAGCGATCCAATGTCAATTGCTGATGAATCTTTATTTATAGTTGTGTTCAAAGTCTCCTCGAATGATGTACCAAAACTCGACATCGTTTGATTATCTCGAGCCTTTCAACAAGGTGTTCTACTATGCTTATAGTTATAATTGAAGATACTTTAACTATTACAGACCCCTCTAATGTTACCAAGCCGTATAAAAATTTAAGCACTGTTTGGTAAACAGTGTCACAAAGTTAAGTTAAAGGACGTGTCACCACCGCTTCGAGACCTGAGGGCCGAAAAGAGAACCAAGAAAAAAATGTGAGAAATTGAGGTCTTCGATGAGTGGAAAGGTGCCATCCAGAGTCAAATTGGTGGAAGAGTCAAATGCAGATGGAAACTTTTTTAACTCCCAGTAAAAGGCTACTCCGATTATCAAACAAACTGTATAAGTTTCTTATCTGTGGAGGGGAAGATTGTATCTACAACTACAATTATTTGCAACCTTCATATTGATCTATTATAAGCATTCAATACTAGTTAAAACTCAACCAATAGCTATTTGAAAATGAGATGACTCACTATGACGTTCCATCGTCCAATTAAAAATTTTCACCCCACCCACGCTATTAAATCCAACGACCACCGTAATTGACCTAAAGACAAGAAAAAATTAGGCCGAGTCACGGGGTTTGCATACTTAAGCGCGCCGGCCTTAGGCCCGGTTCTTCTCAATTTTAGACTCATAAATTACTCTAATTATAAGATCGGAAGTATATAATTGAAAAATCTCCTATATAAATAAATGTCAAAGTACCAATTATTTAATTGAAATTGAAATTGAAATTGAAATTGTTTATATATATTTAATCTTTAATTAGAATTAATATAATTACAGTATGTCTTCTCCTCAACAAATTGCACAAACCTTTCTGCAAGCTTTGAATCTTTCAGGCTCTCCAAGTCATGCTGTTTCAACTTCTCCAACTCAATCATATTTAGCTCAATATATGCAAAATAATAAGAAACCAACTAAAGCTTTAAAACCTTTCTCAACTGGTGATATTAAAATCTTATTATTAGAAAATGTTAATCAAACTGCTATTGATATATTTTCAAATCAAGGTTATCAAGTTGAATTTTATAAATCTTCACTTCCTGAAGATGAATTGATTGAAAAGATTAAAGATGTTCATGCTATTGGTATTAGATCAAAAACTAAATTAACTGCTAATGTTTTAAAACATGCTAGAAATTTAGTAGTTATTGGATGTTTTTGTATTGGTACTAATCAAGTAGATTTAGAAGCTGCAGCTAAATCAGGTATTGCTGTATTTAATTCTCCATTTTCAAATTCTAGATCAGTAGCTGAATTAGTTATTGCTGAAATTATTACTTTAGCAAGACAATTAGGTGATAGATCAATTGAATTACATACTGGTACTTGGAATAAAGTTAGTTCTAAATGTTGGGAAATTAGAGGTAAAACTTTAGGTATTATTGGTTATGGACATATTGGAGCTCAATTATCTGTTTTAGCAGAAGCTATGGGTATGAATGTTATCTATTATGATATTATTATGATTATGTCATTAGGTAATTCTAAACAAGTTTCAACTTTAGATGATTTATTATCTCAAGCAGATTTTGTTAGTTGTCATGTTCCAGCTACTCCAGAAACTAAAAATTTATTAAGTGCTCCACAATTTGCTGCTATGAAAGATGGATCTTATGTTATAAATGCTTCTAGAGGTACTGTGGTTGATATTCCTGCTTTAATTCAAGCTATGAAAGCTGGTAAAATTGCCGGAGCTGCTATTGATGTTTATCCTCATGAACCAGCCAAGAATGGTGAAAATTTATTCTCTAATGAATTAAATAGTTGGGCTTCAGAATTATGTTCATTAAGAAATGTCATTTTATCACCTCATATTGGTGGATCAACCGAAGAAGCTCAATCTGCTATTGGAGTTGAAGTTGGTTCAGCTTTAACTAAATATATTAATGAAGGTAGTTCAACAGGTGCGGTTAATTTCCCAGAAGTTGCATTAAGAGCATTAGATTTAGATCAACAAAATACTGTCAGAGTTTTATATATCCATCAAAATGTTCCTGGTGTGTTAAAGACTGTTAACAATATTTTATCTAATCATAATATTGAAAAACAATTTACTGATTCAAGAGGTGATGTTGCTTACTTAATGGCAGATATCTCTGATGTTGATATTATTGATATTAAATCATTATATGAACAATTAGAACAAACACCTTATAAGATTGCTACTCGTTTATTATATTAAAAGTAACATCAATTTCAATTCCTCAGAAACATTCAACCTTTTGCCATGCCATGTATAAACTGTTTAATTCTATTTACTATTTACTAATAACTATTTATCGATATTCTATATATACACTTTAATACACTACTATGATATTATATATATATGTATACTGTGTTTATCAGTCGTGCTTAAACCGGGTAATGTCCTTTGAGTGCATTTTCCTGCACACAGCCCAAGGTGGCAATCGCTCACTATTTGAAATATCACGACTCGAGATACTCCACCAACTACTTAAGATTAATATTGTATTGAATAATTACTAAATAACTAGTGAAATATTATTGAATATGGCATTGGTCTCTGCGGCTCCGTACCTTGCCCTTTTGGGTGAAGAAGACGCCAATCTTAAATCATTTGCATTAACTTCATTAAATGATGTAGTAGATCAATTATGGGCAGAAATAGCCAATAGTATTAGTGAATTAGAAGAATTATATGAAGATGAAACTTTTAGTAGTAGAAGTCTTGCAGCATTAATTATTTCTAAAGTCTATTATAATTTAGGAGATTTTGAAGCATCAGTTAAATATTCTTTAAATGCTGGAGATGAATTTAATATTGAAGAACATTCTCAATATATTGAAACAATTGTTAGTAAATCAATTAATTTATATAATACATTATCTCAAAAGAAATTTCTTGATTCATCTATTACAATTGATGAAAGATTAGTTGGAATATTTGAAAAAATGTTGGAAAAATGTATTAAAGCTAAAGAATTAAAATTAGCACTTGGAATTGCTCTTGAAAGTTATAGAATTGATGTTGTAGAAAGAATTTTAAATCATGAAATTAATGTTAGTGAAGAAAATGCTATTAATTTAATTAATTATGTTCTTGTATGTTCAAATACTGTTATTTCAAATTCAGATTTTAAAACTCAAGTATTAAATCTTTTAATTAAATTATTATTACCTTTAACAAAAAATCAAGAATTCTTTACTATTATTAAAATTATTGTTCAATTAAATGATTCTCAATTGGCTTCTAAATTATTTAAAGAATTGGTTATTAAACAAGAAGATTTAATTGCATATCAAGCAGCTTTTGATTTAGTTGGTGCAGCATCTCAAGCTTTATTAGATAATGTTATAAATGAATTATCAAAAGATTCTGATTCAAATCCTAATCCAATAACTAAAAAAATCTTAACTATATTATCAGGAGTTCCAACTTGTGATTTAGATATAACTTTCTTATACAAAAATAATAATACTGATATAGCGATTTTAAATAAAACTAAAAACCTTTTAGAAGGTAGAAGTTCAATTTTCCATTCTGCTGTTACTTTTGCTAATGCCTTTATGCATGCAGGAACCACTGATGATTCATTCTTTAGAAATAATTTAGAATGGTTAGGTAGAGCTAATAATTGGTCTAAATTCTCGGCAACTGCTGCATTAGGAGTTATTCATAAGGGAAATTTATCTCAAGGTCGTAATATTTTAAAACCTTATTTACCAGGATCTTCAGGAGCTCCTCATACTAAAGGTGGATCATTATTTGCTTTAGGATTAATATTTGCAGGTCATGGTAGAGAAATTATTGAATATTTAAAGAATTATATAGATGAACATGGTAATTCAGCTGGTACTAATGAAGGAGATGTTGTTTTACATGGTGCAGCTCTTGGAGCTGGAGTGGCAGGTATGGCATCTGGATCAGAAACTCTTTATGATGCACTTAAAGTTGTATTATATTCTGATTCAGCTATTTCTGGTCAAGCAGCTGCATTAGCTATGGGTTTAGTAATGTTAGGATCAGGTGATGAAAGTGCTATTCATGATATGTTAACTTATGCTCAAGAAACTCAACATGAAAATATTATTCGAGGTTTAGCTATTGGAATTGCCTTATTAAATTATTCAAGACAAGAAAAAGCTGATAGTGTTATTGATGAATTAATGAGTCAAGAAAGTTCTATTTTAAGATATGGAGGAGTTTTTACAATTTCTTTGGCTTATGCAGGTACAGCTAATAATAAAGCCATTAAAAAACTTTTACATTATGCTGTATCTGATCCATCTGATGATGTTAGAAGAGCTTCAGTACTTGGATTAGGATTTTTATTAATTCGTGATTATACTTCTACTCCACAAATTGTTCAATTATTATCTCAATCTCATAATCCTCATGTTCGTTATGGTACTGCCTTAGCTTTAGGAATTTCTTGTGCTGGTAGAGCTTATGCTCCAGCTATTGAAGTTTTAGAACCATTAACTAAAGATCCAGTTGATTTTGTTAGACAAGGTGCATTAATTGCTACTTCAATGATATTAATTCAACAAAATGAAGTTTCATATCCAAAAGTTAAAGATTTTACTAAAAAACTTGCTGATACAGTTAAAAATAAACATGAAGATGCTTTAGCTAAATTTGGTGCAACATTAGCTCAGGGTATTATTGATGCTGGTGGTAGAAATGTTACTATCAATTTAGAAAATGCTCAAACCAATACTTTAAATATTAAAGCCATTGTTGGTTTAACTGTATTTGTTCAATCTTGGTATTGGTTCCCATTAGCTCACTTTTTATCATTATCTTTTGCTCCTACGGCTGTAGTAGGTATTACAGGAGATTTAAAAATTCCTAAATTCGAATTGAATTGTCATGCTAAACCAGAATTATTTCAATATCCTCCTAAATATGAAGAAACTAAAGAGAAGCAGCCAGATAAGATTGCCACTGCTGTATTATCTACCACTGCAAGAGCTAAAACTAGAGCTAAAAAGAAGCAGCATTTGAAAGAAGAAACTGAAGGTAAGAAAGATGGTAGTGATAGTATGGAAGTTGATGAAGATAGTAAAGCTGTAGAAGAACCAGTAGCAGCAACAGCTACAGCAGCAACAGCTACATCAACATCAACAGTTAAAACCGAAGATGAACCTTCTAAAGAAGAAAAACCAGCTTCTACTGAACCAAGTCAAGTTCGTTACACTAAGACTCCCTACAAGATTTCTAATCTTTCCCGAGTCTTACCAGTTCAAAGCACTTATCTTTCTTTTATAAAGGAAGACAGATTTGTACCAGTAAGGAAATTCAGAGGTTCTAGTGGTATAATTGTATTACAAGATACTAAACCTGAAGAATCTCTTGAATTGATAAAGACTGTCAGACAATTGAATACTACAGATGCTCCTGTACCTGAGCCATTTGTATTAAGTGATGCTGATATCAAAGAACTTGATGATTACTAGATAGCATAATATAAATTGTATAATGTAAAGTAGTATCTAATAAAGCAATAAAGAAATAAAATAAACTAAATAATCAGTAAATAGTAACTAGTAACTATAACCGGAATGTACTTACTACTGGTCGATGGTCGGAGAACAAGCCTGTCTCGGACTTGTTCGTTAACACCTCACTTTTAATTATATCAATATCCTTCTTTGACCATATGTAATCTATACGAGTTTCTTTGACGGTTGGGTCAAACGTAGTATTGGTAAACTCAGGACCTTCCTTGATGGGACTGCCCAAGTATGAGTCTACCAAAGTGTTTGCTAATACAGTGTAAGCTTCATCATGGGGCTCGCTATTGAAATCTCCAGCTACAATAGTCGCTACTTGTTTGGTAGTGATGAGTTCTACAATTTGTTGAGCCGAATTGATTCGTGCCTGTTGTCCCTCATGATCAAAATGGGTATTGAATAAAATGACCTCCTTACCCAGAGCTTTATGCTTAAAGTGGCCCACTACTACGATTCTGTTATGAGCCGCATCCCATCCCTTACTGGGTTTGTCTGGGGTATCGCTAAGCCAGTATGTCTTACTGGATTGTACTTCCCATTGACTAGGCTGGTAAAATATAGGAGCATATTCACCTTCAGTTTCCCCATCATCACGTCCTACTCCAATATACTTCCATTCTTCCCCCAATTGGTTTTGTATATCTATCAATTGTCGGTGTAACACTTCTTGAAGTCCCACAAGGGTATCTACACCCTTCGAATGTTCTACAATGCTGGTGACAACTCCCGGTTTTCTCACCTTCCAAGGCTCTTCTCCCACTTGTAGTTCATGAGCATCTAATCTAATATTATGCGTATAGATCTGGATCTGGATCTTGACAGGTCCATCACCAGATACCGTTGTTTTCTTTTTAAGCTTAAGTGGCTTCCCTACAACTACACCGCCAGTACCTTTCCCCTCTAATTGTTCCTTTAATCTTTTCTTCTCTTTGTGATTTCTTACAGCTGCGCCTACTAAGCGCCCAAGTGCCATACCCATGATTTAAATTTGGGTTTACAATTGCTTGTACCCCTTTAAGCCTTATTAAAGTTTGGGGCATCGTAAGTGTTTAGCGCGGCCACGGCGCAAGGGAAGTGCCGCTAAGAAATCGGTAACGCCCTGATGACTTACCGACTCATGACATGACTAACTGTGGAAACGTGACTTGGAATGCGTGCCTCCTATACTAATTAGTGTTACATGGATCTAAATGTCACAATTTTAGCACTCTATATTTTACTAGATATATACTAGATATATACTAGATATACTATAATTCTTCTTTTACTTGCCTCATTATATCTTAACAGGCTGGTTTACTGTTTACAGTCCATTACAAGTACATATTCAGCGATATGTCTATACGCCCCTCTCACATCGCTCGCTCTGACTACATTAATAAGGCGTTACGGACATATATTTCCTGCCCCACGCTGCACTGCTGAATCTAGACTATAAAATAGTACAATATTGTGTCGCTTTTCTTAGCCATAACTGTGGAGCATCTTGGCTGCCTCACAGTTCCACTGACCCGTACAAAAAGCGCAACCATTTTGCCTTGCGGTTTGGATTTTGCGCTGGAAAAATTACCTTACAAGCGGAGGAACTATGGCAGCATGAATGACATGTAGTAAAGTTTTTATGTAGTCATATTTATGTAGTATATATAGCGTCCGCTTTCCAATGTCATGAATGTGTTATTGTATCTGGTCTTTATGTGAGGTCAGAGAGAGTATTCGATAATGATAGTATGTCCCACACTTACAGTTCCTGCAACTAGGTCGCAATTACCCCAGATTTGCAATTTGCCAGATGACCTCATTGCAACCATAATATCCAATTTAAGTACAAAAGATTTGAAGGCATTAGCACAAGTAAATATTCCTTTCCGTTATCATTCCAATGCAGTGTTGTATAGAGATATCGTTTTAGTCGACGATTATTCCCTGTGGAATTCTGAAGAGCCATGCACCAAATGTCATCTTTCGAGCATAGTAGCTTTAGCACAAGCATTAAATGATGCTAGTATTTTCCAACACGTAAGACTGATAAAGATAAGGAGCCAGTCAAAATTGAATGTGAACGATTATACCAACTTATACCTGTCATTGAATAGTGTATGGAATGTATCTGATTCATTATATCCCATTCAGTTTGAGAACTATGATTACCCCAGCATTGAAAAGCATCACTCATTGAACCAATACATTGCTAACCAAGCTATAAGATTCAATCCATATAATTGTTCATATGAAGCGATTTCCGATAATAAGTTCTCCAATGTGATTGTTTTGCTGGAGACAGATATAGATCATTATACGACTTATACTTGTTTGCAACTGATGTCAATGTTAATTCCTAACTTGTCTAGTAGGTCTAATTCAATATTAAATTGGACAAACATGTGTCAGCTCCAGCATTTATATTTAGATACACATGCTTCTACTGAGTTTTTGCTTCAGCAGTTTAATTCTAATTGTAGTCAATTGAGTTTGAGATCATTGGCTATTTCACACACACATAGTGGCACTTCAGAATTAACCATGAGCCAAATAAGTCAAATTATCGATTTCTCCACCATTGAGAAACTAGAATTAAGATTGGGGTGCATGCATCATGGATGTACTTGCATTGTTAATTTTATTTCTCATTTGAATAGTGCTGAATTAATGCCTAATTTGGAATCATTCACCTTAACAAACTTGGGATCAGATGCTCGTAGTGCTTCACAGTTCAAAATAGTCATAAATGAAACGAATTTCAAATGGCAATCATTACGCTCAATATATATTCAGTTTACTAATTTAAATTATCTGGATTGCACCCTTTCCATGACAAAGTTTATTAATAATATCAAGAGTATTCCTACTTTGCAAGAGATAACTATTCCAGATTTCCTCGCTACATACTGGACCAGCAACCGGTTCGACAGATTAACTACAGGATGTGAATGCAATCAGTGTATAAGCTGCAAGAGGTTGTTTAATGATCTTTCCTACTATGATTCTACCAATCACTTCAAACACGACTTCAAGTCCAACCACTACAATAATATGCCCACTACATCGAACCTCAGTCTCAGTCTTATTACTAAGAACCATAACAATATTCGATTCTTACAATACTTAGTATCACAGCTTCAGAGTCAATTCAGAAGTGATCCACACTATTCATTACTTGAACAACCATATTGTTATGTTACCAATCATTACATGGAATCATTCGTTAAATTATTCACGCACAACTATCTACAATCAGTACACCAACAAGTACTACAAGCAATTCCCTCTATACAAACTATAAACTTAGGAGGAATCCCCCTTAAGTAAGTGCCCTAATCTCCCTATATAGTAAAAATCTAAGATGTGTAATGTGTAATGTGTAGTATAGCCTAATGTGTATATCAGCAAATGTACAATTACAAGTGGGGAAATCAGCAGCCTGTGTAGAAAATTCGATTTTCGAGTGCGCTTTCCGGTCACCAATAGTCCCCGGATTACAAAAATTTTTTGAAAGGTTCATGCTACTGAACTGTAGCTACAGCCATAGCCATATAGTTCGATATGTCAGTCGAGGACGTGTACGAGCACGAGAATGATCAAGATCAAGAGCATGACCAAGACTCGCTGAAAAACGGTAAGCGTTCAAGAGTGGTACTTGCTTGCAACCGGTGCCGGCAGCGAAAGACTCGGTGCGATGGTGCACAACCTATCTGTGGGACATGTACCAAGCGAAATGTTGAATGTGTATATGGGCAACGAGAGAAGAGAGCTAAGGTATCGGTAGAGTATGTGCGGAGTCTAGAGGAGCGGTTGAATATGTTGGATAAGAAGGATGATATGCGTCCCAATGGCTCTCAACTATCACCGAGAAATGGGAATAGACTATCACCACAGCAGCAAAACTTACCCCATATAGGGCACCAACAGCAGCAACAACATCAACAACATCAACAACAACAACAACAACAGATCCAACAGGTGGGAAACCAACTCCCGATCCCTATACCTATCCCTCCTCCTCAACAACTTACACTTCACCACCATCCCCCTCCTCCTGGTCCACCTCATATTCATCATAGTCCTCCTATGTTCCAACACCATCAACATCAGATGCCACTCCAACCACTACCACCCGGATTACCACAGATGATGCCTGTACATATGATTCCTCCTCGTCAGAGTGTTGAAAATATCATGAACGAAGGAATCCCCCGGTATTCGTATCATTCCGGTTCTGAAACATCGGCACCATCTACTGTTGATGCTAAGTCATCAACGGACATGTATCATCAGGATTCTGCCATAAGTAGTAATAATGAAGTCAATACCACTAATAATGGAATAGGTAATAATAATATTCACAGCAACAATAGCAGTAGTAATCTAAATGGTAATGGGAATGGTAACGGTAATGATAATGGTAACGGTGCAAATAATAAAAATGCTAATTTCAAAGATGATGATACGACTGATGCTATGGGTGCGGGTTCAGCATCTGGTAGAAAGAAAGATAAAGGGTTCTATGGGAGATCGGCTGCGATTTCCTTTATGAAGGAGTTATCTTCCGTTGTAGATGAAAATACTCGAGAAGATGAAGAAAATGAAAGTGAGAGAAGTTATAGATACACTATGTCTAGAAATGATAAGTCTGCTACTACTCGAAAGGCCGATATTGTGGTTCCTCCTAGAAGTGTAGCAGATAAGTATGTCAATAACTATTTTGAATATGCTTATACGTTGTATCCATTTGTACATCGACCCACATTCATGAAGGGTTATGAAGAGATATGGTCTAGTGAAAGTGGTACCAATGAAGTAGATGAATTATTTTATTCTATTCTAAATATTATATTTGCCTTTGGTTGTCGTTTAACTCCAGAGGGTGAGCAACATGAATCTACTTCCAATGCTGATTTGTACTTTGAAAGATCACAAGAGTTGTTACGATTTCATTTGATGGATACTGGGTCGGTATTATTAGTTCAAGCTTTATTATTAACGGGCCAATTTTTACAAGCTACCACCAGACTGGCTGGTTGTTGGAATATTTTGGGTTTATCAATTCGTATAGCTCAAGGATTGGGTTTACATCTGGATTTGAATTTAATTCAAACAAAAAGCTATATTGAAAAAGAAATTCGTAAGCGTTTATGGCATGGATGTTTATTGATGGATAGAATTGTTTCTATGACTTTGGGACGTCCCTTAATGGTGACTGATGATCATAAACTGGAATTACCTGCAACTGTAGATGATGAGTATATTACGGATGAAGCTATATTATATTCTCCAGTTGGTCAACCTTCAGTACTAAGTTTCTTTTCTGAAACTGTTAAATTATATGATATACTTTCAGAAATACTCCAAACTTTCTATAATGATGAACCAGATTATGTGGATTTATTTCTTCATATTTTTAAGTTTGAGGAGAAGCTTAGTCGATTCCATGAGAATATACCAGACCATATTAAATATGGGATTGAAATGAAAGAAAAGCCTTATGAAAGACAGAGTATTGTCTTACATATTCGTTATTTGCATCTAAAGATTATGCTCTATCGTCCAGCATTATTCCCTAAAAAGAGAGGTAGAACAAATAGTTCAGAATTATATCTGTCGGCTCAAAAGTCTGTATCATTGGTTTGTGTTGAAACTGCTATAGAACTAATCAACCTCATAAATAAGTTCAGATCGAGGGATATATTTCTTTTGCCGGCTCATTGGTATAATGTATTTTATATTTATACTGCTGAAACTGTCTTATTGGCTGCTAAACTTCAACCAACGTTACCAAATGAAATAAATGTAGATGTTTTCACTACCACTTGGAGTATGGGACTTGATATTCTTGCTTCCTATAAGCTTCAAACTGATTCTGCTGCTCGATGTTTGAAAGTTTTAGAAATGATGGGTGAAAAGGTAAATTTAGCAGGACGAAAAATCGCAAGAAATCATTTTGATCCTGTACAATCTGCTGCTAGTAGCTCTACTAGTAGTAGTCCTTCTCAAGTACCAACAGATGTACTTTATTCATTATTATATGATACTGCTGGGCCATTTGGTGGACCATTCTTCTATAGGGATGATATGGAGAGATATCTCAATTAGGGCTTTTAAAAGTATCCGAAATTTGAGAGGTTTGTGAATTTACGAAAACGTAGCTAGATTAATGACTCGGAGAAGAGAGGGGTTAACGTTTGAGTGTCCCACTAGAATGTTATTTTCTTCTTCAAGCCCCAGAAGACAAAATACAATGGCTTTTCGAAAGTCGCTAATGCCTGACCCGGTGAGAAGAATTTAAGTTTACGGGTCTGCCCCACTCTTGATAGATATGTTAGTTAGCAAAACAGAGTGGAGTTTAGATAAACTTCTATGTGTATAAGATGTATTATAATAAAATCTTTTCTAAGTGAAACTTTAAAGTCTTCCCCAACTTTTTACCCCAAAGGTAATTAAAATAACATGAAGCGTTTCCATGATAATTGGGCAATAATTAGATTCAATTAATTTAACTATTACAATAAACCCCACTCCGTTTTAACCGAACATGAATGTTAATAATGAGCAATTTCTTTAATACGTTATCATTATTATTGCCAACAATTTGTAATATTACATATTGGAACAAGTCACCGATTTTGCGGCAAGATTACTCATCGGCATCTACTTCCGCGTGTGGAGTAACACGTTCGGGGCAATATACCCCCACACTACTTATTACAAAATGACTTATTCTTAGCCCATAATGTTTGTGATTATTATTTACCTAGACCAAAGTCGGATTGCTTTTAGATATTTCTATTCCGGTTAAAGATCCAGTCGGTAGGTCGGTTCTAGGATGACGTTCTTGAGACATTACTTTTCTCCAGGTTTATCTTGACGGAACAACTGTCCGCGATTACACAAAATTAGTTTCAAAAAGGATATCCTTTAATCCTTTTAAATACTCATCTTTATCCAACAGTAGAAAGGGGAATACAAAAATGGTAAAATCTTTTGATCTATTTTAGCTTTGCTAACTCTTATTTACCCATCTGTGATACTAAGAAAAAAAATGACTGCTTCACATCAAGGAACTTGTTTATGCGGATCTATCGAAGTCTCATTCAATGGTGAGCCAAAGAGAAACTTTATTTGTTACTGTTCCGACTGTCGTAAAGGTTCTGGACATTTAGGACAATTCATTTCTGAATATAACTCATCTGACGTTATTGTCACTGACAAGGACTCAAAATTAAAAGAATATGTAGTCACCAAGACTAAGAGTGGTTTCCCAAAGAAAAAGCAGTTCTGTGGTGAATGTGGTTCAACTGTACTCACTCTCCCAATGAAGCATAATGGTGAAGTGGCTATGGTTAGGCCATCTCTTCTTGATACTAAATTTGCTTCTTTTGCTCCAAATAAAGCTATTTTCGGTGATGCTAGAACTGAATACACTAAAGGAAGTGAATCTGAATTCTACTAATTAGTTTCATAGGTCAATTATACATTATTATTTCGCTATCAACATGTCTCTGTAATCTTCCTAATATCTCGGGAATACTCTTAGTATATTTTATGCATTTAAAATTCGAGTAAAAGTTCAGTCACATTTATTAATAAAAGTCTCTATATAAATTTCCTAAATAAAATCCATCTTATTGTGAAGAGTACCGATCTTTTCGATGGAAACTTCAACAACATCGTTGTGCTTCAAGTACTTTGGAGATTTCATACCCATAGCAACACCACTTGGAGTACCAGTCATAATAACAGTACCCTTTTCTAAGGTGGTACCTTGGGAGATGAAAGCAATGATCTTTGGAACATTGAATAATAAATCATCAGTGTTGGTATCTTGTCTGACTTCACCATTGACGATGGTCTTCAATTGCAAGGTTCCTGGGTTTGGAATAACAGCGGTGGAGACAACAGCTGGACCTAATGGAGCGTACTTGTCAAAACTCTTGGAGAAACCCCATTGAGGAACACCACCGGCGTATTTAGGATCTCTTTGCCAAGTTCTAGCAGAAACATCGTTACCGGAAACGTAACCAGCAACATAGGATAAAGCATCTTCGACCTTGATATCCTTACCAGTCTTACCGATGACGACACATAATTCACCTTCGTAATCAACTTGATTTTCTTGTGCGATCTTTGGGATTGGGATTGGTTCACCGAAGTCTGCGACAGAGAATCTTGGCTTGTAGAAGATAGATGGGTATGGTGGAGGGGTTCTACCACCTTCTTGGATGTGTTTCATGTAGTTTAAACCAACACACTTGATGATTGGAACATCATCTTCAGTAAGAGGACCTAATAAGGTTTTAACTTCCTTAACTTCATCAGTAACGACAGCATCACCGAAGATGTCACCGGTGATAACCTTAGCTTTGATTTCTTCACCAGCAAGAGCAGCTTTACCAAGATCGTATTCGTCATTAGGAACAATTGGTTCACCTCTATATATTTTACCGTCTTTAGCGACGAATCTGATTAATCTCTTCCAAGCAGTAGTCATTTTGTATTTTGTTCTATTAGTATATTCTAAGTTTTTTAAATTTTCTTTGGAGAACTTTTCAAATCTGGGGAAGTATATTGTATTTATTTGGTGTGAAAAATAGATCGCGGGAATTCTTTCCGAAATGTTTTTTTATTGTCTTTCTTAACCGATACATAACCTAAAATAATCTCAGATCAAAAACAATCGGCAGCGGCACAAATTCCCGCACTTCTCAATCGCTATAGATTAGTCTGGGGTAAATCGTAACATATTGATTCTACTATCGTAACATATTGATTCTACTATGCTTTGAGGGGATTTAAGAGGATATATAAAGAGCTCGTATCCTATGGTGATAATATTTGTGATGGGCGGAATAATCAATAATAATATTTTATTATCTGCACAGTATCAACAATGGCTCCAGTTCCTTCAGAAGAAAAGATTCAATTTCTTAACTCGTTAAAACCACAAAACGTTGAACCATTATGGTCCGTGATGTCCGCTATGGTTCCTCCAGTTCCTCAACCAAAGGCTATTCCAACCCTTTGGAAATATAAGAATCTTAAGCCATTACTTGATGACTCTGGTAGACTTGTTCCTACTGAAGAGTCCGAAAGAAGGGTTTTGATGTTGATCAACCCAAACTTAAAGGCCCCACAAACTACTGATACTTTATATGCTGGTCTTCAATATATCAATCCAGGTGAAGTTGCTCCTGCTCACAGACACTCTGCTTTCGCCTTAAGATTCATCATTGAAGGTGAAGGTGGTTTCACTAACGTTGAAGGTTCCAAGTTATATATGGAAAGAGGAGATGTTATTCTTACTCCAAGATGGGACTGGCATGATCATGGTAAAGAAGGTGATGGTCCAATGATCTGGTTAGATGGTTTAGATTTACCAATGTTCCAAGCCATTCCAGTCAACTTCGCTGAACATTACAAGGAAGACCGTTACCCTAGTTCCGAAGTTGGAGAATCTCCATTGAAGTACCCATGGGGTCCAGTTCAAGAATATCTTGACTCTGTTAAGGGTGACCATGCTATCTTTGATTATAAGCCTAAGACTGGAGAAGGTGCTGGTGTATCTACTATTGTTGGAGGTCAAGCTGAAAGAATTTCTCCAAACGCTTCTACTGGATTCAGACAAGAAAGTAGTTCATTTGTCTACCATGTCTTCGAGGGTACTGGTTACACCGTGATTACTGAAGATAATGGTGAAGAAACTATCTTGAAGTGGGAACAAAAGGATACCTTCTGTATTCCATCATGGAAGAAGTTTAGACATGTTAACGAGACTTCTTCTCAAGCTTATCTCTTCAATTTCTCTGATACTCCATTACTTAAGAACTTGAATATCTATAGAGCCAACAAAGATTTGTAGATTGAAGTATCTTATTATTTATGAAATAAATTATGTGTATGTAAAAGTAATAAATTATGAATATCTGCTTGAAATTTTTATTTTCCATATTTTTGTGTAATTGATGCATGCCCCTCAAATTTGCCCCACTGCCGAAATAATTTTCGTAAAACTTGGTCCCCGCAAAGATCTACAAATTAGTGCCCGCTGAGATGTTGCGGAAAAAAGCTTAATGACAACCCCCATTTTCTGATACAAAACAATAAATCATTAACAAACTTCATTTATTCTTATCATAAATAATTATCCAAACATTATCTACACTTATTTAATTAATATAATTCTACTTAATTGGTTTGGATCTGTTTAATTTAATCAGTGAAAGCGTTCCATCCGAAAAGCCATTGTTGGAATTCTCTGTCGGACCATTGATCTGGACTGTGACCATCTCTAGCAGCCATAAGAGCATCTCTTTCTTCTTGTTCATCTCCATCTGGTAAATGCCAGATGTGACCATTCTTTCTAGCACCAGCTTGGATGGTTTCAACTCTTCTCTTTCTTCTCTTTTGAACTTTCTTAAGAACTTCTGGGATATCAGAAGCAGAAGTAGCTTTGTCTAATTCTTCAGCTAAAGTTGCACCATCTTCAATAGCTTGAGCAGCACCTTGAGCTAAGTATGGTAACATGGCATGAGCAGCATCACCAATTAATAAAACGTGACCATGTTCACTAACCCATCTAGGTAACATTGGTAAATCAGCAAGAACCCATTTTAATACGGTTTTGACATGAGTAAGCAATTGTCTAACTACTGGGTCAAAATTCTTGTAGTGAGCTCTCATTTCTTCAACATCACCTGGCTCATTCCATTTTCCAACAGAAGCTTGACCTGGGTGAGACATAACAATGTTATACATTTCACCGTTTCTAATAGGATAGGCCATAACGTGTCTTCTGTAACCAATCCAACAGTTGGAGTTGATATCAGTCATTAAGTGAGCAATAACTGGATCAGCTAACATATCTTCTTTTGAAACAGTGGCTCTAAAAGCACAGTTACCGGATGGCAGAGGTAAGACAGTTTCATCGTTGACAACAGCGGTGTCTCTAACTCTTGAACGAATACCATCAGCACCAATAATTAAATCAGCGGTATAAGTAGTACCATCTTCAGCATAAATAGTAGCAGTTGCATCATCAACTCTATCAATTCTAGTGTTCAATTTGTACTCAATACCCAAATCAGTGGCAGCTTCGAATAATATTTTTTGATAATCATATCTGTGAATCAACAAATAAGGGTATCCATAAACATCAGTCATATCAGGGTCTAATGGAGTGGTAGAAAGAGCGGCACCAGTGTCAAATCTTTTAAGAATGATGTTTTTTGGTTTAGTGACATAAGGCACGAATCTTTCATAGATTCCGTATTCCTTAAGAATTCTTATACTGTTTGGAGGCATTTGGATACCAGCACCAACTTCACTTAAGGAAGATGAACCTTCAAGAATAGTAACATTATGGCCCTTTCTTTTTAAACCAATAGCAGCAGCAAGACCACCGATACCACCACCGACAACAATAACATTAAAGGAAGCTTTAGTCATTATAATTTTTTAAGTATTTTTCGCGTAAAGAACGTTCTAGTAATCAAATCACTTTTTGTTGATTCTGATGATTTCGAAGTAAAAGTTCATATCGACAAGGATGGGAATGCGCTCGTTATATAGCTATTGCTTTATCGGTTCAAAAAAATTTTCAAGTACTATTGTTTCCCCTTTACCCCATACTTCACCAAATTATGTTACTATATCGGCATGTTTTATTGGTTATTTTATCGGCTTGAGCCTTCAGCTTTGTTATTGTTTCGGCATCTTATTCCGTTGATATCTTTATCCATTTCAATCCGAAGGATATCAGTCGGATCTGAAGCTCTCGCTCGACTTCCGATCTTGATGGCATCCTTTTGCACAACAAAATCTGCCCGCTAATGCAAAACTCGCATGCATGTTTTGCGGGGTATCAAAAAGGGAAGGTTCTTCACAAAATCTACTCCGTGCGGAGTAATTTAGTTTCTTTTTTTCTGGATATTCGTCCCGCACCCACTAAGATGCACTGTAACGCACTGTTGTGTTAGATCTTTTTGCCCCAAATTGATTTCTCAGAGAAAAAACCTTAATATTATTATCTTGGTAATAAAGAATGCTTCTCAAATTATTGTAATTCTTAGCATTCTGGGTGGGGTCTCGGTGAGAAATTTTGGAGATTTGCCTGGCGGTGATAGAAATAATAATTGCTGTAATTCTTTGTTAATCATTATCTCTCATTCGGTCTTGCATGTACTATGGTATATTTCCTTTAATAGTGAAGATCTTTTGAAATTTGCAATTCCTAAAATCCACTATCTATAAATATACTTGTAAGTACTTTTCATTCTTTTTTAATTTGATTCAAACTTCTTTTGTTAACTTTAATTATCTTCCTTCTATATTCTAAATACAGATATAGTAATATTCTAACTAATTAAGTATAACAATATGTCTTCACAAAGCGATATTGAAAAAGCGTCTCATGACCACGTCGAAGATTTGGATCCAGTAGCTCTTCAAGAACTTGATCCAGAACATCATGAATATCTTATGAAAAGACATGGTTCTATTCAATTAGATCCATTACCATCAAGTGATCCTTTGGATCCTCTTAACTGGCCAGATTGGAAGAAAAACTTTGAAATATTATTAATCGCCTTTCAAACCTTTAGTTCTACATTTATGGCAGCAGGTTTAACTCCAGCTTTTGAACCTATGGCTGAAGCTTATGGGGTTACTGTTCCAAAAGCATCATATTTTACTTCTGCTCAAATTGCTGTATTGGGAGTTATGCCTCTTGTTTGGGTTCCTTTGATGAATTGTTATGGTAGAAATGGTTTCTTGACTGTCTCAACTTTAATTTGTGCTGGTTTGAATATTGCAGGAGCCTACTGCCACTCATATGGTACACAAATGGTCACCAGAGTCTTAGTGGCTGTCTTCATTTCTACTGCATCTGCTGCTGGTTCATCTGTCGTTGCTGATTTAGCTTTCAGTCATGAAAGAGGTAAGAAAAATGGATGGTGGTCATTAGCTCTTGTTGTTGGTACTCCAGGTGGTCCATTTGTTTGTGGATTTGTTCAACAGCATGCTGGTACTAAATGGATTTACTTCCTTTTTGCAATAATTAACTTTGTTCAATTTGTTCTTTGGATTTTAGCTGATGAAACTGTATATTATAGACATGGTTCACAGCCAAACCAAAAGGGATTACTTAAATTCTTGGGAATCTCAAAAAACCCAAATAATAAATTGACAGCTTCTATTTTCTTTAGACCATTCAAACTCGTTTCAAACTTCAATGTTTTAATGGCCGTCATTGCTGCTTCTGTCACTTTCTGTTACGCCAACATTGTTCTTGTTGTCGAGTTACCTCAAGCTATGGGTATGTTATTCAACTTAAATGCCCAACAACTTTCTTATCAATACATTGCACTTATAGTTGGTTCTGTTATTGGTGAAATCTTAGCCGGTCCACTTTCCGATTGGTGGATGAAGAGAAGTACTGCTAAGAGAGGAGGTAAGAGAGTAATCGTTGATAGATTATGGATTTCCTACAACGGATTCATTTGCGTTATTATCGGTTTAATGGTTTGGGGTGTCTATTTATATAAAGCAGATCCAGGACATTGGAAGATCGCTCCTTTAATCGGTGCTGCCATTGCTGCTGCTGGTAACAATATTGTTGCAACTGTCCTTGTTACTTTTGCCATTGATAGTGCTCCAGAATTTGCTCCAGATGTTGGTTTATTTTTGAATGTCGTCAGACAAGTCTTCGGTTTTATTGGTCCATTTTACTTCCCATACATGTTCGATAACCTTAACTTTGCTGGTTCTGCTGGTTTAATGTCCGGTCTCGTGTTAGTGTTTGGAGCTGGTGTTATTATTATTGCCCATTTCCTTGGTCATAGAAGAGCATAAGGTTCTATAAAAGATCTATTTATTAGAAAATAATTTCGACGTTAATGGGCTCTGGTAGTCACTTTTTAAAAAATGAGTTTAGTTTTATGTGTTTTAGTTAATTTTATGAAGTACATGATTATTGTATGTTAAACATTTTTAAAGTTGTAGGATGAAATGTAATTATTTTGTAAATGAAGTATATTCTGGCTGCGGCTTTAAAAGAAATTTTAGACGCCATGAAAAAAGAATACCCCCTAATTTATAATTTTCTTTATATAATAGAACCTTTTATTATAAACTATAAAACTTAAACTGTATGAACAAACTATGTCACATTAAAAATAAATTAAATACCCATCTACAAATCTTTATTGACTCTATAGATATTCAAGTTCTTAAGTAATGGAGTATCAGAGAAATTGAAGAGATAAGCTTGAGAAGAAGTCTCGTTAACATGTCTAAACTTCTTCCATGATGGAATACAGAAGGTATCCTTTTGTTCCCACTTCAAGATAGTTTCTTCACCATTATCTTCAGTAATCACGGTGTAACCAGTACCCTCGTAAACATGGTAGACAAATGAACTACTTTCTTGTCTGAATCTAGTAGAAGTATTTGGAGAAATTCTTTCAGCTTGACCTCCAACTATGGTGGATACAGCAGCTCCTTCTTCTGTCTTAGGCTTATAATCAAAGATAGCATGGTCACCCTTAACAGAGTCAAGATATTCTTGAACTGGACCCCATGGGTACTTCATTGGAGATTCTTCAACATCAGTACTTGGAAAACGATCTTCTTTGTAATGTTCAGCGAAGTTGACTGGAATGGCTTGGAACATTGGTAAATCTAAACCATCTAACCAGATCATTGGACCATCACCTTCTTTACCATGATCATGCCAGTCCCATCTTGGAGTAAGAATAACATCTCCTCTTTCCATATATAACTTGGAACCTTCAACGTTAGTGAAACCACCTTCACCTTCAATGATAAATCTTAAGGCGAAAGCAGAGTGTCTGTGAGCAGGAGCAACTTCACCTGGATTGATGTATTGAAGACCAGCATATAAAGTATCAGTAGTTTGTGGGGCCTTTAAGCTAGGGTTGATCAACATCAAAACCCTTCTTTCAGATTCTTCGGCAGGAACAAGTCTACCAGAGTCATCAAGTAATGGCTTGAGATTCTTAAATTTCCAAACTGTTGGAGTAGCCTTTGGTTGAGGAACTGGAGGAACCATAGCGGACATCACAGTCCATAATGGTTCAACGTTTTGTGGTTTTAAAGCTTTAAGAAACTGAGTCTTTTCTTCTGAAGCAACTGGAGCCATGTTTTATTTGAGATTGATTTGTTATAATTGAACTTTCTTGAGGAATTCTAATTTTACATGGAAAGATAGGCAATTATAAATACGTTTGTGCCCCACAAAGATGGGAGTCTTGCATTAGATTGTCTTAATAATATCTGGATCTGGGAGTTGAGTCTAGGTTCAGGAGGTGCTACATGACACCCTAAACAGGAAAATTCGACCGAACTTTCATGACGTTTTTGGTACATTTCTTCCCCCGCCTTCTCATGTCCGTTCGGAATGAATGTTCCGCACTTTTTGTTGCAGCCAATTTCCAACAAAAGCTTTTAGCCGACTCTGTGTATGCGGGTGCGGGAGTTTCCCAAAATTAGAAATGTTTCTCCACAAAAGTCAAGCATAATTTCTTCCACAAAATGCAACCAAAAGAGCCGAGACCTTTGGGGTTGATGTATTCTTAAGAAAATTATCAACATTTTTCGGAACGATTAACCGAAAGAATTTATCCTCCAAGATTTCGTCATCCTGAACTTTTCAATGATTTGTAATACTCGGATCCACAGCCTGCTAAATAAATAGTAGCAGTTTAGTCAATATCTTGGGTATTTCCATCTTTTTAACCAGAACAGCTACAGCTAATTCAATAATAAAATTCACAATGACTACTGCTTGGAAGAGATTAATCAGATTCGTCGCTAAAGACGGTAAAATATATAGAGGTGAACCAATTGTTCCTAATGACGAATACGATCTTGGTAAAGCTGCTCTTGCTGGTGAAGAAATCAAAGCTAAGGTTATCACCGGTGACATCTTCGGTGATGCTGTCGTTACTGATGAAGTTAAGGAAGTTAAAACCTTATTAGGTCCTCTTACTGAAGATGATGTTCCAATCATCAAGTGTGTTGGTTTAAACTACATGAAACACATCCAAGAAGGTGGTAGAACCCCTCCACCATACCCATCTATCTTCTACAAGCCAAGATTCTCTGTCGCAGACTTCGGTGAACCAATCCCAATCCCAAAGATCGCACAAGAAAATCAAGTTGATTACGAAGGTGAATTATGTGTCGTCATCGGTAAGACTGGTAAGGATATCAAGGTCGAAGATGCTTTATCCTATGTTGCTGGTTACGTTTCCGGTAACGATGTTTCTGCTAGAACTTGGCAAAGAGATCCTAAATACGCCGGTGGTGTTCCTCAATGGGGTTTCTCCAAGAGTTTTGACAAGTACGCTCCATTAGGTCCAGCTGTTGTCTCCACCGCTGTTATTCCAAACCCAGGAACCTTGCAATTGAAGACCATCGTCAATGGTGAAGTCAGACAAGATACCAACACTGATGATTTATTATTCAATGTTCCAAAGATCATTGCTTTCATCTCCCAAGGTACCACCTTAGAAAAGGGTACTGTTATTATGACTGGTACTCCAAGTGGTGTTGCTATGGGTATGAAATCTCCAAAGTACTTGAAGCACAACGATGTTGTTGAAGTTTCCATCGAAAAGATCGGTACTCTTCACAATAAGATGGACTTCATCTAATAGATATACACGTTATAAGGTACATGGTTATATATAAAACATAAATACATATATTTAAAAAGATTTTTCATCATCTGGATATATCTTTAACCATATCCCTTCTGTAAAAGTTCACTAATATTCTCTTTATTTGACTATTTTGTAGTCTTGTGAATATATTATGTACTCACAGTTCACATCCCTATCTCAAAAAATTTGCAATCGTTAACCAAAGCCCGCACGCATTAAAAAGATTACAAGCATAAAGAGGGGACTGCACTCATAATAACAATCGAATTATTATTACAGTGAAAGCCCGTAGGCGAACACAAGAATTTTCCGAGTTATATTTAGTGTTAAGTCTTGAAAATATTCAAATCCCGCCTCAGGGACTGCAAATGTTGCTCTAAAGTATAGCTAGTAATCCCCTATCTTTATAAGTCTGTATCAAGCATACACTATTATGATAGTTATAAGACTTAAATTGATATGATGATAAGCATATAATATCAATTCCCTATCACAATTATTGGGCAATAGTATGTTATAAGACTTAAATTGATATGATGATAAGCATATAATATCAATTCCCTATCACAATTATTGGGCAATAGTATGTTAACAATCTTCAACAGTGTTTGACACTGATAAGATAAGTTCTTGAGACTTGGGGTACTTAAAGACTGGTAAATTCTCTCAATTGTAGTTCAGAAATTCTTTTGATCAATATCAAACAATTCAAATCATACAAGTTGTAAATCAATCCTCTTTCCATATTATAAAAAATGTCAAGCTCTACTTATCCAAAGGTTAAAGTTGCTGCTGTTCAAGCTGCCCCAGTTTATCTCGATTTAGAAGCCACTATTGAAAAAAGTGTCAAAATTATTGAAGAAGCTGCTTCCAATGGGGCTAATTTAGTTGCTTTTCCCGAAGCTTTTGTCCCTGGATATCCTTGGTTTGCTTTCATCGGACACCCAGAGTATACAAGAAAGTATTACCACCAATTGTATAAGAATGCTTTAGAAATTCCAAGTCCAGCAATTCAAAAGATTTCCAATGCTGCTAAGGAAAACAATATCTTTGTTTCTATCTCAGGTTCTGAAAAAGACGGGGGTAGTTTATATTTAGTTCAATTGTGGTTTGACAACAAGGGTAACTTGATTGGAAAACATAGAAAAGTTAGACCATCAGTTGCTGAAAGATTAATCTGGGGTGAGGGATGCGGATCTTTAATGCCAGTTATGAAAACTGAGATTGGTAACTTGGGAGGACTTATGTGCTGGGAACATCAAGTTCCATTGGATGTTGCTGCTATGAACAATCAAAATGAGCAAATCCATGTTGCTGCTTGGCCAGGATACTTTGATGATGAAGTTTCTTCTCGTTACTATGCCATCTCAACTCAATCATTTGTGGTTATGACTTCTTCAATTTATAGTGAAGAGATGAAACAAAAGATTTGTGAGAGTCCAGAACAAAGACAATACTTTGATACTTTTAAGAGTGGTCATACTTGTATTTATGGTCCAGATGGGGAACCAATTTCCGAAATGATTCCACCTGAAGTTGAGGGTATCGCCTACGCAGAAATTGATATTGCCAGAACTATTGATTTTAAGTACTACATTGATCCAGCTGGCCACTATAGTAACAAATCATTAAGTGCTACTCACAATGTTTCAGATACTAGAGCTATTAAGCAAGTTGGAACTGCTCCTTCACAGTTCATTGGCTATGATGATTTGAACAAGGTTGAATCTATTTAGAAAGTAATGGGCTGGACTACCAAATTTTCATGTTTGTTTTCATTTTATTATGTGTGTGTGTTTCTTGGTTAGAAACCTTCTTCTAATTAGACTTTTCTATTATCTATTAGTTATATCTTATGTCAAGTGTGTTACTTAACATTGTCTTCAAATATATTATGTTTTCTTCTCTATATAAGATTATTTGCACCCAAATAGCATTTTGAACGACACGACACGACTCGTGTTTTCATTTGAAATTTTTCAAATGTTCTGACCCATACATAGTAGAGAAGGATAACCACCAACTGCAACTACCACGACAACAAGATGGCCAAAAAGAATGCTTCAATCGTAAGGCTAACAAGCCTACAGTATTTACTTGTGGGTTTGAATCTTGCTGTAAGATTTTATTCCTCGTTGTATATGATCATTGGTGATTGTGATGAGACCTTCAACTACTGGGAACCATTGAACTTCTTGAATAGAAAGTTTGGTAAGCAGACGTGGGAATATTCACCCGAGTTTGCCATCAGAGATTACTTATATCTCTTAATATACTATGTATTAGGATTTCCAGTTCCTGCATTGGCCAGTTTGTTACTGTCAACTGCAGACATTACACTTCCCCATACTGTATCTTATTATCAATTCTACTGGTTAAGATTCGTTGCCCTCAACGGAATCACTTCGTATGCCGAGATCAATCTCTTCAAAGTATTGAATGTATATTTTAGTCCATCAATTGCAAATTGGTTTTTATTCTTTACATCAATTGCACCTGGAATGTCACATGCGGGAGTAGCATTATTACCATCATCATTTGCAATGCAATGCAACTTATTTGCAATTAGTGCTGGAATCATTGCCATTTCTACATCTGACATTTCCAAATACATATCAACTATTCATTGGTTCTTAATTGGAGGACTTATTGGTTGGCCATTTGCTTTAGCTTTAGCCATTCCCTTTGGCTTATACACTTTGTTCAATCGTCAACTTTGGAAATCCAAACAGATATATACCATAATTTTCAAAAACTTCGTAGGACTTGTCCTTATATCCACATTTAGTATCACTGTCAATGCGTACTACTACAAGCGTGCATTATTTGTACCATTGAATATTGTTTTATATAATGTATTTGGTGGAGAAGGTGAAGGTCCCGAGATTTTCGGTGTTGAACCATTCAGTTATTACATATTGAATTTACTTATTAATTTCAATATCACTGTTTTGTTAGGATACGCTGGGGTCATATTCAATCCATTCCTCTATTCAACAAAAACTCTACTTTTAACATTCATTACTTCATTGCCTACATTAATATGGACGTTAGTATTTTTTAGTCAACCTCATAAAGAAGAACGATTCTTGTATCCAATCTATCCATTGATAAGTATCAATGCTGCATTTTTCACATACAAGATCTTTGCATTTATTAATCAAGTAGTATTGTTTGCTTACGGTAGACTGCTGCATACAGTTCAAAGATTTGTCACTAGATCAATTCAATTTATATTCCTTATATCAGTATTCACAGTATCTATATTGAGAATCGTTAATTTGGTAGAGAATTATTCATCACCTTTGACAGTATTAGCTTCAATTTCTAAAGAACCTGAAGCATCAAATAATCATGATACAATCTATAACGTATGTATGGGTCGTGAATGGTATCATTACCCCAATTCATTTTTCTTACCATCTAATTATAGACTTAAGTTTGTTAAGAGTTCATTTGATGGTTTATTACCAGGTGACTTTGGAGAAGTGGGTCCTATCAAAGACATTACTTCCACCATACCTATTGGAATGAATAATAAGAATCAATTCGAGCCTGACAAAGTGGTAGAACTTGAAGAATGTGATTATTATATTGATAATTCAGGAGTGACTAATGGTAATGAACCAGAATTAATAGTAACCGAAAAAGATGGACTCCAAGCACACTCCGATTGGGAAATCATTACTTGTGAGAAATTGCTTAATCCCGATGGAAATCATTCAGGTTTAGCTAAAATACTCTACATTCCTCCAGATATACGAAGATACCTTGGACAGAGAATAGAGTACATGGAATTTTGTGCTTTGAAAAGGGTTAACCACCAATAATTTTAATTAATGTTTATTATTACTGTTTAGGGTAGTTTTAAGTCAATTTAAATGTATATATTATAACGGTTTGATTGAATGAAATAGTGATTCTGGGAATATAACATACGTACATAATCTAAAGAAACTTTTAAATAGTGATGGGTGAATAGTACGTATACACTATATCATTGTAGAAACATTTAAGCATGGTAATGACAATGAGAACTAAATGAGATTGTGATCTTGAAGTATGCTTATGAACGACAAAAACAAATAATAAATATGACTCTAGGGTTTAATATTCTACTACTTCATAATTCATTATCGAAATACTCATTTAAAGCAGCACTAGACTTGGCAAACCCATCTCTGGCTTTTTCCAAGGCATCTTCTATTAATTCTATCCAGAAATCATCACTGTTTTCGTCCGGTATAGTTCTTGAGATAGCAGAATCAGAAGAATTTGTAGTAGGTTTGGATGTGTGAGACAGGCTGTTTATATTTGAAGGTATGGAGTCATCTTTAGAATTAGTATTGGAAGATGATGATGTAATATTGGTGTCATTATGTTGGTCCTTATGTAAATCATTAATATCAAAATTATCGAAATTAATCTTATGACCATAATTCTGAATTCGTTCACATTGACTCGAAATAGTTGTTAATCCCAAGGCTGCAGCTGAACCTTTCAAATAATGACCCAACCCACTCAATTGGTCTAAGTTCTTCGACTTCAAATTCTCGTCTATGGCTTGGAACGTATCATGCACTTGATCCACAAAGGATTGAAACAAAGACTTAGAAAATCCTTCTTCGTCTTCATCCATAGCTACCAATTCGCTAAAAACAGACCATTCTACCAATCCTGTGTCTTGTAGTTTTTGCCTTTTCTCTTCCGTCATTATGATGTGGAGTTAGCGTAGTAAATGGTAAATAGTAAAGAATGTATGAATGATACAATTGTAATAATCAATTTCCTGGCGGTTATACTAGTATAACTTGAATATATTCTATCTTGTCGTACAAGATGGGTGATCTTTTCGAACTTTGATTTGTTCAAATCGGATCACTGATGAATTTCTCCCGTTATATAACGGTAGGTAAACTGGCTAAAGTATTGGTTAACAGATCAGAACTTATATAGTACTGAGCTTGTAGAAGCAATTGATGATGGAGGATAGTGATGCTTGTTCAAACGTACAACTACCCAGTGACTTGCTAGTATATTTTCTCGATATTGAAGAATATAGTGAAGAGTACTCCGAAGATATTCTGCTCTGTTTGGCAATTGTCACTTTCTCACTCCTGAGTCGTCTTTTTCTGTGCTTTTTCCGAAATGACGAAATTATTTTTGTCGTATTTCTGGTGTCTGTTTTGTCCGAATTAGGAAACACAGATTTATAAAACTAGCAGCAATTACTGTTATATATTCTGTTATATGGTCTGTTATATTTAAATATATATATATATTTGATTACTCAGCCTATCATTATACTATTGGGTCCCAAAAGAAAAAGAAATGCATTAGTCATATCGTATTGCAGATAACTCATTTATAATGCCGACCAACAATCTGTTACTCATCAGGGTAATTCGCTCTATTTACTGTCTAGACCTGTCAATCTCTCAAATGTCAATGTGGCATTCTATACAAATACTATAGTTAATTGAGTCTTTCCTAGATTTTGTGGCTTTTGATATAACCTTTGCAATAACTTATTTATTGTTACTTCTCTACAATTCAGATAATTTTAGAAATTTACATATAAACTTCAAACAAAGTACAGCCTAGATCAACCCCTGCACTAAACAACATTAGCACATAGTTATCGTTGCTGTCTACTCCTTAACGCATACACTGCATCAAGCGAGCTATTGTATCTAAACATAAACAAAGAGTTGACTACAATTAGCTTTACGTTTCATTGTGTTGCAAACGTCTTCTGATTCGTCTCTAGTACGTTTGCTTGGTTTTTTCGGGTTACTGTTTAATTGCTTTCATTGAATGTTACAGTGCATTTAGCTCATATTTGCCCATTAAAGACCCAAGATACATATGCTAATCTCTGTAACTGATAATGATTCTCGTGTAGAACTGCCATATATACAAAATATCCAAAGTATTTGACTTATATACGAAACAAATTGCTTTTGATCGTATATATATGTATATATATTACTGTCTGTCTGACGTTTTTTTCGCTTCTGAACTGGGCTTATTACGTCATACCAGAATCCCTATTTTTCTCTACTTACGACAGGTCAGGCTGTACTGTGCAGAAAGGAACTGATTGTCACAAAATGATGACCAATTAGGGTCAATTGCCGGATTACAGAACGGCTACCAGTTAATATGATAACATATTTTCTATATGTCTAACAATTGAAGTTATTGAGCCATGTAATGTTGGATTAACTGGTAATAATGTAAAAAATATTTCACGGAGTTATAAAAAAAGGCTTAATTGCGAATTCATTTTTTAATAGTTACATTAATTAATGCTATTTAAATACGCTAAGTAGTATTATCTTCTTCAGTTCTACTTTCATTTGTATTTTCTCTATAAATCAGTTTACCCATATAGAGGTAATATTGCGTATATACTCAGTATAAGTTTTATTAAACACTATTAATTCGTCTCCAATGTCATTTATCCCATTTAGACTGGCACACCAAAAGTAATTATCACACCCCATATTTTTATTATTCAGCCAACGACTGTCTTGTTTGAATTTACCAAGTAATGATTCTTTCTTATGAGAAAGAATTATAGCTCCATCAATATTCATTGGCTTAGAATAGTATTTTTGCAAGGAATCAACAGAATCGAAATTTTTCCTTAGCTCTTTTACTTTGTCATAATCATAACTAGCTGAATTCTTCTTACATACTTTTAACCCACCATTGATCCACAACAATTCATTATTTTCATCAAAATGTCCAACTTGAACAGAGCATATAGTTCTTTTTTGAAATGATGCATTGGGCTTAATTTCTCCAATGCTTCCAGCATACTTATCAATAAATTCATAATTATCATTCCCAGAAATTAATTGTCCCAACCAAAATAACTCCTTATCACCATGTACCGGTTCCCCCATTGTATTCCATAATTGTAACCGAGTTGCCATTAGAAGTCCTGGTAAATGTTGAGCTCGATTCATCACAACTAATCCGCTTTCCATCATATGTCTTCTGTTTAAGTCAAAAAATGTATTATTCTTGATCTTTTCAATTCCAATGATGGATAAATTGAGTCCACCATTATTCTTTTCAATATCAGTGGGAATTAAATTCTTATAGAATGATATTTGAGACGACCATAACGTCTCGGTCAAAGCTCTATCCTTGAAAAACAAAGCTCCTGTCTTTGTATACTTTTCCATCTTGAGAAATTCTTGAAGATTTATAAATGGTACGGAATCAGCGTCAAGTAAGATCATTTCTTTGAATGAGTTAAACAATACCGCTATCCATTTATTGGAATACCTCTTAAATTCATTTTGATACATTGGTTCAATACATTCAAAAGCATCTACAAACCAAACATCTTGTTGGAAATTATTAATCTTGATAGAAATATTATTATTTTTATCAACTAAACTTAGATTGTCTCTTGCTTCCAGAATGATTCGATCTTGAGATACTTTAGTGATATCTCGTCTATGGACTATTTGAATAGGTAGCTGGTTTTCCAAATATCTTAAAACCCTTATTAGTCGCATCATGTCTTCAACTTGACCTTCGCTTACACTAATCACAATCCCACTGCTGCTCATAGTTCGTGATTCGTTGGACCAATACAGAAATGTATTTACCTTATCACCAGATGCTAGGTTGGACTTTTTGATAACGTCTCCATTCCATCGTACAAAGGTTGCCGGTTTTTGTGTGAACATAGGTAGAAGTTTATGCTCCACCTTTGTAATATAGTCTGAATCAACAAGCAAATTCCTTTCAAGAATACAATTTCCAAATATCCTTAGGCTTTGTACAAGCTTTGTTATTTCTTTCTTAGAAGCACATTTATGGGTTGTTTCATTTCCATTGGGTTCATATTCAAGCAAATGCCTCAAATATTTATCACATACACATTCAATATCAGACTGTCCACATTGATCTTTTATGATATCTTTTAAAATATTTTCTGGAGCTCGGTTTGATATAACAGCCTGAAAAGCTCCATATGCAACCACCACGAGTAACAATAGGTATAGAGATAACCTTCTGATTGATAAACGTTTGAACAACAGCATTGATCATATAATGAAAAAAAAAAAAAGATACAAAGGTGAAAGGGCATATCTATTGATTTTGTATATGTAGGAAATAAGTAGACAAAATGTGACTTCGTTTACCGAAGGGTCGCTAAAATGACAGTAAGCATAAGAGAGAAAAATAATGTTAGTTATTTCTATTTAAAGAATTGTAATTGCCAAGAAATCAGCTTGGTTATGTCCACTGGTCGAGTTTAATGGAGAATTTCCATAGCATAAACGGCACCAGTTCAATTGCAACCAAATGCCATAGATGGCTACAGCTGGATTGAAACCAAATTCTATTCATATCGGCTTTGTTAAACAATATACATACATTTATATTAATAATATAAGGTTAGCACTCTCGTCTCCCGAGAATTGCGAAATACATAGACATCTTTTTTTCAAAGATTTCGCCACATAGCTTCGTAAATCTTTAGTACGTAAAGCATATCTATAATCGTACCTACTTCTAAGTATCTATAAATCTAGTCAGTCTATAAATTTAATCTATTTCTTATAATATTCAAATAAGTCACCAATTTTTTCAGCATAATAAGTTGGTGCAACATCTTGTTGTAATTTTAATACATTTTCTTCAGTTTCAATCCCAGTTAATACTAATAAAGTATCTAAGCCTCCATCTCTACCAAATTTCATATCAGTATTTAAACGATCTCCAATCATTAAACCTCTTTTTGGATTAGTCCTTAAACCCTCATTGTCAGCCTTAATAGAATTCATCATTGCTTGATTTGGTTTACCACAAACTGCATCAGGTTGACGACCAGATGCGAATGATACTGTTTCAATAATAGATCCAGCACCAATTAATAATTTGCCCTTAGATGGGAATGTAGAGTCAATATTGGTTGCAATAAATGGGATTGATTTATTATCCTTTAAAAGATATTGCATAGTAAGTGATAATTTTAAATAATTTAAATTAAATGTTAAACCAGCTAATACTGCTCCAACTTGTTCATCTAAATTAGATAATGCTGGATGATCTGGATTGAACTTAACGCCATCTTCGACTAATAATGGATCACTACCTCCAACAGTAGTATATCCTAATTCCTTCAATTCTTTTTCGATTCCTTCTTCTCCTAATACCCATACTTTCTTATCTTTGGACAACTTTAATATCTTATCAACATAAACAGCCGATGCGTATGATGACCCAAATACTTCATCCTTAGTAATTCCTTCAATTCCCAATTTTCTAAATTTACTCAAATAATCATCTCTGGCCTTGGTGGAGTTATTGGTCACAAATATACATTTCTTATTCAATTTCTTTAACAAGTCCAATGTCTCTGGGACACTTGGTAATAAATGATCTCCTAACCAAAGAACTCCGTCACAATCAAATAAAAAGTAATCGTACTGATCTAAAAGGTTATGGATCTGTTCTGAATTAGTTAACTTAACACTCATACTGTCTATAACTCTATATAACTGTTGCTTACTGGATCTGTTATAGAGATTTAAAACATGTGCGCTGACGGTCAAAATTGTGCAGAAAAAATACGTTCCAAGCCGATTTACTCAGGAGATAATCTGTCTTTACTGTCTACCATAAATGGTCATAATTTGAAGTGGTGGCGCATTGATGCGATTCGTTGGTGATACTTTTATCTACACAAAGATTCTCAAATAGTTTTAACTAATTAATAATGATAATAATAATATATATAAAATTGTTTATATGTATATATATAGAAGATAGTAGAGAGGCCATGAACCGAACAATCAATAATCGATCGATCAGTTAGTGCCATACGATCATCTACTTATGAATAATAATTTACACTTAGGGAAAATGATACGATAAACTCAATACTCAATTAAAAATATTAATTAATTAATAGGTATTGGTATTTCGATGATGCTGTGAAATGAAAGGTAATGATATGAAACAATGCAACAATTCTGGAGCTCTTTTAACGTTCAGAAGAACTTGGACCAGCAATGTATTTTGGGAAACGGAATTTAGATTTGTCATTATAAATTTCTTGATCAAATTTAGCCTTAACTTCTTCACTCATACTGTCTCTAACTAATTCTTGTCTGGCCTTTTCACTATAATATCTACGAGCAATATTTCTATCTTCTTCAGCTAGTAACAAAGGTTCCAAATAAAATCTTGACCATTGTCTTTCTCTTGATAATTCTCGTTGTTCATCAGCCCCTTGATATAATCTATAGAATCCAAATGCCATTAATCCAGTAATCCCCCAAAAATATATTGTGGGTCTAAATCCTCGGGATGGAAGATTTCTTTTCCATTGCACAGGCTCGTATCCTCCGATGGGTGGTAAATCTTGAGCCATCTTATCTAATTATATATTGTTATAAAAATTGTTGTCAATTATCAACAGACTCAACTACAATTAGCTTTAGTTAGCGCTGATGATTTCTCACAACTTTATTGGTGAAAATTTGTTTTCTAGTTTTTTGGGCCTGACGCACGACCATAAAACCAAAAAGAATCTCGTGTCTTTACCAATAAAATTGCAAAATCGATTGCAAAAATTTGTACATACAATTTATATATAAAGGATAAAAGATAGCTATACATAAAAGAAGAAAAGATACTGAATCACTTGATATCAAACACAGGTTTTAATTTCTTAATCAAAACCCAATCATCTCTTGAGACAGTATCACGGAAGGCAGGATCTTTCAAAGTATCAATGGATCTACGAGAGATTAATGAATATAAATTATCAGTTTCATCAACATGTCTACCCCAAGTTGGTTGAGCAGATGAAGGATTATCTAATCTCATAGCAACACCGGCAGCAGTTTGACCCTTTTTAACAATGTCAGTTGATTTATGATTAACTTCTAATGAAGTAACTCTACCTAATACCATAATATTAGGTTGTTTAGTAGTTGGATCAGTACGAACTGCACAAATTGGTGTACCAACTCTTACAGCCCCTTCAACAACATCTACCCCAATAATCATTGGATTACGTTTGTTAATAATTTGAATGGTCTTTAAAACACATGGTAAAACAGCATATTCCATAAAGTTTTTACGTCTTTCTTCAAGTAATTTAGCTTGATAAGCAGTAAATGCATCGAATAAATGATAAATAATATCAGCATTAAATATCTTAATATTTTGTTCTTCAGCATATTGTTCAGCTTCTTTATCAATTTTAACATCAAAACATAACATTATAGCAAATTCAGGGGCCTTTTCTAACATAGTAGTAGCTTTCATAACATCTCTTTTAAATACTGGACCTAAACCAATAGACATAACAGGAATCTTCATATCCTTTAAGAAATCCAATAAAGCTTCTAAAGATCCTAAAGTAGAAGCTTGAACAACCACACCTTTACCAGATGTATCAACTGAATCTAATAATCCAGTTAAATCATCCATTACTTCTTCCATAATTTCTTCTTCATCATCATCTTCTCCTACCACAATTAATCTAGAACCTGCTACAGCTTTTTCTAAATCATTGGCAGCAATCTTAACCCCTAATGCTGCTTTAACTTCTTTATGATGTACATATTCTGATTTAATTCTTAATTCTCTTGATGGTGGTGGTGTTAATAACGCCCTTATATTGGTTGCTATTGGACCATTTAAACCACATAATACCACTCTATCACCCTCTTTCAAAACACCATTGGATAATACAACATCAATAGTATAACCAAACCCTTCAACAACTTTAACTTCTAAAATAGTAGCTTCAACCTTAGATAAGTACATTAATTGTTTAGACATTCTCTTTTGAGTTAATTCCAATAATAACCATAATAAATCTGGAACACCTTCACCAGTAACAGCAGAAGTTGGAACAATGGAAACATATTTAGACATATTCTTATTTTGGAAATATAATTCGGAATTTAACCCTTGTTCAGATAATGCTAATTTAATTTCATCATATCTATTTTGGAATTCAGCTTGAACAGCTTTAGATTGTTTAGAAAAGGAATCTCTAAAAGAATTATCAGGAGTAGCATCCCAACCATATAATCTATCGATTTTATTTAATGCAACAATGAATGGAGCCTTTCTATCTCTTAATAATCTTATAGATTCAAGAGTTTGTTGTTCTAAACCATGCATAATATCAATAACTAAAATGGCAATATTACATAAAGAAGAACCACGAGATCTTAAATTAGTAAAGGATTCATGCCCTGGAGTATCAATAATTAATAAACCTGGAACTTCAAAAGTTTGCTTTTCATATTGAGCCATAACTTTAGTCTTTTGTTTAATAGCATCAACTGGGAAATAAGTAGCCCCAATTTGTTGGGTAATACCACCAGCTTCACCACCTTGAACATTTGTTTGACGAATCTTATCAAGTAATTTAGTTTTACCAGTATCAACATGACCTAAGATACAACAAATTGGAGAACGTAAATCTTTATCAGATGCAGGTTTCTTTTCTAACTCAACCAATTTAGCGTTGGCGCTTTCAGCTTCTCTGGCTTTACGTTCAGCTTCAGCCTTAGCTTCAGCTTCAGCAGCAGCACGTTCGGCTTCTTCTTGAGCTTTACGTTCAGCTTCAGCGGCGGCAGCGGCGGCAGCAGCAGCAGCAGCAGCTTCATCTTCTTCATCATCATCTTCTTCAGCTACTTCCTTTTCAGCTGGTTCATCATCATTTAATGCAGTTTCCCAATCATCAGCAAGTGGCTCTTCATCAAGAGCCATCTTTTCCCAGTCATCAATTAAAGCTTCTTCTTCATCTTCATCTTGAGGTTTCTTTTCTTCGACAACAGGTGCTGGCTTTTGATTGAAAGTCTTTGGTTTAGTAGACTTCTTCTTAGTATAGACAACCTTCTTAGGTTTAGGGGCATCTTCTTGTTGTTGTTGTAAACCAGCCACAGTAACATTACCAGATTGTAATAATTGTTGACGACGACGTTCTTGAAGTTTCTTCTCTTCCTTTTGTTTCTTAGTAAGTAATTTTCCTTCTGCCTTTAATTGTTCTTTCTTTAATCTTTCCTTTTCTTTCTTAGCAGCTCTATCAGCTTCTCTCTTAGCTTCTTCTTCAGCAGCTAATTTTTCTTCTTCTAATCTCTTTTGTTCTTCTTCCTCTTCAAGACGACGTTGTTCTTCTTCCAATTGTTTCTTTAATTCTAATTGACGCTTTAAAGCAGCAAGACCAGCTGGAGCCTTCTTACCAGCCTTCTTAGGAGCAGCTTTAGGCTTAGGTTCATCTTCTGGTTCAGGAGTAGCAGATGCAGATACTGAAGCAGCAGCATTCTGTTTATTAGCCTCCTTAATCTGTTCTTTCTTACTAGCTTGTTGTTCCTTCTTCTTTTGAGCCAATTCCTTCTTCTTAGCCTTTTCTTCTTCTTTCTTTAATCTTTCCTTTTCCTTTTTGGACAATAATTTAGGAGCTTCTTCAGATTTGGATTTTTCATCTTCTTCCTTCTTGGCTGCCTTCTTTTGCTTGTTCTTTCTAATAGATCCTAAAAAGTCATCGAAATCATCAGCACTGGCTTCGGTTGGTCCATTGCTAGTTTGTTCTTCTCCATCACCATTGGTTTCAGCTTCACCTTCAGCTCCTGCTTCAGCAGTAGAACCAAATTCTTCTGCTTCTGGAGTATTAAGCTCATCATCAGCCCAGATGTCGTCTCCTTTACTTGCCTTTTTGGATTTCTTAGCCATCTTGTTTAGTACTGGTGGTTTGTATAATAGTTAGTACGTTACCCATAGTTAACAATTAGTGATGGAAATTTTTTTCAGTACGATCCGAAATTGGCAGGATCACACGACCGCTCCAAATTTTTCAGGCATCGAGATCACCTTAACTATGGTACTGGTAAAAGGGGAAAGACTTATAAATTAGTCACTGTATAGTTAGTAGAAAAAGTCACATATCATGACTACTGTGGAGAAGATCAAGGCCATCGAAGATGAGATGGCCAAGACTCAAAAAAATAAGGCCACCTCTTTCCATTTGGGGCAATTAAAGGCTAAATTAGCTAAATTAAGAAGAGAATTATTGACTGATGGAGCTGGAAGTGGAGGTGGTGGAGCTGGTGTAGGATTCGATGTAGCTAGAACTGGGGTAGCTACTATTGGGTTTGTAGGATTTCCTTCTGTAGGAAAATCTACTTTACTTTCTAAACTTACTGGTACTCATTCTGAAGCTGCAGCTTATGAATTCACAACTTTAACAACTGTACCAGGTACTATTAAATATAAGGGAGCTAAAATTCAAATGTTGGATTTACCAGGTATCATTGAAGGTGCTAAAGATGGTAAAGGTCGTGGTAGACAAGTCATTGCTGTAGCCAGATCAGTTAATTTATTATTCTTAGTATTAGATGTTAATAAACCTTTACAACATAAAAGAATTATAGAGCATGAATTAGAAGGTATGGGAATAAGAATTAATAAGGAACCTCCTAACATTGTCATCACTAAAAAGGAACGTGGAGGTATTAATATTACTACTACTAATCCATTAACTCATTTAGATAATGATGAAATCAGAGCCGTCATGTCAGAATATAGAATTAATTCTGCCAATATAGCCTTCAGATGTGATGCTACTGTTGATGATTTAATCGATGCTATTGAAGCTAAGGCCAGAAGATATATTCCTGCTATTTATGTATTGAATAAAATCGATTCATTCTCCATTGAAGAACTTGATTTATTATATAAAATTCCTGATGCTATACCTATTTCATCTGGTAATGGATGGAACTTAGATGATTTATTAGAATTAATGTGGGAAAAGCTTAAATTGGTTCGAGTATATACTAAACCTAAGGGGAAATTACCTGATTTTAATGAACCAGTGGTTTTAAGAAGTGATAGATGTACAGTAGAAGATTTCTGTAATTCTATCCATAAGTCATTGGTTGAAGATTTTAGAAATGCCTTAGTTTTTGGTACATCCGTCAAACATCAACCTCAAATTGTTGGTCTTGGTCATGAATTACAGGATGAGGATGTTATTACTATCTTAAAGAAGTAGGATACACAATACATACAATACGTATACATATAACCAGTAAATATTCAGTCTGTTCTTTTGTATATTTACTACACTACACTAGAAGAACTACCTATCTATCTATACTCACATAGTTAAATAAATAATACACTATCTAAGTAAGACAAGCCAGTAATAGTAATAGTAATAGTATTATTACCGTAATAAGTAAGATGTGCATCACGTGATCTCTTCGACTAAAAAAATTTCATAATTTCTACAGAAGAAAAAATCGACCAGGCCCGTAGATCAACCAAACCTTTAACCATCGTAAGGCCAGAACACGTTGGTCTAAAGACGATTAATTTATATTTCAGGAGAGACGAGTGTCACGGGACGTACTGTACCACAAGGGGAATCAAATACATTCAAACTGAAAAATGTCAGTATTACCACAAGATGTTCAGGGAGTGTTATCCCAACTATTAGAAAGTTTGAAGTCTGCCGACAATTCTATCAGATCAGCTGGTGAAGAGTCCTTAGAAAGTGAATGGACATCTAAAACTAATGTGGAAGCACTTTTAATTTTTTTAGCTGAACAAGCGAGCATGTCTCAATCCGAAGAAACACGAGCATTCGCTGCTGTATTATTTCGGAGAATAGCAATCAAATCTCCTAAGGAGTTAGCTAATGTTACTGATAGAACTATCGGAGTAATTAGTGATCCAGTTAAACAACAAATTCGTACTATACTTTTAAAGGGGTTTACTGATCATCAAACTAATCAAGTTAGACATAAACTTTCCGATGCTATATCAGAAGTAGCTAAAGATGATGTATCACCAAATGGTACATGGAATGAACTTATTCCTGCTTTACTTGAAGCTACTAGAAATCCAGATCCAAGTTTTCGAGAATCGGCTTTTAGGGTCTTTTCTTCTGCTCCTCAATTAATAGATAAATCCTATATTCATCAAGTTTTACCAATCTTTAATAGTGGATTTAATGATGAAAATGATGAAGTAAGAATATCTGCATGTACAGCATTCGTAGCATTTTTCAGAGAATTACCAAAAAATAGTTGGCAATCATTGTCTCCATTATTACCAGATTTATTGAATTCTTTACCTAGATTCTTACAAAATGGTCAAGATCAAGCTTTAGCTTCTGTATTAGAATCATTAATTGATTTAGTAGAATTAGCTCCTAAAATGTTTAAAACTATGTTCCCTACAATTATTGAATTTTGTGCTGGTGTATGTAAGAATAAAGATTTAGAATCAAATACTAGAATGTCTTCCCTTGAATTACTTACAACTTTTGCTGAAGTATCTCCAAATATGTGTAAAAGAACTGATAATTATACAAGTGTTATGGTAGTTATAACATTATCTATGTTAACTGAAGTATGTATCGATGATGATGATGCTGCTGAGTGGAATAATAGTGATGATACTGGTGATGATGATGATGAACCAGAACATGAAGCTGCTCGTCAAGCCTTAGATAGAGTTGCTTTGAAATTAAACGGTCAAGCTCTTGCTGGTCCACTTTTCCAATACTTACCAGCCATGATTCAATCAGAAGATTGGAGAGAACGTCAAGCTGCTCTTATGGCTTTATCTTCAGTAGCTGAAGGTTGTGTTGATGTATTAATTGAAGAAATCCCTAAAATCTTAGATTTAATCTTAACTACTTTAGATGATGTTCATCCAAGAGTTCAATATGCCTGTTGTAATGCATTAGGACAGATGTCAACTGATTTCTCTACAAAAATCCAAAACACCGCCGGTGATAGAATATTGCCTGCTTTGATTTCCAAATTAACTAATAAATCAGTTCCAAGAGTTCAAGCTCATGCCGCTGCTGCTTTAGTTAACTTCTCAGAAGCAGCTTCAAAGGAAGTATTAGAACCATATTTGGATGATTTATTAACTAATTTACTTGGTTTATTACAATCTCCAAAGAGATATGTTCAAGAACAAGTATTGACTACTATATCTATCATTGCTGATGCTGCTGAAAAGAAATTTATTAAGTATTACGATACTTTAATGCCATTATTGACTGAGGTTTTAACTGCCGATATGGGTGATGAAAACAGATTATTAAAAGCTAAATGTATTGAATGTTCTACATTAATTGCCTTAGCTGTTGGAAAGGAAAAGTTTGCTCCTCATTGTCAACATATAATTCAATTATTTGGTCATATTCAAGAAACTGCTACTCAAGAAGATGATCCAGTTAAACAATATTTGGAACAAGCTTGGAGTAGAATATGTCGTATAATTGGTAAAGATTTCTTACCTTATTTACCAGCCGTTTTACCACCATTGTTATCAGCTGCTAAAGCTACTCAAGATATTTCCTTATTAGAAGAAGATCAAGCTGAAGAATTTAATTCTAATGAAGAATGGGATGTTATTAATTTATCTGGTAAATTAATTGCTGTTCATACTGCTGCCTTGGATGAAAAAGTTTCTGCTATGGATTTACTCAGAACTTATGCTGTTCAATTAAAGGGAGATTTCTTTCCATGGGTTAAAGAAATTATTCAAGATATTGGAATTCCTGCTTTAGATTTCTACTTACACGATGGAGTTAGAGGATCTGCTGCTTTAACATTAGCATCTTTATTAAGATGTTCAGTTTATGCTTCAGGAAATTCATCCAATGAAACTCTTGGCTTTTGGAGTCAAATATCTAATAAATTGGTTGATGTATTACATAATGAACCAGTTCCTGAATTATTAGTAGCATATTATACCGCCTTGGTTGAATGTGTTAATGTAATTGGTCCAAATTCTTTATCTCAAGTTCAATTAGAATCACTTGCAACTTCAATCAATACTAATTTAGTCGAAATTTTTGAAAGAATTAAGGCTCGTGATGTTGATGACGATGAATTCACTGAAGATGTAGAAGAAGATGAAGAAGAGTATACTGATGAAGAATTATTAGATGAAATTAATAAGGCCATTTCAGCTATATTTAAGAATGCCAAAGCTAATTTCTTACCTGCCTTCCAAATCTTGGCTCCAACTATTTCTACCTTTATTAAAGATGAAAATAGTATAATAAAATTATGTGGATTATGTGTTATTTGTGATACCATAGAACATTGTGGACCTGAATCAATACTTTACAAGGAAATGTTTGTTAATATTGTTGGAGAATCATTAACTTCATCTCATGCAGGTATTCGACAAGTTGCCTCATATGCTGTTGGAGTTGCTGCACAATTTGGTGGTGAAGCCTATGCTGATTTCTGTCTACCATGTCTTGAAACTTTATTCAAGATGGCCTCAGTTCCTGATGCTAAGGCAGAAGAGAATGTTTATGCTACTGAAAATAGTATTACTGCTATTGCTAAAGTTTGTCATAGATTTGCATCATCTATTCCCGATGTCAACGCCATTATTGAACAATGGATAAGTTTCCTTCCTATTGTTCAAGATGATACAGCCGCCCCCTTTGCATACACATTTTTAAGTGAACTTATTCAATCCAATCATCCTGCCGTTACTAGTCAAGTTCCTAAAGTTGTTGATTCAGTTATTCAAGCTTTAAACCATGCCTCCATTAAGGGTCAAACAGCCGACCGAGTAGTCGGTTCTACCAGACAACTCTTAGGCTCAATCCCTCCTGCTGAAGCCATGGCAATTCTACAAAAGAACCCCTCCGACATAGAAACAGTAAAGAAATGGTTCTCATAAGAGCCTAACAACTATTGTAATATCCTTATGTATGTCCCCCTTAATAAAAATCTTATAGTAAATCAGAAATCTTTTTTCGCGCGCATAGATCAACAGAGAGAAAAAAAAAAAATAATGGTAAACACTAAAACAAATGAATTATCACAACCTGATTTGAAGATCTACTCTACCCCCAATAGATCAAGCTGTAGTACACCACCCACCATGTCTATGTCTAGTCACTCCTCCGGTTCGGGTTCATCACAGTCGGGACGGAAAAGGTACTCCATGAATACTATTGAGTCCAGTGTCACGAGATTATTGGTATCCACTAAACATCTCTTGGAGAGTTTAACTCAATGGGCTCGACAAGAGGCTGATGATAAATTTGTATCTGATGCTTATGTTAAATTGGGTAATGATTTCCGTGCTGCTACTAGAGTTCTTAGTAGTAATGGAGTAGATGTTTCTGATATTGGTGATGTTCCACAGGCTCTCAGAATCATTCTAGAAGCTGCCCTTAGTGAACCTCCTAGTCAAGACAATCTTGATCGATTTCTCCCCAACATTCGAAATATCATAGTAGCACTTTTGCAGAATTTGAAAACCAAACAAACACAAGCAAAGGCTCTTAGTCAGGAATCTCTGAGTCGTAGGGAGTCCAGGTCACTTCCTCAAGAGAAAGGGAGTCGAGAAACTTTACCACCTCCAGCGGTTCCAACGCCTCAGGCTCATACTACTACTCATTCTACCACGCAAACTGCTGCTCCAATTCCAATTCCAATTTCCACTCCAACCATAACTACAACTCCACCTGCAGCACCTTCACCTTCTACTAAAACTCATACGCCATCTCCGGTTAAAGAACCAAATCCTAGCAATGCGTTATCTCAGCTCCAGAACGGGAACGCCATGCAACGGCGTGCATCGAAGCGATTCAGCGCATACCAATACGCTAAACTTACCAATGTAACTCCATCATTACCCCGAATAGTATCTTCTGATAGATCTATATTAGAAAAGGAAGCAGAGAAATCTTTCGATTCCAAAGATTTGGCTGAAACATCTACTAATAGCAGAAGAATCAGTAATATTGGTACAAGTCTGCCTATAAACGATCCAACATCAGCAAACATATTCCTCAGAATAAATGCAAAAACTAAGAAAGTCAATGTTAAATTACCTGTTTCATTTGCATCTTTGAGACTATTATTTGTAGAGAAATTTGCATATTCTCCAGGTAGTTCATCATTTCCTGATATATACATTCAGGATCCAAAAGCTGGAATATCATATGAGTTAGAAGACCATATGTTAGATGAAGTCATAGATGGTAGTGTGTTATCTTTGAACGAACCAGATCCTCAAGTTGCTGTAATTAGAAATATGGAAGAAAGAATCCAAGACTTATCAATTAAATTGGAAGCCATTGGCCCCAGCATTTCACGAACTATTAAGGAAGCAATTAGTCTGATTGAAATACCTCCTCCTGCTATAATTCCATCACCTGAAGCTAATGATAAGAATGTAAATAATAGAAACCATGATTCGATAGATGTTAAAGATCTTCTACTGATAAAGAATGAATTAAAAGCCATTAAACAATTACAAAGTAAATCTGGAAGAAATATTAAAGATACTGTAACTGAGATTACTAAAGAAATCAGTAATTTCCAAGAGGCTGGTCTTGAAATTTCTAAATCATCAAACAGATCTTATATGGAATCCTGTCATTTGAAATTATCTGAAGAATCAGATGTATTACTTACAAAAGTAGATGATTTACAAGATCTTATGGAAGCATTAAGGAAAGACGTAGCTCAAAGAGGTGTAAGAGTTAGTGAAAAACAATTGAAGAATACTTTCAAAGAAATTGATGAAGCAAAGGAAGATTTACATAAGATGAGTACTTACATCACTAAGGAAAGAAGTGTATGGAAGAAAATATGGGAATCTGAATTGGATAAAGTTTGTGAAGAACAACAATTTTTCAATCTTCAAGATGATTTAACCAAAGACTTGGAAGAAGATCTTAAGAAGATTGAAGAAACATTTGATTTAATTGAGCAATGCTCTCTTGAACAGACTAAGCAAACAGCATATAAGCGAAATAAGGTAGTAGCTCAATTATATATACCAGAGCCAGGTGAAAGCATCCATAGTCTAAAAGAAGCAGTTCTAAGTGAAGTACAAGCCTTAAAACCCGATCATGAAAGTAGAGTAGAAGCTATTGAAAAAGCAGAACGATTAAGGGAAAAGGAAAGAGAATTAATGAAACTTTCAAAATTCCAAGAAGAATTAGGAGACTTTGTTGATGATAAGAAGTTCAAAAATTCAGGAGGAATTGAAGAACTTGAGAGAATTCGTCAATTAAAAGATGACGAAAATCTTAAGAATTCCTTTGGAGTAATTTAGACCTAAGTAATATTAGAACTGTATAAGTATATTTAATTATATAACCACCGTATAATATCTCTAAACCGTTCAAATTTTGATAGAACTTTGATCATACAAGTCTTTGTTTCTATCATTATGTCGTGATTATATAAACTGCATGAATTTACTGTTTCAAATCGTGACAAAGTTGTATTAAATAATGAAATTAAGAAATTCTTAAACTCATTGACATCGAACTGATCATGATCAGCAATTCTTTGAAAATGGATCGTGAAAGATGTTAGTATACTTTCCAATAAATTATACATGTTATTTATAGCCCGTGATATATTGTCAGTATCTACATTTATCAAATAATCAACCAATCTTGCACTATAGCTCCAGACTAGGTACTTATAAGATGCTTTAAAAGATCTTTTAGTTTCTAAGGATGGACAGATATCACCAGGGAAATCTCTCGTTATTTCCAATGTACAAGTATCAATATCCATACCAACGAACTTTAACGTTGGACGTCTTAATTGAAATCCAACTATTTCTGTTTTGTCAATATTCACAAATGCACTATATTCATGTAATGACTGTCCATTAACTATTCTAGTAACTTTCCTACAACTCGTGATATCAGTTGTAATTAGTAAGAAGTCATCCACTAATCTTAAGAGGATACTGTTATTTTCTAATTCTAAGAATCCAAATTGTTCATCAACAAGCTCATTGTAGACAATATCACAGAAGATTGACAGTAGAGGAAAACCCTGAAATACTCCCGTTTTCCTTCTATACTGTTTATCTCCTTCCAACATTAGAGTTTCATATACTTGAGTTTTGCAAAGGTTAATGATTTCTTCCTTTGAAAAATCATACATTTTAGCTTTATCGATTAACACCTTCGATTTTGAAATGTTTAGACTTTCCTTAACTTTACCAAATTCAAACTCTTCAAGTTGTGAATCATCTTTCACACTAACAATCGATTTCTTCATTTTAAAATTGTTAAGTGCCATTGAATAATAGCTTCTGACAAAGTATCTCTTATCTAGAGGCTCATTTTCAAATAACTTTTCTAATTGACCTATTATCTTTTCATGTTTCAAGTTATCATAACAATTCTTCATGTCAAACTTGACAAAGAAAAGATCAGGCAACTTATCGCCATATTGTTGAACTAATCTAAGCTTGAATTCCTTAATTCGTCTTGCAATATCGCCAACTGAATAACATCTCGGAGTACCAGTCAATTGATCTCTTTCTTTAATTTTCGAAATCAATATTTGACGTACGGGACTAATAACTTCATTTACATACCCTAAATATTCAAATTTCTCTTTATCTTTATTATGAGATTTATTAAATAGCCTCATATACTGCAAGTGTGACGGTACACAGATGACACGAAAGACATTTCCCTTTGGAATTAATCTAAGATACCCGAAATTGAATCGAGTAAATATTGCCTTAGTGCGGTAAACATCATCTTCTTCAACAGGTAGTAAGAAGTTCAGGACATAATTTTCAAAAAAATCTGAAGTTAATGTCTTCCATATAGATCGAGGTACATAATATAGTTTCACTTCAGTAGCGCCTGCCGGTATACACAGATGCCAATATAGATGTAAAAGCCTTCGCAAAAATGAATTGAAGAACCATTCCATAAATTTAAGAAACATATCACGTCGTGATTCGAAATCTTGTTTAGAGGTTACATTAGCTCCTTTTCCGAGCCATCCTATATCTGTAATTTTGATATCATTAATCTGATCAATTGGCAATGATTTAGTGACTGGGGATGAAATAACAAATTCTACAATTCTCTTTGTTACTTGTGATCTATTATACTTTGATCCCCAAATATCTAGTGGGAAGATCCGTCGTACTACAGTAAGCACTATTCTTATGACTAGATGATACGAAGACGAACAATCAAGAACATTGCCACTTGACTTCTCTGACTTTGATATACCAGAAATTGTTTCAAACATTCTAGAATAATTGAGCTTTTTATCTAGAGTTATCACTTTAGCAAATATCGCATTAATTTGTCTGAATCTTTTGGGTAAATAATTACGATTAGCTACCTCTTGAGGGAATATCTGATTTAATAAATTCTTAGAATCTCCAACATTAAGGAACATGGTATTAATAGTAGTTCCATTACGTGACTTATTTATAATCTTAGCTTTTGAGATCCAGGGTCTTTCCTGATACTTGCCTTTAGTCAAAGTACCAAAAACTTGAACACAATGACCACTGTCTAACTTAACTATGGCCTTGTTAGATATTACCATTTCAAAAAAGGCCCTATTGCCAATCAATAAATATAGTGTTCTCCAATTTTCACTTCTTAGCACATTTACATGGAGATTTCCCGTCGGACTTACCAAAAGTGAGTTCCACCTAAAATCAAAAGAGGGGTTCAAAAACCCCATGATCAAGACATTAGGAATCTTCTCCTGTATCAAATATTCCAATAAGCGATCGACATAATTAGTATAAGAACAATGTTCTAACAAATATGGTGGTATAGACTTACGCGCCCCAAAAGTCTGGGGTATTATAGTGGTAGACTTCAAGAATTGAACAAACAGATTCGAAACATTTTTAGTGTATAAGCAATCTTGAAACCCATTGATTTCCTTCTCTAGATATATCCATAAATTGGTCATTGGCCTGATAAAGCGCTGTTGCAACCTTTTGGATGGCTAAAACATAATTTGTTAGCTCTCTAGAAATGATCGCAAAATCTGAAAAATATCAAATTGAAAAAAAAAAAAAAAAAAAAAGATAATCTACTATGTGTAGTAGTAGTAAGGAATGGCAAGAAGAGGTAGAACACCTGTCGTATCGGACTATGTTGATATAGAAAACGGTATCATACATGGCGTACTCAAGCAAGTGCGGGCTCAAGATCTGGACTCGTTTAGGAGTAAGACTGCTTCTTTAGTAGAAGTATGGTGCTGTGAGATCATCCCAACTCAAGCTCAACTCTTGGCTAATGTCATACGAGATCATATAAATAGTAATGATGAGGTAAGCTTGATCCATCTAAAGCGATTTCTTAAAGAGGAAAGATCAGATGTCACGGTTTTAAAAGCTGTTTTGTGTTCCACCACGTTTTTAGAGACAGAGGAAGCTGTTATGACATTTATTGCAGCACATACCAATATTGATATAAAATGTCTATATACTATAGAGGTGCCAAAATATCCCGCAAGAACAAAGGAAATCTCAGACTTATGGTCGGATACATATTGGCCGATGTCTTGGAAAGGAAATCCAAATCATCAATTCTTAAATTCCGTCACATTCAATATGGATTTTGAAAAAAGCATAGTCAATAAGTTAATTGAAAAATATAAACAGTCACTAACATATCCATGCCTGGTGACAATAATAGCAAAAGAAACCGAAAATAATGAAGGCGAAATTCTTGCAATCACTCGAAGCACAGACTGCACTAATCCGTATAATCATAGTGTTATGCAAGCTATTGACTTCATATCTGAATCAGAGAAACAACGAAGAAAATTGGCCACTGGTAAACACAAGGAACCATCCAACTATTTATGTCACAATTTATGGTTTTATGTAACCCACGAACCATGTGTGATGTGCTGTATGGCCTTGGTACATTCAAGAATTGGACGAATAATATATCTCAAAGAATCTCCTCAGTCAGGAGGTCTAGAATCCAATTATCAGTTAGGTGATAGGGATGGACTTAATTGGAAATTTGATATATGGAAATGGATAGATCAGAAAGACATAGATACACTCGACTCTTTGGGCAAGAATCTACAAGTCGAACACAATGTCAATTACTAATACAGAACTCTTTAACTTCGTAAATGTAACGCTAATTCTAGCTTCGTAGAACTATCTAGAGAATCACTCACTAGATCATCTATAGAATCCAAATTGTGGGGATACCTCAGATCATTCAATTGATCTATTAGAAGTCTTATATCCTTTAAGACAGATGCGATCTGAGCATCATAGTTTTCATTATCCAAATGAGCGTTGCCTAGTAATTTTTCCAACAGTTTATTAAGATCTGCCAACGAACTCTTACTTACTAATGTACTATTATCTTCTCTGTTTATAACATGTTCAATGGGAACATCAAAAGTATTCTGTATATTACTCTCTATAGGATCAATAGATATATCTTGTCTCTGATTTTTCAATTCACTATAGAAAGATTTCACTAATTCGTCATCAATACCAGCGGGAAATAGCCTTTTGAAATAGTTATAGGGTATTATAGTTTCTAAATAAGACCGCTTGATAAGGTAGTCCGAAAGGATAGTCTTAGCCTCCATTTAAGTCACGTGTTAGACAAAGTACAAACTATTTATCTAAATCTATACTAGCTTTCAATGTTTATATTAGACCGCGACTTCAGGAAGGGTCGTGTGGTGATACCAGGAAACTGAAAAAAAACAAAATCTCAAAAGAGAGAGAGCGTAAATTTGACCTACCAATATAGAGAAACAAATAGTAGATTATCAATCATTCCATTAAATAGATAGAGCTGAAGATGTCGTCTTTGAATTACGATACTTCGTCCTTCTATGTACAAGGGCTAGCCACCAGCTTTGCAAAGAGATTACTAGATGAACAGGACAATTCTTTACTTTTAAATATAGCTCCTGTTGGTAGGCAAGCAAAGCGTAACGCACAACAGATCAACTATTCTGAAGATTACGTGGATGACTTTGATTTTGAAGATACTCCTTCTGCACCTAAACAGTCCAACTCGAACAGTCAACAACAATCCAACGCACAAAGACTCACACCTGCTAGACCCACTCCTTCATTAAAGAATTTGGATAATGAACAAAAGTTAGTAGAATTAGTAAACAAACCTGAAGTTCTTGTTCCTATAAAGATATTGTTAGAAAATCCCAATTCAACTCACAAATTAGTGGATTCTTTCTTGTGGAACTTGAATGAACTGTTAATAACGCCACAAGAGTTTGCAGACATTGTTTGTAATGATTTGGAATTACCCAACTCTATGCAACTGCAAATTACCGAGTCTATAATTCAACAAATTGAAGAATTCAGTTATGCATCTAACTTACAGCTTCCTAGTGATGCTCCATCTGTCGTTATAATAGACTTATCAGTTAACTTAAACAAATACCTTTATCAAGATAGATTTGAATGGGACTTAAATCAAAAGGACATAACTCCAGAACAATTTGCACTGATTGTAGTAGATGATTTGGGATTAGATTTAGAATTCAAGCCGGCTATTTCTCAAGCACTTCATGAAATCATTCTCAGAGTCAAGAAAGAAATTGTAGATGGATCTTATAATAGTGAATTCCAACATTTACACCTTACAAGAGGATTGAATTTTGAATGTGGAATTAGAATTTTTACTGAAAATAGTATTCAAAATGGAACTGATCATTGGGAACCAATAGTTGAAGTATTGACTCCAAGTGAAATAGAAAGAAGAGAAAATGAAAGAATTAGAAACTTGAGAAGATTGAAGAGAGAAAATATGAAGAGAGATTATGATGATATTGGAAGTAAGAGACGTCAACTTATGGGTAGAAGAAGATTTGATGAGTTAGAAGGTACATGGAGAAACTATTAATACATAAATATGTATAAGTGTAATATAGAATTTTGTCAAATGAATATTGTAGGATGCGGCGCTTTACTGAAAAATATACCCCCTCTTTGAATGTGCGATCTAAATCTGATAAAGAATTATTTTAGCTTCTTTTTTTTTTACAACAATTAATCTTCTTTCATGTATTACTTCTTTAACTCTAAAATTGCAATAACACTTTCTAGAACGAAGCTAGTTTATAGAAAGAATATAGTTTATAGAAAGAATATAGAGACAGCATCACTTAAAATTTGGGTCAAAAAGAAAGAATATCCTAATAACTAATCAATTATCTTAACGGATTCTTGCCAGCGGTTAAAAACCTCTTTGAAAAATCTAATACCAATTCCTACATCTTTATAACCCATAATACTTCTAATTGAATGCATACTAAGTATAGGTAATCCAACATCAATAATTAACTTAGCACCATTTATACCTCGTAAAGAATCACTCAATATAGGACCAATAGTACCTCCTGATCTGCTATCATTCCGGATATGGAAATGTTGTAATTTTATATCGGGTAAATGATTAGTAATTATATCTTGTAAAAAGACATATGCTGATGAATCACTCAACACATGCATGTTAGAATCAAATTTTATTGATGGTCCGACATTAGGTAAAGGAAAATTATGTTCAAGATATACATTCTTGAAATTAGGATTTAAAGCATGGGTAACATCAGTTGATAAAAGTACAGAGTTATGAGTTAATTGTAATAAAGCCTCTTGAGGATTAACTTCAGTTTTAGTAGAGACTATGGACTTGAAAATATCAATTAAAAAGCCTCCTTTGGCACCTGTCCTGGTAGCACTTCCAATTTCCTCATGATTGGACAAATAAATTCCATTAAACCCATCATAAGATTCAATGTCATTACCTTCTTTATAAAACTTTTGACTGAATTCTATTAATCCATAAATAGAATCAAATGAACATAATCTATCATCCAAGCTAGAGGAATAAATAAATTCTTCATCTAATCCACCTCTAATAGCTGGTTGAGAATCTACCAAATCCAAGTCCAAAGCAACTATGGAAGATAATGAAGATTGTGATAATTCAGTAACATATCTTAATAGACCAAGTGAATGTCTATTGTATAATATGGAAGACTTTTCCTCCTCAGTTGGTTTCAACTCTTCATATACATTTGAATCCTTATATGATATTATTGGAACCATTTCAGTTTGTGTATTATATTCCTTTTCAGGAAGACCAAAATGAGGAGCCAATTGAGGTATAAAACCAACTGGATGGGGAAATGAGTTAACTAACTTCCTGGTAACCTTCTTAGTTTGCTGATCTTTAACTAATACTGCACCTGCTAATGCCAAATCTCTATTTAACCATAAGTGATTCAATGCTCCTGAGTAAGGTGCTACCCCCAACAATTCATATGGTTCAGATTCCTTATCAGACGAAACTTTTGTCAGATTATGTGGATTGATTTTAACTGACAAAGCATCACAATGACTGCCAATAAAACAACTCCCATTGGAAGGTTTCCATTTCCCTCCGATTACGAAGGCTATTAAAGTTAAGTCATCTTTAGAAGTGAAATAAAATCCTGGCTTACCTTCAAGATTAATCAATTCATTCTCCTTTATATATTTAAAGCCATTATTCTCTAATAAGGACTTGAAATGAAGTACAGTATGATAAGTAGTAGGGTTATAATTCATAAATTCTATAAATTTGTCTGCGTAAGTATCATAATAATCAGCAAAATCTGTGGCTTTTTCCTCGGAATCAGAAGTGAATGGTGTTGAATTTTCTATAACTTGAACTGGACGATTATCAAACGTAAACTGTTGTGAAATGTTCGAATCACTAGCTTGAAATTTAGGCATTTGCAAAATGTACTCAGATGGCTGTTCTTTGTCTGTTAAATACTCCTCCTCAGTATTGTAATCCTCATAGTCGGAGTAATCATCGGTAGTGGAAAGCACTCCATTATCATTGGTTGTCACAATGGTGAACTCTTCTGAATGTAGTGGCCCACTCATGTTGAACTGCTCCACTTATAGCCTGAGTATAAAGTCAATTGATTGTTACAAATTTGCTGTCTTCTCTTAATAGGCTTATCTACCAGCATAAATATTACGATTCTTGTCACGTGATCGATAATTTGTGCCAAAGCTAAACACGGCTCAAATATTTCGGATAATAAGTCCGTTTTTGCACCTTGGCTATATTTTCTAGCCGCAAATCTTCCTGATAATTTGCACTTAAATAGAGAAGTCTTATGGAACCTTCCAACTCTACAGTGGAGATAAATTCCCCTCTTAGCAATGTAAATAGTATGAGGATAAAAAAGATATCAGAAACAAAGTAAGACACTAGAGCTTTGGAAGTTTTCTAAAAAGTTAAACGCACAATCCATATTTCTAGAGGAAACTTTGCGAAAACATTGCCAACAGAAAGTCTTTAAAACACATTTTATTACAAGTCCAAAAATAAAATACAGAAGTATTAAGTTAAAAATTATTTTCCTGAATGCAGATTAGCAAAGACATTATGTATTTATTCAGAAATTCGAACGAACAATGTTAATATGGGTGTTATATTTATATACGTAAAGAGCAAAGGCGTATTCAAAAATAATACGAATAGAAAAATGTTTATGATAGAATCAATTGAGAATTTGCAACAAATATGTCTTGAAATTAGAAGAATAAAATAGTCCTAAGGCAACTTCGAAGTTTAACCCTTTCTCATCTAAGGTCAATATCTCATATTCCTTAGGCCACCGAATAAGAAATTATACATGAACAACTAAAATAAATCAGAACAACAACATTGCTGCTAAAATAAAAATCATGATTTTGAGGCATTTCCAATTTCTTCAAAACACCACCTACACTAAAAGTTGGAACTGAATTTGGATAATAACCTCCAATTGTAAGTGAAACAGAACTAATAACTTCACCAGTATCACCTTTAGAACCATTAAAATTACTACCAGTGCTTTCACTAGGCACAGTTATAAAAGAATCAGTACCATCTGAAGATGTATTAATCTTTGTGGTGTAGGTAGTAGTATAAGTGCCGGCCCATGAAGTACTCTCAGTAGTGCTACTATATTGGTATTTGGAGTACTAAAGATATAGCGATAGAAATTAGTTCGCTAGGAGTGGAAACCAAGACCTGCAGTATTCACCAACATAATTCTATTAGGATAGTAAAATCCTGAAGTCAAATATAATCTTGAGCTATAGTAAGAGGACGATCCTAGCCACAAGCTTCTGATACGAAGTCTGTTAAATTTTTCCATCCGGAGAAACTGTCGGACAACGCATGTTGGATGTGTGTCACAACACTGGAAAGCTATTCCAGCACCCACTAAGATTGATCTAGCATTATCAACTTCAAGATTAAAACTATAATCGCCTGTTTCAGTGGGGAAGTATATCTATATGAGGGAATATGATATGAGATAATATGGTGCTCTATAAATAACCTAAAGAATGAAGTACGAAGAATCCCGTGAGTGCGACTGTAAAGTTCGTTTATGAGGTTGTAACAATACACATCGCCCCAGGCTAGTTCCTTGTATCGTCAACAATGATCAGGGGTGTACCCAAATGAAAGAGAATGGTCTTCTATGCCAAAACTTCAGTATCTTTTATAGCCGCTAATCAAATTATCAACTTCAGAATCATTGACGTAATCCACCAAACCTTATTGATATCCGGAATCAATAAAATCTCATAGCGATACGAAGTTGCAACATATATCTGTAAGCTGTAATGGTTGTGAGCATAGGATGGGATACTCTAATACTGTGATACTAATTAAAAGAAATTAAAGAACAAACAAAATAAACTGAAATTCAGAAGTTTCTAATACTCCCATGGATAATTATATAGTTTTTATATAGTAACTGTGACAATATATCTTGTTTAAGAAACACACTCACATGGAATCTTTCGCATTCAACAAACAAGATATTGATGATCACCTTATGATATTGAGAACTGAATCACAGGAGCACAAGCTACTAGAATAGAAGTAAACGAGAAATGGCCAAAAAAAACAAATAACCTTAACAATTGTCCCTCTGTCGTTCGGTTTTCAATCTCAGAACGAGACCATCGATGTCTTGTTGGTTAAATGTAGTACAATCCATAATGTAGTATTTAAAACAAAACACTTATATTAATCAAAGTTACTATATAAAACCTATATACTTATATCATACGTAATAGAGGTCTATTTAAACCTCTTAGCATAGGCTACTCCCATGCTTGTATCACATGAGTGCTGACCAGATAGATGATCCTAAAGGTCATCCAGATGACATTAAATGTCACCTGTTTTATCTGCATCAACAATTTCACACAACCATTGCATCTTATGTGTGACCTTCAACACCCTCAATGATAATCTTTGAGGACCGAGCGACATAAGCCCACTGTACAAAGGTACTTTAACTACTTAGCTATGTTCTTACTCTCTTGATAATTAACTCATTTCAATTCTATATAAAATTTAAAAGAGATTCTGAAATAAATATCGTATTAATAATAGCAAAATAACATAAACTTTCATTCTGTAATAAATTTATACATAAGGCATTATTTTATCTTAAGGGACATTCATATTAAATTATTGTCGTTCAGTCCACAATCTCACAATGTGATCTTCGATATCTTGTACGTTTAGTGTTATAGATTCAATATTTGAATGTCTCTTAAACAAAATACTTATATTTTCATAGTTACTATATAGAAAACTGTCGTTCGGTCCTCAATCTTACAATGAGATCATCAATGTCTTGTACATTTAGAGTTAAAGATTCCATAGTTAATGTTTCTTAAACAAAATACTTATATTATCATAGTTACTATATAAAACCTATATAATTATCTATAGGGATATTAGAGGTCTATTTATACCTCTGAGTTCACACACATGTGTTGTAACAACAACTCTAATAACACATTATTAGAGTACCCCCTTTCTATTGTTACAACCCCCCTTTTATTGTTACAACCATTTGTAGCAAGTTACAACACTCTACCTGTCTTCACAACCATTGTAGCTTACAAACATGTTGCAACAGCCTCCCTTAAGGTGGAATGGTTGTGAGACGGTATGCCTCCCTTAATCTGATAAAAGCTGTAATTTAGGAAGATTACCTATTCCAGCAAGTGTGCAAAGATGTGCATGAGGATCGGCTGGCAATGATTTAGTTAAGACATCAGCGGGCATATGCTTAGTATTAAGGTAATGAACAGTAAAGTCCTTATTAATGTGGTGGCGAATAAAATGGTAGCATCTCTTGATATGTTTGGTTCGACTGTGGAAAACGGGGTTGGTAGCGATTTTCATTGCACTCTGACTATCACAATTAAGTTTGATGGCTGGTAAGTCTAACTCCAATTCCTCAAAGATTTCTTTTAACCATAAGAGCTCCTTACTGACCAGAGCTAAACTATAGTATTCAGATTCAGCACTAGACATAGCAACGACTTTTTGCTTCTTACTTTTCCAGATAACTGGGCCATCAGCATATTTAACAATGTATCCGGAGGTTGATCTGCTATTGGTGGTATCTCCACACCAGTCGGCGTCACAGAAACCAATAATTGAAGATGTATCTGTTTTCTGATATCTAATACCAAACTCCATAGAACCACTAATATAACGAAGCATGCGCTTAGCAGCTTTTAAATGGTAGGTGGTAGGAGATTGAAGGAATTGTGATAAGCTTGAAACAGCAAAGCTGATATCGAGCCTGACAGTGTTTGCTAAGAATAACAATTTTCCAACGAGACTGCGAAATTCCGTAGCATCAGCAGGACTGGCGTCAGCAGGCACATCCTCTAAGTGCTGATTGGCTAATAAGGGGGTCCGAACTGGATTTAAGGAATTCAGTTCAATTCCATAAGATGTAAAAATGGACTTACAATAATCTTCAGCAGTGATTCCTTTAGTTCCATCATGGAATTGCTGAATGTTAAGGCCTAGGAACTTGTGGCATTGGCCGAGATCTTTCATCTTGTAGTATGCCAGTAAAGTTGTCTTGAGTTCGAGTATTTCAGCTAAATTGGAACCACTTATAAGCAAGTCGTCAACATATAAAGCAATAATTATGATTCCTGATGAACGATGTCTAATATATAGACCATATTCAGATTCCAAACGCTTAAACTGAAGTTCCTTTAATGTAGCATCAAATTTAAGATTCCACTGGGCCGCAGATTGTTTTAACCCGTAAAGGGCTTTATGCAATCTGAGAACCTTGTGGTCATCGACTTCATATCCTGGTGGTTGACGTAAATATAATTCTTCATGGAGATCTGCATTAAGAAAGGCAGTCTTAACATCCATTTGGTGAATAATAAGGTGTAGTTGAGCCAGAATAGCCAATAAAAGTCGGACGGATTCGTACCTAATAACAGGCGCGAATGTGTCGTGGTAGTCCACAGAAGGTATTTGTGAAAAGCCTCTAGCGACTAGGCGGGCTTTATAACTTCCATCACCTTTTATGGAATAAACCCACCTACAGCTAATGGCTTGACGACCTTCAGGAAGCCCAGACAACGTCCACGTATGATTGGCAATTAAAGACAGATATTCATCATCCATGGCGGATTTCCACTTATCATGATCCTGGGATTTCATTGCTTGTTGAAACGTATTTGGAACCTTAATGGGCAGTTGGACATGGTAAATATAATCCACAGGAAAGGCATCAACATAAACAGCATATTCTGGATCATCACTAGTATCATCGGCAATTGAAGAACTACTGGGTGGTGGATGATCGGAATCATAATACATGATTTGGGGTTGTTCTGTCGTACGACGGAGTTTCTTGGAGTCTGGAGCATAAGAGTCGGAGTCAGTATAACCATAGTCTGAAGTAGCTGTCATTTCAGGCTGATATGGAATTAAAGCAGTGGAATGTAATATAATGTTACTGGACGGATCAGCTTCACGTCTCTTCCGTTTCTGTTGTGAACGCAGAACAGTTAAAAATTCTAAAGGTGATGGAGATACGAGATTTTCTTCAGCATCCGGCGAAACAGCAGGTTTAATGGTATCGGGTACTTCGATAATGGAAGTAGGTTCAGCGACATCTTCTTCGTGGGAAGTCATACTATCATCATCACCATCATAAACATCTCCATCATAAACATCTCCATTATAATCATCTCCATTATAATCATCTCCATTATAATCATTTCCATTATAATCATCTGCGTGGGTGATATTAACTTCATAATCAATAGGGTCGGTATCCCTAACATTTTCTGACTTAGTTGCATCGAGTTCATTCATACTTGCATCAGATCGGTAGTGATCATCATTGGTAACTCTAACAGGAGGTGGCGAGCGGTCGGAAGAATTATAATATCTAAGAGAGGAAATTCCACCACTAATCCCCAATGTGGTATTAGAATGAACATTAATTTCACCTTGGTAGGCTAACTTTTCAAAAGGAAATTCATCTTCTATGAATCTAACTTGACTGGCAGAAAAGATTTTCCGAGTGACCAAATCATATAATCGATAGGCTTTTCTGTTTGGGTCAAATCCCAACATAATAGCCTCCCTTGATGTAGAGTCAAATTTGGACACTCTTAATTTTGGGGGAACCAAAGCATAACACAAACACCCAAAAACTCGTAATTGGTCATAATTGGGAGGATTCCCAGTCCATTTCTCATATGGAACGACCAACTGATGCTTGGGAGCATGACGAGGCATTAAGTTAAGCAAGTACGTAGCAGTGAGTACAGCCTCTGGCCAAAAGTGATCTGGAAGTGATCCATCACGAAGTAAAGATCTAGCAAATTCTTGAATTGTTCTGTGGGAACGTTCAACAACTCCATTCTGATAACTGTGATATGGTACTGTCAATTCGTGACGAATTCCGGTTTCATGAAAGAAATTAGTAAGTTTGACATTATTGAATTCAGAACCATTATCTGTTCTAACTATTTGAACCTTTGCAGAATTCTGACGATCACAGGATCTAATGAAGTTGATAATAAGTTGACCAACTTCAGCAGTAGAAGTCATTGGAAAAGTTGTAATGAATCTTGATTTATCATCAACAATAGTGAGAAAGTATTTGCAACCATTATAGGCTGGTGGAAATGGACCACAGACATCCATATGAAGGATTCCTCCAAGTGTTGTAGCTCTCCGAGTGGAATACTTTGGAAATTTGAAAGTCATCTTTGACTTCATACAACTACGGCAATTCTTCAGGTGACACTGAATTCCGAGTTTTCTAAAATTATCCTGAATACCACGACCTGGGTGACCAAGTCTCTTGTGTAAAATTTCCTGAGGAGTTCTAGCAACATTACCAATAAATGCATTTCCAACCCCCTCATTTTTCATAGTATCAATTTCAATAGTATACAAATTTGCCCGTAAACTACCATGGTGCGATAATTTATTCGCAGCAAGATCAATAGATGCAAAACCTGCATAGACTCCAGTTGAGTCAAAGACGAAGGTAGCACCCCTACGGGCTGCTGCAGGGATGCTAATGAGATTAACCGCCGATTTGGGAATATAGTAGACGTTAGTAAGATCAAAATCTGGAAGACTTACTTTACCAATACCTTCAACTTGCATGGTTGATCCATTAGCACAATCAACATTATGCTTAAAATTAGTGTCAATTTCAGAAAATAATCTAATATCCTTAACAATATGGCTTGAAGCACCAGAATCAAAATGAAAAACAGCATTTCTGGGTTTTTCAGAAACTTGAAAAGCCAGATCACCAACGTAGAAACTACTTCTTGATGTAGACTTGCTCGTGTTTGTACCATTGGTCGATTCATTTCTGGATTGTTCATTTTTGAGTTCTGGACACTTATTCTTCTTATGGCCTTCCTTCTTACAATGATAGCAAATAACCTTTTTACTACGATTAACAACTAAAGCGGTATCCAGGTTAATGGTAAAGTCTAAATTATCAGGAGGATTTGTACCAATACGTAAAGCTAATTTCCGAATAGTAGCAACATCAAAAATAGCATTGATTTTTCTTTCTTTAAGGGAGTGAAAAGCCCTTTCAATTTGTCCCCATTTAGTATCAGGAATAGTTGCAAAGTATATAAGTCCACTAGTTTCTTGGCCATTAAAACGGCAGAAAACATTTTCTCCAAGCATTTCCCAATCGTCAGCAGTGGGAGAACCAAAACCGTACTTTCTAATGAGTCTAGCAGCAGCTGTAAAATCAATGTTACCATACTCCTCACAAATTGAAAGGTAAGCGGTATCACCTGAATAACCTCTGTATTCCTTCCAAATGGTGTCAGATATGGTCAAGGATAGAACATGATTAAGCATTCCTACAACACTACTCTTCAATCTATTAACATCCGTAGGACCAACTTCTTCAGTAAATTGAAAAAAGTCATTTCCATGAATTAAGAAACCTGAGATCCCAAGTTGATTGAAGACGTCAACGAAACTGCTCTTCCAGGTGTAGAAGTTTTCAAGTCCTTTCAACTTGACTTGCACGCTGGCAGAAGCAGGGCTCATAACTTGTCGTTCGGTCCTCAATCTTACAATGAGATCATCAATGTCTTGTACATTTAGAGTTAAAGATTCCATAGTTAATGTTTCTTAAACAAAATACTTATATTATCATAGTTACTATATAAAACCTATATAATTATCTATAGGGATATTAGAGGTCTATTTATACCTCTGAGTTCACACACATGTGTTGTAACAACAACTCTAATAACACATTATTAGAGTACCCCCTTTCTATTGTTACAACCCCCCTTTTATTGTTACAACCATTTGTAGCAAGTTACAACACTCTACCTGTCT